GGCTGATGGTGATGTTCTTCGGGGCGACGGAGCGGGAGGAAATGGGATTAATGACAGGGTCGAAGTAGAAAGCGGGGAGATTGGGGTCCTCGGTGCGAACATAGACAACCTGGGGGTGAGAGTACCAGGCGACCTTGACACTCCGGGGAAGGGTATTATACAAGAAGGGGAAGGTGACACGGTACTCGGTTCGGATGGGGGCGCGGAAAATGATGCGATCGATGGCGTTAAACTCGCTAAAGTCCTCGTCGTTCGGATCGATGTCCTTATACAAGGGCTCGAAGCGGGGTCCACCGGGAATGGCGACGTTGAGGGCCTTTGCTGTGAAGAAGCTGTTCAGGTCGAACATGTGGTGGTAGTTCTGATCCACCACATCACTGAGAAGCTGGTGACTCAGACGGTGGAGAGTCGCCATCTGTGGCAATGACAAATTCCAGTCTTTATAGCTCGGTCCATTAACATGGGGGGTATCTAGGAGGGGTCGGTGGTCGTAAAGCCATTCGTAGACTGCGGCATCTTCCTCTTCATCAAGCTCCATCTGAATTGGCTCCAGAGGCTCGACATCTTCAATGTTCTCGGACCACGAAAGAGGCGGCTCCTCATCATCGAAGGGGGGGAAGCGCATTCGCTTGAAGTGTCGACGATCACTCTTCTCACGACGCATACACATCCACATGGTGGCCCACTGGGCGTGGAAGACCGGCTCAATGACACGCGGGGTCTCATTGACCAAAGTCAAACAACCATTAACATGATAAAGTACTTTAACTTCCCTTGCAGATTCCCATGGCATCGGCATGTTCTCCAATAGCTTCATTACGGCGTGAGGCATAAACTTCAACGCGCCCAGATAGCTCCGCTTTTCATTGGTAAATTTTCTTTGTGACACATCGCCGATATCCTTCACGATCTTTCGCAAATGCTCCGGGGGCATATCAGCCTTTTGAGTCTCGACAAATCCTCCCTTGCGCTTCTCGCCGAAACGACTGCGTTGTGTTCGGAGCCATTCATGCTTTTTCTGCGCAAACTTTGCGACATTGGGGTCGGCAGGTGGCTGGTATCCAGGCGGCGGCGGCGCCATCGGCAATGATGAAGGTGCTGCACTCCATCCCGGAGGAGGTGGAGGAGGCAAAGATGCCATGATTGTGGATGTTGATGGGGGGGTTTCCACCCTCCCTAATACGTGAGTTGGGGTCAAGAAGTCGCGTCAAATCACGTCGGCGATCATGGGCAGTCGGGGGGAAAAGAACGCTGAAACTGAGGAGAATGGAAAAATGAATTGATCAAAAACGCGTAGAAAGAGAATCGACCGGACCAGGAGTATGGGATGAAGGTACACCAATGGTCGTCTCTCACTGCTCTCACTTTGCTGAGATGCTCCTTTCGAACTTGGAACTTTCCGGTGGCGGCTCCATAACGCACTAGTCCCGATCGGGGTTAGCGTGGCCTCGCCAAATCTGCGCTAGAGCGAAACCCACACAAACCCGTCCAACTCGAACATTTTACCGTTCACAACCCGACGACGACCAACGCCTTCTTGACCACCGAGGTTCAATACAGTCAAAATGGTGAACAACAGACTGCAATACGTGAGTTTTTATGAATCTATACCTGTGATTTATTGGCGAAAATACTGATTTCGATTTTTTCAACTTTCAGCGCCGCCGGAACCCGTACGTTCATGAAAAAAATTCCCTTCCCACGCACAAGACTCTCTCAACGCCCAATTCGACACTGGATACGATGAGGACCGACTGGCTACAACAAACTGGAACGATTTATTGACGATTTCTCCCCCGATAGGTACAACACGCGGTCCAACAAGGTGCGCATCATCAAGACCCCCGGTGGTGAGCTCCGTTACCTTCACCTCAAGAAGAAGGGTACTGCTCCCAAGTGCGGTGACTGTGGCATCAAGCTCCCCGGTGTGAGTAACTCCTCGAATTTTTTTTTCAATCTCGGCATGTGGAATTTTGCGTCGTGTTGTGCGTTGTGGGTGGATATGGGTGGACCGACGGAAAAGGCACCCCCTCTCGAAATCTCGACAAAAGAAAAGATCCCACTACGCTTCCCGCCAACAATTCGCACAAAATCTACATCGCCAATCTTTTCTCCGATGAAATCGAAGCGACTGACAAAATATGTGAAATTAGGTCCCCGCTCTCCGCCCCCGCGAGTACGCCACTATCTCCCGCCCCAAGAAGAACGTCAGCCGTGCCTACGGTGGCTCTCGTTGCGCTGGTTGCGTCAAGGACCGCATTGTCCGTGCCTTCCTGATTGAGGAGCAGAAGATCGTCAAGAAGGTCCTCAAGGAGTCCCAGGAGAAGGCCGCCAAGCGCTAAGCAAAGTCCATTTTCGTCGGTGTTGGTCTTTTTTGGAGAGCGGACGTTACGGAAAAAATGGTTGGGAACGGTTCTCTTAGAATCTAAAACGATGGACAAGAACCGCTAGTTCACGAGTCCAGGACTGGGTCGTGGCTATGCAAATGAAACCCAAATTATTACCTTCATGAGTTGATTCCCACAATGCGTTCGTTCCCAAATTTTCTCTGGCCCTGGGCACATGTCTGCTCGACCTCTTTTTTTTGCCATTTCATTCTTTTGCGTTCTGGACCGTCAAAGACCCTCCCGCGATATTACTTTGCAGGGGCACTCAGTCTTGACTGATATAGACCGGATGTGAGAGGCGCACTTTGGGCGCCGCCTGCCTGTGAAAGACGTAGAGCCCGTATCTGAATCCGAATCCCCCTGGACCTTGGTATTATGACAACTAGCAATTTCGCCCAAACGCTGCAACCGCTCAACAATGAAAATCGAACACACCGCTTCAATCAGCAAACTTCGAATCTACGAAGGAGCCGCATCTCGTCACCGATAGTCTTGCAGATGTTAGATTCGTCCCAAGTCTAGACCCTCGTTCCAGCCATGTGCCAAATACAAAAGCTAGCTAACGCCTCCGACCACGTCAATCACCAAGCACAAGACCCCCTCCCGACATCACTCTTTCCTAATTAGCCTACACCATTACACCGCATGTTGCGTAGACAAGAAAACAATCCATGTCATCGGACAGCGTCATACATGTCGTCGCCAGGCCCCCACGAGCACTATACATGATAGGCCAGATAGACCAGAAAGTATAGATTGTCCCAGGTAGTCAACCAACCGGGGAAGAGAAGGAAACTAGTTTTTCTCTCCTATAATAGTGTTTGATATAGGCAGGGGGTGGATTATGCTGTATAGGTACGGATATGTAGGTACATACATCCACATACTCATACTGACGAAATCTCATACATTGAATTGTCTAATCCAGCACTCCTGTGTCGGCAGACGTATCTGCAGGTTTCTATCTCGACTGCAGCTTGCAGAAACCTAGCTTAGTTATGTTTCGACCGCGCTCGGAATCGTCAATGAGAGGTCCACGGGTCCTACGTGGGATCTCCATCGCCCCTGAAACATCGCTTATTCTATTTTCCCCTTTTGCTACGTGGCGCTTTGTGTGTCCCCTGTGTTTTGGGTACATCTGGTGAGTGGCTCTTTTAAGCGGTTGTTGAACCTGTTGGGGCCGCCCGGGGAGGTGATAATCAATTGATACTACTTAACTAGTCAGCTTGAGTACATACTACTACCTTGGCTTGGGCAGTAAGGCATGGCAACTCACATGTCGTGACCTCATTTCGCAGCAATCTAATGCTACCGCCATTTGTTTCCGGATACCTTTTTCTATTCTTTGCTTGTTTTGTTTTCTTCAATGTTTTCGAATGTACTCAAAATACACACCATACAAGCGGCCTTGTTGCGGTGGCTCTACTCGTAATCTTCATCTCGGCCCCGGGGGGCGGGAGCCCACATGGGTGCAGTGCAGGCTTGAAAAGGCCCACCAATGCCTTGGGATGGAAATTGATGTGTAGAAAGAAGCACGCACGAGGTCGACGTCAACCGTCTAGCTGCGTCTGAAGAAACCAACTAGTGCTTCACACAACTTAGCACAATGCTGCCGACCTAGCTAGGCAAGTGGATATATATGAAGACGATGGTTTGCAGTGCGTTCGCCAGCTTCGGTGGGATCTCCCGAGGCCTCGGGTGAACTTTATGATGTGTACAATACCCATTTCGAGTCTTCGACACCCGGTGCAGAGCTGAGCTTCCGACGAACCATTTGACGTGCGCAGGTGTCAAAAATCACTAGCCAACTGCAGACATGCACCTAGGCACACCCACACCCACACCTGACATTGAACGAGTCTACACGTGCAGATGTCATGTACGGAGTAAGTAGAGGCAAAAAGGAAAAGGAAAGAAAAAAAGAAAAGAAAAAAAGAAAAGAAAAAAAGAAAAGAAAAAAAAAAAAGTCTTCCGAAAAAGCAACAAAGCCGCGTAGGTGATTCATGCACCTAATCGATGGTAGATTCTGATCTCATGCCCATTCCCAAATAGGCAGGAGTCTCTGACAAAAGTACGCTCTCGGCTGCAGATGCTACATGTATGACCAGTTGGGGCCCACCCAGATCAGCTGCAGGGCTAAGAAAATGGGGGCGAAAGCCCAGTCGCCCGGGTGCCATGAGGCCGATGTCAAGGTCGAACCTGCCCGTCATGTTACTATTGATTTGTCTAATCTTATTTTCCCTTCAAAAAAAGACGCTAATATTGGAATTGACTTTTTTGTTTTTTTTTTTTACCCTTTCTTTCTCCCCGGCCTTAACCGCCGTTAAAACTGCAGTCTCCATTTTTCCGCCTCGCAAATCCAGTACTAGTGAAAGTCGATACATCTATGCCCGGGTGGATGTCAACGGCGTCACGCGTGGATGTCCCCCGATTGGAAACTAACCCGTGACATGAGGGTCTTGATGAATGCACCACGATTCTTTCGCGTTAGTAAGTGGAGAGGGCTCGCGTCAACATTCGAACTATCGGGACTATCTTTGATAAACACGAGCTATTGAGACCGAACGACTGGCCCCTGCATGAAAGCTAACTGCCAACCATGCCAATCAGAAAATGTGGGAGCTATGTGATGAGTGTGCGCAGGCGCAGACGCAATCTTGGAATGAAAATGAAATCTTGGTTCGGGATTTGCGATTTGCGATTTGCGATTTGCGATTTGCGATTTACGATTTACGATTCACGATTGATGGGGATCGCCACCGCCATGGTCACGGGTTTACAGAATACTCCGATACAGATCGACAACAAACTCCAGAGCAAGAGAAAACTAAGTAAAAAAAAAAAAAGACCGGAAAAAGCAAAAACAAAAAAGTAGAAAAAGCAAAGAAAGAAAAAAAAAAAGGTAGATTAGGTGCGGATAGAGCCGAAGATCCAGGATCCATGCAGCGATCTGTCATACAGTTCTTGTTTTTTGCTTTTGTTTTAGGCTTACTAGCCCTTTCGCCTAACCCATGCATAATGCAGCTCTTGAATAAGCGTGGCTGTCAAATCAACCTGACAGGTTAGAATTTTGTGCCGGGAAAAACTCGATTTTTTTATGTAAATCAGGTTCCGTTGCGTCGTTTAGATTCAGTTCGCTAGCAACAACCTAGTTTGTCCAAATCGCCGTCAATGTACCGACCTGCTGGGATTTTCAAATCTGCCGCGATATCAAATCAAGCTTGGAAGTACCCGGGTTGGATCTAGGCTAGGTCGATGATCTTTGCTGAGACGGGACGATGAAAGAGAATAGTGTTTATAGGCCGTTAAATTATTTGGAATAATAACTTTGTGTCCAATGCCGTTGCTGGAAAGGCACGGGACAACACCTAAAAAAAGATCTTCAATGTTGACTAGTACCTAGTAGATCCTACTAAGTGGAGAAAAAGTGCCGTCATGAAATTGCGACATCTGGATATAGTACCTCCTAGGTATGGAGTACTTGATCTTTGCCGAGGTATACCGAGGTATACTCAGTGCTCGCTGGTGTACATCCTCAAGTGCTAGGTAGACAGAGAAAGTCATGCCATATGTTCATATATTTTAATCAATATAAGACGCACGCGCATCAAGCCCCGACCAACCACAATTTTTCATATATATTAAATAAAAAGGATCGACCACGGAGCACGCACACTCCACATACCTATTGTAAGGGACGGGACGGCCCATGGGCTATGGTCCATGGCCACACGAAAACGTCTGGGCGTTTTGTGAACGGCCATGCAGCTCTAGCCCGCTTGGACCGGGAACAGATACCCGTAGATTCCCGCGGAGGTATCAGAAGTACCAAGTCAGAAACACAATGCACCCCAAAGAAGCATACGGAGGTAACGAAAAAAGAAAAAAAGAAAAAAGAAAGTGAGAGCGAGAAACAGAGGAATACAGTGGGGGTTACGATAAGCCAATCCCAACCAGGGCCTCGTGCTACCGACTGGGTTGCCCTCGAGACAAGGCAGACACTAGTAGATCCAGTCCAATCTCCGATTCGTCGATTAGATGTGATGCGATTCGATCGGTGCCATGAGCCTCTCGTATCCGGACATTACCCGGCGTGCGCTCCGGTTTTTTTATACCGAGCACGCCTAAGTACCGTAGATCCTGGACGCCCTTTGTTTATCACTTTTTTTTTTTCCTTTTTCCCTTTTCCCGTTTTCCCCTTTTGTCGATCTTGGTCATTGGGGAGCGAGCTGCGCTTCGCTTCGCCTGCGACATGACTCGGGGCGTGGTACGGAGCACAGAATAGTACAGACCAGAGCACAGATCTCGCCTTCGTTCGATCGACGTTTTCCTGTCTGACCATTCGTAACAATCCAGTCCAATCCTATTCAGCCGCTTATATCCACGCATTCATTCGTGAGAACATTCTATTCACCTACATGCAGCTGTCCATGACCTGCCACGGGGTGACGCAGACATGTCTTGCCGAGGCCCGGCTGCACCTAAATGATCATCCCGCCCGCACCGTCCCACTTTTGCCCCCCTCCCCCCTTCTCTCCCCGATCTCGGTAATCTCGATACGATGGCCCTGGCTCCAGGGCTTACTGTACACGGGGCGGGCAGATCTCGCGGAAATACAGCTCCGGGTGGTATTAGTATTGCGCTGCGCTTCTCGCGGAGTAATTACCTAGCGAGTCATGGGCTGGACTAGTGGAAAATAGAACAGAACCTCTTATACTGGAGCACTTACTGTAAACGGGTGGCCAGGGGCGACAATAGCCGACTTGGAATTTCTTCAACTTGCTCTTGCCACTGGGATGCTGAGGATCTACAGTACACCGTCTGACGGGGTTTGCACCACACTTCACTGCACATCCCGATATAAGTTGATCTATCACTTGCTTGTGTCGACAACTTGCAAGTCCACTCCACCCTGTACCCCGTATGGAGTATCTTATAAGCTCTCCGTTCTTATTGGTAAGTAGCAGTCGCTATATGCCGCTTCTTCAAAGCCTCTGTTTCCTGTTTTGGCCAATATGCCGGGCCCCACGGCATTTGCATTACAGATCTCTCTTTCTCTGTCCTCTTTCTTTCTCCTGGCAGGGATTGCAGCAAGGGAAAATCTCGCTATTGATGCCATCATAATGCATTGTACCTTTGAGGTACTACACCACTACACCGATTCGATTCCGCCACGCTATCTATCACCCCCCTACCCAGGTCGCCATGTACTGTTCATGTATACATGGCGGTGTAACCTGTAACCTGTAATCTGTATTTTTCTCCGTGTTCTTTACTGTGTAGCGGAACAAAATAACGCCTCCCAGATCTCGGGGGAAAAGCCGGGGCCGGAAACTGTATCTACAAAACTTACACGTATAGGGACTTGGCATACTCGCAAGAACCTACATAGTGATGAAGCTTAGAATAGTACACGAGGAAGAGATGGAAAATATTAAAGCAAAAAGCAAAAAAAAAAAAAGACTAATAATAAAAAAGCCAGTAGATTTAGAATCAAGGAAAATGAAATAACTCATAGTTGATCGGCAAAGCGATGACACCTCCTTTTTAACACCATTTTTTCCCTTTCCCCGATCCCAATGCAGCAAATAAGACAACATGGATGCCTCTCTATTTTATTCGAGGGCCAATAATAGATCCAGTAAGCAAGAAGAAAAGAAAAGAATAACCTTGGAAAGAAGAGACTCCCGAGTACGAACTCCAAGAGTACTCCGTAAGACGAACAAAAGTAGAAAATAGAAAGTAGAAAGTAGAAAAGAGAAAAAAAATAAAACAAGAACGATACAAATTAAATAAAAACCAACAAAAAAACCAACAATACCGACACAAATCCCAAAACAAAGAATGGAATGAGGAAAAACATATGCATATCAGCTGCGCTTCACAATTTCCTAGTTCCCCCCGCCCCTCCTCTCCCCCTTTTTGGGCCCTTTTTGGGCCTTTTTCATCCCCACCTTTCTTCCTTTACATGCCCATGTCCATAGAGACTCGATTGGTCCCCAGACCCATCGCCCGCCCCATTATTCGGGGCGTAACACCACTCATAATCGCCCATCCTCATTGGTTCCCAGCCCGGCGTGCTATCAGAAAACATCGGGCTGTTCTCATGGGAAGCCGCCGTACAGCCAACCACAGCATCGTAATCAAAGGCACGAGGGTAGATCTGGGGAACCGGTGCCCCGGGAGACAGCTGATGGTAAGGCGATTGTTGGCCACCCCCCTGCTGCTGTGAATGTTGGGAAATCAGCCCGTCGTCCAACGAGGACGGGGAGTGTTGGTGCTGAGGCTGTTGGTGTGATGCTTCTGATACTGCGGTGTTGGTGGTGGTGGTGGTGGTGGTAGTAGTAGTTGGGCGGTGTTTATCATGGTGCTTGGCCTTCTCGTCGCGTTTGTCGTGGTGGCGATGGTGGTGATGCTTAGCTTGTTGGCGGGACTGGTTCTCTTCCCAGGTTTTTTGTAATTTTACACTGCCCCGCTGGCATACTCCGTGACCGTTGCGGCGGGGCGTGGGAAGATCGGAATTTGCGCTCCTTTTCGGGTTTGGTCGTCGATACCGGGTTGTGGATTCTACCCGGCCCTTGGAAATGGCTTGGGCGGTTAGGCTCCAATAGTTCACGGTCCTTTTGCCGCCGGGGGAATCACTTCTGATAGCTTCAAATCCCTGTTGGGTTTAATAAAATACCATTGGTTAGCTTTTGATGGATTTTATGGGGGGAGGATTTTAATTAAACTAGAATTAGGGGAGTGGAGGTATAGTGGGTACTTACGGCGTTCATGGAAAGATTATGCCGGATGCTGTTTTGCCATCCTTTTCCTTGATCTTTGCCTTTGTTGGTGTTTTTCTCAAACCAAGCGTATATGTCTTGGAGTTGGAGTCGGTAGCCCGTGGTCTCTTTGAGGGCTTGGTAGATTAGCTGCGAGTAGGGAGGGTCGGTGGGGTGGTCCTCCTCGCTATCTCCGGAGCTGTTTGTTGGCGATAAGTTTTCTACCATAGTGTTGATCAGATTTGAGTTGGAGTTTGAAAGCACGCTGGTTGGAGATTGCGAGGAAGAATGATGAGAGATGGATCGGTGAGATGTGGAGTGGTGAGTGGAAGTGGTTGAAATGGGAGATGGCGAGGCAGTCGGTATAGAAAGGAGAGTGCCTTCGGAATCTTCCATTTTCATGGCACTTTCCATGTCCATTGGGTGGTAGACGAAGCTCTGTGGCGGTTCCTCCTGATGCATCCACATTGTTGATAGTGAATGCGGTGGATGTTGTTCATAAGGCATGAGACTTTCCGGCTCAGTCTTTAGTGTTATGGGGCACGGAAGGAGTGGATGGTCCATGACTGCCCGTGGCTGATTACCCTCGTGAAGAGATGAAGTCGGCGACTGGAAAGGAGAGTAAAGGCCATTTGCATGCCCACCAACGGGACCGTAATTCCTTCCCCGGTATGGTAAGCTGGAAGTGGATTGCTGTTCAGCTAGATAGGGTATAGTAACACCCCAAGGGTTGACGAGATGATGTCCAGGAACGAGATCTTGGTGATGATGCATCGATTGAGGTACCCTGGATGCCACCCAATTGCTGCTGGACTGGTGGTAAGGAATGGGACCGTAAGATAACTGTAAAGTATCTTGCTGGGAAATCCCATGAATTGTTTGCCCCGGTAGACAATGGTTCTCCGGCTCTCGCTGGCCAGTTGACATCTGAGCCAGGTGCGAGGGGTATGGGATCGGATGATCCATATTGCGGCTTGTTATCAAAGGAAGAGAATAATGTCGGGGGAGCTAGTTTTTTGAAACAGGGCAATCCGTGAGAAGCTTAAATCAAATTCAAAGGAGAAACAGGGTCAAGAGAAAAGTGAGAGTTTCCTTAAAAGATAAAAGAAAAAGAAAAAAAGAAAAAAGGTGTCAGTAGTAGAAGTCGCAGAAATGGGCCATAGCAAGTAAAAGTAACCGGGGGATGCTTTAGCACAAGCCGTTCTCAAGAACCCAAATTGGATCTGTAAATTCTGGGGGAAAATATTCCCATGGTGTTTTTTATTTTTTTTTTTATTTTGGTCTTTTCTTTTTTACATTTTTACATTTTTACATTTATTATTTATTATTTCCTGATAAACAGAGCTAAAGACCAAGGGAAAATACATCAGCATTACCTTAATTACCTCCCCACGCCAGCACACAAGGCACATGCGCTATAATCTGCTGGATACCGACATGCTGCATCCCCGGTCATGCTTCATATATGGTGGGCTAGGCAGACTGTGTCTTCTTTTTCCGTGATTTCCCTCTGATTTTTTTTATTTTTTTTATTTTTTATTTTTTCCTTTTAGGAGCACGCAGCACTTGCCACTAAGGGGGAGAGAAACGGGGGCTACTATTAGCGCCGCCTAACAGGCCTTGGCAGCGTTGCCTCAGATAACTCAAGTGATGTCTTTTGTGGAACTTGAAATTTCCCGTACAGGATGTCTAGTCCAATGATCTTACACGCGGCTCGATCTATGGTGCTACGACAGACTGGACCAGAGAGAGAAGAGAGAAAGAAACGATAATAACAACATTAGAAAATAAAACAAAAAACACTGATAAACCAAGTGGGGTCCGCAAAAAGACATTGGTGGCTGGATCCCAACCGGTCGACCAGTGACCATTCTTCAACTTTGCAGTAGATCGCGGACCTTCCGGAGGTCGACGTTCCAACAGATAACTCCCTCTAACCCTCTTCAGGTATAGTTGTCATGTCCGGGTATTTAAATTTTTGTTGGTTTGCTTCCAAGCGGGAATTATCGCTCCTGCATGTTGCAGGTGTGCATTGTGTCACGGAAAACCGACGTCTGGTATGGTAGAACGAAAGAAACAAAGATACCATGGCTGATCCCGGTCGGGACACATGGAGTGGGGAGAAGAATTCAAGGGCCAAAAAAAATTAATTACGTGAGAAAGTACTGGTTTTTAGGGTGAGGGTATGAAAACCAGGTTTTGTATTATAAGTCGCCCAAACATTTGAAAAAGAAAAAAAAAAAAAACTTCAGTCGTCGGATTAAGCATTTGATATTGGGCTCCACGCGTGGACCGAGCTTGTTAAAAAAATTCGGTCACGTGAGTTTTTCACGATCTCAAATTAGAAGGGGGTAATGTTTCCATTCCAATCCGTTAACGAGATCCCTCAACAACTGGACGGAAAGCATCTGGATAATACACCCCGAATATGCCCACTTCATGCACGATTAATATTAGTCAAATGTTTACAGATCATAATTCATCTAACCTCCATCCCGATACAATTGTTGTGCAAGGTGTTACTTTCCAGTAATAGATCTGAGACAGCTGGTCACTCGGCTTTTAATGTGGTTAAAAAAAATTGAAAATTGAAAATTGCTGAATTACTATGCTATGGGAAGTGGGAGAAAAAAAGATAAAGAGAAAGAAAAGGCTACTGCGCTTCTAGGAGCATTCAAAGTGGCGTTTAAATGTTGGTATCACCAACGAAATTGCTTAGACCTCACTGCCTCGTGGATAACATCCCCAGGTAGCATCTGGTTTAAAATTGAAATACATGAAATTTCACCGTGACAATATAGCGACATCCTCCAAGGTTCCACCAAACACCGTTGCGGGCTATCGGAATCTTGATGAGGTCAGAATGGAACACGGCGCTTGTAACCTCACACAATCTTAGGCGGGTTGTTGTGGTGGCTCAGCGGGATTTGGAAGATGGGGAAAAATTGCTGCTTTCGGGTATATCAAATTGAAAGCCTTCGCCACGGTCGCTTGTGGGGGAAATTCCGAGTCTCTTCAAGATGGTGGTTTTGACCATACTAGTAAACATGGCATACTAGCGCGGTTAGTTCAGTTATTGCCGTTGAAATAATATCAATTATATCATATTGAAGGACCGCTCTCAAGCCCTCGTCAAAATGGAACACAGACTCGTCATGGCTGCAGGACTTCCAAGTCCCACGCGAACTTTAAAGTAAGGTTGTGATTCAACTAGAGTTCGACTGACTCCAGTGCGCCATTGGCACTGCAGCGACCGGTGTGGCCTTGAGTTCGGCTTCGAATGTACTTCCCAGGTTCGCATTTGATCGTGTGTCACTTGTTGTGGTCTCGGTGGGCGACACCAAGGCATGTGTTCGCGAGATAATGATTTTTCACACGGGCGCAAAAGGTATCTCTGTTGAGAAGCATGTAAGAAAAAACTTCAAAGACAAAAATCCAGCTGGAACGTGGCCTCGGCCACGAGGTTGACAAAGTCAAAAAAAATCGACTTGGGTCGTGACGGGAGATCGGCGGGAAAGTTGGCGGCTCTGACTTGTCAGCTCCCAGCTTTCCCCGACCACACGACCCGCCGACGGCTGACTGAGCTCCATGAGTCGGTCAAGGGTTCCATAATAAACATAAACAACCATGGCATCCAATTCCACATGGCACGCATTAAGTTTGCAACAAACAAGCTTGCCCCCGCTTCTATTCCAGTACACAGGCACTCAACAAGGTTACGCGCTCTGCGTCACGGATCTCACCTCCATCTGGACGGAAAACCTATCGCACAAAGAGATCTTAGCCCGCGCGGAAGAAAACAACACGACCATCGATCCAAGCGAAGATCAAACCCAGTTTGACGTGTTCCTAGCGAAGATCGGGGAAGCTCTGCGCGGAGACGGGGGCAGCGCCGCACTGAACAGCGGATCAGACCCCGGCTCGCTCGAGCTCAGTACCAGCTCTAAACTCCCGGCCCCACTGCAGCCGCTGAAATGGACCATCTATCTTTCAAAAGAGACCTCGTCGTCTCTGACGGATCGATTACTTCTCCCGCTGCTGAGAGATGAAGCGGGCTGGGAATCTAAGCAGCGAGTGCTTTGTGATAAGCTAAAACAGAAGGACTGGGTTCTTGGCAAGTTTTTTGACAAATTCGAGGCGCTGGGCGTGGATCTTGGTACTGTTTTCCCTGCTGCTGCTGCATTGCGCACTACGAAAAAGGGTAATACAAGGAATGAGGCGGCAAAGTTCATCAAAGGGCTCGCTCCGTTTGATGAATCGGCATGGCGCCGTGAGTCGGGAGAGGCGTCATCCGAAAACTCCGGGATAGCTGCGAATATCCTTTCCGAGCTTTTGGGGTCCAGCAGTCGGAGCGGTGACCTTGACAAGCTTCGTGCGCCGCAGGATCAGTGGTGGAATGGTCTCCAACGAAAGTCCGGAGCGACCTCGTCTCAATTTGATAAGAATACCGCAAAACCAAACGAGAGTTTCTCCCCAGCTCAAAATGATGAGCTGGTCAGAGCTTCCCAGCAGGATCGGGCCCTGGATTTGGATGGAGATGGTGTTTCAACGGCTAGTGAGGACGAATTCGAGCGACAAGAGACACCTCCCCGGATCAGAGCACAAAGAGAAAAACTCGCCGCCGCTTCATCGTCCCAGTCCAAAGCGAAAGAAGATCAGGACCATCGCATGGCTGGAGACGATGCATCAACCGCAAGCGAAGATGAATTCGAGCGGCAAGAAACACCTCCCCGAATCAGAGCTCGAAGGGAAAAACTCGCCGCTTCACCACCCCAATCCAGAACAAAGACAAATCAATCACCTAAACAAAAACAAAACCAGACACCAGAGCCAGCTCCAGACCTGGATATGGATTCTGGCGAAGCTACAGCATCAGACTCAGAGCCCGAGCCCGAACCTGAACGTCAGCCCACCCCACCACCAGCCCCACCACCCAGTCCCCCCAAACCCGAAGAACCAAAAACATCTCCCAAGAAACCCACAAGACCCAGAGGTGGGATGGGAGTGATCGGCGGCCGCAAAAAGAGAGAAGCAATGGAGGCAATGGAAGCAAAGCAGCCAAGCCCACCTCCTCCCCCATCTCCCTCTCCACCCCCGGCATCATCAGCAGCGCCGCAACGCAAAACCAAGATAGGCGGCCGGCTCGGCATGATAGGTGGGAAAACGAAGAAGAAAGAATCCGAAGCCTCGTCCGGGCCCGCTGTGGATCGCAAGCAGGACTCTCCGGATCAGGATACTGTCGAAGTCGCAAAGCCGGAGGAAAAACCGGCGCCTAGTCGAGAGAAAGAAAAAGAAAAAGAAAAAGAAAAGAAAAAGAAAAAGAAAAAGAAAAAGAAAAAGAAAAAGAAAAAGAAAAAGAAAAAGAAAAAGAAAAAGAAAAGACTCCGCCTCTGCCGCCGGCTGAGGAAACTGATCAGCAAAAGGCTGTTCGGAAGCGGGAGGAGTTGAAACGGCAGTTGGAGGAGAAGAGTAAGGCGCCGAAGAAGAAACGGAGGTTCTAGTTTGTGCATACTTTCTACGTTTTTGGGGGAATTTTGTGGTTGGTTGATATAATACGGTTACGATCTTACATAGGTGTGTAGTAGCTGTGTTGTGCAGATAACATTGTAGGGTTGGATGTAAATATCAAATGACCATTGGGGGGAATCAAGTTCAAACAAGATGCTCGCTAAACGACGATTAGAAAGTGCAATAGAGTACATAGCTCACGCAAGCAGATCCCCGACACGGGGGCGCTGATACGGGAAAAAAGAAGAAGAGGAAAACAGAAAGCAGAAGAGAAAGAAACTCGCTCTAACTAATCAGAGGGCGCTATACTGGACCGGTTGGAAGGACCTCGTCGCAGGCCCTGCTCACCCGGCGTAACCAGTCTCACTCTCTTAGGGGATACAGCTCCAGAAGTAACAGGCTGGCCAGTAGAAGAGGTGGTCGAGACGCTTCCACCTGTAGTAGCCACGACACCAGCAGCACCAAGCATGCCGCGGACTTTTTCCACGGCCTTGCTTTCCCCCTTTGTCCACGGATCACGTTTCACAAGACCAGCGCCCGAAGAGCGGTTAGCAGAGTCGCGCCGTTTCGATTCGGAGAGCAATGCATTGCGGTTGGAATCGCGCCGGGGACCTGGGCCGCAGTCGTGTGAGCAGCCGGGAGTGGCACAGCCGCCTTCGCTGATGGAGACGTCGTTCAGCCACGTTGAGATACAGGCCACATGGCCACCGTGGCCGCAGCCTTGACACCAGGTCCAGAGGGCAGAGCCCTTGGGCCGTGGGGCAGCGAAGGAATCGAACTGTTCTAGCTCGGAATTTGGGACGACCTCTGTTGAGACTGAAGAGGAGTGTGAAATGATTTCGGATTCTGGGTGAGGGCTTGCGCTGCCAAACGAGGTTGGTTGCTGATCTCTTTGTGCAGCGACCCATTCAGCAGGCGGGTCGATGCTCATGCAGATTGAGCATGGTGCCTGGGGAGTACTGCAGCGGTAACAACGGGTGTTGTCGCGCTTGGGATTCTCGTATGGTTTTTGGCAAGTATAGCAGTACACATTGATGAAGGTGTCTGCTTGAGCGTAGTCGTACACAGCAGGGTAGGTTGGCACGCAGGACAGACGGAGCTCAGCAGCTTCCAAATCCAAAGAATGTCGAATGAGGTATTCGTTGTAGGTTTTGAAGATAATTTCGCTCTCTTCATAGGGAAGGATCTGCTCGCAGTCTTCGAAGAGGAAATGAAGTTTCTGAAGCAGGTGTGCTGCAGTTTGAATATCGACGGCGCCGTTATTGCTGTGATAATATTGGACTGCCTCCTTCAAAATGGCTTCTATGCTCCATGGCTTCGGTTCGGCTGTATCTTCTGCTAGCGGGATTTTAACCCGGGATAGATCTTCATACATTCCTGCCATCACTGGATAAGTCGAGACATCCACAGACACTGTCTGGGTTGAAAGCTGGAATTGGTCTATCGAATCCGGGCGTTCAATTGGGGTGGATTCAGTCATTAAGACTGGAGGACTGGAAGGTCGTTGGAGATGAAGCCGATCGGCTTCTAAGGTAGACTCATCATCATACTCAAGTTCTTCTTCCAGCTCTTCTGGTGACGGCTCCAGAATTGATCCTCTTCCAGTTGATACAGCAGATCGCCCCCCATAGGACCCAGCTAGGCCAGAATCGGACGGTCGCCGGTCTGGAATTCGGGTATTGGATGAATATGAGGCGGCGGCGATAGATTTCGAGGGGTGTGAGCTATCAGTGGATGCAGAGAACATGGGGAAACTCTCTGAAGAATCATGCCGATGATACTGATCAGGTGCAGGAGGACGATTTGACTCCATTGGAGTTTCCAACGTCAAGACTTTCTTGGGGAAATGCTGGTAATTCTGGAGAGCCGCTCGCTTTTCATCCATCTGATGGTCATAATCGTCCTCTGAAGCTTCGCGAGGAAATTCTGGATGGTTTCGGGTGCGCCAGTCTACTCTTCCAGCAATTGCCCTGGGTGCAGATCGCTGATCACTATCCGGGTCCAGTGTTGGATCACGCAGACGATCAAACATGACGCCCGTCGCAGAATGTGTGTCTTCACTCGACACTGACTGAGTGGGCACCAATGGCAAAGGAGTAATGAGACGATTAGCATTGTCTGGCATACTCCAACCATTATGCGAGCTCAACACTGAGGGTGGCAGAGGGTCAAGGTCGCTAGCGTTATCATCTATTGAAGGGATTTGAGAATCGCTGCTCCATGAGTCCATTTGGGGAGAGTCGGGTAATGGTCGTGCGAGAGGCGTAGTCATGTTCGATGTACTCTCGGCCTCAGTTCCTAGACTTTTCTGACCTTCCGTTTCCATGACTCCTTTGAATAGTCGGCTTTTGACCTTTCCCTGGCGATTTTCATCGACCGTTCGCGGCTGCCTATCAATCAACAGGCCATCCTTGGATGACTTCCCCTTGACTCCACCTTTGCCCGATGATTGCTCCCGCGACCTGCGCTGAAGTTCTTGGGTGATGGCGAATTTCACGATACGCCAAGTCTGAGCTAGCTTGGGCAGAGACGCATCATCTGCGCTCTCGGCATTCTGGTCGAGCGATTCCATCAAGGAATTAAGCACATTGACAGGAGTTTGCTTATAATCGTAATCCTTCATCAGTGGTGAATAATGGCGTGCCAAAAACTGAAATCGCGATTCATCACTAGTAGCACCAGGAATGCATCCAATGACTCCCAACTGATCGGGTCCTGGCGTGGTAATCTTGGCCAAGGTTTGGTCCAGGGGAAGAATAGGGATGTCATCTGGAGCCCCTGGTGGCGTGCTACCTAAAGATTTTGACGAGCGGATGGCGGTAGACTTGGTCTGTCTATGCCGAAGTGAAGAAGCTAGAGCCTCATCATCGAACATACTATCGTCTGCCGGACTTTGGCTCAAGGATCGCTCTCCGGTGCTAGCTGCATCTTCCTCAACTTGGAGGAATTGAGGGGCATTGACACCGTGAGCTCTGCGGCGAGGACGCTTTTGACCAAATGCAACAAACGCACCATTGGGACTCCAGGCGACTGAGCACGTCGGCCGTCGAGTGACCACTGTTGGTGCATATCGGAGATCAGTTTGAGTAAACGAACCGACCTCGCCGACAGTCCACAATAGATCTTTAGAGTGCCAGAGTAGATCACTTGCTGGCGAATCATATCGATCAAATTCCCGGAATGGAACATGAGGTCGGCGAAGATCCCAAAGATGAATACGTGGATCCTCCTTGTCATATGATGTGACGACTTGAGAGGACTGCCATTCTCCAGACCCAGGAGAGTCGCCGACCCACGACGGGGGACGCCAGCGAACATTCGTTACGGGCTGGGGGGTTCGGAACTGAAACGCCGGTTTCTGCCGTCGCTCTGCAGATTTGGAAAAATCCCAGACCTTGACCTGTCGGTCCGTGCCTCCACTGACAATGTGCTTCCCATCCGGGTGCCAGTCAACGGCATAACATGGGCGATCATGAGCCGCAATGCGCAACAGTGGGGCATTGGTCTTTCGTGAGTCCCACATTTGAATTGCGCCGCTGTCCGTGGCGGTCGCAAACATGACCCCATCGCTGGGGGACCACCGGACGTCTCGGATGGCGTCGCTATTACCCTGGTATACATGTTTGCTGCCACACGTGGAAAGGCCACGATTCGTAGAGGCGGATCGCAGATCCCACATGCGGATGGTTCCATCTTGGCTACCGGACAGCAGCCAAGAGGGGAGAAAAGGGTTGAAAGCGAGTCTGTGAACCTGGCGGTTGTGGCCCTGGAAGCGACATAATTGGAGGCCGGGCCGCTGCAGGTCGTAAACGACAATCCGACCATTGGCGACCGCCGTAGCGATTATTCGGTCGTGATTGCCATGTGACCACTTTACATCCTTTACATTCAACTGGTCCTTATGTGGCATTGAAACACCCGCATCATGGTGGGTAGATGCATAGCTCACCACAGCATTGCGAATATTAAATTCCTCCGACGAATGGTCAGGCGAGACTCGGATGGTTTTGAGAATATCTTTACCCCCGATTACTGCATGGGTCTGTTGGGGGGGAGATGTCAAGAGCGACAATAGGGATCCCGGTACGATGGGTGACGGTCTGTGGTTCTCCTGGACTATGGACATTGTGGGATCAGGATTGGTTCGATCTGGAGATCTGGAGATCTCGACACGAGGGGGAGGGGTGTATGGGGGGTGGATGCAGTATGTAAGAGGAAAGGGAGGTGTGGAAACAATTGTAGGAAGGTATCGTATCAAATAGCAGGCAGGAGAATGCCCAATCGTCTTTTTCCAAGCAAATGCAAAAGCATAATAAGCGGTGTGAAGAAATTCCTTCAAACGTACAGTGATTTGGACCTGATCGGCCGGGGACCATCGACCCGACTATTCTGCGGACTGGGGGGTCTCGACCCGGAGAAGAACGGCGCGAATCGGGCGAGGGCGTTGGCAGCACGCGAGTATCTTTGTGGAGGTGGCGGGGGAGGGGGCACAGGAAAGCGTGACCCTGAAAGATCCGACATGACTTTCTATCACACGTCCATTGCTGGAGCAAGGGCACACGACCAGTTGACCTCTAATGGAGTTATTCCAAGGTTAAATTCCAGGTTTGCAGGTGGTTCGGACTTGATGTGGAGCGTTGGAAAGCGGTGAAGGAATCAGTTGCAGGTGGGGGAAACCTTGAAAAGTAACAAGATACATTGGAAGATGAACATTTGAACCTTGTAATAATCGAAACAACATGGGGTTTGGCTTCAAAACTATCCAAATATCATGTCTATTTGACATGTGCTGTCAAGTTGTCTATACCTGTTTGTCCAGTTGATTGTGGGTTTATCAGTATATAGTTTCGTTAAGTATACAAATTGTATAAGATTAACACTTTGTGGATCCCTGAGGCATTAGTTGTCAAGAGCGGTCTGACATGGCCAGCACATACTAAGAGATCAGATTTGAAAATGGTCCTGCAGGTCTCCCCGGACTCTCCGATGGTCTTGGGAAGAGTATGATAGGGTGGGGGTTCTTTGGGCATCGGAAAACGGGAATAAAAAAATTGATTAAAAAATAAAATAAAAATAAATAAAAATAAAAAATAAAAAAAGATTATAGAGCAGTTGTCAAATGTCTCACCTTTCGAGGGAACATTTGAATTGGAAAGATATGTAAAAATAAAATAACAAACAATCCAAGTGTTTGAGAAAGCTTCACTTACGGGGAACCGGATGGCCAATGGATTCCATGGAGATGGAAATAGAATAGAACGTCATATACGAAACTAAAACATTAATCATTCTAGTAAGCGTGTTAAGCAAAGCTAAATGCGATACATCACTCAAGTGCTTTCCCTTGGATTCATCTAGACCGTCTAGTCTAGGCTCAAGTGCTAATCTAATCGCAAGGCAGTCGCACATTAGACCTTCTAGATCCTGGGGGATCTGATCGCCAATACTTACTAGTACTATAGTATATATACCTGCTTCCAAAGTACCCCGGAAAAGAAAAAATTGACTGATATAAAGAAATTCTTTGATCATTTGAATTTTTAGAATTTTTAGGGAATTCCACATCCTTACCGCTATATATAAAGAGAGGGTTCTGTATAGATTATCCCAAAATCTTGCCTTTTCTTACCTTTTCTCCACATAGAAAGATCCAAGTCGTTTTTCTTGTTTCCACACCTGCCTGGATAGTTTGATGGTTCTTTTGACCTATTCAAACCTGGACCATCGGGCACCCATTTGATTTGCATTAAAAAAAAAAAAAACACAAACCAAATATTTCCACCTGGCAAAAAAGAAAAAAAAAAGATTCCGAGCTTGTGGTTCAGGCTGAATGCAAACGATTGTTCCTCGGGCCGTATATATAGAGAACGGGTGCACAGTGCAAGCTGGGCGACCTAAACAACCTCCGGTGGAGCACTTGCGTTAGCTGCATCCACACCGTCATTCCTCTTGACCTTTCATCAAGTAAGAGATCAATTTCTCTTTGTATGGGAAATCTACCTTGGTTTTCCATCATCTTCTCTTCTTCCCCGATTTTCTAGGTTTTTGCCACTCGATCTCGGCTTGCCTTAGCTTTCTGGTTGCCAGAGCCATCACATTAAGAACCCAAAAGGAAATAGCCCAAACATTTGAATTGTCTTCTTGTCAAGAACCCTCAAAAAAAAAAACAAGAAAGAGTTCACAAAAGAGTCAAGAGCGATCTCTATAAAACTCTGGCTTGAGATTGCTAGGAATTTCCAACATTGGTGGTTCAACATTTGCCTCCGATTTCGCCTCGTGGACCAAAAAGCAAAGTGCACGCATAATCCCCGCGTGCGGCCGCGATCATTCCTCGCGTCGATCCCTTGGCCATACCCGTCCAGTCATTTCCGATCCGAACCCGTTCCTCCTCAACTACCATTTCGTGGGAGGCACCCTTGTGTCATGGAAATCGCCTGAATCAACGCCCTTCGTTTCTTTTTCCAGTGCCAGTGCCCATATTCCTGGCTTCGAATTCATAACAGTGGTGCATCATGGATCCCCACGCAGCTCTCGAGCTGCTGGATTACTTGCGAACATGTTACCCTGTCTTCCTCCTCGTCCTCTTCGTCCTGGCATTCATAGCCAACACCGTCTCCAACGCCAACAAATCCAACCAGTCTGAATCCCCACGCATGGGTCCGGGGGGACGCCAGCTTCCCCAACGATCGCGCAGCTCCGGTATCCGCAAAACGCAGGGGTTCTCCAAGAACGTCAAGCGGGTCTTCAACTGGCTCTCCGTCGCAGTACTTTTGACCTTCCTGGCAGATGCCACCATTTACATCGTCCATGTGATGGTAGCAAGGTCCGAACATTGGTGGCGTGGACAATCTGTCGTGGTACGTTTCGGGGGGAATCCCCAGTCCCAAAATTGCCGCTGATGCCAAAAGCAAAAACATCCCCATCCAGAAAAAGCTTAAACAATTCAGAAAAAAGAAAAGAAAAAAGAAAAGAAAAAAAGCTGAAATACAAATCAGTGGGCCAAGAAAATGCTTGCTAACTATTCATGCAGGTTTACATCGTCGGCTCTTTTTTCGTCTACGCGGTCTTGCTCATGACCTTGCTCGATACCACCCCATCCCCGGCACTCCCTCAATTCGTCTGTTGGTTGGTTGCCATCCCGATCGAATTGGTTATTCTTAGTACTACCATGTCCATCTACACCTCGGTTCACCACGAGCCAGTCGTAGGGGACCCTGAGGGTGGCCGGATTCGCCAAAGCATCACACCCTGGGAGTCTTTGGAAGTGGCCTCCAACGCCGTCCGGGTCCTCATCCTGTTTGCCCTAGTCACTCTGTATGCCAGCAAGTCGCTTACTTGCAGCAGACCGCAGAATCAGACAAATGGTAATGTCTCGGAGTCTACTGGATTACTGGACTCATCCAGCGCGGAAGTTGGTGCGGCTAATGGTAACGGCAACGGTCATGCATATGGATCAACAAACGGAAATGGACACCCTCAATCGTCGAAACCACAAGACAAGTGGGTACGTCCGACAACGATCCCCTCGACCAGCTGGTGGGAGTACTTGAGTGGCTACTCGCTCTTTTTCCCTTACTTGTGGCCCTCCAAGTCCCGCCGTCTTCAGATTATCGTGGTGGCATGTTTCCTCCTACTCATCGCTCAACGTATCATCAACGTCATGGTGCCCATCCAGGTCGGAATTGTCACCAAGGCTTTGGCGGGAGATGAGGGTCAATTCCGTGTTCCCTGGATGGAGATCTTTTTGTATGTTGTGTATAGATGGCTGCAAGGAGGTCAGGGATTATTGGGTTCCCTGCGCTCTAGCCTCTGGATCCCCGTGAGCCAGTATTCTTATATGGAGCTTTCCACTGCTGCCTTTGAGCATGTCCATGGCCTCAGCTTGGACTTCCATTTAGGTAAGAAGACTGGTGAGGTGCTCTCTGCACTGAGCAAAGGTAGCTCGATCAACACATTTTTGGAGCAGGTCACCTTCCAGGTCGTACCCATGTTGATTGATTTGGGTATCGCCGTGGGCTACTTCTTGGTTGCCTTCGATGTATACTACGCCCTTGTGGTGGGTATCTCTACCTTTGGCTATCTTTATGTGACTATTCGTATGGCCCAGTGGAGGGCAGAGATCAGAAGACAGATGGTCAACGCCTCACGACAAGAAGATGCCGTCAAGTAAGTTGCGCCCCGCTTATATTCTATCAGGATAAGACTAACCTTTTCAACTCTTTAGGAATGATTCTATGGTTTCATACGAGACAGTCAAATACTTCAATGCGGAGCAGTACGAATTTGACCGCTACCGTGACGCTGTCGGCACTTTCCAAAAGGCCGAGTACCACGTTCTCTTTTCTCTCACTTTGCTCAACACCTGCCAAAACACGGTCTTTATGATGGGTCTTTTGACAACTTGCTTTATTGCTGCGTTCCAGGTCTCTACTGGCCAGCGTCCAGTTAGTAAATTTGTGTCTTTGCTGACCTACATGGCACAACTCCAAGGCCCGTTGAACTTCTTCGGTACCTTCTACCGATCTATTCAATCTGCGCTCATCAATGCGGAGCGCATGCTGGAATTGTTCCGAGAGCAGCCCACTGTGGTCGATAGTCCTCGTGCGACACCTTTGGCCATGTGCAAGGGTGACCTTCGCTTCCAGAATGTTGAATTCTCGTACGATTCTCGAAAGCCGGCATTGAATGGACTTACTTTCCACTGCGAGCCTGGAACTACCACTGCTTTGGTCGGAGAGTCAGGTGGAGGCAAGTCCACCGTCTTCCGACTGCTCTTCCGCTTCTACAATGCCGAGAAAGGTTGTCTCAGAATAGATGGTCACGATGTGCAAGACGTCACCATCGACTCCTTGCGCAAGCATATTGGTGTTGTGCCCCAAGACACTGTCCTTTTCAACGAGACTTTGATGTACAACCTGAAGTATGCCAACCAAGATGCGACTGATGAAGAGGTGTTCGAGGCTTGCCGAGCGGCTAGCATCCACGACAAGATCCTGGCCTTCCCTGATGGCTACAATACCAAGGTTGGCGAGCGTGGTTTGCGTCTCAGTGGTGGTGAGAAGCAACGTGTGGCTATTGCACGTACTATCATCAAGAACCCTCGCATCATTCTCCTGGACGAGGCGACAGCTGCACTTGATACCGACACCGAGGAGCACATCCAGGAAGCTCTTTCTACTCTTTCCCACGGCCGCACTATGCTCGTAATTGCCCACCGACTCAGCACCATCACCACCGCAGACCGTATTCTGGTCTTGCAGAATGGTCAAGTTGCTGAGAGCGGTACTCACGAGGAGCTTCTCGCCATGAAGGGTCGTTACGCCGGAATGTGGCGAAAGCAGATCCGGGCCCAGAAGGCTGCGGCCGAGGCCCAGGTTCTCCAAGACAGAGCAGAGCGTCTCCGCAACGCCGCCACCAACAGTGATGACAGCTCCAGTCAATCAGATGAGGACCGTAACGGCGGTACTGGCACCCCTCGCCCTGCCAAATGATTCACCCAAATACGCATTTGAACAACCTGTACAGGCAACTCAATACCTCACCCCCAAATATTTCGCCCACCCGTGCCTAATAGTCATCTTCCCGCATGTGCATAATCTCTTGTTATTCTTTGATTTTTTTTTTCCTTTTTGGCCGATGGAAAACAAAACGGTGCAGTAATGTTGACCTTGGACCGCCGGTGGGGATAGGATGAGATGTGTAGCATTGTTTTGCGCTTTCTGTTTTGATGTTTCTGGAACTTTCCTTAACGGTGATTGTAGTTCCATTCCTTTTTCTGCGTTTTGTCCTGTTTCTTTCTCTGATTTCATTTCGGCGTTCGGGGCATCATGACGCGTATGACTTTTTTTTTTTTTTTTTAGTCCTTGTCTCATACTGCATCGGAAGTGCAGTACGGGCACGGGTGGGTTACCTGGAAATAAAAGCTAGATTAATCACTAGGGCCACCAAAGGCGGATATATTAATACAAAGGACATTGAATTTCCAATTTCTATTCTAGTTAGACTTCTGAGATTGACAAGGTTCTATTATGTAGGTTCCATATACACAGTTGCATGTACTCCGTACATCGTACATGCTAATAAGGTACTACGTAGTTCGCCAAGACCGACCCCGGACCAAGCTTGTTAGCTTCAACCGATCGGTCCCAGAAAAAAAAACCCCCTTCAGACAATCACCTTCCTACACCTCCACAAACCACATACGAATCAACAATTCGAAGCTGCTAGTACACACAATGCATACACCATCGCCACAACTCCTCCGCGCCCTGCGCACCACCCTCTCCGCCAACCCGCGCCCCATCCTCCCCCGACTCACACCCATCCTCCCATCATCGCATCGCAACTCCAGCACCGCCGTCCGCCCCACGCGCATGATCCCGCGCTCTCACACCCACAAGCCCGCCAGCCACGACCGTGGTCCGCAATCAGAAGAAAGCACCCAGACCGACTTCAACGCGTTAAACGTGTTGGGTGGCGTCGAGGCGCCGACTACTGCTATCGACGCATGTCTCGATTCCGGATTCCATCTTAACAGTGGCTTGAAGATCACGGGTGGTTCGGGCATGATGCTTGTGGGTGGGGAGGCTTTTTCTTGGCGGCCGTGGAAGGTAGCTGAGGGCAAGTTTGAGGATGAGCGCGCGGCTAAGGCTGCGATGATTAATGCGAAGGGCCAATTTGAGTTGGGGGAGGAGGCTTTTGGGTTGTTGAGTGTTGTGTGGCCGAGACCTGGTACGTCACTTGTTCTTGTTTCTTCTTTCTCTGGTCCTTTTTCTTTTCCCCTTTGGGGGCACTATGGTTTCTATGTGTCAAGGTTTCAAGCTTGCTATGGGTCAGATGGACGTGATGGTCATCTGTATCTAGTATCTTGATCATTTGGAATCTTGTGTCTCGTGTGACGATAAACCTTACAGATGGGATGTGTCGCTAATGTTGGGGGTGTTGTTAGATATGCTCATTCTTGGTTTGGGTGCCTCGATGTATCCCTTGTCGCCTGAAACAAAGCGTCAGATTAATTCGCTGGGCATTCGAGTGGATATTCAGGATACGCGCAATGCCGCGGCACAGTTTAATCTGTTGGCTACTGAGCGCGGCGTGACCGAGATTGCGGCTGCGATGATCCCGATCTCATGGAAGGGGAGATCATGAGGGGTTTTCTAAAGGAGATCCTTTCCCAATGTACATATCAGAACTCCACTCATATTCATGAGGAAAAAAATATCATTATATCCCCATGTTAAATTGTGCTAAAGTAAATCATCAGTCAAATCCAATATTTCGGAATTTCCCCAAACGGAGGTCATGTGAGCCGTTATTCACGGTACCCACGGGGTTTGGCTGACATATCCCATAGGTGGATGTCATCTCTACTACACCTTGAAGCTCCACCTCCCTAGCCCCACAGAGCTTCCCTCCTTCCCCCTCGCACCAGAGCTTCTAAACAAAGCTTCTTTGCTTCTCTGGTCTATACTTTAACCATGGCAGCTATACCACGGGAGGAGCCTCTATTGGCTCCCCCAGTAACCTTCTCCGACGACCAATCCTTCCAAGCCGAAGAAGAAGACGCCCTACTAACCGGCGAACGCGCAGAACGCCGCCACGCAGAACGGCGGGGTTGGATCTTCTGGAAAGAGATCGGGCTACTCGCCTGGGCAATCCTCGCCACGATCATCGTCGTCGTTCTCGGCGTAGTCTACCAACACGAACTCTCCAAACCAAACCATGCCACAAAAGACACCTGGGGACCCGGCGGCAAGCCCTCCGGCAAACGCAACCTCATCTTCATGGTCTCGGACGGCATGGGCCCCGCCAGTCTCTCCATGACCCGAAGCTTCCGACAGCACACGGAGGGTCTACCGATCGATAACACGCTGATCCTGGATCAACACTACATTGGCACGTCTCGGACGCGGTCCTCGTCAAGCTTGGTAACGGATTCGGCAGCGGGAGCGACTGCGTTCTCGTGCGGCTTCAAGAGCTACAATGGAGCTATTTCCGTGCTACCGGATCATACTCCCTGTGGAACTGTGTTGGAGGCTGCGTCATTGGCGGGATACAAGACTGGTTTGGTTGTTACGACGCGTTTGACGGATGCGACGCCCGCGTGCTTTGCCTCCCATGCCAACTTGCGACAGTATGAGGATAGCATTGCGGAACAGGAGATTGGAGAGAACCCGCTGGGTCGGGTCGTTGATCTTATGCTGGGTGGTGGACGGTGCCACTTCGTGCCAAACACGACTACTGGTAGCTGTCGAGCTGACGACCGTGATATCGTCGGACTTGCCGCTAAGAACGGGTTCAAGCTTGTGAATGATAGGGTTGGGTTTGATGCGCTCAACGGTGGCACTCAGGCCAAGTTGCCGCTGCTGGGTCTCTTTGCTGATCGTGATATTCCGTACGAGATTGACCGTCGCACGCAAAATGATGTTTACCCGTCATTGGAGGAGATGGCTCGTACTGCCTTGACGGCATTGAGCGAGGCGACCCGAGACAGTGAGCAAGGATTCTTCTTGATGATTGAGGGCTCGCGTATCGATCATGCTGGTCACGGCAATGATCCCGCTGCACAGGTACACGAGGTGCTTGCCTTTGATAAGGCCTTCGCTGCCGTCGTGGACTTTTTGGAGAAGGACTCCACCCCCGGAGTCCTTGTCAGCACATCTGACCATGAGACCGGTGGTCTGGCGACTGCCAGACAACTTCACCCGGATTCTTACCCTTCATACCTCTGGTATCCAGGTGTCCTGGCGAATGCCAGCCACTCCGCAGAGTACACCGCGGCTCAGTTGAAGGAGTACCTTGCTGGAACCGGGGCCAATGTAGAGGAGTCACAGAAAAAGGCATATGTCCGTCAGACTCTTTTGGAAAAGTACCTGGGCATTACCGATGCTTCTGAAAAGGAGGTAGATTCCCTTCTCCACCCGCCGACCGGTATTTCAACTGGATACTTGTTTGCCGATATTGTTAGCCGTCGCTCGCAAATCGGTTGGTCCACTCACGGACACTCTGGTAAGTGACTAATCCTTCTTTCACCTTCATCATACATTATTTCAGAGCCTGCTATTCAAATACTAATCTTGAACCCATAGCTGTCGATGTGAACATCTACGCATCTTCTACAAAGGGCGCTTGGCCCTTGGTAGGTAACAAGGAAAACACCGACGTGGGCACTTTCCTTGCCAACTACCTCGATCTCGATGTAAACGCCGTCACCAAACGGCTTCAAACCTCCGCCTCCTGGAGTGCATCTTCAGATGAGGTCTCTACTCAGGCAGACTACCAGTGGATGGGACACCCATCAGGCTCGGACATAAGCACTGAAAGCCTCGATGCATACCATGGCGACTTTAAGCGATCTTTGGAAGATTGTGGATGTGGCGGGCTCCACTAAGTAGCCATGTGTCTCTGAAACTATTCATTATAGCATTTTTCTTTTACTTTTTCAGATCTTTTTTTTCGGGGTCTTTTTTCGGGGTCTTTTTTCGGGTCTCTTTCGGTTCTGTGGCTATTCGACCACGGCGTTTTATTGGGCATAAATAGGAAGGGTGACTTGACTACCAAATCATCCTACAAGCAATGATAAAGACTTGAAATTTTTTTGAAGATCTTTCTTCCATTTTTAATGGTTTGTACTACAAACTACTGCGTCTCAAATTGCATGGGTCTAGCAGATTCAACAAAGTCATGTACTATGCACTAACACTCTGCCATGATATCAAACCCATCATGCCGGTCACTACTGGCTTACATCAACTTTCTTTTATACGTGGACACTACCACTATCACATACAAGTTCCAACGCCTGACTAGTTCTTACATTGAAAAGCATCTATACAGATAAAATGAAACAATAATTTCACAACTCACTACTGGTATTCAGTAAATCTTCCCAGGGTATCTTGACATAAAACACAACCTCAAACATGGCCAATTAAACCTCCCAAACATAAACCCATAAAAACACCATTAAACAGCCAGAGCACATCAAGAATCAAGATACCCATCAAGAAAAAACCTAGATATGGCAAAACAAATCCCACACCCACGCACCAATCCATTAATCCATCAATCCCACTCAGCACCCATTCTCCATACACTCACTAACCCCATTAACCTCCTCCACAATCCCAGGAATCTGCATCGTCTCCCAACATTTATCGCAAAACGGGAGGATCGTCCAACCCATCACATTGGTGCCGGTCCATTCGGGCCAGTTCCCCAGCACGGGCGGGTCAGTGCATACCCCGTCTGGCGTGAAAACGATCACCATATGAGGAAGGCACTCGTTAAACGACATGCAGGGGATGGTGTTGCTGGCTAGTTCGGCGGGATCGTTGATCCGGTCCAGTTGCTCTTTCACTGCTGCGCAGAAACACTCGAGGGCGAAGTCTGGGTGCTTGCAGAACAGGCCCCAGTAGCCCTGGTAGAGGCACATGGTGAGTAGTACTCGTTGGTTGGTTGGGCTTGCTTGCTTGCTTTGTTTTGTTTTGGGTGCTGTAGGGGCTGGCTGGCATGGTGTGGATGGATTGGTTAGCCAATTCACTACTTGGTTGGATTTGGATAGTACCGATGCTTGTTGTGGGGTGGTTTGGGGCCAGTGGTACTTACTATGTTGATGGCTTTGAGCTGTTCGTTTTTTGTTTGGTGGGCAACGCGCGTGTTTGGGGATAACAGCCCAGCCCAAATAACCTCAGATGCCTCCAGGCCTGGTGGGAGGGTGGGGCACAGAAGATGAGAATGGAGAACAGCGAAGTAGTAAATGCGCAAGGATTTGATGCGTAAGTGAGAAAAGCGCATGTTAACCCATAGAGGGAGGGTACCTGAGGTACAGATGGCAGACCTTGTAGAATCAACAGAACTTCGCATGCTGGGAAAACCCCAGTTCCTTACTCTAGTCCTAGTAAGTATCCGTTCAATGCATACGGGAAATGATATCAGGAACGGTACTAGTATTCAGCCAAGATCATGGAATACTAGAGATTTCAATACCTTTTTCTCTTTACTAGTATTAATTGACATCCTACTGCTATGCATATGCGAACTCAAGACGCATGAGCTACAGTGCAAGAGATACATACTAGCACATACCTCCCACCACACTCCATTCTATTCTAACTCAACTCCAGACCTATCGTTAATCTATACTAATGCAATTCCCAACGCAAGAAGGGCACCGCTCCGCCAGATCAGTAACCCACTGATCCACATTCGTCGCGCCCCCATCCCCCTGCTGCTCTTCCATAACGATACAGCCCTCCGTCGTGAGAACCCGCGGCAAGCAATTCTGTCGACTCCCTTCGCTCGAGTGACTATGATCCTCTGGAATAGGGTCGCCCAGATGTGAGAGCTGCTCGATCAGTTCCTGGCAGAACATTGTCAGGTGGAAGCGGACGTGCTGGCACTCGTAGTACCAGATTCCCTTGTAGCGGCACATGGCCACTGGTCACTGGTAGTAGGTGAATGGGAGGTGCTTTCCGGTGGCGGACACTGCTTTTTGGACTAAGGTGGTAGGGGTTGCTGGGTGCTGGGTGCTGGATTGAACACGAGCACCCGAAGTGATGGGTGGAGGTATGATTTTGAATATGGGTGATTTGGGAATGGGTGACTTGGCTTGCTTGGTGCGTGAGGTTTATCAGGTAAGATTGGGTTGAGATCAATCTATTCCCCGTGCTTCGATTTGTGGTAGAATTTCAAGGTTTGAAAATGAGTCTATGTGACAATGTTGCTCAGTTGTGTCCAAGTATGTGACTAACAGTTGCGGTGGTTCGAGTGGTGCTCGAGTCCTCGGTGTTGATCCACTGTTGTAGTCTCATCAATTGTTCCAGAAGACAACAATTCTTTTGCATGAGGAGGCAGAAATTGCGGGAAAAAAGATGGGATTCCAGAGCTGATATTTGTATTTTTCTATGACCACGTCTATGTAGACTTTCAATGAGCAATAGAGCTGACATGAAGTTTCTATAGAAGCAACTTGGAAGCCACGCATGATGATATCTTTTGCTACATTTTCCTTTCAGGCAGAGAAAGTTCTTTCGCCCATCTACCTGTTCCAAGGCAGACAAGATGAATAGGACTCTAAGGACTCTGAGAAGACAATCCTGTATTCATGGATGTAAGTGTACTCTTCATATAGGAGCCGGCTGTACTACATATAGAAAAACCCTGGTTTGTAAGTAGCATCGTCAAGCAATCAATTCAATGTGAAAGCCAGCTAGCTACCTTATGTAGTCACATTAAAGAGATCAATTGATACACGGTAGTACAAATATGGTTACATACCTGACCCACTAGAGTGGCTATCCGCAGGACATTTGAAACCAGTAGTGCATTCCCTAAATGCAGACCCACGTGGATACAAGGAAGTGGAGCAAGGGAAAAATACTTGGGTAAACGGCTTGATATCTGACCAACAGCAATAAGCTTAAATGGATATCTACACATGCATGGACGTAGTGGCCCGTGTGGTTTGCCAAGGTTGTACATAAGCGGAAAGGCAATTGGCGTAGCATAAATGAAATTTCAATAACAACCGCCGATTTTGATAAAGCGTGCATATTATACTTTGCCTTGGCACCGTGTATTTCCAAACGCGCAGAATCCATTATAGCAGGGTCCTGCCAGTAACCAGCGCAGGCAGGGATGTATATAGTAGAAATTGAATGCAGGAACGGAGTTTCAAAGGAAAGATTGAGAAAACAGAAACGCTAAGAGGTATTGGGTAAAAGATCAAAAGTGAAGGACAGGTGTTGACCGAATTTGACATCGGGAGAGCGAAATTCCAGTAAACAGCGAAAGTCTTCATTAGGTGGGATTTGTTAAAGTTGTTCAGAGAAAGTGTAGAAGTGAATATGACATAAAAGGGTGGAAAAATGTACTCGAGAAGAGCTGAAAAAAGGGGGATAAGAAGGTACATCAATAACTTGGTTGGCAAAAGCCCAACCTAAGATTCAAGACCTTTAAAATGTGACGAGAGCCACAACAGCCACCAGGACCGCGAAGAAAGAGCCGTGCAGAACACGCTCGTTCTGGTTGGCAGCACCGCTGTTGGTGGTGGTGCCCTGGCTGAAGGAGCTGCTAGTAGTGGTAGCTGCGGTGTCGGAGCTGGAAGAAGTGGCCACACCCTGCGCATTGGAGCCACCGGAGCCGTTGGAGTTGGTGGGGACGCTGTTGGTGCTGTTGCCGCTGCTGGTACCAGACGAGGTGGAGTTAGCACCGAGGGTCATGTCCAAACCGGTAGCACCAAGGGAGCCCAGAACGGTCGAGTTGGCAGTGACCTCAACATCGGTCTCCATAGCGCTGCTAGAGGTGTAAACGTAAGAGTTGTTGCCGGTGGTGGTAATTCCGTCGGGGGTGGCGTAGCAAGTAACATTAACCTGGCCGATGGTCGCGTAGTAGTATCCGGGATCCTTGATGTCCTCGCTGTCCCAATCAATCTCACCACCAGCCCAGGCGATGGTACCAGCGGCGTTAGTGGACTGACCGGCGGGCCAAAGGGACATCTGCAGGCGAGAGGGGGTCTGGGGGTACTGGTACTGCTTGGAGGTGGAGTTGTAGGTATCGGACTTTAGGAGGGTGCGCATCACGGTACCGTCGATGATCCACTGCAGCTGATCGGGCTGCCAGTCGATCTCGTAGGTGTGCCAGTCATCGAAAGTATCCTCGCCGCTGACGGAAGCGTTGCCGCTGTTGTGCCCTGTAGGAAATAAGTTAGTTTATGTTTCTTTCTGTATTTAATATGCACATGTGCGGGAATGCAAAAATTCAAGAAGTCATCCACATACAATCAAGAACACCCTGCCAGTAGTAGTTGGTCTGCACAGCAGTCAGGTCGGCACCGACCCACTCGTAGTCGATCTCATCCTTGACATCGGACAAGAGGATGAAAGCAGTCACGACACCCTTGCCACGGCTAGACTTGATTCTTCCAGAGACCTTGCCGTACCAGATGTAGTGGTTGTTGGCGAAGAGAGTTCCGACAGACTCCTTGGGCATAGTCATGAGAAGAGAGTTGTTCTCAATCTTGGGGTAACCACTGTAGGTCCAGTCGGCGGCGGAGGCATTGCCCAGGTAGTCGGTGTTCAGGATAGAGTTGTCAAGGTTCTCCCAAGTGTAGCTCTTGTTTTCGCAGACGGGCATAGGAGCACATGACTCGATGGAGTAGGAGGACATGATATCACAACCGCCGAGGCAGTATGCGCCAGTACCACACTCGCCATATTCTAGGGAATCGTCGGATTAGAGTGGTGTTCCAACCTGGATGTGGCTGAGATCAAAATACTTACGGGAGCAACAAGGGTAATCCTCGGGACATTGGCTGCTGGTGCTGCACGTGGTGGTTGCCAAAGCCGTTGCAGACAGGGCCAGGAGAGCAGTCACAAAACGGACCATTGTGTCAGATTATGTACGGGGAATCAGATAATCAAGCCAACGGAATGTACAAGAAAAAGGGAGGATGTTGGAGAAAGAAGACCACAGACAAACGAGCGAACTGTGGGAAGAATTAAAAAAAAAATTAAGAAAACGAGTGGTCGCAAGTGTCAATGCACTGAAGTTGCAGAAAGGAAAATGGGGAGGGTCAATCTCATATATTACGAGATGCACAGAGTTGCTCCGTACATAAACATGGAATTAGTGGGGCTAAACCGGATTGGGAACGTTTAACTGGAGCCCACAAAACCCCAAAAGACCCTTATCAAAGACAAAGGATCCACTCGAGTCCACTTAATTCATTAGTAAGATGAGAGAAAAAGCAGAAAAAGGACTAAAAAGGACTAAAAAGGACTAAAAAAGTCCCTGAGAGAGTCAAGTGGAGTCACTAGTTGAAGTGAACCCTGTATTTGATTTACAGTTATAAATTACACAGAAATTCAACTTGGTTTTTTTGACTTTTCAAGGTTATTTTTAGTCGTTAGCAACCAGGGATGAGACTTAAAAGCTGGGGACTGATATCATAGCCAAGTTCTCTGGGTTATTTTTCTCCATTTGATCTCATGTTCAAAGGGTCAAGTCTTAGCAAAAAAAAAAAAAAGATCAATTAATTTCGAGGAGATTAACCGCATCATTTTGATTCGATGTAATCTCTTTAATGTGAGACATGTTGCCCCAGGCGTTTGTGCTGGAGGGTGTACGGGATGACCCATAAGAGGGCAGGGAAATCAAGAAAATAAGGAACGAAACGACAGTGTACCCTTTTCAAAGGAGACTCTCGCTTCTGATTTGTGCATCATTAAAGAACACAGTTCACGGTACGGAGTATGCACCCGGGGCATCAATACATGTTACCGTATGCAAAGACACACTATCGACCTAATTTCGGGGCCGCCTGGAGTAAGTCAAGCCGAGTGCCCCGCTCAAGTCCATACCCCATGACTACCGAAAGCCCCCAAGACATAACCAAGAGAGAACCAAAGAACCAAAGGAACCGAGGCTGGGCGCCAAACCTTTAGTGAAAATAGAGTGGCGCTTCCAAGACTCGGCAAAAACTAAAACCCAGAAAAAAAAATTCAATTCATTCACACAAGAAATAATAACAAAAAGAAACAAGGTAGAAAGAAAAAGGAGCTCAGCTATTGACTCTGGAATCCTCATGCCTGCAGGAACGAGCAACCGTCGATCCAGTACCAGCAAAACCTTATATAGCCCGACGGAAGAATAAGCCATCATGATTCACAGCTACAGGCACGAGGGGGAAAGTCAGGGGAGCCCAGTACCGGACCAATACCACAATACGCATGTTTTCTTTTCTTTGACCTTTTTTTCCGGGCTTCTCAGCAACCACTGCTATTTTTCTAGAAGGAATGTGACTGATAGCTTGTGACCTCAGTGGCTTCTCTTGTCGGAGATCTGTTTACACCGGGTGTTTATCTGTTTATCTTGGAATGCGTCACCCCCGAGTAAGGGGTCAGCACGGCCGAGTAGGGGATGAGCTGCATAAGTAACCTTCAATAGCTGTGATCTGCGAATCTGGGGGGATTTAATTACAATGTTTTTTTTTTCTGTTTTTTTGAATTGCGCTGTGACCCCCAGGCACCAACGCTAGTCATTTGGCGGTTGTCCCGATCGGGTATTGCCATTACCTCTTTTCGGTTAGTCTTGTGTTTGCCACATTCCGAATTAGCTCAGCTTGGTTCTTGATATCTTCCAAGCCTTCCGACTTGTTGTTAGTACCCTTGATTCATGCATGTATTCGTAGATGCCCAATGCTATGAGTTGATCTACATTGTATACGAAGCAATGTGCCCAATGAAGTAAAAGTTTGGTACAGAGTATGAAGAAACATTCCTTTATTGTCTATCAAAGTAACATGAGAAAATCAGACACCACTATCTTAACTTCCAGGTCGGTAACTATGTGCTTCAGGTCCCAAATTTGAACCCGCAGATCAAATCATTCACAAGGTCTCAATATCAGTGCTTGCCGTCTCTTTTTGGATTTAACACCCGCTTGTCCTCTTATGCAGTTTTCGCAATTGCATCTAGTCCACAGCTTAGCGGCTGGTCCTCCCACGGATCCAGTACGTAAAGTCCTCGATATGTGTAGAGACGAAGAGTATGATCACTAAATGTGATCCTACATCCATACGTGGTACCGGTCATTCTCACACGATACTGCTCAAGGAACTGGCTGGCCGATATTAGAGTGAAGGGGGTTCCAGGGATGTAGAGAGCATTGGGAAGTTCGAGGAATCTAGTCTTCCCCTTAACCTTGTAGGGTATTTTCATTGTTCCAATATGAGTGGAATACGATGTAACACCCGAAGCGCCAATAATTGTGCCCATGTGGGGAGTAAGATCTGAGAATAAACCTTTACAGGGGCTACAATGAACAGCACATCCAGAATCGAACATTGGATATGGCCATTGTAGATCCTTGCGATGGCTGGCAGAGCCAAAGATTGGACAGGCCATTCTGAGCTGGCAAGTAGGTGAGAATGATGGTTATAGTTGGGTTCTGAGTAGAAATCTGGAATATCCATTTTCACATAATAAGGGGCAAGTTCCTCTTATACCCGGAAGAACGACTATTCCATCTCAAGGAAGCTTTTGGCTCGGAGAAGAGGGCTTTGTTCCTCAAGGCTACAATGTCGAAATGTCTCTGTACTTCAATGATGCTTCCAGGTGTCAGCATATCACAATGTACCATTGTTTGGCCGTGAAACAACGATCTTATCATCCAACATCAAATTTTGCCATTAGAAAGAAGAAGGAACATGGGAGTATGATATCTCGTTTTGAAACAATCTTGAAGGTCATTGACTTGCATCTTTCTTTCTTTGGCCGTTCCACCATTCTGGTTGTCTTGGAATATAGCATCACATGATCCATCATGAAACAATTCAGAGGAAGGGTCTCACAGCCATAAACTGGCACATCAAAGAAAGATACGGATCTGTCTAGATTGATATTCGGGTGAGGAGTGTCGCTCATTTACTCTTTTAGGGTCGTATTTTGATTGATTCTGAATTAAACATACAAAGCTGTTCTTTGTCAACTTCATTAATCATTAAACACTGGCAATGCTGCGCAAAAATGGTGGGCGGCCACCACAGACATGAAAGCTAAGATATTGATTCCTTTTTGCTTTCTTCTTTTCTCGTTGCTCTTCTTGGAGACTCTAAATTCCTTCTCCTCCAGCCCTGTTGCCTGTGATAACGGATACTTCAATATTCATTATAGTCAATATAATCCAGCTGAAAATGGACTCCTGCCAATAGGCATGGACCTTGAGAGCCATAGTTTTATTTTGCTAGTAGTTTCCGCAAGAAAAGATATCATTGACCAATCTCCTTCTCCTCAATGCAGGCAAGCCAGACCGAGCAAGGTTATATACTGCCAAAAAGTATGATTCTTTTCAAACCCCGAGTCCTTTTCAATTGCTTGATGGGCTCATCCGCTCATTCCCGGGTGGCATTACCGTTCCTTCTCGCCAACCCAACCTGGTCTAACATCGGTAGTGATGTGGACTGGGGGCTTTCCTCCACACAAGTTTCGAAATGATGGTTCAACAAAAAGAAATCTCATACCTGTAGGTATGAGAAGAAGACAAAAACAATGACCAGACTGGGGCTCGATCCCAGGACCTTATCGGTGTTAACGATACGTGATAACCAACTACACCATCCGGCCTTTGATGGAGAGAAGTGGAGATATTGAGGTTCTTGTGGGTATGGTGGATTGTGTGGATATTGCGGAATATGTAGAACATGGCTGCTAAGCGAGCCAATTTTACATTTTTCTGCCCTTAATTGCGCACCTATTGCTAGTGCATGGACTTCCATAGCCAATTGACTTTCATTAAATTTCCCATTATCTCAGTCTGGCAACTATTAATTAGTCCATGATATGTGGGTGTTGATGCAAAGGTGATTATAAGATGTATAGCAGAGTGGGGTAAAACGGGCGGAGACAGACCAATCAGATATGCATAATTCATTCACTCCGAGTCTTCACAGTATATTGTGTAAGCGTTTTTAACACTGCGCATTACTTTTTGACAAGAGACCCTGTCCCGGAAAGTTTACACGATCTGAAAGACTTGTTAAGAATATCGTGAAGAAGGACAAAGAACACGCACACTTCCAAAAAAAAAAAAAAAAAAGACAAAAAGAATGAGGCCAGAGAGAATCGAACTCCCAACTTTCAGATGAATTCCTTTCGGATGTTGTCCTAATTGGAATCTGACGCCATACCATTAGACTATGGCCCCGATTGGATGAAGTTTGCCTTCCTATTTGAGTATATAACCCTAAAACTCTACCCCCCAGCCAGAGATGACTTTAAATTCAAATCTCATCCACCCCCCAATCAAGCGGAAGATCCAAATGCGAATAAATTGCCAAAATTTGGAGCCTAGGCTTAATACTCATTTAAATCTTAGAACTTTTCCTTGGAATCTTCGAATACTTCCTTGCACATGTAAAGTAGCACCAGAAAGTAAACATTACGTTTGAAATGGCGTGGGATCGATTTTGTACGGGAGTTCATACATACCTCGCCGATATATATGTGTACTATGTACCAAGCACTCAACAGTGCTGTATACTTCCGGCCACGTGCATCACATTGAAACACCGCACGGGCACTTAAGTGCTAGTACTTAGCACTCCAGGTGTATACGAAACAAATTTCTTCAAAATTCAAACTTCAATGTCCTTGAGGTACAATTTACCTAATTAGGTACAGCCTGGGTAACATCTGGAAGCACCTGGGCACGTAAGTACTGATGTATGAAATCCACGGTATTACTGCAGAACATTGATTGATTGAGTCACTGCGCATGAGAATCATCAATTGATTGCTTGCTTCTATTATCTCCAGTGAGAGACTCAAGTGCTACAATATTTTCCATGTCTGCTTGGGCTAGAAGTGTACACCACCCTATCCAGATGTCTTGTTTGGCACACAGGCTAGAACTGCACGTCCGCGGAGCTAATCGTTTGACTTTTCATGGATGCTAGCTGGCTCCCCGGGTGGAAGATCCGACAAAACTGGGAGATTCTTAACGGATCTCCAACCCCGTTTCAAAGAATGGAAATATTTCGCAATCCTAAGTGTGGTTCCCCTGAAATTTCTGGCGAAATCAGGATGAACTTTTGTGATATTTTTTTTGCGAGACCCCAAGCAAGGGGAGAGCGACTTCATATTGACGGTTGATGACTTGCAAGAAATGGGGAGCCTTGATATCTGGTCGGCCCAATACCCACATTTGGCCCGCAGTGCAATCTGATGTCTTCCTGTATGGAAGACAAAGGGATATTTGAGGAAAAGCAGTGCTGCCTTGACTACCATGTACTACTAGTTCGTGTATACAGGAGGAATTTATAATCAGGGAGTTCTAGATCTAATCACTCAATATTTGAAGACCAAGGTTTGGCACTACTGCACCAGCCAATAAATCCACAAATGAGGTGCTTGATGATTGGAAGCTACTACTGGATATAAATAGATAGTCAGATCCAGGTGAAATGTTCCAAGTCTTCCAACATTTATCATTGCTAAAATCTCAATTATCCCAAAAGAAAAGAAAAGAACACAACACACACATTGACGAAAATGCCTGTTACCGCCATCAACTCGTAAGTGAGAGCCGACCACAGTGAAACATCCCTGTCACCAAAGACTGCATTGCTCAATACATACTAACGTCTCCAAAATGGTAGATTCGCGCAATTTCGTGAGATCATTGACAGCAAAGAACCCTCGGTAATCGACTTCTGGGCGACATGGTGCGCGCCTTGTCATATGGCAGCACCTGCTTTCGCAGGATACTCCGAAGAGACCGCGTTTGCGCAGGTCAAATTCTACAAGGTTGATGTTGACGATCAACCAGAGATTGCGTCGCAGCTTGGCATCCGTTCGTTACCGACTTTTATCTCCTTTAAAGGCGGGGAAAAAATAGAGGAACAGGCCAACGCTCGTCCAGATGTGATCAAAAAGGTTATTCAGAGTGTTGTTCCTAAAGAATAAGCAAAGAATGGCTGTATGAATGAATAACCACTGCGTGTGGTATTATATACCTTTTTGGACATAAATTTGCTCACAGTGTAGTAGATATCCAGGTATTAAAGAAAAGGTTCGCGTGGGTTAAGGGAAAAGGTTCGCGTGGGTTAATGGAAAAATTTTGCGTGGCAGGTACATGAAACATATCTTTTAGCTGCGGGAAGTAGCACACATTTGGTAGATACGCTTAAATGCCACGTAAAAACTGATCAATCACCACTATAAAACCGTTGTTAGGGGCAACCAGGAGGGGACAACACGTCCCTCTCCATCAACAAATGAGATCGCTCCCTGGAGACTCTCGGAGAATACTGCATCCCATAACCCCATACACAATATTAGATCCACACATTCCTCACCCTTTCATCGTTAACTCTCGACAACCCCCCTCACCCAACACCAGGCCTTGCCGACCGCAGGTCGCGACACGGCTTCGACATACCGGCCCCGCAACAGCGCGAAGTGCAGGCGGCTTCCTTGCCCCCCAATCTCCCACCATGCTGCCGACCACCGACGGCGCCTCTTCGATCACCGTCACGGTCCGCGTGCGGCCTTTCACCATTCGTGAAGCAGCTCAAATCACCAAATCCGACGATGGCCCTCTCTTCCTTGGCGATGGATCGCTGGCAGGCGTGCCCACACCAAAGCTCAACCAAAAAGGGATACGATCCATCGTCAAGGTGATTGACGATCGGTGTCTGTATGTACCAATGCCTGACTCTTGACTATCTATGGAGACATTTCCTCGACTGACACATATCTTTCACCAGAGTGTTCGACCCTCCCGAGGACAATCCTGTCCAAAAATTCTCCCGCTCCGTTGTGCCCCATGGCAAGCGTGTCAAGGATCAGACTTTTGCATTTGATCGTATCTTCGACCAGAGTGCCTCACAGGGTGAGGTCTACGAGTCGACAACCCGCAGCCTCCTTGATAGTGTCCTGGAAGGTTACAATGCCACAGTATTCGCCTATGGTGCGACAGGATGTGGAAAGACGCACACCATCACCGGAACAGCACAACAGCCCGGTATTATCTTTATGACAATGCAGGAATTATTCGAGCGTATCGATGAGCGGTCCGGTGAAAAGTCGACCGAGGTCTCGCTTTCTTATCTCGAAATTTACAACGAAACAATTCGCGATTTGCTAGTCCCCGGAGGATCCAAGGCCGGCCTCATGCTACGTGAAGACAGCAACCAAGCAGTGTCGGTGCCTGGTCTATCGAGTCACCACCCACAGAATGTGGCAGAAGTCATGGATATGATTATGCGAGGTAATGAATGCCGTACCATGTCTCCAACACTGGCCAACGCAACTTCGTCACGATCCCACGCTGTCCTACAAATCAACGTCGCACAAAAGGACCGAAACGCCGATGTGAACGAGCCTCATACAATGGCTACACTTAGTATTATTGATCTTGCCGGTAGTGAGCGAGCCAGTGCTACCCAGAACCGAGGCGAACGCCTTCTCGAAGGTGCGAACATCAACAAGTCGCTGCTTGCACTCGGAAGCTGTATTAATGCGCTCTGCGACTCTCGCAAGCGGAATCACATCCCATATCGAAACTCAAAACTTACCCGACTTCTTAAATTTGCTCTTGGTGGAAATTGCAAAACTGTTATGATTGTCTGCGTCAGCCCGTCAAGCCAGCACTTTGACGAGACTCAGAATACACTACGATACGCCAACCGTGCGAAGAACATCCAGACCAAGGTCACTCGAAATGTTTTCAACGTGAACCGGCATGTTAAGGACTTCCTGGTGAAGATTGACGAACAGATGAAATTGATCAACGAACTCAAGGCGCAGCAGAAGGACTCTGAGAATCTCGCTTTTGCCAAATTCAAGAAGCAGACCGAGAAGAAAGATGCCGTCATGCGCGAGGGTGTTGCTCGTATTCGTAATGCTTATGATCACTGTTTGCCGGACAGACAAGAAAGAACCAATCACATGCTCAAGCTCAGACAGATTAGCCGCAGGATCGGTATTCTGTCCTCTTGGATCGCAGCATTCGATACCGTGTGTGCCTCTCGCGAAGACGGAGAAGGAATCGCCAACTTGTATGCCATTCGCAAAAGCGCTCAGGGTATTCTCCTCGAATTGGAAGGCAGCAGACATCATTATAACCAGCGATTATCGAAGAGTACTTGGGATCGAGCCATGAATTCGGCAGTTGAAAACGCCACAAAGCAACTTCAAGAGTTTGATATCAGCGATGCGAGTGACTACGCCAACTTGGATCGAGAAGCTGAGCTTCTCAAAGCCAATGCGGAACGTGAGTCCTTATCCGCGGTCGTGGAACAGGATAAGGCTGGTGAAGCTGTTGCGGTGCAATTGCTCCTCCAAGCACAATTTGAGATGATGTCCTCAATTGAAGATATCATGCAACTGAATGCAACCGATGCCGTCCGAAAGGGACGCGTGATCCTCGGAAAGATGCTGGAAGACTGCTCAAACTCTGTGTCAAACCTCGTGAAGCCTGATGGTAGCTTGCCCGCCATTCCCACCAGTCCAATCAAGGTAGCCAGCCCGTCAAAGCCAAAAAAGAGGTTCAGCTTAGTGAGCATGCCGGCGCCGATGAGATCACTCCAGCCACCTGTTCAGATCATGCCGGCGGCCCCTCCCTCACCAACCAAGGGCTCACCGCGTCGTCGGAAGGCTGGCGTTGGCCGTAAAAATGTCAGCTTCTCACCCAAGAAATCGCAATCTAAGCCACCTAAGAGATCTGTCCGTTGGAAGGATGACGAAGAGGACGCTCCTCTCACCGAGTTCCAAAAGTCGCCTCAGAAAACGGAATATGTGGAGGAAAACAGCACGCAAGATTCTTTTGAGCCTACGCTGCCAAGAGGTGCATCTCCGATCCCACGGAACATTCCGAGGATCGTGAGTCCCTCAGGAATCGCTTCGCCTGCTTCGTCATCGGATGAATCAACCCTGAACATCCAGAAGAACAGTAGTCGATTCAAGGCGGGATTCCTGTCCAAGAGAATCAGCAGCGGTGGTAGTGGCAGCTCTCCTCTAGCACCTCCACCTACTTCTTCCCTTCCCCTATCCGAGCGTGCGAACTCCCCACTTCGCGACATTGAAGGCAGTAGTTTCTTGAACCGGGCCCCGGCAGATCGCCCCTCCCGCATTGCCGTCCGAAGCCCAAGCGGAAACTTTATGAGCAGCCCGGTGTCTGATAATAAGGACAATTGGAAGTCTGATAAGGACGAAGCGATCAAGATTAACTCCGCTATGCGCCGCATCTCCATTGGCCCTTCTGCCAACGCGTTGCGGGTTCATCGTCGTCGCAGTCCTAGCTCCAACACATACAGTAGCTCTCCCAATGAGGGTAATATGTTCACTGCATCCCAGGCTCGCCGTATGGTTAAGAGCGACCGAGAGGTCGAGGCCAAGCCCCGGGTATTCAGTCCGCATACCCTGCCGGTCATGAAGAACACTGGGCGTCGAACCACATTGGGAGGAGATGTCCGCCCCCGGCATTCTAGCATCTCAAGCAGGGATGCCATGCGGCTTACAGCTATGGCTACGCCATCAGTTGACCGCACTCCATGATTTGACATCTAGTGGGCTCCACTAGATGTCATTTTCTTTCCTTCTTTCCTTCTTTCTTATTTTTGCATTCTTCCGATCACGATATGGCGTTGGCATGGCTTGGCGTAACAGATACCACAAATTTCTCCTTTCCTGTTTTTGTCTCTTCTCTCGCCCTTACAGTCATCCGAGTGGATCTCACGGTTGTTTATTTCGGCTCCTGGTGTTCTTTCCCTCCCGTCTTTGACTTCATCTCGTCTTTGATGCATTGTCTCATTTTCTTTTCGTTTGACATATTATTATTTCGGACTGTACATTACATTGAATATGTTGGTTAATTTTTATTACCACCCGATTTTCTCAAGTCCGGCGAAGTTTTATGTGTAAGAATTTGGAGTAATTTAGTTACTATGACTGATAGCCCTATCTCGGACAAATTTACCCGATCCAATAACTCCCAAGCTGCTTTGTCAGAACCAGAATGACGCCACTGCATCGCAGCTTATGGCAAACTGCATCTTACTTTAGTCAACTTCCACTGTTGCTTCACTGAATCATAATCCAGCTTCGTTGTTTTGGAAGGAACCACTGGGTCAGCTCCTTCCCTCGCAAAGAAAAAAATCCTTCAAATCCCGATCGAACGAAAGCACGTCAACTCGATTCCCCACTTCCCGGCACTTTGACGGTCCCCACAAGAGTTTCTGCAGATGACTTTCGCTCCGATCGCTTCAACACTCTTCTCACGACTCGTCCGCCCCTTTTCTATAAGCGCTCCGATCCTGTCCCTCACCCCAGATCAACAATCGCGCAAAATGTCCACCACCGAACAAGCCACCGTTGCAGCTGGCTGCTTCTGGGGTGTCGAGCACCTATACCGCAAGAACTTTGGCAACGGCAAGGGCCTGCTGGATGCGCAAGTCGGATACTGCGGCGGAGATACTTCAGACCCCTCCTACCGCGCCGTATGCAGCGGCAAAACCGGCCGTAAGTCCATCCCCCCTGTTTGATCCTTTTAATGTCTGTTCCGGAGCTCCGGCGCCCTTGCGGAGATTCTCCGCGAAATTTGAAGCGCTCGTGCGCGCGCAACATGCGGGGAACAAATTTTATTTTTATTTTTATTTTTATTTTCTGTTCGGAGACGCCTTGCTTATCTTACTTATCCTTGCTTTTACTATAGACGCCGAAGCTCTTCAAGTTACCTTTGATCCTTCTCTCGTCTCCTACCGCCAGCTCCTCGAATTCTTTTACCGTATGCACGATGCTTCAACCCTGAACCGACAGGGTCCGGATGTCGGCACCCAGTACCGCAGTGTTATCTTCACGCATGGCGCGGAGCAGAAGAAGATTGCAGATGAGCTCACCAAGAAGGTTAGCGAGGAGTGGTATAAGAAGCCTGTCTCGACTGAGGTCGTGCCTGCGGGTCAGTGGTACAATGCCGAGGATTATCACCAGTTGTATTTGCACAAGAACCCGACGGGCTATGAATGCCCTGCACAGTATGTTCCCACCCAACATCCGCGTCTTCAAGTTTTCGCGAGGTGTTTATTCGGTAGCTGACTTATCCTTTTTTTTTCTGCTAGCTTCGTGCGCGACTTCCCTCCTCTTTCGGACTGACTCGCTTCACCGAAGATTTAAAGATATAAGATTGTTGATTGGAGTTCATCATTGTTTGCAATATATGACACATGAAGTGACAATTTCCTGCCCATAATTTGAAGGGTTGAATATTCTCTGGCGCATTGAGAGCCTCGGCTCGATGTTTGAAGCTGAAATGCTGAAAACGAGGATTGAATTAGGCATACTACGTTCATTGAGTTTTGATAGCGAAAGGCCTCGGCAGTTTAATTCATTAACCTACGGCTAAATTATTGTCCAATATATCCATGGGTGGATTTGGGGTTTAGACTGATCTTGCACTCAATGTCCAGAAGGATAAAATATCATAGTAAACTCAGGATGATTTCCCGATTCTCCTGGTTGAACTTCCCAATAATTGAAACATTATTCAAGGCTGACATGCCCAAATTTGGATTCCGAAGAGAAAGAGAGAGACTCCTTACAATTGCTGTAGAAATGAACCACTCACAATACCCTCTTTAGCACCGAAACACGGATTGTGTTTGTAATTTTCCACATGTCCGATGAAATGTCGTTAGTAAAGGTCTGTCTATCTCTCACTACTATTGGGCAATCTGAGGTGGCAGGAGCGTCACTTCCAGGGTATTGAGGTCGTCGGAATTGATCGAAGGACGGAATAAAAGATCCTCCAATGTATCTAAAGTGGGAGAATTAGATATACAATTAATAAATGCTAAGATGGAACGAATCTGAGCGAGAAATGAGAGAAAGAACGCCTTTTGTCGTATTGGATCATTATCATAAAACATGCATCGTAGGCGTCGTAAAGTCATCCTTCCAGCGATCTCTGATCAATTGCTTTCGAGCCCCGAATCTTCAAGGGAGCACCATACCCCGATCATCATCCTCGACGAACAGGAAAGATAGAGGATGGTATTGTAGATGCTCGCCGCCAGAGCTCAGCAAGAGTCGTGGAAGCCTTTTTTTGGTTGTTTTTTGCCTTTTTTCATGTTTTTTTTTTTTTTCTCACGCACTTTTTCTCCTCTGCAGTGATCACTGCGCCAAACGCTGCTCTTCGTCCTCATCAAGAGAGACATCTACCACGTCGAATGGCATTTGTTGTTCCGCATCGGGGTCCAAAAAGCGGAAAGCGACGAGGCCACGGTGTCGGACGCCCACATCCGCGAGAGTACTGTTCACCTGGTCATCAAAGCTTTGGAATCCCTGACTCAGGTCGTTGGGATTGATAGCCTTGCCGAGGTCGATATCGGAACTGCGCGCGGAGACCCGGACACCGTTGATTTCCTCCATACGACGGCCAAGCAGGACCTTGTGAAGTTGCTCCTTGGCCGCGGAGAGTGTTGTATCGGTTTTCAGGCAGAGCATCACCGTGGTTTTGTGCATTTGGAAAGCAACCGCGATTACCGAGAAAGTACTAGTAGCCTGATTTGTGTTATTAGCTTTATTCTTCAAGATCAATGACAAGTTGCCGTGATTTGAAATGAAGTGCAATTTTGACATACCATGCTTCTTGCTTGTTTTTCTTTAACGTCCTGGATGAGTCGCTCGTAGGATTCGTCGTAGGGGGCGTAGGGGTATTTGGAGGACATGATGGGCAGAAGATTGAAGCTGGAGTGGAGCTTGAGTGGGGCCGATTGTCACGTGGGCGGTGAGGAGAAAAGGAGATCACGTGCGAGGAGGGAAAAAGTGAAATATTTATAGCGTAATTATGTCACCTGACTACACCGCACCTTGTCACCTGACCTGACCTGGCCACCATCCATCTGCTACTTGAATCAGCAGCATGTTCTACCTATATTTTATCTAACAAGAAATAAGATAAAAGTACCAATACCTTCAAGCTCTTATGTATCATTCTAGCCACTTATATAGACATTTTACACTCCGTAGTCATGACAAGTAGGTAGAACTAGTGTACTGACGGAGGCGGAGAGTGTCTCCCGCAACTCCGAATTTCTGCTCCATTGAGAGACAAGCACGCTAGTGTTTCGATCAAAGTGCAAGAGTACATTCCCTGAACGACAAATTCACCACTGTCTGTTTGCCTGAATCTCTTTTGGACCTTTTTACCCATACGCAATTATACCCCACGCCCGTGAGGACCTGCCATCAAAGCTGCTACGAACCTTGCTCCCTTCAAGCTGATCGGAAGCTTTCCTCTTCTCAACCTATTCGATCTACTCCCTACGTTTTCCCTTTAGAAACCCCCCTCTCAACATAATGGATCATCAATCACCCTCTACGGAGTCCGAACGGGAGAATTCGCTCTTTCTCAAGCTCGTGTACTGGCACAAGCTGTTTGAATCTGACACCCCTCCGCGTCTGGGCATTGACGTCCAAAAACGTATACCATATGCGACCATGTGTGCGTTTGTTCCTGGAGTAGCTTTGGGCTATGTCCACGGCAGCAAAAAAGCTGGCTTGCTGTTCCGCGCAGAGAACGCCCATCGATTCCCCACAACCTCGACTGGCTGGTTTCAATATCACAAGACCAAAAACTATATCTCTATCGTGGGTGGTGTAAAGGATGGCATAAGAATGGGAGCTAAGCTCGGTGTCGGGGCTTTGGCATTTTCTCTTTTCGAGGAGACAGTGGACTATGCTCGGCATGACGAGAGAGACTTTTTGTCGACTGTCACGGCCGGGTTATCGTTCTCTGGTATTTACAGCTTACTAGGTAAGATGCTGGCTGCTTTGCTTTGAAATGGAAAGAACCTGTTTGGAACTGACTATCTGCGTGTACCCACAGCTCGCCACGACGTCTATACTGCTGCTCGTACCGCAAAATTCGGATTGAAATTGAGTCTGACCTATGGTCTATTACAAGACGTCCTGGAATCTGCGAAAGGAAATCGCCCCAAGTACTTGGATTTCTTCTTTGGCAAACGGAATTCAAGAAGAGAGGACCAGGGTAGTATCTGATCGGCGCATTTGATACTTTTCCGTTTGTGAATACTTTATTCTGAGTGATACACTTGTTGGTCACTCGCCCAGAGCCATTATGGATATACCAGCCACTGGTAGAACCTTCTCTACCAATCCCATTCAAGAGCCTCGCCCAATACATGGCTCGGGATTGTCTAAGCCACTGCTTTTCTAGCGTCTTCCAAGACCAAGGCTTTGAGACACCCTGATTCCTGACCAAGCCCAGCTCTTCCCCGAGATTGAGTCTCTTAGTCTCTTTGTTAGGTCCTGTCAGATATTGGTCACATGTGACATATCTTCCGCTGCATGTATAATTTACGTTTGTTTGATACCCTCTTTACTATCTCATGGAATCAATTCTCCCATCTTTCTGCTATGATGAGCACGTGACCCCTTTTGACCGAATGCCTGCATCACCAGACCTTACTGCAATTGGCTATGACATATCAGTATTGGACCAAAAGTACATAACATGCTGACCGAGACTTGAAAATGTCGCAAAAATGCAAAAAAAGGAGTATAAATGTTCTAGAGATACATCCTATCTTGCCCAGGTGTTTCATTACATTTTTCTTCTAGAAAAGTCCGGATTTGGGCTACAACTGTTCTAAAGCAAGAATCAAGATTCTGGTTTTTTCCCCCCAAATTTCTTTGTCTTCCACCGTGTTAGATCCGATCAAAGCCATAGAGCATCGGAAGAGGGATCTATAGAGGCCCACTAAAACCACACCTTGTGCAGATATGGTATTTCCCCCTCTTCTGATGAACTCCTGGGGCAATGGGATCGCCTCTGCAAGGCACGGCAAGCAATGCGACGATCCGAACACAATTGACCATGAAAAAGCAATCCGTTGAAGATGAAATTACATATGTATACGTGGATTTCTCTTTTCCATTCCTCCAAGCTCCATAGAGAGAAAAAAAAGAGTGGAGCATCCGACAGCGGGTTCCCATAGAGTTTCCGAAGGTTTCCAGATGATCGGTGGAGCTCAACCGCATTTGACATCGCTGAGTCGCTCTTTCCCCCCACCTTTTTCGCCTGAAGAGAGAAACTACCTTCCCTCCACCCACTGTCACCTTTGATCTTTCCCCCCCATTTATCCCAACTTCCCCCCTAATATACCTTAGCTTTGCAGATGTCTACCTGCTAGCGCCCCTTCCAACCCATTGGGCTTGGAAAGAATGCCGACAGTTAGCTCGACATCTGTGTTGCTTTCGTCGACGTCATCGTTCTCCCTTTAGCTTGGAGCCCTATTACATTCTAGTCGCTAAACGAAATCTTCCTCATTCAAATTCCCTCTCTGTGATCAAAGCATGCGTCGCCATGGTAGGTCGGGCGGGGGCCCGACTAAGGCCATCACGCCCATGTCTGATAACCTGTCCCTCATCCATTCCTTCGATTCGGTCATGAACCCGAACCGACCCGTGCGCCCCTCGCCCTTGGCCTCCTCCCACATTAAAGCGCTGCCGCTCGAACTCGTTGATCGCCTGCGCTCATTCCCCCTCTTTCAAGCTACACCCGAATCCTTCTTAATCGAAGTTGGCCAGCACCTGCGCCCGCAGCTCCATGCCCCGAACGATTATATTCTGACCGAAGGCGACGATGCCAGAGCAATCTACTGGTTGGTGCGCGGCGCTGTCTCCGTCACATCGCGTGACGGGGAAAGTGTGTACGCTGAGTTGGAACCTGGTTCCTTCTTTGGAGAAATTGGAGTGCTGATGGATCGGCCGCGCACCGCGACCATTATCGCCCGCACTCGATGCATGCTGGTCGTGCTCTCCAAGGAGGACTTTCGCAACATTCTTCCGCGCTTTCCGGATGTTGAACGCGCGATCATGGAAGAAGCCCAGGAGCGATTGATGATTCTGGAGAAAAAGAAGAAAGAGACCTCGGCTCCTGTTGTGGACGACGATCCCATCCCCAGTCCAGTACGGCGGGGCTCAAAAAGGTTGCGGGAAAGTTTTTCCAAAGATCTCATTGTTGCGGAAGATGAGGATTTAAGTCTGAAGTCAGTCTACAAGAAACGGAAATCACCGAGCCCAGGGCGACGAGATGCAGCTAGTGCATTGGCTAATGGGCTGGTCAATGTCCGCCTGCTGCTCAAAGAACTCCCACTTTTCTCCAATTTACCGGCAGATATCCTTCATTTTCTGGGCTTGAATGCCCAGCCAGCCTCTTTCCACCCTTTTACCGACATCATCCAGCAGGACTCCCAGGGCCGCGAACTTTATTTTATTGTTCGAGGTGAAGTGGAGGTTGTGGCTGAAAAGCACGAAACACACAGCGAACACCATGGCAAACCTAATGGGGTTGACCACGGCGGTGTGGAAATAAAAGCTAGACTCAAGCAGGGGCAGTACTTCGGAGAAGTGGTCAGTTTGGCACTAGCGCCGAGAAGGACAGCAACTGTCCGGTCTGTCACATCGGTAGAATGTCTCATGCTGAGCGGGGATGTGCTCTCCAAATTCTGGGAGATGTGCCCTCAAGATGTCAGAGAGCAAGTGGAGCGCACCGCGCAAGAAAGGTTACAGGCGGCTTCCGATGGCGATGTAGTCATGACGGATGCCTCTGAAGAGCAAACATCGATCGACGATCGTGTGAAGATTACTTCAGCTCGGAGAAAGTCTATGCCTCTATTGACATTGACTGAGACTGAGCTTGACGGCCCACACCAATCCTTATCTGGTGAGGATCAGGAGCACCCTTTGGCACGGCCATCCGACCCAGATCCATATTTGAGCCTTGGGCTGGACAAGGTCCGACTTAGAAGCCGACGCGGTTCGGTGGCTCCTATGACTCCGGAAGAAATGACCGGTGAATCCCAACGGCAATCTCCCTCGGAACCTCGCTCTGCTACTTCATCCACATTTGCACTTCCTGAACCCCTCGAACTGTCTAGACCACATCACCATGCACGTCCCTCGACAAATGCTCAACCCGGTGTCTTCGCGGATAACATCTTGCTCAACATATTCCGATTTCTGGAATTCCATCACTTACTTCGACTCCGTGCAGTATCGTCCCACTGGTGCGGTATTCTAAACAAGTCAGCGGATCTGGTCCAGGATCTGGATCTCAGTCTATACAACCGTAAAGTCACCGATGATGCTCTGGTCAGGATCATCTGTCCATTTGTCGGTAACCGGCCACGATCTGTGAACATCAACAATTGTTTTCACATCACCGACGAAGGGTTCAATGCATTAGTGAATACCTGTGCACCCAACTCCACGACATGGAAAATGAAAAGTGTCTGGGATGTAACGGCGTCGGCTATTCTTGAAATGTCGAGTAAAGCTACTAGCCTGCAAGATGTGGATTTAAGCAACTGTCGAAAGGTAGGGGACACTCTCATGGCCCGAATCCTTGGATGGGTTATCCCTGGAAATCAAAAGCCCACAGAGGGCAAGAGTGCTTCTATAAAGCCCACTTTACAGACAGCAGACAGCTTGGTCTATGGCTGCCCGCAACTGAAAAAGCTCACGTTGTCGTACTGCAAACATGTTACGGATCGTTCAATGCATCATATTGCATCGCACGCAGCGGGTCGAATCGAAGAAATGGACTTGACTCGTTGCACTACGATCACCGATCAGGGTTTCCAATATTGGGGAAACGCTCGGTTCACCAATCTGCGGAAGCTCTGTTTGGCGGACTGCACTTATCTGACTGACAATGCCATTGTGCATCTGACCAACGCTGCTAAGCAGCTACAAGAATTGGACTTGGTACGAAATCGACTCTCATCATTCTCAATGGACTACTAGCTAATCATAAACCCCCCCCCCCCTTAAGTCATTCTGCTGTGCATTATCTGATACAGCAACGGAGGTTCTTGCCCTCCAATGCTCGCAGTTAAAGTCTCTGAACATGTCATTCTGTGGCTCTGCAATCTCCGACCCCTCCCTCCACAGCATTGGTCTCCATCTCCTTTCACTTCAGCATCTCTCCGTGCGCGGCTGCGTCCGTGTGACCGGGGTTGGTGTTGAAGCCGTGTCCGAAGGCTGTCACCAACTTGATTCGTTCGATGTCAGCCAATGCAAGAACCTTCTTCCGTGGCTTGAGGATGGCGGTGCGATGCGTTATCAACCACGTATCGACTTCCAAATCGTGGCTGCCAATATAAGGAATTTCCGATGATCCAATTTTACTAAAGCAGGCGGTGTACGAACAACCATTTGACACGATATTCAGCAACTCTCTTGCGTTACCTTTAATTATTGGATTTATTGATACATCTTTCTGGTTTCTGTTGTGCCTGCCACCTTGGGCTTATCGTTCATGTTTCGGAGTTCAGGCTTTCTAGGACACTGTTTTCATTCTTTCCTTGGCTTCGACCCGTATAGATTGGCACCGGGTTTGGGCTGTGTTTCTTGGGATCGGGGTTGGCATTCGGGGATCACATATTTGGTTGTTGAGCTGGTCGAGCATGGCTGGAGTTCCAAGACTGAACGCATATTGACTTCACTTGGGTCTGTTTCAATATTTAATTCCCTGTTATATGGTCGGTTATCTATTTATTTCCATCTACGAAGATAATGTTATCCTGTTGTTATCCTGCCTCGTTATGGATAGGGTAGCTTTACAAAATCTCAGTTTCAAATTCTTCGCCTTGACCCTTCTTTCTTTCCGAGGCACAGTTTTTCTTGCTCAAGTGAAATCGTAGATTTTGTAAGATAGCACGCGCACTAGACCTGACTGAAGAACTTTTACACCGAATTACTTTGTAAAGGTGCAGCTTACTTCCCTTGATCCCAGCCTTTGTTTATTTGAAATGATATGAGCGTCTATTTTCCCTATCAAAGGACCTCAGATATCTGGTATGTCTCATGGGACTCTCAACCTTGGAAGAAACCTGAAAAGTATCACAACAACTGAGGCTTCTATAGATTCTAGCTATGATTAAATTGCAGTCAATTGAATCGTCACTAGAGACGCTTATAGTTTCTCCTTTACTGTCCTCTTTCACGTTTTCTTTCTCCAGATTGTCTTGATGCCATGAAACAATGCCCTTGTTTTCTTCTTATAAAGAACGAAGAACGAAGCAAGAGGATATTTAGGGAGATACTCTTAGTTACCTAGTAAATTAGCTATATTCTCTAATTAATATACGGATTCTAGGAAGCATATTCAAAGATTGTATGTGGTCGATTCTTATATAGGCTGTTTTCTCGTCCTGCGAGTCATTCTGATTGCCCCAGGCCTAGAGATGGGCAGGTACTCTATGTACTTCAACCACCATTTGAGGCTCATCATCACAAAAAAAGATCACGCTAGCTATCTTTAGATCAACCTCAACCTCAGTATCGTTATCGTTTTTTATCGTTCCTCTCTGCTTGCTCATCACTTACCATAAGCCCAACTGAAAAGAAGAACAAGCCTCAAAACTTGTTCTCTCAGCCCACATATCATTGCAGCCTCCATCAGCATTGACCTAACCATCACAGGTACTCCCTTCGACACAAAGGACCCTCAAGCCCCATCAAACACTTCACAAACCGAATCATCAATCGCCAGCCAAAGCTTGACCGACCTATTCTTATCCCTTCATCCAAATGGCCAATCAAACACCCGCAGACCAGTTCGATGACATCGATTCGAAGATCTACCACCTCGCAGAAGCAGATTTCACTCAAAACACCGAAACAACCTCGGAGCTAGCCGTGGAATCTCCCGGAATCAAGCTTGAGGACGGACCCCAGAAGAAAAGACAGCGTCGCAGCCGCCACGAACCGGAGCCCGAATACTCTTCTATCGTGAGAGAGCACCAGGAGCGGAAGAAGGAAACTTCCGATCGTTCTCGTCATGCCTGTGATAGATGCAAGGTAGGTAGCATACACATTGCATTGCTACCATTCGTTCATACTCATAACCATCGTTGAGGAAAGCACATTTCGCTAACGATCTTCGTCTTGGCTATGTAAAGTTAAGGAAGACGCGCTGCACTGTTGGGGAGGACGGCCCTGCATGCTTTCTCTGTCTGCAGGATGGCCTCGATTGCCTTGTGACGGACCGCGTTACGAATGAGACGTTTTCGCGTGGAGAGCCGGGGCGCATGAAGCGTAAGATTGCTGAGCTGGAGGAACAAATTGCCGCTATGGAGAGAGAACAAGAGGCCTCTTATTTGGAGATCATTCACCTTCAGGCGATGGTTTCTCACTTGAAGGCGGAGAATATGAGTATTCAAGAGGAGAATCTTCAAAGAGATGGGAGAAGGGAGTTTGCTGATTGTTGGGTGAGTGGATTGAACGTCGGGTGACATTCTTAGTCCATGTCGAGGCTAACTTGCATAATCTTGCATACAGCAAATTGATGGACTTGCTTGATTCGACATACAATGCTTGCTTTGCTCTTGTGCTGACATTAGCGTGTTGGGTTTGCTTGGTGAAGATACAGATCGAGGTTTTTTTTTTTTTAGGGGGAGAGATTAAGATTGGACGTGTTGTCGATACGACCAGCCATGTACCAGTCATTTATGTACCAGCCGATTCCTGTCAAGTGCGTTGGGTATATGTACTATTTTTGTACATATAAATAAATGACATATGATACATTTGCGTCGTGGAATCACCAACTTGCGTTTTGCTTCCAACAGCAACAAATTCCCCTGCTCTCGCACCACTTTCTTACATCCAAGGAGCCAACCTCTCGATCTTCCTCAATGAGACCAAGTCCCTCAACGTTAAGCCATGTGGTCAGATCTTCTAGTATGATTGGATCGTACATCATGATCTTCTCGTGCCATGTTGGACAACTTCGACTCCCAGTTAAAGATGACAGTGGCGAGAGCTTTGACTGTGAGCGCACGGCCTTGGTGATTTGAGCAGAAATATGGGGCAAGCTGCTTCGAGAGGAAGTTCGTGCTTTGTCGGGCTTGAGTGCTGATGTGGACGATGTTGCGGTTTTAGAGCGCGATGTTTTGGTTGTCGTTTTTCGTTTCGATGGAATCTTGGGTGCTACTTCGGTCACAATATCCAAGGTATGATCCTGAGATAGTTTGGTCGATAATTTCTTCGTATAGGGCCGCTCATCTCGGACAGGAGATGGGAACAACTCTTCTTCAGAGTCCTCAATTTCTTCCACGTCCATATAAGAAGACCGAGGAGCACCTCTTGCCCGCGCGGCCTGCTTCGGACTTGCCAAAGCAGGAGGCTTTGATTGGGTGGATTTACTAGTTGAGACTGATATAGATGAAGTGGTGGGCTTAGACTGTGCTTTGGGTTTTGGTTTTGGTTTTGGCTTAACGCTTTGCACCGTTGTTTTTAAAACAGCAGTTTGAGCTTGAGATGAAGCTTCCATCGGTTTATCCGAAGTACCATGCTTAGATTCCCAGCATTGTTGTAGCAAGTCGATCATCTTCTTCCGACCTCTGATCGACTTAAAACCATACACGGCAACCTGTTTTGAGAGTTCGGCGTCTGTGAAGCCATTGTAATGTGGCATAGAAGGCCTTTGGACGTCAGCTTGTTGACTGTTTTCAACTGCTACTACTGGGGTTTCAACAACAGGCGCAGAGACCTTCGCAGCAGAAACCTTTGAAGCAGGTAGAAGCTGAGTATCAACAACAGGCTCAGACAACTTCTCCTGTAAAGTTGTTGTGCTTTTTGGAGGAGCACGTCTTCCATAGTCAAGATCAAACCAATCATCATCATCATCATCAAAAGCAGAAAATACACTAGTAGAGGCGTTTTGCTTCCTTTTGGATGCTCGAGAGGTATCTGTTAGGTCAACGTCTGATTCCGCTGCCTGAACCAAAGATCCATTGATATCTCGAGCCGCAACTCCCCAGAGATTTTTCTTGCCTGTCAGACGAGCTGCCAAGCGAGTGGGTGTCTCACAGCCCGCGCTCATGGGCGTGGAAATGCTCTCAGATGCGCGGATAGCTTGCTGTATATCTCTCAGGGTTTGCGGAGATTCCTCCCTTTCTAGCTGGCTACAGGTGCCAAAGATGAGATCTTGCTCGTTCAAAGCCTTTACAGCCGCTTCGGGCGAAAGGACCGTGAAAATGGGTTCTTCGTTCGCTGGCTTCACCTTTCGTCGGGATTTTGCTTTGCTGATATCTGGAACAACCTCCTCAGTGGAGCTATCATCCACTGACTCATTGGCGGCATATTGGGCGGTCATTCGGGCCGTTAATGTGGTAAATCTTTTCTGGGTCTTTGGTTTCTTTTTCGTCGGTGCACTCGAAGATGAATCGCTATGGTCTGATTTGCCGCAGACAATCGCATGGAGTGCAGGATCCACCAGCTACATGGGCTCAGTCAGAATCCATACATTTATCTTATACTGCGAGCCGTTACATACCTCAATTCGCCTGCGTTTGGTAGGACCTTCGCCATCGGGATTCAGAGAAACTTCGCGAGAATTTGAAGCTGAACCAGAATAATTATAATCGACCATTAGTTTGCCGAACCCGGCTTTTTCGTCTCTTTTCGGCTCCTTTTCAACCGCGATGTCATCTTCTAGACCGGACTCCCTTGGCGGAGTCCAATCACGTCGTCTAGTCACTGCCTCGTCCAAATGCAAATCTTGGCTTTGTCCCAAAGGTGCGATTTGTTCCACTTGGATATTTTCGGTCGCCGGTTCTTGTAAAAATTCTGTTTTTTTGCTGACTTTGCTCGCATTCTTTGTTTGGGGTTCACTCCTCGCCTTGGTGACCTTGCCGGTTAATTTCCTGATCCCCGGATCCTTCGTCGCCTTGCTGGTCTTCGACGCGCTCTTTTTCAGTGCTGCCTTCGTCGGTACCTTTTTTGGCGCCTTTGTTGAAGTTTTCGAGGGTTGTGCCTTTTGCTCGGTATTATCTCTTGAATCCAGAGCTCCCAGCTCAAGCTCTCCCAAGGTAGCTGGAATCGGATCCTGTTCGTTCGGAGCTTTCTTTGACCGTTTCGCGGGAGCTTTGGTCGCATCTGAAACCGTGGTATCGGTGGTTTTCACCGGTTGGCGCTTCTTTCTGGCTGGTTTGTCGGCTCCACTGGGCTCTGGGAAAAATCGAGATCGCGAAGGTGGACGGAAAACTTCTGAGAGGGACGGTACCGGTAATGGCGCTTTATCCAGTGGCGACATGTCGTAAAGCGTCCGGGGGTCTTTCACGGCATTCTTAGGGGTATGCGCAGGAGGCTCCGGTGAAGAAGATAAAACAATGGCATCGGCGGCGCTTGCCATTGTTGTGGGTGGTTGCGCCGCACGCGTGTCGAGGTGAGATTGACTTAAACTCAGGCCAGGTTGGGTTTGAAGTTTCGCCTGCTTCGTCTAGACATTTGCTTTAGACCTCGAAACACTCTTGTAAGGCAAGCCACGTTCGTGGACCAACACTAAAATTTGTTGGTATACAGTGAGGTTCAAGTAAGTCGCGATAGGACGATAATGACGAAGGGGTCTTGGCAAAGTTGTAGAATTGCCTTTCTGGGACGAGTGCATGGTTGGTCCGGGCAACGCGAGGAATTCGTACTTTCAATCTTCAATATTCAATGTGATGTATCACTATAATTTACCAAGAACAACCTTAAATATTAAACTAATTCTCAATGCAATGTCATACAGGTTATATAACTAATTAAATTTAGCTATGCCTTTATCTTTAGGAAAATCAGATCATCTCACTAAAAGAAAACATCAAGTTCAAACATGTACTGTGTATATGTTCTATTATTCTAATCACTATTCGCTCACTTCTTAAAGTCCGATGCCTTGACTTCAGTAAAAGATAGACACCTGTGTTTGCATGCATGTGTAGTTCCTGGAATTTGCTTCAATTGAGGGACGAGAAAAATCCCCTTGGTCGGATCTTCCAGGAGCAAAGTGGGGGGAACAAAGACCACTTCCAAGGAAATACATACATAGCCTGTGTCGTGTAATCTAAAGCAACAAGGCGTGAGATGAGCCTCATATTCCCTCATCTTATGTTTTGCCTGTATTTTCTGTTGCTTTGGCGTAAAAATCTCATAATAATTCGTGCCTTCTCGAGGTCGATGATGACCCGGCCAACCTGGTCCCACAGGAGTCATTAGTGGGCACCGGCGAGGGTTATTGATAAGAAGTTAAAAAGCGCTCGTTAATAGATAACTCCATCACGATCCACGCAGAGCAATTGCACCCAGAATCGACCGCTCAAGCCGCCGTTTGGCCTCATCTGGTGTGCCATTGGCTTCTTTAGCATCCGTCTTGGCCTGAGGAGTAGGCAAAGCTCCAAGTTTGTACGCCTTCTTGATCTTGGCAAAGTCCGAGATCTCAGAAATGGACTGGTCATCAAAGGTCACAGAAATTCCTTGAATGGAAGTTTCCAGGTGTGTGGCAACGGAGTCATGCGTTATCTCCGGGGACACGGCAACTTTCACCACCAGCAAGTCCTTTGTGGAGTCAGAAATGCCGAATTTGCGGAATGAGTCAGCGATCTGAAGTAAGTTAGCTTATGCGCTATACAGATATTGTAGTGCTACTACGATGCTGCTCACATTATTAGCCGCACTGAAGGAGAAGACAATCTCCGAGTGTACATTGCGGGATTTAAGGCGCTTGTTCATATAGTCATTGACTGCTCGGAAGATAGCTGTAATAGCGTGTGTTCGTGATAGAATCTGTGGACACCTATGAGTCTTTCAATTTCATCAATTTCCAAATCTATATGAAGTTTTACACACCATGCTTGCATCAATCAACGCATATTCAAATTGTGTATTACCCGCAAGTAGCTGCTGGAGCAAGAAATCTGCATTTTCCACATTGCGGTAGAGTGCCACGAACACCGGAAGATCAGCAGGCAAGTGAGGAAGATTGACTGTTTCTAATGGCGCCATTGTGATAATAATCTCAGACAAGTAGAGATATTATCCCGATTTCACTTAGCGGGGCAGATTATGGAATTCAGAGCTCATCCCACCTGGGCGCAGCACACTTGGCTTGCACGTGATGATTCTGGAAGTTTCGGGTTTAAGAAGTGCCGGTTTCCGGAAACGTGAGTAATCAGACTGATATCATCCGCCGAGATATAACTGAGATCTTCCCCCTCAGAACTACCTCACACACATCTTCTCGTCTACGACATCGTCATGGCGTTCTTTCTTCGGCGTCCTTTCGCCGTCTCCTCGGCGCTTCGCCAAGCTCCCAAGCTTTCCAACACTACTCGCTTTATCCACAACTCGCCGTTGAAGCCCACACAAGCACCTAAGCCTCAGCCTACCGCGTCATCGGTCTTCTCGAAGTCCCGCCAGACCTTCCAGAATGCCTTCCGTCGCACTTACATGCAGCAGTCCTACAATGCCAACACTGGCAGCATGGGCCAAAAGCTGATGTATGGTGCTGCTATAGTCGGTGGTACTGTGTTGGCTACCAACTTTGTCTTCAACCGTGAAACCCGCGAAGATGGCGGCATGCCCCATTTTGAACGGAGCTACTTGAACGAAACTTTCATGCACACTGGTCTTGGTCTCGGTATTATCGCTATTGCTGCTCGCGCTCTGCACACCACTGGTTGGTCATACCGTCTCATGGCCATGAACCCATGGGCTGTCCTTGGTGTTGGTCTGGTTGGCAGCATTGGCTCGATGTACGGCACTTTCTACACTTCCCCGGATAAGTAAGTATTGTATTCTACCTCCCCTATGAGAAATAACGTTTTTTCCAGTGTTCTTTTCTTGATACTAATACCCTCAATAGCTACGTCATGAAGTACGGCTTCTGGACCCTTTTCAACCTCACCCAGGCTGCTCTCCTCTCTCCTCTGATGTTCTATAACCCTGCTCTGCTCGCTCGTGCTGGTATCTACACCGTCGGTTTGATGGGCTCAATTGCCTTTGTTGGAGCTACTGCCAAGCAGGAGAAGTACCTGTACCTCGGTGGTCCTCTCCTTGCCGGTGTCGTCCTTGTCGCTATCTCTGGACTTGCCCCCATGGTTCTCCCCGCCACTGCCGCCCGTACCCTGATGTGGTCTGAACGCATCTGGCTGTACGGTGGACTGGCTGTCTTCGGTGGCTTCACCCTCTACGATGTCCAGAAGGTCCTGCACCACGCCCGTCTGGCTGAGCGTGGCTACATGAAGCGTGATGTTGTCAACGAGAGTGTCAACCTCGAACTCGACTTCATTAACATCTTTGTTCGCATGGTCCAGATTCTGAGCATGCGCAACAACAGCCGGAAATAAGCAATTTTCCTGGCACCATGGTTGGTTTTAAACTGACCTAAGTTTTTTGAGATTTTGTATACTTAACGAATTGCGCTTCTTTCCCCTGCTTATTCCTGCCCTATTACCTCTCCCAACGGGAAATTCCTTTTGCAATACCAATGGGGATACATCTCCACTCCTTTTTTTGAAACATCATTTAAGAAAATCATTCAAAAAAATCACAATATCATCATACAATTCAAAGACCTGGTATTCCTTGTTTTCTTTTCGGACCATATCTGATTCTTTTTTTTTTTTTTCATCAATTTTTTTGTTGGTGTGATAAAAGGTTGTATTGGATCGACTTACTAGGACCCAGCTAGTACTAAGAGGTACGCATCTCATAAATTTGGAAGGACTAAATGATTCCCACAGTATTCCTCCCGATCTCTCTTTAAAAGCTTCATTTCCCTGAGTTCCATCAATTCACCCACGTTCAATGTGCTCACACTCATTCTCATTAGAGACTTTTGAACCCCAAATCACTCGAATCCAAATCCTTGTGCTTCCGACCCGGAGCCTTGGAAATATCCGCCGCGGCGAATCCTCTAGCTGTGGGCTTGTCCTCCAGGCCAAAGCGAGCCGCCAGGTTTGAAACGTTCGTTTCCGCGTCAGATCCATCTAAACGGGGTGTCCTTGCCGGAGCCTTCACATTCGCGAACGCCCACACGTGCTTCGACCCCAGTTCATCCTCAATTTTAGACCAATCTAAACCTGCGACCTCAGAATTATGCAATCTGGACCTCACCCGGTGCCATATTGCTGGGTTGATTTTGCGATAGGTGAGAAGAATCAGGGAGACGGTCTGCCAGCCTTCAATACGATCACTGGGTAGGCGCAGTTGGAGGATTTGTTCGCCGTCCAGACCCTTGGTGAGGTATTCGTAGAGTGGGCCTCCGTTGCTCTGGGCACCTTGGTCCCAACCGTATGTCTGGTGACGGATCCTGAGCTTTGTGCTGAAGTATTCCAGGTCATCTGCAGAACACCAATCCAAGCCGGAGTCAGGGCCAGAGCCAGGACCAGTTCCTTTCATCCTAGACTTTGGGGAATCGAAACTGACGGTTAACAGCAGGGAGTTGTCTGCGAGTCCCTCCAGGTTGACCAACGTATGGTTTATCTGGTCGAATTGAACCCATGTTTCTTGTTGAACCTTGGGCCAAACTTTTGGGGTCCCGGACTTTCTGTTTGAGGAGCATATGACCATCGACGATGTCGAAGGTCACGTCAAGCTCGGTATGAGGGACCACCATATCGTGGATGTTGCCTGTTTTCGTGTTTCGAATGAGTAGCTCGATCGATTTTCGAATTGGCTCTGGCGGTGCCGCTTGGCAGCCACATGACGGCTCGCCACTGATTTGAGGGACAGGATGTTAGTTAATCTGAAGGTATTTTGGGGTAGATATATGGGGAATACCAGTGTAGGGCCATCCTTCTTCAGTGATATGCCTTCCTCGAATCTGGGGTTTATCGGCACCAATTCATGCCTGGGGACATGGTAAAGAAGAGATGATTGGCACTTTGGGAAGGATAGAGTCAGGACTTGGTTGATGGGAGGAGAGAAATAATTGTAAACATGGGCTTAATAATCGACGTAACCAGCATGCGTTGCTAGTGTCTTGTGATTTCCCTCATTTCGTCTCGGTTCCATAGTATGTTTTCCAATCGTTTTGTACACATAAACCTGGAAAGTTTTATAGCACAACGCCCCGGCAACCGAGTCGAATTAGATAAAACGAATCAGTTTTCACGTGTAAAAGAAGCCTCTGAGTATGAAAACATTTGATTTTACACATATAAGATTGAACATAACTTGAAGTGAGAGCAGGTTCACGAGTACCCCAGATCATTTATGCCCCGAGTCTTAAAAGTCTTGGGTCTGTTGCTGCAATCAAATGAACTTTGAATTGGCCTTTGGAGTACAACAACATTGGACTAATTTTTGTGAAAGTACCGAGGACCAATAAAATGATTCCTCTAATTTAATTTAAATGGAACATAATAGTTTTCAACTTGTGAACAACAAATATACGCATTGTGGTAAGAAGTGATATCTCATAGATCTAAAATGGCACATGGGAGGCGCTAAGCCTAAAAAGGAATGCAACTCAGCCAGAGCTTTTCCCCTTCCGCGTTCACATCAGCACATTGAACAACCACCTGCGCACTGCCATTCTTTACCGCCTCCCCTCTTCTGACCCAAGTATCCTTCGAAATGTCAAACGAAATGGAAGTCGACCCGCCCATTGCCCAAGATGAGGTGCCCGAGCAGCAGGAGCAGGAACAGGAGCCAGAGCAGGAGCAGAACCGTGGCTTCGAGCCTCACACCCAGTCCGGCGCCGTGGCTGTGCGCAGCATTGAAGGATGGATTGTCATTGTCTCCAATATCCACGAAGAAGCTTCAGAAGAGGATATCACCGACCTTTTTGCAGAGCATGGCGAGATTAAGAACTTCAACTTGAACCTTGACCGACGGACAGGTTATGTCAAGGTACGTCATGATAGGCTTATACCCTTTGGTTCTCACTGCGCAGATCAGTTGTGTCAGCACTCAATGGATTGCATGATTACTGCGCTTGTTCTTGGAGAATCTATTCGCTGACTGGCTCACTCTAGGGATACGCATTGATTGAATACTCGACCCTCCCCGAAGCCACCGAGGCTATCAAGAACCTGAACGGCACCAAGCTCCTTGAACAGACCATCTCGGTGGACTACGCCTTTGTCCGCCCACCCCCAGCTAGCAAGGGAGGAGCTAAAGGAGCGGCCAAGGGAACTCGCAACGCCCGCGGTCGTAGCCGCAGTCCAAACCGAAGCCGCAGCCCGGAGGCTGACCGCAACTAAGCTATTGATCCCCCATGAGAGATGATTTTATTCATATTTGCGGGGATGCAAACTGCTTGTCTCTTTTCTATTAATACCTGGGTTACCCTTTTTTCGTCGTTTCTTCCTCCAGCGCTTCTTTCTCGCTTTTTTCTTTCCATCTCACCCCCGCATACCCCTCCACGACGCTCTTGATGGATGACGAACAATCGGTGTCCCTACTACGCCGGCCTAAAATCTCTCCTTGGATGCTCTTTAAAATGCTCGTGCTACACGCTGTGACGGGATTGAGCACACCCATGGGAGAGTTATGTGTCGGCGCCTCATTACATCGCCTCGGAAGGTATGGCATTCTTGTCTCGGGCAAGCTGATTGTCTCATGCTGACTTGACCTGAAGAGGTAAATAAAAGAATGCCATTAAACCTTGATGTTGGTCTACCAAAAGGCCATCTTTTACGCATTTGCTGTCCTCCATCGGATGGTTTGATCCAGATAGCAACGACCTAACTTCACAATCTAAAAAGGGTCATGGAGCTCATATGCCAGAAAGATTTTTTTTACCTGCAATATAAAAAGCCGAATATCCAACCAGATTTCAATCCCTTATCTTCCGCTAGTAGTTAAAGTTGCCTTGCAGCCATTCGTTACTCTAGGGTCATATTTACACCAATGAATTCAAAGCTTTAGATTGGCAGTATACAGGATAGATAAGTATGCTGGAGGTTTCTGCTGTTTCGTATTGTCGTATCCATGAACCTTAGAAGGTTAAGTTTCGATTTCGATGTGAAGAGTCAATTCTAAACCCCTACAATGACCTCCCCCAGGACAGCCCTTTTGTCCGAGCGTTGCGGCTCGGCGTCTCTAGATTCCCCACGGCCTGCATCACACGACCCATGTGGCACGGCACGACCAATGCATGGCCACTTGTGATGCAGCCATAGACGCACCTCCGTGCCCTAAGCGTCCCTTCATTTATAACAATTTTCCATGTCATTCTTTACGTACTTGGCATTGAGCACCTGTGTCGAATCCAAGTGGGGTCATGGGGGGGGGGGGGGTGACTAAGCTCCATGGTCACCCTTGGCTTGGGGCCAAACCCTCTTTCTCCCCATTTCCCCGCATTAGAGGCTGGCGCTATCCTGGTTGTTGGTTGCAGGTGACTTGGTGCGATTTCTGATATTATTATAGAGGGGAAGTCGGCCTCAACTCTTGCGCATCGTACAATTCCCTTTCTACCAGGCAGGATGACTCTGTGGCCCCCTTCCCAGATCCCTGCCGGGCCCACACGGTCTCTGTATACTATGATGCTTGCGATATTCCTACTTTCCCTATGCGCCGTGACCAATGCACTTGCAACTCAGCCACAAAGGCTTCTCGGGGAATCCCTGCCTGCAGCGCAGGGATCGCTTGAGTATTCTGAAGATGCTTTTGATGAGGCCGATCTTGCAGAAAGTGATGCGTCAGACGTGAACTCGTGGAGCTGGGAGACTCCTGCCCAGACCCTGCAAGATCTGCTGGGCGCATTGAACGTCATGCAAGACAAATACTTCTGTCTGTGGCTAGGTACATGGCCGACCAGCATTGATTGGACAGCTGCTGTCCTCGGAACGCATGTCGGCGCCGCATTGTCGTCGTTTACTTCCTCCTACAACTTTGACGCCGAACAACCGCACAACGTTTCTTTCGCCGGACTCGAGAACACAGTGAATCAATTCTTCAGCCAGCTTAACACTTTCTACTTTGGCGAGAACGCCTTTGCCCTGCGGAATCAGGCCTACGATGATATGCTTTGGGTGGTGCTGGACTGGCTGGAGAATATCAAGTTCCAGGACCTACATACCGGGCTGCACTATGCTTCCTCTAATGCCTCGAGTCTCTCGACCGAATCAAAATGGTATGGTACTCAGTTCCGCGACTCGGCTGCACACCGCGCGCGCATCTTTTACGAGCTCGCCTCGGTAGGATGGGACAAAACTCTCTGCGATGGTGGAATGATCTGGAATCCGTCCCTCACACCGTACAAAAACGCCATTACAAACGAGCTGTACATATCCGCAAGTATCGCAATGTATCTATACTTCCCAGGCGACCCCATCGACGCCCCATTCTTGACCACCAACCAAGACCCAGCCTCCGGCCTGCACAACCCCATCCACCTAAAAGCAGCAGTCGACGGATATAAATGGCTGCGCAATTCCAACATGACCGGTATACACGGCCTCTACGCAGACGGGTTCCACATCAGCGGCTGGCGCAGCTCCTCGAATCCAGGCACACGGAAGTGCGACGTGCTGAACAAGATGGTCTTCACATACAACCAGGGCGTCGTTCTCAGCGGGCTGAGAGGCCTCTGGCTCGCTACCGGCTCACAGGATTACCTCCGTGACGGCCATGAACTTATTCACAAAGTCCTCCGTGCTACAGGCTGGCCGCGGACTTCGTCAGCCCAGTGGGCCGGTCTCGGGCGCGGCGGTGTCCTCGAAGATACGTGCGACTCACACTCTAGCTGCTCGCAGGACGGGCAGACCTTTAAGGGAATATTTTTCCACCATCTGGCGGAATTCTGTCGCCCACTCCGGCCGCAGGAGGAACGATTCCTGGCGGGTGAAACGCCACGTCCGGCTGTAGATGGGGAATGGGAGCAGGTCTTCCGTCGGCATTTGAGTAGATGTCGTGCCTATGGGCCGTGGATCGAGCATAATGCCCGTGCGGCACTTATGACCCGCGATGACGAGGGCAAGTTCGGGATGTGGTGGGGGTTGCCATTCTCGTCTGCGCTGGCCGAGGGACTTGCGGATAGCAGTACTCTTCCCGAAGGCGCGGTGGATTACCGGAATGGCGAAATGGATGTCGGGGCCATGACGGCAGGTGTGCCGCGGGACTTTAATGATCGTGGCCGCGGTCGCACGGTTGAGACGCAATCTGGCGGTGTTGCGGTGCTACGGGCTCTGTTCCAGTGGCAGACGAGCGATGCCCTCTCATGATTCTATACGACGTACGTACGGGCCTGGTGTTTTGGGCGATACATATCATTAGTCATTATTAGGAGGGATTTGTTTATATTGCACAGTACATAGGCTTTGTACAATACAATCCCCTGTACTGGATTACTGGAATGGTTATTACTTATACCGAGCTTCCTACATAAAGCCCTCCAGCCACCTCCAAGCTAGGACAACATCCACCACCCTCGCACTAACTGACCGTGTACCCAGGTACAGCAGAAACAGTCAGATCCACAGCGGCTAAATCATCCAAATAGGCAAACAGTACTCCGGATATTCCGTAAGACCAATTCTACCTCCGTAAGCGACTGCTGGATCAATACAGTAGACATTGTCGCACCTATTCCCAGCATTCGAACATCGCCTCAACCCATGTTTCACCCCAAACGCCGGCAACACCCCCCAGAAACAGGACCGCTAGCTCAGCACCAAGTACTTCGATTCATGAAGCCATTGATCCTTTGGCATGAACTTTCAGCAGTACCCAACCCGACCCCGCCATACATACTCGGAACCATTTCTCTCAGCCGTGCACGGTTCATCAACCTTGCACTAGTCACAATCTAACCTGGATCGACCTGGCGGACCCAAGCTCCCACATTCCGGTGATAGTCGCCGCTCCACAGAAGCTACACGAGAGTGGAAACAAATAATAAATAATAAAGTAAAAAAATTTCAAAACAAGTATCCGGATCTAAAAACAGGATTGTGAGATCGAGAGGATCTGCGGATGTGGGACTGCCAGTATACAGAAGATATTGTGTATATGTATGGATATACGGTGTAAAGAGATCAATTGATGCCCCTGGAGGTGGACGATTATGCTTTTCCAAGGTTTGAAGGCTTTTTTCTTGCAATGTTCAAAGGTTACAATTTCTTTGGTGATACGTTCGGAGTTCTCGAGTTCGTGAGAATAGCGTAAGGATGAGTCAGATGTAAGAGATTGTTTAGTTATAACGTACGGAGTAACATTTCAAGGTTGAAGCTGCGGTAAGCATTCAAATGTTGGGTTTGCGCATACTAGTATGTACTAGCAAGTAGTATGTAAGTTTCAAGTTTGTACGGAGTATGATGTGGTTATTTTCATTCAACCTTGGAAGCTTGGCTTCAAGGTTGCAAACATTGAAATGTTTGATCTTACCTGATGTATAATTTTAAATAATTGATAACCTATTGGTTCAATGGTATGCTTACTTTCTGGTACGAAGCACTCGTCCTGTAGCTTATAATAAGCACCTTCAGGGTTGAAGCAGCTAAGCCGTAAAATTTCCGGTGTATTTCCGTTGCAGAAAAGATTGGATAAGCATGCGGTTGTTCATACATGAAGCAAGTCACTTGACCCTATGACATAAGGATTCTTCAGCCTTGCCAGCGCAAGGAGAAGAAATACTTGGAATCGGCATTCCAGCGACGCAATTGTCCTGTAAGTACAACTCAGACCGGACGATACCTATCCTCCAAGGTGTACCTAGTGGGAAAGACAAAATTTAAGCTAGATAACTGTACAGTTATGGAGCAAACGGTACGAATGCCCAGTTAAGCTAAGAGCTAAAGGGGGGAGGGGGGGAGGTCACGATAACCACCCAAAAACCAAATTGAACATTCAAGCACGGCATGGAGCACTCGACCCACTGTCAGGCAGCACAGCCCCCGGACTTTTCCAGCTTGTGACTACATATTCGATTGTTCGTTCAATACGGAATGCCAAAGCTCGTTGGATCTGCCTATATGGACAGGGAAATCATTATCCATAGTGCATATTGCGGTGGCTTCTGTACTCCGTACATGTAGGGCGGTGCTAGGGCCATTTATTGGATGCGATAGGCATCAACAGGCTGAATTTACGGGGACTTATCAGGTACCGAAGCACCACACCACTACAGTACACGAACCAACACACCACGCGAACCACCATCTGATGCCCCGATCTGGCGTATTTTGGGTATCCAACCCACGGAGCAGCAAAAGGACGATAGGAAATAATAAGAAAAGGAATGAAGCTACCTTACTGTACGTACAGTAAGAAACAGAAACAGAACACCACTTTGACAAGAAAGAAAAAAAATAAATACAAAATACCTGATTGGCCATGGCTGCAGAAGGAAATATCCCGCGGCAAAAGGGTGAACGTGGCCAGTGAGACGGTGCCAAAAATCGGTAGCCACGTCCTAACCCACCCGCACTAACCTAAAGAACGCGCGCCATCCGCAGCTGGGAGGGGGGGAAGGAAGTGGAGATTAGCGTGCTTTAAGACTAGCCTTACTTGACGCCCCCTCCGTAATTGACGATGGAAACGAGTTCGTACTGGTGGGGTGGGTAGGGAAAGGGCGGGATGGGAAAGGACGAGAGACGAATCATCAGGCATAGAGGGAGCTGCAGATCGGCAGGGTTGTTCAGTTTTGTTGATTTTTTGGGGGGTTTTTTTTCTTTTTTTCTTCTTTTTTTTGCCTCTTGCTGTTTTGACAAGGCAAGTGGGAATTGGGCGATTTTAAACAAGGTGGTTTCGATGAGGTTTTCGGTTACGTATACCCACTATACATGATCATGTACACTATGTAAATATTATAACCACCAGCTTACGGTGGTATGGTTTTATTTGTACGGAGTTATGTATTTTACGCCTTCCATGTTCTCTGGGGGTTACGTGGATGATTTACGGGGATCAAGAATAAGCAGTGTTTCTTGTCTCAGTTGCCCCCGTTAGCAAGTTCTTCTAAGGAAAGTTATGGAGCACACGGTACTTTGGCAAGGCAGAGAGAGAGAGGTGCTCGGTATTATATATGTGTATTATGTATTATGTATTGTGTATTGGTATTCCGGTGGAACCATCGCACAGACTCAAGTCACCAGGCCTGAGCGTCCTCTTTTGCCCCCTTCGCAGCGGGGATTCAGGAACGATGGCCACTGGTCATTGAAGGAGGGGTACACCCTCTGTAATTAGTACAAAGTATTAGGGAAGTATAATATTTGGGTTCAGAAAATACAGCCTGTACAGAAGATGTATGGAATATGTAGCTGAAGGGGGGAGGAAGGAGCACTCGAGAAAGCAACTAGTATGAATGAATTTTCCGATCGGTCACATATTCATTTTCGGTGGGTTCCACTTTCTCGAAACCTTGAGGATCAGTATAAAGAGATTAAACATGTACTAGCTTTACTCCGTAGTGTATACAAGAAATGATGAATCAAAAGAACATTGAAAGAGCATGAGTTCGAAGCCCGCATTACAATCCTGCAGAAAACCCGAAAGAAAAAGAAAAGAAAACAAAAACAAAAATGAACAGGGATTGTATGCCGTCATAGAGAGAATGCCTCGTGCAACGTGCCCCGGACAAAACTCGTGCAGGCGACGGGGGAGTGGCGCCGGCAGTTCTGATTCGAGTATTTTCACTACAGCCACCGTTCTCCCCAAATCCAAGCCACTGCCGGGACCAGGGACCCATGGATGATATTCTCGGGTCCGGTACCTGGTTTAGAAGGAACCCGATGAACAAAATTAGAGAAAGGAACAGGCTAAACTGGATAAGTAGAACACCAATTAAAAAGAAAATACATAGAGAAGCTCGTGGAAGATCAAGAACTTCGGTGCATTTACAAACTGATTAACATACACAGCAGGGAAGTGGACACCATGATTAATACTAATCCGTACACAATAAACAAATTATTATGTATTATGTATTATTTTTTTTTTCTTTTTTAATTGGAACCCCGGAGAAAGCAGAAGTCAAAGGAGGATTTTTTGACAGCACAGCAAGAGGCGCCTGACAGGCTGTTCCTGCCAAGGCCAACAAAGCAATATGTAGGAAGTGGAGAATCTTTTAGGATTTCCGCTGAGAAAGTTCAGGTGGAGAACGATTTGAAGCCATGCGGATCGGCGGTGATGACCCTGCTTGGTTTCACCTCCTTTTTTATTTTTCCACCAGATTTTGCATGTTAAGGACTTTCCGTATACATCACACGGCTACTGCTAGAACCCACGGGAATGGTTCGGGAAAGACGCGGTTGACCGGGGCCGATGAATCCCTCGTGACTCTCCGGTTGACTATGAGATATTTGGAACCATTCAAGTTTGTTATTATTCAATTTACGGGAAAGAACGGGTAGAGCAAGTCCACTTTCAGTGTATACTCCGTACATATATGATAATTGAATCGATTGGATAAATAATAAATTTGATATCAACGTGTGACCAGGATTATGGTACAACTTAAAGCTAAGGCTTAACCGAGCGGCAGAATCCCCCAAAGTCTTGGCATTGGTTTCGTTTTCTTTTTACTGGTAAAAACGCTGTAATTTTGGTTTTTGCCCTTTGCCTTTTTTTTTCCCTTTTCCTTTTCGCTTTTGGCTCACCTTTTTAGATTGGGCGTTCTTTAGTACTTTCTCGTACTTTTGACCAAAAAAAAAAATCTAAATCAAAAATTGATATCTCAGATAGATCTTCTTACATTTTGTACATCATATCCCTTTTGAGGCGTTTCGGGGGGGGGGGCAAGGAAATGATTTCCGTTTGCCACCATGCCAGGGAAAAACGTAAAACGAAAATGATTTTCCAAATGGAAACCAACAGAACCCGCCCTTTGTCAACCAACTTCCCGATTGCACTGTATGTTATGGTCATGGTACGGGGAAAAGTGCAGAACCAGTCATATGGCGTCATTCTCCGCTCCGTTGAGGCTCGATCGACATTACATAGCGCCCCTCTCTTGTTACCCCCCTGAGAGAGGCGGATGGAGATACGCTACGCTTGCTCCATACCCCAGCTGCATATGAAAGATATTGTATAGACCTTCAAGGAGTTGGGGTTGTTGATTTGGGATTCCAGATTTATCCAGAGACTTGAAAAAAATAAGCCTTGGCATTTGTTTCGAAGTTCAACGCCCGCCGTTTTCAGTGCATGGAATGCAGAAGGATCCAGGTACTCGGGTATCATATAGATGTGTACGGATGAAGTAGTATACAGGTACGTACTCGGTACCTTCAAATGTTTGACTTGTACCAGACTGAACCAATTAGTTGTGGTAAATAAAGGGGGGAAATTTACCCTATCCAGAGTTATCGGTAATGGTAACGGTAATCAGAGTACTTTCTGCCAGGGCGGTGGAAATCGTAGATATTTTGATTGGCTTATTCATTCAAGGTGGACCTGTGCCCTATTTGAACCAAGTCAGATAGTCAAGGACTAACCTGAGTGGATCCCGGAGAGGGAAGCGGTGTGCCGGTTCGTCTGCTAAACAGGGTTAAAAGGGGGATTTACACAGCAAAGACTGAGAGAGAAGAAGAAAAAAAAAGGGAAAAAAAATCGACAAAAAAAAAGGGTACAAAGGAGAAGTCCATACAAACAGAGTTGACTCTATACCGGACCTCATCCGGTTGCTCGGAACCTGATTCTTGCTTTTTATCTCTTCCTCTCACCGAAAGATATGCAATCTGTAATTCATAAATGTTTACTAAACTATTATCTGACTCACCTATATGATAATCAGTCAAGGGAATGAATCAAGGAACAAGATCATATAGTTAGTAAGAGTATTGTATAATATTTTATAATATGGTACTATCGTAATATTTCACTCAACTCCGTTGGAACCGTCATATAGATTTCAAGTAATGAGAACCTGACCAAAAAAACCAGCGAAAAGAAAAAAAAGAAAAAGGAAAAAAAAAGGAAAAATACAAGAAAACAGAAGAAGAGGGGGGGGACGATCAGTCGCATCCAACCAAGGGACTTGGCCCTCCACCTGCTGAAAAGGTGCTAAGATAGTCCGTACCGCCCACCGCTCTCGTACGACGGAAATCCCCATCCCATCTGGTAACACCGATACCTTCCCGAAGCTCTTCCTGTCCCTTTTTTGCTTTTTGCTTTGCTCTCTGCTTCACCTTCGTTCCTCGGCCTTCCAACCTCGTTCCTCCCCAACCCCAACGCCATCGACTGTCTCTTCCTGCCCTTCCCTCTCGACTTCTTCCCTCCAAACAGATCCTGCACAAAATTCGCCCAAATCGGAAATCCCCCTCTCAACACGCCCGTTCTCGTGGTCCCTCTCGATCTTCAAAACCCCCATCAACCTCAATCCGACTCCCCAATCGACCCCGGTAGCTACCTCAAGCGTAACACAGATTCTTCGTCTGGGGTGCATCGCTAGGGGTAGACCGTGGTCGTTCGAATTCGAAAATTTTGTTTTCCCGACCCGCGACGAGAAAGGAATTGACAGATCGACGACCTTGAAAAAAAAATTCACAACTCTTGCCCTTCAGCATACACAAAACAAAGAAACAGGAAACAGGAACAGCCGCCACACTGGACTCGCTAAACCCCATCTTTCTTGCGTCCGTTGCAAACAACCACCCATATGGCCTCTGATACGGAAATGACTGAAGCCTCTCCCGTGGATACCTTGCCGCAACCCAACGACGGTGGCCGTATGCATATGTCATCTTTGTCCTCATCTTCATCCATATCTGACGCCGAGACTGACCGCCGCGGTCGATCTGAACGCCCCCGAATGGCGAGCCGTAAACCGAGTGCATCTATACTCGTACCCCGTGACCACCCTGAAATTGAAATAGAAGAGGAAGAATTTCCTCCTGACGACGCCCGTGCCATGAGTCCCCGACGGAATTCCGCTGATCTGGAGCGATTGGGCAAAGAGGCTCGACAGACTCTCCAAGAGTGAGTGTTGTGTCCCCTCTTTCCCCCCCTTTTTGATTTCCAGATATTCCATACCCTGTTTTTTTTTTTTGGTTCTTGATTGAAAGAAAAGGGGGAAAGACAACAAACAGAATCCCTTTTCAGAAAGCTAACAAGCCTGAACAGACAAGCCAAGGCACTCCAATCCTCACTACAAGCCCTCGCCGAGCGAATCGACGCGGTCAAGTCGGATCATGACAAGCTGGAAAAGGACAATAAGATCCTCCAAGATTACATTGGTGGCCTCACTCGAAATATGACAAAGGGCGAAATGACCCGGAGTACAAAAGCACGCAAAGCTCAGAAATAGCTACACCTGGGAGGAGTGAGGAAAGAGTCGCAGGTGGACCGTCGCTGCTCCCTAGTGACCCAGCGACATAGGGATTTCTACACACGCTAGAGAGGAGTTTGGGCGGTACAACTCTCTTTTGATCACGATTCATCCCGATGTTTTGTTCGATTTCTCCTCACCTTTTTACGACTATCCTCACCTTCTCCCGTCCGCAACGCCCCAAATTTGACCCAAGAGGCTACCCCGAAGCTACAACCTAATTGCAATACCTGCAACTGCGGATTGAAGAACTTTTCGGAACAAGGGGCTCCTCAGAGAGGTACCAGAGTCTCATGAAGACTTCACTTGTACTATTTTCTCGATTGGACGTCTTTGCTTACGGTTATCGCCACTTTTGCATCTTCCCCCAAGCCACACCCGACCGGTTCGATGTGTGGCCAACTACATCTTTACACCTACTCTTTACGTCCCACGCCTTTCGTCATTGTCTCCACCTCCCCCTTCGCAACCCGGATCGACCGCTAAATCACAAGCGATCATCATCCCCGGGTGCTTATTTACTCAAGGGAGTCGAGTTAGATTGCCAGTGACATCATCGCATGCTTGGGGCTCGTCAAATGGCCCGCCACCTGGGTCTTGGCAACCTTGATTCATCCAGGATCATCCCATCAATACGGCCCTTTTCATCGATATATGACGCTAAAATCTACGTGGCTGTCAACTGTGGGACGATCTCCCCTGCCCTGACGATTTCACTGGGCTTCATTTTCCCCCATTATTTTCCGACAGCTTTTTTATTATTTGACTTTCAGGCGTTTTATTCTTTTTCTTACTGTGACTCCCACGGCGGGTTCTTTGCGGACATGTTACCTTGTATTTTTTCTTCTTCTTCATTTTTTTTCTCTCACTTTCTTATTATCATCGGATGCATAGCACCTCGGGCGTTTCGGGGACTGGGACTAGACTCGGTTTTATTGAATGAACTCTTACCGGAGCCCGCACAGGAAATTGTTTTCGTCCTCATATGCGTGGTCATGGTCAACGGCAGGATGGCCTGGAAAGTGGAAAGCATCATAAGGGGTCATTGTTTCTCAGAGCAGTCCATTTACCATTTGTTTGTGTTCTTCCCCCCATTCATCTGATCGTCCTCCACACCAGACGATCACTTGTACATCTTGCCCTTTCGACACCTTTTTTTTACTTCTTCTTCTTCACACCTAATGGACTGACCCTGCAGAACAACTCTTATCCTTCTTCATTTTTCTCCCTTTGCATTTTTCATTTTTCATTTTTTTTTTATCATTTTCTTGCGGCTCTGTTTCCTGCTACTTGCTTCGCTCTTGTCATACCCAGGAACGTGTATATGTCTCAAGTCCTCACTCTGGTTTTTATTTTCTATCGCCCCATCATACCCTCTTCCCTCTAGCTTGCATAGCTGGTAGCATGGTGGTTCTATCCATAGCAATGGAAAATGTTCAAAATGTTTGATTCCATGTAGATCTTTCCCGCCATTTCAACTGGAAGATACTACGCACATGATGATCGTGTAGCCGTATTTAGAATATGCCCGTTTCAATGTTCTCGGAACCATTATGACATCCTATTGACCAAACTATTGATTTTATGCCCCCAATTATAGATTCTGATAGTCACATGCCCAGCAAGAAATTTCTTCCAGGGTCCTCCAACTTCAAATTATGAGATTACATATGGAGTATTTGTACGGGGTATAGGCTAGCTACCTACTAGGCAGATACATAGATTCAATGTTGATACCTCCTGTGGACCTAGGAGCATGTTCTGTGCCATTTGAACGGCGTTAAACGTCCCGACCAAGCTATTGATGCGCAAAACCCCAAGTTGGTCCCTGCGAGAAAAATGATCGACCATGCCCAATTTTCCATCCTGTTTATTTGGTGCACTATTGAAAATGGTCATCGTACTTTTGTTCGTGGATCTAAGGGGTTGCCGAGGTACACGCGGTTAAATATACATGTATAGAAACATTTACCTAGATGGTACATGTGCATACACATACCAGTCAGCTGGTAGGAGGACAAACATTTAAATAGACCTCGGGACCCCTGCGTATCTGCATGTGTGGATATTGATCTTGAGATGAGTCCACAGGTGGGAATCCATTGTAAGTGCTATGTAGGTCAACTGGTACTATATCCGCATGTCAATATGTAGATACATACTATGTATATGTATGTAGTACACATTCGTTGGTTACACATGCTCGGCACATGTGCATATGTACATATCCAGATCTCCAAAGACTCTTACTTCATGATGCCAGAAAGTGCTACTACCAGTTGACCTATATATGAACAGCCTATGTATATCAATTGATGTACCATGACCTTGGAACATTCATAAATAGTCATACATTTCATACATCCACGAAGTGATGTAACAGAAAGTTGAGCGCCATCTATTTCCAAGGTTAGCACTAACATTTGAAGATTGCCCAAGATTACTACTAGTACTAGTATGTATTGAATCCATATTTCCAGGAAGGCGGGCAGTAGCCGAAATACCTCCGGGGCTACTAGTATTCGGTACTAGGTATCACGATTGATAGGTACCTGAGCATTGTCAACTACATGTACGTACTACATGTAGTCACCCCAGATAGGTCTTTTTGGACTTTTTCTACAAAGCAAAGCTTGAAACCTTAAAATTACTTCATCCATACGCATCCATGGATCCATGCACTTGACCCGTCCAGGGCTGAGACCTCATGGATCAGAATCTCCAGCAGTGATGTCCCAGCCAACCTCCTGTCGAGGTCTAGGTAGGTAGACACGCAAGGGTCAGGATGGTTCTACTGTCACTCAAGTCCAAGTAGGATGGCCCACACGACAGGGTATCTAATCTGAAAAAAAAGTACGGGATATGAGGCGAATATACCTCAGTTGATCTTTAACATCCACATCTAGCGAGAATCAAACGCCACACATAATACGAAAATAGACGAGAAGGATTCCAGAGGAAAGAGAGGAGAAAAGAAGAGGAGGAAAAAAGCCAGATCGGGGGAATCAGTACGAAAGCCCTCATTGTGGTCCTGATAAGGAGCTGATTTAAAAAAAATTCTCTGTCCGTGTGTATATGTGTGAGGGGGTGTTTGGAGAGTGCGCGCAAAAAAGGGACTCTTTCAGAGGGGGTAAAAATAGGAGAGGCAAGTAGACAAAATAACAAGGAGAAGGAAGAAAACGAAAAGGAGAACTTCGGACAAGGTTCCAGAAAAGAGAACAACACCAGGCTAATAACAGGAAGTGCAAAGATAAGTGGAAGACTCGAAGGGATATTCCCCTCCAAGACATAGCATATGGACAAAACCAATTGTTTTCCCCCGACATCATCTCCAGACCTGTAGAGCCCGGAGATCAGAGGGGAATACAAAATTGTTATCAATGCGTCTTGCGGGTTTCTCTCTGCATGTTCCACTTGGTCTTCTTACTCCGATAAGAACCTGTCACATAACTCTCTCAGTTGTCCCATCCGTCCCAGGACGTGAGTCCATCATCAATATCTTTTTAAAGTTCAACCCTTTATTCGGCGGGCTTCTCACCCTCGGCAGCGGGGGCCTCCTCGGTCTTCTTCTCGGCGGGGGCCTCAGCGGAACCCTCAGCCTCGGACGAGGTCCAGAGGGTCTATTAAATGGATTAGTCATGAGAAGCTTCGAGCAGAATATTCAGAATCAAAACGTACCAGGTTGTCACGGAGGAGCTGCATGATAAGAGTGGAGTCCTTGTAGCTCTCCTCGCTCAGGGTGTCGAGCTCTGTGGGTGGTTGTTAGTCACTAAGATTCTTTCTTTGGGGGGAGAGGCTCATGGAAGTAGCGGATGTGGGCACGAACCAGCAATGGCATCATCAAAGGCCAACTTGGCGAGGTGGCAGGCCTGATCGGGGGAGTTCAGGATCTCGTAGTAGAAGACAGAGAAGTTAAGGGCCAATCCGAGACGGATGGGGTGGGTAGGGGCAAGGTCAGTCTGGGCGATCTCAGTGGCGGCCTTGTAAGCCTCCAGGGAGAAGTCGGCAGCACCCTTGCGGCGGTCGCCAGTGGCGAACTCAGCCAGGTAACGGTGGTAGTCACCCTTCATCTTGTGGTAGAAGACCTTGGACTCGCCGCTCTGGGCGGACTTGATGAGGTGATCGTCCAAAACCTCAAGGATATCGTCACAGATCTTGGCCAACTCAGCCTCGATCTTCTGGCGGTACTCCTTGATCAGAGTAACCTGGGACTCGTTGCCCTTGGACTCCTCCTTCTGCTCAATGGAGGTAACGATTCTCCAAGAGGCACGGCGGGCACCGATAACGTTCTTGTAGGCGACAGACAGGAGGTTGCGCTCCTCAACGGTGAGCTCAACGTCGGCCGAGGCAACGACCTTCATGTTCTCAACCATCTCTGTATGATTTGGTCAATATTTCGAGTTTTCTGTTTACGTTGGATATTGGGAGGCAAACCTTCATAGCGCTCGGCCTGCTCAGCGAGCTTGGCGAGGTAGACAGCGTCTTCTTGACCCATGGTGAAAAGTTCTAAATCAATCAAATCTGATTAGTTTCACAATCTCGCTGATAATTTTCATAGATGACGTTTGTTTTTTTTTGGAGATGAGAGTGGGAAGCACGCCATCGACATCATCGCCGACCGGGAGGGGTAGCCTAGAGCGCCAGGACCCTCTCTCTCCCTTAGATCTGGAGGGTGTTTAACAGCAACCCCAACTTGACATCATATAGAATAATGCCATTCAAGAACTGCCATTTGCATTCCCCCCGAAATCGGATATCATGACGATGGATCTGTTGATGGGCCCCCGATGTGGGCTTCCGGGGGATGTGCGGTGTTTGGGATCACAATGAAGCGGTCGCGGCCGTCCCACCAAGTAAACAAGGTAAGGATAAATGGCTTTCGGGCCATCAGAAGGGTATGCGATTTTGGATCATAAAAGATCCAAGTGGGAAAATTCCCCCATAAACTTCCTCTTGGCGGCTCAATGATCCTCCTGTTCCCCGGTATGGAAAGGGAGTGGGTTCGAGGGGGAGATTGTTGTGTGGTCTTGCTGCAGGGCGGGGGAACTGGGGGAAGGGAAGGGTACGAAGGATGAAATTGGCTAACAAGAATAACACTCACCTGGATTGAGAGGAGAAAAAATAGAACGGGAGGTGATTAAGGAGAAGAGAAAGGGGGGAAGTTTCAAGATGAAGGGAAGAGGAGGGAATGAGAGAAGAGGGGGAGGGAATCAACAGGGCGGTGTCGTTGGGATTTAACGCTACAAGCAGAGCAAGTCGTAAGGGAAGGGAGTTAACAGCCTATCGAGTATTTTCTTAAAGTTCTATTTAGTTCACATGGTCTTTGAATCAGACCTTGCTTAATCTTTTATGTTTCCTATATCTCTCTCTCTTCATTTACCCCCCCTCCTTTGATCAGAATTGTTCACGCTCAAGCGTCCTCATCTTCTGTGTGGTTCGGTGGGCCACTCAGCGTCATCCCCCATCCCGCGCCCACCAATCGCCCTTGTGGTTCCCTACTTACGCCTCACTTTTGGGACACTTTGTTCCTTGGGCCAAAAGACCCATTTATTCAAGTCTATGCCTTGCATCTTTGAAGCAGCCCTAACCCCTATATACTTTTATCAGAATATCATGGATTTATATCGGGGTTCAGCTTGGTCTAGACTGTTACACCATATATAGAAAAGAACCCAGAAAAAAAGAGAAATCCATACAGGACAATCCTAGATCAGCCGAGGAATCATCACGTAGTCACTTCCACCAAACTCCTATACTCCATACGAATGATCTTCCATGCCCCTCATGATCTCTCACAGAGCCGAATAAGAGCACGTTGACTTATCGCAGAGATTTACCGGAACGCCCGCTGGCTGACATAATCCATTATCTAATGCACCCCAGAGTCACATGATGTGTCGTCATGCCACCCAGGTTTCAAGCTTACTACAGGAGCTTACAAGGTTGATTCTGCCTGGACTATTTCTACCTTTTCCCCTGTCACTCTGAATCTTATTCTCCTCAACATCATCACAAGTCATCACACCTATCACAATCCATCATGCTCCGTCAATCCATCATCCGACCTGCTGCCACTGCCAGCCGGGCCCTACAGTTCCGTTCCTTCTCCGTTGCGGTTCCCCGACTGGGTGAGGGTGATACCGGTGCTCCCCGTTCTGCTGGAGGCTCAAGCTCTGGGTACGTATTCCACTTAACTCTACCCCTGCAGCATCTGATCACGTCTTGTTCCCGAATGTGCCTTGGCCACTAGAGTGGGCAACGAAACGAGGCGCAGCCGGCACGGCGTGTCCAGTGTCTGCCTTGTCATATGACATCATCCCTTGCTGACATGGTACTCGCAGTGACGCATTCACCAAGCGTGAGGCTGCCCAGGAGAGCATGTACATCCGCGAGAAGGAGCTTGAGAAGTAAGTTTTCTTTGCCCTCATGTGACAGTAATTGGTTTGCTGACAAGGTGGAACAGGCTCTCAAAGCTGAAGAAGCAGATCTCTGAACAGCGCAAACACCTCGATGACCTCGAGGGCCACATGTATGTACCATTACGTTGTTCAATGTTTCTGTTTGGTTTTTGTAGTGTCATACTAATTTGTCTTCTTTCCAGTGATTCCCTTACCAAGGAGCAGCAGCGCTAAAGCGGCCATACATTTTTACAGTGCCTACCCTTATTGTACTATAATAATCTCCGCTCCAATGAGGTGTGATCAGTGGGGGCTCTTTTGCAATTAGCATGTGACCAAGAATACACGCGAGAGCATATCAGGAGTTTCCTCCTTTTGAAACTTGAACGAACCAGCATGTTGTCCGCGTAGCACCGCTTTAAAACAGCCACCGGCGCTAAATATCTAAGAAATATTTTTCAGCCGCTTCTCGTAGTTTTAAATGAAAATACTACAATTTGCGATCAAAGACAACTTGAAGTTTACTACGCATGTATCAAGATCGAAGCATACATGTACCTCGAGATAGGTACATAAACAAAGTTAAAGAAGTCTTGCTTAGGTTTAAAGTATGATACAGCTACAGAATACCGCCAAATACTGCAAGATCCGCCAAGCCCCGCAAGATAAAAACAAGTACATGTCGTGTGAGCCATGCGAAGAAAGTATTTCTACTAAAAAAAAACAAAACCTTTCCCATTGAGTCACGGTATGTTTCCATAACTTGAATTAAAATCATAAGACGTCCCATCCATCACCACTTAGCGCCGTCCCATGTACGAGCGATAGAAATCATCCGCAACATGGCTGCCACCACCCATACCAGGACTAGCATATCCGTAGCCAAGGCGAGAGGAGATCGACTGGCCAGCCTTTTGAGCGGCAGAAACCTTGGCCTGCAGTTCGGATGTACCTTGGTCGATGACCTGCAATTGAGACAAGTGCGAGTTGAGAATGCGCACAATCTGGGAGATCTATAGTAAAGTCGGGTCAGTAATCGAATTACCAAAGAAGAGGATTGTTGCGTTTGACATACGGGTTCGTCTGCTCTGTTGGTCTTGGTAAGGGATGCTGAGGCACCGTTCACCTCCTCGATCATGCTGGTCAGATCCTTGCCCATCTCATCCAAACGCTCGGAGAGCTTCTCGGCCAGTTTGTATCTAGAAATATAAGTTAGACTCGTTGCCAGATGCCCATCCCGATGTGTTTCATCACTTACGTTCTCTCCCGTTCCTGATCCGGACCCGAGATGTTCTCGTTGGGGGATCCCTGCTTAGAAACCAACTCATCCACTTCTCGCTCGTAACGATCCAGCCACGAGCTCAGCTCGTCTTGCTGACCTTCCACCGAGGCCAATTGACGTTCAACTTCCTGGGTAGCGCGCTCTGCATCAACAGTGCTGCCATAGAGCTTCTGCACTTTAGTTCCATTTTCTACCAGCATCCGATCCCACTCAGCGACCTTCTCCGCTTGCTCACGGAACTCTTTTTGATATTTGGTCAAATCTGTTGCCCATCGAGTAATGATTTCATCCATGGTCTTATTCTTGAGTCGTGACTGGGCTGGGGGAGCAGGTCCTGTAGTTGACTGACCAAGAGCAGCGGCACCAGTACCAGCTGGCGCACCAGCAGTGGCAGTCGTGGACGGAGCTGCTGCCGCGGCAGTGGTTTTATCAGCACTAGCACCTATGGTAGTGGTGGCGACAGGCTGAGTAGACGGGGTGGAAGTAGCCGGCTTAGAAAACAATCCCCCGAGGGGGGCTGGGGTGGCAGATGTGGCTGCGGGTGTGGATGTGGTAGCCGTGGCCCCTTGAGTGGTGGATGTAGCTGGCTTGGGGGCAAACAGCCCAGTAGCAGGAGCAGGAGCAGCAGCAGGAGCAGCAGGTGTGGATGAGGGTGTAGCAGAGGATGTATTACCACCAAGGGAAGGGAACAAAGACTTTTGGGGCGCAGCGCTAGAAGCTGCGGGTGCTCCCAAAGAAGGCAGAGTTGCACCTGTGTTAGCTGTAGCAGGAGCACCCCCGAATAGACTGGGCTTTGCAGCCGCGTCGCCCCCAGCAGAGGGCATTTTGAACAGGGTACCTTGCGAATTTGGCGCAGCACCCGTCGCCGGGGTGGTGGTTCCGAACATGCTGGGCTTGGGGGTGCTGTCTGCAGTGGTGGTGGCCGGAGTCGAGGATTCAGCCGGCTTTGGAGCAAAGAGACCACCGGCAGCAGGAGTAGATGCGAATGACAATTTTGAGGTGGCCGATGCAGTGGGCGCGGGACCAAAAAGGCCGCCAGTTGCCTGCGGCGGGGCAGCAGCTGGTGTGGTGTTAGAAGGAGCATTCGTAGATCCAGCATTCACGCCAAAGAGCGGCGCCTTGGCTGCTGGAGGAGGTCCGGCGGGAGTGGTTGAGTTGGTCCCAAACAAGGATCCCGTAGAGGGACCGGGCGTGTTCGAACTCCCAAATGCGCTACTACCACCTGCTCCACCAAATAAACCTGCACCGGCTGTAGTGTTGGGTGTAGCTGTTTCTGTCTTTGCCGGAGTTGAGCTTCCAGCAAATGATGGCTGAGCTCCACCGAATGAGAATTTTTGGGAGGAAGATGTGGCGTTGGATCCGAATGAGGCATTGCCGCTAGTGGTGTTGGTGGTACCACTGCCGAAAAGAGAGGGTTGGGCTGCTCCAAAGGGTGAAGCAGATGCGCCTCCGGAGGGTGTTCCGGAGGGTGTTCCGGATGGTGCAGCTCCTACATTTCCGAACATACCACCTGTCGCAGAGGATCCAGCATTTGAGGTATTCGCATTGGTGCCGAAGATATTGCCAGTGCCAGCAGCTGACCCAAATATGGGCTTGTTGGCGCCTTGAGCGTTGTTACCGAACATGATGATGTGTTGTCGCAGGCGAGGGAGTCGGGCAAGCTTTGGAGAAAGTAGAAGAAAAGGAAAGACCAGTGAAAGGTCGCCGGGTCCTGCTTTTAGGGATCACAGAGCCAAGCAGAGTAATGCGATTGTACTGAGTCAATAGAAATTGATCTCAGAAAGAAGGTGGAGAAAGGGCACGAAAGTGAGAGGTTGAAGCTCAAAAGAATAATCCGCAGGAGTTTCAGTTACGCGCTCGTTGATGCCTTAGTGCCTTAACAATGCCCAAACAGTTGATTCTATGTGTTGCCTGATAAATTAGGCGTCAGGGTCTTTATGCCTGAGGCATTCAGGCACGTATGTTCTGGACTCGAATCGATTGCAGGGAACGCCGTCACTCCACGCTACACAACTCTACTTGCATGCTTAATTTCCCGGATTTCTCCTTTTACCCTCTTATTCCCATGCTACAGCCCTGACTTCACCTACAATAATGTCGGAGGCATCACCCGATCCAGCCACGCACCTAGAACCTCCTACCAAGACCACCGAGCTGGAGGACCCAGGAGCTGAGGATATTGGTAAAGTTCGCTCCTAGGACGTCATAATCGACCGAATTCTAACTTGGGCGTTTTTTTGTGTTACTTTTACAGCTTCCAGCAGTGACGAGGATCATTTCTCAGATGCCAGTGAAGGCCAAGCCCATTCAAAACCAATCCCACAATCTGGCAACACTTCCCCTGTCCCGTCCACACGAGTAGAGCGGGTCGACAGCAGTGCCCAGCATGGTGAAATACCTGGCACCGAAGCGTACGAAAAGCGAACTCAAGATGCAGTTCCCGACGAGATTGAAGTCATTCCAGAAGATATACAGAGCGAGGACCAAGCTACGACAGGGTCGCATGACCAACCTATAGCCCCCGACAGCCCACCTATTCCACACACAGTAGTGGAAAAGGTAGACCCTGACGAGCCAAGCTATGGGGAAATTCCAGGAACCGAGGCGCATGAAAAGCGCCAGGCTGATGCTGTGCCTGATATAGTGAAGAAAGCTCCCGAATCTGAGGATGAAGCTTCTCCGTCGCCGCATGATGAAGCTTCAGACACTGATTCCACATCTCGACCAATTCCCGAGACACTCGTTTCCAAAGTGGACACATTGTCCTTAGAAGATGAATTACCATCGGGACCACAGGCCCATCAAGGATCAATCAGTGATGCAGAGCCCGACATGGTGGAAGTAATTCCAGACACTCCAGAACCTACGTCACAGGATGGCGCCGAAGAGGAGGAGGTCATTGAAGCCGATGCCGGAGACGACGACTTTGGAGACGACTTTGACGAATTTGTCGACGAGCAAGAAGACATGGGAGACGACGATTTCGGAGACTTTGACGACGGCTTCCAAGAACCCAGCGCGGACATTGTTGAGGGTGGAACAGCCACCCCTCCACAGCCTCCCGCACCAGCTGTTGTATGTTTCCACATCACAATCCAATTCTTAAAAATCCACCCAACACAACAAAACACTGACACTTATCTTCCTCTAGCCTCCTCTCACAGACTTTAGCGTTTTCAAATCCACATCCGAACTACTCTCATCCCTCCAAGGAACCCTCGACAACCTCCTCCCCGCATCTCAAGACCTCAGCTCCCTCCCCCCAGTTGAACCCATCCCCGACCCCACCGCCATCTTCAGCACAGAGCGCTCCCTCTCCCTCTGGTCCCAGCTCGTAGCCCCGCCCCCACTCCAACCGCAAAACTGGGTGAAATCCCGCATCCGCAGACTCTTCCTCGTCTCCCTCGGTGTCCCCGTCGACCTAGACGAGATTCTCCCCGCCTCAAAACAGAAAAAGCTCATCCTTCCCTCCATTGATTTTGAGTCCGGCGCAAATACCCCCGCCGCACGCTCACGCAGTCAAGCCCGCAAAGAGGGCGAGGGCGATGGTTCCCCAAATGATACCCAGCCTGGCTCCGAGGGGCAGGCCCCTTCTTCTCGTGTCAAAAATGCCCGGCGTGGCGCGGCGCCGCCGCCCCAGTTGGATCTCTCGGCTGTGCGGCGCTTGTGTGCTACTACTGATGCCGCTTTGGATGGATTAACGGATACCGAGCTCAAGGATCATGCTCAAGAGTTGGAGACTAATGCTTTGCGGGCTAGTGAGGTCTTGGAGTATTGGCTCAAGAGACGTGATGGTCTTGTTGGTGAGAAGGAAGCCTTTGAGGGCGTCATTGAGAACCTCGTTAGTCATGTTCGGAGAGTGAGGAAATAGTGTGCTTCTTATCATCCGGGCAGGCCATCATATACCATCTACTATATCAACCCCTTGTATAATTTAATGTCGACGTGGAGAGATCTCCACTGAATGAGCACACATGATTTCCTTTTGTTCGAAGTGAAGCTTTAAATTCTAGGTCAAGAGAGTTAACTAAGACCTATGAGATGGCGACCTCGAAATTAAGGCACTTTATCTTGTCATTGGAGCAGAAAAGCTTGTCTCGAAATTTTGACATAAATTCTAACGAGAATATGGGTTTCTTGAATTTCAGGACAGTAACATGGCCGCTCGGTGTGAAAATGAAGAGATTGTTCGCTTTCAAATAGCAGAGAACTGACCAAGTTGGACATCCACAGGAAGACTTTAGAGCTATTGCGAGTCACCCATTGACCTGAACTATCCATTGAATTCAAAACAATGTCAGGTTGACGGGCCCTTGCTCGGTGTTGCCTGACGCCGTATTCCAGGTCAGTATGAGGCCATAATAGTTAGAGAACCCCGACACCACTTTCAAGCCATCAGGAGAGAAGGTCATGGAACCGAACCTGCCGGTCTGCTGGCCACAAAAAACCGCAACTGCATCCTTTATAGCATTGAAGCCCGGTGAAGAAGTTTCAAGATAACGTTAGCACCACCGCCTCCTCCACACTCGTCAAGGGCATCAATGACAACGATCCAATTTGATTGATTTGAGGTACCAGCATCGCCCCCAGGCGCAGCTTTGTCCAAGCGCTCCAGCAGCAGACGAATCAAATGCTTCCACTGCTCGCCCGAACCATCGCCAAAAATCCTAGAACTCTCCTCGACGGCCTTCAATAGAAGTGTAATCTCGAATCCTGGGAATACGAAGAGTGGTAATAAATAATCGTCCATGAGCAAGATCGCTTGCGTCGAGAACGTCCACGGGTGTGCACTGACTCTACCACCTACTACTGCCTTTCCGGCTTGGATTGAGAGCTGCCTATGTAGGTATAAATATGAGAAGGATAAAGAAGAAATAATATGAAGGCAAAAACCAAACACCGACTAAATGCTTTGCAGATCCAAGCGCGCTCTTTTAACTAATACAAAGAATTGGGGGGTATCTTTTTCTTAAACAGTGGGCCAAAAAACATCAAACGTAAAGCGCAAAGCGCAGCAAAGAAATGAAAGAAAAATAGAGGAAAACAAAAAAATGGTGGCGGGTCACGTCCAAAAGTCGGGCATTGCCAGCATATAAAGATAAGCGGATAACGTGGGGACCGCTAGTCGTCTAGTTCGATGACTATACGTTCTGATGAACTTCGGACAGCAGCACTAGGGGAGGCGGACTTTTCCACTTTGAGGCGACGCGCAGCGAGACTCTCTAGCGGTGTCGTCATGTCTCCATGTGCTTTGCGCTTGTTTCCTAACGGTGGTTGGGGTTTATCAGAAGAAGATGCAGCGTCGTCTCGGGTGGAGCTCACGGCCCATGTGCCGTCGGGTTTGATTTGAATGGACTGGGCACCTTCCAACTGGTTAGTCGCGATAAGTTGGGCACGGACTTGCTCCAGGAATCGATCCAGGACCAGGAGCTGGGGCCGAGCGTCGGCATTACAAATGGGACATCGCCAGTTATCATTCAGCGGGGTTGGACCGCTGGTTGACTTTCGAGTTGTGATGAATGTCTCAAGATCGAAACATTCCTGGTGTCCACAGAGAGTCGAGCGAGCGGGCGTGGTGAAGATTTGGGCAGTAAAGGGATCGATCAGACTGATCGTCAGATTACTGCTCACGACGGCCAAGTCGTCATCTTCGACGGTCTTGTTGAGACGCCTTTGGATTCTTTGACGCACAACCTCCGCTGGGATTGCCCGTACGAGGCTACGAACCATTTCAAACCGATTGACGTTCAAGATTTCGACGCCGAAGTAATATCGGATGTCCTTGCATTCATCTGGTCCAAGAAGAAGGTCAACCCGCAGCTTGTTCTCGCCTTCTATCAGGTCCAGCGTTATGTCAATAGGCAAGTCCTTTCCGTTATGGGTCTTTCGGCGCGGAGTGAATTCCTTTCCGTTCAGATGGATATAGAAAACGCTGGGCCAGGTGGTCGGTGCAGTGTGCCACAGGCTCTCTGAATTTGCTGTTTCCAAAGCTGGGAGTGCGATACACCGCAGACGGAAAGTCTGACAACCAGATTGATAAGTGAGAATGCGCCGATGGCCCTCCTCCGAAGGTGTTTCTACTGGGCGAGGATGCCTCGTCATATCCTCGGCAGACAATGAGAATTTCCAGACATAATTGTAAGCCTCGGGGTCTACGATGGTAGGGATCAAGGCAAAATCATTGACATAGTGGTACAGCTCGGTGTCGTACAATTCACCCCCTGGCCCTTTCATGACACATTTCTTCATCGGGTCACGAAGATCGGCTTGGTGTAGCCCGAAACGCATGGGATTCACCTGAACAATTTGTGGGATGCGATGGCCATGAGGTGGCAATAAGGGCGTCATGGCGGGCGATGAATGAGGAGAACCATTGGCGATCTGAGGAGATCGTGAACTTGGTGCATTGGAACCGTGTACAAAATTCCTTAAATGTGCCTGGTTATTTTGCAATGACACCTGACTCTCTCGGTGCTGACCACCGGGGGCGACCCCTGGAGACGAAACAGTATATTGAGGGCCATTGGGCTGAGCGGAGTTGAGAAGGGTGGGAGTAGTCAATGCAGGTGAAGGTATGTATGCCCAGGACGGCCCAGGTACTTGGCCAGATGGAGGGGCTCTTTGGGGAAATGGGCTTTGCTGTCCTGGTGATACTTGCATCTGAGGCGTCACCCAAGGGTTCACTGGCCAATGCTGGGTTTGCTGTGATGGAACTGTCATCACATGTCTATTCATCAGCTGCGCTTGCTGCACTTGCTGCAGTCGCTGTAACTGATATGCCTGCTGCATTTGCTGTATTTGCTGCATTTGCTGGGTCTGCGGGGTCTGTGGCACATGCTCTGAAGGATACTGATATGGAGATTGACCATGTGGGACCGTTACTATTGGGGGAGGCCGCCTGGCAGGATGTTGAGCGGCTGCTGGAGGGCGTTGGCTGGCTGGAGTTTGGTGATTGACTCTAGGTTGTTGATTGATTGGGGGCTGCTGGCTGGTTGAAGAAAGCTGACGAGTTGGAGGTTGTTGACTAGCCGGAGGAGGTTGGTGGGTTGTGAGTTGAGTGCTGGCGGGAGGTTGACTGATGGGTACATTCGCTGAAACTTGTAATCCATTGGATGATCTCGAAACAGGTCGCTGACTGGGGTGGATCCTTGGGCTCGCGGATGAAGCCTGACTGGAGGAAATGGATTGAGCAACGGCTGGTTGGGAAACCTGAGCAACCTGAGCGTCGGCTAGAACCCGGGCACGGGCCATCTGGTTTGGTGATTCCCCTTTCAATGGAATGGCACGGTATTCGTCGATTAACTTATAATGGGCATCGTCTGTCATGCCTTCCTGATCCAACGTGACGTTCTTTTGATACAGGTGGGTCAACAAGTTATAGTGAATCTCATCGTATACTTGGCGACACATGGAAGAGAACATCACACCCAGGAACACCGGCGATTTGATCCTGAATAGTTGCCGCAGCTCATGCAGCAGGGGTGGGAAATGTCGATTGGCCGTTTGAGCGCACATTTCAAACTTTTGATCATTAAAGTGGGAGGCCAGCAGCGGAAGGAAAGCAGCAATCTCTTGGACCATGTCTTTATACCAACCAAATTGCATTCCTTGCTTTGGCGGGACGGGGAGTCTCGCAAACATGATGATCATTTCCCTAGAGAGAAGCTTATTACTCTCGAGTAAATCAGAGACGCGTTGGAAGCCACGGATGCAAGCGTCCTTATGGAGGCTTGGTAGGTCGGCAAACACATTATCATCTAGGGAGATCCGGCAGAAGATTTGGTGCAATACCAAATAAAATAGGTCTTCGTGCCTGCAAGCCTGTTGCAAAAGTACTACACGAGGTTCGGCAATTAGACAGGCTGATTTTGCCGAGACTTTTCTCATTTGTTCAGTGGCATGTCGCCATTGTTCCCAGGTGGACTTGTCGGGGATGCACTCCACGGGGTGATCCCTGGAAATGGGCGAGCGCGTCCCATTAGCAGTTGGCACGGAAGGGGGCCGCGCTATTGTCCTTCCAGAGGGGTTTGAGCCCAGAGATGTGGTCCGTGAGGTGTCTTGTGAGACTCGACGCATCCCGGATTGGTGTGGCAATGGAGGGACAGTCTTCTCTGTGACGGATGTTGGGGTCACGACGCGTGGGTGGGTTTGAGAATTTACGACGGGTGGAGCCTTTGAAATCGCGGGACTAGCCGTTGTCGAGGGATCCGGAACACTGATAACGGGGCTCGGGTGAGAGTCGGCATTTGACACTGGAGATGGAAACGCGGCTGTGTTTGGGTCAAGGTTGGGTTTATTGGGAGCGGTAGTCTCTACCGTGACGGCAGGTGTTGCAGGTGTTGCAGGTGTTGCAGTCGTGGCAGCCACTGTAGTAGTCACTGCAGTTGCTAACGGGGTTGGCAGAGCTGATGATGGCATTCCCCCCGGTGTAGCGGGGGACATGAGCGCAAGCTCCGGACGTTTGGGGTCCGAACGGACCGTGGTGGAATTCGTGGCAGGCACGATGGAAGATACATGACGGTGAGAAGTGGCTGCAGGAGTTGATTGGGAACTGGACATCCAGTTTTTCTGGATGCGACCTAGAAAGAGACTAGCGGTGGAGTTGGACTTTTCAGTTTGTTCAATATCTGTGGGACGCGATCTTTGAGTGTCGGGCGACTTCATATTGAGTACGCGATCAACGTGGGAAAGTCAGATAGCAGGTGACATGTCTTTTCCCGAGAGAACTTAATGGATTCCGTTCATTATGGGCATTCCCATGTTTCTGTGAAAAACAATGAATCATAGAAAAAAAAAAAAAAAAAAAAAAGGAAAATTGGGATTTTTAAAGGATAGAAGAGGGGGAAGATGTTTGCTTTTTTGCTTTTGAAGATTCTCTTCTCTTCTTTGTTTCAAGAGCTTTTTTCTTCTTTGTTTCTCTTTATTTAGAAAGACGATGAGAGAAGCAAGAAGAAAAATCAAACAAAAATAAATTAAAAAAATCAATACAGATATAAGGTATAAGAAGCAGTCTAACCCGGGGAGTATAGATTTTCCTCTTTTTTCTCTTCTTTTTAACCCATTCCTACTAGCCTACTCTACTATCCCCTCACCGGATGGCGCGCGCGTATAGGGTACTTCAGGCTGCATAAGTGATGGGTCACATTGAAGTAATGTTTAAGTACCATTGATTATCCCTAAATAAAAGTCTTACAAAAATTGTCAAGGCTGTTAACCACTTTTTATATACTAAATATTAGTAGAGCTAATTTATTTTTTATCTACCAGGTACTAATACTAGTACTAGTATATATACCAAGTCATGTCTGCCGTCATGTTGACCACTCCTAACACAATTTCAAGTCAACTGGTGTGTCAAGTATGGGGAATGGCCGCATTCATCTTGACGAATTCATCTGTTTTCAATGGAATATAAACATAAATAAATTGCAATTATTTGGAATATTATTTTTATTTTAGATTCATCTTATAATTCATTTCCTCTCTTTCTCTCTCTCCCTCTCTCTTACTCTTGTCCAGCATCAGCTCCGAACTACCCAAAAGAAAAGTTCTCGTGGACCCAGAACTTGACGGCCAAACCACGTCACTCTTGGCCTCACATTTCAATTAAGACCCCATTTTTCCCTCGCCTTGTTTGGCTCTTTTTTTTTTTTTTTTTACTTCTCTCTCTTTTTTTTAAATGAACTCGAACTGGTCCATTTCGCTCTAATCTCCTAGTGGGTCAAGCTCGGTTGTGTGGACCTTCAAATATTGCCATTCCACATAATACCGCGGATTCTCCAATTCTCGAATTCTCGAATTCTCAGATTCCTTCAGATTCTTAGACTCAGTTGGATTCCAGAAATCGCCAACTTGTCAAATCCTGGTATGACAGATCGGTCTTTGGCACACGCCACCATTTATTTCTATCTGTTCATTTCTCTACTCAAGTTGGGGTTATCTTTTCCGGGACAGCGCGCACGAAGCACTACGAGGTGCGTGCTCGCAAAAGAACCCCCGCGACATATTCATTATCCGGACCGAAGCCGAGAGACAAGAGCCCTGGCGCGCTAGATTCTCCGGGCCCTTTGCCCTTTTGCATTCTCTCCCCTGTCCTTGCCATCTCACATTTCTCTCTCGTGAGATTAATACCAGCCCGGCGGTTGAACTTACTTTGTTGCTCATCCCCGAAAGGGCTGCCGGGCCCCTATGCCCTGCGATTGAAACTACCACTTCCCTCCATTCGATCGCCCCTCCCCTTCTCAAGCCCGCTTTCCTCTAGACCTGCACAACCGGAGGAATTGCGCCCTCCAACGTTGGCAAATATGGCCGATGCAGAGTTGGCGCCACCGCCACCTCCGTACAATGTTCAGCCGGGCGATTATCTTGTGGTTGTTCGTAAGTTGATGCCCGCGCGCGTGTTAACCCCCCATGCGCATTGCGCTTTCCCCTCTCTTCTCTCCCGCTTCTCAGAATAATGCGCCTAACCCAATGCAGATGCTCACTCGGGCGGCGAAGATGAATTAACAATGCATCGCAACGATATCATCCAGCTAGTCGAGCTGGATGAAGAGTTTGGCGATGGTTGGTGGCTTGGTGAATACCCAGGTACCAACCAAAAGGGTCTCTTCCCCGCAGGTACGCGCACATGAAGATCGGCATCAACGGGAAAAAAAACCACCGAAACTAATGGACCGAGCAGGCTTCACCAGGAAAGCTGAGCGATACGAATACTCCGGATACCAAAACGCTCTTCGCATCGACCCATCACCCCAGGGCATAATCGCTTCCGAGAAGACCGAGTCGCCCGCGCAGATCGAACCAACAACACCAAAGGAAATGTCCTTTTCGGCTTTCGCAAGCGAGCAAACCACTCCGCAAGCATCGCGACAGACCCCCGTCCCCGGAGCGCCGCAGACCATGGAATCTCCGTCGCAACGATCCGCCTCATCTCCCCTTCCCTACTCAAGTCTAGCCGCCGATATCCAAAACGCATTGCGCCCATCTGCGGATCAACACGTGAATGGCCAGGATAGTCCAGTGATGAATGAGACTTTGAGTGTGATTGACGAACACATCACCGATATGAACACGCCCCGCCACAGCGTGTCAACGCAGGATGCAAAGACCATAAATGACTCTGGGAGCGAATACAGCACCCATATCAGCCATCGCATGTCATACATCAATGGAAACGAGACGGACGAAGAAGAGCTTACAACGCTGACCGAGGAGCAGGTGCGGAGGTGGAATCAAGTCGAGACTGCCAATCACCTGCGAAGCCTTGGTGTTGATTCCAAACACTGCGACATTTTTGAAAACGAAGAGATCACGGGCGACGTTTTGCTTGAGATGAACCAAGATTTCGTGTTTATGAAGGAGTTTGACTTTGGTGTCATGGGCAAACGACTCAAGACATGGCACAAGATTAAGGCACTCCAGGAAGAGGTCAATATGTCCAAACAGCAGCAGCAGCAGCAGCAGCAGCAGCAGCATCATCACCAACCGCAACAAACACCACAAACGCAAACCCCGAGAGGCTCCGTCGCTAGTAGCTACCCTAACCCCCATGACGAACGCTCAATGTCTCGCACCGGCCATCCAACCGGCTTCCTCCCTCGCATTCCCACTGTGTCGGAGAAGACCGGTGCAGGCTATGTCCCTCGATCATCCATGGGACCTACACAGCATCCAAGGCTGGCTAGCAATGGAAGCTCCCCATCTATACCCATGACCCCTCCCCGATACGATTCGAGGAGAATGTCAGCGGCCTCCATTCGTGAATTCAACCACGGCCGACGACATTCTTCCATCGACGCAACACAACGTGGCTATTCTGATCTCCATGGTCATCCCAAAAAACCATCTTTCGATCGAACTTGGACACTCAATGGAGGATCCCAGGCAGGACCTTATGTACTGCCCCCTCGCCCCGGAACCTCAGTTGGTACCCCGACAGAAGGATATCGGGCTTTCCGCGGTGCAATCGAATCGGAACCGAACACTCCTGAAGGCAATGATGACTTGGACCGGGGCTATTTCTCCGGCACAGAGGTTGATACTCGCAAGAACAGACGCGTTCTGCAGAAACGGACATCGACCGCCGGCAGCAACACTCATTCTCGAAAGTCGAGCTACAACCAAGAAGAGCCTATCTTCATGGTGAAGCCCCCCAAGCGCCAGTCCCGAATCGCCAGTGTTGATTCCCTCCGCGATGCCGATAAACATGTCTCTGTTGCGTCAAAGAACTATAATGACTCTCCGGCCAAATCAAGACTGCGAAGCCTGAGCCAACGCAACTCTTCCTCTCAGAGCGGCCGCACCTCTCAGTCTTCTGACACCAAACCTGGCTTTTTCGCAAGCTTTGGCCCCTTGATAGCCAAGAAAGGTACTGATTCAGAATCTTCGTCTGCCCGCTCATCACATTTCCAGCCTCTAAGGAATGTTGGCCCTAAGATGCGACGTGCTGTCGGCATGCGCGCTATCTCGGATGCCGCTAACAAGGACACTTCCGCACCCGAATCTCCCAAGGAATTCGATGCCAGCTTCGCTCGCACCGGATCCACCACTCCATCGGCCACATCTAAGAGCTCAGAACGACACAGCACGGATGGCTCTGGCAAGGCCGGCGAGCCTCCGGGCTTTGTTGTACGTCCCCGGACTGTCAAGTCTAAAAAGGAAACTAGTGCCTATACGCAAGGTTTAGAGAAGAAGGCGCCCCAGGAGCAGATTAGCGGCTGTGATTATAGTGGCTGGATGAAGAAGAGGTCATCCAACTTGATGACAACGTGGAAACCCCGGCTCTTCGTTCTGCGTGGTCGCCGTCTGTCCTACTACTATAGCGAAGATGACACCGAGGAAAGAGGCTTGATCGATATCACAGCTCACCGTGTGTTGCGGGCGGACAACGACCCCATCATCACCCTACATGCAGCGGTCACTGGATCAACTGCGCTCCCTGCCAATGCCAGCTCTACAGACCAGAGCGCCAAGCTCGCCAGCTCAGATCCAATCTCTGGGCTGAAGAGCAAAGACTTGAGCGGCCCATTCTTCTTCAAGCTGGTGCCTCCAAAGATGGGCAATTCGCGCGCAGTGCAATTTACCAAGCCTACCACCCACTATTTCCAGGTCGATAGTGTTCAAGAGGGTCGTCTATGGATGGGCGCTTTGATGAAGGCTACTATCGAGCGTGATCTGGACCAAGTGGTCTCATCGACTAATAAACAAAAAACCATCAGTCTCAAACAAGCTCGCTTGATGAACCAACGACCACCCGCACTGATGACCAACCCTCTTCCGGAGAGTGAGAAACTGGTGGAAGAAGAGGAAGAAGATGATGGACTACGCATCGAGGGCCTCAACTTGACCAAATCTGGATCCTCAGAGGGCAACTCCTACGTTGATGCCAAGAACGAGCTAAATGAAACTGACTCGACCTCCAACGATCTTGCCATGTCCAATCCCCTTGGTGAAATCAACACCGGTCCCACTTTCCTTATTCCCAGTCCTCTAGGGAAGACGGATTCCGAGTAATATCCTCTTGCTCTGGTTCTAATCAAACCATGATATCGTCATGATTGATTTTTACAGATCTCCCGTCCTGCCACGGCTGATCATCTATTAATCTATCTCCATCCCACGCCTGGAGCTACCTTTGTTACTTTTTCCTTTTTGCTACTTTCTGTCTCCCTTCCGATCTATTCCCCCTATCTTTTTTTATCTTTGTTTTGATCTTTTGGTATCTACCATTGGCCAGTTATCCCCCCTTCTTACCGTTTGGCGTTTGATATGATATATATACCCCTCGCTCCGACTTTCAGTTCCCTTCGTTTCTTGGCCCGTGCCAATTTCTGTTATGTATCAGTTACGCGGATTTGAAGAGTTTGTTATGTGGGTTTGTGCATCATGACGACTTGCCTGGCTTACGAGGTTGATGTGGAAGCAGTAACGCAGTAGTGGCTTAACCCCGATTTTTTTTTCTTCTATATTCTTTCTACTCTGTGGATTCTTTTCTTGAATTATTGATATTAGTAATCTAATTGATGGCTTTATTCTTCTACGAGTAAAAAAGATCCTGGTATCAATCTTCCGTATCTACTAGCTCCTCCCATTTGTAGTTTTCACCTGAATTGCACCAGCTTGACAGCCCATGTTCAAAGGAGCCATGGCCGGTATTTATGACAATTGAGTGAAAAACAGCAACGCGTGATTGAAATTTGTATACAACAAGTCGACCATTTGAAGCACGAATCTTCCATCGGTCTCTGGGAAACGCGTCCATTCACTTGCTGTCTCCATTCAAATCGTTTGTTTACTTCCTGGCCTGACTCCAGATATCGTCGTCTTCTTCCATCTCACTCCCCATCCCCATCCCTCTTCCCCCCTTCGCTTTGCTCAAAAAAAGAATTAACTAACAACTAACCAAGCAAAAAATGATCCCAATGCAAAAGAAGCTCCCAGATCCCAGACCCAATAGGACTGGAGCAATGGCCCACTATTTCAGCCTGCCGGTCCTGGCAGAAGTGATCAAGGAAGTGGAAACCGGCTCAATGCACTCTTTCGACAACTCGGCCAGAGCATTGGCAAACGCAGTGCTTAACCACTACTTCCCCGCCACCGAGGGCTGGATCGTTGCACCGGGACCGCGAAACAGCACCGCCCCAGACCTGTTAGTTCTCCGCACCAAACAGCCTTCTCAGACCCACCGATTCATGATCGACCATACCGTGGCCGGGGTTTCGAAGAAAATGACTGATTTCGATATCGCTTTGAATCAGCTTGAGGGTGCCCTGGAAGTTTCCACCATTGAGTATGGCCGGTGCTGGGCTGTGCTCTTCCATGGCGCCGATGTGCTCTTCTACAAGTATCAACAGTATCTGCCTAAAGGTCAGCGCATGGTTCCTGCGGGCCCGCCTTCACAGCCGAAAAAACACATATTTCAGGTTGGGAGCGATGGGGTTCAGATTCATCAGATGTTGACTTGGATGTCGAGACATGATATTCCGAGTCCTACTACCCAGTTCGCTAAACGTGTTGTGTGCAATGGCGGAGGCAAGTGAGGTGGAATATGACTGAGTTCGAAATCTGTTTTGTTGGTCAACTGGTCCGCGGTTTTGTTTATGACTTCACTATGATTGGTTGACTGCCTTCGTTCTTCTGCACCTTGATGTGTGACCTATCACTGCTATGGATCAATCATCAGGCGAATAAACATAAGCCATGTGAAAGGAATACGAGAAATGATCGGACCGATAATTTTGACAAACAGAAAGAAGTAAAAAGGAGTGTATGGCGTAGGAGTTATCAATTCGAGGGGCATTTATTGGTCTTCGTGTTGCCCTCATTTTGAAGGGGCTGCAGGGCTACCGCTCCGCATAATTAAATGTGAGCTAGCGGGGCCCGCGGAGTTTCACTGTTTACACTCCTTATTTGCCTCGACCTGCACTAACCAGGCATACACACTCCTTTTTAAAAACTCAAGATGCTGTATATTATTATCCTCTGATATATTTTCTAATCACTATATCATCCTCATGTCCCTCCGCTCTTTGCTCGCCCGCATCCTTGCGATCCTCCTCCCTCTCACCACCGCAGCCACAATCTACCTATATCTATACCCCGTCTTCAATGGCTGCGCATTCCCTCTCCCTCGCTCCCAGGTAGCGAGCTCCAAGTCCCCTTCACTACAAGACAAAATTCACCAAAACCCCTTCACAAACACCCTCCTGCAACACCTCCACGCCCCGGACTCCGCAACGGACAGCCCACCCGCCATCTTCAGACTCCTAGTCCTCGCAGACCCCCAACTGGAAGGCGACACATCCCTTCCATTCCCAGAATATGAACTCGTCCCCCGCATGCGAACACACTGGCGCGCCATCCAATACGCCATCAGCAACGCCTCAACCACAACGCCCGCACCGCTCTCCCTCCTGAGCCCGCACGTGCTCTCAAACATCACAACCGGTCTCTGGACACTCGCAAGCGAAGATATCCCCCGCTCGCTGAGCGCCGTCCAAAAGCGCGTCGATCTCCTCGGAAACGACTTCTACCTTGCGCATATCTACCGCACGCTCTTCTGGTGGACTCGCCCTACACACACCACCGTCCTTGGCGATCTGCTAGGAAGCCAATGGATCACGGACGAGGAATTCGACGACCGGAGCAAGCGCTACTGGAACCGCGTCTTCCGAGGCGGTCTCCGCGTTGACGATGATACTACCTGGACCGGTGCCGTGGCCAGCCACCCCGCGGACCAGGATAAATCCGATAAGCACCTCGAGCCCCTAGGCCCGGGCTCCGATCCAGACTGGCCAAGACGCATCATCAATGTTGCCGGGAACCACGATATCGGGTACGCGGGGGATGTGAGCGAGGCACGGATGGACCGCTTCGAGCGTGAATTCGGTCGCGCAAATTGGGATATCAGGTTCCAGCATCCGCCTGTTCTGCGTGGCATCAATGATAGTACCGTTTCGGATGGCTCGGGCAGCTCTGCGGTCTCGTCCGTCACGCCCACGTTGCATGTTATCAACCTTAACACCCTTATCATGGATACCCCCGCGCTGTCATCTGAGCTTCAGTCCCAGAGCTACGTCTACCTAAATGACCTGATTAGTCACCGGCTCTACCCGGTGGGAGATAAATCGGTCTTTACGTTGCTGCTTACGCATCTGCCTCTGCACAAGAAGGACGGCATCTGCACTGATGGGCCGTTGTTCACTTTTCATGAGGAAGACGATGATGAAGGTTTGGACGGTGTTCCGCGCTTTTTGGCCGGCGGTTTGCGCGAGCAGAACCATTTGAGTGATTTTGTCAGTGACACTGGTATTTTACGAGGTATTTTCGGTATGAGCGGGGATGAGCATGCGCCTGTGGGTGGTCATGGACGGAAGGGGCTGATCCTTACTGGCCATGACCATACGGGCTGCGATGCAGTTCACTATGCCGAGCAGGTGACTGCAGATAATACAGAGGAAAGTGGCGAGGAGGCGAACGGCTCGCAGAATTGGAAATGGGCTGCCAGGCGGTATACGGAGAAGCACGACTCGAATACTTCGACAGAGCCGCCCTCCATCCGCGAGGTGACCCTTCGTTCTATGATGGGAGAGTTTGGTGGCAACGCTGGACTTCTTTCTGTGTGGTTTGATGCTGATTTGGGCGAGTGGGATTATGAGATTACCATGTGCCCTGCTGGGGTGCAGCATATTTGGTGGGCGGTACATGTTGCTGTTTTGGTGACTGTGATTGTTGGCTTGCTTTGGGTTTTAGTGGGATTGGTTCAGGCTGAGGAGTCTGGGAGCAAGAAAGCCATATATACGAGTTCACATGCAAAGACGGGAAAAATAAGTGAGAATGGCTGGGTTGGAGAAAAGAAGGACTCGAAAATACGAGGCTCGGGAGAGTTGCGACAAAAGAAATGAGGCTCTGCTACGTACGTTAGAATGTATAGTGTGATAGAATCCAACTTGTACAATAATGAATCAAAGCCAGTCATTCTGGCTTGTCACTTCCAATCCAATGTTGCTCCATGGCTTACTATCAACCTTGTATAATCCATTACCACAAGCATTGAACTGGCTCCAGTCGCTTCAAATGGACTTGATTATCAGACTAGCGCACTGTCCTTTGACCTCCAGCCGTTGAACTATACTTACCCCGCTTGATAAGTACTGCTTATTCCTGCACATTTGCATAATTTCAGCTCCACAGTTAAGGATAAGAAAAGCAGCCGATGCAAGTGAGATTTTAGTCTATTTTTCCGAGCTACAAGACCCATCCATATTCGCACAATACCAAATATATTATACCGCTATATCACGATCAGAACCTAACATCGACACCCTCAATCCATTCCCAAGCAGGCAACATGGCCGGCAAACTATGTTCAAACTGTGCCAAAATCCCTCCGCCCCGATACTTCAACAGATCCTCCAACTTCCCCCACAAAACAATCGGCACCAAGGAGCGCATAACCCGACATAAAGACCGCTGCCCCTTCTGCCGCCTCATCTACAACGCCCTATTCGCCGGCCCAGTGCACTACAAAGGCACCGACAAATGGAAAATCGCCGTAATCTGGAACGGAAACTTCTACTACTTTAGCACGGGCTTCGAAGAGCCCGACATCCGCCTCGCCGTCATCCAAGAAGAGAAGAAAGAGCCATCGCCCGCAAAATACGCCAGACCCATCACAAGCACGCAGGTCTCCACCACCAAGCTCAAGACCTGGCTCAGCCTGTGCGAGAAGAACCACCGGAAACAAGGCTCCGCGCTCCAGCAGACGCTGGGCGAACCTGCACCGCCCGTGGCGCCGGGGCGCGTGATTGATGTTAATGATGCGTGCGTGGTTGCGTTCCCGGGAGCCGGAGCAAGGGGCACGTCGAAGATCCGGTATGTGACGTTGAGTTATGTGTGGGGCGATGCGGCGCAGTATACGTTGTCCAAGGAGACGAGGACGCGGCTTATGAGTCCGGGGTCGCTGGATGCGATCCGGGAACGGATCCCGAGGACGATCGTCGATGCGATGGAGGTGGTGAGGAAGATGGGGATTCGGTATCTTTGGGTTGATGCGTTGTGTATTGTTCAGGATGATGCGGGGGATAAGGCGAAGGAGATTCAGAGGATGGATTCGATTTATGAGGGGTCGGTGTTTACGCTGGTGGCTGCTTCGGGCAGGAGTGCGAATGCTGGGCTGGCGGCTGTGCATCGGCGGAAGGGGGAGCAGGTTGTTGAGACTATTTGGCCTGGGATTAGGATGACGGCTATTCATTCTGTTACGGAGATCATTGAGAATATGAAGTATGGGACGAGGGGATGGACGTATGTGGAGAGCATTGATCTTTTCCATCTGCCTTTGAGGATATATTTGGTGAGCCTTGCTGATGATTACGTCGTGCAGGTTCCAGGAGCAGAATCTCTCGTCTCGTCTTCTTGTGTTCACTGATGACATTGTTTACTTCCAGTGTCATCGGTGCGTGTGGAGCGAGAATAGTCGTGCTGACGAGACGCCGAGGATTCCCACGGCGTTAGGTGGTCCTCGATCATCGAATAATATGGACATGACATCCATTCCATGGCATATGTACTCAGACTATCTGGGGCAGTATTCCCAGCGACAACTAAGAAATGACGAGGATATAGTGAACGCCATGACTGGCATTCTCAACAGAATATCACGGAAGCTAAAATGCACGGTGCTCTACGGACTATTAACAGACTCATTCGAGTGGAGTCTGCTCTTTTACACAACATATTACCATCGACGAGCAGAGTTCCCAAGTTACTCATGGGCCGGCTGGAAAGGCGAATTCACATGTTCTTTCCCCGAACCAGACGACTTCGACCGAGACGAATCAGAAAGCTCCTCAGACGACGACTTCGATCCCGAAAGGCTAAGCACGCAAGCCCGCGAAACAGCAGCCAAGAACAGCTGGATCGTCTGGCACGAGCGCCAACCAGACGGGAGCTTGCACCTACTAACCAAAAGAGATAACGTCGCGGCGCGCAAACAGACAATCAAGACACTGAAGCAGTACCTGTTCAAGAAGCGAGCACGCATGGAGGACTCGGTGTCCGCCACCAGCCCGACAAGAACCCTTGAGGATATCGCCTTTCCGGCTTACTCGGTCCTGCAATTCTGGACCATCTCGCTCAATTTGCGCGTCCAGGAGTTCCCCGTGCCATCTGCGCATCGCGCTGATCTTGTCGATAAACAGGGCAGAATATGTGGGCAGCTCCAGATGCCGAAGGATTTGAAGCCGACGTATGGGGTCGCTGTTGAGATTATCTTATTGCTTTCGTGCAATGTGACCGAGGCGCTTGTTCCGAACCGACAAAGGTGGGATGGGGTTGATTCGGCGGGGGCCATACAAATGGCAGGTGGCGAGCCTTTGGAGCTCTTTAAGGTTATGTGGATTAAGTCTCATCGGGGGATATCGGAGCGGATGGCCGTGGGTGAAATACAGCAGAAGGCGCTTCGACATGCAGAAGGCAAACCGGTCTGGAAGGAAATCATTCTGAAATGAAGAGAGAGCATAGTGTCAGACAGGATATATGGCAACTGTCTCTGGCAAGCTTGTTGAACTTGCTCTCCTAATTCTTGTTGAAGATGAAAATTCATAAGTACTGGAATGAAGATATTTACTAGTGCTAGCCTGTATACAAAATTCCTTTCCTTTGCGAAATCTTCCCATATTTACGTCTTCACTCATTCCTGATTCCTCATTGACAACCGCACACATCAGCTCTCGCTCCATCTCCACATTCTTCTATACTCTGTTCCTGGCCAGCACTGCCCAGACCGACAACCTTTGCACGCGCAACATTCAATTACAGGCTAGTGCTACACCCCTTGGCCCTGTTACTAACACAAACATACAAGAGATCGCCATTCGCAAGAACAGCCTTGAACTCGGAGCTATAGCCTTTCACTCCACACTCTCTCGCGAAGACCGAAATCGTCGTCTCCTCGGCGCTGGTCATCGTGCTGGTCGCATAAGTCGCCCACGACACACAAAGATTATCACCGTCCCGCGTGATACACGCAGACCGAGGCTTCTGATCGAGTCGCTTGCTGGTATCGACCTCTTTGAGCAGCGCAACGATGTATCCCGCAGCCGAGCTAGAAGTAACCGCAGAGACGAAGCCGCCAATTCCATGCGCCGCCCCGCAGCACATAAGTCTAATGCCGCCGCCGGGGTAGTTGCAGTCGTACCAGTTTCTGGCGGACAGGCTGGGCTCGTTGGCGAAGCCACCGTAGTAGCTCTGCAGAGCGTCGTCTTCGCTCACCGATGCGTCGAGCGTGTAGAGCGTGAAGGTCTCGCCGGTCACGTTGTCGGTGTAGGTGCCCATTGCGAGTAGGGCAATGTCGGTGGACTGATCGCTCACGGGCTGGGCAAGGACGCCCGGGAAGAAGAGCTTCAGCAGCACGAAGCAGGCGGTCATGGTTATGAAGCCGATGACTGTCTTTGTGACGAAGTTTTGCAAATCTTTGCTTTCGTCTCGGCGCTTTGCGCCGCATTTGTCGCAGGTGTTGGAGTCGCTCATGATGGCGTTGGGTGGATGGTTTTCTTTATTCTTTGTTTTGGTTTCTGATGAAAGAAGAGGAGCTGATGATGGAAAGAAAAGAAAGAAGGGGGGATGGCATCTCAAACTTATACCCGCCCAGCTACCTACCTGTTCTCGATCCAGAGTATTGCTTGTCAAGTGACAGGGGAGGATAAAGGATTCTTGGGGCTGAGAAAGTCCGGAGTACCCGACGTGCATACTATTTTGCCCGGGTGGCCCACTTATGCACAGAGGTAGTATGCGTACTAGTATGCATGTATAGTAGTAGATGATAGTCTTCAGAAATGATCGGATGAAACAACAAAGAAACTTTTGTGGGCTTGGATTCGCAAGGCTGTAGAGATCAACTGTCTACCATATCAACTATAGTTCTACTATCAGCCTGTCTGAAATGTCTTGAATGACAGCGTTGAATAAATGCTAGTATTGAACATATGCTATGGAAGCAGATTGAAAAGTGAGAGACTAGATAGAAAGACAAGTGGGGCTGAGGGGCCAGGGCAAAGCGAACATCTGGATATACGGTTTAAGTAAAGCTTGGAAATGCTTGGCTTAGTGCAAGACGCCCGAAGTGGGGCAGCCCATTTGCTTGATCTTAGTGCTTATGTTGCAAGCTTATAGTCGAACACATGGTTGCATTAGTGCGGAGGATTAGGCAGCACTTTAACATCGTGGAAATTAGTGTCTCTTTTCCTGTTCCTGTTCTATTGATACTGCCAAAGCTAATAGAGCCAGATGTGCATACTTGCAACGATATCGAAAAGCAAGCTGACATTAAAAATGAATAGGTGCATAATGTGTTCATAAAGCCCGCGGGCTAAGGGTTTTCCCAGACATAGATATCATGGGTGAGCGGAGTCCGAATCCCGTCGGCAAGAAAGTGCATTTAAAAACTTGCAGCCTGCGAAGGATCTTAAAGGATCGGGCGCTAAGAATGATTTGCAACTACTACTATGACAAGCTTTGGTTCCCTCTCGCTAAAAATACCCCGGACTCGATCTAGAATGTCTGGCCCCGGGGGCGGCTTAAAAGGGAAAAATGATAGGGTAGTATTGATTTAATGAACGTGCATTTGCCACCGGACAAGAAGGAACAGAAAGACAGAGGGAAAGAGGGAAAGAGGGAAAGAGGGAAAGAAAAAGCGAGAAGGAGGCTGAGACATGATGGGGGGTGGGGGGTTTCTTTTTTTTCTCTCTTTTTTTTTTTGCAGCCGCGTTTGGCTCCCAGAGTCCTGTCTACACTACAATAATTATATTCAAGGCAAAGGATGATGATGGTCCAGTTTCCTCCCCCATTTGAGACTTTGACACAACTGCGGCACTTTCAAATAGGACAATACGTACATCTCAAGCGTTTAATCTCCCGACAAGGGAAATTGTGCCCCCAGAATATAGACACCGCTTGAAAGCTTTGACAACTACGACATTTGGAGGTCATATGGGGCTAGATATTTTCGATTTTACAATCTGGATGGTCTTATCGACTACAAATTGCCTCGTCCTAGGCCGACTGATAACGACTGTGGAAGTTGGCTTCACCTTACAATGGAAGTTAGGCAGTGGCTAATTGCCAGCATTAGCGATGTATTCGATACAAAATCTAGTACTTTAGGACGTCACTGGAGAGCCGTTGGTCTTTGCCGATACGTTGTTCCAAGCCATTCACAAGGAAATGAGAGATGTGGGAAGCTACCAGGATATGGTCCAATTAACCAAATAAGATACCATGCGCATGGACGATTTTACGAGCCTGGTCACCTTTCTGGACGAGTTTATGCGCTTGCACTCTTGGATGACGGAGTACAAGCTGCAATCGAGCCCCTACTGTGCCTTCCTGTTTATCATGCGCCAGTTAAGCAGTTATGAAGATGTGAGAGATTCAATTATGGAATCTCATCGAGTCTCCGGTGCTACAGCTGTTTGAATCTTACTCGCCCAATCAGTTTGCTGATATGGTGCAAAACTTAAGCGTTCGTCTGCAAGCGAGATCACACAGGTCTTCTGGGCTCGCTGCTACGGGCACGAAGCCACCCCCCCCCCCCCCCCCGATAGTAATGCCTACTAGTCAGAGCGACCTTCGCATGGCACTGTACTGCTTGCCAATCCATTCATGGATAAAGGAACATGTTGTCGTAGGAGAGGTTGATTCATTGTCTTGTTCGGCAAATCGAGGCGGAAGTGCAGTTCAAAATATTACCGATCGGGTCACAGGTGATTAATTTGATGGTGTACGGTAAGTGGGGCCGAGGGATCCCGAATCCGGGGATCTCCAATCACGTGTTCAACAAGAACAAATGTCAAATTATAAGAGCAACGGGAGAAAGTAGCGCATGAAAGACACGACGCACTTGGAATTGTAGGAAGCTGTGAGAAGAACACGCGCAAGAAATTTGCTGACTGAATTGGAAAAAACAAAAAACAAAGAGGAAAGACGAGGAGAAGCAGTCCTGACTTTGAATATCAGTTAGATTGAGGAACTACTAGTATTAGGTCAGTACTGATGATCATCTACTATGGAGATTGTTTGTGATAAAGTAGATGAGTTGCAGAAGGAGATAAGAGAGAGACAGAGAGGTGTTGATATAGACCAAGCCGCATCATCTGATTTTCCATGAACTGGCAAACATTTCTAACATGCTTGATCTCCGAGCATTATCAGTGCCATACAAATCGTGAAGTATTAATTGTCTTAAGGGTGGAGTCTTCCAGGGAAAGTCCTTGCCCGATACAACATCCTTACCCGAGTTAACGTGCTTATCCGCTACAAATGTTTGCCCGCGCCAAGAGCACCTGACCATGGCAAGCCCTAGAGAAAGAGCATTTGACGAATTGGACCTTGAACCCGAGGCTTATCTTCAGACTTCTGGAAAAAAAAAATTTCATGTTAATTACGAATTGCTTCTGCTTCTCCTCTTGCTTCAAATTCGACCACTATAGCGATCTTTGTGAGCTTCCAAACAGAGTAATGACTTAGTATCGCCAGCCCGAATTTCAAACCCTAACAACATGAATTGCATTTTTACCCGTTTAGCTTAACACTACCTAATAGACTAGTGACCCAGAGCTAGATCTCAGAGCGGTTCCTAAGCAGGACGCTAACGAAGTCAATAAATGTAGGGTTATGAAGAAGACTTCAGGTCTCTTTCCAACAACCGGCACCTCTATGGTCGAGTGGTAAAGCCCTCCCATATCACCCAGGTGGTCTTCTCAGAGTTAGCCGTTGGGACTTGCACATGTGAGAGACGGGTGTCGGTTACACCGGGAAACACCGCTCAGTAGCCAGACCTCCCTCCTAGTGCCACAGGCGCTACGAGCAGAGAGGCCCCTCTGAGCTAGATGTTTGCCAATGTTTTTATATAATTGACCATGCTGAATTCAAATGAATATCCACTTTTTCAGAGCTCAATCTCACTGTATATTATGGTAAAATGAGAGAATTCCAGAGGGTCGATATCTCAACTGATGTCAATGACGCTATTCAGAAGATACCTCAGAAGTACATAGGGAAATCGATTCAACCGGCGTTCGACTCCCACTTTCATCAGATTGATTATTTTCAACATTTGAATATACTGTATATCTACGTTCAAATGTTGCTGGCATTGGTATATATGATTTTTCATCAAAATAACAGATGAAAAATAATTCTTACATCAGATCTTGGGATATCATTCCTATAAATCTATTTCTAGCCAAGCGCCAAGTGCTTTGAGGGGCTGAGGCTAAAAGAATCAAGTTAATTCCTGATTCTTAAGGCACTCTGGTTTTGACTGCACGAATACAAGACCAGCATAGTTTGGACGCCCTAGTGATACCTCGTCTCTCTTCTAAGTATTCATCTCCTTGTTTGTGGTTTCTTCTTAGTCTTTATCTTCTTCTCGTCCAATCAAACATCAGATTACCTAATGTGTCTCCGTACACCGTTGTAGAAATTTGTGCCAACCTTCTACGTGCGTTGTTGAAGTCACTCATACTGTTTTGTTTTGCTTTACTCCCTTTTTTTCTTTGCATCTATACCCATCTGGCCAGCGAAGTCTTGATTCTACATATGATTGCACGTGCTGTTGTAGATGTACTCCGTGTACTCCGTATGTACATAGAAGGAAACATTGCTTGCCGGTCCGTATCCACTACCAGATCAAGTGGGGTAGTCTTGTACTGACTAACTCCGCATACAGAATTATCCTTAGGCAAGAGTCGACGTCAGGGGCTTGATGTTCTGGGTCATTTAAATAGAATGTTATCTGAATTCAATGTTCTCTTGCATCCGCTCCACATTGAAATAGAATGGCTTCAGCCACATACCTAGACGGCACTTGAGGGGTTCAATCTTGGCAATCTGACTAGATATAGTGGAGATGGCTCTTACTAGTGGGCCCTTATTTATGAAATTGTTGGCAATGGGTCGGCAGAGGTGTAATACAAGAATCAAGTTACACCCGGAATCAGCCGCATTCCAGCCTTGGAAGGGTTTGGCCCACACTTGGCCCACCCACTCTCGGTTCCACCGCATATCGCAATTTATCGCAATTTACCGAATGATCCCTGAGAGAGACGATCACTCACCAAATTTGTAATGTACAAGGCTGAGTTGGTTGAGCAGAAAAAACATAAGCTCCGTGAAACGACGCTTACTATCCAGCAAAATTTCGCTCAGAGCGTTTTCACATATCTACCAGCTATCAAGCAGCACAAAATTAAAGTAATTTTTGACAGCATTCTAAATATATTAATAAATAATTAGTCCATACATAAGAACCTCCAGCTCCACTAGGTGTCTGACTTGGCACCGATCGTGGTCCCATCGTTGTTAACAGCCTCACCGTATTTGGATCGACAGCCCAACGGGTACAGAACAAATCGCGATTCGAACCAAGTACGGAGTATGGTACATATTGGGTAGTCAGTCCGTGAGTCTGATGGCAGGATTCTTGTACTAAAGATTATAGTGGAGCGTCCTTTCTCGTTCATTGTACCGTCCCTTACAAGGTCACGTTCTGTACCAGTCCTAATTACAAGTAGTAAAGAAGACGTAACAGATAACTTGAGAATCATACTCCACATGTACTATTTGAGAGTAGTTCTCCAATTTCCTCGTCAAGAACCTGAATGTGGACTTTTCTTGAACCTCATTCTACGTTGTTTTTATTATGATCGACGATAAGATACTCGGTGTTAATAATTGCTGAATCGATGCTGGTACGAAGTCCATTTGCTGAACAAGATCGTACCGTCTGTGCCGCGCCGAGCCCACCTCTATGGCTATTTTAGGTGTTTACCTACTCTATCATGGCAGTGCCATATAAGAAGACAGATATTGTCAAAGGAATCATGCCATGACTTTCGATATCACAACTTGAGAAACGCACCAGACCCCTGAAGACTATCTAGATCTTGAGAAAATAATCTTGGAATCTGGTGTACATATAGGTTTCCCATGAATTGAAGCTAAGATTCGAAGCGATGCTCCATACAACATCCATTTGAAGCTTGAATTATGGGGTACTGATCAGCATGAAACCTTGGAATTGGAGGTCCCAGTCCTTAATTGCTTTCTTGGCAAGAACACTGAAATGATGTCGGCCCATTTTTTCCCCCTCGACTAGGCCGATTCAAGCGGCTTAAACGATACCTCTTCCAAGGTTTTGTTGACGGGCCGCTCGGGCGCACGGTCTCGATGGATTGTATCAGCTTTCCGTATAAACGAACCGTCTTTGAAAATTTCGTGAAGCAACCCTGCTGCACATTTGGGTTGAGTAATTGATAGTCTTATTGAAAATCTCGAGCAGGGTGTAGCTTGGTTTTATCCAGGATTGGTGAATTGTTATGCATAGTAGCTATCTGTTGTTAAACATTGAATACAATCTAACATTGAAATTACTTGAATACACTAAGGCTGCACGGGCGAGTTTTGGCCCCGGGGTATCTTTGTATCTTTTTATAAAACTAGTACTAGTTCATTAACTGCTATCCGAGTGAAGCCCCCCACGATAAAATCCTAGTGCCAAGGTTCAATGTTGGGTCATTCTGCGAGATGTATATCGCAGTTTTTTCCAACCAAGGTTGGCTTCCTGTTCCCTCCTTCACCCCAGCCTAAAGTCTTTCGTTTTTACGACCATAATGGCGTACTCGGTCGTTTCAAAGGCTCAAGGGTGGATTATCCTCCTATTCGGCTTCTTGAATCTTCTCACGATCGCTAGTGCTAGCTCCAGCTCTCAATGCTACTATCCCAACGGCAACGAAAGCACTGATACCCCCTGCTACACAGACGGCCGAGTTACCCATTGCTGTGGCGAGGAATCCATATGCCTCACAAATCAGCTGTGTCTTTCAGTAGCGCAGCCATTTTCCTTATCGCGCGGAAGCTGCACTGATAAAAGCTGGGGCACGGATTGCCCATCAACATGTCGTAAGCTCTATACCTGACTATTTATCCACTGTTGCGATTTCACAGAACTATGAGCTGAGCATATTTTTTTTCACTAGGGAGCGCACAAGAAGCCGCTGGGGCGGCTGTTGTGTGGTTAACGAACGGTACAGCGACCGGCGAAGAGCCACAATACTGCTGTAATTCGGCCGTGATCTCGGCCAACGATACGATAGTATGTAGTACGATCGATGGAGATTCCCAGAACCCCTTCACGATTTCGAATGGTTCTGTTATTGCCAACGCCGCAGCTCTTTCGGGGTTGGTGGAGGAGTCAAGTTCGTCCACCGTCGCCAATACTACTGCTAGTGGGAACAACACAACGATAACGAGCTCGCAATCGTCTTGCAACACCTCCAGCAAAGACGTGGCTATCGGGGCTGGGGTCGGTATTCCCCTCGGTGTTATTGCCCTTCTTCTTATTGTATGGGCGTTGTGGGAAAGACGTTTGAGGAAACAGACACCCGTTCCTGGTCAGGCCTTTCTGCTCTCTGATAACAACTCCCACTCCCATGTTCGTGAAATGGATGGGTCAAAAGTACCGGAATTGTACGATGGGTCGACTATAACTGGATCTTCTTAATATGTATAATATCTAATGAGGAAGTACCGATACAGAGTACATAATGGGAAGATTTATTAATTAATCCTTACAATGATACATGTGAACTTTGCCAAGTGGTTTAGATTGAAATAAAATGATTAGGCGACCAGTCATTACGCATCGGAGGAGTGTTGGCAAACGCGAGCTAGACCAATCCCATGCTTTCTAACGCATCCATTCTGTTCATGTAGTACCAAAACCGACATCTGGATCGATGGATTTCCAATCGCATGCATGTTGTAAGTCAATTTTTCTGTTATCTTTACTAGGTATTGAAAAAGGTTGTGCTCAAGAGAAGCTTTAGGACAAGATAATAATGTACACGATCCATGGTATTAGGCTCGGTATAGTGCAGAAGCCCATACGGACCTCGGGATTGCATATCCGCATTATAGACTTTTCTCTCGTGGGCCTGTTTTTGGGGTCCTTTTTTGTTTTATTTTTCGTATATGACAGCCTCGCAGCAGCAAAACGAAATTATGGCAGCTTGCCAAGGAACGCCACCGATATCATGCGGATTGACACCCCACTGGCTTGTCCCGTATTGCCGGTTCAGGGAAGTGATTAGCGCAGGGTCTGGTATTATACCGTTATATTACCAACGAGCTTTACCGAGGCCGCTTTCCAGGCCTGATCTGCGCCGCAAACACCAGTCAGCACTGCCCTTCACTATTTCATGTACGGCCCCCAAATACATCCGGCCACGAACTTACAAATTTCTGAAGTCACTCCACGCTATTAGCTGCAATACCATTCCGTATTGCAATGCCTATCTGCTATCTACGATTTGGATTACATAGGGACTCAGTCGTTTTAAATTCTATTAGATACTCAAATACAGTATTAATGCAAGATTGTCTTCCTGGCGCTAGTTCAGAAATTTATGTACATATAAGTTTCGTGGCCAGAGATTGTAGGTTGCGTCTTCATTAGTTATACTGAGGCTCACAAGGAAGGTCGTGATTATTGTTCTAATTCCGCGAATTGTTTTTCCTGCTCCGTATACGAGTTATGTCTCAAGTGCTTAGAAGTTATGTCTTAGATATGCGAAATTGTGGCTGGACTTGGCAAAACACATCATCTCGCGGATATATTAGCTCCAAGGGTATCATGGGGAAGGAAATGATAATAACCAACTGCCCGATATGGTAGACATCGAGCTCATTGCAGTAAGACATAATACATGCAACAGGCAGAGAAAGTATGATGTAAAAATAGCCGGAGGGCATGAGAAGGGCCAATACCGATATATACATATGTGTACATGCGTGCTTTAAGAGATTAACGAGCCAATGTCGAGTCATGGAGCTCAGCAGGCATGGGTCCGGACTTGAAGGCGCTTCCAAGCTCTGCGGGCTGTGCACTGTACGCAGCCATATCAGGCGGATAACTGTAACCGCCAGAAGGTGGGCTGCTCACCGACGGGGTGGATGTAAGCATCTTCTTTCTCAATTGCCTCTCATACAGAGCCCAGCCAAGTGCAACAAGGGCAATTACTCCAAGAGGCACGCCGACACCGGCACCAATCGCCACATCATTGTTAGAACCGGAGGAGCAGGTGGAGTTCGATGATGAAGCGGTGTCATCACTGTTACCGGTGTTGTTTGCAACAGTTGTGGAGGTTGAACTGGAAGATTCTTTGACTAGACCATCGAGGGCAGCCACGTCTGCAATGACAGACCCGTCCGCAATTGTGAAAGGGGTTTGAGTTTCGCCTGAGATGGTGCTGCATACCAAAGTGTCGTTGCTGGAGATGACCATGGAGTTGCAACAGTATTCGTCTTCTTCGTCCGTTGCTGTGCCATTGGTGTACCAGACAAGAGAGGCACCGGCGCTCTGCTGGGCGGTTTCTATTCATAGAATCAGTATTTGAGAATATAATCCGTATCGTGGAATGTGTTCCAAGGTTCTCTGTTTCCACACTTACTGCAATAGGCTGGACACGAGGTGCCCCAGCTTTTATCGGTGCAACTTCCGCGCGAGAGGCCGAAAGGTTGGTTCAAGGAAAGACATAGCTGATTTGTAAGACATATGGAGGAATCTCCACAGCAGTGTGTAATGCGGCCATCGGTATAGCAGGGTGTATCGGTGCTTTCGTCGCCATTAGGATAGTAACATTGCGAGGAAGTGGCTTGAACTTTGGCAAGGAAAGCCAGAAAGCCGAGTTGGAATATAAGACAGTTGAAAAGGCTTAATTTCGCCATATCGGCTAGTAGTCTGACAGGTCAAATTTTCTCTCGAACCTTGGAACCAAGTAAAATGGGTAGCGGCTCCGCGGGGTATTAAAGACCGTCCAAGGTTGAGAATCGAAAATATGGAAAATTGGGGAAATGTAATGAGAGACCAAGAGGAAAAAGGGGTGGTCCTTAAACTCCCCGCGAGCCTCACCAATCCTGCCAATAGGTTTGAGCGTGAGTTGGAAGCGTTATGGGGGTGATTGGATGGACATGGCAGCCCAGCCACTCTGATCAGCGAAGGATTCACAGGACTCACGACTCCGTACGGAGTAGTACATACTTCAGTCTGGAAAATGCCCGTAGAATCCGCATGCACCTAACTAGTGCCGGCTAGTAAGTACAGTACAGTATGTATCAATTCGAAACTGGGCCAAGCAATACGAAGTACATACTGTGACGGCTCGAAAAACGGAAAATTCACCCCCTGAGCTCTCCACATTTAGCGGGATAAGGGCCCACGGGTCCAAGTGCTTTTTCCTCATTCATAATTGATTACTAGTTTTTAAATTCTGTATCCCTGGGTATCTACTGTATGTATAATAGATGTATGCCAAGTTTAGTACCCCTATAAATTAGATCCACCTGTGGACCCTTCTTTGTAAGACTTTACATATTATGTGGAATCATCTTAAGATGTTTTCTGCGTATGTTTTAAAATACACGTGCTCTCAGACATTTATAATATATGTAAAGTCTATAATAGACTAACTTGTAGTGGCATTTGCTGACCTGTCCCTGAATCTTCGGATGGCTTTTTTACCTTCCGGTTTAATATATGCCGGAGATTCCCGCAGTGGACCCTGAGACCCTGTGGGGCACTGGGGCCTATCAACAAGGCTTGTATTGCGCTAGTAAACTGTTTGACCCCAAAAAACAAACCTTGAAGCCCATTTAGGCAAGCGGCTTGTGTTGAAAGTACGATGCGACCCTGAAGGGGTTCTGTGTACTGTCCGTATTGAGTAAGCTGTTAGCGAAGCGTTGTAACTCCAAATTTATAAGTAGCTGCTAATGTGGAGTCCGGGTCCAAACACGTTTCAGATCGACAGGATTCAGGGATTGTCAGGTCTTTTTTGGGATTTCTTTTTTGGACTATGTAATTTTTGTTTTTGTTTTTTTCCTCTTTTGGGTCTCTGCTTTCAAATCACAGCCTGGAGGCAACTGCATTAACTACGATATCCTAGTACATGCAATCCATGGACGCACTGCACTCCACATGATTGGTTAATACCGCTTTTTTCACCCAACAAAGGTTTTTTAGGTATTGCTTGTCTCTAAAATAAATTATGTAAATTGAATGCGCCGCAAAAACCAGGGTCTTTTAGCACTTATCCGCTTTGTTTCCATTCTACCTTCATCCACCTCTTTTGGAGGGGGCTTCCTAATATCGAGCTTCCTGGTCCCTTGAAACCTCCCGACCGGGCCCGCCATAGGCACATATCACAATGGCGACAGCGACAGCCTTTTCAAATGCTACTTCACTCAATTCCCTACGCCGCTTTCCCCGCATCTGGCTCTACGTGGTCCTCGCCTTTATTTCCTTCTTCCTATTTCATCAAATAGTCATTCAAAGGCAAGATGTCCTTCCTAGCATATCTGCAATGATGGGATCTGATGCGATGTCCAATAGAGAACCTATCGCCATCAAGCCTGGCGATCTGGGGCACAACTTGCTTGAGGTGAGACCCCAAGACGATAAGTCCCCTTTTGCGCACGAACCAGTGGGCCTTGGAACACTCCGCGATGTTCGGTAAGTTGCTTGGCAGCCCCCCTGTTCGGCAATTAAAACTTGTTTTGGATACTAAACTCCTTCATCTAGCGAGGACAACTTTTACCGTGGTGGTGTTTTAGCGCTGAATCCCGGTAGCGACAAAGCTCCAAGCCCCGTGATTCTCGATCCTTACCCAGATTACAATGGCAAAGAATGGCGCGACACATTCGCTGGCAGCTTCCGTGCTTGTGAAGGACCGAGGAGGAATACATTGAACCGCCGAAACCCTGAGGATATGATGACTGTGTATCCGGGTATCCAAACTGGTAACTTGCGCTTTACTCGAGTCCTTACGTCATTCTAACGAGTTTATAGATTTCCCGCCTTCATTAATCGGTTCCTATTCCGCTTTACAACTCGATGCCTCAGTTTGCACTAGCCGACACTCGAGACTCGGCGCATACGGATACGAAAGCGACAGCAACGACAGTTCAAATGTTTGGCTACCACCGAAAACCGACTGGGATAGTGTTCCATGGGGGAGGCTTCAATCGCAATGTCTCGACAGAAACGCAGATAGATATGTTGGAGGCCAGGCCAATTTGCAAGCTGTGCACTCTCTACCTACTCGCCCCACACAAGAAATCCCCAGCAGTCAGTCCGAAACTGGCAACCCTCACCACAAAACACGTTCAGCTGTGATTCTCCGTGCATGGCACGATATGGAATGGACCGAGAACCTCAAGCAAAGCATTAGGGCTCTGATCATGGAACTATCACTACACTCCGGTGGTGAATATGAAGTTATTATTCTGTGCCATGTGAAGGACAGGAAAATAAATATCAACCTAGAAGGTGCCGATGCCCTCAATCTTAAGGCCCAGTTTGTGCCGCGTGAATTTTTGGATATGACCATTCTCTTCAATGACTTTACACTCGAGTCATGGTATCCCAAGGTCGAAGAGCATAGGTATGATTCATACAGTCCTTCAAAGTCGTCGTTCAAGCTGACATCATTAAAGCACAATCATCCAATACTGGCAGCCAGTTCAAATTCTTTCTCAAACTGTGCAGGGATATGATTATTTCTGGCAGTTCGAAATGGACTCCAGGTTTACCGGCCATGCCTATCACTTTTTAGAACGAGTCGCCGAGTTCGCCAAGGCACAGCCTCGGAAGTATCTCTGGGAACGAAACTCCTACTTTTATATTCCAGGTGCATATGGCATCTGGGAGCAATTCAAACATATGGTTTCCACTTCTTTAACAGGAAAAGAGAGTATCTGGGGACCAATGGACCTCTCTAACATCATCGCAGAGGGTTCCGTGAATACCGAACCCATGGTTCCAGTGGGTCCCAAACCCCCTGTCGTCTCCCCAAAGACCGACAAATATGAATGGGGCGTTGGCGAAGAGAGCGACCTCATCACATTCCTACCCATCTTCGACCCTATCCGCACGGCCTGGGTCTTCACAAACCACAAGTGGGGCGTTAAAGATGACGTCCCCCGACGAGCCTCCCCCGTCGCCATAGGACGAATCTCGAAGACACTCGTGCAACAAATGCACAACATGCAGAGCAAGTGGGGAATCGCCCTCGCTTCCGAAATGACCGCGCCAACCGTCGCGCTGTGGCATGGTTTGAAGGCCGTGCATGTTCCCCATCCCATCTTCGCGGATGGAAAATGGACATCAAGGGAGTTAGGCCGCATCATGAATCCCGGACCAGCCGAGAAAATCAATGGTGGTGAGGATAGTATCTGGAATTGGGATCACCACTGGGACCATATTCTATATCGCCTGACTTACCTGTTCTCCACATTGCCGTCAGAGAACCTGTACCGAAGATGGCTTGGTTTCAAGGTCGATCCTGATCAGTATATCGATGGTACCTTCCACCAGGATCCTCAGGGTAGGAACTGGTTTGAAACGGGTGACTTGCGGGAGGACTTATATGGTCCACTTTGCTTCCCGTCTATGCTTCTTCATCCCGTCAAAAATACCGAGGCTATCAAAGGCAAGGGAATGGCGGTTCCTGTTTAGAGCGTTTGGTTAGATGTATTTGTATATACCTATTTCATTTATATGACCCATTACATAATTTCAATGCACAGATTGAGTGCTACATAACCTTTTCAATTCTTGGTATGAAAACGTGGTAATATTTCCAATGTTGCAGGGTTGAATGACTGCCCATATGAGATTATTTGTTCGAGCTTCGGAACCTTGGAAGCATTATAAGGTTGAACATGATCTACACACTGCACACTTAATTCAACATATGCACGTGTGCCCACTATATTCCCCGCGGGGCTACAGCGTGTCCCGAAAATAGTTCCTTCTGTCCGGGCTAAAAATTCGGATGAAGAATACAGTGCTTAAGTGAAGGACATTTGAGAAATCAAAAGATACCTACTACATCTTCCTCTTTAGTAGTCACCAAGATTGCCCATACATTGACACAGCTACCTAATATCTTGTTAAGTACAATCCGACCTTCATAAAATTTCCTTCCGTGCCTACAGAGTAAATGCCTAGTAGTCTATATCAGTCCATTCCCCATTCTTCAACTCCCTGTCAGGAAGCGGAGGCTCATCCCCCATCTCATCATTGACATCGTCCAACTCCTCCTCAACATTCCTCTGCTTCTTGGACCACTCATCTACTCTCTGCATCCAAACCTTGTCTTCCTCTTCGGACTCTGTGTTCAAAGCTTGTTCTTGACAGAAGCTAACAAGGCTGCATGGTTGTGAGAGATAAATGTGAGTTATTTCCAAGTCTCAGATACAGAATCCCACGATCAGAGGAGCCTTACGATTCACAGAGCTCGAGTTGCTGAGAAAGAATCTTCTCTCGCTTGAAGATGTCATCTAGTCTCGCAAGCTTGCGCTCTTTGCTGGCAAAATCTTGCTCGAGTTGTTCGTAGACTTCTTCGACGTCGCCTTCCGACATTATGAGGGTATTATGGTGGGGTATATATGGATTTTAACTTGGAGGATATGACAGCAGTGGGTATGGGAAAATATGGCTGACTTCAGGCCCCGAGACTAAGTTATACCTAAGCTTGGTTATATACGGTTGAGGCATTTATTTTATATCTAAACTACACATGTGCAGGCATGGATTCCAAAATGGCAATCAATGGATACAATGTAGCTAGTACTTCCTACTTTTGACAGCCCTGGAGTTGCAGTTGACCCCATGTGAACCTTAAAAGAGATACTCCGCATACTTATACCCTGCACATGCATACGGCTACATTTTGACATTCTCTAGCTCTGGACTAAATTATATACTGACTATGCACATCAGAAACTCTAGAACGCCCGGGCTAAAAATCAGCAAGCCACCATGTGTATGTAAGGCTAGCTGGTAGAGGTTTGAGAGCATTTGAAGCAGGCTGACACTCAAGTGCCCCGCTCCCGAGGTGTCTTTCCCGCTTTCAGTTGACCAATTCGAAGAGCAACATCGACCATGCTGAAAATAAGACTACGCAAGTAGTTGATTTGATTTGAGAGTCGTCGCTCAATATTTCCCACAACATTCCAGCGAGGCGCAGATGCTTGTACTCAGTGCCAGAATTGTACACTTGCATAAGCACTATATGTGCTGGCAGACAGTACTTAGCATCCAGACTTATCACTATCTATGGATATTTGAGCTTTGGCCTTGATTTCTGGGCAAATAGGAAATATTAATTGTGGCATTTTTTTTCCGCCGGAGCTGAGTATATCCTGGCTGTTTGGTTGACTTTAATGCCACGTCTGGTTTTAATTTCCATGAAAAATAAACGGATTTGATTGGCCTTGGCAGATCAAGGCGCGCGTAGCCTGGCAAATCCTCAAACCGGGATGTGGTAGTTTGAGAAAGCGGTGTGGTAGCAAAGAAACCATACCAAAAACAAAGAACCACCACAAGTTAAAAACGCAATCCATTGGTACTATGATTAACTATTAGTGATAATCTAGTATTGAATCGCTTAAACAGTTACTCATAGACGACAGGCTGTTTTTAAGGTGATGTCACTCGTAAAGCGAGTCTTCTTATTATGTTAATTTATAGCTATTTGTGCGTGTTTCCTAGCGATTTGGAACGCTATTAATTCATTCTTGTAGTGTTGAATATAGCACTTTATAAATCGCTGCCGTCTGCCGAATCGAGTGTGCCGAGCTCCATAGTTTGTTTCAGAAAGCACCAATGCCACGATAGATGATAATAAGTGCAATACCAATTATATCGTTAACAAAGAGAGATAACGTTCCCACGGCTTGAACGCGCGATCTAAAATTGTAAAGGCATCTTTTTTTTTACTTCCATGAGAATGTGTAATGTGATTGATATCTCTTCTCGGCGGTGAACCAAGTAAGCCTGTAGACAACATAGTAGACTCAGACCGTACGGTCCGGTCTATTACCTCCAGCTGAACTGAGACATGATCGAGTCCCCAAACATTGCATCACCATCATCATTCGACCGATAAGTTAGCGCAGTAGCAGCGCCACCATGGTCTACCCTCCAGCCACCTTCATTACCGAACACAATAATTGATTCACTACCGCCAGTCCAGACCTGGATGTCCACTTCTTGCTGGTACTCGATGCAAGTTGGGAAGTCTACAACGGTCTCGTAGCCCCAATGTCCGTTGAAGTTGTCGTTAAAAACGATTGTTTGTGTGTGTCGCCGAAAGGAAATATGTAGAACGATCCTACCTTGGGCGTCCCAAAAGTTGAAACTATTGTTGTCGTTCTTGTTATCGCGGTATGTTGAATGGTATGAATTGGCATATAGATGGACTATGGTGTTGTTGAAGTCCGTGACGCCAGGAAATTCGAAAGAGCCTGATCGTACATACAAGGTCTGTTGCGTTTCATGCCATAGGCTCCTATTTTCAGATTAATAAATACATCAATCGGTGCTCGGTGCCATATTGGTGAAGGAATAGGTTCCATAACATACATTCCAGCGAGATTGCTCGCGTTAGCCGCATGACCCGGCTGGGCGGCAGCATGATGCGCATCTTTAGCAGCAAGTTTTGACTTGAATTCTCTGAGCTCCTCTTCGCTTAACTGTTCCACTTTGACCTGTTTCAAGCCATCGGGATAAGGAGGAACAGTTAAATTTTTGTCTGCGGAAAGTGATTCTGCCATGGTGTGAAGCTTAATGATGTTACATGAGCACTTGAGTGTCAAGGAGGTCAAATTGAGTATTTATATTCCCGGCACCTGGCGGTCGGAAGACCAAATGGCATTGATTAATTTTGAGTAAATTTGACTAGGAGTTTGTTTTGTATTACTTCAAGGTTTATTCAAACCGATGGCTGCCTGAACCCCGGGGAAATCGAAGATAATTGGTCATTGGAACGATCAGTCTACACCCTCAAGTGCTGTAGATCCACTAGGGCGTTTTCATTAGCGTATTATTGCAAACGTCCAATGAGATGCTTCACATCCTCGGTTATTTCTACTTGATGGTAACCATGAGGTCTGTCTGGAGGGAATTATGGCATCCTATCGAAGCCATTGTAGGGTTCACGATCCAGACGAGTGAGGTTGGGCATCCATCGTATACTGAAGTCTTGTGATCTTCGGGTTAGCTTTTTACACAGACCCGAAGGCTGAGCAATCCACGCGTATTTGATCTAGCAACAGCCGGCGAAGTTATAAAATGCGTTAAGCCGAGTGAGACGTTCGTTCATCAGGATATCGGAAATCCAAAGCCGGCATTTCCGATAAATTTTGATTAAGGTTCTGGAACTAGTACTTTATCAAAAAATCAAAGAAAATTCAAATCAATATGCCGTTTGCCGAATGTGTCTTTTATGACCATCATGGTAGTTTTTCAGGGACGTGTCACGTCAAGTTGCCCCACCGAGTGTGTGGAATCTGGATAGTCCGTTATGGCCCGTGCGTAGCTGCGTCGGCAGGTATGCGCGATTCAGCGGTAGTAGAGCTTTCTCGTGTACCGCGCCGGCAGGTTCCGGTCGATCTTTTGCCGATGTGCGCCTTTGGTGCATCGCACTTTATACCATCTCAATTGGCTATACGGTATACCATCTATAAATGGATCAGCGAACCAGCTCAGTTGTCGGACAGTGAAAGCGACGATGAATTTTATACCAATGGCTTGCGTTTCTCGCTTCTGGTGGTTCTTTGGTACCACGCCGCTTTCCCAAACTACCACATCCCGGTTTGACAATTTGCCAGGCTACGCGCGCCTTTGATCTGCCAAGGACCAATCAAATCCGTTTATTCTCCATGGAAATTAAAAACAGACGTGGCATTAAAGCCAACTCTCAATATGGCATACCGTCTCTTTATCACTATCTGGGCAATATTTTAATATGTTGAATTTGGGCAGAGAGCACAAAGTCGCATTATAGATGTGCAGTCAATAAATCGCCTCTGAGAAAATATATACAAATACGACTAATACAGAACAACCTCGTCTTTCGAACCACCCTCCCAAATCCAAGTTTTCAAGATATCAGAAGCAACCCCAGCCACGATCTGAGGATAGTTGGGAGGAGGCTGGGCACCAGGCGGCGGCTTGCGGCTCGGATCACCAGCAATCCAGATGACCGGCTCAGGAGCAATACCAGCGAGTTTCTCACGGAGCACCGCAATATCCTCCATGTCGAATCCTCGGCCAAAAATCACGGCCCGTACTGGGCGGTAATTGTGAGAACCGACATTGTTGACAGTTGAGGACTTGGGATCCTTGCCTGCCAGAAGATGGGGGATTTCTTGCTGGGCAGCTTCGAAGCTTTGGATGAAGTGAATGACTAGGATTGTTAGCGTCTTGAACGGAACTGAACGATTCTATGGTTTTTTGTTAAAGACAGACCTTCAATATCGGGAAGAAGAAGCTCGGATACGGGCTTGCCGATTTGGTCGTCTAAAGCGCAGATCACGATGGGGAGGGGGCTCAAGGAGGACATGGTTGAAAGTATTGGTGCTTATTCGGAGAACTGGCTCGAGATGAAGTTGGAAGATATAGTGATATGATGAGAATGGTGGTAAATGAAAACGTTGACCTTTGTGAGGGACAAGTCTGATACTTTAATAGTTTTGGATGTTTCCCATGCTTTCCCCTATATCAGACCCGGAGTCCGACATCTACTAAATGCGGCTTAGGCTACAACTTATCCATGGTTTAATTCCCCACAAAGTCAAGAGGCTGGTAGAAATCATTCAAACGCAGTGCTCATTCCAGATTACATTGAGAGATCAAGTAGATCAATATACAGCGCGGTGGGGCGGTGGGGAACATATTCGATCGATTGACCAATCGGCGAATTTCATGACTTAATCTCCCCATCCGGTAATAATCTCGGACTCCGATTTCACCAACTTTGAAATCACTGATATATAGAACTTTTGGTGTCCTTTTTTCTCTCAGCCAACCCATTCTGATGTTTCAATGTTGTTGGCCTCAAAATACTGACCCTCTACAGAAGGAAGCGGCATCTGCACTACAATCTCTGTTCACATAATGGCTCAGAGCTCTATATGACTTAGCTTCCGACAACCCGAGGATTTCTCTGTCTTTGGACAAACATCCCGAGACTGCTGTCCAGGTGGCAACTACTTTTGCATCAGGATATAGCCCCCTCCAAGTCCTCAAGTTGGATCGATTTTAATGGTGCAAAGCGACCTATTGAGCCTCGCTTGGAAAGACACTCGGGGAGGTGATTATGTATTAATCTTCAACTCTGGCATACCAAGACGACTGCTCTATGGCTATTATATCGATAACTCCGGTGTCTATCCCGAAGCCATGATCAATCCTTTCTTGACCGCTTGGATTTCCGCGGATAAATGGGTCACCAGTCGGCCATGTGCGATCTCTGGAAGTCTTATAGACGGAACATTGGCATCCGCGTTCAACCCCATCGGTGTTAAAGTAGAGTGACTATTCTGTTTGATCCGGGCTGAGAGAGTATCTACCAGACGTTGCAGATGCTCAAGTTCCCCAAGAATGACTTGGGACTGGATGTTCCATCCTAGATCGGGATTGTCGACCGTATGATCTCCAATCGTGACCGCTTCATGGACCACTGTTTCCGGTAAGGCTGGTTCTTCCTCCATGAGGCTCTGCCCAGTGATACTGGAAAGATTACCGGGACGACAGGATAAACTGGCACGGATCATCGCTCGATACCACACCACCAGTCGAGAGCATATTGATGCTAGTAGGAGTTGATTCTGGGGACGGAGAGCGCAGGCACACTGTAGCATGCGACAGACTGACATACCGGCCTCCTTGTTGCTCTTTAGGACGTTGCCAGATGTACGTGGGTGCTCAGGTGCATCTGTTTCTTGGATCAAGGTGCCTTGATTGCTGCGGAACAGGCAGGTTGGTTGGCGAATGTGAAGTGTGCGGAGGTACTTTGTTGCAGTGATTATGCATGGCGTGCGATTCTCAGCCAGACATGAAGACGTTATAGTCTGGGGTGGAGCTAAAGCAGGGGTTGGCTGTGGATTATCGAAGTAGAGTGGTGGGGTGGAGAGCGACTCCAGGGCTTCGTGCTGATGGCTGGAGAGATAGTCGGGAAATGCAGAATAACTGAGCAGGGGTTCTTCGCGATTTCCAGGTCCGAAAGAATATCCCATGCAAGATTCGGTTTCTGTAGTTCCTTGGAAGGGTGTTGTCGCTGCAAATGGGTCCAGATATAAATCATAATTGAAACCAGCATTCAAGTCAACACCAATGGGGCGAAATGAGGGGTCCAGGAAGAGATGCCCATTTGCGGTTGACTCCACCAGTGGATGCAGGGGTTCGGCTGGTGCCGGCATTGAGTTCCAATCTTCAATGATACCGGTATCTGGAAGAGAAGCCCATCCCTCCTTGCCGAAGTGCATCTCGAAGGCATCGGCTTCCATGGAAGATGACGACAACGGTGACTCCAACGGTGAGAAGGAGGAAGGTTGGCCTCCCGTTTTCCGGGGGTAACTGAACTGGGCATTTGCCATTTTGCCTTTTATAATTGCATTAATCGTATGTGATATTTCAGAGGCTCAAGGCTACTCAGTGATTAATTGGGAATGTTCCAAGATTTGGGTCTTGGGGCTGAACATTTGATTGCAATCGAGATAAGCCAAGACTTCAACGAGTCCAAGACAGAATGACTCTTGTAGACTAGTAAAAGGCGCCCCACTTAATCCATTTCCACGCTGAATTGGCCTGGAATCACTTTACGGAACAATGGCTTATTTTAGCGATTCTAGTCTTTAGCGGCATAATCCCGAGGGTTTTGCCCTATTCTCATGCTTACTGCATCTACAACTGGCAGTTCTTTTTCTTCTATTTGCGACCGAGGGGGGGCCTACGAGCCTCTATGGCAAATCTCACGTAGCGTCGCTTTAGCGTACACCTTAGCGCTGACTTCATTCAATGTGATCCGTTTCCATCTTTTTGCCCCCTCCATTCACGATATTCCCCTTCAAATTAACCAGAAAAAGAATATGGACAGCCAAACTCAATCATCTTCATATATAGCTCCTCTAAAGAAGCTCAAGGATTCTTGCGACAAGTGTTCTGTCTCCAAGGTCCGCTGCACCAAAGAAAAGCCGTCATGTACACGATGTGGGAAGCTCGGGTATACATGCTTCTACAGCCCTGCACGACGAGTGGGACGCCCACACCGATCCAAGGACTCTTCATCGCGGGGAAATGATAGCAAAGAATCGGAAAAATCTCTTGCAAAAACAGTTAAGACCGCAATATTTATAGATGAGGGAGATAAATTGTTATCCCGATTTAACTCATCTTCGACAAATGACAACGTTGCCAACGTTAGGCTCAATCAACACGACAACCCCCCGGTACAGCAACAACAGCCACAACGGCACGAAGAAGAATTCCACAATGCAAATGAACAAGAGAGCTCCATTGCAGTGCAGCTGCATGCCGTGGATCAAGACTGCATGCTTGTTATAATGGAAATATTTTCAGAATTGGAGATTCCAGCCTCACAGCTCAGGGGCTCGTTGTCAGTAGATGCCGACCTACTGAACATGACAACGCAGACTATCACGAGTGCCCTTCGTCGTCTCTCAAATATTCTGATCTGCCCTTGCGCCGAGCGTGCCGAGAATGCCCTTTTAATATCTGCTGTTTGTCTGACCATCGTGGATATCCATACCATAACAATTGGCAAATTTCACGGCATACCGGGCAACGGAACCATGCCCATGGGAGTGCTAGCAGAGCTTTCCAAGGTAGCCAAGCTGGTCTTGCAATTCTCTGATCGGTATAATGAATATCTGAGTGGTCAAATATCGAACGGCAATGGCATGCCGTTGGACTTTTTGCCGGCGCTGGGCAACTTGATGAGAGAAAGATTGCAGAAAATTACAAATGACGCGACGTACTGGCTCTCATAATGCACAACTTTTCTTTCTATTGACAATGCCAACAATTGGAAACATCTGCATCCTGTAGTCTGGCAAAAATTGAGAGTAGCAAGGTCAGCCATTCGGGAAGTCTTCGGGGTCAACAGAGGAGCCGAAAAGAAGCCGAAAGCGGTTGGAATGTTACAACAGCTCTGGAGCAAGTCCCCCAAACAAAATTACCGACACCGGGAATATTGAATAAAGATGGAATTTCCAACGTTTTAAAATTGAAAGACACTTTGGCTTCTCCTTTCTCTTAGCACTATACCCATAAATCAATATGCCTTCACAGCCCAGCATGGACGATCTCATCGCTCCCCTGGACGCTTCTACCCACCTTAACGAAGAAAACAGAGTTCGTCTTCAAGACAGCCTGTTTGAAGCCGCCGAGGCTCTGGAGACACCTAATGATATGCTCTACCGTCTTCTCAACCAGGGCAGACAGATGTCAATGATCAAGATTGGATACGACCTGGATATCTTTTCGACGCTTACCAGCCGCGCGCAACCCTACTCAGTAAAAGAACTGGCAGCACCCAAGAACGCCGACCCACTGCTTATGGCGCGCTTATTGCGTTTCTTCGCGGCCAACCGTATGATATCGGAAACGAGCCAGGACCATTTCACCGGGAACAAGTACACCAAGGGTCTGTCCGATCCTCGAATCCAGGGTGGACTGCTTCATGGGTAAGTTTACTTGTTGCCGTGGTTTGTTTTCAAACAGAAAGAAAAAATCGTTTTTTTGTTTTTCGTCTCTATAGTGCCGTTTCTCTACTCAAACGACCTGACTTTCTGGGCTTGAACAGTTTCCACATCAGCAATCCAACATGGCAAAGCCTTCCCGAATATCTGCAAGAAAACAACTACGAAAACACGACCGGCGGCCATTGTGCCTGGCACAAGTCCGCAAACACCGATTTGGATTTCTTTCCCTGGGCGAAGCAGAACCCTGATATCCTGAAATACTTCCAGCAACTCATGGGCATCATGGGTCTGCCTAGAGACGGCAGCTGGCTCGGTGTCATCCCCATTGGAGATCAGGCGCGATCTATTGCGGGGGATGTGGATTCTGACCGGAAGGTATTTGTTGATATTGCCGGTAGTGTCGGACACCAGTGTGCGCGGCTTCTTACGCAGCATCCGGGTCTGGCTGGTCGAGTTGTCCTGCAGGATCTGGAGGAGACTTTTGAGCGGGCGCCGAAGATCCAGGGAGTGGATTTTATGGTGTATGATTTCTTTACAGAGCAGCCGGTCAAGGGTTAGTCTTCGTTCAAACTTCTTTCCATCTGCCTTGACACAGGTTTTGATGATATGTGCGTTCCGCTTGCTGACTTGTTTGTGGTCAGGTGCCAAGTACTACTACCTGCGCATGATCATCCATGACTGGGAGGATGATAAGGCAGTGCAGATTTTGAAGAATATCGTGCCGGCCATGGCGGAGGATTCTCAGATCCTCATTGACGATATTGTTCTTCCTAATACCGGGGCTCATTGGTGGAGTACATGTATGGACATGCAAATGTATATCATGCATGGTGCAATGGAGAGGACGGTTGACCAGTGGCATGCGCTTTTGGATAGGGCGGGCTTGAAGGTGGTGGACATAAAGACGTATGGCGCTGTGATGCGGAACTCGGTGATCGTTGCTGTACCCAAGTAATATTAGTTCCAGAAAATTGTATCAATGTTCTCTTGTACTCCGAGCCACATGATTTAGTAGTGATATGCCACACAAGGGCGGGGAAGCTACCAGGAAATCCTTGGCAGCATTAAGGTCCTGGGGATCAGCTGGTGGGGACCAAAGCGTAGCTCACTAAACAATAATAGGTAGAGTACCGTAATGAGAAGCTGGGTCTATAAGGCAATCACTAGTACGTACGATGCCCCGTAGTAGGTCTAGACAAACCCCGAGGTGTTTTGGGTTTCCACGGTCACCCAAGGATTAAATTGTAAGTGCATGTCTAGTAGCATACTGATAATCCACGGATCTTACAGTACACTTGGTCTACGTAGCTACTAGGGAAAAGGTCAAGCCATAGGTCATCAGATTCATGAACCTGCCCGAATCCCTCACGACAAGGGCCGAAGACATCGAAATCGAGAGCAACACCGGGTGCTATGCAAGTCCGATATCTCCCCATAATAAAAAAAAAAGACGGATCATCATGAAAAAGGGTTGTAATTTTTTTCAAAAATACTTCCGAGTCGCCAGTGTTAAGAGAAAAAAAACACGAATTTGGGAAAGGAAAACCGGCTCGATATAACACAGGTGGTTTCGTCAAATGGACCTCCGCATTTCCCTGCTCCACAATATGCCTCGTATGCACGCCGTTTCCCAGGTCCCAAGGAGTTCAGGTTTGGATGGTATCGTTCATTTTTGGTTGTTTTATTCGGTTCTCTCTCTTTACATGACAACACCGGCGTTGGAGGCAATACGGGGCCAAAGCTCAGCAGCCTCCTTACCGACGGGACCGGTAATGGCGGAACCCTTCATCTCACCCTTGTTGTTGACGATCTGTGACAAAGAGAATCAGATTAGTAAATGCGTTTTCGACCCAAGGTTTTAGAGGTTTGGGTTTTGCAGTATGAGATTTGAGGTGGAGAATCATATCAAGTCGAATATTGATCCAAATATCTGCGACACCCCAATCCATATGCATTCCCATTCCTCCCGAAACATAACGGAACATCCACTTACAACACCAGCGTTGTCCTCGAAGTAGAGGTAGATACCGTCAGCCCGGCGCCAGGGCTTGCTCTGGCGGACGACAACGGCGGGCATAACCTTCTTACGGAGCTCAGGCTTTCCCTTCTTGACGGTGGCCATAACCATGTCACCAACACCGGCAGCGGGGAGACGGTTCAGACGAGCACCGGTACCGGCGACGGCAATGATGTACAAGTTGCGAGCACCGGAGTTATCGCAGCAGTTCATCACGGCGCCACTGTTCGACAAAAACGATAACCGTTAGCTTTTCATTCTCCTTGAGCCCATCTTCAAAAAATCTCTCCCGTGTCGTGCACCCCGCCCAATAGTTGTCGTTTGTCCCGCCATTTTTTGTTCGTGATATTTCTTGTGTCGAAAATTCTTCGAGGCGTGGTTGGATAATGAGTCGGAAATTCGGTGCAGATAGTATGTTGAAGGCGACGATGGGCATTGGACGTTGTCGAAGTTCATTGGGCGCAGTACAGGACTGGGAGGAAAATTCTGGGGATTCTTCAAATCAAACGTACACAGGCAGACCGAGGGTCATCTTCAGCTTGTTGCCGGCGGCACCGCCACGACTGTAAGGAAAACGTTAGCATTTCCACTCTGTTGCTGGTTGCTGTAGTCCCCCGTCTTGTCCGTCCGGTTTTTGCTCTCTTCAAGATCGACATGGTTGAATGTTTCAAGGCGCATGTTTAATTGTCGAGATCGTTCACAATTTGTGCTCCGGTTGGATTTGACGGTGTTTCCGATGGTAGGGAAGTCAGACTTACCCTCTCTTAGACATGATGGGTGAGTATCACGGGGGGGTTGTCGGATAGTCGAAAGGGTTGGCGACTGAAGGTCAGGTCGAGTCGAAGAATCGTCCACAGTGGTTTCTCGCTTGTGCGTTCAATGTGGAATATCTTGGCGCGGGTCTATTGGTGGGACGGGTTGCCCTAGCGCTAAACCTGTTTGGAGCTAGCACATGACTAACACCTGAGGCATGAACTTTATGCCGTAATATCACGTGAGTGCCCCATCGACGTAATCGATAGTTTAAACTACATTCGCCAACAAATGATAATATCAAGGCGGAATAATAATGCAGTTGGTAAATACGTATCTTTATCCTAGAATTAATCTTGAGAGCATTGAAATGGACGGAATAGACTTGATCAAGCAAAGGCAAGCTCCCAACTACCATTATTATGTTGTCCTAAAACAGACTATATAGAAAACGATCAAGTTTCAAGTACTACTAAGTTCCAGCTGAAAACGACCGTTCTGGACCTAGGACTTTCAAATCTAGATGGAGATTTTTGATGAATGATAAATTCTGCAAATAAAAGACTAAATTTGATTTAAAAAGACATGAGGGTATTCGTCACTTAACCGGGTGGAGAATCCATCTCGCCCGTTCCATCGCGAAGAGAGACACGACGCCCCCCATGTAGCACTACTATATCTCGCTGTGAAACCGATAACACCTTTCTGCCCATTGTCCGTTGCGCCAGTTCAAAATTGATTGTGTTATGTCACATCTGTTCACTCTTCCTGCTTGGAAGGTTGGGCAATCGAGTCCGTGGCTGGCCCTTGGGTCTCTGAACCTCCAGATGGAACTGACCCAGCCGAGGGTGTTTCCGCGCCTTGCTCGGCTGCAGGAACAGAAGACTCTTTGGGAGGCGACTGAGCCTGGGGTGGAGACACAGGTGCCTTGGAAGAATCTTCAGCAGCAGGTGATGTTGCGGGCTTGGTGTCTTGCGCATCAATGATGGATTCAGACGGTTCTTCTGGGGCAGGGGCAGCGTCTTCCATCAAGGTATCCGCGTCATGTGGGGGAGGAGAAGGCTGCTGAGAGCCGGCAGCAGATCGGACGTTGTCCTCGCCTTCCACAACCATTTGATCAGCATCGACGGGAGTATCTTGGCCATTTGAAGCGGCCGCTCCAGTCAGTGTCTCTGGGTCTGTCCGTGGGATGTCGGTCATGCTGGTGTCCATAGTAGGATCCATATCTCCATCTCCAACCGATGATGCATCTGCAGGAGTTGCCATTCCACTGTCAAGGCCGGAGTCGTCCAGGTTCCTGTAGTTGGTCTGGTTTCGGCGGCGCATAGCACCAGGTTGGCGACGGATACCGTTGGCGGCATTTTCCTCCTCATCCTCGCTATCACTCATCAGCTCGCCGGGCTTTTCCACATACTGATCGAAACGTCGTTGAGTGAATCTCTTGTCCTTATTCTCATCTTCATCCAGGTCATCCATAACGTCATCAGCCTCGTCGTCCATACCATCAACAAGCGGGTTACGTGGCACATCCGTCATCTGAACTGAAGGCGCAAAGGCTGTACGCCTCAGGTTCTCAATAACTTGAATACGGATTTTGTCCAGGTAGTCTTTTGTGTTGGCATTGTCCATATTGGAAGGGCGAACATCAAGCTCGTAGTCGGGAGCAAAATACTGCGGAGAATTGTTAGTTTCTAGCCCATCACAGAGCACACAATATCAGGATCTCTCACCTCGTAGTAATCATTGTATGGTAACTCAGATTCCAAGTTGTCTCCAACAAGAATACCTGTCTCGAAAGCCCAGGTACGTGCCACATTGCGCATTGTGTAACCACCACCACCGAGAATCAGAGTTGGGAGGTCAAAGCTCTTAATAAAGTTGACGCAGTTGGCGTGTCCACGCATACTCAAATTAAAGCATCCCAGACGGTCGCCAGACAAACTATCACCACCACACTGCAACACCACAGCTTCCGGGCGGTACCATTCCATCACACTCTTGATGACGGGTTCAAAAATGCTCTGGTAGGAAGCATCGTTGATACCATCTCGAAGAGGGAAATTGACAGCGTAGTTCTTTCCTGCGCCGACACCGATATCGCGGAGCTCTCCAGTACCAGGGAAGTACTCGCCGTACTTGTGGAAAGACACGGTCATCACACGATCAGTGGTATAAAAGGCTTCTTCGACACCATCACCGTGGTGAACATCAATATCAACATAAAGCACGCGCTGTTTGAATCGTAACAGCTCGAGAATGCCGAGCACAATATCTGTATGTCATTAGCACTCAAGAACCATGCAGACATGATAACGGCCACGCCCTACCATTGACATAACAAAAACCACTGGCTTCGCTCTTCTTCGCGTGGTGCAGACCACCAGCCCAGTTTACTGCAACTTCACACTTTCCGCGATTCAACCGTGCAGCACCTTCCATACTGCCGCCCGCGCTGATTCCACAGAACTCAAAAAGGCCGTCGAATACTGGGCAATCGTCACCAACATTGTATCGGCTCTGCTCTTTGGAGAACTGATCCATGTTGTCGGGGGTGACCTTCCCAAGGAAGTCAATATATTCGTCGGTGTGGAATTGGGTCATTTCGTATTTTGACGCAGGCTTCGCACGCTGTATGGATTGGCGCATTAGTTTCAATTCAATATCATTAACAGCTTATGATTATTCGCAAAAAACACTCACGTAAATCTCCATCTTCTTGTATAGGCCATAGTTCATGACCAAGCTGTGGGTCATGCGAATGCGATGAGGCTTCATCGGGTGGCCCGAGACATAGGCGTAGTTTCCCACATCGGAGTCATAGAAGTAGGCGACCTTCTTGTGGTTGGGGCCTGTAGTGGCCATAGGTTCAGCCGCCATGACGAACAGTTGTTATGGGGTAGCTCGGCTAATGTTTTTCAGGCAGAGCAGAGGATATCAACTAATGTCGGTTGTAGGTGGGTTTAGGGGAGACAATGAGAAGGATTTCTCGCTTGCACCCTGAGAGAATGTAGAAATTGTGACCAAATACCACAGTATGCAAGCTGGAAGACTTATGCACAGCAGTATGTCAGGTCAGACAAGCTCATGATGTTGCGGACAAGAAACGAGGAGAGAGGCTTGAGAGGATCCATCGCCGCGTGGGAAGGAGCGGAATCTGGCAGAACTTTGTAGACCGCCTTCGTCAGTCAATGTGCTCGGGTGTGAGCTGGTTTCGCCCGTTCAAGGTGTCCCCCCATCAATTCGCTGTTCCTAAAGGTTTAATAAAACACTTTATCTTGACGCACTGTGTTACTGATTCCGTCTTGTGACCATTCTTGTTGCTTATAAATTGCCAAATCGATTCTCTTGACACACCTCCGCCCCATCGGGAGCTTCGACCTTGAAGCTATCATTCACGACCTTTCTTCTTCACATCTTCTTTGATTTCTTACTCCAAATATGGACCGCCTTAACCGGATGTTGCAGGCTGCCCAAGGCATGGGTATGGGCAGCGCTGCTCCAGGTGGTGTAAGTCGCTCAGTGTTGCCTTTTCAGTGTTGCCTCTTCGGTGTTGTCATGATGTTCACCGATTACCGATTGCGACATTTACATATTTTGAAGCTTCGCATTGCTAATAATATATGTTACAGGATTCCCCCAACCTTATCGATAACTCCGAAACTGTTCACATCTCCTCGTTGGCTTTGTTGAAGATGTTGCGCCATGGCCGCGCCGGTGTGCCTATGGAGGTCATGGGTCTGATGCTTGGAGAGTTTGTCGATGAATACACAGTCCGCGTCGTGGATGTATTTGCTATGCCTCAAAGCGGTACTGGTGTTAGTGTCGAAGCTGTGGATCCTGTGTTCCAGACCAAGATGATGGAGATGCTACGCCAGACAGGCCGGTAAGTAGCCCCCAGGGTCGGGGCCCATGCACAGCTTGGATTTCATACTGACTCTTGTTCTTCTCTCCTGTAGGCCCGAAACAGTTGTCGGCTGGTACCACTCTCACCCCGGATTCGGCTGTTGGCTGTCTTCTGTCGATATCAACACTCAGCAATCATTCGAGCAATTGACTCCCCGCGCTGTAGCTGTTGTTGTTGACCCGATCCAGTCCGTGAAGGGCAAGGTTGTCATCGATGCATTCCGTCTCATTCAGCCTCAAACAGTCGTTATGGGTCAAGAGCCCCGGCAAACAACCTCCAACTTGGGTCACCTAAACAAGCCCTCCATTCAAGCCTTGATCCACGGTCTCAATCGCCACTACTACAGCATTGCGATCGACTACCGTAAGACAGGATTGGAGGAGAACATGTTGATGAATCTGCACAAGCAAGTGTGGACTGAAGCCCTTCAGATGAACGACTTCCACGAGGAGGGCCACCACAATGTCGACCAGATGAAGCAGCTTGTCACCCTTGCTGAAGGTTATGAGAAGCGAGTGAAGGAAGAGACCGAATTGACCCCAGAGCAGCTGAAGACACGATATGTCGGCAAGGTTGACCCGAAGAAGCGTAAGTTTTGTCCCAATGTAGCACGCAGATTTCATCAATGCTAATTCAAACCCCGTAGATATCGAGGATGTGAGCCAGCAATTGATCGAAGACAACATTGTCGCTGTCTCTAGGCAGATGATTGATAAGGAAGCTTCGGTAGCTCGGCAGTCGGCAACGAAAGATGGTAACAATGGCGCCGCTATGGATGTCGACGAGGAGCTGTAAATTTAGACCATTGGAAGGTGCATCAGCCCTCGAAGAATTCTACAGAAACGCTCTAATCACGAACTTTTACTTCATTTCAATGTTCAATGCCCACTACATAGTACCTACTATACGCATGCTCTAGGCGCCTACAGCACTCAAGTGCTTCAAAAAGTCCTACCTCCAGTAAATCACCAGTACTAGCACTCAAGTGCTTGAGTAACTATCCGTCTACATAGGACCCGCATCCATCCATACCCAGGTAAGTACACGGGTGTGGGTCCACATCATGTGTGAGTGCTTAAACATCGAGAAAATTACACAGTACCTCCAAGTGCTTCTATCCAGATAAACATGCATATCTCAACCTTGTGACACCTTTTAAAGGTATATCCCCTGTTCAAATGTTTGAGCCCTCCAATCACTTGAGTGGTGCCGTCGGGATGTGCGCACCTAGTACGTGGTGTTGATTTTACGCGCATGCGGATATGTATATACACCGTGCACATTCGGCATAAATACATTTGACTTTCAATTGATGCCTGGACATCCACTTCACCCGTGGACCTGGGCATAATTGGACCTATGTAAATAGTAGTATGCACATATCAAGCACTTGAGATTGGGAGGTATTTAGACAATCAATTGATAATAGTAAATAAATTGCAAGGTTTACTCCAAGATTGTAGGTAAAGCCCCGCGGGCACATCCGTGGGTGTGGAGTTCTAGTTTTTAAATCCATAACATCAATTGAATGTATGTACACTTAAGGAATCAATTCAGGGTTGGAGCATTTGTACTACTACTAGCAGGTAGGTACATACTAGTAGGTGTGTAATATTGGACATTTTGATCACACTGTCTAAAGGTTCATAATTTATACATATTCGCTCATCCCCATCTAGCACTCGAGTTAAGCTTCAAATATTCAACCTTGGAATCCATGGATGTTCCTTTCAATGAACGCCCCTCAATGTATTTACATAAAAATCATGGCACATCTAACGTTAATTTAGCAGGACTTTATGATCTCACCTCGAGGGCAAGATCTTCAATCCTGCGGGCCAAATCATCAACAGGTGCAGGTCTGTAGTATGAAGGCAGGGTATCGAGACTTGCAACCGGAATCGGGTCCTCGTGATACACATAGCCTATATCATCGTCGTCCGTCCATCCTCTCTCAGGGCCCCACAATAGTTTCTTGTTGGCTGCTCTCGACTCTTTCATTAAGCGGGTCATCAGAGATCCGCTCCGCTGAACAGACGAGTACGCGTCAAATTCCACGAATTTCAAAGCTGGCAGTCGCTCCAGAATCTCTTTAAGCAGCCTTCCAGAGAACTCGGTATAGTATTCCTTGGAAACTCGAAATCCCTCAAAGACAGGTTGTGAGGGATCGCACTCGATAAACACCCTTAATGTGTGCAAGAGAGTCATATCATGCAGTCCCATTGCATCATCAACGGACCATGACTTTGGCGGTGCTGTCCAACTATTCCCCAAAATCAACTCGATGGTGGTGATCAAAGGGCGGTAGCAGCGGGGTATTCCTCGGAGGGTCGGTCGGCGCGAGAAGTCCTGAATTTTGAAGACTCGGAAAATCTGGGACGAGTAAAAGAAGTGACTGGCTTCTTCATGGATTCGCTTCGAGGACAGAAAGAGAGCTATACGTTGTGTGGCCGGTGCCACAAGCTTCGCCTTTTTCGCGGAGGCGCCGACAGCACCAGCATTTCTCTTCGCAGAGGATTTCTTGGTTGGCGTAAACAAGACAAAGTGGTAGACGTTCAAGCGAATTTCGGAGGGGAGATCGAAAAATCGGAATGAGGTCGGTAGAGTCACTGGCTCTACAAAATCTTCACCATCGTCGTAAAACTCCGAGGCCGTTTTGGCCTTCTTCGCGGCCTTTTTGGCGGCTCTCGGCTGTTTTGGGGTGTTTTTCGGGCCCATGTTGAGAGCGACACAACTGGGAAAAGAGGAAAAGGAAAACGGAGATCCGAAGTCTATCAAGTACGCGGGGACGAGTCTAAGGATTTGGCAAGGTTTCCATGGTTCGAAATTCTTTTCTTTTCAATTGAAGATGAGGATAGCCTTAGACAATGAGTGTCAGGCGGAAGAATCATGAATCAAAAATCTAGGCAAAAAATAGAGTAAGGAATGTGTCCCACATACGGAGCTGCAGCATCAAAGGTTTCCCTATGCTGCGGCTCTTGGAAGTGGGATGAGAAGAAAACTTCCTTGGTCTCCCCAGCTATTTCAACCCAGCATGCATGAAAAGAGCATACCTAGTCAAATTATATCTGGGTGAACTTTCATGGAGAGAAAAAGAAAAGGAGAAGGCGGAAATGATGCGGCGAAGGATAAAAGGGAACTGCGTCACTGGATTCTGTGGGTCCCCGGATGCTCACGCGCTCCGACTTTTTTACGGGAAACTCGACCCGGATAGTCCGTGACTCCGTTATACTTGGAGGCATGAGTGCATCACTCTCACACTAAATTTTCACAACCATGTTGAGTCGCGCCATCTTGCCTCTTACGAGGCCTAATGCCCTCGCCTCTGCCACCCGCCTGTCGCGCGTCCCACGGGTTTCGGCCCTGTCTGTTCAGCAACCGCGATGGTACGCCAAGGGTAAGGACACACCATATGAGCTTCCCGAATCGCTGCAGGAATCCAAATCAGCCAAATCCAAGAAGTCAGCCTCCAAGAACCAGCCAGAGTCAGAGCAATCCGAGTCTGATAATAAGACCAAGCCCGACACCGACGCTGCTGAGTCCAGCACTGTAAGTTGCATACCTGTCATACAGCACGATGAATATCCATCAATCTGACAGCAGCTTGCTTTCTTTTAGCCCGAAACCGAACAAATCCCAAACCAGCCCCTCCCTGATCTAACACAAGGCATCCCGTCGACCTTGGCCGCCGAGCTGGAAGGTCGTATGAAGAAGGGCGGCTCATCACACCTGAACATTACAGAGGACCACACCCAATCTGATGAGTACAGTGAAGATGGCCGAGGTGGTGGTGATATCCCTAAGAGTGGATATGAAACCTCCCTAGACCGCCGCAAGGCCCGCATGGCCAACATCATGTACGCATTGCTGCTGGCCGCTGGTGTTGCTGGTGTGGGTTACCTGGGTCGCAACTGGGAAACCGAAGAAGAACAGCGTGCCCACGCCGATGAACCATCTGGCTGGGGCGTTGGTCTCTGGTGGAGCCGTACCAAGGCTCGCATGGGTGACCTGACCAGCTACTATAAGGACCCGGCTTTCCCCCAGCTGCTTCCCGACGAGGATCCCACCCTTCGCCAACCCTACACACTCGTCCTTAGTATGGAGGATTTGCTCGTCCACAGCGAATGGAGCCGTGAGCACGGATGGCGTGTGGCCAAGCGTCCCGGTGTCGACTACTTCCTTCGTTACCTTAACCAGTACTACGAGCTTGTTCTTTTCACCACTGTGCCCAGCATGATGGCCGACCAGGTTCTCCGCAAACTAGACCCCTACCGCATTATCCGCTGGCCCCTCTTCCGTGAGGCCACCCGCTACAAGGACGGAGAGTACATCAAGGTATGCTATGTCCAACGATAATATTTTTGTCGTCACAAAGTACTAACACATTGCTAGGATCTTTCTTACCTGAACCGCGACCTGTCTAAGGTTATCCTTCTCGACACCAAGGAGGAGCACGCCCGCCTGCAGCCCGAGAACGCCGTTATTTTGGACAAGTGGACCGGTGACCCTAAGGACAAGACCCTGGTTGCCCTGATTCCGTTCCTGGAGTACATGGCTGGTATGGGTGTGGAGGATGTGCGTCCCGTGCTGAAGTCATTCGAGGGCAGTCAGATCCCCATTGAGTTCTCCAAGCGTGAGAAGGCCATGCGCGAGCGCTTCGAGAAGGAGCTCGCTGAGGAGAAGAAGAAGAAGCCCTCCATCAGCATGGGCAGCGTTGCCTCCGCTTTGGGACTGAAGTCTACCCGTGGTCTGGATGGCGAGATCTCGCCTTCTGAGGGCCTGGCCCAGGGCAAGATGCTGTGGGACCAGATCCGCGAGCGTGGCCAGAAGAACTACGAGCTGATTGACCGTGAGATCCGCGAGAATGGTGAGAAGTGGCTTGCTGAGATGGCTGCTGAGGAAGAGAAGGCTCGCCAAGAGCAGATGCAGAGCATGAAGGGCTCTTTCACTGGCATGTTCGGTGCTGGAGGTGAAAAGCAGTAATTTGATAGTCTCCTTCTATCACGCCCTGCAACCTAAAAAGAGGAAACCAACTTCTCTTGCATGATTTCACCTGATATCTAAGGTTTTCCTCTCTTCTAACCTGCTTTATATTTGCCAAATTATCGTCCATGGTGTTTGTGTGTCTGTCATTTATGGGCAAGGGGCGGGTCATTAGATGGTTTGGTTTCGTTCTGAGCATTCAATTCCGGAACGACTGTAAAATAGCGTTTGGTGTCCGATCTACTTGTTTCTTTATTATCAATGTACATTTATATCTCAAAATTTGTTCAGCACTTTAATACGAGGAGACTTGGACAGATAAAAATATTGTTCTGCACGTTTTTGGGGTTCGTGCCGGACCCTGGGTATATACAGTGTTGAATTAAAGTACACGTCCGGTTGCCCACCAAAATAAAAATACCAGAAGATCAACCAGACAAATCATGTTGAGGTAGAGACGTCTTCTCCTAGATATCTAGGATGCCATATGTGCATGACCTATGGCAGGTTAACGTCCTGAAAAACGGAAACGTCCCAGATACCGGTCATATCGAATGGGAAACCGTCCATAGTGCCGAACGTATTGGAGATAGACATCATATCGTCGACGATATCGTTATTTGTTTGTGTCTCCGGCAGTGAAATCGCAGCTGGGTTTACCAGTCCGTTTTCAGCCATGGAGTTGGTTACCGTTTGGTCCATCGTGGAGCTAGTGCCAGGAAGTCGGTTCATAATTCGCTCGCAGTGGTCAAGGCACATGTCAGCCACATCCCAGTCTTCTTCTTCTCTGACCCGACGGAGAACCGTGCGTAGGGTCTCCACGTTAGCGAGACAGGAACGAGCAACTTCAGTGTCATTGGTCTCGAGAGCACATCGGACGAGGAGGGTGGCGGTGGATGTTAAGTGAAAGGCGCTATCTATAGAAATTGTGAGTATACTGTGCAAGGGATCAAAAACAACGTGATTGTCACGTACATGGCAGCCAAAACTCCTTGAAGTTCTCTTTTCGGAGGGATGTGATGAATCGTACGATCTCTTCTGCTGATCGTCGGCACTCGGTTTGGAAGTAGCGGCGAGCTTCGGGATTATCTGTTTCGGCATTGTTGACCTCCTTGAATAAATGTTAGTTAGACATCTAACGAAACGGGTGGATAAAGGAAGGTCTTACATTCAACTCCACGCGGCTCACGAGCATCTTGACTGCCAAAAATGCTAGCTGCAGACTGCTTGATGCAGCCACCTGTTCCCCACGGTTGTGATGCTCTGGCGCTCTCAGCCAGTCAGGAAGAGAATCTTCCCATAGATCCAACTCCGTTCGGATTTGTCTGATTTTCTTGGAGATTTCCCGCGCCATCTTTGCTTGAAGCCCGTAGACAAGGGGCAAAAGCTCACCTAATATCTCGGTCAACTTACACAAGAATATGTGGCAATGGGCCGCTCTCACACGCTCTGTTGTGCGCATGCTCGAGGGCACCAAACTGTCAACAGTGGGGAGAGGAACGTCATATTGGGTCTTGGAGATCTGTGGAGGCACACCATGACCAAAGCTACCCCAACGATCATGAATAACTACTCCCCACCAGAGTCGGATCCGTTGGTTCTTTTCCTGCTCAGAAAGCTTCCACAAGCACGGATCACGATTCAAGCCAAGGCAATTGGCCAGGGAAAGCATACGACCACAACTAATAGCATTCCCGGTCATAGAGAAGATTGGTCGGCCCGTCAAATCAATCAGTGCGGCACTAATTGTGGACAGTCCGGGCGCTGAGAACTCTTCGTGCAAGGCCGCGACGGTCATATTGACGGCATATCGTACGTCTGGCTTCGGGTGGCATGCCAGCTTAGGGGTATGCTTCCAGTAAACAAGGGACATGGAATAAACCTGACATAAGAGTGAAGCCGGGGGGTCTTCCGAAGAATCGGTGATATAGGACTCCCAAAAGGATTCACCGTCAAAGATAGGGAATGCGGTGTTGAATCGGTCGATGAATCTGAAAATACGAAAAAGATTAGTCAATAAGAATTCATTGGACACTGTCGGGGAGTGACGCCAAGCCTTACAGTCTCACAAGGTCGTGTTTGAAAGGACCCAGTATTTGTTCTAGAATCTCTTTTTGGTTCTCACCAGGCGGTACCCCCATGCGCATACCTTTTCTCCGCCGCGAAATAGTGGTGTAGAGCACAGGCTTCCTGGGATCGCTGGAATAGATATTGTATGGATGTCTCTTGGGTTCTTCAGAAAGGCTCGATCGTTCGGGTGGCATGTGTTTCTCAATGACCTGCGCATCCTCTGCGATCATTGGTCCGACAATGAGAACTGATTCGTTGTGACGATCGCCATCCTGATATCCTTTACGTCGCGTGGAATCACTTTCGCGACGTCCAGAAGACGCACTGCTTTCCTGAGGGCTAGGTCCGTTGGTCGAATGGCGTGTCGGGATATGATGGACTGGAATTGGCGAGCTACCGGGACTTCGCTTGCGCTTGTGAACGGATACGGGCTCAACCGGCTGGGCTCCGGGCCATGGCGGCTTTGATTCCGAGGTGCCCAACAATGGCGCATCCGCAGAGGCCTCTTCTTGGTAGTGGCAGTCAGCACCCTGCACGCGACACAGGAGACACGATTGTCCGGGGATATCGACGGTGCATCGGGACTTGCGCTTGCGACAGAGATCACAGGCGCGGACCTTGTGAGAGCGGTAGGGTCGCGCGCCAGCGTTGAAGCCGGGGGAGGGCAACTTGGAAGAGGGATTGACTTGGAGAGGTGGGGGCGACATGATGCGCAACCCTAGAGGTCGTAAGAAGACGGGGGGAATGTGAGGAAATAATCTGGGGAAAAACGATCCGGGGACTTTTCGGAGTCGGCCGATCCTAGTAGGACAGAATGAGGGGTACAACCCGGCCGTATGCGACAAGCATTGAGTGTCGATTGGTTGGGGGAGCACAGCCGTAGCTCAAAGATTGTTATACTTCCATGGTGTTCCTTGTCATGGGTTCTTTTAACTTTCACATATAATCAAAAGATAATGGAGTAGTCCTGCAATGATCAACGAATTAACCAATTACCGAATTTCCTCAAGACGAAAAAGAAAAAAAAATGAAGCTAAACTGGATGCGGGGTGCGCTGAGTCATCACCACGTGCCCACTCTATTTATATCCAAGAGATCGACGGGCGACATGAGGGAGGTTGGGATGTATTGCCACCTGTCGCAGGGAGTATCTTGGGTGCCCGCGCCAATTCCATATGTTGGTATTCGTTGGTGATCATGGAGGATGCCTCCCCCATTTACGCGCGCGCCTTTGATCGGTTGCCCTCCTCTGTAATCGAGTAGTACGTGTTTCTCTTTGAGGTTCAGGGTCCAGGTGGCCAGACGGACCCCATCTTTGGCTGACGCTCCCTGTCTAGCATTCTTTATGCCGCAGATGCCAACACCTTTGCATCGTTGGCCCTTCTGAACCATCAATGGAGGCATATATCGGAATCTTCCGCACTCTACACACACCATTTATCTAAATGCCCATCATTTATTTGGTCATGTGGGGCTCTTCCCCCGCCGGGCGAAGTGGACAGCCTCCCTGACCTTAAACGCCGTTTTATCGAAGAAATCCGTCGGAATGCATTCGACGTGTTCCTCCGTCCTCGTAAAACCTTGGTGCGCTTGATCTCAAGCTCTATGAGCTCCTCCACAGCTTTTCCACAGGGCGAAGTCTTTCGCTTTACATTCTCAGCCAACGGTCATATGGTGCTCTGTATGAGCTCATCCCGAATTGTTGTGCTGGAGCTGGCATCTGACCCTGTGTCTGTCAAATATGAGTTGAAAGCCCGCCAGCGACCAATTGGCGCTACTATCTTGGATGACGGGTCCCTGCTTGCGGTCCTATCTGAGTCCTACCGAGTCAATATTTATAGGCTCTCTGATGGCCAAGCCAAAAGGGTCCAGTCGATTATTGTAAATGATGCTCCACGTGATTTGATATTCTCACCAACAGGCAGCGTACTAGCTCTATCATTCGAGGACAGCATTGAAGTCCATGCAGTCGGAGAAGAAACCTTGACCACTGAGCGTCGGGCGGCACGCTGTCTCCGCGTTGATGCACTTTCATTTACACCGGATGGCTCAATGTTACTTGGATCATCGGTTGACTACGAGATGGATGGAATCGTGACTATCACGGCCCCCTTCTATACCGAAACCGGCACCGATGCATCGCCCGAGGAAGTTCAAATGCGGATGTGGACAACACAAATATTATTCCCTGAGATGGTGCGTGGACTCACTCATGCTTGCTTGGTTTCCGAGCATGATGAAGGTGATGATAGCTGGATTCTTGGATATGACGTTCAGCTGGCAGCTTTCAGAGCAATTAGAGTTAACAGCGTGGATGCTGGTGGGGTATACTTCTCTAGTCCATTTTTGGCGGACGAATCAAGAGAAATGCTACCTGCTATGCTTCCTACCATTGATGATACTGGTGAACTTGCAGCTTTGGGATTTCAGGATTCCGAAGTATGGCTGTATGGAGTGCCTAAGCGCCTTGACACCGCCGCCCCCGCAGAGACAGCTTCCGATGGAACCCCGAGAATTTTCACCCGTATGGGTGGTATTCACCATTATTCCAGCTCTGGAACACCCCGTGATAATCTGGCACAACTGGAGAAACTTATTCAAAAATCAAAAGCCTTGATTCGAGGTCGCCGTGTGACTGATATGCATGGTATCACATCAACTCGTTGGGTACATTCGGCACCATCCATAAAGCCCAAGCGCCGTCTTGTTTCGGTGGCTCCTGGTGGTGTTCGCCCTCAATTATTTGGCGAAGAGGATGTGCCCGTGGACGGTGGCAGAATTCTTCTTTTAGACTTTGAAAGATCGACCACCGATGGCGAGGAAACTGAGATTGATATCGAGGTTGGAGAAACGGCGCCCATAATGTTACTGGAGCCAGACTCTTCCCTGGATGCAGAGGTTGAGTTGCAAAGAAGACGTACACGACTGGTTCGCCATGACACAGATGCTACGGCTACTGGCCTCCGTTCGCGACAGTCGACGAGAATAATCCCAGTCCTTGATCACCAACGACTCAATGGTCTAGTAATCCCCAATGGCAACACTTCACCGAATGGAGTGAGGCCAAATGGAGCTGTTGATGTTCCATATGATCATCAACAACCACGCTCTGGAGATACACTTCATCGTGCCGCCACAGCTGCAGCATCAACGCGAGGGCGTTATGACCCCCGTTATCAGAGTACGCCCAACCATCGCTACGTTCCTCATGAAAGTGATGCAGACAATTGGGTGCCTCCACCCCCACCCTACAAACGCGAGCCTGATGAACCGCTGCCAAATCACTTGCAGGAGGCACTTAGGCCGACATTGACTATACCGCCCATTCCACAAACACAAGGGCATCATCGTGGTTCACCTAACAACCAAGTCCAGAGAGCACAAACTGCTCGCGTTACACGGCAATTTTCCCTTGACCGTCCTCGCCCTCAATCTGCCATTATACAGCGACTGGGAACCTTTACTGGCTCTATTCGCTATGGGAGAAGTAGAAGGGGCTCTGCAGCTGCCGCAGAGGCTTTGAATCAAGAACAGGGACAAGAACAAGAACAAGAATCTTATGTTCCACCCGTTCCAAGCTTGCCCCCGCTGCCGGCTCATTTGTCCGCTGCCCGTCCTAGCACTGCGGTATCTGCCGGTCATCCACTCACCACGAATCGAATTCCGTCACTGCAACCACTTCCAACATTAGCAATTCATCCGGTAGACCAACTCGATCTTCCAACGCCACCTTTGGGAGCAACCATTCTCGGAGAGAATTACTTCTCATATGCCGTGTCATCTCCAAACCTTTTGCACATTCCGCAGCCACATGAGAGTGGACTGGACCTTGACGCAGATGATGAGGATCAGATACCCGCGAGGCAAAGATCCTTCCGACGAAGGGTCTCAACCGAGCCTACTAGCTTACCTCCGCCAGAGAACGAAGAGTGGCGGAGGCGTATTCAGGATTGGAATGAACATACTATTCAGGAACGACGACGAAAGCGAAGGAATAAGTGCATGGTCATGTAGCGTTGTCTTTTTTTTATGTCTATGTCTTTTCAACGTTTGAAGAAAAACCACAATACCCTCGTTCAAGATAGAGATTTATCCGCTACTTACGACTACATACATGCAAAGAATCATCTCATCTACTACCTAGACCGTCGATACCACATGTGCACCAGGGTACAAATGACTTGAATGCACTCATCGGTTTTCCCCCTACTAGGTACATACTATACAGTTTGTTCAATATCATGGTAATCAAATTTATTTCAAAATAATCTGGTATCACGCAGCATATAGCGAACGAATCAAGTAAAGCTACATAATTGAATCAACAAAGGTCACGCAAGTGTAGGAATCAGAGATATCATAGTCTAAGGTCATGTTTCATGTCATCAAGCTGTACATATTGAATCAACCACCACCACCTAAATTGATCAAAAGTCAGACATGGTTCCAATAATCAACACAGAATAGAACAAACTTACCACCACAGCCACCTCCTCCACCACCTCCACCACATCCACCACCGCCGCCTCCTCCACACCCACCACCGCCACCACCGCCACCACTGCCTAGATGAACATGTTAGCATCATCATCGCAATCAAAAGGTCAAGATTCCAAAGAGATAACATACCACAAGCAGCTCCTCCTCCAGCACAACCGCCGGCACCAACACCTCCACATGCCCCAGCAGCAACACCACCCCCACAAGTTCCCGCACAGCAATTACCCGTAGCCCCCGCCCCAGTGCTCATACAGCTCGGGTTACAAGCATACGAGCTCGAACTGATACCAGGATCACACATATAAGGCCCGTAATACGGAACGATCATGGGGTACCCCCAAACATAAGGCGAATAGTACATAGGCTCGTACCTGCCGTCCTTGGTAGTTCTCGCATCCGCCCGCGTCCGGCCCTGCTTCTCCGCCCTTCGCACAGCCTTCTCGTAGTTCCGATGCAGCCGCATTTTCTGCAAATATCCCACGCGGGCATCGGTGACATTGCGCTCATACGCCCGCACAGCATTATGCGCCGAGATATGGGGGTTCTTATCCGGCTCCGACGAAATATCCGGGTTGTCATGTAGTGCGTCAGCGGTATTGCGGGCTCGAGACGAAGAGCCGATGTTGAAGAGGCGGTCGTAGAGATCCGGGGCGCGGGTCGCCTCGCAGTACCAGCATGTGCATTCGCTGTAGATGCCGCCGTTTGTGGCGCGGCGGTACATTTTGCTGGTCCACTCGAAGCCCTCGGAGAGCTTGTTTTCGTCGACTTTGTCGTCGTGGTCGATGAAGCGCCGGATCGGGCCCGTCGAGGCGCCGGTGGTGTATTTGTAATAGCGGCTTGGTTGGAGCTGGTGCGTGTGCCAGGCTAGATCGACGTCTAGTGTTGGGACGGCCATTTGTTTCGGGTGTGCGAGCAGGATGCCGAGGAAGACGGTGTATTTTGTTATGAGGCGTTGGGCTGTGTCCATGACGGTTGGCGAGTGGAGCCAGTCGATGTTTTCCATCTTTTGCACGAAGGTGCTTTGGCGGATTACGGCGCCGACCAGGTCGAGGGCGAAGGGGCCAAAGTTGTCCCAGTATCGTGACATCATGCGGCGGATATGCACTTTCTCGCCTGGTCGGACGCTGACGCCGTGGCGGGCGTAGGTCGCTGCCAGGGCCTTGGGGTCGCGGAGCTTCGTCTCTATCTCGCGGCGGAGGCTGTCGATATCTCGGCACCAGTTTGTTCTGGCGTCGGTATATGCGGCCAGGTCCTTTGCGCAAGCCTTCATCAACTTGCTGGGAAACATCATGTGCTGATGAGTAACCCTTGGTGGTTGGGTTGGGAGGCCTTCCGGTAATCCGTTCATGTTCAAGACGGCACCTGGCATAGGTCGGCTGTTTTCTAGCAATTCCAGTATATCATTTCGGAATTTGGCAACCTTGAGCACGCCGTGATCAATTTCGAGCTTGCAGTGCTTGCACTCGGTCGAAAAGCTCTTGTCGGCATAGCCGGTGCTGTCAGCGAACGCGTTTTCGAGCGATGACTGGATTTCCCCCTCGGTCCACAGGACTGGTGTGAGTTTTTTGCAGGATGGGCATTGAATATCCTTTGATGGGGGGTCATGTAGTGCATCCCACTTGAGGCCAAGATTCTGCGCGAATGTCTGTTGACAAGTCTCGCTAGGGGCATATTCCAAGGTACGGTCGTCGATGGACTTATTCACTGCGTCAAATGGAAAACCCGTTCTCCAGGTGCTCATCTTGCCATAGCGAATACAGTCCTCCAGGAAATTCCTTGGATTAAGCATATGAGAATGCCAGACCATTAAAATATCTAGATCTATATTAGCCTGCGCTCATTTTTGAGTTCATTCATTGCTACCAGTACTCACCGATTGGAGGCAAATTATCTTCACTCCATAAAATCTTCAGCTCACAGTCTGTGATATCTTCATATGCCCTGCTCTCTTGATCCATCATTGTGACAGGTGGACGAGACCTAGGTAGGGCAGTGAACCACCATTTCTCATACCGGTCGACCGCACGGGCCACATAGACAGCCCAGCGCTTCTCACGAATACGCCCTTTAGCCTGATCTGTCTCGCTATCAAATCCAGTGGCCTGGGAGTCGAAAAGACCAAAGAGGCCATCCTGGCTTGAGACTTCATCCCGCAGGTCTGCCAAAACAGCCAAAAATTTGAGGTGCGCGACGCACTGGTCAGGGGTGACGGTTTTGAAATCTAAAGTACTGTCCTTGGCATCGCTGAGGCTGAGTTTCGGCAACTCGAGCAGTACTTGCTGCTCGGCATTATCGTATGAAGGAGGTCGCTGGTCGACCTCACCCTTGAGATCCGGTTCGGAGACCGGTATATCTTTAGCCATTTCGTCCTTGATTTTTGAGGACATTGTTGTGACTCGTGAGTCGGATTAAGACCGAGCCCGATGTGGAGAAAGAGAAAGAAAATCAGATGATATTGAGAGATTGTTTATCAAATTGAGCGGGGAATTCTCATCCTTTTATATCTTATGATGTAATAAGGGTTCCATCGGAATAAACCGATCCAAATGGAGAATGTCAGCAGGTGGATCGAAGACAAGAAACGTGTGGATGAAGGACCATGGGTGGGATTTCCGTAGGAACGCCCAAGTAAGCCTTGTGGATAAGTGAGCTTCGCAACCGAGATGGATCGAACTCCAATCAGGTAATTAAATCGTCCGAGTCGGACACGGCCTTAACCAAGTTAACTGTTATGGCCCCTCCGAGCGCCCGTGTAATTGTGGGGAATACGAGGGGAAGAGGCAGTGATAAACAGGGTCGGTTACTTGGCGGGTTCGCGTTTGCGGGCGGCTTTACAAATTGCGGGTATGAAAATGACGGGGCAACAGAGAGTTCAAACAGCACTGCCATCCCCTAAACCTCTAAGCCTTGCGCCCGAGTACATATGCTGATCAGCAAATGACCTCATGTCATGAGATCTTGTACAAATATGATCTTCCATAGCAATGGAGAATACCCAGCCTTGTTCTTTATTTAGGTAAACGGCAAAAACACGCGAGAGCATTCAAATCTCAATTGGTGATGTTCTTTCTAACCCCAAAGGCTAAGAAGCCCCTACCATATATGGCCCATGCCACATGCATATACATGGATTAACGTAGCATTAATTGCAGAAATCGGCATTGCCCACCAAAATGTGCATAAAAGGTGTTATCTTGAAGATAACCCTCCGTAGCATTGCTCGGAGAAAATAGTTGAAGAAAATAGAGTAGCCAGCCTTCCCTGAGTGGTTGTGGTCAATTTCGCTGTAGGGAACAGTTCAATGTTCATCTCAGGTACTTTGAACTATCGGCGGTGGGTAATCGTCTACTTTCTATTAGCCAAGCTCCTCAAGATTCTTCGGGAAGTCAACATTGAAAGTAAGTGCATCAACACAACACTGAGACTATGCCTCGGAAGCTCGGCTCTTCGATGTCCAGTCCCACCGGTGCTCTATGTTTACTCATTTAGCGTAACGGTTCAAGAATCAGTCATATCAGTATTATGATAATCAAGGCCAAATTGGGAATTAGATGTATCCGAGGTAGCAGTGGAAAGATTTCTTCATGATTGTGAAGGAGCAGACCCCTGCTAGTACATGGAAGCTTAAGTTTTGGTTGTGGGGTTTAATTTACTGCCACACATCTGTCCATAATGACACATCCACCTTTTGAAAGTTGACGGGGCTACAAGCGTGTTGGAAATTGCCTATAGGCTGAATTCAAAATTCGTCTGTTTTGATATGATTAAATTTGCGTGGTATTAAACCCCTCCACTGGTCAGTACTAAGTATTCATTTCATTTTAATTAAGTGAGTACTACATGTAATCAATCCATGACTCGTAATAATTTGGATTTCGATTCTACAGAGGGGGCAAGCTTGCATGTGCCCAGCTTGCCCAACTGGACCTCATCTGGACCTCGAGCTCAGTAGACTTGATATGCTAATTTGAACACCCGAGCAGGTGCCAAGTGTCAAATTTTTCATATCGATCAATTGTTTGATATGTATTCAGCGAGCACCTGAGGACTAGTACGTACAGTATTAGTGCGCACATAAATTCTCTACATATCCATATAACTCGATGGATCTACAATGTAAGTGAAGCGTGCGGCTCCGTCGTTGGGAGGTGAACTTGACTGACAAGTATGCCCAGGCTTCATATCTAGTCAAGGTACTACTAGTAGATAAGTATGAGTAAAGGTAGTTGATTATTTACCAGAGTACTACGGCATCCGTGTTTCTGCACCAAAATCAAATCCCAGTAGATTCAAATGTTTGTGCTGTTCGGGTGTACAAAGTTACTGTGAGACATTTCATACAATGTTTTCGTATGACTCTTGTTCCACAGACAGAGAAAAACCTCGAAGACAAACATTGACGACAGGGTAAATGCAGAAGCGAGAATCGGCCGAGACTTTCTAGATCACATAGATCTCAAGAGGGTCCAAAACGTTTATCCACCCAGGGCCGTGGCCCGTCATTACTGCCGATCACCGTTGAAAGCACGCGACCAGGAGCCAGTAATAACAATGGAGTCACTATGAAATTTTATCGGCATATCGCTTGGACTCTTTTTTAAATAATTTTTTTTTTTTCAAAAACGTTGCAAACCAATTAAGAAGAAAAAGTTCCTAAGGGTAAGAAAAAAAGCTTTACAAACAATTTTGCTGGGATTACATCAGCCATATTTTTTCAGCTCGGAGTCACCTGACAACCCCCGCGCTGAGTCATTCACCGGCGCATTTGAATTGTCTGCATCACACAGCTTGAGCGGAGATTGTCAAGTCTGATTTGGCCCGGAGAAAGGTCATTGCTGCATTTGATCTGTTTACTGAAATAGATCTCCCGCCTGGCTTGCACATTAGCCATCGTCCCAACTTTTTCAACTCCGGGAAACTTGATCCCGACTGCAACAAACGTCATCAGTCTGGCTTCTCGAGCGAGCGCATTCGGAGGGTCACCGACCCAAACTTTGGATTTGAGTGTAGGAGCTGATAATGCTCCAGCGGTCATAAGTCCCGTAATGGCGGGTGTCAATCACGGGTCGCTCTCCATGTCCCAAGCCGATGGCTTGCAGGGTCGCAAAAGGAACGGCACCATTGCGGGGATGGACAGCTCCCCGGGGAGTATTGAGGATGCGGAGGATAATGACCGAGATGACAAGAGAAGGCAGCCAGTAAAGCGAGCCTGCAACGAATGTCGACAGCAAAAGGTAAGAAAGCACCTATCTGCTATGGCTAATGCGACATCAACGTCAACCCGGTGGCGACACTAATAGTGCCGTGCAAATAATTATTTCTTGGTTTAATGCAGTCTGGCTAACCGTTTGTATTTTTTCTTCTTCTCATAGCTTCGATGCGATGTTAGCCAAGATCCTTGGAGCGATTGTTCTAGGTGCCGTCGGTTGAGACTCGACTGCAAAATCGAATCCAGTTTCAAACGAGTCGGAAAACGCAGTCGCAATGCCGAGATGGAGCGAGAGATCATCGAATTGAGGAAACAAATTGCCGGCAGTAACTCTAGCGGAGTGATTCATCCAAAACAACCGATCCAAGCGGGTCAGTTGACGCCGAAGCAGGAATCCAACCAGGTCAGCCCCGCGGGTGTCTACCAGATCCAAACCCCTTCCGCCATTTCCACAGACCAATACATGGGCTCCCAGGAAGCGGTAGCGTCACTGTTGGACCTGCGCTCCGGATACGATGGTGCCAACTATCTGAGAAATGGGAACCAGCAATTCAAGCGAATTGAGGACGTGATGGTCATACCGGAGAAAGTCACGGAACTCTTCAATTTGTAAGCCTCCTCAACATCTTGCACCTGATCGTTTCTTTCGTGCTCTTACACTGTAACAGGTTCTTCACATACTACCATCCGTTTCTGCCATTCTTGGACCGACAACAGACGCCTGACGAATATTACAATGCATGTCCTTTGTTATTCTGGACCATGATCAGCGTTGGTGCCAGGCGCTATCAGGGTGATTCGGGCTTGTTGAATGCCCTCTCGGGTCCAGTGACGCGGCTCGTATGGAGTACCTTGGCCGATATCCCACAAAGCTATCATGTTGTCAAAGCGCTTGCTCTGCTGTGCTCATGGCCGTTTCCCACCAGTAGCACCTCGACAGACCCAACCTTTATGCTTTGCGGAATGATGGTTCAGGTTGCTATGCAACTTGGTCTCCATCGCCCATCTCACAGCCAGGATTTCAGTAAGTTCCGTGTGGAGCTTATCGAAGAGGAATTGAAAGACAAAGTGCGGACTTGGGCTATCTGTAACATTGTAGCGCAACGGTATGTGGGCTTTTCCTTCAAGTGTCGCTTGTCTTCTGTTCTAATTTTCTGGCTCTTCTCAGGGTTTCTACTGGTTATGGACAGCCTCCGTCTACACTCTACGACTGGACATTGTCATCTAGCGATTCATTGGATCCGAACTTCAAGTTGTCTGGTGAAATGAAGTCTAGATTGGAGATTGAGAAATTCTGCGACAGAATTACTCGAGCTCTATACACCAATCGACGAGACCCAGTTGGTTTGACTAGTGATCAAGAACGCAATACGATGATCTCCTTCCTTTCGCGCGATTTTGACGAGCTTGACGAGCAGTTCAAACCACAGAACGATTGTAAGATCGCAAAATTCGGTGCTTTTTATGAAACCATACTAATATTTGTTTTTGCAGGTATTACCGATCTATATCTCCGTGCTGCAAATCTCCACCTGCACTTGTCGGCTTTCTTTGACGATCCCTCCGCAAAAGACTATCGTGAACGTCTGCTTGCCTTGTACGTTGCCACCACTTCATTCCTCGAGGTCACCATGAACCTCGAGACGGAAGTCGGTCCCGTCCTCTCATATACTCCTTACTACGTCTACCAGATGATGGTTGCAGCGGGCTGTACCCTTCTTAAAATGAGCAAAAGCTTTTTTGCAGCTCACATCGACATGGAATATACCAAGAATCTGTTTAACAGGACTATTTGGGCCATCCGTGGCGTGTCTGCCTCGAGCAATGATCTTCCCGAACGCCTAGCTGAAGTCCTTGCACAGATGTGGCGATTGGGAGCTCAGCAGTCAGTAACAAGCAATTCCAGCGTCGATGATTCTCTAAGGCTTAAAGTCCGGTGCCGTATGAGCATGTCTCTCCTCTTCGATTCCGTGTGGCGATGGAGAGAGGACGCGCGAACCAAAGGCCGCAACATTGAGGCTTATCTCAAGAATCCGACCAATCCGGACTCTGCAGCCGACTCATCTGCCGCTTCATCTGTGGGTCCTCCCCGCACTTCATCGTCTACGCCTGGTCTTGCTGGCAGTGATCCAAGTCTTGCACCAGCCCCAATCCTCTCCCAAGCCGCTATTGGAGTCCAACCAAACAACGGAGTTGGAGCGCTCCCAAGTGGCTTCATGGAGCCCAACTACGAAGTCTTTGATCCTCTAAACTGGCTTCTTGACGGTCTCGTAGATCTGCCTTACTCATATTCGACCATGGGCGGGATGGAGACCTCGGGCATTGCATAGAACCACATTGCTCGCCCTAAAAACACATTTTCGGTTCTCTTCTCTTTTTTTTGGATTTCTTTCCAGTTCTCTACGCGGGCGTATTTTGTGGGCTACTTGTACCATTATACCACACGGATCCATTCGCTGATACCTGGAGTTTGCTTCCTTGTTCTATTCTTGTCCCTTCTTTATCTTATCTTCCCTTTCGTCTCTAGTCTGCCGTTGGGCCTTAGGCCCCTTTTTACGAGTCCCTTGTACGACATTTATCTTTAGCCATTCTGATGTGTGATGGAGCCGTGTGCAAATATACGAGCCTTTTTTCCCCATAGGCATTTCTCACTCCCCTGACTGGACTCGCTCGCCTGCATATACTAATACGTAGTAGTAAGCACAGTCCTTGTCGGTACATATGCCTATATTGAAACGCACTAATGCGACTAATAGTGCCTCGCGTCTCCACTCCACCTCCACCCATTGTATCAAATAGGCAATACTGATGCTAAGGTGGAGACCACAAGCCGATGTCGCAAATTCACTCGTACGGACGCTGTAACCTTGGGATCTTTCCGCCTGACTTTGGCTCTATACATGACCCCATTTTTCATGAAACATAGTAAGGCAGCATTAGTTCGCTCCGAACTTGGAAGTGGGACCTAGTATACGCGCAACATCCTAGTCTTTTATACTCATATATGTAACAACCTTGAAAATATCCCTTGCTGCGGCTGCTCTCACCTCAATTTTTTCTTAGTTATCTTTCATTATGGTAATCCAATTGGACCCGCCTAAGTATGCATCGATAGGAACATTGAATTGTTATTTCTAAGGTTCCAACCGGGCAGTCCCTTCACTTCCAAGGTTCCTGTTCTATAAATCCTTCTCTCTTTTCCAATAAGCCAATACCCAGTATCCATTCGTCTTAACAACATTTTTTCACATCTCTTCCACCCTATACATAGGTCCTTCAACTCTTATCTGCGGCGAAGAATGATTCTCTCACTCGCCCATTGGCCCACTGGACACTTGGATCTCGGTCTAGAAGCTATTCTTACCCTGATAGCATCGGCAGCTCTGGCATTTACTTTGCTGACTGCAGTTGCACTGGTGATAACGTCTCGCCAGTGGTCAAATGTGAGTTACCACCATTTCGCTTCCCATGTTTCATTTCAAGGTTTCCCTTTATATCTGTGTTTTTTAAATTTGAACTTTGAATCCCTTTTGCACACCGGGGGTATATCCAATAGCTAAAATCGAAACAACAAAACCATACAGAAAGGCGTGCCTTTCGTCACAGGAAAGGGTCCATTATCAATCCCATACCAGCAATACCGCTTCCTGATCGACGGTCCAGGCCTCCTCAAAGAAGGCTACAACCGCTTCTCAGACGATCTTTTTGAGATCCCTCGGACCTTTCGGCCGGGCCAGGTGATCCTATGTAAGCCTGAACTCATTGAGGAGTTGAAGAACGCTTGCCGCACGGCTGCATCTCCCGAACCATGGATCGACCAGTTACTCCAGATCTCGCATGTGATGCCTGGTTATTTCCCCAAGGGCGGTGGATGGCCTGCTATTGCGAAGACTACGCCTGGGGTTATTCGAGGCACGGTATATAAGCAGTTGGATCGGTATTTGCCGACTATGAATGAGGCGGTTCTTTCGCAGTTGGGCATGTTGGAGTTTTCGGATGGTGGTGAGTTGCGGTTTTTCTTCTTCTTTTCTTTCATTCTTTACTTTTGGTTATCGAACAAATCTACGCTGGTAATAATATCGTCTAATTTCTTTTCAATTACTTAGAATGCTCTGTTGGCTGCTTTGATTTTGCATACTCCATTGTAGCTCGCAGTGGGAGCTTTGCGTTGGTCGGAGAGCGTCTTGCTCGCGATGAAGGGTATTTGAAAGCTATAAAGGATCATATACTTGGGATGATTATGACCACTCGCGTACAATTCTTGATTCCTGATTGCTTGAAGAGGTTAGATTCCGATGTGTGAAGGTTTATTTGGTTGCAGACTGATGCTGACGGCTGGAAAACTAATATCAAAACAGATACTTTGGTGGATTTATCAGCCGGCTTGCTACCATGTGCACTCACTGGAACATGCATTCCTCACGCAAAATTCTGCTCCGACACTTTGATGCCAGGGCAGCTGAGTATAAGGCTGACATGTCTCGTGATGTGCTCAATGGGGAGAAAACCAATAATGAAAACTCGGAGCAGCCGGTCTGTTTCTCCTTTTTTTAAAAACTCCTCTTTGGAGATATTATGCTCCCAGAACCCATTAAGATGAATAAGAGCCTATGCTAAATTACAGATCACGCAGGTTGAGGTATTCCGCTGGTTATATGATGCCTCTGTAATCCGTCAACGATGGACTTACTCCGAGGTGATTGGAGAGATGCTACTTCTCCAATTTGCATTTATCTATACAACAGCCTATGTGAGTGATTCATATTAGCCGCATATTTGTAATTTTTATCAGCAGTCATGTCCTATGTGCTGATTCTCGCAATTTACGGGGACCAGGCCCTATATGGAGCTGTAGCAGAACTCGCTCAGCGCCCAGAATACATCCCGGCACTACGAGAGGAAATCGAAGCCACAATCTCCGATCTAGGAATGACCGTCGCCTCATGCGATAAGATGGTCTTGCTAGACAGTTTTCTCAAAGAATGCCAGCGAATGCACCCCCCTGCAGCCGGTACGTCCAGTTCATGCCACCACACGCTCCTCCATCTATGCAAAGTCCAGCTAACAATAATCCTTTTCTACCCTGCAGTCTCCGCTCACCGGGTTTGCGTTACATCCCTCCCACTTTCAAATGGTAAGCGCATCATCCTGGAATTGCTTGGTATTGAAATTGAAAAAAACGTGCATTACACTGCATCGCTAAAACCCGGACCTCGGTCTTACCTATAGGTGTCGTGCTTAAACCCGGAACGCACGTCGGTGTCCCGAGCGGCTGGATCCAGCGATCAAGTAAAACATACATCGACCCAGGGGTCTTCGACGGCTTCCGATTCGCAAAGGCTGCTGCGGCCGGTGCTTCGGGTACGAAGCTTGTTGACCTGAGTCCTGATTATCTGGTCTTTGGAATGGGCGTGCATGCATGGTGAGTTGCATTTGGTTTTCCTTCCCCTCTCTGTCTCCTTCCTATCTGGGATCTGGGATATTGGACAATGCCTTGTTGGACATTGGGACGCAGTTCCGGTCCCTCGGGTCTGTCTTGCAGTGCTGTTTCTTGGCATATTTCCATTCCATCTGCGTGTGCCCTCGGCTGACCCCGTGTTTGCATTGCAGTCCCGGCCGATGGATGGCGAGTGCGCTGATGAAGTTGGCGCTTGCGCATCTGCTGTTGCAATTTGATATTCTGCCTAGCTCGGAACGGGAGCCTTTGACTGGGTCGTTGTCGTTTGAGGAGTTCTACGTGCCCAATTTTGGGTTGAAGGTGCGATTGCGGCGTAGGGTGTGATTTGGGTATGTGGCATGCGGGGAATGTGCCAGGGTGTTTGTGGGATGTGTGTTCAAATTGTGGGTGTGGGGTGGGGTGTATATGTTGTGTGTTAATAGTATTTGGGGCTCGATTCCTATCGTCATTGTCAAATAGTTACATACATGCATGTGTATGCTATATAAACCTGAATGTATGTATCGAACCATAAGAGGCCAATAAAAACGCAAGAAATCCATAGATCGAACTCTACCGATAAGACCCAAGTGGACCCGGGGAGATAAGGCCCACTGCCCCCGAGAAACGTCATCTTGATTTTTGAGAATCGACATCTCCAACAACATCCCATCAGCCCTAGCCATGCCATCTCGTCCCCTCCTCATACCCCAAAAACGCCCTCTCATCACTTCCAAAAAACCAACCGACAAAGGCAAACCCAATACCAAGAAACCCACCCCCAAAATCCTCAATCCCAGCGCCTCGGCAGCGGAAACACGCATGAAGAAACCTACTCCCTACGCCAGCGATGTCAGTGCAGCGGAGTACGCAGAGCTCGAAGACCATACCCCAGAGCCGATCAAGGTAGCCTTCGCGATGCCTGTGCAGCCCTTCCTCGATCCGCCTAGCTGGGAAGCGATGCTAAAGCGGGCCCGCGAGGCTGCAAACACAAATACAAGTACAAATACAAATACAGGACCTGCCGGTGTCGCAAGTGGGAGTAGAAGTGCAAGTGGAAGGCAGGGGAATAATGAACGGTCCGCACCATACGAGACGGCTGATCAGCGCAGACAAAGGCAGGATAGGGAGGCGGAGTACGGGTCCATGGCGATCCGGGGACGATCGAATATCAGTGGTCGTGGGAAGCGAGTAAGAGGGGGCTCGAGACGATATTGATGTCGACTACATGAAATTATTAATGGTCATGATGTAAATATGTATATACCCAGGAGTCAAGCGAGTGAGCGATCGGTCCCGTCGATTCAGTTCAAATGTTCAAGCCGATGTTCCAAGATCGCATCGGCTAGGCGCTACATTGGAGATAGTACGATACGAAATCACCCTGCAGGGCCATAGAAGCTGCATACCTAATGCTGAGTAACGCCAAAAAGCCAACTAACTATATTCAATCCTAGGCTGAATACATAACTGCGGGCGGGTCTAACGCACCTACGCAGGGAGTATGGCTTACGGTATGTACATAGTAGGTCTGACTGGGGGCCACCAAAGCAGGCGTAGCAGGCATTAATCATCGAGTCGTCATCTTGTATCGTAGGTATCATGGATCTCGTGAGAGAGGGAGATCAGTAAGCACAAGCCGCCAAAATATCAAAAGATTTTCGAGAAAAAAAGCGTACGACCGAACCAAAAGGAAAAAAAAAATGAAAAAAAAAACAGTCGAAATGAAAAATTCAAAGCAAAACGAAATACGAAAAAAATTCATAACGCCTACTTGCATATCATCGTAAATGTCGTTCTCGTCTGGACTGCATCCAGATCCGGTCATAATAAAGATCGTAGATCATCATGTGTCTCATAATAGGCAATAAGCATCAGCGCGTAATCCCATGCGACGCACCAGAAACCACATGAAGCGGCGCGCCAATACTCTGCTTGAGGTTCTCCCTCCTCGCGACTCGTTTCCTCTCATCACGCCTCTGCCGCATGCGTCTAAGACGATTCCGCACATTTCGCACATTCATCGAGCGAAGCCGGATGCCCCACCGGGACAGCACCTGGTACCGACTCGGGTGGAAAGGGGATCCGGTCCGGAACATGCCTCGATCCACCAGGCTGGCATTGCTGGCATTGTAGTGTGCCGCGGAGGGCACGCTGTTGAACATGCGTCTCATTTCGGGGCTGCGGCGAGCTAAGGAGGGTGGGCCTTGGATGACAACTCGGTACTGCGGGAGGCCTAGGGAGTTGTTGACGAAGGGAGGAGTCGAGTCGTTGGAATGGTGGTGGGGGTTGGCTCCGGGGGAGATTTGCTTCTTTGGAGATCCGGATACGTCGTCCCAGAATCCGCGGGGGCGCCACATGGGATGGAGCCGGCTGTCCATTTCCAGTCCTGCTTTGCGGTTCTTGGCGGATTTGATGGATAGGGAGCGCACGATTGTGGTGAAGGAGTTTGAGCGTGGGCGCGCTGTCCCGGGGCGACGGACGGAGCCTTGGCGGCGATTCGGCTCGCCAGTATCAACGTCTCCATCTGCTTGTGTAGGAAGCGGGGGGAGAGGTTTAGAATGGGGAGCTTTGTAGATGGGTGGCTTGGGTGGAGGGCGAGGGTTCTTCAAAGGAGAATCCACGTTGTACATCGCCGGGTCAGTGGGGTTATCCGGGGTCTTGGGGTTGTCAATTTGGCGTCTGATGTCATGGAATGATGGCACAGTCTGAGCCTCCGCTCCCGGGGGCAGTCGCTGGTCGACCAGAAGTAAGGATCGATTTCTGTGCGCAAAGAGGCTGACTGCAGTGGCTTCTCGGATCTCTATGGGTCCCGGGGAAGACGACGGGATTGACCACTGGGTGTATGGAAGGGATGGGGGACGCAAGGTTGACATGTCCTCCTCTTCAGCGCTAACCAAGAACGTGGGTAATTTGGGAGCTTGCGAAAGACCCGGAGCTTGTCTCTGATCATTGTGGCTCTGACCATTTGAACCCAAAATGTTATGGCGGGGTGGTGAAACTGGTTGCAGGTCCCGACGCTTTTGCATCTCCAGATCCATTGCGAGAGTGTGACTACGCAAGCTTTCCGAGGTGAGGGATGCAGAGCGAGAATTGTTTCGACTCGTGGGCGCAGAAAGCGAGGAGCTGCGAGGGGGAATGATCGGCCGACCAAAGGGGCGACCCCTCGAGTCCCGATCTCTGGATTGGCTAGAAAACGAATCAGACATGGTCCGCTTCTTTTGACGAGGGCCATTCACTGAGCTCGAGCCCTCTGATACGGGTGGGCGTCGACTAGACCGCTGAGAACCGTGCCGGGATGAAATCTGACTATTAGGTCCCGACCGGAGCGATGATCGTCTTTCTGGAATCACGACAACACGAATAATGTCGGCCGATGCACGTGGTGTGCTCGCAATCGTTTTCGTGGAGAAAGATGCATCGGATGCGATGCTTCGGCGATTCTCTTCCGAGATACGAGCAGCCTTGTGGACAAGGCGATGCTGGGAATCGGGATTCGATGCAGTGGAAGCGTGCTCGGACCTCGTTATGGGGGAGCTGACCGATCGAAGTGAGCTGCGCTTCTCTGTATGTCGCAAAAGTCGTTGCGCTCGCTTGGGGGAGTCGATGATCATCGCCTCCACGGTTGAGGTAGAGGATAGGGCTGATAACCGACGAGACTCTGGGTCGGCGGCTTGCGAAGAGGTATCCTGTGATGGCCAGCCAATCTCTTCGCGAAATCGCTCCATCGATGGAGTTGGGGTGATTTCATGGACTCCGTTGGTTCTCCGTACTCGATCGCGTAGGTTCATTTCGCGCGTCAAGGAAGCATCCAAATGGACCACGTCCAGCGTGTCCTGGTTGGAACCGAGAAGAGTGTCCCTTTGGTTGCGAACGGGTGGCTTGCGTTTTTCCTTTAAAGGTTTTGGCGATCCGTCGTTCTGGTTGGTGGTCCATTCCCCATCAAATGATTCGAACCCTGTTTCATATTCTGTCTCACTGTGGGGTTGGGAGGCGGACGAAGGAGTGTCTTTGGTATAGGTGAGCTTTGCACGGACTCCATTCGGCGCATTCTGTCGCAATGAAGCAACTTTCTGCCGGCTTCTTTGAGCGGTGTTCTGGGATGATTGAACCGGTGTTTCCATGTCGCCATCGGATGAGATTTCTTCACGGGCAGTCTGAAAGGATTCGGCTCGCGATGAAGAAGAAGGGTGGATAAACTGGTTGAGCGGCGGTCGTCTAAGGGAGAGTGTTTGAGGAGGTGTAACATCAGGTGTCGGGGGTTTGGAGGGCCGACGAGGTGTCACCATTCCCGTGGAATTCTCGGGGCGCAAGTCGGGTTTTCGGGGGGTGGGTTCGTCATCCATGGCTTCATCGTGAATCGCACCGGGCGGAGTCAACGGAGGCGCCGGCGCGGCCACTGTACCAGGTTCCTCCGGGGAGGCCGGTTGGGTGTCGGTAGGAATGGAGAGACCCCTCCGCGGGAGTGTTTTGTGGGACCTGAAAAGCGGTCGTTCTGATGAATCCACCGACGGGCTCACCTCCAGGCCCGGCATATCGGGAATTCGACACAAGACCAAAGGCGAATGAAATCAAAGATTCGGATGGTGATCAGAGGGAAGGAAGGAGTGTTATCAAAATCATGGACAAAAGGGTCATGGTATGGGAAAGAAAGAAAAAAAATGCAAGTGCCGATAGATCAGATGGAATTTAGGCGTCGGTCGAGGGATAGATGGGTCGCATCGCGAATGCGCGCCAGTGAGACGATTGAACCCGTCAACAAGGGGAGTCGAAGATCAACGTGTCCGATAAGGATGCAGGTTGTGCCTGAGCGCCAGTAATAGTGTAAGGGGGTTGGGGCCGGTGGTTGGGAGATGCAGCGAATAGAACAAATGGAAGAAATGGAAGAAATGGAAGAAATGGAACAAATGGAAAATTAAGAGTCTACTGGAATTTACAAGAGTCACAGGAAAATCTTCAAAGATGTCCCACTTTTGTGACAAAGGATAGCAAGAGGAAGAAAGAAATGACCGAGTGTGATTGGATTCTTTAGCCTATACTCGGACTATACTCAGAATAGATATACTCCGTCAATACTATATGCCGCACGGAGTACGGAGTTTTTAGCCCACGCATACTAGACAACAACTCGATGCAGGTCAAATGCAAAACAGTCGAAACGCGTTCCTGATTTTATTTCCCCTTTCATTCGAACCACGCAGTTTCGCTCCTTGCGTTTTTTTCAACATGTTTGCTTAGCGAGCATAGTCAGCCACACATTCCACGTCTCAGATTAGGCTGCCGTAACAAATCAAATTGCCGCGACTATTTAATCTCATGGGGGCAGAACACAAGTATATTGTATTCGGGTATGTGGCAAAAGATGACGCTATTAGAACTTCATCTAGATTACAAACCTTGATTCCCTTGACAGAATATGGGGGATTTAGCTATTTGTGTTACCAGGACTGGAACGAACCTGGTGTTTCCAGGGTTAAAAGACCGTAGATAAGATATAACTTGAACATTTGAAGGTGGGGGATTGGCATGCGGTCATACACACGCAGCTCAAGTGCTTAGATCTGCTAATTTTGGCGATTGGCCAACTGGTCAGCTTATGTAACCCCGTGACGCACGTTTTGTTTCAGGCATCCAAAGGCACTTTTCAGGTGTCCGCGGGGTTAAAAGTGTCATTCGAATAGATCACAATCACATCAACATGAAGGTTAAGTCATATATATAAGTTAATCAACTATTATCAAGGAAAGGGGGCCCTGGCTATTTGATATGGTGGATCAGTGGCGGAACATGACGCCAGAACCAGGCAAAGAGGAAGTTGGCATATGAACTCGGGGATTTCTAAGTAGACGATGACATCGCTCGTAGATCCCACGTCGTCATAGGCTTTTTTTTCCAACTTTCCCCCTAAATGATATTCTGACATCTTCCTGTTCTCGTTCCTTTTTCCTCAAAGCTTTTTCTTTCACTTTCCTTTTGATAGCTTTCGCGGGGTCTGTTTCTCATAGACAATCTTTGCCGATTTTCTTCTGTTCTTGGAACTCTGCTCCTACCAAAAAAAAACCCACCTTCTACATCTCCCAACCCCTCTTACGTTCAAACATCGGGCGCAATCGGCCCCGACTTCCCCCCTACCCCTGCTCAGAGTCTGTCTCTGATTTATTCCCCTTGCCCTACTCAGCCCCCCCCTTCACATTTCAATTTTTGCCTATCATGAGCACCATCCAAAACATAAAGAACTTCATCCGTCACGGGAAACAAGCTCGACTGGTCAACCCCCACTCCGAGCCAACAACTGACGTATCCCCCATTCACGCCGAACAACAACCACACCCGCAAGGCCAATTCACCCCCGCATATGATTCCCTGGATCCCAATGGTCCTGCAGTTCCTCAGAAAGACTCCAAGTCTCAAACCAGGCATGACCGCTCGGTGGAAATTGAACGAATGGTGAAAGAGGAGAACATCGACCGAGCAAAGATGCCAAAATACCCGGGTTTGGATCGTTGGATCCTGATCGAAAAGATGGGAGATGGCGCCTTCAGCAACGTCTACCGTGCCAAGGATTCTACAGCAGAGCATGGAGAGGTGGCCATTAAGGTGGTCCGCAAATTTGAAATGAACAGCAATCAGGTATGGTCACCAAGGTGTTCTTGATTTCCTTTTGTCTTCTGCTTTCGTTCCCGCAATCCCGCAATCCCTCGATCTTGATCTTGTCTCCTCGCATTCCCTGCTGGCAAGGGAAGAGAAAGAACACCGCCAATATAATTTAATGTAGTCGAATCTTCACTCAAGCGTCAAAAAGGTCCCACGGGCTGCAGAGGTGCGCGGATCGGTTTTCTCAAGATCACGATCACTTACCTAGTCATCTGTTCTGTTCTCGCATTTTGTTAGTCTCATGTCACTGACTCTTTTTTTCTTCTTATCTTGCAGCGTGCGAATATCCTCAAGGAAGTCCAGATCATGCGCAACCTCGATCACCCCAATATCACCAAATTGATCGATTTCTCTGAATCCCGACAATATTACTACATCATCTTGGAGCTTGCCCCCGGCGGCGAGCTCTTCCACCAGATTGTGCGATTGACCTACTTCAGCGAAGATCTCAGCCGACACGTCATTAAACAAGTCGCTGAAGCTATCGAATATCTTCACGAGACATCAGGAGTCGTTCACCGGTTCGTTGGCCCCAGAGCCCCTTCACACCCCTCTCTTTGAGTCTCGCGCTAACGGGTGATCTGTAGTGACATCAAACCGGAGAATTTGCTTTTCTATCCCACGCCATTTGTTCCCAGTAAAGGCCCGAAACACCAACAGCCCGGCGACGAAGAGAAGGAGGATGAGGGAGAATTTACCGCGGGAGTTGGCTCGGGTGGTATTGGCAAGATCAAGCTTGCCGATTTTGGTCTGTCAAAGGTAATTTGGGATAGCCAGACCATGACTCCCTGCGGAACGGTCGGTTACACTGCGCCGGAAATTGTGAAGGATGAACGGTACTCGAAGAGTGTAGACATGTGGGCTATGGGCTGTGTGCTCTACACTCTGCTCTGCGGTTTCCCTCCATTCTACGATGAGAGCATCCAGGTGCTCACGGAGAAGGTCGCAAGAGGTCAATATACTTTCCTGTCGCCCTGGTGGGACGATATCTCCAAATCCGCGCAGGATCTCATTTCACACTTGTTGACCGTCGACCCGGAGAAACGTTACACCATCAAGGAATTCCTCGCACACCCGTGGATCCGCGAAACAGACGAGGTAACCACCGCTGCTGCCGACGCCCCTCCTCTGGCTACTCCCTTGGGTCCGGCTCGCCCGAAAGGCGACAACCTCGAGCTCATTGGCGCCGAACAGGCTCCCTACCAGCCAGCCAGCTCCCGACTATTGGATGTCCCTTCCGCCACCGCAGAACGCCGCATGGACTTCCGGTCCCCCGGTGCATTCAACTTGCGTGAGGTCTTTGATGTTGGATACGCCGTTCACCGACAGGAAGAGGAAGGCAAGCGTCGCCGGAATGTTGGCCGCAGCAACAACCCTACCGCTGGATTCCAATCTGCTCTGGGCGCCTTGAACGAAACATATGACGACTTGGATGACCGTCCACAACCCGACACTTCTGGTCCGCCACCTGCCAAGGTTGTCAAGGCTAATGGCCAACAACCTGGTGACATGGCAGGGATGGAGGCCAAGCTTCGCTCAACAAACCTGGGTACCCAAAGTAGTGCTGCTCAGGCCCGACAGGCCCACCGACAGCCTCGCCAGCAGCAAGCTCAGGGCTACGGTCAACATGACGCAAAGGTCGCCGCGGCTGCCAAGAGCTCTATTGGTCGTAGGGCTCAGCAGCCGTTCGAACTTACCCTGAATGGTTCCACATTGCTAGAGAAGCGTGGTCGGCGTAATCAGCAGCCAGTCATCTAAGCACGAGAGAACTTGAAGAAAACGAAACGTTCTGGTGTTTTAGCGACTGGATTTTTGGCGGTCCTTCTTTGTGGACTACTGACTTGTTTAACCTTATTATGGGACTAGCGATACGTTACATGGTATCCATTACATCTACGTCGTGTTCGCTGTCTATTCTTCTTCTTCTTCTTTTCACTCTTGCAATCCTCATTCGGATTTTTTTCTCATCATGCTCTTTTATTTCTAACTTTCTCCCATATCATACCCTCCTCATCCTACTCTTCTCCTTCACACATTTCCTCCCATTTTTCTGATCTATCTGTTGTATTCGAATTTTTTTTTTTTGGCGAAGAGCGTACATACCTCATTTGACTGGCCCTGGTTTTGGTCCTGGTATGTACTAGGGAAAGCAATGGAACTGGCTTCATCGGCGATTGTTTGTCCCAAATTCTGCCTCTTTTCTGGGCATGTTATGTTTTTCTGTGGAGCTTTTTTGTCTGGCCTGGAGTTAGTGATTTCTTTTTTCAATTCCGGGTTATGGATTTACATTACACGAAGGACTCATTCCATATCCCTTTTTTCTGCATGAGCAAATCTCCAAATCACATTTCTTTCCTGGCTACTTTTTTGCGGATTTGGAAGGTTCCAATCACCACTATTCCAATCATTCATTCCTGTGAAGTTCGAATAATGATAATACATGTATCATGATCCCACTACCTATCAGATTGACTGGAAAAAACAAGAGAGATGTTCTAAATGGAAAGTTGTTTAAATTTTAGTCGTTTTTTGGGCTTTCAAAGTCACAATGGTGGTATCTTGTATATCGTATATCCATAGTAGGCGACCAGGGTCACGCTCCGCACACAAAAGAAAGCAAAAATTGTAAAAGAAAAAGATGAAAGAGATAACATATACTCAAGAATCAAATCCAGTATGTATAAGCTTTTTATAGAGTCTGTCGACCACGCGTCTCAATGGGAAGCAGAACCATAGCCACAAAAGCAGCAAGCATCAATCCACCCGAAGCATAGATGGGCGCATTGGCATTCGAGCTACTGGCAAAGATAGCAACAAGCGGGGCACATAGACCCGCGATGCGATTCAAACAGCTCGAAATACCAGACCCAGTGCCACGGTTCGGAGCCGGGAACACTTCAGGCGTGTATGCGTACAGAACACCGTACATGATGTTCTGGAAGAAGGCCTCAAGACAAGTACAAACGAGCTGGACGTTCGCCGTCGACGACGCAGTAAAGCAGAACAGCAACACGCCCGTGATGACCGTCGCAACCGCCATCGTGCCCTTGCGTCCAATATACTTGATCTCAACTGTATAGCACGCCAAGATCGATCCAGGAACGCCCACAATCGACGTAATAGCATAGTTGCGGTACGTAGTGTAGGACGAGTTCGTCTCGCCGCCAGACTGCGAGAGATACTGCGGCAGGAAAGCATTGAAGAGCGGATATCCCATGCCGATAGTAGCCCAGCAGAACCAGAGGAGCACGGTCGTGTAACCGAGACGCTTATTCGAGAACAGGGGCGCAATGCGCTCCATGGAGAACTTGCCAAAGAACCGCTTCACAATATCAGTGACAGCCAGCTTCTCGTCCCCTGCATCCAAGCTCTCAGCGATCCCGCCAATCTCGTTCAAAATCTCATTCGTCAACCACGTCTTCGCCCCATTCTCATACGCAATCCCATGCACAGAAGCAACCGCCTCCTCCTGACGACCGCGCGAAAGCAAGAACTTAGGCGACTCGTACAAGTGGAAGAAGAAGAAGCGCGCAATCCACATGCACATCGTGATAGCGCCGAGCGTCAGCACAAGATAGCGCCAGCCCATGTTCTTCTCCTTCGTACAGCCCTCTGCGCTGGCGCAGCTGTACGTCGGGATGTAGGCCCAGGCGAGCAGGCTGGAGATCAGCTGGCCGATGGGCCACCAGATGCTCAGCATTGTCAGCATGTTGCCCGAGACGCAGGGGAGGAACTCGAGGAAGAGGGCGCCGTCGACGGGTAGGTTGCCGCCTACGCCGAGGCCGAGGCAGGCGTAGAGGGCTGAGGTGCCGATCCAGGAGGGCCCGCCGCCTGCGGCGAGGCCGAAGGCGCCGGCTAGGAAGAGGGTGGTGTTGAAGGCGAGGCGGCGGCCGACTATGTCGGATATCACGCCCCAGAAGGAGGCGCCGATGCACAGGCCTAGGAAGAGGGCGCAGGTGCTGAAGCGGACCCAGGAGGTGTCGATGTCGAATTCGTAGGCGATGGGTGTTAGGGTTAGGGCTACGCCTTGGAGCCAGAGGCTGGATTGGGGGTGTTAGTTGGTTTCTTTTTGGGGGATTGGGATGGATGTTAGTGGCGCGAGCTTACTTGTCTGCCATCCAGCCGAAACCGCAGAGGAAGAATAGTTTCCATTGATACCGGCCCATGCCGATATCTTGGAGGGCGCGGTTAATCACCTTTGCTTTGCCTGTTGAAGTATCGGGTTAGATTGGATCAAGTCAAATATAGTGAGATTGATATGAATATAGAGTAATGGTGCCCTTGGGGGGAATGGCGGTGGTTGGAGCCCGAAATGGGGGGTACATACGATCGTACACAGAGTCCTGGCCAGAAGTAGAGCCTTCGGCATCGATCTCGGCACGGAGAAGCTCAATGGTCAGGTAACTGGTGTCTGGCAAAGAGCCAGCAGATCCGTTCTCCGAGGAGGGAGCACGTTCCAAAGATTTGCTGGCATCCAGGCCAACATCTTTCTCCTCCTTCTCTGGCGGAGCCATTCCATTTGGGTAAGCCGGTGCCTCTGACAAAGGAATCACAACCCCGGGGAAGTTTTGACGGTCCTTTTTAAAGGGATTAAATTTTTCGAGTCCCATATCGGCGGTGATGGGGGTGAGTTTGAGGCGCTTGGGGAAATGGTCTTAATGCAATGGGTTTCTGGTGTTGGATAGGGTCGCCTGCGAGGTTGGTGGTTGCTATCTGCTGGGCAAGACTACAAATTGGCGCAATCGATATAGTATATTTGCGTGAGGACAAGGATGTGGGTGTTGCAATCGAAGGTTTTTGTTTTTTTTTTGCACAGGGATGGGGTTTGGAAATGCTGCAATCGTGAGAATGGTTTCGTACGCGGTGGTCGTAATACGTTGCAATCGCCTGTCGATAGTGGATGGTCGTAAAAATTGCCTGGTACTGGACCAAATCTTTTTTTTCTTTTCTTTTGTATGCTGAGTAAATGCAATTATAACAGGCAATGCAATTGACCTGGAAGAATGAGGGTGAGATAGCTGGTAGCTATGGCTCAGACCCTTTGGGGAAGTGGGCAGTGGTGGAGAAGAGAAAGATGGAGACGAAGAAAAGAACGAAAGGAAAAGAACGAAAACGGAGGGATTGTCAAGACCTCTATATACACATCCACTCCTACTACAACCATGACTTTTCACTACGAACAATATCTTTCTTTTCATTTCTTTCTCTTTTTTTTTCCTTTACGGCATAGTCAACCTGTGGTACAAAAGATGCGGAGACGAGTATTGGTCAGGGCGTACAGTGGGGCCCGGTCTTAACCGAAAGAGGCAACGCCCATCATACCATGGCCCATTCGGCTTCGACCGCCCACCCGGTATTGGCATTACTTACAATACATCCCCCACGAGTTGGGGTTGATGCGGAGGATCAGCCGGAGGTCAAAGAGTATATATGCATGATCTTTCTGAGTGAGATTATCCTTTTCAGCGGGAAAGTCGGGCGAAAAGAAACGATCAATTATACATGCGATTTGCTACTGCACTAGGAATAGCGTTGGCGTGGGTTATAGACGATCAGAAATTCTGTGGCGCGGAGTGGCTGTTTAACCGGGCCGCATTAAGCCATTCGGGGATTACGGTTGAAAGCCACATTCAGCCCTGGATCGGACCGCATTCATCCAAGTGACATCAGTAAAAAATTGGTTAAGAACATAGGATAAATTTACTTGTGCCTCAATCGGTATGTTCAAGTTAATAGTTGACATAGATCAACTCAGTACTGTAAATATGCAAATTCCATGGGCAGAATCCCCGAGATTATTCCTCCATGCATGGAAAACTCGGCAACCTCAGCGGCCGATTGCCGCTACTCAGATCGGCCGAAACGCTCAGGCACAGAAACTTTGGCGAGGAAAGAACTGGCCTGAAACAGAGAAACTTGCGCAGAATTTCCACGTGTCCCCGTAATAAACGTCATCTCCGTGTGGTAAAAAGAAGTTCTTGCCTTCTTTTTTTTTACGTGTCTTTGTGTACACATCCAACCCCAGATGATACCCTTCTCTCTCTAGATATCCTGCACAGGCTACAGCACAATGATAACATCCCTCGTGACCTCCAACCCCCCAATCTAGTGACTCCAACTTTCCTATCTGGACAACATTTAAGTCTCGCCTTCCCTATCTAGAATTGAAACCCCAAGATTTAGCAGAAAGAAAAAAAGTGAATTTTTAACAGCACTTACGTCCTTCCCAAGTAGCAAGGGTCTTGGCGTGGTCCTTCCTTTCCGCATTCAGGCGCCCTCATTGGACCCGTGGACGCGCTACTAACTCAACAAATCACCAACCACAATTTCCCTGCTTACAATACAATACCGCCTGTAACCGTGCCCCTGACTCCATCGTGCGGCGTTTGGAGGCGCCGCCACCTACACCCTTGTCATGACTTCCTTGATGCGACCAAATTTCACGCCGATTTGCTTCATGGATAATCTTTATCCTCGGCTATAGACTCGGCCGTCGGCAGAACCCGTTTCCTTGAAATCTTTCTCGCTACAGTCCTGGATTTATGATATGAGCCTCTGCTCGTTTGGAACACAATAAATCAAAACCTTGGAAGCGGGTACGATAATTAAAATCTTCAAAGGACTAGATTGGGAAGGAAAATTCAACTCGTGCATGTCTAGTTCATGCATTAGTCGGCTTTTGATTGAGGCGAATAAACGTTACAACCCTGCTTCTTGGCGTGGATCGAGCGCTCTGAGACGAACTGCAGTTTGACGATGCAATCCAATCAAGTAGCTGGATTCTAGTTTACAATATTTATGTAGGTGAAGATGCAGGATTGTGTTATCGGAGTACGTCTGGATGGGTTCTCCTTGCACGCCAATCAACTCTACGCATTAAAGTCCAACAACACCACCTACCTCCTTTGGAAATGATGGACTCAATATGTACAAGAAAAACATTCGCGGGGAACTAGTATTGCCCAGGTATTGTTGACAGCCGGATTCACGCCGATTGCTTACTTGGTGAGCATTGGCTTTCTCTCCCACTCCACACGGCCGAACTCGTATTACGTTTGCACGGCTCGTAAAACATCTCATTATTTGACCAAAATTCATCCTTGGATATGGTACTACGGGATATCAATATGATATCATTTAAAAGTTCTGCTTCGACTTCTTCCTTGGCACGGTTCAACTCGTTAGAACCCGTGCTGGAAACTTGGAATAATGCATGGTTCATGAGCAGTACAAAAGAGCTTACTAAGGTAATATTAAATAACTTACTAGTTAACCCATGCATTGATTCAGGGTCTGCCCCACATTCGATGTTGACCATCAACATTTGTTATCGGCCCCCCTGTAAACATATACTCAAAAGGGGAAATCAGTCCTGGCTTCCGTGACATCAGTAATAACACCCAGCTAATATTGAAATGAAAGATAGGTCAACTGGTATCAAGCCTGAGTCATGGGGGGGGGGGGGGGTTTCCCCGCGGGAAATAATATGTGACAATGACGCTCTGGAGGTGAGGTCGGGGATACCTATCACTCGAGGGAAGAAGATTTAGAGTGGGGCTGCCCCATAGATGCAAGGATGATCATTTGGCAAGGTTCAAACTCAGTGGTTTGTGACTTGGTTTCCGGGGACTTTCGAGGTATTTTAGGTACGGCAAAGTTCATCGATCCCAATTGACAGACTTGTAACTTGATACATACATATTCCATATGATTCCGCAAGCCACCAATCCGTAATGGTTGTTGAGAACAGATATCTCAGTACATTCATTGCTGCATTTGACACTTGTTTCCCCTACAGCTCTCTCCACCGGTTCACATTCTCCCTTCAATCTTCGATTTTCTTTCATCGTACATCCTTTTGAGCCAGGCACTGATGTGCTCTATAGCTGCATTGTCACAATCTGCCGAGGACAACTCATACTTAGCAACGGCAATCCCATTTTCGAATTCGCCCACTTGGCCCCCCTTGATCAGCTTAGTCCCTATGGGATTGCACGTGGCAAAATCAAGCAGGATAGGTGCTCCATCGTCTGTAAACATCACATTCGAAGGGTTTATGTCGTTGTGCGCCAGCCCAAGGTCATGGAGGTGTTGAACAGCAGCCTTCAGACCCTCTATGCAACGATTTCGTTGCTCCTCCCCTAAGAATTCCGGACCATGCGCGCGCTGAAACAGACTGAGGCCATTGTATTTCACAAGCGCAAGTCCCGTGATGCGACCATCGTCGCCCACCACACAGCCCAATGACCGGCCCAGGCCTGGGTGAGGATGTCTGCGTAGGATCTCGTAGATCTCAGCCTCATGGAACAGTAGATCTGCGATCTCATGTCCGTCATCTGGCGAGTACAAGCTCAGGTTTGGCTTCCTGATGTAGATTTCTGGCGCGCGAGTGAGGCGCGAGCTAAATTTCGGATAGATATCTTCGCGAGGGATCGGGTGTAGGGGTTTCAGAAAAGGCAGAAAAGGTTCTTTGCTTAGATCTGTAGTTCGCGCAGCACTCATTCCGTGGTAAGCAGTTTCACCGTAGAAAGCAACGATGGATGTGTGGGAGAAAAAACAATCGCTGGCGTCTTCGTTCCTCTCCCAGATTTCGTCGGTGGAAACGATTCTCAGGTTGGTTTTGAGGCGACGCATGGCGGGAATTCAGGAAGTAGGCGAATGAATTAGGAGTGAGGATATCTAGGACATTAACAGAACTACACCGTAGATCTGGGAAAATAAAAGGAAAAGAAAGGGAAGGATGTAACGTAGTTGATTCTTCACAGGGGGGATGGGGAAAGAAGGAGAGAAGAAGAGGAAAATATTGTTGACGCTATTTTATCTCTCACTTCTCCAAGCAATTTAACTCTCGTGGGAACTCATTCTCTTCATAGTTGTTTGAGACTCCATGTATTTGGTACGCCCTCCCAAGTTAGTATCCATGCGCTTACATGACCTCACGTCCGACAGCAAATATGCGGAATTATCTTGTACCTCGCAACTACGCCTGGGAACGATGAGCTATATGTATGTTGCGGGGGAAAAGAACGGTATTCTTCAATGCTACTCAGCTTCCAGCTGTTGAGGGGAACCTTGGAGCTACGGGCATTTTATTTCACTTCAAATGTTATCCTTATTCAAAAGTTAATCTTCATTATATTCAAACCGAAACATGCATATGTAGGATTTCGTCACTACTAGTATATACGGGAATCATGGTGATTCTAGATCCCATTCACACATTTCTATAGATATGTCCACATTTCATATTCCGTCCAACCAGCAACTCTCTCTTAGATCTCCTGGGTGCGGTTGAGCAACCACTGAAGGTGACGGTAAGACGAACGGGGCTGGTACTGAGGCTCCATATGTCCAGACTGATAAGTCTCAACCCACATCAATCCACGCTCATAATGCTGGATACCCATAATACCCTGTGCCCCGTCAAGTCCAGACATGCCATTCTCCGCGAAAACGCTCGCATACTGGAGATCCGTAAGCTGAATATCGATCGGGGTCTCAGGCTTCTTCTGGAATCCAAGGTGACCGTTCCAGGTCATGTTCTGAATAGAGAGCAGGGTACCGTTGGTGATGATAACCATGTCATAGTCACCGTTGCCGATGAGCACGCGGTTCGTCGCCTCAATAACCTGGGGCAGGACCTTCTCGATAGGGTTTGCGGAAATATCTCCCTCTTGCTCGGGGCCGGCGGAGCCGCCGACAAACACGCTTTCGTCGGAGCACTCGGACCAGGTGATGTTGGGGGCGTGGAGGGCTTTCTTCACGTCCGCGCGATCGAAGTAGATGTCTGCGCCCGCGGGCTGGTATCCGAGGGAGCCGGGGAATGCTAGTACGTCCCATAGGAGGGGGCACATTGTTGTAATCTCGTACAGGTCGAAGCATGGGTTGACGCTGAAGGCTTCTTCGTAGATCAGGTCGAAGAGATCGCAGTCGGAGTCTGTGGTGTAGTTGAAGATCTTGGTCGGCTGGTGCTCGGGTGGGGGGAAGGTCAGATACTTTTCGATGTAATCGGCGTATCCACACTGCTTGTGCAGTTTGTCGAGCTCGGCCATGAAGGTGTCGTTGAAACCGAATAGGTTTGCGTTGTTCTGGACGAGAGGGACGGACGGAGCTTCCTGTTGGACCCAATCGAATTGACCGATGCAGGGATCGTAGGCCAAGGCACCTAGGTCAAGTCAGATTTTCTCAATGCATCTATAAATTTCGAAGTTTCATTTACCATGGAGGTCAAAGTATTCCTTGTTCTGCTCGTCGAGGATTGCGGCCGAAATGTACGGCACGTATCGCCCAGCGTAGCTCTCGCCGGTGACATAGATCTTGAAGTTCTTGATTCCAAAGATTTCCTGGAAGTTCTTGAAGAACTTGACAAAGTCTTGGGCAATTTCTTCCTCGGATTTGGCGGTCGGTGTGCCAGTAGAGTAGCCAGTTCCGACTGGTTGATCAACCCTGGAAGGCCAGGGTCAGTACGATGAACGGTATTTTCGATAATTCTTAATTGAGGAGAAGTTCAAGTGCTTACCACAACATGTTGGTCAAGTTGACCCAAGAGTAGGGGTTCTCAACAGGAGCATAGGTACCAGGTGGCCAGATGAAACGACCATTCTCCTGCAAAAAGCCTTCCATGGAACTGCAGCCAGGACCGCCATTAAGCCAGATCGTAACCTCATCAACAGGTTCACCGATAGTGGGCTGGAAAATGAAAAACAAGGCGCGGTCAGGATCATCCTTCTCAATTGGCACCAAGCCTGCATACATCTCGCCAACGTCAAAGTTGACTTCAGGCAAACTATCAACCTGGTAGGCTAAATCATCGTCAACTTCATGAACAAAAAAAAATTAGTTTACGCATCCTCGCTCACCCTTAGACTTGCTGGTCAAGAAGCGAAAGCTTTTAGTGGCTCGGATAACATGCTCCTTGGTCATCTCGACAGCCCTTTTGGCCTTTGCCATTGGAATTCGAGACAGCTCTGCAAAACGGCCATGTTCAGAGGCAGCAACGGTATCTGCACCTAATGAAAGGGCTACAATAGCCGACGTCAGGAGCGGTTTGATCTGCATCCTGGCTGAGAACTACGAGTAATTGTAGTAAATTTTAACAGCTGCACGGTTGAAACCAGGCTCAAGTGGAGCGAAAGTGTCGCGTTAAATAGTTTGAGGGCAGCTCAGCGACTCAATCTGCCCGGCACCCCGGGAACGGGCACACTGGGTCCATAGATAATCAAGCAGTGCGGCTTGCTGTCTCCACAACAGTCCCCCGCCTCTCTCCTGGACAGGGAAAGGCTCCTGCAGATCTCCCGGCTTCACTTTGATCAGCGTTCCTTCAATTTTCTTCTTAGTGTTTTTGCTACTAATCACTCAAGTCTCCTTATTTGAGAAAGGTTTCTCAGATTCAGCTTTCTCTGACATGTGTCAAAATTATGATCAAGGGCTTTCTTTTTCTTTTGTTGAATTGAATTCATCATCTATGGCTGCTCAGGCACAAAGCTTGCACAAATGCTGCAGAAATTAGGGCTTTTCGGGACAGCGACGGGATTCCGGACAGATCGATACTCATTGGCTCAATAATGAAGCGCATTCGACGGTGAGATCAGTGGTGATCTTCGATTGGCTTGGGTTATCTCATTTTCCTGTGCACTGACATCAGCTAATAGCTCTGCTGCACTAGAATCTCCGTACCCCGCTCCAGGTAGGTCAGTGGGTGGCGGTGGCGTGAAGAAATTCCAAGCTTCTCTTGTAGGTACGGGATAGCTATAATCTAAGCGAGGCATTTGTAGATAAGTGCAATGGTATGATAGTTGTTGGGCTTTCGGGGTTTAGGTCAAAAGGGGTATGTTATGGAAGCCCCTTGTAATCTTGACCCGCATCTGTTTTGGAACGCGGGGAGAGAGAAACCTTGGAAGATGCAGATGTAACGATGGTACCTGAACCTTAGGTTGCACGAACAGGCTCCAAGTTGAATCTGATTTAACGGTCGAATCGTAAGCCTTGTAAGCTTTGGCTTATCGGACGGGGGACAGGGGACGGGATACGGTCGCAGTGGCTGAATGTGAGATGATTGTCACGCCTTCGGTTACTGAGATAAGAACAATATCTTATCGGAGCCTCATCATTGATGCACCGGCGTAGACCGACGGGCGTGAACCTGACAAATAGATTGCACAACCAAGGCAAAGTTGCTGCCTTGATTCTGTTGGGGACAAGAATTGACATTATAATTGAGGGCTATTTTCATGTAAGTCGATTCCAAGAGCGGGCGAACACTAATAGTCAAGGTCTTTCTTTCTGTCTTTATCCTCTAATCTCGCCCGCCAATGGGTATCAAAACACCTGGATGGACCTGTGGACGACTGCATGTAGGCAGGGTGTCGTCTAGTCAGAATCGGGGCATCGGGTCCGAACCGTCAGGCGGATGGAGATCGGACAAAAAAACAAAAAGATGGACTCGCGGGGAATCGAACCCCGGACCACTCCCATGCTAAGGGAGTATTATACCACTAAACCACAAGCCCATTTGATGTAGAGATGGCGGAATTGATGCGCTATAAGCGAAAACTTAGAACTGATCTAATTCTCGCTGAGATGTAGTGAAGCGAGCGAAAGCGAGCGAAACCTCCACTGGCACTCACAGCTTATATTCAAGTTATTTTTTGTTTCTGAATATCAGCACTTGAGTGCGGACCTTTTTCATTCCGAAAAAAATTGAATCTACATAATCACAAAGCCCAATAATGACGGTGCCACAAGAAATTTGTTGTAAATCATGCTTTACAGCTTCGAATATATATCTGTACATGCACTCACGACCTTGATACAAGTGCTGCGTCTGTCGGCACATCCCAACATTTGAACATTGATTGAATGGAGGTGATATTGATCGATGTGCATGTCAACTGATCAATGGAGGCTCATACGCACGCGATTCCCCCCGTGTGTAGACTTTGTTTACTGCATATGGTCCCTTCTCAAGTCCCTTCTCAAGTCTATTCTCAACATTTGAAGTCTACATATTTCTCAAGTCTATTCTAAAAGTGACCCGTATTTAGGTCAAATCCTTTACATAAGATATTCCTGTATATACGGGCGGAAAACAGGGCGGTGAAATCAGAAATTGAAACATTTGAATTAGGATGTGACCCTTGGGTGGCCTCTATCGGCCGCCATAGTCTGACAACACGCGCTGCACTGTAGCTACATGTGTGGGGTAGTTCAGTCTGGGGAAGTGAGAGCTTCTCTCTCCTTCAAATGTTTCCTCTTTCAATGTTCCTTCCTTTTCTCCCCACCCCCTTATTGAGAATAGTACCGCACCCTGAGTTGATCCTTCTCCACCTCATTTCCATTCGTTTCCCCCAGATCTACATTGTAGATCTGCTGCTTAACTACTAGATTATTGTTATGATGACATAATCAGCATCAACCCCGTCAACAACAGAGCCTCCTTTCCGCTGCACCCGACGTCACTTTCTTTTCGACCAAAGACGCATCGAATCTTTCCAAATAGTCAACACTATGGAAGGAGTGCCGGAAAAGCCACTGAAAAACCCCCCTAAGCAGGACAAGGCGCTACCACCCAGAACTCCCCGATTTCGTCGAAGGCAAGCGGAGAAGAAGAAGAAGAAAGAGAAGGAGGGGGACCTACTGCGTCGAGTTCTCAAAAACACTGTTGCAGCCAAAGATGCCCTTCGAGAGCAAAAAAGTATAGCCATGAGCCCCGTTTCAACGCCTAATATTCCATCATCGAGTTCGCCCAGGACCTCCCGGACAAAAACTTCCAAAAATTGGAAAAGAACTTATCATAAAGTTTGTCCCGTGGTTATTCTTGGACGCCGTCGCCGGTTGCTGACTGAGATTTTGATCTAGTTCGCCGAAGAAAAGACCCTGTTGGCCGTATTGAATTTTGCCATGAGGAAATTCTCATGGTCGATTGACCATTCTATCCTTTCCTTTCCCGATCCCAGGAACAAAGAGTTTCAGACCAAAATTCCAACTCGTATTTCCTGGCCGACATTATTTGACGAAGTAAAGCTTCGTCTAGATATAAACACTTTATCCGGACTACTGAAGAGTCTACGTCGTTACGTCAAGTATTTGTTCAGCAATGGGGTTGAATACCACCTCAACCCCGAACAAATATTCCCCTTGAAAGCAAAATCACGCGAAACAGGGCCCAAATTTTATTGGTGCTTGTTTTTGGAGAATTGGTCAAAGGCGGAGTTCCATGAAAATCTTCCTCAGAGAGACCCGGAAGAGTGGGAAAGGCGAGAAAAGAAGCAGCTCGATAAGATTGAACGCATTTTTGACGAGGCGCGACAGCTGCGTATCCAATTCACGGCGATCAGAGGATCAGTACATCAATGATGATCTCGCAGCGCTGGCGCCGGGTTTGTCAAACTATGGAGCACGAAGTTATGATCTTGTTTTCTTTGGTCCGAGCGTTTCTGTCACAGTCATTTCGGGGTTTCAAGAATTGACACCAAATACCCAGGCTAGATCCAAAGCGGGTGTGGTATTAAGCAAGCTTATCCTTCTCTAGGTCAATATGTTAATAATTATTTTCCAACCCCTCGGCTAACCTTGATCAACAGCCCAAGGGCTTTCATGATATGGTTTGAGTGATCTTTGTTTGAATTTGGCAGGGAAATGATATTAAGTGCCGAGGAAGTAATTTTTTCGTCGTAGCTCAAGGAGAAGCTACTGGAATATGCTATTGAGCACCTTCCAACCCTCGAGAAGTATCCAGCGTTTGTAAAACTCCGTTCATATCTCTTTGTGCTAGTTATATCGAATCATCAAAGCGTTCTCTGCTCCCTCCTTGCCGGCAATGTTCGCACACGTCTTCCTTGCTCAGCAGCACATCCATGCTTTTGGAGGCTGAGAGCCTCAATGTTCTCACGTCGGACTTTGATTATGTCCCAAAATTCCTGCCCAGAGAGCGACGGCTCGTCTGGGAGTGTTGCCCCCCTAAAGGTGGGCAAGGCGCGTAAGGTATTTAGTAGGTACCCCTTCCGGAATAAAAAAAATCCTCGATCTTCCCTAGCTGTAATGGCGTAGGCTTCCTCTTAGACGGGTCGGTAAGAGCAGCCATTTTGCTTTGGGTCCTCGCGGTTGAATGATATATCTCGGTCTTGAAGTCACGGCGATGTTCAAGTTGGGAGAGATAGATGAGGAAGGAGAAGTTGGGTGGGATGAAATCCACGAGAATAAGGGGATATGAGGGATTGTAAAGGTAAGAATTGATTGAAACCAAACAGATTTCTGCACACCGTTCGAACACCACTCGACCACCGTCTGCACACCTTCCGGCAGAGCCCCGGAAGCCCAATGATGTTGTGGAGTTGAATTGGATAGTCTCGGTGCCTTTCTCGACTCTTCGTGGTCTTCACGGTCCTCATTATCTTCATCATCCATTTCTCATTTTGTAGCGAGTACAGTTGGCGGGGGTAGTGGGAAGTCGATACCTGCTAGTGGAGAGAAATCCAAATAATCCCCGAAGTAAAGATCACGTAAAGTTTTGAGTTGGTCCATAATAGCTGTTGTGAGCTGGCATACTAGGACTGGCTAAGGCTGCGAACCCTTGTCGTAATGTTGCCATTGAAGAACCATGCCATGATTCTGGCTGAAAAAGAGCATATTGCCGAAGAGTGTATCGAGAGTTGAGGATATATGGCTTTAAGAAAATAGGCTGGAATAGTCCGTATGCAGAGCCTTCAAGGATGATGCTTTTTGGATCAGATGGTCTCTGTATGACTTCATGATTGGGATCCTACGGATAGGGGTGGTATCATTTTGCAGAGCAAATGTTCGGGTCTCCAAGTCTTGTCGCTCAAAATCGATAAAGCATTGGAGATCGATAGGGACGAATCAAAAGGGGGTTAATCTAAACACAGGTCACTCTCATGCCAACACAGATCATATGATGCACTAAGCCTAATCGGGACATATTGATGCCTCTTTATGCCTGAATCTGCCTCGGGCAGCAACAGATCTAGACCACTTTCTATCACCGCTTTTAAAGATCTCACCTCCTTCTAACAGTTAATACCTACTAGTAGATTTTCAAGCTACATGATCAAAAAATCGGCATTGAAAAATATATATATAGATCCCAAGTAAAGAAACCAGGCGGAATTTCTAGCCATTTAATCCCTTCTCAAGTCCCTTCTCAAGTCCAATCTCAAATTCATTCTCAAGTTCATTCTCAAGTTCATTCTCAAGTCCATGATGTGCAACACAAGGAAGGGTTTCTCGGTGGTTGAGCCCATGATGTACCGATTGTAGGACTCATTGTACCCGGCGAACGTGACGTAGAGTTCGTCCCGGTCCTGGCTGACCAGCAGGAGGCTGATAATTCGGATATCCTGTTAGCCAAACTCAGACAAACAGAACAAAATCGTATTACTCACTGGCCATTGAAACAGGCTTCTTTCTTAGCCGAATCTATTAGATGCCACCCCGCTAGCTGGCAGGTTTCTTGGATCGCGATTCTGTCGCGCCGAGCATCCCGTCTCCGCTTCTTGGCTTCGAAGACTGCGAAAATATTCGCACGTTGAATGGAGCGTACCGCCCCATCGGTGTATGAGTCGAATTTGTTGGGTATGGGACAACTCAACTGTACCCGATTGAGCACCTAGTCAAGGTGGGTCACACCGGCCAAATGGGATAATGCTTGAAGAAATACTATCCCAGAGGCGTTTACGGTGGCCTCATCCTCGGCCTCTGGTAGCCGGGGGTTCGATTTGTACAGCCGGGATCGAGTTTGGATGGATTGGGCTGCATGTGCAGCCAACCAATCAACATCTTGTTTTCCTTTTACCAGCGGCATTTTTGGTTGGGTTGTGAACTTACATCACTGGGATCTCCAATCCGGTAGGAAGCCATTATACCGAGCACAGTGTTCAGGTTTTTGCTGACCTGCTCTTCATACATGAACTCGAATCGTTTGCTCTTCCTCACTATCAGTTTCTCGTGCTCATAGAAAGCCTCCACAAACCGAAGCTGCATGCTTCCGAATAGGGTCAAGATGAGAACCTACATGAAATCATTCTACCTTGGAGCTCTAAGAATTGCCATTAGCAAAGAAAATCTGATTCGGGATGTATACGATATACTCACGAATCATATACCTATCCTCGGCGACCTCAGATAGTGAGGCATGTAGTAGAACAAGTCGTACAATGGCAGCGACACAGCAGCTGAAAGAAACAGTTGCATAAGTCAGATATTAGTCGTAAATCCAATAACGAGAAAGCTGTCATCGAAAATGAACTTACAAGGCACCTAGCCAGAATATCATCATGACACCAACCTTCTGGCGTGTCGGCATCTGAAGGGAGAAAAGCATTGGAATCGGAAATATGAGGACAATTACATCCAGAGCAATGCTGGTTCCGGACTGGGCTAGTCCAACTGCGACTTCATCAAATCGAAAATGACCAATCCCTGTCCACGACATGCTGATCGGGTCACCTTCCAGCAGAACCAACTAGAATGGAGAATATATTAGTCCCTAAAGTCCCCAGTAGATGATATATGTATATCTTTCAAGCACCCACAAAGAAGAATAAAATACCCCAGCCGCCTACCACGGCAATTGCGACCCATGTAGCTATGGCGAACGACTTTACAGAGAAAATCCGCTTGTAAAAGAGCAAGATGGATATTTTGACCGCTGTCAAACAGGGTTGTAGGATCACGCTACAGATCAATAGACACTGCATTGATCTTTCAATTCCATTCAAGTAATTGATTTTGTACTTGTCAATGCCCGTGATGCTGGCAAATATCCAGAGGTTCAAGCTCAACCCCAGACAAACAATCTAACGTACGATTAGCAACAGTAGCACTCAAGCACGTAAAAAACTACATACCCATGCTGCAACGATCCACCAGTCGTCGGACATAAACCCCAGCCGCGATTTCCTGCGCGCTTTGAGGCGGAACAGGACAGCCACCAATGATATGATAGGAAATATCACAGAAACGACCACAAGGGCCGTGGAGATTACTGCGTTAAGTTGCATCTGATATACTTGGTCTTTAGTTGGATGGTATGGGGATGAAGCTGAATGCTCACAACTTTTAGGTGAAAGGTGGAGGAGGTGGTGAAAGACTAGTACTAGTAGCTTAAAAGTTTGGGCGGGATATGTGGGGATGACGGCGAGGCGGCTTGGGCCCTTTAGCTGACTCAAGGATCATTTGGGTAATGTTTGTGTATTCAAAGATCTTCCGAGATCTTTTTGTTTAAAAATGGTCACAGTGCGGGGGCTAGTTTCACATGTACAGTAGTCCTTGGTGCATTTGTTGATGTATTTTTAAATGATCTTCAATACGATGTCATTTTCGACGCAAACAACACACTTGTTTAGTTACATGATAGGAAAAAGCCTCATAATATGGGCAGAAAGAATGGCCCCCAATCCAGGAAACATTGCAAGACTGCGATCCGAAAATTCCGGCACTAATGTGACTGCATGAGCTGCATGAGCCGAACCTAGTGAACTTGCATCGGCGCAAAACACCGTCATAAAAATTTTGGCCCCGACTCAAAATTGAATGAACTGTCTGTGGGGCCATGCGGCGAGAACAGGCCGCCTTGCTGTACAAATAATACTAGTGAGAGCTAAGATATCAAACAGATTATACAAAGCTTGATTGACTTTCGTGTCTCATTCAGTTGTTCAAAGACTAAAGTTCAAACAGCTGCATCACCAATAGCAATGGAGCCAATTGAATCATTTTCAGTGAACACCACAGAACCTATAATGTCAGATTCCTGGGGTTTCTTCCAAGGGATACTCGACAAAGAGGTCCAATTACGGCTTTTCATACTAGTTTTTGTCGTACTGTGGCTAAAGCTTTGTCTCGGTCGCTTCACCGAGCACAATGATGGCCTTTCCACTGTCGGTCGTGCATTTGCGCTTGAGCCAAGTCTTGTGACTCGTATTCGTTTTGCATTTAAATCCCGTGAGATTTTGACCAATGCCTACCAAAAGGTTTGTGAATGCTCACGTAGGATACATGCAGAGTTCATAATCTCTAAAATTTCACTTTCTAGTATAATGGGAAACCCTATCGAATCGTCCGCGGGGACACTCATTTCGTGGTACTACCAGCCGAGTCCATTACTGAACTCAATCGATTACCTCAAAGAGTCCTCAATTCCCGCCAATGCCATGCATTCTCACTAGTCGGGCACTTGAACAGCATGGATGTGGTGCTCCACACAGACTTTCATGTCCGAGTTCTGCTTGGCACGATCACCCCATTATTGCCTCTATTTATCGGACCCGCCAGCCTACGCATGAAAGAAACTATGAAATATACTTTCCCACAAGATACCGACAAGTGGGCCACTGTGAATATGATTGACGCATCTGCTGCCGTAGCGGGTCGCGCAATTGCCCTAGCAGTTGTTGGGGCACCACTGTGCGATAATTCGGCCTTCATGAACCTGATTAACAAACACACAGAAGACGGTAGGTGAATTTCTCTCCTCACAGGCCCTGAATTTCTTATGCGTCGAACACTACAAAAAAAAGTAAGATCTAACAGGTTGTGGTCTAGTATTCCTGATTACCTTCGTGATGCGCTTCTTCCCAGAATGTTTGCAGTCAACATTAGTTTGGCTACTACCAACAAAATGGCGTTTCGGTCGAAGTCAGAAAGAAATTGAGCATCTGATCGCCACAGAAGCTGAGAGGCAGAAGTCCCAGCCCACCAATCTAGTCACAAGCGATGGCTCCCCCCTTCCCACACTTTTCACTTGCATGAAAGAGTCCAAAAAAAAAGACAAGTTGGACGCTGAGCTTTTGACTCGATTGCTAGCTGCACTGTCAGCCGGTGGGACCTATAGCGTGGCCAACTTCATTTTTGCATTCATTCTGGATATGACCGCGCATCCACATTTCCTGGAGGAACTCAGAGCTGAGATCCACCAGAAGCATGAGCAGATCAATGGCGAATGGAATTTTGAGGCATTGAATGATTTGCCAAAGATGGATTCCGCTTTCAAAGAGACTATGCGTCTGACCCCTGGAAGCCTCACAACTTACAGTCGCGTTGTCCAGCAAGACTACCAGCTATCATCTGGTCTGACTCTGCGCAAAGGCCAATTTGTTTGTGTTGATAGCAGCTCCCGAGCAGCTAATGATGATATATACTCGAATGCTCGCGAGTATGATGCCATGCGCGCGTACAATTCGGATTTAGAAGGGCACCTTGCACAGCCATTTAAGGGTGTCTACGGAACGGACTTTCGATGGGGCGCTGGTCGGTGGGCCTGTTCTGGCCGATACTTGGCCTCTATACTAATCAAGTGGATGGCCGTGAAGTTGCTAGATGAGTATGAGTTTCAGATTCCTGGTGGAAATCGACCGGAAAATTGGTCGCTGCATGAATATGTTTTTGTTCACCCTGGAACTCAAATCAAGATGCGTCGCCGGAAAGAGAGTCTTGACATTCAATGCGTCTGAACGACACAGTTGAAGAATTTTCCTTTACTCATTTTTTTTTTATCCATAATAAATAGCTTTACGAATTTATGGATACGGTAGCTAACAATCAAGCGCTCCTTTCCAACATAGAGTTATTTAGCACTATGAAAGTCTACGCAAATATTGATTTCAATGTTCAATAGTTTCAATTCTATGTGTAATACTATCAATATTGCCCAGGGGAACTATACCTATTTCTGCGAATCTAGGTACTTCTGCTGTTCCTCGGGAGATTTGGCCATAAACGCTTCATACTCCGGCATGTTGGTAATACCCTTTGGCATGCCGTTCGGCTGCAAACCCTGCTCATCCATCAAGCGATCGCGAATCTCCATAGATCGCTTCCAACTTGGACGGGACTCCATACGCTGGGTCCAGGCCTGTACATTCGGGTATGGTTCCAGCGGATCTTCACCATATGGTGTCTCTAGGGCCATATTGACGCGTAGGTTCCAAGGTAAGAAAGCAAGATCGGCAAATGTACATTTGTCACCAACAAGCCATTCCTTCCCCGCCAAGATGCCATCTAAGACACCCATGACACGGTGGATTTCCCCGCGGTAGCGAGCAATCGCCGAGGGCAGCTTTTCATGGTGTAGGTGCGTGAACCTATTTGAAGAAATCCATCACGTTAATGGTTATGTTATTGCGTTCGAGAAGCGTATACTGGAGCTAACGAACCATCCAGCTTGGCCGAAGTAAGGAGCTTGTCCGCTCATCTGAAAATGCAGGTATTGATTGAGCAGATGCTTTTCATTGAGGGTGTCGTATGTGAGCTTTTTCTCTGTATCGTAGACATCTACCAGATATTGGAGGATGGCTCCAGACTCCCAGAGGGTCAGATTCGTGTTCGGGTCAACAATTGCTGCAGATGTAAGATTAGCACAGATATAGGCTTTATGGTAAGCCGTCTAGTGAAGACGGTGGTAGGTTGACTTTACCAGGAACCCGTCCATTGGGGTTGACGTCGATAAAAGGGGGCTTTTTGACATCATCAAACTTGAAGGAATGAATCTTATATGGAACTTGAAGCTCCTCGAGCACGCAAATGACCTTCCAAGAGTTCGGACCCGGAGCTTTTCTCTCTCTGTTACTTCATCATACAAATTAAAGACATGTCAGATGATCATACTTACGTGTCAACCAAACAGTGATAGGCTCAGACATTGTTGCCGTTTGAACGAGATTCAGAGGTGAGTATCAACTGATGCGCGAGAGCGGAAAAAGAGACGTGATAGGGAATTCAGGGACAAAGAAACGACAGCCTTGGTCTAGATTCCCCTCGCTTAGATGTAACAGGGCCAGGTTTGGAATAGACCCCGCGGTGGTCCTAATCTGTGGGGCATGTATGAGCTGGCCGTATTATCCTAGGCCGGTGCCTGCGATACCCAGGGGTCACCCACGGCCTGTTGCAAGGATTGGAATTCTGGCCTAGAGTATTTGGTGTACTGGAATTAGTGTAGAGTTAGCGCGGGTGCCTCGGTAGATCAGGCGTGCCGATCTCCGATGGATTTGGGGGCGCAAAGTACGAAATTTGAGGCTAGCGGAAAATCAAGCATGTAAGCCACTCGGTTGGATCACAAACATGGTCCACTGATCGGCGGCAGTAGCAGTATTGGTGGTCCGTGCCATACAGTACAGCATAGCAGACATCCAGCGACGATCTCTCTGCTGAAGCAAACAAAGAAATTTCGCTGTAGCATACGGTATCCAGCCCCATTACCGGACCGGAGACTGCGTAATGGCCAACGGCACGGCGGGGCGGACCTTAACGCCCGATGCTTTTCTTTGTTACCAGCGAATGTTTCCCCGAAATACCGAGCCCTGTTTAGAGCGCCCACTCGCAGCCATTTGGGAATCTGGCCTCCACATGACAGGGTTCCCCTCTTTGTCCCTGACTCAAATTTCGATTTGCAAGCGGACGGAGTACACGAAGACTTAATTTTCAAGAACAGTTCAAAGGACGTTGAGCCCGGAGCCTAGCCTGGTAGCCTCGCACCTTGGGTTCACCGTTCTTGCAACAAAGAAGGGGTTTACGGGTACCCCCACATGTGTAAATTACTCTTGCTCCACAAGGAGAATACAATATTCTACGAATTGTTTTTCTTGTATCATAGAAGCCAATTCTTCATTCAAACATGACATATCAAATAAATGCTCTGACTAGAACGGACAAACCCCCTTCTCACGTCGCCGGATCTGTACTTTGTCCCATGGCCAGGGGAAGAGAAATTCATGTACCAGGTGGTTTCTTGGGCGGTCAGAGCCTTCTTTGAAACGAAAATCATACTCAGTCAATAGCTTCACCATAATCATTTTGATCACAAGGCCGGCAAAGTATCTGCCAGGACAAGCGGCTTTGCCGTAGCCAAAGTTAAGTGTTGTTTTATCAATTGATGTGAACTCATGCTCTGACCACTTCTCCTGAGATTCCTTTGCTGCTTGCATTTTTCTGTAACTGCGGAGTCCGTCGTACTCATCAGAGCTCAGAGTATGTTCCGGATCATTCTCAATTGCCATCACAGGAAGCGCAGCATATGTTCCTTTTGCAATCATCAAACCAGTCGAGAGCGTATAGTCCTGCTTGAAGAGCCGCTTCATGCCCAGGATAGTTGGCGGCGACAGTCGCTGCGATTCGCGAATCACGCTATCCAGTTTATTTAGCTGGGCATAAGCCTGCACGGGGCTACCGTCTGCCCATCCGAAATCTTTCTCAACAAATTGGATTTCTTCTCTGAGCTCATCAATATATTCGGGGTGGCTCATGAGGTCATAAATGACGTTCACAACCCGGACCAAAATAGTGTGAACCGATGCTAGGGCGAGAAGAACTTCGGCATGTGCGAGGCTATCCGGATTGCGATCACCACCCTTGGCTGCTTCAACCATCCAGGAGAGAACATTAAAGCCCTCTTCCGTTGCCTCTGGAGACCATGTGCCCTCATCATTGCGACGAATCAAGTCTTCAAGTGTAGGGCCCAAGAGCCTCTTGGCTGTTCTAAGATATCCTTGTCTTCTCCAGCAGCTGGGAAGTAGCCGACTAACAGCGGGATGAGTCCAATGAGGAAACATGCGCATTATGACAATGGTCACAAATACTGGGAGAACAGATTAGTTGCTAGAAGCAATGGCTGGATTGTTTATCTCATTGCATCAACGCACAGTTTTGGGTGTAGTTCACCGAGATATCCAGCCAAGTAGGGTTGCGGCAAAATGCAGGACCAACGAGTGCGCGCGCAGATACCCTTGCAACCACCTGACCGAGATTCAAGAAAGGCTGAAAATCTGTCCAATCATCATCAGCAGGTACGTTCTGGTGGAAAGCTCCATTGAGCTCTTCTTGGAGGATCGGTGCAAGCATCGGAAGGCGTGGCGTAAGCTTCCGCTGGACAATAGTATGATGCATTCGATGCTCGAGGATGACATCAAGGCCGGTGTATGGCCCGAGAAGATCATTCTCCAAAGCTCCATGGGGACTTGCAATCGAACTTGGCAGGGAAGACAATTCTTCTAAGGTGGACTGAGGTAGTATTATGACACTTCCCTCACCTCGAATAAGTTGAAAAGTCCCTGATTTAAACTTGAAGAACGCGGTCTTTAGTAGGTGTGATTTTGATCCATGTTAAAAATTCATCATCAAGGTACAATTACCTGTTTGTACCCATTCTGAAGCAGATTCGTTGCTTGAGCGGCAAAGAATAAATTCGAAATGCCACGGGATGCCCACCAACAACCTCCAACTAATGGATGGTTTTTATTTCTCCACGCAAGCAGTTTGGTTCTGGCAAGATCCCATGCATAGTAAATGACAAGGAAAACTGCCAGCCATTGTAATAGGGCTTGGAAGGCCTCCAAAGTCGACATATCTTGTTGTGGAATGGTCTGCGTATCCTGCTTTGGATCCAAATGGTAGAGGAATTAACACGAACCACTGTCTTCGGAGAAAACAATCCGGAGAATGAGATTCAAGGAATAAAGCTGCTCTTACTTCACATCGCCATTTCGCTATGTACCTTCCTCGTCGGGCTGGTAAACCAATTCACTTCTTCTCTTATTTACCGTCACGTTCAAAGACTGATTTTGCTTTTACCAAGGACTTCAACATGATCGCGACCGCCGTGCCTGCTATTACATCTGACTTTCATTCTCTCGGTGACGTGGGATGGTACGGAGGGGGTTTCTTCATTGCTCTGTAAGTTTCGCACGATTCCGGCAAAACGACCGCGCTTTTTCTGACCCTTTCCCAGCTGCACGACTCAACCGTTGGCTGGAAAGGCATACACACTCTTTCCTAAGAAAATCGTATACCTCAGCTCCCTAGCCTTGTTCGAGGTAGGAAGCTTGGTCGGTGCCCTGGCCCCCTCTTCACCTTGCCTTATTGCCGGTCGGGCGATCGCTGGATTTGGCGCCTCGGGTATCTTCGCAGGAGGACTGGTGATCTTGACTACTGTGATTCCTATCTACAAACGGGCCGTCTGGATAGGGACCCTGAATTCCACATTTGCTGTTGCGGCCATTGTGGGTCCCGTGGTTGGAGGAGCTCTTACCCAGCACGTCACTTGGCGATGGTGCTTTTGGATCAATTTGCCAATTGGTGGCTTCTCTGCAATTGTGGTGCTCATTTTCTTCCATGTCAAAGCGGCAGTCTCTGAGAAAATACCTCTGGTATCAAAGCTCCGAAGTTTGGATCTTGTTGGCTTTATACTGTTCGCCAGTGCGGTCGCGATGCTACTCTTAGCACTTCAACTAGGTGGAACCGCAAATTACGCCTGGAACTCCGCAAATATAATTGGACTCTTTGTTGGGGCCGGTATAGTCCTTTGTGTGTTTGTACCTTGGCAACTCTATATGAAAGACACAGCACTGCTACCACCACGGCTTTTTGCTAGCAGCCGAAATGTTAGCCTGATCTGCGTCTCCGCATTTTTTTCCAATGGTGCATTCCAATGCGTTATCTACTGGCTTCCTATCTGGTTTCAAGCCGTTCTGGGCGTTTCACCAACCTCGAGTGGCGTCCGATATTTGCCAACAGTTATCTCTGATGTGCTTACCTCTTTGATCTCGGCTGGTTTAGTCACCACGTTTGGGATTTGGAACCCTTTCCTCATTTTCGGTACCATGATGACATCGATTGGAGGGGGTCTTTTGTCGACTCTCTATCCTACTATCTCCGAGGGTCATTGGATCGGCTACCAGATCCTTGGAGGAATTGGATACTCGCTTATCGTTACAATTGTATGTGACATTGGACTTCTACCCTCAGAGTTTCTATAATATTGTTCGAATTTTTTTTACTCACTTACTTTCAGGGTCACCTCGGCACCCAGGCCTCTCTGCCAGCCGAGCTTGTTCCTTTAGGCGCAACCAGTCTCCTTTTCATGATCTCAGCAAGTTGTGCCATTTTTCTCGCCATTGGTGACGCAATCTTTGAGGCTCAGCTAAGAAAGCACCTAAATGGTGTTGTTTCCGCAACTCTTGTCGAGGAGGTTATCTCTACAGGCGCCACCCATGTGAGATCAGTCATCCCGGATGAATCACTTTCTGTTGTCATCGCCGCGTATAGCAAGGCCGTGACACAAGTATTTGTGAGTAAGATTAAGAGCGCTCCTTGTCGCATCTTTGTTGCTTTCCCCCTATGTTTTTATCAATTGAAATGGTGAAACTAATAGCTTACGTCAATAGTACCTGACTGCTGCTGCTCCTGTTATATCATTCATGTTTATTGTGTGGACCAAGTGGACATCTGTTAAGAAGCCTGAAGCGAAAGAGAAAAAAGATGCACCTGACCTTGTGTGATAAGCAAGATCATGAAAAATACTGGCTTATATTCGATATAATGACGAATAATTACAATCTTCATTCAAACATAATATCCTTGATGCTTTCTCCTTACATCTTTCCTTTTTCAATGATTATTGTTTGTTTATTGACTGTCACGCGTCACCCTTATCTTTCAGTCGCTTTCTTAAGGCAAATAGAATAGACTGACTATATATTAATCGCCGCGGCTCCTGTCCAAAAGAAGAAGGAGTCACTGGGCAATCACATTAATACATGGGATAGTTCCAAGAAAATGCCAACGTGGACACTACACAGGTTGACTTTGAAATTAATAAACGCCTGTTCCCAAATTGAAACCACGCCTTTTACTGTAATATCGATCTAAGATATATCACAGTAACGCTACACCATTTCGTGGACTTACAAATTTCCGAAGTCACTCTACGCTAGTAGCTGCAATACCAGTCCGTATTGCACTGTTCATCTGCTATCTATCATTTGGGTTATATAGGGACTAAGTCATTTTTAGTCGTATTAGTTACTCAAATACAGTATATATGCAAGATAGTCTTCCTGGCGCTACTGCGGACATTTATAAGCCTCGTGGCCAGACACTGTATTTTACATACCTGTATAAGTGGATATTAAATAGTGGAGACTCAACTCCCGCAGCCAACTTTTGAGATCTACATTCACTCGCATGCTTTTTCTCGCATACATACGTTACGTGTCTCGTTGCATGCATCAAGATTTCAACAGGCGGGGGCTTTGAAATGTGTTCATTCCCGACTACTCATTGGCCCGCAGATTCTTTGGCCCCCAGGGCTCGCTGCGGTAATTCCTTGCCTGATGATTGCATGGGTAGTAGGTGTCGCTCCTGCTCGACAACGGGTTGCTGAGAGGCTGCGTGCCTAGCTTCACCCATGCGAGTCATCTATTAATATAAAGTCTACATGTGTGCAATGCAGGCCAGGCTTTCAGATTCTACAAAGTCTGATTTATCAATTGATTACACTTTTGAGCGTGAACTCAGAAACACTCCAGCTTTGTACCAATGTCTTTGGAAAGCTGTTCCTCCTCGGAGGATCTCCTCCTTTTCTGTGGCGACTTGGGCCGAGACGGTGTTCAAGCCCTTTCTCAGTTTGGATCATTCACCCCTAGCATATACGACTCAGCATGGATGTCCATGGTTTATAAAGGCCAGGATTCGGAGCAAGAGTGGATGTTCCCTCAATGCCTCCAGTATGTCCTGTCTCTACAGCAGCCAGATGGAGCCTGGCCTGGTTTTTGTTCACCAGTGGACGGAATACTTTCCACCGGAGCATCCCTTCTCGCGTTGCTCAATCGAAGGGAGCGGACTTCCATGAAAGATGAGCAAAGCGATATCTCTCAACGAATTGAGCGTGCAATTGATAGCCTGCACAACATTCTTCGAGATTGGGATGTCGCTAAAAGTGATCAGGTTGGGTTTGAAGTGATCGTTCCCAGTATCCTTCGCCTGATTGCTCAATACGATGTTCATTTCACCTTCCCCGGACAGGAAACTTTGTCGATAATGCATGCCAAAAAAATGCAGAAATTCCACCCGCAAATTTTATATTCAGACCTCCAAACGACAATGCTTCATTCGTTGGAAGCTTTTGTGGGTGTTGTCGATTTCGATATGCTCAAGCATCACTGCACTGTGGAGAATGGAGTGATGGCCTCTCCTGCTGCTACGTCTGCATACCTGATGCAAATCAAAGAATGGGATTCTTGTGCTGAGGATTATTTAAACCGCGTGGTCAGGTTTGCAGGGGACTGTAGTGGCGGAGTTCCAGCAGCATTTCCCACGTGTAACTTCGAGTTATCTTGGGTGAGTCGATAAAGTACCACGATCCTTGATTCGGTCCAGAAGAGATGGCTAATTTGAATTATGAAACCAGACACTTTCGACACTCTTCCTTCACGTGGGGTTGCCAAATGAAGATCAAATCTCTCATCTGCACCCTCTTCAGGTCATTTTGAAAACCATTACGGCGCAGCAAAATGGCCTTATTGGCTGGGCACCGGGGATCATGCCCGATCCAGATGATACAGCAAGGGTCTTGATGACGATTAATTTCTTAGGCAGCCAGGTAGACTTTACTCCGATGGTCACAAAGTTCCGATCTCATCCGTGTTTCAAGACCTATGAGATGGAGCGAAATCCAAGTTTAAGTGCCAACTGCAACGTCCTCTTGGCTTTGGTATCGTCTGATAACCCTGGAGCCTACGTTGAAGAAATCACAGCCGTGTTAAACTATCTCCTTGGGGCATGGAAGAAAGGCAATCTATCCGACAAATGGAATTCTTCAGCCCACTATTCATGCATGATTTTGTGCTCTGCACTTGTTAGAGCTCTTCAACTCCACACAGACTCTACATTGAAGGCAACCTATTCAATCTCAATGACTCAAGGCATAGTTCTATGTCTTGTTCAAATGGTGTCCCAAACGCTATCGGAACAGGCTCAGGATGGATCTTGGGGCAGCTCCCTGGAAGTTACATCATACTGTACTCTGACGCTGGCCCAAATGATGCGCCTACCATTCAAGAATGATTTTAAAGACAACCAGCTCCAATCTGCGCTCATCAAGGGACAAGACTATATTCTGGCTCACTGGCATGACTCCATGAAGCCAGATAATTACGACTATCTTTGGATTGAAAAGGTATCATACTCAAGTCGTCTTCTGCGCAAGGTCTACGCTATCTCAGCATTGAATGCAAATATTGATTCTCTGCACTTCAACTCGGATATTCTGCAGTATTTCGCTGTGCCCGACGGTTTTAGTCGGATGAAAAGGTTGCTCCAACCTATTTCAATGTTCAAGAAGTCCCCAATGGTCTCGTGGCATTTGATCCTGCTCGAAGCTGCCCTTTGGTCCAGGTACTTGCAGGAATCAAAGCATGACATATTCCCACCCATTGAGGACCAAAGGGGAAAAGACAAGCATATCAGTTTGATTCCTGTCATATTCACGGCATGTAACCATATGGGGAATCATGTCCTATCGCCCAACACAATTTGGGAAATGATTTTCATCTCACTTTTGGTGTATCAAACCGATGAGCTGATGGAATCTTCCGTGAAGCATCTCTCCAGACCTGCACTTGAAGGTCTTCGCCAACATATCGTGTATGAATGTAATTTCACTGAAAATTCTAGAGGCGGAATCTTTGCTTCTTCTCCAAAGCAAACACCTTCCAGCCATGACTCATATCCAAGCCCAGCATCCTCGGCAGAAAGTGTGAAGTTACCACCAGCGCTCACAGAAACCGATGCTCCGAGTCTCCCACATCTATCAATGATTGAAATCATCCGCAGACTCCGTTCATTCATTAACTGGACTCTGGGGCACCCAAAAGTGGTGGAATCTTCCCAACTCATGCAGAGGGAACTTGCGAGTGAAATGTGCAGTTTTCTTTCTGGGCATATTGCGCATCTCGCAAGTAACGCCGAGCTTTCTCTCACTCATCGCACAACAAATCCGGACTACCATAGATGGGTTTCCTCGATCGGTGCAGACGATACCAGTTGCCCAATGGCTAGTCTATTCTTTGTCTGTCTCACCAGTGACTCCACCAAAACCGCATTTGAGAAATCGCCATTGGAACGTTATTTGAGCCGAAGCGTTTTCCGGCACTTGGCCATCATGTGTCGTCAGTATAACGATTACGGATCTGTCACTCGTGATATGGACGAAGAAAATCTCAATAGTCTGCATTTTCCAGAGTTTCTGTCTTTTAACTCAGCCGAGAAGACACTTGGTATCAGTGGTCATGAGCGAGTGATATATCCCTCAATACTTATGAAAGAGCAACTTCTTGCAATCGCAGAATTCGAAAGGGATCAGATGGAGCTTGCGTTTAAGCGACTTGAAGAAGCCAGTGTTGAAAACTGTGTTCTGGAATCTGTGAGGGTGTTTATCAATGTCACGGATCTCTTTGGTCTAGTGTATATACATCGAGACTATACTAATCGCGTGGAGCACCATCGATATTAGTGACGCCTGGGTCCATTCTCACATGCAAATTGCATTTCAATAGTGACCTTCAATATCAGTGTCTTTATCTTTCCAAAGAGTTATTATAATATGATTCTTCTCCTTGGGTGAGTGAAGAGGTGCCCGGATTGCCATGAAGAGGGATGAATAAAGCGGCGAGCCGCCACGTAATCCATCGTGGGCGCTGGGTGACAACCGACATAGAATAACTCATGTATGTTTTTTGATTCCTCGAGAAATCCTCTCTTGCTGCCTCACCTTCAAGCTCCTACTTACTCTGAATTCTGGTAGATAGCGGCCCAAAGGGGACTTTCCTGAAGTGGTCTTTTTTCAACTAATTCTTTGCTGAGATAACTTGAGTTTATTTCTACTATTCACCAGAAAGCTAGCCTCAATTGTTCGTGATTCGAAGCTGATTCCTCTTCCACGCCATCTCCACACCTTCGGTCCATAGGCTTTCACCACGAAAGCGCATGCGTGCATTTCCAACTCGCTTCCCTCGTGTGATCAATATTTTGCCCAAGCATAGCGTTGTCCTCGGTAGAAGACCCGGCTCTACTTCCACGAGATCAAATATATTCTTGCCTTTCTCTTTGAAGCATTCAATGCTGTAATCTATGTAAGGGCCGGCTACTCTCACCCAGCTTCTCACCCTGTCTATTTGGCACTCACCTCTGCATCACTCCGGAGGCGCGACGCTAAAGCGGCTCTTGCCAATTTTACCACTATAATTGAAGCATATAACCTACTTTAACTGCGTCTCCAGCACATACGACCATAGGGTGGGGAGAACAGGGCTTCCCGTCCGCTCAGCCGTACTTAAGCCACACGCCGGTCAGTTAGTAGTATGGTGGGTGACCACATGCGAATCCTGACTGTTGTATGTTTTTTTTTCTCCCGTCGATCTCCTATTTTTCAAAGCTCTGGCTGGCATGTTGATAGATGTCGCTGGCGAAATCAACTCCATTGAGAATTCAACCCGAGACAAGCAAGTTAACATTGACTTTTCGTACGGCGGCCTATACCCGCCACCCTACTGCCATAACCCAATTTCAACTTTCTGACCGGCAGAAAGTAAATGACGAGTAATTCCAAATTCATATTTGTTTTTGAACTCCATTATACATTGAATCCCTGTACATCCTTCTATTTTGAAACCTTGAACTCTATAATCAATCCATTCTCAAGTCCCTTTTTCAAGTCCCTTTTTCAAGTCCCTTCTCAAGTCTATTCTAAAAGTGACCCGTATTTAGATCAAGTCCCTCAAGATATTCCTGCGTGCGATAGTACAACACGGGCGGGAAATAGGGCGGTGAAATTCGAAATTAAAATTGGGTTATGGCGGTAGGGTGGCGGGTATAGGCCGCCGTACCATTTCATCCTCCATCACGATTCACGAACAATATGATTATGGTCCGGCATCAAAGCACTACAATCGTACTTATTGAACATGAAAGCACCAGAAAAGATGCATATTAATAGACCACGTGTTTGGGCGATTTCATCCGTATCTTGCCTTGAAAGTTCAAATCGTCGGCAAACATTGAAACTTGGTCGTAAATTTCATCAAAAGACACCGAGAGCGATATACGGTTCTTAACGCGTGAAGCCCGAAACATGTATCTAGAATCATTGATGTGTTAGACTACCCAATTTCAGCTTCCTGCAGATGTCCCCAAAAGCATGCAAATAATTTCTGCATATATCCCCAGCTCCTCCTCACTCCCATCGCCCAAGCTATCCAACATATTCCCTGCCAATTCCACGGCCATAAGACCTAACCCATCACAGATAGAAGGGTTTGCTTTCTTTTCAAGCAGCATTCTAACACCAGCGATATTTCCCGCTTCCACGGCCAAATGAAGCGCAGTTCTCCCATGGACAGCACAGCGGAGGTTTATTTTCTCTTCGTCTCCCCATATCTCCAGAAGTTCTTGGATAATATCTTGATTGACAATCATGTCGTACTCGTCACGTTCAAGGAAAGCGCCTTGGGGATCATGGGCAGTTGATGTTCGATGCATGACGCCCTTGTGAGCCCAGGCTGCGCGGTGGAGAGCGCTTAGTTGTCTGTCTTGTTCGACGATGAAATTAATTTTTATTTCTCCTAGCGAAAATTTCCCAAGGAGGTATCGAAGACGTGGTATTGAGTGTTGTGCTGAAGCAGCAATGATATGGCCTAAAACGGTTGTCGGGTTCTCTAGAGAGAGCAAGCCCGCGTTGGAGCATACCGCGTTAGGATCTGCGCCAAACGCGAGGAATGTTGAGGCGAGATTGAACGCATTATGCTGCACGGCGACAAGAAAAGGCGTCTCTACCGTGGACCCGGTGTCGCTGCTCTCGAGTTCCGGGCCATTCTCAGTGACATTCGAATGATATCCATCAATGTACAACCCGGATTCAAGCACTAGGTAGGACACCAGCTCGGAGTGATTCGTGTTGTGGCCGGCCGTGGCGAGGATATGCAATCCGCCCCAGTTCATTTCATCTACATTGAAGGGATTCCGGGCCACTGCCTTCGGATCAGCGCCGTTTATAATCAGGAGCTCTACGATGGGTTTCCGGTTCCAGCGAATTGCTTCTAGTACTGGAGTGCGGCGGTGTTCCCCAGCTGGCCGATTGATATCGCTTGGGACGTATGCCCCAGGTCGGGATGGACCTTCGTCTGGCTGAGTGCCGAATGATTCAACGAGCTGCGCGACCTCTTTGGATAGTAGACATTCAACGACCTTGTCGTGGCATTCGCTGACTGCGTAAAACAAGAGAGTCGTATCAAATTCTCCGATGCCGGATCCAAAGACCGTTTGCTTGGACCTTTTTAGACAGAGTTTCAGTGTCTCGGACAGCCTCTCCTCGTATTTGGCACCATTTCGGAGAATCATGGAGAAGGTGTCTGCAGCGTGGGCAGCAGATTTGAGGATTGAATCCATGTTGTGCGTTATTTTTGCGTGATCAAGGGCATCCATCAATAGTCCAAGGCATTCAAAGTGGTGAAAATAAGCAGCATATTCCAACGGGGGTGGTGACGAACTGGGCTCGCTGGATTTATCAAACCATACAGAGACACCGCCTGGAGCTTTGTCCAAGAGAAATTTGACGACTGATGACCGGTCATGATGGATGGCCCATGTGAGAGGCGAACCGGGAAGTTGAAAGTCGACATCTATTCCAGCATGGAAATCCGAGTATGCGACTCTTTCGCGGGTGAACGCTCTCAGTCTCGCCCCTTGCTTCATGAGGGCATCTCCGACTGTGATGATGTCGTCGTCTCCGAATGAGAGCAGCCAATGGACGCAGGTTTCGCCGTTCGTAGCAGCGATCGATGCATCTGCGCCGAGCTCAACTAATCTCAAAACAGTCGCAACCTGTCCCGATCGGCAGGCACATAGTAGCGGGGTCTCCCCATGATCATTTCGTTGGTCAATATGCATGGATGGAAATGCGTCCAGCAGGATCTCAATAGCCTGGATCCGACCTGCATACGCTGCGATGTGTAATATTTTATCACCACGCTTATTAACTTTATACTCAGAAACTTGATTGAGGCTTCCTAGATTGCGAACAAGTATGTCTGGCGCGTCGAACGTCAAAATCCATTGGTTATGATGGAACCCACCCAGCATATTTGTACTGTGGAAAAAGTTTGCTCCAACGCCAGCCATCACATCACGAAGTATCGGCTGACTCCATGCATACTGTGCAGGTGCTACTTCCTTCAGATCCATCAGAGCTGGCCTTGAGCCTCTGAGAACCATCACAGATAGATTGTCGTATACAGATGATGTTAAAGTGAAGCCCGGTTCAAGAGCTTTGTGAATGCGGTAGGCGTACGTACGCGAGGAGACATGGTCGTATTCTTTGTTTGATGCAAGATCTATTAGTCTCATAGCTGCTTCATAGTCAACTTTGGTACCGTAGCCGTTGATATAGTATGATGCCAAGACGAAGCAGTCTGGGCAATTAATCAAATTGTTTGATATCAAATTTTCGACTTTGTTGTAGAAGGAGCTGAAGACGAATGATTGGACTGCTGGTTCCAGCTGGCGCATCTGTTCCCAAGAAAGAATATGATGCTATTGGTTTGTTTTTTCTTCAAGTTAGACACTGTTCATTTTGAAATGCAAACAATAACTTACATCATAGCTCAAGTGGAGAAGGGTATCGACTGTTTTGGGGGTCGGTCTGCCATCGAAATTTATTAGCAAGAGACCCAGTTTATCTTGAGTCCAACATACTCATCAGTCTGGCTATCGTTTTCAAGTGCTGCAATGGCCTGGAGTAAGTCCCTTTTGGAGGGATCGACACTCAGGCATTTTTCCAGGACAGACGGGAGCCGTGTGTAAAAGGGATCTCGCTCAGCCAAGCTGAGCGAGGACAAATCGACTGATAGTTCTGGTTGCGGATCTTTGGACTTTTTAGACAAATATCGCATGAACCACTTGTCCAGCGATGTGTTTTTGAGAGGATGATCGTCTTCCTTCATTTTTTCCAGCTCCTGCAAATATAGATCTCCTTGTAAGCTCGGGCTTATCGGAGCCCAGAAGCGGAATGGATCATGACCATCACTCGCGAGACGCCATAGAAGCAGACCGTATGAGTATATATCTGTGGCGGGCAGGAAATGTTTTGCCACTGGGTATCTGGCCTCGGGGGCTTTCCAGGGCCTCGTGCCCCCAACGTATACCTTAGCGTCTGCTGCTTCTTTGACCAGCGAAAACCCAAAGTCCGATAGCTTTGCAATATATTTTCTCTCTGGGTGATTGAAAATCAAGATATTTTCCGACTTGACGTCCCCGTGTATAATCCCGCATTGATGAAGCATTTGAAGACCATGACCGATGTCTAGCCCAAGCTGATGTCTAGTGGAGGGCATCAGGTCATGTCTGTGTTGTAAATCTGCTAGACTCCCGTGATCCGCAAATTCCACCACTAGGACTGGCAATCGATGCGACGAGTCAAAATAGTTAGAGCCCCAGGCGAGACCCAACAAATCGATGATGTTGGGATGCTGTCGGAGAGGCTCGTGCATCAAAGCATACAATTCCATTAATGCGGCTTTCATGGCATGTCTTGTCGGAGGTGTTGGTGTTCCAGTTTCAGTAAAGGCAACGCGAGCAACCTTATAAACGACATGCTTTGGAGGGCTTTTTTGAGACCTAGGAACGGTCATGGTCCAGCCGCCCATGTCGAACGTTTGGGATATTTGAGGGGCCGCTGGAATAGCTCTTTTGAATACTGTGAAGGAAGCGCCATGGCCGACAATGATTGACTGATCCACTGCTAGCGGCTCAAGATACAAAGAAGGAACTGCAGATGAACCACGAAAATTAGTTGGATTGTGAATACTAACAAAGTCGAACACGTGGGGAACGAAAACTGGGTCGGATTTTGAATTCGAAATGGTTTCTTCGGCGGAACTGGGCTTGCTTTCTTCATGTGAGAAAGGGAAAGCAGATGTGACTGCTCGTCCTGAGATGGAAGGGGAAGCCATTCTTCACGTGTGCAAGAAAAAGGTGATGTGCAGCGTTGTCAGATTTGGAGCTGAGCTGAAGATATTCCTTGGAATACGAGGCACGTGAGAAATAGTGGGATGTCTATTGAACACCTCACTAACCATATTTGGTACTTTGTTTTATTCGTAATTCATTTTGAAATTTTCATAATTACCAATTTCTATCTTATGAATCTAAGCAAAATTTGCGAATAACAAGAAGCGAACTTTGAAAGCCTAGAAGTCAAGCATATTCCGTGTGGAATTTCAGATTCCTACAGTAAGTCGCCTACAAAAGTGTTGGACGCTTTTATATGACATCTGGGTATTTTGAAACCACTAAGACTTAAAATACCAAGCTAGGCCTAATTAGAATAATACCATTGCAGTGACACCCTGCGGGGTTCAATTAAAAGTCACGAAAAATGAGGCTGGGCACTGGAGAATCTCTCTAACCCCGCACAACGTGGCATCCTTCCAATATCAATATTCCGTTCAACTTTTTTGGGGTATTTCAATTCAGAATCAGATGTTAAACCCTCCCACAGTTGCTTCGTCGCAATGGACCCCATATCAGCTGCGGGGATAGCCCTCGCAGTGCCGTCGTTAGCCTTCCAGGTGTTTGCCGGCTGTGTGCAGGGCTTTTTGACCCTATCAACAGCACAGAATTTTGGCAAAGATGCCAATTTTCTTCTAACCATGCTCAATGTGGAGGAATATCGGTTTTTACAGTGGGCAGATACTGTCGGCTTGACTGGAACCGATGGAAACATATTACATCGAATCAACCAAGCTCTCGCAGAAGAGTTGATGGTTCAGTTGAAAGACAGACTCGACACATCCAAGTTGAAACAGCGATACTCGCTCGACCTCCAGCCTACTCATGGCAGATCAATTAAAGGGATAGATGCAAGTCCTGGAGACAATGCCAAGGTTCCGGGTGCTTTAGCCGATGCAGTGTCTCATCAACGCCGGGCGGAGATTCTTGCGCGGGCAAATTTGATTCATAGCCAAGCCTCATTTCCAAAGAGAATGTGGTGGGCGACGGTTGATAAGCCCAAGTTTCAAGATCTTGTCCTCGATGTCAGACAGATTGTGGATACTCTCTGGAAGCTGCTCGAGCCGATCCGTCTTAGAGAGCTCTCTCAGCAGGTTGGAAAAACACTGACAGCGATTGTTGACATGAGTCACGACCTCGAGGCTTTGAAAGGCCTTCAAGCTAGTTTCAGCAGAACGACAATCAGATTCCCAGGGGATGAGATTCTCGCGACGGCAGTTGGGTTGAAAGTGGCACGGGAGCAACTTCCGGGGGAAAGCAGCATCAGCAGTGAGATAGGCTCAATTGAATCTCTCCAGCCTCTCAGTCGAAAATTGCTCCAATATACCCCGCGCAAGCGCGGGGCAACAGGCACTTTCATAGCAACATACGATGGGAAACCCGTGCTCTGCGAATCAAAAGTCGTCAATGGACGGCTGAAATCAAAACTGAGATTGCGATCTGAGAATCTTGCAAAACTTTTATCCTTACCCAAGAGCCCATCGTTCATGACACTCAAATGTCTTGGTTTCCTGGAAGATATGGATGAGATTATTTTCTTGTATAGTTATCCACCTACATCAGACCTTACCTTTCCACCGCGATCTCTTCAAGAGTTACTCCGCGACTCGAAGATGAAGCCCCCTAGTCTCACAGCCAGATTGAAACTGGCTTTAGATATCTGCAGTACACTCTTGACTGTCCACACGTCAGGCTGGTTGCATAAAAATATTCGCTCGGAGAATATTCTCTTCTTCACACCGAATGAGGCATCCGGCACCTCTACGTTTGGCACTCGACCATACTTGACTGGGTTCACATTTGCACGTGCCGACTCCCCGGTTGAGATCAGTGACCAGGCGTCTGAAGATCCTCTCGCAGATATCTATCGACATCCACAGGCTCTCGGGGAACCATCCGCTTCATATGCCATGTACATGGATCACTACTCGCTTGGAGCTGTGCTTACCGAAATTGCGGAGTGGCGACCACTCAAGCATATCATCAAAAGCTATATTGATGTCACGAATTGTGATGTTGATATCCCGCTTTCTGCATTGGCGGGAACTCCGAGTTGGCTAACGCAACAGTTGGCCGACCGCGGGAAGATTGAGTTTCGTATGGGAGACATTTATGGGGCTGGCGTTTCGCGGTTACTGAGATTGGGGTCCATGGAGATTGATAGTCGTTCGTCTACAGTCGATCTACTTTCTTTTCAGCGGTTTGTACAGGAACTAGGTCTCTGCTGCATTTGATCCTTCAAAAGAAGTAAGTAAACCGGAGAAAAGGTACTATAGAAATAAAAATACTGGGTATATGAGACCGCATAAAAGAATATCAGGCCCCTATATCCACTTGGAAGTGGTCAGACTTGTATTCCTCACGGGCCACGGCTGTGTGCATTTTATCTAGCGAATCAAATTCTCGCATGTGCGAGTCACCTGGAAAGACTTCGAATGCTATTCGAGACGCGTGTTTTTTTCTTTGGCTAAGAGAAGAAATACTAGAATGTTATTAGAGCCTCCTTGAGATTTTGGCGACATTAGTAAGATAATTTGTCACATATTCTTCTGAAAATTGGATCAAGATGGTCGTTTTTGCTGAGTTTGTTCGGGGAACCTCAATTGTCAAAAAACATTTGAACCTTTCACCCCCTATATAGTACTATGCTTCTTCAATTACACGTCCCTCTGGACTCATCCCCTTCACCGATTATCCGCTCCATAATTTGTGATAAATATCTCACATCCTCACGAGTCACGACTAGTAGCCTCTTATCGCACGCTGCACACTGCACACATACTAGCCGGATAAACGCGGTCCCGATTCCGAGCAGCGGCTCTGCTAAGCCGCTCAGGCCTTTCTCGCCAGGCTCCAGTCGGGCTCTAATATTAAATTTCAGTTTGCCAGCTCTTTTTTGAATCCTCTTCTTATAAAGGAACGCCTGGACGAGCTCAATTCTGTTTTCAAGTACGAGGTCCTGAATCCTTAAGAAACCATGGACAGCTATTTATCTATTCCGATCATCAATGAATTCATTACACGAGTATCCGTCGACGACCAGTCTAACTACGAGAATAATGTGAAAGCGATGTTGTCTGGCGTTCTCTCCCATGAGTTCCCTCTCTCAATGGGCTATGTTTTAGTCCCTGGACAGAACCGCAATGCCAGCTACCCAGGCTTTACAGGGTATCACAAACCTTGGAAGATCCAGCGTCACGTTCCAGGGGATCGTGAATTTGTTGACCACTTGTTAGTCGAGGTAATGGGCCCCGATGAACTTCTGGCAGACACCACCGATCAGCTTCTCACGGCTCTTGAGAGTGCCAATACACAGCATGGCCGATGCTGGGCAATTATCGCCATCGGCCCCACAATTGAATTTTATGAATACCATGGCTCCCTCCCCGTTAACCATCAACTCATACCTTGGTACCCACCAGGTCGATCTACGAACAACTTCAACATAAGCATCGAGTCAGTCGTGCTTCAATCGATCTTCGATCATATGCGACGAAATAATGAGCCCGCAGCACGGTAACTCCCGTGCTATGCCCTTGCTTCCATCTTTTGTGGCCGTGAGAATCTAGTATGAATGTCTCATTTCCAATGTTTCTTGCCGCTCATCTTATTATCTTGTTCCTACTAGTATGTTTTGGGCTTCTTTTCCCACTCCTGTGTTCAAGCTTGGAAGGTTTCCATTTTTGTTGACTCCCAAGCCCCAAAGCTGGCATTATTGGCTTATCACCTGTCTCTGTGACTTACTTTTATTTTATTTTCTGGATATTAAATTCAAAAAATCCACTCTAACATTTGAAGCAATTGCGATCGCAAAGTTACCTTGGAAGAGATCATGTATTACGGAGAGCAACCTTACAAGGTTTTGGATCTCTGCCGCATGTCCTGCAGCCTGCTCCCTTCTGAATGAAATATACTCGGTCATCGAACATCGTCTTCAACCCACTATCAATTTCAAAATATTGAAGGTTGGAAAAATTGCCCATTGAGAGGTTTACAGTAAAGCGAGGTCACAAATCGATCTATGCGTACGTAACGTGCGGTAATTGACCAAAAATACAACGAAATACAAAACAAATTACTATGGGGGCAGTCAACGTATGCGTAACGCGCGGTAATTTAGAAGAAACGCAAAACGCAAAACGCAAAACGGGAAATGGGAAACGGGAAACGGGAAACGGAAAACAGCGGCCACATGCTTATGCCAGTAATGCCCGCGTGCGGGCGACCCACCTGAACACGCCCGCTGACCAATGACCGCTCGCATTGGAAATTTTTCTAACCTTCAACAAGTGGTCTAGAAGACCCTCTCGAACCCCTCAGAACCAATGAGACCGCGCATGCACTTTCAAGTCTTCTTGCCTTTCATGACTCCAACTTTTTTGATTGTTAATTGCACCCCTCCCGCAAACAAAAGAAGCCCCAGTTTCGTCTTGTCTCATATTCAAGACTCAAGATCACGGGCCAAGAACAAAAAAAAAAGCCACTTCACCAAAAATTTGCCCACTTGCGCTAAGTGAGAAAGACCGGAAGATTTTACCGGCAAATTTTCGCACGTAGAATGTCCACCGAGGCCGGGCCTGCCAGCACATCAGCTGTCGACCATGAACCCGGCCTCATTTCGCAATCACCGGATTCTGTCATCGCATCCAACGAAGAGGTTCCCACTTTCTTGGCAGATCAGGAGAAATCCATGACCCATGTAGTGGACTCTGAGAAGCAGGTCCATTTGGACTCAGCTGGTCAGCTGGCGGAGCATGAACCCGCTCAAGATGATACGTTCCATCGAAGTCGAACGGCATCCACAGTGGTCTCCTCGCACCAATCTGTCCATAGAGACCCCATGAGCCGGGTAACGACAGATGCAGAGGGAAATGTTTATCCCGAGGGTGGGAAAGAGGCATGGCTGGTGGTGTTTGGAAGTTTCCTTGGCTTGTTTGGTTCACTTGGACTGGTCAACACCATTGGTACTTTCCAAGCATATATCGAGGAGCACCAGTTGAAAGACTATAGCTCCGGTGACATTGGCTGGATTTTCGGCATGTTCGCCTTCTTGACTTTCTTCTGCGGTGTTCAAATTGGCCCGATCTTCGATGCTCGTGGCCCGCGGTTCCTCGTCCTCGCCGGTTCCATCTGCGAGATGGCTTTCGTCATTCTCCTTGGATTCTGTACCAAGTACTGGCATTTTATGCTGGTCATCGGCGTGCTGGGTGGCGTGGGAGCGTCGCTCATTTTCACCCCGGCCATCTCTGCCGTCGGACATTTCTTCTACGAGAAGCGTGGTGTCGCGACGGGCCTTGCTGCCACCGGTGGCTCGGTTGGAGGTATAGTTTTTCCACTCATTCTTGAAGCCCTGTTTCCCAAGATCGGATGGGCCTGGGCAACCCGTGTAGTTGCCCTGATCTGTCTCATTGTGCTGTCTGCAGCAAACCTCCTTATCAAGTCTCGACTTCCACAGAAGCCATTCTCCAAGGAGAATATTCTACCCGACTTTCGCATTTTCAGTGATCCTCGATTTGCATTGACTACAGCGAGCGTCTTCTTTATAGAATGGGGTCTTTTCATTCCCATCAGCTATATCTCATCCTATGCACTTGACCAAGGCTTCTCCGACAAATTCTCCTACCAGATCCTGGCCATTCTGAACGTCGGCTCATTCTTTGGACGATGGTTGCCCGGTTTCTTTGCTGACTTCTTGGGACGTTTCAACACCCTCATTGTTACCGTGGCTCTTTGCTTACTCTGCAATGCATGCCTTTGGCTACCCGCGGGAAACAGCCTGGCTTTACTCGTGATCTATGCACTACTTTTTGGATTCGCCAGTGGTAGCAACATCAGCTTGACACCTGTTTGCGTCGGTCAGCTTTGCAAGACTGAGAACTACGGCCGGTATTACGCTACCGCTTACACAATTGTGAGCTTTGGGTGAGTCCTTTTCTCCGTGCATCAATGCTGCTGAGTCCCATTGTGACGTAATGTACACTTCGAACTGACATCTTTTGCCACTAGTACCTTGACCGGTATGCCCATCGCTGGTGAGATTCTGGCCCGTTGCAATGGGCAGTATTGGGGTGTTATTGTGTTTACTACTGCCTGTTACGCAGCCGGATTGATCTGCTGCACAGCTGTCAAGGTTATTCACGTCGGATGGCGTAAGCCATTGGCAATCTACTAGAACCCTGAGTTCAGAACTTTGACCCCGATTCTCTCACGACCCCCATCAGCATGATTGATGACCACAAACAAAAGCATCCGAAAGTTTCTCTTATTTTGATGACATTGGCAGGTTGGGCGTCAAGCATATAATCTTAATTGATTGATGTCTTTGCTCTGCTACATATACATAGCGCCTACATGACAAGACGTTTGCATTGATTACTATACACGGTACATAATGATCGATTGGTCCTGTTAATAAAGATCTCTGTTCTTACATTCTCCTGAGCTCATTAATTCTACTTCAAGAAAATTACCTTAATCCATGACAAATTATTAGTCCAGTTTGATTTAGCCACGATTCTGACGATCGAACTATCTTACTCAACGCACGATGACGGCTAGAAATTTCATCTCAATGTACCAAAAGAAAGGGCCTGCCAATGATTAAGTAGTCTCCGGGGCTCATCACAGCATCTGAACCAGGTGAAAGGAGACTCTCACAGAGATTGGATCTGATCAGAGTGCAAAATTCCGCGCGTATCTTTTCCGACATAACCTCAGGCACGATAACATCCCAGTTATGTAACTAAATGGTCACGATGATGATAGGGAAGATCCACCACCCAAACAAATCAACCTTGGGAGTATTTCCAATAGGGTGTCCACCACCCAACGGAACCACAGATGTATGAGGCTGGTCAAACCCAAACCTAAATAAGACACCTTCAATGCAATCGAGGCGCCGAGTCCCGAAATGGATTCTCAATGACATCGAGCGTTCATCACTCTTTCGGTGAACCTTCAGCGCGACTACATCTTTCTTCTCTTTCCCTCCTTCCGTTTTCTTTCTCAACGCGTCGTTTCACTGCTTGGTAGACACGATTGCTCTCAAGTAACCGAATCTCCTCTTGAATCCCCAACCCCAAATACACCCGTGATTCGACCTGCGTCCCTTCAGCAATCGGCGTTTGCTTTCATTCGCCTCCCCGCTCCCTCTTGGGCTCCTTGCCATCAAGTATCTATCGTGGACCTACGTGCTTTTTGTGTCAACATCGCCCAATCACAAGCGCCACTCAGCGAGATCTCCAAGCCACGACTAAGAGAGGCCCGGCGTTCCCAGTTCTTGCGTCCGGCTCCGGGTCCGCACCCGAATACACCCCAACTCCCAAGTCAATCAACCATACCTAATCCTCCGGATAATGTATGCGAAATACTGCTTAAGCCTGCTGGCCGCATCGTGGCTAGTTCTGGGAAGTTTGCCCGTTGGCGCAGACCAGATCTTTGCCGTCCGTGACACTTGCTGCGGCTCATCCTCCGACGACACTCCTCCTGCTCCTGCGCCCGTCAACTCTCCATCTAGCGCTCCTGCACCCTCGAGCCCGGGCATCTGCCCCCTTGCCAGCGCGCTATGTGCTGCGTGCCCTGTCTCCACTACAACGTTGACCATCATCAGCTGTCCCAGCGCAAGTGCGGGCCCAAGTCCAGAGAGATCCAGCAGTGCCCCTGCTAGCCCTGCGAGCAGCAGTCGGAGTGCTGCGCCGTCGTTCTCAAATAGAACTACTACTGCTTCTGCGCCAAGCTCGGTGCCTCTGATTCGAAGCTCGACTCCCTTGGTGCACAGTACCAGCGCGGCTGTCGCAGGCAGTGGCCCGCCGGCACTGCCGACTTCGTCGGCTGCTGCTGGTGCCGGTGCATCTGGAGCTGGATCTGGGGCTGGCAGTGCGGTTACTCCACGGGCTGTGCTTCTGCCTGCTGTGGTGCGGCGGCAGTTGATGGGGGTCGGGGTGATGAATGTGACTGCGCCGTTTGCTAACACCAGTACTCTGACGAATACGACTATTCATAATGCCACGAGCTTTTTGACGAGTTCAACTGCAACTGAGGCGACTGGGTTCCGATTCCATATTAGGAATAGGTTGTAATGAAGTGGAGGGGGGTTTTTTGCTGTTGGGTATTGAAATCTATGGGGGTTAATTGATTATTGGGGTAATCTGATTCATATGGATGGGATATTTATTTTGGTTGGGTTTGTTGTATGTAATGTATGTAATGGTATAAAGTTGCTGGAACACATGTGCATTTTTGAGTGGAGGATGCATGATATCTATAGAGAGAAAAGAACTGATTAGATAAAATGTCAGTCTTCTTAGTAGGTATTAGAAAGCATTTCGCAGACTGGTATAGAAGTATGTCATAACCCGTGGACCTTCCAAAGTTGGAAGTGCTGACAAGAGGCCTGAAATCTCAGGCGCAATATCAGCGGGCAATTTTGAATTGGGCATGTGGTGAAATAGGTCATGATCCTTGAAGATTTCAACATCTGAAACTAAGACTCTTGTCGCGGTTTACCCCACCAAGTTGATAACACAAATGCTGATCTTATGGCCCGATGGCCTGGATGATAGCGTTGTCCGTTATGCAGCTTATCTTGACGAGACCGTTTATGGGTCCCCGACCACATGCGGTTTCCCAGCTGTTCAGTACCCGTGCAGACATTCTCTGGATGACTCTCAGATGCGATGTGGCTTATCAATACGTTGGTCGCGGTCGGTGCCCAGTGCTTAGGCCGTCTGTAGTATATACAGAGCTACCTATTAACTTGTTGCAGGGAGATATTTGGCTTTGCCACATTCCTGCAACTATGGCGACCCCTCAGTTGGAACAGGCGAAGTGATGGAGCCCTGGAATGGTCCCCGCCCTCTTCTCCGTCTTGTTCAAATTCGAGAGACAAATGATTCTTGCGGTGAACAGACATGTCGGATCTCCGGGCTCGCTAGTCACACGGCCACATCTTAGTGATCAGGCACCGCTGAACGTTAAACCCCAAGGGCAATTTCCACCGGGACTACGACCAATGAGAGGTGGTTTAATTTGTAATGTTGGTATTTCCTCTGTTTTTCTCTGTTTTCCTCTTCATTTTTTTTTCTTTTTGCCAGAGAAAAAAAAAAGAGCGACAAGACTGGTTGACGCAGAAACATGCCCGAGACAACCAATCCCAAAGAGAAGAAGACTGGAAAGAGAAAAGCATCCACTTTTCTGAGTGGGCGAGACTTAAGGTTCGGACTGGATCCATCCACTCGGCAAGATCAATCACCCACGGTTTTTTTTTCCCTTTTTTTACGCACTTGCTTCTAATGCTCCGAAGTTTGGAACTTACTTATCAAGTGGGGAATGAAAGAGCTTCCCAAGGAAAGACGACTATTGAGAACTTAAACGAACAGCGAAAAGCCGCCAAACTGGAGAAAAAGCATAGGATCGACCAGCCCTGAGGGCGATCATCACGCCTTTGAGCCCGAGTTCATTCGATAACCCGCTTTTAATCATATTCAACGGGGCGGACTAAAGGAGATGAAACGAGGCTTCTCTTTTCTGAGGCTTTCTCTCTGATCTTATACCCTATAAATCGTGGGATCTTGTCCGTGCGTGGGAAGTCTCGTTTAATTTGTGATATGGGATTTTAACGAACTATCGAACTAGTGAGCTAGTGAACCATTTATGTGTGCGTTGTGTACACACTCGGAACGAGGGAATTAAAACCAATTAAAAATTTTTAAAAGAGGGAATAAATGTTTACACTACTAGTATGATTGCTATCATGATTTCTACTGAGTAAATGATTGCTATAGCCCCTTTTGAAATGTTTTTGCCCTTTTCCCAAGCTACTCCCCTCTCACGTCGCTTTAACTTGATGCATTCTTTCCCCAGCATTTCTCGCCTCTTTCTCCCATTCGTCTTAACGATTTAATTTCTTTAACAAAAATAATTCTCCCTTATACTCTTAATCCCCAATCTTATATATTTTTCAAAATATATCTCCTTTGCAGAAAGAAGAACGAAAGAGAGAAAGAAGAAAAGGAAAAAAGAAAAAGCGCTTACATAACCCCCCTTACCCGTTCTCCCCCTCCCGACCTTTCAACCTTTCGACTCCAAGGTTCCCTTTCATCCCCCCGAACGACTCGGGCTCTTCCTATAATCTCTATCGGCTTCCGAATCTTTGTTGCAATCGCCCCATGTCGCCTTAACCGATCTCGTTGGAACTTGTGTGTCAGGAACTCGTCCCCGTAAGTCGCCCATCGTCCGCCCGCGTTATCGAAAGCAATTCCCCGAGAACTCCCTTTTTTTCCCCCAATGGGGCTGTACAACATGGTCAACCCCTCCCCCCATGCATCAGACTTTCTTGCAAAGATTTTCCACCCCTGTTTTCTTTCCGATGTAGAATAACCTTCTATATGTTCCCCCTTCCCAAATACCTTATTCACTGGATAAAACGCGCTTGTCGTAATCTCACTGCGTTTTGGTTCAACCCGCTGATCCGGATCCAGGGCACAATGGCTGGCGCGGACGAGACCCTCGCGGCCGCGACGGCCGTGTTGCAGTCTTTGGCGAGAGATGAGCCTACCGCCGGCTCTTCCTCGCCCCCTTTCAATTTTGAATTCCCCCCCACCAACGGCGCGAAAGGGTCAAAACTGCCCGGAGAACCCACCGCTGCAAAGGCCGCCTTCGAAACAGAGTTGGAGGCCTTGGTGCGTCGCGTGCATCACCTGGAATTCCAAGCTGTCAGTCATCACAAGTTCCCCGACGACCCCCAGCAGGCCACACCGTCTGCTCTCGGATCCATCGAGAAGGACCCTGACTTTTTGTGGACCTTTGGGCTCGATCGCTTGTCGTCCGGTCAAGGTTCTGACTCTTCTTATTGCCTCACACAGCAGCAAAAACTGAATCAACCCGATCGGAGACAACGGACCCCCTCGGGCCCCGAGGAACAACCCCCCGGAGACCTTGACGACGACGAAACCGACGATGAGGATGAGAACGGGTCCGCGACCCGCGTAGTCCGGGAGGAGGATATCAGCATTCTGCGCAACCACGTCCAGAAGCAGGCCGAGGAAATCAGTTTCCAGAAGGACATTATCGCCCAAGTCCGAGATGAGTTGCAAAAGCAGGAAGAGCACACCCGACGTGCACTCATCAAGGTTGAGAACGAGGACGTCGTCCTTTTGGAACGAGAATTACGCAAACACCAACAGGCCAACGAGGCTTTCCAAAAGGCCTTGAGAGAAATCGGCGGCATCATCACCCAGGTCGCCAACGGTGACCTCTCGATGAAGGTGCAGATTCACCCCTTGGAAATGGACCCCGAAATCGCCACATTCAAACGTACAATCAACACGATGATGGATCAACTACAGGTATTTGGTAGCGAAGTGTCTCGTGTCGCCCGTGAGGTCGGCACGGAGGGAATACTAGGTGGACAAGCTCAAATCACTGGAGTTCATGGAATTTGGAAGGAACTCACTGAAAACGTGAACATTATGGCCAAAAACTTAACGGATCAGGTGCGAGAAATCGCTACTGTCACAACTGCTGTCGCTCACGGTGATCTTTCCCAAAAGATTGAGAGCCGTGCTCAGGGTGAAATTCTTGAACTGCAACAAACGATCAACACCATGGTAGACCAACTTCGAACATTTGCAACAGAGGTGACGCGAGTGGCGCGTGATGTCGGTACAGAAGGTGTTCTAGGAGGTCAAGCTCAAATTGAAGGTGTACAGGGAATGTGGAACGAACTCACAGTCAACGTTAACGCCATGGCCAACAATCTCACCACGCAGGTGCGTGATATCGCAACAGTCACCAAGGCTGTCGCCAAGGGTGATCTAACGCAGAAAGTGCAAGCCAACTGCCGTGGAGAAATAGCTGAACTTAAGGATATTATCAATTCCATGGTGGACCAGCTTCGACAATTCGCCCAGGAAGTCACAAAGATCGCCAAGGAAGTCGGTACTGATGGTGTACTGGGAGGTCAGGCTACTGTGAATGACGTCGAAGGCACATGGAAGGATCTCACAGAGAATGTGAACCGAATGGCCAACAACCTGACCACCCAAGTGCGTGAGATTGCTGATGTCACTACAGCAGTCGCCAAGGGTGATTTGACGAAGAAGGTCACGGCCAACGTACAAGGTGAAATACTCGATCTCAAGAGTACAATCAACGGCATGGTGGATCGTCTTAACACGTTTGCCTTCGAGGTCAGCAAGGTCGCACGCGAAGTCGGTACCGATGGAACTCTCGGTGGTCAAGCCAAGGTGGATAATGTGGAAGGAAAATGGAAGGATCTCACCGATAACGTCAACACCATGGCGCAAAATTTGACATCACAAGTGAGAAGTATCTCGGACGTTACGCAAGCTATCGCCAAGGGTGACCTTAGCAAGAAGATTGAAGTCCACGCACAAGGAGAGATTCTCACCTTGAAGGTGACCATCAATCACATGGTGGGTCGACTAGCCAAGTTCGCCACAGAGCTCAAGAAGGTCGCCCGTGATGTCGGTGTTGATGGAAAGATGGGTGGACAAGCCAACGTGGAGGGAATTGCCGGAACATGGAAGGAAATCACAGAGGATGTGAACACCATGGCCGAGAATCTTACGTCCCAAGTGCGTGCCTTTGGCGAAATTACGGATGCTGCAACCGACGGTGACTTTACCAAACTTATCACTGTCAACGCCTCTGGAGAAATGGACGAGCTTAAGAGAAAGATCAACAAAATGGTGTCCAATCTCCGCGACAGTATTCAGCGAAATACTGCAGCCAGGGAGGCTGCTGAACTTGCCAATCGCACCAAATCCGAGTTCCTGGCCAACATGTCCCACGAGATCCGTACTCCCATGAACGGTATCATTGGAATGACTCAGTTGACCCTGGATACCGATGACCTGAAACCTTACACTCGTGAAATGTTGAATGTGGTGCACAATTTGGCCAACAGTTTGCTTACCATCATCGATGATATACTTGATATCTCGAAGATCGAAGCGAACCGGATGGTCATTGAAAGCATTCCTTTCACAGTCCGTGGCACTGTATTCAACGCCCTGAAGACCTTGGCTGTCAAGGCGAACGAGAAGTTCCTCAGTTTGACTTACCAAGTTGACAACACTGTGCCGGATTATGTGATCGGTGACCCATTCCGTCTACGCCAGATTATTTTGAACTTGGTTGGTAACGCCATCAAGTTCACAGAGCATGGAGAGGTCAAGCTCACCATTCGGAAATCCGACCGCGAGCAATGCACGACCAATGAGTATGCCTTTGAGTTTTCCGTCTCCGACACTGGTATCGGTATCGAGGAGGACAAACTTGATTTGATCTTTGACACTTTCCAACAAGCTGATGGTTCAACAACACGTCGCTTCGGTGGTACTGGTCTTGGCCTGTCTATCTCCAAACGTCTTGTCAACCTGATGGGAGGTGATGTGTGGGTCACTTCTGAATATGGACATGGCAGTACCTTCCACTTCACTTGTGTCGTCAAGCTCGCTGATCAATCCATCAATGTCATTGCGTCACAGCTTCTACCCTACCGGAACCACCGCGTTCTGTTCATTGATAAGGGTCAGAACGGCACACAGGCTTCTAATGTCATGAAGATGCTCAAGCAAATCGAGCTAGAGCCATTAGTTGTGCGCAACGAAGAGCATGTTCCACCTCCGGAGATTCAAGATCCGTCTGGGAAAGAATCTGGTCACGCGTATGACGTTATCATTGTGGACTCTGTCGATACGGCTCGCATACTGCGGACGTTCGATGAATTCAAATACATTCCGATCGTCTTGGTTTGTCCTTTGGTCTGCGTCAGCTTGAAGTCTGCTCTAGATCTTGGTATCAGTTCATATATGACTACGCCTTGCCAGCCCATTGATCTTGGCAATGGTATGCTCCCGGCTCTGGAAGGTCGATCAACACCCATCACCACAGACAACTCTCGCTCCTTCGACATTCTCCTCGCCGAGGACAATGACGTGAACCAGCAACTGGCTGTGAAGATACTCCAGAAGCACAATCACAATGTCTTCGTCGTCGGCAATGGTTTGGAGGCCGTTGAGGCTGTCAAGAAACGTCGCTACGATGTCATTCTCATGGACGTGCAGATGCCGGTCATGGGTGGTTTCGAGGCCACGGGCAAGATTCGCGAATATGAACGTGAGAGTGGACTCCAGCGAACACCGATCATTGCACTGACGGCCCACGCCATGTTGGGTGATCGTGAGAAGTGTATCCAGGCGCAGATGGACGAGTATTTGTCCAAGCCACTCAAGCAAAACCAGATGATGCAGACCATCCTCAAGTGTGCTACGCTCGGTGGCTCACTACTGGAGAAGAGCAAAGAGTCTCGGATCTCCAGCAGCGGGGAAATGCATCCTATCCACTCCTCTGTTCCGGACAATCAGAATCAGCAGCAACAACAGCAACGATCACAAAAGATGCAACCATTGCCAACACCTCCACGACCTGGTAATGAAAACCGGGCAATCACTACCTCCGGCCCCATCGCACGGGGGAGTGCTGTCAGCCCAGGTCCTGTCGAGGACAATGATGTAGAGATGATCGATGATCGGGTACGTTGAGTATGTTGTGAGCGGTTTAAATGATATCAGATCAGGCTGGCTAACGTTTATATCTTTCTTTTTCTACAGTCCCTGCTGCGATCTAACAGTACCTGATCTATTTGCATATCACGAACATTTATATTCTATGCAGATTTCTTCAGATGGTTTTCGATGTGGCTTTTGATACCCTGTCTATATGAGTCTTGGAGTGTTTCTATATATTTTTTTTCTCCATTTGGGAAAAGAAACCTCAACCTTCCGTTTTGTGTCTCCGTTCTACTCGCTCATACCCACCACCCACCTGCTCTTCAACGTCATCACCCCACGACCCACACCACCCAATACCACTAACCTCTCATATATCACATCATTTACCGCATTCGTTTGTCTTATGTTTCATCTGGTGTCTGGCGCATTGTTGTTTTCAAGTGGGCTCAGGTCTATTCGGCACAGTCAAGTGGACTGACTGGGGGAGGAGTTTGTAAGAGAGGGGGTGCTTCATTTCCCACCCCCGTTGGATTTTTTATTGTCGTCATATTTGCCATTTATTCTCTCGCTTGACGACTGGGCCTCAGTGCCTTTATTTCTTGTCTTTTCTATCTTTGTATTGTATTTAGTTGCTTCTTCCTTTTTGGTTGAGTCATCTGCATGAGACAGCGCCCCAGGTGCCATTTGTTTTTTTCCCCTGACATTTTCTACCAATTTACTTTCCAAGAGATCTCCTTTGGTAGTCTACTAGTTTCTTCGGTTGGCGGTCATCTTGATTGTTTCCCAAGACAGAAATGCAATCTTCTACTAAAGAGCACCATATATTATCAAAGACCAACCCGTGGCGCATCATGTGACCCTTTCACCGTATTTATTGCATGCACGGGAAGTTTGGGCGATGTGAATGAGCTCGGGCACTTGGGCGTCGGGAAGGAAAATAAATCCTTCCCCTCAAGCCGCGTAATCTTCGTATCGCGCCAAAAGCGCGAACATCCCCCACACCTAGAGACTAACATCACCATCCACCCTAAATTTAACGTTGCCTCAGATCTCAAATCTCAACATGGACTCGACCCTGCAACCCCTCCTGGGAGACCGTGGCACGGGTATCATTCGTCGGCGACCCTTTTCCCAACCTGAGGACGAACCCCTCATTGCTAGATGCAGAAGATCCGCGCGCGACTTCCTGACTTCTAAATGGGGCCACTACCTCGTCCTTCTGCTCATCGCCATCGACGTCTGTTGTGGTTTTTCGGAATTCCTGATCCAGCTGCACGTCTGCGAGTCGAAGGAGAAAAACCACCGCGTTGACGGGGGCTGGGAAGTCACCGAGGAGGCTCTGGGTATAACCGGCCTCGTCATATCGTGTCTCTTCGTGCTGGAGTTGACGGTAGCTGTTCTAAGCTTCGGGTTCGGGTGAGTCCACTATTCCATGCTGACAGCTTAATGTTCCTTTCCGTTTCGTCTTGCGACCTGTTTGAGATCAATCATCTCGATCTTCTTCCCATCGCATCTGCATGCTTTAGTGTGGTCGAGGGCGTACTCTGACCATATACGTATCCAATAGCTACTTCTCCAACTGGTTCCATATTTTCGATTCCCTGGTGATTGTTGTTGCCTTTGTTATTGAAGTCGCGCTGCAGGGACTGGTCGAGGAGCTGGGCTCGCTTGTTGTTGTTTTGCGTCTTTGGCGCGTGTTTATGATTATCGAGGAGTTGAGGTCTGCGAGTGAGGATACGATGGAGGAGTATACGGATGAGATTGAGAGACTTCGGTTGGAGAATGCTAGTCTTAAGCAGAGGCTAGGCTTGGATGTGGGAGGGGATGAAAGTGCGCCATGAGAAACCACTTTGTTGGAATAATTAGCACTCGAGTCGCTTGTCCAGGGCCAAGCTGAGCCTTGGATCTAGCTAGCCCACAAGTATAAGAACCTTCCCATTCAGATGTCAGAAATCTAAATGTCTAGGTTCCGAAACTTTAACCTCCAGCCTAATAATCGCAGGTCAAACAGTATTGAATTTCGAAAAATGCTGATATAGGGTAAAAGATCCCCACTAATTCCTCGATCAAGGTGTTTAGGGTCGACGAACCACTGATCAAGTCTTCCAAAACCCCACTGGCCAACAAACCCCGGACGGGCCGGCCCCAACCTGGCCCAACCAAAATCTCTGATTGTTTGAAGGATTGAGATGTGCGAGGTCAAAATAGACATCAGATTGGGCCTAAAATAACCCTAAACACGGTACAACCCGTACCACGTAAACTATTCAGAAAAAATAAAAAGGAATAAGAAACACAAATAAATTGGAAATTGGCTTTCAGATGATATTTTAGCTTTCAGCTGGATGTAGCCCAATTGTGCGACTAGTCTTGTTTGTGTTCAAACTATCGTGTTGATTGGCTCTAACCACAAGCCCTTGAAAAGTTGGCGCATCGGTTCCAGACATTTGATGGTGTGAGACGGCATGTGCCGATGTCAGGTAGAAAGCTAACTTATTTAAGGACTCACTGGCGCCGAACTTACTACTAGCTCGAAGTTCCCACGCCGTTCTTCAGCCATTCAGCCACTTGGGCACCTAACCTCTCCCTCTCATTGTCAGCTAGAACCCACCACACACACGCAGAGAGAGAGAGACAGAGAGAGACTAGGTTATGTGGCTGGCTGATTGAGCCGAATCGTGCGACGAAAACTCTGCAAAGAATTCCGTTGGCTCCGATGGCTTGAAGGAATCTCTCAAACAAAAGTATTTAAAGAGCTTGATATCCTTGCCTTTGTTTTGTTTTTTTTTTATCCACACGCCCATCAGAATCGCAGCCATCCTCTCAAATCCAAGTACCACAATGCCACGACAACACAAAGTCGATCCAGGTGATGTACATGAATCGTTCCTAGCTCACTCAAGACCCACTCATTGATAATGCCATGCCCACTTAGGACTCCTACATCTGCGATACCGATGGCTATGCGCTACAGGCGGGCTGCTACTACCACATCCAATTACCCGACGGCCGCACCCTGGCCATGATGCCACCTAATGATTCGGATTACAGCTATCTGGGCAATGTGGCCTTCGGAGTCTCCCGCGCCGCATGCTTCTATTTCACCGAAGACAGCGTAAGCCCTTGGCAAGACCGATCTGTGAAATTCCTCATCAAAAAGGAACCCACGGACTCCAATGAACATTCTTTATACTTGGCCGATGACGTCGTTTGGGATGTGCCTCACTTGGCCAGCCCTCTCTATGCCAATCGCACGTCCGGTCGCACTGTACTTTGGTTTCCGGATTATGCGGGAACTTTGAAGGTGGGCGATAAGCCTTTCTTGGTTGACCAGTTCGGTGACGAGTACTATGCTTTGATGCCGAACGGAACGAAGCGTCCTCAGGAGGATTGGTGGAAAGCGCGTCCGGATGATATTGAGTTGCAGTTTGTGTATAAACAAGATGTTTAATGTGACCCAGTGCAATTTGGAATAACATAAGTTTCCTGGTATATCCCTAACGTAGAGAGTAACATTTGAAAACATCAACCTTGAACAGGATCAAGAAAACAGAACCCTGGCTCAGACTCCTCCGTGTAGAAACTCCAACTCCAGACAACCAAATAAACTCCTGTGACCAATGACCATCTATCGCGAGGTGTGATGATTCCGTATATGTTGCATGAGGTTGTCCGATCGCTTGCAGACCTTGTTGCAGTCATCATAGGGACAGTTATGTGACAAAGGGGCAAAGTGGAAGTTCCGAAGGTGACGAATGAGCGAAGATTCTTGTCGGAATGCACCTGAGTAAGTGCAACCTTCCCACTTGCAAACTATGGGTTCGGCAGTAAAAGACCTCGGAGATCCACTGGGGGACAGGCGGAGCAGAAATAAGCAATTTTGGTCCAAATTGGTCCAATAGAGTTAAGTCCTTAGTACATACACTTTGGATTGGTCGCCTTGTGGAATCTGTCGAGTTTGATTGGTCAAACCGACAGAAAAGCGAAATTGTGGATTGGTGTCTTGCCTTGGCATATTGGATGGATGGACTGGATACGACGCGGAGAAGGGATCGAGGTTCAAAAAGGGAGCCTCATGTGCTGATGAGGAATAGTGTGTGCGTTGGTTGATGCGCTGGAAGGGTGGTTGGGCTGACGTGGCAGAGCCAGATCCATTTACCACACGAGGCGGGATCCGGCTAGGGTCACTAATCTCCGATTGGAATCCAGCAGGCATCACCTCTTGTATTGATTGTCTCGGTCCAAGTTGTGTTGATCTCCTGCCCCACTGGAAGCCAGTGGGGGGCAACTGCGTCTGCTGAAAGGGAAAGGTGGAACTACTTGTACGATATTCAGGGTAGACATTCTGGTCGTCACTAAAATTGGAAAAGGCTCTGGACATCTGCATGTTGAAGAAAATACAAAAAAGCTTGGTTCAGAAAAAAAAAGCCAAAAAAAAAAGAAAAGAAAAGAAACAAAAAGAAACTGAATGGATGATATCTTAGTCGGGATATCGGGGTCCTTTATACCTAACAGGCTCTTAAAAAAGAGTCGTTGCTTCTATGTACTTTTCAATGAGATCCTCAACTGCAAACATGCGTCATCGGCGTTCGCCGTTCATTTAATTCTGTTCTTTTCCAGTAGATTATTATCGATAATGTCAAGAAAAACATCTAAAATGGCTGCGCCTCCAAGCGAGAACGGGGGGTTTCACTTTAGGTTGTAAGTTCTTAACGTGTTCAAAGCTTGCTGACCCACTTTATGGCACTTTTGTTGTTACTATAGGCTACTTGCCGCTGTCCCGTGCTCTTCACTTGCATTTTAGCCGTATCTCCAACCCAAAGCCCCCAAAGACCTTGCAAAGATTCTCGGAAGACCGAATATCTCAAGCAGCGGACGAGCGTCTTCCGCCACCTCCGCCACCGTCAATACGCCAGCTAGACCCCCCTCAAAGTGGAGCCATTCGATTGAACTGCCGATTTGGTGAAGTGCGAATCGGAATTTAGCAAATAGAATTAATCATGTTACTTCCTGCATGATTCTTTGGCCATCATGGCACATGATTCAAAGGGCAATCCCGTTGAATTATCTTTTGGGCCGACAGGATGACATGTGTTGAAGATCTAGTCAACCGTCTTCAACCGGTGCCGAAATCACGGATCTTGTTTTTTTTTGTTCTTCAAAGATTACGGCCTAGGGAACCATCTACAACCAATCCCTTAAAACTATTCGGTTGCCTTGGTGGGATCACTCAGCCGTCCTTTGCCTTTCCCCTCTTTTGCCCCCAGTCTGCAGCCCAAAATCCCCAGAAAAGCAAAAAGAGAAAGCCGGAAAGAAAGAAAAGGAAGAAAAAAAAAACGAGCGCTTGTTTACAGAGTGGGAGCCTCAAATTCGACGCTTACGCCCTCTAGGGTTCCATCCAGCCTGAACAACGCCTTAGGCTTCTACTCACCATCCTGAATCACGAGGTGATTATATTGCAATCAACAACAACCTTGGAATTTCACCATTTCCATCCCTGCATGTGAGGACAACTTTCTGTTGTTGGAAACCCTTGGAAAGGACGGCCTTTGCGTTGACGCCACTTCCAAAATTGAAGGTTGATGTACCCTCCCGAGGTTGGTTCCAGTGTTTGTTCATCAGCGTTCCAGCTCCCCGTTCGCTTCATCTGCTCCTACCTACTGCTATAAATATTCATTCAAAGCAAAGTTAATAGTGGGAAGCTCCAATCAACGCTCCGTCGCCATCATTCAGCGCTCATTTTTGACTGTCTCCCCCCAAGCGATCTGACCCTTGAACCACACTTTGGGCAAAGGATAAGCTTGATTTTATGGTCGGAATAAGATCAATTATTCCGCAGAACAAACTCCACAACCCCCCCCCCAATATTCATGGCCGCTCATGTACATCACCTGCATTGTAGCAAGACATTTGCCAGGAGTTTGGTGGTCAGGATGACATTTTGACCAAGAGCTCTAGTACTTCAGAGTAGGGCGCGGGAGACTATTTTATAGTTATGGGGTATCTATCTCCTCTCAATCAACCTCACCTCCTATGAGCTCCATGGCAAGCAGGACTTGGCAAATTTTACCCTCGAATTATCAGTAGGCACTGAGCATCCGTATTCAAAGATTCCGACTGGTATAACTCAAAGTCTCAAACCATTCCAAAGATCATATCTACCATATTCCAAGAAGCACGGCCACCTTTCAAACTTCATCATTTCAATTCTCCAATAAAGAAAAGAAAAGCAAAAAAAGAAACATACAACAGTCAGGATTCGCATGTGGTCACCCACCATACTACTAACTGACCGGCGTGTGGCTTAAGTACGGCTGAGCGGACGGGAAGCCCTGTTCTCCACACCCTATGGTCGTATGTACTATAATACGTAAGTAAAGGGCCTATATGATAAATTATAATCACCGCCAAATTGAATGGGTACTATGTATAGCACTGATTTGCGAAAAGGAATTCAAATGCAAAGCCTTGGAACAATTCGCTCAAAATATTTCTTCATAGTATACGATAATATGGCATTATTGCTACCGCCCTGTCCTTGCAAGTCCAGGACATAAAAGCTCATCTTCCGCACATAATCTCTTGAACTTCATTCAGGTTGTTCATCATGCCCGAGGCAAAAAGAGTCATTCTGCGACTTGCAGAGACTGATATGAATTACCTTGATCCTTATGAGCCAGTTCGGTTATATCTCGAGAAAACCAACCAATCGCTCCAAGACCTGGACGACAATCATCATTTCATTCATATACAACCTCCAAACCCTGAGATTCCCCAAGTCAAGCCGAAAATACATGTCGTGATTGATTTTGAGAAAGAAAAGTTTGCAGGCTCAACTCTGAAAGGACATCCCGATTTCCCTCACGAGTTTTATCGCCTTCATCGCGACGGGGATGAATTGTATGTGGATACCTCTGGTCCATATTACCTTGCTAATGTCGATTAGAGTTATCGCCTACTATCCAGAAACGACCTGGCTGGAAAACTTCATGAAGAAACTGCGTGAGATCATGGATGATGCTTATCCATGGGGTAGTGCAAAACGAACGGCGTAATCTTTCTTGCGGTCGGCTTACTTCCTCTGTTGAAATACTCCAGATTTAGCTTCCTATATCTTCTAAATACTCAAGATGGCTTGCACAGTGTTTTAACCAATCCCCTTAAGTGCTGATCACATACGAGATGGGCGCAGAGGTAACAGAACTGAACGAAGTTGTGCTTGACAGATCGATGGGCTTGTTTGTTTTTTTTGTATACTTGCTCATATGGTGTACTATTGAAAGACTTTCGTCCACACTGTACTAGGATGTGCTTTACTCTTTCATCAAGTGCAAATCCAACTTCTCTCCGTATCTAGTTATACAATCGCCCTAACAGGGTCCACCTTGTCATTCTGAAGTGACAGGGATAGCAAGGTCTCATTGAGAATTAGCCGCATTTAACATACACATGTGTGGCTTAAGCTTAAGTACGGCTTAGTAGACGGGAAGTCCTGTTTTTCATACGCACCCTATGTATCGTTTGTGCGGGGGTAAATTTGACAGGAAATATATTATGATTCAATAAAGGTGGGAGCCGAAAATATCGAAATACTTTCCCTCATGCCCCCTTAACCTCGTCTTTCTTGCATGGCCTATTAGGGACTAGCGTCGTGACAGGCGCGGGGCTGCGGGCTGCGAGCGGCGCGACGGTGTGAGGTGTGAGGTGAGGCCCGTGAGGGGGTCGAATCATCAACTTGGATGAGATATCTGGACGAATGCATATTCCTCTGCCCACTTCAGCTCCTCCAGACCCTCTCTCTTCGTCAATAATCTGAGTTACTGGCATTTCAAGTAGGAAAAAGCTTTCCTAATCTATTACGCCTATGAATTGAACCTTCCCTCGATATTTTGCTGACTTCTAAATGTTCCTTTTTAGTGGGTTTAAGATTTCCTACAGAGTCGACATCCAGAACCTATTGAAAGGTTGCTTACTTCTTTGAACCTTGAACGACCATGTCTCGAGTCGGGGACGCCAGGAGCAGCTCGATCAAGCTGAGGGATAGCGACTACACAGTGGGATGGATTTGCGCGTTGCCCAAAGAGCAGACTGCGGCGACTGCCATGCTCGATGACATTCACCCCGATCTACCCAAGCCACCTAATGACTCCAACACATACACGTTTGGATCAATTGGAAAACATAACATTGTCATAACCTGTCTGCCAAAGGGGAAGCTCGGAAACAATCCAGCTGCCGCGGCCGCGCCCCAAATGGTACGCACATTTCCATCTATAAAAGTCGGCCTAATGGTCGGCATTGGTGGCGGTATTCCCCCAAAGGTTGGTTATAGAATCTAAGGAAGAGAGGAACAAGCAACAGATGTTGTATTGTGTAGCGAAGAAGAAGAGGAAGGAAGAAGTAAGACGCAGCCTGCAAACTGGAACTAAATAGGGAAGCACTGACAAACATAGTCATGTGATTCCAAGAGTTCGGCTCGGGGATGTTGTCATCAGCGCACCGGTTGCCGAGTTCCCGGGAGTAGTTCAATGGGATATGGGGAAGGCGGAAGCGGGCGGAAAGTTTAGACGAACAGGCGTGCTGGATAAGCCGCCTACGTCGTTACTAACGGCATTGACGAAGCTTGAAACTAATCATGAGATACATGGGTCGCAGATCCGTGAATATGTTGAAAATTTGGGGAGAAAACACCCAAATTTGGCCTTGAGATACACCTTCTCTGATTCCCTCCAGGACTCGCGATACACTCAATAAATGTCTTGGTGGAAATGTTTTGTGTATCGAGATGGAGGCTGCGGGTCTTATGGATAACTTCCCCTGCATTGCCTCTCTTGATCCTGCGAGTCTGACTCTGATTGGTCAGTCTGACTCTGATTGGTCATTCTGAGGTTTGGAGTGGCTGCGGTGGCGTTGGTTCCGTCGATTGCGGCCTGCCTTGGAGGTCACACACCTTCCATCATAGTGATACCAAAATTTGTTGACAATTTCCCATGGAAGGGGTATTTTTTCTTTGATTCATTCACCCTCATTTTTGGTTGGCGACTTTTTGACTTGCCACATAATCGTTGTTACTACCCGATCGGCCACACGTGCCAGTACACTGAAGTCTAATAAGAGATAAACGCGTATCAAAGAAAGAGAAACACTTATCCGCCGTCACTGATGTAAAGAAAAAGTGATGGCCACGGATGTTCATTACCAGATCGACAATAAGCTATCATCCAAATCTGCCATTTGACCAATCGGAATTGTGCGTTAAAAACCGACACACGGTTCCTCCCGTCCAGTTCGCAAATAGGTTAAAATGCGATACGAGAGCATGAAAGCTTATTATCGGTATACGCCCGTGGACAGAGCATGGAAGGAATATCTGCAATTGAGATATGCTCTGGCGAGTCCTCGAGTGCTAACACACCTGTGAGCTACTATAATTCTCATTCATGAACTACATAGCTCTGACTGGTTTATTTTCAAGTTTGAAAAGCCGGGGTAGGAGTGGAATTGGGGCCTGATCTAGCTTCTCAGAACCTAACATTTTTTTTTCGATTCCATTCCCGTTTGCGTCGAACAGAGTGTTCGGTTCCAATGTTTAGAACCGAGTGACCTATATGCTTCAACTTTAATTCGTTTCTTAAATAACTTATATTGCGCATCCATCTACATGGCCCTCGCAAGCCCGTCCCAAAACTATGAAATCTTAACCTTCAAAAGATTTACAATTGCCTTCCAATATGCAGTACAAAGCTCTGGTGTCTATTCTCACCCTTACAAGCAGTATGACCACTGTGGTATCTGCAGGTGTATTGCAGAAAAGATCCCCGCCCGGGTGTGCACCTTATGGCAGACAGTTCTGCTGTGCTATAGAAGAAGTCCCGGACAAAGAAATTCTGCCTGGCCTGTATCTTTTCGTCTACGGTGTGGGGTGTCGTAAGTTGGACAAGATCTTACGCTACTAGAATGGTCGTTCCAAACTGACTCCAAATTCACAGAGGAAATACCCGACGCCGACACCTGCAATTCGGCCTCGTCTCAGCCTCACGGCATATGCTGCACAGCTTCTGATACTCAAGTACGCTAAGTCCCATTTCGCATTTCTTCTCTGATATCTAACAGTCGTGGAACGGAATAGACCGGACCTTATGGTACTGTTTTCTGTTACACTAACCACGCCTGATCAAATTACAGCGTGACGGATTCAGCAGGATGTTCAAGTATTTAAAAAACGGTAATATCTCGGTCTATATGGCCTAGAGCTCTATAGTATGATTGATAAAAGTAATTGAACGTTGGAAGTCAACTGAAACTTGCTTTTGGTTATGAAGAAAACCCGAGAATTATTTATTATTTGATGCTACTATAGCTTCACGCAATTAATATCATTTTGCATTAATCAATGATGGCTGCCTTGGCTTCCTTGATAATGGAAAAACTGAAACATCCTTACCCACAGACATTCTCCATTCTCTACTCTACCGCTAGCTGGATTAACTTAAAATATGAATAGATCTGCAGTGCTCGAGGATCAATCGCCACCCTCCAGCTGTAACTGGAGAGAGCTCTGGAGGATTCGGACCTCGCAATATCTTCCCTAGTCGTTTCCCAGGTTAAACGGATCTTCATGTATAACTAAACCTACCTAGCTCTTCGAAAGCGAGCCCTCCGTGGTATACAATTTGCCACTCAGGTTTATCCATGGATGTTGTAAACGAGTCCAAGATGATAACAGTAGAGTTGTTTGAATTGGGCTAAGCTGGGCCCTCCTTTCCGTAGATCGATGTCATCTCCGTTGGATCGCACCCGGTGAAGTAACGAGGTTCTTCGTATTCGCTGGACGGGTTGAAGTCCATCAGAATGTCAGAATTGAAAGGGGAGGGTGGGAAAAGTTCGTTGAAGACGAAGTTTGAGTAGTCGGGGGTAGCCATCATGTCCATGTCATCCAAAAAAAGAAAATTATCGCAGTTGCTAGCTTTGCGTACCGCGGGACCATATTGAGAGGTGGGGGACTGAGGGGTGTGAATGCTCACGTCGTCCTTTATTGATGAAATAGTGGGCTGTGTTGTGGGTAGCAGAGGGGCTTGCTTGAAGGGGCGAGAGGAACCCCCTTTTTCGAGCGACGCGTCAAGGGGGATCTGCAGATTGACAACGTGAGACTGCACTCCCTCAAAGCTGTCATTGCATTTCTCACAATTTGTTTTATTTTCACGCCAGAGGCTCTGTTGTATTAATTCGGTATTCTGTTCAAAACGCTGACCAACACGGTGGTCAAGGGCGCCAAGGCGATTGAGAATGTTGTGAACGGACGGGCGATCGTTAAGTTCGGCGCTTAAACGATCCCCAGCCCATGCTTCATCTTCTGTGATGCGACGATACAGTTCCTGGAGACCATGAACAAGCCATTGTTGTTGTTCTTCGAGCTTTTCGGCGTACCTGGAGGAGCGGGGGGTGATTAGTCTAATATCTAGGCAGTAGGTGACATCAAAATTCTACTAGGTATTTGAAGTAACAGCTCACCCTTGTGGGTACGCCCTCTTGTGGTCTTTTTTTCGCTCCCCGAAGACACAAATAGTATTATCCGACCGGCAGCGTAAGCATGGTTTGGCACCATCACACTTATAATGTCAGCGTCAAAATGTAATGGCTTTTCTGGTGTTTCATGCGACATACCTTAGACTTCCTCAACCGGCAGCGATCGCAAGCTTTGCACACACGCTTGCGAAACTGTTCCACTTTTGAGTCATCGGAAGATGGCGATGATATGTGTGCTGCCATATCTTGTATATATCTGTAACTTTGTATGGCTCTGCGGGAGATAGGTAGAGGGCAGAGAGAAGTATAGAATTAGTCTGGTTGAAAGGGACAACAACCAAGGAATACCAGATGGCCGAGGTAACTTTGTTAGACTCAAGTCCTACTCCAGGGCCGTGGCGCAACCTAAAGCTGGTTTAGTGGCGGCCATTCATCAAGCAGAATACGACCTCGGTTGATGGACTTTGCTCAGAGAAAAGCAAGCGGCTCCAGGTTCCACGGGCCACGGGCCACGGGTGAAAAAAGAGTAGCCAATAATTCGCCGATAAGCCAATTTTGATGTTTCTATTTCTAATATTGTTCTTTCTTTGGACTTTTTATTGAACCCTTGTGCATAGAAAATGGCGCATAAGGTGGCGATCGATTCATAAACAAGTGCTATGCAGACTCCACTCGTTATCTGGTATCGGGTATTCGGCGACGCTCATAGATAGTGACCAATGTCCATTAAGTAGTACACTCCACACGGAGCCTCGGCCCTGGTCCCCGGACATGATGTGCGGAATTCCGGTGCATGGCACAAAGCTTCTATTGGTCTTCTAGACGAGTTCCAAAATTACTGGGAAACGAAGGAATTGGCGCATACTATAATCGGGAATCGGAAATTTCCCAAGCGGCGGGTAGATCCGGATCGCCAAAGTATCTGCCTGAACCTCAAAATATTCCTTTGATTTACAATCCAATACTTTATTATGCGTTTGATTTGCACCCTTTACGTCCCCGCATTCTAGTGAGTACACTAGCGCACGTCAAATCACAATGGCTCACAGGCCGTGTATCCGAGCGGCACAATTTTATGAACCTCCTATCTCCACATATGCAAATTTCACTAGTTATCGACTCCGCCAGGTCCTTCCAGCGGATGGCCTACAGGAAAATCACTCTTTTAACTATTGAAATGCATTGTATCTAGTATATAGGAGCCTGTCTGCATACACAGATTCATTTTTGCCTTCGATCGAGAACACTCTTTTCCCTTTTTCTTTTTTGTATATTCTCAACTCTCTCCACTCATTCCTCATTATATTCTTTTTATTTATTGATTCTTTCAACTATATCTTCCATTCGCTTACATTCGAACCGACCTGGTTCAGAAAACCATGGAGGATACACCGGTATCCGACTCAGCTGAGAAAGCAACCTATATTCGCGAAGCTGAAAGCCATGAAACCCTATCCGATGTTCGCCCTGGCGCCGAGTTCTCTCCCAAACAGCCCCTCAACTGGGGACTTGCCGGTGAAGTGATGTCCATGCAGGAACGAGATCTGGCCGCAGGTTACAGCAAGCGTGAACTTGGCATTACCTGGCAAAACCTGACTGTCGACGTCCTTTCAGCGGAAGCCTCCGTCAACGAGAACTTTTTCTCCCAATTCAATCTTTTCCAGCTGGCCCGTGATTTCCGACAAAAACCTTCAATTCGATCAATTCTACAGGACAGTCATGGCTGCGTGAAGCCGGGAGAAATGCTGCTGGTACTTGGACGACCTGGATCTGGTTGTACGACCTTGTTGAACGTCCTCTCAAATCGCAGGGCAGGCTACCGTTCTGTCACTGGTGATGTCAAATTCGGCACAATGACACCTGAAGAGGCCATCCCATACAAAGGTCAAATCGTGATGAATAGCGAGGAGGAGATCTTCTTCCCTACGCTCACCGTTGGACAGACAATGGACTTCGCCACTCGTTTGAAGACCCCCTTTCATCGCCCTGAAGGAGCTACTCCAGCAGACTGGGCAGGTGAATTCAAGAAGTTCCTTATGGAATCAATGAAGATCTCCCACACAGAAGACACCAAGGTCGGTAACGAATTTGTGCGCGGTGTTTCCGGCGGAGAGCGAAAACGCGTTTCGATCATCGAGTGTATGGCGACAAGGGGATCGACATTTTGCTGGGATAACAGTACTCGAGGTCTAGATGCATCCACTGCACTCGAGTGGGCAAAAGCGCTACGTGCGATGACGGATATTCTTGGTCTGACTACGATTGTGACGCTTTACCAAGCAGGCAATGGTATTTTTGATCTTTTCGACAAAGTGCTTGTGTTGGACGAGGGAAAACAAATCTACTATGGCCCAGCTTCCTCGGCAAGGTCCTTCATGGAAGAACAAGGATTTGGATTCACAGACGGTGCCAACGTGGCCGACTATTTGACCGGTGTCACGGTGCCGACCGAGAGAAAGATTCTCCCTGGTTACGAATCCACATTCCCCACAACCGCCGATGAGGTCCTCGGTATCTACCAGAAGTCCAATACCTATCAACAGTCCATTACTGAGTATGATTACCCATCCACACCGCTGGCTCAGGAACGTACGACCGCATTCCAAGAATCGGTGTCATTCGAGAAGAGTACTTCATTACCTAAGGGTAGTCCCTTGACCACTGCCTTCCATGATCAACTCAAGACATGCATTATCCGCCAATACCAAATCATCTGGGGAGAAAAGTCCACGTTTGTCATTCGACAGATTGTCTCCTTGGCTATGGCTCTCATTGTCGGATCCTGCTTCTACAACTCACCTGACACATCGGCCGGTATCTTCACCAAAGGAGGTGCGGTCTTCTTTTCCCAGGTTTATCAGGTGACTATGGCGATGGCTGAAGTCACCGGTTCGTTCAAAGGTCGACCAGTCTTGGTCAAACATAAGACTTTCGGCTACTATCATCCTGCAGCATACGCTATTGCAATTCTGACAGCAGAGCTGCCTGTCGTTCTGTTCCAATGTACCATCTTTTCGGTTATTCTATACTGGATGGTTGGCTTGAAAGCAACTGCTTCTGCATTCTTTACTTTCTGGATCATCCTTATTTCTATCACTTTGGTAAGTTTAACCGAGCCTTCCGGTGCCTCTATGAACCATCAAAGAGGTCCGATTTCATTTATCTAAGTTATGACTGATTAAGAATCATAGTGTGTGAACGCACTATTCCGATCGATTGGCGCTGCTTGCAGTAACTTGGAGGTGGCTTCTAAGGTGTCCGGCGTCATGATGAAGGGCTTGGTCATGTATACTGGGTACATGATTCCGAAGCCTGACATGAAGCACTGGTTTGTCGAATTGTACTATGCGAATCCATTGGCATATGCCTTCCAAGCGGGACTTACGAACGAATTCCACGACACCATCATTCCATGTGTTGGAGAGAGTCTTATTCCCCATGGCGCTGGCTATGAGGACTCCAAGTATCAGTCATGCGCCGGAGTTACAGGAGCCGAAAGAGGTGCCACTTATGTGACCGGAGACAACTATCTTGCGGCCCTTCACTGGAAGCACTCCCAACTCTGGCGCAACTTCGGAGTTGTATGGGCCTGGTGGGCCTTCTTTGCTGCCATTGCGGTTGTTTCAACGTGTATGTGGAAGGCTGGAGGAGCAGGCAGCAGCTCGCTTTTGATTCCACGAGAGAAAATGAAGCACTTCCAGCGCACCAAGGACGAGGAGACCATGTCTTCTGAGAAGACAAACCGCCAAGTTACTAATGCTATACCTGCCGATGATTCCCAGAATCAACCCAGTCTTATGCGAAACACCTCAGTCTTTACGTGGAAAAACCTGGTCTATACCGTGGACACCCCTTCAGGAGACCGTGTCCTTCTAGACAACATCTATGGGTGGGTGAAGCCCGGCATGCTTGGTGCTTTGATGGGATCGTCTGGTGCTGGTAAGACAACCTTGTTGGACGTTCTAGCGCAGAGAAAGACCGAAGGCAGAATTCAAGGAACTGTCCTGGTGGACGGCCGTGAACTCCCCATGTCCTTCCAGAGAATGGCGGGATATTGTGAGCAACTCGATGTTCATGAAGGTTACGCCACTGTCAGAGAAGCGCTTGAATTCTCTGCCCTTTTACGTCAACCTGAGCATGTTCCTAAGGAAGAGAAACTCGCCTATGTCGATACGATCATCGATTTATTGGAGCTCCATGATCTTGCAGACACATTGATTGGCACTATTGGCGAGGGACTTAGCGTCGAACAACGAAAGCGCGTCACAATCGGTGTTGAGCTCGTGTCTAAGCCTAGTATCCTCATCTTCCTGGATGAGCCTACGTCAGGTCTCGATGGCCAATCTGCTTATAACACTGTCAGATTCTTGCGCCGCTTAGCTGACGCTGGTCAAGCAATTTTGGTCACGATTCATCAGCCTTCAGCACAGCTTTTCGCTCAATTTGACACATTGCTACTTCTTGCGAAAGGCGGAAAAATGGTGTACTTTGGTGATATTGGTGAAAACGCATGCACTGTGAAGGATTACTTTGCGCAATACGGAGCACCCTGCCCTATATCCAGTAACCCTGCGGAGCATATGATTGATGTGGTTACTGGTGGTATTGAAGAGGTTAAGGACAAGGATTGGCATCAAGTTTGGCTCGACTCAGCCGAGAACTCAGCTGCCATGACTGAGCTTGATTCAATTGTTTCCAGCGCCGCCGCAAAGCCACCAGGGACTCTAGATGACGGCAATGAGTTCGCCACCTCGCTTTGGACTCAGATTAAGCTTGTTACTCATCGTATGAACGTCTCTCTGCTGAGAAATACGAACTATGTGAATAATAAGTTAGAGTTGCACATTGTCTCTGCTCTACTCAACGGCTTCTCATTCTGGCGCCTTGGAAACTCGGTCGGTGCGCTCCAACTGAAAATGTTTACCATCTTCAATTTCACCTTTGTTGCTCCTGGTGTGATCAATCAGCTCCAGCCTCTCTTTATTTCCCGCCGAGATATTTATGACGCGCGCGAGAAGAAGTCAAGAATGTATTCTTGGAAGGCCTTTGTTGTGGGTCTTATTGTGTCCGAGTTCCCCTATCTTTGCCTATGCGCTGTGTCATACTTTGTGTGCTGGTACTACCAGACTGATCTACCACGCGCATCCAAGAACGTCGGAGCCACCTTCTTCATCATGTTGATCTACGAGTTCATCTACACTGGAATTGGCCAATTCATCGCGGCATACGCACCGAACCCTACGTTCGCAGCTTTGGTGAATCCTCTCATTGTCAACAGCCTCGTGCTATTCTGTGGAGCATTCGTTCCCCAGACGGAGCTCAACGTCTTTTGGAAGTATTGGTTCTATTATCTGAACCCGTTCACGTATGTTGTGGGCGGCATGTTCGCCTTTGGTATTTGGGAGTCGAAGGTCACTTGCTTGAGCTCGGAGCTGGCTTACTTCGACCCGCCCAACGGCACCTGCCAAGACTACCTGGCGAAATACATTGCCGGTGCAGGATCCGCCATCAACTTGCTGAACCCGGAGGCAACGTCCGACTGCCAGGTCTGTGAATACTCGGCTGGAAGTGATTACCTGAAGAACTTGAACATCAACGGTTACTACTATGGTTGGAGAGATGCCGGAATCTGCTGTATCTTTGCTCTGAGCGGATACGCGTTGGTCTTTGCCTTGATGAAGCTCCGAACCAAGGCCTCCAAGAAGGCGGAGTAAGCACCAGATACATATCTGATTGCTATGCGGCGGTGGGTTTTTTGATGAACGGTCGGGCATGTTGAGCGGCGTTTTGTTTTTTGAACGTTATTTATTTTATAGACCACTGGGCCGATTTGGCAAGATAGATCAATTAGAACGGCCTAGGAGATTCCAAGGTTCTTGGCGAATATAGATCAATAGAGCATATCATACATATAGAATTCAAATGACGTTGTTTTTCAAGCGCTCCTACCTTGTTCGAAGATAAATAGTTGTCTCGAGGTCATTAAATCAGGGACAACAAATTTTCGTAAAACAATTCGTTCAATGTTTCAATGTTCAACTTGAGGATCGTCCGCGGGTGAGGTCAAAAGGAATATGTTCCAGAGTTGAGTCAGTTGGGGTTTAGAAAATATAATTAGGTATATTAGAATAACCTTCCAAGGAAGTGGACTCATATGTAGGTACAGAGTGCAATAATATACAACATGGACACATAGCATGCTTGGCCGTTCAGCCCAGAGGCTAAAGGTCAAAAGATAAATACAATATTTCATTAAAGAGCCAGCCATGCCAATGCAGCCATTCCCATAGCAAGCGGGTTAGGAAGCGAAAGGCCAACAGAAGCAGAATTCTTGCTGGTGGCAGTAGCTGTTGAGGCGCTCGTGGTATTGCTTCCGCTGTCAGTGCCATCCGACAGTATGTTGGTGCTGGTAGTTGAGCCCGAAGTAGCGCCCGCAGTTCCAGTAGCAGATGATGAAGAGGAGGACGAGGTCGATGGCTTGGGACACTCGTTATCGTACACATATTGATAAACGTTATCAGTGCAAGTGGTTGCATTTGCAGCATCGTATGTGCCACTCGGATAAACCCAGCAGGTACCGTCGCCGTAGGGCGAGTAGTCTTCATTGTGCGTATTAAAGACAGTATAGCTGCAGGCATCGGCCTTTGCACAAATACTCATGCAGTTCGATGCACCGGAGCTAGCATAGCAGTTGGAATCACAGTCAGCAGGCTCCGGGTATCCGCAGACCGAGGCAATAGCAGAGGGAGTCTCAGTGGCGGCGCAGGAATAAGTAGAGGTGGTGGCGGTAGCGGTGGTGGTAGCGGTAGAGCAAACGGGCTCGTCGTAGACGGACAAAATGGGGTCGTCGCAATCCGTTGTACCTTCGCTCGCATCGAAGGTGTCTCCGGGGTATAGCCAGCATGTGCCATCGCCGTTGTCAGGGTCGCCAAGACGGAAGATCACGAAGCTGCAGGGAGGGTTGGCATTGCAGTAATCCCAGCAAAAGGCGCTGCCGTCGCTAGCGACGGCAGTGCCATCTGCTGGTTCCGGGTAGCTGCAGAGGGTGGTAATGAGGGAAGCTGTACATGTTGCTGCCGCGGTAGTGGAGGTGGCAGTAGAGGTAGTTGCAGATGCAGCCAGGGCTAGAGCCTGTGGAATTAATAGGGCGGAAGAGACCCAGAAAGGAGTGAACTTCATGGTAGCGAGCGTGAGTGAGGAGAAATCTGGGGTGTAAACATTTCCAATTTCGGGGAAGGTTACGAGGGTATTAATATTCAAGGCCAAACAGGGGGGAAATCCGGAACGAACCGACTCATCAGCCCCCACATGATCTTTGACAAAAAGTAAAATTAGATGAAGTTACTAGAGCCTCGCAACTTAAGCGAAGGGGGGCTGACAGCCACCCAGACGCCGATGATTTTCAGGAATCATCTTTTCCCCCCTTATTTTCTGGCCACACTGTCTTTGTCCCTTGAACACAGATCGACGGCGGGTGTTATTGAGCATGATATCGAGAAACTGCAGTTTCAACGTCAAGCGAATATCTCATCAACGAGATTTGCGTTTGGGTGTCGGACCCTCCCGAGGTCGCTAGACCCTGTTATGGGTGGAAATAAATCTAAAGTGGGGCCACCCAGGGGTCTCAAGCATTTTCCATCGTTACCCACGAGCCCCACGATCAAACCCTGCCAGGAAACATCTCACAATTTTGCGAAAACGTTCAGGCTCTTTGACTGGCAGGGTTTCGAACCGCAGAAATATTGCACCTGATTGAGACTCCCGCAGTGCTATATACGGAGGATAGTTCCATGTTAGACAGGGGTAGCAGGCTAACAAACCTAGTTGGCTTTTTCATAATGTAACGTGGTAATGAGTGGAGACGAACAGTGATCGGGAAGACCGTACGGCGAGTGTCTTAACCTGGTAAAGTTGGAAGTTTAGCGTGTTTTTTGAGTCGCACTCAAGACGCGCAGAATGTATATAATAATATGAATGTCAGCCTCACCTGCAGGGTGCTTAGACTTCTACTCTCACCCCACATAAAGCAATCACTTATTCCCCGCGGTCGCGCGCCTGGATTTCTTTGGAACAGATTGTACGTTACCATCCATTTCTTAGGTTATCCAGTACATACGACCATAGGGTGTGGAGAACAGGGCTTCCCGTCCGCTCAGCCGTACTTAAGCCACACGCCGGTCAGTTAGTAGTATGGTGGGTGACCACATGCGAATCCTGACTGTTGTATGTTTTTTCTTGTTGCTCCTTGCAATGATTTAGATTGAAGGGTGCCGCAGGAGTTTGTTGGTTTGCAATTGAGAGGATCACATGTAGTGCGTACTAATATATAACTATTGGTCCAGGAATTGGTCAGCGGGCACGAGCCAAAGCGCGACGGTTAGCAACTGTCAATTCGAGATAGGTTTCTTTTTACCGGTTTGATGCAAAGGTTCAATCTTGAGTGGTGCATTTGTTCTGTTGACTGCAATTACTCGCGAAATACATGAATGCTGCTAAAGTGCTCTTTCAATGGTTCAGATACCACCGTCCCCACCAGTTGACCTATCGCGACCAAAAAACAACCAGCTCATCATAGTCCACCTCTTTAAGTTCATCGATGTCTCGATCATCACCTTGCACTACGGAGCGGCGGAGCGTATAGGCTTCGTGGAGTTCTTCCTGTGCCTTTTCTTCATTTCCCATAGCTAAAGAAATCCGTGAGGCTTTATAGGTAGACCGAGCAAGCTCTTGCTTGTATTGTTGACGCCCACTGAAGACTTCAAAGCTTGGTTTATGAGCACTCTTGGCAAAGGCGCCTTAGCAATGGATTTCAACTGAAGAACATTCGAAAGGAGTGGATGCCTTGCTTCCGCATGGTTCTTAAAACGAAGATTATCATCCGCCAGTCGGTGACAGATGTCACCAATGCGGTGGTGGCTGTCTCCAAGCGTGGCACGATATTGTTTCAGGCAGCGGGTATGATACTCGAATCCCTCCGTAAACCTCCCCTGGCTCACATATACGTTGCCCAGTGCGTAGAGCATTTTACCAGTTCTCAAGTTGGAGATGTCAGTTCGATGAGATCTCTGTAGCTTGCAGGATCCGCAACTTACTTGAAGGACAGTACGTCGTCAACGCCATTTGCGTTTTTGAAAATTTCTATAATCTCAAGCAGTGCTTGCTCGGCTTGGACGTAATCGCCCAAGATCCAGTACACGAGCCCAATATTCGATGCTGACCATCCTTGCATTGTGTCTTCGTAGTGAGGTAAAGCTTGGAAACTTTCGATCGCCTTTGAAAAATACGTGATTGCAACTTGGTACTGAGCATCCATGGCGTGTGCAACGCCGGTTTCGTTATAGCCCATGCAAAGTTCGTAGTCAATCACAGATTCCCCTTCGGGGGTCTTCCTCTGTTTAAGCATTTCTAGCCATATTGACGTGTGCTTCAGGAAACTCTTCGTGTCATTCGTCTCCCCTGCAGCTGTACCAAGGTTGTGATGGGTATCACGGATCATGTATGCTACCTCCACCGAGGATTTATCTTCTAGACCGTCACATATTCCTTCGACCGTCTTAAACCATTCCTTGGACTCTTCTTGAAACCCTCTCTCAAATCGATACCTATTTATCTATCAGCAAAGTCTCAAAATCGACATTGAAGAGTACTCACCACCCAGCATCACCGAAGAGTGTTGCGCTAGCTAGCTCAGGACGAAATGATTCAAGTGTCGATACAAGCTCATACGTCTTACTCAAACTAACCAAACTGGGAAATACCGGCGCGCAACTTTTGTAGCGCGCAGTGGTGAACCGAGTCTCCAACGTCGCGAATGGCCATATACTCGAAACCGCCTTGATTGCGAGGTTGTACATCGCAATTAGTTGCTTGTGTTCGAACTTTTCTCTTGCCACATCTTGCACAAGTCGGTGGACCGAGACATCCTTTGTCTCTGGATTTTGGTTGATCAAAGAAGTTTGGAGAAGCTGTGCCCTTGATTCGTAGTACTGGACCAAGTCCCTCGGGAAGTACTCGAAGGATGCATATGCGCATGCATTGATCAGAATACCCTCCGGGATTCGATCGGGATCTAGCAAAGAGATTAAGCACAACAAGCCTAGACTTTTAGTTGCTAACCCATCCAAACCGATCTTTGATGAAATCGAGTGTACCTGCTCTTCGGTCGAAGTCATATCTCTCGTCAAACTCATATCTTCGATGCCGCTCGCTTTGTAAAGCGCGAGGAATTCAGAATAAGAGAGCCGCAACCGGGTCATGACACCAGCCATCTGTGTTATAAGAAGCGGCAAGCCTCCAAGTTTATTCACAACTTCTGCAGCATTCTGTTCTTGGTCAAGACGGGGAAATCTCCGAGTAAGAATGTTCAGGAATTCGACAGCATCATGGGTGGATAGTGGCTTGAGATCAATCCCGTGGTTCGCCATGTAGATTTGATTTTTTGCAAATGAGTCTCGACTGGTGATAAGCACGAAGCCGATACCAGTCGTTGGCCAGCAATCCTCTAGCACGTCAATGTCGTCGGCATTGTCAAATATCAGAAGCCAGGATGCCTCATTGCTGGCTGATGGTGGACTGTTGTATGATCGGACTGGATTTGACAGCCAGCCCTTGACTATTTCGCACGACACTGTAAGGTCTTTGACCTCAATTTGATCCTCAAGACCCAACCCAAAAGCTATATCCGCAAATTCTTCAGAAAGCTTTGTCTTGCTATCTGCGGTAACGAAAAATATCGCATCATATTTCGAATGTCTTGTGTACGCGTACTCCACCGCAATTTGAGTTTTGCCGATACCGCCCATGCCGCAGACTGCATAGGATCGAACGGAGGTGTGGCATAGACTATCGCTCATTCTATTTTCAGGGAGAAGATTTTGATCAATCAGGTCAAGAATGACAGCTCTGCCAAAAAAAGTCGCTTTTCTGCTTGTGAACTTTCATGGAGAAACAGGGCAGGATGGGGTCCTTCTTCACCACTTCAAAGCTTGTGATTGCCTTTTCACTTCCTTGGGATGGATGAAGGGAGGAACCAAAAGTGGCATCTTTCGAACTATTCAGGGATGGAGAGATTTTTGAAGATGGACCCTGCTGCGGTACTGCTAATAATCTGAAAGCCTGGACTGCTTCATTCTCTGTTGTCAAGCTTCGAGTTGTGTCGAAGTCGCCTGCATTCCGAGTGCTCGCTGGTAGGGGACTCAGTAAATGACCAATGGACACCGAGTATCAATCGCAACTTACTGTGGAACTTCCTGTATACCAAACCAGGCGCATGATCTGCTGCGCGTTGCAATGCACCACTTATCTTGTCATATAGGGTACTTCCAATTTCAACGTTGCAGATGGTGTTATGGTCTTTATCGGCTTCCACGACGATCCGGTTATGCGACTCGACTATACACCATTTTTTGGAGCAATCTATTTTGTTTGATATGAGTCAGTTATCATTGGAACTCCAGGTCTTTATTTTTTGAATGGGCGGATTCCGACTCACTACCACTTGGGAAGTCTTGAAAACCCCTTGATGGACTCGTGACTCAATTTTCTCATACGCAGATACGATTGGCGTCTGAATCCCCAGCAATTCGAACTCGTGGCAGCACTTTGCTAAGCTCTCGTTGTCATTGGATGTCAGGTCATCCTTTCGTGGTGCTCTTTGATTCAGGCGGATAATAAGTTCCAAGATGTTTGGATTTGGCTCGATATGCAAAGGTAAGTGGGGACTCCCTAGAAAAACAATGCCTGATATGACCTCAATAACTTCAAGGTGTCTAAAAACATGACCTTTCGTGAGAGATAAAGCCTAAACGATCGTTAGTCATTCGTCTGCATTCAAGACTCAATCAAGACCCACCCATTTCAAGCAAATCCCTCCAAGGCTGTGGCATATGAAAAATAGCGGCTTTCGGCCGTGTGGACTTCTGGAGGCTGGAGGAGAATCGCGCTTCTTCCCAGGGCAAAGCGTATGAAGACAGGCGAGTAGCTCGTGAGCTTCATCCGCGAGTCGTTGAGCAATGCCAGTATTGGTGTCCCCCCCCTTTAAACTCGTATACCCATATCTGAACTCTAGCACTGCACCCATCAACGAGCTTCTCTAGCCATCTGCCAGATTTATCCTGCCATGCGACCGGGAGCGAGGTACCAATTCCGGGGACAACAATAACACTTTGGTACAATAAAACCGGCAATTAGCAAATTTCGCTCTCCCTAAAGTCTCAATTTTGCGATCGTAAGACTAACTTGATATCCTGGCTTTTCGCTTCTCGGTCTCCGTGTCGTGGATAGAAGGGTCGCAGCATTGATTATGTCAAAAAGCCTGCAAAATGAATAGTAGATCTTTAAGCGATGCGGCGATTGTCATCGGCGTTTGAAGCGTTGGATATTTTTGAAGGGTACAGGGTGTTGAAAAGATGCAGGTCAGGCATGGCGGGGTAGGTGTTCATAAACCGGGCCAGCCTGCCCGGTGAGCAGTTATGTACTGCAATGTTAAGTCTTATCCCTGGAAGTATCTTGTGTAGGTCGAGAACATTGAAACATACGTAGGTTCAATACATATATCCACGGCCATTTCATGATACGCACACGACGCTTCAATAGGTGCCTGGATACTATTACCCTTCCATGTTTCTATCTCCAAGTCGTACATAGTAGGAGCCTTGCCCGAGTAGAAGTTTGAGGTACCTCAGCATGGCCTTTGCTACGGATTGAAATGTTCGGCTTCACTGGACGTCCTGTTTTGTTGTTGAAAAGGGTAGTTAAGAAGAGTTCTAAAGCTTGAGAATGGTGTTTGACTTTCTGTATGGTTGGCATTTAGTTCTCTCACGACGGCATAAAAGGGTGGATGAAAAATTTGAATGCAATTTACTTCACATACTGTTATAATTCTTATGACTGGGCTATCAAGTCTCTCTTGGAATCACATGATCATGTTTGTCAGTGATTCCTTCTTGTTCTATAGCAGGCTGCGTCTCGCTTCTTCCTTCCTCTTCTTCGCTACAGAATGCGTTCCATACCGATTACATTCCTTGCTCCTCTCTTCTTTCGTTGGATTCCATGAGTCTCTACTACCTACTAGATAATGTCTATGCGTTGGCCATGACCCTCTGATGCCACTTGACTGACATCAATTGATTTAAGTAAATACAGCAATGGCGACGAAGATGATGAGAAAACCGGCTACTCAAGAAGGAGATTCGGGCTTTGAGAATAGCTTCAAAAAAGCGAACGGTTACTTGAATAGGGAACACGGTGCTTGTAATTGTCCTATAAAAACTAGCAATAATAGACCTCTGTTTCACTAGTCGGGTGGCATAGCCTCAAAAAATGACATTGTGCTGCATCTCTTTTGTCCAATTTTGTCCAAAACCCGGTGCCATTTGGTTGCCTCATCTCCAGTGTGTCCAATGGTTCATGAGTTGGTAGCCAAACTAGGATCAAGACGCCGGATGAATATCCACACCGTCTTGTTCACTGTCACGAACCATTACCCCGATGGTAAGTTTCTCCTCTTCCCCTTCGGCTTGAACGGTGATATACGCCATCACACGGAAGCCAAGGCTTTTGTACAATGCACCGCCCATGGGGCTACTCAAAACGGTAACCGGTACCGTGTGAGCTCGCGCATAGTTTAGTCCCCACTGACACTGTTTGGTCCCGAGGCCAAGTCGTTGGTAGTCGGGACGAGTGCCAAGAATCCAAAGACGGACCTGGCGATCGCCATAAACATTATTGAAGTATTTTTCTGCTGCCGCTTTCGTTGCTACAGAGAATGCCTCCATATGCTTCTGGTTGGCGTCTCGTCGACCATCGCAATTTGCTGTTACTGGTTGATAATCGTTAGAAATGATCGTCAATCAGAGACAGTGGAACTACCTTTGGGGAAAACGGATTTTCTATCAGTCTTCTCAACTTGAAGCTCCCAAATAGCCAAAGATACTGCTCGTCTGTTCCCAGGTTCACTTCCTCTTCCATCAGTGACGATATTTACTACGAAATGGTCTCGCTGGAGAAACGAAGCTATCATGCTTCGGGTACATTGCCAATGGTCCTCCGGGAACTCTCGTCTGTAGACGAATCGATAATCCCATTGTGGAATACTGATTTCTGATGGCAAAGCGCCCAACTACAAATCGAAACACGCCGCCTTCCGCAACAGGTGACCGTATGCAACTCCAGCCAATGGAATTCAATCTTCTACAGATCCCGGAAGATTATCACCTGTCGATAAGATGTGGGGCAAATAGATGTCTCCTTCTGCAGCCCAAGCACCCGGGCGCCTAACCACGTTGTCAGAATGGCCCCGGCTAAATGGGCCATGCGGACCTCATGCAGTAGCTGTACAGTTTGTAGCCCATATTTGAAATCAAAATCCCTCTTTCAACTGAGCGGGCCTATTCGTTCTGTTGAGAAACCAATCAACCTTGGAAACCCTACCTAGAAGACATGACTAGGGAGCAGCTAATGAAAACCAGTTACCAAATCAGGTTCAGTGTACTCGCAACATCTTCCCGGTCAAGGACTATCTCACCACATAGCCAAGTTCAAAAACAACTCATATACCTCCTTCCAACGCATGTGCCGGTGTTTTGTTAGGATAATCTGTACTTAGAGCCACTTTTAAGCGATCACAAGTTTATCAAACATTTGAATAAATTTAATTTCAAAGCCACAAACATCCGATTCCTGGCGTCAGCAACATCAGTACCTACGCCCAAAATCGTTGACGAGGGGCAGGAAGATGACGGCGCCTATTTTATTCTCACGAAGCGAATCCCCGGGCGACCACTGAGTGAAATTTGGCTCACCATGCAATGGGCAGACCGATACACTGGCATGTTCTTTAGTCTTATTGGATGGACTACGCGAACGTAAGTCTATCTTCGTCACTTTACAGCCTAAGGATGAAACTTTCCTCACGGTTTACCCTATCATATTAGTCTAGGAAGAAGATACCCTTGGTATATTTGCTAGAGAGATTTGGTACTTTTCAGACTGTAGCGTTATCTACAGTATTCGAATCAAAGTTAAGATTTTCATCCATAAATCTCCACAAAATGCTACATACTGCAACCCACATTTTCTCACTATTAAAAAGGTTCTTCGTACAGCTTAGAACCTCCCAGTGGATCAGTCCAGTGCACCATCTGGAACCTCACTCCAGCTCTGGTACTGTGGTATCTCCTAATATAGCCTTCCCTCCAAGCTCAGACCTCATACTTCTGTTCTCCAACTCAGCTGGCATTGGGACCGAGCTCATTGCCATACTATGATCCCATTCAGGTGTATCTGTTGTATCTTGAGTACCGCTCTCCTGTGGCCGCCGCATTTCTTTGCGGCTGCGCCACCAAAACAGACCAACGCCAAACAGTAACAACGCTCCAACAACCGACCCAACCGCAATTCCTGCTTTTGCCCCAGTAGAAAGCGTATTTGACGAAGAAGCTGCTGCAGAGGATGACGAGGGAGAGGAGGAGGATGTGTACGCTGATGTGGGGTATATACTCAGGTCGCTGGCTTGGTACATTATCGTGATTGGTTGTCCCCACATCCTAATCGTTCCAGAGGCGGTTTTGCTAGTAGTATAATCGGGGCTGGGGGACCCTCCCGCTCTTGCGGCAACAAAGGTCGTCCCGGTATAGGTACTGACACAGCCTTGTATTCCTTCCACGGTTTGAAAGTAGAAGCCGCTGTACGCATAAACTGTCAGGTTCTCAGCTAACATGGGCGAGAGTTCAAAGAATGTCTGACCTTAGGCAACAAGTCGCTTTGGTGTTAGGCCCCACAATCGTAGGCGAGGGGTTTGTTGTGTATCCATGTGGGCACATCCCTGGGCTAAATACTGGGTCCCCTGCTGTGTTGCGTCCGGCATGATTGAAGTCGGGTGGAAAGCATGAAGCGTCCATACTAGCCGAGAAGGCATTTTGGAGCAGGAGACCGCTTGTTTCGCCATTGTACCTGTAACCCTCAAAAGTCCAGCTTGATGAGCAGTCTGCTGGAGGGGTAAAGATAGTAGTGAGTGGTATTGTTGATGTCATTTTGTTTATGGAGTGCCGCAATCAGTCCTCGCTGTCCTGCTCCCTTGCAGTACTCGGGTATAAACGAAAGAGACCCTGAGTATTTGAATCTTGTCCATCATATTGGGCCCCTGGGCTCGTTGAACTATTTCTTTCGTGTTGATTTGGGGCTGCGATGGTCTGAGTCCGACTCTGAGATGTATGGTTGGCTAAAAGCCTTGCGCTAGTTTACTACTATAAACAAAAGATCCCGCTCCGTTTCCCTTTTTCTTTTTTTCTCCCATTCTGGAAGTGATCGACGTTGGTTCATCGTTTTCTCTCTTTCTCTGTGGAAGTCTTGATCCTTCAAATGTTCTCTCTAGACCCTGAATTAAGTCAGAGCCTCAGGCTAATATTTCCCGAATCCTTATTTATGTTGTGTATGTTGTGTATGTTGTGTATGTTGTGTATGTTGTGTATGTTGTTTCCTTTGAAAGTAGTACGCTGATCATTTCAGTCTATACGAAAGAAATGTATGTGAGCGCAAATAAATCCCAACTTCTGGTTAGCGAATATAAGAATGTATCAGATATGGTCTTAATAGGTGTGTTGGTAGTTCATCTTCAAGATCAGCAACCAAGGGCTCGTGTTCGTATTAGAAAACGGACTAATACAAATCATTCGACTCTCGAGCCCCATTCAAATCCTTACCCCGCCCCTTTTCGTCTCCTTTTCCCCTGCCTTGAGGCCCAAAGTGATCCTTGTCCGTCAAGAGGAAATGCCATTCAAAGTTAGCGTTACCAACGTTGTGACGCTCGAACCTGGCCCAAAAAACGTTAAGGGCGTCCAATTCGCGGTGATGGTATCCTGATACGATTTGCCTCGCAATATTTTCAGGTAACCTGCATTAGCGAATCATTCACAGGTAGTAATCTCCTCGGTTCAAAACAGCCTCAGTCTGATGCTTCCCAAACTACATATGGTTATCTTTACCCCGCCATCCATGGATGCGCACTTGGCTGATAGATGCTTGTAGTAGCTCTCTTGGGAAATCAGTCATGATTCATGCGACGGTACTGTTTGCCGTGGCCCTAGCGCCCCATTTAAAGCCTACAATTGCCAAGCACAGATTATTGAACCTAATAGAAAACTCTAACGCCCTAGAATTTGCACATCTAGTAGCATATTGTTTGAGAGCCTCACTTTTTATACTGAGTATGGGAACGAGAACCAGCCACCATACTAAACTATACTGCTTCCTTATGTTGCCCCTGGACTTGCTACCTGGGCACATATCAATCCTGCACATGTGCACGCTTCACGTTGCTGTTCTTAGTATGTAAGGTGACAGACACCTGGGCAGAAGTTGTATATATTTCCACATGAGCCTTAATTCATCAGTCCTTCCTTCATATGTGTTAAATCTTCTGCTTATATTTAAATGGCCCGGCTAGCTCAATGGTTTAGAGCATCAGACTTCTAATCTGAAGGTTGCGGGTTCGACTCCCGCGTTGGGTTTTCTTTCTCTCTTATTTTTTTTTATTTTTTTTTATTTTTTACAAGCCATTCTACTGCTCTTTACCGCCCACCTAATCTATAACTCCCCTTAACCCGTTACCCAGCCCTTGACGCCACCCTACCAATCCCAAATCTGGCCTCCATTAGGGAACGCGTTGGATGGCAAGGGATTTCCACGACGCAAATTAGAGAAGCTCAATACCTCTTCAGTTTAACGTCAGTCGCTGAGGTAGCTTTTGTGGTAGTAAGCCCCACATGTGCGATCAGAAGATTACTGATCAGTGATTCAATCGAAGCCGTATTCACATTCCGATCAATATTCCTGACAATGTTGCTATTAATATTCATATTCATATTGTTGAAATTCAAGTAACAGAAGAAGAAGACTCGAAGAAAAATCAAACGTTATTGGTACTGAATCATGATGGAGTTACACAGCCCGGCAAAGGCACGGATCATGCCAGACCGGCTGCGTTCAAGTTTTCAGTAATCTGTTGTTCTCTTTCCATTCCATGACGAGTGTCGACGGAAGTGGTCTTCGGTTGGTGAATATATGCTACTTCGAGTGCTAGATTAAGAAGTGTTGCGAAGCTGCCATGAGGATTAGTCAAGTTTAGACAAATTTGAATCTTCAATTATCCGTGGCGAGAAATCTTACAAGGCAATGAAACTGAATGCTTCCGCTGCATATTGGCGGCTACAGACAATCTGGCCATTCCAGCGATCTGTGCGGCAGCTACGACGATTGAAATCTTGAGCCAAGAAAATGAAAGCCGTGAGCCAGCTAGAATGCGCATGTTAGTGATCTTGTATTTCAATGAGTGGCTTTTGCGACGACTCACAGGTAGGAAAGCACTGCGTCCGTGGTGAAAATCACAAAGATGTGTAGTGGCTTTCTCCTCATCAAACAGCTTATGGTTGATGCCAGTATAGCTAGAACGAGTGTGACAGTAGCCTGGAGGAAAAATTAGAATGCTGAGATTTGAAGAAAATCAATATGAATCGCAGTCTTTACTAACAATCGTTAGAGAATAGATAACGGTGAGAGTCTTCGTGTCTTTTACAGCCCATGCTGTTATGCCAAGAACGATGATCGCGCTAAACATCTGTAGGAATCGGCTAACATTGCTGACCAGGCCAAGGGGATGACCAAAGAAGCTCGCCATATTGAGCCTTGGATATTTAGGAGATTGTATTTCCGAAACAAGCTTGACTTTTCAGAATGAACCAGGAGAGAATTATTGAGAATTTGCATTATTTATGAACAAAATATTAAAAAAGTCTATGACTCTATATCCATCTCGCGTGGGGAAAATTATCAAGGTGATGATGTCATCTTTGCTTGTTCCGTGTCAGGCACTCGTCCACGTGTGCTGGGGGTTACCGAAAAGACACTGAGAATTTACGAAGATTGAAATTCTATACGATAACTGAATTGTTGAACAATCTGATCAAATGTTGTCGGCTGACATGGTTTTAGCGTTTTTTTTTTACTGGGCGTTTCCGTGCCCCAATTCAAATACCAGTAGTGAACATTTATGACTGCTTTCAAGAATTTTTCGAACTTCAATCAATGACTTCAATCAATGAATTCGATTTTGTAAATTGGTTTTTTTTTTCTTTTCTTAGCGACCATGGAGGTCAAAGTAGTATGTTCATATTGATTATTTCAGGCAACATTTTTGAAGTCAAGTGGATCTATAATCGTACGAGCCCTGCGATCTCTTCGCCTTCTCCGTCCGACGATGTTTGCGGGTCAGATAGGCTAGTCTGAGAGACGGAACGCTAGAAGCCAGCAACGCTGTCGCAATTTCCACCACAGAACAAAAATAAATAGGAACAATATTCCAGGTCAGGTCACGATCTTTATACAGGTGAATGACGTATGCCAGCCTTACTGCAGCGGCAACAACTGTACTTTATGATTGTTAATGTAGAGCACTTTTAGAATAGGATAGTATGTAACTAACCAAAATCCCGCTGAGCATAGTAGGGCTAAGGCCATTGCCTTTTTTCTTTTCCCCAACTTCAAGCCTGAATATAATTAGCTCACAATAATTCGATAAGGGATAAAAGTGTCTAACCAATAATTGATTTGAAAGGCAAGCCCACAATGATCATGTTGGTTATGAGAAACACGACGGCAACATCACACCAGTATATGAGAAGTGAGATGCATGAATTCGGGTTATTGGCGTCATGAACCCAGTAGCTGCCGACAGGTTGGCATTGAAATATAGCCACAAACATAAAAGTGAGCGTCAATATCGTGATTAGAACAGCCAAAATAATAGTGGCAATCCTAAGTGTCGGGAATATGCGTTTGTATAGAAAGAGTATCGAGAGTTTCACCAGCCCGCTAGTGATGATGTACAGAACTTGAATAGCAAGTTGAATCTGATATCCTGATCAGCATTTCCACGCGGGACATTGTTCAGGGAAGTTTAGATACCTTCCCTACGATTGCTTCATTTGTATAATTGGTGGGCGTATGAGTTCCAATGCCGTAGTCAACGCCTTGTTGCAGTTAATATAGGTATTTGCTTCTGTTGGATTTGTTGACATACCCAAAATTATAGATGCAAGCATTCCAAATGACGTGACCACAGATCCCATCACAAACCAGTCATCTATGCCATATGTCTTCATAATCCAGACACGAGATATCACTCGCAGGACAGTTGCAACGGCCGCAAGCCCAATAAGGGCTGCTGACACCGCGATAAGCGGCGTTCCAAGATGACCATCGTTTTCTTAGATATCACATCATTCATCGATTCACATGTGAAAAGATCGGCATTGGAAAATACCTTCATTTAATCCCGCATTCTTCATCTGCACTGAGCTCCGCAGGGTGTCCATTCATTCCAAGGCGGAAGCGGATACTCCGCTCATCAATTCCAAGAATTGAATAAGCCAGACGATATAAACTGCAAGGCAAAGATTATTGAATTTTTGAGCCAAGACAGAGCCAGGGCATTTGCATTGAAATAGTTCCTGGATGGTTGGAGTTTGTGCAGGGGATTTTATCTAATCAAGGATGTCATTTGCCGCAGTTCGACTCGTCATTGACCCCGCCCCTTTCTCGTCTCCACCAGTCAAAGTTTGGCGAATATAATATCAGATTGATAACCTGAAATTGGGAGGTAGATCAATATCGGCCAGTGCTGGAATGCATTAATATTGATAATTGGTTTGGCATACTCACTTTCTGCAGGTAACTAACCCATATTACGTCAGCAACCTATACCGTACGGCGGTAAGAAAATTGGTGAAGACCTACCTCGGCGTCTTAAATCCAAGATCAGTGAACAAGGGGATCATAATGCATTTAGCTGTTTTAAGACCGGAATATTCAGATGTTCAGAATCTCCGAGACTGGATTTCATTGAAGTTTGGCCTGAGGAACATGCATGGAAGGCCAGATTTCCGAGGCAGAATGGCGAACTGTGGGGCCAAACATCACAGCCAATCAGGGTCCAGTGCACTCCAAATCCATCTTATGAATCATGCTAGCGGACAATCAGGAGATTTTCCGCCTATCTCCCGCGACTCTATTCCATTTGACGTCATAGACTGTGCAAGTTCATCAACGGATCTTGACCGATACTGTGCTAGAATCAACCGATCTTGGCTCCTTCATATATGATGGCTTTAGCTTCCAGTACTGATTCGTTTTTATAATTATTTCTCAATGCAGGTCTGAAATAACTATGCCATACACAGCCTCGTACGTTGTTCATAAAAATGTCTCGCAACCTGGATAGTTTCTAATGAAATCTCCTCAGTGATATTTGCCTGTTTGTGTTGGCGATATTTCTACCGCCACTAGCAGTGCTGTTGAAAAGGGGGTGCGGAGTAGACCTCTGTATTAACATTTTACTGACGCTTTTGGGCGATATCCCAGGGATTATTCACGCCATGTGAGTATCGATAGCACTAGCTTCTCGTTCGATCAATTCTGCAATCATTTTCAAAGTTGTCTCCCGCATTTTGTCTCCAAATCATACTGATTCATTTCTTCAGATTCATCGTTGCCAGTTCTCCCAGCAGGCGCCAAAGCTACTATTCATAAATGGTGTCAAAATAACAATTGTGCAAAGTCTTACTATATTGTGCTTAGAATTCAGGCCTGCTTGAACAAAATATGGCCACGTCTCTGTTCGGCGAAAAACTTTGTGCATAAGCAAGGGCGGAGTTCATGGTGGGTGAAAGAAGTTATAATTAAGAAGTCGACCTTAGTAGTGCATGTGTTGACCTGATCCGGAAATTTTCGAGACCTGGCATTAATATGGGCTGCAAATGACTTTGATTGATTTTGAATCCATGAAACTTCAAACTCCTTTCATATTCGTATTAAACTATAAACCATTAAATTCTGATCAAAAGTTGAGAAGGTCTGGAGGCGCATCTCCTGAAAAGACCTCCAGCCCGGAAACAAAATCATTCCAAAGAGTCTTTGAAGTCATCGGGGCATTGCTATATGGCTGGATGCCAGAAACCATCAAAATATCTTTCAGCCGAGGAAGCAATTCATCCGCCGCTTGGGCTTCCATCTCACGCTGAATTGCCCTGCTGAGGCCACCTTGCTCGACGTACCATGCAGAGTCTTCCCTAATAACACCGCTCTCGTATAAATTCAACAGCGTAAGATCAATATCAGCATTCACAGCTGCTTCATAAGCCATTCTGTGGCCAATCGCTTCCACCAGTGGAAGGGCGAGTGGTAGGATATCGCGATTGAATACCTCGCTTCTGTGAGCTCCGTTGGCACCTTGTTGAAGCAGTGTTCTCGCTTCCAAGAATAAAGACGCTTCGTGTCGAGCAATGGGGCTATTGGGATCTTTCGGTGGTGGCATTTGGTACCGATCAATCAAAAGTTCAGAAGCGAGTCCTTTGTTTCATGTCAGCTGTTAATTCTTGATGATATATATTCTCAACGGAGCTTCAAGTACTTACGGATAGCAAGAACCCGGATATCACCCTCTGCAGTCGATGCGCCCCGCATTTCAAGCTGAAAATTTGGGTTAGCAAATGAAACGAAATGTGTGAAAACCGCAATAGCTTACCTCCATCTGAAGGAGCTGGTTATTTTCATAATGTCCGTGCCAACCACATCGCTCATTCATCTCCTTCACACTTCTGGTGAAATGACCGAGTGCTGCCGCTTTGAAGGCAGTGGCAATACCATGTCGCACTCTGGGATCTACATTCTGCTCTCGGAACGCAATTGCCGCAGAAACGAAGTAGGCTTCTAGCACATGGTACTGTGCCACAGCATGGAGGATGGGCATTTGCTGTGTTCGGAACTCGATAACTGAAACTGGATTTCCGCCTGGGCCGCTGACAATCCGGTTTTGACTGAACTGAGCGGCATTGAAGGCAGCCAATTTAAGGCATGGAATCACAGACGCCGAGAGGAAGAGAGTTCCCACTGCGACGCGATGGATCGAGGATAAGAAACCATCGCGCTTGTTCTCTGACTCTTCTGCACTACCCAGCAAAGCAGACCCGGGTAGACGAACGTGGTCAAAATATGTCAGCGCATGATCAACGGGGTGAGCACCAGTTCGTGGAGGCAGAGCCCTGTCGAAAAATTAGTTTTGATGGTTTGTGTTTCGAAGGGCAGCTGGATTCTCACTTTGAGATAACACCCTTGCACATCTCCTTTCCGTTTCCGAGTTGGACAAGGAATGGTCGAATCCCGCAATCTTTATCTCCGTTCACGAGTCGAGCCATCACAATTGCAACTGTCGGAATGCCACCTCTCGGTGTAGTTGGGGGCATGACCCTATCTATCTGTTAGTAGCCTTCATTTGAAAAGCGCAGTCCTGAAACCTCCAGGGCTCCCCTCTTACTTTGCATCATTTGGAGAAGGTGTGTGGAGGTCGATATCACCATCAGGCAGAATCGTTGCTGTGGTTTGTATGTTCCGTGCATCCAAGCCGTGATTAACTTCCGTCAACATAAATTGGGCACTACGAATAAACTCCAGTTAGCAGTTACAATGGCTTCATCTGTAAGGTGCTTTCGGAATACACTCACGATATATCAAATTCTAAAGCAGATTGGAGGATTGGTAAAAGCTCTGGACGGTTCATGGCAAAAGGAGCTAGCGTTCCAACAAAAAGATTGCACTGAATACTAGCAAGGGTAAAAGCACCACCGTCAACAGCCAACAGAGGGTCCCAGTGAAGCTTCCAGAATTTAGGAGTAATACATAAAATGTCCTTGAGAGTCAAGCCTATTTTTGTATATAAGTTGCTGCTTTGGATGTCGTTGTCTTTAGGGAAATGGAAGACATACCATGTGCATTGGTCAAAGCCTTCGCCCTCTGGTAGGTCAGTCTGGTAGTTTCCTCGATGGTCAGAGTGCGCGAGGCCGGTTTGTAAAGTTCTGATCGTGCCAAACTTTGCATGGCGGGATTTGGCTGTTGAAGCTGCAACAGCAGATCCGTAAGTTCAGTATTTTGACTCATGGTAAGCGATTAATTATTCTGAATGGGTTGAAGAGTTTGAACAGAAATGAAATCTGAAGGCGAAGGCGGGCATAATTTATAAATAGGTCAACAGAGGAGGCATATTGAATGGCGAAAGGTTTCCACATTCACCAGGGGTATCCCTCCTTCATCCACTTCTAAGTGAATTTTGTGAGATCACGGCTGAAGATCGAACTGTGGCGTTCCACACCATAGTGGATCAATAGACAGAAAATTCCTTGCCATTTCTAGCCATCCCCACTGGAGGTTTCTATCCACACCTGCACCACCATCCGAATTTCGAGAACTCATGGCGAGCTCAGTCTAGTTGTTTAATTCGCCGAGGGGTTCAAGGAAAAGTGTAAAACTAGATGGACATCCATCTGGAGCTGAGGGAAAGTGGATCTGCTGACTAGATGCCGCTAGTTTATGGACCAAGATCTGGGTTTTTCTCTTATCGTCCGTCTAGCGGTCTAGCATTGACGAGATTAGTTCATGACGTATGTTTTGATTATTATCCTGCTGAATAAAAACAAACCTTCCTTGAAGTTTCAACAGAAACTCGGTCTCAATCGACACTGCGGGTTCCTGATCCAGACTGGACTCTTAGAGGCCATGCTCGTGTACGGAGGACGGTGTGTGTATTGAGAAGCTCGCTCAAAAAAACCGTATTTTCAAAGCTTAAATCCGGTAAATACTATTAGTAGATAACCTGCTCTCTATTGGCGCACTAGTACGGAGTATTTTGACATGTCTCCACTCACAGTTGCACAGCAGAGTTACTGACGTTTGCCACTACGAAGTACGAAAATACTTTATTTTGATTCCCGAGAAACCCTGTGTATTCCTCTGTTACTGAAAATCATGAAAATGTGATTCTATCCTATTCGCTATGACATGCCTGTCTCGAAAGTCACTACGGTCACCATGGATGCCTACAAGCGACAACTTTCTGCTTGGCGGTGTCTCTCATCCTGTTCATAAACACCAACTCGCGGCGAAAGAACCCCACTTGTTGAGGCTAATACTCGGCAAGTCGATCAATCCTGGAAGTAGATAGAATTATTATTTTTTGGATGCAGTATCGTTGTCTTCTTACGGAGTACGCCGGGCAAAGTTGCTCGAGGCGCAAACTATTTTCCACGCTAGCCGAACTCGGTATAGCGTGCAGTATCGTTCCCACTGTAATGTACAAGCATCCATCCGTTTTAACGTGTAGCTTCCTGGTATGTAATGAACTTTCAATGTTTTCCTTTGCCTTATTTTACCGCTAGTGTAATCGTGGAACAACCTGCAGGTCAGATAAAACCCAAAGCGGATGCCAGTACATTGCGCACTATTCCTTGACAGTGGATCTTTTGCCTGAATAAAGGCACAAACCAACCTTAAATCATTGAAAGGGTTATCTCCACACACCGCTATTTGTTCGATTCTTTTCCAAATGGATGTCAGTCAAACCCACTAGGAAGTTGATCTTTACGCGTCATTCAGTACAAGCTCGTGGAAGGGTATGGAGTACAGGTACGGAGTATTCTGTACTTATCAAGCGACGGTCACATCGACTAGCTTGCGCCTACTGGCTGGATTCCAACTGGGGGTTCGGACTCTTTTGGCGCAAGGTGGGCGCAACGCCACGTATCGGGACAGCTAAGCCACGGAATGAGACATCAGCTTGAATTTGGTCAGGACTCAGCGGGAACACCTGGCTTATGAAACTTGATCGCCAGTGTGTTGGCCAAAAAAAAAGCAAAAAAAAGCAAAAGAAGGACAGACAGAAAATAAATAAAAGGGGTCAACGGTCGGACTGTCTGGCTATCGGCATAGTTTTCTCGCGATCGGCATATTTTTCCTAGGTTTCGGTGGTGGCAAGCTAGTGGGGTCCCGGATATATTCGGCAGCTTTCAATAAGAAGCGGGGTATACCTGAGTTCTTTTGAAGAAAGTCAAGCGAGGGAGATTATTTATAGAGCAGCGATCACTAATGGCCTTTCCCACCGAGTGGAAACCTAGGCTAGACATGAATGTGGATGAGGGAACATCAAACGAGCCTTCTGCGTCGAGGGTATCCCCATTGGCTATAACGGCACGAGCACCTCCTTTCATATGCGTTGTTCGCCGCCGCAGATGTAAAGTGGAGAGGTGGGCTGAGCTGGTCGGCCAAAGGGGAGCTGAGGAGGAGGAGGAGGAGGAGGAGGAGGAGGAGGAGGAGGAGGAGCTGGACACGAGAGCCAAATTCGTTCTTTGACCGAGATGGCCGTCTGCACATGTGTGTGCTTGGATTTTATGTAGCGCTTGGTTGAAGAAAGTGACTTCAGGATAGAAGAAATCGCCACCGTCACGACCGAAGGAACCAGCTGTACGAGCAAGTTGTTATGCGTGAGAGAAATGAGGGGGCCCAGCAGCAGGCCGGCCGTAGGTTTTGTATTGACGATTGTTGAAGATGTGGCATGTCGCTGAGGACCTGATTCGATTCCAAATAGTGGGCCTCCTTGTGGTCCACAGATGCATCATGATAGCGTTAGAGAAAAGCGACAGTTTCATAGATTATGAGCTCGTTGAATGAATTCACACCGGGGACGCGATTCGATGTAGAAAGCGACCAGAAGGCTTCAAGAGAGGTGTCTGTATAGATAAGAAATATGAGCTGTGGAACCTTCCAGATGGAGATATCGCGACAAAAGAAAGCACACGAAATGGCGTATAGCCCCCATGGGTAGTTGGCAAATGAAAATGCTGAATTTTTCCAAGCTTGGTGCTGTTCTGTTAGAATTCTGTATACTGCTAGTAGTAGCACTTGAGGTTGGTAAAAAGGAATTGTACATGTAGGTTCAAAGTTTGGTTATAACAGTTCCACTTGCAACATATTTACATACATCATTCTCTGTCACGTTTCTATCCTTCTATGCATTGATGGCAATGTAATCACTGGAGAAACTTTAGGAGGGCCATCATGCTGATGACCACACAGCAAATATGATTAAAAAAGACGGAAGATCGTCCAAGATTGTGTAAGGCGAAGAAAGACAAAGCTTATAAGCAAAATTTTAATCTTTGTGAAACACAATATAGTACATCATAGCATGAGGGACTCACATCAAAAGCTCATGGTCTCGAGATATGGAGTCTCTCGTCGAGAAGGATCTGCTTGAATTTGGCTTCAAGTTCATCTGCGGAATTTTTCTGTGGATATCAACAAACCTGCAGTGGGGTGAACTTATTCGAATCCAAGCTCGTCGAGACAGTTCCCGTTTCAACTATTCAGACTTAAAGAAAACAATAAAAATAACTTTCATTTGTTAATTGAAAATCCAATTTCATAAAAGTATCATAAACATAATAGAGCTCTTTCTCAAGCCCATCTGACATGCTCCAGTAGGCTATGGAGCAGTTGATTGGTTGGGAGGGGAAAAGGCGGAATTTGCCGAAGGTAGAAACTACGGTATTAGGACTAGCGTTGAGCATAAGTGGATAATTAGGTCACTTCAAATTAATGAATAGCCGCAGTGGTAGCACACTCACTTCTTCCTGGCCCTGGATGCATAGCAGTATAATTACTAGGGTCCAGGAACAATTGAGAGACGGAGGTTCGATTCCTTTCGGCGGTGCTTTTCTTTTTTTTTCTTCCTCTTTATTGTTTTTCTTTGAACCCTGCATTCTTCTCCTACCCCAACAGGCCAACCCCACTCCACCTTAGTACGAATTACGGCATACAAATTACCACCGGTCTAACCAGTTAATCTGTCACCAACCCCTTCGATGTCCTTCTATCCTCCGGGATGAGACTACGAGTCTCTACCCAATGCCGATGGGAAACAACTCATGACTCTCCCCAATGACCAGCACACGACCCTATTTCACGGCTTGAAAGAAACATACGGTGAAGAGAGCTTCCATAAGATCTCCAAATAAGTGCCGCGTCGCGAACCTTCCATGATCTGATATACGTTCTGGAGAGTATTGCTCCAACATAAAACATGGGACTGGGGTTTCGAATGTCACTTAGGAAGCTTCCTGGTCTACTTTTGTCAACTCCTGCAACGGTCACAACCAATCAACTGAAAAACAGTCAAAAAAAAGTCCGAGAATACCGAACTACAAAAGGACCGGCTATGATTGCGATTACACAGTTTGCGACCTTCATCTGTAAAGCTTCGTTTGGACTTTGCGAAGGTGGCTGGGTGCTATTTGAATACTTGGAAGCACGGAGCATATGTATACTCAGTAATAAGTACTCAAAATGAGTACCTACTACTCAGTACTTGAGATAGATATTATACTCACTTTGACTGAGTGTCTAGTACTTTCATCTCCTACTTTTTAACCACTAAGTGGGGTAATCATGCAACGGAAAAAACCACAGGCACAATTGATGTAGTAAAGGGGAAGATGCAAAGTTGTGCTACTAGTGATGGTAAGTCTTGGCACTTAGTTAGCGGAGAAATGGTATTTTCCGATTATGAATCCGCTGACAGATGGCTGTCATACGTGTCTTGGCAACAATGTTGCCCTGCTAATAGCTTATGTGATCCGCCTGGTGGGGCTTTCTCTCACCGGTTTTTCCCTTTACACCAATCATGTTTCTTTATATTCACCTTTTCTTCACCTATATCCAGATACTCCGACAATTTCAACCAAGCCCCGAGGGTCACGTTGCTGACAAGGAGATTATTGTCACTTTGTAAGACGCTAAATGTGAGCCCTGCATAATTTCGGGATCATGAGGGTTGCCGACCCGGGAGTTTGATGAAATGTTTCGCACACTTCACTTTGCCGACGGTTAATTTTAATCTTCAAGTACACCCGAAGGGGCGGTTTCATGGACGATGACCCTTAGCGACAGTGCTTCGGTTTCACATCGTCAGCAGTTTTCCCGGGGTTGTGGGCTGGGTTTATTCCTTGGAGGATATTCCAGAGCCATCATGGTCAGGTATAATCTCTGTTCAATATTCTCGGTCTTATTATTGTATTTATATTCTAGCAGACGTTGATTGATGATGAAATATCGTCTGAAGGCCTTTCATCCATGTCAAGATCCTGAAGAAGTGTCAACATCGGTGATCCAGAGGCGTATCTCACCTGCAGTAGCTTTGACTAGGGCCTTGGGGTTTCTGGTATGCGAAGGGTCCAATAGGGTGGAGTCTTGGCAAGTATCTGGCCAAGCCAACAGTGGGAGGAATTGCTCCTTTGCAACTTTGGAAGGCTGTCGCTTCGAAAATCCTAGGACTCCGGATTTTTTACTTCGCCAGTGTTGTCATCTTTGCCAACATTGAAAGTAGCCTCCGGTCAATTTCGCTCACCTCTCCGGAGAATTTTACCGATAACAGGCTACCCTCCCATTACCTATAGTTAGGACTTGGGGTCTTGATGTTTGTCATAATTAGATTTATAACGTATCGTATAATACCAAGATTTAAAGTGTATTCCAACTACACATGTGCACTCTACAAAATTGCCAGGCATAGGTAAGCTCCGGGGCTTCATCAAATCGGGATCACGACATTTGATCACATTCACACCGACCGTACCGTTGGAGCATAGAATTCATAGAAATCCTGATGAAAATGGAAATTGGTAAGTGGATACTTGTTGGGTTCTCGTATTGATAGTATTGATATAGGCAATCCAGCGGTCAATTTCATACCCTAGTCATGCAGGCCAAGACTCTGTGGCAACCCTCTCTAGATGAACTTCGTGCACTGGCAGCAGTTAACACGGAAATCTTGAAAGTGACGGGGCCAAGATGGTAAGCAGTAAGCAAAATGAAACTTAGCAAATATTTTGTCATGATTACCTAGTGGATGAGTGGACGATTTGAGCCCGACGAAGACCTCGGGAGAGCATCAGGGCCAGGAAACACGGCTCGGTGATGGGTATAAAGAGGGTGGCATTCCCACTATTCTCTGGAGATATATCAAGACATTCAATCTGCATAAGAAAGCAAGCTCAAGTCTCACTCATCCTTCAAAAATCATCCACAAAGATGTATATCTCCACTGTCATCAAGACTGCTCTGTTCCTTGCAGCATCCGTCCCCGTGCAAGCCTGGAACAGGCTGGACAAAGACAACGCTGTACGAATCTCCAAATCCTCAACCCCAAGTCCCAAAATGCAATCTCTAACAGTCCAAGGCTCTCCTGGTTATCGATCATCAAGTTGGTCTCGCTCAAGTCGTCCGTGACTATTACACGAATGACTTCCGCAACAACATCCTAGGCCACGCAGCGCTGGGAAATGTCTTCAACCTGCCAACGGTGCTGACCACTTCCTCTGACCAAGGCCCAAATGGCTTGATGGTGAAGGAGATCATCGACATGCACCCGAACGCAACCCTTGTGCGTCGCCAGGGCGAGGTCAACGCCTGGGACAATGCCGAGTTCCGTGCCGCCGTGAAGGCCACTGGCAAGAAGCAGCTGATCATTGCTGGTATTGTGACTGAGGTCTGCACGTCTTTCTTGGCACTGTCCCTTGTCGATGCCGGGTATGAAGTTTTCGCCAATACCGATGCTAGTGGCACATTCAACGTTCGTCTCGCGGAGGATGCGAATCGTCGCATGGAGAAGGCCGGTGTGACGCTGATGGGATTGTTTGGTGTCGTCTGTGACCTTATGCGGGATTGGAGAGGCACCCCTGGCCTCAATGAGGTGCTGCCGTTCCTTGACAAGTAAGCATTTCTTTCCTCCGGACTTCCACTGTGCCGCAATTGCTGACCTTTTGGATACCAGATACCAATTTGCTTATGGTCTTGTTGCGCGTCACCATGCTGGGTCTATCCAGAATGGAACTTTGTATCCCATTGAGCAAACTTTGATTTGAATGGTAAGGTAGATGTCGAGTGAGTGATGAACGGGAAAGTCGCTGTGGTTACTGAGGACCGATATTGATGGGGGGGAATCATGTCTTCTCGTACTTTTGTGTCGAAGCGCTGCCCAGCCCTCCTCTTTTTGATTTTCTCTCTTCAGTCTAAGTTGATCGTTAAATGGACTTGTTTAAAGGTCAAAGTTCCTTTCCAAACAAATTTTCAGAGCGGCTGTGATAAGGAAATGCGATCTGAAAGGAAGGAAGAAAGGATAATACGAAGTGAGGTAACGCTGGAAGCTACGCATGCGGGGCTCCAACGGTGGGCCTCTTACTTCTTCCTGGCCGGTTGAATGGCGCCCAGAGAGTCACAGTACGTCCCTCACTAACTAGTAGGCTTGCAGTCAACTCCAGAGCGACCATGATCGAGCCCGGCAATCTAACAACAAACGGCCTGGTCCATATAATTGATCACGTTCTCCTTCCTCGGCCGGCAATATGCTCTCTCTCGGCCAATTTAATTGGTGGAACCTCTGCACTGGTTGACAAATAAGGGCGTGGATGAAATTGACGCTGAAGAATATGATGGTTACCGAAATTGATGGCCATTTTGACCTCCGAGGAGACAAACTATGCTGGTAATGTATCTCCAAAGAGCATACAGCAAATATCGGAGGTCATGGAACAGACTTGGGCTAATGAGACATTCTGGTATTCTCTGGCGCTATCTATCCCATCCGGTCTCTCTACATTGTTTTATGAACACATACAGGCTACAGCCCTGGTTTTCGAAACACGGCTCAGCCGATATTGCTGAAATTCTGCCGTTTTACTGGGTAAGAAATGTGGGAAGGTTCTCGGCGACAAAGGTAAAGGACAAGCAGAATTACGATACCGAGCTTCGTGGCGCTTTCGGTAGTCAGTGAGAGAATTCAAATTTGGCTCTGCAGGCGCCAGGGTGAAGCAGTCCCATCAGGAGTCAGAGGAGGCGAGATTATCGAGACCTTTAGGCTTTGGCCATCTTGAGTCTTGAGTCTTGACACCGACCGCCGCTGTCCCACACCGGCTTTACGTACTGCCAGTAACTGCGCGTCACTCGATCAGCCCCCCGAGAACAAGAACATCAACATGAACCCAGGCTGGAGACTCCCTCGCCCATTCTGCAAGCTCATCAATCTTCATCGAAGAATTCAGAATACCTCCCCTCGTCGATCTTCATTCACGTCAAATAATAGCTATGATCACAAAGCCTTTCCGTCACTGCACACATTTCGATGCCTTTACACCAAGGTTGAGTCGTCAGACTCACACCTACCAATGGAAGATATATATTATCCTGAGGTAGATGTTGAATATCTCGAGGACTACGTGCCCGGCGGATACCATCCAACTCTCATCGGAGATACGTTCTGTAGTGGCCGGTACACTGTCGTTCACAAGATTGGCTTTGGTGGATATTCAACGATTTGGCTAGCCCGGGATCAGCAATGCCTGCGCTACGTATCGCTAAAGATACTGACTGCGAGAGTATCATCAGATAGCCACGAGAGGGATATTCTCCACTGCCTAATGAAGAGTGACCATACTCACGCTGGAATGCGATTCATAGCGCCGCTACTAGACCAATTCTCGTTTAATGGTCCAAATGGACATCGCTGGTGCTTAGTCGGAAAGCCTGCCAGTGGGAGTATTGCCCAGTCTAAAGAGAACAGCTTAAATCTCATGTTTCCACCGAACGCTGCTAGATCTATTGCCGCCCAGCTGCTCTTGGGGTTATCTTACTTACATGCAAACGGCATATGCCATGGAGGTAAGGATAATTAGACTGTGTGTATCTTATTTTCTGATCCTATATACTAATTACAAGTAGATCTTCATTTACGTAACTTTCTCCTATGTATACCTGACTTTGATAGCCTAAGCATAGCTGAGCTATATAAGCGCTTCGGTAAACCCTATGAGGTTCCTATCCGACGAGTAGATGGAAAATCTGGCGAACCCCACGCACCGCCGCATGCCATTTACTCCATGGTCTTAGGCACGCCTGCTAACGAGGTGGATAATCCGGAAATCATTATCTCGGACTACGGAACTTCCTTCAATATAGCAAACACACCCAAACCAACTCTCCACACCCCAGCGCTCTATTCTCCACCAGAAGACTTTTTCAACGAACCCATCATTCACCCTACCTCGGCTGATATATGGACCCTAGGTGTCAATATGTACGAGGTCTTAGGCGAGCGTCCACTCTTCGAAACATTTGCCTGCGACCGAGATGATATTGTCGCCGAAATGATAAATACACTGGGCCAACCGCCGGCGAGATGGTGGAAATCTTGGCACAAACGTTGCGAATTCTTCAACGAGGATGGGTCATGGATCGATGACTTTCACCGTATAAGCACCCTAGTCTTCCGGCGTCTACACCAGCGCCTCTGGGACATGGGGCGTGGCGAGACACAGCAGACGTGTGAATGGGACGTTGCAGGTGGGGAACTACGTGCGTTGGAGGACTTACTTAGAGCTATGATGATGTTTGAACCGGCAGAACGACCTACAGCGGACCAACTCCTGGGGTCTGAGTATATGGTGAAATGGGCGTTGCCCGCATGGGAGAGGCAAAAGAGGCAGAAGAGGCAGGAAATTACCCACCCTGCATGCGCAGATCAGAAGGATTAGCAAATGCAATTCTGGAGAAGTATAGAAGTCGGCCGTGCCTTGGACTTGGTGCTATTGATAATGTAAGGTGCCAAAGAATCGGAGAGCTGAAGCGGACAAAGGTGATGCAGACAAGGGTGATTTCATAATTTTATACCTATTAAGAGGATCGGCGCTTTATTTGCGATCGTTTTCCGGTTTGTATACAAGAAATTGCTGATTGAATGTTCAAGATTCTGCTCTGAGGGGAGAGTGGGCCTTACGTCTACCCGAGCTGATATTCGAAAATCATTTAGTTGGTCCCCAGTCAGAGGACATTCCCCCGAGGGGCTGTTTGAAGATAACAAGAGCTTGGTGGGGAATCCTGGCCTAATGATGTTCTACCCTCCATCAGTGGGGGATCAATGCGGCCGTTGCGCGACTGAGGTTGTATTTATTGACAGTCTATTCATCTCGTACATCAATTCACTTGGAGTCTTAGCACCCGTACCGGTCCATGATGGCCCTAAATGAAGGGTCTCGCAGAAGTTCACTTGCAGTCGGCCGTTTTTCTGGGTGGTAGATGAAGACTCTCGACATGATAGATTGCACATGTTGTCGCTCGACCGGATCAGCATCGGGACGAAAATATGCAATTTTCGCAGCTAGGTCATTTTCTAGATCAGGAGACTGAGACTGATCATACCATGAATCAAGCCCGCCGGGGTGTGTGTAGAGGCCTTTCCACTGCTCAGGTAGTGGGCCTAGGCATTCAACCATACCACTCACAACCCCACCCTCAAGGAATATGGGGAATGGAGGAAATGTAAGGTAGAGCATAGAGAAAATAACCATGTAGCTCCATATATCGCAAGCAAAACTTGGCTCTTGCTTATGAAGTCGATCTGGAGAGCAATAATGCATAGGTGGGTAGCCGCGTTGAGTAGTGAGGTCGCCAATTTTCTTCGCTAAACCAAAATCACAGAGATAGAATTCGTCTGTGCGAAGGTCTTCAGGGAATTTGACAGGGCTCACAAGCTCACCCCTTTTCCAGAGACTTGGATTAACAAATGGTATTGTCTGCTTTAAAGGCCGACCAAGTAAATCATACTTCGCGCCTCTGCTGAGAATATTAATAGGAGCTAGTCCCCACATACAATTCCTTGCGTTTAAATCTATAGCATTTTTCTTAGTATATAAGAAAATAAATAAGAGAATATTAACTTACCACGATGTATGAATCCAGCCTCATGTAAACTTGCCACAGTCTCCAGTAATTGTTGAGCAGCGGACATACGAGAGGCAATAGGAGTCCTTTTTAGCGTAAAAGTGCAGATAGATGGCCCTTTCATAGGGAATACCAAGACCCTATGGTAGCTTGTGATGTCTCGGGGTAGAAAGAAAGTCGCAGTGTATATCACCAGGCGAGAGGTATCTTGTACTGTTTTGATAATCTCATCCTGGATTCGAGTTTCGTTGTCGCCCCATTCCCCTAGGGCCATGACTTTAAGGGCAACGTCTCTCTTTTCCTGCAGGTCAAATGCCATCCAGACAGTTGAGCCACCACCAAAGCCAAGTTTGTGTTCAACCAGGTACCTCTCGTTGAGCACTTCCCCAAGGTAAATGGGATAGAAAACGTTTTCGTTATCCTTTGTTTCATACCTATGCCATGGCTCAACAAGCTCTTCGAGATCAAGTTCCTCTTCTTCATTCTTCACGAAGTCGCCAAAATCTGACGTGTTTCCAGGGGATGTTTCATTGTTCGCCATTCCAGATGATTGTGTGGATGGCAGAGTGGATGGATAATGAGAAGATATGGTGAGGGGTGAGACGTGCTGAGGTAATCGTAGGTGCGATGTGAATCGGGTAGTTAGCGCCGTCAAGTCTATTCTCAAGTCTCTTCTCAAGTCTATTCTCAAGTCTCTTCTCAGGTCTCTTCTCAAGTCTCTTCTCAGGTCTCTTCTCAAGTCTCTTCTCAAGTCTCTTCTCAGGTCTCTTCTCAAGTCTCTTCTCAGGTCTCTTCTCAGGTCTCTTCTCAGGTCTCTTCTCAAGTCTCTTCTCAAGTGTATTCTAAAAGTAACCCATATTTAGATCAAATTCCTTGACATATTCCTATAGGCTATACATAATAAATACAATACGGGCAAGAAACAGGTACCTTGGGCGGTAAAGCTAGAAGTCCAAATTGGGTTATGGCAGAGGGGTGGCGGGTATCGGCCGCCGTACAAAACCAACACAAAACCAACACGCGCTGCACCCAGACGTAGTCTAGGAGCAGATTTGGGGCTTTAATATCCTAACAATCTAATTATTCCCAGAAGCTGTATTATTCCGAACGTTGAGATCAATCTGTCCTAGATATGTTGAACTAGACTACTATCTTTGGTCTGATGAATTAGAGGTTCCAGTAACGTAAAATTATGCAAAACATTGTAAATAGCAGCGGTGGCGCAGTGGTAACGCGTAAGATTGCAAATCTTAAGACCCCGTGTTCGAACCACGGTCGCTGCTCAGTTTTTTTTTTTTTCTTCAGGCGGAAAAATTTAGCAGGGATTCTAATATCTAATGCACTCATTTCATGAACTCATTCATATAGGAACGAACGACCGAGGACCCAATCTTTCACAGCAATCGATTATTGCAACATCCTCCGCGGGGCGATATTGAATGCTGGGCTAAAGCTGGCCCTTTTATTTTGGGTGTATTATGAATTCGTTGTAATAAAAACAAAAAATAGCAGCGACCGTGGTTCGAACACGGGGTCTTAAGATTTGCAATCTTACGCGTTACCACTGCGCCACCGCTGCTAATTATAATAAATGCTAATTTTATACAGCCATATCAGGAATAGACAAAATGAATGAAAAAGAACGAGACCACCATAGTGGAAACTAACTACACGTTTACTACTAGTATGTAATAGAGAAGAGCAATGGAGAAGAACCTTGTTCAACCCAATTTCCTAATTGGGATTACTGCCTCTTCATCACCTCTAGCTTAATTTTTCTCTCCTTTTTCTCCTAGTTTCTTTCATATCCCTACTTTCTTCCAATACACACAGTATTATGCTTGTCCTGTATGCTTGATCCTCCTGTATCCTCTGTACAAACCTTAGAAGCCTTAGACATTTGTTCAATATTTCTCGAAACGGCTAGACTACTCTATAAATATACTAGCGGCGGCCGACAATCCCCGACAGCCTACAGGTCCCACACGAATCTCTGCCCATTCTCGCCCACCCACAACCACTGTCAATTTCATTCAAGCAATCATGCCAGCGGCCGCCACTTTGAAGTCCCCTAATGTATGCGCCAACTGCAAGGCCCGCAAGAAAAGATGTGACAAGTCTCTACCGCGCTGTTCCTACTGCACTGAGTACCATACTGCTTCTACTCCAACCAACCAAGGATTGGAAATACCCGCTGACCTACAACGCCCTTTAGCCATGATCTACCCTGTCTATACCAGACCTTGAATCATAGTCCGCGACATCGAGCAATCGGAGATTCCGCCCTTGCATTCGCAGCCAGTCCTCAGTCCCAAAGCGGGATTTGGAAAAACCCTGGCGTTCTACGAGCTGACAACCCTGTCAGTGCATCGATACAACTACTTTTCGACAGCCTCGCATGCAGCGCGCACATTCCCCGCGGGGCACCGGTCTCGACGGTCGAGTCCACGCTATGCGTCCAGGTTCAGCGGTTACTCGAAACTACGGGGCTTTATCTTGATGAAATCAGTGTACGATACTTCCAGGGTGTTCATACATTCGTACCAATTATCTCCCGACGGCGGTTCCACGCGCGGCTGCTTTCTTTTGGGGCCAATCTCCAGGCTGATTTCGCCTTACTCGTTCTATGCATGGCATTACTTGTCTCCTCAAAAGACTCTTTCGATCTCTTGGGGCCACAAGGGGGCCGCCATATCTACGTTGCCACCAAATCCCTTATGGCCCAGGCACAAGCACTCTGCACGCCGACAACTAGTCTCGTTCAAGCCGGTGTGCTGCTAGCGGTTTATGAGTATGCCCATGGTTATCCGGAGCAGGCTTTTGTGACGATCGGAAGCTATGCGAGGATGGCGTATATAGCCCAGCTACGATCCATCCCTGCTTCAACTACAAATACTCTGCCGCAGACTGATTGGACTATAGAAGAAGAGGAAATTAATACCTTGTGGGGAATCCGGATATGTGAGCGGTATATGCTTAGTCCTCTCTACACCCTATGAAACTATTGGCTTACGATGGTATAGGACGTTTCTTTGTGAGCTAGCGATCGTGGATCAGCCATTAGGCTCCGTGATACCCGCCCAAGATAATTCCCTACCACTCGAGCCCTCTATTCTAGACCAGGGTAATCCTGCGGTGGCGCATGCATCTCGTGTCGCGATCCAGGCGCTGAACTCTCCCGGGGTTGGCGGCTTCGGGCGCAGCGCTCAAGCGGCATGGCTCCTGGATGGGGTGCTGCAGGGCCTATCCAAGACGGATCCGGACCAGAAACAGGCACACCTGACTGAATGTGATCGAAAATTGCAGTCCTTTCTGGCCGTTGTGATGCAGCAGCACACGGGCAACTATGGAATATTTTGTGTTCCAATCGCTCTAACGATCCGGTCTGTTCCTCCCCAAAATTATAATTTTATCTCTCAAAGTAGTCGATTTAATTTGATAGGAACGTGTAGTGCATTGTTTCTTCTTCATTGGCATCTTCTCAGCTCACGTGCCCGAGACTCCCCGGGGGCCTATGACTCGAGCAATATTTCCCACAAGGCCCTGGATACAATTACTAAAATGGTCATTGACATTGCTATCACGCACGAATACCTCCCATTTAGCCAAATCGATCGCCTTCCTCCCAGCTGTCTGTATATCAATCGAGCAGCGCTGAAACACATCAATGACTATCAATCGGTGACCGCAGATTCTCGCCTGCAAACTTTACTCAATCAATTCGAAGCGCGTTGGGGCGCATCGCCAAGTGTGCCTGGAAGATAGCCAGCTTTTCGGGTATGAGGGTCGGCTATGAAATGAGAGGGGAGTTAATTTAATCATCCTTAGATCCCCACAAACTTACATGGATCGTCCATCGGGCGCAGTACCCGCCGTCGGCCGCCGTCGGCCGCCGCTAAAAATCCAAGGTCGAAGGAAGAAAAAATATAATACAAAGCGCCGGCAGCGCCCGCTCGAGTGAGAGAGGGTAGAGGCTGTAGGAACGAACGTTAGATTGTTACAAGTTCTCGGGGGAGCCGAAAAGTGCAAAGATTGAGGGCCGGCGCATTTATAGGACAGGAAAGTGACGAAAGTCTCACTACGGTCCAGTGACTAAAATTGAGGCCCTCGGTGCAAATTTAATTTACATTAATTGGGCTGGTTTGAAGATCATTCTATTGGCCTTGAAGAAATTCCCCGCTTCAATATGATAATCTTGATTACCCAGGCCCACGTGTTACGGCGTGGAAGCGTAAACTGGTGCATGGATGCATTCGATAAGTGGGATCGGGACTATCCCCGCTAATATACATAGTAATCAGGTGATCTGGGGCGGTGACCGCTAGCAGGGTAACACCACGAATGCAGATTAGTGACTACTTATCCCTTATAGAAGACAATCCAAGCAGGCAAATGCCGTGTGACATTGTTACAACTAAATATTCAGGATATCTTCACACTCCTATACCCCATGATCGTAAAAGTTGAGTAATCTGACTTATTCCTTAACTGCCATTGAGATAGCAATCGTTTCGATACTTAGTACACAGTAACCGCACTGGGAACTTAATAAGTACTGTTCATGACGGATAAGCGGCCACCGTCGGTAGTGAGGATTAATCCATTCGAGTAGCTGCCTGCCCGACTCGCCAAATACAGAATGGCACCGGCCATTTCCTCGTCCCCTCCGAAACGGCGAGCTGGAATGAAGCGATCATCATAAGAGGCCTCTTCCTCGGGCTTGCGGCTTGAAACTAGAACCGCTGCCAGATCCGAAGGGTAGACTGAATCGCATAGATTAGTATGTAAATGGATGCATAAGTAAGAAGGGAGAACACACTGCCTGGGGCAATGGCATTGACACGAATACCAAACCGGGCCAGCTGGGTACTGGCATGCTTGGCTACTTGCATGATGGCCACCTTGCTAGTCAGATACGGGGGCGACGAGGTCCAGTGACGGCTGAAGGCCGAGATACTCGTCGTGAAGATGACTTGGCTCTGGATCGAGGGCACATCGCTGCCCTCCTTCAGGGGCTTACCGAACCCGCCCTTAAGGGCATTCTGCGTTCCCGCGTCGAGCAATTCGAGGAATGCAGTCATTGTAAAGAAAGCAGCGGTAATATTGAGATTGAGAGCATCATTCATACCATCCACTGAGAAATCCGTGAAAAGGGATTGACGCAAGTCAGGCAGAGAGGCCGCAGGGTTGAACCGCACGGGGGGTCCGATGCTTCCAGAATTGGCGACAACAAGATTGACGTAGCCCACTTCCGACTTGACTCGATCCACAGCTGCCTGAAGATCCTTTTTGGAGGTCACATCGGCTTGGTGGGGGATGATTATATCGGGATATTCGGCAGCGGCCTTCTCAAGAACCTCCAGCCGACGGCCCAGAATGAAGATCTTGTGGGCACCATTGGCAGCCAGGGCACGGGTCATATTCAGACCAATTCCTGCAAAGTCACATGAGGATGGCTGATACTAGGTACAATGAAGAGAGTGGGACGAAAAAAACTTACCACTGCCACCGCCGGTAATAACGGCCACAATGCCATCTACCCGGAAAATGTTGCTGGAGTCCACGGATGCAGTCATGTTGGTTCCACAAAGCGAAATGTTGGAAAGTGAGATAAGCCTGAAGAGTATCCAAGAATATTGGAGATGCGTGTAAATGTCTGGACTGTCATTTTTATCCAACGTCGAACTTTATATATGTATTGTATTTAGTGGAGTGTGTCTGGAGAGCGGCAGCTAGAAGTCACACATCGAGGATAGAAGCATGACTGCACAGGGAAGCATTCTGACCAATGAGACAAAGAGAGTAAAGAATTAAGGATTGTCTTCGGACTATTGGTAATCAAGATCGTCTTTTGTCTTCCGACAAGGCGGCCGCAAAATAGGGCAGCGGCCGACGCTAGAGTACTAAGCGATCTGGTCTAACTATGGCGCAATCATGATCTAACAGTGAAGCCAGGTCTACCGTTGTGGCGGTGATGGTTTGAAACTGGGAGATTGAAGAGGATTCGGAGAGAACGGGACGAACGAGAATGGTGGAGAGGTTTCAAAATTGCAGGTCATAAGATTGTTGAAGTGGCAGACCCAAGTTTATAATATGGTTACTAGTAACTACTAATGTATTTGTTACGACTCAAGCTGCCGCAACAGGAGTTGATGAGTAAGCTATCGTTTATGCGCTACTAAAACATGTGATCATCATTGATATAATATAAAGTCGTAATGAAAATCTGCCTTGTTAACGAAATCTGCAAGAAAAAGGTGATGACGAGTCTCGCAGGGCAAAGGGGTGGCTGAGCCCAGGAGCTCAGCGATCCGGATCAATAGAAAACTGCCTCACAGCAAGGAAGGTAAAAACATAGCAAAAAAGATTAAACAGAGCTGAGGTAGGAAATTGGGCCTATATACTATATACTATGGCGGCCGATAGAGGCCACCCCTAGGTCATATCCCAATTTCGTGCAGTTTCTAACCTCACCGCCCTGTTTCCCGCCTGTATTGTATTTATCATATATAGGAATATCTTAAGGGATTTGATCTAAATACGGGTCACTTTTAGAACATTTAGACTTGAGAATAGACTTGAGAATAGACTTGAGAATAGACTTGAGAATAGACTTGAGAATAGACTTGAGGATAGACTTGAGGATAGACTTGAGAGTAGACTTGAGAAGGGACTTAAGAATGGATTATATGACTAGGATCTCAGCCTCTCTTTCTTGCCAGTTGTTGTGATAATTTACCTAGAGAAAGAGAAGTAGGTAATACAATATAGCATTACTAATATATAATAGAGTTCAAGGATTTAATGTATAATGCAGCGCTGAACTGCCTGAACATAATGGAGTTCAAAAACATTGAACTAATATGAATTTGGAATTACTCGTAATTTACTTTCTGCCGGTCGGGAAGTTGAAATTGGGATTTGACCTAGGGCCTCTATCGGCCGCCGCACTATATACAGCCACGCACAGGCACGCACAGAGACCGGCGGCGCTAAACTCAAATGGGTTCATAGAGGCAGAATTTTCATCCTTCTCTATACAATATCCGATATGGTGTAGTGGCTAACATCGTCGTCTCTCACACGACAGCCGGGGGTTCGATTCCCCCTATCGGAGTTTCTTTTTTAGATTTTTTTTTCTTCTGAACTTGTTATTTAGTATTCGCCAATTTTTCCTTTCACCCAGCAGCTCACTGTGGGTTGTACCACAGAGACTATGGCGTGCTATTGACTCACTACACCCAACAAGTTCTTATATCCACAAGCTGGCCATGATTAACAGTGAGTACCGACGTGCCAATCCAACAACGAGATCCCCTGGTACATCACAGAGTCCCAGCATACCCAGTAGTATATCAAAGAGATCTCGGACGGCAATATTTGGAAAACGAGGTCCCGGTATACCTAATGCAACACCGAGACACCGTTGTGCATTGAGGATACTAGAATTTTCTAAACATGGGATCCTCTGTCTATGGTGCTTCCATGAATGGCAGTTTTTAGAAAAGTCGTATCACGGAATTCGAGAATGTTTCCTCCTGGGTGGTAATCGACAGAAGGATTGTGACTTGTGAACCAGCACGAAAGCACAGTGTATATGCACTGGTAAGTTCTAAGATACAATTTCAGCTGGGTGAATGGTTATACTAGGTATCCCCAAACATTTAGTAGAGGAACTACTGGCTGCTAAGTATGATTTTGAAATTATTCGCGCCAGGTCCCTCGGGCCTTAGGGTGGAGCCATACCGGCTAAAGCTATAGAGCTTGCGGATTCCTGGGAGGAATTTCAGAGGGTCCTTCGGAGTATGATAATGGAGCTGGACCAGGATTTGGAAAGACGGAAGCGCAGGCATGAGGATTTAAATCAGCAACAGGAATTGGAAGGGCCAGCTGAGAAAGAGGATAATGATGTGGATTCTGGTGAGGGCAATGCTGTTCATCCTGAGAGGATAAGGACATGGTTATTACTGAAAAGGATACTGATATGGGAAGGGAGGATATCATAAATTTAGAAAAGGAGAAATGTCAACCAAGATTTAGAATATATGTACCTCATGCCCAAGAGTGAGTATCAAAGAAAACAGAGCCAAACGCCTAACTCGCCCTTCCCATTCATTCTCTCCCAGTCCGAGTCTGCCTGTCACCAAGTGCTAGCATCCACAAAGACGGAAGACCAAAACATCAACATCAAGAAGACCGCTGCAGCGCCGCCGCAACATCCACCAAAAGCCCACCCAGCTCCTTCGCACCCTCCGTCGCACCGCCCTCAAGCTCAAGCCCCTTAACCAAGAAAGTCTTCGCCTCCTCATACCTTCCCATCTCAGCAAGACACTTTCCAATCCTCCACCAAGCCTTAACATTGCCTACAGGCTTCGAGTCAACGCTAGCCTTGGCATCAACCAAACCCTCCGGCCAATCCTGGTTCCCCATATGCGCCTGTCCACGATTCCCAAACAGACCCGCGAGCTCCTCCCTCGCAAGCGAGACAGGCTCCCAGCCCGGCCGCGAGAGCGCCATGTCAATTGCATACGTGTACAGCTTGATGGCCTCGTCGTAGTTGTTTTTGCGGTAGGCGGCGTTGCCGCTGTCGCGGAGCTTGGTGATTTGGGCACTGCGCTTGGGGTTGATGGGGAGTGGGGGCGGGGGGATGTTTTGGGGGTTTTCGAGGGCGAGGAGGGAGCGGTGGAGGGTGTTTAGTTCGTTGAGCTCGGTTGTCATGAGTGTTGTTTGGGATGGTGTGGGGAGGGATGCTGGGTGGCTGATTGCTTTGGACTGTGGGTCCATGTGTAGGGTGTATTGGGTGAAGAGGTCGATTTCGCTGGCCATTTTGGAGGGTTGTGGACTTGAGTCCGTGTGGTGGGTGGCTTTGTGGTAGCTGTCTAGTGTTGTTAGTTTGAATTGTAGGTCATATATAGTTGTCGAGAAGACGACTAAGATGGGTTTGTGAATTTGGGAGGGAGAGTCTTGGAGGGGGAGCTTAGAATGCATGACGGCATACTAATATACTGACTGTGATAGTTTGTTATTTGAAAGATTGCAGTTTTGAAGCTTGAAGACAATGTAGGACTCGTTAAATGTGCGGCGAATTGACAAAGCGATCTCCGTTGCGGAGCGCAAGCTGTCCAGAAGCATGATAAGGCGGTGGCAGAATAGTCGCTATGGATAGTATCAAATGCGGATCCTACACCCTTTGTCACTCCACGCGGGCAGCTCCACTGGGTTTAAGTAGGTCTTCCTGGTGATTCCAGTGCATGTGCTGACTACCTACGTACGTACTTATTGCCGGAGTAGATCCAGCTATTTCATTTGCAGGGAACCTCGACATCACGGTAAATTTGAGGGCTTGATAGTTGACTAGTTAGTTACGTAGTTTTGCTAACATGACAAAGCAGATATATTTGACTAACTACCCATTCCAAAGTCCCTCACTAGAAGAATTCCCACTTATCCATCCCGAGAACACTTTGGCTTCTATGGCACTTGAAGTCTTAAATATGGATTTCTAGTATATCGCTACCAGCCTCACCTCCACATACTCTCTCTGTGAGCCCTCGGCCATTGGGTTAGACTCACCTGATGACCTACAAACTTGGCCTGATTTTCATAAAGCTAAACTTGGAACCTCTTATGATAATCTGAACATATCGCACCAGCACTTGAGTCGACCCATATATAGGAAACTTGGAGTAATCAATAGACAACCCAAGGCTACGTGAAGTACAGGGCAGAGAGAGAGAATGTAATGTGGAGCCCTCATACATGAGCAAATAATTCGAAGTCAATACTTCAATAGTGAGGTAGCAAAGGCAACTGCTAGCTTCAAAAGATAATTGGGTCTGTCTCAGTAACCACAGGGCGTATACCTGCAGTAGTTTCTTTGCTCGTTGAACCTACTCCAAGCCCCACCATCCTGCAGTGCTAAAGCTGGGTCAGTAATCTATGTTTGTGGATCAATTAAAATAACACATGAATATGTGACTTACATCAAATACCGCAGAAAAGGCCTGAATCGCTCCGACTGGTGTAAGTAGCACTGATTGGCAAGTTGTATTCGGCTTACCAATGATACTGTGGCATTTTCCATGTTCATCATCAAATATCGGACGTATGGCCTGGATGCCCCCTTCCCCAGCAAATACTTCAAAGCCTGCCAATGGTTGACCTCGAAGATCTACCTTGATTTGCTTATGAGGGATCTGATAGCCGAAATAAACGCTTGGTGAAATATCACGGTAAACAAGCTTGAACCCGGTGATAAATGTGTGTTCATCTTCGGCAAGAACGGACACAGCGATTTCCACGGTCTCGGTGGGAATGATGATTGTCTGAGTCGGTGATAGATGATGCACTCCACGACACCGTTTGCAGAGGCCAACAGGAATCGGGGCAATTGGGTACGGGCCATATTTGTGAAGTCTGTCGCATTGAACTTGTCCAGCGACTTTGTCCCAAAGTAAGCCATCAATTCGGGGGTTGCTTTCAGGCAATGTGGTTATTGGGCCTCCAAACATCATACATCTATCTTTGATCCACTCATTATGAAGCCAGTGTAATCTCCGAATACGTAGAGGCATGGTTAGATACTTCATTTTCTTGGTGCAGTGGTACATCACTCTCCAGTCTTGACGACCTCCCTCCAGGAGGTAGTTGAGATATCCTCGCTCCCGATGAATCAAGAAGCGTGTTTTCCAATATCCCTGATCATAGTAAATGTGGACCATAGCTTTAGATGCCAGCCTTGAGTTAAGGTAGTCGGCTGTTGGGAGAAGGTAGGCAATTTCGAAGCGAATTTCGAGGGGCAGTCGACGAAAACAATCACTTGATTGGGCCTCTTCTTTAAGAGAAATTTCGAATGTCATGCTCTCTGCCTTTGGGAAGGACCTTGCCCCGCGTCGGAGACCGATATATCGGAAGTTTTTCCGGTCACGATTGTCAATTAAAGGACCGATAGGAACTAATTATTCCATCGGTGGTTTGAATTTGTAAAATGAGAGCCCGATTGAGATAACATTTGAACATTTGAACATTCGAATGACTTACGGGATTGATACTTTGGCCAAGGTGCTTCTTCAACGACTTTGGCCAATTTATCAAAAGGTACTATAGCTCCGCTGTTGAAATGTTTGATGAACAATTTCCAGCAGTTGATGTGAAATACCAGTACGCAACTTTTGAAATAGCCGCTATGGCAATTCGCACGCCATTTCTCATTATCTACATCACCAGTGCATGATTCGATGGTTTCTCGAACTGGCATTGGATGGATCTTTAGTGATAATTTGCGATAGAATTCTCAAGTTATCAAGTCGTAGTAGGAGAAAGTGCTTACTGTCTTGTACCTCTTCCGGCTCAATAACAATCCCGCAAGATGCGCATGGGGGGACAGTGCCAAAATAGATATACCGTTGATGTTTCTTCTTCGCCATGATTCGGATGAAGTATTGGTTTATCACGCTTCTTTTTGTACTTGCTGGAGGTTCAAATGTTCAAATGTTGATATAGAGTGTGAAGAGCAGAGAATTTGAATGAGCTTTGAAATAGTCAAAAATATTTCTCGAAAACTTCAAATGTTTCACGAATCAAGAGTGTTGTCATGATTTCATCATTCACCTTACATCACATATCTCTCCATGACATCTGGAACGCTAAGAAGCCTTGGGAAATTCTAATCTAGCTGTTCAAATGATGAAGTCGTAGAACTATGGATCAGATAAGACTTTTGCAGGTGCAGGTTCCTTTGCAGAGTCCTTCGGGTCACTCACTGCCTTTAAACCTTTCCGAGGTTTATGGGCTTTTTAGTCGTCAAGATCGAGTCCGTCTAATCGAATGACTCTTCCATTGACGGCTGCTCAACCATAAGCGCTGCCCAATCCAGGTCAGTTTTCAAGGAGTCACAAGGTGTAAAAAAAGAAATTCCGAGTGATAAACGTCATTTTATGGACTGAATTCGTTCAAATGTTTGGTTATGGCACGTGCGACTCGTCGACGTGGATGCGTTTTTCAAAGGAGTACGTACATTATGTAACATTTACTTTGAAAACATGCATGTGCCATTAAGCGTAATTTGAATATATGTATATGGGTAGGTAGTAGTGTATGTATGATGTGTGGTATGTTGTGAATGTTTACACCTGTATGCTCTACTATGTATAGTAAGTAACATTTCAATACATAGTAAGGAATGCATTTTTTAGAAGGTCTGATTTCAAGTTCAAAAGTATTCGTGATTCGCATATACGCTCTATTTGCCTACATCCCAAACAGAACATACAGTCATATAGAAAAGGCAGAACAACCATGGCAGCAGCCTATCCAGAGAAAAACAACAGAGGGAGAAAAAAAAAGCACAAAAACTATGCAACCGCCAACACCGGTCCGTGATCATGTCCAGGACACAATAAAAAGCAGAGTCGCAAAGTTGTTTTAGGGGTATTCGTTGCCAACATCCATGCCTCCAATATTCTGATTCAACAGTGCACACCATAACATCTCTTTAACCTCGTTGTTGGAACCCGCCAACCGTAGAGCCATAATCAGATGGTGTATATGCATCAGCCGGTGGTGGATAATGTTGCCCATGGGCTCCACCATAGGGCGTGCTGTTATATTCAGAAAGGTGGCTGCCTCCGATGGAGGACTCGGTAGGGTCGTAAGCTCCGTGCATTGCCGATCGGCCATTCGGGTTGCCTAGGTCGTCAATTTCACTCTGATCAAGAAGAGCGTAGTCTTCGTCGCGGTCGCCCCGTGTTGAGCCCAGACCACCGGCGCGGCTGGATCGGAAATCATCCTCGTCTTCCTCGAAGTCGTGAGCGGGGTTAGAGGAGAAAGCGGCTTTCGACTGCGCCGCAAAGGTGGGGTCTGAGACAGCGTCTGGGAGGGTACCGGTGCGACGGAAATGCATGACATTGCGGAACGACATGTAGGCAGTTGCTGCGAAAAGGAGGCTATTTAAATGTTAGCGCTAAACTCCACTTTCCAAAGACAAAATAACAAGCCCAGAAAGAAACAGCACGTACAAGATAACGACACCAATGATGGTTGTTGCCTCGCTCAAGCTGCATTTAGCAGCGCTGCCGTAAGCCCAGTTATCACAGCCAGATCCAGTGCTAGTGCTCGTGCTCTTGGTTGTGGTGGTGGTGGCATCGGCTCGGCGGACCTTGGTGGTGGAGCTCTTGGTGCTAGTGCTGCTATCGGTGGAGGTCTTTCCGATACTCTTTCCTTGGGAGACATACGAGGCCAAGCAGGCCCATGCGGTCAACCAGAAAATCGCGTATAGGATATCGACTGTGGCGAAGGCGTAAACATTGCCGAAACGACGGGCTCGAGGCCACATAGGCACTGCCGCAAGATAGACCAAGGCGGGAAGACTGATCCAACACTGATCAAAGATGTTAGCTGCTGACCTCAGATTTCCAGACCCCAAAGAGGTCGCATGAGACTCGAAGGATTGTTTCGGAGTCAAGAGCGTACCAAGATCCAGTACCACACTGTCCGTCCATCGATGCCATCGCCCTTGGTCCAGATAGCGATAGTAAGAGCCCAGGCGAGGAAGATGATAAATCCTTGTGCGAAATGGAGGATGTTCTTCGTCCTCCCCAAATTACCGGACGGTCGAGGGAGCTGCATATTGAATGATGGAGGAAAGAAGACTGCAAGGGCGGGATCAGCCCTTTCAAAGAATCACCCGACAAGGGGGCCTTGACGAAAAAAGATCCAGGATCGCAGGGAATGTGCGATGTCCAACCGGAAGCAAGTCGGGATAAAAGTGGCTGTCAGACGAGGAATGGGGGGGAAAGACAGATTTGGAGTTCCGGAGACGCGCAGTGTTTTTCTTGGCTTTGCGTATCAGCCTCGTGGGTGTGAGACCAGGTCTTTGTTGCGATTCGAAAAATGCGCCTGGATAATAATGTATAGGGATAATTGATGGTAGGTTAGTGGTACAAGAACTACAAGAATATACAGGAAGTGGTCGGAGAGGAGAGGGTTAGGCAATAATAATGATTGTTCTTCTCTGTGATTCCCGACGATCGCCCAGGCGACAGCCCGTGTGGTTCTATTTCGGGCGCTTCAGCCACGGTGGATCCAGAACCAAAAGTCCCGAGGACCTGAGGTCATAGTTGAAACGAAGATTTTCATATTTTGCAATCGTGTCGAATCAGAGTCCTTATATCCTGTGGCTGAGCCTGCTAATTGAAATTTATTACTATCTACAAGTACCATATGGATCCACTACCTAATAAATACACACAGTCAACTGGTAGTAGGTACCAGTCCACCTGGGCAGTTGGTTGAATCAGCTTCAATGTTCGAAGGGTAGTACAATTGGTGTAAAAATTTGAAAAAAGGAGTCACTATAGGGCATCCACCGATCGCCGCTATAGCAAGCACAAGTAGATTTCAAACGAAACAAAAACCAGACAATGGAACTAATATATAACCCGAAAAGTCATTGAGTGTCGTGATTCATAGTATTCGTACATCATAATGTTCATCCTGCAAAGGGATTCGCCGTCAATCCCGCTGCCCTTGTTTGCTTCATGAGCTGCCAAATCTCCCGTAGGGGCTGGTATACGTGGACATGCCACCACCAAGGTAAAGGGTCGTTAAGCGAGAACTGTTCGTCCTTCCAAAATAGAAAAGGTACCAACTCAGCCTCGAGGATGGCAAGCACCCGCTTCGCAAAATCCAATGACACAAAAATGGAGATAAAAGGAGACACAAGATCCCGATCGATGATCGTGGGCCGGGAGCGTGGGCTGGGCGAGAGAGTCGCAGGTACGTTCCAAGAGGCAGGCTCGATTGGCTGTTGAGATAACACAGAAAGATAGCCTCGAACTGGGCATCGTGCATCGCGGAGAAGGTTTTCCAAAGCTAGGGCTCCAGGGACGCAATCGGCGATATGAATGGTGTGGCGTACTGAAGATGTGTCGAATTCTTCGTCAACCAGGAGCCTCACCGATAGATGGCCCGTCATCCGTGCACCACCCTTCTCGGCAAAGGTTTGCATGAGCTGATGTACAGCTTTCGCGAGAGCTTCGTCCAGTGGTGAGGCACCCCAATGAGGGGATCGAGATTCGGCCAGGCGAACCTTGATGGCGTGGACATAACCCCGCACCACCAGCACATCGGCAAAGAACTCCCCAAGTCGAGTTTGTTGCTGAAGAACCCACGGGGAGTCCTTTGATATCTGTATTTCACTAACCTCCGAGTATGTCTTGCTAAGGGTACGCTGGGGTAGAATCACAGCCGCGCCGGGGGCTTCTGAACTCAGACGCCGTATGTTGTAAGATTTGGTCGGCGACCGGTGCAGAATCTTGTGAATGGAGTCACGCGACTGAACCTGGTGGTACTCGAGCATGGGAAGCTTTTTCTCGGCCAAATATAAGCGAAAAGCGTCTGTATTGCGAAAACAGGCTGTCATTTCTGTATCAAATGCAATACACTTGCAGTTTGTGCGGTTCTCCACAACTTGACGGGCAGTGGCATCTTCCATGGCGGATGCCTTGGGCGAACATGGAATCCACACATCGACCTTTTCACGCTGGATGATGTCCAGTATCCTCGAAAGGTAGTGGTCCTTGCGCACTCGGTAGAATGCGACCAGGGTCTTTGACATGCCCCCACCCGACCGAACGGGAAGATCCAGATCAGCGACGTCAACGCCTACTACACGGTGACCCTCGGCATCCCAAGCACGCGCCAGAGCGAGACCTTGTGGCGTTCCGATTCCAGTGATTAGGACTGTCTTAGGATAGAAATGTACATTTTTTAGGACTTCCTGGCGTCGGTTTGGTTTCGAGCGAAAACGAAATCTGGCGAGGAGGATGGTGGCGAAGAGAATACAGTTGTCGAGGATCAAAAAGGTCAAAGATAGGTAGACTCGCAAGAAGCCCTTCCCCAAGGCAAGTCCGAGGGTCTTCATTGAGAGAAACAATCGGTGGTTCATGCCTGGAACCACCATTGTGAGAACCAGCAAAATGAAATGTTTGAATCCTCAAGATGGATTGCACTGGAAGCAAGGAGAGGCTGGAGAGCTGAGGTTCAGCCCAATTGAGGGGCTGATCGGCGGGGGCAAAGTCACATCTGCAGATCAAGATCGTGCTACGGATACAACCTCAATGAACCTACAGTTAATCCGGTCCTACGGTGCATGTACCATGTACATGTGTCGACAGTATTAAATCGGTGGATAATAGTTTAAAGGCCAATAGCAGATTAATCTCGGTTTCGGATCTTACCAGGGAATCCAGGGATCAAGTTTCCGAGGGTTTATCTGATCACTCGGCTTTTCGGGTTTATTGCCTGAACTCCTTAGCTCCGAGCATTCTTGTCAAGTAACGGAGATCGGCATTAACAACCTTGGAAGCCTTGCACCAATCATCGATTCAAATGTTCGGTGGATTCGCTTTATCTTCGCTCTTTTGACTCTTTTCCAGACCGAACTCATTCGGGCCCGAGGTACTGACGCATCCTCTGCCCGCCACTTTGGCAACACATAGCTCTTAATATATTATGCGGGGCGTTCTCCGCTCAACTTTGTCCCAGAACCGCTGTTTATATTCTCCCCTTTGGACTTACAAGTGCACTTCTACCCCGCGCTTTTTGTTTAATCTTGAATACAACACTCGTGCCATTTCATTATCTCCTGTAACAATGTCTGCACGACCAGCCTCACCCCCCGTTCACGCTCGCCCTGGCGAGACTTCTGTAAGCCTACCCCCAGTTCACAGCGGTTGAATATCGTGAGTCCTACTACTGTGAGATCGACGGAACCTAATCAATTCTTTCATTTGGCTATTATAGGAAGAGGGTCACCGAACAACAAGACTTCTTCGTTGGGTCTTTGCCCAAAGCAACCTTGACGAAGTCCGGGGGCACCCCGACAAGGTCTTGGCTCTTATCGATGAGTTCAGCAAGGATGAGCGTATGATGACTGTCGGTCAAGGGAAGGGTAAGGAAGTCTTGGATGTAATCGATGAAGTCAAGCCAGAAACCATGATCGAACTTGGCTGCTTCGTCGGCTACTCTGCCATCCTATTCGGTGACGCCTGTCGTCGCAATGGTGGTAAGCGTTACCTCAGTCTGGAATACAACCCAGAGTGGGCCGCTATTGCCAATATGCTTATTGAACTCGCGGGTTTGCGTGACTTCGTCACCGTCCTCGTCGGCCGCAGTGACGTGACCCTTGACAAGCTCTACCAGACTGGCGATGTCAAGAAAATCGAACTGCTCTTTATTGACCACTATAAGCCGGCCTACCTGACAGATCTCAAGCTCTGTGAACACCATGGCATGATTGTTCCAGGATCCGTGCTGGCTGCTGACAATGTCCTCTACCCGGGCAACCCGCCGTACTTGGAGTACGTCCGCAGTACTGTCGAGGAGAAGCGGGAAGCGGCGAAGCAGGGCCCCACCAAGGGATACAACACGGAAGGCATGCGCGAACGCACGGTGCAGTCTTTCATGCCCGAGGGTGATGTGCCGTTCCTCGAGACGGTCGGAAATCCCAATCTTGTGTACAAGAGTGAACTTCGGCAACCGGAAGGACACCGGGTGAGTTCATATGCCAACTATGAAGAACCGCCTAGAATGTTAGCTGACATAACAAAACAGGATGCAATTGAAGTTACGCGATGTGTGGGTGTTCAAGAAGCATAGAGAGAGAATCAGGCTAAATGACGTGCGTGGGGTCTTTTTTTTTCGTTGTAAAGCGGTACTAGCCGCCCGGAAGGTCCAGCCAGAAGAATCCCAGACAACATAGTGAAGATTCTTAAGAGAAAGAATGAAAGGAAACAGATTATCAATCATCCAGCAATAACCGCACCAGAGTACTCCGAGTAGAAATAACAAAGTCTGTATACAGACAGATGCCGACATTTTAACCACATCGGGAGGCCGACAAGAGACGGTATTACGGCATTTGTCAAGTGCTCCGCCCGAGCCAAAGGTTGCCGTCGCCAGGACCTTCCCCCGCATCGGTGCTGCAATTCCGTGGGGCACTTATATAATTCCACTCCCTTCTCTTCATTCACCCTGCTCTATAACTTACAATCCTCACTTTCATTCTCACTTGATTTTCAAAATGGCCTCCAAGACCTACAACGTCGGTATCATCGGCTACGGCTTCAGTGCCAAAATCTTCCACATTCCCTTCGTCGCGCAGATCCCCGAGCTCAAGCTCTACGCGGTCGTGCAGCGCACCCCCAAGGCTGACGATGACGCCGAGAAGGACCACCCTGGTGTGAAGTCTTACCGTACCACTGAGGAGCTGGTTCAGGACTCCGCTGTCGACATCGTGATCGTTACCACCGCTCCCGAGTCCCACTTTGCGCTCTGCAAGTTGGCGCTGGAGGCTGGCAAGCACGGTTCGTCTTCAAATTACTCAATTGAGTCAAAAATTTCGCTAACAGATCATACCTAGTCATTTGCGAAAAGCCCTTCACCCCCACCTACAAGGAAGCTGCCGACCTTGTCGCAATCGCTGACAAGGCCAACAAGTTGCTCGCCGTGTACCAGAGTACGTCACCGAAACACCCCCCACCACCTGCCAACTCTTTTTTCCCTCTCCCACCTTTTACAAGCTCAAACTAACATTGATCCCAACAGACCGCCGCTGGGACGCCGACTACGTCACCCTCTCCAAGCTCGTCAAGAACGGTTCTCTCGGCCGCATCTCCGAATTCGAAACTCACTTCGACCGCCACCGCCCCGAGGAGCCTGCCACTGATGTCTCCAAGTGGAAGAACAAGGTCGTGCCCGGTGGTACCGCTGTGCACGATCTCGGCAGTCACCTTCTGGACCAAGCCGTGCACCTCCTCGGCCTCCCCCAGCGCGTGACCGGTTTCGTCGGCTCTTCGCGCGAGGTGAACGCCTCCGGCTTCGAGGACTCCTTCACTGTGCTTCTGCACTACGCCAACGGCACTCTGGTCACCGCCAAGGCGACCGTCGTCAGCCCCGAGGAGGAGCAATTGCGATTCTGGGTCCGTGGTGACAAGGGAAGCTTCAAGAAGTTCCACCTTGATATCCAGGAGGACCAGCTCAAGGCCGGTGTTAAGCCTGAGGATAACGGATACGGACGCGAGCCCAAGGAGCGCTATGGTACTCTGACTACCATCCAGGACGGCAAGCCTGTTAAGGAGATCGTCCCTACCGTTGAGCCTCCTACCTACACTGAGTACTACCGGAAGATTGCTCGCGCTCTTGCTGGCGAGGGTGAGCTTCCTGCTAGTGGTGCCGAGGCTGCTCAGGTTATCCGGTTAATTGAGCTGGCTCGTGAGAGCTCTGCGACTGGCCGGACTCTGAACGTTTAAGTGGAATACATGTATGAAAAATCTTTGAACGAGTTTACGATTAGCGGCAGATAGAAAAGAGAATCGGATCATTGTTAATATTCAGCCAATTGCATTCGTGGCCCCATGCACTGGAGATTTAACTTTTTTTGTCTATGCCACACATGAGTGGACTAGTTGTTCCAAGTTCATAACAGCCTTGGAATGTACCTACTAGTTCTAGTAGGTAGGATACTCGTACTTGTCAGCAACTCTATATGAAAACCCGCCACCTATTGACACAAAATCTCTTCAAATGAATGAATCAAAATCTCTTCAAATGGATATTCATTCCTCTCGTCTCATCTCTAACTCCGCATATGCAAACATTTGAATCTGGCGGCGGGGCTTAAGATTTGACAGCTTGCACAGTGACAAAGAACTAGAGGACCGTTGGAAGGTTGCATATCATGACCTGTGCTCAAGTGCTACCTGGATACCGGCATAAGCTTCGCAAGGTTCAAGCGTGCACATGACAAAGACCTCCGGACGGGACATCTGGAAGCTTTCCCACCAAAAACATGCATTGCTCAGCTCCCGATGTTTCCCCTCAGGATCGGGCCCTTGAACCTTGAAAGTATATTCTGTTTCACCTTGCGAGATTGCCACGCGATGCCTCTCTGACGCCAATGCCTTGGATAGGCAGCAACTCAAAAATTACAGCACTGGAAGGTCATTGATCATTTCGCTAAATGTGCTCAGGTGGCTCCCTTGAGGGCTGTGGTGATTACGACGCATTCTCGCCTGATATGTATGTATAGTCCCGTTATTCCCGAGGTCTTTGGTGTCTCGTTAAAGTAAGGAGCTGGTCAATTGCCAAGCCACATCATTCAAACATTCAAACATCCAATAGGGGCTGTTATATTCAAGGTAAACGGTCAAGGCTACACCGTGAGCAAACTTGATAAGAAAGAATGACCCCTCGTACTTTGCTAGTGTGACCGCCTGGTCGTACTGCTCAAATTTGGGATGCATTTCTAGCTGCATGAGTAAATTTGTTACCTTTGATTCCTTGGGTTTTGGTCTGAGACTCAATCCTTTGAACCTGTCGTGGTCAACATGAGGTAGAAAATTTACATAGAGGCAATATTACTACAGTATGCACTTACTACGGACGTTGACAAACAAAAGTCCTTTGGGCCTTGGTATAGGTTCGAAAACGAAAGAAACCCCGCTATACATCGCTTCCTCGGTTCGATGGCAGACCCCTTTGATCTGCATGGTGAGAATTCTGCTAAATGGGGGCCATATGCAGCGAACATGCCCAACTTGGGTTTTATTGCGAGAAGCTGAACGTTTGAACACGAAATGCGAATCCCATCTGGTACTTCGGAACTTCGCGTTAGGTTTCAACTTCACGGCTAGTGTTTCAGGCTCACTAACCCACATGGACAAAAACCGCCACATCTGGCCCCAAACGCTCCCCTATTTATCATTGGCCCGTGCAGCTCTCGGAAATCCTTTTGCAAGACTTACAGCACACCTCTCAAAGGAGGGGCCACGTTTTTCTGTGCAGCTCAACCATGCTGACCACATGGTTGTCATGCAGGAGGAAAGGCCCGAGCAACTAGATTGACTATGAGGTTCTTGCTTTCTTGCTTTTTTACATGTATTCCACTTTTTTCCTCTTTGGCAATTCGCAGACCGCTAAAAGGATCTTAGACCAGTCAGAATATATCAAGGCAGTTATCTGGCCGAAAAAAAAAATTCAAGCTAAAAAAATACAAAATCAATATATTTTCCGAGTGGTGGGACATTAACATTCCCGTACATACTATGGATGTCAGTCTATTACCTGATTTCAAGGTCTTGCCTTCCGAGCCTCAATACTATAATCCCGACTACAATGAAAAGACTTCAGCTGCACCGGTGAACAATGCGATCAGCCTGAAAACAACATCCTCATGGACATACTGCGGGCCCCTCCTAAGTCTTGACCCAGACCTCTTACCTTCATCCTTCACAACATGGGCCGATGCCACCATCAACGGGTCCCTCCTCGACCCTCTACTCTCCTTCCTGGAATTCGTCCACGACTTCCTAACAACAAACAACATATCCAACTACTGGATCACCGTCCGCGCCGACACAGGCTCCCACGAATACGACATCCCAAGATGGCACACAGACGACCTCTTCTTCTCACCACCACCACCACAACCACCAGCAGCAGCAGCTAGACCTCACACACACCGTCGCCGCTCCTCACTAGCCATATTCAACCCACTCCCACTCCCATACACCAAAAGACCAACATCCACCTCACGCCCAAAACACAAAACCCCAGCCCCCCACGAAGACGAAGACAACACCCACCTCCTGAAAGATTACATCCCCCCACCCGCCCAAATAACAACAAGTGTCCAAAACCCCACAAACTGGAAATTAACCACCACCCTCCTCGGCCCCGGAACCCTCTTCATAGAACACGCCACCAGCCCCGACGCCCGCGAAACACAGCGCCGCATCAAGCGCGCCGTCCGCGCCGAGAACCCAGGCCACATCTGCGCCTCCGTGCGCTGTGTAGGCTGCGCTTCGGCCTCCGAGTCGGTGCGGGCCCGGCTTGCGGCGGAACTGGACACTCATAAGGTGGTTCAGGCGCGGGCGGGCGAGTATGTGTTTTTCCGGGTTGGGGAGGAGCTGGGCGCGGTGCATTCTGAGCCGAGGTCGAATGGGGATCGCATCTTTGTGAATGTTGTTCCGGGGTACGAGGCGGATTTGAAGTGTCTTATGGCGAAGTGGGGGATGGAGTTTCCGAGGGCTTGGTGTGTGGGTTTGCCATTTCAGATGGATGGGGGTGTGCATTGGAGGAATGTTGGGGGGGTTTGATGGTGGATTGCTTGGTTTTGCGTGGTGGTTTTGTGTTTCTTGGTGCCTGGTTTATGTCATGCTGGGGGAGTATAGTATTAATTGATGTTTTTTTTTAGCGTGATGACTGCATGTGTATATGGGTCATGATGGTGATTGCTCAGTGCATATGTGCTATTGTATTTTAAGAATTGACGATTCGCGAATCATCATCCGCTTGCCATTTCTTCTTGTTCTTTCTGCAAGATGAAGGAGGTTTCTAGTTCTCATTCATCTCAACTCCTGAGGTCTAGAATTGAATCTTCATACCCTGTCCACGGGGTCATAAACTTACATTTATCGACCTCATCTCTCATTTGGTCCTTCTAGACGCAACATCTGTACGCTCATTAGAAAAAAAGATATTCCTCATTTGAAACAGACGATTCATAAAGCAGTAAATATATGGATATTATTAGAATCCAAAAGCTACTACTAGTATGTAAGTGTTTGTTGATGTAGATCGAGGATGATTGATATCCATCAAAGATGACATCATCGAGCGCCAAGCCACTAACGCCCAAAATGGGTTTCTGTTACTAAATACAAATGGCGGTCTCCAATGTCATTTGAAGGTGGAATTACACATGCATCCTATAACCTTGGAACCCCTGAGAACCTAAGGAATCTTGTAACAATGGACTCCTGTCTCTGGCTTACTCAGCCAAGCGTGAATGTCTTGATGCTCGAACAACTATAATCATTAAGAACAATTTTGTAAGTAATTATATTGGAGTCTTTCCATGACATACAACAAATACAATGATTGGTAGAGTTCGTCAATGACGATGGGGCACATGGACGAGGATCATGCAAAGGAACAAGCCTAGGTTCCTGCCTGAGCAAGCAGGTCCGCGGAGAAATCCTCAAGGCCTGACGCCGTGGACGGCTGAAGTGAGGGTACCCCGTACCCACACGGCAAAGCATCCGATGCCTTTATATGTGAATTTATCCCCGCGGGGCTGATATTTGTTCAAAGTTTTCAGCCTTGTCGACTGATGTTAATCTGAAATACCCCCCGGATATACCAAGCATATGAAAAGCACAGGCCAAAACAAAGCATAGGCATTTCTGTGAACTGCCGTACTGCGACCCCATTTCCCATGGCGGAGTTGGCTCGTGCATCTGGGGTACTTGCGAGAGTTAGTACATGGAACTTTGACATCGATCGATACTTGAACCGGCTGGTTCCAGCGCCGAGATGGCACTTGATACCCAAGCCCGTGGCGCATTTCCTCGGGTATCGGACTGAAACACCCAAGCCACTTGGGAATATTGTCATTGCATTTTGGTCACTCATCGGTGCATTTTGTGGTGTTGCTCTGGTGGCCTCGGTTTCCCAGAATGTGCCATCCTTTGAAGCTCGAGATGCTCCGGCTATTATAGGCAGTTTTGTAAGTCGATGGGAATATTCCGTCACGAATAACGATGGCGCCGTGTGGTATCACCATGCCTATGCTAACCACCAGATACTTTGATTAGGGTGCTGCGGCTGTCATTGAATTCTGCGTCATTGACTCGCCCTTGGCACAGCCCCGAAACGCATTCTTTAGCCAGATGATTGCCTGTCTGGTCGGCGTGGGCATCTCTAAGCTGTTTGCCTTGAGTCCCAATGCCGAGAATTATACTTCTCTTGGGGGTGCCCTGGCCTGTGGACTGACCACCTGGCTCATGGTGCTCACAAACACTGTACATCCGCCGGCGGGTGCCACATCCCTACTTGCCGTCACCAATTCCCAAACCGCGGCGCTGGGCTGGTTCCTGTTCCCAGTGATGATTTTGGGCGTCACGCTGATGCAGGCTGCGGCCTTGTTAATCAATAATATTCAGCGTCGTTTCCCATTGTATTGGTGGACACCTCGTCCTCTCTCACGACCAGAAATCCGAGACATTGAAAAACACAAGGATTCTCCTGACCTTTCCAGTCAATATGAGGACAGCTTAGGCGAACTTCGACAACTAGTGGTGGGAAGAAACGAGATTTTGGTTCCAGACGGTGTATATTTAAGCACAGTCGAAAGAGGTGTATTGGAAATGATCCAAGGGCGCATATAATCGTGAATTTAAGATGATCTGTCAGATATCTATTGTTTGTACACAACTGGATAACTGTGAATCAGGTGATGACGGTTATCAGTGGCAAAAATCCAATTGACGGCCTGAGGCACTAAATTAAAATTGTGCGGTGACGTCGAAACTCCCAATCAGCGTTACTGACTGTGGCCCACTGTAGAGATTTTTTTTTTTTTTGGTTTCTGACTGGGGTTTTTTTGTGTCGAGTAAATTCCAGGGGTGTGTGCACAGTGTCAAAAAAAATTATTATTTAGTCTAAAACACATAAGATCACTTCGAATTGATTTTCATTTTCTTTCACTTTTTTCACCTGCAAATTATAAAACGATTCTGGTCTCTGACGTCGTGGATTAGAGATCCCAGAGTTTTCTATCGATAAGGGCTTTCAGGCACTCCCCACCCAACTCTTTCTCGCCCCTCTACTCTCCGCCCCGCCAGAGTGACGCTCCACTAAGCCTTTTTGAATTTCTTTTGCCCTCAATCTCTTCATTACGGGTCTTCCCATCACCACCTTCCCCTCCTTCTTTCCATCCCTCCCCCTCCCACCCTACTTTTTCTCCCCATACACAAAACCGTCAATATGGTTTCCGCCTCGAAGGCCGCCCGTATGGCCAAGCGCGCCGAGACTGGCGACAAGAAGTCCAAGAAGGAGGCTGACAACAATGGAGAGCAGCCTGCCACCAGCGAGGAGAAGATGAAGGAAGTCGAGAAGCTCACCCAACAGATGGACAAGTACGGTCTGTCCGATCGTGTCACCACCGGTGTGCTGTCTTCCCTGCCGGCCTCTCGCGATGTCAAGATTACCTCTGTCTCCCTTGTGTTCCACGGAAAGGTCCTCATCACTGACTCCACCATGGAGCTCAACTTCGGTCGTCGTTACGGTTTGCTCGGTGAGAACGGATGTGGAAAGTCCACCATCCTCAAGTCCATCGCCCAGCGCGAGTACCCCATTCCCGAGCACGTTGATATCTACCTTCTCAACGAGGGTGCTCCTCCCAGTGATCTCGGTGCCCTTGAGTGGGTTGTCCGTGAGGCCGAGAACCAGTTGGCCAGCATGGAGAAGAAGGCCGAGGAGATTCTGGAGGAGAATGGTCCCGAGGACCCTATCCTTGAGGATCTTTACGACGTGAGTGATTCCTTTCCAGAAACTTGAAGAAAAAAGAAAAAGAAAGAAGGAAAAAAAAACACATACTCGTTATCAGTCACTAACACTATCAATTCATTTAGCGTATGGACAAGATGGATCCCTCTACTTTCCAGATGCGTGCCTCTTTGATTCTGACTGGTCTCGGTTTCAACAAGACCACCATCCACAAGAAGACCAAGGACATGTCCGGTGGTTGGCGTATGCGTGTGGCCCTTGCCAAGGCCCTTTTCGTCAAGCCCTCCCTGTTGTTGCTTGATGACCCCACTGCTCACTTGGATCTCGAGGCCTGTGTGTGGCTCGAGGAGTACCTCAAGAAGTGGGACCGCACCTTGGTGCTTGTCTCTCACTCCATGGATTTCCTGAACGGTGTCTGCACCACCATGATTGACATGCGTATGCAGCAGCTCATGTACTACGGTGGTAACTACGACTCTTACCACAAGACCCGCAGTGAGCAGGAGACCAACCAGGCCAAGGCCTACACCAAGCAGCAGGAGGAAATCCAGCACATCAAGAAGTTCATTGCCTCCGCTGGTACCTACGCCAACTTGGTCCGTCAGGCCAAGTCCCGCCAGAAGATTCTCGACAAGATGGAGGCCGACGGTTTCATCCAGCCCGTCACCCCCGACCGTGTTTTCACTTTCCGCTTCGCCGATGTCGAGAAGCTGCCCCCTCCCGTCCTGTCCTTCGACGATGTCAGCTTCTCCTACTCCGGCGAATGGGCCGATACCCTGTACGAGCACCTCGACTTCGGTGTTGACATGGACTCCCGTACCGCCCTTGTCGGCCCCAACGGTGTTGGCAAGTCTACTCTCCTCCGTCTCATGACCGGCAAGCTCAGCCCCATTGGTGGCCGTGTCAGCCGTCACACTCACTTGAAGCTCGGTCTCTACTCCCAGCACTCTGCTGAGCAGCTTGACCTGACCAAGTCCTCTCTGGAGTTCGTCCGTGACCGCTTCCCCGAGAAGTCCCAGGACTACCAGTACTGGCGCCAGCAGCTGGGCCGTTACGGTCTCAGCGGTGAGTCCCAGACTGCCATCATGGGTACCCTTTCCGAGGGACAGAAGTCTCGTATCGTCTTCGCCCTGCTCGCCATCGAGTCCCCAAACATGATTCTGCTTGACGAGCCTACCAACGGTCTCGATATCCCTACCATCGACTCCTTGGCTGATGCCATCAACGCCTACCAGGGTGGTGTCGTCGTCGTGTCTCACGATTTCCGTCTGCTTGACAAGATTGCCAAGGACATCATGGTCTGCGAGCACAAGAGTGTTACCCGCTGGAACGGCAGCATTGGCCAGTACAAGAAGCACCTCCGCGACAAGATGGTTTCCGCTGGTGCCGTCTAAGCGGTTTCTGGTACCGCTTGTTACCTTTTTCACTTATATCTTGATGACGACGAAATGCTAGACGAGAATCGAAGAAATTACAATGCTTCGCGCTCTAAAAAGTTCAGAATCTGCGACCCGGAATCCATTGGTTGGGTCGAAAGTAACGACTCACGCACCATGGTCCCCCCGCTATTAATGGTTGTTGATTCTTGATTCCCTTTTTATTTTATTTTTCGTTTCTTTTTATCTCACTTAGATCGGTGGTCATTGTCTCCCTCGCACTTCCACTAGAATTGGGGCATCAGAGGGCGGGTTGTGATCTTTCGGTCTTGTTTCCTGGGTTTTTGATTTTTAAAGACGTTTGTTGATGACTCCCCCAACTACCTTTCTTTTTTTGATATATGGTGGGGAAATCTCCACCTGCGTTGAGATTTTCTTTTTTTTTGCATCTTGTTTGATAGAGTAACCAGTCGCTTCTACCCGGACGGCGATCCGGATGAAGCTGGTTCTTGTTTCTGCTGTTCTGGATCGATGTATCTACGGATTCTTCGGGTTTCGAATTGCAAATGGTTTGCTTCTGATAATTTTCAAGGCTGCTCTGTATACATGTAGTAGTTGTAGATCATGAGTTTAGAATAAACAAAGGCTCGAGATGGTAATTCGTATTTTGTATCGAGCGTGTAATTTTCAGTCCGTCGACCTTGTATGATTTTTAGATATTTGACATTTAGATAATAATTAAATATGAGCGCCTAAATTTATTGCTTGGTCCTCTCAGTGACCAGCTCAGGACCAAACATATCCGAAGCGCCACTGCGTGCTTTCTCTTCTAACCTCCGCTTCTTCGCCAGACGCTCAGATTCACTCTCAGATGTCACATTTGACACAGCTTGTGGCTGAGCAGAGTCACGCTTCTGGGCCAGATTAGCCTTTTCAGGATTCTGACAGTGATAGAGCTTCTTCGCAATGCGCTTCAAATCCTTCATCTGACTTGGGTCCGAAGACAAGGTAGTATAAGCCTGGAGGAGGGAAGAGCAGTCTGTCAAGACCTTGTGAAGCTTGGAGCGGAGCTCATAGAGAGGGTTCTGGAGATCCGATTGATCTGCACCACTAGCCGTAGTTGTAGCGAGAGGCCCACCGAGTTTGGTATCAAGGTAAAACTCCGCGAGGGGTCTATCAGCGAGAAGGAGAGCCGAGAGCCAGATCTGTGAAGGTGTGTAAAGGAAGTAGGCGTCTGTCATTTGGGCAGCGGCTTTGAGAATCTCGCGGGTTATTCCGTGGGCGCGAGCAATGCGATCTGATAATGAGGAGGATTGGAAGGGAGGAGGTGCAATGGATTGCAGCTTTTGCAGAAGTTGATGTGGCGATTGGTGTAGGAGATGAGGTCCGGGCTGGCCTTGTCCTTGTGCGATGGCCTGAAGCTCCATGACACCACCTTCTAGTCCACGGAACGGATGGCGGACGTCAAATGTGAAGCGCAGGCCTTGCATGAGCAAGAACTCGGGGGATATAACGTCTTCTGTGGATGTGTCTCCAGGAATACCGTCTGCGAACTGCCGTAGGGACATATAGTAGTTGTCGGTTTTGGTTGCGAGGAAGAGCGCGCATGCCATGATTGATTTCGGGTGATAGGTCATTGGAGAATTGGTGAGGTAAAAGCGGCGGAGATATTGGATTGCAGTTGCCTGTCAGGTATAGTCATTGGTTAGTAGTTGTATCGGAGGACAATAGGCTTTGGTAGATTTATTAGGCCTAAACTCACTCGGACCATCGTCGGCAGTGGCGGCTTGTAAGTTTCGCCTAACTCCAGCGTTTTCTCACAGTAGTAGCGGACCAGAACAAGCTCCTCCTCCGGCGTCAGACATTCTATCTCCTTCTCATTTTGCTTTCCTGCTTCGCTATCGCTCCCTGGCTGTGGTGTTCCGGCTGCAGAAGGCGTAGCAGATGGCAGAGTGGAACGAGCCCGCTGCAAGGCAGCTCGGACCCGACCACTAGCTATTATATTTGTCTTGTCGCGCAAGGCGCTGAGGGACGATGATGTGTATGACCATAATCGGAACTGAGAAGAAGTGCGATATATGTCGTCCTCAATCATGTTGGTCAAAGGATTAATGTCGCACTCCGGAGCAGCGACTGAGAGTCTGATTGACGCGATGGATTTGTTGCTGATGTGGTTTGCAGGCTTTGGGTTTCCTGCAAGTGGAAAGGTGAGGGGATTGCAGGATTGGGCCTTGGAAATCCGGGCAGGTATTCACCTATGAGTAGAAACGAAGACCAACATTGAAAGGTTGCGGCAAGCTGAAGTTGGGCCCAGCTTATCGATAAGAAACCTAACATTGAAGGCGACCTCCGGGAGTCCATGCTCTATGTAGCAATTTCAAGGTTCCAGCCCTCATCAAAAGCAATCTTGATCTGAACTGTACATAGTATGTAGACTACATGGATAGTATTTGTATAAATACTGCCCTCTGCTATGTATTTTCACTTGATAAGTATTCAGATGAAATGGTACACAATTGAAGGGAAACAGATGTCGCAGCCCCTAGCAACCTTGGAATATCTACATCAATATATTTCTCTCATCTCTCATTCAATCATCAAACCGTACCTGACCGCTCATGCTTCCTACTCTCCAAGTAGGCGGTTGGTGACATCTGCCATTTGACCATCTGATAGCTCACGGTCCAGACCTCCATTTCGGTCAATTCCAACATCCTGGAACGCTGATACAACCCGAGCCACGTCAAAGCCCATGCTGCCAAATCGATCAATTAACTCCTTGTTGTATCCGTCATAACTAAAGACAAAGCAGATCAGCTCACAGTGCTACAAATAGAGAGCCTAAGAAAATTGTGCAGATTATATACTTACTGAGCCAGGCTGTTATGGTCAGATACTTCTGTCTCATCCTGACCAGTTGCGTTGTCATTAACGGATGAAGGAGCACCAGCATAGATGGTAGCCCATTGCCTGGCAACTCGGTCAAATTCTTTCGGTGTCCGCATCATCATGTTTGCTACCTCGGCGTCTTGCGGGTCCTTGGGCTCTGGTGTACTGAGCAACGATTGCAAGGAAAGGAGTGCAGATTTAATGGTGAGAACGGGCGACCAAGCACTGGAGAGCGTGTCAAGGCAGATAGCACCCTGTAGATACATTGTCAGTAAAAGTTGAGGCCGAGAAACGATGAATGGTTTGTGTCGTGATTGCTTACTGTCTGACTGCTGACATTGGGATGCCAGACTTTGGTCTCGAACTTCATGACTGGTGGTCGGAAAGGGGTAGTCGGTAGGGATCTTGATATCAATGGTGTATGTACCACCCTCATAAGGCGTACCCGGGGGCCCTAGAAAAGAGCCGCGTAGGTGTGTAATGTCTTCCTGTTCGTTGACAGGCGCCGCGGTAATCTGGGACTTGGTATCGGCATGAATGTCGGCCAATTCCTTGCCAATACGACGCATTCGATTGCCGGCCATGGCTTCGCTGTCTGCCCTTTAAAGAAGAGAAAACCTAGGGATATAAAGGCAAAGGGTGGGTAGTTATGGAGGACCGGGTGGTTGATCGTGTGAGCAATTATGCAATCGGGTCGGAAGGATTGCACGCTGATCTCAGCACTGGTACCTAGTAAAACTCATATTAACAAAAGTAATGCGAATGACTTCATGAAAGCATGGGGCATATATATGAAATGATTTCTGGGTCAAACAACATAAAACAATTAACTAGCAAATCCTAGCATCCTTACCAATAGAGGGGAAGTAGTATGGACGATCAGTTCCAGTCACAGCTTCAGACAGCTCCACTCGGACTCGAAAAATGTTGGATCTAAAAATTGTAATTTTATATGAGCCCGATGATAATACCAAACGTTATAAAGTCCAGTCCGAACCTGAATATTGGCGTTTGATCTCGCATGGGGAATGTTTTAGCGCCGGGGATTGCGGGCAATCGTGGCTCAGGCATCAAGGCACCAATGACGCAGACCACCTGTTTCCTGAGGCAGAAAATAAATCACGTGCACATGGCAACAGCTGCCAGCTCTCGCGGACCCCCGAAGCTGCAACTCGCAACAGTATTGACTTCTCATCACTCCAAACTCGCACTTCAAATTTCCATCTCACTCAAAGCTTGAGATTCTCATAGACTTATACCATCTGCAGACCTTCCCTTGAACAGTTGACAGCAAATCTCTTGCTGGCTTACAAACATGGTTCGTCACCCTGCCTACTCGGCATTCGCTGAAGCTCGCATTCAACTGACATATCATCAAACAGGGTAATCAGCAGTCAAACATGGGCGGTGGCCCAGGCGGTGACGGTCGTGATGATAAGGATAAGAAGGTACGAAACAGACCATTCATTTAGTCGACCAGCTCTCTGACGCCCGAAACTGCAGAAGGACAAGCCAAGATACGAACCTCCTCCACCACCTACCACTCGCATCGGAAAGAAGAAGCGCAAGGCCGCCGGCCCCAGCACAGCATCCAAGCTTCCAGACATTTACCCAACATCGCGATGCAAGCTCCGATACCTTCGAATGCAGCGAGTCCACGACCATCTCCTGCTCGAGGAGGAATATGTTGAGAACATGGAGCGTATGCGCAAGGCCAAGGCTCAAGGGAACGTGGATCCTGCCAGGTCGGGTGATTTGGATGTGATGGATCGCAATGCCGACGAGCGCAGCCGAGTCGATGATATGCGAGGAAGCCCTATGGGCGTGGGTAACCTGGAGGAGTTGATTGACGATGACCACGCTATCGTTTCTAGCGCCACCGGACCCGAATACTATGTATCAATTATGTCCTTTGTCGACAAGGATCTTCTTGAACCCGGCGCTAGTATTCTGTTGCACCACAAATCGGTATCGGTTGTAGGTGTTTTGACCGAGGAATCGGACCCGCTCGTATCAGTTATGAAGCTGGACAAGGCTCCCACCGAGTCATACGCCGATATTGGTGGTTTGGAAAACCAAATTCAGGAGGTCCGTGAATCTGTTGAATTGCCATTACTACACCCTGAGTTGTACGAGGAGATGGGCATCAAGCCCCCCAAGGGTGTGATTCTATATGGTGCTCCTGGTACCGGAAAGACCCTGCTGGCAAAGGCCGTTGCCAACCAAACCAGCGCCACTTTCCTCCGCATTGTTGGTAGTGAGCTGATCCAGAAATACCTGGGTGATGGTCCGCGTTTAGTCCGCCAGATCTTCCAGGTTGCCGCCGAGCACGCCCCGTCCATTGTTTTCATTGACGAAATCGATGCCATTGGTACCAAGCGTTACGAATCACAATCTGGTGGTGAGCGAGAAATCCAGCGTACCATGCTGGAGTTGCTCAACCAGCTAGATGGTTTCGACGACCGTGGCGATGTGAAGGTCATCATGGCGACTAACAAGATTGAGACTTTGGACCCTGCCCTGATTCGACCTGGTCGTATTGATCGTAAGATTCTCTTTGAGAACCCTGACCGTAAGTATTCCTCCAACCCCGGCCATTGTAAAATGCCCCTACTCACCCATTTCTACAGAAAACACCAAGAAGAAGATTTTCACGCTGCATACATCTAAGATGTCTCTCAGCGATGATGTGGATCTGGATGAGTTCATCAACCAGAAGGATGATCTCTCCGGAGCTGATATTAGAGCTATTTGTACTGAGGCTGGTCTGATGGCTTTGAGAGAGCGCCGTATGAGAGTCCAGATGGAGGACTTCCGTGCGGCTCGCGAGCGCATCATGAAGACCAAGCAGGACGGTGGCCCCGTGGAAGGACTGTACTTGTAAGCGCTGATCCGTGTTCTGTCGGAGATGACGCGCTGCCGACTTGTGCGGTGGAGCACTCTTCGTGCATTGATCTGTGTATTTTAATGGACCGCATGCGAATTTATGGAGGAATGGCATACACTCATATACATTGAACCATAACCTTAGTTTTGCAAATCGTCCTGCAAAGCGCTATAGACTCGTAGAATGACTCAAGCTGCAAAGGTGTGATATCTCTTGGGTAATAACTTTAAGCCGTCTCCAGGGCTATTAAATGTAGATGCCCATCTTTTACTTGAAATAGTAGTTACTTGGACTGGAAAGTGATCACCGCCAAAGTTGCAAACACTGCAAACAAGCTCGGCCTTATCAACGCGATCAGAACTTGCGCTAACTTATCACATTCAAATCACCAAAAATGGACGGCTTTGACGAGGAAGCTTTCAAAAAGTTCTTCCCTTCTGGCTTTGGCAAGCAGGAGAAGGAGGTTGATGTTGAGTCGCAAATCAATCGGTCCAAACGGACCGAGGTTGCGGTCCCAAAGCCACCAGCGGACAATGACGCGCAAGAATTAAGTGCGCCTAGCCATGCGGAGGAAGAGAGGAGGCCCCAAGAACCCAAGGTCGCCGATGATGACTCTGACGATGACTCTGATTCAGAGAACTCCGATGACGAGGATGAGTTCCCTGTTTCACATGAGATGGTTCTTCAGACACACGAGCGGGCAGTGACTACTATGACGCTGGATCCTTCCGGGGCCCGACTAATTACAGGTTCGACCGATTGTACGCTGAAGCTGCACGACTTTGCTTCTATGACCCCCTCCACCATTCGCGCATTCAAATCCGTTGATCCCTCAGTTAAAAAATCATCGGCATCACAGGATACGCATGCCGTCCACTATGCTGCTTTCAACCCACTCTCCCCGAGCCACGTTCTAGCGATATCTGCCACTGCGCAACCACGAATTCTCAGTCGAGATGGTGATATTTTGACGGAGTTTGCCAAGGGTGATATGTACCTCCGGGATCTCAACAATACCAAAGGACATATTGCGGAAGTAACAAGTGGAGTGTGGTGTCCCTTCGATTATAATCTGTGTGCTACCGCTGGATCGGATAGCACGGTGCGAATTTGGGATGCCAATGTTGGCCGCTCACAAAAGGAAGTGATCATGCATAAATCAAAGGTAGCTGGTTCTGCTGGCAGGACTAAGATGACCGCTATTGCCTGGGGGTCCCCCAAACAAGGCGGCTCCAATGTGCTGGTTGCCGCTGCACTTGATGGAAGTCTCACCATGTGGAGTGGGAACGGTCCCTATAGGCGACCTACCGCAGAAGTACGTGATGCTCATACACAAGACACATGGACCAGCGGAGTGGATATCAGCTCGGACGGGCGACTTGTCATCAGCCGAGGTGGCGATGATACAATTAAGCTCTGGGATACCAGAAAGTTTAAGACTCCGGTCACAACTATCACCCATACTTCAACATCATCTCGCTTCCCCACGTCAAATATTCAATTCTCTCCGACGTCTGCAAACATCATCGTGGGCTCAGAGACTGGTCATCTGTATATCCTTAACCCGGCCACTTTGAAACCGGAGCTTGTTACCCCCGTCACGCCAGGGTCGCCAGTAATCAGTGTTTTGTGGCATGAGAAGCTCAACCAAATCCTGACCGGCTCGGCTAATGCCGAAACACATGTGCTCTACAACCCGACAATGTCCACAAGAGGTGCAGCCTTGGTCATGTCCAAGGCACCCAAGCGTCGGCACTTGGATGACAACGCCACTCTTACTACAGATCTTACTAGCAGCCTTGCTGGTGATTCAGTGGTAGTTGGCTCTAACGGCGTGCCACAATACAGCTCGGCCACATATTCGGCTCGTCACCCGAACGTTGGAATGACAGCGTCTGGCCGTTCGCGCGATCCCCGACGACCCCATATGCCAGCTGTCACACCCTTCGGCAAGTCTCAGCCCGATGAGAAACACATTCGCGAAAGCTTTCCACTCAGTTCCATGCGTGATGAAGATCCCCGAGAGGCTCTCCTAAAATATGCCGATAAGGCTGAGAAGGACCCCATATTTACCCGGGCATACCGGGAGACCCAACCAAACGCAATCTACGCCGAAGTTAGTGATGAAGAAAAGGAAACAGGGCCGGAAAAGAAGAAAGCCCGGCGTTAGAATGTGGAAACGAAGCCTGGGCATTTGTACATAATAACTAACTAGTCCACATTTTGTCCGATGAGTCAATCGGGTGCCTAACAAAGGGGAAAACAACAAAGGCGGGTACCGCGTCGCAGGCCAACTACTAGTATATCTTATTTGTAGCAACTATCTCTTTAAGCACTTGTATTTTCTTTGCTGTCTCTTTGACACGAGGTCCAGACCGACTTGATGAAACATGATATGCTTGCATGCTCCTTGCGTCAATTCCTTAGAGATATCCCCTCTTTTCATCTGCTCCATGACGTCCCGATCATCGCCAGTATTCTCGCCCCGTCCGACCCACCAATAACAGGGGAAAGTAACACGTTTTGGGCTTTGATCTCACATAAAACCAGAAATTATGGCTCGGGCGCTGTTTCACTTAGGCGTAGAATGAAATTTACATATACTTAGTTTGCATCAGAATCTGGAGTAAGGAGAGAAAGGCCGTTGTTGGTTGAGGTGTTAGTGCTGACATGAGCACCTCTCCGCTCTAGTCTCTTCTCCGTCTGTTGCCGACAACTTCAACAAAGCCTCCACGCGCAACTCAGAAGACAATTTAATTGCTGGAAGCTGTCCGGATTCTCTCAGGAAAATTCGACATGCAGTCTTTCGCGACTTGAGACGCGCTTGCCATTTATCCCTGGGGCTATTTGATTCGACAATAACCCGTCGAAGAGGAGGAGTCCGGACTTCGGTCGGTACACCGATTCTGCCTATCTATTCACAGGCGATCAGATACGAGTGCCTGCCACTTTGTGAATCACATCATTTTACAAGGCGAGATGGACTCCCAACAACAGCCCTTGGGTGTGGGCTCACTTTCTTCACTCGCTTCTTCGATCATTGCGTCTTCCACTTCTACCCCATACACCCTCGCCTCCTATACGCCATACTCCCATTTCGCAACTCCCACCTCTACCCCCACGCCCCATTTTGACACCCCTAACGACAAAGGGGACATGCATCAGTGGTCCTCATTGATCGGTATAATAGCAGCATTGATCGGAAATGTTATGATTTCTTTGGCGCTCAACATCCAGCGATATGCGCACATCCGAATCTCCCGCGAATACGAACTCGATAAGCTGCAAAAAGAAGATAACTGGCGGGAAGCGCGTACTGGGGACGGTGCTTCGGATTCATATGGAAGCGTTGAAGATGATGGCTCTCGGAACCGCTCCCGGGGTAGACTGCCGCCGCAGAACCGCCGCAGCAACAACGAACGCCGCGAGTTTGAAGCGTATCGCGATGACGAAAACGAGACCGCCTCTGGTCGTCGAAATGGTAACTTGTCACCGGGAAATAATATGCGCGACTCATTTGCGTCCGATCGCACCGCACGCCCCGATGATATGGAGGGCCGCAAGTCTTATCTCCGATCTCCATACTGGTGGGCCGGCATCATCCTCATGGTTCTTGGCGAGACGGGCAACTTCATGGCATACGGCTTTGCACCAGCATCGATTGTGTCGCCCCTGGGTGTTGTTGCTCTGATCTCAAATTGCGTCATCGCGCCATGCTTGCTGAAGGAACAGTTCCGAGGCCGAGATTTCTGGGGCGTACTGATCTCTATTGCCGGCGCCGTGGTTGTCGTTCTCAGCGCCAAGTCTTCTGAGGAGAAACTTGGCCCTGAGGAGATCTGGGCTAGGATTACCACCTGGGAGTTTGAGACCTATCTGGGGTTGACTACTGGTCTGATTTGCGTTCTTATGTGGGGCAGCTACCAATATGGCCCCCGCTCTATTTTGATTGACGTTGGACTTGTGGCCCTTTTTGGTAAGTTTTCGTTCATTATACTTGGATAGCGACCGCGCCTCTAACAATATATCGCAGGTGGATACACGGCTTTGTCTACCAAAGGTGTCTCCTCGCTACTGTCATTTACCCTATGGCATGTCATCACGTATCCTATCACATACCTACTTGTATTCATCTTGATTTCCAGCGCATTGATGCAGATTCGCTACATCAACCGTGCCCTACAACGCTTTGACTCTACGCAAGTGATTCCAACCCAGTTTGTGCTGTTTACACTCTCCGTGATCATCGGCAGTGCGGTGCTCTACCGGGATTTCAATTCCATGTCCGCTGTTCGTGGTGGAAAGTTCGTGGGGGGTTGCCTTATGACTTTCCTTGGAGTTTACTTCATCACGAGCGGTAGGGTACGCTCTGATGGTGACTCCACTTTCTCGTCCGAAGACGAGGAAGAAGCAATTGGCTTGCTGAATGGTGAAAGATACCATGATGGAATTGACTTATCTCCCCCTGCCCAGCCATTTAGGGCAGCCAAGGCATTGCAGCCGGCGGGTATTGAGTACAACGACTTGCAGTCACCTGGGGGATCCCTCACTAGTCACGGTATTGACGGAGTCGATGACAACGAACCCACACCGCGAGGTATTCTTTCGCCAGCGCCATCTTCGCCGACCGGCTCTCTGACTGCTGATTCAGCCCTCTCAGGGCCATCATTTGAGAATCCTTCACCATTGCGCCCTCCGTCTCGGATGTCCAATCCATGGGCGGAATTCCAAGATCAGCCTATCGGGTCTCCTAAATCTGACCCGGAAGTCCATCGCCCAGTAACACCCCCGGCACATGGCAAAAGTACGGGTACAGAATCAACTGTTCTCCTTCAGTTCCCTCCCGCCCCTGGCATGGATGACGGTTCGCCTAGTGCCAACAACGCAGGTCTTAGAAGAGCCTCGACACCTGCTGTGGGTGGTTCGCCCCAGCTTGGTGACAGAGCCCACACGACTCTTGAAACCCCTACAAGGCGTGCATTGCGCAATTCCATCTCAAATCGATTCTCTCCTGGTACCCTTCTTCCCACTTTGTCGGGCGGTTTCAGTGCCGTGGTTGCGGAATCTCTCCGACGTGGCGAAGGAAGCCCTTACAAGGATCGTTCTGGTAGGCGAAAGGCCGGACGTCGGAGACAGGTAGATGGCATCTTTGCAGACGGCTCGTATCGAGACCACGATGGGGATGTAGGACCCCTCGGAGAGACCGACGGGTTAGACACCCCTCTTACCCTGGCTACAGCACGGCTTCAGTCTGCTACAAATCTCGAGCCATCTGCAGATGCTGGTCGTTCTACCCCCGCCCTTGCTACAGAAATTTACAACTCTCCAACTCTGAAAGGCAACGATGAGGTTACCCGCCTTCGCAGCTTCAGCGACTCGTGGAACGGCGGGCTCGCCTGGCTAGGTGGTGCATTGCGAAGAACTTCGCATTCCGAGAATGTCCAAAGCGAAGCGGTGACGCAAGGCACTGCAACGCCTCTGGATGGCGAGACATCATCTGCCCAGAGCGGTGGTCCTGATAGCACCAATGCCGATCCCTAGCTTTGATCACACTGGCAACAACAGCAAGGGGGAGCTTCTCACACCATACAGAGCATACATCTGTAGTACATGCAGAGTGGCTGGGTCACTCATTTCATACATACATACACCATGCAGCCTCATCCTTGGCTTTTCATTCATCTCTTCAAATTCCTTCGGCGGCGCGGTTATTTTTTTCTTCCATTCTTTTTCCTTTTTCACTGGCATAATACCTGGGTTTGTAATAAGCGTTGCATTTTCGCGGGGTATTTTCTTCTTCACAGGCATTTATAATACTCTTTTTTTCAGTTGAATATTTTTTCCCCTCCGTTTCATATTCGGGTCAATCTGGCGTCCCTTTTTTCGCGAGTCTTCTGCCACCACCTCTCCTCATTTGTACAATTGATTCTCTGCTTTAACCGAATGACGCCTCAATTTCGGAAGGACAGTATTCCAATCTCCATAGTCCTTGTTTTCCGAAGGGTTTAAACGCCGAAACATCTTGCATGATCAAACCCACCGGGATAAAGGCAATGTAATGCATTCATAGGTGGAAAAAGACGGTTAGAAAGTTACCTCAATTTGGTTTGATGCACATGCATGTATACAGGAAGGTCCTCCGAGTCCCTGCAATTTGAGACATGTACAAAGGACCCGGAAAATCTTCGGACTTCCTATTTACTACATCATCAAGCCTCTCAGAGCTTTCTAATTTAGCCGAAATTCAATGACTATATCACCGATCTGCATGAGCATGGTAATCACCCTCGGATCTACCGGTCTTCAACCCCTGCAATAAGGTTGTCCACCCCACATTTGCACTCAGGACTCTAACCGATGCCCCGCGCGGGGATATTGCTCCGTATCGTTATTGTCCTAGCGGCTCCAGTCATCTCCACCCAAGCCACTCATGCAGAGCCAGCATATACACCTGTGATCACTTCAATCTCCGATAGCTACCCAGACTCTGTGCTAAGGTTCGATCTAATATGCACTACTATGTTTTCCCCCGCAGCGGTGAATCGGGGAATATTGAGCTATGCAAAGGTTTGCCTCAATTGTTTAACGATGCCTATATAGGCCAGAATACCCCGGCGCAATGCATTGACCTTGATCGGCAAGGCAGAGCAAATTTCAAGTCGGTTGCTTGAGTTTCGAAATTCCCTTTGTTTGTTTCTTAGCTTGGAGCTTGGAAATCGTGCCCACGGGTAGCATTGGACGATTGAAAAGTGATTGGATTTATTCAAAATGTTTGCCAAGGGACTTTCAAGCAGCTTGTTGCTTGTGCAACTGCTAAGTGCACTTGTTTCTGGAAGATCGGTGTCAAGCACGCCGGTTTACAAAGATGCAAGTGCACCCATAGAGAAAAGAATTGAGGATTTATTGGGAAGAATGACAACCCAAGATAAGATGGCTCAATTGATGCAGGGTACGTTCTCCAATGATACTTCAATAATAATTGTTGTTTAGCTTGTATTGCTTTACTATTGTCCCATGCTAACTGTCTGTTTTTAGGAGATGTCACTAATTGGCTGAACGACACGAGTGGTGCATTCAACTACAGTGGGCTGGTAGCCAACATGGAAGAGAAGGCGGGCATGTTCTACGGTAAACCAATTCCTCCCATGTCTTATTGACGCCTTGCACAATTTGAATTTCTAATACCTTGTAGTCGGATATCCGATATCCTATGAATGGTTGACAGAGAACATCAAGCGAGGCCAAGATTATCTGCTGCAGAATACCACACTTGGTATTCCTGCTCTTGTGCAGTCAGAAGGTAAGAAAGCGAACTCCATAACGCGAATGATATTTGAGCTGAGAAACTCCATTGCAGGTCTTCATGGCTTCTTGATTGGTAATGCTACCATTTTCAATTCACCCATTGGCATTGGAAGCTCTTGGAACCCTGCTGTAAGCTACCTTTGTGACCTTTTATTACAGATCCAGCTAAGTTTTTCTAGCTTGTTAAAAAAATGGGAGAAGTCATTGGTACAGAAGCTCGAGCTCTGGGCGCAAATCAGCTTTTCGCGCCTGAGGCCGATCTGGCTCGTGAGCTTCGATATGGACGTGTAAGTACTAGTCTGACCACCGCTAACTTTATCATACTAATGGCTAACTAAATTCCTCTAGGTCGAGGAAACCTTCTCAGAAGATTCGTTCCTGGCAGGTGAAATTGCTTACAGCTATATCACTGGTATTCAAAGCAAGAATGTCTCGGGCATGGTCAAGCATTATGCCGCCTATAGTAACCCAGAGCAAGGGTTGAATACTGGACCAGTCCACGGAGGTGAAAGAGAACTTCGCACAACGTCAGTTCGATTACCCCTTGGTGATGGATTGGAGAACTGATCTTTGTTTCTTCCAGATGGCTGCCGTCATACAAGCGCGCGATTATTGATAGTGGTGCATGGGCTGTGATGACTGCGTACTCTTGGTGATTTACTCTCTAAACATCAGCCCTTATCCAGTGAAGCAAGGCTAATATTGTTCATAGCTACGATGGAATTCCTATGGTTGCCAACTACCACACCATCACCGAGATCCTAAAAGAAGAATGGGGATATGATTATTTCGTCATGACCGATGCTGGTGGCAGTGACAGACTTTGCTCTTACTTCAAGCTGTGCCAAAGTAGTCCCCTTGACATGAACGCAGTTACCTTGCAGCTTATGGAGGCCGGTGTTGACGTGGAAATGGGTGGTGGCTCCTTGTAAGAATCTGCAAAGCCTTACTTGCATATCTACATTGAACTAACACTCCATCAGTAACTTCCAAAAAATCCCTTCACTGGTTGAATCTGGAAAGCTTGATATCTCCATTGTCAATGCCGCTGTTACAAGACTGCTTCGCGTGAAGTTCGAAATGGGTCTATTCGAAAATCCATACACGGCGGTCAACTCAAGTGAATGGGCCTCCTACGTCAACACAGCCGAGCACAAGCAAGTTGCCAGGGATTTGGACAAGGAGTCGATTGTTCTCTTGGAGAACCACAATGATGTTTTGCCCCTGAAGAAGTCAGGTAGCATCGCCGTGCTTGGACCGATGGCCCATGGATTCATGAACGTTAGTCTAGAAATACCGCCCATTTACAAGCACAGCGAATCTTAAGAGCTGACAACTATTCCAGTACGGTGACTACGTTGTCTACGAGAGCCAGTACCGAGGTGTTACTCCATTAGATGGCATCAAAGCCGCAGTTGGCGATAACGCGACAATCAACTATGCGCAAGGATGTGAGCGTTGGAGCAGTGACGAATCCGGCTTTGATGAAGCTATCGAAGCGGCAAAGAAGTCCGATGTTGCCATTGTCGTTGTGGGAACTTGGTCCCGCGACCAAGTTCAGCTCTGGGAAGGTCTAAACGCAACGTGAGTATATCTAAGAAAAAAGCGTAATCCACCTAAAAAGTCTCGTTGGTGCTGACAAGACTTCAGAACCGGAGAAGATGTCGATGAAGATAACCTCGCTCTCGTCGGTGCCCAAGGGCCCCTCATCAAAGCCATCGCCGACACAGGCGTCCCGACCATCGTCGTCCTTTCCAGCGGGAAACCCATCACAGACGTCTGGCTCTCCAACAGCACCTCCGCTCTCCTCCAACAATTCTACCCCTCCGAAGAAGGTGGTAACGCGCTCGCCGACGTGCTATTCGGCGACTACAACCCCTCCGGCAAACTGTCCGTCAGCTTCCCGCATTTCGTCGGTGATCTCCCGGTCTACTACGACTACTTGAACTCCGGCCGCTCGATCTGGAACTCTGGAACACAGTACGAGAACGGCACCATTGATTTCGGCCATCAATACGTTACCGGCACGCCCTTACCGTGGTACTCGTTCGGCTACGGGAAGAGTTATTCGACATTCGAGTATGGCACTGTCAGTGTGGATCATAGTAGCGTTTCTGCGACCGCGACTATTACTGTCAGTGTTGATGTGACGAATACGGATACGACGCGCGATGCGACTGAGGTTGTGCAGGTTTATATCTCGGATGAGATTGCTTCGGTTGTTGTGCCTAATCGCCAGCTTAAGGGCTTCGATAAGGTCCTTATTCCGGCTGGGAAGACTACGACTGTTCGCATTGCGATTGATGTTGCGGATTTGGGACTGTGGAATAATAAGATGAAATATGTTGTTGAGCCCGGTTTGTTTAGCGTGTTGGTGGGAAGCAGTTCTGATGATATTAGGGGGAACACTACGTTCACAGTGGTTTGATCATTTGGGAAATAGGTGTCACGAGAACTGATATTGTTCCGTCGATCTGCTTGCTACCTAATTAATTCCAACGTTGATTCTGTCATTTTATTCATTTTCCGAGGCATAACAGGTTTGTTTACCTGCCAAGTGGATGTATGGCCTAGATGTGCTAGTAGGTAATTGCCAACATTGAATCTATTCCCGAGGCCACTTTCCAGATCTATAAATAGAACAAAGTAAATAACCAACTATAGACAGGGCTCAAATTTGTGAAATGTTACCTAGAACGGTCATAAGTATGGCATAATGGTCTGAAGATTCCAAGTTCTAGGAGATTACTGTTTCAGATGGTTGCGTGCCAAGGTTCGAAGTATCCAGAACCACGGAACCCCCACTAACCGACCCGCGGTAATGAAAACATTGAACTTGATTCTATTGGTCATTAAATATTATAAACAAGGTCATAGTATAGCCTAGATCACAGACTGATACGACTGATTCGTAGTATGCGTCTGCGTCATGGTAATATCCAAGCCGAGCGGAGCCTCGACTCTCGTCAAGGTAAGACGCTTATACGCCCGCTGCGAATCCGCCCGCTGCGGCACCCGCGCATTTGCAACCGGCATCTCCTCCTCTTCCTCCTCAATAGTAGGCGTCTCGACATCCCGCTCAAGACTCAAAACAACACCAATGGCTTCCTGGTCCTCGATGACTTTTGGATGACGCTTGGCAAAGTACCGCGCATACTTGAACAGCGACCAGTAGCAGCTGAACACGTTAATGAAGGTCAGGACGATTTTGTAAAATGTGTAATACAGTATCAGGACCTTCCAGTCGATGCGCTCATTTTTGCGTCGGAGGTGGATCTCGTTGAAAATAAGGACGTTGACGATGTACATGCCGATGGTGGCGCCTAGCAGGATGCCGCTGAAACTGGGGCGCACGTAGAAGGAGATTGGGAGGACGAAGGGGGCGAGGAGGTAGATGAGAGTTTCGTACACCTGGGCAAGATTTTTAGTTGATGTGGCTCTTTTGGGGGGGAGGGGGGGTTATTATAGAAGCACATACCTCTTGGAAAACGCAGAGTTTCGCTCCGATTTCACACCAGCCAAGCTTCCAGCTTGTAAAGATGTATTTGAGATCATAGTACATTCCAATCACGAAAAAAAAGTTCCACCGTTTGAATCGCTGCTGGAAGATGGTCATCTCGCCGAACCCACCTCTGCTCCCGCCGCCGGCAAAGAAGACAGATGTAGGAGTCTCGGTCTCGACAAAGACGGACGAGCACATGGTGATCCGGCCTCCCAGCCGCCGACAGGCGTCGCCGAAGAACCAATCTTCGGAAACGGAGAATCCAGGATGTTCGTTGAAGGTTTGCTTCAGGAACTCCGTGTTCCAAAGTGAGATAGCGCCGTGGGGGAACGTCGCACTGCCCAGCATACCGAAGAAAGCCCGTTGAATGCCCGACATTTTATATTCCAGGTCTTGCGCTTGCTGGCAGTATGTGCCCTTGGACGAGTTCGGACCCACGCTTTTGATCGTGTACCCAATGCATCTGACCTGGCCCTTTAGTCGCTCGCTGACGACGGGGAAGTTGGGCGGGAGTGCGCAGTCGTCGTCGATTAGGAGGACGTTCTCGAAGCCCTTGGCGGCGTAGCAGCCGGCGAATTGGGCTACGATTTTGGAGCCGACGGGGACCCAGAGGTGGTTGACGCCGAAGGGACGGCAGACGTCCTCTGTGTCGTCGAGGGGGGTTTGGGAGTTTCCGTTGGCGATGACGAAGATGTTTTCGGCCGGGAAGACTTTCAAGGCGGCTTCCAGTGTTGGGCCGATTATCTTGGCGGATTTGTAGCAGGGAATGAGGAGGGCGGTGTTTAGGGCGCTGGATGAGTTTTGTTCCAGGTCTGTATCGATTTGCTCGGTTGCTGGTGGGGGATCCTTTTCGAAGAGGATCAGAAGAGGACAGAAGGCGTATCTAATTAGTGGATTCGGATAGGGTTAGTCACGGATCACATCCAGTTGATCTAGTAATTAGGGTATGGAGAATCTCACAGAAAAGCGAGACCTATAAGAATAGCCCATCCTCCCGTGATGACGAATTTGTTGGCGATCACCCAGTAGAGCCACCAGACAGCACCTCTCCATAAGGGCATGCCAACGAGGACGAAGTAGATAAATAGGACGAGAAGTGTATAGACGGTTGTTTCGAACAAGATGCGCACCCAATGCTTTCGTTGGAGAGCAACACCCCTCAGTTTGGCTTTCTCATAGACATCTTGCATACTGCTTTGACTACTACCCAGATTGATGGAGCTATTTGAGCTGATTGGCGGGCTGGGATGCACGGCAGTCTCTCTAATTGGAGTTATAGGTTCTTTTTCGGACTCGAGCGGCGGTGTCAAGTGTCCAGCTCTTTTGAACTCGGTCCATTCTGTCAAGCAAGTCAGATACTTGACATTGGTCATATAGGATCACTTAAACATACCATATAATTCTGGAGGGTTGCTTCGTGGACGAATAGCAGCGGGGCGTTTTGGGGCACGGAGAGCCGAAAGACTAGCAGAACGAGTAATACCACTGGCGCTGCGTGAAGGCTGCTCGCCTTGTGGTTGGAACTGCACCCGATTGTTTTCAGGGAGAGACTTTTCCCATTTTTTCAATTCCCATGGCGAATTGAACTTTGCAGTAGACAGCAAATGCTTTGGGACAGCGACGTCCTCGACCAGTGTATTTCTTCGGGCATGATGCCGGTTAGACATGGAAGGCAACTCCGAGTATAGTATAAACGAATGGATGTAATGAATATAATGATTGTGATAACTTGATGCCGTAAAAATGAGTGAATATAATCAATGCAACGAATGGAAGGTAACGACTTGTCACCACATAAAGGAATGGATAGTTTGTAGAACGGAGTGTATGTGAGAAAAAAAAGGGACTACACTGCGGACCTCACATGGATATTATAATAGAAAAACATCCATTTGTTTCTCGCCAAAAGAGTTCTCCTGATTTTGTGGAGACTTATGTCGTAGTTGGTTCTCCATCTAGATCCGAGCTCTGTAGGACCCTGCCTTGCTGTCTTAGGCCATATCCTTGGAATACTCAAGACCCAAATTTACGGACCCAGGGAACGAGTTGCTACAAATATGAGATGATCTATAGCATGTTATAGAATACTATACTGAGTAGATGTATTATTTACTTTGACCTGCTCACTTAGAGTAAGCAATATTGGACTGCGAACTCTAGATCTGGTTGCTTTTTTTTGCTTGATAGAGAAAGGAAAAACCAAAAGAGAAAGAGAAACCTTCTTTAACTGGGTCCACGTTCCTGATGGGGCCGTCTCCGATGGGCCTTTCATACTCTTGAGCAAGAGGCATCGTAGTCTAGTTTGCTAATAATATTAAAAGAATGTCCTTGGAGGCTACGAGTCTGTTCATCTGTGAAGAGATCTAGAATCTAGTAAATACTACTGGCTGATAGTCCTCCCACTCCCCTTAACAGGAGTTTCCACCAAGCTGATTGGAATGTATTCCCATACGTAAAGCTCTTTTGGCGGGGTTTCTTAGCTACTGACGAATTTCCCTTTCTACCCCAACTCCGTTCAAGTCCAAAGCAGATTTTTCTTCATGTCCCCACCTTCTTACTTTCGATATCGATTTTGCTAGGAATTAAGATCTCGGTTACCGGCCGGCAGAGATTTTAGTGCGGGTAAGCACTAAAACCAGCCTAGCCAGCCTTACGAGCCATTCATTTAGATGGTCCACCGAGAGAGAGAAAAAAATAGAAAAAATAGAAACTTTCCAATCGATCGTCACTGTTTATGCCTTGTTTCGATCATGCTTAGCAATAATATCATTAATATGGGCTTGGTGGAGTCCGCGTCATTTCTCGGCACACGACCGCCACATGCGGCCACAGCCTTCAAGTGCCCAAGCCCCACAACAAGTACCGAGTTAACCATGGATGATCCGGTCAACAAGATACCGAAATTGGGAAGTTTGGCTGAAGACAAGTTTTGGGATTTGGTTCCACTGGTTCAATCTATTGATTGTCTTGGATTTCTTGAAATTGTTATATTAGAACTGTTGACGTTGGAATCTTGAGAAACGATCCTGCAGTACTATGTACTACTACTACCTACTAGTAGTATTGTTCTAGAACAATTAGAGTTCCAGGAACAGGCTTAGTGGATCTTCACTTCCACCTTCTTCCGGACCTTCTACTTTAGGGGCTGACCTTCTTTTTTCTTTTCTTGAGAATGTTTAGATGTGCCAAGACTGCTTGCCCTGTTCAGATCTCGCATTCTTTTGCATCCGTATAAAGTGTTAGACATGTATGGAGTGCATCCAGTGTACTAAAGATAATAGAAGCACACAAATTGTATGAATGGATGAGCCAGTAGACTCGGTTATTGAGTGAACTAATAGTACCTAGGCAGGTACTCCTTTTCCTGCTAGGCAAAGGTTTTTGTATTCGAGCTTCAAATGTTCAGCCCTCACCTGCACACGAACAGTACGGAGTAAAAAACGCAGTGGAAAAATAAACAACACAAGCCCTCGGACCCACCCAAGCTAAAAAAAAAGCCACTTGAAAATTATACTGACTTTGTGCATAAAGCATACGAGTCAATCTGACGTGTTTCATGCGCCAGACTTAACAACATCCCACTCAATACTCAGTACGTACACCGTACTCAAGCCGTTCCCTCGTATGTACCCAGTACTTGAGGGGGTACTCAATTTAGGTACACAGAGCATCATCCTGCAGGGCCATGCTCTACTAGTTATCTAGGGCCTCCAACACGTTAGGTACGGAGCACTCCGTACCGCTAAAAGTCGATCACGATTCGCGGTTGTGCTTTGAGGGCTAGCCGGCTCTTCCGCCAGAGCTACCTAGCCCTATTCCGTTTTCCGTCCGCAGTACGGCTAGATGGATCCCGATTTTTTATGTGGAGATCTTGTTTATGTACAACAACGACGCGGATGGGGCTCGGAATTGCTCCCCAGCTTGGCAAAGATTTGCATTTGGATGATCATCTTCAATTAAACTTTTCAATCGCTCCAGGCCCGGGGCTGGAAGGCAAGCATAGAACCCTTGTCTGATCCCTCGGCAAGTCTCTGTCCTTCATGAACACCGTGAGTTGTATGAACTTTCTTTTTCTCATGTGACTTTTAGAATGGATGTGAGGAGCCGCGGAATTGGCGATATTGGGCGCTTAATGGCGTTCCTAGCTTGTGAACGATCGTTTGCACGCGTAATCAAGGCCACGGCTGGATTTGTGGCTTGAACGCCCAACACTACTGGTTGGAGTAACTGTACTCAATTGTAGGATGTGCTTACGAGTGTTCTCCGTACGAGATCCGCCAAGCATTTTCATCATTTCCTTTTGATCGGGGTCGTCGTTTTCGGAGAAATATCATCATGTCGCTCTGATGTTGATAGACCCGGTCCAATGAGAGGCCACGATGGTGTTCGCTTCACAGAGTCAAGTTTGAATGCACATATTATGGACATCAGTCCCAGAGAGTACCAGTATAGCTAGTGGGAACTAGTATGATTGCCAGAAGTCTAGGCGTCAGTGGTGGCTCTTACTACTATCTCCAATGCAGTGCTGGTACTACAGCTGTGGCCTGTTCTTGTCTTTGCGTAAACATGCGTTTCAGTTCTTGGAAAGAAACATAATAGATGTGCATTGACCTCAAAATTTGCATCGCTCATCATCCAAAGACTAGATGAGTCATCCCGTCCAGTTACCTAACTAGGTTGATGACTAGGTATTGAATTTCCCGCCCTCTGTGTCTGGGCGGGGCGAAGAGGGGAATTCTGGGGTCCTGGAAGTTCCCGTAGGCGTCGAAGGATTGGTCGGACTGTCATGAGTCCGACCTTCAGCCCGCCGTGTTTTAGCTCCTTCTTTGAGCTTTTCCCAGCGATCACGGTACCGCCCAAGTACATTTTTCAGTTTGTCATTTTCTTTCCCAACTCGTTCTAGTTCCTGTTCGCCTCGACGAACCAGGTCTTCTAAGTCTTTCACTCTATCATTTGAGTCCGACAGCGGATTTGCGGCGGACATGAGAGCCACGGGAGATGTGTTACTCGATGACCCGTGCGGTAGAGCTTCTTGATGGTGGATTGCTCTCAAAGACTGCTGTAGCGCCATGGATGATGACTGCGCGTTGACTTCCCACATGTGAAGCCGTTTGGAGAGGGTGTCAGACAGGTGCTTCAGAGCCTGGTTCTCCATCTGTAATTCTTCCATTGTTTTAGGATTTTGTAGACTTGTAAGTTTATCAGCAGCACCGCGACGTGTAGTCTGGCTTTTGGAGCTTTTTGCAATCTGGCGCATCTCCGGCGAAGATGGGGTTTCTCGCGCGTCCACGAAATCATCATCCCCATCTTCCAAACTGTTTCGACGCGCCTCCTTCTCTGCTCGGGTCATAATACCGGCGTATGTCATAGTCCCACCTGTTGTAGGGACCACATAGAAGGACTCAGCGGGGTTTCCGGGACTGGAGCCTGGAGTTTCACGAATTGAACGTAGTGCAGCCCGTGAGAATATCCGGCTCACATCCGGTTCAACCAGCGTATTTCCCTTGTCAGGGGTCGCATGGTAACGGTCTACCTTTGTCTCTGCTGAAGACTTGCGAGTCGAGGGGTTAGCTTTGGTAGGATCATCTGACGAGCCAAGAGGTAGCCCTGCAAATGCCAGAGGTGCGGATATCCTGGATATAAGCCCTTCAAATGTAGAATAGAACCGCTGGAAAGGTTCATCTGCAAACGAAGGATTGGCGTTGGAGTAAGTGGAATTGACGGACTCTGCAGGAACAACCTCTTGAGAAGTGATATCGGTGGGACCGGGCTGTGGAGGTGACCATGGCTGTCTCGGTGCTGATGATCGTTTAGATTGGTTTTTATTGGGGACTTCCCGCAGCCTTGATTCACCAGTCCTGATTTTTGATGGTCCCTCTGTCATCTTCGCACCGGCTTGGTGGGCAGAAAGGGTTGGCGACACCGGTGATCCACGACGAGGTTGAGCCGGGATACCTCGAGCGGAAGCTAGATTGCTGGCAATTGACGAGGATTCTCGGCTGAGTATCCGGGGGGTCCCCGGAAGCCTTGGAGGTTGACCCAAGACATCCTGGCCGATAGAAGCGCCGGCCTTTGTATTTCCGGTATCCGAGGAGAGCTGGGTCGTTGGATTCAACGAGGTAGTGGCAGTCGGCCCCTCGGTGCTGGCAGGATGTTCATGTTGAAACCGCAAGATTTCGGCCAGCTTTTTGTGGTGATTTTCGAGGAGTTGTAAGGTGCGGAGAGCCTAATTTCCACATATTTTGATCAGCACTGTGGTCCCGACCTGACGTCGTGAGGGGGGAGAACGACTCACTTCCTGGTCGGTATTATTATGAGCAGCAGCCGCAAACTCGCCGGCAGCTAAATCATGTTCCTCACTAGCAGCGACCGGGTTCGACTTGCGGGTTTCGAGGACTGCGTTTCGGGCGTGGGTGTGGGCCTTGCGACAATAAGCTAAATCCGACGTGCGGGGGAATGGAATAAGCTAGGACAACTTACCAGTGTGAGCGGAGCGGCCTCCATTTTGGAAGATCAACGGCGCATGGGATATAGCGGTACCTCGATCTGTGGAATGAGGGGGTTTTTTTTACCAAGAGGCTTTCCAAGGTTAGGAGTGTGACACAGCAAGGGACCGAGAAGCGGAGAATATGTACATACCTGAGAAGTTTTGGGGTTATCTGATTTTGCTTACTGTACACAGGACTTGAGTAGTAACTAACCAACTACTGTGGCTATATGTGGGGGCAACGTGTATGCATAATTGAGATTTCTTGTTTCGGTCTCTGAGGAGTTTCCAGTTTAGTATCTCTAGGCTTGCTTAAAGAGGCTCTAATTATAAGATCCAAAAAAAGGTTCCATCATCTTGACGTGGAAATCTGGTGACTGAAAGCAGCGTGCATTGACCATTGAACTGTCACATCCGCATTTCTGCGAGTGGAGAGAGGTGTCAAAAAGCTACAAAGAATAGGAAACAGAACCAATGAAAAGAGGAAGGAAAATATAAATGAAACGTAAATTGGATCAGCTCTTTCCGATATGAATTATAATATAGAAATGACAGATATATAGGGATTTTGGTGGGAAAAGGTGGATGAGAGCTTAATTCCTCGGCATCTGACTAAGTCGATTGCTTTCCCCTCGAACTGCTATCAGGGGAATTCCAAGGTTCACTCTTTCACACTCCCCAGCCAACGGAGACAAGGAGACACAGCCCACATTCCTCATGCTGTGTTCCCAACCTCAATCTTCCACTCATTTTATTTCGCTCCGGCGCTGATCCCTTCCTATGGCCGACTCCTCTTCATCAAGCCTCAAAGGCGGCGGAGGCGGGAGCAGGTCGCGCCGCTCGTGGACCGTGTCTGCTGCTGATTCCGATATGATGGAGAGCTCGAGTCGGAGCAATGGCCGCTCCTCAATGGAATCTCTCGAAAGACCTAAAACCCAGGCCGGTGAGGCTCCGGATTCCGCAAAGGCTGGTTCCAGCGGTTTCTCCAAGCTACTCAAGGCCCGACGCCGACGAAAGGACAAGAACAACCAGAAGCTGGGCGACGAGCCCCCAGTGCCCGGGATCATCACGGAACAAGAACTTCGAGAGATCCCTTCAAATACATCGACCGGGGCCGCTTCGGTAGCTGCTTCGGTGACCACTTCGTCCAATAACAGTTCCGTTCCGCAGGAGACCGAGACCATCCAATTATTGACCGATGATTCTGAACCCGACAGGTATATCAATCATCTTCCCTGTTCCTTACTGTCATACCATATGAAACTAAGCTCTCATCATCTGACAGGACTCCACCACTGACCTCACACAACTCACACACCGGTTTCTATACCTCCTCTTCCCCGCTCATCAACACCACCTCAGTAGATGCCGCAGATACCAACGGTACCCACGAAGATGTCCAGTCTGCCATCAGCGACCCAAGCCCAGCTGCATCGGAGTCAGCGTATAGCGACAACCCCCCGGTACCGGGTATTCAATCGAGTATGACATTGGACGTTCCAGACCCTAGCGGAAAGCGACGCAGCGTCTCACCCGGACGGCGATTCAAGGAAGCATTTAGCGCGACAGATAAAAAGAACACATCCGAGGATACAGATGCGTCGTCATCGAAGTCCGGGGGTAGCAAGGGTGGGAAGGGTATTTTTGGGGGCCGGCGGAGCAGTCTGTCTTCCAGGCGGGCGCAAGCTCAGGCCTCCCAAGATAATCCTCCACCCATCCCCAGTCCTATACGTACGGATGTTTGGAACACAGAAATCAAACAAGACAAGTCGCGCTCTTTGCAAGAAAGTCCGATGCCGAATACCCCTCCACACACCGCTATCCCGGTCCCAGCTCCAGCTACTACTGTAACTCCTCCTACCCCAACCGAACACCGCCCACTTGGTCCCCAAATCACAACCGAAGGTATCACGGACTCACCTGAGTCAATTCCTTCCCGGAGCTCCATGTCCTCGGCCGATGTTACCGTGAGCCCTTCTGGAAATATGATATCACATCGCCGAGTCCGCTCTGCATCGGCAGCTCATGTCCCAAGCAAGTTGTCCACTTCAATGTCAGCCGCCTTGACCCCACTGGAGGAAGCAAAAACGCCGAAGAGCGGTGCGAGTCAACAAAGCGGTTTTTTCTCGTCCATGTTCTCGGCTGCTCAAAATGCGGCTACCTCCTTCACTAATACTCTCAACACCTCGCCGAGGAGCCGCAACTTTTCCCAACAACCGCCGGCCGGAATTGACGGTACACTAAGAGAAAACGAGAATGAAGAATCTGGAAAAATTACTGAAAATTCCATCAGCAGCGAGGATGGGAAACCAGCTGCTGTAGATACTCTTGGAACTGGCGACCTCAATTTTGGTCACTTGGACATTGGTGCACAGCCAGGCCAGGAGGTTTCAACTGCTGATGGTGTTATTATCACGAAGACAGGAAGTCCGGTGGATAGGCGCAAGAACACAGCGGTGTATCGGCGAGATGAGGAGGCAGCGAAGCTGGAAGACCAGCGTGCCGCACGTGCTGTGCATATGGCATACGAAAGGCCTCTTGATTCAGCGGTATTGGGATCGCCTGGTGATGATGTTATTGATTCGCAATCTACCATATCTCTCCCAAGGGACGGCATGATGACTGGAGATCACACCCCTCCGACTGGAAGTGTCATAGATGGTGACATTGGCAGCGGTGGCATTAGACGTACTGGCAGTGTGCGCAGTCGACTTGCACGTCGGCATCGAGGCTCATCCGGAGCCACTACTTCATCAATTGGGGCAATCGGGGCCATTGGAGCCAGTGCTATCAATCTAGGCCTGCCAGGTGTCAATTCAAGTGTGCCTCGCTTGACCGGCTTCGCTGTTGCAAGCAAAAAACGTAACAGAGACTTCCACCAATTATTCCGCAGCGTTCCTGAGGACGACTATTTAATTGAGGACTACAGCTCTGCATTGCAGCGCGAGATCATTCTCGCCGGTCGCATTTACATCTCAGAAGGTCATATCTGTTTCTCCAGCAACATCCTTGGCTGGGTAACCACACTTGTCATCAGCTTTGATGAAGTAGTGGCCATTGAAAAAGAAAACACGGCCATGGTATTCCCAAATGCCATCGCTATACAGACCCTCCATGCTCGCCATACATTTAGGAGTCTGCTTAGTCGTGAATCTACCTACGATTTGATGGTCAATATCTGGAAGATCAATCATCCCTCTATTAAGAGCTCTGTGAACGGTACCCGTGTGACAAATGGGACTGGCGACAAGACTGAAAAGGTTGGTGAAGGCGAGGCCGACAGCGGCTCTGAAAGCGATGTGTCAGACGAAGATGAAGTCTATGACGAGGACGAAGAAGGCGATCATGCTGAGAGCTTCTTCGAGGCCGGGGCCAGTGCCAATGCCAGTGAAACATCATTGCCAGTGAGGGGTGGCTTGAGCCGTCAACCTTCGGGCCTGTCTGGAAAGGGTATTCCCGCAGCTGGGACAAATTCCGGTGGAGATGCTAAAAATGGAGATAAGTCGGCTTCCAAAGAGGCCGACTTTCCTGGTCCAACTACTCACGCCCCCACCGAATACGCCAATCCTGATGGGCAATACGAAAAGGTTATCAAGGATGAAATTATTCCAGCGCCACTTGGAAAGGTTTACTCATTGGTCTTTGGACTCTCGTCCTCTGAATTTATGACCAAATTCCTCGTGGAGAACCAGGAATCCCGTGAACTGCAGTTTGAAGGAACAACGAAGGGACTTACCAATGAAAGCCGGGTCCGGAAGTATTCATACATCAAGCCTCTCAATGCGCCCATTGGCCCAAAGCAAACCAAATGTTTCAGTACGGAGAACTTGGACTACTTGGATTTGGAAAAAGCAGTCCTCGTCACGGTCAGCACTTTAACTCCTGATGTTCCCAGTGGAAACATTTTTGTTTGCAAGACAAAGTATCTCTTCACATGGGCCGCGGGTAATCAGACACGATTCCTGATGACGAATCTTATTGAGTGGTCGGGCAAGAGTTGGCTGAAAGGTGATCATATTCCTAGTACCTATATTTCGACATATTTTGATGCTAATTCGAACTAGGTCCCATTGAGAAAGGTGCCATTGATGGACAAACCGCCTTCGGTAATGAGCTAGTTAAGACTCTGAAAGCCGGTGTTGTCCCCCGTGGAAGGACCGGTGGTGGCGGAGGGCGAGCAAAGGGCCGTCGCAAGAAGGGCGATTCTGGAGCTCGCGAGGCGTCCGCAGTTGCATCACACAAGATCGGAGGTGATTCCAGTGGGAACCAAACTGAGTCCTGGGGCCTCCTGGAACCAATTCGTCCCATTCTTGAACCTTTTACAAGCATGTTGAAGCCTCTCTGGAGCGGCAATCTTGCAATCTTCCTTGTTGGCATCTTGGTTTACCTGGCATTCTTCCGCACTTCGTCTAATTCGTCTCTTGGACACCATGCCGGTCTTCCAGGGCTTAGTCTTCCTCAAAGACTAGCAGCTTATGATGAAATGTGGCGGCGCGAGGAGAGCGAACTTTGGAATTGGCTAGAGGATCGAGTTGGCATGGATGGAATGGTATTCCCAGCCCTCCACCACAGAATGCCCGAACCTACCCACAAGGCCCCTCGCGTGAATGTTGCAGACGAACGCGATCTTGTTGACCGACTTCGCGAAGAGAAAGTCTCAGATCGAGAGATGGATCATGCTATCCGAACAACACGACAGAGGCTTGACATCCTTGAGGAGATGATGAACAATCGCAGAGCTGACCGGGTTCCACAGGAGCCTCTTCGCTCTGAATTGTGAATTTCCTGTTGATGTTTAACCACATCTGTACCAACACCTCTCAAATCCTCACACCTCCCAACCTTGCTCATGAATTTCTCCCATAGGGACAATTCCCATATCCTCCTCTCATTACAAACCCCATCACGCCCTCAGGGCTGATTCCTCTCTTAAAAACGACATTCCTTTACATTTCCCTTCATTTCCCTGGTGTTGTTCTTGGGCTCGCATTACGGGCCAACAAAAATGCCCCTGGCCGGTGATAACCGCGTTTCCTCCCTATATCTCACCCGACGTCATTCCCTCCCCTTCCACAATCCTTGCAACTCTCTGTGAGCATAAGGACCAGTGAAGTTTTCCTTTACTTGTACATAAGCGCCAACTGCTTTGTCTATACAGCTGTGCGCATCACTGCTCCTATCCTGTTTCTTTTCTCTTCTTGTATGTTTATCCGAGCGAGTTTCATTTTAACCTACTGTGTGGGCTTGACTGTATACTTTTGTTACCTTCGTCTTCATAGCTGGACTATTGTATCCTTGTTCCGAGGCTCCGATCGCTGGATCCTTCTGTCAACTCTAGGGCTTGATATCTTCTGTAGTAACGTAGCTCGTGAATTAAGAAATGGGTTGGCCATTGAATGTTTTATCCACAGCCCGCATTCAAATCTGTTCCACGATCCTTCCAAGGCTTAATGCTTACAATTTTGTTTGGAATAAAGAAAAAAGCGGCGTGTCATGCAAGAAACTCAACTTGAAAAGAGTGACGTCTATATGCAGATGTATCTATAGTATTATACTGAGTCCAAGATTGTTAATTTACATACAATTTCAAGGTTCAACCAGGTCTCGGTACATCGAACTATTTCGAATTTTGCGACTCCAGCTCCTTACTCTGAACAATCCTCTTGTTGCCTGCCACAGAGGTCTTCCAAGCTGGAATTCCAGAGTCGAACACATTGTCAATCTGTTCAAGAGTGAGACTGGCAGTCTCTGGAACAAGACAGAAGATCAAAGCGGCAATGACAATAGTCACACCTGCATAGAAATATCCAACATTGGCGCCCATGTTACCATACTGAGCATCAAGCATATATGGCGTCCAGAAAGTGGCACCAAATGAGAAGATCCCATAGATGATCGTTGAGTTTGCTTGCCCGTATGTGCGCAGTGATACGCTGTGCATCTCCACGGATGCTAAATAAGCAGTGGGAGCAATAGTTCCACCAAAAATGAATGACCAGCTGCATAGAAGGACGACGACAACAATTTTTGAGATGTCATCTTGACCCAATGCCGTACTGACTGCTGATAGGATCAACATACAGGCTGCCATCATCACGTACCCAGCCAACATCGTGAGTCGACGTCCTCCATATTCAACCGCAAACGGGCCTAACCCTGCACCTCCCAGAATGCAGACCCCAATAATAACATTGATCAAGTACGGATTGCTGATCCCCACGCCCCTGAGAAACGTAGTCGCATACGGCTGCACAAACTGAATCCCCGTAATAGAAAGCCCAATCTGAACCAGCGCCGAAGCAGCCGTCCGCCGAATATGCTTCAGCTGATAAATCTCATACCAAGAAGTCGACTTCGCAATCGCCCTCTCAGCCTTAATATGCGCCTTGACATCCTCAATCTGCGCCGTAATCTCCGCCGCAAACGGATCCATCTGATAAAGCATCCCAAACGCCTTCCGCGCCCCCTGCTCATCCCCAGCATCATGATTCAGAATCCACCTCGGCGACTCAGGGAACATGAGAATCCCCGCCCCCAATATAATCCCAAACGGAATCTGCAGCAGAATCGGCGTCTTCCACTGCCAATTATTCCCCGGCTCCAGCTGCGCCGAGCCCGCGCACACCGCGCTCGACGCAACATTGCCCAGCGCAAGCCCGACATTGTACAGGCCCAGCGCGAACCCGCGCTTCTGCGCAACAATGCACTCGGACCCGTACGTCGTGCTGGCCGCGATCAGGTGGCCGAGCCCGATCGCGCTGATGCACCGGCAGATCATGTAGTGCAGGAAGCTGCCGTTGCCGCGGCCGCCTGTGCCCAGCATGCCGGCTGCGCCGATGATGGCGAGCGCGCAGCCGATCTGGAACGTGCCGCGGCGGCCGAAGTAGCGGCCCGTGAAGCCGGATAGGCCGCCGCCGATGCCGATGAACATGTAGTTTAGACTGATGAGGGATTGTTGGAGGGGTGTTATGGAGCATTGTTCGACGATGGTCCCGGTTTTGGGATCCATTAGTTGCGTGCATGTTCCGAAGGATTTTTTGTATGAGGGCATAATTAGCACGGTGCCTGTGTATCCGTTGTCGAAGTTGACGATCCATGCTGCGAAGGAGACCCATATTGCGACGCGGAGCATTGCACTTGTTGAGCCGATGGCTTTGTTTGGCTGTGATGAGCTGTGTATTGTGGAAAGTGCTTCTCGGTCTTTCTCTGAGTCATTGTCGTAGTCTCGCATCTTTGCTGGTGATGGGCCCTCGATGGGGCTGTTGTAATTTGTGGGATTGATTGATTGCGGAGGTTTGTGAATCATACCAATGCAAGTATGTGCTTGATACCTGGGGAAGTAGCATTGATGGTTGTTTTATCCTCTCCTCAACCCCCGAGGTACCTGCATACCAGAGCCACGCCATTCATACTTCTTGGTATGTGACTAGATCATCAAGAATGTCCTCTGGCCAATGACGTTTGTCTCCGGACCTGGTGACTGATAAGATCCTTGCATGAATAATGCCCGAGACACTTCGGGTGTTTCTATCGATTGTTACCCTTGGTCTCCTGAGACCTATTCAAGGTAAGCCAAGCTGTCACGGCTTTTTTGGGGGTTTCAAACCTTGGTGAATGTGCCATAGATAATGGTGGAGGAATGCCATTCAGGCATCATGATGACCAAGATCTGCTTCAGACAGATCATGGTTGATGGATTAGAGGTCTGATCGCTCATCATTCCAGCTTGTCGCAGTAAATGAAGAGCTAATCAGTACGTAACGCCATGTAAGAAGGCTGAGTTATCCATGTCAATGTTGCAACTTCAAGGATTTGACTATTTCCAAGTTTAGTTGCCATTTCCACCAGGGTTCTCCTTATGGTGACATTTGGCCTACTCAAAATGCAAGGATTCTGGCCTTTTTTTAGAAGAAAAAAAGAACACAAACATGTGTCAGATCCACAGGGATCTGGGAGAAACGAAAACGAATGGTAATGAGGAAGAGAAAGAGACGGAGAAGAATCAATGGTAATGGTATTCTTCTACTGAGCGGGATGGAGGGAAAAAGGACGGAAGGAAGGAAAGGAGAGAGAAGCTCTCACTTCCCTGGACTACTAGTAACTACCAACCCTAACCCTCACGCACAAAACCAACCCACGCGCTGGAGCATGCTCAGGAGCGGACCATGTGACCTCACACGGTTTACTATCCCCTAAAAACATGAATGTCGATTCTTGATGTTTCTGAACTGTTTTCGTAGAGTCCGGCATAATGTGGGTCTGATTCAGAGCCGCAAAGGACCTTGAGCTACAAAGCCATTGTAAACAAGAGGGATTGCATGGAACCTGCCACCCCAGATTAATGAGCAAAAATCCAGAATTGAAGAAAATATGCTTAAAATAGCAAGTGTCTTACACGTCAAATAAAAACAAGAAAAATGAGTAACTTGGGCCCCAAACTGACTATACACTACTGCTATTTACTGTATAGTCCCGGTGATCACGTGGACTCAACCATAAACAGACTCCACAGACACCCACACTTCACAAGCAACCCACAATGGAGCTCCGAACCGTCATCTTCTTCCTAGTCATCTACGTCGGTAAGTCCAACCTACATGAACGCCGTGACCACTGTCGCCAAACCCCGGCGACAACCCCAAATGCATTTAAATCCCCCTCTGACGAATCCCCAGGTATCCGCCTCTACCAATCCCGCCGCAACAGCAGTGCTCCCATCATGTCTCACGGAAAGGTCGTCAACATCGACAAGTAAGAAGCCCCCCCTACACCCTCACCCACAACATCAAGACCGCAATTGCCTTCGCAACCCCCCGCCCAAATCCGAGTCCAAAATTTCGAGTCAAAACTAACTTTCTGCTTCCCCGCAATCAGCGAGGTCATCTTCAAGGCCCTGACCTCCTCCGGTCCCACCGTCATCGACTTCTACGCGACCTGGTGTGGACCCTGCAAGGCTGTCGCGCCTAAGATCGGCGAGCTCAGCGAAAAATACCCGAACGTGCGCTTCCTGCAGGTCGATGTTGATAAGATGGGTCAGGTTTCTCGCCAGTTCGGTGTCACTGCTATGCCGACCTTTGCGTTCTTGAAGGATGGTCAGGAACTTGCTGAGAAGCGGGTTCGTGGCGCTGATCTTCGCGCCGTGGAGGCTGGTATTCAGGCTATAACTGCTTAAGTAGATGCTTGGGTTGGGCAGTGTCGTGCATGCCCGGCACGTGGGATTGTTCTATATCTGTAGGAAATGAAGATGATCAAGCATAGTAGGTGCACTCTTGTCCCTAAATTTTATGAATGAATTGCCCCTGTTTGGTATGATTGGCTTTCCCCGTTCATTGACAAGGGGAAATCTGGCGTGTCATGGTCTAATCGGCGTAAGAGACGACTTGTTTGAGGTGTCGAACTCTGAGCAAGCCTGACATGTACTAAAGCCAACCTTTCAAGAAACCAATATGCTACAAGAGCCTACAGTGGAGTTTCATATCCCCAGAAACTAATCAAAGGAAGTTGGCAAGTTAAGTAGAAAGAAATTATGTATTAAGAGGAGAAATGATCCCCTCTATGATGCATAGAAGAATAATTAGGTCTCAATAAAAAACAGACAAAAGAAATAACAGGTGAAGGTGTATCCCGAGAATCCTCCAACTACCGATCCCATGCGAAGTAAATCCTTGAAGCGAAGCGCTTAGAGGATGGAGCCAAGGGCAACGCAAGGAAGACCAGCGCCGACAAGGTCGTTGCTCTGTGAGAGGTAGGAAGGTTAGTAACTGCAAAACTAGACTGATGTAAAGGAAAACTCACGGCAGTGGAAGGAGAGTTGGCACAGCAGGCAATGTTCTGCTTGCACTTCTGGTTGACCAAGTCCTGGAGGGGGACGGCAATCAGGATGGGGACCTCGAGATCCAGCTTGGAGCACTGGTCGAAGACACCGAGACCGTCGGATCCGGAGCCACCAGCGATCAGGTTGGCGAGGAGGCCACCACCAAGACCGGAGTTGACATCGGTGGTGTCACCGGCGTAGGTGGCCTTGTTGCAGCAAGAGAGCTGAGCCTGGTCACCACACTTGGCCTGGGCCTCCTTGACGGTCAGGCCCTTGGGAACGGGGAAGCGGACGGCGCCGTGCTCCTGGCTCTCGAGACCCTCGGAGGTGGGCATAGCAGAGGCCATGGCGGCGAAAGCAATAACAACGGCGGAGAGAGTGAACTGCATCTTGAATGATTGAGAATTAAAAGATATAATCTTAAAAAGTAGAGAGTAGATAGGGTTTTTGAGGTTTGGAAGAGATGCTTGGAGAGAATGGAAGAGAAGTGTGTGATGAAGAAAAAAGATATCGACCATTGACTTGCTGCCTTTTATCTCTAAAGATTCGATTGTTTGCCTTGGTCCTTGCTAGTCATTTTTCACCTTGAGACTACAAACAATTGTCCCTGTTTGGTCGAGGGAATGTTCTCACGCAAGGGTGTGGCGCCCGTGGACCCTGCATCGGCAGACCTTGAAGCCCCTCAATTGGCCCGTTCTGCCCTTCGGAATTTTGTCATCAATCAGAATGAACTGGCTTGACTCCCTTTGGTGCTCAATTGCACGAGCCCTGCATTCCAAGGTGTGGTGGTGGCCCTGGTGGTATTCATGCGACCCCCCTACAAGGCATGGCTAATTTCCAATGCCCTGCTTACTTCCATGGGAAGTATCTTGCCCTACTAACACATGAACCTGCGATGCTGATTTCCTTGATTGCATCATGGAAGATCATTCTGCTACAGTAGGAGTCTGTTCTTAGCAGTCAATAGTCAATTCACCTCGAGGCTCAATCACCTTTGCCACGAAGAATGGATGTATCCACAACTACTAAGGTTTGATTATCTATTAAGATCTACGTACTCTATGTAACCTTTTTTTTTCTAGACCATAACAAATATACTATGTACTAGTAACTTTGGAATTTAGAGCTCATGGTCGGCGCCATCACTTGACCAGTAGTAAGTGCTCGACTAATTTACTTAGAAAGTATCGCCAATTATCACCCTATGTCATAATCCCAACTGGCCTGCCACAGTTAAGTCCCGCGGAAAAGAGATCCCGAGTTACATTCATCCCAACGTTTGAATGTAAATGTGGATCAATTGATCAAATCTCACTTTAATCAGACTCTGGTAGAACAGGGCTGAATGGAATCTTGATTCTTGACCCTGTCAACCTCCACTCATCTCGATTTCCCGACCGATCGAACCATTCTTAAGGCCCTGTTCTGCGTTACGACGGGCGACCGATGAGATCTACATGGGAGTGCTAAGGGAGTATTCTCTGATCTCAGGGAAAGGAATGGATTGTCGGTATCCCATGCTTGATGCGCCGATCATTCCCTTTCTGGGGGGCAACGGGCGGCTACTCGCATAATGCGAGATTATTCGAAGGACCAAGTTATCCAAGGTTGTTGTTTATTGAGACTTAGCTATCTACTCCCATGTTTACTTCTCGATGTTGATGAGTCAATGTGGAATACCCATTCTGAAAAGATTCATCGTTCGGAAACCAATTTGTGCGGTCTTTCAAAAACACTTGTTAGTATATCTCAAGTGGCGGGGAGTTCACATGCAGTATGTACATGTACCAGTTGACGCATCAATTGATATGTATAGTCCAGACGAATCCACATTGAATAGTATGTAGATTGAATGTAGATTGCAAATTCTATGTAACTTTTGGATGTTAAAAAGTATCTAACAGACTAGTCAAGTCCAGTGCATACTATGCACATTATATCACTTCAATGTTCCAATGCATGTGTCGATTAAATACATACTCAGGCGTGATTCTAACATTATAATCAATAAGAGATTCAATGTCAACTGGTTGCTTCCACCTGGGCACTCATAGGTGCACAGAGGATGTCCGTTGTAATGTTACCTAGATTAAATTGATTCAAAGTGCTTGGAATTAGAGGCAACATTTGAAGGTTTTGGTTCCAAGTATTTTCATAACATTCAAATATCTGAATAGTTTCCAAGGTTGGTATCTATAGATGTACATATATATATCAATAATATTAAGCACTGTGCTTGAGATTGATTGAATCTGGTTCGTGGAAGCGTGTCTGCAGGTTCATTTGAATACATGTGTATTGATATATATTTGTCTATATTGGGTACGTACATATGTTGCGTAGTATCAATTGATGTATGTATTAATGTATACATACATGTGTATGTGCACGGCGGAATAGACCTCCAGGGCTGAAAATCCATTCATTGAATGCATATGTGAAGTAGATATATTCCCATTTCCAATTCCCAGTGCTATACTAGTAGTTATCTGATGGAACAAGAGTCAAGAGCCTCATTTAAGTTGCCCCGACCGGGCCCCGATTGCCCCGACTCCAAGCCTAATCCGGACTAGCGGGACCCACACGGACAGATTGATCTTTGCCTGTAAACATCTAAAGGATGAATCCAAATCAATTATCTCCGAGTCCACTATGTGATGCTCAGAAAGATGCTGCGCCCCCAGGTAAGTCCAGGTAAGATGGAACAAGTATATAAAGCTAGCTTGAACACCACTTGGATAATCGCTGTCTCATCTACAGCAACAATTCAATTGAATGACATCTGGAACCAGACATCTGGAGCTTTACATTCTAACACAACATTAAACATATACATCCTACTATATTCCCAAAAAAATGTTGACAATCGCTTTCTTCGGTCCAACAGGCGGGTGCGCAAACGCCTGTTTGGCGTACACCCTCCTAAACGGCCACAAAGCCATCGCCCTAGCCCGCACACCCGCGAAACTCACCACACAACTCCTCGAGCAACCGGGTCTAACAACCGCCATCCTGAACACCCAGCTCCGCATCATCCAAGGAGATGCAACGGACATGGAAGCCGTCATGCAAACGCTACTTGTCTCTGAAACACCGCGATCCCTGAAGTCAGCCGGCGGCGACTCCGCCACAAGCCGCCCTGTCCTGGTCGACATGATCGTATCTGGGATCGGGGGCACCGGCGCGGTGTCAATTACCAAGGCGTCCTCGTGTGACAAGATCAAGATGCGGGTTCCGTCGTTGCCGTATGTGGATCTTGCTAATCCGCAGATCACGGAGCAATTTACTGTGGCGCTGCTTGGTGCGTTGGGGCGGGTTGCGGGGAGGTTCTCTTGCTTTGAGGAGTATGCGGGTGTTGCGCCGCGGTTGGTGATTGTTTCTACGACGGGGATCAAGGCGGGGTCGAAGGATGTGCCGTTTTGGGTGCGGATGATGTATGATATGTTGTTGGCGATTCCGCATGAGGATAAGAAGCGGATGGAGGAGCTTTTGGAGGAGGAGAGGGGGAGGGAGAATAGTTTGCTTGTTCGTGGGCTGATTGTTGTGCGACCCAGTCTTTTGGAGGGGGATCATAAGATTGTTGCGCCCGGGGTGGATGACGGGTATGAGAAGAAGTTGAGGGTCGGGACGGAGAAGGAGCCGGCTGTTGGGTATACTGTTCCAAGGGCTTGGGTTGGGCGGTGGATTTTTGAGGAGGTTCTTAAGACTGGTGGGGATGAATGGGTTGGAGAGGGGGCGATTCTTACTGCTTGAGGTGTTTACATGAAAGTTTAGGAGCAAGAGGGTGCTAATGTAAATGGGATGTACTTAATATTGCAAATCTTTAATGCATGAAGTGTATAGGACAGATGGCAATGTGTAAATCAAATCAAGTCATAGCAAAAACAAAACAAGGGTTCGGTCATTTGGGCATGTAATCACGGCCGAATGGGGAATCATAGAAATATGGAGCAAGACAGCTATTAGATCATAATGTAATAACAAAAAGGGAGAAAATAAGCAAGTCTTTGCGCAAATCGAGCAAAACGCCTGGCTTCTGTATGCAGTTTTGCCAACCATAAAGTAGGTAGACTGTACAGTGGAGAAAAGGGAGAGGAAGTTAAGGTCAAGTATATGAAGAGTCACATCTCCAAATATTCAAAAATTGTTTCGTGTCGGTCGTGAAGAAACTGAAAGTCGATAGTGCGCGTACACTACAACATGACTTAAACGGGAACGGATGTTTCAGGGCGATCCACATGCATGCTGCGACGCTCTTGATCAATTTGCATGCTCTGTCGCTCTTCTTTGACCTTGCGCTTCTCCATCTTCTTCATAGCTTCTTCGGTCAATTGCTGTCGGAAGAGGCGCTCAACGATATCCTTCTTTCGCGTCATTCGGTCACCGATCATAATCATTATACCACCTGTGATGTTGCAGGTGATAGAGCAACACAGAATGACGGTAGTCAAAGCAAACGGCCGATGTTTGGGCGGTTCCATACTCCAGGTACAGGCACCGAGAGCCATCTGGAGTAGCGAATGACAATCGAGGATAACGACAATAGCGACGAGCATGCGCATTGGAAAGGCGTGGTGGGTCATAGTCTCATGGGGCTTATAGAAAGTGTGTGATTTGGCGAACTTGTTTTGGTGGTGCATCAGTTTGAGTTGTTGCGCCTTTTCAAGAACAGTGAACTCATGCTCTTCCTCCTTGGGCGTGTCGCCAAATTCAACATCCACGTCCTTCTCAGGTCGAGCGGGGAGATCGTTCTTGTCTTTGAGGTCGGGCAGCTTGCGTTTATCACGAATATCCCATGTTTTATGAGTGTAATGCGCAATGAAAATCATGTGGTATGTATCGACAGCTCGAAAGGGGGCAAGTCCATCACCCATGATGGCAAAGAGACCCACTAGAACGTTGTCGATGATGTTGATAAGATAGGATTGCTTGCCAGCAACATTGATCCAACCTAGTAGAGGTCATGTTAGATTTTGCTATGACGCAATGGTAATCTGAAATAGAGATGGACAGCATACCAATCAAGAAGAGAACCCAAGCTAGACCAAACAAAGTGATCAGGGTGGCATAGAGAGTGACGAGGAATCCCAGGGCTAATCGAATTGTTAGTTGATGGTTCAAGAACATCTGTCGACAAAGATAACTCACGTTTCCGAATGTATTGTCCAAAGCCCTTCATGGACCGCTTGAACTTAGATCGGCGGGAGTGAAGCATATGCCGCACATGGTCATTCAACTCAGCAAAGTCCTCCTTGGTCCACCCCGCTAACTCGTGGCCTTCCGGGAGAACAGCATATCGTGGTCCCGCTAGCACGGATGACATGCTCGAAAATGGGCGGAGCTGTTCCAAAGTGGGACGTTGCTTGGAGTCATCTGACCGCTCACCTTCATCCGTGCTGGTGCCTTGCTCTTCATCTGAAGGTGGTGGTCGAGTGAGGGTATAGGTAGGCATACGGTTGATCCAACCACCCAGGTTTGGAATGAAAAGTGAATTCTGAACATTGGTTAGAGTCGAGAGAGCGGAGACTTCCGGGTCTACCACAGAAAGGCGTCAGTCAATTCAAGAAAGCCAGCAGGCCAGCATGTTGATAACAGGTCACTCACCAATAACATCCAGCACGTCAACTACATGATTGCTGTACTCGTTGATTCCCGGCTCTTGATTCGCAATGGACGTTTCTTGCGGGGCCCCGGTCACAGTGGAGGCCCGGTTTCGGGTAAATGGCTTTAGCGCCGCCTGGCTTCCCCGTCGCAGCATACTCCGGTGAACAGGACGCGACACGGGAGGCTCTTCGGCCCCGACCGGTACAAGCATCCCAGGCTCAACCTCTGGGGCGCCAGATGGCTGCGGGGTGGGCAATGCGCTCCGGGAAGACTCTTCGGTCACGGGCACCATATACCCAGGAGTCGCCACCCGCGACTGGCCATCAGCGAAAGGCCCCGAGTAGCGCCCAAGCCGTGGCTCAGAATTACTGCGCCGTCGACCCGATTGCGGCGATTCATCTTCTTCTGCGAGAGGAGACCGGATAGATACTTGTCGCTGAAGGGGGGGTTGCAATGAAGGTTCCGGTTGTGACGGCTGATTGTTGACGATATCGGTGTTCAAGGCCGGGATGGATGGTAAGCGCGAAATGCGGATACTCGGTCGGCGCGATCGCGCAGAAGAAGCCCGGGGACGTCCAGGCGTTTGCACCGTCGATACACCTGGCCTCGATGGAGTCGACTGGCCGGACTGGTCGCCCGGGGGACTTCCCCGGGCATTCGCATCTTCTGCGGGCTCAATGCGATCCATAGGGGTTATTAGGTTGGGGAGACTCGGGGAGGGCTCCGCAGGGAGGGGCTGGGGTGTAGATGGGAATCAGGTTGATGGATATGCGACCATGCAACAAGAAAGCGTAAGCAGCGTAAACCACCCCCAGAGTTTAAGATGTGTAAACAGTAAACGAAACGTTCTAGAGGAACAAACAGGAGGTTTTTCCAAGGCTTATTCTGAAGGCAAAGTTAGCAGGGGATGAGTCAGCAGCAACCCAAATCCAAATCTTGTTTTCCATAGTGACGAGAGTGTGGAGCAAGGAGATTGTCTGTGCACGTTTAAAGGAAGCTAAAGTGTCGATCCCCAACTGACCTGGTCAAAAATCCTGTTGAAGGTAGACGATCCAATTGAGTCGTCGTCAGTGCTCGAGTACCTGTAGCAATTCTAAGCCTTGGCAAATTAAAACGTGGCAATCTTTGATTCTTGTCATATTGGATCATAATGATACTTGATTGATAAGGAGATTAGAAGAGCTGTTGATAAGAGATCTAGGAGGGGCCGTGATAGTTAGTTTGCTATTTTTATATAATTGAGTATGCTGAATTTGAATATCCAGATGTCCACTTTATTTGAGCTTGATCTGAGTATGTGGTGGTAATAGTACATATATTAAGTGAGAGAAGTTCAGAGGCTGATATCTTGACTGATGCATATGACGCTATTCAGAAGGTACCTCTGAAGTACACATGTGTAGGGAAACCGATTCTACCAACGTTCGACTCCTGCTGTCGACTTTTTTTTTTTTTGTATGTACACTTAGTAACAAACATCAATCAAACTTTTCATGTCAGTGTCAGCCGCCTCCCACTCTGATCCTATTTTCGTAATGTCCTCGGCGGTAAGACCCTTTCGCAGCTCAGCCATTTTGCTGAACTCCTCGGCTGTACGCATTCCACCTAGAAGCAAGGTGCCGAAAATCCCCATAATGGCATCTTGAGTATCAGGGGCAGTCGCGACGTCGTAGATGCTATCAGCCAGCATACTGGCGTCACCAACCATTCTAATGATGTTGCCTAAGCCTGCCAAGCTCTCGGAAATAGCATCGACTTCGCCCAAGAAAGGAACGACGAGGAACAAAGCCATGATGATTACCTCGATTAGCTGCTTCTTCTTTTCCTCCTCATATTCATCAGCGATCTTCTCGATCTCAGCCATGTTTGCAACTGCTTGTACCATCGTGAAGACTGCTGTGGAGACACTCAGTACCACGTCATCAATTGCACCAGCCCATGCACCAGTGGCGATCAAGATTTGCGTCAGTGAAATGGTATCGGTGAGATCTTGAATATGGGGCAACGTGGATTGGATGATGGTTGCTGGGTCAGAAACCACAATGTTGTCTGCAGCCTCGGGATAACCTTTCCAGGTGTACTTTTGAGTGTGGCACACCTGTTGATTGGGTTTCAGAGTACTTGAGCAATGGTTTTGGATGATGTGGTCGGTAAGCTGAACCCAGCTTTGCTCGATGCCATAATCCGATAGCAAAAAGTCCCACCAAGCAGTCGCATTGATCGGTGTGTAGTAGATCACACTGTCAATATCCACATCCGGTGTTAGATCGACATCATATGGGCAGACTGTGGTAGAAGTATTCGTAACTCCACCTGCGCTGAATGTGCAATCGAAATAGACATTTCCATCTCCACTAGGTTCCATGAGAGCGTCCAGGACGGTAGGTACCTCCGACTCCACGTATTCGACATATTCTTCGAACTTCGAGTGGTAACTGCCATTCATGGTCGTATAGTTCGTCAATGTTGCGCTCAGCATATTTGATAAAACGCCCAGGGTGTAGTAGTTGATGCACATAGCACTGTAATCATCTGAAACATCACTGAGATCGCTGAAGCTGGAGAACGAGAGGCTGTAGTCACATGGATCGTAGTCATCATCGCAGATTGTACGAGTATCACCATCCGTACAAGCAAGCTCATCATCCTCGGCGTCTTCACTGTCCATGCAAGTGGGGGAAGGACAGTAGCCCCGCTCACACGCAAAATTACAGAGACCGCTGTCCGTTGCACCACCGTTGTAATATCCAAATATACTGGTGTTTGCGGCGGGGGGAACATTTAACGGTCCAGTCGACAAGCAAGTACAATTGTGAATTGGGCAGAACCCAAAATTGCAGCTATAGCTGCAAAGACCAGCGAGATCTTCATCGCCCTCTCCTCCAGTACAGGTGTCCGGAGTGAAAGGTGAGACTGTCGTGGTTATGAGAGCAACTTCGGTTGTGCCACAAGCTGAAGTCGGACAATAGCCATAGTTGCAGGCAAATGCACAGAGTCCACTGTAATCGCTGGTTTCCCCTGCGGCTGCGTAGCCCACTACCCCAAGACTGTCGGGGAGGGTAGGCTGAGGGCCCATCTTTTTGCAGAGACAGGCCCCAACTGGACAGTAGCCCAGACCACAAGTGAAGGAGCATAATCCTTCAAAATTACCGACTCCCCACCCTTCGACACAGACCTCGTCTGAGAGAGAGTATTCTGGCGTGACACTGATTGATTCGGAGGACATGGCACTGCCAACCCAGGAATTCCAATTTTCAATGTAGCCGGGGGTTGCGCACAATCCGGCGATTTCTGTACCAGTGAACCCGGCAATCTTGCTGCCTCCTCTGGATATTTCAATTTCCACCGCTCCATATTCATCCACGAACTTCACACTCCCATGATAAATACCGGCGCCTCCACTGGGGATAGTGTCCCACTCTGCATCCAGAGCTTTACCGCCGATTGTCACCGCGATATCCGCTGAAGACCCAAGGAGGGCAGAGAAAAAGATCTTGTTTTGCGGGATTTCATATGGAAAGTATTCCAATTGAAGTTGGCTGACTGTGTTGCCTGTGGTGCCGCCGTCCAGTACACAATTACCAGCAGCATTGAGTCGATACCAGCCTTGGACGCCCTCCTGATCAATGGTGGAGACATTGCTTTTGTAGGTTTCGATAAGCCATGGCAAAAACGCACGCCACCCGTCGTGCGGCATATCGAGAACGTAGTTGTAAGGGGCTTGACCGGTCTCGAAAGCAGTGTAGGTAGAATCTGCTAGATCCGAATCTGCGGCCTGAATTGGCCCAATATAGTGAGACTCGCCAAAGTCATTCCAGGAGATAATCTCAATGAACTCGGGGGCCAGAAACATGGCTTGTTCCCATCGATCATACCAAAGATCGTCACCTCGCCACAGCCAGTTCTTGTCATATCCGGGCATGTTGGTGAAGAACCAAGGAGATACAGGCATCATGTATGGCTTGCCATCCAGGAAGTCGATATAGGAGGCATCGATATAAGTGTTCATGTCATTTGGTCCATACGGCCATGCGGCCCAGCTGAAAAGACCATCGGCCACACCACTCGCAAGGCCAACTGCCGCCTGTGCTCCCACAGAAGACCAATCAGGAACAAAAAAACAACCCGTTTCTTTTTTGATGTTAACCCAGTCTTCGGCGTTACCTGGACCCTCAAAGGTGGAGACTAGTGGTTTGCCGTTGTGTTGGAAGTAGACACCGGAGCTTGCATAGGTAGTAATTAAATCAATTACGTCCGCCTCCGCCCAAGCTCCGTTGCCAGCGTAGTCGAAAGAGAAGAAGAGAGAGAAACCATAGTTCTGTGCTGCGAGGAAGGCATTTCCCACCGACGCGCCGTTTGTGGTTTCGCCAGCTGCGATATTCAGCGCGAAGGCATCAATCTTAGCCTTGTTGGCCAGGCTCATATCATTCTCCCAGTCATCCACAGTGTAGTTCAAAGTGTTGGAAACCTAAATAATAGAGGTTAGTCGTGAATCCCTTTTACTTCTCCTGTGGATTATTCCGTACCATGAAATGGGCGAAGACTGCCCGTGCCTGGACTTGCAAAGTCAACAGGCATACTGAAAGCAGAGCATGGGAAAGTAACCTCATGGCTGCTTCCCCAATGATTTAAAATGAAGGAAAGGAAGAGAGAAAAAAAATAACGAAGGAGATTAAGGAATGGATAGAGAGAAAGAAATCAAGGCATAACCTTGGAAATGCCTAGGGACTTAATAAATCCAAACGAGGGAAGGGCGACTTCGGGGGCTCCAGGTGTGTCCTCACAGTGATAAAAAATAGAAGCACCCACAGGTTCACCTGGGCATATATAGCTGTTTTCCTCCTGTGGTTGCAGGAATTCCAACAATAGTGGATGATTTCTGTTATCGCTAAAAGTACTAGTACTAGTAGTTATAGATGGTGCACACGACCAATACGGTAATGATACGGTATTGGTCTAATACCGCTAGGGACCAGGGTCCACGGGTCTAGCGCTGCAGTTAGCGCATAACTACTATGTATTTAGCGGTACTAGCGTGGAAATATCGGCGGAAGGTCCGATTTCAGTCCAGAACTCTTGGCAAAGTGAAACGGTATTAATAACTTAATAACAAGTCTACAGACACCTTTCCCCATAGAGAACCACACTTCCCCCCTCTCCGTCCTCAAGCCTCAAGTCCCCCAGCCTGGTTAGCCTCACGATGACCCTTCCTGAAATGGACAATTCTGGCATTGGCCAGCTACAGGTCCCAGGATTCGGGGATATATCCTTTGATTATGAATTGGAGACCAGTCAAAGGTTTGCTCATGGTGCCCTGCCAAACGACCCAGCGACAGGTCTCCTGGGTCGAGCTACCCGTTTGACTATTACCGAACTGTTCATCCTTCGTATGATGGAAAGAGTGTCGGAGATACCAAACTGGGAACATGATGTGTTTGACGACAAAGCCGTTGCTCAGTGGTATGCAGATGCGATATCTGAGTCGAGATCAACAGACCAATTGAACCCAGAAGCTGACTCTGGTATGGATGTCGACATGGATATTTTGTCACAGATGACATGGGACTGGTGCATTGCAGAGCTGCAGGACAAGGCAAAAGATCTTCGAAAACAGAAGTTCGTCCTTACTCTAAATGCCGATTCGGGTGTCTGCAAATCAGATGAACTGGCTGGAGAACTACTGCAAATTGAACTCAAAAATTCGCTGGAAGAATATCTTCCCTGCAACTCACGAGGGAAATTCCGAGAGGAAGATTCGAGTCCGATGCATGATCTGGTTGATCCCTCGTTGTTCATGCTGGTCTACGGCCGGACTGCCGTGCTCAGTCAAGGAGGTCTTGTACCCATGGCTGATAGCGGTCTAGCATATCCGACTATTGCATCAAAGGCCATTGTTGCACCAATACTAGAGCACCCACTCGATATATTCACAGCGAAGTACGGGAGAGGTTCTCGGCCATATGATGCAGACACCTATCCTTTCTACCGTTGGTCCAACCAGTCTCAGTGGCTTCCATGTGAAGTGGAATTTACCAGCCAGGAAGCTTCCAGCACAGAAGTTCGCATATCATCATATATCAACAACCTTCACCCCCAAAACAAGCGAGCTTATATGGCAATTGAAAAACTGATTTCCTTGAGCTTGGACCCTTGGAACAAAGTTCTGATCAAAGGAACAACCAGTCGTTATCCACTACGCATCAAGACTTATGGGGTCGACCAGAGTGATACCAACGCTCAGTTTAGACCCGAGAAACCCAGATGTACTGTCGGTATTTGCGCGTCTGGTTGCGACTGTAAAAAAGAGAGATGGGGCTCTTATATTGCGAAGGTGAAAAAGTACCTCGCATTGCCGGAACCTGGTTTAAAGTATGAAATGTGGGATGATGACCCAGAAGACTCAAGAGGGCCTGATGATCTCCTCGCTGCAATGACCCCCGACATGTTGACGGGCTCGGCAATGGATGAGCTGCGTGAACTGATGGAGTTGAAGTATGGAAGACTCAATACGTTCAACTACCCACAAGCCGGGATCTCCTATTCTTACGAAGAATGGAAAATTGGCAAAACGTGGAAGCCGATCATTGAAAAGAAGAGAAGCCACGCCGAGGTCCCTGTTCCTGATGCCAGTTTGTCGGGTGACCACCCATACCAGAATATTTGCCTGCAAGATGAGTTTCGGGCGGAAGGGCTGCAAGTCATCGTTCGCGTATCCAGCATCGAACTTACCCCGGAAAGCCCATTCTACCCCGGTGACAGCGACTTCCACGTTGATGGCCTCCTCAATGAACATATTGTGGCCACATCGCGATACTACTACGATGTTCAGAATGTCGAGTCGCGGATATCCTTTCAACAAGAGAATGACCTGGATGAATGGGACTATCCACCTGAGCCTGATGTGATGCACAAAATCTTCGGCATTCCATATACTATTGGTTACTATAGTTTCCACAGTCTCCCACTTCCCCTGAAGATTCAAAACTTAGGCTCCTTGGGGGTAAAGCAGGGTCGATTCTTGGCTTGGCCGAATACTCTACGGTACAAAATGCAGCCATTCTCCTTGAAAGACAAATCTTGTTCAGGCCACCAACGCTGTGTTATTATCTACTTGGTTGATCCTCACTACCGCATCTGTTCAACGCGGAATGTACCCGCACAGCAACATGACTGGTGGCGTGAGGCTGCTTTAACCACCGAGACCACCATTACAGCTAAACTACCCAATGAACTTGTTGATCTTATCATAAGTGAAACAGATGACTGGCCCATGGGTATCTCTGAGGCAACGAAGCACAAACAGGAATCCGAAAAGGAACGCAGTCTTGCCATGAAAGCTCAGACTAAAGGGATTGACGCCCTCAATTTCGAAGGCCCGGTCATCCACGGGTAATAGAGTCTGTTTGGTTTCGGTTGATACTAGTATCTCCTATGTATTTGAGAATAATCAGGTCACCTCCGTATACTAGGACATCCATTTTGATTCTCCACTACCTTTTTGGCCACCTTCGCATCTATTTTCAATTAAGGCTTAGACGATGCAAATATTGACCGGATGCACTAGAAGCCGTATTTGAGCACCCCTTGTAGATGTTCGGGCGAGACTCAAGTGGAGTCGTTCTCGGGGCCGGCACGCTGGCTTCCCTCGGTTAGCGTCAAGACCTCGGTGCCAAGACCTCGCTTCTAGTAATTCAGGGATCAAACACCCTCTCCACTACATGGTTTCCGGGCTCGGAGATTAGCGAGATAACTAGTGGCGAAAATTTCTTCAAAAATGTTCGCATAATGTGTAAAATTCGCTCAGACACGAAGGATATTTCTTTCAATTATGGAAACAGCTACCTGTCCAGCTTGATTTAGCGCCAATTGCGCTTTGAGCCGCCGATTTGTCTTGCTCGCCACCTACCTTGATACTATACAGTCTTTATTACACATGGAAATAGATGTTTCAACCAGTTGTGTTCAGGCTGTGGAATTCTCTCCAAAGTTCCCCGGCGGTCCTACTCGGTGCACTTGGTTAGAACTGGCTAGTATTACAACCGGAGAAGAATATTTTGTATCATTGGAACATTGAAGTCGAAGTTCCGTTTCTATACATAAACATACAGGTGTGGTTGGCATAATTCGAACCCCAAGGAATGTGCTAGACCGATGTACAAATCACAAAATACAACAACATCCATACATTGTAACATTTCATTTGACTATGAAGATCCAGAATACAAAGTACAATATACAGCACGGAAGCGACAAACCACAAACATTTCCAAGAATGTTTCAAGTTGAACATCCTGTTTCCAATAAAGTCCCCTTTTCTCCATACAGCAGTGCGAGGCCTCGATGACTCCTGTAACTTCCTGCTTTTGGGGGGGTTTTCTGCGCCCATGCCTTAAACATCTCCATTTCCGTTTCATCACTTGTCATTCCGTCGTAGTCGAGGTCCGTATAGGTGATAGACCGACTCTCGGAGCCGGTAGTATCAGTCGCGAGCTCGCGCTCGATAGATTTCAAAGTGAAGTCTGGAAATTCACTTTTGAAATTCAAGGTCTTCTGTCCACTCAAAGGATCGGCGGTAACATCACCAATCATGTCAGTCAAGCGTGCTGCCTGGGCGTAGCGCAGCGCAGTTTTGGCTTTTTCGACAAGAGTTGCCTGTGGGGTGATAGCCTGAGCAGCCTGAATCTTGTCGACAACGGCAATAATAATATCCTTCCATGTAATTGCGCTTCCCGATATGATTTTCTTAAAAACCAGGCTCTTGGCGTTGTAATTCCAGTTGCTGATAATATCTTGTGCAGTATCGTAGATTTCGGGGGTAGTGGTGTCCCCGGAAGAAGTTGGAGTTAGGGTTGCAGCATCACCTGCGGGCAGAATAGATTTCACAAATGTCCCGAAAGTGCATCCTCCCTCCTTGCATCCATTTCCCACGGTCTTTGTCCAGTCGACTTTGGCTTCCGTGGCTGCAGCTTTAGCAGCGGCATCAATTTGGTATGCGTAGTAAAAGAAAAGCGCCTCATAAGCGCTGGACACCAACGCAGAGTGTACTGCGCCGAAGCATGAAATCCAGCAAAGGAAGTATAGAAAGAACTTCATGAGGTGCGGATGGATAAACGATAGAATGAAAGGATGTATTAGTTCGATGCTCAATCGAAGGGAAAGAAGGAGAACTCTTGTCAGAATTAATATTTATTCCATATTTTTTTCACCTTATTCCTAGTATGAACATCGCAAAATAATACATGGTGTCACGGTTGCATGGGTTGGAGGTAGTGGGGATATCAAAATTACCGCTATACTCGGAGATCCACTTTGACATGGAAGGAGTGGCTTCTTTTTCGATAGTTCGAGTAAAGGGTCCAACTGTACCTAAAAATGAAAATGGATATATCGGCCGAGCCATTCCTAGCGGTAATCTTGGAAGTTGGAATCCGCTATAAAAAACCAGATCGTGACGGTACAGAACAAATTATAACAGCACAAACCTTGTGATATCGTAACACTTGCTTCTAATTTACTTAACAGCTTTTGCCTACGGTTGCCATGTTCTTTCTTTAGCGTCCCTATATTAAGCCAATACGGTCCACTTAATCCTCCTATATTCCCATATTCCCATATTTCCATATTTCCAGCTTTACACACCACAGGTTGAAGTTTGAACCCACCAAAAAAAAAATGAAATCTGCTCTCGTCTTAATTTTTGGCTCTTTGGCCTGCACATCAGCTGCAAGTCCTAGCTCGCAATGTAGGGACTCGGTCTCGGAAGATACCATTGCGTTCTTCAGCAGTGCCCCCATTACTTTTGGATCCAACTTTGCGGATTCCACTGCCTGTGCCGCAAAGTGTGAAATTCTTGACACATGCGTATCTTGGCTCTTTAGTGCGGGCGGTGGAAGATGCGAGCTGTTTGCAACATCAGCGGTGGCCACCGCGCAAAACCCAACTTTTGTTTACGGAGGCTGCTCAAACATCGGGTTCGCCTCTTCTTCCATGCCACCGGCTTCGTCAACGAGCTTAATCCGTCCCTCTGCTACTTCTGCGCTTCCTGGAGTAAGTGGTACCCATGTAACTTTGTTAACGAAATGCTAATTATATGGTTGCCATGTTACTTAGACCACTCCTCATGCTGATGCAAAGCGACACTTGTCTGCTCACAAGCACAAGAGTCATCGACACTCTTAACTAAAGCAACGCACTAAAGCGGACCAGGGAGATTATATTTATGGGAATTGATATCTTGAGGTCCATTCCGATTGGAGATTCATTCTGGTGCATATCAATCATCTGGAAGGAATTCTCAAAAAAAAAGACGCCCAGAAGAGCGATGCTGGATAAAAATGAGCTAGCCCAAACAAACTTGTTCCATATTAATAAAGAATCAAGATCGACAAAATTTCCTTCAATCCCTAACACTCTAATGGGAAATTATTCAGCCCCGGCATTCAATTGATATGTATGGTTTTTTCTTCCAAGGTTTCACAGGGCTAAAAATATTGAACTTGCACGATGCTGAACGACTCCGAGGTCGTCTTCATTCTTGCATAGTTGACATACATTTGGCCCGACGCCTGCGATCTGATGGATGATCTCCACCTAAGCTGTGCAGGGAATAAATCATAACCATTTATATTACAGCACATACATATGATATATTCCTGCCGGTTTAAATTGATCAATGACGTGCGATCCGTGGACGTGATATTGTGCAATTGATCTATTATATATATGTATATAATAAGAGCCTATCTATTAATCATGTGTTGTTCTTTCTTTGATATTGATTAATTGATGTATGTATATCCAGGGCTCATACATTTGAGCCTTTTCATCTTCAAGCATATACCATAGTTAGTCTGGTTCCAATCTTCTTATAATATTGATAACACCAGGTGATATTAAAGAACTAAAAGAGACCTAAGAGTCCTAAGCAGGCCTAAGTAGACTAGAAAAGTGGGTTAATTTATATCACGTGGCTTATACATCCATCCATACTACATAGTATACGCATAAATTCATGCACATGTGGCAAGGAAATCAATTGATAAGTATGGATAGCCCTGGAGAGTAGGTACATATACATAGTACTACTTCTACATTGTCTTTAATACTACAACCTTGGGAAGTAACATTGAATTCAATGTTAAGTCTGGATAGCCAAATTTTGAATATAGATTCTTTAAGATATTGAGTGCAATGGGGGAGTGTGTTGTTCTCTTCAAAAGTTTACCTGATTCATAGGGTTGATCCAACTATTCAAATGTTGAATGAAATTGTGCTGTTTTGGGTGGAAACCTTCCTGGGATCAATTCACCTCAAGTTTGCTCTTACATCGCACCCATACCAGATCATTCAAAGTTGCGTTTCATCACTCGATTGATTCTTCAAATTGTTTGCTGATTCGGCATTGATTACTTCTTGCCAGGTATAAAAAGGCATCTTTCACTTTCCCCTCTTCTTCCCCCTTCCATGACTCGATCTTTCTCTCGTCTTACTTACCACAGATGCTGGCAAACCCCATCCTTGAGGGTGATGATTCGTCCGGAACATTCATCACCGAGGAGGGCTATTGTTGGTCTAGAACATACACCAATGACTCATTCAATGAGGATATCAGCTATGGCACAATTGCTAGCCCCGAGAAGTCCTGGAAAGACAAAGAACGTGTCAGTGAGGAACCTCCCACCACACTCGGAGTAATGGGGTCTGCCGGAAGATCAGGGAGCAACGATTCTACTGCGGGAAAAGGTTCTTTATCTTCTTCGTCGACTCTTCTCACTTCTCACTTGTCACGGAAACCCGAGGAAGTTTCACTCGACTCTCAGGAGTACCTGATCCGGAACTCATTGCAGAAACTGATTCTTGTGCGCCACCATGGTTTTTCAAGCTCTTGTAAAGAAGTTTGGTAAGAGATTTGGTGGAAGGAATGCGGAAGACAACCGTTCAATTTCGGAGATGAGTGAAGAGAAGGGGAAGAGTACGTCGAATTCGTCGAACCCACCGAGACCGTCGAACTGATCACGGAATCGAACCCTGAACTGAAAGTACAGACAAAGCATGTATGCGCAATGTGATGGAGTTCAAAATTTCTTTTCCTTTACAAAAAAGCTTAGATTTGAAATCTAAGATTGTAGACCAGATTTGAAAGTTTGGGCCTAGATAGGGCCCCGCGGTGGCATATATGGGCATGGCGGTGTGGTGCTCGACTCTGAGGAGGGGTTAGCGGGGAATTTTTGACTCATGTCAGTCCTCGGGGTGCACATTCTGCAAGACATTCATGTACGAAGTTCCGAAGTATTTGTATTTAATTTTTTTTTTTCGTCATTGTGGTACAGACCGCACAAGACCAGTTCCAGTACTGTAGAAATATCCCATGGGTGATTTTCTTCAACTTGGCGATTCCGTCCGCAGTTCGCACACCGTATTTGGATGAAGTTTTTTTGGTCCTTTTTCGCTGGTTTTAGCTTGGAACGTGGAGACCATGGAGGCAAAGTGGATCCGGCTGAGGTGGAAGATCCGATCCCTTAATGGTGATCGTTCAGACGGGGACTCGCATATTAGGCACATTAGACCACTTTGGAAGAATGCGGATCAATTGGAGTAACAAGAAGCATGTATATGAGAAACAAGTGACAGACAAAATTGGTGTTTGGGTAACAGAATGGGGAATTTGGGGAAAGGTAGAAAGAAGAGCAAGAAGTGGATCGAAGAGGATAGCAACTCGCCGAATTGAGCGGGTGTTCTCCAGCATGACATCAAGGCATTGTTTGGCTGCCTTGGAGACTGAGGAAGCTCAAAGTGGGCAGAATTGAATAAAGCGGGATCGAGTGAATTGGGGGACTCTGCCGCCCAATTCAATGGTGGGGTCAGGCCTAATACTTAAGCATGGATAGGCATCCTTACGCCTAAATCTATTCCCCAACTCTTCAGTCCCGTTTCGCACGGCTACCTCACACCGCCTCCTCCTTTCCTCCAAACAACTTCACTCCCCTTCTCTTCCTTCCTTTCCTGCAAGAGCCAACTTACTTCCTTCGATTCCCCATCCATCTCTTCTCCCCCTTCAATCCGTATCTAGGGCACCAAGCTACCCTGCTCCCTCACTCCATTCCTCTCGTCAAGTCCATCACTTCCCGGGTAACCTAGCAAACAATCCACCCCTCTTGTTTGTTTGACACAGCTTAAAGCCTTTTTTCTATCTCGAATCCTTTTTGTGTCATCCACCCCCAAGATGTCTACCGTTGAATCTGTGACCGAAAACTTGGCTGCTGCCACCGTCAACGAGACCCCCAGCACCAACGGTACCGCGCCTGCCACCCAGGCCACCGACGCTGCAGTTGCTAGCGCCGATGAGGGTCGTCGTCTGTACATTGGAAACCTGGCTTATGCCACCACCGAGGAGGAGCTGAAGGACTTCTTCAAAGAGTACACCATGTAAGTGAGAATCCGACTTGACTCGGATTTTTCCGTAACCTCGACCTTCCCGAGCATGCCACGTTCCTCGAAACTGCAACTTTCCTTTCCCCAACAAAACACTGACTCGAGTCCTAGCGAGAGCACCTCGATCCCGGTGAACCCCCGCACCAACCGCCCCGTTGGATACGCTTTCGTCGACCTTGTGACCGCCAGCGAAGCTACCGCGGCCATTGAGAGCCTGTCTGGCAAGGAGATTCTGGCGCGTAAGGTTTCTGTTCAGCTCGCCCGCAAGCCCGAGCCCGTTGAGGCCAAGGAGGGTGCCGCTAGCGGTGGTGAGGGTGCCAGTGGCACCGAGGGTCGCAAGCGCACTGGTGGCCGTGGTCGCGGCCGTGGTCGCGCTCGTGGCCGTGGTGGTCGCGCTGCTCGTGGCCGTGGTGTATGTCTTGTCTTTCCCCATGATTATCAATTGCGATTTTTTTATGCTAACTCAATTCTTAATAGGCTCAAGAAGGCGAAGCGACCGTTGGCGATGTTGTCGCTACCGAAGAGGCTGCTCCTCTCACCGAGACCACCAACGAGACCGAAGCTGCTGGTGCCGAGGGAGCCAAGCAGCAGACTAAGCCCCGCGCTCGTACCCAGAAGCAGCGTGGTCCTCCCGAGGACGGCATTCCTTCTAAGACTAAGGTTATGGTTGCCAATCTGCCTTATGATCTGACCGAGGATAAGGTACGTCAACTTTCCCCTCCCCCGGGTTTCTTACTGTGTGCGCCAGCACTGACTTAGCATTTCCCCACAGCTCAAGGAGATCTTCTCCGCCTACGAGCCCATCGGTGCTAAGGTTGCTCTGCGCCCCATCCCCCGTTTCATGATCAAGAAGCTCCAGGCTCGCAACGAGCGCCGCAAGACCCGTGGCTTCGGTTTCGTCAGCCTCGCTACCGAGGAGTTGCAGGCCAAGGCTGTTAGCGAGATGAATGGCAAGGAGATTGACGGCCGTACTATTGCCGTCAAGGTTGCCATCGACAGCCCCGGAAAGGAAGACGACGATGTTGACGCCGCCGCTGATAAGAGTGAGGAGACCAGCGCTCCCGCTGAAGAGAACTCCACCCCCGTTGAGACCCCCGCCGAGGCCTAAATGGAAGCAAGTGATAGTGTTTGAATGTGGAGGGCTTGCTGGCTTAGCTTGGGGGGGGGATATATGAAAGAAGAACAGGGGAGAGCCCACATGGACATAATGACTTTGTGTCTTGGTGTTGTTCCTTGTTCATTGTTTTTGTCTCGTCTCCCCGAGCTTTGGCCTATTCTTGAATATCTTAGTTGTTCGCTGTCCCGCGGAGGCGAGCACTGGAGATTGAGAGTTGTGATGATGATCTTTTTTTATGGACGTGAGAGTAATCCTTGCTGATGCCTCAATAATCCTTAACGACTTTTTGCCTTCTGTACTGTATCTTAGCACACATTTAACTTACTGATGATGATCTGCCTGTTTTCTCTTCAATTTGTAAATCTCTGTAAAAATCCAGCCCAGATGTGAACTGAGCTTGGTTTGGGAGGTTTATTGCTCTCCAAGTTTCCTAGCGCAACCCTTGGCGCGATGACGCTTGTTTTGGGGGGCGACCCTTGCCGATCATTCTCATGCGGCAAACATATCGCCCTTCAACACTTGCAAGAACACCGAAACCTACTTATCAACTCGCATTATCTTTCTCGCTTCCACTTGTTAAATTTTGTCATCCGCACTATCATTCATAGCGTCATCCCGGTGGAGTACGAGAATAAAAATAAGGGGCAATCTAGCCACCAAAAACAGATAACGCTCCGAACCACCTATGGTGCCGACTCCGCCTTCAACCCACACCTTCATTCTCCCCAATTGCCCCGAAGACCCTTGTATAGAGCATTATACCCATCATGTCTCGCATGTGGGAAGTCGACCCGGAAACAAGGACTAAGGTGCGCCCGTATTTTTTTCAACTAATCATTCCCGCTTGTCCACCGTGCGCCAAGAGGGACACAAAGTCAGGGTGCTTGTAACTTAAACTAACCACCAAACTGCGTCCAACAGCTCCTCCATATCTCCAAGACAAATGGCAATGACCGCTGCTGCGATTGCGGTGCGCCTTCACCTCAATGGGTGCGTAGACCCCTTCCTCTTCTGTTTACTTGTCTACTACTTCACAACCGCGTTTCTTCTATTTACCCCCGCAAACGACTCGCTCCGCTAGCTGGCACAACATCCCTCCCTCGGACGCAGTTGACAAGCGACACAACCCAGCACAAACATGTAGCTAACCAGACCCTTCATTTCCGTATCACAGGCATCCCCCAAGTTCGGCACATTCATCTGCCTCAACTGCGCAGGCACACACCGCGGTCTAGGCGTCCACATCTCCTTCGTCCGCTCAATCACCATGGACGCATTCAAGCACGCCGAGATCCAGCGCATGGAACTGGGCGGCAATGAGCCCTGGAAAGCATTCTACGACGCCCACGACGTCACCGTCTCCGAGGGCCGCACATTCGAAGACTCAACCATCAAGGAGCGCTACGAAGGCGAAGCGGGCGAGGAGTGGAAAGAGCGCCTATCATGCAAGGTCGAGGGAAAGGAATACGTCCTCGGCCAGGAAAAGAAGAAGAGCAATAATAATGCCGCGGCGGCTGGGCTCTCGCGATCCAGCACACCGATGAGCGTGGGCACGGGTGGCGTTGGACCTGGGAGGGCGGGGTCCCCCGCCGCAGGAATGCAGCGAACGAGCAGCTTGAGGTCGGCTGGGCCGAACAGCAAGAAGGAGCAGAATGAGGCTTATTTCGCGAAGATGGGCAACGAGAATGCGACACGCTCGGATAATCTGCCTCCTTCGCAGGGTGGAAAGTTTACCGGGTTTGGCGGTGGCTTGCCGCCGTCTTCGGGGACTGAGCGCAAGTCCTCGCCGTTTGGCGGGTTCGGTGGGTTCGGAGGTTTTGGTGGAGGGGGCGGTGGTGGTGCCGGTCTTGAGGATTTCCAGAAGGATCCTGTTGCTTCAATTACCAAGGGATTCGGATGGTTTGCATCGGCGGTTGGGAAGAGTGCGAAGACGGTGAATGATTCATATCTCCAGCCGACTGCGAAGCAGGTATGTTTTATATTCCCAGGAGTTCCTCCTCCTTGTGTAGTGTTTATGGATTGTTCGTCGAGACTAACTTTCACAGCTCGCCGAGTCCGACTTTGCAGCCCAGGCTCGTCTTCAGGCTGCCAGTTGGGGCCAGAACTTACAGACTGGTGCCCGTGGCGCTGCCGACCATTTCAACCGCTTTGTGGAGGGAGATGATGGTCATGCCGGTGGTCAACGCTCTCGAGTGGATCCCGAGCGCCGGGACTTCTGGGACGACTTCTCTTCTCTAGGTTCGCAGGAGCAGCAGCAAGCCGCTGGTCATCGTCGCGGTGCTTCACGGTCCGATGTTGTCGGTACGGCTGCTATGCGAAAGACTCCTGCCAACAGCTCATCTTTGGCTAATTCTTCAACACCGACTACTGCTGAGACAACTACCGCCCCCTCTGGGTTAGAAGGGACGGAGGGTGGTGCTGCGTCCAGCGCCAAGGGAAAGGATGACTGGGATGATAACTGGTAGACTTATACTGTGTATATTCATTGGGCGTGTTTCTCTTTGGACTTGAGACAAGAGTCTCCATCTGCATGTTCTTGGGTTTTGGTTTATGTGCACATGTGTGTAGACGGCTTCGGATGCCATGATGATGTGCGGTGTTTCTGCTTCCCTGTTTTCCGTCTTGATTTATATACCTTGCTCATCGAATCAAGATATTCCAAGGCTCTCACTGTAATTTTTGGATAGAAAAGATATCATTCATGTGATCCTCCATTCCGACAGTCTACTAGTAGGGACCTAAAATACTAAACCTTTGAATTGCAGTACTAGGGATGAGTACTATCAAGGGCTCAGGACTTTCAAATGTTCTTGCCAACCTTACATATCGATTCCGTTCCTCTGCTTGCTTGCTTTTGCTGTTTCCAAGGGGTTGCCAAATAAATGAGGCTCTTCGAAATGTCTTTCAAAGCCACTGGATATCTCAAGTTCTCAACGTCCAGGATTCCATTCTTGGCATAATCCATTTATTTCCTTCCATCTGATTGGCCAACCTGAGGTATACATAGACTGGTACCTCATCTTGACGATGAACGGTCTATATCCCATAGAGAGAATCAGAGAAAGACTAGTAGCATTAGGCCTTCACCTACTAGTAGATTTTCTAGCTTCTTGGTTGCACATGTGTATAGTACTAGCTTATGGATTGCCCATTTGGAAGCCTACTGTTTTCATGGATACCCTCAAGTTGGATCGCACTTTGAACATTTGCGCCCACAACCCTGGTTCTTCGCTCTTTCCTTCCCTGCAGCTCCATACGACATACGAATTAATGTGGCTGCACCTTCCATTTTTGGTCTTAATAAAAACCAACTTTGGAAGGAGCTCCGAGGTCAGTAATAGCTCCACTTGAATGGCTCTAATGTTCCTATAATATACACTAACTAGACAATACTACTGTATGTACAATTGACCTTATGTACCATCTGCTAGGGCCTTGAGTACCACTACTACCCCATAGGTTGTTTCTCAACCCTGCAACTCCACTACATAATCTCCAATCTCCAAAAATCTCTCATCGGACCCGACCCGCATATTACTCGCATGAAAATGAAATGACATGCATGAGCACGTACATTTCCCAAAACTCCATCCTCGGAGCCGGCTCGGAGAATTTGTGGTCGCACATTATCAGAATCAGATCAGCCAGATTCGCAGGAAACGAGGTACTTGGCCTCGGCTTCTATTCGACAAGACAGGGGCTTGCGCGATTTTGAGTGGGCTTGAATGGGCCTGAGTTATGCCATAGACATCCGATTGGATCGGAATCATGGAGCTAGAATTTGCGGCATCTTCAAGTAGTCTAGAATCTAGATTGATCAAGATCGAGGCTTCCAAGGGTTGGGGTTAGTGTAGTCGTATTTCCGAACCGGGGAAATAACCGTGATCGATTCTGTTTCCACGGTTCATCAGATCTTGTCGAGGGTTCCTGGAATGGTGCACCCGAGATAAGATCTAGAATTCTTCCAGCCTGGCCATATTGGTCAGGGATGAGAGACCCTGGGATGCATCGATGCTGGTTCGTGGTGGGTCATTCTAAACTGGGAGTCCCAGTCTGGGACTAATGCTCAAGGATACATTATATAGCACCCATCCAGAGACGTCCTGAAGTTTGGATGCAGGTGTGGTATTTTCGTTGATGCTATAAGTTCAAATGTTCGGTCTGTGATTACAGGCCTGGCGACCTCTGTAAAAGTGATCTCTGGTTTGATATACCTATCTCAGGCAACAACACAGAGATTGGATAAAGATGCTTATCAGCAACGGCAGCCACTATATAGCCTTCTTCAGTACCTACTCAAGCACATACGACCATAGGGTGTGGAGAACAGGGCTTCCCGTCCGCTCAGCCGTACTTAAGCCACACGCCGGTCAGTTAGTAGTATGGTGGGTGACCACATGCGAATCCTGACTGTTGTATGTTTTTTGTTTTTTCTTGTCTTTTATTAGTTGCTTGGTTTTGCTTAATGCATGAACTGTGGCCACGGCATCTCGGCCGATGAAACTTGTTGAAATAATTTCAAATCATATTAATGGCCATTGGCTTACTCAATTCCATTCTCATCTGTTGACCTATAGCGATCTCACGTCGTAAAAATCTATTTCTTAGCAGTGCTTAGGAGAAAATCGGTAGATATCGGAGGATCATACGATCTGTGCTTCATGCATGCAGCAATAGGCCCCCACTGTCCGGGGTATGAAGCGGAGAACGGGAAGATCGACATATGCGCTAGCGCCCGATGTAATTTCGGTTGATTCCTTAGGACGCCACCCGTTGATAGATGTATGCATAGCATATATCATCTTGCATTCAAACTGCATACACTAATGCGTTCCAGGATCACAAAGAGGGAAATTACACGAGTGAGAATACAAAACATCAATTGGTTGTTTTTTATTGTGATTTGGCCAATTAATCAGTCAAGCCACATCTTCCACCATCAAAAAATCGAGTATCAAGACTCTGCTGCAGTTCGTTTGAGACGAATTTCAAGTCCGTGGGCTCCGGGTGGTATGTCGGCTCCATTGTCATTTGCATCAAAATATAGTCGCCAGATATCACGCGCATCTGTAATACCCAACTCAGAGTTGATGTGTTCTTTAGCCTCGTCTTCTGGGAGACGAACTGCCAGCCACCCTTCCCAATCTTCCATAGTCAGGTACAACTCATCAGCAGTCCAGTCAAAGGACCCGCATATGTGACCTTCCGAGTCGGGACGACCGCCCCAACGCATCTCATGCGTCTTAGCGTCTCGAAACACCCAGCGCAGCGTCGGGGCCTTTTCCCCGCTAATCGTCACCAAGCCAGATGTGTTGTTCGGCGGAAAGTCGGGGTGTGTATGGTAGCCGCCGTTGAATAGGACCATTGTCGAGCTGGGATGCTTGGTGATGTAGAGCTGTAGATGTAGCAAAGATGGGTATTAGTCAATTCCCTGTTTTGCTCCCTGTCTGACAGAACTCACTTTTCCGTCCAGACCCACTTGGACTTGGGCATTGTGAACCTGTTGGCGCATCTTTGGTGTTCCCTGTGTAAGGGCGCATGTGGCCACTAGGTGTCCACGTTGTCTCCGTGCGTCGTTGCGTCGGCTTTCCTCTGCATCCCGACCCCCCTGAGTTGCCTCATTCAAGCCAATCATGGTCGGCAACATGGCCGCCATCATAACGATTCCGATCACCATCACAGTTGAAATTTGCGGTACTGAGTCCTCGAAAATGGTTAGTGCTGTTTGGGCGAAATAATGGGCGTCAGGAACATAGTAGTTTAATAAAAAGACTTGAAATTGCAGGTCAGGGCTGTCGTTCGATCAGACGAGGCCAGTGGAGACACTTTGGTCGAGCGCCATACATGCTTCATATCCACTTCGGTGCCGATGAATCGTATGATCAAATATGCAACTAATTCAAGGAACGCCAGATAAAGATGGGTCTAGACACGGAGCCGGAGAAGGTTGAAAAGGGATCGATCAAGTCGCGGAAACAACTCTTTCCTCTCCATCATCATCACACTGCAAACTTCATTCTTACTAAACACAACATACGTTACAAGTCCCTCCAGCCTCTTAAATCAGCCAAGCTCCCCATACATCCAAAATGTCCGAGCCTGTTAGCAGGTATTTACTCCCATTTCTACTTTCTATTCCCTTTACAATTTGCGCCATTCTCTGGTCTTTCACCTTGCGCACCTTTCTTGTCCACCCATGTTCAAAATAAAGTCCCAGAAAAGCAAACAGAAGGAGAAGCAGAAGCAGAAGCAGAAGCAGAAAGAAAGACAAACTTCCGTCTCGTCTGGAGTGAGCTATAGTGGTACAAAGAATTCATCGTCGACAACACTGCCAGTGCAAGCCTCAGTGGACTGGAGCGGTGCTATGAAATCAACCCCGTCATTAGTGACTCCTGAGTTGAAGCCAGAAGCTCCTGTTTTATCAGAGCCTGATGTGTCTACTTCACCGAAGCAAGCTTTTTCTGTTCCAGCTCCAGTTCTGACTACGACTCCTCCACTTCCTCGAACAGCTCCTATTGCTCCCTCAGAACCTATTCTCTCAGTTCAACCAGATCAGACTGTTTCTGCTCCTGCTCCTGCTTCCCCCGTTGCTTTTTCTTCTCCTCCTCAGAAGCAAGCTCCCGTTGCTTTCGAGCCTCCTACTGCTCCTCCCACAAAACCTGCGCATCCCGCTTCTCCAAAATACAAAGCTTTCGTTGAAGCCGAACCTGAGCCCGAAATTACGGCTGACAATACCTCTCCACCTTCTAGCATGCCCTCGGAGTCCCGCCCCGTTGGCGGTCGCCGCGGAAAGTCGGATGAAGATGCGAATGGCACTCGAAGGGGCGGCGAGCTGGTTGCTGGTAAGAGTGGTGTTGGTGGCATCTCTACCGCTGGCTTGCAGATTCCCGGTGAGCTTCTTAACGAGGACGAGAAGAGTGCTTTGAAGATTAAGATTCACCTCAACCTGCACGCTAAAGTGCGTCTTGATCTCGACGCCCAGATCTACGGTGACGTTGTGATTGGTCTCATGTAAAGACCTTGAGGATTGGTTTTTCTTTGGTATGTTGTTCAAGGCAGATCCACCATCTAAGTACTCTGGGATTGATGGGATTCTCTAACTGGGTTATAACTTATAGGGAATGGATTGGTCTAGTGTTTGAAAATGTATATACGCGATCCAGAGTTTGAATTTCTTGGATACTTTGTGATCGGCTGAAACCCCATATGCAAAATGAAGACAAATTGACACATGCATGAACGAATGATACATGAATCATGATCTTTGGGAGAAATTAGGTTTGCCACCAAGCATACTGAGTCTTTCAAGGTAAGTCTTATTCTTGGTCAGAATAGCCGATGCGCTATCCACTTTCTAATTTTAAACTGGACTTGTCACTTGAGCACTATGAAGGCGAATAGTAGAATGGATTTGGAGATTCAGCTCACAAAAATCGAAACCGAGGTGTATTTGGCACTTGCTATAGCAAGAATACATGATCTGTTTGAAGTAATTCTAAATCGTCTCTCTACACGTGCAGCCTGATAGAGCCTGAGGCCAGGGTCCTGCATGAGACTTACCCGAACAGGACTAGTTAGAGGGTCCATTGCGGAGACCCTTAATGCTTGCCAGTTGAAGACAGAAATCCGTTAGATCAAATCAAAACATGCGACTTGACTGCCAAGAAGAAAGCCCAAGGCTAGACTGATCTTTACAAGCCTTGCCAAAACCTGATGTCAAATGGCCCCCAAACCCTTTAAACCCTTAATCAGGGGCCCCTAGCATACTATTAGCTTTTCTTTTAACCCCAAGTTTTCAACCTTTTCTTCACCCACATTCTTTAAATTTGAAAATCGCCATCAAACCCACACTCGTTTATAAAAAAAAAAAGACCGCCTCATCATCACAATGGGCAAAAGCTTTCCTGGCCCAGAGACGGGCCTCTGGAGAATCGTCCTCCGCCTCGTCGCTCTTTTCGCCGCCGTCTTTACAATCATTGTTTCGACTGCTGGCACAGCATACCCCGTTGAGTCCTTTTGGTTCTACCTGCTTGTAAGTTCGGTTCAGGGTCCGCCCTATAAGTACTATACAACAATAGCTTATGTTCGCGATCTAATGAAATATTCACCAGATGGGCTTGTGCGGATTGTGGTCCGTGATCAATCTTGTCTTCCTCTGCTGCAAGCGTGTCCCGCATCCTGGCTGCAATATCGCCTTCGACTTGATTGCCGCCATATTCGCGGCTTTCCTTGTCGCTGTCTCAGCTATCGATGCTACTATCTTCGGGGGAGTACAGGGACGTGCGATTGCTTGTACCGTGTTCTCCGTCATTACTCTGTATGTCACGTCATGTCCTTCGTATCGCTGATCCTCTGGACATTTGCTAATATACTGCCCACCAGTGTCACCCATTTCACTATGTTTGTGCTTGCTTGCATTGATGTGCACCGTAGGCGGAGACTGCCCAATCCCAAGGCTCCTTATCGAGTCGTTTCACTCGAAGAAGTTTGACGGTTATGACGCTATGATCGCTGTTTCGATTGAGGACCAGACGAGGCATGTTGATTTAGTCCAATGATTATATTATAAGAGGCTGTACTGGATATAAGGGTGGATGGGCGAATATTGCCTTTTCCGCCGACCTATCGTTAGGCCATCTGCAGACTATCGCAACTACTACCTAATTTATATGGCGCGTGCCTTCAAATTTACTATCCAAATTTCTCAAACCACAGCATCGCCCGAGCATCTATACAGCTCCATATGTATCCTCTTGGCGCCCCGGTCGAACCATCGAAACCGTCTCTTGCCCCTCAACGCTACAATCAATAAACCCAAAGCGCGCATACAAAGGAGCGCCCGTCTTACTAGCACTAACATACATCGCAAAGCCTTCAGCCTCAGCCAGGTCCAATCCGATTTGAATTAGACGTGAAGCAGCTCCCTGCCGCTGATAATTCGGATGGGTAGCAAGCATATCCAAGACTAAACCAGCCCCAGGCTAAAATTAATTCACAATGGATCTCCAGCGGGAAGAATACGAGTCAAGTCATACAGATATGTTTCCGATCACCCATAACCCGCTTCCTATTGCGGTCGCCTCGATCAACGAAGTCCCTGCAAAGGTCCCTGGGCATATCATCATGAAATGGCGGATAACGTGGCCCACGTTCTTCAAGCGTGGAGTAATCCCACTTTGCATAGGCTGCTATTCGAGGTCGGCCGTGATGATCTTCTGATTGCGTGTCCACTAATTTTAGATATTTCTGGAATGGCCTCTCGGTCAGGTCTTGGTGGATTGCATCTTGGAGCCATTTTCTCATGCCGGGCGTGTGGGGAAATAGATGGCGTGAGTCGGGGTCTGAAAATGCGGCGAACCAAACTTCCGTGAGAGCGTCGCTGTCTTCGATCGAGACATTTTGCATTTGTAGTATAACTGGGAGGGCCATCTGTAATGAAAGATTCTGGCGACGGAGTCGTGGTTTAAATGTTTTTTATGGGACCATTTGCAGCGGAGCGCGGGGGAAGAAGGGAGGGGAGGGGAGAGATAGCGTGTTTGACTGCCGGACGACGGCAATACCTGGACGCTTGCCTGAAAATGATAACCCACCATCGCTCTAAAAAACATCAGCATAAGGCTACGCGACTTAAGCTTGGAAGGCGATAACTGTTTATTTTTCAGATTCCGCACGCGGAGATCAGCTTTACTAACACCCCGGAAGTAGAAAACAGCAGTATAATGTGGATCAATATAGATTCCAAACATAGCTTAATATACAACATTTCAAATGTTACAACAACCCTAGATTACACTTCCATTTAATACGCATCTCAGCATCTCCATGCTTATATGTGCATCATTAGAAACCGCCCCTCAACTCAGCGAGAACAGCTTTTTGTCTTTGAGCAGACATGTTCTCAAATCGATCAACGCTCATCACAAATGTACCCCGCCCAGCAGTCAGACTGCGCAGATGCTTCAAATATCCAACCATCTCCTTCAGCGGAACCTTCGCAGTGATGTTGCGCTGTCTAGAAGTAGGAGCAGGGATCTCAATACCGACGGAAGGTGCCTCGAAAGGATCTGCAGGGGCATAGACACGCTTCGGGTCAATTGGAGGAAGGGAATCAGAAGCGTCTGCAGCGGGGGACGATGCATCCTCGTCCAGCGAAAGAATATGTCCTCCACGCGAAGAAGAAATATCATGAACAACGGAGCCCATACTGGCCTCGTCAACGCTGATGATCACGTTCATGACTGGCTCCATCATGACTGTGCCCGCGCCAGTGAGCAGATCCCGAAGCGCAGCGGCAGTCGCCTGACGCGCGGCAGAAGAGAGGGCAGATGTGCTGGTGTCGCCACCGAAGAGATGCTCTACTGGGTTGATTGTGAGTGTGACTCGGGTATTGTGCATGGGGAAAGTAAACTGGGGACCGCGCGCCAGCGCTGCCAGGGCGCCATTTTGCACTGATGTCCGGAGAGTATTGAGATCCATACCCGGCGGAAGGAAGGGGCTAGTCTCTTCTTCGTTTCGTGTGGTCTCAACCTGTAAGCCTGGGGCACGAATGATGATTTGGTTGCCCTCGATTGTCTCGGCGAAGATTGTATCGTCGTCGGCGGCTTCTGAGGCGCTTTCCTCGTTGCAGGGTTCCACCATCGCTGTGCAACCAGCTTTACCTCGGCGACCTGCAATCTCTCTCTCAAAGATCTTGGTGATTGTGTTCGAAGCTCCGAGGGTAGATTCTCGGTAACCAATTTCGATCCGGCCCATAGATGCCTTAGCCTTGAGTTCACCAATCAGACGATCGCGAGCGATCTCAAGGTGCAGTTCTCCCATTCCACTGAGCAAAGTCTGACCTGACTCTTCATCAATGCTCACATGCAAGCTAGGATCTTCTCGCAAAAGTAGTGCGAGCGATTCTTGCATCCGCTTCTCTTCACTTAGGCTGTGTGGTTCCACACTGGTGAAGAAAACGGGCGGGGGTACATCAATTGGTCTTAATTGAAGGGTGGTCAGTGGCTCAGGAGGCGTAGGCTTGTTTCCTGCATACGACAGAAGTGTGTCGCCGGTACGAGCGTGCTTTAGACCCACCACTACACCAATATGGCCTGCAGGGATGGAATCCACTTCCACTGCATCGTTGGCGTACATCTTCAACAATCGAGGAGCACGTTCGGAGAGGTGAAGATTAGTGTTGAAGAGCAAGCTGTTGCGGTCAAGGGATCCAGAATACACCCGGACGTAAACTAAAACACCGCGCTTCGCGTCGTTGACCACTTTGAATGCGAGCGCACAACTCTGGAGCTTGGAAATAGCATCTTTGGGATTATTCTGAAGGGTGTTCTTCTTCTTTTTCTTGCCCTTCGAGGAATTGCGCGCTTGCTCACTCTGTTCTACGATCAGATCGCCTGAAAGTAGCCTTCGCAAGCCTCCCTTGACACCTCCAATGCTCACTTCTGGATCCGGTGCCTCCGGAGGGCTGGGAAGAAGATTCACCACAGCGTCAAGGAGGGGCTGCACACCCATATTTCGGAAGCTGGCCCCTGCAAAAAGTGGTACAATTCGACTCGTGGGGTCTAGCACGCAGCGCCGAAGGCTGTCGATGATGTCCATCGAAGGCACAGCTAAGTGGTCCTCGTACTCGAAAAACTTCTCCACCATAATTTCATCTTGCTCGCTCAATAATTCCACTAGAGCAATGCGAGCTCGTCGAAGCTCCTCTGCCAGAGCCGGCTCTTCGGCATCTAATTGCTCCAGGTTCATCATTTTCACAGAGCGGCCATCTTCTCCTTCTTTCCAGCGCAGACCTTGAAGGTTTATGGCATCTGCCACGCCAATAAAGGGTCCATTGCCGCCTTGGAACCAAGGAATGTGACATACTGCTGGATAAACAGACAGTCGCGAGCTTACTTCTCTGACAGTTCTGCCAAAAGCTGCACCATCGCGGTCCAGCTTATTCACGTACAGTACTCGGGGGATTTTATAGGTACTGGCTTGGTTCCAAACCTGTTCTGTCTGCGCTTCGACACCAGCAACTCCGTCTAATATGCAAACGGCACCATCGAGAATGCGCAGAGACCGCATGACCTCAAATGTGAAGTCTGCGTGTCCTGGTGTGTCAATTAAATTAATGGTATGCGAATTTGCCGAGCGTGGCACAGACGGGTCCCGGGCGCTAGTTTGCGCTTCGGCGCCATCCCCAGGAGGCCAATGGAAGGTGATAGCAGCGGACTGAATCGTGATACCACGAGCGCGCTCCGCAGGCAAGAAGTCAGTGACTGTTGAGCCCTCGTCAACGTCACCAATGCGTCGAGTGAAACCGCTGTAAAACAGCATGCGCTCGGTTGTTGTAGTCTTGCCCGCATCAATATGGGCAATAATACCAATGTTGCGTGTTCGGTCCAAGAAAGCTTCATCTTGCGTTTTGGATGTGGAAGTTGAGAAACATTGTGCTCGTCGAATATTACGCTGTAGGCTCTGGGGGCAGATGTGGCTCTTCACAGGGTTGAACTGAGGCTTATAAAAGCCCATACAACGCACTCCCGATTGAGGGAGGCGTAGTAACGGAGCTACAACCATTGCCCAAAGTGTTTACTCTCGAAAGAGGGGGGTGTTGAAAGTATGTAAATTAAGTGGAAGTAGACATTGGCGACCCGCTAGACAATGTCCAGTGTATTCAAGGTCGATGAAGCTCAAGGGAAAAACGACGGAAGTGAAAGCGGGCTTGGCATTTCCGATCGCCCATACGTAACTCGCTCCAACCTCTCCTTCTCCCTCTGTCTCTTCCATTGTACAAATCTCGGTCCTTGACTTGCTCGATTTGACTTTCTACTCCCATTTTCTTTGTTTTCTATTTGTCATGAACTTCTAAATACCCGCCTGCTCGTTCACTTAAGCTGCCCAATGTACGTTCCTGGCTGAGAGCTAGCCGTTGATTACTGTGGGGGTCGATCCCCAGCCATTAATACTGACGCCTACAATCCACTAGCAGCTCGCCCGACCCTTCAATCCCGTTGCAAACCACTCCTTGCATAACACCTCAACCAAGATGGACTACTCGGCTGTCTCGACTGATCCCGAACACCCCGCGGGCCCCTCACCCTGGGGCTCTCCGCGCGCTGACCGCAACACATTCCCCGCCTCCAACAACAGCGACATCCCGTCGTCCCCTTTGCCTGGCCAGGAGAGAGAGGAGGCGTATGGGAGCCAGGCGCCAGTTCCCCAATCTCCAGACCTCTCGGCGCAACTTCAGAGCGCTCAATTGGGTGACCCGGATTTTGCCGAGGGACAGTCTCCCCTAGACAGCTCTCAACAGCATTCACAGATCCCCGCACACTACCAGAATTATCAGACAGGGCAGCGTCCAACTTCCCGCCCTCCCGCTCCGGCGTACAAGATCCAAGCCAAGATTACCGGGTTGGAGAGGACAGGAAAGAAAGACCCGATTCTCCGCTTCGAGGTCCACGTGAGTCGATTCTCCAATATGCACGGGTGCACTCAACTGGAATAGCGCACTAATGACCCTACTTTATTTGATATAGACCAATATTCCCAAGTTTCGCACTACCCAATACCGCGATGTCCGCCGCACTCACGCCGAATTCACTAAACTCGCCGACCATTTGATCTCGGCCAACCCGGAATGTCTTGTCCCCGCTGTCCCAGCACCGGTGACCCCAGCCGGTGCAGGCACTGATGAGGATGAAGCTCGAGTTAAAGCGTCAATGCAAAGATGGCTCAATACCATTTTAAGCAACGATGTCCTCATTCATGACGACGAGGTCGTGCTGTTCGTGGAAAGCGATTTTGGCTATAGTCCAGTGGTTCGAATGAAGCAACCGGCCACTGGAGTGCGACGAAAGATGTTGAAGCAGTTTGCTCCTCCACCAGATGATACACCCGAGCTCCAGTCAGCTCGCCCCGTCGTGAAGATGCTTTACTTGGCCTCAATGGATACCAGTCATAAAGTAGACCGTGTTGTAAAGGGCCGTCGCGGTATGTTATTTAGACACTATTCCGTACCCATGACAAAAGCTGACGGTTATAGGTCTTGGTCTGGCTGAGTCCGATTTCGGAGTGAAGATTGGCCAAATGAGCGTCCAGGAGACACATTCAGGTTTAGCTGCTGCCTATCGCAAGTTGGGCAAGGTTGTTCAGACTGTGGGTGACTTCCATGCTGTGCAGGCCACCGCAGAAGCCACTACTCTCGGGGAACCATTGAGCTACCACTCCCAGGATGCTTTTATTGTCAAGGAGACCTTGACCAACCGTCACATCTTGCTACGCGACCTTCTCCAAGCTCGACAGACTGCCCAGAGCAAGCGCGCCGCAGCAGATCGATTGAAGGTTAGCTCATCAGTGCGCCCAGATAAGGTTGATGAAGCCATCAATGCCCTCGAGGAGGCACAGAACCAGGAGGAGTACTTGACGAAGCGCACCCAGCGCGTTACTGGAAATCTTCTGCAAGAAAAGCGCCGCTGGTTCGACCGCACCACCAACGATCTTCTGTCTAGTCTGCGAGAGTATACTTTGCGCCAAATTGAGGCAGAGCGCCGGACCTTGGCAACTCTCGAGAGTGTTCGACCTGATGTCCGCGCCATTGATTCATCTGGTGGTTTGAGCAGGCTGGGCCGTGAATCACACCCGGCACAGCGCAGACCTAACATCTCCTCCAGTCAGGGTCCCAAGGGTGATGCCTGGAGTGGCGTTCCCCGTCGCGTTGACAGCGGCCGGAGCGGTAGTTTGACGGCTACCGGCGAGGAGGAGGGTGAGGAGAGCTTTGAGTCTGGTCCGGGGCGTGTACGTTCTACTAGCAAGGTCGATTCTATTGCTGAGGACGACGATGACCGACTGGATGCTCGCAACGCCGCCAGCCGGCTGGCTACCAGCACTTTCTGATTAAGTTTTTCCGAGTTACGATGATTTTGTACATGTAGCCTGGACACGACTTCGTGATTCCCCTTTGCCTTTTTATTATAACTCCCCGTTCCTATTGTTCCTTTGATTTGCAGGTCTGTTGGCCTAAATTCTATGATTGTTTGGATGCATCAAAATCCATGGTCCAGGGACCAGCCGACTACCGGCCGAGTACCGGCGGTGGACCATCAGCACTTGAATGCACTGGTGCACTTACATTTAGTAAAATATATCATGGTAACTGCCCAGGTGTTAAGCTCTGAAGGGTGATTGGGGGTAAAAGAATCTTTCTACCAGTCATATCAGTGTATAAAAGGGAACTTCAATGTTCTCTCTCTCTCCTTCGAATACACATATCATGATGTCTCCTTGATTAGTCCAGTCATCGGACATCTGTATGCATCCAAGATACCTTCTTCCACAACAGGTTGGAGCCCACATGTTATCCTACATAGCCTATTCCCTCCAACCCTGCCATCTTTCGGCTCCATCTTCAGGGATTTCGTACCACGGCGCTTTATCCTCCAAGAAAATATGCGCGGATGCTGGTGGAACAATCGTTCCATCATCAATCGTCCCTGCCACTATTCCTATGAAGTCCGGCGACGAATGCAAGGACATACTCATGGTCGAACCACATCGGGGACAGAATGTTCGTGAAGCGCTTTCACTGGACTGCCATTTCGTAGGCTCGACTTGCCATTTGATTGCACTGAGAGGGAAATGCAAGAAAGCCTGGTAGGGGGCACCGGCTTGTTTGCGGCAGGTTGAGCAATGGCAGTTGACCAGTGCCGTTGGGGGAATATCGGCCGTGTAACGAACGTGGTTGCATGCGCAGCTCCCTGAGATCATCGTTTAAGAGTGGGGGTGTATATTCAGGTAGGCTGGGCTGCCAATATCAGCTTTAACAGGGATGCATGGTTGTACTTATGTTGGCTTGCGCGGGGTTGAATTTGTCATCTTGCGGGGTGCGCTGATGGATGGTACAACTAAAGAGCGCGGCGCGCAGTTCAAGTCCCCGGTATTTCGGTAGGTACGGTACCTATATTGATGGTAGGATTGAGGGAATTTAGCATTGAGGGAATTGAACGTTTTGAAGTGTATACATGTATCCTCCGTACTTAATATTTCAAATGTTGGGGTGGGTATATACTCAGTACTTCATGTGCCAGGTGAGTACTTGCTCAGTACTGGAGAAGAGTACTCAAGGAGATAGGTACTACATTCTGTACTCTCTAGGGACTCAGTGCCTACTACTTTCATATCGTACCTTTAAACCACCAACTGAGAGAATTCATGTGACGAGATTTTTGCAAGTACCCAAGTCGTAAAGAGGGAGACCACTAAACTTCTCGGAGATTCTTCGAGTCGGAGATCAACTTCACGTCCCCCCCACTTTTGCCCACTTTTGGCATCCATTTCGGTCCAAGTTCCTTCATTGAGGTACATATTTGATTTCAACGCCACAGATCGGGATTGACGGGACCGGAGTTCTTTCCCCGCTTCAACTTCTTACTTCTTCTACTTCCTAGTTCAACCTCAAAAAATATCCTTCACCAACAACCAAAATAGCACCCAATATGGCTCCTCAGGTCTTCATGTACGTCACCCAGCTCACCCCACTTGGGAACTGTGACAGTTTTCTCTGATTGAATCCGCAGTACTGGTACCACCGGATACATTGGCGGCGATGGTCTTTATGCCATCAGCAATGCCCATCCCGATTGGGAGCTTTCAGCCTTGGTCCGCAACAAGGACAAGGCCGCTGTCCTGTCCAGCAAATACCCCAAGATCCGAACTGTACACGGCGACCTGGACTCATCCGACATCATTGAAGAGGAGGTCAAGAAGGCCGATATTGTCTTCCGTTAGTTTTTCCTGCTAGGTCAATTTCGGCTACATTGGTACAGCTTATTGACTTGGCCATCTAGACTTCGCTGATTGCGACCATGTCGCTGCTGCCGAGAGCATTGCCAAAGGCGCTAAACATCACACCTCTGAGCGCCCACTCTGGCTCATCCATACATCTGGAACAGGTATCTTGACCGTCGAGGATCAGCGTGCCAAATCGTATGGTATCGAGCGTCCCAAGCAATATAACGATTGGGATGGAGTCGACGAGCTTGTCAACCTGCCCGAAGACGCATTCCACCGCAACGTGGACGAAATCATCCTCAACATCAGCAAGCAAAACCCCACTAGCGCCCACACTGCCATCGTCTGCCCGCCCACGATCTACGGCCAAGGCCGTGGACCTGTGAACACCAAAAGCCTCCAGGCTTACCTGCTCAGCTCGGCCGTGATCAAGCGCGGAAAGGGCTTGTTGGTTGGCAAGGGTGAGAATGTCTGGCACCAAATCCACGTTCAGGATTTGAGTGAGGTCTACCTTGCGCTCGGCGATGCGGCTGCCATTGGCGGTGGCAAGGCCACCTGGGATGATAAGGGTTACTACCTGGTTGAAAATGGCCCGTTTGTTTGGGGTGATATTCAGCGTGCTGTCGCCCAGGCTGCTTTTGACCAGAAGTACATTGAATCTCCCGAAGTTGAGTCTTTGGATTATGATCAGACTACAGAGGTCTTGTCGGTTGGTATCTACGCTTGGGGATCGAACTCTCGAGGCCACTCTCTGCGAGCGCGAAAGCTGTTTGGATGGGAGCCTAAACAGCCGAAGTTGATTGAGTTGATTCCTGACATTGTTGCTCTCGAGGCTAAGGCACTCGGGCTTTAAGGGTTCGGATCGTACTGAGGACTTGATTTCCAAGGTTTGTGTATGTATGATACGAGCACCATGACACCCACCATGATTATCTAGCGGATCTTATCATCATTTTTCGATCTGCTAAAGTGAAGTTTGAAAATGAAACAATCAAGGAAGATTATCAAAATGCTCTGATGGTTTTTTCTTTCGGTTTATCAATTATTGTCTGGATTGGACTTTCCAGATTTGACCTCCATCGGTTGAAGCTTACAAGGTTGGGATATTCAGCACGTGTTTTCGTTTGGTAGTATGTAAGTATTTTAGTCATACCTTTTCACTTGAGATCAATGGGTATACACTCAGCACTCGAGATGAGTACCTAGTACTTAGTGCTCCCAGGAAAAGAGTGTAAACTTAGTACTTAAGATAGATATTGTCCTCATTGCCAGATCCTTCATGTATTAATTTCGACTATATACCATTCACTACCCAACTGAAGAACATTTGAAATCATGTGATGGAATTTTGCGCAAGTACCCGAATAGTGAAGAGGAGAGTGTTATGTACTAGCTCGTACATATTTGATAGGTTTTATCTGTACTAGTAGTGAGTGATCAATTTTAGTGACATTATTTGATGAATGACCAATGATTGCATTGTGATCTTGGAGTGGATGACACAAAGTAAGAAAGACGCATCAATTCATAAGGTGAACATACATCAGTGAAAGATGAGGCTCCAAAAATTCAATGTTTGCAATCCGGAGTGATTGTGGACACCTCAGGTGTCAAAGTCCTTGGCTCCTTCTTTGCTCCGAGCTTTATCAATCGTTTCATTTCCATCGCTGCTTTCCGCGCCGCACTCGCCTAATAGCTATTAGACCAGACTTATTATTGGTATGTGACTTTACTTGTCCTTGAATTCTACCCCTTCAATCTTTTCCGTTTCTCTCAATTGCTGACAATCATTCTGCGCCGTTCTTTCAGACTCAAACCCTCATGAGCTGCAACCTTCCAACATCTCAACCGACCGTCTCCGCCCTCTGCGTCTAACCCTGCCATCCAACCGCCATGGCACCCGGGCAGGGAGGCAAGAGGAAACGCGCTGATCGTAACTGGAACAACTACTCTCCGAATACCGAAAGTCCGCGACCCTCACCCCATCGCCCCGGCGCGCTCAATATGGCAGGCGGCGGTCATCCGCCAAATTCCCCACGAGACCAGCAGGACGGACGTGAAAGATCCCGTCGGCAATCCAACCGCGGGCCTGGTGGCCGAAACAATTCCAACCGCCAGTCTTACGACAATCAGAATTTTTCGAGTTCCCAGCAGAGAGGACCCAGCGCAATGTCTCCTCCCCCGCCGGCTCAACCCAAGGATGTCCCAGAGACCTCGCAGACCAATGGCGATTCCTTGGTTACTCAAGCTTCACCTTCGCCTGCGCCTAATACCCCCATCCTCCATTCACAGCCGCGACCTACATCCCGATCCGGTTCCGAGGTCACCGTCACTCCCGTCACTCGCCCCACTGGCCCTCCTCCTCCCTATGATTACGAGTACATCACAGATGCCGATGTCAAAGACTGGTCCTCAGTAGGAAAGCAGAAGGTCGTGGAAGAAGGGACCTTGACTCGTTCACAACAGGATATTCCGCGCCTAGCGTCGATCTTCCAGGAGCTTATTCGGTCTGCGATTTACGGTCGCCTTTCCCCGTCCGAAGCCGGTTCCGCCATCAAGAGTATCCTTGAAGAGAAAAGCACATCACAAGATGTGGATATGGATGTGAATGGACATCAGTCTTCAAGCTCTCAGCTTGATTCGCGCTCTTTATTCCTTGACACGCTTTCAATTGTTACGGACGCCGACACATCCAATCCTGCTCTTAAGCCCCTCGTCTTCGCGACCGCTATACCCCCTGATCTCATGCGCCTTCAACTTGAAACACCGCTATTACAGTCATTGGGATTGGTTCGTGAGACATTTGCGCGCATGGGTATTCGCAAACAGACCAACTTGCTTTACCGACAATCAAATTACAATCTCCTACGTGAAGAGTCCGAGGGCTACTCGAAACTACTCACAGAACTCTTCACAACCAGCAACAATGAAAGACCTTCCAGCGAGGTGGTTGAAGATACATTCGAACGAGTGAAGGCCATGATCGGAGCCTTTGATATGGATGTTGGTCGAGTTCTTGATGTGACATTAGACGTCTTTGCAGCCGTTCTTGTCAAGCAATACCGCTTCTTCGTCAAGCTGCTTCGCGCCAGCTCCTGGTGGCCGAAAGAGGACCCACTTTACGCAGTTGAAGGAATCCAACGTACCTCAGGCCTGCCGACTTGGGCTCTCCCTGGATCATCAGGGTGGGTCACCACTGAAGAGGAACGGGCCGAGACCATGAAAGCGAATGAGCAGCGAGATCGAGAATTCTGGGATCGTGCGCGCCAGGTTGGAATCCAAGCGTTCTTTGAGCTTGGTCGCAAGCCACTTTCAGATGAAGAAAAACTGGCTGTACTTCCAGAACCCAACAGTCTCCCTGAAGAGGAAGATGCAACAAAGGCCTGGGTTCAAGAGACAGGAACATTACCACCAAAGGGTAACCGAGTCGCCGCCCATCTGCTCGGATTCAAGCTGCGATTTTACTCTTCCACAGCTCGGACCAAGTCCGATGTCTTGCCTGACAATCTCATCTATCTGGCTGCGCTCCTTATTAAAGTAGGATTCATCTCGCTCCGTGATCTCTATGCCCATCTTTGGAGACCCGATGAATCCATGGATGCGCTCAAGACGGAAAAAATGACAGAGAAAGCGGAACGAGAAAAGGCCGCGCGACCAGGAGGTGGAGTCAATGCTCTCATGATGGCTGGTGCTCTCACAGATGACACAGCTCCGCCAATTCGTCTTCGCGACTCGGAGACACGAATGGCCACCCCATCAAAAGACCAAGACGCCGATAAACAATCAGCAAGAATAGAGGACGACCTTCCAGAACCATCAGATCAAAAGGTCTTGCTATTGAAGAGCCTTTTGGCCATCGGTGCCATCCCCGAGGCTCTCTTTGTTATGAGTAAATTTCCATGGCTTATGGATGGATTCCCCGAACTTCCTGATTTCATCCATCGCATCCTCCACCATTGTCTCAGCAAGGTCTACGCACCCCTGCGTCCCGTTAACCCTGCCACGAACCCTTCGGAAACTTTCCCTGGCCAACAACAAATATTGAGCACAGACCAATCCGGTATGGCAAAGGGCAAGCTTCGATTTGTACAGCCCCCTGCACGACGAGTTCTTAGATGGGCTCAGTTGGACAAAGAAGACACCAGTGATGGAACCGACTACCGCTTTTATTGGGACGACTGGGCAGACAATATTCCGATCTGCCAATCCGTTGATGATGTATTTGCTCTTTGCTCCTCTTTCCTTAATCTATCTGGCCACAAGATTGGACAAGATACAACCTTACTAGCCAAGCTCGCGCGCATTGGTAAGCACAGTCTGACCCATGATGGTTCAGAAGAGAACAGAACTCGCTGGCGAGACCTGTGCAAGCGCCTTCTACTTCCCTCTCTGAGTTTGACCAAGGCAAATGCTGGTATTGTGAACGAGGTGTATGATCTCATCAGTTTCTTCCCTCGTGATGTTCGGTACAACATGTACGCCGAGTGGTACTCGGGCCAGACGTCCAGACTACCTGATATCAAGTCCGCCTTTGATCAAGCAAGAGCCGAGACCAAGGACGTTCTAAAGAGGCTGAGCAAAACTACTGTCAAGCCTATGGCGCGTGCACTTGCCAAGATTGCTTATGCCAACCCAGGCATCGTCATCAATGTGGCCATCAGCCAAATTGAGTCGTACGAGAACCTTATCGACGTCGTGGTAGAGTGTGCTCGGTTCTTCACAGACCTGGGCTATGATATCTTGACTTGGTCACTGATCAACTCTCTTGGTCAAAAAGGAAGAAGTCGTGTACAGGATGGTGGCTTGCTCACCAGTCGTTGGTTGAATGCTTTGGCCGCCTTTGCAGGCCGAACATTCAAGCGATATCCAGTCATGGACCCAAGTCCGCTGCTTCAGTATGTCGTGGAGCAGCTACGCCATAACAACTCAACCGACCTCATCGTTCTAGAACAGTTAATTAGTTCGATGGCTGGTATCATTTCCGACACCAACTTCAATGACAACCAGATCCAAGCGATGGCAGGTGGTACATTGCTTCAGTCACAGACAATCCTGCAGCTGCTTGATAAGCGCCACTTGTCAAAGATTACCTCCAGGCGTTTGGTCAAGTCATTGACCAATACCCGACTGGCCGGTCAACTTTTGGTTGCAATCGCCCAGGAGCGTCTCACTTGTGTTTTTAACGAGACATCGTCCGAGCTCAAGTTGCTCGGAAATATTTTCGACGAGATTCACCGCATTCTTACACAGTACCTTGATCTCCTGCGCAGCAACTTGACAATAGATGAGTTTGACTCTTTTGTCCCCGACCTTGCCTCTTTGATTAAAGAATTCGGCGTTCAACCGGAAATTGCTTTCTGGATTCGACGAATCAGCGTCTCCCAAAAGATTGCTGACTTTGAACACTCAAGACAGGAGGTCGAACCTTCTACCAAAGAAAGCAATCAAATTGAAGATGTACAGATGGACAATACCGATGACGGAGAGGCAAAGGCGGAAAAATCGGATGAGACCGCAGTGGAAACAGGCATGGAGGTTGACAAAGATGAGAACACCACGCCTTCCTCAGCTTCTCTAGGTCCATTGTCTGCCAACCCTGTGATGCAAGACTTGATCGATAACGTCAGGTCTGTCTTGCCTGTTGAAATCTGGGATGTAGTCGGACCGCATTTCTACGCAACTTTCTGGCAGCTATGTCTTTACGATGTACATGTTCCTGGAAAATCCTACGAAGATGAGATTGATCGACTGAAGCGCCGAATGATCATGATCAACAATGATCGCTCGGATCTGAGTATGGCTGGCACGAAACGGAAGGAGCAAGAAAAGAAGCAGATCACTCAGCTTCAAGATCGAATTCTTGACGAGAACAAGCACCATTTGAAGACGTATGATCAGACTAGGAAACGGTTGCAAAAGGAGAAAGACCGTTGGTTCGCTGGCATGCGCCTTAAGCACGATGCACTGAACGTCGCACTCCTGGAGCAATGCTTCATTCCTCGCTTGTTCTTGTCCCCCATCGACGCATTTTTCTCATTCAAAATGCTCAAGTTCCTGCACAGCTCCGGCACTCCCAACTTCCGAACTGTCGGTTTGATTGACCAACTATTCCGTGAACAACGGCTCACAGCACTCATCTTCCTTTGTACTTCAAACGAGGCTGATAATCTTGGACGGTTCCTGAATGAGGTCCTGCGGGACCTTGGTCGCTGGCACGCTGATAAGTCTGTCTACGAGAAGGAAGCATTTGGTGCCAAGCGAGACCTTCCTGGATTTGCTAAGAATGTGGACCCCGAAGGCGTTCCAGTAATGTTTTTGGAGTTTGAGGATTTCCGGCGTTTGCTGTACAAGTGGCACCGCTTGTTCTCAAATGCACTGAAGACTTGCCTCAATGGTGGAGAATATATGCACATTCGCAATGCTATCAGTGTTCTCAAGGCTGTTGTTGTCAATTTCCCGGCTGTTAACTGGATTGGCCGTGATATGCTGAACTGTGTGAACAGCTTGAGCAAGAACGATGAAAGAGATGATGTCAAGATTCCTGCCGCCTCACTTATTGGAGATCTCAATCGGCGAGAGAAGAAGTGGATGCTTCCCCAAGAGTTTAACCTTGTCAAGACCCTGCCGGGTGAACCTGGACAGCCCAAGTCTGGTTCCCAACCTCCTGGAGGATCCTCCACCCCGACGCACTTGAATGCTTCAGCGCCTGAATTCCAGCCCACAACCCAAGAGTAAGTCGCCATATGCGAGAGAAAGGAAGTCCGACCAACGACTCATCAACTGACTTCAACACTAGATCCACTGATATGAAGCAAGATGCACCTGGCAGGACTGAAGTTGAGGATGGTGAGATCGAAGACGCCAAAATTGCAGAGTCTGCCGAGGCTACGCAAAATTCCGTATCAACATCTCAAGCTGAGAATGCTCAAGATTCAACCACCAAATATTACTCAATGGACATCAGTGGGGACTCAACACACATTAGCCGTCTGTCGGCAGAACAACACGGCCAGGCGGACCCGCAATCGCGGCCTCGGCCAACCTCCCGCGCTCCAGATTCAGGACACATGCCAGATATCCCGAAACGTCCAGAGTCTGACCGCATCGATCCGCGGGAACAAGCGCGTCGTCCCCGAATTAGCGAAGGCAGCAGGTTGCCCGAAAGCAGCAGGTTACCCGCACGTCCTGAACCCGTGGATGACCGTCACAGACACGACTTTAACCCGCGAACTCGCCATGCTCCCGAGCATCTTCGTTCGTTCGATGGACCCCCTGGAGATAATAGAGGACATGGACGTACCTTGGATCGTGAGCGCGAATTTCCGATGAGGCCCCTCCCAGATGATCCAATGCGCGGTGGCCCACCATACCGTGATGCACGCTTGCCAAGGGAGCCGGAGTGGCCTATGGATCGCCAAGGACGCATGCGTCCTTCTGATTCTTTCCATGGACCTGAACCTCCTGTCCGAACTGAGCTCATGCCTGATTACCCTGATCGGCCTGGCAGCGGTCCTCGTCGTGGCGAGTCAGCTCGCCCAGACAAAGATGATCGACGTCCCTACCCAACGCGCGGCCCGTCTCCCCCACGATCCGAGTTACCCAATCGCCCAGAGCGATTCCCCAACGATCGCCGTGCCGCCAGCTTTAACCAGCCACCCCCTCCGCCTCCCCGCTCCGATGACCTCCCAAGGGGTCCACGCAGCGATCGTGTTGCCGCTGAATCAAGAGACCCGCCAACTGGTCCAGATATGGAGCACGGCCGGTTGCAGCCTCCTCCGAATGATATTCCATCTGGGCCGAGTCGGTCCAGACGAAATGGCCGTAACGCTCCTAATTCGCAGCCTGCTCCAGCCTTGGCCAATGGCAAAATTCCTACCCCTGACAACCAAATGCCAACAGGCCCCGGCCGGCAACAAGGTGGACGTGTAGGACCAGCTCAGACTCCTGCCACTCAACCACCAACTTCCGAGCGGGGAGAACCCTCGGGAATCCATCCTGATCGACTTAAGTTTAATTTTGACGGCTCTCAGCCTCCCCCCTCCGGCCCCCGTAACGCACCTAACACACCTAACGCACCCAACGCACCCAGTGGGCAATCAGGATCGCGTGGGTCGGGCAACGACCGCGGACGCAGTGATAAACGGTTTGCCGGGCTCAGTACCATGCTTGCGCAACAGCAAACAAACAGCCCTGCTGATCGCGTCACTGCCACCCCGCCATCTCGCAGTCGAGGGGCAAACCGACAATCGAATGCTTCAGTAAACGCTTCTCCTCAAATTTCGAACCGTCCCCCCACTGGTCCAGCTGCATCTGGAGATGACAATAACTCCCGCAGCGGTGGCCGAGGTAGTGACTTGATTGATGATGCTCCTACGTCTGAGCCTCGACGCTCGGGACGTGATCGTGATCGTGACAGTCACCGTGAGGGTCGCGAACGTCGTGGCGAAGATTCCACGAACAGTAGTGGTAACAGTCGCCGTGAAGAGCGTCGCGAGCGTGATCGGAACCGACGCGGCGAGGTTGATGGTGGCGCCGGTCGAGAAGATAAGGACCGTGATCGTCATACTGATTCCCGCGACTCTGTGCGTCGCAACCCGAGCTCGCGTGAAGAGGCCAGACGTCGAGACCGTCGAGACCGAGATGATGGCCCATCAGAGACAGGCGGCCCTAATTCTAACAATGTCAATGCGAACTCCAATACCAACGAAAATGAGGGTCGCATTCGTCCTTCTTCGTCAATGGGAGCACCTCCACCTCCGCCGCCTCCACCCCCTCCGCCTCCATTGCCCACCGATGAAAACCCACGTCGCTGGAGCTCTGGTGGAGACCGCGGTAATCGATCCGAGAACCGCGATCGTGAGCGAGAGCGCCGAGGTGACCGCGGACGTGATCGTGATCACCGAGAGAGTGGTGGTGGTTCAAGCCATCGCAAACGTGGACGCCCCAATCCCGACGATAATTCTGGTGGTGGTGATGGAGGTCAGCGTGGCCAACGTTCGGGCAATGACAACAAACGTCCCCGTCGGGGACAGTGAGTGTCACCTAGTACTTAAGCTTATAGGAGGTGGGGCGATATTTTCTGCCAGCTCTACACTTGATTCCTTCAACGATTCCCCATTTCTCTCTTCTTCTCTATTGCTTTTATTCGTTCTCCTCCTTTTCCTTTTTCTCCTGATGTGTTACAAGTTGCATCTTGGCCGGTGTTTAGGGGCTACATCCACTCTGTACTTTTCTTTTCTATGTGTGACTGAATATCGAAATCGATTGAAGATAGGCTTTTGATATGTGAAATGATCATCTTGATTCTTGACTACCCCCTCGAAGAGACTGAACACTTAGAGAAAGTACCTAGCTGCCCGGACTAACTGTACCTCCGGCTGCCGATCAGCTCTATACTTCTGGAATGTTGCAAGTCATTTCATCGTATAGACCAATTGGTCTTATTCTATGCGCTTAATTACTTTCCCGAGTAAAAAGAAGTAGAAAGAAAAACACTCGGTTTCTTGTCGGCAAATCTTTTTGACAGGTGGGGTAGTTGGACTACGCCATGTCACTTGTTAGTGCGCTCGCCATGCCGAGAAATGCATATTCCATCTCGCGCCATCGACACCAGAGATAACAAATGCATCCCCCGCATCCAATAAGCACCACATCCCCCATCACAGATAAGCCATGATCTGCGCTCTCAAATCACTGCGAAGTCGGTCTTCTAGTTTTTGTTGTTCTATTTTTGAAAATTGTTGATTGGGCATATTGCTTCCCCTTCTCGAATTGAACCGCCCCAAGTTCCCCAACACAATGTCTCATGAGCTTGGAGAAAAGAATATTCCACCCACTACTATTTCCCAGGATGATAAAATTAATGATTCCGTCGTTGATGAAGTCCCGGCTCCGGGGAGAACTGATGTCTATCGTGTTAATCGCAATGCCGACAAACTCCTCCCCGAGTCGGCTGATTTCATCCCTGGATACGATGCGGATTTGATGCGAGCGCGCGCTACGCTCACTTACGACGAAGAGAAAAGGCTCTTACGACGGATCGACTGGCATCTACTTCCATTGCTGGCAGTGATGTACATGTTGAAAAGCGTCGACTTCACCAACGTGAGTGCACCGAGGTGGTAATTTCCGTGGGAATGTTATGGCGCGTATACTGACCATGGCTATTGGTTTAGCTTTCATATGCTCTGACAATGGACAAGAAGACACCTTACAACATATTGACAGAACTCAATATGACCAGTAATCAATACAACTTGGTGACAGCGATGTACTACGTCAGTTTCCCTTGCAGGTTCGCCGCAAACCCAACGATTCACTGACACGTTCAAGATCCCCTACATCCTTGCAGAGGCGCCGTCCAACCTTCTTCTGAAGGGCGTACGACCTTCGATCTGGCAAGCTCGAATCCAGGTCTCGTGGGGTATTGTCCTTTGCTGTCACGCTGCTGTGGTCAACAGACAAGGTCTTTATACTGTTCGGTTCTTCTTGGGTCTTTTTGAGGCAGGCTTGTGGCCCGGCATGCTTGTGCATCTATGCTATTGGTACCGACCGGATGAGATTGCTCCTCGCGTTGTTCTTGTCACGCTTCTCGGGTGCTTTAGTACCGTCATTAGTGGTGTGCTCGCATTTGCCTTTAATGGAGTGACCACTGGTGGCTTGTCAGGGTGGAAATGGTATGTCAAATCTTCAGCGTACATCTGGGCAATACGATTTGTTAGACTGACAGCTTCCGAAGGCTTATCTTAACAGAAGGTCTTGTCACTGTTGTTCTGGGCTTCATCACCTATTTCTTTTTACCTGATTGTGAGTCGCTTGCTTGGTTCGTTGTTTGGGATTCTGCTAAACGATCTCTAGTCCCTTCATCCGCCACCTGGTTAACAGAGAAAGAACAAGCATTCATTCAAGCCCGTCTACCTCGAAACTCACCTCGATCATCCGAAGCAAACTTCGATATGCGAGAGCTCGTCTCGACATTGAAAAACAAGAGAGTCTGGCTGTTCCTGCTCTGTTGGGCCTTCTTCACAATCGGAACTACGGGACTTACATTCTACCAGCCAACCGTCATTGCAAACCTTGGCTTCACGTGAGTCAAAAACCTCCTGCCATGGGATACTAAACGGTCATATTTCTAACAAACGTTTCAGGTCCATGGGCAAAGCTCTACTCCTCAACATCCCATCAGCCGTCTTCGCAGTCATGCTAACAGTCGGTTTCGGTATTTTCGCCGACACAGGCCGCATTCCCCAACCCGCCATCCCACTGGGCTTCATGATAGTCATCGAAGCATGCTACGGTGTCCTCTATGCCTTCCCTAATAGCGGCGGCGTATACGCAGCAACCATAATCGCGGGGGGATTTTCAACAGCATGGTATGTACTTTGCTTTCGTTCATCTCTGCTTTCATGATATGTCTGCTAACGTCTCTCAGGTATACAATGATGTGGCCCTGGCGTGTGCAGACTACGGAAGGCGCAACGGGTTCTGCATTTGCAATCGCCTTTGCGAATAGCTATGGCCAGATTGGAGGGGCTGTGGGTTCTCAGCTGTTTAATTCACGGTACGCACCACATTATACCACGTCCTTTGGAATCGCGATGGGATTCATTGGTATGGCTATCGTTATGAATGTGATCACTTGGGGGTTTACGTGGAGGGTTGATGTCGATACCAGACAGTTGAAGAGGACTCGGTTGGCGGCGGCGAAGGAGAATCAGGCGGTGTTGGATGATGTTGATATTCATCGGGGTGAGAAGAAGAATTGACCTAATACCCGGACCTACTAAGGTGGACCTATTTCGAGCATCAGGGTCCTCAGGGTCTATCCGGCACCACCCGAAATGAGTCTCCACATTATTACACCACGGTTCACTGGAATGGTTAGAGCCTCTAGCTCGATTCTGTTAAGCTTGTTTTTTCTGGGGGTTCACTTTCCCGATTTTGGACGGTCTAGCTGGCTATTTTTTTTTTTTTTTTTTTTGGTGGCTGCATGTGTTTCCCCTGAATATTTTCATGATTATTTGGCATATATATTTATGTATGTAAGCGAGCAGATTAAATATTTGACTTACCCCATCCAGCTTCCAAAGTTTGCTCCTTGTAGGTCCACCCTCTTAACATTTCAATTTTGGATTATTTTTCTCCCGGGGCATATCCTTCATACATATTGAGTGATCATAATGGCAGGGCTACGGATGCTCGTCGCTGCAGGCCTGGCAGGCCTTGTGCCTATCTCATGGGCACAGCAGTTTGCCGACACCGGGATGTTTGCAGCATATACAGGGTTGAGCAACGAGTGTCAAGGGGCTCTGGCAGCCAATGTGATTCCTACTGCCACCAGCGATCCGGGGTATATCTATATTCCGACATACTACCCGACTGCGCCCGGCACGCTAGCGAACTGTACCGCGTACCGCAACTACACGGACACAACGAACATTATGTTCAACGTGACGGACAAGATGATGATAATGCTTAACTCCTGCTTATATCTCTCGCGTTCCTACGAAGTCTCTATGGACCAGCTGAAGGAGTGGAATCCGATTCTTTCAGGCAATGTGAGCACCTGCGCCTTGCAACCCGGCTATAGCTACTGCATGTTGGGGAGCGAGGATTCCAGTAAGCCTCAATCATCATCCGTCGTCTTGCATCCTAACAACTTACAAGAAACATAGTAATCCCAGACGAAAGCGCGGGCAGCTTTTGTCTATCCATCAACGCTACGGAGCCCACTACTGTGTCAAACTGTAACTGCTTTACCCAGGTTTCTGGCTACATGAATAATGGTGGTAAGCATATCCCTAACCAATCAGGGAACCATAAAGGCAGAATAGGGGACACGAGAGTCTGGTGAACTAACGCATTACATGCTATCTAGATTATACTTGTTCGGATATTAAAGACGACTTCGAACTCACAGTAGCCGATTTGGTTGCATGGAATCCTTGGCTTGCTGGTGATTGCGATACAAAGCTTTATCTAAATATCACTGGGAATGATAAGCGCGCATTGTGTATCGGGGTTGACACCAATACAAAGACAACTACCTCGAGCACCTCACCAGCTCCAACCCCAGCCGACACTGTTGTCTCAAGAGATGACTGTGACGAGTATCATACCGTTGCTCATGGTGATTCGTGCGCCAGCATCGAGAGCTTGTATGATATTACGTTTGCAGAGCTGTACAAATGGAACCCAGCTATTGGGTCAGATTGTGAGAAGTTATGGGTAGGGTCTGCTATCTGTGTGCCCAGGTGGGTGTTTCTTCCAAGGCCTTGAAAATAGATAATTCGTGAACTGCACGCTTAATGTTGTACGGTGGTACAGCCTTGGAATACCTCGTAATAACCACGCAAGTTATAAATAACACCGATAGTCTTTCGTATATGAAACAATTTAATGGAATGAGAACATTGAATCATACAGCTCCAAGAGTTCACGGTAGAAGCAGCACTAGTAATACGCCATTGCGGGGATAGATAACCTGATGAATTAATCAGCCCCCTCACCTCTGCATCACATCCCCTGTGTCTTTTCTCCGCATCACCGATCGTGGGGAATTCTTAGAAACCTCAATTGAATCACAGTAGACACAACAAGAACAACCCAACAAAATGAAAAAGTCTTATCTTTGGAGTCTTGCTGTTCTCACGGGCATAACCCATGCTTTGGAGCCACAACAACAACTCCTGGACAGTCAACACGAAATACCAGCACCAACAACCCACCTCGACAGCATAATCGCCTCATCACCCCTCCTCTCATTCCATAGAGACATTGTGAAAATCCCCTCAATTAGCGAGAACGAAAGAGACGTTGGTGAATACATCATCAACTTTCTCACCTCGCACAACTTCACCGTCGAAAAACAAATCGTCACTCCGGGCAACGCAACAACAAAAGAAAGATTCAATGTCTACGCCTACGTGGGAGAAAACCGGTTCCCAGATGTTCTATTAACCAGCCACATCGACACTGTCCCTCCATTCATAGAATACTCACTGCACGCACCCAAGTCCGCGTCCTCCTCCTTTAACAGGGAAGACCTAATCATCGCGGGCCGCGGCACTGTAGACGCAAAAGCCAGCGTCGCAGCAATCACATTCGCAGCCCTGGAAACCCTCCAGCAGGACCCCGATGCCTCGCTGGGCCTCTTATTCGACGTCGGCGAAGAGAAATCCGGCATCGGCATGAAACATTTCTCAAACTCAGACCTCAACCCAGACCCAGCAAGCTACTCCGCAATCATCTTCGGGGAGCCTACTGAACTTAAGCTTGTGGCGGGTCACAAAGGGAACCTGGCGTTCAAGATTATTTCCCAAGGCAAAGCCGCGCACTCGGGGTATCCCCATCTAGGCAAAAGTGCTATTTCAGCTATTCTGCCTGTGCTGCAGTATATCGATACCTTGGAGAATCTGCATCCGGATCAGGGGGGCTTGCTGCGGAGCGAGAAGTTTAATGGCTCGACGCTGAACATTGGTGTGGTTTCTGGGGGGCAGGCGGGGAATATTGTTCCGGCGTACGCGGAGGCGGTTGTTTCTGTTCGTCTTGCGGCTGGGACGCCGGATGATACGAGGGAGATTATTCAGAGGGCTGTGGATGCTGTGACGGGAGGGGAGGGGGGTGTTTTTGTTGATTTTGGGGATCGGGGTGGTGCGCCGCCTCAGCATCTTGATGTTGATGTTGAGGGGTTTGATGTTATTACTGTGAACTATGGGACGGATGTTCCTGCTTTGGAGATTCATGGGGGTGGCAAGAAGGTGAAGAGGTATCTTTATGGACCTGGGACTATTCATGTTGCTCATGGGGATGATGAGGCCATTTCTGTTGGAGAGTTGGAACGGGCTGTGCAGGGGTATAAAAGGCTCATTAAAGCGGCGCTGTAGGGGTATCTCATATGCGCAATGAATTTATCCAATGTTTCTCTCTACCCAGGCCTGCAAGATCATTAGTACTAGGCCCGGCCTGCGGGGTTGGGGTTTCCGGGACACGGCCGAGGGACGGACGAAATTTACAAAACGAAAAGAACATTTGGACCAATGCCAAGGCATCTAACACTGATGCTGATTGGTCTTTTAGAACATTAGAATGCTGATCCGAAAGACTCGAGGCTCGGACGAAGCCAACTATTCCCAACCCAAATATTGCAAACCCTACATCTCATACTATACATCCCGGCCATGTCTAAGAAAGCACCAATTTCGTCCGCCATATTTTATGATCCTGTTTTTTTTTTGCTTCAAATTTTAATACGAGTCTCTATATATAGCTTAATGTATTTTGCCCTGTCTTTTTTTTCTTTTTCTTTATTCCGTCGTTGTATTCACCATCTGCGAGGCCCCAGAAAATTTATGGCTGTAGATACTACCATGGCCGCGATATCAACATCCCCAGTTACAAACACGATAGAGGACCCAGAAGCAGGCAAAAGTAACCAACATGAACTCACCGCAGATACCTCCGCAGCTGTCGAGCAAAGCCAAACACACGACGTCTCCGAAACCAACCTGACAACACCAACAAAAAAGTCATTTGGCTTCTATGCCATAATCGTGGCCCTAGCCCTGACCAGTCTCCTAACCTCGTTAGAGGCAACCATCACGTCCACAGCCCTACCCACCATCACAGCCGATCTCGGAGGTGCAAGTCTCTACGTCTGGGTCGTCAATGGCTACTATCTGACCCAGTAGGCACACCACTTCCTTCTACAACCCCAACCCGACACAAGCTAAAAACACCGCAGAACAGCTTTCCAGCCCTTCTTCGGTCAAATAGCCGACATCTACGGCCGCCGCTGGCCCATTATCACCAGCGCAGCCATATTCACCATCGGCAGCGGCATCGCAGGCGGATCCAAGAACATCGAAACCCTCATCGCAGCCCGCCTCCTCCAAGGCATCGGCAGCAGCGGCATCCTCGTCCTAACAGAGATAATAATCTGCGACCTGCTCCCCCTCCGCGAACGAGGCAAATACCTCGGCCTAATCGTCAGTCTCGTCGGGCTAGGCGTCGCCCTGGGCCCGCTCTTCGGCGGACTTATAGTCCAACACTCCTCCTGGCCATGGGTCTTCTACCTCAACGTGCCCATCGGCGGCGTAGCCTGCATCGCACTCTTCGCCTTCCTCCGCCTCAAATCAGACAAAACACCAGACTATATAAAGCGTCTACGCCGCATCGACTGGATAGGAAACGCCCTCTTCGTCCTCTCCACCCTCTCCATCCTTATCTCTCTCTCCTGGGCCGGAACCCAGTACCCCTGGTCCTCGTACCATGTTCTCGTCCCGCTGGCGCTGGGCTTCGCGGGCTCGGTCGTCTTCGTCCTTTACGAGGCATCGCGCTTCTGCACGCACCCCGCCATGCCGCTGCGCAGCTTTGCGAATCGCACGTCCGCCACCGCGTTCGCCGTCACCTTCTTGCACACGCTTGCCTTTGTCTCGGTCATGTATTTCCTGCCGGTGTATTTCCAGGCCGTCCTGAGCGCGACGCCTTCGCGTTCGGGAATCCAGCTTCTCCCCACTATCCTGTTTATGATTCCTGGTGCTATTGTCGGCGGGACTTTGCTGTCCAGATTCGGCCGATATCGTCCCGTTCAGCACGTGGGCTTTGCGCTCATGATCGTCGGCTTTGGGCTCCTGAGTCTCCTTGATGCTGGGTCCAGTACGGGGGAGTGGGTGGGTTACCAGCTTCCCGGTGCGTTGGGCACGGGTCTAGCGCTACCGGTTCTGCTGCCTGCTGTCCAAGCTCCGTTGGCCGAGGAGGATACGGCGCAATGTACTGCAACTTGGTCCTTTATGCGTACTTTTGGCTTGATCTGGGGCACGACTGTTTCCACGGCTGTTTTTAATAATCGGTTTCAGGCGTTGGTGTCGCGCATTGCTGATGTTGATGTTAGGGGACAGCTTAGCAATGGGCGCGCGTATGAGTATGCTACTAAGGCTTTTATTGAATCTATTGCGGATCCTGTTACGGTTGCGCAGGTGAGGTCGGTTTATGTGGATTCGCTTAATGTGGTTTGGTATGTGAGCCTAGCTTTTGTGGGCCTGGGATTCTGTTTTGTGTTCTTGGAAAAGGAAATTACCCTTCGGAAGGAGCTTGATACTAAGTTCTCGTTGGAGAAGAAGGAGCAAAAGAATAAGACGGAGGCCTAGTTTCTTCGACTCGTCTTCAACGCCTTGTCTTCACTTATTAGAAATGTCTTGGTTTTCTGCGGCACTCCGAAAATCTAATCTCCGTGAAGGCAGCGGGTCAAGCTTAGCCTGGATCTTCGTCGATGCGTCTTCTTTCATATATTCATCTTCGGCGATACATCTTCTTTCATAGATTCATAATCTCAAGTGCTTCTTTCATAGATTCATATTCCCTCTCTCCCCTCCTCAAGCTTCATTTTCCTTTCTTTCAATATTTTGGCCTCCACGCCACACGCAGCTCTCGCTCACACTCCTTTAACATAAAAGAAGGCTGCATTGTCTACGTAGAGAACTAAGTTAGTCTAAGCCTGGTAGACGAATACATGTATACTTGTTCTTCCTGTGGTTACTTTTATGCACTGTGATTTTCATTGGTCGCCGGCGTCGATTGAAAGCTGGTACCTTTAAGAAGCTGACATGGACTTGTTAAGGACTGCTGTCGTTCGTAAAGGTGACACAGACCCCAGACTATGATAATTTCACCTCTCAGCCCGACGTGCCCCAACCATGGAAACATGACTCGTAATACGCCCCCACTCCTGGATACTATGGTACGCGTTTGGATGGCGTCATTAGTTTCATGTTTAGTTAATAGTTAGAAGATGTGGCCTAAGTTGCCTTATTTGAAATTATATTCTTATATCCCTCGATTCTATTCTTAAGATATGCAATTTAGCCCATTTTAATTTTGTGGCTTTTGTGGTATTTCGCCCACTAAATATCCCAGAGTGCTTGAGATGGCCTATTCTAGACTGGTCATGCCGTAGTCCAGGACTCCAGGATAATATTGAACCTAGGTTTACCTGATCTAATTAGTTATACTAACCGTGCGGTTAGTCGAGATGTATAACTGATGACTTCATGAAACTCTTCTGCTTTAGGATATTCCCTGCGGAGCGGGGACAAGATCAGACCAATAAGTAAGAGGCTATGTGATTCTCAGAAATACCATTGGATGACAAAAGTACGAAACTCTAACTAGTCAACTGAAATTGTACTAGCCAATGATTACTTATCCAAATGTCACAAGGCTAAATAGTAGATCGCCGGTTCATAAGTCAAGAACCAACACTATAAACATGTTCCCTAGCATTAAGACCCTTACTCAGAGATCTAGACTGGGCCTTTAAATTATACCAGAATATAAGAATACATTATTCTGGCGATTAGGAATGATCTTTCATATGATAACCAACCATCAAATAGGTTCAAATAACCGCGAGTCGGGCAAAATGCTACTCTCTCACTTTATACTTGCTACTGTGGCCAGCGGCGTGGTTGCGTCTCCACTCACCGAGAGACAAACCTCCATTACATGTTCCAGTGGCAACCAGACTCCAAAATGCTGTCAGATTCTGGTCCCTGTCAGCATTCTAGGTAAAACCGTTGACATCGGAGTTGGGTGTGCAAGCTGTACGCTATCTCTTCACGTTTCTATTAAAGGCATTCTTACTTCGGGCTATGCTGACCGGTCTATAGTGGGTAATTCTTGCAAGGGTCAAGCCCTATGCTGTAATACGGAAAATGTGAGACTTGAATATGATATTGATGAGGTGAAGCTAACCTAAATAGTTTTTGATTGATATTCTCAATGTTTGTACTGAGCCGAGTGGAGGAGGTGGTGGTGGGAACCACGGTGGTAGTGCAGGATAAGTAATTTCTATACCACCAGAAATTGGGTTTAAGTTCTGCAGATGTCTATCTTTAAGCCTGAGTGTCGAAAGTGACCTCTAGCACTCTCTGTCTTTATACCGACTGTGTCAATACACCATACAAGAAAAACATCAAAACCTTGATCGGGATCCACTTTATAGTAACTCTAGTTACCTTTGATAAAGCTTTTTCAGCTTAGCAAAAAAACTCCTTGATGGGATTTAAGTCCGGCGAGTAAGGCGGCAGATATACCAGTTTCGCCCCCGCGTCCGCGCACATCTGCGAGACCCATTCTAAATGATGGAATGACGCATTATCCATAACCACAACAGATTTGGGCTCGGGCCATTGTCCGCAGTGCCGAAGAAGCTGAGCTCAAAAGTCTTCAAAGACAGCGCCGTCGGTTGCACCGCGAAATACACAGGAGAGGACGACCCCGTCCTACGCATACACAGGTAAGGTCGAAGAGTGTAGAGGTAAATCTGATTTCGAATATTACTGTAATGTATAAGATTTTCATGCGATCCTCAACACATGTCTGCAAATCCAGAAGTCGTCATTTATCCTAGTAGCTGAACGAAGTGAGGCTATCTAAGAAATTCGTGCACATTTCTCAGTATACTCAGGTCCCCCAAAAATAAGAACCAACCAACATCAGGTAACCGCGGTACCCCTACTGGCACTCTTGCGGTTCATATAGAAGGATTCAACATATAAACAAGTTTAAGGATCAATATATAAAGAAGTTCAAGATTTTAAAATATAAAGAAGTTGTACATAATACTCTGTATCATCTGCCTTTATGACCAAAAAAGGGGCTTCCGGGTCTGGAAAAAATCAATCACAGGTTTTATGGGCCAGTACAAGGTATTTTATATAGGATCCATCAGTCATATCTGAGTTATGGTTGGGTAAAGAGATCCTTTCAATGTTTGGATTGTGACTATCCTTTGTTTCTGACCTTGGAATGCTACAAGCGAGATAGAGCTTTCAATGTTTGCCGTTCTCTCGTTTCTAGTCTCTCCCGTCTTTCTTGTCTCTTCAAACCTCCATCTTCCTCCCCTCTTCCATATTCCTCATCTTTCTCGATTTTTATCTTTCATTTCCCTTCTTCCTCATCTTTTCTTTCCTTCTTCATTATTTATATTTATTTATATTGGACTTCACTACAGTCAAGTTACTTCTATTTGACTTCACTCCAGTCAAGAAAGCAGAAACTCCAGTCAATACCCAAAGCTCGTCTCACCATGGGTCTCAAAATTCAGTTTTTCAAAGCTGCAACCACAAACATCAATCAAACCCTTGGTGATCAGTTCATCTCTCTCTTCATGTTTCCGTTCTTCTCTGAATGGGTTCAACACCGGATCAGAACTCTCCCCTATATATGTCCATGGCGGTGTGGTTGTGGGTGTGGGTATGGGTGTGATTGGGGGTGTGATGGGTCAACTGGACTCATCAATTCCGACTCTACGATGAACCTCACAACAACAAGGATGGTCACATTCGACGGGGATTCGCCAATCAAAAAGCCGTTCCTCAACGAGCAAATCTGGATATTGTCGGAATTGGCCCTTATGTATGAGTCTCCGTGGGTCACCTGGTTACTGAGCTAAGTTGCCACCGAACCCGACGTTTACGCATGGTACACCAGTATATCCAGCTCATCAGCGGCACAGAGAAATGGATGGCACGAGCCATGCTGTCAACTTCGCCTCAGTATGCTGTGTCAAAAGAAGTGGAACATTTTCTCACAGCTACACGCGGCAATTAGAAACTGGGCGGTTCCACTTGAGCATGCATACAACCCAAAATACATAAAGCATGCTTGGATAGCAACAAGCTTCGGAACTACAAACTCAAAAATATGTCAAGATTGCTCTATACAAGGGCAAGGCATTTTCATTGATAAGGAGTCGAATTGATCGAGAAAGAAACGCTTCTTCTCTCATCATGAGCCTGGCTTGGCTCGGAAGGATATCGGATGGACGAAAAACGCGCTCCTATGCGGCCATACATGAGCGCTCTACGCCTTCGGGTCCTCCTATCCCCACCCCCCTCGATCAGCATTCTTCCATTCTTCAAAAATCCGGAAAAAACGTTCTCCTCAGGTTGAGATTACTTCAGTGAAAATCATAGAACTGCATGGTCCTCCCGTTTGCTGCTTTATATAACCAATCCGCAAAACGCCAAACCAGAGGGGGGGGGGGGGGGGTTACGTCATCTTTACTTCGAAGACTTTTTACACGTCGGAGATACGAAAGGCCCAAATCTTTCTTGGCTCTTCGAAGACCGTCTTAGGTTTCGCAGCTTGTTTTGGGACTTTATTGGTGTGGTGGATGTTCCTATGGATTACATTTCACGGGCCTCTTCGAAGGATTATGTTTTGTTTTGGTCACTTGGTTTTGGGGTTCCCGTTCGATCTCTTATGGGGGAGGTGGATATCCTCGGGTGCACTAACGGCATGAGGCCTAGCGTTGGGGCTAGGTCGAACTTAAACTGCTGCCGAGGTCGGGAGTCGGGAGTCGCTTCAGGATCTGTGGAGAATCATGATGATGGGTACAGTGTATTCCTTATGAGAACCAGTTTGCCTCAGATCGCTGGAAGTCTCTCTCAATTTGGTGACCGACTCAGGGATCTCGTGTCCAAACCGGACGCTTCTCAAAAATTGGTCGTCTAAGTCAGGATATGGGAAGCTTTTCAAAGCACTGAAGTATACGCAGAGACCTAACCATCGAAATCTATGGAGTCGAGGGCATCGATTTTTTCACTGCTGTTACCCGCGCCCCGGCTGCAGGTTCGGTCTCTGACTCCGGAACGAGGCCCTGGAATGCGCGGTCCATAAATGCTACGCAGTGAATGCTCGTTTTCTTGAAAAGATGTCGGAAGCGTCCGAACGTGACGAAGCTTTGATGTACGAAGTCAACTTTGGTACTCGATGTTCCACTTTTGCGCTAAAATCGAAGGTATTCGCGGAGGGCTGGGCAGACTTTGGTGCCCGCGCTCGCTCCAATCCCCGTGCGGCAGCGATCGAGGATGACTGGTTATGCAGCCTCCAGATCCTCAGACTACTTTTTATCCCAAACTGGTTTTGACGCCGTTCGAGAATTCTCATGCATCGTTGACTCCGCCAAATTTGTTCGCGTCAAGCGGAACGTGCCCATGTCAGAGCTTTTTTTGAGCGCGGCGCCTGCTCCCAAATTGCCTGGCAAAGGAAATGGTGTTTCGATTCACTTTTATTGAAGACTTGGACGTTCTCCTTGTCCCCCCATTAGTTACATGGTGGTAGTGCCGGTATCGCTAGCTGTGTGGTGGAGAAAATACACATGTGAGAGAAAACCTGAAATTACTACTAGGAGTCGGAAATAAATGAAGTAACTTTCGAAGCAAATCGAAATTGAAAATTATTGGGCTTAGAGGGGGTATCTACATAAACATCTACCTATATGCGCCATAATGTAAATGACAAAAGAAGAAAACGAACCAAAATCGCTAAGAAATAGAGAAGATAAAGAAGCAAGATTCCAAAAGGATATGATGAAAATCAAGAGCAAAACCAGCCAGATCATCATAATCATCAATCAACAGCAAGTCCACCAGTCTCCTTCCGCCGCATCCCCAACCCAGTCAACTTCTTCAGCAACTCCGAAGCTCGTTTCCTCCGATGCCGCCCAGGACCCTCATTCTCAATCTGAGCCCCAACATCATAAAACGGCATCTCACCCCGCCGAAAAGACTTAGAATCAAGCGAATTCCCATTCTGATCAGCGCAAACAGGATAAGAAAATCCCCGAGGCCCCTTCTCCTCCTCACTCGAAACATTACTCATGGACAAACTGCGATACAGCGCCGAATCCCGCTTCCCCTGGACCTCGAACGCATCCCAGTCACGAGTCTTGCTATCCTCAGGTCGTCTTACGACCGCGCACGTCGTCGGCCTTCCACTGGCGCTGTAGAAGCGACGCTGAGCAGGACCAGGACCAGGAACAGGAACAGGCGCACCACCAGCCGTCAAAGGCACAGCCGTATTCGGCGCCGAGGTCTTAGGAACATGCAGCGCTATGCGGGTCCCACTAGGCTCCCAGCCTTCATTGAAGGAGCGCATGATTTCGACAGCCTCGCGGTCCCAGTGATCGCCCGGCGCGGGGAAGTAGGATGCCTCGTTACGGTCATCGGGCGACTCGACGATCTGCGCAGTATCCCTGTCCCAGCGACAGGTTCCTTCGAACTGCGGTGGACTGTAGGGGAAGAAGCCGGGGCTTGAGGAGCGGGAACGGGAGCGCGAGCGCGAGCGGGGCCGGGAGTAGGATCTTGAGTGGGCGGATGTAGTCTCGTATGTTGCGGAGCTGTGGCCGCGGCCACGGCCACGGCCTCTGGTAAGGTGCGGATTTTTTTCCTGGTACGATGCTGGGCGGATCCACTTGATTTGGAAGACGTCGTCGTCTGCGTGCGTTCTTGATGAGCGGCGGTTGCTTTGCGTGCCGTAGAAGCGGCCCGTGCCTGCTGAGGGACTCATGGCACAGGAGGAAGTCTGGTAGGCGTTTGGTGGAGTGGGTGGGGAGTCGGGGGTGGTTCCGTCCCAGGTTTCGGTGTAGAATGGGAGGTGGTGGTTGACTTCGACGGGCGAGAGGGATAGCTGGGCCATGACGCCTTGGTAGATGGGGCGTTGTTCCTGGGGGAGGGCTTTGAAGGAGCCGTCTTTTTGCAGCGGCTTTTCAACGGTGTGGAAGGATGGCCAGATGGGGAGGCCGCGCTCGATGCTCTCGACTAGGAGGCTGCAGGCGTGTTTCACGTTGTCGACGAGATCCTCGTCGATATCTTGTCTGTCGATGTATGGTGTTGCGGGGCGGAAGTAGCCTGGCACGTCGGTGAAGTGGTAGAAGCGAGTTGGCTCGGTGTCGGTGCTATCTGAGTCTGGTCTGGCTGGGTGCGCTGGGATGGGCGTCGTGGCTGAGCGGGAGCGAGTGCTGGATGCGCTGGATACAGGCCTTGGGGCATCTGTGATCATTGTTGCCGCGCGGCCTCGGGAGTGGTTGTGACGAGTAAACAAACGCTGGCGCATCTGTGCAGCCTTTTGGGAGAGCTTGCGCTCCATTATGTATGGAAGTGGGGTGAATGTGTATTTCGAAAGGTGTTTGCAGGGAGTCGATTTTCCAATGTGGTGTTTTTTTTTTTTTTTCAAGGTTGCGCAGATGACGGTAAAAGTGTAAGGTTGAAGTCAGAGGTAATAACGGAAACTCTGGGAGACCGTCGCCCACCAACGCTAACTATGTGATATGAAAATGAAGTGGCGAAGGGGAAATCAACTCCGGCAGTACAGATGAGTTGAAGGAACGAATGGTACAGATTGGATTGGGCTGGTGATTCGGAGAGAAAATGAGGTGTGTTGGCTGTACAACGGTGGGTATGCGGGGGATGGCAACGAGGGATAGGGAGAATTAAAGAATTAAATGTAAAACAAGTCTCAGAGCACGAGCAATTATATTTCTTCAAGGGTTTATTATTGATTACTTGTAAGCTAAATATTTTTTATTTATTTTTTAAATATAATATTTTTCATTAGCTACGTCCACTAGGGTGGAGTCCGGATAAAGAGCAATTTGGATCATTTGGCGTTTGGAAAGTTGGAATCGCAAACGAAAAGTGGAGACCGAAACGGTTAAGGCTGGACCTGAATGGGATTGAAATGGGAATCGATATGGTCATGGTGGACATTGAGTGGACTTGGAGTGGGCTTGGAGTGGACATACTGTGGACTGCGACCGGTTCTCAATGATAACCCCATCCCCAATGCGGTATAAGATCGTAGCTCAAGCTCAGTCTAGACCTGTACTTGCTGGCTTTGGCCTATTTTCTGTATTGAAAAGATAAAGGACTGCATGATAAAGGGAAAGTCCAAAAATAAAGAAAAGTAAATTGGAAGAAGAAACCAATCCTTTTATCAGGGGAAATGTTTTTTTTTTCACAGTAAATAAAGTAAATAAAGAAAATTAAAGCAAAAGACGAAAAGTATCAGCTTTGAGACAAGTGGTGGATTCCCTCCTTGTAAGCGATTCAAGGGAAATTACTCCGTCGAGATACACTAACGCTAATCACGATCATTTACTCCATCTATGATACAGTAGCTGAGGGAAGTAGAGTAGATTTCCTGCCACACCGCTTGACAACCATACCACACCCGGTTTTCTGAGGTTTTGCAGGGCTACGCGCACTTTCCAGCGCCAAGACTTTCCGCTACCCGGAAATAAGATTGGAATTCTACGTGGCATTAAATGACATCAACACAGATCATTGTACATAGCTCGAAACAGCCTAATAATTCGCCCAAACACGACTCCATTTCTAGAATGCAAATTTTCTTTTCCGGTAAATTGCTCTCCATTCGCGCCAACCAAATTTCCCACTAATTTCTCGAACCACTTTCCGGATTTTCAACATTTTTTTTATTTTTTTCTTTTCAGCTTTTCAGCTGCGGGTGGTCCACTCTATTCGGTTCGGTAACGAGCCCCATCGGCCCTGATTTGCAGCGCTTCTAGAAAAACAAAAGCAAACAAGAAAATAAAAAACCAGATAAACTTGGCAGTCGGCACAGATCCAGCGTCATTGTTTATGATAAAACTTTTATTTTTATTCTTTTTATTTTACTTCAGGACACGTAGAAAGATGGGAAGCTCTGCATGTGAATCGTCATGTTCCATCTGACAAGGTTACAGTTGTACTCCGTATAGCACTAAAACAATAGCCCGGAAAAAGTCCATCTATCGCTTCCAGTGGCTTGAGTCACTTACTTCTCTAGTTTGAAATGCTGGAGATGCCGGGATTGGTTAGGTTCTGGCCTGGAGAATGTGGCTTGGGGGGCTTATCGGCATGGACCCCTAAGGCCCCATCAGGCCCTCGGGACCCTGGCGATTAAGCGATTAATATTCACAAGTGGGACTGAGCAGGGACCGAGCAGGGACTGGGCAGGGACTGGGAAACAATCTCCCCAATCTCCCCCCAATCTCCCCCAATAGTGCCTTATCATACCCCAATTCAGTAACCGGTCATGCGCTAAGATACACATTCATTATTGTTATCGCATCAATGGTTATTATTGAATGGTCCATGCACATGTGTGGGGAGAAAATCAAATCTAAAAGGCAGGGGCTGAGATAGAAGGGATTCATGTACAAGGTACCCATTATATGCGGTATATTGCAGTACTTCAAGGTTAGGGACTTGTATATACTGAATGAGGCTCTGAAATAAGTCTCGTAACAAAAACACTGTTTTTTACATTAGCCCCGGAAGTACCAAATACGAGCTCCGGTTCAAAAGTTACGTACTAGTAGTAATGGGTTGCCTCTTGATTAGGCTAATTAGTACCAGAACTAGTCAAACATTTGAAGTTTGCTGGAACAAATCGAGGCTCTTGAATCTTCTCACAGTTCATTCGGTTCCCCTGAGTCGTTTCCGAGGTCAGATTCAAGTAGCGAGTCCCACTAAACATCTAACAAGGTCGTAGTGAACTTCCCAGATATGGCCCCACATTTCCAAATCGCTAATCGCCGTATAACGGGGTGAACATTCGTGGCAGTGCCAGGCCTTGGTATCAAAATCGAACTCTTGATAGCAAGCAACCAGGAGATCATGATCGCGGTAGAGGTGCTCCATTGCACTTGTGTAATCTCCGAATTCTTTGACGCATTCGGTGCAAGAGATTATCAATGCCATTTTCCTAGAGGGTAGTGCTGATCGTCGTCTTATTTCTCTGACGCGGAATGTAATGCCGAGGTGTTTTGACGTGAGAACCTAGTCAAAAGCAAAGGGGGTGACAGTTGGGATACATAAAAAGTGAAGCAATTGAGCAGAAGAAATGCACTTTATATACCTACTAGTACAGTTGTTTCATGGTTAATTATCTTCACTGATATAATATTCAATTTCCAAAATTGAATGGATGGATACGTCCTGCCCAGCTTGAGGTGGAGAGCAGTGCTTGAGGGCAGCACTTCAATGTTGAGTGAACTCAATATACAACTGATTCAATGTTACTTGCTACCCACTAGGACTTATGTACAGTTCCTGAACTTTTCCTGGTTTCTCTTGTTCAGTGTTTACAACCTTAGATGAATGGCCTTGTGCTTTTCCAAATTTGAATTTTAATATTCTATTTGGTAACTATCTATCTACCCCGAAAAAGCGACATTGTCGCTGGGATGAATCACTCGTTTGGATCATCCTTTGATAAATATTTCAAAATTGACCCATCAACCTCTGGAAGGAACTTCGTAAGTGACCCAGAGGATGGGTCTGATGGAGAGCAGTTGGATGCTTCTTGTGCAGTCTTCTCGAAATGGACGTTGGTCCAGATGAGATTCGAGAGCGGCAGTTAAGTGCTCATCTCCCTGACTAGCTAAACGGATAAGAGAACGGCAACCTTTACTTCCCCTGGTGCGCCATGACGGCTTGTCTAGCCAAAGAATCCAACTTGCCTCCCCTCGTGATAGAAAAACTTGATAAATGTATAACTGTCACGCGTGGAGAAACCGGGCGGGAATCCATGTCGGCAGGACAAGGAGCATGGGGGTGGCTGCAGAATAAAACTGCGCCGGCACATATTGGTAAATGGTGAAAGGGTTTACCAGGCGGTAATGTCATCCACCTCGGCCTCGCCAAAGGTGCTGCTCTTGGTGAGCTTGGTGACGCTTGCAACAGCAGCGGCACCCTCGGCACTGGTCTGAGCCATAATGTCAGGCAGGACCTCATGGAAGAACTCCACGATGTGGCGGTTGACCTGCTCAAACTGCAAGAGGAAGGCATCGTGACCCTCGGGGCTGTCAATACGCTTAAGACGGGAATCAGGGATTCCAGCCGCAACCTCCTGCTGCTCGGCGAATGTGAAAAGACCATCAGATTCAATACCAATCACCAGAGCAGGCTGCTCAATCTTAGCAAGTGCCTCAAGCACACGGTCACCGGATTCGCCACTGGTACGGTGGCGGGACACGTCGTGAGTATCGAGCTTGCGGGTCATGGCGATGTAGCAGTTGGCATCAAATCGCTTCACGAACTTATCTCCCTGGTAGCGCAAGTAGGACTGTGCGGAGAAGTAGGTAGGCGGACGAGGGCGACCGGCAGAATCAGTCTTAATCTCGATCTCCGGGGAGAAGGTCTTGGTGCCCGAGAACTGGGGGTCCATGAACTGAACCTCAGGCTGGGTCTGGGGGGCGGTCTGGGGGATTGGCGAGTTCTGGCGGCTCGACGCGCCAGTCCGGTGTCCATCATTATGGATGGCCCAGTGCTCATTAGGAGGAGTGGGCAGCTTTTCGCCACCATTAATGTTAACCCGCTTAGATGGGTCGGGAACATTGCGGCCAAAGCGCGACTCGAAAGAGTCTCGGCTACGGTATGTAAGAAGTGCCGACATGCGGGCTGCGCCAAGGCCGGAAGCGGGGAGATCCTCAAAGGTGTAGTATCCATCATCATACTTGGGGTCAGAGTAAATACTTTGTCTCTGAGCTTCACCCCAGCTGATGCACCATGCAGAGTGGCGTGCAGATGTAGCAATTGGCACAATGGCACGAACATAGTCCTTGCCAAAGAAGGAGTACTCCAAGGTGAGCATTCCACCCATGGAACCACCAACAACGGCAGCGATCTGCTTTACACCCAAGTCGTCCAAAACCAACTTGTGAATGCTGGCAAAAATTGTCAGAATTGTTAATTCATATGGTGTTGGAAACGGATTCAACTTACTTCACGTCATCGCGGACAGTGGTTAGAGGAAACTCAGGTCCATAGTAGCCATTCTCAGGCTTACCATCCTTGTATGTGACCGCGCTGGCACTTCCATAGGGACTGCCCAGGCTGTTCAAACAAACGACAAAGAATCGGGACACATCAAATGCTTGGCCAGGGCCACCCAGGAGTGGACCCCACCAGTCGGCGACATCAGCACTACCACTCAATGCGTGACAGATCACCAGAACATTGTCACCATTGGGAGAGAGAACACCTCTTGTAGTGTACGCAACGGGGACATTGTATAGGGTAACACCAGATTCAAGTGTGAAAGAAGGGACCACAGCAATGAACTGGTCCTCAATCAAGCTGGCGTAGGGGTTCTCCGGCTGCGCATCGACTCTCTCTACGGGATTTAGTAGCCGTCTAGTTAAATAGGGGGGATAGGGATAGACTGACGGAGTCGCTCAGTGGGAGCAGTGCTTGTTTCAGAGGCCATTTTGGCGAAAACAATGAGCAAAGAACAATGATTGAGAATATATGGAGAAAAGAAGGAGAAAGGGACAGTTTCCCGCAGAAAAGTTCCCATCCGGTCCCGCTCATGAGTCAGGATTCCTCAGGAACCCCGCGCGGCAGAAACCACCAATCATAACGTAAGCGGTGAGATATTTCATTGTGCGGTCAAATTTCTAAAATTTCAAATTCGAACTTTCTTCTTCTTCTTCTCTTTCATACACAACACTTTCACTCGCCAACCCCAATCACCACCCTCAACCCATCAAAATGGCCAAGACCAAGAAGTCCGGAGAGACCATCTCCTCCCGCCTTGCCCTCGTCATGAAGTCCGGCAAGGGTGAGTTTTTTTTTTGTCGTCGTGATCCCAGTGTGCGCTCCGGTCGCTAACAATTTTTTTCAGTCACCATGGGATCCAAGTCCTCCATGAAGACCCTCCGCTCCGGAAAGGCCAAGCTGATCCTGATCGCTGGTAACTGCCCTCCCCTGCGCAAGTCCGAGCTCGAGTACTACGCCATGCTCGCCAAGGTCCCCGTCCACCACTTCAACGGTAACAACGTACGTTATAAAACCCCCAACCCAAGCCGGCATTCATTGCCGCAGCTGCCTAGCAGCTTTACTACTCTGAGAAGAAGTAGGCAATGCCACTTCGGAGAGTGAAGTTGCTCAGCGATGGGATCTCTTTTGAGGCCCGGAGAGCGAAATGACTAACCCCTGAATAGATTGAGCTCGGTACCGCCTGCGGTAAGCTCTTCCGTTGCTCCACCATGACCATCCTTGATGCTGGTGACTCCGACATCCTCACCCGTGAGGTTTAAATGCATTAATGCATTCAAAAATACACAAAACTGGAAATTGAAATGATTGACGACATCCGGGCCTGGTTGGCGAACAATAGCCTCCAGCCCATCCCAAAAATGTCGCTCGTACCCAGTGTATATGGGTCGGTGTATTTGGGTCAAAAGTGGGAATAGGCGTTGTGTACCATAGTCATACCCTCAATCTATCAAGTTTATCTTGTGTATGAAATCTCTTGTAGAAACTTTTAAAAGTCCCTGTATTCCTTATCGACTTTAAATTGTTGGAAATAGGTTCCAAAGTTCAAAGTTCAAACTCAGAAGTATGTACTTTTGGTATCAGTTACACGGAACCTCCAGGGGCTTTCGATTTTTCATCTATTGCTCAAACGCTCTAACAAGAAATTATGGTACATCGGTCTTCACTGACAGCATGGGATAATTTGAGGTCCGAGAATCCGGAGTGCTGGGCGGATGTTTGCAGAGATCCCGTCTCCGATCACTCGGACCAATTGACTCGGGATCAATGTCGAGACTAGCAGGGGCAGAGTGATCACCACTCCACCTTGGCTGTATATGAAGGTCATCGTAGGGAGACCCATGAATCTCATCAATCGTTGTCGGACTAGTATTGATAACAGCGACAAGACTGTTCAGCACCGTGAACTCCATCTTCAGCTTAATACTGTACACCAGTGGCTTATAAGAAGTCTGGATATCGAAATAGTCGCTATACTCCAAGGCCAGAAGAGACGCATCAAGCAAGATAGCGATAGAGTTGACGAGAATGAGATTCAGAATCACTCTCTTGCCGCGTGGACCTTTGAGAAGCAAAACAGGCCGAAGCCCGGTCACCGTCTCGTAAATATATAAAGCGCTGATGAGGGTCTCTTGGAGCGAGAATCCGGTCAACTGGACCCGCTCATATATGTTGAAGGGTGTGATGAAGCTGTCGACGCCATGATTGCTGCCTAGAAAGAGCACCGTGGTCGGAATGTGAAGGACGCAGGCATTGAAGATTATCATGTACAGCACGTAGCGGAAATACTCGTAGTGGCTAGACACCAGATGGAGCCGCGAGTACAGGACCACGGACTGGCCGGTTACCATGGCATACCATCCAATGCAGATGACGACCGACATGGGGAAATTCGGGGCTAGCGCAAAGTACCGAAGAAAGCCCGAGACGGCGTGGATGAGGATTCCAATGGTGGAGACGAGCATGCTCCAGAAGTACAGGCCACGGCGGTGTCTGAATGTGGTGAAGGTTGAGATGAGGATTTCAACGACATTGTAGCAGGAAAGGGCGAATAGTGCTGCTATCACCATGGCGATCGCCCGCGAAACATCGATTGGACCCGTTTGACCTGCCATTTTTCTGGTAAAAAGGACAAGGGATGTGTAGCATAAGCCGGCTCAACTTGAGATTGGCGTTCCAAGTATGCCACCACTTGGCGAGCTCAATGTGATATTTGCATTTCGTAGCTGGGGACCATGAGTGTGCGACACGGGGGGCGCAATAGGTGTGATATATGAATAGGGGAAACATAACGTTGTCTTGGCGCAGGAAGGAATTTGCGATTGATCTTCAAATTCGACTGAAACGAACTACACTTAGAGTTTGAGGGGGCGGAGTTGATTGGCTGCCAAGACGATTTTGACATCACCATCGATTATTTATCGGGGGATTCGGCGAATCTCTTGAAGAATCCCACGGGTATACAAGCACAGAACGTAAAAGATCCCATTCCATTCGTGTGTCAAATCACTGAAATTTAAGACCACTTCTGCAACCAGCTTAACTCCAATTTCAGGTCGAAGATTGTAAATAAGCTTAAGAATATTGAGATAACCAAACAACTACCTTCCTAGTTCGGAGACGTAAGACGCTATGTGGGCCCGCCAAGTGGACCGATAATAATCGCGCATGTCCTGTCCAATGCCCAGATCTAGCAAACGGTTCAGATATCATTTTCCCCGGCCGAACTTAGGTCTAGGTGCTTCTCTTGCTTCGGGCTAAACGAAATCCCACGACTTTCGTAAGAAACGGCAGGCAGGTGCTAGTGCGAAGATGGTCTAAGTAAATCCCGCGTGATCTAAATAGATTAATTTAAATCTGCACTAAAAGAAGAGACATGACTAGCCATAAGAAGATGATAATATGGGTGATCAACGTCTAATATTTGAAAATCCCCACAGCGAGTGAGGCTGAACAGTCCATGCTTGTTTACAGTGGACCGTTTGGCGTACTTTGTCATATCGTAAAAGCACACATGCATCATCAAACTTTACCAGAACAGGACTGTGGTCAACCACCCCTTTACTACTCGGCTATTTGCGAAAAATTCCATCACATGATTCTTTTAAGAAGAGATCGTTGTCTTTATTACCAGAGAAACCAGCAAATGAGATAGTCGCCAAGGTTTTCACTATTCTCGTCAGAACTCAGGTCGTTCTCTTCGTAGTTCGAGATGTCATCCCCTGGTTCACTGTTTACTCCAGCAGGATCGGGGTTTAGGTCCTCATTTTTGTCGTTCTCGGTAGATAAAACTCGAGGACCCCGAAGTTATTGAGAAAAGCGATCTTTGGTGACCAGTAGCATGATATCTACTCACTGTTTCTTTGGCCTTTCCCTAATAAGTCCTGAAGTCCTGGATACAGCAGAGCATTTCAATGCCCATTTGTCTCAGGATGGAGCCCCCCCTTTTTTGACTGCAGATAAAATGGCTTCACCTCCATCATTCTATTGAAATCTGGCTCGCTATCGATTCTCATGCTTTCTCGGAGTATTTGGATGGCCATTCGGCTACCAGAGTTACTGTTAGAGTGTGGTGTCTCCCAGGATGTGGGGCACGTCTGATGCACCATAGTTTTCAGTGTGAGACTAATCCGGATCAGGATAGATAGCTAGATAGTCAGATAGTCAGGTTTGGGGGATAAGTGAGAGCTTCTCTCTCCTTTCCCTTCTCTCCTTCCTTTCCTCATCATCCCACTTTACACAGAGAAATCCATCACTGTTTTCTCTGTGTCTTTTCCTCGATTCACATTAGTCCAGGGTAGACTCATATTGTGGTTCAAACAGGTTATAAGCTCCGGTTTGCTCTAGATCGAGCATTCTTTTTTTACCTCATTATCTCATTTCATTTGACAAACTCATATGACTGGGTCGTCATTACCAAGACATACATATTCCACAACAAAGGCTGCTGAAGCGACCAAATCCGCTACAGAACAACAACCCCAAGGAGGAACCGACAAGTTGGATCCTTCACAAGAAGAAGACGACGCTGTTAACAAAGACGTACAACAACCTTCGCCATCGCCGGATACAGACACAGGATCATTGATTACTGATACTAAGGATCCGAATAACACCAATACACCGACACCATAAGTATCAAACACCAATAATATGGCAGTTCTACCCGCAATGGTAGAGGGTAAGCGCAAATAGCTTAAACTGCCGGCAAAGTTCGAAGATAGGAATCAAGCGACAGGATTACCTGAATTCGATAAGGTCACACTTCTACACTTCAAAGACGTTCTTTCGCCCGCGGAAGAATACGATGGGTTCAAGGCACGTGTCGAGATGACTCTTCAATCTGCGGGATTGTTGAACCTGATTGATGGCACCAAAGACGACCCCGATCACACAGACCCAAAGGCAGACAATTGGTTCAAGTTGTCAAAGATGGTGGCCTCGTGGTTATGCGCAAACATGACACAGAAGGTGTTTCAAAAGTGCAAGTCAACAGGACGGCGCATGCTGCTCGCTACTGAAATATGGTCAACGCTTGAATGAGTGATGATGGGCATTTCTTCTGTACGGCGTATGCATACAGTATTTTGACGCTCAAGTCGCTTGCAACCGGTGCGCGGCTTTCACTTGTCGATTACCGCAAACCACCCATCTTGCTCTGAATTGTGTGACGTGGCCTTCATTGTTTGACTTCAAGTCGAAGACCCATCGTCCGGGAAGAACCTTTGTTCTGTGAGCCTGTATCTTTAGCACTTCTGACCAAGCGTCGGCATCATGAAGCTTTTGAAGTTGTTCCTCCATCGCATTCTTCCATTGTATAGCGTACTTGGAAGCCATGGCTTGTTTCAAACAATGAAGGCCACGTCACACAGTTCAGAGCAAGATGGGTGGTTTGCGGCAATCGACAAGCACCGGGAGTCGACTATGATGAAAGCTACGCACCGGTTGCAAGCGACTTGAGCGTCAAAATACTGTATGCATACGCCGTACAGAAGAAGTGGAAGATACATCAATTTGACGTTGTTGCCGCTTACTTGAACACCAAACTTGATAATAGAGAGGTTTACATGCGAATGCCGACAGGATTCGCTAAAGGAACCGACATTTGCTTGCTAAAGAGGGCGCTTTACGGCCTTCGTCAAGCAGCATTCTTGTGGTTTGAGAAGTTCAAATCACTGCTGGAGAAGCTCAAATTCAAGAGCTGTTGTGGTTCGAACAGTTACCTTCCCAGCGCCTGTTCGGTTCGCCCGACTCATCTCACTTTACGCTTACCTTCATCGAATTTCACTCTCACTCTCACTCTCCTCTCCAATCTAGCTCACTTGACAGCAACCATTCAAGAAGTTTTACCACCATTGTCAGAATGTTCTCGAATGCATCTCCATTTGAGGGCACCGGAGACCCAGTAATATCAGAGGACGCTGTCAATGCGGCATTTGTGGATTTACTAGAGGTACTCTGCCTTTCAATCACCACCAGCTCGTTACAATGGTCGATCGAGAAGTCCATGGTGATGATACGGCTTGGCAATGCTAAGATCGTTACCGTTATGGATGGTCAGCTTGGCAATCCAACCGGTGGCGAGCCAGATTTCCATAAAATCATCGATATTAGATGAAGGTCAGCGCATAGTGGGATGAGTCGGGCGAACCGAACAGACCCTGGACTAAGAACCCGCTCTCTCGCTAACCACGAAAATGCCTATAAGAATGGTCTGCTTGTGCCAAGTATTCGTGATACCCGATGGCCATCACCGACCGATGGAAGAGTCCAGGTCGATGCAAAGAAAAAGCACCAAGTGCTCGGTTTCGGAGTCTACATCGGATACAACCAGACGACCGGCAACCCGATATCACACCATCTAAAGCGCCACTCAATGATTCGCTGATCTAACGAGCAGTATCTCTTCTGACTGTCGCCAAACGAGCTACTGGGCCCCCCATGGACTTTGATGCCAAAGGCGATATCCGGATGGACAGAGTTACCTCATCGCCGGAGCCAATGGCTTATTGGTGGAGCGAGCCCTGCTCAGCAAAGCCTCGACCTGACGGGATTCAGACATCGTTTCTGGGGCCGATAAAGTCTCTACGCTAAGCCTGTCTATTGATTCATGGTTATTCATACATTCTGCTCCAACCTGGTTTTTCTCTTCCAAACCGATGTAGACCGTTTTATTTTGTTTGTGTTTTGTTGGTTTTAAGTGGTGATCGACGCATGGATCCTTGACAACAGTTTTGTTTTTTATACCTGTCTCTTGAATTTATTATGTCACGACTCACGAAGACGCCGAGATTTTAGTTGCGGGGATTATTAGACCCCGAACCCCGTGACTCGTTCATTTGACGAGAATGGTTCCGGGAAAATGCAGTCATAAACCCGGATGGTTACAGAGATGCACGTTGGTCGGGTTCGGCAATGTGAGACCATTTGTACTTTGCCACTTCGCCTGTCAACAATGATTTGTATATTGCCCAGAAGAAAGTTGGAATTGTACATAATCTTCCAGCCTCTAACAACTGGTAGCATGAGATTGATGTCTATTGATTCATGGTTATTTGATTCATGCATGTGGTTATTTGTTTGAAAATAGTTTCATTTTCTACATTGTCTCTTGAATTTGTTATGCCATGGACCACCGAGGGCAGTGACGGTCTCGCGGGGAGGGGCAGATGTCACCGCATAGTTAGTAGTTAATCGAGGGCACTTCTTTCGGGCGGACACCTTATCCTTAGATGAATCAGAACCATTACATACATTCCTGTGTACTACGTACGATCCCCCAACAATTGGTAGCATGCACAGTGGTGGGAAGTGAGATGAAGTTCGAGATCTGGGGTACAAGGAACATAAGTTAGTTGGAGAAAGGTACTGGCACTTGCCCCGCGTATGCGTTGACATATCAAAGTTTCAAGGATGTACACATGGTCCTGGAAGTGGTAGTACCCCCACACTCAATTTGCGGGGAAAAGATCTACACTCCAGTACCCAAGATTATAGCCTAAAGCTCCTGGAATTGTGCTCACAATATTTAGCCTGAATCAATTCCCCCGATGTGATGCTGCAACATGACGCAAGGGGAAATTTCAGTGTAGCCGAATATCGGCCGATCTGAAGACCTCGGGAGTTCTTGCAAGGTTGCCGGTGTCAGCACTCTATAAATGGAGTGATAAGGCCGGGTATACTATGGTTTCATCTGCCACCAAACGCCACCATGCAAGCCACCTGGCTGCTTATTTATTTGAGCATTGGATTTTCTGCCGCAGAAACCGGATTACAAGGTTGGCTGCGATATGCTTCGTTGCCTTGCTCCACTCAATGTCATTCCATGCTGCCTAACACCATTGTTGCTCTCAATTCCACCAACACAAGCCCTGTAAATGTTGCAGCGTCAGAGATAAAGAGTGGACTGGAGAACATTTACAGCGTCAACGCTTCGGTCATTCACGACCAGTGCAACTCATCCTCATCGGCTGTCGTCGGGACCGTTGAACAATATCGCCAAGCTTGCGGTTCGCTGGCTGTGATCCCTAAGTTAGCCGAAGATGGATTCTGGCTGAGCACTCGGGGAGGCAAGGTTCAAATTCTCGGTCAAAATGAGCGAGGTGCTCTCTATGGTGCCTTTGAGTACCTGTCAATGCTTGCTCAGGGAAACCTTTCCCAAGTGGCGTACGCCACCAACCCTGCCGCTCCACTTCGTTGGGTAAATCAGTGGGACAACATGGACGGAAGCATCGAAAGAGGCTATGGGGGTGAATCAATATTCTTCAAAAATGGGACCATCCTCGACGACTTGAGTAGAGTCCATCAATATGCTCGCCTATTAGCATCTGTCCGGATCAATGCAGTCGTGGTCAACAATGTGAATGCCAATGCCACCCTTCTCACTCCCAAGAACATTGATGGACTGGGAAAGATAGCGGACATCTTCCGACCGTACGGTGTCAATATCGGAATATCACTGAATTTTGCGGCGCCAGAAACCTTGGGTGGCCTTGACTCTTATGACCCCCTCGATGCAAATGTCATAGACTGGTGGTCTAACATAACAAACCAAATCTACGAGCGAGTGCCCGATATGGCGGGATACCTTGTCAAAGCGGACTCTGAGGGAGAGCCCGGTCCACAGACATATAACAGAACATTAGCAGAGGGTGCCAATCTCTTCGCTAGAGCTATACAGCCACACGGCGGCATCGTCATGTTCCGTGCATTTGTCTACAATCAACTCAACGAGTCCAACTGGAAAGCAGACCGTGCCAAAGCGGCAGTCAACTTTTTCAAGCCGCTTGATGGCAAATTTGAAGATAATGTCGTTGTTCAGATCAAGTATGGGCCCATTGACTTCCAAGTCCGTGAGCCGACATCGCCTTTATTCGCCAATCTTTTGAAGACAAATATCGCTATTGAGTTGGAAGTCACGCAAGAATACCTTGGACAGCAGTCTCATGTTGTCTACCTCCCACCTCTCTGGAAGACGGTATTGGACTTTGATCTTCGTGTCGACCACAAGCCGTCTCTGGTTCGCGACGTTGTGACTGGCAAGCGTTTCAATCGTACTCTCGGTGGATCAGCAGCCGTTGTCAATGTCGGCACAAATACCACTTGGCTTGGTAGTCATATGTCCATGTCAAATTTCTACGCCTACGGCCGTCTAGCATGGGATCCTTCTGCAGATGCGCGGGATATCTTGCAAGATTGGATTCGGCTAACGTTTGGTCTGGACCGTTCAGTTCTCAGTACCATCACTAATATATCCATGGAATCCTGGTCAGCCTACGAGAGCTATAGCGGAAATCTTGGTATCCAAACTTTGACGGACATCTTGTATACTCACTATGGGCCCAACCCTGCCTCTCAAGATAACAACGGTTGGGGCCAATGGACTCGTGCAGGTCCCACGAGCATTGGCATGGACCGTACAATGTACAATGGAACAGGCTATGTGGGCCAGTATCCAGATGAGATTGCAGCCACGTACGAGAAAATCGAGAGCACACCCGATGATCTCCTACTATGGTTTCACCACGTTAACTATACCCACCGACTTCATTCCGGGAAAACGGTGATTCAGCATTTCTATAACGCCCACTATAGTGGTGCGGAATCAGCTCAACACTTTCTTGACCAATGGGAGTCTCTTGATGGAAAAATAGATGATGAGCGATACTTCCATATCCGTCATCGTCTTGATTATCAAACCGGGCACTCTATTGTATGGAGAGATGCGATCAACAATTTCTACCACAACCTCTCCGGAATACCAGATACCGCTGGACGTGTCGGTCACCACCCGTGGCGGATTGAAGCTGAAGATATGACTCTGGACGGCTACGAGCCTTACTTGGTCAGCCCATTTGAAACCGCCTCCGGCTCAATGGCCATTGTTACGCTCTCAAATACTACGGCGGGTACAGCGACGACTATGCTTGGCTTTCCCTCGGGTACATATGACCTTGCTATCAACTACTATGATCTATCTGGAGGCCAGTCTAAATGGCAAGTCTACCTTAATGATAGGCAAGTTGGTCAATGGGTTGGTGACGCCGAGGATCATCTAAGCCATACACCTTCCATTTATTTGGATGGGCATTCTGCCACACGCACCAAATTTCGGGGAGTCAAGATCAAAAAAGGAGATACTTTGAAAATTGTGGGCACGCCTGATGGAGATGAACCGGCGCCAGTGGACTATATTTCGATCCTTCCGGAGGGGGTTGTGGACTAAGACTTTTATAAACAACAATCTTCATATCCGAGAAGACGTCTCACGATAAATATCTAACCAAGTATAGTGGGGTGGCGCGGCGTAGAGTTCTGCTTCGGTGACTCATACCTTAGTGTGTAATGTTAGTAGGTAGCCCTGGAGGTATTCGAAGAACGTTTCCAAGCAGGACCAAGCTTGCTAGTGAAACATGTATTGAATAAATCATAAAAGTCCTTCATTTTCCTGGAAGGTCATCAAATCAGTGAGAGATCTGATATGCTCCAAGATGGCAACGAATACCCACTTGATTCAGGTTGTTGGAAAGGCCGGAGTTTTAAGGTGCATATTTCGGAATGTTCAAGGTAGTTGGCAGCTAGTCCCTTTTGAGGTTCCAACACGCGCCCATCATTCGTGGAGGCATCAAAAGTCCTATAAGTATCTAGTGATAGCTTGATACTTTGGTAAAACGGAAAGTGAGGAAAATCCAAGTAACGAAATCGTGGGTGAAACAAGGAAAGAAATCATTTGCTAGGTGTAGAATCTATCTTAGCTGTTCAAATGACGGAGTGCCAAGACCATATGAAAACGCCGCACGCGTCCCCGGATTCAATTCCTCTACACACCCACCTACTTTTTCTTACCTCTTTACCCACACCAACTCATCAAACTTCTCATATGTCAGCTCGAGATGACTGATTACTCCTCGTGGAAGGTCCCCGATCTAAAGGCAGAGCTGAAGACTCGCGGCATCCCTCAGACTGGCTTGCGCCTTAAGCAACAAATCATCGACAAGCTAGTCGAGGAGGATGGCAAGGCGCAACCTGAGGGAGGTGCCGTCGCTCCCTCTGAACCTGAGCCAGAGTCTCAATCAGAGACCGAGGTAGGGTCTGAGGCTCCGCAGGAACATGTCCCAGATACTGCCTCTCCAGCGCAAGAATCGCAATCTGAACACTCGGCCGAAGAGCCTCAGAAAGAGGAACCTGCACCCCAAGAAGAACCCGCTCAACCCATCCCTACGCACGACGAAGAAAAGCGCGAGAATGATACAGCCCCGGAGCCCAAAGTGTCTGTCGACGAGGCGATAAAGGAAGAGGACAAGCCAACCCAAGACGTGGAAATGGCCGAAGCTGCAGCGCCCGAGGAAACGGCAAAGGAGGAGGACAAGCCAACTGAGGATGTGAAAGTGACGGAAGCTGCAGTGCCCGAGGAGTTGGCAGAGGACGAGAAGAAGCCAATTTTGGACACGGAGATGACCGACGCTGCAGTGATCGGTGATGGAGAGCTGTTGAAACCGGCTGAACAGGCTCCTGCGGATATTTCTGAGCCCACAAAACCCGTTGCGCCTTCCCTCGTTGAGCCTTCAGCGCCTGTTCTTCCCCAGACATCCGAGGCGAATACCGGATTCTCCACACCTCTTCCCATTGAAGAGGCGTTGGAAGACAAACGCACGCGCAAGCGTCGCAGCCAGAGCCCCGTGCCTACCCCGGAAACCATGGCACACAAGAAAGCTCGAACAGAAAAAAGTAGTCCCGGGGCTGAAGATCTTTCTACTCAGGACAAAGAAACCTTGGAATCTATTGCAGAGGAACAGAGTGCGTCTACAGTTAAGCCCACGGCCAGGCAAGCTCCATCTGGTCCGGCAAAAGATGCTCGCTTCCGAGGTCTTTTTGCTCCTACCCGTGCAGCGCCCGCCCAAGTATCTCCGCCAGTTGGGGATATTACAATGGAAGATGCGGAAGTCGAACCAGCTTTACACCCCGCGACTGCTGCTCTCTACATTGATGGGTTGATGCGCCCGATGCAGCCACAGGCACTCCGAAAGCACTTGGTCAGTCTCGCAACGGCACCTGGTTCCGAGCCCAACCCGGCTGTCATCCAAGACTTCTTCCTCGACGCTATCAAAACCCACTGCTTTGCAGCATTCATTGACTTGGCCTCCGCATCGCGAGTTCGCGCTGCTATTCACAACACGACCTGGCCGAACGAGCGTAACCGCAAAACTCTCCGGGCCGACTTCATCCCCGAAGATCGGGTTAAAGAATGGATTCAAACAGAGGAAGCATCCCGCAGCCGGGAAGGCCCGCCTGTCCGCTGGGAGGTGCGATATGAGTCTAGTGAGGGTAACGAGGGAATGTCTGCAATTCTTGCGGAATCAGACGGGCTCCACCCGCGCGCTGCACCACCGCGACCCCGGGAGGCTGGTTTCAACAGAACCCCACCTTTGGGCCCACGCGGCAGTGTTGCGCAGACGGATCGCCGGCAGTCCAATGCTCCCCCTGCACCTCAATCGCAACCTGGACAAGGCTTCAAACCTTTGGACGAACTTTTTGAATCTACCACCACGAAACCCAAGCTTTACTACCAGCGGGTTCCTCGTAAGGTTGCCGACAAGCGTTTGGATCAGTTTGATGAGTTGTTGAGCAAGGGTTCGTTCCCACGCCGTGGGGGTGATGAAACACGCCGCATTACTTTTGAAGATGATGATCGCTTTGTGGACATTGGACCTGAATACGGCGCTAGAACTATGCAGCGACGTCAGGGACGAGGACGTCCTGGAGGTGGTCGACGAGGCCGTGATCACCGTGACAACTGATGTAAAAGAAAAAAGAAAAAAACCCCCCCCCCAAATAACGCAAAAAAGCAGAAGATCTTCCAAAATCTACCCCCCTTGTATGATACCTCTCATGTATTAGTGAATGACTAGTTATTATCTTATTTTTCTTATTTTTTTGGTTGTCTTGAAATGTAAAGATTCTTACATTCGTTGAATGTTTATACTATGGAGAAGCCAAGACCCAAGCCAAAAATAGCAGAGATCAGGCACAACCATTAAATATTCAATCCGATCGGCAAAATGTCACACGTTTTATCTTTGCTTAGCTGTTTCTGGGGCTGTCAGCCACACCTGTCTTTTATTCGCCCGAAATTTAAATATTCTGAAACTGTCCTTTCTCCTTTTTTTAATATCGCGCCTAGCTGTTACATTCCCTTGTTGATCTCAACCCAGATCAGATAAACGGGGCAAAAAAGAAGTCCGCCGTCCTCCGATCAACATCCCCCCTTTCAACAAACCATCCCACCTGTCACTGTCGCAACCGGCACACACCAGCCAGAATGGGCTGGACTGTGTGTAATGCCACCGAGGAGCATGAAAAGAGTACGAACACGCGGCCCCACTGCTCAAAGGAACGACGAAGCGCTGACCCGATTCGCGTCTAAACAGTCTCCGAAACCGCCCTCTGGGATGGCGGCGTCACATTTCACAACCTGAGCTTGATCGTGGGTGGTGTATGCGCCTTGCTCGCATGCATCGTCTCCATCATCCTGATCATGGCTCATGCCATGCACTACAGCAAAGCTATCGAGCAGCGCCAGTAAGTCACTTGGCCGGAACCCTGCGGAAATCAGCGGTACTCTTGGACTTGGAATGCTTCAACTACTGACCGAGTGGTGCTCTCTGTGTCCTTACAGTATTATCCGAATCCTATGGATGGTTCCTATATACTCGATCGTCGCGTGGCTCAGCATCCTATTCTATAACGATTCCGTCTACTTCGAGGTTATGGGAGATTGTTACGAGGCTTTCGCGATTGCCTCCTTCTTCTCCCTCTTGTGCTCCTACATCGCTCCTGACCTGCATAGCCAGAAGGACTACTTCCGGGGGATTCAGCCTAAGCCGTGGCTCTGGCCGTTGAGTTGGTTTCAGAAGTGGACATGCTGTGGCGCAAATCGTGGGGCGTGGCGGAACCCGCGTAGCGGCTTGACGTGGTTCAATGTAAGCGGGTTTTATGGCATTCGCGAAAAAGAAGTGTTCTGGGTGCTTGATGCTAACGATGCGATCTTGTTGACTCTAGGTGATCTGGGCCGGTGTATTTCAGTACTGTTTGATGCGCGTACTCATGACCATTGTCGCGGTTTCAACTCAAGCTACCGGTAGATACTGTGAAGAATCGCTCAGTCCTGCTTTTGCGTATATCTGGGTTCTAGTCATTGAGTCTGTCAGTGTGTCCATTGCGATGTACTGTCTAATTCAGTTCTACATCCAGATCAAGGATGACATCAAGGAACACAATCCCTTCTTGAAAATCCTCTCGATCAAGCTTGTTATCTTCTTGTCTTTCTGGCAATCGGTATGCGCATTCAGCCCTTGGATATGTCTTGGCTCTATTCTAACTGTCTTCATCTTTCAGGAAATGATTAGTTTACTTATGTCTAGTGGCGCTGTCAAAGCATCTTCGAAGATCAATTCGATAGATCTCAAGTACAGTCTACCAGAGTTGTTGATCAACATTGAAATGTTCATCTTCGCCATCTTGCATTTGTGGGCTTTCCCAAAGAAACCCTATGTCATTGCCAGCCAGGGAGCCGAGGTGACCGATTTCTACGGTGCAGGAAAGGAGTCTTACGGAGGAGGGAAGTGGGGCTTCGGGGCCCTAGGCGACGCAATGAACCCACTCGACTTAATAAAAGCAATCGGGCGCAGTGCACGCTGGCTGGTTGTCGGCCGCAAGAACCGCACACTGGATCCCAGTTACCACGCATCCCCGGGCTCGAACGGCTCGAACGGCTCGAACGACATCGGTCTGCAACCCCCGCAATCAGGAGTCGTCCCACAGGGAACCGCCTACCAGGGCGCTGCAGCCATGGCTGGTGGCCGAACGGGCCGCTACCCTGGCTCACCACCGGACGAAGAGGGCGCCGTGCTTCTTGCTCACGCCCAAGCAAATCCGGAGGTCGGTCCTCACGGCACTTCGCCTTATGCCTCGGACGCCGAGGAGTATCTCGCTGGACAATCCGGAAGCCGTTTCTATGGCCATGATAGTTCCCCTTCGCCCTATTTCCCGCCTGAGATCCCGGACACGGTTTATCACGGCAACGCTTATGACCCCCACCCTGAAGTTTCGAACCCTTATGCTACTATGCCCAATCCTTATCCAGTCGATGGCCCCCTTCGTGAGCAAATCCCCATGCCTATCCCGGATCCATACCGACCTCCACCACCATATCCGGAAAGCCATCATGCACCATAACTTCGGTGCATTCGTGATCATTCCTTCATGTGATGTCTGATTCGTCGTTGTGACCCGAGCCCAAAAAAAAAGAACTCAGCCATATTATCCATCTCCACGCTACCCATGAGCAGCTCTTGATTTCCAGTTTGATGTTTCGTTTTTCTTCTTCTTCTTCTTTTCTTCTTGATTGTTTTCCCCATTTGGATATGAATACCCGCCACTTTTTCCGTTGGCATGTCATCTTTCCGCACATTTCTCTTCTTATGCAGTCATTGATGGCCATGGCTTGCATCCCATTTATTTCAATTGTTGATACACTCAACAGCACTTGTACAGTAGACTACTATGAATTGAAGAACTGTTATGTCTATTTCTACCTATAATCTACTAGTTGTCTGAAGTGCTCGGCTTTAGAAAGGAAAGAAAACTACATGAACCACGTTAATTGTCATTATCTCGTCTAAAGGCCTTGTGGAATAAGCATATGCTCAAAACGCCACGAAAAAAAGAAAGCAAAAAGCAAAACCAAAAAAAAAGGCAAGATAAGAGTATTGCGGCAATATGATTTGATACTTGGCCGACTTGAAATCAACATACATCATCCCATATTCGTAAGCAATTCTCGTAAGCTCGTATGGAACAACTTAAGGATAGAATCCAGAAGCTTCTGCCTCGGCATTGGGATGGAACTTCCTCGAATAAAGTTCATCTTCAAAGCGTGTTGCTATGGGATTGGCACTCTTCCGTGCGTTATTTGTCTGACGTGCAGCTTGCACCATGGCAGATTTCCGGCCAAGTTCGCGCATAGACTTGACAGTCTCGCCAATCCGTCCAAGCAAAGAAGCGAGGAGGACATCATTGTTTTGAGAGACGACTTCTTCGGCGAAGGTGCTTTGTTCGGAGGGGGCCAGGATAGCGAGGTGCGAGAGGAGGGAGTTGACCTCGCGAAGAATTGGATGAGACCATGTTGCTGATTGAGAGGGGTCTGCAGAGTCTGAAATCGGAGAGACGCTGGAGACGTATGATTTAATGAGGGCAATACGAGATTCTAGAATTCGGACTGCATTGAGGCGGGTGGTCAAACTTGCGATTACTGTAGAAGGGAGAACACAGATCAGAATTGTTTATAGAAGGGGGATGGATCAACCAATCATTAGAAGGAATGGGAGTATGATGCGATTGATATACTTACACTCTTCCTCTTCCTGGGTCAATTTGGCGGCGGCTGCCTCATTCCCCTTGCCCTGCTCAGTGAGCAGGTCTGCAGATTTCAATTTTGAATCACTTTGCTTGCTCGACTGTGTGTCTGCCATTGCAGCAGTCCCAGAGCTTTGGACAATAGTATTAACACCAACCATCTCAGCTTCGCCGGTATCGACGGAATATTCTAGTTCGCGGAACCGCAAGCTGGGCGCTTCCTGGCCGTCAATATCCATGTCCTTGGTAGCATCATTGGTGTTTTCGTCTTCCAATACACTCTCATAAATGGTTAATGGAAGTCTGCCGTTATGTGCTTCAGATGCTTGCAGCTGTGAGGGGTGGAAAGCTAGGAAGATGGCGGATTCATTATAGTTCTGTAGAAGCTGGCGGTGGAGGGGTACGTGTGAGGCGTCGGGACCGGTCGATGGAGCTGTGGACCACCATCCCACTATTTCAAGGGGTGGGTCTTTGTGCACGTCCTTAACTGTTGAATTGGTAAGTGATATAGCTCAAAATATAGCCAGATGCGGGGAGGGGTAGACTGACATTGTTGTAGTCGCTGATCAAACCATGGGACAGGCAGTATCATTTCACCATCCGGTCCGGCTGTAACTGGGCATTCAAAGGCATGCTCTAGTGTGATCTCTTGACCATTCTGCTGGCCTAGAAGAGCACCCAGAACTGGGCCTTGCTGCTGGCGAGCGATATGACGTGTAAGATGATCGGAGATAGTGAGGAGGACAAGCGGGTGAAGCTGGACGAAGCGACCAGAGTCGGACAGCCTCTGGGAGACCAGATAAGGGGAATCCATGCTTAAAATCTCTTGCAAGGTTGCAAAGAGCGAAAGATGTTGCTGTGTCGAAGTGACGGGCTGTAGCTGAAATGCGGTCAGTTTGGATTGGCAGAATGTATAATGTACACCTGAGGCCACAATACAAACAGCTTTCCCCGCTGATTTCGGGTTTCTAGATCTCTTTTGAGGAACCTAACCTTCACAAGGCTTTCGTATAATGGCGATTCCATCTACCTTCGATGCGGTAAAGGCGCACCTTAACGATATTCAGAGAGACCCATCCACATCGCTTGATATTTCTCTTATCGAGCGCCTTAAACTCCAGCTCGTCGAGAATACCGCTCCAACCGTCCCCGCGACGCTCTTATCGCAGATTTCAGCTCTCTTGCATATCCTCCAAGAAGACCCCACACCTCTCACGACTCTTGCCACCAGAGCGACCAGCTACTTCAGCTTTACTGAGCTTCGCGCCATCGAACCTCCCATTGATCTTATCGCCGGCTTCAAAGCACCCTCCCCACCCATCAACCTTCTTGCTCTCTCTTTGCTGGCCAAAGCAGGGCTGGCATCTGGCGATGCTGCCATAGTAGCAGGAGATTCAGGACTGATCGCGTCACTGGTGGAATTGTGGCTGTCAACTTCTTCAACTGGGGTTGCGCAAGCCGCCCTTGATACTCTGTGGGCTCTGCTGGAAGTCGATTTGGCTAACCACCTTGAGAACGGGGAAGAAGATCTCACCAGTGATGAAGGACATACAGGCCAGGGCCTTATGTGGAGAAGAGTTTTCAAGGATAAAGACGTTTATGGGCTTTTCTTTGGCTTGTGTAGCCTCCAGGCAGGTGCACCAGGAGAATTGTCCAAGCGAGAGCGCACCGTGGCTCAGGGGAGATTGATGGGATTTCTGGTTAAAGCTGGCAGTCTACGCTGGGACATCATCTCAAAGTCACAAATCTCTGAGGTGGAGACTCAGTATCAGAGCACCAGTCTTCTCCATTTCGCGGCCTGTCAAATGGTCGATGTGAGTGATGTCTTGTTGCATATGACACTTTTAACCTTCTACCGAGAACTTCTGGAAATCGACGCCCCCGGTCTCGTTGCTCGGAGCTACGTGCAGTCCGCATCAACTTTTTCGTCTCCAGCACTTGACTTTTTGATCGCAGAAAAGCTTCACTCGAAGGTGCTGGAATATTATCTGGACGACTCCAAGCTTGACCCTGTGGACCTCATTTACCTCCCAGGCCCTATTATGGCCTATGTCACAAGATATGCCGAGTCATATCCTAACCATCTCCTTCAAAACCCCTTCACTCTTTTAGATGGTATAATTTCGCGCATTCGCCAGGCACTGGCTATTCCCTCGGTTCAGTGGGCGCACGGAGAAGTGCCAACGGGACACCTGGCTATCCTCGCCTCACTGCCCCGAGTGTTACTTATTGAAGCGGGCAAGCACGGCGCCAATCCTATTTTGGCTATACCTACTAGCCCTACGAACGGAGAGGCCCTTGATGTTCTGGGCAAAATTTTCCGCGGGCCGGTACACACTGTGGTTTCTGATTCTATGGATCTCAATACATCGGGCCAAACGCCTACAGACTGGCACCACGAAGCTGCTGCCGCACGCATGCTGTACTTCATTTATCTCAACGAACATCCCAACTTCTGGAATGATATTACTGCCGCAGCCGACGTTCTTGTAATGAAGGATGTTGCATTGTCTGCTATCACCTTCATGCGGTCCATAGTCTCCGCTAACTGGCAGCCATTGCCTCCAGCCACTCATGTTTCTGGCATCTCGTCTCGGTTCCAACTACCATCCGAAGAGGGGCTAGGACAATTGTCTCCGGCTACCAGTGGTCTACTTCCTCTTTCTGGCCCTTGGGCTGTCATCACACCGCCTGCTCTAACTACATTGCTTCCATATCTCTTCAAGCCGCCTCGCTCCTATAACGAATTCGTAGGTGGCGGTGCTGGTGATTCTCAGAATGCTGTTTGGAAAGTGGCCACTGCCAAGCATGATGTCCTTGTGGCGCTGTATCGTGCTCTTCAGGAAAATGGGGGACAAATGGAAGGATTTGAAGATATCCTACGAACTCTGCGTCAACGAGTGAACGAGGGTCCTATGGGCCCAGTTCAGCAGACCTCTGCTCAAGTGGAGGCTGTTGGTCTTTGAAATTAAAATACCAATAGCATGCTCAGACATTAATCATAAATTACTACCCTACTACTTATGTTCAATTGATTTTTAAGAAAGTATCGATCAAACTGATCGACAAGCCGCAGATGTTTATCTTAGCGCGGGGAAATTTAACTAGTGAAGCCCTAATTGCAGCTCGGGCCATTTCACGTTCCGGATATGCGGGCGGTGAAGACTGTGAACGTTATTTTTCGTCGGAGTCAAGCAACTTTCTCCAACACATCCCGTATGGCACCGTGACGGAGATTGGGGCTCTTACGACAATCAATTAATATATATACTGGCTGTGTGTGACTATGTCGCGTTTTAATAAGAATAAACGCCAGCCCGGCGCTGAATTCACTTGGGATGCAGACCCTGGCGGTGTACCTGACACAGCTCCTACTCCCCTCTACCCAGTATGATTTACCCCCGTCGCAGCTTCTTTCTTTCTTCATATTCTCTTTTCTTCAAATGCTTTCATCATGCTGCAAAATCTTACCGAATACACGCAGGCATTTACCGTCCCATGGGCCCGCAAGCTCTCAGCTAAAGAACAAAATGAGGTCGACCATTATCGTACCCTTCGCGAACGCGACCAAGAAGGACCCCACTACTCAGTCCTAGACTCATCTTCCTCCTCGGCCAAAAAGGGCAGTGCCGCGCGAGTGAATTTTGATCCTTTCACCGGCATGCCTTCTTACTCCGGACGATACCAGAAGAAACGACGAATGCTACCACAGATTGAGCCTACTGGGCGGCCATATGAATACAGTATGTGTGCAAAGAAAGCTTGCGCTGGTATAAGTGCGCGGGATACGGACTCTGGTTTCTAATTAGTTTGTTCTACAGTTATGAAATATTTCCCTCGTGAACTTTGGCAAACCATTCAACCCACTTTCCGACCAGATGTTGACTTGGATGGATACAAGCCCATGGCGGGCTCCAGCGGTATGAAGCGTGGTTTTGAAGACGATGAAGATGATGGAGACGACGATACAAAGAAGAAGCGTGAAGCCGGCGATGGAGATGAGGAAGGAGATGGCGAGGGCGAAGAGGGTGATCTGCTTGACGAGGAAGAAGGTCAAGAGGAGTGGGAGGAGGAGAATGACTTTGAAGATGACGAAGATGAAATGGGTGGTGATTACAATGCGGAGCAGTACTTCGATGGTGGTGACGATGATTATGGCGATGATGATGGCGGAGATGGCGGTGGTGAGGACGTGCTTTGAAAGGTCGATCTACGATACCCTTTGCTTGCTTTTTTCATGATCGGCTCAAGTTTGAGCACCCGTGTTTCTGGGTTTATTGCATTTGAGCGTCGGTGCAGTGGATTTTTAGTCCATCCAGTCTGCACTTTGAATAAAAGGACTCTTACCATTCTCTGGGTTTTTTGCCAATTCTTCTAGCGATGACTGCTACATACTACTATGTATGTATGGACATTGATTCAATGTTGATGTGTGCGGCGTCTGCTATACATACTAGTACATAGACTATGGTGTGCATTATCTTTGGAACCTAGGTCTTGCTATTAACCTTGGACCCATCTAAGATTGGCTCAAGTGTTATCTTGACTCGAAAGTCGGGTTTCCCAGGTTCCGATTGAGTTTCCCTATGCATGAAGCTTTGGGTACAGGTGCTTAGTACTGCCAAGTGCTGCTAGTATCCTTGCCGCTCCAAGGTTCCTTATTGCCATGCTACCATTCAGTGAAGCTTCATTTTGCATGATGAATCATGTTTAATGTTCAATTTCAACAAACAATATCCTAAAGGGCTCAAAATATAAATTTTACCGACCCAGATTTCATAATGATGGCATCTTTCAGAGTACAAGAATAGAGGTACCTGATTTCATAGTGTAGTTTTATAGATCGCATAGTGAGAAAGCCGATGCGATCTCGGCATGGATGACGTCAGCCGAACCAGCGGCCCCGCGTCGAATTTTGGGCCTTTGGAGGGGCAGACGAACGACAAACATAGACACGCCCCAGAAACAAGAATGGAGGACTCACAGAGACCGGACCGAGAGAGGTCGGTGCTCATTCTCTATGGCTCTGAGACAGGCAATGCGCAAGAAGTTGCGGAGGAATTGGGAGCAGTGACCGAGCGATTGCGCTTCGTGACGCATGTGTCCGAAATGAATCAGGTGAAGCCGGTGAGTGCAATTGGGCTACGCTGTGGGATTTTCGGTGATAGCAAGGGCAGTTGCTAAGATATGTGTATCTATAGGAAACATTGTCTTCATATACCCTTACAATTTTTGTTGTTTCGACCACCGGTCAAGGCGATTTGCCGGCGAATGCGAGGACGTTTTGGAAGTCATTGCTGCTTAAGAAACTTTCACCTACGTTTCTCAATGGTGTGAACTTTGCGTCTTTTGGTCTGGGCGATAGTTCGTATCCAAAGTAGGTCCCGGCTTACATCGAATGGCCTCCCACGGTGACTCAATACTTACTACATATTCAGGTTCAATTGGGCTGTACGAAAGCTCTATAAGCGCCTGTTACAGTTGGGCGCAAATGATATCTATCCTACGGGCGAGGCAGATCAACAACATCCCGAAGGTCTTGAAGGCACCTTTCTTCCATGGGTAGCCGATTTCCGCAAGAATTTACTAGATCGACACCCTCTACCTCCTGGACAGCATCCAATCCCAGATAACGTTCAGCTACCGCCGAAATGGATCTTGCAACTGAAGGAAGTGAACACCTCTGGCTCATCCCCGCAGTCTCTATCTGCAGACGCTATTACCCAAACTGATGAATACCCTGGTTTAACAAATCTTAATTATGATATTCGCCCACTCCCAGATACTCTCACCGCAACTCTAGATGAGAATCGACGTGTCACTCCACAAAATCATTGGCAAGATGTTCGTCGCATCTCGCTTACAGTTCCGGAATCAGTCTCATATGCACCGGGCGATATGATCGCTATCACGCCCAAAACGTCACCAACCGATGTACAAACCCTTCTCGACCTGACAGGCTGGAAAGATGTTGCCGATAAACCAATTGCTCTTGTTCCCGCCGAGGATACATCATCGCCATCACCGATTCCCGGTCTTGACTCATATCCTAATCTGACCCTTCGCGCACTTCTCACAGACTACTTGGATCTTAAAGCAATTCCCCGCAGGTCCTTCTTTTCCACCATTGCACACTACACGAATGACGAATTGCAAAAAGAACGTCTCTTAGAATTCACGAACCCAGAATATCTCGATGAACTATGGGATTACACCTCGCGACCCCGAAGAAGCATTCTCGAAGTCCTGCATGAATTCGACACGGTAAAAATTCCTTGGCAGCACGTAGTTTCCGTACTTCCGGTCATGCGTGCACGCCAATTTAGCATCGCTAGTGGTGGCGCACGAAAGCGAACAGCAGATGGAAAGACGCAATTCGAGCTTCTCATCGCTATCGTCAAGTACCAAACCATTATCAAGCGGATCCGCGAAGGTGTTTGCACCCGATACCTGTCCACACTCCGACCAGGTAGCACACTCCGAGTACAACTGCAACCTGGTGGACTCAAGTCCTCAATCCAGCAATTGACCGGATCTACCGTTCTTATCGGACCGGGTACAGGCATTGCGCCTCTCCGGTCTATGCTTTGGGAGAAAGCGGCATTGGTCCAGGCCTACCGCGAGCAAAACCCTGGCGTTGAGCCTCCCATCGGACCCACGATTCTCCTCTATGGCGGTCGTAATCGAACTTCGGATTTCTTCTTCTCGGAAGAATGGGACCAACTAAGTCAGCTTATTCCGTTGCAGGTTCTTACTGCCTTCTCGCGTGACCAGCAACAGAAGATCTATGTGCAGGATACAATCCGTCAAAACTTTCCTCTGTTCTTCCGGCTTTTGCATGAACTTCAGGGGTCGGTTTATATATGTGGCTCTTCCGGACGTATGCCTCAAGCCGTGCGGGAGGCATTGATTGAGGCTTTCCAGAATGGAGGTGCGCCTGTGTTGGGGAGACCATACACACGGTCGCAAGCGGAAGAGTACCTGATTGCCATGGAAAAGAGTGGACGATACAAACAGGAGACATGGTGATTTGCAAGATGAAAAAATATAAAAAAAATGAACACATCACGAATTCGGTTTAGCAGGTTCAAAAGTGAATGAACTCGTAACATTTGAAATGCATGTGGCGTATGACATCTGGAACTGGCATGTGCTCTCGGAGATCTAGATCTACACTTCGTATATCTATTCGTCTGCGCGACACCTTGATGCGAAGAATCTTAGATTAAATCAAGCCTAACGAGGTACTGGAAGGTGCAAATACATCACTTAGTATATCCGAGGGCATAACATCTGATATACTAAAATAAAGACCTTTTAAAATCGATAGGCTGTATGGATAGCCTCGGCAGACACGAATGAGAGCATCAGTCGATCAGGGTTATACTCGGGCCGCGTCGGCGTTTTCAAGGGTCTTGGCACTCCGTCACCGCAGTCCTTTCTCCCCAGCTCCAGTCACGACTCACACCTTTCCCCTCAACTTCTCCAGTGATCTCTACCCTAATTGCTCAACACAGCAATTCCACCATGTCTACCGGTCTACGGATATTAGTGCCCGTCAAGCGGGTGATCGACTATGCGGTAAACCTCCCCCAGCAAACCCAGCTTCTCGGTAGTCCGAACCACAAACCTTGAATTTCACCGTCGCCTACACTCGTCCGCCTTGAAGGTGTAAAATGGCATGAGCGAAACACAACAACAAACATAGAGAGAAAAATGCAACAATAAAACAAATTAAGAAACACCACTGACACAACCCTCTTCGAACCCTACAGATCAAGCCCCGCATCAACAAGGCCAAAACCGGCGTCGAAACCACCGGCGTCAAGCACTCCATGAACCCATTCGATGAGCTCTCAATCGAAGAAGCCGTCCGCCTCCGCGAGCGCAAGGACTCCCCCATCAAGGTCGAGAACATCCTCGCTCTCTCCGCCGGTGGCCCCAAGACCCCCGACGTCCTCCGCACAGCAATGGCCATGGGCGCCGACCGCGCATTCCACATCGACGTCCCCGAGTCCGGAGATGGTGGCCCCGAGCCACTGACGATCGCCAAGCTCCTGCGCGGCGTCGTGGAGAAGGAGAACATCAACCTCGTGCTGCTGGGTAAGCAGGCGATCGACGGCGACCAGGGCCAGACGGGACAGATGCTCGCTGGACTACTTGGGTGGCCGCAGGCGAACCAGGCCAGCAAGGTCGAGTTTAAGGATGCGGATGGCACTGTTGAGGTTACACATGAAGTTGATGGGGGTGTGGAGACTTTGCGGGCGAAGTTGCCTATGGTCATTACTACTGATTTGCGGTTGAATGAGCCTCGGTACGCTAGTTTGCCGAATATTATGAAGGCCAAGAAGAAGTCGTTGGAGAAGAAGACGTTGGCCGATTTCGGCGTGGAGGATACCCGTCGTTTGAAGACTCTTAATGTTATTGGTATGTCAAGAAACCCTTTTTTTTTCTTGCTTTGATTGAGATTGTGGCTAACTTTTCTCGATTTTACAGAGCCCCCGCCACGCAAGGGTGGTGGCAAGGTCGAGGACGTTGATGGTCTTGTTTCCAAGCTGAAGGAGCTGGGTGCCCTCTAAATTATAGGTGCGCGCCTTAGGCGATGCCTATGATTTTGTATTGTCTCTATACCATCTGTTATGCTGCTAGACTTGTTTCTTCTTTTTCAAAACATTCTTATTATTCATCATGTATCAACCTGGCATTGATCCTCTAGTATGTATAAAGCTCTGTCAACTAAATAACTAATAGTGTTGTCGGCCATACCTCTGCAAGTCAAGGTCCACCCGTAGAGAGGGAGAGAGAAAGAGTGGCCAAGGTGCCACACCACTTGCAAATAATTCCACACCATTTTTTGAAATTTTGGAGAACTATGCGCGGGCTCTGACGCCAAGGCCAGTCCTGACTGGTCTATCTCCCCCGCCCCCAAGGAAATTTGCGTGCAAGTAATTACATACTAAGACAACCATGCAACCTTATACCAATAATTCAGCAATATGACCACCATTTGCCTTGTCACTTCCCCTCCTTCAACCCACCCAATATTTCGGCAAATGAGCAGCACCGTTCGAATTTCATTGACTTCACTCGCATCCTTTCTCTTTTCTACCGCTGTGACTCTTGTAGCGTAGTGCCTACTCTCCAATCAATCCACAATCACAATGCCGTCCTTCCCTCACGCCTGGAAAGCTGGTAGCCCACCTCCTGGGGTGGGCAGTAGCTCCAGGAGTATCCCGCTTTTCAACGCGCTGACAGCGACAGCTCATGAGCTCCAGGCCTTGATGATATCTGGCACACTCAAAAGCACAGATCTTGTCGAGGAGTACATCTGGAGGATTGAGAATCATAATTCCTATTTAAACGCTATATTCGAATACTCGCCCACTGCTATGCAACGGGCGGCGGATATGGACTCGGCTCGACAAAATGGAGAGTTTTTAGGCCCTTTGCATGGCATTCCCATTGTGCTCAAGGTGCGTTTGTTCAATTATATGCTCCTATGATTGGTTACAGTTCGATTTCTCACATTAAGCTGTAGGACAACATGGCAACCGACGATTCTCTGGGCATGAACACGACAGCCGGAGCCTCTTCTCTATGGGGATCAACACCCTCAAAGAATGCAGCGATAGTAAACCGAGTGAGCCGTTCCTTTACATTGCTGGATACCGCAGGGCCACTTGCAAAAGATGTTCTTGATGTAGCAGACTTACTCACTATTCTTGTAGACTGCGATATGACAACAGTTCCGGACGGAGGATACAGATCGGCTTTGGGGGGGGGGGGGGGGGGGGTCTTGGTCCGATTTGAGAGTAGGAACTTTGGACGTGGAAAGTTGGCTCTATCCCGATGTGCTGGTTAAATCTAGTACCCCCGAGGCAACTGAGCAGATGGTGCGTATGAGGCTCCGAGTTACCTTTTACATGCTAATGAGCTGTAGATAAGAGATAAGAGAGACAAGAGAGGCATATTGCCGGATTGCGAAACTTGCAGGTTCATATCATGAAAATGTGGATCTTCGTAGTGCAGCAGACTTTGTGATGGATGACGGAACGCACTCGATCTCCGCCATATTTCGTAAGTCTGTAGGATTTGGCTTCACTTGCGGAGTCACTGACCCCGATAGATGTGGAGTTCAAGGATGATCTTGCCAATTATCTCTCGACACTGAAAAATTCCAATATACGAAGCTTACAAGAAATGGTCGATTGGAATTCAGCCAACCCAAGCGAGGGCCTTCCGGAGGGTGAGGCTCTGTTTCGGAGGTGACAGGCAATATCATTAGTACTAACACACCTTCTAGAATATCCGAGTCAGTCTTCTTTGATTACGTCTCTGACGACAAATTACTCCGACGAGAAAGTAGAAAGCATTCAAAAGCACTACCGTGAGGTTGGCTCCAGTTTTGAGGATACACTCAAGAAATATGACATAGACGTCATTATTGGGCCCGGCGACTCGTTTTTTACAACATTCGCAGCTGCGAATGGATGCCCAGTGGCCGCCATGCCCCTATCCTCCCTGGATTTCAACGGTCGGCCTTTTGGGCTCATGGCAATGGCACGTCCCCATGAAGAGGCTTTGCTGTTGAGAGTAATGAGTGCATTTGAGTCAAGTTTTTCCAGCAGGCAGATACCGAAGGCCTTTCTATCCCCGGGAAGCTCGATCATGGATTTGAAATCTAAGGTCAATGTTCAATGTTTAGGCACCCACAAGACTTTTGAGTAGCTCCCGATTCCTACCTAGTAATTCCATGGTCACCTATAGTTTGAAGATGGCAGGGGAATGAAGTGCTGATTTGAATACTTAAGTGGGGCACTAGGTTGGAAAATCAATTGATTCTCTTTAAGAATTTTTAGGTATCAAAGCTTATATGTTTGTAAAAGAACATTGAACATAATCTAAGAGTATAATTCAGAAAATATGCAAGTGCACAACTAGGTGGCAGGTATTGATGATGATGAAGCTATTCCGAGAGAATATCATCGGTTATTCAAATGTTCTTAGTTCGGGCATACCCGAGCCAACAGAGGAATATGATTGGACAAGAACAAAGATGAATTTTGATCTGTGTTTAATAGGAGGACATTTGAATACGAATTATGGGAAATAAGATTTGAAGCGTGTAAAGAGAGTTTGAATAAGCAAGGGATATTTGTTTTATTCGTAGATGTATGTATAATGTATCTATTCCAAACGGCCACAGATTAAAGAGTAAATTTGCCCGATTTCCGGATAAACGGAGCCGAGTGAACCCCACTTGATATGCGTGTGATGGGGTCATGATGGCATGGATTTGTAAGGCGACCGTTAGTAACTTAGAAAGCATTTACTTAGTTCCTCCGTATAGATGGCAAAGAAGAAACAAAAGTAAAAAAACAAATCATTCGGCTTCTCGGAAGAAAACAGAAAAGAAAAATGGCAAATGGAAGCGTACCTGGGAATTGATCCTTCTCGACTGGTCTCGAACGCTGAGATCTATGGAAAGCTTTGATTGCCGAAGGGTTCGGAGTGGGGCGTGATCTATCGTAGACAATATACCCGGGTTCAGCTGGTGTATGACTATTGAGAGACACGGGAAAGAAATTGAATAATTCATGATGCATTATTGAGTTGGGAAGAAGCAAAGCGAAATGGATTTAGGGAAAAGAAGACGTGCTGGAAGTATTGGTCACTAAGTCAACAGCGCATAGAAAACTAGTAGTTTTCTAGTCACTTACAAGTCCCAGAGTCAATGACGTCTATCTCCGCGCGTTAGTCTGATTTTTTTCTGCAATTTTTTTCTGCATTTTTTTCTGATTTTTTATTTTTTATTTTATTTTATTGTATTTTATTCTCTTCTTTTTACTGGTCACAGGAAGCTGCTGAGTCCGCCACACTTGCCCTTAGCCGTCTTTCCGTCTGACCCGATTACTTGCTTTTTGGGCACATTTGGGGCTTTTGGGAATGACCTGAACTTTGCTATAAGTCGGTGCCTGCGCCAAAAAATCCCCCACGTATGATTCATTGTTCTTCTGATTATCTTCAACAATCCCTTAGTATTCATAGATTTCTCTGGATTGTTTTCATTCGGATTTGTAAGTTTGGAACTCTTCGCCTCCGATGTTTTATGTTTTGGGTTATACACATTCCAGACGTTTCGCAAGATCGCCACAGCATCATCTCCCCCACATGTGCAACTCGTTGAACATGACCTTTGCTCAGAGCTTACCCCGTGGAACTCTCATCTTCTTTACCATCCTTGCAGCCCTATAATCTATATTAACAGGATCCATTCCCAGACTATCCTCGTTGGACAACATCCTTGACACTTAGATCCCGAACATTCCTCCCCGCATTCTCCTCAGTGGCGCAGATCTCTCCGGATTCTTGTCAAATCCTCCGATCAGTGCTCGCTGTGTGCATTCCGCATCGCAAGAAGAAGCATACCAGCGATTCCCATGCTCTGTTTGCAGCGCAACTGCCGCGTTTCAGATAAGTCATAGATCGCGTATCTGCGCCTTAAGAAAAGAGCAAAAAAAGTGTTGCGCGCTCCCGTGAAAAACTTATAACCGTCATTTTTTTAAGTTTTTTTCTATTCTATTTTTTTTATCTTTCGAATTTCTGCCATTTTGCTTCGCGCATACTTCACTCTGGTCTAAGTACCACACATTCCAGCCATCATGTCTGAATCGACCTGGGAAAAAACAAAACGATTCTCTAAAAAGGGCTTCGATAAAACATGGGCTACAGTCGACAAGCTCGGCGCACCCGTCAATCGCCTCTCCAATAAACTCGGCGCAGAAGCCTTTTGGCCCATGACCATCGATAAGGAAAGCGACAAGGCTGCGCGCATCTTGCGCAGTTTCTGCAAGGATGGTTTCTATGCGCCCGAGACTGGAGATGGACTCGACGACAGTGGAAAGATCAATCGCCCCAAAGGCAAGCAAAAGGTTATAAAAAAGATTCCCTCGCAGGTCATCAAGAACGCCAAGGGTATTGCCATCTTCACCACCATGCGAACCGGCCTTTGGGTGAGTGGTTCGGGTGGCAGTGGTGTTTTGCTGGCTAAGATCGCCGAGACGGGCGAATGGAGCCCTCCATCCGGTATCATGCTGCACACCGCTGGCATTGGCTTCTTGGCCGGTGTCGATATCTACGACTGCGTCGTCATTATAAACACATACGAAGCCCTCGATGCCTTCAAGAAGCTGCGCTGCACCCTCGGTGGCGAAGTCAGCGTGGCGGTCGGTCCCGTCGGAATGGGCGGCGTGCTCGACTCCGAGGTACACAAGCGTCAGGCCCCGATCTGGACCTACATGAAGAGCAAAGGTCTTTACGCAGGCGTAGCCGTCGATGGTACAATCATTATCGAGCGAACCGACGAGAACGAACGCTTCTACGGCGAGCGCATCTCCGTCACCGACATCCTCGCCGGCAAGGCCCGCTACCCGCCCGAGTCCATCAACACCCTCATCCAAACCCTCAAAGCTGCCCAAGGAGACCGCGACGTAGATGAAAGCCTGGTCCTGCCTCCCGGTGAGACGCCCGGCGATATCGAGCTCAACGACGGCCATGCCTTTGGCGTCCCGTCGGCTGAGGATCCGGACCCCTACGGAGTGAAAGCGTTGGAGGCTGAGGGCTTGTTTATTCGGGAGGCCAGCACTAAGGTGAGGCCAAGCCCCGACACCTTTGAGTTCCGGCCCAATCCGGGTAGTCCGGTCTATGCGACTTTCGCTCGGCGCAGCCTTGATAGCTCGCCGCGGAATAGCTGGCGCGCGAGTATGCAGAGCTATTCTAGCGTCAACCGCGGGACTCAAACGGATAATAGCACGCAGACGGATATCCTTCCGCTAACCACACCCCCATCAGTAAGCCGAGCGTCTTCGCGGAGTGCGAGGGATTCGACGGGTGTTTCGGCTTCGAGCCTGTGGGGCGAGTCGAGATGGGATGCTGTGCCGATTAATTGTGAAAAGGAGGGGAAGGTTGAGGAGGAAGATAACCATCTGCTGGATGCAAAGAGACTCATTGCACAAGCTGAGAATGATTATCATGAGAGTGAGAATGAGACTAGTAAGATTGACCATGACCATGACCATGATCATGTAAAGGAAGATGAGGATGAGGACGAGGAGGACCAGCCGATTGACGACGACGAGGACTTCGAGGTCCACGAAGTCAGCAATGCGACCATCACCAAGCAGGAGCGAGCCGTCGAGTCGCCCGTTGAAGAACGTCCCGCTACAGCAGACTCTTCCTCGCGCAGTTCGCCCAACTTCACTCGCGCTCGTCTCGTCACCATCCCCAAACGACCAACCCCACCCGCCCTTCCTCCCCGCCACCCACGACACACATGGGGCTCCGGTTCCAGCCGCGAATCCACCTCACCCACCGCCCTCTCGCATTCAAGTCGCAGCACCGAGCCCACCGAAGCTGCCGGTGACTCCTGTGACCTGACCGAGCCGGTCAGCGGCGCCGCAAGCCTGCCTTCAAACGTGAGCACGCTCCAGACGAACACCGTTCTCCCGCTCGTGATCGACGAAGACGACTTCGACGAGGAGGACCTCGCCGAGTCCGACTCCGAGCTGCCCACCGAGAAGGAGGAATTCCACTCTGTGAACGGGGATGCCGAGGACGAGGATGCCGAGCCCGCCGAGGAAAAATTGACCAAGGATGTCGAGCCTATGGAGATTGGGACCCTTGAGAACCAGATGGAGGCCCCGTCGCCGAAATCGGGCATCTCGCCTAAGTCCGATATCAACTCTGGAGATCTCTCTCCCAAGTCTGAGGCTAGTTCGGGCACTGAGGTCGAACCCTCTACTCCGGATCTTAAGCTGCATGTCTTGGAGGATGCTGCGGATAAGCACACGGTTCATGAACCCAAGGATGAAGAGTTTGATGTCAACAAGGTTCATACTGAAGACCAGAGCCATGATGTTGTCAATGTTCATTCTCTGAATGCTCAGGCCGCGTAAGCGGTTTGGATGTTCGAGCACTTGGGCTCGCGTTCATTGGTCACGATTTTCTTTCTGTACACATTATACCGGCTAATTGGGTTGGAGTTGGCTTGGATACTATACCCTATTCTCATCTTTGGTTCTCATTCTCATTCTCATGCTCGGCGCTTCGATATCTTCCTTTTTTTTGTTTTCCTTTTTCATTCTCATGGATCGACACAGGCACTCTCTTCTCCCAAAAATGGGCTCATTGGCCAGATTCACCTGTTGCATTTCTAGCGTGTTCCGCATTTCAGCCGACAACCTAATGTCCTTCATATTTGATATTTGACACGACACGATCTGATCTATTTTGGTTTATTTTGTTTGACCTGAAGAAGTCACCACGCACGGCTCTTCCTCCCCTCATTATGTTTATAGATTCAATTCCAACACCCAGACCTGTTCTGAACATTTACATCAAATCCACTCTTCAAAAAATAGCCACCGCATTTGGCGGACTCGCAACTCCCCCAGGAACCTAGACAAATCCCCAAACCACTAATTAGCCAACGCATCCCAAAAATACTAACCAACCAACCAACCAACCTCCCTTCCAAACCTCACACATACCTTAATAGGAACACTCGTCAAAAAGAAAGAATACCTCCCCAACCCCCTCGCCACAACACTCAACTCCTCCAAATCAAACATCTCCCCCAACGGCAATCCCCACCCCGCCAACGCCCACTGATGAACCGAGACATCCGGCCCATTAAACGGCCCGTCAAGCGGCGCCCGCTCAAAACTAGGCGAATCACCCGCAACAGCCGCAAACCTCGATTCCCACAGCCACCGCAACGACTCGCTCGTCGCTTCAAGCCCAAGTAACCCGCCAGGCTGGCGCGAGGGGTACGTTCTTTGCTCGGCTTCCGTGAGGCGGTTGTATGCGTCCGTGAATCCGACGCGGAGGAAGAGGATATCGCCGGTCCGGATCTGGATCCCTTGTTCGCGAATGATCGTTTGGATATCTTGGATTCTGACGCGGCCCGATTCGAGCGGGTGGAGAACTTGGTTGTTGCGCTTGGCCCAGTCGGCGTAGTCGATTAGGATTCCGCGCCCGATTATGCCGCCGTTTTGCGTCCATTCTACATAAGAGAGGTTGGGGTCGTGAGCGGAATTCTGGTCGCGGGTTCGCGGGTTCATTTGAATGGAATGCTTAAGCCTGGCCGAGTGGGATTGGGCGAGGTATCGGGCTGGGAAGTGGGTGTTACTAACGGTCAATTCCTAGGACGCTCTTGTCGTTGAAATCGGCTTGGACGTGGCCGTTGTAGAATCGCCCGGATCGATACGCTACAAGCGCATATGGACCTCATTAGTACAGTATACTGGTATATAAACTTTACCCGTCCAGCATATAGATACAATCCAATCCAAGCAAACTTGAACGCATAAACAAAACCTCGCAAACAGATATCTCACCAAAATGCCGAAACCCATCCCACTGCGAACTACTCTGCGTATTCATATGCACCTCATCATCATTCATCGGCACATCCGCATAATGCACGATCCGATGCTCAAACACCCTGCGCTCATCCGTCGGGCAAGAAGGTCGATCCAGCGGCCAGTCCAGTGAGACCCGGATCCCAGTCTGGATCTCGGTTGCGGCGGCCGCGACGACCTCGGGCGTGAGGTGGTTCAGCATGCCTAGTTGGTCGTTGGCGCCGAATAGGCCCCATGCGTTACCTGGGGGCCCGGACTTGTCGAGGGGGAGTTCTGAGAAGGGGGGCCATTGGGCTGGGAGCATTTTTAAAGCGTGGAGGGGGACGGCTACTTCAATTGGTGCTGGGTTTTTCTGGTGATGATCAGCTAACTGGTAGGGCGTGGGGTTGCTTTTGGTCGGGGGAAAGTGATTACCCTTCAAAATGTTTGGAGTACATGGGATGGTGGACCCTAAGGTTAGCCCCCCGCGCGGGGGGTAAAGGCTTCACATTGAGCCCCACTGTGGCCCGGTGGTGTTGGGATATGGATCGTGGAGGCGTTCAGGGTCTGAATCTGGGGAAGTGGGAAAATCAATTCTATGAGGGCTGCATTTTGCTTCAATGCTACATACTGCTAGGTCTTATCTCGAGTTGGTAAGATGGAGCTGTTCTCTGTTCGGTTTAGCTACTACCTAAGCTAAGGTGGCTAATTGTTTCCCCATGCTTTCTTCACGGCAAAAAGATCATATTTGCGGAATACCGAATACGGACACATGCGTATCGTTAATGCTGGGTATTATAGTAGTAGGTAGCTTTCCTTACTTTCGCTTCGGTGTTCACTGCTCACTCAGCATCCTGCACATGTGACGCGATGCACCTGCTGCAATTGTACCCCTCTTTTCTCCACTTTCTCAAGACCAATGCTCACTAGCCTTAACTGAACCGATGCTGCAAAAAGCAGATAAGCCAGAACTAGACTACATTTAGCTCTTCTGCAACCCTTCGCCTAGTCAAGACCAATCAAATCCATGCTTATCCTATTTTAGCCCAAGTGCTCAATGCACATTGGTCGTGAGATGATAATAAGGCATTTAATAGCGAGCTGTTCACCAGTGGCATTGCTAGAAAACATTGAAGCTCTTGGCAGCTTGTTTCAAGGGGGCTATTGCTCTATTAGTAGATATCTGATCACTACTATCTAGCGCATTAGCCTATGTCCTAGTGATGGTCAGCATTGTCTCTTTATTTTCTTTCTGTCCAAGGGTTCTTTCTTCTCTTTTCAAATTCGCACCTAATTTTCTGATGTCCTTTATTTCCTACTATTGACTGTAGCAAGGCGTCAAAATGGCCAATTTCGTTACGGTGGCTAATTTAGCAAAAGTGGGCATTGCTGCCATTCTGTTCTCACTCGTCAGAATCATCTATCGAGTCTATTTTCACCCGCTCAGTAAAATCCCCGGACCGAAATTAGCAGCTGCAAGCACTGCCTACATTTTCTATTACAATGTAATCAAGGGAGGAGTGTTCATCTGGCATCTTGAGCGACTACATGGAATTTATGGTTAGTATTCAACATTGAAATCAATGCTTTCAAACCCTGCGGCAGGCCCCGAACCTTAACTTAATTGGATCTATGTAGGACCCATTATTCGCATTTCCCCGAGAGAAGTCCACATCAAAGATTCCTCCTACTACGACGATATCTATGCCTCCAGCATGCGAAAGCGGGAAAAGGACTACCCTTCCATACGTTCATTCGAAATTGATGGCGCCTCATTCTCCACCATCTCCGCCGAGGACCACCGTGAACGCCGCGCGCCCTTCGAGAAGTTCTTTTCCAAATCAGCCGTCGCAAAAATGGAACACATCATCCAACAACGCCTGGACAAGCTATGCGGGCACCTCGATCGCGGCTACGAGTCTTACAAAGTCGTCAACTTGGGTGCTGGCTTCGCGGGCATGACTGCAGACATCATTTACCAGTACACTCTCGGCTACGACAGTGGCAATCTTGAAAAGGAAGGCTTCAACGAGCATGTGCGAGACGGAGTCAACGCGCTCTTCAGAGGATACCATGTGACGGTTTTCTTCCCGATCTTGCAGACCATCACCAGATCTCTCCCGCTCTCGGTTCTGAAAAGAATGAACCCTAGCGCTTGGGTTGTCACGGATCAAAAGCTGGGTGTTCAGGCTAGGATCGTGGATTTCCTGGCTGGTAAGCGCACAAAGGATGGGTCTATCATGGAGAAGGTGGCTGATAGTCGACTCTCTGCGCATTTGCGTGGCCCTGAAAGACTGGCGGATGAAGCGTTTTCTATTTTGGTTGGAGGTACGGAGACGACGGGCAGGTCTCTTTCGCTGGGCTTTTTTAAGATTCTCAGTGATCGCGTCGTAAAAGAGAAAATGCTACAGGAGCTGCGGTCGCTGATGCCAACGCCTCAATCCCGTCCGACGTGGAATCAGCTGGAACAACTTCCCTATATGGTTTGTCCTTCTTTGTTTAGTCTAGACGTGGCCATGCAACTTTGGCTAACATGGTTATAGTCTGGTGTCATATTAGAGACTTTGCGTTTGTCCACAGGAATTGCCAATCGGTCCCCTCGAGTCGCGCCTACAGAAACACTGGTCTACAAGGGCTATAGCATCCCCCCTGGAGTCAGTGATCATGCTTATCGATTTGTATTTGGTGTCGAAGCTAACTTGGATCCGCTCAGACTCCCGTATCCCAAACAAATTATTTCGTCCTCATGGATCCCGAAATCTTCCCCGATCCTCACGCCTTTGACCCAGAAAGATGGGTGCGCGCTGCGGCCAAGGGCGAGCCTCTCCAACGTTATTTGGTGAACTTTTCAAAAGGAACTCGGATCTGTTTGGGAATGAAGTACGAAAAGCTCTAGAGCCCTCTTAACATTCCCCATACCGTTACTAACCTCCATTCGACAGCCTGGCCTATGCTGAGTTATACTTGACTCTTGCAAATCTTTTCCGACGTTACGAGTTTGAGTTATACGATACGACCGAGAAAGATATTGCTTTTGCTCGTGATTTTGCAGCGCCTTATCCCGACGAAGGGAACCTTCAACTCAGAGTTATGGTGACAGGTCTGGTCGAAGAATGATCTGGTGATTATTTCTCCGATATATTTTATTTATGCAATCCGCAGACTACGCACAGACACAATCAATTTTCATCTTATCATAGCTGAATAACTTGTTACCATCCATGCGTGCTAAGTCGTATACATGGAGACAAGGCATCTAAAGTCCGGTTAACTCCGAATCTCTGACAGCATGATAAAGCTTGTCTGGTTTTCGCAAATTCCCAGTCAAAATTCCATCCCTTAACAACATCACTTCTAAAAAACAAAACAAAAATGCCTTCGCAAAAGAGTATTCAAGCTGGTCTGTCGCTCATCGAGAGTGACAAGTCCAAGCTCCTAGGCTTGAGCGTCGGAAAGCACGGCAACGTCGAGCCAGGAGTGTACATTCCCCGCGCAGGTCAGATAACCAGCCCAATCTTTTTATCTTTTTAAGATTCTCTCTATCGAATACCTAGCGACCATCATCAGCTGACTGTACCCAAGATGCCCAGTCGCCTCCTAAGATCTCTTTCCCCGGTCTGTCAACCGACAAGACCTACTTTGTCGTATCTCTGGATATCGATGCGCCGTTCCCATCCTTTGGCGTGCTTGGACCCATTCTACACTGGATCCAGCCCGGAGTCAAGGCCAGTGAATCGGGAGAGCTCGATCTTAGCGCTCCCTTCGTTGCCAACTATATTGGTCCTGCGCCCCCGCCTGGTAGCAGTCCCCACCGCTATACATTCTACCTCTACGAAGAGCCTGCTGGATTCGATACTGCAAAGTATGCTCCGGCCAATGGTCAGAAACTAGGAAATTGGACCCGGATCAGATATGACCTTGATGCCTGGGCGAAGGAGATTAACTTGGGTCCTGTCTTGGCATTCAACTACTTTTTCAGTAACTAGGTCGGGATTAGGATCAGTGGGGGTCAATGGTGGGATAGTATTGGGCTGGAGATTGGGTGTAATAACTTTGTGATTCGATTTTCTTACGATAATACTATACAGTACTTGATACGTACTGGAGCGCAGGCCACTCACAATTTGACGTCAATTTCTTTCATTCATTCAAGCTACCCAGACGACGCACTATAAACGATCTTGAGCACGGACATCGGATTGCGAGCCCGCTTCCCCGGGGATGTTGGATGATGGATCTAACTGTGGCGCTATGAACACCGCTTAAATCTCGCCACTCGCACACGTTATGCAAAACATTCTTTGATCCAAAAATCAGACGTTTTCCCACGCTCCAGCCCGTCCAATGACACAAGCTAAGGACACCAAGCTAAAAATCCACTTTTCTTTCAAATATCTCCGTGGATCCCGTTTATCAGGGGGCGCTCGAATCCTTCGGCCCCCAATTGGCCCGATCGACGGCTGAACGCCAGATCTAGATGTTTGACCGGCATGTCAAAGAATTAGAGCAACGACACTATTGATTCGCTTCAAAATAGAAAACGGCTTTCCACTCGTGATTTCATCATTTAATCGGCGCACCATGCTGTCGACTTTTTCTTCCCTGCAAATGTCCGTTCTCTGCAGGTGGAAGAATGGTGGACTCATCCTCGCATAATGAAGTGCCCGACCGAGGACCCCAGCTCATAGTGCTACTATGGGTCCTGACGGGCTTGTCAACTTTGATAGTTCTGATGCGAGTGGCGTGTTGCAAGCTACGGGGCCGATTTGGCTGGGACGACTTTTTTATGCTTTTGGCATTGGTATGCATGCAAGCTCACACTCCTGTGCAGTAGTGTACTTTAGTGTGCATTGTGCATCTGCTAACAAGATTGATGCAGGTGTGTTTGTATGGATGGTCTATCTCTCTTTCAATGCTTTGCATCAATAAAGGCGAGAGACATCGCGCCGACCTGATTCCACTAGGAGACTCCGTTGTTTCAAGGGTCATCCTTCTGAACTGGGTATCCGCGTCATTTGGGACTTTGAGTCTTGGATTCGCAAAGGCATCTATCGCATCACTCCTGTTGGCTATCCTGGGCCCGACAAACTGGTTCTGGCATAAGTTGTACCTGGCGAGCGTTGGTGTTGGGCTTGCTCTTCTTGTTGCCGTGTCCTGCGCAATCCTCAGCCTGGTCCAATGCTCACCCCCTGCTGCCCTTTGGGACAATACGATTCAAGTAAAATGTATTGGATCTAATGTGATGGCGGACTACGTGATTTTTACGAGCTGTATGTCTCTAACCTACTGAAAAATTGCTTGGACTGTACTAATTCCTCTAGCCTTTTGCACTTTCGTTGATGCTAGCCTCGCTATCATTCCCTCATGTATATTCTTTCAACTACAGATGATACGGGTTGGAAAATAGCAACTATCAATTGTCTTTGCGTTGAATATTATGTTGGTTCCCTCTCCTCAAGCTTACATCACCACTCGAAATGCTAATCAACTTGCAGGGCTGCGATTTGCTCCGCCGTAAAGACCTCCTACCTCCCCCTTTTCACTGACACGTCCGATCTGACCTGGGAATCATACTATATCTACGCTTGGAGCTCGGGAGAGCTGTTCGTGATTATATTCTGCGGATCAATACCGACTTCAAAGCCGATATATGATTCGATTTTTCGTCGAAACAGGACTTTGGCGAATAGAACAGATACCAGCTCCCATTCAGAAAATATCGGGAGCGTGGGACTGTCATCCCGTCTCAAGACTCTGCCTCGTCAAAATAAAGGGGGTGAAGGAGACTCTATAGTGATACTAGTAGAGGAATCTGTTACGCATTGGAACTCAGTATCGAGCGATGAACGCTACGCAGCTGTCAATGAAATCCGCAGGTAGCGTGAGACTATAAAAAAAGCTCATCTATACTTTTTTGCTTCTTCGAGAAGTTCAAAGATCATTGGATTTGTCAAGATTAACCTTGAAACTTTGTGATACCAGGGGCTCTACCTTCCTATCTTGTATTCCTCTAGGGTTTCTCGTGGACTTTTTGCCTCTTCAATTTAATCCTTCTTCTGTTTCCTATCCTTCCAATATCGCGAATCCAGGCTCTCTCCTGCCAAGATTGAATACTCAGGTATACATACATGTGATTGGATATTCTTAACAAAGCCATTGATCTTCTCTGGGATTTTCCGGTGTTTGTGCATGAGCATCATGCTTTAAGAGCCTGGGTCACAATTCTTTGCCGGTAGTTTCCTGCGATCTGGAAATTCCTCTATTGCCTGTATAAATCCAGGAGACGCACTGTATGACGATTTCCACCAAACCCCATCTTTCCAAGGTTCCAACTTGCCCAATTCATACATATTATCCTGATCCCCAAATTCGCACTTGGTTCTTTCTGTTGGGTCCACCATTATGGGGGTCAGCAAGCCGGCCGCTGCGGATGGAAAGACCACTTCTACCAGGTTCAAACTGAAGAAGATGGTCGTTGCATTACACGGCAATTTGGGTCTGAAGCATGGTTTGTTCTCCATTCTAAATTCCCAACTTTGATCCATATGACTTAGCACTTTTGATTATATACAGACAAAATCCAACAAATGGTTGAAGAGGCCGGTGCCAAGTTCGAAACTTACGACATGAGGGTCGAAAACTGCACCCATCTCGTTACAACAGCTACCTATGCCAAGAAGGCGTCCCTTCCTAATAAGAGTAAGTGAAACATCTTCCAATCTAGAATATGAAGTGGGCTAACGGCTTTCTGATATAGTCAAAGATGCAGCTCTCAAGGGTTGTGAGATTGTCACTCTCGATTGGCTTCTTGATTGTATCAAAACCGGACATCTAATTGATACCCAAGATTACAGTCTGAAGACAAGAAGACTGGTCAATATCAGGTCCAATGCGTTGGTGAAAGCCGATGACGATGACGATTCGGAATCGGAAACCGGCGAAGATACTCAAAAGTCATCGACCTTTTGGGAGGAAATCGTCGATGAGGACTATCCCGGTCTTGCACGCGGTGAGTACATATTTTACCTAAGAAATTTTGTTATCAACGTTGAGTGGCACACAGCTTCCAGAATTTTATCTAATATATCAACTCAAAATAGGACGTTCTGTGTTTCGCGAGAAAGATATTGTCTGGGATGCCACTCTGATCAAGCTTTTGACTGGAAAGACCGGAATGAAAAAAGGGCACTATATCATATCGCATGTTCAGCTGCTCTATGATTCATCTTCGAAAAAGTACTATACCTTCAGTCACGTCAAGACGGAAAAGGGGGTTGATCAGGCCACATGCAAACAGGCAGGTCGTGGGAAGCTAGAAAACGCCCAGGATGCTTTCGAAGATTTTTTCGAAGAAGTTACAGATCTTTCTTGGGCCTCCCGCCATAAAGACTCGAAGAAGAACCAGTACATATATGTTGACTTTCACTTGAAGGACAAAAAGACCGATGACTCTGATAGTGCTATCTCGAAGACAACTCCAGCCATGAAAGTCGTGCTCGATGCCATCGTTGGATCTGCCAAAGATCAGCTTGATCTGATCAAAGCTTCACTGAAAAAGGCCAAGTCTTCCATAATGGTTAACAAGACGGTGTTGACCATTTATGAGCTTCGTCTCGGTATTGCCATCCTCGAGCAAATACTGAAGCGTCCAAACCTTTCAAACGAGCTATCTGTTGGCACGAGCTCTACATCGATTCTACTGAGATACTATCAATGTCTTGTGGGAGCATCAACCGACACTGTGCGTGTTTCTCGTGGCTGGATTGAATGTGAAAAAGAGTATTTGTTGTACATCCGCACTCTTGCCATGGCTTCCCAACCTGATCGACCCCCTGGATGGGGCGAAAGACAACTGACATCGCATTTATATCGGGCCATTGGCCTCAGGCAAATGGAACTAGGTATTTATATTTTTGTTTTTCAAGAATGTTCCCCTTATGGTGGAAAGAAGTACCCCTCACCAACGGACATATTTTGACTTCTGATATTTTATACCTAGTGAAACATACGAGCGAAGAGTATCAAGAACTGGCGACCTGTTTCAATTTTTCGGATATTGGAAATGTATATGGATATGGCAATCCGGCATACTTACCCGTAAGTATTCGATGCCCTTTTTGGAACCTACATATGCACATAATAGGGATGGTTATGTCGATACGAATCCTCATTGGACATTGGACATCACCTTGGGAGCCTTGGCTTGAGAGGAACCTTGACAGATATCCAGAAGTTCCGAGGTTGACTTGGCCACTTATATACAGTACAAAAATCGGCTGAAATATATTTTTCGAATCGAGCGCCTTGGTGAGGCCGATCAATTCCTCAACTGGACCAAAAAACATAAAGAGCACCAAACCAGACTGTTGTGGCATGGGTCCCCAACGACTAATTTCAAGTCGATTTTGACCGGGGGGTTACAAAGAAACCCACCAATCTTTTTCTCTGAACTTGCAGGGTACTCGACCCTTTACTGCCATATGAGATTGGGCTTACCGCATAATGGTCTATCCTTCATGCTTCTCTGCGAAGTTGGGACAGATATTTCCGGGCCTAAACAAAGTCTAAAGAAAGAGCAAGGGTGGTGCGATGCAGGGAGTATCCATAGGGATCTTAAGGGAGTCATGAAGATGAATGTTTTCCCAGGGAGCAGGTATTCTGCAGCCTATTTACCCCAATATGCTAGGGAAACCCACGTCCCCTCCAAGGATCAAATTCGGATGCGTTACTTGTTTGCTTTTGAGACTTATTACAAGAACTAGTCAAGCTGAAGGCGTTCATGGAGGGACTACGAAGATGAGACTTTGGTGCGATTAGGATGCTTGGTTTGCTAGGACTTCCAGTTGACTTCCAAGGGTGGTTTCAACTGCTTGCTTTCAAATGTTTGGATTAGCATGGCTTTATAAGTACACTCTAGAATGAAGATTGAGATCTGTTTTAGATGGTTCTTTTTAGTTGACATTTGCACGAGATGTACGTAGACACGTATTATAGTATGGATCTCAACGTGGGGTGGCATTACATTCAAGAGATATTCGAGAGAACTGAGCTGGATTTTATGGCGCTCTCTTACTGTGCGTTCAATATTGGATATTTTAGGCTATCAATGGCGTTGTCCGGACAGAATGGGATTGGCTGGGGAAATGGGTACCTGATTGAACTTGATAAGGGACAATCAACATTTCTCTTATCGCGTTACATCCGACCCGCCGATCGTTCTTGCTCCACCGTTCCCCCGAGGGCCGAGATTGTGATATAAAGCACCTCTCCCCGGGCTTTGTGCTTTTCCATTTCGTCATTATCACTTAGTGTTTCCATATATCCATGACTGTTCCCATGAAGTTGCTGGCGGCCGCTTGTCTAGCAGGCGTCACAACAGCCCAGTACTTTCCATCACAACCCGAGGGACTGACTGTCGTGAATTCAAAGCACGAAGAAGGCGTGAAGATATCTTATAAACAGGTAAATAAGCTTGGTTCGGTCAATTAGGTATAAAAGCAAAGTTAGGGACAGTTTGGCTAACATTGCACAGCCGGGAATCTGTGAAACCACCCCAGGCGTTAAATCGTACTCCGGCTATATTCACCTGCCTCCAGGGACTCTGAACGACGAACATGTTGATCAGAATTATTCCATCAACACATTCTTCTGGTTTTTCGAATCGCGTCATGATGCAAGAAACGCCCCGTTGTCCATCTGGATGAATGGCGGGCCCGGCAGCTCGTCCATGATCGGTCTCATGCAGGAGAATGGTCCCTGCCGCGTCAATGCAGATTCCAATTCGACCGAACTCAATCCCTGGTCTTGGAATAACTACGTAAATATGCTGTACATCGACCAGCCCAATCAGGTTGGTTTCAGTTACGATATCCCCACCAACGGCACTTTCGACCAGGTCGCATCCGCTTGGGACGTGTCGGAGTGGACACATGGCGTTCCAGAGCAAAATAATACTTTCTATGTCGGCACGACTACCAGCCAAAAGAGAACATCGGCGGCTAATAGCACAGAAAATGCGGCCCGGTCCCTGTGGCACTTGGCGCAAACCTGGTTCTCCGAGTTTCCGGAGTACAAGCCACGCGACGATCGCGTCAGCATCTGGACCGAGTCTTATGGTGGTCGTTATGGCCCCTCTTTCACTGCGTTCTTCCAAGAACAAAATGAGAAGATCAAGAATGGTTCGATCACTTCCCCAGCGGAATCTCATTATATCCACTTGGATACATTGGGAATTATAAATGGCTGTGTCGATCTCCTTGTGCAGGCGCCGACGTACCCGGTGATGGCGTATAACAATACGTATGGGATCGAAACTATCAATCAGACCGTGTACGACCAGGCCATGCAGGCATGGAGCCGTCCTGGGGGATGTAAGGACCTCATCGTACAATGCCGGACCCTTGCAGCAGAAAGCGATCCACAGATGTACGGCAACAACGAAACCGTGAATCAAGCGTGCCAAAATGCATCTAGCATCTGCAGAAATAACGTGGAGGGTCCTTACACTACCTTTGCCGACCGAGGCTACTACGATATTACTCACAAAAACCCCGATCCATTCCCACCGCAATATTATTTTGGATTCTTGAGCCAGCATTGGGTACAAAAGGCCTTGGGGGTACCTATCAACTATACCGAGTCTATTGATAGCGTCTATGAAGGTTTTGACGCGACCGGGGATTATCCTCGTGGTGACGTGCATGGCTACCTCAATGATCTCGCCTATGTCCTAGATTCTGGTATCAAGGTATCACTCATCTACGGAGACCGCGACTATGCCTGTGATTGGATTGGCGGCGAAGATGTGAGTTTGGGCATCGATTACACCAAGGCATCTTCTTTCCGTGAGGCTGGATATGCGCCTATTCGGACCAACTCCACTTATATTGGAGGACAGGTCCGTCAACATGGGAACTTCTCTTTTGCCCGAGTTTATCAGGCTGGTCATGAGGTGCCTGCTTACCAGCCTGAGACTGCGTACGAACTCTTCCACCGAGCCCTTTTCAATCGTGACCTGGCGACTGGTAAGATTGACACTGCTCGTAATGATTCTTACTCTACCGAGGGCCCTTCGTCCACTTGGCATATCAAGAATGAGGTTCCCGAAAGTCCTGGTCCAGTGTGCTACATCTTGTCTCTGGAGGCGACTTGCACTGATGATCAGATCGCCAGTGTGCGCAACAATACGGCGGTCATCAAAGACTATGTTGTTGTGGGTACAACGTCCGAATAAATTTATCCCACTGCGGGTATAGAGAGTGAGATAGATAGTCCGATGATGTATTCAAATGTTGCTATCTTCAAATGTTTGTTGCGTACCCAATTTTAGATATCAAGGCTCTTAGATATTTCGGGTCTAATGTATTCATCATGTAACTTGTCTTTGGAAGAATTTCCTATATACTTAAGCAGATATGGGATTTTTTATTTAAAGGTTTTTTGGCCGCCGTTGGTATACAAATTTAAAGAATTCGGTTCACACAGATACGCTAATGACTTCACGACTAGCCCCACATCGTGAAGTCACGGATGATGCTATGCACTATGAATGTATATACTACCATCCAAAGGTCAACTGGTAGCCTGGTTGAACACCAAACTGATTAAACAAAGAGATACTAGTATCATAATGAAAGACTTCTTTCAGAAGTACTAAGCACAAAAAAAAAAGGCTGCATGGAAGCTTCTCGAAGCTTCGATCCCAATGACGTCACGCGTCACTCACTCCGCACTCAAGCACTCAAGCACAGTACTTACTGTAACAGAGTCCGGTTTCTCTTTCAAAGATACATTTTGAACACCTTGTTGTTATTTTTGCTCTATCGCCCTTTTCTCTTCCTCTTTTTTTCTCTTCTTTTTCTTAAACTCCAATTCTCTAATTTTCGCTCAACCGTCTTACCCCATTCCTAGACCCCGTTGTTTCTCCCCGAACCTTCGACGTCATTCGAGAACCACACCATCTTTTTGCCGGAAAAGAAGACTTCTGTCAGGCTTGATTTCGGACTTTATTAAAGCTTCATTCAACCTGTGCATTTCGGCTTTCGATTTCGGTCTTACCTTAAAAACTCAATTCCAACCCACACAATGGTAGCTGAAAACAAGCTGTATGATGCTTTGAGCATCAGCCCCACTGCAACTCAAGATGAGATCAAGAAGGCCTACCGTAAGGCAGCCTTGAAGTATCATCCCGACAAGAACAAGAACAATCCTCAGGCATCTGAGAAATTCAAAGGTTCGTGTTACTTCCAGCCTCATAACCCCGCTTTCCCCCCCACCTTACAGTTAGGTAGTCAACTGCCAAATTTTAACATCACGAGAACTAACATAATCTTTTTTGCTTCTTAATAGAGGTCTCCCAAGCATACGAAGTCCTCTCTGATCCCGAAAAGCGCAAGGTCTATGACCAGTATGGCCTCGAATACCTTCTCCGCGGTGGCCCACCTCCTACGCCTGGCGGCGGTGCAGCTGGCGGTGCAGGCCCCGGCGGTATGCCTAGTGGCTTCGACTTTGGCGGCATGCCCTCTGGGGGCGGAAGCCGCTCATTCCACTTCTCCACCGGCCCTGGTGGCAGTGGAGGTTTCCGATTCCGCAACGCAGACGACATTTTCAGTGATTTCGCCAAGGCCGGCGGTGCTGGTGCCGGCGGTGCTGGCGGCTTTGATGATGATATCTTTTCAATGTTGAATGGTATGGGTGGCATGGGCGGAGGAATGCCGCGTTCACGTCCCAGTGCAAGCGGCTTTTCACAAAAGCCACGTCGTGCCCCATCGCCTGAACCTACTGTGGTTGAAACGGACTTGCTACTCACCTTGGAAGAAATTTTCAAGGGGACTAAAAAGCAGGTTAAGACCAAGAGCAAGGCCTTTGATGCCAGCGGAAGACGCACTGTCGATGAAGTCACACTTGAAGCGACTATTAAACCTGGTTTGCGTGCTGGTTCAAAGCTCAAGTACAAGAATGTTGGGGACCAGGAAGAAGGCGGTCGACAGGATGTGCACCTTATCGTCAAAGAGGTATGTGATATCTCCTATTTACCTACTTTTAATTAAATACGTATATGTGCTAACAAAGTTCACAGCGACCTCACCCCGATTTCAGACGTGTCGGTGATGACCTTATCACTGACGTGACTCTCACACTTAAGGAAGCCTTAACTGGCTGGGAGCGCATTGTACGAACTATCGACGGCAAATCCATTCGTATTAAGAAGCCCGGCCCAACACAACCTGGTCACGAGGAACGATTCCCTGGCTTGGGCATGGTGCTTTCCCGGAAGCCCACCGACCGTGGTGATCTTGTCGTACGAATCAACATCAAGTTCCCCACCAGCTTGACAGCCGAACAAAAAACAGTTCTGAGTGATGTTCTCTGATCTCAATCTCTGATCTCACTTTCTCATCTTGATTTCGACTCTTATTTAGCATACATATCTGGCGTTTAGTGTGAGCGTTACGTGATTTGGCCGGGCTTTACGACAACAATGATTCCATGTTCAATTAAGATACTGATCTTACACGCCTGTTTTATAGTTTTAGGAGTTTAGCGATACCTCAATGTCTTTCAATCAATTGATAATAATCCATTTCCATCTTTATTTGACCAAAGTGCTCATCATTGTACCATACTAGTAAGTAATGAGTCTTATGACATAGATAAGAAAATGACCCTAAACCCAATCGGGAAATGCGGAGAAAGCACCTTCCAAGCTCCGCCGCAAGTCAACTCCCGCTCTATTTACTGTCTACCTCCATAACACCAGCGAATCCACCATGAAGCGACGGGTCACCTATATCCAGCGCCCCGACGCACCATTCGCACCGGACCAGGTTACCCTGTCCTCGAAAACTGTCACGATCCGCGGTCTGGATGCCGCCCGCGAAGACCGCATTACTTTCGATCTGAATGACCTCCCTGAAGAGGTACGAAAGAGTCCAACATTCAATGTTGTCTCTGAGTTACGCGGGCTAATTTATTTTGGACGTTCTCATAGCTGCGCGCTGTCTGCCACAGATCCCAAGAGCTACACCTCCGTTGGGCTACTGAGCGGTCCTTCGATGCGGTCGAGCCCTTTGCCAGCAGAGTCCCGCCTGGCCTGCATGTGCACTATACTCCCCTAGCTACAGATCAGTCGTCGTGAGTAGTAAATAATGGTATATGAAGCTTTTTGTGCAAGGGGTTTGCTGACTTATTCGGGACAATTAGGGTCGCGCTATGCTCGGTGCTCCGTACTGTGTTTGGAGTAAATGAAGGCGATCAATATGGAGTGGATTGTACATCCCCAGAGGTAAATTGACCTAACAAATAATTTGTTGCATTGGCTATGGCTTGAAACCCCAAGCCATAACTTTTTCCACTGGATTGGTCTAATGCGATGACAAAATAGGACTCTTTCATTGCCCCGCCTCTCCGAGCCACTGAGTTTGGTACCGCGACCTCTCTCCAATACCATACAAAGCTGCCATCATTGAAGTCGCTGGTCAAATTCCTCAAGGATACTACCTGTGCTGGCGCGGTGGAATGCTTGTACCGCGTCGATTCGCTGCTGGCGGCCGATTTGGTCGACCTGGACTTTGATACCGCCTCGAACACATTGATTCTCTCAGGGGTCTGGAATAGTGCTCCAAATGGAGGCTGGGTAGAAGATATACACCAGCCTAGTTCAGATGCAGACCAAGTTGAATTTGGTCTGTTGGGGGCAGAGAAGGGAATTGATGCGGATGAAATCAAGATGGGAGGACTGTTGGCAGTTGTGGGAGAAGACAAGACATTGAGTATGCGCTGAACCCGATGACTATTTCACGCTTGGTGGCTACAGAAACAGTACAGCTGACTTTCGACGAAGAACCTACAATGTTTTCGTTCCCTTCAAGGCATCACGCTCTCCCAAAATCTGCTAGCTACGCAGTCTCATTCGCAGAGCCGACTGGTCTCCATCCGACAATGTCCATTTCCATCCCGCGCTCCTCGTTAGGCCTGCCACCGGCTCCCGACGACACAACATGTGCCTTGTACACGTACCTGGCCCTTCCGTCTTCTGTATTTGGAGACCAATATCAACTTGGAACGACTGACTCACTCTTCCTCCAATCTCACAACTTGGCGGGCCTTCGCACGCATGCGGGTGAAACAGATTTGGAGGCTCCAGATTGGGTGATCAAAGGCTGGGGCTCAACCTGGCTGTTTGAATTGGCTACTCCCATCGATCAGGATCCTAATGATGCCACACAATCACCCAATTGGACAGCTACCATCCCCCTTCATCTTCGATACCTCCCTCCCTCTGAATCGGGGTATCAAACTGCACATGTGCCTTGGCCAGTCGTATTCTGGGCTTGCAGTGCAGAAGATGAAGAGGCTACCATGGGTATCAATCCATTTGATCGCAAGCATCTTGGCTATGATAGCCTCTTTGCTCCTCGTACACTCTTCTACCAGTTCCACCCCCAGTCCAATCGCCTCACAGAGGAGTTGGATGTCCCGGTTCTTCGCCTCAAAGAAGGAACGGGTCTTTTCCAGTCTCGCAACATCGAGCTGACGACATGTGTGGTCATTTCACTCGGTTTCTTGTGGGTTGTCTGGCGACTGGTACGAGTGGCTTGGTCATCTGGCCTTAGTTCCAATGGTGGGCTGGAACAACCTGATGATGAACACGATAAGAAGGAATAGAGTATCTTGTGTAACTTTTTCCTATTATTCTTACTTTTTACGGATTGGGATCATCTCGTCCCATCACATGCATTGATAGTGGCGTTTGGGAACTACATCTATCGCTTGCCTTTTACATATAGAAACACAAATCATGGAAAATGACTTCAAATCTACTCCTATACTCCGTAAGAATTGTAGATAGCAATTTGAGCCAAGCGCGGCGGGTATCTGGCCGGATATCGCCGGGGATCTCCGACCTCCACTATCTACGGGGTAGACGCTTGTCATATGTAAGGCTAATCGAGATCAAGCATGATATAGCCCAATTGATAATTATTACTCTAAATTGCAATCTATTAGTTATCCGGGGTAGCTATTGATGATTAATTTGGTACACAAATCATATGCGGGCGGCCCCGGCCTGTCATTGGCACAGCGTACCTGTACCACCAACCAATCCCGTCCACGCCCGCAAATCCAATTGCTCTACTCCAGAGTCTAGCCTCTCCATCCACAATAATGGCCGACTCCAAACCCCGCAAGCGCTCTCGCGCCGCGTGTCTATCATGTCAATCGCGCAAACGCAAATGCTCAGGCGAGCAGCCCTGCGCAACATGCGTTCAGTCCAGTGTAAACTGCCAGTACAGCTCGGCCCCGCGCAAGAAGCGCAGATCCACTAGCGCGTATCGCGCGACTCTGCCCTCGCTGGATGAATCACAGCCACCACCAGATGGACTGGCGTATCCAATTCCAGTCCCGACCGTCAGCACTGCAGGCAGTGCGGCGTCTCCTGGTGCATTCAATCGTGTTGGGGACTCTTGGGCTGTAGGCCACCATCCCCATCTCCAGTCGCAGTCGCAGTCGCAGTCGCAGTCGCAGTCGCAGTCGCAGTCGCAGTCGCAGTCGCAGTCGCAGTCGCAGTCGCAGTCGCAGTCGCAGTCGCAGTCGCAGTCGCAGTCGCAGTCGCAGTCGCAGTCGCAGTCGCAGTCGCAGTCGCAGTCGCAGTCGCAGTCGCAGTCGCAGTCGCAGTCGCAGTCGCAGTCGCAGTCGCAGTCGCAGTCGCAGTCGCAGTCCCTCGAGGTGAATTCTGGCGCCGCGTTTGTTCGCAAACTTGGCTTGCGTATTGACCCGGCGCGTGCGCCAAGATTGCATCTGTTTGGATGGAATGTGGGCGAGAGGCGAAAGGCGTCTCGGTTTTCTGTGGACGATGTCAATGCCATGGCGACGATGTCGTCGTCTTCGCCGCCGTCGTTGTTGACGCCGAAACCGCCCACCCCCATCACATATCTTCTCAATCCGGCAGAGATGCGCAAACTAGCCACGATCTATTTCGAAAAGGTTGATCCTTGCTATTCGTTTCTAGATCGTGAATATCTTTTCTCGCGCATTACACAGCGTTATGAGGAAAACCAACGCGATATACCAGAACAACCATACGATGCCGTCTTACATGGCGTCGCAGCTTTTGGATACCTCTTCTCACGTCTTGATGTAGTCGGCTCCGAGACTCGGTCTGTCGATGAAGCCCATAGGATTCTACAGAAAAGTGTCCTGGGTGCAGAAACCCCCTCTATCGATATTATAGCCGGATGGGTTCTTCGTACAGCATACCTGCGCATGACGGCCTCGCCGCACGCCGGCTGGATGGCGAGCTGTACATTGATGCACTTGATCGAGGCAGCAGGTCTGCACCTCGAATCAACAGACTCGGTCTCGACAAGTCTACTCCCAAGACCCCCATCCCAAACAACCCAATCGCGAAACAACAACTCCGAAACACCCAATACCCCAGATACCCGCCGTCGTCTCTTCGGCATGGCCCGCCACCTAAACACCTGGATCTCATTTGACCTGGGCCGCTCCCGCGTCGTCCTCCACGGCGCAACAACCCAGAGCGCTCCACAGCCTCCAAATCGCGCAGATCTCCTCCACCTCCTCCCGCTCTCTGAAAGCCTCGACCCAACCACCTCCGCCCCGCAGGACCTCCCCGATCTGGAAACAGCCCTAGCATCCGTCCTGGACATCGTCTACACAGAACCCTCCCTAATCCTGGTCCAATGCAACCTAATGCTCTGTATTTACCGCCGCGTCCGCGCTTTGAACGCCCACGCTCCGCTCTCAACCCGCCTAGACCGTGTTCTCGCTCTCGCAAGCCGCGGTCTCCGTGCCGCGCGCGAAGTAGTAGCCTCCACTTGTCCGTGGCACCAGGTCGCCAACGTTCCATTTCAAGTCGTCTGCACGCTTCTGGCCATCGATAACCGTGCCGCGCTGGCACTGCTGCCAGATGCGATGCAGACGCTTAGGGAAGTGGGTACGGTCTATGACACGGAGGTTATGCGCGAGGCATACTCGACGGCTTATTTACTTGTCGCGATGCATCAGCGACGGAAGGAAGATGATACCCGCGCATTGGCGGATGTGCTGAGAGCTAATTCTGCGGCTGCGGCGGTGGTTGCACAGCAGGATGTTAGTAGGGGCCAAGATGAGTTAGTTGAGGGCAGTGGATTGGAGAGGAAGGATTCTCGTCAAGAAGAGGAGGTGGTGGTGCAGCAGGGGGTTGGACCTATTTCGACAGCACCTGTTTCGGATGTCGAGCTGTCTTGGTTGGGGGATTTGGTCATTGATATGCCCAGTTTGCAGAATTTTGATCTGGATCAGTTTCTTATGACTGATGTGCCATGGCCGTTACCTGAGATGGGGATTTAAGGGGTGCGGTGCTTTTGTCAATTTATTCTTATTTATGCTTGTATTGATACCAATAGGTAGGGATTTCATATTATCATCAATTGATGTATTCGGAATATTATGGGCCTTTTTAAGGTACGAATTGATCTTTTTTATACCAATTTGCCATCAGTACTTTCTTTTTGCCCCGTTTTGAGGTCTTGCACATGTACTTCACGATTGGATATTAAGCACCTGGGCATGTGTTCATTCAGGTACTTTTGCACGACTAGTTTGAAGCTATGGATGCATAGGTACTCCCGAGGTCAATCCAACAGGATTTGTGTACAAACAAGCTCATATGTGACTTTTAAAACTCCTTCTATCTCTTCAAATCAATAATAATACTAATACATAATACTAATATCGTGTTCTTCTCTCCCAAGATCAGTACTTTCTTGCTAGCACTGGAGCGGGGACTATTACGAGATAGATATCGATTTCCCTCCCATCAATTGATTAGGCGAACAAATAATGCAATGGAAATAGCCACATTTGCAATTTTACACCGACTCCTTCGACCAAAGACCCCACTTAGCTGGTCTGAAGGGCGTCAAAAGATCCTGCAAGCCTGAGAAAGTTCATCAATTCGAACATGAATGCTTTTAATGTTTCCAATTGACCTTCGGGACCGGGCCGCATATGAAGTGTGTAGTAAGAAGTAGCATCCACTTGAACATTTCTGGTCATTACTGGTAAATTGAAATATTGCGGGTTTTGGCTTTTTAGCGGTCAACATGTTTGGTCCGAGTGTGGCTGGAAGAGTGGAGGCCGATTGGCAAGGGCGACATCGAATTGGGTTAGGATTGGCTAATAAGAGACGATCATGACGGTGTGTCGAATTCCACTTTTTTTTTTGAAGCTTTCCCCTCCCCATCCTGTCGTAATTTTTCTTCTTTGCTGTTCTATGGATGTGGTTTTGTTGTATGGATATAATTTCCATCCGAGTCCGGAGTCACGTTATTTGTGTTCCCCGGTGCCGCCTGTAAAACCACCAGATGTGGTTTTTGTACTGCAAAATTGATGTAAATTCAGTAGACCCTTGTAAAATACTCCGTATCTAGACCGTAATGGATGCTTAACCTTGGAAATAGCTTGGCTGCGATTTGCTATTAATTAGCGGTGTAATGAGACACGTTTATTACCTTATTATCAGGAACTGATAAGGCGGAAAACGCAACCAGTCACCAGTCAAGTCTGCAGTCATCAAGAGCCGATGTCGGCCCGACCCTGTGATTGGCCACCCGGCGCGGTGGCACGTGCCCGCACTGACTCAACGAAAAACCTCTTCCGGCTTCCTTCTCTTCTTTCCTTTTCCCCAGTTCCCTACAAAGAAACCTCCACTTTAAGCATTCGATACTCATGTCTCACTAAGGAAATTTATTTTCCCTCCTTTTCATTTGACTGCTACACCTAGAGTCGCGCTTATGTGTTTGGCACCCTCAACTTTCACCTCCCAGGACTATATCTCGGGTATGTTCCCCTCGAATTCCCCAAACAATCCGCTTTGTTCTTGCCATTGGTATTCCAGGCTAACCCTTCCTGCCTTTTTAGATCACCTTTGGAAGTCTTCCATTAACTGAATTGACCTTCGTGTTCAATTGATCAAATAAATCTTATCGCATTCCATACATTCATCTCAAAATGTTCATGAACATCTTCAAGGCCATGCCCACCCGGGCTGCGGCCTTCACTACCCTGAAGAGCCCTGCCCAGGCCCGCTACATGGCTACTGTCCGTCAGCGTGCTGCTATGGAGCCTGCTACCTTCACCATCCGTGACGGTCCCATGTTCACTGGCAAGTCTTTCGGTGCTCGCTCCAACATCTCCGGCGAGGCCGTCTTCACTACCTCCCTCGTTGGCTACCCCGAGTCCCTTACCGATCCTTCCTACCGCGGCCAGATCTTGGTCTTCACCCAGCCTTTGATTGGCAACTACGGTGTTCCCTCGGCTGAGAAGGACAGCAACGGACTCCTGAAGTACTTCGAGTCCCCCAACCTGCAGGCTGCCGGTGTCGTCGTCGCCGATGTCGCTGAGCAGTACAGCCACTGGACTGCTGTCGAGAGTCTTGGTGAGTGGTGTGCCCGTGAGGGTGTCCCCGCCATCTCCGGTGTCGACACTCGTGCCATTGTCACCTACCTCCGTGAGCAGGGTTCCTCCCTGGCTCGCATCACTGTTGGTGAGGAGTACGATGCCAACGAGGACGAGGCCTTCACCGATCCCGAGCAGATCCACTTGGTCCGTCAGGTCAGCACCAAGCAGCCCTTCCATGTGAGCGCTGCTGACCCCACCTCCCACGTGGCTGTCATCGATTGTGGTGTGAAGGAGAACATTCTGCGAAGCCTGGTTGGCCGTGGCTCCAGTGTCACTGTCTTCCCCTTCGACTTCCCCATCCACAAGGTTGCCCACCACTTCGACGGTGTCTTCATCTCCAACGGTCCCGGTGACCCCACTCACTGCCAGGACACTGTCTACCACTTGAAGCGCCTGATGGAGACCTCCCAGGTCCCCATCTTCGGTATCTGCCTGGGTCACCAGCTGTTGGCTTTGGCTTCCGGTGCCCGCACCATCAAGCTCAAGTACGGAAACCGTGCTCACAACATCCCGGCTCTTGACTTGAGCACCGGTCGTTGCCACATCACCAGCCAGAACCACGGTTACGCCGTCGATGCTGACAGTCTTTCCTCCGACTGGAAGCCTTACTTCGTTAACCTGAACGACCAGAGCAACGAGGGCATGATCCACAAGTCTCGCCCCATCTTCAGCACCCAGTTCCACCCTGAGGCTAAGGGAGGTCCTCTGGACTCTTCTTACCTCTTCGACATCTACTTGGACAGTGTGCTGAAGTACAAGGCCAACCAAGCTGGCTTGTACCCCACCCGTGACAGCCGCCCCAACCCCTTGTTGGTTGACCTTTTGGCTAAGGAGCGCGTGGGTGTCCAGCCTACCATTGGTATGCAGAACATTGCTGCTGCCGCTGCTGCTGCTGCCTCCGCATAAATGTTCTAATGTCTTATTGGAGTTTGGTTCTTGGTTGGAACGGCAAATATGGGTCCATGCGTTTTTCATTGTTCATAGTTCATCTTGATGCTTCATAGTTTCAATTATCTAAAAATTAAGTCTATATCATGATCAATCTTCTTTCTTGCCTTGTAGCTGGTCTCCCCCAACGTTTAACGTTCCTTAGTACCTAGGCATAATCGTGCAATCATGAGAGCGATGTAGTGCGTTCAGCCTGTTGTTGACTTTAAGCTGCTTGCTTTGTCCTCACATGCAGTGTCCAGGCTTCTCTTCCCCCAGTCCTGGCTTATGTATCTCACATGTCCCTCGTCTTTACAAGGGCATAAGACTTGAAAACTTTGAGGTCTTTACTGGATAGAAAAGTAAATTAAGGATAACCTTGGAATATTTTTATTGAACATAATCGTTGTTCTTCACACCATGCCTTCTTTTTTCTTCATATCAATTCGTAGAAGCATAAATGCAAAGTCTATTTCGCCACAATGGAAACCACATCCTCATCCGCGACCGGATGCGCCAAGCCCACGCGTTGCGGCACATGCCTGGCACTAGCACCCCAGACCAAGGCATATTTAAACGTATCCTTAAGAGTGCGGTGAATCTGGTCACATACGTCCTCGATAGTGGAGTCCCTTCGCACGATAAGAGCCTCGTCGAAACTGGGGTCTGATCCCTTTCTGCATATCAAAAGACGGTTAGATAAAAGTCAAACTGATATCGGGGCTGGAACATACCTCTTGGTGTATAGACGCATCAAGCGAAGTTCTTTCCAGATCCGTTCGACGACCTCCTGCACTCCTAGATCGAGCTCACAACTCATCACGGCTGTGTATGGCTCGCGGGCCAGTTGGTCCAGGAACTCGAGGCTGACGCTGTCGATCTTGTTGTAGACATAGAGGCTAGTACGAGTGTCAGTGGATGGGTTCCATCTTGGCTATCGGGTTTAGTTCGGGGTTGTCTGCTCACCAGCGAATGTACTTGCGGTGGTCCTTCATGATGACATCGATGAAGTCGTCAATTGTGGCTATAGTTCGTAATCAGTAAATGCTTAAGGATTAATCCGGATTCAAAGCTGATCACCAAACGTACCTTCGTCATCTCGCACCAACACCTCGGCGTTGAGAATTTTGTAGTCTCGCAAGACGTTGTAGATCATCTTCTCATCTAGGTTCTTTGGTGGTTGTGCGAAGCTGATCTTCATACCACCGGCAGTCTTGACCTTCAGATAGATATTCCTGGATAGTATATTGGTTAGCTTCGCGGTTTTCTATAATTCCAAACCCTATGCTTTTCTCTTCCAGAGCTGAGCCGGGTAACACGTTCAATACGTACGGGGGCTCCTTATTCAACCGAATACCGACAGCATCCAGTTCAGCCTCCAGCAAAGCTCGCTGCTCTGCCTTCTTAGTCGCATCCAAGATCATGAGAATCAAATCACTAGTCTTGGCAGCCGAAATGACCTGACGACCACGACCCTTTCCTTCCGAGGCACCCTCAATGATACCTGGCAAATCCAGGATCTGAATCTCGGCACCACCATACTCGAGGACACCGGGAATAGCAGTCAGGGTAGTGAAAGAGTAGGCAGCAGCCTCACTCTTGGTCTTAGTGATCTTGGACAGGAAGGTGGATTTTCCGACGGACGGAAATCCGACAAGAGCCACACGGGCATCACCACTTTTACTGACATCGAAACCGGCACCGCCACCGCCAGCACCACCTACTGGCTCGAGAAGCTGAGCTCGTAGACGAGCGAGTTTTCTATTCAAGAATATTAGTTTGGCGATCTGGATTTTTGATATTGCCCACGTGAGTGGAGTATTGGGGAGTGGCATACCCTTTCAATAGACCCAGATGATATTCTGATTTCATAGAATCAATACAAGTATCATCTCACTATAAATTTGAACAGGCATATAGTATAGCTTACCTGTTGCCTTATTCTCTGCGGGGCATTGTTAGCGGGGTGATAAGCGATCATTTGGATATCGGGTTCTCAACTTACTCTGCGTCCGGCGCATCTCATCCTCAATCCTGAAAACCAAAATATGAGCATCAAAACGTAGCCAGATATATTGGCCAGATAGCGGGGACCATACTCCTTGATCTTTTCTGTAATGTTCACCATTGTGCCGGTTGTTTCTCTCCAAACTCGCTAAAATCCTGAGAAATATCAATTCGAGTTTCAGCGTTTTTGTTCGTCGCGAAAACCGACGGCAACGCCAAGACCAGTTACGTAAGCGCCTTTTTACCACCGAAGTTCAAGCTCCGCGGCGACCTGCGACCAACCTTCATTTAACCTTCACTGAGCCCATATTCGCCCCAACCATGGCCGAATCCCCTGTCGCTGAGCCCGCCGTGGGTCAAGAAGTTGCCCTCGTGTCGGAGGAGCAAGCGGAGGAGCAACAACAGCTCGAACCGGTCAAGAAAACTAAGAAGATTATTCGCAAGAAACGCCGCCCAGCTCGCGTTCAGGTCGACCCTTCAGAAATCAAGTCTGAACAGCCCCCGCAGACTGGAGACTTGTTCAATATTTGGTACAGCAAGTGGTAAGTGCTTACTTGGCCGCGCGCGGTCGCGATCCCGATCCTGTCCATGCTTTTCTTGCGCCGAACCCACCACTAACTTATGCTTAATTCGACAGGTCTGGCGGTGATCGCGAAGATAGATTTGGATTGAACACACCTGCACCGACGAGATGCGACCCAGTCAAGGATTCGGGATACACCAAGGCGGACCGTGTGAATGGGTCATACTTCTGTGTACGTGCTATTCGATTCAGTTTCATACCGCTTATGACGACGGCGTGCTGATATCTTGGTTCGATAGCTTTATTTTGCGAAGGGAACGTGCTGCAAAGGATCAGACTGTGAATATCTTCATCGACTACCGGAACTTCATGACCTCTTCAATCCTAACGTGGATTGTTTCGGTATGTATTTATACATTGCACGACTATTAGCTTCAGAGACTGATGGATTTGCTATGGAAAAGGCCGCGATAAGCATTCAGATTACAGAGATGTACGTTTACTCTTGACATTTGCTCACGTCAATCGTGACTATCATGTGGGAATTACATTACTAACAACTATATAGGATATGGGCGGTATTGGATCTTGTAAATTACGACGACAATCCTTTTCTCTTACTCCCCTACTGACTTTTCCCTAGTTCACCGACAAAATCGCACCCTTTACGTCGGACGGATCCATGTCTCAGTATGTTTATTTGGCATTCATCTGTTGGAAGACACAAGAAGCTAACATGTATATTCTCATAAAGGATGCAATTGAAGAAGCTGTGGCCCGTCACTTTGCGCCTTGGGGAGCTGTTCAACGGATGAGAGTTTTATCAGGCCGTGGAGTTGCTTTCGTAACATGTGAGTTACAAACCCTCGAGTTCCTTACCGAGTACGCCATACTAACAATCACATCAGATATGAACGAGGCCAACGCCCAATTTGTAAGTGAAATCGCAAGAATGTGCGCAAAGAGCGCTTGACTAATCTCCGATATAATCAGGCCAAGGAAGCCATGAGCCACCAAGCTTTGGACCACAGTAAGCTCTAACTCTCCCCTGCCAACTCGTTATCAACTACCCTTTATCTAACTCCAACAGATGAGATCCTGAACGTAAGATGGGCAACAGTAGACCCCAATCCAGCGGCACAGAAGCGCGAACAGCGTCAATTGGAAGAGCAAGCCGCCGAAGCAGTGCGCCGCGCTCTCCCAGCCGCATACGTGGCCGAGCTCGAAGGCCGAGACCCCGAAGCCAAGAAGCGAAGGAAGATCGAGGGCACCTTTGGCTTAGAAGGATACGATGTTCCAGATGATGTGTGGCGCGCTCGCACACGCCAGCTAGAGTCGGCACCCGCACCCGCTCAGCTTGAGGCACCGGAGCAGCAATTGATGATTGAGGAGCCCACATACGCACAACCTGAGCCCGAGCCCGAGGCCCAGAATGGCTTTTTCTCCAGTGCGACTGTGGCTGCGCTCCGTGGACTTGCAGGTGGTAATGTTACGACACAGGCTACGTCCAAGCCATCCGGAGGGCCGTTGGTCGCTTACGGAAGCGATGATGAGAGCGACTAGGCGTGAATGTTACGCTGTGCTCTGCTCTGCGTGGGCAAAGGGTTGACTACAATCTATGATGTTCCAAGTGATTTTTCTTCTGCCGTGTACTATAGCGATACCTCTTTCAAAATTTCTAAAGAAAAGTCGATTCTTGCCCTATCTGTGCATTCCTGGAGGGCTTATTGTGCCTTATTCTCTTCCAAGGTTTATACGTAAATCTATAGCTGGTACTCAGGTTTTGGCAAGGACACATCTGGCTCAAGACAAGGTCATGCTGAGTTGAAGATTCTGTGAGGATGCGCGCGTTTGCGCTGACCAAACAGCACAAACAGCAGTGCAAAAATATATGTGCCACTGCTACTCTTGACGACAGCAACGACGGCGAGACTTTACAGGAACAAGAAGAATAGTATGTGTAAGAATCTTGATGGGCACCAGTGCTCATTCAGTTAAGGAGAGGAGATATTGGCGTTAATCATAACGGGGTATCCCGAGTGCTCGCTAAAAACATGACATAACATGGCTATGAGGAGAAATGGCATCAAGGGCGCCAGGGCCAAAGCAAAAACCCAAAGCATAAAAAATATACAAACCACCTATGCGATACAGAAATGCAGGAGAAAGACCCATGCAAACTTTGATGCCAACAAAATGAGACTCAGAAAGATTCATAAAATATACCAACTCCCCGATTTCCCCCTCTCCTCGTGTTAGATTCTTCATTCATGAATCATGATCATCTGTCGTTGCGGCCGAGATCGTAGTAAACGCACGAACCGGTCCGGTAGTTGTAAATGAACGCATTGGTGTAGCCCTCGGATTTCTCGCGGTTCTCCGAGGCCAAGTCGCTAAGGAGCTCATACACTTGACCAAGGTACTTGCGTTCGTTCAACGGAGCATTCTGAATAACAGTCCGCCAGCGCTCTGGATCAGAGAGTCGGGTGTCCCGAATCGCAGCAAGAATGTCATCGCGAGTATCGATGGCCGCGACAGGGCCATTGCGGGCCTTTTCAACAACTTCTCGGGATGAGAGTAAAGCAGACTCGACAATGTTTCTCCGGTTTGTCTTCTTACTCCGGTGCTGCGGCACGAGAATGCGAACACTATTCGCCTTCTCGTTAGACTGGATGACATCTTGTTGGCCGAATTGTCGGGACTGGCGTGGTTCGGCGGTTCCCTCGCGGTGATGGCGGGCTTGTGCTTCTGATCGAAGCCATGAGACGAGCTCTGAGCTGCGGATATCGAATTCCTCGCGGCGGACCAAGTTGCGGACCTTGTAGCCTCGTTCTTTGCTGTCTTGCTTTGCAATCACCACCCAGCGGTGGCCGTGGTCTCTGTACCTGGCCATTAAATCTTCGAGGGACGAAGCGTCGACTGCAAGTTCGGCACTGATGTCGTTCGTCCAAAGATCTTCGACTATCTTTATGCCCATAGTGCGGAGGACAGTCGCATCGAAGCTGGCCACAAGGACATCGCATCTGCGAGTTGCCCAGTAGAGCTCAGCCCCAGAGTCGGTCTCTTTTGGTGGGGTCCTGGTTTGGAGGTAATCGGCCATTGCAGATCCCAGTCGGTCAGAGCTAAGGTTGAATCCGACGGCGTGTGCTTGCGGTCGGCTGGATGAGACCTTTGGCGAGAACTCTTGGATTAACTGGTCGTATCGGCCACCTGCAGCAAAAACATCGCGGCGCTTTTGATCAAAAACGCACTGGAAGAGGACACTGCCTCGGTAGAATTTGTCATTCAAGCTACTCAGTGGGTTGATATAGATCTTTCGCTTTACACCAAAGCTTTGCAGGTAGTCCATCAGCACGTTCAAACGTGCAAAAATGGCGGGAACTCTGTCGCCATATTCAGTGCCTTCCATAATGATTTGGATTTTGCGCTGTGTCTCTTTCAGTGTATCTTTTGATTACGATGTTAGTGGAAATATCATCACTAGGAAAGTCAATGGCACGTACCTCTGAAGTCGAAACGGGCAAGCTCATCTAGCGAGGTAGATGCCACACCAATCGCTGGAGACCGAAGTTCACTCCGGATTTTTTGCATCGTCCATTTTCCAACATGGAGCTTGCTAAGAACGTCTTTCACAGATGGAATCTGAGAAGAAGTAATGCGGCAGAACTCCATGATGAGTTGCAGTAGATCAGAGTGGTTGACAAGGAAACACATCGAGGCGGACCGGAGAGGTGGAAACTCCTCGATGATTTCGTCGATCACTTTGATAACCTCCGCCTCCTTAAGTGCCAGGTCCAAAGTATTGTAAGAAACGATATCAAAGTCCACCTCCCGATGAGTCCGAGGTTCGCTCCCATGGGTTGAATCTCTGTAAACTGTTCCAAAGGCAAAAGTCTTCTCCAGGGAGCGGTCCTGCCGGGGAATCGCACGCGCATTAGGGACTGTTAGGTCAAATGGCAGCTGTAAAAGATTGCCCGAGGCATCCAACAAGCGTACTGCTCCACTGGAAGAATGCTGCGATCGTGGAAATAGCATTTGCCTCGCAGATTCCACCGCACCATGTCTTCGGAAAATGGAAGTCAGTTTATTTTTCACAAGGCCAGTGACCAGAAGCTCATTTGCAGCGGGTGACGCGCGCGAGTCCATATCCCAAGCCATGTCTTCGAATTTCTTCGGCGATTGAGAGAAAATCGCCGAAAGAATTTTCTTATAATCGGGAGAGTTCGGATCAGACAGAAGATGCACGATTGCTCTTCGAAACGTTTCTTCTTCGGCTTGCAGGGGAATCTTTCCACTAGAAAGAAGTTCAGCAGCCGTTGGTCGTTCCTTAGGCGCGTGATTGAGAAGAGATTCAATAATTTGGCCTTGGACAAACTTTTCAGATTGTTCAAAGGTAGAAGGGAGTTTATGATCAGGCTCTCTGATCGCGCGCAGGGTCTGGTCACGCTCCATTCCCGTAGGCAGTGGATGGCACATCTCGAAGAAGATAACACCAAGGGAGAACATCTTTTACGAATTAATACAATAAGAATGGATATCGGGTTTTGGCTCGAAAATACTCACATCAACTTTCTCGTCGTACTGACCCGCAATCCCAGACTTCATTTCAGGTGCCACATAATACGTGGTGCCCAAGCTACGAGTGAAATTGCCATCAAAATCACCTGGGGCAGACGAGCGCACGGCTGTCGTAAATTGGCCACTGGTAGCGAGACCCAAGTCACCAATACGAGGATTGTTAGCGACATCTATGAAGATATTATCCGGCTTCAGGTCGCGATGGATAAAGCCACGGCTGTGGATATGGCTCAGGCCATCGAGAATCTGTCGGAACAGGCGCCATGAACGATCGACGTCATCACACAAGCCGTGTAAGATCAGATCTCGCAGGGTGTGCTTCTCACAGTACTCCATTTGAATGTACAAAGTGTGCAAGACAGGACGACCGTTCGATCCAGATCTAGTATTGCTGACTTCAGTGCTGTGTTTGCTCTCCGTTCCAAACCAGTCATGGGAGTCTTGTCGGCCATGATCCGATACTGTCCCCTCATTTTCTTCATCACTATCATCGGCGGCAAACTCAATTTTTGGATACCCGCTGGAACTAATAAAATCAAGGCCACTGGGGCTTGTTTCGTGATGTTCCTGGCTGGTAAATGAATCACCATCAGTCGATGAAATAGCGTCTTCGTAAATCTGATGGAAATCTTCATCGAGCCATGAGTTATAGTACCGAACAACGTAGGGATGGTTCAATGCCGAAAGAAGCATGCATTCGGATAGAGTCACATTCAGCGCTGCAGCCGATGACTGTGTAATTTTCTTGACGGCATAAATTCGGCCGTCGAGTTTGTTTCTCGCTTTGACGACTTGTCCGAACCCGCCTCGGCCAAGTTGACCTACCTCATCAAAATCGGCATGGTATCGTGAGTAATTCGGAAGGGCACCGAAAGAGTCCATTCGCGGCCTTCTCTGCATGGATACGGAATTGGAGGTTCTTTCACGCACTGTTAATGGCGCATCGACACGGAAGAATTCGGATGGCAGTAGTTGAAAAGCTGTCGCACGTTTCTTAGGGTCAGGTCGAAAGAACTCTCGAAGCAGATCCTGAAGGGGTGGGGAGAGACCCAAGGAAACCATCAGTTGGTTAGCCGATGTATATCTCAACAAGACATCTTTTCCAAACGCCATCTGCAGCAAAACAATTCCCAGGTCCCAGACATCCGTCTTCATGGATGGCAATGTACCCTCTTCTGTGAGCTCAGGGGGGATCCATAGTGGCGACTTGGACGTGTTCAAAGAACGCTTTGTGGCGGCAAATTCAGGTAAGGCCTGTTCCACACTAGACTGAAGCTTGACAGTCGTTGCACCAGATGCATTTCTGAATATCATGACTCGGCCACAGTGGATAGTTCCATGAACAAATCCACTCCGTCGGTAAAATTCTAAAGCTTCAAGAAGTTGAATCATCCAACCACGAAGTGTCTCGACCGCAACAGTACCAACGATATCCAGAAGCTCGGATAGCGATCCCTTGTTGGCATGCTCAAAGAGAGCATAAACAGTCCACGAGTGATCTGGCGAGTTGAAATCGTTGACGGGGCGGGTGATTTTGAATCCTACAAATTCAACCAAATTTGGATGTCGAAGTCGTTTCAGGCACTCCAATTTATCTTCGCTTGTCCGCATCTTCTCTCGAAATGACACAGCATCAGAGCTTTTCTCATCCAAGAAAATCTCCTTAAGTACTAGCAGTGGAACATGGCATCGACCTTCAGAGACAACTGGTCTCACGGTGAACGTCTTCTTAGTCTGGTGGGAGTGCAGAAGTGTTTTTCCGTGCACGGCACGGAACACCAGTGGCTGTTCATCGGTGTCATTGACAGCTACTGGCGGGTCAAAGGAGATAGCACCAGGGGTATTCTCCACAAGATCCTCCACTTCATTTGAATCCACCCCACTCCCCCGACTCTTACGCCTCAAGGCCCGTGCTCTGTTCCGCTGCCGCATTTTGTCTTGGAGCAATGCCTGGAGAGCGTGTTCTTCAGCTACAGAAGCGGCTTCTTGTTTGCGTAGTTCTTCTTGTTTTTCAAGCTCGGCGCGCTCCACGGCTGCTGCTTTTTGCTCCATTCGCTCTTCTTCGAGGCTGGGGAGGTCTTTATTCTGCTCACGCGCTTGCGCTACATCCTCTAGAATATCCTGGATCGATACTGCCAGTTCATAAATCATCTCCGACCCTAAGAGGCACGCAGGCTTTTGGCGAACGATGTCTTGGATACGGGAGCGGGCCCCATCACGAAAATCATCGAGGTTGTTCAGTGAGAGATTGGGGACACTTTTAGGATAGGTGGCAGGTAATTCCACCAAAAGGATAAGACAGATTTCAGGATTTGAGGAGGCACGAAGGTGGAGCTTAAAAGTCACGTCGGAAGTCTGCTATATGAAGTCGCGACTGTTAGTGCTCATATAATGTTCAAGAACACAGAAAGCTTGGTACACACCTGCCATGCCGACCGCCGGTTCTCGACGTCTTGAAAATCATCACCATAGATTGAGCGTAATGCTTCCACCTCATTGAGGTGAATTTCGCGGTAATTGGTAGTTGGGTTTGGTGATGTGAGGGTGGATGAGTCGGTAGAAGTTTGCTTTTGATGGCGGGGAGCTTTCTTCCTATGTTTGGGAGACATCGCGGGCTGTGGCGCGAAATCGCCCTACATCCGGATTTCGTTCGACGACATGGGGAATAAAATAAACATGGACAATGGGGTTGAGAATTACAAGTCAGAGAACGAGGTTCTTTTTTACACGAGGGGGAAAAAACAGGCGGTCAGTTAAAACGAGAACAATTTACTTATCGATATCGTGTTCACCGCTTGCTTGCGAGGTTCAAATTGTCATTGTGAGATGACGTTCCAGTTATACAGGAATACACATCTAAAGATTATGTTCTAGATAGATCTTTCAAAAATTGTCTTTTTTGTTGAACAGTCTACTCGTCCTCCCTCTTACACTCTAAAGCCTAAAATAAAGTCCAAGTCATACAGGTCTGCCCAATTGTGGGGATTGTCTGCGTTGGTTAAACTTGTATACAATTGGCACTGCAGTAGTCAGTGCCACCAAATTTGAATGTTTCAGCTTATGGTTGTAAATGACCCATATATGCAACTTGGAATTAATGATGTGACCACAATTGATGCCGAACATTTAAGAATGTCTTATTGATGGCTCACATAGTAACTTGTAGGTCGGTGCTCTACAGTATATAGGACCGTATTCAATATCACTATGTACTAACCTTAATATGTTGACTAGTATACTGGTAGAGACCCGTGGGTAATAGCACTTGAGGTTTGAAGAAAAGTAAATATACTACTATGTATATAACGAATGGGTCTTATAAAACCCGAATTTTGCTTCCCTTAAGTGCTATTGATGACCTATGTACAGAGTATGTACGGTACTTTATTTGATCCACTTATAAACATGGTGGGTCGTGCAAAAGATGTGCATAGTTGGCCACCTCAAGTGCTTGAGCATACTAAGTCGGTGTGAAGTTGACGTAGGTTGTTGCCTATGATCAACAACTCTTTTAAATAAAATATTTGAATGGCTGGTGGGATTTCCTGGTACTTATGGTACTAGTAGGTGACTATCAATTTCAACATCCATAGGTTTCAGTCATTCCCGAGGTCCAAGGTTCTACTACTCAGCGCATCTATTAACTCGGCTACTTTATACACCAATTGATCAATAGTAATAAGCAAGTACATATTCAGCATTTATAGCACTTAAGCAAATAAGTGACCTCGATCTTAATTGGAATGATCTAAAGACCTGGTCATGGGTGCTACCAATCTTGTAACCAAAATATTGCCAACGCAACATTTCAGACGCTATTATTGCATGTGAGGATTAAGTCTCCAACCACCAAGATTATCGGCACATGGCTCCAATGACTCCACTACTTCCTGGCCATAGGACTAGCAGATTGTGCCGTCAATAACTAGCGATTTGGGCATACCCAGGGAAAGGGTAATATGAACATTTGGCCAAAATGGTCACAGTCTCCATAAGTTGCCATAAAACTTATTGATCATCGTCCGATCAACGGCACAGGCGGGTGGCTCAAATTCAAAACCGACAGTACGTGGGCAGGGCGCACGAGGACTGTGATGTCAAGGACTGACCACGAAAGTTGGAAAGAACAAATCAACAATGTGATGAGAAAAAAATTCGTAAATAGGCTATTGTCGCCTCATAAACGTGTTACGTGGGTATACTATCTATAGCTGTATTTAGTATTTGGCGGTGTGCGTGATGCGAGGAGCATGAGGTCACATCAACAGACAAGGGGTTATCACACGATTAGGGAGTTCCGGTCAGACTGATGACTTCTTTTAGTGCCTGAAGTTTTCAACTTCCTAGTAATCCTTTCATGACAATTTGATGATAGCAGGAGTCCAGGACTCAGGGCTGGTAGCGGTTCGTGTTGTTTAGCGTCGATCTGAAGTTGATTATCGATAAGCGCTTTCTGCTTCCCCGACGCGTTGATTGTTTACTCGTCACAATTTCTCCCGCTTACCTTTCAACACCACAGCAACATGCTGGACTGGATCAAGGGAAATGAGCCAGAGGCTGCAGGTGAGTCTATATAAGAATCGCGAAGAAAAAAAAAATCAAATTAAATCAAATAGGAAAAAAAAAACTGACAGTTGCAGACGCCTCCAAGGTGCTAGAGCCCCCCGAAACCCCAGCTCCCGTCTTTGCGCTTCGCGCCTTTAAAAGCGCTTTATTTGGGACACCAGCCGCGGAGGATGAAAAGACCCCTCACCCAGCGCAGCCAAAGCAAGCATTTCAAGGGCACCAACGCAGTAAAAGCGATACCACGAAACCCATCTCAATTCCTGTCCCCACGAAATTGGAACCCGCAAAGGTCGATCTCGACGCAATGGCAAACCCCTCAGGCTCCCCAACAAAGAGCATTCTCGTCACTCCAGGCACGATCTCGGCCCGGCGCAAGACTGTCTCATTTGGTGAAAGCGTGGTGGACAACGAAGGGAAGCGCGACAGTCACTCTTTAAAGGTGGTCAAGACTCCCCCAAATCCATCTGGCAATCTTAGCATCCAGTGGATGTCGGGATCGACGGATGGAAAGCCGCGCAGCAAGCTCACTCAGACCTTGCTGGACGCACGCGATAATGCAACGAAAAATGGGGACTCGGACAAATCTACGAACGCTCCGTCCGATTCAAACGTCACCATGCGCGCCCAATCTAAAGATGAAAGTGAAGGAGAAGATATTACATTAAACTTAGACGAACCCCGGTCGGAATCCGGCAAGTACTGGAAGACAGAATTCGACAATTATCGCATGCGCACCAACCGCGAGATCAAGAAATTGATTCACTATCGAGCCATCGCCAAGTCTTACGCCCGCAAGAAGGACTCAGAGGCTCTCCGACTGGCAGATAAGCTCAAAGAAGAGGAAGAGAAGGTCGCTGAGATGGAACGTCAAGTTACTCGTCTTGCTTCGTCAATCACAGAAGGGGGTTCCAAGGCCGATCATGAGCAACTGATTCAGGATCTGACAAAACAAACCACCCTGGCGCTACAATACAAACAACAAGTCACCTCTCTGCGCACTTCTCTCGAGAAACAAGGCGTGGTAAAAGGCGGTACCACACAGGTCAGCGAGCCAGCAAAAGAAACCCCCGCTTCAAACACATCTTCAGATGAGCTCCGGAAAACACAGGAGGAACTCAAACAAGCAAACGCCAAAATTGAAGAGCTAAAGCGCCGGACGCCAGACTTGAGCAGGCTGGAAACTCTCGCACAAAGCTCGGAGAAGAAGGCGCAAGATCTCGAAAAGGAGAACTTGAGCCTCAAGAAAACTCTGGCTCGCGTCAAACAAGAGATGACAGGATATGAAGGCCGACGCAAAGAGAAAGAAAACAAGCTGAAGCAAAGAGAATCCAAACTAGAGGCACGCGTTCAGGAGTACCGCGATCGTCTTAAAGCCATCACCCAAGAGCACCGACAGTCAGATGATGCATTGAGAAAGAGCATCGACGACCAACGCTGCCGTATGCAAACCCAAATCGACCAATTAAGGACAAGAGTTTCTGCTGCAGAACGCGCGCCTGCCCTCCCTACTCTCCGCTCTCAGCACCGGCACTCACTCAGCCCTCGGAAGGAGTACACAGGCGTGCAGGTATGCGACTTTGCAGGACAAAGCCAAATACCCGACTACCCCGAGGTAGAAGAGGAGGAAGAAGCTACAGATGAAATCGAGGCACCACCCAGTCCGAGCCCGCGCTCCAAATCCCGTGACACGCGACACACCCGCAATGTCACGACCGGCACCCTCGAGCTCAAACGTGCATCCAGAGACATGCAACACATCTCTTCGAATGACGCCTTGGTCACGCAATACCTGAAAGACGTCCTGCCAAACCGTCCCAATCTCCGCTCCCGCCATACAGACCTGGGGGTCATCCCGCCTTCCTCGCCTCCTGATCTCAGCACTCTGAAGTCGCTCGGCCGCGGCCCTTCCAAATACCTTTCTGGCGATAATCAACGCTCATACCGCTCTCTGCGCGACCACGGTATCGCAAATTCAAATACCCAAACTGCCTATACGAACTCACACCGCCCACGGACGCATATTAGGTCTACGTTGGATACCATCTCAGGCACGGTCTCTTCACGGGTAGGTAATTATGCTGGACACACCATATCTGGTGGAGAGCGATTTGGCAAACGCTACGATTTGGCTAATTTGACCAGTGAAGCCTTGACCCCTGATCGAATTGCTGCTGCCAAGTCGCGGCTGAGGCAGAAAGAGAGGCTGAAGGCTTGGGGGAAAGAGAATTTGTGAGGTCCGTGGTCATTTGATAAGAGGTGATGATCCATTTCCAATTTGCTGGGAGTGTCGATGCAGTCTCGTTTTCAGGCGATTCATGGAGATGTTTGTACTTTGTTTTCTTAGCGATGAATTGAATATGTGAAGAAGCACAATATCACTGTATAAATCAAAACTTATTATCTACATCATTATCCATCCCTTGACTATTTGGATATGAGAGTAGCGTCCGTCCGTCGCTATCTTTGGAGTTCACGTCGACACCCTCTCGCCATGCAAACTAAGCATGCATATGATATTTATGTACATCACATCAGTAGAATGGATTGAAATCCCGAGCCAAATAGATCGAATCCCTCTGCCAGCCCGTCTCCTTCTGCCTCTGCTTCTACGTAGCCCGGAGCTAGTTCAATCAACGCGTCCTCCACTTCGTCATCGTCCACCTCTTGCTCCTCTGACTCAGTCAATAGAATCTCTAGAAGCGGTTTTTTCATATCCAGCCTATCAAAGAACATATTGTTAATTCATATCACTCATAGCCTGGCTCTTAAACTTACGCTTCATCGTCAAAATAAATCCTTTTATCCATCGGGTCCTGCTCCTGTCCATATACTCCTAGAAGGGTTTCTAATCGCTTTCCTGTCCCTATTATAGGCAATGATAAAGAGAAGAAATTCAAGGCACGAATACGGTGGCCTTGGTAAGGCACGCCATTAACATAGGAAAGAATTAGGAGTACCATGCCGGTATTCAGCGCATAGTCATCCACAATAATTGGAGGGGGGTGATAGGAATCATAGACTGCCTCCCCTATATTGTTGAAGGCTAAGATGCCGAAATCTGCAGTCTCTAGACCCTGGTACTGCTTGATGTTATCAAGAGTAACAAAATCATTCTCTTTTGGCGTGATTGTAAATGTTTCTGTTGCGACATGACCCCACATCCTATTGTAGTCATAGAACATCAACTGAATCTTCAACCAAAGCGCCCAGTTAGTTGATGATCTTGGGGCGTCTGCAGTAAGATACAAGTCCCAAGGGACAAGCTTACTATGATAGTAGCAGCCGTAATTAGAGATTTCCTGTATGTAATAGGTTCAACATTTGAAATGTTAAAAAATGGATATCTCCTAATTATATCATAGACTGAATATTAAAGAATAGAGAGAATAGAATTCTTACCTTCTGTGAGAATCGCTGTTCTAGGTCAAGGGCCTTATTTTCATATAACTATTCAAATGTTCCAGATATATTAGCCTCTATATCTAGAGATATATGTAGTTATAGTCCATAGATTTATTTATAGGGAATCATGGAACATACATCTCGGAAATCTTGCTGGGCGGTGACCCAGGTTTCAATCAAAGATCGACGTTGTTGAGCCTTAGAGTCATCCGTTTCCTCGCTCGAGACCCAGTTTTCCCGAACAAAGCGATACCAGCCCTTCACGGTTGAAGGGAAATCACAGGGCTCGACATTAAAGTTCTCTGTTGGGGACTTGATGAAAGAAGGAATGCCGCCTGGCCAGAACTTGGCTTCTGTCGTCAAGGTCGGTTCGCCAAGACGACGCTGAAAAATTCCAGGCTGCGGCATAGCCATCGTGGAAAAGGGAGACGGTGATGATGATGATTGATGATATGTAAACGAATGAACAGTCCAATGAATCCCTTTCTTGGCTTAAATGCCAGGTAAATGTACCGAAATTGAGGTCAGGCAAAGAAAGAAGACAAAAAGAAAACGTAGAGTGGAAAACCTTGGAATTACTAGTAATATAAATCATAATAGATGATCTAACTATGTGGAGACGAGAATTACGCCAAACGGACCCCTGGACCCCTTGGCAGTGTGGCCATGTTGAGCTTAGCGTGGAAACTGTAATGCGTGATTGGTGGCTCTCGGTGTAGGGCAGCATGGGGCAGCCTCTCAAAGCAACAAGAACAAAAAAAGACAAAACAAAAACATACAACAGTCAGGATTCGCATGTGGTCACCCACCATACTACTAACTGACCGGCGTGTGGCTTAAGTACGGCTGAGCGGACGGGAAGCCCTGTTCTCCACACCCTATGGTCGTATGTACTGGTAGCTTCATGTAAGTGGAATATGTAGTACAAACTAGATATAGTTTGGTTTATTGAAGTTTCAACTTTTGAAGCGCACTGGTAATACATGATATTGAAAGGGCTCATATATTTAAAAATAAACGGTACCAGCCCTACTCGTCCGCATGACCCCTCCATTCAGTCTGACTCGTGCTCAAAATGTTGACGACTCAGCTCTTCCGTCTCCATGGTCAATTCCTCCACGAATAGAGAGCTCAAAAATCCCAAAGCTCCAAAGGCTGCCAGTTCATACCAGATTGTCTGCATGGCATCCTTGTATGCCCTTCGAAGAAGGTCCCGCAGATCAGAGGAGATGTCGACTGTTCGTAAATAGGGAATAAAGCCTATAGCTTCACTGGGATATTTCAACAATGCCACAGAAGCCGGTAATGCAATACCTTCAATCCTGTTCGCGAAGACACTGCTGAACGTAGTGGCACCAACAGCAAGACCAATAAGAGCCCCAAATAGCCGAAACCCAACCATGATTCCCATCGCAAGACCCTGGTCTTCAGCTGCAGCACTAGCTTGCATCGGGATTGGAGGAACGCTGAATATCGTGCCGATCCCTATCCCTGCAATTACCTGGAAACTAGCAGTCATAGCCAGAGAAGAGGATTGGTCCCACAGTGAGAAAATGCCACATCCAACGGCGAGAAAAACCCATCCAGCCCAAATTTCCCATCTGTATTTTCGGAATAAATCAACGGCGAAGGCGGCTATTCCAGTAAAAACGAAGACCACGCAACAGAATGGTAGAATCGAGATGGAGGACTGGAGCGGTGTTTCGAGATAGACCGCTTGGAAAAACAGTGGAAGATATTGCAGAAGAGTATAAAGCACGAAGCCATGGATGAAGCTTCCAAGCAGGGTCATTTGTGCCGTTCGCGAGCGGAAGATACGATAGGGAAACACAGCATCAGTCGGATAACGCTCGTAAAATCCAAATCCCACTAAGACCAGAACACCAATGACTAGCGGGACGATAGTCCGCCACGAGCCCCAAGGATACATATTCCCTGCCCAACTTAGAGGTAAGGCAAAAAGAATACAACCGACCGCAAAGACCAACATTCCAAGCCAGTCTATACGGCCAAGCTGAGCGCCAAGGGACTGGTCAATGGGCTTCAGACGTAGGAAGAAGAGAGCTAGAAAAAAGGCAACGCCAATCACAGGTAGATTGATCCAGCCTATCCATCGCCATGTAACATACTCACTAAAAACAGCACCTAGAATGGGACCCGCGATGCATCCTAAGGCCATCGGTAGGGATAGTAAGCCGATATATACGGCCCGTTCTTGCAGAGTGGTGATATCGGCGACAATGACTTCACTTAGCACGTCGAGTCCGCCTCCGCCCAGTCCTTGTAGCACACGTCCTACAATCAAGACTGCCATGCTGTGTGCGACGGAGAAGACGATAGATCCAATGGCAAAGAGCGCAAAGGCCGCGTAAAGGGGGATCTTACGGCCGAATATATCCGAAAAGCTGGTATAGATAGGTTGAATGACGACGACTGCTACCGTAAAGGAGATATTGGCCCAAAACGCGGTCAAAGTTGTTCCTGAAAGATCACTAGTGATGGCCTTTTGAGGGGAACAAAGTAGGTAAGTTGAATGGTCGTTTGGGATCATGGGCTGGGTCTAGAATTACAGGAATTGCAACGGCCAATGTGGTGGCATCCAAGGATACCAAGAAAACCATTAACAGCAGAGATATGAATGCAAGAAAGAACGATAGAGGCTTTCTCTTGCGGCCACGCTGTCCTGCTTCAGGATCAATCGGTGCTGGGGCATCTGACACATTTTTCTTCTCTGTAGCGTCGCAATCAGATTGGCATTGAGATTGTGGTTGACAATAAGCTTCAGCTTGAGTTTTGAGATCGTGTAAAGATGTCTGGTCGTGAGACTTTGTCACATTTGATGGCGCGACATCTGTAAATAACGACATCTCTTGGGTCTTGTGGAATGAATGTAAAATTAATTGACAACTCGGATTTCTCCCCTGAGAATGATAATGGCGTTAAATATGGCCATAGTTAGCTCTGTTCGAAACGAGCAATTAGTAATGGGGTGGATTGGTAATCGATCGTCTGTTGTTTATGTTAACTGCATTCAGTACTTTGGGCGATAAGGAATGGCGTGATATAATCCTTGTCTAAATATGATCGTGCGTCATCTCGCTGCGAGTCAAGGCAAGAGGAGCCGAGAAAATATTTGAAAGAAACAAAAAACAAAAAAAACAAGAGATTTAGCGGTGGCCTTAGTTGGAACTTAGCCAAGCCCTAACTAAGACCCGACTCACAAGGAGGCTAAACTTGCAGGATGGAAGATCCGCTCATTCCTTTCGCCTGTCTTTTCTTTTTTTTTGTCCATTTGAAGGAGGAATTGCATGTGAACTATCGAATTGTTGGGGGGATAGATAAGCCCCTGCACATGTCTAGCCTCACTTCGTTCAGCTACTAGATATAGTTTCGTTTATCAATTGAAGTTCCAACTTTGGAAGCACACATGTGCTTTGATAAAACAGTTGAATATGATATTGAAAGGGCTCATATATTTATGCCTTTTTGGAGCAATACTTCAATGTTAGTTAAAACCACAGGCTTGTGCCTGTAGGTCCGGTCTTTAATTCCTTAGTAGAATAATTGATAGCTAGACCAAGATACAAATTCGAGTCTTCAAATGTTGTTCACATGTGATGCCAGTGTTCGCGCCAATAATAGCATGATTCGGCACATTCCCAGTCAAGGGTCTCGTCACACTTATGTCCCCACATCGGCCTCTCTAGCAATTTTTGACACAGATCATGACAGAATCCTGGGACCGTTTTCAAAAGCTCAGAATCAATCACCGGTCCTGCCTTCCTTGTGTGGTCGCGATGGTATCCGGGAATCCCATATTGTATCAGGTCCCGAATAAACCTTTCTCTCACTCCCTCATAGTTACACCTCGTTGAATACATTTCCCGAACATGCCTTCTAAAAGTATCATCTTTGAGGCAATCGTGTCGGTAAGGATGACCTTGTGAGTTTCCACCACTTATCATTTCTCTTAGAGAGTCATCGAGAACGTCATCAAGAAGGTATTCTTGCAAGTCTTCGATCATGAAGTAGTTCGCCTCGCCCCACAAACGCATGTTGAGATAATATTTACCAGGGTTGATGGGTGCAGTGGTAGCAGATTCAACTGTAACCGCTCTGCTAGAAGAAGCTAGAGACCGCTCATTCATTTGGAATGATTCAGCATCTTCAGGCAAGTTCGGGTTCCAGGGATGGTGAAGGTCATAGGTAACAGCTCCTTTGTACATGAATTCCAACACCTTCAAAATGACCCAAGGATCTTTGTCATCCAAATGAATCACACTAGTATTTGATTCCTAGAAATCGTGGTCAATTTATAACTCTAGGTAAACGTCATGACCAATTTTCAGTCGTCTTACCCTGAAATCTCCAAAGCAAGCTCGATGGAAATACTTTGACCTTGGGCAGACGATTGTTTTGTGCACTGGGAAAATTTTGTCTCCGCAGGCAATAGTTAGGTCGCTGTATTCTGGGTTGAGAAAGAGACTATAGGTTATGGTGATGTTAGCAATGGGCCCACCATAGTTGGTATTTCGAATTATGCTGATCTTCGATATCTCACCTGGAAACCACCATAGCAAGAGGTGTATGATTAGCATCGTAGTAGAAAGCAGGACTAGATAGCCCGGGCAACATGATAGGCATTTGAAGTAAGACACAGGCTGGTCTGTAAATCACAAAACGAAGTGAACTTTTGATCAGCTTTTTTTCTCCTGCCTGTGCGGTAAAATTTGACCAAGAGCAGAAGTATGTCACGGTGTAATTCCAGGGAAAGACGAAGACCGATTTCAGTAGTACGGTGTAAACTGAAATTCTAGCACAGAGAGAGAAAAAAAAAAAGGAAATCAGACTGGCCTTAAGCCAACTCTTTTATACCCCTCCTCTTCTTCATGGAAGTTTCCTTCAGTCAGTAGCAACCATCAAACATTCTGACAAGCAATAGTCAAGCAATCTCCAAGCAATAGCAAAGCAAACTTGATATCCCCAGGCTCTTCGCAGTGGCCTTACTACTGAGGCGAAATTCAAGTTAGGTGCATTGACATCTGTATCTGAAACATTACCCTTTATAAGCAACAAATAAAGCTATTTGACAATGGCTATCTTCGTGATCTAACCTGTCTATCCAAAATGGCCTCTAGTATGTGCACCATTCTATCAGTCTAGATGCAAACCAAGTAATATCTAGATACATCCTTCCTGTTGCGGGAGGGTTCCCCAACTATCAAATCATCATCGCCATTAATCCATATAACCCACTCTCATTTTGATCAGATCATGTCTTCAATCATGACTCTACTTTAGGCCTTGCCGTCGGAGAAGGACACGACGGCCCATTTACCGCTCCAGGCCCACTTGCGAACCTTTTCATCACCTCCACCAGGCTGTTGGCGGAGCTTCTCGTCTACACCGGCTGGGAGGCCAACGACAGTATCGGCTTTGCAAGTGCGGAATGCAAGAACACGGATACCCGATTTGGGGCCCATGGGGCCGATGGCTGTTGTGAAGGGGGTTGTGGGGTCCCATTGAGCCTGGATAATGTGAGTAAATGATTTATGGGATCTTGAAAAATGGGAATATAGATGCTTACATCGTTGGTCAGTTTGCGGTAGTTCAAGTCACCCTTGAAAAGGACCAACTCGCTCTCCTTCAAATCATCGAACAGCTCAGGGGCCACTTGGGGTAGACGCCAGTAGCCGCCTTGGGTAGTCCAGAATGCGTGAGGGCGCATGATCAATTTACCTTCCTGGTGGAAACCGCTCCATTGTTCGAAGAGGAACTGGACGTCGGAGACCTCCTTCTCGGAGAGCTCAGGGAAGGTCTTGCCCGAGTCATCTGCGGCAGTGTAGAAAGCCTGGGGGTCGACCATGCAGTTGAGAAGGTCCATGAAATCCTTTGGTGTGACATCGGACACAAACCAGGGAAGGCGCTTGGGGTGGAGAACGATGGTGGTTGCCAGTCCGGTGGAAAGCAAATATCCAGCCAAAATCAGGTCAACGAACAGCTCGAAGCCAGAGTTATCGAGGACGATATCGACACGGCGCTCGCCATCCTTCTTTTCTTTACGTGCCTTCTGCATGACTGCAAAGGCGGCATCGAGGTCGTTAACAAGAATGTTGCTCTGCGAGGCTTTTCGGGCCTCGGAGCCCTGCAGCTTCTGGATATCCTCATAGGTGAGGGAAGTCAGGAGGGATAGATCAGTGGCATTGCCCCACAGGCAGATCTCGCACATCTCCGAGAAAAGGAGCTTCTCAGCTGCCTCAATCTCCTCGGCAGATTTGCCCTCTGATCCCTTGCCGCTCTTGGCTTCTTCGGCCAGCTCGCGGTAGCGGGCAGCGAGTTCAAGAACCGCAGGGCGAGATGACTTGAAAGTCGACATCTTCTGGCGGGCGAACACATCGTATCCCTTCCAGTGCTTAGATAATGCGAAGAAACTCTCAATGCGGCGGTCTATGATAAAAAAGTTCAGTATTGGTGCAAAATAGTCAAAGTAGTGTGGTATCCTGATGGGACGTACACAGGTAGCATTCGGAGTAAAGCCAAGGCACATCATGCCAGACCGGGTTTCCACGTTGCTCCAACTCCTCGTTATAAGAGGCGATATCCGGATGGCCATCATCCTCAATGGGTCTAAAGGTAAAATTGGTGAGCTTCATAGGGAGCTAACAATTTGATGTCGGAGTCTGTGCACTACTCACGTTAATTGGCGGTTGTGCTGTAACTCATATTTCAGTTTGGCAAGGTTGGCAATAATGGCCTTTCCCTCATTCTCCTTCTCCTCGTTATTGGCAGTAATAACACTTCGGTGGAGATCATCGATAGCACCAGTCTTTGAAAGTCAGCAATTGACTTTTTTTCTTTGTACGACCGGGACTGACTAACAATGATAACGGGCCATCGCTCGTTGGCCGAGGTCGAGGCAAAGCTCGACTGGTCCGATGTGAGGTATTGAGCTAATAATTGTGAGCTTTTATTTTGCCAAAATCTCAATTAGGTCCAGTACTTACGAGTATCTGGGTCGAATTCCATCTTTTGAATAGTGGAGTTAAGATTGGAGTGGGGTGGAAGTTTAGCTGCGTCACAACGCGAGGGGAATCGCGGGGCAGAGGGCGGTGAGGGTGAGGGGAGGCCAAAGCAACAGTAAATTAATGAATTAGATTGATGGGAGCTTGGACTCTTTCCAATACTTACTAGTAGTATTTGATTTACTGTTGGTGCACTTTTAAGTGGTACCTCGGGCATACTGGGACGAATTTACACATTGCCAAGATTTACGAATCAATATAGTGTTTATCTCGGTGGCAACAATAACATTCCAAAATTCGTGAAGACGTCAAGTAGTTACATGTACGTGGATCTCTAGCTTCTTTTTCAAAATAAGAAAACGCCACCGCTTGCAAACAAATATAACTTATCACATCATCTGTGAAAGGATTGAGTTCTGTGCGTATGCCTGTACATGAAGTTAGCTCTACTGTTCGGTCCATAGGCATGTCCCAATCATGTTTCGAAGTGCTTACCATAGGCTTGATATCTGGGTGAGGAACGGCCTCAAACACCTCATAAGCGAGCTCGAGCTCGGGTCCGATGTTAATATAAGCTCCCTTGTTCTCGGTCGAATCACAGTAACGGGGTGCAGAGAAGACGGTGATACAGCGACCATCGTGCTCCACCTCATAACCGCCCATGCGCACCTCGTGGGACCTGATGATAGCCTTGAGACCATTGGCCTCGCAGAAGCGCTTGGTAACATCGGGACCGAACTGCATACCGACTCCACGCTTGCTAGGTCCACGACCGGGCTGGGGCTGGGGATCGGTCCAGAGCATCTCCATCATCAGACCTTGCTGACCGGGCTGCCGTTGGTTGTGACGGTTCAGCTTGCGGACATCGTTGAGAGTAACCTTATCATCGGAGAAAAGACCACCGTGTAGGACAAGGTACTTCTCGCCAATCAGGGTGGCCAGAGGGAGGGCCGAGAATGACTCAGAGAAGACCTTGAAGACTCGCTCGTTATACTTCGCCTTGCACTCGCCCTCGAATCCGTAGACCTTGTTCATGTCATCTGTCTCGTGGTTTCCACGGTTCAGGAAGAGGCCGTTGGGTCGGAACCACTTGTATGCGTAAAGAAGCAAGGCAATTTCACACGACCATGAGCCGCGGTCCACGAAGTCACCGTTGAACAGGTAGGCGTGGGTATCGGAGGGTGAGCCGTTGCGACGGAAGATCTCCAGGAGATCGAAGAATTGTCCTGGTTGTGACGTCAGTCTGCATTTCTTCCATGTTTTACAGAGTTGATCAATGCATGCATACCGTGAGTATCACCGCAGACAGTCAACTTCTTGCCGGCCTCGACGCCAATTTCCACCATTGTCGGCTCGTTGTAAACAAGCTCCTTGGTAGCCTTGATAATCTGCAGAACATACTTGCGGTGAATGTTCTTGCCGTTCTTAAATCGCTCAATCATGTCGTCAATGAATTCCTGTGTCATCTCTCCGCCCAGGCGCACTCCATCATATCCATCTTCGACCTTAATCGCTTCAATGTCCAAACCCTCGAAGGCGGAAGGCGGGTCCGCGACCTCAATAGCCTTCTCGAATTCTATGCGGCGCACCAGCTTCTCGCATTCTGCCAACTTCAACTTCGCATTTTGGTTTCCGGGTTCACGCTTCACAACTGCCTTGAAATCCTTTAGGGCTTCCTTGTAGCTCAAGATAGCGGTGTTGGCAAGGGCACGTCTCCAGTAAGCCTAGATAGGATGACTAGTCAGTCACCGGGGTCCCATGGTCGTAAATTCCAAACTCATGTGTGCACAATGTGTGCTTAGTCGCTTTTTTGAGGCAGGTATGAGGACGGTAGGGGTTCAGATAGCGACTAACCTTGACGTAGTTCGGGTCCAATTTCAAAGCCGCGGTGGCATCGGCGACAGCGTAACCAAACGCCTCGAGCTTGATCTGGGCCTATCCGAAACAAAAAGCACCGACTGTCAGCGGGACTGATCCGGTAAAGATCTGTTGTATCAAGGGCCGAGGACCGGGCCGACTTACCTGAGCACGGTTACAGAAAAAGGACGGCTCTTGGTCATATTTCTCGATTGCCTGGCTATAAAAGTCGATAGCAGCTGGCCACTCATGCTGAGCAAAGGCCTTGTTGCCCTGCACCTTCAGCGCGTTGGCAGCCTCTTGATTGGAAGCCATGGGGCGAATTTGTAGAGGGGCACGAGACCGGTGATCGGGGTTTTAGTGCGGAGGGGGGAAAGAGGCAAGAGGAGAAAAGAAGTGAATGTTCTAGCTCTCGGTGAATAAATGGCCGGAATAAAAAAGGCCAAAAGAAAAGAGTAACCAAAGAAAAGAAAAAGCGCGAAGAGAAAGCGGAGAAAGAGGAAAAAAAGGTTCAAAGGTTGAATCTGGTTCCTGGCGCTTCTCTCAGTCTCTTTTTTCTCCGGGAATGGGAGGGCTTGGCACTCCAGAACCATCGACTCCGAACTTCCAATCCAACCTCTTTCTCTACTCTAGCTCCAATAACCCTCCACACCATGTCGTTCTATGCCGCTCCTAACCAGCAGCGCCATCTGCGCGCTTGCATGGTCTGCTCGATTGTTCAGTCTTACACAGTGAGTGTCAGCCTTGTTCCTCATCCCAACCCCCAAGAGCTAGCTGACCTGGTGAACCAATCCCAGAAATTCCAGCGCGACGGCTGTCCGAACTGCGAAACTTCCCTCCAGCTCTGCGGAAACACCGACGCGATTCAGGAATGCACATCTCAGGTCTTTGAGGGTTTGATCGCTGTCCGCGACCCGTCCGTCAGCTGGGTGGCCCGCTGGCAACGCTTGGATAACTATGTGCCGGGAACATATGCGACCAAGGTGGCTGGAACTGTGAGTTGCATCTGAGCTCTTTAGAAGAAGGAAATAGCTGTAGGAGAGGAGTGGAAATAAGTTTGCTAATGGTGTTCGCTTTTTCTGCAGCTTCCGGAATACATCATCGGTAGTTTGGAGGACTCGGGCGTCAAATATGTTCCGTACGTGATCTTTCCCTGCAAATTATTTTTTTGACCCTTTTATCACACATACTGACGGATTCGCTTTACAGTCGCGATGGAACGACCGGCGAGGAGGATACTTGAAGCTTTTACCCAATACCCAAAACGGCCCCTACATACAAATGCTGCCTCGTGTTCGATGAAGTCTTGGATTTGAATTACTTGAACATGGGCATAAGTCTCGCTTTTTGTTAAGTCAATCGGGGAACTTGTACATTTCTTGCCCTATTGTTGTTTTTTCGGAGTTTAGGTCGGAAGCATTGCGCTGCTTTCTGAGCATATGGTTACAGGATATGCTCTTGGGAGTTTTTAAATGAACTATATGGATATTTTGGATCACTGGTGTGGAATCATTTGATTTTGAGAATGACATGAAAAAATGTCTATAACGTACATGGCCCATCCCAAGATTGCATCACTCGTGATAGGAAAGGCATGACCAAAAAGATAAGAAAATAGAAAAGGAAAAAGGAAAAATCGCTAATTTAAATCCAACTGAGAAAAGGAAAACGCCCTGACAATCCAATTTTAAGGGACTGCTTGCGCTTAGAGGAGCTTGATGATCTTCTCAATGCTCTCCAGGAGGATGTCAGCGTGGTGCTGCTGGAAGACCAGCATGGGACGCAGACGGACAGCCTGAGCACCGCTGCCACCAATGTTGACACCAACGGACTTGGCCTTGACCAAGAACTGGTCACGCTTGGGGGTGTCCCAGGCAATGAAGGTACCCTGGCCCTTACCACGCAGGTTCTGGAAGTGCTCGGGGTACTTCTGGGCAAGGCGCTCAAGGCCAGCGTACAGGTAGTCACCGGTGATGCGGGTGTTCTCGACCAGGCCAAGACGCTCAACCTCATCGATGATACCACGGTAGATCAGGGCACGGGCTGGGTCACCCATCCAGGTGTTGAACTGACGGTAAGGCTTGTTGGGGCGGAGAGCAGGGTTACCGAAGTAGTAACCGGCGGTCTGAGCCTTCTTGGAGAAGGTAACCATGTCGGGAGGGGTCTCCAGGTTCCAGTGGTCGTGAGCCCAGAACTTACCGGTGGCACCGACACCAGTCTGCACCTCATCAACGATGAAGAGAACGTTGGTGCGCTTGGTGATCTCGCGGAGACCACGGAAGAAAGCGGGCGAGGCGTGGTTGTCACCACCCTCGGACTGGATGGGCTCGACCATGACGGCAGCGACGGGGTTGTGGTACTCCTTGATCAGGCGCTCAACCTCCTGCAGGCAGCGCTGCTCCTCCTGGGCGTTCTCCTGGACGTGATCCTCAAGAGGGTACTTGAGCAAGGGGAAGGTGGCCTGGGGCCAGTCGAAGGCAGGGATATCCAGCTTGTGGATGGCCTTGCTGCGGGTGGTGGACAAAGAGCCGAAGAGACGACCGTGGAAAGCATGCTTGAAGGACAAGATGGAGAGCTGGGGAGAACCGGGGCCCTCGTTGTTCATGGTGGACAGGAGCTCCTCCTCGGTGAACTCAACCTCGGGACCACCACGCTGCAGCTGGCGGTAGTACATGAAAGCAGCCTTGTAGGCAGTCTCGTTGGCATCAGAGCCAGCCATAGCGGTGAAGACCTGGTTCAGGCCCTTGGGGGCAGCCCGGAGGACACCGGTCTTCAGAATGTGAGCCCACTCAGCGGAGGGGAAGTTACCCAGAGCCGGACGGTTGATCAAGGCACTGGCCATCTCGGGCGACTTGGCAACCTCGGCCAAGTGGGGGTTGTTGTATCCGATAGGGATAGAAGCAATCTGGGCGTAGCTGGTACGGGTTATCAGCAATTGGTCTCGTCATGGAGTAATCATATATTCAAACAATGACTTACACATCAAGCAGCTTGTTGCCATCGAGGTCAGCAATGTAATTACCAACGGACTTGTTGTAGTCAGTCAGCATGTTCATGCTGCGGACATCGAACACCTCATCGAGCTCGGCGGCGGCGGCCTGGTTCTTGGGGCCGGGGATGGGGGTGGTGAGTTGAGGAGCAGTGGGCTCGTTGGGGAAGTAGGGCTTCTGAGCGGCACCCATGCGAGCAGTGGTCGAAAGAGCACGAGCAGCAGGGAGGCGAGTCGCCATGCGCATCTTGGCGCTGTATCGGAGAGCGGAGGCCATTGTGATTTTATTTGAGGGAAAGTGTAGAGGAATTTAGAAAGATGAGGTCAATTGACTCTCGTGCGGGGAAGGGCGGGTAGGACAAGTGTGTCTCTGATTGCAAGATCAAATCAATCCCAGCTGAAGCCCAAAATTCCAGTGAAGCAGTGAAAATACAACGGTGAAAAAAGAGGCACAGGAACGCGGGGCAACCTGATTTATATCAAGAGAACTTGTTATCGGTGACCTTTGGAGCTGTTGGAGCTCCTGGTTCCCCGCGTAGATACCATTGGATCTCGGTGGCGGGAACCAATCAGAGGCCGCAGACTCAGACCAAAACGCCGAGCAGTAGTTGGACGAATCGAGAAAGTCTACGCAGGCGGTTCTTTCGGCTATTCAATGTGGTAATGGGAATGCTTTGCTTCTCCTGACTACTTCTATCTTCTTTCTCGGCGCCGAACATTGAACATTGAATTGTCTGGATGTCAGAAAAATGACACACTCAGTGCTTAGAGGTCAAAAGTCAGAGTCAATTTTCCCCCCATTAGTTACACTGAATGATGTTGATCCGGCTTATGCTTATCGTCCCCGATAAGCCTATCCTTATCTACACGTGTAATTCTGATTTTGAGTCTGAATTGAATCAGCCTCAATTGGATCGAATTAGTCTTTTTTCATCTTTTAGTGGTTTGCTTGGTTTTAGTCTTAGTTCTTTTGTATGTAGTATATCTCTCAATTAACCATTATGTGTGTATCAAGTCTGTGAAAGGGTCTACCTGAGAGATGTTTTGCCACCCTCCTATCTTCAAAGTTGAAACTCCCAAGTGCCCAGCGAAAATATATATAACTAGGGCTTCTCCACATATGTAGGTAAGCATACAATCAATGATGTTAAATCCAACAAATGTTCAAACCAGCTTTGGAAGGTTCTCATCCAGCCCCGGAGACCTCTCTCAACATTGAATTGAATATTTGAACACTTCCAATCTAAATGTTCATCCACCTTCTCAACTGGAAGCGATGATAACGAATTGATTGTAACATTGTAAAAGAAAAGTAGCGGTGTATATGGATGTACCGCCATTCATGCTTGTGCAGCTCTGGACTCCCAGCCTCAACTTCAGAAACTAGCGGTCTCAATATCTATTTTCATTCGAGGTCCACCTACAACATTGGAAATTCCCTACGGCAACCGGTCCCATGACCCCATGACCCCAGGAGGACCCCCAATCAATTGATTGCCGTTCGGAAACAGATTCCTAATTCGAATCAGTCCCAATTGATACCCGTAGTGGGTCCAATCTTTCTCCCCACTCTGAATCATCTCCCAGCCATTGATAATGCACAAAAATGAGCCGTCTTTCATCAAATGGGCTTGTGGTTTAGTGGTATAATACTCCCTTAGCATGGGAGTGGTCCGGGGTTCGATTCCCCGCGAGTCCATCTTTTTTTGCGTTTTGGTTTTATTATCTGTTTGCTGGTTCAATTGAAGCAATTCAGAGAAAACCGCACGTTGGAAGATTCAAATGTTTGAATGCTGGTTTTTTTCGGGGCTGACAAAATATGACGTGATCTCCATCACCGGTTCATTGAAATTCTTTATCCAACTCAATGCACGTGTGACATTGGAGGGAGTGTTTTGAAGTAAATTTTCTCTTTCTTTTAACATCCAATCATTAATTCAATTCAACTATGCTCAATCACAGCGCAGGATCTCCAGCTGAAAATCGGGAGTGGAGCCGAATGTGCTTGCCGATCTCTTGGTTAGCGCGTAGGATCGGGCACTAAAGTAATTGATCTATCGAATCGTTTGAAGACACATGGGAACGCTCCAGTCTAGACTCTATAGGATGTGCCTGCATGGGAAACTATCAGCAGAACCGCAGCCTATGATACATTCGAAGTCTTCAAACCCAAATGTGAAAAAAATCATGCGTCACATATCACATGTTTATTATAGCCAAAGGCCAATCATAACAGGAAGCTATGGTGACATGAAAGGGGGTATGGTAGTATGTACATCAGCTCTTCATATAGTCAAAATTTAAAATAAAGCCAATACAACCCAAAGAAAAGTTTATACAGAGAAGTGGGAAAATTGGGAAAACAAAGGAAATGGCTTTAGATAGCCTGGCCAATAAATGCTGGCGGATCGACGCGCCCAATCGATGTGGACGATTTCCCGCTTGAGGCAGAATTGAAGACCATAGGATCCGTCTTCATCTCGATATCGTCCTCGGGAGAGATAGCACGGCTATCGATCCCCATCGTAGAATTATGATGAGCAAGCCGGGACTCGGTCCATGTTTCCATCTCGACCGTGCGCATGATCTCGAAGCGATCGCTTTCGTAACCCGCTTGCCGGGAATCCGAGGGCGCGATCAGATGCGAGTTTCGGGAGCGGCCGGTGGAGGACCAAAGTTTATTGGAGCGGGTTTGACGGTTGTAGCCAGAGTTGATGTGATGGGCGGATTGAAGGAGGCGGGGAAGGAAGGTTGCGATGAGGGGACGGAGAGCTGGGGCCGAAGAGCAGATCTGATTCATTTGTTAGCACTTGAGTGTTACGGTTGGTGAAAGTGAAGCTGAAGGTGGGGGCGGTGGATAGTGTGGCGTTCACGTACCAGGCCTAAGCTAATTTCCACCACGGCAGCCACGAGAATTGGCCAGCCTTGCCAAGTTTGGTCGTAGCTGGCTTTCTGGCTCCTCCAGACGTAAACCGTGCGGACGGAACCGGCAACATTGACGACGACGCCTAGTCCGAAAATGGAGATGACGGCGAGTCGCTGGCGGGTGGGGAGCTTGAGACTCCAGATTAGTGGCATTGGGATTGTTGTGACCAGGAAATCGGTGAAGATGTTGATCACACTGGCTGAGAAGATGATATCTCCGTCATTCATGCATTTGTGTGGATACGCGGGCGCGACTTCCCAGTATGCTTTGATAGGTCTGTAGCATATGTTAGTCAATTTTCGAGATCAAGACGAAAGACTGTAAAACCCACGAGCACTGGAAGATGCTGAAGATGGTGAACATGAGGACAGAAAGCGTGACAAAGACCATGGACCCAATAAACGCCCAATTGTATATCCCAAAGCCGCCTTTCCCAGCACCAAGAAGTCGCCGACAGAACCATAGAAGCGAAACCTTGGTAAAACCAGACGACCATGAGAACATAATCTGGAAAGCCAAGTTGAGTTTCTCGATGGTGGGGAACCAAGTCATTGGAATATCCCAGATGTGTCTGTTGAACCCCCAATTCTCGGTTGCGAGAGAGGTGACGGCAACCATTGCAATGGCGAAGACCAGACCGATTGTAATTAAGATATCGTCGATACCGGCAGTAGATGTGATGCGCAGTCGAGTGTATAGACGGAGTAATGTGACCACAAATGCCAAACTGATGCATACAATGTTCACAATGAGGACACCATGTCCGCGAGTCACAGGGTCAACGTAATTGGCCGTTGGCCAACTCGCCATGACGGCGGCCGGGGGAAGTTGCATGATGAAGTGACCTGATGTATATGCCAGATAAACAAACAGGACAGATCAATTATCGTAATCGCGTGCAAGGAAATCGAGATCGTGCGGAAAATCTATTAGTAGTGAAATATGAACAACGCCATAGTCTTTCCAAGAGTATAGTAAAGTTGAAAATAAGGAACGTAGGGCCGTATTCCTGGGGTTCTAGAGGCACATCATAGCACTTGAAGAGAGTCGAGAGAAGGAGAATAAAGTCAAGTCCCTCAATGTTTCGGCACAGGGATCTGGGGAAAAGATATAATTAATTTATTGGAGCATGACAGGCCGAGACCTCAGACCCATGGAAGGAAGCGAGAAAAATTGAAGAAAAATAAATTGAGATCTAATAAGCTAGACAAACCCAATTAAAGGCAAAAGTACTGTATGATTCGTTATTAGCGTTTTCATGTCGAGAACTTTGGACGACTCAGGGCAGTGATCAGGCGACTCCATATGCACATCACAGTAGTTCCATATCTCCGACGACGATGGGACCTTGGGCCTTACCCAAAAAGAATCCACTTCAGATTGGCACGATCCCTGAAATGGGACCATCTCCGAGAGTGAGTGGGGTGAGAGGCGAATATGCGGAAGGCGATTGGGGCGTTGTAGATCCAGGTACCCATAGTTCAGCATTAGGTCCACTCGGAGCGAGACTGGTTTGATACATATGAGAGGCCGTGAGAGAAAAAAAGAGTCCAGCCCCTGGAACACATTAGACTCGAAGTGTCTCCGTGAGAATGAAAAATATCCGACCAAACCAATGATCGTGTTACAATTGAGGGCACAGACATTAGAGTGTCGGCTAGCACGAGGTACCAAAGGTACAGAGTAACACTGTAAAAGCGCTAGCCGAGGCCACGCCACTTAATAATTCCGCCACCATGGAAGAAAAAAAGAGATACATTGTACACACATTTGATGGAGTACGAGGATGCGGGGTGTAATCGGAATATTTTCATTCCATCTCAGGTCCACAGTCACTGATTTTGTGTGTGAAACTCCACTTCGTATCAAATTTACCCCTCCGGAAGCAAAACCCAGAAACGAATCAAACCCCTCCGTACGGAGAATATCCTCACTTACTTTATGGTCAACAATGCGAAACTGCAACCCTTTCCATTGAACCGACATTAACCCGTGACCATTCCCAAAAGGAAGACTATCTCTGCCTGGGCCAGATCAATTCCCTTTTAGCCATTTTAACCATCTTCTACCGACTATCTAGCATCATCAACATCTCCCATCCATTTAATCATCATGATCTCCCAATGGCCCACTTTGGAAATCTACACCGCACTTCTTAAAATCGCAAAGCGGAGTCTATCAGCCGTTCACAAGTGCACGGTACTTGCCCGCACTAAGCCCTGCCCTGATATCAATCAAGCAGACCCTCTTTTATCCCGAGACTATTAGCTTCAAAGTGGGAACCGACCGTGCTTCTCTTCAAGATTCCTTTTTTCGAGCTCGAGTCTGACTTTCCAGCCTGAGCAACTTGAGTTTCCTCAACGATTTAACGTTTCAAACTTGAAAAAATTGATACAACAGCTAAAACATCATGCAAATAAGCCACCTAGCGAACTTCGAGCTGAGCCGACGATGAGCCTCAGTTGATCCTGCTTCAGACGAACGGCGATCAACATTGATCAACGCTGACCAGCACATCGGCTTCATTCCTCGCGTATCCCAAATGCCACCTTCTGAACAACGGAGCGGAACTGTGACCGAGTGAAGGGATGATTTTCACGGCATTGGCGCAGACGGCTTGCGCCGAGTAAAACAACAACGTGGGAAAGATCCACCCGGGATTGAAGACTGAAAATAAAGCTAGCTGATCTGCGTGGACTGTCCCATTCTTCTTGATCGACACTTCTGAATCATGGTTCACCACTCGCCTTCGAATTCCAGACCCATAACATGATTGATGCCCACTTTGACCTTTTTCTTCAGCAATTGCTAAGCGGGTCTTGGAAGTCCATAGTTTCTTCAGTGATTTAGTGATTTCTCATCAACGCCCCTGACAAGCCTGTCTAATTATTCTGTAACTGTTGTGGACTGTCAGCACTGAGCTTTCGGGCCATGGCCCAAACCAGTAAGTCAGAATCATACATGTGGCCAAAAACTACAAAAATTACCGAAATTGGCCATGTGAATTTGCCTCCAAGAGGTCGCGGAGTCGATAAAAACTCCGTACAAATACTTTTCTTATTTAATTCAACCTTGTCGCACATTGAGTCGACAATGATGAATCTCTTTATTTTCAAGATTGAACCCCAAATTCCAAAATTGAGAAAGGAGGAGTTTTTGGCTCGCCGATGCAGTTTCGGCGCCCGTGGGCTTGAGTTGAGGTCCTCGGTACCACGTGTGAATAAGCAAAACAAGCAAAACAAAGAAACCTCAATTCAAATTCAACCTTAACCTTAACTCGTCTCTTCTTTTTCTCTTACTCTCATTGCTGTCTTCCTTGAAATCTTGAGTGAATATTGAACTTGATTCTACCAGTCTCAAATACTCCATACACGACTAACTCATCTGGTGCAGGGTTGGCCCCCAATATCCACTCAATTTCAGGCGTCCCGGTCGCAGATACACAAACAAGCTTGTGTTTTGAATCTAAAAGCTACTTCCAATCCATGGAAAAGTCGACTCAAAGAATTTCAAGAGCAGCCGAGTCCAATGGAGAACAGGCCTGACGTGTGCTGTTAAGTCTACTAAGTTGCTATTTTCGACCTGCTTGCCCGGGATAGTGCCATGATGACGAGGACAGAAGCCCAGCGGGGATTTGCATCTGTGACTTTCATTTACAAAGAATCAACGTGGACTAATCAACAAAGCCTGTGGAGCTCATCACATTGCCAAGAGCTGCGTATAAGGCTGTGCCGTGTGCTATATACCCCGATCGAGCATATACTATGCAAATCGCATCAGGTCGGGCCGCATTGACCGCGCAGAACTACACAACTATGGAGCACAGCATCACAGACAGCTTTGGATGCCATTCAGAATGATCGAATTCGCACTACTCATTACCGTGACACCACAAGTGGCCCGCGCTAATATGATACTGACCACAAAACATAATCAATTTAGCACTTTGGCCAGTTACTGTGTGGTTGATCATAACTTCGCACAATCCTGCCTCAACAAAAGTGGATACCGATCAGCAGAGCCAAAGAAAAAGCTTGAGGCTCAATGGACACAACTTATCAGACTGGGTCGTTGACTAGACAAGGGCTTGCAGGCCAATCACACTAAAAATATCACACATACAGGGATGTGTGTGCCGCCATGACGACATCCATGGTTGCCCAAATAAAGAATCTCGACGATCGGCAAATGGACTTGACAACGACTAAGAATCGTTTACTCGCCGCAAGAAGGTGATGACTTCCGCAACTTTGGCGCATTCAGCAACCTTGAATAGTAATTTGAACCAGTGAAAGCTCTCTGTACTTTGCGAAAAAATTGAGTTCTGCGATGCGTGAGATACAGTTTGTGAGCTTAATTAGACATAAAATCGGTGAGGGAGCGAGGTATGTCGATCACTTGGGGGCTAATTCATTTGAAGTTCATTTTGCGAGCTGATATCGTGAAATTTTAACGCTTATGCAGACCCCGGCTCTATGAGCTCCAGAGACTTATTATTAGGAAAAAGAGCGGGGGTGCGATTTCTGTGTTTTGATGCGCTAGGGAGGCTTTATTTACGCCATAAAAGAGCCTCTTCTCGCAGTGCTTTTTCCTTTTTATCTGTATCTGTTTTCTTTTTCAATCCCTGGGGTGGTTTGCTGTTGTCTATATACCTTTTATACCGAGCGGCATTTTGATATCAACCTGGTCCAGGGAATTTCCAATATGAATCCTACCAGTGTTACACCATCCACAACATCTTTCGCACAGTCAGCCAGGACCGAGGCTGACTTGCTTATGGACCCATACTTTGAGCCAAAGGATCTCGAGGATCATCCCGATCATGAACTGTTTCCAGTAACAGACCTCGATAGAGGTCTCGTTGGCTGGGATGGACAAAATGACCCCAACAACCCTCAGAACTTCCCAGCTTCGAAAAAATGGGGTCTTCTACTACTCGTCAGTGCCATTACCTTCGTCTCACCGCTAGCGTCGAGCATGTTCTCCCCAGCGGTTAGCTACGTCGGTAGGGACCTCAAAATCGATAATGAGACTTTGCTCTCTTTTAGTGTTAGCATTTATCTGCTAGGATATGCCGTAAGTTATCTTGCCTCTTGGACTCAAATTCTTACCATACCGCCGTGTAACGAAGCTGACTTTCTTTGGAATATAGGCTGGACCTCTCTTGGTCGCTCCTATGAGTGAGATCTACGGTCGTCGGCCCGTGCTCAGCTGCGGTAATTGGTTCATGTGTTTCTGGCAGATTGGCTGTGCACTTGCACCAAACATTACCACCTTGGTAATCTGTCGATTTTTTGCTGGAATTGGAGGATCCAGTCCCCTGACTTTGGGAGCAGGAGTGATTGCCGATCTATTTCCCATTGAAAAGCGTGGCATTGCGACAGCTATCTGGAGTTTGGGACCTTTGATCGGACCAACCGTCGGACCCCTCGCCGGAGGCTTCATTGGTGAAACCATTGGCTGGCGTTGGGTCTTCTGGGTGCTCCTGATTGTTGGTGTGGTGGTGACACTGGGTATCGAATTCTTGAACAAGGAGACGTACGCCGCTGTCCTGATCCGCCGTAAGACGGAGCGCCTAAACAAGGAGCTGGGTCGCAATGACCTTCGCAGTGTCTATACCCCCAAGGAAGACCATATTTCGGTGCGAAGCGCGCTTAAGCACGGTCTTAGACGGCCGTTCACACTGTTCATCAAGTCGCCCATTGTCGCGCTTCTTTCCGTGTACATGGCAGTCGTCTATGGCCTCCTATACCTGTTCTTCACGACAATTTCCACTGTCTTTATGGAGAAGTACGGCTGGACCACCGGCGTCTCCGGTCTCGCGTACCTCGGTATCGGAATCGGATTCATGATCGGCCTCGCCGTCAACGCCGCGACCAGTGACCGTATCGTTATGAAGATGACAAAGCGTAATGGCGGGAAATACGAGCCAGAGATGCGTCTCCCCATGATGATCTTCTTTGCCTGTTTTGTGCCTATCAGTTTCTTCTGGTACGGCTGGACCACCGACAAGGGCGTTTTCTGGATCGTGCCCATCATCGGCATGGCGCCTTTCGGCTTCGGTCTCATGGGCTTGTATATTCCCGTGCAGACCTACGTCATTGACAGCTATCCCGAGTATGCGGCTTCTGCCAATGCAACATTGACCACCGTGCGTTCCCTCGTGGGAGCTTTGCTGCCCCTGGCGGGACCGAAATTATTTTCTTCTCTCGGACTTGGCTGGGGAAACTCCCTGCTAGGATTCATCGCACTTGCATTTGTTCCGATCCCGATTATCTTCTCCCGTTATGGACAGCGGATCCGGGAGAAGTTTCCCGTGGACTTGGAATGAAGTGTCTTGCAATAATATGGGGGTCGTGAGCAGCTTCTGACCTCAGCAGCGACGATCACTCCGGGACGGGACGCTAACCCGCATTTTTTGAGCTTGAAAAAACGGTGTATGAAGAAAGAGAATATACGAAGGTAGCTACTACATCTGATGGACGGTATTTGGATATAGGATATACCTTGTTACGAGTTTTATTTACTTAATTTATGTCTAGAATTAGAAATTCCAGTCCCATTGAAAATTTCTGCAATACGAAGACCAAAAAGCCCCTGACGACTCGTTCTAAATTTACCGTGCGACGTGGCTATGAAAGAAGCTCCACTTTCACACGCGTTGAAAGTCTAGATCGACATGAAACAAGCCCCTTGAACGCCTTCAACGCCCATGTTTCATTGCCACTGCATGTCAGTTTCTCCGTGCTCTCCGAACTTCTCCAGCTTTTGCTTCCTTTAATTCTCTTCATTCTTCTCCTTTTCTCCGTATCTCGACTGTCTTTTCTTTCGTTTTTTTTGCGATCCGTTGATCCTGATCCACTCTTTTCTTGTGAATCCACAACCAACGTTCTTTTCTATCTCCACATTCAACCAGAGAACTTTTTCTCTCTTCTCTTTCGTTCTTGTCTTTTCTTTTCTCTCTCATCTGTCATTTTCAGCTCATCATGGGGGACGTAGCGCCTCAATCACCTAGCGACGACACCGCTGGCTTCTCCGATGTCTCTGTGCCTCCTCCAGCCCCAGTCGATGTCCACGACCACACCAATCACCACCAAAATGTTCCAGTTCACACCAAAGACGAGCAACCCATGCCCCGCATCAAGCCGATCACTCCCCGGCCTACCTATATGGAACACCTAGCCAATTCCCGGGATATGCAATTCCACCTAGGTCAACAGCATGATAGTGATTTGGAACGGTACTTTGTATGTGCAACCCCGGAATGAGTTGTCGGTCGGAAAAAGCAAAGAAATGAGGAAAAGACGGATAGGTTGGAACTCAGACTAATGCACCTCGGATGATATAGCACGGACCCCGTGACATGGATAAGCACTCTAAATGGCCCATTTTCATGCGTCTGCATGGAAGTGTCATGCCAAAGATGATTCTGCCCATGCTCCTTGTCGCAGCATGGGCCACTCTAATTACCTGCATTTCGCACTTCTGGCATAACCGTTCGTGGTCCCGGATTAATTCTTACTTCGAAATGAGCCCGACTGACATTTCTACGTAGTCGGTATCAACGACATTCTGCTCACCGTGTTGGGTTTCGTGGTGGGTTTGTCATTGTCTTTCCGGAGTTCGACCGCCTATGAACGGTATGTCCAAGATAATCTGAACCTGATATGACTTCTAGGAAAGTGTCACTAACGTATACATCTAGATGGGCCGATGGCCGAAAGTACTGGGCCCAACTCATCCAGACATCTCGCAACCTTTCTCGCATTATTTGGATTAACACCGGCGAACGTGAAGGAGAGCTAGGAAAGAAGGATCTCCTACGCAAACTGTACGTGATCAAGATGAAATTTAATCCAGGATCGAACTGTCCCAAGCTAACACCAAACACAGTTCCGCAATGAACCTCCTTCTCGCTTTCGCTATTGCCCTCAAGCACAAGCTCCGCTTTGAGCCTGATGTGGCTTACGAGGATCTCGCCGGTCTGATCGGATATCTAGACACTTTTGCCCGGGAGGCGCACGACCACAATGTCGTCGAGCCTCCCCACAAGTCTACCTGGAAGTCTGCGGGCGAGTATCTTGGCGTCTCATGGGCGGAGTCGAACCCGCGGAAGCTGATCAAGCGCGCGAAGAAGCCGCTGGGTCACTTGCCCTTGGAAATTCTGCACCACTTGTCTGCTTACATTGATTCCGTTGTTGACAATGGGACGATGAAGTCGACTTTGCACCAGGGTCAAGCTAGTACGTTTCTCTCCCTTTTATCATCTCCCACGCCATGCATTTAGATGTGAATATACTAACAAGTGCATAGTTACTATGATCACAACTCTCAACGAGGTCCTTACCGGAAACGAGCGGGTGCTGGACACCCCTCTGCCCTCCGCATACACAATCGCTATCTCTCAAATCTCCTGGATCTACGTCCTGGTTCTTCCGTTCCAGCTGTACAACTTTTTGACTTGGATCACCATCCCGGCCTCCGTTGGTAAGATTTCGTTTCCCGAACACACCCGCACCAAATAAATCAAATGCTAACAATGTCTCAGTGGCTGCATACATCATCATCGGTCTCGCTACTATCGGCAGCGAAATCGAGAACCCATTCGGCCAGGATGTCAACGATCTCCCACTCGACACATACTGTCGCCAGATTGCCCTGGAGCTCGACATCATCACCGCCATGCCCCCGCCCAAGGTCGACGATTTCATGGATCGCGAAGACAACCTCGTCATGTTCCCTCTCAGCCAGAGCGGTATTGCCGACTGGCAAGACCGCAGCGTAGCGGATATTCGCGCTGCGCTGGCCGCCAAGGTGGTTGCAAACGTGAACTCGGTGCCCGATTCGTCGGATTCGTCTACCGTTGGTGGGAATGCGTTCTCAATTGGCAAGCAGTCTGTTTAGATTGTGAAAAAAATACTGGAAACTTGTGGGACACAGAAAGAAGGGGGAAAATTTACCAGGTGAAAAGTTCTGTCGGGATCGAATCGCCCTGGTGGTCGGGTAATTCTTGGTGGAAGTTGAAGGAAATGTGCATTTTGATTCAGCGGCTAGATTGATTTTGGGGCCTTGACAGCGTGAGAGTTTTGGCGTTTTTTATGAGAAAACTACAAGTTTCAGATTTGTGTTCTCAGATTGACCTTCGTTTACAAATTTACAATACATATTCATATTCGCATTGGATTTGTCGAAGATTTTCTTGCTCAAGACGTGGGAGGTAGTAAGAAGAGTTAGGGGCAAAAGTGAGGTTTAGTACTTCCTACCACACCGTGCTCCGATAGAACCACAGCGGTGCTCCAAACCCTTGTAAGGCTACGCGCGAGTTAAGGAGGGGCTTTTCGTTCCGAGGTCCGCACGCGAGATCGTTTTTGTACTCTTAAGCCATATTTTTTGCGTGTCATTACACCCCCCTTAATTTATGGTCAACCTTGGTATTTACTAAGAACATTTGAAGTATCCAATGTTTAATGCCATCGCCTTAAATTATTATGCACCACATCATTTTGTTAGACAAATTTTGACTAGTCAGTAATCGATTGATAGTATATACCCTTGAGATGCCCTTGAAATGCCCTTGAATAAGTTTGATCTGGTCAACTAGTATGCAATTATCATCCCCGCCCATTATATTCAGAAGCACGCCCGGAAAAGAGCTTGAAGTAATTATAGGGCACAGACACCACTATAAACAATAACCAGCCCCGAGATCATGGCAGCCGAAACCAGTAGCCATTACAAATGCCCTTGTTCTCCATCATATGCAGGATTATTTTCACGCGAGGCAATATTTTCTCCCAAAGTGAGCTCCGCTGTCAAAGTAAGAGAAACTCAATAAACTGAGCCCACTGTCCTCGAGGAGGTTGCGGACGTAGTTTTCATTCAGGGGCTTTATAGGTAGAGAGCCGGGTATGGTGGTGCTGGAAAGAGTTTTAGTTAGGCTTATCCCTTCGATACCTGAGTAATTTTGTGCTTGCAGCTGTAGCTTGAAGAATATCTAGTCCATATTATTCAAGACGAAATCGAGCGTTGGATCTGTTCTCGTATCCATTTCTGTGACCGATGGGGGGATCATGCTGGCAATCGAAAATGCGTGTTTGGATGAGGAACTTGAAATTGTCGAAATTTCGCAATTGTAATTTGTGCTCTGTATGTATGTGTTCTCGAAGCAATCATTGCCAGGAATGAATTAAATTGCGTCATGGGATGCCATGGCTGGGTTTAGAGACACAGCCAGAACATCAGAGCCTATCGATCATGCTCGAGTCTCTGGCATATCGAATCTGGCTACCTGGAGTGTTTTCTCTCGGTCGCATTAACCAGTGCTTGTGTAGCTTGTTGTAAAAAGGCCTCTTGGTCGTCGCCGATGCTCAGCTCGGTGATGCATAGTGTTTTTTGACGCGCCTTGGCTCCGCGGATCACCTCAACAGTGGATTTGGGGACTTGGAAGACCTGGATCAATGTCAGCGAAATTGTCAGGATCTGTTGTGAGGTGTAAGTTTCAGTGAAACGTTTGAGACGTTTGAGACTCACATCCGCAATGATCTGCGACACGGCGAAATTCGCTGCTCCGTCACGAGGAGCTGCCGTGACTGACACGTCGATTCGATTGGTTCCCACTGCAGTCACCCGGTTGAAGGAGGAATTGGGCTTCACGTAACAAGAGAGGTGAAGATCGTAGTTGTATTTTTTGAGGGCACGGGAAGGACGCTTGATTAAATGGAAGAAGGGAAATTTATTGCTCATTTGGTGAGGTTGAGGTGTTGAAGTGGCTAGCCAACCAACACTGTTGTAAGCACACATGTACATAGAACCGCTAACCAATTAAATCAATCAGAGGGTCTACTACCAGTATATACTGACATGTATGATGCGGACCACCTTCACACAATAGGCTCCGTCAACATAGCCTTTATTTAGAATGCGTAATCAAAGAACAAATACTGTATTTAATTCGTTGGTAGTTAGTATAAATAGAGGCGATGAATGCGCAAATGGTAGTATATGACTCCCAAAGTCGATCGATCTGAGTAGTACCTATAGGCACTAGTAACTTTTAGCAATTATATCAACTCTACTATACAACAGTCCAATTAAAATCAATGGGCAAGAGATGTCCACCAAAGATAGATATAATCTATTCACGTTACTCGTTGTCCTGTATTTCTAAAATGCTAGTAAAGAATGACACTATCCAGGCTAGAGAAACCAGCGGCAACTCCTCCTTCATTAACCTCTTTCCCCTTTGTGCGCAAAAGCCATCCACCTTCATCGTTGTGAAGAATCTTTCCAGTGTTTTCCCACAAAATGGTGCCATAAACTCCTAACTCGGAAATGACATTTCCGCGAAGGACCTCTCCGTCATTTCGCAGTGCAATATTCTCAGCATTGGCCGCAGGGTTGATCAACTCCATCAAAACCCAACCCTTCCAATCGGATTCGGGAAGGGAGCGCAAATAGCCTGGAATCTCCGCCTTGTAGATGTTGTTACCTCCGCCCTCACGTTGTGGTTTCAAGACATGATTCATCGCAGTTTCAGGATTGAGAGCCAAATCCCTTCCTTGTCCGCTAGCGGAGAGATCATACTGCGGGGCAAATGTTTCCCGTAGTCTCTTGATAATGGCAGGGTCCACGTCTTTCAAGAAGCTGGACAGGTGATCGGGCCCAGTCGGCTCTGCCAGTACTTGCTGAATCTTCTTGCAACCAGCCAATTGATTGAGCACGGTAGGGCATTTTATAGCTGCAGAGCGTTCCAAGTGGGCCCGGGCTTCCCAATCACGGTTGGAAGTGTATTCGTCGGGAGAGTAGTACGCACGAAGATAGACGGTTGTGACTTCAAAAGCAGAGGCTGGCGAGTGAGGCGGGTGGTAGATTAATGGCCGAGAAGGGTCTGTGGCAGGAATGGAAGTCTGATTTAAAATTTCGTTGCTTTTCACGCGGAAGGTAGGGATTTTGTGAAAGCTTTCAAGTCGCTTTGAGATGGCCAATTGATCAAACACGTTCCGTTCCCCGTCTTGAACGATGAACAGAATACACAAAGGAACCTCTGGTGAGGACTTTGACAAGCCGTAAGCTTTGTGGGCTTCTGCAAGACCTCCAGAGAGGGTTTCAACAGCGGTGTTATCGGGCGGTGTTCCGGATTGCAGGAGAGGATGAGGCGGGTAACAAAGCGGTGAGTTCAAAAGGTCGGTATGTAACGATCTCACGAGAGCCGACAGGCCACCAAATGAGGAAGATATGGTGTTGAATTCAACCTGCTTTAGAGCCGGAGCATGGTTCGGGGTGACATGAGCCATATAGTCGGAACGGTAAAGCCCCAGTGACAGGTTTTGGACATAGCCCTCCTTCTTCACAGCCAGATGAGTTTTCCATAGATTCGCAACAAAGTCATCAACGTCGGTGAGGCTATAAATGCAGAAAGTTAGCAACAATACCTTGACAATTGAACATTCGAGAGGTCCTACTCTTCGATGATCTTCCCTAGCCAGTCTTCATTGACTGTGATTGCTGCATATAATTGATTATATACAGTTTGCAAGGCCTGGGCCTCCTCAAAACAAGCCTTTGGGAATGGGCTTGGGAAAAGTGAAACCGGTGCATTGGTTGCTAATACCGAGTTGGGATCTGCGCTCTTGGGGAAAATCGCAGGTGATGGGCGAACTGCCAAACCATTTTGAATAGCCCAATCTTTACTGACTGTAACCAAATACTCCTGCTGTTCAGGAGACAGCTGGGGAGGGTAGTTGGCATAGATCGATTCAACCATGGCGTCGTTCTTCGATTTGATTGTACGAAGATAGAATATTTCTCAAGACTCTAGAGTAACTTAGCAATCCCCCGCTTCAATTTGTCAGCGATCTATTTCCAACCAGCTTCAAGTTGGCAACTGCATCCAGACCGCCTTCGCAGACCGCCCTCCAGACCGCCCTCGGGTGACCGCCCAGGGTATATACGGCAGATCAAATCAACACCCAATTCGGTTTTAAGATGGCCGTTTAATTATTAACTTAACTCCGAATGATTGCACTTGTTTTTCTTCTCTTTGTCACAATTTCGATAACGCGTCTTCCTTTGCAATTCTTTTTTCTTTCGTCGTGATATCCCTGTCTTTGCCCTCGTTCCCGTGCTTGTTTTTGCTTCAAAATCATCTCAGCACTTGAGCTTTACAATTTCAATCTTGATTTATTTGAATCTTCCTCAACTGCGTTGTCACTTGCTTGAACGCTGGGGGTCAGTGGGGGTCAGTGGTGGTCAGTTCAAATCCAGACCAATTATTGGTTTACGCGTTTTATAAACCTCCAGACTAACATACAAATATATATTAGGCCCCCTGGCGCCAGTATGGGACCGGGGAATGTTGACCCTGTTGACTGGTCGGTTGATGAAGTTGTGAGCTTCCTCTGTGATTCAGGTCCTGCACCATGGGCTCAATCTTCAAATACCCCGCGACCTGATGCAACTTGGCTTGAAAACACTCTCCGTGAAAATGAAATAGTTGGAGAGCTACTTATGCATGTCGACAACGATGGCCTCAAGGACATGGGTGTCAAAGCATATGGCCATAGAATTATGCTGATGAAAGCCATTCAGTGGCTACAGGAGAAGTCCTCCAAATATCAGCAGTCACAAAAGAAGGCATCTAAGAATGTAGTAGCTGCTACTTCTCAGACGCCTGTTCTACAAACAGCATCTCACGGGTATTCACCTGCTGTGATGGATCTCGATCATGAAGACCCAAATTTGGCCCACAAAGAAAGTGGCGTTGCTCAAGGAGCCCCAAAGCAGAAACGGAGGATCCAACCCACACTTTTGCAACCATCGACAAACCAGACCATATTGGGAAGACCCGTTTCACAAGATGCAACCTCCCGGCCCAAAGGGATTCTTACGAACATATCAGACTTGTATGAAACTGCTAGAGATGGCTTAACCCCCCCAATCACTGGAGGCCGATCTCGAAGCAAACGAGAAAATGAGTTCCTCGCTGAGTTGGAAATCAAATGGGCCCAACAGGATGATGAAGAAGTCCTTCCTCTCTACGGAGAGTCCAGTTCAGACGAAGAGTACGAGGAGGATACTTGGGCAGAAGTACTAGAAGATAATCCCGATCCTGGAAACCCACGCCCGGCAGCACCACACTCCTCTTCCATCTCCAAACACGAGTGTGACACGCTTTTGGCTGAATATGTTGCCAATAAAGAGGAATGGTGGAACCAAGAGATTCTTCCCAAAATTCTGCCGGATGCACATGGGATGTGGAAATATTTTCGGGAAGATGGTACACTCGAGTATCAGAAAACCATGCTGAGAAAAGTGACGAAGGCACTCCGGGAACGCATGAACGCTTTACAGGATGCAGTAAAGGCCGAATCCTACAAGTCACATGGGGCATTCAAAAGAGCATGTGGAGCCCTGGACGTGACACTTTTTGATCGGTGCCACGCGCGATGGCAACTGGATGTTCTGGAATTGGATAATTGCCCTGAATATGTGGCACGCCCAACCCGAGATTCCACTACGGAGCGAGATGAATCCGATGATTCCGATGAAGATGATGTGTTGATCTATGATACAGACTGCTTTGGTGTGGGGTCGACTGACCAAGAATTTGATTCTCATTCATCTGACAATGGTGATGATACCTTCACGCTTGATGAATTCGAAGAACAAGGCGGCAGTCATGATTCGTCAATGGCACTTCATTCGGGAGGAATGCCTTCCGGATTGGAAACTGATTTCCCCAATTTAGGGATTTCACCCTGTTCTCACAGCAACGAATCGACAAGCCCGGCCTCAAATAAGCGACGACGTCTAAATGAATCAGGTCAAGACAAGCGTACCGATGATTTCCATGGTCCTTTCCGCCAAGAGGGTGATTCGGACATTGAGTTGCTTGATGTGAATGATGCACCTGACCATTCCATGCCCACCTCGCCACAGCAGGAGCATGATAAGGAGGTCACAGTAAAGACTCCACCTCTGAACCCTACTCCTCTAGGCACCGATGTTGATGACAAGGGCAATGAGATTCCTCTCATCGAAAGTCGGAACCCACCGCGCTTTGTCAATACTAGCCTTAAACGGCCTCGCGACACCACCCAGGAGTCAATTTCCGACGGTTACAAATTGTCTCAAAAACGATTACCCGGAAGTCGCACCGAAGAACCCGATTCATTACTTGAGAGTGATGACGCCGATGCTCTTAAGACGGTGGAGAATATGAGTATTTCATCTATCGAGGAGAATAAGAACCGCCTCCATTTGTTGGCAAAGATGGTCACCCAATTGACATCTAGCGAATATGAAGGATTTCCTGAGTACCTGAGCTCACTACATCATTCAATCTATCGCGAAAGAATTCAGGAAGTGATCCGAGCCATGATGAACAACCAGCGAACGTTGGATGCCCTTGGTCCAGTGGATAACAAGCTCACGATGCGCCTGGGCGCTTTGTTTGTGTCCTGGTACCACTGTCTTGGCCTAACTTCAACTGGACTCGAACGCCCGCGGCTCAAGGAGGCACTCACTGCGATTGAGGATGAGGCAAATGGCACAGCAATCTCGAAAAGGTTTATTACCAAGCTAAAATCGCTCGTGAGCACTTACAACGCCTCGCAGCCCAATTCTTCACGACGTGATACCAGCTCAGTGTATCATCATACTTCGAAAAGAAGAAGGATGTCTATGCCAAAAGGAATCAGAGTATCCACTACGCAAACCAGTGCTGTGAAACGAAAGGCATTGCAGGATCAAGCTCGTGAGAAGTTCATGATTGGACTTGAAAGAAGAGGCTTGAGCAACAGTGCTCCGGCAAGGCAGGCGGTCACCTTTAAAGATCCTGCAATCTACCTTCCTCCGACCATTGGAAAATTCATCAAATCACACCAGCTGGCCGGAATTCAATTCATGTGGCGGGAACTTTGTGACAGTGGCAAGCCCCAGGGATGCTTGCTTGCCCATGTGATGGGATTAGGCAAAACCCTTCAAGTGTACGTGTACTTTTGCCCGAAGCTGTAGATAATGACTAACATTTTTTTTTCTTCTATAGGATTTCTCTTCTCGTCACGATTGGCGAAGCCGCTGCTTCCCAAAACCCTAGGATCAAAGCACAAGTCCCAGAGAGACTTCATCGATCCCAAACTATCATCCTTTGTCCACCATCTCTCATCCCCAACTGGGTCAAAGAATTTGAATGCTGGGCACCGGTTGGCCATCACCTGGGAGAAATCAGATCGGTCACGGCCAGCGGTGTCCCAAACTATCTGGAAAGACTGGAAACCGTTCTAGATTGGCAAAAGAATGGGGGCGTGCTTATCTTGAGTTACGATTTGCTCCGCAACTTGGTCAATCACGGCGTAAGCCAACTCAGTCCCGAGGACCACAAATTGATGAAAGACGCTCTGCTAAATGGCCCCAACATCGTTGTTGCTGATGAAGCACATAAATTGAAGAGTGAGAACTCCGCTATTAGCAAAGTGACTGCTCTTTTCAAAACCAAGAGTCGAATCGCAATGACGGGATCGCCCCTGGCGAACAACCTGGCCGAATATTATCAAATGATTGACTGGGTTGCACCGGGCTACATGGAGTCAATGCATTCGTTCAAGGAGAAGTTTATGGATCCCATACAGACCGGTCTCTACATTGATAGTACCGAAGACGAGCGCAGGAAAGGACTTATCGCGATGGAAGTTCTCAAAGGTGTCTTAGAACCCAAAGTACAACGCGCAAGTTATTCCGTACTTGCATCCGATTTGCCCCCGAAAACAGAATTTCTCATTCACATCCCGTTGACTGAAATACAGCGAAAAGCATACAATATCTTCGTTGAGGAAGTCAAATCATCGGGCAATTTTGGCAAGATATGGCAGTGGTTGGCGATTATGCAGCTCTGCTGTAATCATCCAGCACCGTTTCTGAAGAGGCTGGAAGATCGAGAGGAACCAAGAAGTGGAGATCAAGATACCTTGGCAGCATCCTCAACAGACGAGAACGCTGCATTGCCGCCAGATTTGGTTCCACGGATCAGAGAACTCTTGGACACAGTGCCTGATTTGTACCATTGTGTCCTGTCAAATAGGACATTGCTGCTTGAAAAAATTCTGGACGAGTCGAAAAGAGTCGGTGATAAGATTCTAGTCTTTTCACAAAGTATTCCCACGCTGAACCACCTCGAAAGCGCGTTCAGAAAATGTGGCCGAAAATACAGGCGCATCGACGGCACCGTTCAGACCTCCCAGCGTCAGTCTGTTATCACAGACTTCAACCAGGGATCCGATTTTGACATTATGCTCATCTCGACTCGGGCTGGTGGGCTAGGCCTGAACATACACGGAGCAAACCGTGTCGTTATTTTCGATTTCTTGTTCAACCCAGCCTGGGAGGAGCAAGCTATTGGGCGTGCGTACCGCCTTGGTCAGACAAAGCCCGTCTTTGTTTATCGCTTTGTTGCCGCAGGAACCTTTGAGGAGAGGATTTTCAATTTGACAACGTTCAAGGGTCAGCTTATGATCCGCGTGGTTGACCAGAAAAGTGACCTTCGTCGGAGTCGCAAGGTGCATACAGAGTATCTGCTTCCTGTCGAACAGGGAACTCGAAAATCCGTTGATCATGTTCTTGGGAAGGATCCTGAGGTTCTCGACAAAGTCCTCGCCAATGGTGATCTCGCTGACGGGATTTTGGAAATTGCTCTTTCCAACGTTCAACATGACGCGACTGACATGTTGTCAACGGAAGAGATTTCACACGCCAGAGATCAGTTGGCTCTAGAGCAGCTCAAACGCAAGGACCCAGAGGCATATGCGAAAGAAATGAAGAGCCGGCAAGTATCCCAGCGCGCCCAGCATTCTCTGTCTTATCATTCCGCTCTGCCCGTTCGGCCGCCTTATCATTCCCAAGCATCTCGGATTCAGCAGACACTGCGTACACTGGCAGCACGGGACCCGAAGCAGCCAAAAACAGCCACAGAACCTGGATCCAAATCACCGGGTTCGGCTTCCATGGCATATGATGGTTCTGCTCAACGATCTACTTCAGCAAACTGGGTTGATAGACCGCAGAACTCGCCGCTGCAGGGGAATCAGCAGGCGCCTTTCATCCTCCCTGGATACCCCAATAATTTCCATTACTACCCCAGTGGTTTCCGATCCTTTGGCCCACCTCACCTTGGCCCACCTCACGCTCTCATCCAAATGATGTCAGATCCAAAGCACCCCTCAAACGCCATCAGTTTAGCAGTTCCAGACGCGCAGACTGGATTAATGGGCGGCACAATGATGGCCACACCTCTTGGCGGAACTGGGGGTAGCAATCAAACCCAAGAATTCCCCGGCCAACCAAGCCAATCACGGGACAAGCCAGAAAAGGAGATGGAAAAAGGCACGGTCCCCAACACCACCGCACCAGATGGCGATAAACCGTCTTCTACCCAGACTGCGGCCGAACCGTAACTCCTTGGCTTGAGCCTGGATCATGCACTCTCAACGACTCTTTGCATATTTTTTTAGCCTTTTGAGCATTCTTGATTTCTAGATGTTTATGATACCCCAATTCAGTTTTCATGTTGTTTGCCTATCCTGTTGGTTTGTCCTGTTTTTCTGATTTGCCATCTACCTACCAATTATCTGCTTTATCATTTAGCCAGTGCTTGCTGGAACTAATCATCTAGTTCTCGGTGGACCTCATTTGGTTCAATGTTGTTATGAACAACATTTTTTTTTCTTTTCTCTCTTTTTCTCTTTTTCTCTTCGTCTAGTGCTGCAGTTGGGCATTTGTCATGTCCCAAAGTTTCTAAGATTTATGACTTATGAAGTATTCATTTTAGTGATTATGTAATGAACAAATAATTGAAGATGAGAACACATGCAGCAGGTCAAGAGTGCTGTTCTAGACGACTCAGCCCCGAGGACCCCTGATCAGAATTTGACTTGACAAACGAAGCTAGTCTCGACAACACGGCAATTTCCAACTTGAGCTTCACCGTATAGAAGAAGCACTTCGTCACCGTTTGCGCTATGAACTGCCCACTAAACTCCAAACCCAAAAGTGCAATATCCATCAAGATAATCACCGCATTGATAATAATCAACTGATACATAATATTGGTTCTCCGCTTCGAACGCGACGGATAGGACATCAACAACCGGATCGTCTGCACAATAAACAACGACGAAATCACAATCTCCTGCACAAAGAAAACAGTCAACTGAACCCTCTCCCAGATATTGAAAAACTTCGGAAACCCCGTCTGGCACGCATATACCGCCCCATACGACGCCACAATCTGCGGCGTCTGCATCGTGATCGCATCAAAGATAATTATGCCCAGCACAAATCGCAGCACCGTCCGATTCATCACGACAAGATGAAGTCGCGAATAGAGCACAAGCGATTGGCCCGTCACCATGACGGCCCAACCGGCCGTCGAAAGCGTCACGGGGATCCATATCGGGGCGAGCTCAAAGTATTTGAGGATCAGGCCCAGCGCATCGGGGATCACGCCTAGAGAGGCGGAGATCAGCAGGCTCCAGAAGTATAGACCACCGTAGATGTGGAAGATCGAGAAGACGAGGACTATGAGCTCGAGGGCGCTGTAGAGGGCACAGCCGAGGAGACTGGCGATTACGGCCTGGATGGCGAAGCTGTTGCCCGTGTATGCGCCGGTGATGCCGTCGACGGGGGCATCGCAGCTGGACATTCTGTGCTTGCATATCTGGAATTCGGATTTGAGGGTGCTAGGCCTTAATTGGGGCCCATGTTAGGCGCATAGGTTGGACATTGGAGGTTGAAAATGTTTTAATGTCGTGGTCCAGGGTCGGAATACGGATGTGACGTATCCATGGATCAGGGAAGCATTTAAGGTTTTGGACTGTGAGTTGGGAAGGAATCACATCCGACTTCGGGATCCATCACTTGCGAAAAAGGCGGAGTAACTTTTCTCATGTTGGGGTAAGACCTCGTGTGACTGTTTAATTTTTCCTCTTTGTGGGGTTTAAACCCTAAACATACCATGAATTACAATTTATGTTCGTTGAATATTTGATTCATAACGATATAAACCCGAAATTAATTTAATATGGCCATCCACATCTGGATGTAGCACATACAAGTAGATCACTAGACCTTCTAAAATATAAGACTTTCAAGATCCGCCACACGAGTCGCTCGGTCCTCTGCCTTCTTCTTGCCCGTCTCGCGGAATGCAGCAAGCATCAATTCACGCTTGCGGCTCTGGATGTCTAGCACACGCTCCTCAATACTGTCCTCCACAATGAGTCTCCACACAGTAGTCTCTCGCTTTTGTCCCAGCCGGTACACGCGGTCCAATGCTTGATCCTCAATAGCGGGGGCCCACCAACTATCAGCGAGAATGGCTTGGTTGGCAGCAACGAGATTAAGTCCAACGCTGCAAACACTGAGACTTGCGAGAAGAACAGTGCACTCGGGTTTGGTAGTGAAGGCATTGATGGACACGTCGCGTCTTTCAGCGTTCATCTTGCCGTCAACCCGAACAAAGTTGATCCCGCGCTGAGCCAGATGGGGCTCCACATGGTCGAGGAAGGAAGTCCATTGGCTAAAGACCACCGTCTTAGTTCCAGGTGCCTGACCTGGAGCAGTCAAAACCTTGATCAAAGCCTCGATCTTACTACTAGGATTGCTGGGATCCACGTCAACACTGCCTTCATCCTCCCCGTTCAATTCTTTGGCTGGCGCGACCAAATTTGTGTTGTCTTTGATATCAGCACGACAGAGTGGGCACTTGTGCTGTCGTTCAATGACTTGCTCGATGCAGCCCTTGCAGTATGAGTGGGCACAAGCAGTGATTACGGGTTGATCGAAGTTATCAAGACAGATCGCACACACTTCCTGGCTTTCAATCTGAAGCTGCAGCATGTCCTGCAAAGCTTTCATGTTCTCCGGAGTAAGTTCCACGACTTTGTTTTTACCCAGGGTTTCCATGAGCTTGTCGATACGGTTCTTGCACAGGGCCCAGTGGTTGCAAACTTGACGAAGGCGCAAAATGACCTCCAGAAGATGGGAGTATGTTCCTTGCTTATCCTTGAACTCCAACAAAGCGCCTTTTGCCTCGGATTGGAAGGCACTGTACTTCTCGAGCTCATGAGGATGGAATTTGACACGAAGAACGCGAGAAGTGAGCTTGGGGAGTTTGAGGTTAATGAAATCCATGTCCTTTCGCCGTCTGAGACAGATAGTACCCATCAAGGCCTCAAGAAGCAAACGAGCCTCAGGTTCCCCGGATGTGAGAGGACGGATCAGGACGCTGTTAAAAACACCCATATCATCCAAGCCCCCAGAAAGCTTCAGGAAGCGCACTTGCGAGTATAGATCCTTGAGAGTGTTGATGATTGGCGTTCCAGTAAGCGTCCAACGAGAGTCTGCGCGCAAGGCGCAAGCTGCTTGAGAGCTTTGCGACTGAGGGTTTCGAATGCTGTGGCCCTCGTCAAGAACAACTCGCCTCCATTGTACCGCGAAAATGCCATTAGCAGGTGTCTTCTTCCCGGTCTTCATGTACGCCTTGTATTCCAGGCTGAGGGCGCCGTAGCTCGAGATAACCACGTCATACTTGGCCAGATTTGCAGCCTCTTTCTTGCCAGCTCCATGGTAGATTAAAACACGCGGCATGGTTTCGCTTCGGCAATGGTCTTGAATCTGGTTCCGCCAGTTACTCATTACACCCACTGGGGCAAGAATCAACGTGGTCTTGCTGGATCCCGATGTCTTGGGCTCGGAGTTGGCCAGGATCAGGGAGATAATCTGGATCGTCTTTCCAAGGCCCATATCATCAGCGAGAATTCCACCACTGGAAAGTACCGGCTCAGTGGATGATGAAAAGTTGGTTGCAATATTGGTAAAATTCTTGCCATTGCGCTTCCATAACTGAACCACTGCATCGGAACCAGGTGGTGGAAGAGTCGGGGATTCGCGGTTGATCATCCACGCTAAGCCTTGCTTTTGATAAGGAAGTAGCTCGGTAGAAAGACCAGCTGGAGTATCAACCATAGGCATCTTGGCCATGTCGGACTCTTTTTGTCCGAAATTCTCCACAACCTGTCCAATCTCTCTGGGATTGAACGAGCTACTTTGATTGAGTAGTTCCTCTATGGTTTCTGTGTCCTCACCGAGACCTGTTGGCGTGCTCAGGTTGGCAAACAATCTCTCCGCTTCCTCATCGCCTTGCCACCCGGCCGCACTTCTCTTGAGTGACATGACTCGAGCCGCCTTTTCAGCTTTGGCCCGGTCCGCGGCCATTTCCTTCTGACGCTTTTTCTCCTGACGCTCGGCTTCCACCAATTCACGTACAGGAAGTTTATCCTTCTGCATCCGTTGCTTTAGAACGATCCTCTCCTCTGGGTCGGTTGTACCGTACATGCGCAACAACACAGGGCAGTCATAATCCCGCTTTTCCCCAGACAAGATTCCCTCAACATGGAGGTCTTTGGGGTCCTAAGGTAGTCGTAAGCAAAGTTCCACGATATAATCGGATCCATCCTTGAACGAACCATATAGGGAGCGAGCTTGGCAGCAAGTCCCCTTCCAATGTGGCCGATCTGAATGCCCATGATATTATCAACTCGAATCGCATTGCGATCGTATTGATTTCGGGGCTCTCGTTTCAAGATCACATACTCTCCCGGGGTAGCGATTCCCCGGTAGAAACGAACTCCCACAATCTTGGTCTCCAAACTGCCTGTGAAACCGTTCAGAGCTAGTCCCGTATAATTTCAGATTTAAAAAGCAGACAAGAAAGTACCCACCATAAAGCATAGTATTAGACAGCCCAGACTCGTCCAAGGCTTGACTCCCCTGAACAAGCTCAGCAGCTTGTGCATCCTCATCATCGGCGCCGGCAAACTGAGAGATCTGGCTCAATGGCAGAAACTCAGCACTTTGGCCAAATCTCTCTCCATTACTGATGTTCTGTGGGTCCAAGTAAGGGGCTGATCGATTGATTTTTGCTGCACGAGCGTCATCTTCATCTTCGACTAAATCGACAACATCGGATTTGCGCTTTCTCGGCGGCATGACGCCAATTGCACCGTGTAGATTGTAACTCCAGGGAGCGAGATTGAATTCAGGTACTGCGCATTTTCTGCACTGATTAGGACGTCAAAGGAATCTGGAAGGTCGAAAACTTGATAAAGTGATAGGTATCAACTAAGAATAATGACGACGGCATTCGCTAGTCCGGATTAGGAAACCACGCGCTCGCGGGGACGCGTAGTCACGTGCCTGTCACTGTATGGCGGTGTAGGAGAGGAACTCCACCGCAGGCGGTCTCTCTGTTTTGCCGGTAAAAAATTGGCTAGTTGAGTGATTGAGTGGCAGATATATTACCGCCCTGCATCACACAACTTCAATGTCACACGAACTTGCATTGGACTGATTCTTTACGCTTTTTTCCTTCAATGTTGGTTTTCATATTTTCAAATTGATCAAGCATAAAAAACTCGTCAGGGATAGAATCCCCACCGTTTCACTATCTCGTATCTCGCTGTTTTTTTCTTTTTGCAGGGATAAGACACTGTACACCCATTCTGATATACATCCGTGCTGAGCGATCCCCAGATCGGACAAGCTCCCGAGAATAGTGGCTCCCTCTCCGCATGGCTGATCCCCGCATTGGCTGGTCCAGATACCTTGCTCAGAAAAACGAATATGAGCTAGATTCTCTACTCCGACAGGGCAGCTTTAAGCCACTTCTTCTCTATCATGTTGTTTTCTTCAACTTACTCTCTTGGATCGCTCTGGTCATCCCCCAGTCCAGAGGCGGCAGGTATTTTCGACCATTGGTCTTTGCACTGAGCTTGGCATTTGCCCTGGAGGTTATTCAGAATCATCGAGCTCTCCTAGGCGGAAATGGATATATGATTGGCATGATGATGGCATGGTGGCTGGTATGGAGTGCCACACTATTCGTGTTCTCGGATGTTGAGAATGACTTTCAACGCATTGAGCGTGTGGCTTCATCTGAGACTCAAAGCTCAAGTGGCAATGGCTTGGATGACAGCTCAGCACCTTTACCAGAGGACACCCCCACAGACCAGCAGGTGCAGTTTCGTTGGCAGTCCTACCCCTCCAAATTATCACATCGGATGGAGTGGTGTGCAGGTCTACTTTTCAACCTCCGTGGCCCGGAGTGGAATTGGCGTGCTCCTCGACTTGGTAGGCTACCTCGAAAAGTTCATGCACATCTGCATTCTGGCTTCCTGGCAAGCAATCTCCACTCAGAGGATGACGGGGATTACATATCTGCAAAAAGTTGTCTTTCAAAAGCATTTCGCGTCTTTCTCATCTCATATCTTACCCTTGATGCTTTGAAAGTTATAATGATACGGGACCCCTACTTTCGGAACACAGTCGTGACTGATTTAGCACCTCAATTTCCCCTCTCCTTCCTCACATCTATACCCTTGGGTGTTCGCTTCTATCGGTGCTTTGTCAGTTGTATGGGAGTCTACGTCGCCCTCCAATATGTTACCTGCCTCAGTCCTATCTTCTTTCTCGGATTATCCCTAGCATTCCCCAATGCCTCCCGCAAATTAACAGCTGCCCCACTGGACGTATCGTGGCTGTATGCTGATACCTTTGGCCCATTCTTTTCATCTGTGTTGGATGAAGGTCTAGCGGGTGTTTGGGGAACCTGGTGGCACCAGCTCTTCAGACACGGCTTCATTTCTACAGCGCGATGGGTCTTATCACTACTCCCAAGTTCATGGCGAAAAAACCCACAAATTAAACGCATAACCTATGTCGTGGTCGCGTTTTCGATGAGCGGGCTGGTGCATGCTTGCGGCAGCTATACACAGTTCACTGAGACTCGACCCCTTACTGGGCCTTTCTTATTCTTTTTCATACAAAGCCTGGCCATCATCGTTGAACATACCTTCCATACTATGGTACTCTCGAAACTGCCCATCAGCGGTATTCCACGGTGGGTACGACGTACTGCAAACGGTCTTATTGTGTTTTCCTGGTTGCTGTATTCGGGACCTTTCATCGCCGATGACTTTGCCAGGGGTGGGCTATGGTTGATGGAACCTGTGCCAATCAGTCCCCTCCGCGGTCTGGGATTAGGAGAAGGCCAGGGATGGTGGTGCTGGCAGGGCGAATGGTTCAGTCATTGGAATGATGGAACTTATTGGGGCAGTGGGATACGAGTAATTTAGATCAAAGAACATAGAAAAGAACCACATATATGCATGTGTATAGACACATCGAGGTCAAAATAGGCTTTCATGGAAAACTTGGAAAGACGCTCGAGCCCGGTGAGGGCATCAGGGCCAAAAGCAAGAATTCTTACATACAACAAACTTTTAATATATACTTTCGGTTCAATTATATGATCACCCCTCCATATTGACATCCTCATCATCCTCGTCATCGGTATCAGAATCCATGTTCAAAGTGGGCATTCCATCATCGTCGCTTTCGTCCTCTTCGGGCAACGGGGCAGCCACGGGCGGAGCAATCGGAGCCTGGGATACAACCTGGGGCTGCATCTGCACAGGTGCATCAGCTTCCGCTAATTGCGAAGCAGAGGTCGAAGTCCGAGTGACGACGGGGTATTGTTGCGTCTCTTCCAAGCGAGCCTTCTTAGATTGCACTTCCTCATTAGAGGGAGCAGATAAGCTAGGTGTCTGGATGTTAGACTCCTCAACATATGTCCGTTTGTGCATCGGCATCTGAGTTGCGGCCTTTGCTTCAACAGGCGCAGGAGCCGAAACCTTCAAGAACTCGGCGGTTTCGGGAGCAGCATCGTATACTTCATCAACCATCTCATCTGCCTCTTGCTCATCTTCCGCCTCGGTATAAGAGTCGAGCTCCGGGGCAGTCATCAAAACAGGCATTCTGGGGCGAACCAGAGCCTCCACTTCCATGTTATTGGCGTATTCGCGAACCAGGAAGGGCATGATACTGGCACCGGCAGCGCGGCCCTTGATAGCTGGCACAGGGTTCAGAACACTTGCAAGCATGGCATCCTTGTCGGAGACAAGAATGATCGTTCGGTCAATTTCGGCGCGGAGGGATCCAATGATGAGTTGCGGAGGAATGGATGTCAAAACGCTTTGCAAGAGACCCGACGCGGCCCGTTCTAGTTCAGCGAATTGAGATGTTTGCACTTTCCGGTTCTTTTGAATGTCGGGGTTCAAGAAGGAGTCCGCATTGGCAGTGCCGTGGCCATTCTTACCCTTAGACTTGGCATCGGCTTGTGGCTTGACTTGAGAGCCAGAATCATCGGACGAAGGCAGAAGATCGTTGCAGCAGGCACGCAAAACGTTGGTGATGGAGGATGCGCTCTGCTTCGACATAGCGGGACCATTGAGCGATATCACGGTGCTCAATAGGTCATATGAAGCCAAGCGCACATTCCGGCTGGCATTTTCATTCCGGAATACCCAGGTCACTTGTTCCAAGATGTTCTGTGAGATGGGTGTGGTGCTGGTCTCCAACACACTGGTTACATGTGCAAGCAAGTTCATGCAGGCAATGTGAATGCGAGGCAACTCAGCCCACAGAGATTCCCGCTCGTCGCGACCAATTTGAGGATTGATTTGCACACCCGATCGGGTTCCTTCATCTGAAGGGACGGTCACGGATGTCAGGCGCGATGTAACATCGAGAATGGAGCCTAGGGGAAGGGCCACAGTAGCGGCGGATGGCATGGAGACAAAGTTTGACAAAAGTCGCAACAGAGTGATTAATCTGTCCGAACCAGCATGCATGCCCTCCCAGGCTGGGAGTCCCAGTGCATCGGTGCCTTCATCAGCTAGGTCTGAGCTGTAGTTCTGGCGAGCCGAGACCAAGCCCCCGTCAACAGACTCCCATTGTTCGACTACGGCGCGGAAGACATGATCGGCTGCTCGGTGGATCGACAAAACCGTCGCTCTGGAGTCTTCTGTCCAACCGGATCCAGCCTTGTCCTTGGGCGCGCATTTATGCAGCGAGGCAAAGAGTTGCTCTGCAACATCCATCACCCCGTCGGGGAAATACAGGGACGAGGAGCCCAGGACCTCAGTCAGCAATGATCGAAGCTGAGATCCGAAAGGACGGAAGATAGTAGGGTGCCGAGGAACCAACTCCAAGCAGACTTGAAGGACGGTCACCATGAACGGTGTGTTGGGCTTGGCCTTGCGAGTAGATCCCGAAGGAAGCTTGGTGATGACCGAGACCAAGTTCAGGGCAGCGGTAATAAACGCAGGCAGATGAGGCGTGGTAATTTCTCGGACAAGAGTCGGGTACTGGTAGGTCAGGTGGAAGATGCGTGTCAGGGTGATCAAGGCCATCTTTCTTGTGGAGATAGGATCCGGTTTCTGGGGAACGTCAATTGTCAGTCATATTGATCTAGATCTGTAGATTATGCAGAATGTCTCATACCGCCAGAATGCTAATCAAGCCACGAACAATTGGCTCATAGCCGCGCAAGATTTCCCATTGTCCGGCCTCGACGGTGGCTTTGACAAGTACCACTGCGGTCCATCGTCCCTCAATGCTACGGTCCTGCAGCAAAGTAGCCAACCGTGTCTTCAGCTTGTGAATCTGGACGCTATTATCCGACTCGGTCTTTGACTTTTGAGCTTGGGGCGCAGAGAGAAGCTCGGCGCAATCGGTCAGCGAGGTCGCAAGGAATGCAGTTATCGAAGGCAATTGCTCGACGGGGGTGGTGGTCAAGCGATGGGTGACCGCACGCAAAGTAGTTGTAGTCATGATGAACTGTCTCTAACTCTCGATCTCGAACTTGAGATCAGAGCAGGTCGGTTCTTTTTTCCTGGGGAATTCAAGAGAATGTAGGATACATAGTTTCTTATCGGTAATTTTTTTTTGCCAAAAAGCTCGGACCCACATGATGGGCAAACCAGTAAAACAGTAAGAATGTGAAGCCTCGGGTAAAATTACATACCAAAGCAATACGCAAGGCCTCCACATCCCCTGGGCGATCATTCTCCGGCCCCGAACACTTGTTTCTCTCGCAGCCCGCATGTACTGTTCTTCAGCATCTTCCTCTGCGCATTATTCCCAATAACGGTCATCATGGCGGTGAGTGTCGTGGAACTTGGAGAAACAGATCTCTCTGTTGACACATCCAAATCAACAACCCGAAAACGGAAACAATCCCACTCCCAATATACTGACGTCGGCACTAGGGAGGCAATGTCGAGAAGGGACAACGTTATATCGCTGCCCTAGACCAGGCGCGGGCCCAGGGCAAATGGGAGGAAGTTCCTGAGTTGATCCGAAAGGTCACCAAGCACGCTCCGCAAAAGACTTGTAGGTTCATGAACTGACGAAGCTACTCCCCGCGTCAGTGGCTTGCGCGCTAACCCGGAGATCTCCCAACCGATAGGTGTTATTCAAACCGCAACTGCCGAATCGCGAGTGGTGGCATTTATTCATCAGAAGACGACCACCGAAGCGACAGCTACACCCAACCTCCCTGAGCTGATCCCAGCTTTGTTGACAACAATCGAGAACAATGATGGTACCCCGCAAGAGATCTTACAAGCTCAGGTCTGCTTGGGATGGGTTCACTGGACACTCAATGAGCCGGGGCTGGCGGCATCTCGCCTGCCCAAGAATTTCGCGGCCACTGTTGACTCTCTGTTCAGCGAAGGACATGACTTGTCCGATTGGACCGAAGTCTGTTTAGTCAAGGGATGCTATATTAAGGGTATGCCGGTTTCTGTGGACCTTTGAAACATCTGTCTATGCCAGATGACATGGAACTGACCAAAGAAATTCTTTCATCTAGGATCTGCACAGTCTACAGTTGCCAGCATCGATGAAACTCTAGACACTTACGCAGCCTTGATTCCATGGCTGAGCAACGGCAAACTTATCAACAATCCCAATTCCCAATTTCTCAGCTGGTCCGAGACTCTCCTTGGCAAGGGGGCCGTAATGGCCAGTGAAGAAGCTGGAACGGCAACCCCATACTCAGACCCCCGGCACGTGGAAATCGCACTCAAGCTGTTTCGGCTGTGGTCGGTACACCCTGCAGTCAAACAAGGACAGGGCTCTCCCAAGGCTGCGTATGCGGGTGCCCCGGGTCAACCTTCGCGCACATCGATCTGGAAATCATACTACTTGTTCCTCACAATCGTCCTCCAGGATGGCTTGACCTATCCTCTTTCGCATGATAGCCCGGAACGCCCGCAGCTTGCCAGTGAGCTCCGTCGCATCGAAGGTATTTGTGAGACTGCCCTGCTTCGGGAGGTGAAATTCCCCACAGCTAGTTCCGACAATTCCCAGGTTGAAGAATGGGTGGAGCAGGTTATTAGCAACTGGGAAGTTCTTTGTGGCCCCGACTGGCAGGACCAGGACCTTGGTGAGGGTGGGCAAAATGCCGTGGGCCGCAATGTCCTGGACGTGAGTAATAACATACATAACATGAAGGCTAATCTTCTTTTCGAATGGGGCTTACTCAAGACAACAGATTTTGTATCGTGCCGCAACCAAAACGTATCATTCATACTTGATCCTCCGGCGTCTGTTTCATGTACATGCTGCACTGGCAGACTTTGATCTCGCTTTCAAGGCCCTTGATTCTTATATCGAGATCGTTACCGCTGCCAAAAAACGAGCCGAAAAATCGGCCGAATACGGAGAGCTGGAAAAGGATTCAATCTTGCTGCAAACTCTTTCAGAGGGCGTCACTCTTTTGTGTGCACTTGGGTCCTTCGAGGAGGCAGAAAAGGCCAAGAACTTGACGGACTTGATCAAAGAGTATCTCGACAAGCAGGCGACAAGCCAAATAGAGGGTCAGAGCAACGGCAAGCTCCTACTTTCACACGGTCCTAACTGTACCAATTCTCCAGATATTCCTATTCCTATTTTGGCCGCATCATACCGAGCAGTCGGAGTTGGCCTTGCCAACTGGGCTAGCTACACCCCTTTGAATGAGTCTCGGGACGAGATCCGTGGAGAGGCGATTGATTATCTGGAAAGGAGCATCAACCCCGAGTTCGGACAAGACACGAACTTCTCTGCCTTTTACACCCTTTCTCTGACCCTAGCGGAAAACCGTGATCTTGATGCAGCAATCGACTACGCCAAGTCCGCTTTGGCGGCCCACAATTCGGCACCTATTACTGAGGACCTCTCAAAACAAAGAGACCTTGTATCACTTTGGCATCTCCTTGCGCTGTTGCTCAGTGCAAAGCAGGAATTTGATATTGCCGAGCGGTCGTGTGAGGCAGCCTTTGAACATTTCCCCTCGGAAGTTTTCTCTAGAGGCAACCGTGACCGACGATCTTCAAGACATTCCCAAAATGGTTCAGCTGGTCCCAAGCGCTCGGTGATTAGTCGATTGCAGGGCCGGGAGAAGGAACGCATGATTCAGACTCGTATTACGCAGCTTGCATTCACTGAGGTTCTCGAAGGCCCGGAGGCTGCTGTTAATCAGACTGAACAGCTGCTCAGTCTTTTTGGTAGACTGTTCCAAGAACTTGACCTTGACGAAGGGTCGAACTCGAAGTCGGATCATTTGGTACCCCCGAAGAGCTCAGCGGGAACAACGAAGAGTTTCCGTAGCAGTATCTTCCACCGTAACAGGATGTCTCAGCTGCCAGAACGCCGGGGTGATCGTTCGACCAGTTCACATTCTGCGACACCTCCTGTTCCGTCGATTCCAAATGGCCATTCCGGTTATGATGCACCAGAAATTCAGGTCACTGACGAAGATCACGACTCAAGCCTCAGGATTGGACGATCAGACTCCAAGAGGCTGCAGAAACGCGGCACTAGTTCTTATAGGTCCGAAAGACACCCGGATCAAGGCCCACCTGTGCCCCCTCATGAAGATGAGGTTGGCATCGCAGTGTCTGGAAACTCGACCCCCGTGCCACGAGAACATTCACAATCTCCCGTCGTCAAACACCCTCTGCACCATCACAAACTACCACCTACCCCCGTTGGCCACGAGGACCAACTTCAACCCTTGCGTCACGATCTTCGCCGTCCCGCAGCTCAGCGATTCGATTCTCCTACCAACGTCACCACCAAATTCCCCATCACACAATCCAAGAAACACGCACTTGCCCTGCTGGTGAAGATTTGGCTGGTTATCGCTGGTCTTTATCGTCGTGCTTCTCTATTTGATGATGCCCGCGAAGCTTGCGAAGAAGCCTCCAAACAAGTTATACGAGTGGAAGCTTTAGCCGCCGCCGAAGAATCTTCTGCTCGCCATCTTAGCAAGCGTGGCTGGACCGCTGCCAAGAGTCCCGAGGAACTCTGGGCGGACCTCTACGCTGAGGAGGGCCTTCTATGCCAAGCACAGAACAGGCCCCACCATGCCATGAAATACTATGAGGATGCTCTCCTGCGCTGTCCCGAGCACCCCATTGCAACCATTGCTCTCGCAAATCTCCTCTTAGACATCTGGGACGAGAAGCTTTCTCCTGAAACAACCAAGACGGATGTGGATATTAACGTGTCTCGTCTATCCTTGTTGTCTTCCAGTGCTAAACTCAAGTCAGCTCGGGCCATCTCAGCTGATGAGCTAAAGACACCTGAGGTAGCCATGATGCCACGGGTAGTGTCAGTGGCCAATTCCCCACATGAGGTCGACCCAAAGCACCTCCATCGTCTCGCAGCTCGCGACCGTGCCTACGGCCTTCTTTCCATACTCACTAAGCTCGGCAGCTCTTGGGACAACTCCGAGGCATGGTATGCGCTATCTCGTGCCTATGAGGCCGGAGAACAAGTCGAAAAGCTAAAAGAAGTTCTGTGGTGGTGCATTGAGCTTGAGGATCGTCGACCAATTCGACACTGGTCCAATATCGGCTCCGGACTATATGTACTTTGAGGAAGTTTAAGGCACGTCAAGGAGCCGCCATGTTTAATTAATATCTTTCTTGTATCTAGTTGGTTTCCCTCGGACTGGTCACGTTTGATTCCCCTTTTCTTCATTTTTCAACATTTGAGATACCATGTCCTTACTGCAAACCGGGAACTAAGAGCAGGACTGGATATGTTTAGTCAAGCGTTTTTTATATTTTTGATCTTCGCATTTATTGGAATGGAAAATCGTCTTTTTTCTCAAGTCTGTACCATCAATAAGGACTCTAAGTCTTCTTCGTCCAAATGTTCAAATGTTAGGTGTAGGCTGCACCCAGGCCACATGCATGTATTGATGTCGTATGTAAGAAGTATGCACATGTGTACTAGTCTGTAAATGCTAGGTACTCAAGTGCCGCAAATCCGAAGCCAGCGACAAGGGCGGAAGATTCAGCTATGTATACTGATCAATTGATCGGTGTCGTTTTGTATGTTCCTTTTTTTGTGGAATCCAATATTTAAAGAATTTATATAGAGCGCGAGGATCTATAAGATAAAAATTTCATGAAAAGCAGAAGTAGCACAACTTTATGTACATTCCTCTCAAGTACATTAAGTACCTGCAGGATATAAGAGAGCAAAAAAAACTAGGGTGAGAGTGCGAAAGTTCAATTCATTTTGCTAGCCCCTGGCCGATTTGATTTACCGGGGAGCGGCAACAGGAGTCCAAGCAGAGTACTTGGGGACAGTGCTTTAAAGATTGTTAGTATTTCCACAAAAAATCGTTACAAATATCTTCAAATACGTACGTGGAGTAGGTCTTGAAAGCGGCACGAGTCTGGGTGAGGTTGGGACGGTGCTCAGGGACCTCGAAGGCGCGCTGGCCGGACTGAAGGAGCTTGTCGGTAGTGGGAGGAGCATCAACAAGGTAGGAGATCCAAGCGTGCCTAATTTCATGATCAGTCCCGCACAAAAACCGCATATTCTTGCAGATCACGAGAAGCTCATGTTGTACACTTACCAGCCAGGCTCAATCTGACAGGGATTGTACTCGGGCCAGTTGGTCTTGTAGTCGACCCATCGTGTGCGGACTGTGCGGGGATAGTAGAACCTTGATCAGCACTTCACCTCTTGTTTCGACGTTCTAAGAGCGCTTCTCAAGCTTCGTTCTGGGTGTCTTACGGGGCAGCTCCTCGCTCATGTTCTCGTAGAACTTGTTGCCCCAAGAGTCGGTTCCGATCAGAGTTCCGGCCTTGGTATCACCTGTGATCAATTCCAGTTAGCTATGCGCGCCTTCCGGGACCCTTGAATGGAGAACATACCGATGTTCTATTCCAAAAAGTAAGAAAAATCCACGGTTAGTCCTCTCTGCCTTCCAATCACTGTATCCTTGATATCCGCGGTCGAGGTTCATACCTGCATCTGGTGGGCATATTCCTGTGCAAAGAGTTAGCATACCTAAGCTCCGTAAGATAAGAAAAACCTAGGCCATGAACGGACCTTGACGCCAATGCGGCGCAAATTGCGCAGTGTCCGCAGAACGGTCGACATGGTGACGGTGCAATGGGGGTGAGAAACAATGTGTAATCCCAGTGTCGTGAGTCGCCGCGAGGTTGAAAGCGAATTGAAGTCCGGCTGTTTGCACTGTTTGCACTATGAGCTGCTCGTCCCTTCCCGATTCAGAAATCTTTCAATAGTTTCCTTCTTGGGAACTATTTGACCATTTCACTATTTTGATTAGCTTGTTTTTTTTTGCTTTCTCCGCGTCATGTTCGGTCGCGTTGGAGGCAATGCGCTTCGCTGCGCTACTCGTCGCCCCATTGCGCGCCCCAACATCGTTGGCCGCAAGTTCTCCCATACTGCGGCTAACGCATCCGTTGCTCCGGCATCGTCGCCTCTGGGGAGTATCACGGTGGAATTGGATCGCATTGCGCCCCGGTTCGAAATTTCAGCGTCGGAGGTCTCGATCTTGAACTCGCCGGCCCAATTCTACTCTACTCTCAAGGTTCGTGATCTTGAGCGAGAGCTTCTTACAACTTCGTTTACTGATCCGTTATCGGCAGCACAAAATCCGCAATGCCCGCAGTCGCGTATACCTCTCGACCCTTTACATCGGCAAGACCGAATACGAGTTGATCGATACCGTGGCAGATGCTCTACGTGATAACCCGGACCTACAAGTTTCTATTCTTTCCGATGCGTTACGAGGCACTCGAGAAACCCCCAACCCGTCATGCGCATCGTTGCTCTGCTCCTTGGTGGAGGAATTTGGCCCCGAGAGGGTGGATATTCGGATGTACCATACACCCAATCTGACGGGTTTGAGGAAGAAACACATCCCTCGTCGAATCAACGAGGGCTGGGGCCTGCAACACATGAAGCTGTACGGCATCGACGACGAGATCATTATCTCCGGGTAAGCATTTTACCACCGAGCCGTTCGTTGTAGCCGGATTGCTAATGCCTCATATAGAGCCAACCTGTCGGATGACTACTTCACGAATCGTTTGGATCGGTATCATGTGTACAGTTCGAAGGCATTGGCCGATTATTACGCGCGAATCCACCATGGCGTCTGTAGTCTGAGCTTCCAGGTCTTGCCAGACCCCAACAATCCCTCCGCCTATCTCCTGGAATGGCCCACTTCCAATGGAGCTCCTTCACCACTAGACAGTCCCGAAGACTTCATCGGATACGCATCAACTATTCTCAGCCCCCTCATCCAAGCTTCCGACAACGAGCCTGTTCTCCCCTCCACTTCTAGCCAAACCTTTATATACCCCGTCGCGCAGTTCACTCCGCTCCTCAAGCCCGACACTTCCACCGAGTTCCCGGCTGTCACCAGTATTCTCCGCCTCCTGTCCGAATCGTCTGCATTCGCTGGAGCCCGCTGGCTCTTTACCGCGGGCTACTTCAACATCCACCCCGTTCTCTCCTCACTCTTGATCGCAAGCACATCCACCGACTCCAAAGCGCCATCGACTACACAAGGCACCGTTTTGACTGCCTCGCCTTGGGCCAATGGATTCTATGGCTCACCAGGTATTTCAGGCATGCTGCCAGCAGCCTATACGCACCTATCGGCGCGTTTCCTTGATCGTGTTGCCGATGCTCAGGCAACCAACTCCATTCAGCTGAAGGAATGGCGCCGCGGTACAGTCGGCACACCGGAAGGATGGACCTACCACGCCAAGGGTCTCTGGATCACATTGCCGAATGAAGAGCATCCCAGTCTCACCTTTGTTGGCAGCAGCAACTACACGAAGCGAAGCTACAGTCTTGATATTGAGGTTGGGGCACTAGTTGTCACCAATGACCAAGAGCTGAAGCGCAAACTCGGCGAGGAGACAGAGGTACTCCAGAAAGATTCCGCACCCATCTCACGTGAGGATTTGATGCGCACGGAGCGTCGCGTCGGATGGAACGTGCGGTTGGCTATGTGGATCGTTGAGAAAGTTGGCGGAGCTCTCTAGATTGCCCGTTGTTCATTTGTATATAGTATCTCTCTCTCCTATGTAATTGTACCTGTAGAATATCGCATAATTTCGGCTTAAGCCGAGATCACGCCGTCGAAATGCATACTGAGTCATGACCCATGAATGCATATATCTAATCCAATTCAAAAACTTGTCTCGACTCCTCTCAAGATCTGCCTTATCCGCGCCATAGAAAGCCGACTCCCAAGCCGCTCTTGGATGACTATGATCTCGGATAATGCTGTCCGAAAGCGAGACCTGCTCATTTTAGAGATGATCCACTCTATGTGGATTCGATCCTTTGTTTCAACACCGGTCATAAAGAGAGGGAGCTGGAATAATTCATGCCCCCAGGGGTCTTCTTCGTCGAAGGCACGGTGTGCGATGTTCATCAGGCTAGTCATAGCGAACATTATGTGAGGTGGCGTCGGTTGCGTACAGTCCCTCAGCGTTAACCGAAAGTAGTAGAGCTCCACAAAATAGAAGCCACTCACAGCGGCATCGGATGTGCGCAAGAAGGAAGATCGAGGTGCTTTTGACAGTTCGGTCATTCTCAGAATAGAGCTATATTGCTATTTCAAGCTGTGAGCTTTGCGAATCATTCCAAAATAAAGATGTGGGTATTTGAAGTACCGTTTCCGTTTCTACGATTCCTCGCTCAATGTCAGGATCATGGGGCGTGGCTTGCTCCGGAGTCTTCTTGCTCAATTCGTTCAGTCGGTGAAATAGGAATCCCACTTTGTTGCCCATGTCTATGACTGCCGTAGTTTGGAGATCATGCATGACCTCCTTTTCTGGATACACCTGTCCCCAATGGCGCTCCAGTATGTATCGCTGCTGCAAGAATATTTGCCAATATAGATTGTCACTGCCAAATAGGTGGTTCGCAAAGTGCCCGCCGCACCCTTCAAACCCCATCTTGCTATCTTCCGATACTAGGAATAGAAGCAATCGGCCAATGAGACCAGGCTCAGTTGATCGACATGTATCAAGCCAGGCGGAAGTGAAGGAATCTTCGGGAACTTTGATACCAGCACTTAATTTGTCTAGATTGTATCGTTGGATGTAGTTCAGAACAGCCAAACTGAGCTGGTCAACCGCCTTTCGATCCAGAATATCACGATGACTCATGCACAAATATAAAAAGAACAGAGAGCTTAGAGTACTGAAGTGATGTGGCTCTTTGTCGTGATTCATGACTTTGATGAGCATTTCAGACCCTTTGCGGAAATGTGTCCTGGTCACGCCGACATTAATTGCTGGGCGAGGGGACCTTCGGTTCAGGTCCATCGAAGAAATTGCAATCAGAAAATGCATAGGCATAGGTATATGAGAGATGGACTGAAAAACACAGCCCAGCATGGACCATCGAGGAGTCTTGAGTAGTCGGTCTGAGATAAATCTCTCTTGGTAGTGACTCAGGGCCAGATATTCATCCCCACTGAGAACCAACGAGTGGTCCAGGGTAATGTCATGCATGAAGAGAACCGGAAAATAGAGAAGACTTCCAAGATCCGAGCAAGGACTGGCCCAGGATATATCAGAATCACTTTCATGTTGTGAAGGTAAGAAGTCCGATGTTTTGTCACTGTCGGGCGTTTGTTGTCTAACGGGTTTGGGTAAAATCAGTCTCTGCTTCTCGCTTGAACCTCGAGTAGGGGCTAGCTCGGCTCTCTTGGATGGCCAACAGCACTGCAGCTGCAGGCGAGCACACCGTGAGCAGTGTGGATGGGATTGATCGCATTTCACCTTGGCTGAACGACAGACCTCACAGCCATTTGTCCTTGGTCGTCCTAATCGCTTAATCGAGGTAGCAAATTGCGAATGACTGGCCATGGCAATTGGCGGGAAATCGATATCACCTCTCTAGGGGATTGAAAGGCGAAATATCAGCACCTGGCAATAAAGATATGCGATCGGGGAAAGAGATGCGGAGTATAGAATATCTGGATATGCCAGACCCACATTATCCACTATCTTATCTCCACTTAAGACTTTTCATTGGACGACTTTTCCGACCGCCAATCAGAAGCGAGATACCAACTGCCAAGACTTTTATCGTCAATCGCTGGAGTAATCGCGCCTTCTATCTAGATTAGTAGACCATGCATGATGCAGCATACCCAATATCTTAAGAACAAAGCCCCTAGGAAATCAATGCCTGCATATTTTGTTGTACTCCTTTTACCCACCTCGGGTTCAATTGAAACACAATATGGATGATCAGAAGGCTGATCTAAGCATGAACACTCAAATGGAAGAGAATAAGGACTTTTTTGAACCACAAGTCGCTTTGGTTCTTGATTATACTGAGGAAAAGGCTTTGATGCGCAAAATTGATTGGCAGTATGAGGCGTTACCCATTATTAGTACCTATCGAAAGGATTTCCGGTTAACACCTTTTATTTTAGTTTGCTTCCCGTCATGTTCACTGCATATATGCTCCAATATCTCGACAAGACTGCACTTGGAAATACTGCCATTTTTGGAATTCGGGAATCACTGGTATCTAGACATACCCCCCTTTCTGACCATGCAGATGAGAAAATACTGACTAACACCTGTGAAACAGAATCTCGTTGGCGATCAGTACTCATGGACCTCCAGTGCATTTTACTTTGGATTCTTAGTGGCGTCCTACCCAGTATCCTTATGCTTCGTCAAGTTTCCAATCGGAAAGTTCCTCTCTGTTTCCTTGTACGTGTGATGACATACTCTCTTCGCGACCCCAAACTGAAGACTCAATGTTAACTTGTGGAGCAGCCTCATTTGGGCAGTAGTTCTAGCCTGCCATGGAGCAACATCCAACTTTGCAGGTCTCATGGCCGTTCGAGTTATACTCGGTGCGTTTGAAAGTACTATCAGTCCTGGTCTATCCTTGATCACTGGTCTCTGGTACAAACGATCTGAGCATGCATCGCGACATGGAATCTGGTTTGCAGGAAACAGTATCTCCACTATTTTTGGGGGCTTGTTAACGTATGGTATCGGCCATATCAACAACTCAGTTGAGCCATGGAGGGTACGTTCTACTGGATTTGAAAATAAATTTCAACGTGTTTCTTGGAGCTGACCAACTACTGCACAGTGGATATTCATTATATTTGGAATCGTCACCTTTGCATATGGGCTTTTCATCTTGATCTCCCTACCAGATGGCCCGCGAAACGCTCGTTTTCTTTCTAAAGAGGAAGGAGAATTTATTCACCAACGTGCTCAGCGAGAGACACATACTACGGTTTCATACAAATGGTCAAAAGGCCAATGTATCGAAGCATTGATGGATCCTCAAACCTGGCTTCTCTTCGTGTATGCCATGGGCTCTTCTATTCCTAATGGAGGCCTCACAAGTGTAGGGACAACTCTGCTGCAATTTATGAAACCTTGCTAATCACCGTTCTGTAGTTCGGGGCTATAGTTATTGCCGGGTTTGGATACTCAACATTCGATACTCTTCTTGTTTCGTTGCCCATATCTGTGTTCACCTTCATCTGGGTAGTCTTGGCCACGATAGTCACTTCCAAAGTCCGCAAATCACGCTGTCTGACCATAGCCGTCTTATCCCTCATAAGTCTTGCGGGAAGTTTAATGGTCTCTCAAATCGACCCCAGCAAGAAGGTTGCTCGGTTGGCTGGAATGTGGCTCTTTCCTGCATACTCGGCTGGAGTTCCCATTGTTTTGGGTATAATTGCTTCGAACGTGGCGGGATACACCAAGAGGACTACAGTCACTGCTGTGATGTTTATTGGGAACTGTGCTGGTAATATCACTGGACCATTTCTCTTCTTCGCTGATGAGGCGCCTGGCTACAAGGTACGTGTTCTCTTTATCCCCTCCTTCCATCTAATCACCGAAGCCTAACTATCCGCAGAGTGCATGGATTGGGATTATGACCTCACTGGGCATTGCCTTTGTTGCCATTCTTCTTCTACGTCAGTTATATTACTTCAAAAACCAGCATCGTGACTCCCAACAAACTACGAAGATAGACCCTGAGTCCCGCACAACCATTGATACCGGAGAGGATGTCGCACCCGATAAGGATGAAACTGACTGGGAAAACCCAAGGTTCCGTTATTACTTATAGAATCTACCTAAGAAGCTACCTCGGAATTTTCCATATAATCAGGATGGAGATATGACACAGATATATGTCAGGCTACCTGCTTCTCACCTGTATTTAATTTAGCCTTGGAATTAACATCGAACTTGTAACATTGATCTACAATGTAAGCACTTGAGAAAAATTGGGCTTTTTCCTTAAGGGAACGTAGGACGGTGATCTGGGGATAATTTAACCATAGAAGTCTCAAAAGATAAAAAAAAGACATAATGACCATTCTTGAATATTGTATATTTCTTTCAAAGCGACTCGTAGTAATTCACATACACATGCAGCAGCCTTGAGCGCGCTGCTCATTATGAAGTTGTTTGGAACAAAAAGGAGTTCGGGGCCTTGAAACTATCAGCCTTGGAGGAAGACACGCTATCTGTTCCACTAATTTCTTAGTTCTAGCGATTTCTGGTAATCTCACCAGGTTAGTGTTGCTGAATTGTGACGCGTCAGAGTTTCCCGACGAGCTTATCACGCCATTTCCTCAGTTTCCATAGCCAATGGAAATTCCAATATGAGAACGGAATATTCCGACGTGAGGTCCTGCAGCTTGAAGAATACTACTAGTACGTATTGAAGGGAAATACAAAAAGGTGCACCATGCCCCGCTGACATAGGTTGGTATTCTGTTCACGCTGTCACTTTCGATATTCCGAGCTTTATCATCATGTCGTGGGAATTAATTGCTGCTGCAAAGCGCCAGGCGTTGCAAGACTCCATCCCATCCGAATGGGTGATTCCTTCTGCAATTTCCCCTCCCGAAGATCAGCTGGATGTGACCACTTTCCCTCACGAATCTGGATTCTTCACTGAATTTGAATTGGAGATAACCTCGACTCCAGCTTCGACGATCCTATCTCACATATCATCTGGCTCGTGGACATCAGTGGAGGTGACGAACGCTTTCTGCAAGACTGCAGCCGTTGCTCAACAATTGGTATGTCCATTTTCTTACCGGAAGTTTTCAATTCAAAGTCAGAGCACAACAACTGACACTCTACAGACAAATTGTTTATCGGAAATATTCTTTGAGAGCGCCATCGAACAGGCCAACGAGCTCGATGCATACCTCCAACGAACCGGAAAGACCAAGGGCCCCTTTCACGGGCTGCCCATATCTATTAAGGATAATTTCAATGTTGTCGGTTATGATACGACAATCGGCTTTACATCCCTTGTTAACAAGCCTGCTACTTACAACAGCACGCTCATCGATTTTCTTATTGAAGCCGGTGCGGTGCTGTACTGCAAGTCCAACGTGCCAACTGCTATGATGATTCCAGAGACTGTGAACAACCTTTTCGGTCGAACAGTGAACCCCTTGAACCGTAACCTTACTACTGGCGGTTCCAGCGGTGGAGAAGCTGCCTTGATAGCGTTTGGTGGCAGTCGTATTGGTGTCGGGAGCGATATTGGTATACCTCAAGTCCAAACTGATATCCCAAAAAACCTAACTGACTGTGCTACTAGGGGGTTCTCTCCGCATGCCTGCCGCCTGCACTGGCCTCTTCACCATCCGTCCCTCATACGGACGCTTCCCAAACTTCGGAGCACGCGCTTGCCTTGAGGGCCAAGAGTCCGTGAACGGGGTCTGCGGACCGATGGCTAAGACCCTGGAGGAGATCGTTCTCTGGGCCAGTACGATTATCGCCCAGCAGCCCTGGATCCGTGACCCAAAGTGTCTGCCAATTCCATGGCGTTCCGTGGAGACAAAGAAATCTCTAAGGATTGCTGTTCTCTGGGATGATGGAGTTGTTAGACCCACGCCTCCTGTTTCTCGGGCGCTCAGGGAAACGGTCGAGAAGCTGACGGTAGCTGGACACGAGATTTTTACCTGGGAACCGACCGGACACACAGAGATACTGAAAATACTTGAGGTTTTGTTCTTTGCGGATGGGGGAAAGTCTTTACGAGATCTCCTAGAGCCAACAGGCGAGCCTTTCCGGCCGGAAATGAAGCTTTATGAAGAAGCGCAGGGGATAAGCGTGTACGACCTATGGCAAACACACGTCAGTCGTAACAATGTCTGCAAATCGTACCTTGATCGGTGGAACAACGCGGGAATTGATGCTATTCTATGTATGTGTGTCTATTTGATACAACTTTCCCAGATAAGTGTTAACGAGGTTTTACAGGCCCTACAACGCCATACAGCAGCGTTGAAAACGGGAAGTTTACTTACGTTGGATATTCGTGTGTGTGGAACTTGCTCGATTATCCTGCTGTTTCGTTCCCCTGTGGTCTGAATGCCGACAAGACTGTTGATGCACCTTATCCCGATTATCAGTCATTAAATCCTTGGGATGCAAAGGTTCAGAATGACTGTTAGTTTTTCCTTATCTAAAGTTTTGATGTGTTTGAATATTAACAGACACAGATTCCGCCGAGTCGGTGCACGGAATACCGGTAAGTCTGCAACTGGTCGGTCGCAAACTTGGAGAAGAAAGCTTGCTGGACATGACGGATAGTGTATTGAAGGCTATCGGACTACGGTGAATGGCAGGCGAAAAACGGAAATATTGGGAATGAGAGAGATCCAGCCGTAAATTCAGAGCACAGGGTATTTGCTATCATATATGAAGAGTAATTCATTGAATTTATTCCACGTATCTTCTCCTAAAATACTAGATTCGATTCTCTTTAGACGTGATAGACTTGAGATACCTAGTAAAAATCACACAGGCAGTCGAGAGTAACATAAAAGCCCCCGCAAAGATCCAGGTTCCCTGATACTCTCGTTGAACATCGGAGGTAGATGCTCCGGACGGGCGCAGACAAGCACCAGCAATAGGATTCCCAATCAATGCACCAAATGCAGCTATCGTATAAGCCAAACCTATGCGTGCCCCCATTTCCGACGGGTCACTGCTGAGATTTGCGATTATGGCTGCTGGAAGAGACACCATACCACCGGAGATTAGGCCATATAATAGAGCTATCGTAATCAACCCGGGTAAATCGAGAGTGAATCGCCAGAAAAATAGGACGATCGCCGAGAAAAAGCAAGCTGGAGCCATGACATTTAAACCACCAATACTACCGAGCAAAGAAAAAAAAGGGGTTAGCTGAAAAAGAGAGCGTGAATAAGTCGTGGTGAAGGAGGGATTCTCACTAATCTGCAAGCAAATTCGGTCCAATGCGTCCAATCAGACTCGTAGCATTCATCATGCTCAAGAGATAGAAAGCCATATCATCTTCGATATTGAGTTGCAGGGCGTATTTTTGGATATAGAAAAAAGGCACATAGACGGATGCCATCATTAATGTGAATGCTATTTGAGGGTTACATTGTTAACGGGTCCGATAGACTTCCCACTGGCAAGTTCATAAGGATATGCATAGATGACACTGACTCACCTGCAACAAAAGCCATATATGATGGATCGCGAAAATGTCTGAGATCGACCAGTGAAGCGGATTTCCGAGGACGTGGACGAAGCCTCATAATAGCACAACAAATGGCCAGACATCCGAGCATGAGAAAGGCCAATGCACGCACCGCCCATGGGAAGCCCTTACTCACAAAGAGTCTCCGCATCATGATAGGGTATATAATTCCCGCTGTTGTCCGAGTTAGCTGACCGCAGTCATGGGATTTATGAAATTCTAACTGACCCAGACTGCTTCCTGTAGCTGCGATTCCTAGGGCAACCATCCTTCTCTTCGAGAAATACAACGGAATCACAGCCACAGAAGTCAACCCCAACAGACCACTGCCCAGGCCAACGCAGATTCCTTGCGCCAACAGAACCTGCCAGTACGTAGTGCAGAGAGAGGTCATGAATATCCCGAAGACTTCGAGGAAGGTACCAGTGATGAGCAAGGCCTGTAGATACCCGGCATCGAGGAACCAACCCGCAAAGACTCCGACGAGCATCGTGAGGAAAAGTTGGATGGAACCGATCCATGAGATAGCCGAAGCTGACGATGTTGCCAGTAGGTTTTCGGTGTAGAATGTCTCGAAAACTCCAAAGGAGTTTGTTAGACCCCTATACACAGCATCAGGATTTGCTGTCTATCAGCAGGTCTAGCAGTCCAAAATTCCAGATTTCTGGAGGACGGGAACCACGTACCAGGTATTCGCGAAGAGAATCCAACTGCCTAGAACCTGTAACCAGGCTTGAAGTCCTCCGTCCATTCGGTATTCAGTCCTGCGCTCGTCTTGAAAAGCAATTTGTTCTTCTTCGGAAGCCTCCTGGTCCTGGACCGTCATTTTGAATGCTGTATAATTTGAATCACAGAGGCGGAAGAGGGACGGGAAATTAGGAAACTTTCTGGAATCGAGGGTTGATATAGAAATTCAAGGCAAAAACATGGAGTAACGCAACTGAACCTAACTCAGGGTGCACTGCTAAGGTTGGGTAGTCGTGACTTGTTACCCCAATCAAACCCCATTATTTCATCTCCTTTTCTCTCTGTTAAATCTCCCCACCTTTCCCTTTTCTGCTTATGTTTCGCTCTTTTGAGATAACGGGCGAATACGGAGCACGGTGCAAACGAGCAGGCTGGAACGCCCAGCCTTTGAAGCAGTGAGTGCTTGTCGGAGTAAAAAATCTAGACTCGGACTAAGGCTCGGACTAGTCGGACTAACAACAAAAAAACCACGAACATCACGCCACTTTTATTATTCAACAATGCGGGGAAAGAATCAGGAAAAGAGAATCACTATGACTCCTGTCGCAATCCAAGCCAAAAAATATTACACGACCTTACATTATCAGTGATTCCCCACCTAGTGGATCTACTTAGCACTTTCAAAATTGGCGGCAGGATGATAGATCGGCGGGCTCGGCGGATATTCTACCAGTTGTTGTTTTGTTATCATCCAATCATAGTGAACCTTGGGTGTCTTTGGACGTATGTCACCAAAACAACAGTGCGGCTTCCTGTTGAAGAAGTCCGCTGAGTGAACTAGGCCGGATAATATAAGCTTCGCTCGCAGAGGAGATTCCATGGGAAGTAAGTCGAGGGCAGTCTGTCCCCAGTCATTGAATCTATTTCCTTTGCGTCCTATCGCAGCGAGAAGGAATGGAATTGTGGACTCGTTGTTCCCTTTAGCCGCTAAATGAAGCAGGGTGTTACCGAATTCGTCGATGAAGTTAATGTCGTTAGGTCGGGATTGAAGGAATATTTCTAACGTGTTGAATGAAGCGAGAGAGGCAGCGAAGGCGATAGGCGTACGCCCGTGACGGTCGGGTTTTTTGAGATCTACTTCTGGCAGCGAAACAAGAAACCTCTGAAGATCTTCGTTGCCCGAGATAACAGCGCGATGGGTGACTGTCCAGCCCATGATATCTTTCCTATTAATTTCCGAAGGCATCGGGAGCTTTTTTATCAATCTTTTGAGGACTCTCATGTGTCCCTCCGCAGCCGCCATGTGGAGGGGAGTTTCGCCGAATCGGGTCTGATGTGTTGGGCTGGCGCCATATACCAAAAGGGCCTTGGCTATTTGGTCCTGGCCAGCCTGAGCTGCGAGGTGAAGGGGTGTGATACCTCGCGTATCGGTGGCCGAAACTATTGTCGGATTCTTACGAATCGCCAGAAATGAAGCATCTATCATCCCAGCCGTAATCGTCCAATGCAGTATGTTCCGCTTGTGAAGATCTAAGTGTTTTTCGATTTCATCGCTCGTCAAACGACGGAGCATTGACAACACAAGTTCTGGCCAGCCTTGACGGGCGGCGTTGATGAGGGGGCTCTCGCCCTGTATTGTCAAGGAAGAATCGATTATTACACCAGGGATCGTCATGAGCAGGAGCGTTGTCTCTTGCTTTCCCCAATGAATTGCCACATTTAGTGGTGTGCGCCCTAGCTCGTCTTCGGGATTGAGATCGATATCAGGTTGGGATATGAGGATCTCTATAAAAGCCTTGGCAATGGGAGCGATGTGGCGTGCGGCCTCGTGGAGTGCAGTTGCGCCCCATCGATTCTTTGCGTTGATATCCACGCGAGGTATACTCAACCACATTCTCACGCTACTTGTCAATGCTTCATCTGGAGAGTTCGCTTCGATTCCCATACTAGAGCAATATTTGGTGGCTCTTCCGTAGTTGGCTTCCACAACTAGACTTGAAAGAACGGTAGTTCCACTTGAGTTTCGGCCATTGATATCTAACCCCATAGAGAGCAATTGTTCAAGCACTTTCATTCTCTCGGCGAGCTTTGCTTCTTTCAGATAACAAACCTCCCACCAAATCCGCCATGAGTGTATCAGCACATCGTTGAAACCAAGCATATGAATGATATGACAGCCATCGAGAGGCTCATTGATATCGTGTCCATCTTCAACTAAATGCTTCATAAGATTCAATAACCCGTACTTAAATGCCACCCAGATTGGTGGTCTTTTGATGTCGGCCGGTGTGAACTCATTTGGTAAATTGTTGAGCACCTGAAAATTCCTGCTTTGGGCGACGACCCGCTTGAACAATGGATAAAACTCGTAATCATCATCTAGTCCTTTAAGGTGGAATGCCCACCCATTGGCAGCATAGTCAATGAATGGGTATTGTTCCAGAAATCTTTCTAGACGCGCACGCGCACGACGGGCATGTGCACGGCGCGCTCGGCGATCGTCTGCGGCGGAGGCTTCGTGCGGCACTTCTAGCTTTTCCACCACCCATGGGCCATCTTTCACAAGAGAGATGTCACTAAGACCCATGTAAAGCATGCAATCCTTTGCTATTTGAAGATTGATGGGTTTCAAATCCAAAAAGAATATGTTTGGCTCGCCCTTGACCTCGCGAACCCCCAGCAAAAAGTCTTTGAACGACTGGTGGACTATGGTCACAATCCCCTTGTCGTCAACCTGAAGTAAGTTTGGGCAAGTACGTTTCAAGAAAGCTGCAATCGAGAGCCTCTTCTTGATATCTGCTGAACTTTGAGGCCTCCCTACCAATGCTAGAGCAATAGATATCTCCATGGTACTGAGCGGCCTTCGTGCTGCAACGATCCACTGTAGAAGGTGCATTAATTCCGGTCGCAATCTTTCGTCAACAGTAAGAAGTAAGTGGTGATAGAGGTGTTCCATCCCGGGTGGAAGCCTCTGCATATCCGCGATTCTTTCCGAGATCATTTCGTCTGTCCAGAGGCCCACCCCATCAGTGAAGTTGTTCCAAGCAAGAACAGCCCACATGAACATCCCATCAGCGCGAGAAAATATCTCACGGTAGATCAAGCTGACAGTCTTTTTGTTGAAATTGTTCTCTTTGGCATAGTCTCGAATGGTGTCCTTGAGAAAAGAAGACAGATCATTGTGATTCTCTCTTGAGTCTCCCATTCCAAGAGATGTAATATCCCAGGTGACAAAAATACTTTCCAGATCAGTCTCCTTCCGACTAGTAACAAAGATCCGAACATTATGCATATCGGGATGAACCACTTGGCGGAGCCGTTGCAAAAAGGCTTTTCGTAAAGTCTTGTCCATTTCGTCTAGTGCATCAATCACAATAAATAGACGACGAGGGCCCAATGCCTTCAAGATAAGTGACAGAATATCCCAAAGAGTCCACAATGATTCGGTCTCTCTAGGAGTGATATTTGGGTATGTCTCGTCCAGTTCTTTTGCTAGTGAAGGATCCTGACGGAGTAGCTGGTGAATAATCGAAGCAACCAGGTGCCTAGGAGACTTGGCTCGATCGTCGTCCTCGAAACAAAAAAAATAGCATGCCAAAGATTCTGGAGCTGTACCATTTGAGCGTTTGGACAAGTCCCTTTTTCGGTGCCCGTCTGTCAAAACTTGAAACACGTATTTTGCAAGGACAGACTTCCCAGTACCTGGGTGGCCATACGTCCAGAGATAATTCTCGCCAGTGCCCTTTCGCCATTGGTTGAAAATGGGATCATCAGTAAGCCACAAGCAGGTTTCTGGATGTCTTTCTGCCACGCGAAAGAAAGAATTCTGATAGTCCAACAAGTGGAAGTTCGACAGGTAGGGATACTTATTGTTCAAAGTGGGCGACGCTATTAATCAAATTGTTATGTGTAAGCCCGCATAGTCAAAAATCGATGATAGTAGGTTCTCCGTTTCAACATTTGAATGTTTCATACAGAAAGTGATATTGCCGTAGTTCTGCCCAACTTGTATCCCCGAATTCTCGCCGTGAAAGGAGTTTGAAGTTGCCATCGTCCACACATCGGCAGAAGCACGTCGGAGACGGTGATGGTAATCATGAGTTTATGTCTTGAGTCTTGACATATTAAAGTCCCAGCCCCTCATTCAGGCAGCTCATGCCGTTGCCTTAATTATGTTTGATTTGTTTGAATAGTTGAAGTCAGCCCAGCCATATTCTCGAATCTCGTATATTGGAATGTCAGTGTTATTTTATTGGACGCTTTGACGGACGAGGTGCATTAAGCGACATTCAATTGGTTCCTGAGTCCTGCCACAATAATCAGCTGGTAGGTAGAGCTAGTCCCGCCTTGGCAAGCTCTTGGGCGGCTGGGCAAGCTTGAAACCGGCAGGCGACACCCATGATGTTGATTATTTTACTGTCAAGTCACCGATTCAAGGGGCATTATATGCCGAAAAACGAATTCTACATGAAAAATTCCAAGTCATGGTAGCCATCATGGAAAGACCCTTGGCCGACTGGATTTTCCCAAGGTTGACAAGCTGATCTTGCGGCTCAATCGTAAATCCCATGTAAGCCTAGATCAGCCTGACAACGCTGACCCGCTTACCAACTAACCAGCTCAGCAGGACTCTCCGATCAATTGAAAACTCGGCCATATCATCAGATATAATAATTACCATGATAGATCCGGCCATCTGGGAAAAAGGGGTGAGTTTGATCTAGCCACAACCCTTTGCTACCAGAAATCACCCCGCTTGGCGACATGTCCGACCAAGGCGGGGTTTTTGGCGCTTTTGGTGCGGTGCTTGGCTATATCGGAGCAGAGGCAGCCACCGACATCTGGTTTTCGTCATTATTATGGCCCCAGCGATCATTTTCCTACCTCACATTCCGATCCATTCCAACTCTGGCTCTTCTGATGCCCATGGGGGGTCCATTGCACAAAGCCGCTCTGGGCACCTTCGATATCGCGAACACCCGAGGCCTATTGAAGGGCGCCCACGAAGGCCACATGCTGGGCACTTCGTTTTTTGAACAAACAGACTGGACCTACACCATTCCCGGTGCTGCTAGCTCCGAGCCCCGCGCAGCCCGTAATTGTATGTGGGCACGAGCTCTTCAGTACATGCCTCTGCCCACCGAAAAGGCTGCATCGCTAGCAGGACTATCCCCTTCAGCCACGAGCGATGCCATCGAGAAAGGCATCCTTCCCCCACCCACTGACAATTCCCGGATCCTCTTACGAGCAAAAGTCGCCGTCTATCACCTCATCTTCACTCCAGCAACGGCTGAAGATAGAGCCTCGCAGATGCCGTTTGTGCGCGAGAACTGCGGCCGACCAGGCCCGCATATTTATATAAGCATATTGATCGCCGAGTTGTCCGGCATCATTCTCTTTGCCGTCATCTACGCCATCGGCCGATCACTCTGGTGTCTCATCTGGCTAGCCCCACTGCTCCTCCGCCTCTTGAGCGCCTTCTTCGCCCTCGACCGCGAACCCCTCGTCCCTATTTCCTCCTCCATCTCATCGCCTTCAACCACGCCGACTACCGAAGGCGAATCGCCTCGTGATTTTATTATGCACTTCTCCCAGTCCCAAGGCGGCGACCTCATGATCTTCACAGCTTTACCAGCCCTCGTACAACAGTTCTTCCGACACTACGGCCACCCAGTTCGGAACCGAGCCCGGGAAGTTCTCCAGCTATGCATTATAGCGCTTTTCGCCGCTCTATTTCCGCTAGGATTGCTGGCCTCGACTCTCTGGATGCCGCCTCTGGTCCAGTACGCGTGGACCTGCTACCAGCTGTACATTGTCATGACGATGCATATCGTGCGCTACACGTCTTTTGGAAGGCAAACGAGCACGGAATCTAAAATCGCTGACTATCTGGTAGACCAGCCGGCAATTCTTTTTGGGGAGAAGAGGCATGGGGCTGAGACGGTGAAAGTTAGCCTTATTGCGACGTATCATGCGCGGCATCAGGAGGGGAGGGATTGTTTGGAGCGGTTGGTGAGGCGGTAGTTATTGGTTTGATGTCTGGAGTGCAACTGAGAAAAGGTTAGCTTTTTTTTTCTTTTCTTATATACGTTCCATCAACATCAATAAATCGGATCTCGTACTAGTAGAAGCACAGCCAATAGCGAACAGTGTGCCAATGTTCGCTTATTTTTCTAATATAAAACCCCGCTTCCAACCTAGTCGCTCATCTCTACGAATAACAAATACCGCCACTTTTGCATCATCTTGCTATTATTTACCCTTACATTGGACAGAAAATCCAACATAGCAGAATGAGCCCCGATGACTGGGTGCCCGTGCGCAGCACCGAGAGGGACAAGGGATACCCACTCGCCACGTTGATGCGGGTGGTCTACGGCGAGGACTTGGGCATGGGAGACAGATATAGCAGGTGTTTCTCGATCATGTATCGACTGGCTTTAGAGCAGGGCGCAGTCGACAGTGTAAAAAGCCCCGACGGTACGGTCATCACGGCGTTTAATGACGATCGTGCTGAAATACTGCGACAACATCTTACCCCGGGACAGGAAAGATCGTTCAACATTCTCTGGGAATGGTGGACGACGTGTTCCCGAGTATGTATTGTGAACGAAGCAGAAGAAGAATACGACGATGATTATGACGACCTCTTTGACGACGACGAGTCTCACTTCTACCCACAAAACCACGTAGAGCGTGAGACGATCCACCAGGCCGGTGGGATCCAGTACAAACTCCGCTTCAACTGCATCTACAACAAGTGCATGGCAACGCTGTTCAATGCTGAATTCGAGAACTTCGTAAACCACCGAAGCGGCGACGAGCTGGTGAGTCTCCGACGGGGCTTGGCGCAGGAAGCTGCTTGTCGAACCATTGCGGTTGAAGCCTGTTCCCCGGGAAACCACACCCAACAGCCAGCTCAAGAACCATACTCACCAGATGGCCAGAGTTATCTCGCTCACCGGTCAGACAGTTCCCCGGTCTGGCGCGCAGGGAGACGAGTCCTGAGTAGCAGCGACCTACCCGGGCTGGATCCTCGCTGCAGCGCCGGCTCCAGTATCGACTCCTGCCCCTGGCTGGGAGAGATCAGCGGGCTCCCGCGTTACTTGTGGGATGTGGAAGGGCGGAAGACCGTGGAGGTCTTTTCGCTGTGGGAAGAATACGATTTCGATATCCCCTACACAGCCATCAGTCACACCTGGGGCCGGTGGCGGCAGCGCGATCAGCCTGGGGTAAACATGAAATCGCGCGTGCCGTGGCTGATCCCGCGGAACTCACTGTTCGATGTCGAGCGACTACCAGATATCCTGGCGCAGATTCCCACGGATACACCATATATCTGGTTTGATCTGGTTTGTATTCCACAGGAGGGCTGCGGGGAGGAGCTTGACGAGGAGCTGCGACAGGCCATGCGGACGGAGATTGCGAGCCAGGCATCCATATTCAAGAGCGCTAGGCACGCCATCGCTTGGTGGAATACCGAGTCCGCCCCGGAGTCCTGGGACGGCATGCGCAGTGCCATCCAGTGGATGTCCTCCATATATCTGGACCTCCAGTTCGCGGATGGGGACGAGTCTTCCATACGTATCCCGCCGTGGAAAGCGCACGATCAGCTCCAGGCCACAGGGATGTTCTCACCGGACATGGCCACTCTGCCCTGGTTCAGCTCCCTATGGACGCTGCAGGAAGTGTGCCTGCGCCCTGACATCTGGATATGCAACAAGAATCTCGACCTGCTCACAGTAGGCGACAAGGGGGCCCTCGTCGCCTTCAACACGCTCGTCTCCCTCACCGAAAGGGTAAAAGACATACTCAAAGGGGAGCTTAACGATCTAACTACCCCAGCAGGCCACCTATTGGAGCGCTGGAAGCCCCTAGTCCACCCGGGCTTCCACGAAGTACTCGACCTCCTCCATCGCACAGGAATGGACAACCTCCACGAGCTCAAGCGCGAGCAGATCCTCTTCCTAGCAACAAGCCGATACTGCAGCCACAGCCGTGCGCAAGCGATCATGTCTGTCCTCGGAATGACAGAATGGTACGACGCCGCCACTGCCATGCCGGAGCAGCGTCAGCCCAACAAACCGGGCTTCGTCTTCGACCAGTACCCGCTCGCCTTCGTGCAAGACGTCGCGCGCAATCTGGGATCTAGCTTCTTCATCACTACCGTTCTGACGGATTATCCGCCCATCGACGACGTGAAAACTCAGGACGTGGTCCGGGGCACTATGCTACCATTCCGGGCCCGGATCGCCGAGCCGCGGCGCCTGTATGTACCGGGCTTAGTAGTAGAGACGGCGGACCATCCGTCTGTATCGACATGGGAGGTCCGCGGCGATGGGGCGGTGTTCCTACCGCAGGTGGAGATCCTATTCTCATCCGATAGCGACTTCGGTGATATCAAGTATATGAAGTGCTTTGTCGATCTGAGTATGCCGGTGCCTGAACATATTGTTGAGCGGGAGCACTTCCAACCCCAAGGGAGCATGTATCATGGGGATCTCCGTTACTGGATTCAACGACTCATCCCAGAGATCTACGGAGTGCGTGGGATGTATTATGCGGTTCATCTTCGGTATCGACCCGGCCAATGGGATGGTTTGTTGTTGAAGGCTACCGGTAGTGGGGACTCCAGGCAGCCGGAGAGGATGATCAAAATCGGGAATCTCCATGTGCTGACCTCGGTGGAAGATAGGGAATATCTTCCCAGGCGTAAATCAGTGGAGGTCAACTGGGTTGTTTTGTAGGTTCGGATCTTTGTTGTTATGATTGTCCTCGACATTCTTGGCAAAAGTCCGTGTTAACTTGCTTGTCTCGGGTTCAATTCTCAATGGAATTAATTTCGCCAGCGACATCTATCAACATGCCAGTCAGTGCTTTGAAAAATAGGAGATCGACTGAAGAAAGAAAAAAAAAAAAAAAAAAACATACAACAGTCAGGATTCGCATGTGGTCACCCACCATACTACTAACTGACCGGCGTGTGGCTTAAGTACGGCTGAGCGGACGGGAAGCCCTGTTCTCCACACCCTATGGTCGTATGTACTTGAGAACCCTCAGAAAGGACTTATATAGGCCAAAACATGCGGTCATGTCTGAGAAGTGGGTGAGAGCCGGTTGAGCGTCGCGAATCGCGATACCCGGGTGAGAAGGGAGAAGGGTGCGTGTGCAATAAAGAAGGTGATAATCGCCCCCCGTTTCGCGACGACAGCACTACCCTTCCAAGCTGAGCGAGAGTATAATTTCATTGGACCACGACTCTCAGCTGAAACGGTGTCTTGCTATCTGTACACAGCCCCTTCAGTGGAGTGATTTTCGAATTTTGCAGACATAATTTAGAAAATCGCCGGTTAACCCTCTCCCTCGTTCTAGGAGCAGCTACTCGTATCTCGGAATTTAAGACTTTGCTTTTGTGAAAACCAGTTTCATTTAGCATGTTGAGAGCTAGCAAAAATCAAAGAATCATCGAGTCTCAGCTGAGTCCACGGGTCTCTGACAACCTTTAAATTCGCCCCGACAGAAAAGCATCCACCATACTCTGCGCATTTTCGGTTCTGTACCGATTGTTCATGAACGCCAAACTTCTAGTATATTGGTCTACTGCCACAGTCCCCATTCCAGCTACGTTACCCTTCTGTCGCCCCTCTAGAGCATAGATGCGGTGGACTCCATTTTTATAAGCATCCACATGAAAACCATGTTCTTCATCAAAGTCATAACACATCTGGATCCTGACGTTGCTTGCGAGGGTGCATCTGATGCCACAAGGGTTCCCCTTTATAGCGCGCAAATTCTGATTGAACTAATTACGGATTATTAGCTTCTAATGGAATCTTTTTATACAAAAAGCCTTATATTTGATTCTGATCATACCTCAATCGTAAGGTCGGTGTAAGGCCTTCCGCTACCGCCTATCCATGCAGCAGCCGCTGGGAGTGGGTATGTGACGGTAAATATGGACATATCTACCGCCCGGATTGGCCGTGGTTGAAGAGATGGGGTAAATGTAGCAAGAGTATTGAAAGTTTTGGAAGTGGCAGGGGTAAATATGGCAAGAGCACTTGTGGATTGAAGGTGAAAGTGAAAGTGAACACTTAGAGCAACAGATAGTGGGATCTTGTTCCTTTTATGTCTTTTCATGCAATAAGATCCAATTTCAGACTTTATAACAGTGATAACTTTACAAAGTAGACAAACATAAGAGTCCCGGCTTTGGAATCATATCATAGGACAGTTCACATTACAGCCATATGTGAGTTGCTCATTTCCAGATGTCGGAATACCAGTGACCTTTTGATGTATGTGTGACGTGGCTTGCTGATGGGCTGTTGAAGCTAGCCAATCTGCATGTTACATACTTCTACCAAGAACTAGCGCCAAGAAGGCGATCTTGCATAAATACAGTAATTGAGTATCTGATACGATCAAAAACGAGCTAGTTGCTATGTAACCCAAATTGTAGATAGCAGATTGTCATTGCAATACGGACTGGTATTGCAGCTGCTACTGTAGAGTGACTTCAGAAATTTGTAAGTCTCGTGTCCAGATACTATAGTTCCTGTAAAATAGTGCGGGGTACTCTCCAAATCGATTGCCCAATAGCGACTGATAGATGAGAACTACATGTTTGCTCCGGTGATGGCCCCCTGTCGGATCGACACTGACTGACCCATCTTCGATCTAAGGACGGCTCTGCCACGTCACATCAGTACGATATTACTGCATGTGTGATATCATCAAAATTGAAGGAAGAGTTCCACAAAAATAGCTCAAGTGCTATAGAGCCCCCAGACCCACAAAAAACTAGCGACGATACCCGTAGCCCAAAAGGCCGTCGTCCATGGTCACTATGTCAAGGTGTGGGCCCATCGACAGGGTACACTGACATAATTGGCAAAGGATCTATGTTATATGACACTTTACCCATCGAGCAAGAAATTGAGTACTATGCCAATAAGATGCCCTATATCACCCATCGCGAATGACAATGGGAAGTTGATAAGATTTGGGATCAGTCCCCGGGGCCAGGCCTGCCTGCGCCTGACTCGGCAAGTCAAATTCCGATCCCTGCAACATACAGCGCTATTTTTCATGCAGTTTGATATTATAATGCAGGCCAATTTAGCCTCATAGTTTGATCTTAGCGCGTATACCGCAGTAAAGAAAAGCCATTCCACGCGCCTATGATAGATCGCCACATTCCCGACCCTCCCTGGAGCTGATATAGGCCTGGGTGATTGTTAACCGAAAGTTGGATCTTAGGGAGGGATGATTGCCATTGAGATGCGGTATAACACCGAGAACATCTAAGTCCCAACCTTGCCTTGGTGGAATGGTTGAGCGTAAAGCCTTGGAGGTTAATACGACGGTCCGGGCCAAATAGCGAACCACATGTGCAGGCCGGGATTTTTTCATGTTAGGTGCCTCCGGATCGGCAAGCTTTTTTACTGCCAAGGATGCCAAGGTAAAAAGAATATTCCTATATTGTTATAAAAACTGTGTAGGTTGTGGGTATGGCTTGAAGTATTTGTTCTTCTTTGTACGCCTCTTCTTATGCTGAGCAGCGCAGTGAGCGTCAGCTTGGATGGGTAGGCCTACTTTATCCATAGATGCTACAAATAGACTTGAGACATAGTTATGAGAATCATAAGAAACAGATCATCTGCAAGTGGTTCATCTGGATTGATGTCATATCTTTGCACAAAACGAAAAATAGACTGGTCGCTGAATATCTTTGTACTCAATCAGAGACTGTCGCCAGGGAACCTGTTAATAAGATATAGCAATTCATCCACCGCCCGCTGCCTAGTCTGAGAGCCTGGGAAATGGGCCGAGTTTATGAGCAGTGTTTCAACAGAGTAAAGGCGGTTTCTGTCGTCGGCCTCCTCGATCGGCTCGCTGGGCTCGTAGTTGCGGAAGTATTCCTTGCGATAAACCTCGTTCTTCATAAGGTGATGTTCGCATCGCCATATACCGACTTCCTTCTCATGGTGGGCGTAATACGCACAAGCGTCGTAAATGTAAATCTCTCCTGTAGTTGGCTCTGTTCCTATGTTGGACTCCCACAGGTCACCATGAATTAGGCAAGGCTTTATGGAGCGGCCATCAGCAGTGAAAGGGTGGAGGAGCCGTGGGATCAGCCTTTCTAGGGTGATTTGCATCGCATCATCCAGCTCCTTCCAGAAACCATTGATTTCCACATCCAGCTGGTAAACGTCCCTCATCAGCTTTGTGAAGAACGAAGTCCAATTGCTGTCCCAGGTTGTGTTTAGTGGAAGCTTTCCATCAAAAGTGGTGCAATGGAAACCAAACTTTCCAGTCGGGGACTGGCTCTTGTGATGCAGCTCCGCCAATTTCTTACCCAGGTGAACGGGATCCGGGAGATTGTGGGAAATTGTTAGAAAATCACAAATGAAGAAGTGGGCCTCCTGGTTCTGACACTTTCCATAGCCGCGGGGCTTAGGCGCGAAGTCGGGAAGGGTTTGGTAGATCTCGTTCATGGCTACATACTCGCCGAGAACACGCTCGGCGGCATCACCCGTCGCCAAAACCTGATGCAGAAAAATTTCAGAATCACCTCTGACTTCCAAATTGAGCGTGACAAAATGGTAACACACCTTGAGGAAGTAGGCCCGAGGAGAGTCATCCGTTGTTTTGACGTTAATTCGAGCCACCACAGCCCAGCTTGAAGTGTCATGTTTTTCAATGCTGATGACCCGTTCACTCTTTGGGATAACTGTTGGAAAGACATATCAGGCAAATCAGCAATTTTGTCTTATTGATACCTTGCTATTGGTTATTGATGTCTGCTGGTGTCTGACAGGGGCTCACTACCATCAAGTACAGCTGGGTCCAGCTGAGAGGTTGGCGAGTTTGCACCTTCGGTCATTATATAAGGGAGAAATCGTTTATCTACTAGTAGCGTTCAAGGCTTGACCAACATACTACAGCTCGATTTATCTACAACTTTTTAGCTGATATTTGTAACATTTTGGAACGCCTCTGCTGGAAGAGTCACATTCAAAATGTTTGATTGATATATGTGCTAATCTTAATGAGGTCAATGCGTCTCGGTTACATCTTAGCACCACTCACGAGTCACAACCTACTGCCATATGTGGTTCACGGTCCGCTTGGCTTGTTTCTTTTGGCTTCGATGCATACTATGTGTTCATTTGATGTCTTAGCGGCCACCGGCAATTTTAGGCGCTCACGGGAGATACGTTTGACATATTGATGATATGTTCGCCATCAACACAAGTGTGTGATCCCTGGCTATCAAGCTAAGTTAGAATGAATGTAAGTAGTAGTCTGTGCGCCGCTGTATGCGCTGGTCTCAAACTCTTGGAATCACATGATCATGTTTGTCAGTGCTTCCTTCTTGTTCTAGATAGCAGGCTGCGTCTCTCTTCTTCCTTCTTCTTCTTCGATACACAATACAACATCCATATCCATTCCTTTGCTTGTTCCTCTCTTTCTTAGATTCCATGACAAACGCGTCGAGGCTGAGCCTTAACAACTTAGCATATAGGTCCAACCTCACCAGTAATAATGGCGAAGTGGAGAGATGATCCGTAAGTTGTAACAATTTGCCGCTTCTAGTTCGCCGCCACCAGCCCCGGCGCGGTAGGCAGGAACTCCCCGAAGTCATTCAATGTTATCAATATTTGGAAACCCCTCTGAACTACAAACAGCCACTGTATTCCAAACCCCGGGCTTCCTTTGAGCAAAAGAAAAAAGAAAAAAATATACAACAGTTAGGATTCGCATGTGGTCACCCACCATACTACTAACTAGCAGAGCTTTAGCCCTTACTCAAATTGCTTGGAAAAGCTTCAAAAGTAAAGCCAGACTGCTGTAGAGAAACTATAAAGAATCAAACCAACTTAATTGTATGTCAACCATTATCGACCATTTGGTGTTCTTGTTAATTGCTATAGTGGAGTCTGCGCATGACCCTGAGCCCCTAGGGACCAGACCCTAGTTAAGGATCTTCCTTTGAGAGAAAAAAGAGTCCCTTATACAGACCCCTCACCAATTTCCACCAAAGTATCCTATTGGTCAACAGCACCGTCCGCATTATTTAGGGCAGCGCTAAATCGACCTTATGGAGCTAAGCTCTTGACCAGTCCCAATGATCTTTACCTTTTCGAGATTCATTCTCCGCTTTTAGCCAACCGAAGCCACCCGTATCATGGGCTTTTCTAGTCCGAAACATGGCTAAAGATGGATCCCGGCGGAGTCCAAGGTCCAAGGGGAAGAATGGACTTTCGGGAAGCCATTAATGTTGGCAGTGGACCCGATTAACGGCTTCTTAGTGGACCGGATTTGCTTTATAAAGATCATTTGGTTTGCACTATTCTGCATCTGGTATAATTCTATGTAGAATTTTTTACTTCCAGTGTGCGAGATTGAGCGGACCTGACCCGGTAGTGGGGTGGATAATGTGGAGACATTTTGGGGTCGGTTGCAGTACTATTTAAACATTGAAATATAAAAAGACTCAGCTAGCACTCCGAGTCTAGCGGAAAATTTTATCCACGCCTTACCTGATATTGTCAAGTATGATGAAGCACTTGAGTGAAGTTCAGGGCACCTTTTTTTTTTTTTTTTGCCGGACTAACGCTGCCCCTTTTATATTTAGGAAATTCTCAAACATTCTCTTTTCCACACACTCCTGTTAACTTGAAATCATGCTTCGGCCTCGCTTCGCATATATCTTATTTATGCTCTACTGGGCTTTGGCCGTTTCTGCTTACACGCCATGCTCTTTTGATGCTTGGGTGGACGGATTCCAAAGTTGCATGCAACCATGTTATGGGGAACAGTACTATGATGCAATCTTCAATACCACTAAGTGTGGAAATTATTCTACTGGGGCGTCTAGTACGAAGCGGTCTCATATGAAGTGTTTATGTGAAACCCTCTCACTCACGCTCGAAACCACGAACCAATCAGAGATTTGTAAGGTCGAAAATCTTTGCTACAACACGACTTATTTCAACGCTACACTTTACGAGGACGTTACGCTAAGCTTCAATAATATGTGTTCATGGGCACTAGGGGGTATGTGGTCCAATCGAATTTCACTCAGGAAATTCTGCTAATATTCAATGATTCCAGACATTGCAAAGTGCTCGGTAGCTCCATCATTTCTCCCGGGGCAATCGATCATGTTCACTGGGCTGATTGTGATTGTTGGGTTGATGGTGTACTAGGTCTCAGGGTACGAATTTTCTAGTTGTCATGAATAGAATAGGAGGATATGATGAATCAAGTCATATATAGTCAAGGATGGATTCGAGCCTTCTAACTTAGCATGTTCATAGGTAATTGGAATGGATATCAAATTACAATTACCCCTGGTCAGCGGCTGGTATAACAGGTATTCACAGGTCGGGCTCAAAATTGAACATCTCTTCTTATCTTCAAATTTTCAAAATATTTTGTTTCTTCTTTTATCGTTTTCTCCTTTTTTTGGCTTCGGATTTATCTATCTGGTGCCAGCAAAATTCTTGTCTACTTTAATAGATTCTGTGACAATTTTATACCAGAAGCCCCGGCAATACTCCGGCTGAGTCCGACACGCTAAAGAAAGTCCGGTGGTATACCTCAATCAAGGTCAACGGTTTAGTGCAAATATCTCAGGAAGAAGTACAACAGACATGATGTTGGAATCACATGACCATGCAGTTCCGGATGATTCCGGTTTTCCCGGTTCTGTCGGTCTTCACCGCCTGTTGTTCTTCCTTTTAGATAGCAGGCTGCGTCTCTCTTCTTCTTCTCCAGAGAACACAATACAATATCCATTCCATTGCTTGTTCCTTCCAAAGACATGAAGAAAAAATGTTCAGAGTCCTGCAAACCACCTCGGGCCGTCCAGACAGGCTTCAGTAATAGATCATTCTATATAACCGCCGGCTCTGAAACTCAAGAATCTTAGTCAATATACATCTTGCAGCCGGGACCAATTTGGATAATCCACATCCACCTGCCCATAGTAGATGACACTCCTCCAGCCAAACTTGAAACGGTTTGAGTTTATTCAAACATTCTGTCTAAGAACCAATGCCATTTAAAATTAGCTACTCTTCCAAGCAAACCTAAGTACATTCGGTCAAACAGTACACAGATTCTTCACTCTCCCCGTCCTCGCCTCTCTCTAGAGTCTCCTAACATTGAAGTGCTAGTTAATCTTTAACTATTAATATAAATATTATTTACTTTGCAAACATAAATTATAAATCAAAATAAATCAACAAAAACATACAACAGTTAGGATTCGCATGTGGTCACCCACCATACTACTAACTAACCGGCGTGTGGCTTAAGTACGGCTGAGCGGACGGGAAGCCCTGTTTTCCACACCCTATGGTCGTATGTACTGGAATTGGTATTTAAGAAAATAATATAGAGCAAGATAGGAAGAATTCATCGAAATAATGTGCTACATATTAGGTGTGCACACAAATTCATCGATCGAACTATAACCTTGGAATCTACTCCTTAGTCCTAGCAAACTTCTCTACGCATGGTTTGTTGAAATAATATTCCAAGTGAGCAAAAATAAAAACATCGAACATAGTAGGATTCGTATGTGGTCACCCACCATACTATTAACCGACCAGCGTGTGTTGTATATGCAGTCAATAGTTCGGTGGGTGTCGCCCAAGTAAGAGATAGTGACAAGGGTAAGTGCGCTATAGACAGAGTAAGAATCAGTGTGGGAATCGCCCAAGCCGCATTTGCATCCCCCATCGGTTTTTCTTTTCCGCCCAAATTCTACCAACTTTCAAAAAGTCTGCAACCTGTCACTTCAAACTCTTCTGTCTACTTTCAAAAGGTGCTGGGCTTCCTCTCTTCGCGTTCTATCACATACTTGGACACAAAGGAGGTATCTTAGTCACATAATGAGTCGCCCGCCTACCCCATCGGCCGATCGCCCTGCTTTCTCCACTGAATGGCGATTTCATCCATTGACCTGCCCAACCGAGTTGATTGAAGACTACCGGCCTGGGAAATATCATCCCGTCCACTTTGGTGATACTCTCAAGAGTTAGCAAGAGACCAAGAGTAATAACTCGTCCCATTGTTATTCATTCTCTATATACGCAAAACTTACAGTTCCATAAGGCTAAACAAGTATATCACCGTGAAAATAACGATTGCAGACCCCTTTGTGTCGAAACACGAACTCGCCATTCTCGATGTGTTATCACACAGCGCCTTACGGCACCCAGGAAAAAGCAACTTCATGACTCTGGTCGACTTCTTTCAACACGAGGGGCCAAATTATATACATCGATATTTGGTATTTGATTTCATGGGTCCCTATATAGGTGGTGCGCTAGAGGATCCATCGAAGGCTTTGGAGAAAGTAATCAGCCATAACAAGTTTCCAATATGGATGGTGAAATCGATCCTGTACCAGACACTGCAGGGCATAAGCTTTCTGCACGAGAGCGGTGTTGCCCACAGTGACCTCCAGCAAGGCAATCTTCTGTTCTCCGTCAAGGACTTGAATGACGTGGAGGAAACAGACCTTGCACGAAACGATCAGATCCCAGACCCTGTTCGGCGAAAGGATGGGTGAACTGATCACTAGGCACCGACACATCTTGCCCTTGGCCAACCTCTTTATGAATACATCGACCTTAGCCTAGGGTTTAATATGAATCAGATCTTGGCGGTGGTATATCTTCTCCAGCATTCTCTAGCCTTATTCACTAAGCCCATGATCAGCTTTCTTCATTTCCGACCCACCACCAGATCTGGTCACCCCTGTCGCCCTCCGCAGCCCCGAACTCATCTTCACAAAGACAGTCAATAGAGACTAAGACACCCGGAGCTTTGGCTGTCTACTCTTCGAACTCTTTACCGGTCGACATATCTTCCTCGTAGCAGGCTTTGTGACAGACAGGAGGTCGACGATGAGCACTTCCTCCAGTTCTACGATGTTCTCGGGCCGATCCCCACCTTCCTTCGCGATAATTACCCACGTTCAAGTATTTACTGCGATGAGAAGGGCGAGAAAGTGAGGAACTAATACCCGACCGTAAGTATTGTCCCAATCCACTTTTTAGTAGTCACCCCAACAACCACTCCGTATTCTTTTAAAAGGGGTTTTATTCTAATTCACATAGCTAGAAAAGTATTTTAGGAGGATAATTTAGCTATATATACTATATTAGTAACGAGAGATTGGGTTTGAAGTCTATAGAATACATGTCAAAGATTGGCCTACACACTCACCAGATCGTGACCTAATTGAGCCGATGTAGCTATAGTTAAAGCTTAAGCAATTCCAGCTATATACAGAGGCTATTAAGATAGGTCGATTGGGGGCAGATTGGGCCTATTTTAAGGCCTGTATAACGGAAGCTTGGTGGGCTACTCCTCAAGAGCAAATTGATGCACATATATATATATATATATATATACATGTGGTCTAATTACCAGCATGCGGAGGCGATTAGCGGCAGTATTCAATGTTGCGCGCCCGAGGCTATTGTACACGTTATTAGATATCAATTCAAGTGGATCTTATTCTTTGCGATCTGAAGTTTATATGTTTATAAATTATATATATATTTTATATAAATTGGTGGTGCAATATAGTATATAATAAATATATATATTTGATGGGGTGGGGCTAAATTTAAAATTGGGACAATACATATGTTGAGTAGGTACTGTATGTTGGCGAGTTGCCCGCACCGAGTCTTGAGGAGGCGTTTGATGAGGAGGGACCAGATGATATGAGTGGTGAGGATAGAGATGTTGCTAAGAAAGTACTTAGATGGATTCTGGATTATGATCCCAGAAAGAGACCGACAGTGGATGAGACTGGTTGCTGGAGCATCCTTGGTTTGTTGAGTTTGGTCGTGATTGATCTTTTGTGAAGTGAGCAAAAACAAAAACATACAACAGTCAGGATTCGCATGTGGTCACCCACCATACTACTAACTGACCGGCGTGCGGCTTAAGTACGGCTGAGCGGACGGGAAGCCCTGTTTTCCGCACCCTATGGTCGTATGTACCAGAGTTGAAAGTAAGGAAAATCATATAGAGCCAATTTGGAGAGTTGTGGTTGTGAAGTAATTTCAAAAATTCGATTTGCCAAGAGATTATTGTTTTTACGGATGGTCCAGGCCAGCGTGAATAAACATGTATACTGGTGTGCGAAAAGAAATACGTACGCAAGCCAGGTGTATACACAGAAACTGCACATACATACCATGATATCTCCCATCACAGATAACTCGATCCAATAAAATAAATCTCTCCAGTTACCCAGTGCTGTTGATATGTTTGTGCCCTCCTAATTGGTCTCGAGCTTCAGCGATGGAGCGGTATTTATGCATCGCAGCAATAGCCTGGTCGACACGCGAAAGAGAGGACTCGCTGAGCACAACGTCATGTGGAGTGCCTTCCTTCATACGGATGGTTGATTTCTTGTCGGCCAGTTGCACAAGCCTTGACATCCAGAAATCCCATCGCTGAATACTATATGTGGGAATGTCCCGACACAGAGGCCCACACCCCCAGGATTTCGACTCCTCTTCAATTTCTTCGCCGTGCGTTAAGTCGTCGAATAGAATACCCCCGCATCGAATCAACCATTGTGTTGCGACCCAGAGTTTGCACTCAAACACCGTTGTGGCATCAAATAAGGTTGGCTCGTCGTGTGAATCATTCTCCAGGGCGTCCCTTATCTCCCAATAAGCAAAGCCGCGATACGACCGACAACCACGAGCCACGAAGCCCGAAACCAATGAATTCCATCGCTTCCAAATCTCAATTTCTTCAGGGACAGTATCGGGGAAATTAGTGGGATCTTCATTGATGTTAGGATTGCGCCCAGGGAAAGCATTTATGCCTTTGGGCTTGCTCACCGGCCCAAAAATCGAGGACAACCACGTGCAGTCCAGGTAGATCCTCCCATAGTGATTCAGTCTGTTGGAAAATAGAGTGTTAGAATCGGCTCTAGTCACTTTTTGGTTGGGGATAATTAGCTCACATCGTTCCCCACGAGCGGCCCACCTTGGCGCCGGAGATCATCAACAGCTGCGATAAGTGCCTCATGCCAAGGATGATCCATGGGTATAATCCTTTGAGCATTTAGTATCATCATCCAGAAATAGAAAAGATTGGTCTCAGCGATAGCTGAAGATTCATATTTCGAGCAGTATTCTCGTATGGACCGGACCAGCTCTGCTGATGCCGCGGCGGGGTCGGGTTGAGACGCGAATGCCTCACTCAAGATGCGAAGAGCATCGGCCTCTTTCCGATGAAAGTCCGAGCTTCTCAGTTCACCTAAATCAATATTTTCCGACATTATATGGAGAATGAGTTGGTTTGGAACAGGGGCTGGTTTAGTTGAAGAAGTGTGCTTTCGATGATGAACACGGGTGCAGATGGAAAGGATGGAAGTCGTGGAGTTATGGGAGGAGCGCATTAGGTATTTAGTCCGCAGATGACCAGGCAGCTTCACCCGGCACTGTCCGCCTTGAAAAAACTTAAATAATTGAATTATCATGCGCCAGGGAATGGATTCTGGTGCTTAGCGCTAAGAGAAGCGGGTATCCTATTCTTAGTAATAGGAGCGCGACTTCGGGGCGCCTAACTTGATTAAGGGGGGCGGCGCGTGGAAAAATATTGCGGACTTGAATGCCAGCTATGAATTTTGCTCATCCTGTGAACCCACTACCTAGTCATTATGATAAATCTTGGCTGTCTGGAATTGGTTCACTATATCATACCTGAAACAGAGCCCCACGTATCTTGCGAACCACGCGGCGCAACTGCCAGTGGGTCCCTTTCCAGGTGGCTGCATATGCAGGGCCCCTTGATGGGCCTTGGTTAAGTCTCACCCTACCAATTTAAATTCCTAGGCGCCAAAAGATTTCGCGCGTGGCTACAGCTTCCTGATTCCTAGAAGTCTAGGTGCACACTAACCACTCGCAGCAAGCCGCGCGCGGTTTCGGGTTTCGTCCATGTTCTCCAGAATATACTGTCTACAAACGAACAGTTGACCCGACACATCCTGTGTATCATGTTGCATGCAAGATGACCCTCGGCGCGAATTGCTTATCATTCAGGGGACACTGGAAGGCATCCTAGTCTAGCGTGGAAAATAAGCAGCCGCCAATGTTCAGATTCTGATACAGTAAACGCTTGAGGCCCCAGAGATAGACTATGGGTCCTATTATATAGGTCTTCTTATGCCCACCCCCTCATAGGTCTAGTTTTTCTCTCCTTCTTTAACTCACAGCCTCATCTCAGTTCAAGTTATTCGAAAAGCCGCTAGTGGCTCCACATCGCTTTTATTCATCTTTACCAGGCGTGTGTTATACCTCAACTTGGAGTTTTCGTTTCAAGTTGTTGATTTACGATATCTTCTGATAATTACGTGACCTTGTCAATATGACTTCGACTGGGACTCATCACGGAGCTGCTGGCAGCTCCAGTGCGAAGGAGAACACCTACCTACCACCAAGGCGCACTCCGACGGATTCTTCTTATGTATGTATGCACATGCGTGAATAGGTACATGTGACACCGGTCCATCTTACAAGGCTGACTGATGCTCAGTACGATTGTAATGGTGTGCTCAGTAACAAACTGACCGTGGACCCCAACGCCCGCGACTGGCACTATGCACGAGATGTCAGGGCACAGGTGGAAGCGGCAGGGCCTAGACTTGGCTTCCAGGAGACGAAGGTCAAGCGCTATCCCTCACACTACGGAAACAAAAGCATTCCTCCACTTCCTCTGGCGGCTTCCAAGCCACTTACACATGTTCCAATTAGGCCCGGAACATCAACGCCATGGAAGCTTGGGGACTCTTCAGGGGCCCACCGCGCAGTCTACAATGACAAAGACCGCAAAAACAACGTCGAAGTGATATACCACGACCCTCACAAGGCGCCAGCCGCGGGTGGGACCTGGCATGACTTTTCAAAGGCTCATTACGTTCCTCGGGCTTGACGAGACGGGAAGCCCTGTTCTCCACACCCTATGGTTGTATGTGCTTGGAATTATTTCAAGAAGAAATATATGTATAGCAAAGATAAATAGGGAGCAAATACTTTTGTAGAGTAAACATTAAGTTTTCATACATATGATATCCTCAACAGTGCCTGCACATATGGAGATTGTACTGGAATGGCAGCACTCAGAGCTTATTCTTGCATCTAAGTCACGGGCTTGAGTCACAGCTTGGATGGGTAGGCCTACTTCATCCATGGATGCTACAAATAGACTTGATGCACAGTTATGAGAATTATAAGAACAGATCATCTGGATAGATTTCCACCATGTAGAAGTCCTTAAAACATTTGAAGGCACTTCCTGCTCACGCTATGCGGCCTCCAGCCACCAGTTCGCCCTAACCCCGACATGTGGGTTCGTGACGTTTCTGTTTCGAGGTGTTTCGGTCAAGCCATAGGGCCTTTGGATGTTTTTTTTGGTTTCGGTTGTGTGATTCTGGGGGACCAGTTGATCGCACTGGACATGAGGAAATTCGTTCAGGTCGATAACCTATGAATGTATGGAAAATACATTTATATAGTATTATGCACATGTGTCAACCTATTTGGAGTGATATAAAATGTTTTTCCTCGGCAGTGTTGATACTTTTTGACCTGATGCCAAAGCCGAGCAAGGAATCTCCATTCAACATTGAAATGTAGGTAGGCTAGTATGTAGTCAACTGGCTCATAAAACTTAACTACACATGTGCATAGTACATAACTAGCCATTTTGGACATTACATATCGCGGATCATAGCTCACATAACCAAGCTGTCTTCTATTTAAGCGCCAGGAACGAGAACATTTTGAATTTTCTGGTTACTAGGCCGATAGAACAAGATGAAAAACAGTTGATAGTCTGGTTCAAACTCCCTGACTATATATGACCAGACTTCTCACCATAACAACTTATAAAGTCCAAAACAGCTCGGGTGTCATTCTTCCAAAATTCCCGTTTCTGCTCAGGGCTTAGATCGTCATCGGATAGAGGAAAAACTCATAAGCTATAACCAAGCTCATACCAGTCAAGAAAGACTCGAGTAGCTTCCGAGTTCATATGCGTCTTCCACTTTGGAATTCCGTCCCAAAATGCGTCACGGAGGGCCTGATAGTCTTCATGATCTTTCTGGTCTCCCAGAGAATCACCCCAAAAGAGCGGCTCGATGAACCTCGGAATAGCCACAGCAAACGGCATGCAATCCACAAGCTCCCAGTCGATGATCGCCAGCAGATCGTGCGGTTCACCGGAGGAAAATATCATATTGTTCAGTACCAAGTCATCATGCATAATGACAACTGGGACTTTTTCGACATGGGGAGGTATGTTGATGTTACCACTCATGAATTTTTGAATTACGGGCAGTACATCTTCTTTGAACTCTTGAACATAGTGCTTATCTTCCAACTCTCGGATACAGTGATGCAACCATGCCTCCAGATATTAAGAGGTAGACGGGAAGGGGCCACCCAGACGATGTCGCCGCTCTGGACCGATTGAGGCAGAGATAGGATCACCAGAGACGGTCACTTCTCCGATTGCTCCATGCCGCCCATAAAGTTGCAGATCCCAGAGTGTTGTAAATCCGCGTGCAATTTGCTTGACTACTCCGACTCTCACTGGTAGCGAGAGGTTGTAAAAGAATTCCGTGCCAGACACTCCAGGTATAAACTACGTGATCTGAATGTTGAAAGCGTCCAAGACTTGAAGGCTAGTCGGATAAACTTTTGCGACTGGGAGAGTTGTGCCCACATTATCGTGAATGTATTACATGAGAGCATTCATGGAATCAACATTCCCATAGTATCTTAGCTGGACGATGAAGTTTTCTTCTTTCTCTTTGACAGAGACTCGATAGGTAACACCATAGGTTCCCTTGGTCAGTAGGGTCATTTGATCAGGCTTTCCGAGACCAAGATGGTCAAACATCCCACCAAGCTCCTCCTTGGTCATCGTCACAAGCCTTTTCGAGACAAGAGCTCCATTTTCCTTTTTTATGCAGACTAGATTTTTCTCCTCCATTTTTCCATTTTCCAAGTCACAGAGAGCAACAATGAAAGTGATAGTCTTCTCATCTTGTTCTATAATGTCGCTTACCGTTCCTTTTCCATCATAATCCCCGAGAAGTCCGTCGCGCGCCAGCTGTCGCATACATTTCGCCAATTCCCCCTCGGACAATGTTGACCCCATGATCGATGTTCTGAATCAGGGAGACAGCGGTTCGCATTGGTAGTCCAGTCACCTGGCGGATATAGATGATGGGAAGAGGCGGCCGCTAGAAAAAGATTTTCCCCTTGGATTTCTCTGGCGTAGAGTTTGGGGCAAAGATAAGACCTTTGACCCCATGGGTGAATGGAGCGAGTACCCTGTCGCTGAGCCCCTGCAATCTCTGACGTGTCGTTTGTAATTTTTATTTTTGCCCCTGGTCACCCACCCCATTCACACCTCTCAAGGTTCAGTCTCCGATCCAAAAAAGAAAAGAAAAACATACAACAGTCAGGATTCGCATGTGGTCACCCACCATACTACTAACTGACCGGCGTGTGGCTTAAGTACGGCTGAGCGGACGGGAAGCCCTGTTTTCCACACCCTATGGTCGTATGTACTGGTGATCCGTCTAGAGTAGGTTATATAGTACAAAATATGCGGTCGCATATCTGAGGGGTGAGTGCGCAATAGACAAAGTGGGAAGATTGAGTACTAGGGTGAGAGATCATCTCCGTCGCGATAAGTGTGCGTTTCAGCCGATCTAGACTCCGAGGCTGATCAATTGATTGTGGAATGGACCTCTTTCTGTTCAAAAACGTTATTCACTCCACCTCACCCCAAGACCGTGAAAATCTTCCTTTATTTCTCTTCCAAAAGACCTCATCAAAGTTAATACTGAGTGTTAAAAATGTCCTACGACGCGTTTCGTGAGCCGAACCCAGGCCCACCCCTTGCTTCTAACCCTTGTCAATCAATGATTTCCTCACCTGGCGGGATTCGCCTGTATGAGAATCTAAATCAAAGTCTTTTCTCGTCAATGGTCATGCAAAATGACGCAGTCAACTTGCGTCGCTATGTTGAAGATTGTGGCCCACCAAGATTTGGAGAGACCACGCCATCAGGAGATGACTATTTTCTCACGGCCACCAAGCACGGCAAAATCGATGCTCTCCGCGCGCTCGCAGAGATTTATGAATCCGACCCCAACCAAAATGAGCCACTCCTGTCTCGGATGGAGCGGGCAAAATACCGACTTCTGAACGAAGCTTGTGCAAATGCCCAGTTTGAGACAGCGGAATATCTCATGAACTGCGGCCCGCCATTGGGTGAACTTTTCGATGAGCGAGGATACACCGATGCACCACTTATATCCGCATTAGCCGCCTTAAAATTCGTCAGAACTCCCCCAAGAGGACGCATTGTTACTCAGTCGAATATTGATATTGAAAAATTTGTCTACAGCCTACTAGACAGGGGCGCGTCAGTTCGGGGCATCGACGAACAATCTCAATCAACTGGACAACCTACTGTACTTAGTGCAGCGGCACCCTTGGGCAGCCACAACCTGGCATCTCGTCTTATTTCCGAAGAAGCTGATATTCATAGCAAAGAGATATGGTGGGAGATGGGCACAGGCAAGACTGATAACGTCACTGCACTACACTTTGCTAGCGGATCTTGGAACCTACCTTTTATTCAAGCGTTGCGTGAACACTGCAGCTCTCGTGAACTTGCTCGAGCAGCCATGGCTACTGATAGTCGAGGAAGAGTTCCTCTTCACTGGGCTTTGCTTTGTCTAAGTAACGGACTCAATAGGCCGTTATCCGAGCAGACTCTTTCCACGGGGTTAGAGGTTATCAATTCCTTACTTGAGCTCAATCCGAAAGCCATTAATACCCAAAGCTCACATGGCGCGGTCTTTAACTTCCTCGTAAATGGTCCTCTCTTGGGTGCTGCAACGCTGACCTTCATGAAAGTTCTCATGGGCTACAGCCCAAGCATTGCCACTGTCAACGCACGAGATCAATCTGGTGCAACTGCTCTATTGGAAATATTATCAGCTCACGAGACGTGCAATGCTGTTCGTGAAAGTTACACTATTCCATTAATCGAACTACTCCTCGCACATGGAGCCGATCGGAGTGTATGCGATAATAAAGGCCAGACCGCACTACACAAGCTAGGTGGGAGTCCATCATATGATGATCCAATCAGTCCTGATTTGCTTGAGATGTTTATCCCGTTCGTCGAGCTCAATAAAGCCGACCACAGTGGCTGGACAGCCCTTCACTGGATGGCAAGAAACCTGCGGCAAGTCGAGCCGTGTCGTTTACTAGTCAGTCGTGGCGCTGATGTGAATGCCGTCGACAACAAAGGTCATACCCCTGTCCATCAAGCGGCTAGCGGCAAGCTCCAAAGGAGAGAGAAGGCAGACAAAACTATTGAATGGCCCACCCTTGAAGAGAAGATTCACGCATGTGACGAGATGGTCACGGTATTACTAGAAGCCGGAGCATCAATGGATAAGCGTAATTTGGAAGGCAAGACGCCCACACAGCTACGAGAAATCAGCATTGCAAGATGGGAATTGGAAAAAAGACGAGGACGATAAAAGCATTTCCTACCACACGCTGTAGGGACGAACTCCAAAAAAGCCACCATTCGTGTCTATAATCTTAGCTTGATTCTTTAGGAACTTGAAATATTGCACGATTTACCATGCATTGAATGCGATACCTTACGATGGTAAAGAGCCAACCGCTTACTGGTGACGGGCTCTTTAAAGTAGATATACATGTATATGATTCTGCCTCAAGTTGACGCTATTTGACATGATGTATATAGCTTCAAGCTAATTGACTCTGAAGTTCGAAGTCAATTCCAACGGTAGCACTTATTAGTTGGCAAAGCTTCAATAAGATTGGAATTCAAGCACATCTTCAGCTTGGCAGAAACGCGAGTAATCGCGTCACGCGGCAGAACCAGTTAACAAACCACGGATTTACTTTCTCTTCCACGCGCCTTGTATTAATACCACGCAGGCGGTCAAAAGTGTCCCACAGGTTTGTAAGGATATGCGCAACTTTTCAACAAAAAAGGGGGTCCCGAGGTTTGCCCGTGCCAATAAGCCCTTGATTTTACGTGCTATTATCAATCCACCACTAAAAAATCCACTAGCAATTTTTTTTCTTTCACACCTCTCTATCTTGAATTTCGTTCAAAACAAATATGAATTTGGAATTACTCGTAATTTACTTTCTGCCGGTCGGAAAGTTGAAATTGGGTTAAGGCAGAGGGTTGGCGGGTATCGGCCGCCGTAGCAAAAGTCCGTGTTAACTTGCTTGTCTCGGGTTGAATTCTCAATGGAGTTAATTTCGCTAGCGAAATCTATCAACATGCCAGTGCTTTGAAAAATAGGAGATCGACTGAAGAAAGATAAAGAATCTACAACAGTCAGGATTCGCATGTGGTCACCCACGGGCAACCATACTACTAACTGCCCGGACCATAGATTATAATCATATTGTTCGTGATGGAGGATGAAATGGCCCAATCGGAACGAAGTGGGATTACTCCACTATCTCATATCCCATATCCCACATCCCACCGGTGAGGGCTCCATCGGCAGCGCAATACAAAGAAAATTAAGAGATGATGTCTTCGTTTGAAACTGTATTCTGGAAATTGGACTGGGCATGGTTCTCCCATTGTTTTTAACCCATCTCCGGATGAACGATCAGTACCCCTGAATTGATATAAATGTGAGACTTGCCCCGAAAAGGGCGTAAGTTGAGTTCAATTGATGTTTTTATTTCCATTTGGCCCCAGCTATCTATTTTGTCCCTTATTTCAAATAACATAATGTCTTCGACTTCGGTGGCTTCTTCCGAGCAGAAGAATGAGAAACTCGTCAAATCAACTTGGTCGGATGAACAGAGTGTGCAAGGAACGCCATCTTCACCATCTTCAGCATCATCGACGTCCTCAAGGTCTGCACTAACGAGGAAAAGTGTCATCGAGTATATTAGATTGTTCTCTTTGATCATAGGAATTTGTTTGGGTGTGATTATTGGAGCATTGGTATGCAGGTCCCCCACCGGAGGAAATGAAGCATTGCTTTCTAATACTATCCCAGGACATGAATATCGTGGCAACAGCCTTGCCGTCAATCACCAACCAGTTTCACAGTAGCCAAGATGATGGGTGGTATGGGACTGCATAGTGAGTGGCACTAAATGAGGTGAACAATGCACACAGACATGCTGACGGGAATTAGCCTCATGACACTGTCTGCTGTCCAGCTGCTCTGGGGACATCTTTACAAGGCTTTCCCTGCCAAAGTGGTCTTCCTCTCAGCTCTAGGTATCTTTGAAATAGGCTGCATTGTGTCTGCAACAGCTTCATCCTCGGCGGCTGTGATTGTTGGGAGAGCGGTCTCCGGCCTTGGTAGTGCTGGATTTTTCTGTGGATGTTTAATGTGAGTCTAAGCACGTCTGAATATTCTGTGCCCTCAAGCTGTCTAGATCGCGCTTTCTCTCAATTCATTTCTAACCTGCTTGACCAGTATTATGTCCTATGTTGTTGCTTTACGATTTAGGCCAATGGTAAATGCCTTGATTGGACTGCTGATTGGCTCAACGCAGGCAATGGCACCCGTGGTGGCTGGCGCGTTGACCTCTGGCCCTGGATGGCGCTGGTGTTTTTGGATCAGCTTACCTATAGGAGGAATTGCCTCAGTATTGGTTATGCTAGGTTGTTCTATCCAAGAACCTGCAGATCGATTGAACGGAAAGACATTGCGAGAGCATTGGGCATTGTTCGACTGGGTGGGCCTTGGCTTATGGATTCCCTTCATAGTCTGCTTCATGCTCATCCTGCAGTGCGGCGGATCGCAGTACGGATGGACGAGCGGATCGATGGTAACTCTGTATGTGCTAACGCCTATTCTGCTCGGTGCATATGTGATGTGGCAATGGCGCGTAGGCGAGAATGCATTGACGCCTACCCGAATCATGTCACAACGAAGCATGGTGGCTGGGTCTCTTTATATGCTCTTCAATGCCGCAGTTGAGTCGCAACTCCCGTATTTCGTGAGTGATTTATCTCCCCCTCTCTTCCATCCTCACGCCATGATTTATTCACGCGAATTAAATTAACAATTCGTCCGTGTAAACCAGCTACCGGTATTTTTCCAGGCGGCACAGGGCAAAACCGCTTTACAAGCAGGCACAGACACTCTCCCGTATTTAATCTCGTTGGTGGCTTTCTTCATCATTGCGGGCACTGGGACGACCGCAGTGGGCTACTATGTTCCATTCATGATATTCGGTAGCGCCATTCTGTCTATCGGGGCCGGCCTTTTATCCACGTTCACAGTGTCGACACCCCTTGGTCGGTGGGTAGGCTACCAGATCATAGCAGGCGCAGGGCTGGCACTGGGATTTGATGCTCCCCAGCTCGCTGCACAGACTGTTTTCAATGCGGCTGAACATGACATGACGATCGCCCTGACTATCATCACCTCTTTGATGAACCTAGGCGGCGCATTGGGTGTGAGCATTGGCACGCTTATCATGAACAACCGGGCGGCCACACTGCTCTTGGGCCATGTGCCAGGACTTACCAGTTCGACAATTCATAAATCTGGTTTGACAGACATACTATCTTTGGTTCCAGCAAAGTATAGCTCCACCGTGTCCGCGGCATATGCCCAAGCTATTCAGACTGTTTTCTATTCCACCACGGCTTTTGCGGTCCTCACCTTTGTGATTTCGTGGTTCATGGAATGGAAGTCAGTGAAGGATGATCATGCAGCAATCTCCGAGGATGAAGAGAATGGAAAAGAAAAGTGAGTTCGGGAGTACTTGTGCAGGGCATTCTCGCCATTTTATTCGGCCTGGGGGATTTTTGCGGTGATTAGGTGCTTCCTAGGTCATGTTATCACTTCTCTTCCCTTTCTGCTCGTATCTCTCTTTTATGCTCGGGAAGGCTATGAGGATGGTTTGTTGCAGTGTTCTCGAGCGTTCGAAGCCGCTGTCTCTCTGCGATCGACTGCACGCCGGGATTTGATTGTTAGCTCGATGTCTGAAGCAGAATCGGAGGTTTTTAGTCTGTATACGGAAGAAGTGGCAGTGTGACTGACATTGATTATTTCCTATCTCGTGTTCTTATTAATAATTGCCTACTACTGCTAAGTAGAGTAATCGATGAAAATTTCATATCGTATGTGATTTGTTTTTAGAGCTACGTGACTGGCGTTCTTCACGTCTTCAAAGTCAGCAGGAAATTGATAAGTCGTGATGAGTAGGCCGGACTAGATGCCAGCTTCTCACGATACCAAGATGACAAACGAGGTACCGAGAAAACATGCAATAGCACTCCATCGACTGTGATCAATCCACCTTGTGAGATCCACGTCTCGTATTCGGGCGTACCCGCAAGCTTTGACTGCGACAACTCCATTGTATCCCCCGGAGGAATAATAGTGTCAGTATCATCTGAGCCGCTGTCTCCGGCGGGAACAGTTGATATCTTGGCACTGTAGAAGCAGAGAACCATGGCGCTGGCCAGCAGGCCTGCAGATCCGAGTACGTTCAATAGACGGTGATCACTCAGTTTGTATAAGGTGCTTTGATGCTCATATATCCGTTTCAGCTGAATAGCATGGTAGACAGCTTCGCGACCGTCGGCAGACTGCGCCCAGGCTCCAATAACATTCTCCACGTCGGCATCATGGCAGTTGGTGCAGCACCGCTTGTACTCGAGTAGCCTTAAATTGGCGCATATATTAAGGCAGGCGAGGTGGTATAATGTGAGGTTGAGGCCAAGAAAGGGGTTTCCATCACCGGAAAGGTCCGTAAAGAATGTGTTTTCCAGATCATCCGTCTGCTCGATCTGGGCCCGCCAGTCCTGAAGATAGCCCTTCCACGTACGGACACGATCCGCGGTGCGGTTTAGCTCTGGAGATCGGTAGTTTAGGTGGTGCTCCTCATGAGCTTCGCGGCAGATTCCCCATAACTCGGACATGAAGGCACACAGACTAAAGTGGTTGTCCTCCAGAGACAGCCGCGGCATGCGCAGATACCCAGTGATAAACCCATGCGTTTCAAGCCCGTCCCTCATCATGGCCGAGAAGGTACTTCGGGTCCGACCCGCAGGCTCGTACCAGTGTAAGCGAGTGCGAGCTTCCCTTGTTTCAGCGCGCCATAGATCATCAGAGACAGGGAGTGCTAGTCGGATCTCTTGATAGCGGAGAGTGGGCGGGCGATCCAAGATGATGCATAGATAGGTATCAATACGCAAAATAGTATAGACCAGTCTGTTAAACGAGATAAGAAAAGAATTAAAAAATAAATTTCACGACAATGGAATAAAGAAGAACCCCGATTGATAAAAGAAACCGGATTGGACGGAGGAAGCCATGTTTACCGTTTAATCTGCTCCGCCTGTACCCAACGTTCCTCTGTCAACTGTCCTTGATCTTCGGGGAGCCAAAGATCATTCAAGACACCTAGACGTCGAAACGTCGAAACGGCAATATCGGTCCATTGTGCCACCCAGTCCAAGGTGGATGTGGAAGCCTGTGAATATTTAGCACAGCTTTCATCGACATCATAATAACAGAGAGTAACACAATTGATGGGATCCTACATCTGCCAGGATGGCGTAGATCAAGGTGACTACCAACGCCTGTAGAGTTTGCAATGGGATGTCCGTGGCGGGCTTATCGGTCAATACTTTTGTCTTAATTTATCCCTCAGCACCTAGAGTCAAACCACGTTTTGCGATAGCGCGAAAATACTGACTGGTTTGACCATCAACACCTGCGTCAAATACTGGTTGATCGCGTAGGGAACCAGGTTGTGGGGATCGGCGCTCTGCATCCACATAGATAGATTAGACAAGGCACTGGTCAGTAGCGTGCTCGGACTTTCGGCCGTGAAGCTCGGCACATGTAGCAGTGGCCAAGCCTGGTGAAATTGGTCGAATTCGGCTGATTTGATCTGCGCGATGATAAGCTGGGATTGGCTGGCCAGTGTCTCGCTTGGATCCAGCCAGCCCGTTGATGCGGGCGTGAATCCGTCTAGAGCAGGTATTCTGCCGGAGCTAGCTGAAGCAGCGGTCTTTTATTAGAATCTGCAAGCGCATAGTAGTGTGGGACCTTGAGGGATGTAAGCTGAGTTCCAGACCGTTCTTCCACTTACATGACATAGCGCGACTGAGTGACGAAAGGTTTGTGCTCTTGCCCATCTGTACCTCTGTCAACTGAACGGCAGGAAATTGTTCCACTGACTCTGTACATGGAGGTGGATGGAGCTCAAAGGGAAATCCCAATAGTGAAGGGGCATCACCAAAATACGATGACGAAGATCTAGGCGTGGGTAGAGAGATCCCCGCTGGCATCTCAAGAATTGCTGTCGCGGCGACGGTTTCTGCCTGTGTTTGGAGGGAATCAAAGCCCATGCTTACTGCAGACAGACGGCTGTCTGCTGCGCTGTTGCTTCCGCTGCTAGAGACGGGCGTTGTCCATTCGGGTCGTATTCGAGGCGAGGTGGCCTCAGTGCTGTTGCTACTCGAAAATACCATCCCAGTGTCTCTCCCTTCTACGTTATCATCTCCTCCCGAGTTCGAGTCCACTCTCTTCGCGTCTCCCGAGGTATGTGAGGTTCTCCGACCGCCTCGCGTTATTGGAGACATGACCTGCATGCTAGACGGTTCCCGTACGCACGGCTCACCCATATCGGCGCATGCGGAACATGGATAATACGAGTCGCACTTAGTCTTGCGTCGCCGACAGGCCTGACAGGCCAACTGAGTGCGTTTGGCTCCGTCTGGGGGCACATTGTGCTGCAGCACATGGCGGGTTAGAATATCGCTGACGGGCAGATTAGCGGGGATTTCTAGCAACAATTTCTCCTTCAATTACCTTCGGGCAAAGCTTCGGTTACAGATGAAACATTTATGTGGGCGGGAGGATGTGTGGGTAAGTAGATGGCGGTTGAGATGCTCTTTACGCAGAAAGGACTTGCCGCAGTCCGGGACACTGCAGGCAAATGGCCCCGACGCAGGAGCGCGTCGGGCAGGCGGGGAATTCGGACCCATTTTTGCGGAATGACAATTCATGGGCATTTACATAGAAAGGCAAGGACCCTGGCTTCTTTAGGAAGTGAGTGCCATGCCCATGTACATTGGAATCCGTTCAAGAATACCACCTCGGTAAGCCGCAAAAGCCACGTAACGCGCTGAGCGACCCCGTTAAGGGTCATTGCCCTTCTCCATGATAAGAGCTTAGCCTAAACGGTGGTTAACCAGTGTCGGGCTTCTGTGCCCTCGCTTCAATACCTGACAACGCGGCAGAGGCTATTTTTATTTTATTCCCTGTAAGATTGCGCAATCTTGTGAATTCTCGCGTCTCGCGTCTCGCCCTGCCCCCGCACCCCGCACTAGCGTAGTAGCAAGCATCAATCAGAGTAAGATAAGGTGCGGCGGCCGATAGAGGCCACCCCTAGGTCACATGATGACATCCCACTGGCAAATTCAACTTTCCGACCGGCAGAAAGAAAATTACGCGTAATTCCAAATCACGCTATACCTATACTTACCCCTGTTGGCTAAATTATATGATATAATTAGATAAAATTATATATAATCTATACCTTACCACTTTAAATATTACTACCTACTTCTATAAATAATTACTAAATAAAGTAAGGCTATTTAAGGGAAAAACTAACCTAGATTAGGTAATTCTATATAACCTATATACTTAAGTACTAAAAAAGAAGAAATTATATTATTTATATTAGACTCCAGTTCTATTAATCTTTACTACCTATTATTCTTCCTTATAGATAGTAGGCTTATGATCTTTATTGGAAATTATAAGTCCGTTATCCCATTCTTGCTGTAATTCGATATTTGTTAGCGCACTTTTTCTTTCGTAAAGGGGGTCAAGGGTAATACCAAAAGGTAAAGGTCCGCAGAGTGGACTGCCACCTCTTGTTCACGGTAATTGCTTTTCAGGGCCTATTAGGTTGGCATGATGCGTCTGAAAGGGGATGACGGAGGGGGGAGAGAGAAAATGTTAGAGGATAAAGAAGGGGGTGGTGGGGTAGCTGTGAAGGAACGATATCCTTGTCCGATGATTTCTCAGTGCAGTTAAAGGAATACCACTGAAGCTAGAGGTGGCTATGCAATGAGCATACTCCAAAAGTACTACTCCAAAAGTACTGAGGCTAGCAGCTTTCAAGGTCTTGGCATCACATGATCATGATTGACAGCTTCATCATCATGAGCGCTTGATCAACATGATCGCCGGCAAAGACCGGCTTCATGTGCTTCCTTCTTGTTCTAGATAGCAGGCTTCGTCTCTCTGGTTCTTCTCTCTCTCTCTCGGACAGTGCGACATAATATAATATAATATTCATTACATTGCTTGTTCTTCTCTTCGTTCTATAAGGTTATGAGCCCTCCTTTTCTTATTTATTATTGCAGTAATTCGATAAGATTAAGCGATTTTAAGCAAGGTTCTCCTTCCCTAGGTCCTTCTTTGATGCTTTTGCGTCAGATTCAGGTCCCCAAATCATATTACAAGACAGTATAGTACTATTTACCTTCGCCTAAGATATCTGCATTCACAATCGACTATGATATAATACTACTACATCTACTTCCATAATCCAATCAGTGCACTCTTACAAAACGGACTGACATACATATACGGAGTAGGTAGACTTGTTGCTCGATGAACCTTTGTATCATGATCCTAGGCTTGCACAGCAAAGGTAGATTTGGTTTTGGGATGCCATATTTTACCGAAATGACCTGTGGACACTTTGTGTTGTTACCCCACAAGGTATCATCTTTCAACGTATCCATTGCTTGTTTCGCGAATTTTGTCTGCCACAGAACCTCATTTCAACTTGGAGTTTCCCGGAAGATCGAAGACATTTCATCCCGTATTATCTCACGAACTACGGGATACCCGCATCCGGCGCACAAATATAGAGTTTCTCAAAAGCTTAATTACGAGCTAATTTCCATGTTATTGTATCTTGTATTTTGAACAATAAATACGACTACCGCCAGTGGGCCTTACTTCAAACGTGGTATCGTATAGTCATGAGCTCAAAGGCCCAGACTTTTATCACTGTCATAAGTAGAGGAAACCTGTACTAGGGAATGTTCAATGTCACACGCCAAGACACAAGGATGAACCTCCCTCCATCATAGATGGGGTCTCGAGCACATAGATGAGATCTCGAGCAAATTCAATCTACTCTCATCAGTATCATTGGCCGTTGCACGATCAGATGTAATTCTATTCCTCAATCTTTTCCAGAAGGTCAAGGCCTAGATGTTTGACCCCGTACCTAAAAAGGAAATAATTGAAACTCTAGTGAAGGCTTCTCGATCATAGATGACGTCTCGAGCCGATTTGCTCTATGTTTCAGGCCGTTGGTCGACAAGGAACTGTAAGACCTGGCTCCTCTATCCAAAAGTACATAAATACTTCCAGTTATCCTCTAAATTTTCAAGACCTCGACCTTTGTCTACTCCTGCAAACCCCACATCACCACATCAACAGCTCTTTATCAATACCAAGGATACAATGAAGCCAACCCTATTTCTGCTCGGACTTCTAGCTGCGACAACCTCCGTTGTCGAGGGCATAATATTCAAGAGTGGGAGTTCACCTCTTACAAGATCAAACAGAAATTGTGACGGCTCGAATGCCAATCCGCAGGTGGCGGCAAGCGACGGCACTGTCTCGTTTAATCGAGCTGCAAATTTACTTGTCACCGTCCCTATCGTTTTGAAGGGAACCCCGAACGCCGCTTATAACGTTCGTGTGATCCAGATTCCATTTCCTAACCAGCAATGCCCATTGCCAAACTGTGCAAGTGGGGGCGGAACATTGACGACGAACGCACAAGGGATTGGAAACACCAATCTTGTGCAGGCCGTGAACCCGGGTGCGACAGGGGTATTCGTGGCCATAAACAAAAAGAGTGACTGCAGCGATTTTTTCACCAGTGGGGTGGTGGCAATTGTCTAGGATTGATTTAAGGGTTATTGTGGGAAGTTGTGATAGTGCGAGATGTTAGTATCTCGAAAAGTTTTTTGACAGTTGTTTTGATCGTACTTTTTGATATGAGAATGTGATTTTATTGGAATTCCATCGGATTTGTCGACGCAACTTGTGCTCGGAGTATTTATGAACACCGTCGGATCATACGATTATTAAGGTTCAGAGCAAACTCCAAATTAATGAGGACGAAGATAATAATAATAATAATAATAATAACCATACTGAACATAAGATAAAACAGAGGGTGAATACCTCTTGTGGATTTTCTGTCTGCCTAAATCAGAGCAAAAATCCAAAAATCTGCCAATTGTCCGATCTTGTTCTTCTACCTGCGTCCGCCGCTTGATTTTTCTTATGAACAGATTTTGTAGGTAGTTCAAACTATTGACCGCACATAAGCCACAGATAGAAGAGCTTGATTTTCTGAGCTCCTTTACAAACTTACCACCACGTGGAGTGGCTCGAAGAACGTATAAGAGTACTCGGAAGCCTGAAGCTTAGTCAGATCGAAGAGCTAGATAGTGAGCTATTTACGTCAATTTGAATCGGCTCATTGCGCGAAGCTTTGATGCCGAAGCATGCGTATAACGGCCGGTCTGGCTGCTTAGCTCGAACATAACATTTCTCGACTTTTGACTAACAAAGTGCACCCGAACGCGCCTGTAATGAAGGGTTAGCTTAATGTAGGTGGTCCTCTCGGTGCTAGAGATGCTAATAGAATAATGAAGCAACGTAAGGTGAAAAAAAGGGCGAAGGAAGAAAGGCATACGAAGAAGCGGGTTCTTGGTAAATACCGAGTAGTATTTTGCGTGCAATGATCGTCGGATATGCAATCTTTGGTGGTGGGTACAGTTGGCTGTATGCGCCACCTTGGCATTAATCTGTGCGCTTCCTTATATTAAGCGCTGCACTGTACGCTGAATTGTACGCTGCACTATACGCTGTACTGTACGCTGGATTGTACGCTGGATTGTACGCTGGATTGTACGCTGAATCGCTGCATTCCTTATATCTTAAATCCTTGAACTCCATTATATTAAGCGCTGCACTGTACGCTGAATTGTACGCTGAATCGCTGTATTCCTTATATCTTAAATCCTTGAACTCCATTATATTAAGCGCTGCACTGTACGCTGAACTGTACGCTGAACTGTATGCTGAACTGTATGCTGAACTGTACGCTGGATTGTACGCTAAATCGCTGCATTCCTTATATCTTAAATCCTTGAACTCCATTATATTAAGCGCTGTACTGTACGCTGAATTGTACGCTGGATTGTATGCTGAATCGCTGTATTCCTTATATCTTGAATCCTTGAACTCCATTATATTAAGCGCTGTACTGTACGCTGTACTGTACGCTGAATTGTACGCTGAATCGCTGTATTCCTTATATCTTTAATCTTTGAACTCCATTATATATAGTACTGTATTAGGCCGGAGGGCCAGAGGGGGGCCAGAGGGCCGGAAGGGGGGCTAGAGGGCCAGAAGGGGGGGGGGGTCATATTATATGCTGGATTGTATACTGGGTTGTACGCTGAATTGCTATATTCCTTATATCCTGAATCCTTAGACTTCCTTATATTAATTATTTAAGTTATTTGACCAACTGGCAAGAAAAAGAGGTAGAGATCCAGATTCCAGCTTCCAGAGATAGGCGGATGCAGAGCATCCGCCATGGATAGCTTGTATATATATATATAGCTTAAGTACGGCTGAGCGGACGGGAAGCCCTATTTTCTATACCCTATGGTCGTATATACTAGTAATAGTATTAGAATACCTTATATTATACAGAATATTCGGTTATATATTTCTAAGAAGGGGGTGTATGTATTATATACTAGTAGAGAGAGTAAGGAGATTAAGTACTAGGGTAAGAGCGGGCGAAAGACCATATCCGTCGCGATAACCTTAAAACTAGTATGTATAGACATTCTCAAAATTCTCAGATTTCAATACCCAACTGAACGTCCAAAGCCAGACCTGCTATTTGAAGCGCGTACGCCAGAGGAGGCGGTGGTGACCATCGTCCGGCAGGCTTGAATTCTTCCTCTTCAGTGTCCCATATAGCTTCAGGCGACACAATAGATATTCTGCGTAGATGGGGTAATTTTTCCTTTTTATGCACCAGCAGGCCCAACAGAAACTCGTCTTCTTCGAAGGTCGTGAGAACCGAGTCATCATAAAATATCTCGAGCTCCTCTAGGCAACGAGGAAGGCTTCTCCAGGCCTCGAGAGAATCATCTTCTCCGCATAAGAAGACATGGTAAATACGCAATGTAGTTAGAGCTGTGAAATCTCTTAGGTGGATGCGTGGTCCCATGAACAATCCTTCATGGTCAAGCCAAGGCCGGGTAAGAGTCAATTCCTTCAAGGACCCCCTTTGTGGCTGCAACGCTCGCACAAAAGCAGCGCATGTCCACCTTTTGGCAGGCTCATTATAAAAGTCACCCCACTCCCCTTGTTCGGCGTCATAATGGAGCACTTCTAGCGCGGCTGGCCAGCTTAGTATAGCAGCTAGTGCCTCCTCCTGAGCCCCACAGCGTATCAAATTCAGGGCTTTGACCGGCGACTTGCCGCTAAATTGGCGCAGGCCACTTTCGTCTTCCAAAGGATCCATGGCATTGAAGCGGAGAAAACTGAGTGTCTGGATGTTGGGAAACCAGTAAAAACAAAAAAAGTCGTATAATGAGGTTGTGCAAGGAACAAGTGCGGAAATAATAAATGTTTGAAGATTCGGTTCATCTCTAAGTGTGCGCTTCAGCCGATCTAGACTCAGGGGCTGATTGTGGAATGGACCTTCGCGGACGCAGATATTTTCGTAATAGTTTTGTTTCAGCAGCTGGTGGAAGCGACGTGAGACCAAGTATAAGGAGCGTAAATCTTTGTTTTGTTGCGGTTGATCTCGTCGAATCGCGTAGTCAAAGAAATCGGCCCATTTGTAAAATGGCAAATTTCTCAAATTTCTCAAATTTCTCTGCCCCTTTTCTGCTTCCATATAATTAACAATGGCAAGAATTACTTCGTCCGGAAGGTCCGATAATTGCGCCATCTTTTGAGCGAGAAGAGGCAATTGGCTTCAATCAAAGACAAAGAGAAGAGAGCAGCTTTCGACTCCGTGTCAGATTTCTTCAATGTTGGCAGTAAACGCGTGACTCGTACTGTTTATAAATCATAAAACCAATCAGCCAGTTATGCGTCCATTCAAATGTTTCAGGCGATGCGTTGATATAGTCACGCGGCAGAAACGAGTTAACAAACCATCCACGAGCCTTGTATTGTTACCACGCAGGCGGCCAAAATTGTCCCAAAAGTTTGTAAGGATATGCGCAACTTTTTATCAAAAAAGGGGGTCCCGAGGTTTCCTCGTGCTAATAAGCCCTTGATTTTACGTGCTATTAATAATCCACTACTAAAAAAATCTAATAGCAATTTTTTTTCTTTCATACCTCTCTATCTTGAATTTCATTCAATCTTTCAACAAGTATACTATCCGACTTTACATCCAATATCGTCTTGGCGAAAAGTCTTAAGCAAGCGACAAATAATTGTTCCAACGCAATTAAATTCCAAAGCAAGACAGAGCTCAACCTTTTTTTCTCTCTTGGTCGATATAGACCAGGGCGTCTATTACAGATGCGATGGTTCCAAAAAATAACTCAACTTATCAGTGCAAGGAGGCCTCAGTCGTTTATGACTATAATTCATCCAACCCTTATTAGGCCAATGCACGCCCCCTAAATCTCGATGTAAGATGATTTCAAAAGCTTTTAGGGATTCATCAGTTTTGCTTTCTTCCCATCCAAGCCATTGACAGTAATCGGATCCAAGAACCTTCATATCAAGATTTGCTTTCGATTCTCGAAAGAACTCTTGAAGCCACTCTTTAGCATCTTGATGCATGCACTTGTTGATATCGGATTTGCCCAGGCGTTTGAGTTGGGCAGGTGTTAACCCAGATACATCAAATCTGAAAAGATTTTGTACTTGAAGAGACTTTGAACCCTCATCAAACCAAACCCTAGTATTTGTGTGAACAGTTGCGAGCAAATGCTCCTTGAAAGTGCATTGGTGCGTAAATTGCATATTTCCGGTTTCACAACCCAAAGATGGCCCACTACCCTTCCAGTAAGGACGTTCTGCCTCTGGCGTCTGAGTATTGAGGATACAATCTCGCGTATCTTCAAATGTCATCGCTGCACAAGGACAGATATCGACCACTTCTGTGTGAAGAGAAGAGCATTGGGGCTTCAAGTTGAATAATGATCGCAGACCTCGCCTTATCGAGCGTTTATGAATATTGTGACATGTTCTACAATATACCGAACGCTCATCTCCAAGTCGAAGAAGGAGTTCTGCTCTGTACACTGGATAAGTTGGTTCCACAATAGCCCAATACCGTTTGAAGCGCGGCCCTTCTGGCATCAAAAAGAGAATCATAGAAGCAACGCGCCAGTTCTTATCACCAATTAGAAGATGGTATCTGGCGTATCTCCGAAGGCACATATATACGTCACGATCACTCATGGCAAAGGAAACCTTGTCGAGAGAAGAAAGGAGGTTGAGAATGATATGGATTGTTTCCGGTGGAAGCCTCTGAAAGAAATTCGTCTTAGAAAAGTCAGCGAAATGTGGAAGGGGGGGGATCACTGATCTGGAGCGCTGTGAGTCGGAAGGGGTTCAATCCAAATCTGCAATTGTTGTTCAACCGCGGCATTTCCTGTAGTGTTAGTCAAAAACCTCGCAACTTTCATACATAACCCGTAAAGCTGTAGAGAGGGGTCAGGTGACCCCCTCTAGGTATATGATATCTAGTGCTTGCTTCCTTCCTTCCTTCCTTTTCCCTTCTTCTTCTCTCCATCCCCCCGAGAGAGATTGTCCATAGCCAATCCAGTTGCTTTTCTCTCTCCGTTCTTTCCTTTCCCTGAGCAGCGGCTGTATTTCTTCCGCTGACAAAAGCCACCGGTAAAACCGCCTGACTTGGCCCAAGAGCTTACAGGCGATTCGCCAGGGCCATGGCTGGTGCTCCTGACACCACTTGACGGTTTTGTAAACCGCCATATAAAAGGCGATTGCCGCCGTGAATGCCGTCAGGACGTCGTTCACCCGACCGTCTATCCAAAAACTTTTCCCATCCGTTCGATTTCAGCGCAAAAGGGGGGAGGGGGTACGTACTCAGTTGTGTTTGTAGTCACTGCGTGCGAAATGATTAAGGAAGAAAATTCCCGGGATCAAAGGCCAGGTGTCTTGTAAACATTGCATTGATATTAAAAAGGAAGGAACTATAGATCTATCATGTTCAGCGGGTAAGTAGTATAATAACCACCTAGGCAGGTTGTCGCACGGGAGACAGATCCGGAACCGAGGAAGGTGCTTTGGAATTTGGACCAAACAAGGCCGTCAGTATTTCTCGCGGAAGGATCTACTTGCCCAGACCGGGCGCCACTTTGCCTTCTCTTCTAAGAGATGACGTGATCTTACTACTAGTATGGCGGCCGATAGAGGCCACCCCTAGGTCACATCTCAATTTCAATTTCTAACTTCACCGCCCTGTTTCCCGCTTGTATTGTATTTATTATATATACTGGAATATCTTCAGGGATTTGATCTAAATACGGGTCACTTTTAGAATAGACTTGAGAATAGACTTGAGAATAAACTTGAGAATAAACTTGAGAATAAACTTGAGAATAGACTTGAGAATAGACTTGAGAATAGACTTGAGAATAGACTTGAGAGTAGTCTTGAGAAGGGACTTGAGAAGGGACTTGAGAACATTCAATGTTGGATTATATGACTAGGATCTCAGCCTCTCTTTGTTGCTAGTTGTTGTGGTAATTTACCCACATATGTAGAGAAAGAGAAGTAATATAATATAGCATTATATATAATAGAGTTCAAGGATTTAATGTATACTAGTAATGAGCGCTGAACATAATGTAGTTCAAAAACTGATTTGAATTTGGAATTACTCGTCATTTGAATGTTACTTTTTGCCGGTCGGAAAGTTGAAATTGGGATGTGACCTAGGGGTCAACTGGTGGCCTCTATCGGCCGCCGCACTACTCAAGCTAGCACTACTAGAATGCTAAGAGTCTAAGACTCAGGAGCCCGCTTTCTACTAGTCAAGTTATCCCCAGTTGACCCTGCTATGACGAACCGGGTTATCGAATCGGAACACAGAGAGAAAATGAGCTACAAATTGACTACACAGTTCAAATCATCCCTTCTCTCTAAACATTGGTTTGGCTTCGACCTCGATGACACTCTCCACGAATTCCGCAAAGCGTCTCACCACGCCTCTCAAAGCGTGTTCGAAGCCATCAACACAAGTGAAGGAATCAGCATCGACACCTTGAGAATGACATACCAGGACATACTACGCACGTCAACCGCCAATGCATTCACAGATGGACGAACTTCAAAAGAGTACCGCCGTGAACGATTTACTCGGCTTCTGCAGGCACATGGAGCGATGAATGATTCCAATGTCTCTCCTTCAAACGGCTCTGGTAGCCCTGAAGCTGATACAGGCAAGATCCAGAACAAGGTCGAACTATTGCTGGATGTCTACCAGTCATCCCTGCAGTCTCATTTAACTCTGAAACTTGGCGTTGCGGATCTGTTCCGTGCTTTGCAAGAGCTGGGCAAAAATATCATTATTGTTACCGAAGGTCCTGCTGATGCACAGAAGTGGACGGTCGAGATGCTTGGGTTGGAGCATTATGTTGACATTCTGATTACTACGAATGAATTGGGAAAGTCGAAGGTTGATGGGCTTTTTGGGGCTGTTTTGGACAAGTATGGGATTGATGCGGGGGATATTGTTTATTTTGGGGATAATGAGGTACGTGATGTACAGGCTGCAAGAGAGAGTGGGGTTTTGTCAATCCTCTATGATGAGAGAAGAGATAGGGCATTGGATGATCTCGATAACTTGAGGATTGATTCTTGGGTTATCTTGCGGAAAACACTACTTGGTGCCGGAATAGAATAATTTGAAGACAGAAAAATATCACTTTTGATCTAAGCATAAGGTATATCGATCCTAACGCACATGAATGGATAGGATATTGTAAGAAACAGAAAAATAGCCAGAAATAATAAACCAAACGCCGTACCATGATTGGGGATTCCATTCAGTGTCGTATAATTTTGCAATGCAATGCATCTAAACTTTTCCAGGGACGCCACGAGGCTTGCTGGAGAACCGAGCTGGACCAAGACCAGAGCGGACTTCCTCAAGCATACGAATGCCAATGGCCTCATTTCCGTGCTTGCCACGCTTGTACTTGACTCCCTTCCGCTTGGCCTGGGGACCGGTGTTGTCGTCCCAGCCGGCCAAAAAGTCATCCATGACGTTGTGGAAATCGCTCCGTGAGACAGCTTCTCCGTTGCCGTCGACGAGGCTTGGTGCTAGAGAAGATGCAGTGGACATGCCGGTCATTCCAGTGGCACCGGTCATACCACTGATCATAGACATGCTATCATCATACTCATCCTCTTCGTCCAAAGAGTAAAGTTGCTCGACCTTCTCAAATCGGTCATCCAGGAGTCGGTGCCCCTCGGTACGTGCCAAGGCAGAGGATGTCATGGAGTAGGCGGAGGGGTTGGTCAAAGCACCCTTACGCTTCTTCCGGCGAATAGGTGTGCCACCGATTGTGAAAGCAGTGGAAGCAGTGGTCTGCTGCTCGGAGGGTGCAATAGTAGGAGCAGCTGGTTTGGGGGCGTTACCACCTTTGGCGTCCTTCTTGAATTTGGAGAACTCTTGCATCCAGCTTTGTTGGTCTACAGGATGCATATCCGGAGCCGGTTGATCGTGCTCGGGCAGTTCACCTGGAGGAACATCCTTGTTGAATTCTGATACGTCTTCGTCGATGTGAGTATCGGTGCTGTCTTTCTGCACGGGCGCCTTCTCGGTCGCATCCGACTCCCAGCCACCGTCCTCTTCCTCGTGGTCGAACAATGTATCCTCCCAGTCTCCCTGGTCCAGTTCCTCGGCATTGGCTGTCAGATCGCCGAAAACATCATCATCGTCATCATCCACATATGCGTCGTCTTCCAGGGCCTCCAGAGCCTCGCGAAGTCGCGGGTCCATGTCGGGCTGGAAACCTGCGATCGCATCAGGAACATTCTGCTGGTCCTGGTATGTCGGCTTCCGAGAGTATGAGGTGAAGTTTGAGCGCATGTCACCATATTCACTAGCACCGTATGCGCTTTGCGAACCATCATCCAGAGAGACCTGGCGCAATGCATCCTCCAACCTCATGGCCTTGCCCTTTGCCTTCTCTGCCTTAGCCTCGACGAAGTGAGCATCGCCACCACCAGTACCTAATTCACGCAAATGCTGCATGTAGTCGTACCGGGAATCATCGTAATAAATTCCATGGTTGGCGGCCTCGCCCTCATTCTGACGGATGGCTTTATTATTGAATTCTGTTTGGAGATCTGCGAGGCTTCGGGAGGGCTTCGATGAGGATGTCGATGCTCCAGAGGGGACAGGAGCAGGAGCGGGACCGCCGACCTGGTGGAGGACTCGATCTTCCGCTTCAGGATCGTTGATGCGCGGGTCATTCTGAGACCGATGGAAGAGCTGGAAAGTGCTCGCGTTCTTCTTATCACTGGTGGGGGATCAGTAAAGCTTCAGATATCAAACATAGTGCAACAAGAGCCACTTACATCCACTGGCGAGGCGGCATGATGGCGGTTTTTGGAGATGCGTGGTAAGATGTACAACTTTCCGACTCACTCAAAAAAAGCGAAAAAAGTGGGATAGATAGGGTCACGTGGGGCTTATCGATGCCCGAACCCCTCGGGTCCTCAGTGTGGCGATAACCGATTTTTTCATTGAGGATATAGGTGATGGTTGCAGTGAATTTATTATTTAAAATTGGCTTGGCTCATTGATTATTCTGTAACTAAGTAAAATATCAAGATCTATTTAAAAAAAATCCAAGTTCACCAGCCAAGAAATGTCAAAAATCAAAAATCAAAAATCTATAGTGATGAGTCAGCTATCTTATCCGTGTCTGAATAATCTAAAATATTTCCTTTTCCAAGCGGGGTTGATTTGAAACCTTCACACCATACTCTCCCAACACCAAACCGAAAATCAACATTCATCATGGTGTTGGCTAAATCCAAAAATGCCGTGGGACTGGGTAACAGTCTCATGAACGACCGTTTCGGCAAGGGCAAGGCCGCGAAGGAAAAGAAGGCTTCGCACAACAATGCCATTGCGCGAAAGAACATGGACGGCGAAACCTACATCACCAACGCCGCTACCGAGGCTTCATGGGTGAAGATGCGCTCTATCACCGAGCAGGCCGCCCTCGACGAGTTCCTCAGCACCGCCGAGCTGGCCGGTACCGACTTCACCGCCGAGAAAGTCAATAACGTCAAGATCATCCACTCCGATCAGAAGAACCCATACCTCCTGTCCGCAACTGAAGAGAGAAACGCTCAGAAGAAGCAACAAAAGAACAAGAGTCGCTTGACTGTGCCGCGTCGTCCCAAGTGGGATTCCACCACTACACCCCAGCAGCTGGAGATGATGGAGCGCGAGAGTCTTTTGGACTGGCGACGTGGACTGGCAGAGCTGCAGGAGTTCAATGATCTGTTGATGACCCCCTTCGAGCGCAACTTGGAGGTTTGGCGTCAGCTGTGGCGTGTCATTGAGCGTTCCCACTTGGTGGTTCAGATTGTCGACGCACGAAACCCGCTCCAGTTCCGCTCGGAGGATCTGGAGAACTATGTCAAGGAGATCGACCCTCGCAAGAAGAACTTGCTGTTGGTCAACAAGGCTGATATGCTGACCCTCAAGCAAAGAGAGGCTTGGGCCACCTACTTTGAGAAGAACAACATCAACTTCCGTTTCTTCTCTGCTCACCTTGCCAAGGAGAAGATTGAGGCTGAGCTGCTCAAGGAGGAGCAGGAGAAGCAGGGACAGTCGGACAGTGACGATGAGGACCTGGCTGAGTCTACCAAGGCTCTCGATGTCGAAGATGACGAATCCGAGGAAGAGAGCGACCAAACCCAAAAAGAAGAGGCTCTCGCTGTGCTCGCCGACCCCGAACAATCCCTGGGCGCACACATTCTGGATGTGGAGGAGCTAGAAGCACTTTTCTTGGCAAATGCGCCGGAACTCGACCAAGATTCCGAAGGAGCCTCTAAGTACAAGACCACTATTGGTTTAGTCGGTTACCCCAACGTGGGTAAGTCCAGCACAATTAACGCTCTTCTCGGTGCCAAGAAGGTGTCAGTGTCTGCCACTCCCGGTAAGACAAAGCACTTCCAGACCCTGTACCTATCCCCAGAGATCATGCTGTGTGATTGTCCCGGTCTGGTGTTCCCCAACTTCGCCAGTACCAAGGCGGATTTGGTCGTGAATGGTGTGTTGCCCATCGATCAGCAGCGCGAGTTCACCGGTCCTGCTGGTATCGTCGCACACCGTGTCCCTAAGCATTTCTTGGAGAACATCTACGGTGTGAAGATTCACACTCGCCCCATTGAGGAAGGTGGTACTGGAATTCCCACTGCCAGCGAGATGCTACGTGCCTATGCCCGTGCTCGTGGTTTCTCCACTCAAGGTTTGGGTCAGCCCGATGAGTCGCGTGCTGCCCGTTACGTTCTCAAGGATTACGTGAACGGAAAGATTCTTTACGTCCACCCTCCCCCAGTTGAGGAAGGCGAGGAGCCTATTAATGCGAACGAGTTCAACAAGGACTTGTATGATCTTGCCCATCTCCCTGAGCGTCGCCAGGCTGTGCTCGCAAGACACGGTGTTGATCAGGACGATTTGGATACCGATATTTCTTCATTTGTCTCCAAAGATGACGGAAGACCGGGTCCTCGCTCCCGCAACCTCGACAATGGCTTCTTCGGAACCGCCACTGGTCCTTCCGCCGGTCGTATGACCCTGCCATTCCAAGCCAAGCACACCGCTCAAGGACAAGAGATGCGCCAAAATCTTACAGGCCGTAAGGAACGTATGATGATCGCCTTGGAGCGGGGCATTGATGTCTCTGAAGTGCGGGGCGGAAATGGCAAGAAACATTTCAAGGCCAACAAGAAGCGGGCGAAGCACGTGCGCAACGTCCCTGCTGATGACGACCATTACTAAAAAAGTGCTTTTTTTCATTGATTTTGCGGATGGATTGAGATTCCCTTTTCTTATGTAGCTATGCTTTTCCTTTGTTTTACATTTGTCCATGTATTCACGGCATCGATGAGGGGGACAGATTGGAGATGACGATTACCGGCTTTACATACCTATGGGCTTTGCATGTCACTTCGACTTGGATCTAGACATTTCCGGGCGTTGGGTCCTTTTTTATGAATTCAATCGATTATACGAAAAGAATGATGACCGAACACTGTGTGCAGCTATATCTAGTTGCATGTAAGAATACTCTGAAGCTTCAAATGTTGGATATGTACCGCATATGTACTTCAGGTGATATTTAAAACATTGAAACTGGAGAGTACATAGTAGCTTCAGAACTTGAACTATGCATGTCGGGAATCACTTAATGATTCCAAGGTTGGCCTTAAACCCCAAGCTTGGAGGAACTTGGCCTCGAAAACTACATGCGCGGCGTATTGAAAACCTACAGGCTGAAACGGCATCTGAGTAAAAGATATCCAGAGTTCACAACTATTTAGGTAAATAAACCAGAAAATGTATATAAAATGCTACTTAGAAAAAAGCAACCCTACAGGTGACTCTTCGCCTTGAACCCAGAAGCAATAAGCAACCGATCCGACTCCTGCTGCTGCCACTTCAACTTAGCAGTAACAGCATCCTTGCGCGTCTTATTCTCCCTCTTACCCAGCTGCTGCAAATGCACCTCATCCGGCCCATCAGCAATGCGCAACGTGCGAATCCCCGCCCACAAGTACGCCAGCGGCGTATCCTGACACACACCCGCAGCACCATAAGCCTGCACCGCCCGATCAATAATCGTCAACGCAGTCTGCGGCACAAGCACCTTGGCCTCAGCAATCTCCTTCAGCGCGGCCTTCGCATCGCCCTGATCAATCTTGATAGCCGCGTTAAGCACAACCAACCGCGCAGCATCGACCTCAATCCGGGACTTGGCAATCCACTCCAGGATCACGCCGTGCGAGGATAGAGCCTGGCCGAAGGTCTTCTTGCGCTCGTCGTTGACGCGCGCAATGAGCCACTCGAGAGCCTTCTCAGCTGCGCCGATCGTGCGCATGCAGTGGTGGATACGGCCGGGTCCGAGACGGCCCTGGATGATTTCGAAGCCGCGGCCTTCGCCGAGGACCATGCTGGAGATGGGGACGCGGACGTTCGTGAATGTGATGTGGCCGTGGCCGTGGGGCGCGTCGTCGTAGCCGTAGACGTGGAGCATGCGGTTGACGGAGATGCCGGGGAGACCGGCTGGTACCAGGACGACGGATTGTTGCTTGTAGGTGTCGGGGTTTGAGGGGTCGGATTTGCCCATTACGAGGTAGATCTTGCAGCGGGGGTCGCCGGCGCCGGAGGACCACCATTTCTGTTGAGTGGGTGATATGTTAGTCTTGGGTTTCTCTTTTATTGTTTGTAACATAGTACTACTACAATGGGTTTGTATGTAGCGAGTGGAGTTGAACAATCAATCTGTGGTGCAACTTACGGAGCCGTTGAGCACGTATTCGCTGCCTTCGCGGCGGATGCTGAGCTCGATGTTGGTCGCATCACTTGATGCAACATCTGGCTCTGTCATAAGGAATGCAGAGCGAATCTTGCCCTCCAGCAGGGGAGCCAGCCACTGCTGCTTCTGGGCCTCGTTGCCGTACTTGGCCAGCACCTCCATGTTACCGGTGTCGGGGGCAGCGTTATTGGTGGCCTAGAAGAGGAAATTTGATTTAGCAAATGCATACAGATTGCCATGTTCATCGAGATTGTGTCGCATACCTCGGAGGCAATCTTGCTCTTTCCCAGCAACTCGGCCATCAATCCATACTCCAGGTTACTGTATCCAGCGCCCTGCTTGAAATGGCTCTTGGCCAGGAACATATTCCACAGACCCAGCTTCTTAGCCTTCTCCTTCAGCTGCTCCATGACGACGGGTGTGGTCTTCCATCGCTGCTCGCCCTCGCCAAGCTGGGCGGAGAAGACAGCCTCGGCAGGGACACATTCTTTCTCGACGAACTCTTCGACCTAAAGCTCAGGGATCAGCGGGTGTACTTCAAATTTTATGCTGTCATTGCTTTCGTAGGCAGTACATTGTAAGGGTCATATTGCAATGTTTGGGTGGGTAAATGTGAAGTAAGACGGCGGTGGTGAGATGTGGGTAGCAAGTGCAGTGAGGTCATACCAGGTCGAGAGTCTTTCTGGCCCGCTCGCTAACGAAGGGCAGGGCGATGGGAGGAATTCGTGCGGAGGCAGACATAATGGCGTGTGAATCAAATAAAACCGTGGGGAAGGTATTATCTGGGGTTGAGAGGAGGACAAAGGGTCGAATTATAAGTTGGGGGCGCGAGTGCCAGCAAATTGCGGAGTAGTGGAGAAGCCGAGCAGGCGGGATTTTGCCTCGGCCCAGGGACTTTGTTACTATATGGCACCACCGTTTACTAACCTTGGCTATGAATTCTGGCCATACGAGGGATTAATAGAAGAAAATAGTTGAGAGTCTAGGCTTTTTGTGATATTCGTATTGGATTTGAAGATTATGCATGTTCAAAATGCGTAGAGTTGGTGTGTTTTGCCGAGATTTGAATGGGCCCCGCGGATCTCACTATGTTACCAGTACCTACTACTTGAGGTACACTATACATATTGCCTGCTATAAACTTGAATGTTCCAGACTTCTTTTCAAGAATGATTGATCTTCCTGCTCTAAATCCCCTTGGTCGGGAAGCATAGATATCGACAGCTCTTATTTTTGGCTCTAATGAACCGCCCCCGCCCCCTCATAGTACTGCAACTACAGACCTCGGCCAGATGTCCGAGGAACACTTTGAACAGTTCACAAATTCTTACTACGTGTACAGTATAATCAAGAGTGACACACCATCCATTGCTCCTATTTCCGTCCTTGAACAGGACATATTACCCCATAAAAGAGTCCAGGACTCAAGTAACCCCAATGATGACAGACCAATCCAAAAAAAGTAACAAAAGGACCAAAGAGAAGAAGACATCGCGGGTCATAAACAAAAAAAGGGTCAAGGATCGATCAAATCCAAGAGAAAAGAAAACAACCGCATTGCAGCAAAACCCAAGATCCAAATCCTATCAGCACAGCCAATCCATTATAGACTGTAGCAAACCAACATCATTGATCAAAACCAACAAGACGTCCAGCGCCCGGTGAGATTTTGACAAACAAGGCAGCCGAGGCCGATTGGATGAACCGAGGGTAATGTAAATGTAAAAACCAGACACTAACATGCAATGCGGAAGGAAAAAGGATGAAAAGGGAGAAAAAAAAGAAGAAATACACAGGCATTATAAATACAGCGACAAACTCAAGTTGAGTTACGTCGCTGCATTTATTCTGCGTTGCGACCTTGTTCAGCCGATGTGGATTGTTCGTAGCTCTTCTTGCCTAGCTTGGCGAAGAGAGACTGGGGCTTGCCGGCACTGAACGCGAAAATGTTAGCGACCCGTTCATTCGCGAATTTTGGATTACGGAGATCGATCCACAGTAAGTCCTGGTGGAAGGATCGGATGAAAAACATACTTCTTGAAACGCTTTCCCTTGATGTCGCTCAACTTCTTTGTGCAGGGGCTCATGATATCGTCCGAAGGGGAGACGTAAGCGCCTGGTTGCCTGTAACACACAAATGTTGTTAGTAGTGATTTTGGAGGGACGCAGAAAGAGGGGTGGTTCTGCTGCACGTTCGGGTGTGCAGGCTGGGAATAACCAGCCTAGAGGTGCACTTACTTGTCGTCGCTATCCTGCTTGCCCTGCAATGCCTGTCGGTGGTATTCCATCGAAGACAGATCGGCAGACTTCATGTCGGTCTTGTCGACGTTCGCGTTGGCAAGGTGGGTGTTGGTGGAGCGGTCAGCCAGAGGCTGCACTTGTGTTGTGGAAGCGTCCATAGTGGAATGTGTGGAGGTTTGTGAAAAGAAGATAGAGCGAGAAGGATCCTGATTAGAGATGTGTGTTGGGTAGAGCTGGGTTATGTAGCGACTGGAACAAAGAAAACAGTGATTTCTGTAAGGTTCCGATCAAAAAGCGGAGCGGATAAGAGAGAAGAAAATGGTCTTGTTGGTGTTGAATGTGGAAAAATGCGGCTTGATTGTTGACCCGGCAACCACGTCTATTGACTCTCATGACGACACGGATGACATTCTGATGTTTCTTGTTTATGTGGATTGTTTCTGCTGTTGCCACTTGACCATTGAATCTAGAACATAAACTAGTAATTTATGTCCACAAACTGGCCTACAGTAACAAATATCTGTCGATTTACCAAGGCACTCAGGAGTCAGGCTCAATCCCACCACGTTCCTGATGAGTCATGAATAACAACATCACCCATGGGCCATCAGTAATTCCACTTCGAACTCTAGCAAGACACCCAGGGATAAACTCTTTTTCATTGCGATATAGCTATCTCCATAGCCTCAGACAGAGTATATTCTGTCGGAGATTATGCTGTATCAATGATATTCCATCTGTGTCTTTTACATGACATCTTCAAGTCCGATTCAAAGGTCCAATATCTATAGAAGAGTTAAACTCACTGTGTCTTCTTAACACTCCTCCTCTCCATTGCCACACTCGCCAAAACTGACAAGGAAGCCAACACAACAGGTATATAAAGCGTTTGAATCACGGCTTCGTCGTACCCGGCAAGTACAGCCCCAAGTCTAGCAGACCCGATCTGCTCTCTCACATTGGCCAAGCCCCCTTGGTCAAATATGCTCCCGTTAGTGCCTGGCGCATACTGCTCCACCTCAATGGCCAATCTACTCTGGAATAACACGGCAGAAACCGAGACAAAAAGTGACGATGCAAGAAACCCCGTGAACGCAGTAATTGCAACTCCCGTGGCGATGTCCTTGTCTGGGAGAACGGTCTGTACAGCGAACATGGGTGCTTGAAGACCCAACCCCACACCGGCACCAAGAAAGGCCAGTAGCATCGTGGTTTTAACCAGGCTATCATTGTATTCAATTGTTGTGAGCAGTCCGGAGGCGATGGGCGTGAGGACTGAACTGACGAGCATAAAGGCTGTAGCGAATAGAACATAGATATCGTCAGTTCTTCATTGCATTCCAGATTCTCAGAGAGTGTATGTGCTCCTAATACTCACGATAATAATAGCCCATCCATCTGGTCCCCGCACCAGCCGTCATGACCGCCACGGCCATACCCGCAAAAAGCGGCAAACCCATTGCGCCAGACTTCGTAGCGCTGAATCCACGCACCCCCTGGAAATAAATCGACATATAGTATTCCGTCACGGCGAGAATACCATTGCTACAGGCATTGAACCAAGCCCCCGCCAGGATGCTGCGTTGCTTCATGATACGCGGGGGGAGAGTAGCATCCTCCTTCTTGCGGTACTGCATGAACGCAAACACAGCCGCAAGAACAACAAAGAGCCCCAGCAGCACGATAATCCGCGCATCCGCCCAGCCGTACTTGACGCCGCCCCATTGCAGCCCGATGAGCAGGGAGACGATGGCAGGCGCGAATACCAGCGTCCCGGGGATATCGAGCCGCCTACACTTTTCCACGAACGGCAGTCTAGCTGCTGCTTGGGGCGGGGGCGCGGGGTTTCGGAACCCGTAGGCTATGAAGAGGCTTGTGATGGCGCCGATGGGAAGGTTGATGCCGAAGCAGGCGCGCCACGAGAAGGCGTCTATTAGCACGCCGCCGATTAGGGGAGCTATTACCATGGCTATGTTTGAGGCTGCGCCTATGAGGCCGGTCCAGAAGGGTCGTTTATGCACGGGGAGGGAGCTGGTTAGCAGGACGATGCTGCCTGTTTGGATGCCGCTGCTGGCTAGGCCGGCGGTGGCGCGGCCCAGGATGAATGTTGCGCTGGTTGGGGCGATGGTGCAGAGGAGGGAGCCGAGCTCGAAGAGGAATATAGAGACTAGGAAGACGGTTTTCATGGGGAAGACGGTGTATAGTCGGGCGGAGAAGAAGATGAAACAGCTTCCGATTAGTTGGTAGGATGCTGAGTACCATCCAATGTCGTTGAGTTGTTTGAAATGGTTGGAGAGGCTGGGGACGGCCACTGCGACGATGGTCATGTCGAGGCCGACGAAGATTGCGGAGAGGAGGATTGAGAAGATGACGAGTCCTCGCTTTAGCCCGGTGGGATATACGGGAGCATCTTCGATCTCGAGCTGTTCTTGGATTATGCCTGTGTCTGTTGGATTTGGTGTTTCTGTAGCGGTGGACATTTCACTAATGTTATGATTTCAAGTTTACCAGTGGAAGGTTTTTAAAATTGTCAATGATATGCCGTGGAGGATATTTGTACTTGACGAGTATGTGAGAGATATTGATCAGAGAGTCTGTGCCTTGTTGAATGATGTAGAACCAGAGTTGATTGGGAAAGGACTCGACTTTTCTTATGGGGGGCGTCTGCATAGGATGACGACGATTGAACTATATTGGGCTTACGGAGGAGGCTCCGTAAATTTACCCCACCTGCAACTATATCAAAAGAGGCAGTATTAGCTTGCTATGTCTCAAGACTTAATTTGAGTAGGTAATGATGGAATTTTTTAATTGGATACTCTTTTCCTCGAGTAGTGGGTTCATAGTCGAGATTATATTATAGTAGTGATAGAAAGGGGAGGGGAGGGCAATCAACAAGAAGAATAGTCAAGAGGGAGAGGGATTAACATGAAGGACGATAGTGAAGGTATAGAGGACTTAATAAACTCCTAGTATGTATTAAAAAGAAATTCCAAGTTTGCTAAGGGCTCCCTTATATTTAATAATTTGAGAATAAATTCCATCCTGGCACCCACGTAGTCCAACTGGTTCCACCCTTCGGGACCTCAGCCAGCTCTGGATTTGCGGCCCCCACTTCAGGTACACTGGGCCCATCCACGATGGGGATACTGAGTAGTACGGCGAGCCTAAGAGTCGAAGCCTAAGTTGATCCTGGCCTGAGCGGGACAGCGAGAAAGTGCGCCGCGGACCTACTACAAAGTATCTGCCCTCTTTTTTTTTTTTTTTTAAAATTATGAAACTATTTTATTTTTATCTTTTTTTATTTGATTTGATGTTGATATTTGAAGTTGGGAGGGGAGTTCTTAGTATGAAGCCGTGATGCATCGATGGCGGGAGCGAGTGACTTCTTTCTTGGGAGATCTTTACGTTTTTGTGATTTTTACCTCCCTGGAAGTCCCTGGTTCGATTCCTACTCTGCTCTTTCTTTTCTTTTCTTTTCTTTGCTTCTCTTATTTTCTTCCTAGTACTGGACTACTATTCATGAAGAGCCTATATAGTGGTATCCATGATCCTGGAGGACCTGGCCAGTACCTACTTGGAGGATCTGAGACAGGAACATACAAGTGTCTATAATTTATGTGCCACCAGCAGCAATTTAATGTTTACACAGGTTATAATATCCGAGAATAGCAAGAAATAGAATTCGACCGAGCATGCATAACTAAATAGTACAAGGTCTAGAACAAAAGTGGGAATCTTTATCGTGCATCATTCAAACGTACACTCGCCAGATCATGAGAAGACACATGCTCGAACGCGAATAGATCATAACGTATAGACAGGGGAATGGGAAACCAAAAGTAAAAGAAAGAATCCTTGCATAAGAATCCACCATTCAGGTGGCAAAAAGGGATTTGGTATGACATGTTTCAGTTGGGGCCAGCCCACCGTGGAGAATTCAGCAGAATGTGATTAGCCCTTACCCTTATTGGGTTAAAGACATTTCGTCAGATACCTCAGACAGCTCAGATGCCAGCGCACAGTCATCTCGCTCGTCATCGCGGTCTCGGTCTAGACCCGTAGTATGACTGCTCAGCACAGGTGGAGTGCTGTGCGATCGAAACTGTGGGGTCGCAAGCAGAGGGACGGACATGGAGTCAGGGGATTGTGGCGTGGAGGCTCTCTTTTCATCATCGTCATCCTCCTCCTCTTCCATCTCGTGGGAGATATGGGACGTCGGAGTCGGTGGGGAATACGGGGCCGTGGGACTGGCAGGGCTTTCTTGTGAAGAGGAACTATCTGATGGATTTCGTCGATGGGCAACATTCTCGTGGTAGGAAGAGGTGGGCCGGGTGGAGCCAGGGCTGGCGGAAGGGGAGGCGTATAGCGGCGATGATGACCGTAGACTGTATGAGCGAGCAACCATTCTTTGGACCCGAGGGAACTCCATGTAGTTGTTGCCTGAGCCCCGGCCGAACAGAACTACTGCGAAGCAGCAGAGGACCATGATGCTCTGGATCACTGTTACCCGCTTTTGGAAGACGAGTTCATCGGCTAGAACACCAAGCTGGGAGCTGATGGAGTGGACTTCCTGGTGATACTTGAGGCGCTGATGTTCGAATTCAAAGGCAACAGATTTCCAGACATGGTCGTATTGTTCTCGGAACTCTTTCAGCTCATTTAGAACAGTCACATTAAGATTTTCGAGGAAGTTTGAAGTTTTCGCGAGTTGACGTTTCTCAACCTTGTTGAAAGCATCGCGAAGAATCCGGGATTGTTCTTCAATATAGAGAAGGGATAGTGTTGAATTCGACTCTAGCATTTGGAGCCGCTTGTGAACGGATTTGAAGAAGGATTCTTGGGTAGTCGGGTTGGAAGAGGGAGGTTGTGTCGATGTAGGTTTAATAGATTCAGGTGGCGGTGGGCTGTTCTCCTCCTTCGGGTTTGTTGTCGATTTTCCGGTGCTCTCGACAGTCGCATTCTGTGAAGCTGGCTCTGCAGCCATAACAGAGGCATCAGGAGTCGCCACAGTCTTCATTGATTCACCCGATTTCCGAATCTCTTCAGCCTTTGGTGGGGCCGATGATCCAGGTTGGACCGCAGGAGCCTCTCCTGTAGCGCCTGCGGAATCCGGACGCGGCGGTTTTGCTTGGTCTGTTGCAGCGGTTCTATCAATGATAATATCCACGGGAGGCCGCTCGTTAATATTGCACGTCTCAGCAGCCGGAGAAAAAAGTCTCAAGAGAAGTGTTTCCACTTCACTGGGAGAAGTGGGACAGAATTCAGGCCCTTGATCATTCATCACTTCTTTCGCATTTTCCTCTGTCTCTTCCCGAACAGCTTCATATACTGGAGGCACGGGTGGCACAGTCTGTGCATCGCTAGGGCGTTCCACAGCCTCAGCCGGTTCTATCACCTCTTCGTCTTCATCTTCAGCCTCGGTGCGACCAACACTCTCATCATGCTTGTACTCCTCCATCATAGTCGTTCCATGAACTCGGATAAGACTAACTGGGCAGTAGAACTCATGACCATAGTGCGTTAAGAACTCGATACGAAGATATCGAGCCCATATAAGGGAGTTCTCAACAGCGAATGCCTGGACTTCACGGGTATTCCGGGCTTCGTAAACACCCAATTCTTTCCACTGGTCCGGTTTCGCAGGGTATCGATCTGACACGCTCACACGGAATGTATGGAAGATAGAACTGAAGAACTCATAGTTGCCCAGTACAACAGTATCCACCAGGATATCGTCACACAGTTCCAGAATCAAAAACTTGTTCTGGGCACGGCATTCGTTCAGCATATAATTATCCTTGTTTTCGACCAGAACGGCCGAAGAACCCTTGCACTCTGGATTTGTCTTGAGCACAGTAGCCGCACAATCAAAAGAGGCATAATTGAAGCGCTCCTTGCACGTTGTTCCGGCGTCCTTGCGGCGCGAGACCTCCGCTTTCTTCAAACGCTGGTTATGCAGCTCATTTTCGGCTTCGCCGTTAGAGTTATCCACCGCGTGAGGCGATGGAATCGGTGTACCCCACGCCGTGGGACTAGCCTCGGGCGTCTCAGCCCCAAACCCGCCGAAATCCAATTCGATCTCTGAGTCATCTCCTAGCGAGTCCAAAGCGTTGTTGATTCCCGGCTGACGTCGGCCTTCTTTCCCAGCTGCTACCACCCGTCTGCTGCCCCCAACATTCTCAGCCGACTGCCCAACCTTGGCGAGGTTCTGTTTCTTCCAATCTTCAAATGATAGGAAGCTCGCACTGTCAAGTAAAGAGTCGGTATCTGCGTCTTGTTCTTGATCTTGCTGCGCAGCTGACTCTGCAACTGCACCAGCAATGCCGTCTGTCGTGGTAGCTGGGTCTGGAATCGTATTATCTCCACCGGCGGTAGTATCAATTGGCGGAGTAGCATGGTGTGACCTCTGGCCAAGTCCCCATCGCGTCTCAAAGCACACGGGATGCCTAAAGACTTTGGCCTCCGCTTCCCAAACATTTTCCGCCGGGCAGATGGTTTCCGACGCGCGATCGGAGGATTGGTTCGGAGTCGTCTGTCCAGAATCCTGGGACCAGTCCCCAGATCCACTACCTGAAAATGCGAGCAGAATCACGGCACAATAAAGCCATGCTTTCCTTGACCATCCCGTACTCGGCATCCTGGTTGTAAGAAAGGCAACCAGTGTCTGCAAGGATTTGCGATGACTCCTCGGCTTATTCCAGCCGCACGGAGCACCGACAGGGGAGGAAAACTCGGGTGACCTGCAAGTTGAATGTAGATCCCGACCCCAATAGAATATGATTTCTCTCCGACAAGGTTGGCCGTTATGATATGTGCATGTTGTGGTGGTGGCGAGACCAATCGCGAGCTCGGACGTTATCTGCGGTATTCCAGGGTCTGGACTCTCGACTCTGGACTCTAGGAGCACCGGTTGGAGGGAAGGGTTTCTTGCGAGGGCGTGGGAGGAAATTGAAGTTTTTTTTGAATGGCGTGATCGGTCAGTATATGGTGTAGGGACGGAGTAATGTGCGCTATAATTTTTTAGAAAGAAAAGAAGCGAGGCGAAAGGCTGGAGAGCAGCGGAAGCTACAGGCGCGACAAGAAAAAGTGGATCGTGGCATCAGCGAGTTGAAGCTGGGGTCACCGCCCTTTTCACCGCTGATCCTTGCACTTGTCTCGTTCACTTACAAGTATACAAGTATACAAGTATACGTGGTCAATAAAGGCTGAGTCTCTGTTAGCGTGATGTCTTTGTTGCCCAATGACCGCGCTAGCTCATAGATTGAAGACTTTTTTCAAAAAATGTGTAGAGTGAAATTGACCGTAGTGCTGTGTTAGGCGTAGTACATGGAGGTTGACCCTCTATGGCGGGGGCCCGTCTCCTAATACGGTCAACAAATGTGATTCATGAAAGACTAAGACGTTTTAAGGCTCGCTTAACATCAATTCCAAGGACTCGTTGCTCCACTTGATTTAAAAGAGAGATTTAAAAAAGAGAGACAACACATATAGAGTAGTATACGATTCAGCGTAATATTCCAGGTATTCTGCCCTGACTTTATGATCTATGGATAGAAATCAATAATAGAAACCTGCATGGGGACCTACATGTGGACCTACACAGTAAGATGCTACTATATGATTAGATTGAGTTCTCGTACATGGCTTTGTGCATCCTGAAATGCAAGTTCATCGGGCATGAGCTCACAGCACTGTCAACTGATCTACTCCACCTTGGAGATCCACTTTGAGAATCAGAGGGTCTGCATCCAGGTGCAGCAAGCCTTACTAAAGTGAAACAAGAAAAGCTTGAACACCTTGCAGCTGCACACCGATGTTTCAGTCAACTACATCTCAGCTATCCCCTACGTCCGATTTTCGTCGTGTAGCAAGAAACCTGATTGCTATACAAAGGAAAAAAATTTAAAAATCTACAAAACTTGTAATGTAAAAAAAAAAACTTCACGGATGGTGATCAATTTGTCCTGTGACATATAGAGCTAAGTAAAGAGTATATCTGTGTCAAAAGAGAAAACGGCCGTGTTTCATCCTGCAGCGGGAGCCAAGATAGGTAGTTGGACCTCCCATGCTGTCATTTCATATTCCACCACAATTCTGTCCTTTTGGTTTCCGAAGTCGCTTTTGTCCGAATGTTCACAAAAAAGAAAATCCTCCCCCAAATGAATTCCACCCCGCCTTCTAGTCTTTTCGGTGCGTGATGCCACCACCTGCCTTCTGCTGCTCCAACTCCATATGGTACAGAGATAAGAAAATGAACAAATAATAATGGTTGAGAGCAGTGCCGTCAGTATAACTGGGAAAGACGTATACTGCGACATTTTGAGGGACAAGGGGAGGTAGGCACCAGCAAACAAAACCTAAAAATTCAAACAAGACGTGCAGAAACAAGAACAGAAAATAAAAAAAAAGAAGAAAAAACAACATTAATGTATAGTTGGAAGGTTTTTTGAGCTTTTTTCCCAGCTGAATCAAAAACAAACAAGACGCAAGGGACGAGCGGAAAGGGGAAAAGAACAGAAAGTATGGAATGAGAGTGACCAGCAATCAAAAAATAGTATGCTACAGGTGTAGGTCGTGCCACCCGCCTACCAGATCGAGATCTTCATCAAGGCTGCCATCGTAGGTCGAATGCTTGTGTGGAGATGCATTGGCAGTGTCACGACGCCAATCCTTCGCGAGGAAAAACTGGCGACGGCGATCGGACTGAGGTGATTCGCGCTTGGGTCGAACGCCATGGTCAAATCCGGAAGACCCAAGGCCCCAATCACGTCGCCAAGTACTGGTGGGACGCTGGGGGTCGAAAGGCTCCCGGGTCTTGCAGTTGCGGCGCTTGTTACCCAGTTCTGACCACTTGTCGAGATTGGACTTCTTGGGGGTCATCTGGCGGGGGATAGGGCGAGGTGTACTGCTGGAACTTCCAGCGGCACTGTCAACCTCAATGGAGTTGATCTGAGTGGCGTGGGGGGCAGTTGATGAGATGAGGGGAGTGTGGGGTCGGTCAATAGATGCAACGGAGTCCAGCTCGCGAGGTCCAGCCAGGGGTTCCGGCAAGCCGTGATCCTGGCTCTCATGGCTCCAGCTGCGAGAGTTCTGCTCACGGCGCTGCTGGAAGTCATGATCTTCGTTCTCCGACTCCTCCTCGTCCCAAAGATCACTCCAGCTCTTGGAGATCTGATCTTTAGCGTTGTTCTTTCCGAAGACCATGGCCATAGACGGCAAGGGCTTGTTGGCATGGCTGGGGAGAGATCCAGTGATAGGGACGGGATCGGAGCGAGCAAGGGAACGTTTCTGCTGGGGGATATGGAGCGAACCGAAAGATTCGCTCATGGCAGAATCAATAACCGAAGCCATCGATGGGGTATCGTGGGTAGAGAACCACGAAGTGCCAGCCACCTCAGAGGCAGAGAAAAGATCCTCGGAGTAGCTCTCATTATCAGGAATGGCAGAGAGCTGTCGGGTAGCTTGCTGGGGACTTGAGTGCAAAAGCTTGGCCCAGGGGAAAGAATCACCATGGTTGACATGAGGGCTCTGGATGGAAGGAGTGCGCAGAGGCTCGCGGTTGGCACTGGCTGTGACAACCTCGTCACGGTCCTCGGTGCAGAACTCATCCAGAGACTCATCGTCGGTGGTGAAAGACACAGCACGAGCAATACCCGCTCGTAGCTCTGAGAGGGAGCGCTTCTCCGGGTCCATAGCCAAAGAATGAGTAAGGATGTCGTAGGTATCCTGGGACATGTTGGGGAAGATGTCAAACAAGGACTGACGATCACGAACGTAATCCAAGAAAAGTACGTCGGACACGGTGGGTGTAATGAAAGGGTTGCGCGAGAACAAAATGTTCAGCAGGCAAATTCCAATGGACCAAATATCGGCCTGAGCAGGAGAGTAACCCGAGCTGGGTGGCTCATACTGTTCAGGCGCCATGTATCGGTCGCTGCCAACGCAAGCCTCGTAGGACCAGGAGTCTCGGGTTGCAAGACCAAAGTCACCTAGTTTCATCGAGCTGTCGGACATAAGGAAAATGTTTTCAGGCTTGATGTCACGGTGGTAGAGGCCTTTGCTGTGCATGAAAGCGACCGCGTCAATAAATTGCAACATGAAGTCACGAACGTGCTCGGTCTCCAATGGACCACGGTTCAGACGAATGGCTTCGTATAAGTCGCCGTTGGAACAGTACTCCAAAACCAGATACATGTGAGCATCAGTTTCAAAGGAATGGACCAGGTTGACCAGGTTAGCGTGGCGACCAAAACGCAGGTGGCACTCCAATTCTTCGAACCGATCATCCATGGGGAAGGGATCAGAAGAATCAGAGGAGGCGTTCTTGGTCAGACACTTGATGGCAACATCCTGGTTAGTCTGTAAATCCTTGGCGAGGAAAACCAACCCGAAGGAACCGTTGTTGAGCGGGGCGACAGTTCGGAAGCGACCATCCAAGATTTGGCCCTTCACGAACTTGTTCTTGAAGCACTCCATGGCGGATGTAGACATGTTGATCCAGAGGGTGAAGGTGTGGGAGATGAGGTGAGATATGCAGAACAGAAAGATAATAGAGGCTCCAACGACAAGCAAAAGTCTATGAATCACTTGGAGAAAAATGTACGTTTGGAAAGCGTTTCCAGACGTGACCAGAATAGCAACCAGGCTATTGAAATGATTAAGTGTCAAGAAGAGAAGAGTGAACCGGGCCTGTGAGCGGAATCGACAAGGCCACCGAGACGGATCAAAGAACAAGGTTGACAAGGGTGGTCCGAAACGGTTGAAAGGGTCGTAAAAATATACCAATGGGTGCAAGAAAGCTGATAGACAAGGAAAGGAGAAATGATGTGGGGGCGCAGAGCGCAGCTGAAAGGACCCAGACAAGGGAGTATAGACGCTTAAGGAAATGGTAGAGACCGTTATGTGCTCATTTGTAGGTCGTTTTCGTTGTTATAGGTGGCGAACGGCCTGTGGTGTAAAACGAAGAAAAGTAGAGAGTGTTGCAATATATGTCAGACGAGGCTCAAGGTAAGAAAGGCCTTGAGGGATGTCGGGTTTGAAAGATTTGAGATAGCGCTGCGTAATATCGTGATTGGAATGGAAGAAAAAAAAGCAAAGACGTGAAGCAAATATAAAGCCTGTGAACACCGGGTTCAAGGTCGGAAAAGCGGCCGTGACTCGAGAAAGTTGAAGTTGATTAATGAGTCATGAGGGAACCGGTAGGCAGGTATGGGCGATGAATATATAGATCGAATCCAGAGAATCCGAGTCGGTCTTCGAAGACAAGTCCTAGCTTGAGCAAGCTAGAATATGAGCCGAAGGCCTGAGGAGAGTTGTTTTGGGATCCTGGGGAAAGGAGCAGCCTTCAAATCCAGGGGGGTCCGGAAGAGACGGAGTTGCTCAATGCCAGGTTCCCGAGGTAAAGGAAACTCTCAATCGCTCAACAAGCACTGTTCACCAGGCAACGTATTGAAGAGAAACAAGATCCGCAAGGACGTCTTCGTAGGTGATGACCAAGGACGAAGACGGGGGGGCGAATCGAAGACGGGGAGGTATGAAACAGTTGACTGGACAGGAACACCAAGGCGCAACTGCTGCAAAAGATGAGTCACGTTCAATAAGACTCGATCCGGGAAAATTCGGTAGAATATAGCGGGACCGAATAGTCGAGATAGATTGGGGTATAGCACTCCTTGTCGGATGGGCAACAGCGAATTGAAGTACAGAGTATATCGCTGAAGATCGAGTGCAGTTCCCGGGAAGATGGAGGGAGGCGGATGAGATAAGAAGGGAAGAAGAGAGGACGAGCGAGATTGATGTGACGGGGGGGGAGGAAAGTGAAGAGGAAAGAGAAAGAACGAAGGAAGCCGATGATGAAGGTAGGGGAAGTAAGTGAAGGGGAACTAAGGAGGAGTCATTTGGTACAGAGGGAGAGTTAGTCACAGAGTGGAGTTGCCAGTTCCTCAGTTTACACGCGGTACTTCCGGGTACTATGGAGCCACCTAGTCATCACGGGGTACTCTTTTTTAGTCAGGAAATACTAAAGTGGTAACAATCCAGTCCCAATCAATACCGATTAGTACTGATTAGTACCCATTAGTTAGTAATTAATGACGGTACTATTACTGTTCTATACCGCCAGTAACGGGTTTCCTCGTGCGATCTGCACTGCCCCTTCCGGTTTGTCCCATACTATTTCCCGCTTCCGTTGACACTATTTCCTGTTACTTACGGGTCCCGGTATCAGTCGAACGCCACGCAATCCAGAATCGTCCATGTTCATGAACCTTCCAGACATTCCACCCTTGGGAGGTGACAGAAGACCCTGGATCAATCTACCGGAATTTGGGAATTTTGGAAAAATGACGAGCTTCATTGTCAATGAGATTTGCCCATTGTCTATCTGAATGACGGAGTCCAATTTCAAAATGAGCCTTATCTACAACTAATGGAGTCTTTCCCATTTCTTTCCCCCCCTAATTCCCCATACGTGATCGACGGACCAACTCAATAAGGACCCAAGATACAAGTTGGTCCCAAGGTTTCCAAACTCTCATTCCCAGGAAAACCAAACTCTGGGACCTGCAGTCCAGAATGGTCGTTCTATTTCCCCCAAGCAACGGCAGTGGCAGGGGAGATGGAAAGCGTGCCAGCAGCCGGAGGGGGGTCAGAATGGCCGAGCCAGGCTACACTATTCGCGGCCGAGGGCGGATCAAGGTGGCGCACTAACCTGCATGTGTCGCAATCCGCAGCGGAGTCTGGGGCAACAGCCAATCACAAAACGCCCAAACATGCACTATTTCCAGCGTGCATGACGCCATGGATGAGTGATGGCGTGATGTCTTTTCATTGGTGACCCACCCACTCCCCTACTGCAGGCCCCGGAGTCTCTTTGCCGGGGCCTGTTGGGCGTTGAAGGTTAGGTTAGGTTAAGTTGAACCTGGTTGATACTTCCGCAGGTACGGAGTACGGATTACGGGAGTCAAGGGGTGAGAATTGAAGGAAAGGGGGGGCTGAATTTTAGCATCAAAAAAAAAATTAATCATACTAATATATAAAATTTATAAAATAAAATGAAAAACATAACGGAGTATCCGTGCCATGCATGACTTCCCTCTCTAGGTAATTACTTCATCTGGCCCCCCCGGAACAAAAGCCATGATGCCAAATGGCTTAAACCAACTACGTAAACACCTCCTGGGTACTCCATACGCGCCCATAATCCTGGCAGGGCCCTGGAAGTTCTGGGCTTTTTCCTGTGCTATTCTTGTGTTCCTGGTACGTGTTCCAACAAGGAGATTCGTGCGTGCACCCAAGGTCCCCACTCCGGTTTTTTTCCTTCTTTTTTGGGGAGCACGAAGACACCACGTTGAGACCTTTTGGCGCGCGGGATTTTTGAGACAGCAAAGGTGGCAGATACAGGTGTACTTTTTGCGGGGGGTCAATCAGGGGAGGTCATGCTGATCTCGATTTCAGTGGAGCCACTTTCCCTCTTTTTGTTCCTAAAGGGGACACGTACCTCCAGGAGAGGGGGAAAGATCCCGAATGGTGTAAAGTAAAGCCCAAGTACAGGCCAAGTAGCATCTACATGCCTGATATGTGTACCTTGCACACTCTGCGTTGGTCTTAGACACTCACGCAGCTACATGTGCGCACACGGGTCTTTGTCCCGAGATCCAGCGGTGTAGCTGGAGGAGCTGACCGCTCTCCTGCAAGGACAAACCTTGCAGCCGAAGCAACTTGAGTCGAGTCCCAAGTGGCACGACTGATCTTTTTTTTTCTCTTTTTTTCTCATGACGTGGTTTCACATCACGCGATAGGTTCCCCAAACACCATTAAATTGATTTTCATTATTTCATTATTTGATTATTTTAGCTGATATTGAGGTGATCGTTTGGAGATGATTAAATTTTCAATAGTCGAATCAGATATGTCGATCGGGTGTATCGGGTCTATCAATGGAGAACGGTTCTGTGCTTGTTTGGGTTACGTGCATGATGCCATCCGCAATTACCATGACAATGCAGTCGTGCACGGCTCAGCTCATGATCTCCCCCTCCATCATTCAAAATTTATAGACCATGTTTCTACATGTGGAGGACAGTACGAGCATCCTTAGTCTTGCTGCAAGTGTGTTTCGTCATGTTGGATCAGTATCATCTATATGCACGACCGGCGGTAGTCTCAAGTTTACAGGCAATAGAAATGCGCCGAGAAATGCAATGCGACCGCCGACCGACCATTATCAAACTCTGAACATTGAAGTTCCAATGTTCAGAAACTTTAGCATATACAAACTTCCACTCTCCTCGAAGCCCTTTTGCCGAGTTGAAAAGACCTGATGATCCATCCATTTCCGTTTTTGGTGAGGCATATCTGAGAACGGTTTACATGAAGTTACAGATCAGATCCTTATTGGAGGCCCAAGGGTCAAGGATAAGGCGGCTAAGCAAGCAGAACTCATTATTTTCTTATCTTGTGGGTCGTATGTACCTAACTCTTAAGTTTACACTCTAATAAGTACTCTAAGTACTCTTCAGTCCCGATTGCGGTACTTATCTAAGTTATCTCTAAAATTCCGACCAAGTTAACCATGGATAAGCCTGATAAGAGACTTGGAGGAAAAATACAACCACTAAAATTGTTTATCATTTTGAATCATCTGTACCCCGCACGATCGTCATTCCAAAGTCATCTCCGGACAAATTCATTAGTTGGATTTGCAAGGGAGATATGATGTGCAACGGGTGGCTACCGATTGAGAAGGAATATTTGGAGAAAATTGGATAAAAAAATACAAAACACAAAAAACATAAAAAAGCAAAAAATAAGAAAGAAAAATAGAGTCTATCATGGCCTTGTTGATAGCACTTTGGGTAACACACTGCTGGGGGACTTCCGACAGGGTCTGCAGAGTAAAAAAAAAAAAAGTTACATAAAAACACATGTAGGTTATAGAGATGTCATGTATTCCCTAATAACATTTGAAACTGGCAATTTTTCAAATATTGAAGGAACAATGAGATCACCTATATTTTAATCTAATCTATGGTGGTTTTCATTATCTCCCATTCATAGTTAGCGCTCTCCCCAGAGTTTAGTGCCTCGTGTTTTCTTCCTTATGATCTTAACCGGGGGTGTCCGGTGCCCACTTATACTAACCATCTTGAGAATGGCGCCAAAGTATGAGAAAAAGATTGGCGTTTCACAGTCGTACCAGTCAACTGGGATCAAAGTCACCCCCGGATTTTGGTCTTGAATGTAGACAAAAGAAAACATGGACCATTAGCTTTCTCTCACTTTTTTTCTTTTTTTAAAACTTTCACTATTGTCTGCCTTAAAATTATTCCTTTACACTATTGGGTGGTGGTCCGCCAGTCGGTATTCAGTTGCGTTGGGCGATGCGCTGAATGCGTCCACATCATTCTCGGTTGCCACGGACTATCGATATGCAGACACATGTCCAGTACTGCCATTCGACATGCGACCTGCAACATGCGGCATTCCCCACACCTCCTGAAGACCACCCAATTTATTGTCTAATCTAATCCGATCTCGGACAGGCCTGAAGGAAAAAGAGTCGCGACGGTGCGGAGATATTATTCATATGCGGGCCCTGAAGTCATATTGATATCATCTTGCCTTCGAAGCTGATGATCCCGAGGTCAACATTCCCAACTCCGGGGTATGTCGCTCCGGTGCATATTTGATTTCGTAGCCTGGTCGTACAATACAACCCGTTGCAGCTTATATCTTCCAAGTGCGATTTGAAAAGTGACGATATACGTGCATGTACACAATACGCATAACCCACCTACCGTAGAGCCAGTTTGGTCGCGTTCGAAATCTCGATGTGGGCGGCACTCCGACGTCTAGGTGGAGTCACCTATGAAGTCATGTCGACTATCAGGGGACATTGATTGCATGATTGAAGAAACGAAACAAATTCTCCGTGCTAGTGTTCGTAATCGCGTGTCGGATCGTATTTGGTCTAGTGTCATGCTATCCGGACGTTACCTATACCCAAGTGCTTCAATTGGTTCCCAGTGATGGGATGGGGGCTATCGGGGTCAATACGTAGCTCAATCTGCAAACAATCATATTGCGAGATTACCCGACTGATAGCAAAGATAGTCCATTGGACCAATTGGATACACGCATATCCTCGATGATATGCGACTGCGACTCTTCATTGTGGTTGCTGAGATCATTGATCCTCCTTTGTCACCAAGCACGTGCGCTATCTCATAAACGAAATCCAAGATAACCATTGGAGGCAACAATCTTGTCGCCTGAAATTTTGGACATCCAGATATGAGTGATGAGACCGAGAGGAGTCTCTACCTCTATTAGGATCTAATTGGTCAGCTCCAAAGTGCAAGGCCAAAGCCTCATTCTGAATAATATATATTCAATTATGTCCTTGGTACCAACAGAAGACATTCAAATGTTACGTTGCCAGCGCATCCTGTCAAACTGAAGGAGAAGCAGACTTGGCAGAGGCAACATCCCGGGGACCTAAACATTCGATGAGACGACGCTCTGTGTCCGGGTCTCGCCAGATCCGCTTTTCTGAGATCGAAGACTTCTCCAACCACAGACGCGGAATGGTTGTGTGGCAGAGATCAAGTCCACAATCGGGTCGGTATCTGCAATGTCTCCTCTCGACTTTTGTCTCGAACTTCGCGACTGAGATATATCGATTGCCCAACACTATGTGTCTCGAGTGTAGGGAGCTACTGCGGCCATGGTTAGAACATGTTGTGAGTATCTGGATGAGCTCACCTCTTCCTCAAGCGGCTCCAACAGTCTTAAATTCGAGGAAACGTTGATGTCAGGCACACCTCGCGTTTCTCAATAAGCCTGTGGATGTCTAGATCGATCAGCCCCGTGTGTCCTAATGGGATGATCTATCCACTCTCTGAAGCATCTCTGCTGTATATCACCACCGTCTCAATGGTGTCGGGAACATTGAGTCCTGGGATAGTTGAAGACACGATTGCTGAAAAGACCAAGTGGAAAGTCACGTCTGGTTTGCGTGTCGTTGCATTGCCAATTCTCATGAATGGGGAGAGATTTGGGGGAGGACGTGGGGAGGACGTGGGGAGGACGTGGGGAGGACGCGTTGATGCTCTAATGAGGCACTTTTCGGCTTGGATGATCAAACACGATTGACATCACAATAGCACATTAGATGTGATCTGAAAATAGATGGTCTACCAACCGATAGCTTAGCGACACGCAACACGAACGGCTTAATGGCACATTGAGAACGCTGCACGAGAGGTTCAAATCGTAAAAACTCGCCCGCCGCCTTACAAGTTGCCGAGAAACCGATGCACGCCGGTGTCGCGTTATGAGAAAACCTGTGTGTTAAAAAATGAAGCCTTACTTCTCAGGCTGTAACCTCTTAAGAGGTATATTTTTCTTTACCTTGTGTTTTGAAGATAAATTAATAAGCTGTATAAGAGGTATATGACTACCCCTGGGTAGATAATTAAGCGAGAGCTATGCTCGTGCGGATATCCGCAAAATATCCTCATATCATCATTGAGGATGTGGTATTGGGCCTAATATCCAACGGAGAGGATATGCCGCAGTCAAAAGTCTACATACACATGTGCAGTATAGGACACTAAGTGCAAGCACCACTATAGCAGCTTGATCCAGAACAGTAGTCACTAGTGCTTCCACAGTAACCAGATGTGGAACAACATGTCCCAAACTGGGTACCAGTGCAGGTCTTGTTTCCAGCAAAGTTCGGGCCACATTCTCCATTAGTGGACGGGCCGCCATTATCAGTGTCACAACTGCCAGAGTAGCAATTCCCTGCACCACAATAGGTCGTGCCATTGCCGCAGTAGCCCTGTGTCTATGGTCAGCGACTATACTGGATAGGAAGTATGCGCATGAAGAGATATCGCATCACTTACGTATATACTGCAGCAGTTTCCGAACTGGGGAATACAAGTCGTACCCCCATAATCAGGCCCACAGGTGCCGTCTGACGTCGCCGTGCCGTTGGTTGTGGTGACACAATAATCTGAACCGGTTCCGCAGTAGCCAAATGGCGAGCAGCAGTCGCCAAACGCGCTTCCTTCGCAGGTTACCCCTGGAGGGCACGTACCGTCCTTCGAAGCTGTCTGAGCTGTGACAGGGGCGATGCAAATGTCGTAATTAAGCCACAGGTTGCCGCAGGTGGAGTTAAGATACGTGTTGTACTCTTGCAACTGGCTGAAGTTCAGGCCGAAGCGCAAGTCAATGGTAGAACAGTCGTCGCCGGCTACAACGAGATAGTATTCGCCACACTCGTCGATGGTTCCGCTTTGGGTCGGGTAGGCTGCAGTGGTTGATGTGTAGTAAGTAGCCTGGCCGGTTGCGCCGGGCGCCGTGATGGTCGCGTTGGGTTTAAGAAAAGTTCCTCCAGGAGCACTTTTTTCTCGCTGGTTAGCTTCATGGGTGTTTCTATATTGTCTTCAATGATCTGAGACTTACCCTTTACAAACACGCTGTCCTGGTGCAACACCTGAACAACTTCCCTGGATATTGCTGTTCCAGCTAAGGAATTGAGAGGTGGCTATGTCGTATGTCGAGTTGGAATATCTCGTGGCAAGATCGTCACTATTTTCACAGAGGTTAGCACAGATTATGGTATAATGGGTCACGCAACCGTTATCTCCTACATACCAACTTGGTCCATCCCAAACCGTATCGATCTCGCATGGAAGGGGGAAGCAGGTAGCTTCGTTGAAATAGCAAGCATCATCTCCAGTGACAACTCTAGCGTCACCCGTTGATATATTGTACCTAGTTGCCGCATGCAGCGTATTAGCAATCAGCCAGGTCTCCAACTAATGGGAGGGGTTTCCATTCATACATATCGCAAAGATCATTGCAGGTGAGCCAGTTCTGCAGCGGCTGCACCATTTGACCCAGGCAAGTCGCTGTAGCTACTGCGGAGGAACCTGTCGTCGTTGCGCCGGTTGTAGTAGTAGCAGTTGCCGTCCCTACGTATAAGGTAGAGGCTGAAGTGGTGTAAGGCAGCGTTGTTGAGCAGTTCGTTTGAACAAGGTCAAACTGGTCGATTAAATAATCTGTGAAATTTGTGACTGGCAGCCAGGGATTCAGGAGACGTTGGCGGTAGAGTTGCAAGAAGCACTCATTGCAGTACTACCAGTTCACTTCTAGTTAGTTGAAATTCTCGATGGCACAGGTGCACTTCATTTGTAGCTTGAGGAAGACCACATACCAATTCCTCGTCATATATATTGGTCAGAGCGGCCATCTCATCATCGATATCACTAACGTCAAAATCGGGATCGTCACATTGCGACGCGACTGTACTGTTGTCATCACCATCGGGGAAGCACATTGTTGGATCCCAACGAATATAGTCACTTCCTTGCCATGTCTGAGACTCAACAAAACACCAATTCGAGGAACTGTCCTGCATGCATACAAGATCGGAGTTAAAGGTAAATGTCAGTGGGAGCGCTCTCGCCTTGACCACGACATTGCCCTGGAGAGTAGTCTCTTCTGCACAGACTGTTTCAACATTGTCCTTCCAGGAACTCAAGGACGAAGTACAGTCTGTCGTGCAGAAATTCTCTACCTCAGAAGTCGTCCAAACTTTCGTTCAAAATATATTAACTTCACTTCTTCACTGACAAGCAAAAACATATCTAAACATGGCAGCCTTACAGTGGATGTCTGCCCCGTGGCCTAATAGGGCAATAGCTGTTCCATTACAAGAAACGGTGGTGTTCCTGTTTAGGTGTTAGAGGGATAAGACATTTTAGGGAGACTGAACTAGGTACAAGTACTCACAGTGCTGCAAGACACGTACTACTCAGAGAGAGCGCAGCAATCAAGGCGTCCGCATCATAATTTTCATATAGCGCAAAATCGGCCGCAACTGAAGTTGTCCAAGCCGTAAGCAGGACAAAACAGAGTCTCATGAAGGAGAACATTCTGTCCATTGAGTATGCAAGGAGCTAAGATGATCGAATTGCTCTTTGCACAAGGATAGGAATTTTGGGGCACTTTTCTTTCTTCCTCTCAACACGAAGCGCTCCTCGATGGCCAACGCCACCATTGTGTCGGCTTGCTCCTGCATAATGCAGGTACTAAGTAACTTCGGGTAATTCGGAAGTTAGAGCCTTGCGACCGCGGACTTGGTTTGCTTCCAGCTAGCCTGCACTAGTATACAAATGAGGTGGAGGCTCGGGATATCTTGCTCATTTGGTTACCGGCCCCGGGGGCCAGTGTTCTGCAGCCAATAGTCAAGGCGACATGCGGACCTCTTGCGGACCGGTCCGAGTGACTAACCTTTTTAGGATTAACCTATTCGGAGTGCACGTGCAGAGGCTCACTAACGCGAAAATTATAAGCGAATGATTGAGTAAAGAATTTTTCAAGGGTCCAGTTTAAGGGTCTCAGGGTCTAAGGGTCTAAGGGTCCAACGTTACATCTGAAGGATTCTTAAGAGGTTTCAGGTAAACAATGTCAAATTTTAAAAAAAACCCTCACAGATGCTTGTCGAACCAAAACCGAAGTTCCTACACGAGCCGTGCTATCATGGAGTTGATTGTAAAAGCAATTGCCCCAACATTTGAAAAGTAATGTTACAATACCTTATTCGACCTAGTACTGCTCTTAGCACGGCTACTCCTCCAAGCCATGTAACCTTCCATCAGACACTAGCCTACTTTCCACAGGCCCCTCTATTTCCGCCCCGGGGCCCGTCAAGCGAAGCGTTGAGTACGAGAACAACGATACATTCACGGTGGTCCGGATCTCCGTAGATTCCCAATTGCCAGGTACTTTTGGACTTCAGCCCTTAGCGCAAGCCATTGCCGGGTCCCTTCGGGAAACTAGCTTCTTGGGGTAATTTGGTTGTGGTTCGAGGTGCAGAAGGCCCCTGGCTTGCATTCACCATCAGTTCAATAATGTGTATGAAAAATAAATGGCGGCGGCGTGTGCCCGGCTTTTTGTCTTCTTTGCCGTCATTCCCGGCTATCCGGGTTAAAAGAAGTTGTACTCCTTTCTTCCCCACAGACTGGAGGCTGCTACGCCGCTGCTCCCAATACTTCAACAACAACAAAGGCCATATTGGCTCTTTGTTCACCAGTCCCTCATTGATACCATCTGCGTGTTGAGCTTGGGCAGCAGCTTCAATGCGAATTCTTCTGCCAGCGCTTCTTGCTCTCGCAAGTTGCGGGATTTCCCAAGGCCATACACAGCACCATAGCCATGGGAAGCGCAACAACGCAACACAATTGCCAGAGTTTACATCATCGCCTCAGTTGCCCAAGAACTCTTCTTCGGCTCTGCGGCCTCTCTACGAGGCTTATTCGAAGAGCAAGCCCAAGTTCGAGAACGAGGCCCTCATCCGGCAATTGTCTCAGCATCTAGGGGAAAGAATTGACAACCTTGACTATGACTCTGGCTCTCTGAGCAAACGAGACCTTCCCACAGGCACTTGCGCACCTGGAGTACCTTGCACAAATGGAGCATGTTGTTCCAGCACTGGCGTTTGCTCCTATGCCCCCTCGAGTTGCGGGGCTGATGTCTGCATTTCCAACTGCGACGCGAAAGCTCCTTGTGGCGAATACGCGAACCCCGACAATGCAACGTGCCCTTTGAACGTGTGTTGTTCGCAATATGGATTTTGTAAGTCTTGCTATTTCAAGTCTGCTGGGGCATTTCATATTCTTCGGACCAAAAGCTGACTTGTTTTAATCAGGTGGCAGCACCGATGACTTCTGTGGCACTGGTTGTCAGGAGGGATATGGCGGCTGTGGAGATGCTCCGACTCCTTCTTGCTCTAGTGGTAGCAGCTCTGCAAGTGCGCGGCGCATTGGGTACTACGAGAGCTGGGCAACGGAGCGGCCTTGTGATGTGTTTACACCTGAAGACCTCGAACTGACGGGTCTAACGCACATCAATTTTGCTTTCTCCTTCTTCGATCCATCTACTTTCCAGATCTCACCTATGGACTCAAATGCGGCCTCCCTTTATTCTCGCTTCACAGCACTCAAGTCAAAGCAACCAGGACTGCAGGCTTGGCTATCAGTCGGCGGCTGGTCTTTCAACGATGCGACGAATACGCCAGACACTCAGCATGCCTTCAGTGACATGGTCGGCTCCTCGGCAAATCGCCAGGCCTTCATCACTTCACTGCGGAATTTCATGCAGACATATGGCTTTGACGGTGTGGATATTGACTGGGAGTACCCTGCTGCCGACGATCGAGGTGGTGTTGCAGCCGATTTCTCCAACTTCCCAACCTTCCTGGCTGAATTGAGGGCCTCATTCGGAAGCGCATTGGGAATTAGTACCACATTGCCATCTTCATATTGGTATCTTCAGCATTTTGACGTTCTGAACATGGAGCCTAGCGTCGACTGGTTCAACTTCATGAGCTACGACATCCATGGCGTCTGGGACTCCAGCAACAAGTTCACGGGGCCTTACATCCGTCCGCATACCAATCTTACTGAAATTAACGACGGTTTGTCCCTGCTGTGGAGAGCCGGAGTTGACTCATCCAAAGTTGTGCTTGGGCTGGGCTGGTACGGGCGTTCCTTTACGCTCGCTGATTCGTCTTGCACCACGCCTAATGGTGTATGCCAGTTCACCACCGGTGGTAATGCGGGAGCGTGTACACAGTCATCCGGCACGCTTTCCAATGCGGAGATCAAACGTCTTCTAGCGGCTGGAACGGGAACCGAATCATATGATGCCACTGCTGGAGTCCGCTGGCTCACCTTTGATTCGAACCAGTGGGTAAGCTTCGACGATGGAGTGACAATGCAGCAGAAGATTACCTTCGCGAATAGCCAGTGTCTTGGCGGTGTCATGATTGTAAGAGAACACCTTTTATCCCAGTCACCGATTCACTTCCTTCCTTCGTTTCTTATCTTTTGGGAAATAATCTAACCAAGGCTTCCTTCCAGTGGTCAATCGATCAGGACAACACAGCTGGCGAAAGTATGAACGACCTAATGGGTATCGGTACAGCAAACGGAGTGTCAGAGGCAGCTGCCGCTTCATTCAAGGAGCAGATGTCCAATGCCACGCTGCAGAATGCCGTTGCCTCGAGCTGCTACTGGTCCCTATGCGGAGACACCTGTACGACCGGATATTTCGATGTAACTGACGCCCGCGGCCAAATTGCCGGCTATCAGTCGAGCCCCGTATGCTCTCCAGGCGAATCCCAGACACTATGCTGCGCTCCAGGCACTTCTATGGGCACCTGTCAATGGGAAGGTTGGAGAGGCGTGGGAATGCCATGCTCACCAGCATGCTCTGACCCCGACGCTACCATTGTCGCCCGTAATACCAACTCGTATGTAGTGAACGACGGAGGTCAGCTTGAAGATCTGACCTGCACTGGTGGCTATCAAGCATATTGCTGCACAGGATTTGTTCCTTCGTCGCTCACCAATTCAGGCAACTTGAACCTCTATGGCCAGACGACTACTACGGTCAGCAAGAGAGACGGTTCGAAGAATGGCCTCGTTCTCTATGCCGGTGGCAGCGCAGTTGAAAAGCGAACAGGCTTGATCGTGGTAGCCGGCGAATTGGGAGCTCTCTGCCTCGCTGACGCCATCCCGTCAGCCCTTGGAGCACTTGTCACTTTCGGCCTATCCCTTGCTGGGGAGGGGGTAATATGCGCTGCTTCCGCCCTTGCCGGCCTTGCTTCTGCGGCCATCATCGGGTGGTCAATTCTTTCCAGCATAGGTGGGTGGCTTTTCGGTGGATCTCCATCTAAACCCAACGTTGGCGTCCCGACAACAGTAGCGGGCCGATCTTCGTATGGCCAGTGGCAGATTCTCGACTTCAGCGGCGGCACTACGACTAGTACCTGCGATTGTGCGGTCACATATACGTGTAGATATGGCATGGGTTGGGATGAGATTTGTGATAACCAAAGATGGGGAATTAACAAGCTGCTCAACGGAAGGACCGTCTATCAGCCATTGCCCACGAGTCGCGCTGCCGGTGCTAACCAAGCACTATGGAGAGGCCAGCGCATTTCGGCCTACCGATCCGCGGCCCAAGTAAAGCTCCTGGGCTCAAGATATCGATGTGAAGTTGATGAGTTTCCTATGGGTAACCTGGCGGAATCGGGGAATAAGGCCCCGCAAGCTTGCCGTCTCGTTAACGGTCCTGCGAATGGGAATCAGGGAAATGATTTTAAGATGTGGAAATGGGCGCAGTGGCAACCTTGCTCGGCGTACCGCTCTACTGTGTGTAAAATTAGTGACGATGGGCCGCCTGCAACCTGGTATGTAAAACCGAATCTTCCTTCATGAGAGTATATCTGATCTTGAAACAGGGCGTTTGGACCACTGGCCGCGGGTCGCGGTAGTGGCAGTGGAAAACACTTCATCGATGCTTATGGTTTTGACGATCAAACAGCCGGCTCGTCTTGCTGGGCTACATACACTTATACTGATTCGCCTGGAGTTATCAGCACCTCCACGGTTGTTGACCATGGCTTTCGCGTTCTCGACGATGATCCGTATGTGTTCCTCTTCCAACCTGACTATGTATTCAAAGTATAGCTGACAAGGCGGTGTTAATAAGCATGTACGGTAACGCCTATGGATGGCCTCGACAGTCCTGGCGCGTCAATCCAGCCCCGATCGCGAGCCAGCAATACCGGCCTTATGACTCGCAACCGTCCGTTTTCCAGCGAAGAGACCTTCTCGGCAACGGCACATGGTCTGAGGAAGATAGCGACCCCGCTGGCGTCTGCCACGCAGACCTCAGATTACTTGGCAATGGCAAAGAGGATGTCTATCCTGACCTTGATTATGATAATCTCCTCTTTGTCGATCTGGAAGGCAACCCTGTCGACGGTCGGACATGTAATGTCATCTACGAAGATGATGACCCGCACTCCGAACTGCGTCTCATACTGAACGAGGAGGGGCATGTTGTGGACATGTATATGGGTGACGCAGAGGCTGGTTCGTGGACAAGAGAGGCGCTCAAAGGTTCCAAGTCGGACACAGTGACTGTTGATCCCACCACCGTCACTGTAACGACGGGTGTTGCGGCGGGCAGTGAGTCTCGGCCCACGTTCCCTGCCAGTACGATTGGCGTGCAGACGGGATCGGGAACTTTAGTGACACCGGCGCCGTATGTGTACGGTCTTTGACAGCATCGAACATGCACATGTGTCAATGATGAACGAAACTTTGGAAGCTATGGGGTTAGAATTATATCATTTGATAGTATGACAGGCTCTTGGCAGGGTTGGGAAATATCTGAAGAAAATGGAAGGGTCGAGACTAAATTTGTAAAAAAATCATACTTGGGTAGGGAATTGGCTAGTATCTTCAAATATGGCTGATTTCTTATGGTATTGCATATCCCTCCTCGACCCTGTGGTACATAGTACTCCATTTCCGCAAAATTGAGCTCAGAAATCCTCTCCGGATGGTAGGCAGAATGGCACTGGAATATCTACCATGTGGGTGGAATATAATAATCCTCCCAGTGGTCGGACTCAGCATCTTTGAAGGTATCAATTGTACCTTCTACTCCATTCGCTCCAACAGACCAAACGCCTTTTTCAATCAGCTTACGCCAACAACCTAATAAACGCTCCAGGCGCTGGGGGCGGTAGTAGTCACCACCAAAAGGCTTATAACCATGCTGAAAGAGCTCTGAAAAGCGTCCCCTGTCAACAAGGGACCCATCGCTTTTCCGTGCGCCCACGGTCTTATCCCGATCATCATTAAAGGTGAACGGAAGTAACAGCCGAAATCCCTCCTCCGCCACGTCAAGGCCGTTTCTCTCCACTGCCTCGGTATACAGGCCTGCAGAGACACGGGATGGTGTACATGTTTCGCTGGATGTGGAATAGAAGTCTGACTGTAAAAATGGAGATGTTGTTCTTGTAAGCTGGATAGGACGTTGATCGCCTATGTCAGCCGGGAAAAGACACACTGGCGGTATAGTGTACTCAGAGCGGGGTAATATACTGAATGGCTGCGCTGCCATAAATCCAGCTAAGTCAGCTGGGGGTAAAAGAAGGCCAGGAGCGATGTAGCGGAACTGAGGCCGCCTTGCGCGTATCAGAAACGAATACGCAAAGGAAGGATTAGGCACCGAAGCAGCATCTAGGACACTTGATATGACCAGCGGCTCTGAATTATCCGCATCAGTCCCGGTTAGTAGTGGGTTTGACGGCTGCGAAACACGCGCCTCAATGGCCTGACACAGCCGATCCCACTCGGCAATACATGTGATAACCTGGGCGTCGCTATAAGGCCGCCACTCCCAGGGCCCAATCTTCTCGAAGTCGAACAAGGCTGGCTCTTCATGAGGCGAAGCCACAACTTTTCCAACATGAATAAGGTCGATCCAGTTGGTGAGTAGTGTCTCTAACGGGTTCCAAACGTGTTTACTACCCTCCACTGGAAACCCAATGTCATATTCATCAAGATGCATGAAGCTCGCGACTCGGTGGAGGCCTTGGTGGTAGATAATACCGCCATCACTATCCACAGCCGATAAGCCCCCTTCGACGGCGTATAAGCGTACCAGGCTGTCAACGGGCTGATCTTGAAGATCGGCTACATCTTCCTCGAAAAGCCTTGATGGCCCATCGATACCCCATGCAAAAACCGAGAATGGGAGATATTCGTGAGGGTTATCAAAATGAAAAGGGGACATGATAGCGGTGTCAAAGAATGCCACCAGTGACGGATGGAGCCTTGCACGACAAGCCTCGGCTTCATCTTCATCACCGGAGCCCGTGAAAAAGTTATTGTTGGCATCCAGAGTTTCCAGTGGGCGGCCTTCAGCGAGCCAGGCATATTGGATCAGGTAGTTATGTAGAGCTGCACATCGTGTGTAGTCCATTCCTTCAAGATCATCTCGTGGAGGGTTATCTGGCCTGACAAGCAGGCTGGTGATATCCGGAAGTTGAGAAAAATCCATTGAAATAAAAATGGAGTGTTTGTCAAATGGGTACAACTGGAGGCCCGAGGGGAATGGATCCCATAAAGTACTAAGCCCCGCAAAGGCCTAGTCTGAAAGCGGTAGGTGGGCGGTCAAGACAGGTAACAAATTAGCCATTGTTTCCAACCGTCTCTCTGCCTTTAAACGCGTTGCTAAGTTAAATCAATTATTCCTCCTCTCTTGGGCTTACCTGTAGGAGAGGTCTATACGTACCTTAGGTGTGTTCCGCAATCGTACCGTTGCCCAAGTCCTCCAGGCCTTACACGGGCTCGGATCTTTAGGCGTACATTTGAAGATCATCCTGGTCACATTGTGGTCAATTTCAGAGTAATTTTACGGGTCAGAGGATCACTTTTCTTGTTGTAGTAGTCAACAGCAAACACACTCAGTGAGCGTTCAGTGGGCCTTACATAGTGGTCACGTGGCTATGTTGTGTAGCTCACTGAGCCCGGGCTGAGATTTACTCAGCGCTTGAGTAAGCCTGAGTCTGAGCGCCCTCGTAAACATTGAAAGCGGCGGCAGCCAAGATAGGAAAGCCACCCGTCGTGGAAAAACACTACTAACTAGTAGTAGTCACCTAGTAGCTTCCCCCGTAGACATCCTAATGTTAGGACTGAACTGTAAACTCCAATCAATCTCCAGGCTGAAGCTCAGAAAGAAGGATCAATTCAACATTTGAAATGTTCACGAATGTATCCCACGCATCAATCAATTGCTCGTGTTTGTTGGGGTTTTTATTTCAATCAATCAATTGATGCGGTGGATATATATTGCGGACATACATGCCCTCCAGATATCCAGAAATACACATGTGCATATAATGTTCTAACACCCAATGGTACATATACATACATTGATTCAAATGTTCGAATGTTCAATGTTCAATTTGAAATTTGAAATTTGAAATTTTTGGCTGAGCCTCAAGGTTAGAGTATGTACACCCGAGGTTCCAAATTAGTTATCAATTCAATTCTCCTTCAAAGGTGATACCTGCAGTTTGATCTTATCGATGGATGATGCATGGACCGATCATCGCGATGTGGATCCAAGGGTTGAACCCCCTAATCGGGTCAGTGGCATTCTGCCCTGCAACATTGAACAACACTGTAAACATTTGAAACATTGAAGTTCCAGCAATTGATTAACTTAATTAATCGAAGATCTCTGACTCCCCCTCAGTGGCCCAGATTACTACCAGGATTAATTCAGAATGCATAAATTGACCATCAATTGGCATCCGTGACCAAATTTTAAGTAGTGTTGACTAGTACTTAAACAATGTGTGGGTAGTAACATCACAAAATCGCCACAAAATGTGATGCGCCACACAAGAACCAAGGAGATATACCGGATAACACATTAGATCCAATCGAAGATAACAATGGTGAATGAGGGGCTCTCAATCGGAAAGTAAACATATCAATTGCGATAGATTCCACCGTTGACGTAGCAGAGAACAATGTGGACATCGACACGCCCCATAAAATATGACGGTGGTGGCAGATGAAAGCCTCAATTATGGAAGATGATCATCTCTCCAAGCCCAATCCTGCACTACGGATCTGATTGATCTCCCCCACATTCCCTCCAAGGTTTGATCTCATACCGGCCATCACCCCGGCACCATGGTTTATTTGCCCAATACTACCATCAGCTTGAATGGAATGTGAGCCCCCCCCACCAAAGATCGAAGATATAATGCCCAACCATGACCCTGATCAGGTCTTAGCAAACTTGCAACTCCCTATTTACCTAAATTATCCCGCATCTCAAAAAGTGCTTCGCTTTCAGCCCTACGCTTTAATACAATAATACCCTCCAAATCAACATGAAGCTTTCTATCTTCGTTCCTCTGGCTACATTCCTTGCCTTCTTCGCCGTCGCCGAAAAAACAGACGAAACCGCTAGTTTGTGTCTTGTGAGCGCACCATGATAACATTAAAGACAAACATCAAGACTGCTTTTGCTAATGGATCCTGTTTTATCAGAACCAATGTCTGAATGAAGCCGCTTTGGTGGCTGGTTGCACATCCCAATGGGACCATGACTGTACCTGCCCGAGTAAAGCGTTCAAGGATACCCTGGGGACTTGCGTGACAGATATTTGCACATCGGCAGACTTGGAAGGTATGTTCTTGTTAGGAATGTTCAAATGAAGTTGACAGGAGCTGACGTAATGGTGATTGATAGAGGCGAAGAAATTACATGAAGAGCGTTGCTCAGATAGCAAAGATTCTGGCGACGACGCTTAAGTGGGGACATGCTCAAAATAATCCTTAATTTCTAATGATATATGTTTCATAATACGAGTTTCTTATGATTCAAATGATGGTTTCTCTTGTAGAGATAAGAACTTGAAGTTGTTTAGTCTAGGCCACAAGATTGGTTAGATCTTAGATAGAGGCCTTGCGTGAAACTTGTCCTTACTGTAGCTTGAGAAAACCTCTGGCATGGTGGGCCGGCCGTAAAGAACATCGATCGAGGCCCCGAAGGGCCTAGACGCTGTTGCTCAGTGTCCAGCACTTGAGAGTTTTAACAATCAGGCTAACAGTCGTGCTGATCTGTTGGTGGGTCGTATCATTTCGTAGAGCAGAGTGAGCGGCAATTTGGGGAAAGGTTACAAGCAAGCTACGAAATATTACGATGAAAGACAAGAAAAATGAAGTAGACCCATGGAAAAACTCCATTGCGATTTGCACGAGACACAAGATATCAAGCTAGGTGGACAGGAACAACAGGAAGAAGGTTAAAAGGTCGGGAAATAATTTTTTTCGTTCTTGAATTCGTATTCTGAATCAACCCAAAACCATCTAAGCCTCCTGAGCCTGGTTCTCGTAGGCCTCGGGGAAGCGGCGCATGTTCTGCTCGATCTTTCCGTGACCAGTGAGGAACTGGACGTAAGCACCGTCCTGCTTGAGCTTACCCTCGTTGCGCATCTGGACGTAGTCCTCGCGGCGAACGGGAGTGAAACCCCAGTTCTTGGAGACAATGATCTTTTGGCGACCGGGGAACTTGTACATGGAACGGCGGAGGGCCTCGATAGCGGCGGCCTGGTTGGCGTCACGGGTGCGGACGGACAGGATAACCTGGCCAATGTTCACACGGGCGACAACACCCTGGGGCTTACCGAAAGCACCACGCATACCAGTCTGCAGACGATCGGCACCAGCGCAAGACAACATCTTGTTGATACGGACGACGTGGAAGGGGTGGACACGGACGCGCAGGTGGAAACCTTCCTTACCAGCGATCTTGACGAGGTACCTAGAAAGGTGGAATTGTTAGAATCTGACGGGTCGAGAGAAAAAGTAGAAAAGGCGGATCGTCAGTCGGACGTTGCGGGGATAGACGTACTTGTTGGCACAAATACGGGCGGCCTCGAGAGCCTCGGAGGACAGCTGCTCGTACTCGTTGGAGACAAGGTGGACACAGGTAGGGAAGTCGTCCACGTTGGCCTTCTTACGACCAAGATCGAAGATACGAATCTTAGGGTCGGGAACACCACGGTTGAACCGGGACTTAGGGTAGGGCTGTATGGCGGAGAGAAGCAGGTTAGCGATCGAACTTGTCAAGTCGTTCTTGAACTTCATGTGCCCATATTCCATCTTCCATCAAATCTGTAAAAAGATTTTCCCTCCCTCCCAGTAGGCGTAAAATCCCAGGGAACCTGAAGCTGGCCACCAAAATGTCGAGGTCGTGTTTCATTATCCGATGCGATCATGGTGCCTTCAGTATTCCCCTCCAACATTCCCCCACAACCGAGCTTCCGCACACAAAATTCAAGAGATCGAAATTCGGCAACGCACCTTGTTCTTGCAGTAACGGTAACATCTCGCGGGACGACGGGCCATTTTGAATGCTGGAAATTAGGCGGAGCACTTCCTGCGAACTGGGGATTGTTGAGTGTCGGTGGTGTCGAGGGGCCGAAGGGGAAAAGAAGAAAGTGCTCGGCGGGTCACGGGATTGTTTGATTTCCAAGCACCGCTGTGGCAAGGAGCCCTAAGCCCTAGTAGCGGACCAATCACACAACTCTCCGAGGGATCCACCTTTATGCTTCTCTTACAATTTGATTACTTAGCATTACGGGCAGCTCTCTCTCCAGTGGTACGATAGGTCCGATAACTGGTTTTACAGGGTTAAAAGTACGGCTTTGAAATCAAAGAAAGTTAAAAAAGAGTCACGTCAACTGGCTCAGTAAATGCCTGATTTGCCTTTTTAGGTCAAGGGAGTCATAATCGATAAAAATCATGCTTCGTAAGCGCCGTGGAATCCTCCAGTTAAGTGGTCACTGCACATACTCCAAACCAAACATCTACTATCACCAGTTGCCCCAAGTCAACCCATTTACTGGGTGCCAGTAAGAATATCCGAATCACCAGCATCAAGGATAGCCATGGTCGAGCAACGGAAGAGCTTACCACAGGCAGTGCCCAGCTCAATCTGACGAAGCCGTTAGAGGGGTCGCTATAAACAAAAGACCATTCATTCTTTCAAAAGGGGTCTAAACTTACGTTGTTACCCGAGAAGTGGTGGACGGGAGTCTTGGCCAGCATGGCGTAGTACTCAAGCTCACTCTTGCGCAGAGGAGGAGTGTTGGCAGCGATAATGACCAACTTAGCCTTACCAGAGCGCAAAGTCTTCATGCAAGAAGTAGCACCCAGGGTGACTTTACCGGACTTCATCACCAAGGCGAGCTTGGAGTTGACCTGGATCGATTGTAAGTTTTTTATACACATAGTTTATCACTATTAAAATGCGGAGAATGGAATCATTGTAGCATTGGGGACTCACATTGTCCGATCCTTTCTTAGACTTGGGGGCCATCGTTGCGCTTGAAGTTCCTTTACGGGCTTCAAAAAGAGAGAGAGAAGGGGGATTGAGGATGCGCTCCGGCGTGATCGTTGATGAAGAACATGACTCGATTAGATTGAAGCCAATCAATATGTACACTTCGGGCGTTCGATTACTCCGAGCCGGCGGTGAGTCTCAAATATCACGTGCACGGTCGCAACCTAGGAAACCGGAGTGTTTTCTACTGCAGACGGAGAACAGACGGATTAAGCCAAGATTCACACCCGAGGCTCTAAGGTGTCTGTTTCACCCTTTTTCATCTTGTAATCTCCGTTTCGTAATACATTACACTTTAGTACATCTTTAGTACATTTTTGCAGCCCAAAGACCCTTTTGTTGACTTGGATGTTATCATCCTGGATATAATTTGTAGCTATCATACATTTTTCTCTCTTTGTGCTTTCTCCTAGGCCACACAATTGCATCATATTCACTGTCTCTTCCTGCCCTCATATCATACACAGCCCCCAATATACCTACTTTGGTAGTTATTACGTTGGTATTTTTAGATACTAGAGTTTAAGGAGTCCACCCGCATTCCTACCTAAAAAAAAAAAAAAAAGTTCAAGGCCTACATACTGCAATCGGCCCTTTCATTGCTCTGCTATCGACACATTCCAGTCTGCGCTCAGACAGAGCTGTCTTCGGTGCTTCTTTGGCTTCTATCAGCCATGTGGCAGGCAATCAACCTCTGACAGTTTTACATTCCTCGTTCCATACAATCCATACAATCCATACAACCAACTCATCTCCACCAGATCCACCCGTTTTGACCGCTCCCCATCTTACACAACCCTTTACACCCATTCTGACCAAACCAACCGTTGATTTCGGTCGATTTGGCTGCCAAAACCCTTTGTTTCTTTATATAAATTGCCTAGTCCTTCTGGGTCCTGGCTCCCTGCACGATGTCAGCAACGCCTCGAAAGCCTGGAACCCCCGGCAGTTCCAGCAAATCATCGCCCGCAGATCCGCACCCAGCCAACGGGTCCACCACACGAGGACATGCACGCTCACCCAGCGCTGCGACTAATGGCCTCAACCGCTCCCCTTCCTTAAGAAACTCAACCCCTGTTTCTGCCCGTGCCGCTGCAAGAAGACCCGGCAGCCGATCCAATCTGAGCATGTCCAACGTCCCGAGGATTTCCAACGACCCTTCCGAGGAGGAGGCGCGAGCCCAAAATGCGGCCCTCATCGAGGAACTGCGGGAGCAACTCCAGAAAGCTGAGACGGCATCCGAACAATATCAGAAACAACTTGGTGTTCTGCAAATGCGCTTGGACGAAGCGATCACCGAACAGAGCAAGCTGGAAGACCAAGCCCACGAGCGAGACACTCGGATCGAAACTCTGAGTAATGAGATCCGGGACCAAGGTCGTCAAATCCGGGATCTAGAACAGAATCACGAACAAGAACGGAATGCGATGCTACAGGAGAAGGAGCAACAAACCAACCGGGAGGAAGAGTTGCAGGCCACTATCCAGCGTCTGAAGGAAACAGTGGCGCAGAAAGAGATGCGCATCAATGCTGAAGGTGATCGCCACCACGTTTCACGATCCTGTAAGATTGGATATTTCCGACATTTTCAGAATCCAAAGACTAATAAATCATATAGCAAGTTTCCGTAACCGAGCCTCGCCAGATTTGGATGCCCAATTCGCCCCCTCCTCGCAACTCGAGCGCAGCCCCTCCCGTAACAATTCCAACCTTCTCCTCCAGAAAGATAAGTTGATTGAATCATTGCGCCTAGAATTGGCCGAGTCACAGATCAAGCTTGTGGAGATGGAGAACCAAGGTGGGGGCCAACAGCGTGAGTTGGAGAAGGAGCTTTTGGAGGCTCGAATGGCTAACGCACGTCTTATGGAAGACAACGAAAGCTACCAACTTCTCCTTAGTGAGAAGACCCTTACTGGCGATTTCACCAAGGGCGACTTCATGCGGGATGTACACCCCGGAAAGAGTTCCAGCGGTGGACTAGGCTCATTGGCTGATGAGCTCGAATCCGTGGATGAAGAAACAGCCGAAGGAGATCCGAATCACAAGGCTGACGGAGAGGTCAAACAACTCAAAGACCAAAACAAAGCCCTGACGCTTTATATCGAGCGTATCATTAGCCGCGTCCTACAGCATGACGGCTTTGAGCATGTCCTCGATCGGAACGATGACGATGAAAGCAAGACCGATAAACCAGCAGGCAGTGAAAAGGACTTGCCTCCAACACCCCCTGAGAAGGATGAGCAAACAGCTCAGACTCTTTTGCAGCGGGCTAAGTCTGTGGTCTCGGGCCAAAGCCCTCGCTCTCAGCCCCAGCCCCAACCCCGATCTCGTCCAACCAGCATGATGCCCCCACCTTCCATCCCACACACCAATGCAAACGAGAACCCCGATACCGCCCCCAGTATTCCACTCCGCGCTGGCTCCGTGAGATTGGGTCATCGTCGTGCCCGGTCCGAGCAGGTCGACCCCAATGCCGCTTCTGTTGTGGGTCAGATGTACCGTGGACGAAACTCCGGTGGTCCAATGAGTCCTACGTCCATGGGGCCTGGGTCCCGCCAGAGTATGTTCTCAGGCGCCCCTAGCTACGTATCTAGCATGAGCCGTGCCCCATCTATGTCCAGTCAACCAGACCGTGCCGGACGTAGTAGCTCCCCTAGTGTCTTGAGCGATGCGTTCGGAGATACTACATCCTCAACGGGAGCAACTTCCAGCCCCCCTCGTTCCAGCAGCGGCATGACCAACTATACCGGTGCTGTCATGACGCAGAATAAGCTGCGACCCCTACGTCTTGTGAGCGATGCAGCCAAACTCGAAGAAGAGGAGGCTGCGCGCAAGAGGGCGAACCGCGCGAGCTGGATTCCGTGGTTTAACAAAGCCAACCCAGAGGAGCAGACTCAACTTTAATTGACATGTGTTTTGCTGCTGGAACTCGATGATTTGATGCGATATTGGACCTGTCTTTACCATATTTATCATACCCCTTTTGTGATGCGACCCATGTCATGGATGGTCAAGATACCGAGTGTGATCTCTTGCATAATTTGAACTTGTTTGTTTTTTGTACGATTGATGACCGACATACCTTAGGGAAAAGAAGAGGAGGAATGGCCAGCTAGGCATGGATTTAAAGTAGATGTGTTGAGCTTTTCTCAGTACCTAAGATCACACTTTGAATTGTACTTTGTTTGTCAGTAGTACTTATTACTAGTATAGATCAATGTTCCGATACATATACACATTGCATCTCTTAGGCACAAGAATCAAGATGAAAGCTTCATTAGAGAGAAACAAGTATGCACATTCAAAAAACCCATGTAGCCCTTGAAACGATAATCTCGCCTGGACTGCATTTTATCGATAAATTGAAACAAATCATGTTGAATTGGGTGGTTTTCTGTACTTTGTTAAACTAGTAGATACTCGCGGAAGAACTTTAATGCGTCTCCGCCTGCGGCCAGGTTGTGGCTCCTCCACGCATCAACAAGCACATCTCCCACATATTGCACCTTTCAAGAACTCAAAAGAAACCGACAAAATGCCAGGTCCCTTGTCACTTTTCTCCGTCAATGCGGTCCTCGTCATGTCCGCTGACGACGGGTCTCGGATTTTCACCAAATACTACTCCGCACCTCACCCTCCCGCTGGTGCAGCACCCAACTCCACCAATTACCCCGGTGCGAACCCTTACCCCACGCTCAAGGAGCAGCGGGCATTTGAGAAGGGTCTCCTAGAGAAGACAAACAAGTCCACCAGTGATGTGATTCTTTACGACAACCGGATCGTGGTGTTCAAGATGGAGAGCGACGTGATGCTCTACGTGGTGGGCAGTGCCGATGAGAACGAGGTTCTGCTTTACAACGTGGTTTTGTCGCTTCGCGATGCCTTGGGAATCCTGTTCAAGTGAGTTTGATTCTGAAAATTGGAGCGTGACTACCCACTCGTGGACTATAGAGCTAATAAAGTCTTGAACAGGGGTGCCACCGACAAGCGTACCATTGTCGAGAACTACGACCTTGTTTCCCTTGCCATTGATGAGATAATCGACGACGGTATTATTCTCGAGACCGACCCTGTCATGGTTGCTTCGCGAGTGAGCCGTGCCCCAGCTGCCGATGCGCCGAACATGAAGAGCATCGACCTTACGGAACAAGGTTTGATGAACGCGTGGGAGTTCGGCAAGCGCCGTCTGGCCGAGGGTTTGCGTCAGATGTAGATGACGGAGCGATAACTTTTCATTTTCAAATATCTTTCTTCTGGGTTGTAAGGTACAGGTGGAGAATTGTCCAAAACTGCCCGGCCTTCCCCCTCTTTACCTTTTTTGTTTCTCCTGGCTGGCCCTGGCGTGATACGGTTTCTTTTACTTACTGTTGGTCCTCGTCTGTTCTTGGGATGACGGGGGACACCATAGATCTTTTGCATGTTTTTTATTATTATTTTTATCTGATCTGCATCCTGCAAAAGCAAGCCTCATTCTGTCGCGTGTGATCTCAGCCGTTATGGCATGAGCTAATATTTCCAATGGCTGAAAGCGCTGATGACTGCAATGAAAAAGACAATTACAACAATAAAGAAATGAAGAAACCAAGTAGGAGTTGCTTGAATAGAAGCACATAAGCCAAAAACACGAGTATATAGACCTTCGTTATCTCCGTAGAAAGCTATCGAAGTGGGTGGCTTTGCCTATTATAGAGCCCGACTTCTGGGTCATGCCCCGCATACGTCACGGCCGAAAATTCCTTTCCTTCTCCAACTCCCTATAGCCACGATGAAGCAAAGATTCTCGTCGCTAGACGTCAAGGTAAATGGCTAAATCTGCCTTTGAAGACCAACATATCGCTAATTTGTCTTCAGGTCATTACCCAGGAGCTGGCGTCGGAGCTGGTCAGCCTTCGTGTGTCAAACATCTACGACCTGTCTTCGGTACGTTCAAGCCCTTTTATTATGGAAATATTCCTACAGAGCGAAGCGCTTACAAGAATATTTGAGTAATTAGCGCATCTTTCTCTTCAAATTTGCCAAACCGGACCACCGCCGTCAACTCATCGTCGACTCTGGCTTCCGCACACATGTCACACATTACTCCCGCACAGCAGCCACCACCCCTTCGCCCTTCGTAACACGATTGCGCAAGTTCCTGAAATCGCGTCGCGTTACAAGTGTCACACAGATTGGCACAGACCGAGTCATTGATATTTCCTTCAGCGATGGCGCATACCACATGTTTCTCGAATTCTTCGCAGGCGGTAACATCATCGTGACAGATCGTGAACACACCATTATCTCGTTGTTCCGACAGGTCAATGCAGCCGAGGGAGAAGAAGCGAAACTTGGAATACAATACAATGTTACCAACAAGCAGAATTATGCCGGGATTCCGGACATCACGCCGAGTCGGATCACGGAGACAATAGAGAAGGCGCAAGCATTGTTTGCCCAGGATGCCAATGCTCCCAAGAAGAAGACGAAGAAGAATACCGATATGCTGCGGAAGGCTCTTTCTCAGGGATTCCCAGAATTTCCACCGCTACTACTGGATCATGCTTTTGCGGTTGTCGGACTTGATGCGGCGACCCCGCTTGACCAGGCTCTTGCCAGTCCAGATATACTGCAGAAGGTGCGAGAAGTCTTGGATGAAGCTGAAAGGATCTCCAAGAGCTTCGACGTTGGTGAGAGCCATGCAGGTTATATTGTCGCGAAAGAGGATACACAGGTATCATCAACCCAAACGGATGGTGAAAGTGAGTCGAAGACTCCAGGACTATTGTATGAGGATTTTCACCCGTTCAAGCCGCGACAGTTTGCGGATAAACCGGGTGTGAAGATCTTGGAATTTGAGCGTTTCAATGCGACCGTTGACGAGTATTTCTCGTCCTTAGAATCACAGCGCCTCGAGTCGCGGTTAACCGAGCGAGAGCAGGCGGCCAAGCGCAAGCTAGATGCTGTTCGTGATGAGCACCGGAAACGTATCGATGCTTTGAAAGATGCCCAGGAGCTTCATATTCGTAAGGCTGCCGCCATTGAAGACAATGTCTATCGCGTCCAAGAAGCGATGGATGCTGTGAATGGCTTGGTGGCCCAAGGAATGGACTGGGGCGAGATTGCGCGTTTGATTGAGATGGAACAGAGCCGAGGAAACCCAGTTGCTCAGATCATCAAGTTGCCTCTAAAGCTGTACGAGAACACCGTTACTCTATTGCTAGGCGAAGGCGACGAGGAGGAAGAAGATGAGGATCTTGAATCGAGTGACGAATCCGAATCCGATTCTGACTCGGAAGCGGAAGAAAAGGAAGATCAAAAGCGAACTGATGTTGCCTCGAAGATGCTCTCGATTGATATTGATCTTGGCCTTACCCCTTGGGCAAACGCTAAACAATACTATGAGCAAAAGAAGCAAGCTTCGGAGAAGCAGCAGAGAACCGTCCAATCTTCCACGAAGGCGCTTAAGAGTCACGAAAAGAAGGTTACAGCCGACCTCAAAAAGAACCTGAAGCAGGAGAAACAAGTTCTGCGACAGGCTCGCGAGCCATTCTGGTTCGAGAAGTTTGTCTTTTTCATCTCGTCCGAAGGCTACCTTGTTCTTGGGTATGTTGTTTTTGTCTCTCTAATACACAGGTTCGTTCAAGTTGCTAACAAATCGGGTAGGGCTCGAGATGCCATGCAGAGTGAGATGCTTTACCGGCGGTATCTGAAGAAGGGTGATATCTTCATCCATGCTGACCTTGATGGCGCACTCCCCCTTGTGGTTAAGAACCGGTCCGGCGATTCAAATGCTCCTATTTCCCCCAGCACACTTTCCCAGGCAGGCAACCTATGTGTTGCATCTTCGATAGCATGGGACTCAAAGGCTGTTATGTCTGCTTATTGGGCGCACGCACACCAAGTCTCAAAGACATCCCAGACTGGTGGTGGAATGTTGCCTACGGGTGCTTTTGAGATTAAGGGTGAGAAGAACTTCTTGGCCCCCTCGCAGCTCGTGCTTGGGTTTTCCATCTTGTTCCAGATAAGCAAGGAGAGTTTGAAAAACCACAAGATCCACTTCGATGCTGCCGACACCCCGGCTACAGTTACTGCTACGGCTACGGAAACGGAAACACAGGAATCTCAAGAAGATGCCGAAAAAGAGGAAGACCGAACAGAGATCCAAGAGGACGCAGAGAAGCAAGAAAACGTCTCCGAAGACGAGGAGGAGGACGATAACGATGCCGAGGGAGCTGCCGCAAACCCTCTTCAGCGTGGTGACTCCGAGCTTCCTCCCACCAATGCAGAGCAGTCTGAACCTGAAGCCGAATCAGCTTCCGAGGATGAGGAACTGGAGGCTGAAGTCAAGGCCGAGGTCGACCAGGATCTGAACACCGAGGACGCAGAAGAGGCAGAGCAGCCAGAAGAAGAAACCGCTTCCAATATTCAAGAGGCTGCTCCTACAGAGCAAGAAGACCAAAAACTTTCAGCCCGAGAACGTCGTACCTTGCGACAGGGTAAGCCTATCGATCGACCCGGCCAAGCTGAACCCGCACCAGTCCGTACTGCGCCGACTCGCGCCAAGCGGGCCAAGGAGAAGCGCGCGGCGGCAAAATATGCCCACCAGGACGATGATGAACGCGAACTAGCTCTCCGTCTTCTTGGAGCTGGCAAGGGAAAGACTGCCAAGGCAGCTCAAGCTGCCGAAGCCAAAGCCCAGCGTGAACGAGAACTCGAGGCCCAAACACAACGACGACGAGCACAGCACGAACGCGCCGCTGCCGCCGAGCAAAAGCGGCAAGCCCAGTTCGCCGAGGGTGGTGATGATTACAACGAAGATACTGCTGCCGCTGAAGCTGCGGACTTGAGCTGGCTCCCGGCTTTGGTCGGCAACCCAACACCAGATGATGAAATCCTGGCTGCTATTCCAGTTTGTGCACCATGGGGCGCTCTGGGCAAGTACAAGTACAAGGTTAAACTTCAGCCTGGTGCCGTGAAGAAGGGCAAGGCTGTGAAGGAGATCATTGGCCGTTGGGTATCTGAAACCACAACCGGCAAGGTCAAGAAAGACCATGCTGAGGATGTGGGAATTTCACGTGCTGATGCGGAGCGTCTTCGGTCCAGAGAGGGTGAACTGATTAAGGGATGGAAAGATAGTGAGGTCATCAACTCTATGCCTGTAGGCAAAGTTCGTATCATGACTGCTGGCACCGGCGGCGGCGGCGGCGGTGGTGATAAGGGCAAGGGCAAAGGAGGCGGCGGTAAAGGGGGTGGAAAGGGTGGCAAAGGTGGAAAGAAGAAGTAAATACCAGTATTGTCATAGATTTTTACCTTGTGAATACTAGATATCGCGATATGGATATCCAAACGCATTCACATGCGCACACCGCCGCGATTGGAACATTCGAACATACTTCCATTTTAGTCCCAAATGCTCCATTTTTCAAAGCTTCCTAGGCATTGATACCCAACTGGCAAGGTCCTTGGAAATAAGTCCCTGGGTCCACGGGTGTAAGTCCCTTTCTGTAGTAAGTGCTAAAAATCCGTATAACATCACCAAAGAGCTTAATTCTGTTTCGTCAAGAGGCCTAAGAAGGTCTCAATTAGTTGCGGTCAGCTTTCAATCGATCGGTAAGACCATCTTGATGCATCTTGCCTTATTTGGAAGTGGACTCTAGATGAATCGGGAGTAAAGGTGCCAATGGCATAGAGTGGCCATGAAATGTTACACAGAAGGTCTATCTTTTGCCTCTCCCAGCTTTCCAATGCCCGATCACGCTATCTGGATCTTCAACACGATTAACTGAATTCGGGAAAAAATGGTTCCTGTTCAATTCATGCTTGATCTAAAGTATAATCTTTCCTAATAGCATCAATCAAGAATGCAGATCGAAGATCTGTTCGTTCTTAGATGTGCTAGACAGATCTACTTGGTTTCCTTTTGGGGCCGAACGCGTTGTAGATAGGGCCCACCGGGGCACCAGTGACTAGGAACAGGAGAGTAAACTTGAATCTAAACACACAGAACTTGGCCAAAAAGACGAGCTGGTGATAATGATATTTTCAAGGGTAATACTTAAGAGTAGGACTTCCCAACCATGAACATGATATCTACACCCTTTCCAATCAAACCAAGTCTATCTACACGCGCGCAATATGGCACGACTTGATCTAACCGTTCTCACCATGTCTCAGAGATTTGATCTCGTTCCATTGCTATACCCTCTTATTGCATATTCCTCCATCATCGTCTATCACACAAGATGGCAGGTGCGAATGTACAGCATGAAATTCTCCAAGAACAAAGCTTTTCTCTTACTACACATTGCCACCGGCCTCATGGAAGTAGCTCGATTCCATATCTCCAAAGCCCGACTTGGCCATGATAAAATCCTTCCTGAGCCGCTAGACGTTTTGTCTTGCGTTATATGGGGTTGTACTAGTCTGGCTCTCGTGAAGACGCTTCGTCGTGGCGATCCCCTCACGACTCGACCCCCTTACCAAGCTGGTGCGGTCCTGCGCCCGGTCATGTCCATCGCATCGTACCTACTCCAGATTCCCGACCTGCACAGAGTGTCTATCTGTGCACTCGACAGTTTCCTCTACGCACGACTTGCAATTTTCTTCTTCGTTTATACCCCGTACCTACGTGGATACTCGTACAGCACAATCTACTCGCTTTCCATTCCATTGGCCGCTGCTCTCAGCATTCACGAGAGCCGTGTTCCCGGTGCATCACTGCTGTTTATTCTTGCGGCGGCGTATATTGCAAAGTTGAATGAATGGGTGACGAATAGATCGAGAGTTTTGCAGAAGTAAGTTGTTCACTCAGCTATTTAGGTGGACATATCTAACTTCTTGACACAGACACGAAGCTCGGACATATGTGGATTCGGTCGAAAAGTGCGTACTTGAAGGATTGCTTTATCTTGGGTTCGCCGAGCTAGACAGGCTAAGAGAGGTTTCTGAAAGCAAAGCTTTGATGAAGTCTCTTGATGACGAGTATGTCCCTGAGGGAGAACGTGTCAAGGCCTAATTCGGGCTGGTACGGATGCAAATGAGAGGAAAAAGTACCACGCGTTATTTGCCACGACTCATCGATTGGCTTATAGTGCCAAGGGCTGCATCTCGCTATGGAGATTAAGTTTTGCAGGTCGTACCAGATGGCCAAAGATTGGAACGTGGGGGAAATAGATCACATAAGAAGCTCTCTAGATTATTTCTGACAAATGAATCATTCATGCCTGTTGATGTAGTGCATGTACACTGCAGCCACCAAGGTGAGCGAAGATGCCGATTCGTCAGCACTTCTCTCTCGATAAGCCACATTTTGTAGTCTTGACCTTGGAAAACCTGCAAGGCTTTGTTTTGTGTAACAGATTCCCCGAACTTGCTACCAAGTCTTTAGTAGGATCAAGGTTTTAAAATTTAGAAGATAAGTACACGTCTTGAGTCTTCTTATCTATCCTCCAAATTCAATAACCTTTGAATGTAAAAAACCTCTTGGACAGGCAAAACCGCTTGGGTGTTTCTTAAAATGTTACTAGTATTGCATAGCTTGACTCGGGCAGAATATGATCATGACCTCAGCTCTCAGCTTTATCCCACAATAGAACAAAAACTGAACATTGGAACATTGGAACACACCTGGGTATATTTGATATTTTATACAATATAACCTTCATCAGTACGTACCCAAGTATATACGACCATAGGGTGTGGAGAAGATACCTACCCGCTATTATGAGCTCAGTTCAACGCGATCCCAATGGAACAGTCAAAGAAACTTGTTTGGTAACTTGTCATGTGAGTCGTGACCTACGTACTCTCACTCTTCTCTGTGTAGATACTTCTTCCTTCTCTCTCTCTTCTTCTTCTTTCTTTCTTTACAGCCTCCAATACTACTGCATTGTGCTCGCCCTAGTTCCTTGTTCCTCGTTCGCAGACTCGTTCTTCGTTCTTCCAAAGCTCGCTCAAATGCTATTTATCTATCCCCAACCTGCCAAACCGCTGAACAGTACCGGCAATTTGCTCTGTGGTTGAACCCAGACACACTAACCGGGACCATAACAATACAGATCCCGAGAGCATACCCGGAGAGCCTCAACTGCACATACCGAGATCTGGTTTTCAAGTGATTGGAAACAATTCATCTGGCAAAATCGGTGCGGCGAGAGAACGACCCTTGACAAGCCGCAGATTACTATGACATCGGGCATAGCATACACTGTGGGCAAGGCTGATGGGGGGCTGTATAACAGCCAGGATGTTTTCCAGAACTCATTCTCAATTCTTGAAGTTAAACCTTTCGCCCTTTGCTCAACGGCAAATAAAAGTTCTACGCTCATGCAGATCTCCAATCTTGACTGGTTGAACTACCAGGATCTCCTTGAAGGCCAAATTATGAACGGGGCTCAGAGCAGGCTTATCAAATTGCATTTGAGAACATTGATAGAGACATCAATGAGGACCGTGTTTTGAAGACACAGATTGGCCAGCAAAAACTAAAGGCCATCTAATGGGCCTTTCGTCTTGACATCCAAACCAAACTGGGCTGGAATAGAGGAGCAGATCAGAGGGAAAGTCCATGTTGATCTATACGGCCCTCTTCCTACCAGTTGACATCGAATGGTCTGGCGCATCCGATACTTCTTTCTTTTATTTGCTTGTTGTGACTTTTTTTGCTTTTGTTACAAGGGTCCAGAGCAGTCAAATCAGAACAGTGCGATATTCGTCCTGTCTCCCTTATGAAGACCCTTCCAATCCTTATTTTTGACTTTTTTCCACACTGTAATAGTAATTGTTAGTCACTCAGAGTCTCAGACGGTGAGACCTGAGAAGGGACTTGAGGCAGATTAAGGCACCAATGCACCCCGATTAGGCTTAACTCATAATGTGACCCGTGTAACGTGTTAAGGTATCAATGCGTTCCTATTAGGCTTAGTGCGTCATGTGATCCATGCCCTTTTTTAGGCTAACTCCATTAAGGATGGCAGGCTCTTGGGCCCTCTTGGCATTCCAGAGTTCGGTCAGTGTACTAGCGCACGGTGCACCAATATGTCAGAAAATGATAATGGAGAAGCGAGGACGACGAATGTATAAGACCTAGAAATTCAATTGTCGTTGGGTTCATTAATTGATGATTGATGAAGCGAAGAAGTGGATGACGCTAAGCAATGAATAAAACTGAAACAGCACGGGGAATTATCATGTCCTATCCTCCATCCTCATTTCCAACCCCTGTTGAAAATTCCAACTTCGAAAGATCACATCCATCTCATATGTAGGTGGGATATCCGAGTTCGGCTGCACATCTTGAGCAAATTCAAAATCCACCAACGTAAGCAGTCTCCGTTCTCTACAGTATAAAATATTGTGCATTCCGGGATCATCCAAGCGCAACCTCACGTCTCGAAGAGTGTGAATTGCCCGGAGGCATTGCTGTCTGATGTACAGCCTTTCGTCTTCCGGTAGCGTGTGCCAAATCTTAGACAGTTGTTCACCGCTTCCGTTCTCAAGAACAATTGCGTATCCGGACGTAAAGACACTCGAGCAGATGATCTGGCCTCGCGCAATCCATCTTGCAAACAAGTCACTATTCGAAGTAGGCTGCGTATTTTGATCCCAAATGCGCTCATACACAGAGGCTTCTGTGTCGAACCTGTGGTAAATTAGCTAAATTCTATAAAATAGTCTAGGTTCACTCACAGTTCCTCTCCTAGTAGATCTTCTCCTAGTAGAGATTTCCAGCACTTCACAATAACTTGTGAACCATTTAGATCTGCAAGCCAAACTGCCTTGTTTGCGTTCGGCGAAGCAAGAAGGGTTATGCAATTCAACACAAGACAGGTAGATGCTCCAACGTCTAGGACGATAGTTGTTGGTGTAATTGACTGGATTACTCTAACGCAACCCGATGTGAACGAACTGACGAATGCGTGTTTCCAAGTTGGCCACTCAGCGGCGTAAGGGCACGGGCTAACTGGCTTTGAATGTGTTCCATCGTTAACTAGTCAACTATTTAGGTTAGCGATCTTGGTAGATAGATGAAATAATCAAACAGGGTTGAGATTCTTGAGAACATGCCTTGAACTTGAATGATTCAAAGTATCGCTACTAGTATGAGTAATGCATGTGATTGGCCAGGGAAAAAGTCGAGTTTGTTGCAAGTGCAATGAGTGGGGAAAAAAGGGTCAGGCTGCGGTGGCCGATAGAGGCCAAGGGTACTTTCCGACCGGCAGAAAGTAAATTACGAGTAATTCCAAACATTGAATTCATATTAGTTTTTGAACTCCATTATGTTCAGAGCTGTATTATATATTAAATCCTTCAATCCATTCTCAAGTCCCTTCTCAAGTCTATTCTCAAGTCTATTCTAAAAGTGACCCGTATTTAGATCAAATCACTTAAGATATTCCTATATATGATAAATGCAATACGGTGAAGTTAGAAATTGAAATTGGGATGTGACCCTTGGGTGGCCTCTATCAATTCGGCCGCCATACCTAGACTCACCCGGTCCCTAGTCGAGCAACCATGAAGCGGCGCTCACCCAATTCCCACTATTCTAATATAGGCACTACATATTCCCCTTCTGCTGGGTGATAAGTACATACGACCATAGGGTGTGGAGAACAGGGCTTCCCGTCCGCTCAGCCGTACTTAAGCCACACGCCGGTCAGTTAGTAGTATGGTGGGTGACCACATGCGAATCCTGACTGTTGTATGTTTTTGTTTTTCTAATTATTTTTTTTCTTCATGGAAACAATTCCCCTTCCAAGGCTGTTGTTTGAAGAGAGATGACGCACCTATGTGTTGGACGTCAGTTACACAGCATTTGTATTTAAGGCAGGTTGCTAGAAAAGGGAACCTTGGAAAACTTCTCCGCAAAGTTTCTACGATATCGGGCATGGATGCAGAGTAATGCCTCCAGGAAGAGAACTTTGGAATCTCTTTGCCATACTGTGTAACATTGAATTGAGTTTTTGGGCAATAATTCAAAAACAGATGTAATCTTTTTTTTTTTTCCACTTTCCGGTGCTCATAAGAATATCAAACCAGATCGGGAAAGAGGAGATTTATAATATGATCATTTCAAGAGAGAAGTGCCACGATTGAGTTTTTGCGAATTTCCATGTCTTAGTGTGGCGTTTAATAATTCTTCACTTGTTGATTGGGCTTTAGCACTAGTCATTGTATTGGCATTTTGTACGATAGATGAGATATTGTGGAAAGAACTGTGCTAGGATAAAGATTCATTGGAAAGAAAAAGCTTCAATTTCACGTCACAAAAGTGTTGGAGCAAATTGTAGTCTAGTAGTATTATCACGTTCTATATGTACCAACTTTAGCCGAAGCTCAAATAAAAACTGAAATCAAGATCAAGATGATCTGTAAACCCGAGAACTTCTGCAGGAAGTACGTAAATGCAGTCCAGGAGTTTGGACCCAAGTCTATCGAACACCTGCCACTGCGAATTTTGACCGAGAGCGAAGCTTAGCCCCGTAAAGGTATAAGTAAAGCATACCAATCTGTTTGAAATTAGCATGCGCGGGGTATAGCCAGAGAAAAAAGAAATGAGAAGAGGATTTTGACCGAATCGAAAGCTGGAGAAGAAAACGCACGAGGGAAGAATGCACTTACAATGCCCAAAACACTCAACCCAGCTAAAAGAGTTACCCCCTTGCCAACTCCTAAATTGATAAACATACTCCGTGAGAACAAGATAAACGCAAAGGCGAGACCTGAACGGGAAAAGTCATTTCCAGCAAATAGAGAAGCAGCATAACGCGGATATGCAAGAGGGATATAGACGAAAATGCATTGGAAGATGATGAACACCGCGCTCGCGTAAATCATGACGCCTATCGCGCTTACAATCCAATGTACAGACTGCCGTGAAGTCCATGCTGCATGATGTTCAGTTAGATGTTTGCATTCTCCGTCCGATAAATTTCTAAACCTGGTAGTGGCGGCTGCTTCTTACCGAATATGAGAAGTCCAACAGGTGGAAATATAGACGCAACCAAAGCAGGAATAAGACGGTGTTCCTGATCTCGATGACCATGTGCCTTAAGGTCTGGCATAAGGTATGTATAAAGGTAAATGATGTACATCACCACCCCCAGTCCACAGGCAACAGCGAGAGTGATAAATATAAGACCGCTTTGCCCAAGACTAAAGCCGTAGACCACTGGATATACCAATGGGAAAGACTCAAAAAACGAGTAGTATATCGCATATACCAAAGACGTGTAGATGTTGGTAAAGAGGATAGCCGGATCCTTAGCCATGATCTCAAGAGGTTTGACGAGAGACGAGACCATGAAAGAGAATACCCCCTGGCCCCCTCGGGAGATTTCAGAAGGTGAGAAAATGTTGGGGTTGCCGGTGACCTTGCGAAGTCGCTGCGCGCGGCGGAGGAGAATCGTATCGGTCGACGTCTCGGGAAAGAAAACCAGCATAACGCAGAAGACCGGTCCACTAATCCACAGAATTTCCCACAATGCCCATCGCCACCTGGAATGATAAGATAGTTAATAATCGAGCATAGTCATCTATGCAAGAGAGGAAAGCTCACCCTTCTCGGACTACTGAATAAGCCGAAAAAAGTGGCCCGAGTGCTGGGCCTCCATAAGCTGCAGCAACCCAACTTGTCAAAGCCAGTGGCATATGGATATCGGAGTACTGTAGAGATATATGAAGTCAGTGGTGATCAAAGCCCAAGCTGTTTATTTTCTTGAAAAAAGACAAACCATATCAGCCATCGAGGCGCCGCCGCTTGCAAGACAAGGGCTCCCAAAGAACCCTTGAAAGAACCGCAGTACCATAAGACCGGCAAAGTTATCAACCAAAGATGTGGGTAAGCAAAGCACGACAAAGATAAAAAACGAGGAGATGTAGGGTATGTTCCGCCCGCATGCTGGGATTTCACTCATGGGCGAGAAGAGGAGCGGGCCGACGCCATCTGGAGAATGATCAAATTAGAATCAAATGTGATATATCGAGAATCGCATGGAACAAGATACGTACAGCCCAGGACGTATAATGCTAAGCCCAGTGAAGCCTGAGTTGGGCCTACTTGGAAGTGACTCATTATCTGTCTTTCGAATTGTCAGCTTGGTAGAGTCATGGGCAGCGCATAAGTAGAACGAACTCACTCTTCGGCTGGCACATAGATTGATGCCCCACAGTATACAACAAATGTATAACAACTATGCAAACCCCACCAGTTAGAATCTCAGTCTTCGATCATGAGAAAAAGAGAGAGTCGATATCATACCATAGTTGAAACCCCACCATCCTCTTCTTGAAAGAAGACCAATTCTTTGGGTTAGAAGGATCATCTAGACCGTACCAGTCAACCGTATACCTTCCCACTGCATTTTGTGGGAGAGATGGATTGTATTTAGCGTGTGTTGGTGTGGATGATGAAGACGACAATGAGGCTTTTTCGAGCTCGTCTGGTCCAGTCATGGGAAATGGGGAACCTCGGTGAGAGTCTTCCGGAGTTATACCATGACCATCTACTAACATAGAATCTGGATGAAAAACAAACTCGGGATTTTCTTCCGCATAACGTAGAATCCTGCCCCCTGTCACCCAACGTAAAATCTGGCCCAGAGTAGATTCGCGCACTGTGTCCATTTTTCAAAGTCTCAAGGAAGGTCGGGAATACTAATCAATCTCTATGGGCAAAAGATGAAAGTAAGACAGCGATTGATATATGGAAAATTGTTCATTATTTCTTGATCTATCGGGCAACACCGTGCTGGTAACTTAAGCGTCGTTCAGTGGCCATGAAAACACTTGAAGGCATTGTGCAACATAGATCGCGACACACTTGAAGTAATTTCCCCAGAACGGAGACGTGCGTTGCTGTATAGTTTATCATTGCCTATAAAACGGTTTTAGTGTGGTAGATTGTAGATCTACTACTTTGTTGGGATTTGCCTTAGTGATAGATAATGTTGGTGTAACCCCAAAGATTCTTAGAACCACGTTCATTATCGCAATCATCGCGGGAGATTCTGTATGGAAGTAAGCATGCATGTGGTCAGAGACACGATCTCGATCTCGATCCCGATATAGAAATCTCGGCATTGTGGCTTGAACTGGTTTTCCTGTTTATGCAGGCGCGGCTACTTTTTTCGGGTAGCACAAAGCAAGCTAGCTGGTAAGAAGCTCAATTCTGATACCAGAAACTGCAGAGACTCCAGGGCTGCTTTGCTTATTATGCATGAAACTCTTCTTTTGTCTCAATGCCAAGAGATGGTCAAGAAAATAACAATCTTGCTGCTTGTTGATCTCTGAAAGGAAATGGTGAGCCGGAGTCGGCATATACTGCTAATAAGATGACCAGAAACGTGTTCACTAAAAATAAGATGGTAGTATTCTGGAAAAAAAAAAGAAACGTAAACTCCCCGCTGTTCCATAGATCTTACCATCTATCTCATTAACTAGATCATGTACACCAGCTATTTAGCGACTTCTTGGGCGAACTGGCCAATCTGATTGGAGAAAAAAAAACACCAATCAGATAACAGAGCCCTACTTCGCCAAGTTGAAATTTCCGTGATTTTTGACATTGCTTCAATGCTACGTTCTTTGCATTCAAATATTCGAAAAGAATATCTTCGTTATATGAGAGTCCAAAAACCTATTTACGAGATACTCTCCAGGGTTTGCGTTTTACCAGGTGCTATACAACCCCTGCAATTTGTGGCGATCGTGCCCTGATTTTAGCCCCTTGGCATCGATAAATTGTTACCTCAACCTTGGAAATCCAACGATGACCTTGGAACATATTCCAAGCTTAATTCAATACGTATATATATAAGATCTGATGATTCCCTGGTCGAGTCTTTTTTCAATCTTATAGTTCCTACATCTCCTAATCGGGCCGAAATTGATCTCATCGTGCAGCGGCGCTGCCCGAGCCGTGGATGAGTCATCCGACGTCATGGAAATTCGGCAGCTCTTTTTTTTTTCCCTAATAGAGACACGGCCGCGAACTTTGAAGAAAATAACGTGGGATGATCGGCAATTGGATATCCTGAATCAGACCGGATAGAGTACATACAACGCATACATTTCAGAGCAGAGAACGGGCACAACTTCCGTCAACAGACCTCTCATACCCGTGCCCACACACGAACGTCCAGTTGCGCCCCTCATTACGTCGCGATAGTGCGTCATTGATCCCGACTTTCATATCAAACTGTTGTTCCCCCGGGTTTTCGCTGGAAGCCAGCGCAGACTCTTCAGATTTATCACAACAATGGCGGGTGCTGAGACACGCGTTGTCTCTGTCCAAAGCCTAAACCAAGGCCCTGGGGCCCGGTCCCTGGCAGAATGGTGGGCAGACGAGCGCAAGAGCCAAACACCCGAATCCAAGGCCATAGAAGAAGCCGCAGACCTCCTCCGCACTCATGATATCCCCGTTGCTTTCCCCACAGAAACGGTATACGGTTTGGGTGCCGATGCCACCCGTAGCGCCGCTGTTCAGGGCATCTATCGCGCGAAGCAGCGACCCTCAGATAACCCACTCATCGTCCACGTCGACTCTCTTGATATGCTCGATCGACTGCTGAACCCCTCTCCCACCAGCCCTAGTGCAACCAAAACACCGCGCGTTCCCCTTCCCTCGATCTATACTCCTCTCATCGAACGCTTCTGGCCAGGACCACTGACCATCATCCTGCCGAACCCGTCTGGCTCGGAATTAGCCCCGGAGGTGACTTCAAACCTGACGACCTTTGGTGCTCGCATGCCCTCCTCCCCACTGGCTCGTTTACTCATCCATGCTGCCGATCGCCCACTTGCCGCACCGTCCGCAAACGCGTCTACAAAGCCTTCACCAACCACCGCACAACACGTCCTCCACGATCTGAACGGACGTATCGACCTGATCCTCGACGGTGGTCCATCTGGCGTTGGTGTTGAAAGTACCGTTGTAGACGGGCTATGCGACCCGCCGGCAATTCTACGACCAGGCGGCATCGGCATCGAAGAACTGCGCGAGGTTCCCGGCTGGGAGAACGTCACAGTCGCGTATCGCGACGGAACCCTGGACGTAAAAGAGATTCCCCGCGCCCCCGGCATGAAATACCGACACTACTCACCGAAAGCGCGAGTTGTTCTCTTCAAGGCAGGGTCTAATTTGGCTGGCGTCACACGCCATGTGCAACATGATCTACACGATACTGCCATTGGTGCCCACAACATCGGTATTGTGCGTACCCGGCAGTGGAAGCAGGGCTTGGACCTTGCCTCGGACGACGTGGTGGCAAGTACTCTTAAGTCCATTACCGCGCCCATCGACAACCTAGTCAGCTTCGAGATCCCCGTGCAGCAGAGCGGTAGCTCAAGTAGCCGGACCAAACTGGCATACGACTACCATCTGGGCTCGGATACAGGTGTTATTGCCCATGGACTTTTCGCCGCGCTTCGAGCCATCGATGAGTTCGATGTGGATGTGATCTACGTGGAGGGGATATCCGATAGCGATGGTGACTTGGCTGCTGCTGTGATGAATCGACTCCGCAAGGCGGCTGGTAAAGAGATGAGGGTATAGATCATTTGACTATCTACTACGTATCTCCTTACCATCTGGACTGCGGGGACACCCTTGTTATAGAGTTTGATAATCTGCACATTGGAGCATCTGGGGGTTTATACCATTGCTTTTTTGAAAAATTTGCTTTCTTTCTTCTTTTTTTACCCAAGTTTTGTGCTTTTCATGGGAAGATGAATCTCTTGGACTTGCCTTTGTGGTCCTAGCCTTGTATTTCTAAGTAACGGAGATCTCCGGTTCATTGACCTTGGAACTTGCTATAAGATTTTCAATGTGATTTACGTCTTGATGTTTAATTGTGATAAGAAAACACTAGAATCTCGGCCCCGCTTCCATGTGTGGTCTTTCATGGAACCAGGAAGTGTTGAGTACTCCACACCTACTAGGCATGTGCAAGATCTCGGAGAGCCATTTGCTCCCGAACATCAAAGTTTTTAGACGCTGAGTTTATTATTTTTATAAATTTATTCACTGTAGCTTATCTTCGCCATGTGGGGTATGTATTTTATGAGTCCCCGGTGAGACCCGTTCTCTTTTAAATCCACGTTTTAACAATCGGTGGCTGAGTGGAACTTTCTCGCCCGCATCGCTTTTCCTTCCATATATAGTTCCTTGCCCGCGCCAATCTTGCGAGAAAAAAAAAGAAGGAAAAAAAAAAAAGAGTCACTACTTGAAGTCTAATCCCTCTTTACTCTCCAAACACTCTTTAAAAATCCGACTTTCGCTATGTGTCAACACCCTCTTCACGAGTTCATCGCGGGTCTCCCAAAATGCGAACACCACGTTCATCTGGAAGGTTGTCTCACCCCGGAGTTGATCTTCCAACTCGCCGCACGCAACGGAGTAACCCTCCCAACCGACGACCCAGCCTTCAATTCAATTGAGACCCTAGCAGACCGCTATGAGCGCTTCACCTCGCTAGATGATTTCCTGCACTACTACTTCGCCGGCATGGCCGTCCTCCAAAGCGAGAGCGACTTCGCCGATCTCGCCTGGGCCTACTTCCTCAAAGCCCATGCCGACGGCGTGCACCACGCCGAAGTCTTCTTCGACCCGCAAGTCCACCAGGACCGCGGCATCGCCTACGAGACCATCGTAGCCGGATTCTCCGAGGGCTGCAAGCGCGCCGAGCGCGAGCTCGGCCTCTCCACCAAACTCATCCTGTGCTTCTTGCGCCATCTGCCCGTGGAATCCGCCAATGCCCTCTACAAGCACTTCCTTGCCTCGGGCGACTACGAGAAGGGCACCGTCCACGGCCTGGGATGGTCTTCGTCGGAAGTTGGCCCGCCCAAGGACATGTTCCGGGAGATCTATGCTTCTGCACGGGAACAGGGTATCCGGCTTACCGCCCACGCGGGTGAAGAGGGGGACTCAACTTATATCAGTACGGCTTTGGAGCTTGGAGCTACGCGGATTGATCATGGTATCAATTTGATTCAAGACCCCGAGTTGATGCAGAGGTGTGCGCGGGAGAATGTGCTTTTGACTGTTTGTCCTGTGTCGAACGTTAAGCTGCAGTGTGTCAAGTCTGTGGCTGAGGTGCCGATTCGAAAGTTCTTGGAGGCTGGCGTCAAGTTTTCCATTAACAGTGATGATCCGGCTTACTTTGGCGCTTATATTTTGGGTAACTACTGTGCTGTGCAGGAGGCGCATAACCTTTCTGTGATGGAGTGGAGGATTATCGCGGAGAACTCGGTGCAGGAGAGTTGGATTTCGGATGAGAGAAAGGCGGAGTTGCTGGAGAAGATTACGGTGCACGTCAAGCAGTACCTGTAAATAGTACTTTCTGCTGATGATTTGGTGATGATACCCTGGGATGTTTCAACATGTATTTATGATATTTTCAACTTTATATCAATTTAGGGCCGGATCGAGGGCCCAAGTCCTCTTACTCGACCAAATATTCATTTTTTTCCCGAATTCTTCATGTTCATTGTGACGTGCCAAATATTCCAAGCTGCTTACATAGTATTCGCTACTAGCAGGAGCTACATGTACTTAAATACTTAAAAGAGGACATATTCAATGCAATCCCTGAGCTTTGCCCAAGATTTCCCCGCAGTTGGCAACCAAATGTCCCAATCCATCCTCACCCGAGCAAGGCCAACAACACTACGGCTACAATTACCCAACCAGCCATTCCATAATCTCCGCGTCTTGTCAACGCACAGCCTACGAGCCAGCCACCAAAGAGCAAAAACCCCATATGCCCTCCGTTCAACAGCACCAAACCACCCTGTAAAGGGCATACTCCACCTTAAAAAAACCATGTCAAGCAGCGCACCTGTTCCAGACCGCTACAAGCTTGTTTTCTTCGTCCCACCCTCCGACCTTGAAGCCTGCAAAGAAGCTATATTTGCGGTGGGCGCAGGCTCTTTCCCTGGCGGCATTTATACCAAGTGTTGTTTTCAGACCATCGGACAGGGCCAGTTTCTTCCGAATCAAGGTGCGAACCCAGCGATTGGGGCGGTTGGAGTGGTGGAGACGGTAGAGGAGGTGAAGCTGGAGATTATGTGTCTTGGGCGGGAGGTGATGCTGGACGCAGTGAAGGCCTTGGTCAAGGCGCATCCGTATGAGGAAGTTGCGTATGAGGTTTATCGGATGGAGAATGTGTAATGGCAAGCTGGGTGGTTAGTGATGGAGCGGTGGAGCGGTGGGTGAGGCATAAAGTGTTGTGATTATGTTTTTTGCCCCATCGCAATTTTTTATTTCAATTAAAGGGGTATTTCCTTCAATTAATAAGTACAATTGAAACAATTGATGAAGAATTGAAGTCATTCATGGAGGTTGCAAGTTCTTGTGGAGGTGATATTATGAAGAGAGTAATCTGTCGACGCTGATTGGCTGACCGCCCGCAAAACGTCTTGCCAACTCGATCCGTCATTCTCCTCCATCACCAACTCCCCCCAATTCACCTCTATCCTCTCCTCCGCCATGGCGTCGAAACTCTTCTCCGTTTCGCGGGCCAGCCGGGTGCTGCACCAGACTCCCTTCACTCAATTCCGGTCCTTTTCCGCCGCCCCGCAACGGTTCAGCGACTCCCTGTCTGTCGTACGTGAAACCCCGTCCCTAGGCCCCTCGGCATTGCCCGGTGCAGCCAGCTATGAAATGTATCGCGATAGAGGGCAATGCATTGACAATTCTTCATTTATAGCACCGCAACACCCCCACCAACAACCCCAGCATTCCCTTCTCGTTCACCCCTCAGAACCTCACCCTCGTCGATGAGATCCTCAAGCGCTACCCTCCCCAGTACAAGAAGGCGGCTGTTATGCCCCTCTTGGATCTTGGTCAGCGCCAGGCCGGTTTCACCAGCATCAGCGTCATGAACGAGGTCGCTCGCATGCTTGAGATGCCCCCCATGCGTGTTTACGAGGTCGCGACTTTCTACACCATGTACAACCGTGAGCCCGTTGGCAAGTACTTCTTGCAGATCTGCACTACTGTATGAGTCCTCTCTCCCTTTGAAAATGTACCCAACAAGCCAATTCGGAGTCAATTGCTGATCTGCGTTTTTTTTTTAACAACCATAGACCCCCTGCCAGCTTGGTGGTTGCGGTTCCGACGCCATCGTCAAGGCTATTAACGAGCACCTCGGCATCACCCCCGGCCACACCACCGAGGATGGCCTCTTCACCTACATCGAGGTCGAGTGCCTGGGTGCCTGCGTTAACGCCCCCATGGTCCAGATCAACGACGACTACTACGAGGACCTGACCCCCGAGTCCATCAAGACCCTTCTCACTGCCCTCAAGGATGGTGCCGCTGCTACCGGCTCCGTCAAGATTCCTGCCCCGGGCCCGCTGACTGGACGCGACACCTGTGAGAACAGCGCCGGTCTCACCAACTTGAACGAGGTTGTGTGGAACCCCGAGACCATGATGCGCACTGACGGTGCGCTGGATGCGCAGCCGGAGGCGAAGCAATAAACGGATCTTGTCGAGACCATTTAAAGCCTGCATTTATGATTTGGGATGGAAAGCCGTGAAGGGATTTATAATCGAGGGTCCAGCGGAGGTGGGACCCCGTCCCGACGCTTTGTCGCAGACGCAGAGTGGGAAAAATTTTAGAAACATACCGCTGCATCGTCTTTCCAGGGCGTCTTTTTTTGTCTGTTCTTTTTGTTTGTCTACCATGTACAGTATACGTGGCTCCGAAGTTTTTTTTCTTTTTTTTGGAATGGGAGCCGGATGCAGATTAAGTCGGCATCAATACAAATTTCTTTAGTTTTCCACTCAACTTTCAAAATCTACTAGTATAAGTTAATGCTCTGGGTATCATGCCGGACAAAAATTGGCAAGAAATCAGAAAGAACGTTAAGAGAGGTGTTTGTGTTAAGTTATACATTATCATTACTAAATGCTAAATATCATCAATATCATTAATATCGTCATCCGCATAAAATTCGATATCCTCCCCAGCAAGACGCTCATCGGACTCAAACCTCTCGTCTGATTCGGCCAGGAGGAGTGGCCAGCCGAATCGACGGACGAGAGTCTCTTTCCGCCGTTCCTCGACAACATTGATTTCGGCGGTGTTCTCCACAAGCATGTGGTAGATATTGACAGTCTTATTCTGTCCATAGCGGCGTGCTCGCCCGATGGCTTGTTTCATGCCGGCGTCGTACTCGTGCTGTGACATAGTATGTAGGGGCGAGACGAAAACAATGTGGTTGGCACATTGCAGGTTCCTGCGATCAAAAGGGTTAGTGGATTGGTTTCCAAACAGATCAAAGGATGCTATAAAGTTCACTTACAAGCCTGCAGCCATTGCACCTCCGAGAGGCAGAACCAAAACCTTCGGACGCTTCGAGATGAGCGCCCCCTGTTCATCCTGTTCAAGCTCCGTCTCTTCCTGTTCCTTTGATGTAGCACGGCCCTTTCCCTTTCCATTTCCCCTGGAAGACGCCGGCTTAGGATCATTGACAAAGTCGAGGATTCCCTTAACGGATGCATTGCGTGCAACGCGGTGGCTGATTCTAGCCAGTTCAAGGGCACGTTCGAGAAGCGTGATGATTTCGGCGTATTGTGCGAACGCGATGACCTGTTCGTCGTCTGGGATTTCGCGAATCAACTCAATGAAGCGCATGAGCTTGCTGCTTTCCGATATGATGGTTGAGCTGTCCAATTCTTGTCCTCTAACCCACTTGCTATTAGCAGCGGATGCGTTGCATCCTTCGATCGAGCATCTTCCAAAACTAACGGTCTTTTCCATGCATGTTGAACAGAAAATGTGTCCGCAGGATTGGAGCACAGAGAGGAAGTAGGCGCTGTCGGGTGTGCAGTGGCAAGACGAGCATTCTGGGACCTCTTCGCTTTGCATGAAGATCATTGTTTCGTTAAAGCGAATATCACGTTTGCATTTGACGATGTTGCGGATGGCGTCGAGGAAGTCTTTTTGCAATGCCGTTGCCATGGCATCCTCGATCTTGCTGGCCTTGTCGTCTGGATCCTTGGATCCTGATGCCTCGGGTTGTCCTCGGGCTCGCTTTAGAGGCAGGGATTGCTTCTGAGATTTTGTTCGCTTCGAGGAGCCGGATGGGGTTTCCACAGCATCGTCATCATCATCCGAAGGAATTTCGGTATCGTCGTTAATAGTTTCATCAACTGCTTCATCTGGGCTTTCATTCAAAGTCGCATCAGGAGTCACACCAACACTCTCACCAACCGTCACTAGCACAATAGTAGACTTCTTTCGAGGTTTAACTTCCACCTGCTTGGTTGCCTTGTTGAGTCGGGTTGTGCATGCGGCCTCAACGGGCCCTGGCGCGAAGTTGTTTTCCCAGCCTTCGGAAATCATGATAGTGATTTTATCAGTGATCGCATCATCACCGAGTGGGTTTTCCAATAGTTTTTCCACGAATTCATCCCAAACAGAGTGATGAGGATCTTTTCGCAGCTTGAGGAAGTAGAACTGTCGAATAAGAACCCTCAGCTTGTTTTCGCGATCCAATTCTGTCTTTTCTAAGGCTTTCAGCCGGGTGGCGCATTTTGCTTGAGTCCATGCGTGGTCGTTCAGCTTGCTGGTCACGGAAGCTTTCAACAAAACTTCAGCAAGAGAGCGACTTGAAGAAAGGATATCGTTCCAGCGATCGACTTGAGGGTCCTTTTCGGATTTCTGAATCCTTCGGATTCTACCGCCCTCGCTCTGCAATCGATCACGAAGACCAATGTAACTGCTGCGCTCGTTTTCAAATTGTGTCGACAGGGTAGCGTGCACTTGGGCTGGGATGTTGCCGATCTCAGCAAAGTTTTGGCGGGCGAATCGGTCGAGGAAGTGCTGGGCGTGTCTGTACCGATTCTGGTACCAGTCGTTGCTGTGAGGTACCTGGTATGCCATGAACTTCTCGACACTCGTCTGGTTTCGTTTCGTTAACTTCAGTCTCTCGTTGTTACTAGGAACGTCCATATCATCGTCAACTCCGAGGTGGAGACCCAAGTAGCGTGCGATACTCTTGATGTCTGCAAAGTCTCTAATGGCAGGAGTACCGGAGAGTATCCACTTGGAACGGGCAGATAATTCCTGCATCGAAAGGTGCTTGTCCTCGCCCACGTAAGTGTATTCGTCGATGACGAGTCTGTTGAAGTGGAAAGCGTGCAATAGTGGGTGCTTCATTTTCCAGAATCCCTTGCTGTCATCTGGTACCATGAAAGTATTCCGGATTTCATTGATGGCAGTATCCTTGGCCTTTTTGACAGCATCGTCAATATCCTGTCCCTCTTTAGATGGGCCTGCCACGGGGGTATCATCCAGTTCTTCATCATCCACATCTTCATCGCTTTCTAGCAAGACCTGATTCTTGGCCTTGTTGGCTTCCTGGAACGCTTTGCCTCGCAGTCGCTTAGATGGCTTCCAGTGCAAGTTAGCCTCGTTCTTCCCGTGTCGTGTCGCCGCTTCGTCGAGGTAAGAACTGGGGCCTCCGTTCGAGAGAAGGCCAACCATATCTCCCAAAGAAGTAAACGCAGCCTCCAACCAGTGATCAAAGGCTCTTCCTCCCTTACCAGCGTTGGGAATCTGTGCAGCTCCAACGAACAATTGAAGTTTTTGGTAATAAATCTGGCTGTTCAGAACATTCCAAGAGACGAGAACAATATCCGCTTTCTGAATATCCTCGAAGGTGATTGAGCCAAGCTGCTTTATCGTGGAAATGACCATAACTTTGTATCTTCGCTGGGCACGTCCACCGCCGTTGCCGAAGAACTTGTTGATCTCATTATGCCACTGTTTGCAGACATTGTTGGGAACCACAATCAGAGTTGCTTTGGTGGTTAGAAGTCCATCATGCGATAGCTTTTCCACCGAACTCAAAGTCCTCGCTTTGTCTCGCTCATACTGGGAATCTATCAAGCCGAGTATGATGGCGGTTTTTCCAAACCCGACTTCATCGGCGATCAATCCTCCACGGACGGTTCTTGGAATTGAGGCCTTCACATCAGCTCGCCAGGCCATCATGGGCAAGGGAGCTTCCACAGTCTCCTCTTCCATGAATGGCTCGATATTATCAGCTTCTTGCGCCACCATCCAGCCCAACGAACGTAGCTGTTCGTTACGTAGCTGAAGGGTTTGGAAATTCGGTGGCTGGTGAATCATGGCGTCATTCTGGTTGTCCGGTATCTCAAATAGAGCGTGCTTCTGTCTACCCATGTCATACGCATTGGGGATCAATCGCCACTCAAAGTTAAGTCCATTGAGACGGTCAATGCCAAAGAGTTGTCCGTGCGCAGAATGCGCCATCGACTGCAGATTGGCTGAGATTTGTAGCTCGCCCATGCCACTGTCATCCACGTTTTCGAAGATCAAGAAGAGTGGTGGCTTTGACTTCACAGCACGCGCCCAAGTCGCCGCCTCCCGAGGATCTTCACAAGGAAAAACTTTTCCTTTCTGGCCCACACGCCATATAAAGGATGGTTGAGTAGGCTTGCAGGTTGAACAAATACCGTTCATACCTGGAAGCCGAAGACTCATCCATTTGTTATAAGAGGAAAACGCATCACCGGCCCGCTGGAGCGCCCAAGCAATTCCCCGGAATGCATTGGGGTCCTTCTCTGGGTTGGTTGATGTCCACGACAATCTACGCTCGGAGAGTCCCAAGGTCGCAGCATCTGCTGAGAGAGAAACCAAGGGGATGTAGGTTGCACGACAGTCTTCGCCGCGAAGGATCAGCTCGTTTTCAGCATCCAAGTGATGGTAGGTAATTGGCTGACCTCCACTGGTGCTCAAGCTGAAGCTGGGAACTCGATGGAATCGCCGTGAGTAAGCAGAGATGTTTTGATGTGTCTTCAGTACAGACACAGGCCGCCAAGATGGCGGGAGCTCAGCAATGGTTCTTCGCACTCCGTAACCAGGATTCCTTCGGTGCTCGACGGAAAACACAAACCCATCGTGCGTGATACGACCGGCCTTTCGGGGATCGAAGAACAAGTAGACGGGAGGTTGACCCTCCGGGCAATCTTTCTTGTACAAAGATCCTTCGGCAGTCCCGCAGTCAGGAAGGTGTTGATATGTGCCGCGCAAATCGCGATCAAGTTGATCGGCATCCGATTGCTTGCAGTCGATTTTGAGATGCGTCCAAATCCGAGGCTCGGCGTGGCGGGGTCCTAGCAAGCCGCAGGAACTCAGGTATGTAGGGACCTGGTTACCTAAACCGCTTACTTGGAGAGTAAACTCAGTGCTGATGGGATCCAGCACTTCCCAAACACCTTGGAACAGCCATTCTGGACTTTCGGGTCGCATTCTCGCAATCGGCTTTGCAAGTATTTCTCTCAGCACACACTGTGCTGGAGAACGTGAAGGGGGTTTGGCGAATAACAGCCATTGGAAGCCGTCCTTATCGATCTCCAGGCGGAGACTCACAGATTCACCTTCGAAGAAAACAGTCCAAATCTCTGTCCGAGTGATGTCGGTGAAACGAACCTCCTCGCGAAGGGCGTTTTTAACAGAAGAAACGTACTGCTCCCAGGTGTCGTCGTAAGTCGCATCGCTAAGAGACAAGAAACGGTCTCGACGGAGGAGCCCAAGAACCTCAGCAACAGGAACGGCAAACCGTAGTCGCATAGGAAGAGTTCTTCTCAGCATCCTCTGGAAATCCAATGGTTGGATCCGTTGTCCAACAATTACCTTTGGTTCGTAAGCGTGCTCGGGATTTCCAGCACAGGAACTGCAAGCCGTGTGTTCGCAGAGATGACACCGGAGGATACGGTTCACAACCCGAGTCTGCTTTTCGCAATAACAGAAACGGGAGGCAAGCACCGATTGCGCCACAATGGTGGACCAATGGCCCGTTCCATCATGCCGGCAATGGTGGTCGATTTCAACTCCAGCAGCAAGGAGACGGTGACCAGTCTCAACTTTGAACAGGGACGGGGACGGAGGCGTGGTAGTCGAACAACCAACACCTTCTTGCAGGTTGAGGCTTCCTGTGCCTTCATTATCCAACACGAAAGGAGCCGCAATCAGAGCGGAGAGTATGACTGCACCGACGGTTGTCGTCGTCATAGCATTGCCGGCGAGGTCTTGAAGCTCTCGGGTTGATTCATTGGACAGAATCAAACGGTCTAACGGGAGACCTTGGAGTGACAAAGCTTCAAGTCCTGTCAGAGGGCCACCACGAATGGTAGAAAATTGCACGCCACATGGGGTGAGGCAATTAGTTACACCGAATCGGGGGCCATCTGTGCCGCGGTCAACGCCTTGAGACAAGTCGATGTAACGCTCTTTGTAATTGAAATCATATCCGTTGTCGAGACCGACTTGGAATTTGATATCTAGCGTTTCCCAGACTCTCTCCACCTGAGTTCCGAACCACTGGCGCCAGTAAAAATCTGGACCAGTACAGGTAACTCCTCCAGCCACCGAACGACTGATAGGTCGCTGATCACCTGCGGGGAGACTCTGACGAAGTTCGTCATGCCGTCTCTTATACGCTTCCCAGGATATCTCAGCGCGAGCCGAGGTGGTTTCCAAGCGAGTGGAGAGATCTTTTAAGACCTGCTCCAACCTCCGGTCATCTTCACCCAACAAGAATGAACTTGTGGGAGAGCTGCACGGGCGCGAAAACTTGGTCACCAAATCCATTGCGAAGGAGAGCGTCGCAGAACGATCAGTGTCGGGCATCTCCAGACGGCGGTTGTCGATCGCAATTACGTAACCACGTTCCCTGGTGTGGGGAATGTAGTACTGCTTTGTGTCGACGATGATTTCCGCCGCTGAATAGCCAACCTTTGACCATGCGTCGGTAAAGGCCTTCCAAGGAGCCATCTTCACGTTCTCACAAATGACCAGTCGGGGTCGGTATCTCTCTGCGTACTTCAACAAGGCTCCGAAAGTAGAGCTTGACTCGCCGCTTTCTTTCTGGGCGGCCTTGTTGTTGTTTAGCATCGAGAAGTCGACGCACGCGGTCCCAGCGATCAGGACGTCAGGATCGGTGGGGATCAATTCCTCCGATCCATAGGCCGTTTGAGCCTTCTTGCCTCCCAGTTCACAGATATCCCGGAAAAGGAGAGGCGGCCCAAAGTTCCGTTCAATGTAGGCTTGCTTGAACGGAACGATCTCGCAACTAAAAAGGTGCTCGATCCGGAATCGCTGGCCTTCTGTGCCAAGGCCTAAGTGAGAAAGTTAGCATTCAGTTTCATATCAGATATTCTCCAGAAGAGGGGAAGCAAATGAGAGAACATGTGAGGATGGGGTGATTACAGTATGATGATGATGATTATGAGAAGAGATGAATGGAGGTAAGAGCAAAGGGAGACAAGAAAGCGAAGATATTTGTGTTGAAGGGAAAGAGGCAGTGAAGGTGGAAGGCAACAGAATGGGCAATGACATCTGGAATATATTGGAAAGGGACTCGGAAGTAGAGTGAATTATGAATGGACCCGCGACAGCGACACGATTGGCCGGTCTCACGAACAGGGTGTTCGTGCGGCTTGTTCCACCCGCGGGTCCATGCGGGTCCCTTGCGGGGCGACGCGGGCTTAACCGCGGGGTCGGAAAACCTTAAATTAAAGATGACGGGAAAATGGGTTGGGAACATAAAAAAAAAAACAATTAAGCTTACCCTTCTGAATCATTTCGATGGCTAACAAGGGACTCTCCGTCCCTGAGCATACAGTTGCCACACGGAGTGGTCGGCCGTTTAGTCGCTTGAGAACATCCAGGAGTCCGAGGCTCAAGGCCTTTTGGGTGAGATCAGTAAAGATCTCCTCGAGGGTAGTCATGGGCGGTAAATGTCCAGCTTGATAGCGATTTGGCGGTGGGAGGGTCCCGTGGACAAACTCCGGCGCCAACAGTAGCTCATTTATAGCGGTTGTCGTGGGTGCAGCTGTGACCTGCTGCAAAGAATCGGAATCGGAATCGGAATCATACTCAGCTGTGGTCGGCTGAGAGGAGTCGGATTCATGATCAGATTCATCTCCTGCATTTTGTTGAGAGGAGGACTTCTTCTTATCTTCAGGCGCTTGCGTGGGGGTTTCCGTGGGGGCTCGCAGAGCCGCACTAGATGTACGGGGGGCAGGAGGAACACGAGCACGGCCACGAGAAGCGCTGGGAGCTGCACGGGGAGCCATCGCGAGCAAGTAGAAGCTGGAATCATCTTGTCAGTTCCAATATCAATATCATCAAAATCTGTACCAAAACTTACAAATTTATCAAGATTGACACTGATAGTAGAGAGTGATATAAAGTCACGTGTACGCGTGGAAGTGCGAAGGAATCAAGGGATGATTTGGGCGACGCACTTTCTGGTGGGGGGATTGAGGACGCGGGTGAGGTGCGTGGAACGAGGGGAAAATAGAAAAGAAAAAAAGCCACGCACTTCTGGGGGCCACTTGACGCGGGGCCACTTGACGCGCGACACCATTGGTCGATATTTCTTCCACTGATCAAGCCCTCTTGCTCACATATAATAATATTTGTAGCTAGTAGTATTTAGTAGTATGTATACCTTCTGTTTTGATGCCACTTACAATTACTTCTTGAGTGGCCAAACTTTTTCCTGCAGCATGCTCAATTGACCTTTGTTGGCTCTAAGGGCTGTGGCCACGAGACTTACAAATTTCCGAAGTCACTCTACGCTAGTAGCTGCAATGCCAGTCCGTATTGCAATAACCATCTGCTATCTATAACTTGGGTTGCATACTACTAGTATGTAGGGACTAGCTCGTTTTCAATTGTATTAGATACTCGAATACAGTATTTATGCAAAATCGCCGTCTTGGCGCTACTTCGGAGATTTGTAAAACTCATGGCCAGACACTATATATGACAACAAAGCAGCATGCACTACATGTGCCTAATGTATTCCAAGGTTGCGAATACTACTATGTACAGGGCCCAGGTGAGCAAAGGTCAGTTCTCTAGATCAGATTATTCAGATACAACCATTCAATGTTCTTGATTTCAGATTTCTGGATTTCCTAGGATACCTGGCTGCCTAGAAGGTATGGAAGGGCCAAAATACAAAGATTGCCCGAATAAAAGAAAACCACTCCATGCGCCATCCCTCGCCAGATCAAAGAGAATTATCGCCTAAAAAACAAACCTTCAAACTTAGCGTTATTCCAAAAAAAAAAAATATGCATTAGATCAGCTCTTGAAGGTTGAAGCTATCATTGCATTACTATCGCATGCCACCTTGCATCAACTGTTGACGTAGTAGCATAATCTGGCTTCGTTCCATCGGGGGCAAAGCATCAATAGCGGCTTGTGGCATAGCAAGAACCTGCTGGAGAAGCTCGTCTTGGCCTGCCACGGGTTGGGGTTGAGCAGCTTGCGGAGGCGGAGGCGCAAATGGAGTAGACGCAACCGGCGGAGTTGAAATCTGTCCAGGGGCACCGTAAGACTGATAGGGTTGGTGTGCCGCAGGCTGAGGTGGTTGTGATGCCTGTTCAACGATGGATCCGAGAAGTTGGTATTCGACTAGGTTCATCAACAACAGTGCTTGGAAAATCGCATACGCGAGCTGCGGAGCTTGTCGAAGAAGCTCGGTTGCGCGAGCAGGGTCGGCCACTGCAAGTGATTTCATTTGTGTAAGGACATCGAGGAGTTGGTTTGGAGGGAGCGAAGCGAGAGTATGGGAGATGGCATTGGGGCAGTCGAGGCCGGGCGGAACGTCGACACCTGGTGGCAGAGGAGGCAATGGGGCAGCACCGGGAATCTGTTGCATCTGCTGTGTCGAGTCTTGAGGTGCAGGTTGCGAATCTTGCGGGTAATCTGTGGGGATGGAATCTTTCTCGTTGTTGTGAGGCCAGTCGACACGGATTTTGCGACCCAAAATTTCATAATCGTTGAGGTTTCGAACAGCTGAAGCTGCGGCATCGGCATCGACAAAGTCTGCGAATCCGTATCCCTTGGGTTTACCGGTCTCTGGGTTCATCATAAGACGGAACTTGGTGACAGTGCCTGCAGTACTGAGGATATCTTTGACTTGTTCCTCAGTGAGGTCTGCAGGACTTGTCAGCAATTCCAGTTGTAAAGTGAAAACTTCCAGGGTCTGCATGGACTTACTGTAGGGAATGTTCCCCAAGAACACACTTTTGCCTGTACGGTCGGGCGCCATATTTGCGATGGATTGAAGCTAAGTCGCTGTCAGGTTGAAGGTTGAACGAGTGAAAGAAGGAAGATATTCTGCCGGACTTTGAATTCACCGCCTAACGTGCATCTTCTTCGAACGTCCCGTCTCCATCCATACCATCCAACCTACCTCTTCTAAACCTTCACATCATGTCTCAGAATCAACGAGAGGCTTGGGAGCGATTGCAGGTCATGCTGCAGAAACGCAAGGGCAATGTTGGTGGTGGTGGACGCGGTGGTATGGGCTTGGCCGGTCTTATCCTGATCGGAGCCGGTACTTGGGCAGTCTCGAATTCGCTCTTCAACGGTATGGGAAAGTCAAAGCGCTGCACCAGAGATGGTGACTAATGTGATTCTATGCAGTTGACGGTGGACACCGTGCCATCAAGTACTCGAGGTTTAGTGGCGTGCGCAAAGAAATCTACAGTGAAGGTACAATGTGACATCGACTCCGATAATGAACGAAGCTAGGAGCTAACCAGTGTACTCGCTTCTAGGAACCCACCTCCGTATTCCATGGGTCGAAACTCCTATTATCTACGATGTCCGCGCCAAACCGCGCAACATTGCTTCCTTGACCGGTACCAAGGACTTGCAGATGGTTAACATTACTTGCCGTGTGCTTTCCAAGCCCCGCGTGGATGCTCTGCCCCAGATCTACCGGACCTTGGGTCAAGATTTCGACGAGCGTGTGCTGCCTTCCATTGTCAACGAGGTTCTGAAGAGTGTCGTGGCTCAGTTCAACGCCAGTCAGCTGATCACCCAGCGTGAGAACGTTGCCCGCCTGGTCCGCGAGAACCTGGCCCGTCGCGCCGCGCGCTTCAACATTGCTCTTGACGATGTCTCCTTGACCGTAAGCAACTAACTAACTTGGCTTCCTATCATTGTGCTTGTTCGTACCTTAGCTGACATTTGTCTCTCCTTAGCACCTGACATTCTCTCCCGAATTCACCGCTGCCGTCGAAGCCAAGCAAGTGGCCCAGCAAGACGCCCAGCGTGCGGCTTTCATGGTTGACAAGGCTCGCCAGGAGAAGCAGGCCTTCATCGTGCGCGCACAAGGTGAGGCCCGCTCTGCAGAGTTGATCGGAGATGCGATCAAGAAGAGCAAGAGTTATATCGAGCTGCGAAAGATCGAGAACGCTCGTGCCATTGCCCAGGTCTTGCAGGAGAGCGGTGGCCACAACAAGCTGTACCTGGACAGCCAGGGCTTGGGGTTGAACGTCAACGCAGGCGGCGAGGAAAGCAAATAAGTTACTTTAATTTGGCGCCGTGGTTGAGAAATATTTGTACAAATAGCTTACTTAGGAGCATCCGAACGTTGTCTCTTCTCTTTCAAACTCTCAAGTTCATTTGAATTTTCTTTCTGCTCTCAAAGTCACACCTGACATGCATCCTCCAGACCTCGGGATCCATGGACATCTGGACATCTCAAGTCAAGCTGGATATGTACATCCTTTGGACATTTGAATTGATGTGCATATGCATGCCGGCACCTGGGGGGTACATAGTATAGTACTAGGTAACTCCAGAGTATATGTATTGATCAATTGATCAATCAATGTATGTATACCAACATTTGAATATGTAGAGGTGGATGCACATGTGTACGTGCTTCCACCTGCACCTGGGCATGGATCTCCAGGGCTACATATGTACATTTCTGGACAGACCGATGCCTGGATGATTTTGCCTATGTAAATACCTAAATGTAATACATGTAGGTCAACTGGTACTAGGTAACTACTACCCCATGGCTGTATCGATATACCTAACATTTGAAGCCACCTGAGCACGGGCTCGGGCGTGACCTCGAAAATCTTGCCTGGAGGTGCCTAGGTAGGGGCTACCTGCACCATAAAATGGCGTTTTTGAAACTTGAAGTAGATAGTATATATCAATGTAGATATTTGAAGAATTTAATGTCAACTGGTTGGAAGGCGCAACGTGCATTATCGGAATAATGCACTTGAAATATATTTTCCCGACTGGACCGCGGGGACGAAGGCGGCGAGCGGGAGCTCCACCAACTTTTTTTTATCAGTCCAGAGTACGGTACACAAGGTTTTTCAATCAATTTCACATCTGGACATATTTCAAGGTTCTACTCTTTTTTCTAGGTAAGTTACTGGCTACAAAATTATCAGATGAGGTCCAAATCCGCATGCACATGTGAATTTGTAGTGTATGAACGTAGGAACTAACCTTCTTATCTTCAGGAACCGTCAAGATGTCTGACCCCACCAACGACCCCGAAATCTCAATCACCCAAATCGACGTCGACCTTGACATCCAAGAAATTCTCCTCGCAGCCTCTCAACATGATATCCCCAAGCTCCGCCGCCTATTGCGCACGGAATCCGTACTACCCAATGCCGCGAACGTCAAAGATCCAGAGACAGGCTACTCACCCCTCCACTCTGCGATCGCAGCTTGCGAGCCCGAAGAGGCCGATGAAGAACAGCAGGCGAATGGCGTGAACGGCGCAAGCGAAGACACAAAGCAGGATGAGAATGCAGAGCTGCTGAAGTCTGGCATTGAGACTGTCAAGTTTCTTCTGCAGGAAGGCGCTATCTGGAACGACCTCGATAACAACGATGAGACACCCGGTTGTCTTGCGCGACGTATCAAGGCTTTGGATCTGTATGAGCTGCTTGTTGATGCGGGTGTTCGAGCGGAGATGCTGCTGAGCCGACTGGACGGGTACTTGGCGCTGTCCGATGGAGATGACGAGGACGAGGACGAGGAGGAAAGCACCGAGAACACAGAGGCCAACCAGGGCGAAGCCGAAGACGAGGCCGCTCCAGAACTCGTCGATGCCTCCCACACAAATGTTGCCTCTATCACATCCACCGACGAGAGAACAGGGCTCGCAAATCCCGAGGTTTCCAACCCAGGCTACCTTGACTCCTCGCTGAACATCACCAACGAACGGATCCTCGATGCGGACCAAAACGGCGTTATGATGAGCTGGGAAAGCTCCATTATGAAGAATTCCGCACAGAAACTGCTTCCGCGACCGGGTATGAGGGTTCTGAACGTCGGACACGGTATGGGTATCGTGGATGGATTCTTCCAGGAGCAGAGCCCTGCTTCGCACCATATCATTGAAGCACACCCGGATGTCGTTGCAGAGATGAAGCGGCGCGGATGGGACTCCAAGCCTGGTGTTGTGATTCACGAGGGCCGATGGCAGGATATCATGCCTGGTCTTGTCGGTACAGGCGAGATGTTTGACGCTATCTACTATGATACTTTTGCCGAATCCTACAATGATTTCCGGGAATTCTTCTCCGAGCAGGTGATTGGGTTGTTGGAGCAGGATGGAAAGTGGGGATTCTTCAATGGCATGGGAGCCGATCGACAGATTTCGTACGATGTCTACCAGAAAGTTGGAGAGATGGATCTCTTTGAAGCTGGTTTTGATGTCGAGTGGGAGGATATCCCGGTGCCCAAGTTAGGCGGCGAATGGGAGGGCGTGAGGAGAGCTTACTGGGTGGTGGATAACTACCGATTGCCTCTGTGCCGGTTTATGGATTAAAGATTGACTTGGAATCACCACACGACATATATGAAGAATTGATATGTACCCGAGGCATGCCAAGGTTCAACCCGTTGACCCGAGCATGCATTTGTAAATATAGAGCGGTACAAAAAGACATCGGAAATTTACAACTTCAACACCTGGGCACCGTTGAGAGGCTTTGCAACCTTCTACATACTAGTAGCTAGCTAGCACCTGATATGTTACCGAGACAACATTTGAAAATCATTAAATGATCTATGGACAAAATATATGCGACGCTTGAAAACGCTAGACAAGAAAGACAATAAAATACAGGAGAACTCAGCAAGCGCAATTTCTCATAGTTGAATAAGGTCAATCTCTGAGAAATCTGGTGGACTGCGACTGAAGATAGTCCGGCACTTGCCATCCAGGGCTTGGTACTCGTTGCTAACCCAGATATGCTTGCTGTAGCGCTGTGTGCGGTACACTTCGTCATCGCTTACCCCCAGATCATCACGAGGAATCCAGATAACTGGACGCTTGGCGCGGAGAGCTTCATGTTGGAATGCGCGTTGCACTAACTGATCGCGCTCATCGGGGGTGAGATCCTCCAATTCATCATGAACACCGGCAAAGAGAGAATGACCCAGCTTGTTGGGTAATTGCTCTCCCATCTCAGCGTCATGAGCCATTGTTTCTCGCAAAGACTTCATAGTAGGAGTAGAGGTTGCGGAGTTGGCCCCAAAGAATTTAGACCGCCGCCTGTTGGACGACCGAGAGGCCCATGATGGTCTTTTGCTACCCATCTTGGGTGTCGAGAGTAAGTCGCCCGATCCGTTACCCTTAAGCCCTCCTTGGTCGGTATCAATAGCCTTGAGCTCAATGTCTCGGCCCTGGTGAGCTCCATCGCTTTCAGGATGCGGAATGCCATGGTCAACCGGCCCCTGTTCATCCCCATCCTCATCCTCATCGTCCATGGGAAGTCCAAGCCGAGCATGCTGGGCACGTTTAAACTCCTCATCTCGCTGAATAGCGGCATCTTCCAAGGTGACTGGTAGATACCTGAGCAGCGGCCCAAATGCATCGCTGAGGAGGAGTTGATATCCGGCTGTCAGAGCAAGGACAAAACACATGACGATGCCCTGGCCTTTGCAAGACGCCTCCCCGGCTTCATTCTGAACGAGGAAAAACAATCCGATCAAACAAATTTCCATGACATAAAGACCGGTGAAAAGTTGGTAGATGGCCCGGGGGAAAAGTAGGCCACCGGTGTCAAAGCGGAATTTGGTAACATAAAGCGTGTTGTAGCGGCAAACGAACCAGAAAAGACCGAAAGTGATGACATTGAACACAAGAATGAGAGGTGCAACCACTGAATAGATCAAACCTAAAACATAAAGTTAGCTCATCATTTTCATGAACACGGGGGGTTGGATTTGATTTACCAATTGAAGCTAATGTGGTGTAAACGGGGAAGAATGAGCCCCATTGCATCTGATTCAAGTTGGTTGTGCGCGCCCACTTCTTCCTGGCAGTTTTATCCAATATGGGAGCAAGGATAAACCAGCTTATCAAGCTAACAATCTGCATGAGAGCACCTGCACTGACAGACATGGCCTGCAGAATCATGTAAGAGAAGAAGTAGTTGCTAGACTTTGGGATGTTAGATGCCAAAAGTGTCGGCCAGCTCGTTACATTAGTAGCGTTGTCGATGATGGTTGAGAAACTTGATGCAATGGTAACGACCAAGAACAGTTGGACAAACAAGAAGGCGAAATAGTACATCTGGACATTCAGTTCGATAGCCATACCCGTGTGCACACCCTGTTTCTTGCTCAGGAAACGAAGACACAGTGGGAGTAATGCCATCAATATAGCCAGGAAAAGAGCAGGCAGGATACCTTGAATGGCTGAAATAAACCAGGAAGGTAGCTTGCCAAGCCAGGCCAGCCATGAAAAAGCGCCTTCTAGATAGGATAGTTGCGATAGCAAGCCGGTAAACGCAACGGGGAAAGCCCATCCAACAACCATTGCACAGACAATGGTGACGACACTGAAGGTACGCAGGTAACGTTCCCACCACTTCATAGACATATTGTCCCAGATCACATCGTCGGGGGAGATTTCCACAATTCGTGGAGCCATCATCTTTGGCAGATGGTGACTGACAGACTGGCAAGCCATGTGTGCAGCAACTTGATGATTGAATTGGATGAATGCGGAGTTCATCAATGGAAACCGCTCGGGGTTCTGCTGATCGATTTCAATCTCCAAGTTCAAACGTGCGAGCTCTTTTCGACAATAGTCAATCGTATCAACCTTCTTGCCAATAAGCCAAATCGTTGGCCACTTCCTCCACTTGAACCAAGGGAGACGCCATGTTTTCCGGTCCTTCTGTTGGATGTATTTCTTCCACAACGGCTCTCCATAATCTTCTTTCTCAAATTTCTCGTTATAAGCAATCGGATACTGTTCTGGGGGCCCCTTATCTGCCTCTTCCTTGTGATGCCTTGCCTTCTCGCTCTCGGACCCTTCTTTGCGATCTGCGCCGGTGGCAGGAGTATCAGGTGCAGTAAGAGGATGCTCATCCGGCTCTGGATCATGTTTCGAATGCTTGGAATAAGAAGAACCGCGGGATTTCCAGAATGGCCGCTTAGGTGGAGGCTTTCCGTCCCGACTGGTAGTACTGTCGACCTGGATTGGTTCTGGTGTCTGGGACGTGGGGGTGTGCGGCGTGAATTCGGAGCCAATGGTGTAGGTAGGAGAGTAGTCGTTGTTTTCTTGGGGAGTGGATTGGCGAGGTGGCAATGCATCAGGAATGGATTCAACAAAGCCTCCACTTCGGGCCAGTGTGTGGTCAAAGCCACCTTCCACCTTCTTCAAACCACCTATGACGGTTTTGCCCAACTTTCCAACACCTAGACCGACTGCTCCAGCTGCTGCTAGCGCCGGGTTGAATATGCCGTTCCGAGAAGCGGCTGATGTGTTTCGCTGAGGTCCTTCTGACTCGCCGTGTAGAACCTCCTCCAATGTATGAGCCTGGTGAGGATTACCCGAACTTACACCCTCTCCCATGGCCATTTGTGTTGCGCGTTTGTCGGCCGCCATCCTTTCTCGATCCTCTGCGCTGATGTCACCCTTTTTGATTTTCTTGTCCTTTTTGTTTTTCTTGTCCTCGGCCTTGAGCTGTTTGAGGTGGGCTTCTTTGCACTTTCGAATCAATGCCGTTTCCGCGGCTTCGAGCTTGAGTGCTACCTTGTTTCGCCTTTTTACTTTATGATTTAGCTCATCAAAGTTGCGGTTGATCCAAATATTTCGAATGCCACCTGGGAAGACGTCAAAGAGATTATCCAGGGCCTCGATGGTGAGCCAATCAGCCGGAATAGCCGTGACCAGCACAGTTGTCGCGGACGCACGTAGTCGGTGCTGAGGGGAAGTCAGGTAGGCCTGTCGCATCCGAATATATCCGCGCAGTTCATCGAAAAAGATGGCACAAATGTAGACTATGACCAGGATTGCCATGACCAGATGGGCCCAATAGCGATGGGTTTGGGTGGGTTTTACATTCCCCCAGGCTAGCTGATCTAGACCAGTCACATCAAAGCGAGTTCCGCTCGTACCATTCTCATATGTAGTTCCTTTTCCACCCACTCGATTGATAGGGAGAAGTACTGGCAAAAGCACTAATGCGAGAGGGAGGAAAATCTTCAACAGCATGCGCAGATAACGTAAGAAAAAGTATGCATCCAATCCACTTTTTTGGATGAATTCGGCGCTGGATGTTCGAAAGACTGGACCCATCCAACGAAAAAGGCCCGGGGGCGATGGTGTAGTACGCTCTCGATCTGGAACAAGGTATGTGCGTGGTTGACTATTCTGGTTAGTTAGGGTGTCCATGCGACCTGGGTGAATGGGGACTCACTAGATGCGAGTCAATTTGCCTTTCAGTACCATGAAGAGGCAGAACTCGACTGCGAAGACAACAAAGGCCGTCGCCAGCGAGGCCACGAAGGTTGAAACTGATTCTCCCTCATCCGCCTTTCCATGACCGCCCGCATTCTCTAGGGCCTCTTCTAAGGCGTTCGTCATGGTTGAAAAGTGACAAGGTGAGCTGCAGGTAGCTCAAGCCACAAAATTGCAGTTTGTGGGGTATCGAACAAGGTTAGCGGGCCCCAAGAGAGGCCTAGGTACTTCCCTTGCAGTGATAGGAAATCTCTCTGACTGGGGTTGTGATATGTTGTGATATTTTCTTCAGGAGATGGGAGTTTGAATGGAGGAGTTGGACATGGCCGGGCGAGGACCCAGAGGTATGCTCTGATGGGAAACAATGGGAAGGCGAAGAAATTGGACAACAAAGGCGCTAAGTACATCAAAAGTGGAGCAACCCTATACCTGTTCTCGTGGGGGGTCACACAATAATGACCGCAGTGGCTAGCGTTTGTGCTGGCGCCAGGGAAGGTGACAGCTGCCTGCTAAGTGCAAGGACGATGATTGGAAGGATCGTGTTGTGCCGATCGGCTGCACAATGACATCAAGCGCCTGGTGAAACAGCCAAGCAGATCCCGGCGGCTTTCAAAAAGATTGCACAAGCCCTTTTTCTTTAAGTACTCGTAAGTGGCGGGCTTTGTTTCGGTGTCATTTGCTATTTCTGTTTTCTTTAACATGGAAAGGAGAAGAGGCCAAGAGTTTCACCTGAAGGAAACAGCGACCATGAAGAACCTTGGCAAGCGACCTTGTAATCCCCAATCCAATCTCCACCTTTGTACTCCGTAAACACTGGAAAAAGGGGGGATGGGCTGTTGATTGGTGCGATCTAGCTGTGGCGGTGCGAACAGGACCAAAAGTAGGAAAGATCCTCTATCGCCAGCCACTTATATGCCTGATTGAAGGGAGGGAGAAATCCGTTTTTTCTTTGGGGGGTTTAGGGCTGAAGCTATCCTTGGAAGAGGATAGTGGATTGCATTAGTGAAATTACGTAGTGCTAGTGAAGCTGGTGGGTTACAGATGCAATTTTACTCGGTGATCAAAGCCTGATTCGTACTAGCCTTGACACCTGAGGCCATCAGACTGAATTGCTTGTGTCATGTGACTTTTACCTGTGGCTGAGAATTACATAATACACACGTGCTCCCGACCAGGAAACCACTTAACGCGCTGGACGCGTTCCTACCGCGTCCCGCTGAATTTATCCCAATTAGATAATTTTGCTCTCCCTTCATTTCCACTCCTAATAATCTTATCCGTCAACACCACAACTCCCCTCCCCCCTTCTTCATCACCCCCCCCCCCCCCTCCACCTTCATACAACAATAATGTCTTCACCCACAGCTCGGAGGGGTCGCTCCTCCAAACAATCAACTGCGTCGCCAGCCCCTTCCCGTGAGCCCCCCAGCAGCCCAACTCAACAGGCTACTCCTCGTGCAGCCAGACGCTTGGCAGAGGAGCGAAATGTTCTATCCTCATCTCCTATGATGTATCAATCCTCCCCACCCAGAAGCAGCAATGGCGGAGAGACTCCGGATGTTCATATGGGAGAAGCGAGCTCGACCGTGGATGATGGCGAGCGAACCCCTCGTGCGCGCACAGGTCTAGGGATTAGAGGTATGCCACTGAACCTTTTCAATTGAATTCTTTCTATATTTACCAGCGCCAAAAAAAACTTACCATGGAATAGAATCATCCCCAATTAGTTACGTCGCCAGCTCTAGCCCAACTCGCGGCTTCAACCGCACAGATATTCGCTCCGACAATCGGTCGGATGCTTACAGTATAAGCAGCGGGCTGTTTGTCTCGCCAAGTGGCCAGGGTCGTCGAGCTGCTCCTCGTCGGAGTGACCTGCAGTCAAGTGCATTTGGAACAACCCCCTCTCGCAGAAACCGAATTTTTGTGGATTCCAATGGAGTTCCATCCGCCGAAGATGTCCCTCCTTCTGATGCTACTTTCTCGAACATCAACCCGGGTACTTCTGAGGCAGAGGCTTTGGCTGGAACCTCCCAGCGTGTGATCTGGGGTACCAATATTTCGATCCCAGAATGCATGTCCGCTTTCAAGAAGTTCCTGTACAACTTCGCCCCAAAATACCGCATGTGGGCGGATGGTGCTTCAGAAGATGAGACCCGGTTGCTGGGAAGTGCTGTTGATAAGCCCGAGTATGTTACCATGTTAAATGATATGTTGCGACTCGGTGTGAAGACTATGAACCTCGACCTCAAGAACCTAAAGTCTTACCCCTTGACCCAGAAACTGTGGCGCCAGGTCCAGCAATATCCACAAGAACTTATTCCCGTTATGGATCAAGCTGTGAAAGATGTCATGGTCGATCTGGCCCTGAAAAAAATGGATGCTCTCCGTTCTGAGAACCAACGCCAACGCGGCCAACCCGTTCTAGCCTCTGACGGTGTGACTCCCCAAGACAATGTACCTGACCTTGTGACTGAAGTCGAAGATGGGGACTACAAGGTTCTTCCATTTGGCTTGGATGAAACCGTTAATATGAGAGACCTTGACCCAGCTGGTATGTTGAACACAATCACTCAGCCAAGAAAAGAAAACATGTGCTAATACACTTTATAGACATGGACAAGCTGGTCACCATCAAGGGTTTGGTTATTCGAGCAACCCCCATCATCCCTGACATGAAGAATGGTAGGCGAAATCTTCTTTCTGTTCGTGTCTTTTCTTCTTCCCTCGACTAATTTGATCATAGCTTTCTTCCGCTGCAGCACTTGCAGCCTTGGTGTTCAGGTTGATATTGACCGAGGCCGTATCCAGGAGCCTACCGCTTGCCCCCGAGACTCGTGCAAGTCGAAGAACTCCATGCAGATTGTCCACAACCGCTGCTCATTCACGGACAAGCAAGTTATCAAGCTCCAGGAAACTCCCGACAGTATTCCAGATGGACAAACCCCTCACTCCGTTTCACTTTGTGTGTACGACGAGCTCGTCGACGTTTGCAAGGCTGGTGACCGTGTCGAAGTGACAGGTATCTTCCGTTGCAACCCCATGCGCGTGAGCGCTCGCCAGCGCTCTCAAAAGGCCCTCTTCAAGACTTATATCGACACCCTTCACGTCCAAAAGGTCGACCGCAAGAAATTGGGCATCGACATGTCGACTGTCGAGCAAGAGTTGTCCGAGCAAGCGGCCGAGGCTGGTCAGACCCGCAAAATCTCCGCCGAAGAAGAGGAGAAGATCAAGTTGACTGCCTCTCGCCCGGATATTTACGAGCTACTCTCCCGATCGGTGGCTCCTAGTCTTTACGAGATGGATGATATTAAGAAGGGAATTCTGTTACAAATGTTTGGCGGCACTAATAAGACCTTCCAGAAGGGCGGTAATCCTCGCTACCGTGGAGACATTAACATTCTTCTCTGTGGTGATCCTTCGACTGCAAAGTCTCAGCTCCTGCGCTACGTACACAAGATTGCCCCCCGCGGTGTGTACACTAGCGGTAAGGGTTCCTCGGCGGTCGGTCTCACAGCCTATGTGACCCGTGATCCCGAGACTCGCCAGATGGTGCTGGAATCCGGTGCCCTGGTTCTCTCCGATGGCGGTACTTGCTGCATTGACGAGTTCGACAAGATGAACGAAGCTACACGATCGGTCCTCCACGAGGTGATGGAGCAGCAGACTGTTTCCATTGCCAAGGCCGGTATCATTACCACCTTGAATGCCCGCACATCAATTCTGGCGTCCGCCAACCCCATCGGCAGTCGCTACAACCCCAAATTGCCCGTACCACAAAACATTGATCTACCTCCCACCTTGCTCTCTCGTTTCGATCTTGTCTACCTCGTCTTGGACCACGTGGATGAGACTGAAGATCGCCGGTTGGCGAAGCACTTGGTTGGTATGTATCTGGAGGATCGTCCGGAGAACGCAAACGCGGAAGAAGTGCTTCCCATTGAATTCCTCACGGCCTACATTACCTACGCCAAAACTCAGATCCAACCTGCTCTGACTCCGGCCGCTGGTGCTGCGTTGGCTGACGCCTATGTCGCCATGCGCCAGTTGGGTGATGACATCCGGGCCACTGAGCGCCGTATCACGGCTACTACTCGTCAACTGGAGTCTATGATCCGCTTGTCAGAGGCACATGCTCGCATGCGCTTGTCATCCGAGGTGACTGTTGGTGACGTTGACGAAGCCGTGCGTCTGATTCGCTCGGCCATCAAGCAATCTGCCACCGATTCTCGGACTGGTCTGATCGATATGGGCCTGCTTACCGAAGGTACCAGTGCCAGCGAGCGTCGTTTGCGGGAGGATTTGAAGAAGGCTGTGCTTGGCCGTCTAAGCGATCGTGGAGGTGTGAACCATGCCCCAGTGCGCTGGAATGAACTGTTCCAGGATATGGTTCAACAGAGCGACGTGCCACTTGACAACCAGCAATTCAATGATGCAGTCCGATCGCTCGAGGCAGAGGGGTCTGTGCATGTATTGGGCGAGGGAGGCCGGCGGAGTATTCGTAAGGCGGCCCTGGGGATGTGAAGAAGATGTTGACCATGATTATATTCCTACGATGCAATGATTTGACCGGAGCTGGCATATTCCATTGATATAAAGTTTTTGTCTTGTTTTTAATAGTTATTTTTGATCACTTCAGGTGTTGGATATCAATTTTTCCAATTTTTTTTTTTTCACACTCTATTAAGGCTCTCTTCGTCCAGCTCTTTCGAGGGGATATGTCTAGATGTCTTCAAATTAAATATTTTAGATTCCAAGTTTCTCCTTCCAAATTTATCCAGACTGCCCACATGCATATGTGCACGCCGTAACTTGTAGAATTCCAACATTGGAAGCTTGTCGCGTGAGAACCTTCCATGTTCGATTTAAAAAAGGATCGCCCCACCTGAGCACCTGAACACGTACCTATGTCTGCATGAACATGTGAGATAGTACTAGTTTATGCATGGCACATCAGCCCTGGAGGGTAATTTTGGAATAAGACCTTGAAATGTACTTGGTAGGTAAGACCCCTTGATGTGCATGACAGTATGTACACAAATTCAAAAAATTGGTTGGTGCTTGGGTGAGGACGGAAATGTGATTTCTCATTTCAAGTGCACGGTACTCCGTACATCGGAGGTGATATGTTAAATGTTCTCATGTCCTCTTTTTGTTCCTATATTTGCCTCATTCTATACGGGTCCTCGTCCCGAGGGGTCTCCACTCGGATTCTCCGCGGGTCTACTTCGGCTTTGGTAAGAAAGAATAAGGCCACTGCCGACTTCACGCCCTAGTTCGTTTTCGGCTCGGTTAAGTTGACTCATGCACCTGCTGAAAAGAGAGTAGCATTAAGGTTTTTTTCTTTCTTTTTTTCTTTTTCGTAGTATCACATGAAGTATTTCTTTTATTTTTGTTTATTTTATGGTTTGGGGCGCATACTAAAAGGATTGGTTATAGACAGGGTTCACCTGGATTTGGATATGCTTCTTCCGGGTAGACAAAAACGGTAATGTGTCGCGTGCTTTTTTTTTTCTAGTAGATTGAACTCGAAATCCAAACCAAATGCCGGGGTTTCCCTCTTGGCAATACAGTTTTCTTTGCCTAAATTCGGAGCACAGAATCCGCTTTGACAGCTCCACTTTGTACCACTTAACAAAACAGTTGTCGCGGCTGAATGCCCACAGTTAACAGCCAATAGAGACTGATTGATTTTTTTTATATTAGGTCCCCGTACGGAGTATCCGGTGTAGATAAGCATCAGGAACCCGCTTCAAGATACTCCGTATGGAATGTTTAGATAGAAAGAAGCAAAATCTCAATCCAAGTAGCACTTGAGGTTATAACAATTTTTTCAAAAATTCTCGTCTATAAATTGTCACGTAATAGGAATTAAAGACTAGTACGTATAGATGATGAGTTTTTTTTTTTTTCCTTCTTTTCTGTTATTTTTTTTTCTCACTAAACGAATTAGCGTCAAACAGTTCAAAGCGATCGTTGCGCACGTGCGGCAGTGACTGGTCACGACGTCAGTGGATACGCAGCTGACTCAGCCATCGTGCAGTGACTTGAACCAATGGAAATGATGGATCTGCACAGCTTCAACGCTGCACGACTCCCAGTGGCTGCAAGTTCGTCCAAAGTCATTGTTCATTTACCAATTCTATTCGTCCCACTTGCCCTTGTCGGCTTCCCCCCCATAAGGGACTAAAATCAAGAATCCCGCGCATACACAATCTGGACCTCGTTTTCCTCCCGAGCGGGTCCAGACTAAGCTAGACCGTTCTCGGGGCGATAAAGTCCATTGGCTTTCCTCCCTCTTCACTTTCCCTTCCTACATCCCAGCTCTTTTCGTGTTCTCCCCATCAAAAGTCAACCTTATTCACCATGAGGTATGTATCAATTCCATCCCAATGCCTCCTGATCTACGACCATGTGCTGCTCTCCTTCCCCTGCATCCCTTGCAAGTCGCCTGAGCTCCGGCAGGAATGCTTCCCCGCATACTAACCGACCCCATCTAGGTTCGGCGAGCACCTTCAATCGTCTATGATTAGGGAGTATTACCCCTTCTACATTGCCTACGACGAGCTCAAGAAAGCTCTCAAGACCGATTTTGTCACCGAGCCCACCCCGGATACTGCCAAACCGCCCCGTCGAGAATGGACTGAAGAAGACGAGAAGGCCTTTGTTACGCTGCTGGAAAGCGAGCTGGAAAAGGTCTATATCTTCCAGAAGCGCAAGAGTGAAGAAATTGTTCAGCGCATCAAGACTAGCGATGTTGAGGTTACCGATATTGTCGAGCGTCTTGATAACTCGGGTAATCGCCGTCCGAGCATCATTCGTCCTCCCCGACCGCCCCCCACCGACGAGGACTTTTTGTTGATGGAGCAGATCCTCAGTGATATTATTGCCGACGTTCACGATTTGGCCAAATTTACTCAGCTCAATTACACCGGTTTCCAGAAGATCATCAAGAAGCACGACGTATGTCAAACCTCCAAACAAAGCTCGATTATTGATCATTCTTTGATTCTAACCCGTTCAACAGAAAGAGACACAATGGCATTTGCGACCAGTCTTCGCTGCCCGCTTGAACGCCAAGCCGTTCTTCAAGGACAACTATGATGCGTTTGTCGTGAAACTGTCTAAGCTTTACGATTTGGTCCGTACCAAGGGAAACCCTGTGAAAGGTGACTCGTCAGCCGGTGGCAGCCAACAGAACTTTGTGCGACAGACCACAAAGTACTGGGTGCACCGCGACAACATCACCGAGCTTAAGCTGGTCGTCCTGAAGCACTTACCGGTCTTGGTCTTCAATGCCTCCAAGGAATTCGAGGAGAAGGACACCGCCATCTCCTCAATTTACTATGACAACCCTGACACCTGGGAGCTTTACCAAGGTCGATTGAAGAAGACCGAAGGTGCTGAGGCTATTCGTCTGCGTTGGTACGGAGGTATGGAGAGTGACCAGATCTTCGTGGAGCGCAAGACCCATCGCGAGGATTGGACTGGTGAGAAGTCGGTCAAGGCCCGATTCTCGCTAAAGGAGAAGAACGTCAATGCTTTCCTGGATGGCCGCATGACTGTCGAACAGGTCTTCGACAAGATGCGCAAGGAGGGTAAGAAGAGCCAAGCAGAGATCGACGACCTCGAGCAGCTGGCCCGTGAGATTCAATACCGTGTTATCACCCGTCGCCTGGTTCCTGTCACCCGTACCTTCTATCACCGTACGGCCTTCCAGCTCCCTGGTGATGCCCGTGTGCGTATCTCGCTTGATACTGAGTTGACGATGGTCCGCGAGGATAACTTGGATGGCCGCCCCCGCGCTGGAAGCAACTGGCGCCGCATGGATATCGGAGTGGACTTCCCCTTCTCTCAGCTTCCCCCAGAGGATATTGACCGCTTCCCCTACGCCGTGTTGGAGGTGAAGTTGCAGACCCAGGCTGGCCAGGAGCCACCCCAGTGGATTCGCGACTTGACCGCTAGTCATCTGGTGGAGGCTGTCCCCAAGTTCTCCAAGTTCATTCACGGTTCCGCTACGCTTTTCCCCACTCGCATCAACCTCCTACCCTTCTGGTACCCACAGATGGATGTCGACATCCGCAAGCCCGTCAACCAGCGCTATGGTATTCAGCGTCCGCTTGCCAGCACATCCATGTCTGCCAACGACGAAGATTCCGACGACGAGTCTCCGGACACTCCCCGTGCCCCAGGTAACGGTTTCCCTCCAGCAGGCGATGATCGCCTTCTGTTCATCGAGACAAACGGTAACGAGTTGGACATTGAGGAGCGTATTGCTGCTCGGCCACTAGCGGGAGAGGAGGACTACCCGCTATATGATTCCGATGATGAGGATGAGGCCTGGGATGATGAGCTGGAAGAGGCTCGACGCGTTGGAGGCGCTTATTATGCCGAGCAACTAGTCCTCTATTACCTCCGCCAATCCGGACACTACGCTTGGCAAGGCTTGATGGCTATCATTCCACGTCCACGACCGACCTCGATGCCCCCGCAAGAGCAGCGTGGAATTGCTGTGCTACAAGGTACCCGCCGGACCCTGCAGCGATTCCAGGCACCCCCTGGCAAACGCATCTTTGTCCCCGTCCGTGTTGAACCCAAAGTTTACTTCGCTGCTGAGCGAACTTTCTTGTCTTGGTTGGAATTCTCGATTATCCTTGGTGGTATTGCTGCCACCCTGCTGAACTTTGGAGTTGATTACATTTCCCTTGCCTCTGCCTGGGGCTTCACTATTCTGGCTGCCGCCGCCTTGGTATACAGCTTGGTACTATACCTGTGGCGTGTGGATAAGATCCGCAAGCGCCGCGATGTCAAGCGTGTATACTATGAGCGATGGGGACCCACAATTCTCAGCATTGGCCTTGTTGCTATTGTTATGACGAACTTTGGATTCCGCATCCGTGCTGGTGGCTTCATGGCTGGTGCTGGAGACCAGAAGAACCCTCGCCACGGCGAGCTGTAAGTTTTTGGGCATGCATTCACGGCGTTTCTTTGTTTTTGGATAGCCCAAGGCGTTGGGAGTCATCAATGTACAATTGAAGCAAGTCAAATAAAAAGTCAATGAACATAAACTATGACCACTTACTTGATCTTTCTTTCTTCAAAAATCTGTAGAGTATTAGGCAAGCAGCGGAAGGTGAATACTACTAGTAGTATGGATGTGGGTAGTAGCCTAGTAGTGACTTTGAAAGATGTCTATGGCCCTTATCACTCCCACTTGGAATCAATCTCATGATTAGACCCCCGATCCTCTTCACACATTACCCAGATATCGACAACCAACTTTACTCAGCAGATCAAATGGAGTATTGGCACCCGGCAGATGCCGTAGAACAAGGGCGTCAGAAAGATGATCTGCGGTCTGGAGTGTATTGACCGTAGTAATTCCAAATCAATCCGCTTGCTCGTAAAGCTCTATTGGCGATAGCTGTTTTTCCAAGAAAGCACGGAGCATCATATACTATACTTTCGAGGCACTGGATCCCGATGCAACCCGTTCCTTTCAAAGGCATGCTATTAATGGTCTTCTTTCTGAGGCCAGGTTTGTGGGTCAAAAGGTCCCTCCAATCACTTGTTGACTCTGGAATCTGGAGTCTGGAGTCTGGAGTATCAGGTGCCACTTGGACGGGTACAAATCCGCCAATAACCGCCAAAATGACCAAGTCTGAATAGCTTCATGCGACATTCCCCACAATGAGCATCATATTTATCTCGCAACCATTCCAAGACATCCACCAGTACCACTGATAATGATCAAATTGCCTTTTTCTACTGACATCTGGATTTGAAGACCGTCGATGGGAGGCTTGGGAACCCTCGTATCCGCGCGGGTACGTCATGAAATCACCGGGACAAATCAAGTTTGATTTCCGAATTCCCAAACGCAGCTTCGAAGCTTCGCGACCGTGAAACACGAGTTGGGAGGCAAGAATGATGATGTAACATGGAAATGGTATGAATATATGTGGAAAACATTCAAATCATATGATATCTCATCTTTGCTACTACATATTCTGATCAACTACGGAAGCAGGATATACCAGTCATGATGAACGTTTCTCATCTATATGCTCGCACAACAGTGTCGCGGCTACTCTCGACACAGACTTCAAAGCGTCTCTTATTAATCCGCGCTGGTCCTGTCCAAAGGAGCTATGCTACTAGCGTACCACATACTACGGGACATCACCAGTCAAGCCCAGGATACGGCCAGCCACACCACAACAGATTGTAAGTGCCAAGCCCCCTGGAAACCTGTGAATGGACTGGGATGTGGGATCTTCGACCCCGGGAGTCTGGGCTAATACATCTGCGAGTAACAGGTATCTACTACTAGCCGCCATCGGCGTCCCAGCTGCATTCTACCTATCACGACGAGGTAGTAGACACCACATGGAGCCCATTGCTACCTTTGACGAGCGCCACGGAATTGATACACATGTCACAGAGGGAAGTCCCGGTCAGGGCAAGGACGCTACATATGACGAGGTGTGTTATTGACGCGGCTCTGTGGACAGGAAGGATGTCCGTTTCGGAACAGAGCTGACAACTTCATAGCCCCGAGCTTGGGGGGCTCCCAAGGGCCCTCACACCATTTCGTTTAAGCAAGAGGGATTATCGGACACCGATGCATTACATCCGTATATGAACGCAACGGGAAAGAGTCAGAAGGGCGAGGGGGATATCGAGACGGCGAAGGTTAAGGGGGCGGTTTCACCTAATCGACCACAGGTGTGAAGATGGGGTGTTGATTTCATTGAGGCTAGGAAGACCGAGAAGTTGAAGATTGTATCAATTTTATGAAATTTGTTAGTCTTTCAAATTGCTGTAACTCAATCATCTTGCTCATTGACAACATATGAAAAACAAAGCTGCAATCCTCCAAAAACCCCCCATTAAAAACATGGTTTCCTCATAAGATACTAGTAGCTAATGGTCTTGACATAACCGATCACATAGTCGGGTGCACCTCCAGTCACAATGACATCCATATTCGGAGTTGACCCCGATAAATTGATAGTGGTTAACAATAACCACGACTTAGCAAGCAACTCTCGAATTCAAGCCCACGAACATGTGTCTCCATCGCTCTACAAATCGACTTGAAGAGAGGAATCTGCATGCTTCCAGTAGTGGTTGAAAAGATGAGCCATGACGCAGGATGGCTCACGCTCGCGAAGCGCACGAAGAAAGCACTCGGTCTCTCGCACAGGCTGCGAGACATGCTTGAAGATCACGCCACACGCGACGTCCTTCATATTCTGGTAATCTCGGTACAGAATATCACCCGGTGGCAACACTGTCAGAGTATTTTCGACAACCTCCCACAGATCATGAAGTCGGAGCTGTAGTTCCATGGCGTAGTACCAGGATTGAAAGTCCTTTTCGCCCTCCAGCGGACGAATGTTCATTTGAATCACGGTATTCTTTTCGTGGCTTTGCATAAATGCGTGAACGATTTTCCGGGTGTAGTTACGCGAGTCAATCTTCCAGTCCTTAATACCCACTAGTTCCTCGTCTTCAAACTCGTCCGAATCATTATCATCGGATATGTCATCATCTTCACCTTCCGCGTCTGTAACATCTTGGGTGAGGTCGACGGTGGCGGGAACTGCAACGGAGTGTTTGCCTTCTGCATGGTTGGCAGTAGTCTCGGCGTCAGTTATTCCCATGTCGACATCTATATATATTAATAACACTGTCAGCTTTTATATTTGAGAATGCAGAGAGGAGTATGAGGGTCTTTGACTTACCCGCATCAGCCTTGATTTCGTCGTCTGTGTTTTCGGCCATTGTAGAAGCGGATGCATCATCGATTGGTATGTTGACCGGAGCTGAGTACGTGAGAAATAGAGAGAGCAGTTAGAAAAGAGAGGAACGATATTGTAAATATCCAGAGGATGGCCAGAGGCGTGGAAAGTCTGTCGGTTCAAAAACATATTGGGCTTGGGATATCGAAGTGGGAGCGCTATTCACCTGGGCTCTCCTCCATTGGAGCCATTTTTCCGTTTGGAAAAATCAAAAGAGGGGGTCGAACAGAAGAAGACTTCAAGAGACGAAGGAATAATTGATGGTTTGGGGGGGTCGAGTGGATGGAAGGTGAAAGGTGAAGAAGTGAGAACGATCACGTTGCCTTTTTGTACTTCACTTTTTATAGCAAGCAAAACAGACAAAGATCAAGACAAACACAAGCAAAGCAAACACACACGCGTCTCAGTGATTTGACCAAAAACACAATCAATGATAACCTCCGAGACAGAACTGTTTAGTATCTATCGTCAAAGCCAGAAGTTTCATCTCAAGACATAGATACAGCATTTAGTACCCGTGGAGTTTCAATGTGAGAACGAGGGTACCTGCACTAGTACCATTAATTTAGTACCTTTTCGTACTAAAGATGTGGTTTCTCCGAGTTTCGGTCGTTACTATGCCAGTAATGAGTATGTGATTTCTGAATGCTCTTCAGTACCCATCAATCTTGATCCAATAGGCCATGGAGCCTAAAGCCTCCAAGTTTGTAAACATGATGAACAACAATATCGCCGTTACTCCAGTAGATTCAACTACGAAAACAGAATGCTGACAGGCACAGGGAGTAACTTTGTAAATCGTGGAATGGATTTGATATTGGCATAACCATCCAATTATCTGGGTTTCTTTATAGTAGTTTAATAACCAGTATGGTGCAGCTCAGTACTCGAAATCATCATCAACGCCTCGTTTGCCAGAGTTCTCCTTGGCCACAGCTTCTTGCTTCCGGTACATTTCTGCGACGGCACGGGTAGTTGTTGCCTGCTCAGGCTTCTTATCATCACGAGATTTGATGAACCGAGGGAAACGCAATGAAACACCCTTGCCACCCCCGGTTGTCCCCACAAACTCATCCGCCGCTGCTTGGTATCGGGGACTAAGAGTTAAATCGGCAGTCTTAACTTCCCATACCAAACGAGGCTCAAACCACACATCTGGTTGGTCTTTGGGTACGGTTGAGTGCGAGTAAAAGGGCTTAGGTCGATCAATGACCATATCCTTCAACTGCTTGTGGAAATCCTCCAACGCCACCTCTGAAAATCCGGTACCGATATTGCAGATGGTCTCGTATTTCTCGTTATTTGGGTTGTACGCGGCCAGAAGGAAAGCACCGTATACCGAAGTACGTTTGCCACGACCATAGTAAGCACCAAGCACGACGAGATCAAGCGAATCGCCGACACCAGCAAGATAATCTTTCTTGACCTATTGCGAAGGTTAGAGGGGTTCAACAAAAGAGGAGAGACTTAGGGAACATACCTTAAGCCAATTCCGACTACGCTTGCTAGGCTCGTACCCGCTCTCAGCAGTATCCAGCATTTTAACCATCAACCCTTCGCAGGACGACTTGACGCTGTCCTCGAGCAAATCTTGAATTTCATCAAGAACGTTGGTGTCACCAAACTGAGCAAACTGGAATTCGCCTTCGACTGGCTGGAAGCACTGGTGCATTAACTCCCGACGCTCCCGAAGAGACTTCTTTACGCAAGGCTATGGGAAAAGTTAGATCGGTAAAAGAAAAGGAAGGATGAGGTATAGATGAAAGAACTTACCTCTCCGTTGAAAAATAGAAGATCAAAGGCAAACACGCAGACTTTGACCTTGACGTCCTCCGCTTTCACGTCTTTTCGCTTACGAGTCATCAATTGCTGGAATGGAAGGACCTTCTTGTTGAGAGTATCCCAAGCAACGGTTTCACAGTCCAAAACAAAGCTAGTCACGTCGTCTTTGACCCAGGTGTCTAGCTTACCCAGCACATCGGGGTATTTCTTTGACAAATCCTCGGAGTTTCTGGAGAAGATAGCAGACAGACCCTTGGCATCCCTTTGCAACGTAGTGGTGGATGCGGGGAATTGCTCAATTGCACTTGGGGCCACAAAATGAATCTGAGCCCGCTCTCCATCGTATTTGTACTCGCAAGTGAACTCTTTTCCTTCAAAGCGGTCGAGAACTTCGGTGATTGATTTGGTCGGTTTGGCAAGCATCGGCTTGAGAGGAACACCCGGTTGCAGCTTACAGACGTTGGGAAGACCGGATAGACCGTGTTCCAGCATCGCGGGAACGATGACTTCGTAGGAAGGAAGCTCACTGTACACGGTCTTGAGAATCGCTTCGCCCTCGGCCATTTTCTCCGGTGTAGCCTTCTTACCCTCCACCGCGGCCTCATGAGAAACAATTGCCTGAGCTAAAGATACAAGCACAGTCCTCTCAGCTAGACCAAGTCGTAACTTACCCTCCAGAAAGCGGACGATGAACTTGGCCTCACTGGGTCCACCCTTGTTCTGGGTAATATCCACTCCCTTGTTGCCTTTGCCTGCAGTTGCAGCATCCGCTGCAGATAAGAGCTTTTTGATCCCCGAGATCTTCTTGTCTTGAGATCCATGCCCACTTACTTTGGCAATGGAAAGCAGGCCTTCATGAACACCTCGAACGGTGAGAGCCTTAGGTTTGAACATGGTAGGTTGATTGGATCGACTCTTAGCAGCCACAAGTCCCAGGTCACCAATCTCATGTTGGTCGGTCTTGATAACAGCCAGACTGCGGCCAGTACACTCACCAATGGCCTTCATGATCAAAGATTCTCCAATACCCAGTTCGATACCAGCGTAATCAGCAGCCAGTTTGTTGATCATCAGTTGAACGGTTGGTAGTAAATCCCCTGGAGTGAGGCGTAAGACCTGTTGTAGGAACTGGGAACAGTAGGCCATGATTATAAGGCGTTTCGTGGTCATCTCGACCAAAGAGAAAGTAGTGCAAAGTGCCGCATATGGGACTGGGTCACCCGCTTTCCAGTCAGGATATGGATCGGTGCCGGTTGACGTTAGAGTTGCCTGCACTTTCGCCATTGTCTTTTTCTTGGCCTCGGGCTTGACTTCCTCGTCACTTTCTGACAGTACTTCCTCTTTGTCTGATTCGCTACTCTCTTCAGCGACGTCTTCTTGATCCGCGGGTGAATTTTTCAGCATTGGTTCAGGGGACGCAGATTTGGTAGGCTTGGCCGCAGGTGACTTGGATTGTTTCGCCGGTGATGCCTTCTTAGGACTTTTTTGGGGGCTTGACTTGGGAGTTAGAGAGCTCTCCTTTTTAACCTTGCGACGGCGTTTCGAAACAGGTTGAACGTCGGAAGCATCACTTTCCTCCGCCACGTCCACCTTTTCTCGTTTCAAGCTCTTTGTATGTTCGGATTCGTTCGCCTGGTCGGAGGTAGTTTTCGGTTCTTCTTCTTTGACGTCCATATCATCTTTGGTATCGGTAGCAGTAGATGCTGCAGAATCTTCTACAGCATCATTATCTTTTCGTTGTCTTTTGCCCCCGAATGCCAGAGTTGTTTGTTTCTTTGGAGCTTGATTTCCATTCGCATTAGAACCAAAGAATCGTCTAAAGAAAATGACAAGTTAGTATCAAAGAGAACAGGACTTGGCGAAAATGCGCCACTCTAGGCCGACACACCCGATAGTTAATTGGGAATCGCGCACATACCCTAGCGTAGCCTGCTTGCTACCCTTGTCATCCGCCATGATGGTTCGTGGAGTGAAGTGACAAGACAATATAGTGAGTCCACGACAAGAATGGGCGATCGAGGGATATCCTTGCAATTGGCCGTTTCTGTGACAGATTTGGGTGGTGATTTTGTGAAAATTAAGAGTCCGTCCTGTATTGATGCGGAGATGGGGTCGTAAGCAGGAGAGCGATATAGGCGCCAATCTGGAGGATAGAGGTCGCATAGGCAGATTAATTTAAGCAAGATCTTTCGGACGCAATTCCAGTTTGCTTAAATACAGTGATCTAGCAAAAAAAAAATCAGGACCAGGCAACAAGAGCTTGGAAGCCTTCAAGTTTGGACTTTCAGGCAACATCAAGCCCCAAAATGTTTCTCCACGCGACTTGACGCGACACAGTCACGTGGGACCCGTATTACCATATTAGGCAGTATTGGGGTTCTGCCCATAGTAAAATCTGACGTTCAAGCTGTGACCGCCTAGCCCTACTTTTTTAGTGCTGGCAGAATACATAATCGATAAGAAGGCGGCATCGCGTCAACTTTGATTACTTTCAACAATGATCCACAATCTGCACTTGATGATAATCAGTGTCACGGCCGCATGATATGGTTCACAAACCACCGCAATAATGTCGATCATGAATGACGATCAGCGACAGCAGTCGTTCAAACGGGTGTGCAATTACCAATGCCTATTTGACTCCTTGAGACCATCCTAACAAATCCGACAGTTGCGTGAACCATGTGTGGAGCTACACTCAGTTGGCACAGCCTTCCGAGGCAAAACCGCCTCTGCTGAAGATGTGACTCGGGCCCTTGAACCATTTCACTCGACCTTAAAAGAACTTGCGGAGCAGAATAAACTGGACGCTAAGCTTGCTGAATATGCCTTTTTCCCTCTCACTCATATCTTCAATGATACACAGCGGGTGCCGACACGGTGCCTTGAGCAAACAGTGCAATGCTTACAGATCCTGGTTACAGCCGGTTGGGGTCGAAAGATACCGCCGTCACTGGGCAAGGAATTCATCATTTTTCTGACATTGTTGGTGGGAGGATCACCTTCCAAGGTTGGACAACAACCGTCGAAGAAAGCAACAGAGGAGCTCTCGATAGCTGGGTTTGAGTGTTTGCAGATGATTTTCAACGTCCTGGAAGGCCCAGGTGCGGACGACGAGATCTACCACAAAATTGGCAGCGCAACGGTAGTCGATCAAACCGTTTATGTTCTATTGGATGGAATTGCGGATGAGAGATCAGACGATGTCTGCGTTGCGGCTGCCAGAGCTTTGCATGCCCTTTATCTGCGAATTACAGACCGTGTGGTATTGGCAAGCATCATGCCAAGAACTATTTCTACGCTAGCCAAAGTGGTCAAGCCTACAACCCAGACTCGCCGGTCATACAAGTTGCTAGACATATGCTTACAGATCTCGAACAATATCTTGCAAGCGGTACTAAATGACCGCGTAATCGCTCAAACAGAGAAGGCCACACCTTTACAGCTCGAAACGGACAAATTGACGCTTGACCAGTCTTGGCTGAAAGCAACAACTACGCAAATCAAGCTAGCATTGGTTAATCTGATTCAGGTCCGGCGTCATCAACGACCAGAAGTTCAGGATGCAATGCTGAAGCTCTGTGTCATGGTGATAGAGGAGTGCCAAGTCAGTCTTAAGGATGCCGTTCCTTTGATGGTTGACACAGTCGTGGTTCTTGCGGATAAAGAAGACGCATCGAATGAGGCTTATAATACACTCATTAATCTCCTTGCCAAACATCCCATCGTGTTGGATTCTCTCCAGGAGTCGGTTTATGAATGGCTCAAGTCATTTCCCCGGATAATGCAAAGCAACGACGAAACGGCCAAGCAGTGGGGAATTCGGCAGATCTCAACGGCCTTCCAGGCATTGTTCGAGGTAAAATCCATGTCTGACATACTGTTAAGCAGCTTGGCATCTGGTCTTGGTGACAGTATTGCTGTTGTCGTCAAACTCAGCAAAAGTGAGCCGCAAATTCTGGCCTCTACTACTCCAGAAAGTTTGAACCTGGATATTATGGGCCCCCGGTCTTTGTCTTTAGAATTTGGTCCAGTTCTGTTGGAGCATCAAAGCCAACAACAAACTCTCAGGGACTTGCAATCTATGATAACCAGACTAAACTTATCCGAATCCGGGAATGCGGTGACTCGCTTAATTGTCAACCGACTGCAAGCTAAATCGGACGAAACCGTCGTTGGTCCTCTCTGGTTAGCCTTGACGTCCCTTCGCGCGCAATCAAAATCCATGGCTGTCTTTGATGACTTCCTCGTGGATGACCTTTCAGACCAATCTCTGTCTCTGTCTAAGCCTGCGACAATGATTGACGAGTTGTATTACAACTCGTTTCTCATTTTGAATGACTTACCAGCCGATGGTTCTGGTGACTGGCGAACACTGGCCCTTGCCTTAGAGGCAGTTTCTCTTCAAGCCCAACAACTCGGCGAGGCATTCCGACCAGAGCTCATGGATGCTCTGTACCCCACCCTGCAGCTTTTGGCATCTAATAACCCAGTTCTTCAGCAACATTCTATGACCTGTTTGAATATCTTGACCAAGGCTTGCAATTACCCCGATACCAGGACTATGGTTATCGAAAACGCGGACTATCTGGTCAACTCGATTGCTTTGAAGCTTAACACCTTTGATGTTTCCCCTTACCCACCGCAGGTTCTTTTTATTATGGTTAAACTCTGTGGTCCGCAACTCATCCCGTATCTGGATGATGTGGTCGACTCTATTTTTGGCATTGTGGACATGTATCACGGTTATCCAAAGCTAGTGGAATTGTTATTCAAGTCTCTGGCGGCCATTGTTGAAGAAGGAGCAAGAAATTCATCGCTCTTGACAATCGATAATGGCCGTGAAAGTGGACCTCGCCATCACCGTAAGATTCAGCACCAGCATCTTTCAATTTCCACCATTGCCGCGAATATTTTAAAAAGGAAATCCAAGAGTGTCCAGCATGACGAAGAGGAAGTGGATGCTGAAGGAAAAAAATCACACCCTAAGAAACCTTGGTCAGAGACCTACGACAAGCCACCACCAGAACCCCAAACCGTCGAAGAACTACTGAACCAAGCGGAATCCGACGAGCCACTTCCACCACCCAAAGAACCAGAGGACACTGAGAAGCCACTGAGCAAGACACACGCTCTTCTTTTACACATTGTCAAATCTATCCCATCCCACCTTTCTTCGCCATCGCCGTATCTCCGACGGTCTCTTCTCGCCATTCTCATCGACGTTCTTCCCACATTGTCGCAGAACGAAAACAGCTTCCTACCTCTGATCAACGATCTCTGGCCCTCGGTGGCATCTCGAGTCATCTTCCCTTCTTCACTTGCATCCGAATCCTCCTCAAATAGCCTCATAACTCAAGACACCTCAAACTCTATCCGCCCCGCCAATCAACCCGATACCCAGGTTTTCCAAGAAGAAACTTTCGTCATAAAAACAGCATGCGAAGCTATCGAAGCTATGTGCAAGGGCGCAGGCGACTTCATGGCCTCTCGCATCGAACCCGAATTCCCCCGCTGGGAACGTCTGTACCAACGCGTCTGGACAAAGGTCAAACAAGAAGCTGAAGCAGCAAACAATCGCCGTGATCGTCAGCAGCGTCTGGAAAAGCAAGAACAGGCAGGTTCCAACGCTCCAAAGATGCTGATCCAAGACATGGACACCGACAAGGCCTCGACCTCAACCCCAAAAATCAACTTCGAATTTACATCTTCTCTCGCCCTGTCCCCCCTGACATCCGGATCTCGAGCCTTCACCCCACACCACACACTGTGGCGAGCTCTAATCTCCCTCTTCCTCGCCGTCCTCACGCATGTCCGCCTGCCTCCCGACATGGGTGATCGAATCTGCGAGATTCTGGGCGCCTGGATTGCACTTTTCGTCGGACCGGCATACTACTTCCATTCTTCTCGGAATTCGGATCCTGCGGCTCCTGGGCTTGCGGGGCTGGACGATGCGCAGAAGAGTATGCTTGACTCGGTCGATTATGTTATCCGTGCAATGGAGACATGGAATGAGGATCTGACTTGGTTCATTTTTCAGCGCCAGCAAAGTCAGTTGCAGCCTCCTGCTTCTAGACAGCTCGTGTCCCAACATGAAGTGGAGGAGATGAACGTGGAGATTGATGGGGTGGTACTTGCGTTTGCGAAGCATGCGTTTTAGGCAAAATTCACTACAAACATTATAACATAATATCTGAATGAAACACTTGCCTTCAGCGCATAAAGATCTTTTGCTTTCCCATTACTAAATTTAGGACTGTGAACTACGAGCGACTGGGTTGATCTTATCCCATCCAAACATTGAAGGTTCTGCCCCTTACTCTGTGAATATCATTGCAGGCTTTTGGCCTGCGATAAAGCAAAGCATATACGCGGCCGGTACGACTTGAAGAATTTGAACATGTGCAATGGATAGCAAAGGAGTGGCAATTGATGAGCTAAACTAAACTAAAGCACTATCCATTCAGTCTGATTGGAGTCCATAGAAGCGCACGACCTCGGGAATAATCAGGAGAATATAAAACCAACGTAACGAATAGCAAAACAATGGCAAAAATCAAAAACAAAAGCAAGAAGCAAGCAACGGACTAAATGGCGTGAAACCGCTTAATCGCTCTCCTCCTCACTCTCATCCTCGCTCTCCGCGTTCTCAAGCCACTCCAGGAAGGGCTGGGCAGCCTTGCGAACCTTCTTGCTGATCGACATGTCGACGTACTTCTTGCTGGCCTTGGCGCCCCAAGCCTTGAGGGTCTCCTCGGTCACAATATCATTCTGGTAGTAGGCAAGAAGAATGGCGGGCACCTGGGGAATCAGGGCGGGGTGGTCCTGGCCGAGGAAGCGCTCGGTACCACCAAGGAAAGCCTTCTCGTGGCGATCGGAAGTGATAAGCTTCTTGAGCAGACCGGCACGAGCCTCGACCTGTTGGGCGATCTTCTCATCGAAAATGCTCTGGGCCAGAACAGCGAGAGTCTTGTGCTTGCTCTCGATGCCGAACTCCTTGGCCTTCTTGTAGATCTCGATGTCCTCGACCTTAGTAACGCCGCCCTTCTCCTCGGCAGTTTCGATGATCCAGCTACCCAGCTGCTCGTAGGAGGAAGGACCATCGGCCTCGTCACCGTCAGCATCCTCAACAACGACGGCCCGCTTAAGGTCATCGGGAAGATCCTTGGCGCGAGCCTTGACGGCCTCCTCAGAAACGTCAACGGCCCAGTCGTCGTCCGCGATTTCCTTGTCCTGCTCCAGCTGCAGTTGCTTGGCCTGGCGGACCAATTCATCGTCGCTGCCGGCCTCGAGGGCATCATCGCCGTTATCATCGCCACCGTCCTCGGAGCCGTTGCTGTCACCGGGGCTAACATCTTCGCCGTTGTTCTGCTTCTCCTTCTTGGCCTCACGGCGGGCCTTCTTGTCCTTCTTCTCCTTCTTGCCGCCCTTAGGGTTGTTGCGGACAATAAAAGTGCTCAGCTTCAGGCGGGGGTCAGCGTCGCAACGCTGGCCACAGGCCTTGCAGTCAAGGATAATTCTCTCGTCCTTGATGGAGACATCAGTCTCGGGGTTCTTGCACTTCTTGCAGAGGACAAACTTGGTGATGAAGCCATCCAGGTAGTCCTGGAGCTTGTTGGCGTCGTGGGCACCGTTAATGATCCAACGGTCGTCGGTCGGCTTAGCGTTAGCCTGGGCACCGAGTTCAAAACCGAAGTACTTGATGACATAGGCAGGAGGACGGCTGAGAGACTGGGCGACCGAGTTCAGGTTGACAATGACGGTCTTGATACCGTTGCCCTTGCCCTCAATCTTGGACTGGAGCTTCTCCATCTTGTAGCGGTAGAAGGGATCGGAGATATCCCGGCGAATGTTGACGGTAGCCATGATGGCGGTTGGTTTATTTTAGGACGTGAATCACGAAGGCACGATTGGCTTGGGGAAAAGGTAACGGGAGGAAATCTTGAACGGAATCTTGTCGACGAAACAAGACATGCGTGTCAAGAGGGGTTTTGACAATTTGTATGTTTTTTTCTTTTGAGGATAGGATTCTGATCTACTGAACGAAGTGATTTCTCACGCGTAGGTCAAAGAGGGGGATCTAATGAGGCCGAAGGGGGTTCAACCACAAGAGCGAAGGTGTATACTGCAAGGTTTCGACGCGCGAAACGTTTGCAGCTTGAGCGGCAGGTGGTGTTCGAAATGATGCACGGAGGACGAATACATAGACGAGTTCGCAGTCGACTTTCTGGCAGTGTTTCTCTTGGGGGCGAGAACGACCGAGGTTGTTCTAGGAATCCGAGTCAGAGGCCGGAGACCCTGGTTAAGCTTGCTGAAGAAAGTGATGATGGCGATACCGAAGTAAGCGCGGGGTGGAATTCAAGTTGACGCGTAAACTGTATTCACAGCTGACGCAGGGGAACAGAGGCTTCGCAGTGAATTGTCGAGGCCTTAAAAGAAGATGTGTGGGTTGAAAACAGAAATTGAGCGGGCGAAAATGGAAAGAAGAAAGCGTTTTCAAAAGCGGGTCTGGCTTACCTCAGCCGGCACGTGGTCTCGGGGGGCGTTGTCAAAGGAGCGCCATCAAGAGTTATGTGCACGCGTTCAACAACTTTGCATGTACTACTAGTATATGAAGTTATGTCGGTGGATTAGCTGTCAGAAAGGTAAGAATTGAGAAAAATATATTATTTATAGCCCAGAGAAAGTGGCAGGCTTTTCAAAGTTCTCTGGTCATATTCATGAAAGGCGTTTCAGAGCTTCATATTGTAGCGTACATATTGAGAGATGAACTTGACCGGGTCATTTAGAATGTGCGTCGTTGTAGCCATCCGATCCGTGGCTTTAAAGCTGTTCGGATTTAGCGGCCGAAGCGGAATTCACTTGGAATCTGATACAACGGAGCAAATCTAGAGTTGATTTCAAAACAAGCAGAAACAAAGAGAATCGCAGAGAAAGAAAAAATGTATAAAAAATCAAGGCAGTCAAGATCAGTAGATCTAATTCAAGTTTCACTTTTCTGGGCTGCCTTGAATATGTCATCAAGCTTGGGCATAACTACATTGTTGTAACTATACTACTAGTTACTAAACAAAACGAAGGAAAATTTAGAAAATTTAAAAAAACATTAAACCTTGAAAATCTGGCACTGCATAATGAGGTCAACCCCTCCGAGCGGCCGAGCCCCACCAAAACCCCCCCCCAACAGCGGGATGAACCTGGTTCGCGATCGCCGTTTCCCGGGTCCTTTTTTTCGCGCCAGTTGTGCGTGAAACCTCGGATAACCGCATTAATCTACAAACATTTGACCCCAAGATCCACTCGTTCAATTCTGTATAGGTCACAATGCCGGTGAACCTGTCACTGTACCTGGTCACGGACTCGACCCCCGCCATCTTGAAGGGGCGGGACCTGTGCACGGTCGTGGAGGATGCCCTAAAAGGAGGTAAGGGCCCTAGAAAAAAAAAAAGGATACTCCGACGGAAGGGCGAGAACTACCATGCTAACCACTAAATCTCGCAGGTGTCACGGTAGTGCAATACCGGGACAAAAAGAGCGATACCGGAGATTTGGTTAATACGGCCAGAAGGCTGCACCAAATCACCCAACGCTATCAAGTCCCACTACTGATCAATGATCGAGTGGATGTTGCACTTGCTGTTGGGGCCGAGGGTGTCCACTTAGGTCAGGATGATATGGGTATGTTGTATATCCCTGGACTATTTCTGTACTCCAGACTTCCAGCTCGCATTGCCCGTTTTCGGTTTCCCGCGGAAACTGATATCAATTGAACTAGACATTGAACTTGCAAGGAAGCTTCTTCCTAAAGATGCTATTATTGGCATCAGTACATCGAGTGTAGAGGAAGCTCAAAAGGCCGTCGCTGATGGGGCCGATTACCTTGGTATTGGAACTATGTTTGCCACGCCAACGTACGTACATGTGTGGCCCCATACTGCATCAGCGGAAAAAGGGACTAACCAAAACACCGATCTAGAAAAACAAACACCAAGTCTGTCATTGGAACAGCGGGAACTCAGGTCATTCTGAATGCCATTAGTCATTCTCCCGTTGGCACTGTGTCGATTGGTGGTATCAACCACTCCAATGTCCAGCGGGTGCTCTACCAGTCGCAGTCCCCGAAGAAGGCCTTAGATGGAGTGGCTATTGTGAGCGCTATTGTGGCTGCCGATGACCCCCAGGCTTCAGCCGAGGAGTTCGTCAAGCTCATCGCCACACCTCCTCCGTTTGCATCGACTAACATATTTCCCTCGGCCCACAAGGCTGAGGCATTGTTGACTCGGGTGCCACAGATCGTCACCGAGATGGTTAAGGTACACCCACTGGTACACAACATGATTAACTTTGTAGTGTCTAACTTTGTCGCAAATGTCGCATTGTCCATGTAAGCGTTGGCTTCCCTTCCCGTATATTTTACTGAAACACCCGAAACACCCTAGGCTAACCTCACCAATAGTGGCGCGTCACCAATCATGTCCCCCTACGGCGACGAAGCCAAGGATTTGTGCAAGTTTGATGGCGCTCTTCTCATCAACATGGGTACATTGACCAGCGAGAGCGTGCCTAACTATGAGAAAGCCATCAAGGCGTACAACTCACGGGGTAACCCGATAGTCTATGATCCCGTGGGCGCTGCTGCAACAGAGATCCGCAGAAGTGCAGTTTCCCGGCTTATGTCTGGCGGATACTTTGATCTGATCAAGGGCAACGAAGGCGAGATCCGCCAAGTCTGGGGTAGCAATGCAGTGCACCAGCGTGGAGTTGACAGCGGACCAAGCACCCTCGACGGGTCTCAAAAGGCCGCTCTTGCACGAGACCTTGCCCGACGAGAGAGGAATGTTGTGCTGATGACCGGAGCCGTCGACTATCTCAGCGACGGGCACCGTGTGATCGCCGTGTCTAATGGCCACCCATACCTAGGCCAAGTAACAGGCGTATGTTCCCAATCCTCCCTTCTCCATGTGTCGTTATGGTTGTTAACAAAGTACTTGAATTAGACCGGATGTGCCGTCGGTAGCATTTCAGGCTGTTTCTTGACAGCCCACCGCTCTGACAAACTCCTCGCTGTACTGTCGGGTATTCTGATGTACGAGATTGCAGCTGAAAATGCTGCAGCCAAAGATTACGTTCGCGGCCCTGGTAGTTTTGTGCCGGCCTTCCTGGACGAACTATACGCCATCCGTACGGCGGCGGCTAAAGGCGATGACAGCTGGTTCGTCGGCCGGGCGAAGGTGGAAGAGGTGAAGATTTGAATGTAAAAAATATGTGCAAGAGTCACGTCACAATCCAATACTCCCTATAATAAATATCGAAATAGCTTTAAAAGTCTAGGCAAATCTGAAGAATTCTGGGTAGCGTACATACGGAGGATATTATAGAAATCTCCCCGCCGTACAAATTGTTCCCCTCGGCCGCTCTGCTTCCCCGCAATCTCCGATTTCCCGTCCGCGGGTCTTTGAGTCCTCTCTTTTTTCCTTTTTTCACTCTCCCCCATCTCAGAACCTGCAGCCCAGTATTCAATCGCTTGATTGAAAATCTAGCATCAACATGGCTTCACTATCACGCGCCTCTCGAATCCGTAAGTACCGCCATTATAACCACCACTCATTTACTTGTACTGATATAAAACGCTAGGTAACCCCGCACTATTGTATGTCTACTTCGAATCACTCCCAACCAATCGATCAGTCCCCAGATCGAAGATATATGACTATAGATACCAAGCTAACGCGATACCCATACAGTATATGCGACATCCAAGAGAAATTCCGGACCAAAATCTACGAATTCCCCAAACTGTCAGCACCACCAGCCCCAGCCCATCCCATTGACCCAACAAGCCCAGCTAACACAACCCCCGCACAGAGTCACCACAACCAACAAACTAGTCCGGACAGCAAACATCCTCAACTTCTCAATTTACATCACGACGCAATCGCGCACGAAACTCGGTGAAACCGTCTCCGAACTGTCCCCCCACCTGCAAGGCGACAATGTCAAGGCCGACCTTGACAAGACGCTCTTCTCAATGATCACGCCCGAAATGACTGCGAAGATTCCTTCTGATCCCGCTGCCATGGATGCTATCATTGTGGGTATCGAGACGCATATCTGTGTCACGCAGACGACGCTTGATCTGCTATCACGTGGGTATAGGGTTTATGTTGTTGTGGACGGGGTTAGTAGTGTTAATCCTGGGGAGAGGAAGATTGCGCTCGACAGATTGCGGGATGCGGGGGCTGTGATTACGAGTAGTGAGAGTTTGCTTTTTGAGATTTTGGGGGATGCGAATCATGAGGTGTTTCGGTCTGTTAGTGGGTTGGTGAAGGAGACTATGGAGGAGACGAAGGTGGCTTTGGAGGTCTTTGCGAAGATTTAGGCTTGCATGTTGTTATATAGCGTGCAGTGTTCCTGGGATTGAAAGGATGCGAAGTGCATACTAGTAGTATGTGCGCTTGAAATTTTACAACTTGGAGCCTGAATATGAATGTAGTTCATTTTGAATTGCTGTCATATTAATCATGACAATCCAACTGTGGATGTCGTCGCTAACTGGTAAGACTAATTGGAAAGTAGATGTCACTTAGTAGGTGTATGGTTAAAACGGTCGAAATGACATCTGTCATACATTTTCCGTTCCCTGAATCCTAGATTTGTCGCTAAGATACAGATAATTGCCCATTTCCTTTTGTGGCTGTTTCAACGGGTTCGGCTCGCATTGTTGGAAGAGTTGAGCCATCCAAAGGCCGAAGCGCCACCGACGGGGTTTGTTGCGGACGTCACAGGGGAAGAGTTAATGTCCGTGGACGGGAGGCCGGCAGATTTCGGTGCTGTGATAAGCGGGTCCGTGTACTTTGTCGCAGTGGGCGTGTAGGATACTGCGCGATTAGACAGCTTGGTTGGACGAAGGACTTTCATAGGACGGGCTGGTGCAATCTTATCAACACCAGCAATGGGGTCAGGCTTTGGGTGACGCCAAGACTGCCAAGCACCAGCAGGCTCGGGTTTAGGAGTAATGGGTGTATCGGAAGCCGGAGCAGGTTTGGGATGCGAATCAGTATGCGCCGGGACTTGATCTTGCAGACAGAGCTTCTTCACCTCATCTGCATTGCCAACAGAGACGCGAGCCGAAGCAGGTGCTGACATTGATTTATGAGGGTCATTAGGCTGCCCAATAACACCGGCATTTCCCTTCCCATTTACCATGGGTTCCTCTGGTTTATGGTCGGTCTTGATCGCATTTGGGGCTGTTAGCAGAGTCATAAAGGCAGACTCCTTTTCGGGGCGCACGAGGGGAATGGAAACAATATTTCTTTCATCGTCAAGCATGAGAATCTTGTTCTTCGAGAGCAAAATATCAGCACCATGTGAGAGAAGCACATCACTCCCAATGATCACCTCAATCGAATCCTCTGCGTGATTTGTCTCGCGTACGAAGAATCGAACTGTTAAAGCCGGTACCTGAGGTTCAGGGCTTTCGGAGCGAGAGGGAGTTTGGTGAATACTGGCCTCTGTGAGATATACGGGTATCTTGACAAATTTGTTGCCATCCTCGCATACTACCAAATCCTCCAACCCGAGGTTGTGGATAGTCGATATTCCCAGGGTCGACATGTAAGAGCCAGAGCAGACTGCTGCATACAAGAGCGTGTCATTCGAAAAATGAGTTGTCAACCAGCATCGGATGATAGATGGCACGGGTCCCAAAAGCGCCCACCCAGGTGGGGGGATGACGGGCGACGAGTCACCGTAAGACGAGCTTAAAAAGCGACTGGTTTCCAAGCCCATACTATTGGTTCGAGCCGAATGAAGCGAGTGTCCAGAGGAGCTAAGTCGGCCATCTGACCGGTGAGAGAGTGTCCGCTCGGTCATTTGGAAGCTTCCCATCCCACTGCCAGTACGGAGTGGCAGATCAGAATTGGCCCGATTGGCCTGTCCATACCCATGAATAGCACTCTCGTCAAAACGCACACTATTGGCCCGCGAGGCACCTCGTCGCGGTTCATCATAGCTTTCCATGGCCATGGCAGAGCTGGACATCCCGTGGTGAGGTTGACCTTGGTCAAATCCTTTGAACGCGTCGTGTGGAGAGTTGTCAGGGGGATCTGAGATGAAAGCCACGAATATTAGCAACGCGACCGGTAGTCTAACTGAACTCAACGCGTACCTGTAGGGATAGGGCCTCCCAGCGGAGTAGTAGGGAATGGAGAGAGTGGAGCCCAAACACTTTTCAGCCTCGCATCATCGTCCCGGCGGCGCTCAAGCTGTGCGATCCGCTCAGCGTGCTCAAATTGTGCAACATGAAGCTCTTTCAAGTCTTCATATATGTGCCAAATTTCCCGCGGGGCGGGACTGAACTGCGCATCCATTGCCACCGTGTTGGTGGGCTGGGATTTCTCAATGACCCTTGTAACCAATCACGCCCCTTGCCCTTTAAGACCAAACTTCAAGGGTAGCCACCTTCTTCCCCTTCTACCCCGGCCTCTGAAATCGCTGATGGCTTCCTTTGGCTTCCTCCCTCCTTCAGTGTGCGTGACGACCCACGGGGCCGTCCTCCGAGCTGTGTGTTACAGGGGGTTGTGGTCTCGTCGACGAGAAGAGGTGGCAGGGAGGTCGGAAAGTAGGTGGTTCGGAAACGAAGTGAAAGCAGCGCGTAGGAAGGAGGGTTTAATTTCGATATTAGAGCCTGGAAAAGGCAAGGTTGGCGTTGTGAATATTGACGGAGTTAAGGTTTTGAAGTGAATTACTCCTCAGTGTATTGCAGGATTGATGACTATGAAGTGAGGACTGGTAGACGACCCAAGGAAGGAAAACACGGATTAGTTTCAGAAAGTTCAGAAAGTAAGATCCAAGATGGAATCGATATGATATTTAATGCAGGAATCGAATCTTGGAGAAATGCAGTGGAGAGGAGAGCGTCATATGCAGGAGGGGAAAGGAAGTTGATCTAGACCGCTCCCGTGCTTGCTCCACTAACGGCCTTCGCAACACGGCCTTTATTATGGACGTTGAATGGGCCGTGCTTTATTTTTTATTTTTTAAAAAATGAAAGAGAATTCGCTAGAATTTATAAAAGCTGATTGCGTTGGTGGCGTCGAGGCCACTGAGTGAAAACTACCAGATCTAAGAGAGTATAATTCATTTAGGCGCCTCAGGCCACGGAGGATAAACCATCGGCAGAGCTTCTGGGCCTTGTTCAGGCCAATTAGCCTTGAGTGTGTTCAGCAACTCAGAGTTGACAATGCGGTATCCAGCGGCTGTCAGATGCAATCCTATATACAAGTCAGTATAAAAGATTCCCGATCTCCCAATGGAGGCATTCTGGGAGTTGTAACGTACCATCGGTGAAAAGATCGCTGAATGCCTTGCTATTGGGTGCCTCTCGAGATCCAATGAGAGGCTGGCCTTCTGTCCAACCCACCGACGACGTGAAGGCAGACCAGATATCCACCACTGGAATCTTCAACGATGCACCGAGCTCTTTCATTCCCTCGGCGTATGTCTTTGTGATAGCGGCAGTCCGGCTGGGGTGAACAGTGTTTTTATCATTGTCGAAGCCCTCCAATTGGTATTCGTTCACTGGTGGAGGAGTAATGAAAATAATGTGGGGATTTTGGGCAAGCATTGCTGGATGTTGAGTGATTTGCCGCAGGTTCTCCTTGTACTGCTCAAGAGGAATATGCTGGTTATGTCCAGGAACTGCGGCATCATTGGCACCGAAGAAGATAGCCTATCAATTCTGTTAGCCAATATTTTATGACAAGATGGCTGACAAAAGCACGTACTATGAATCGCACTGTGGCAGTCTCCGGCGACGGAAAGAATTTGGGAAAGACTTTGATGGCATGGGCACTGGAATATCCGCTGTTGTAACTTGCGTGTTAGGGCATCGTTGAAGTAATTGGGATTTTTGAATGCTTACGAAAATCCACGGTTCAGGACATCCAACTTGCGACAGTATACTATGAAAAGGGTTAGTGGAAAGTATTCATCTCCGGAAAAAAAGAGCTTACCGTCTTGCAATGCTGGCTGAAAGCCAAATCCCAGATCCTGATTGCTGGAAATTTCGGTGATCGAGTCTCCAAAGAGGAGGAACTGATCATACGGCTTGCCAAAAACTTCATCGGAGACCGTCATGGTGAACGAATCCTATAATAGGTACAGGAAAGAAGAAAAAAAGCAAAAAAGAGAGGTTTACAAGGCTACTGAGAGGATATGCGCAGGTGTTTTGGGGTTTAAGTAAAATGGCGATGGTGAAAGGTGGTGGGGGTTTGTTTGAATGCTCCGTGGACAAAATGGCGAGTGGAACCGCATCTTATCTTTAGCTTGGGTTTCTCCACCAATTGTCATGCAGCTTGAGTGATTCCCAAGGGACAGCAGTTTACACAATTCCATGTTCACCATTTTCTGTTTAAACTCCCACCTCTGTTCTAGACGGTATATACTAGTATTCATGGATAAAGAAAGCTAAGTGGGGGAAGTTGAGAACTACTACCATATAAGTATGGAAATTTGTATAGACCAGACCAATCACCATCCACACTAAAAGCGGTTACTCGTCGACCAATAATAACCAAAATCGGTGGCTTTGAGTTGATCACGTCGCTACTGCGTACTTGACGGATCTTATGCACGTTTAATCCCCCAGAATTTGCCGGTGGCTATGACTTCCGATCAACGTGGAGGCCAAAGCTTATAAGCGATAGCACAGACAGACGGTTTTCGATAGTGGCAACAAAGCAGACTTAAAACCTGTTGACTAAATCAGTATAGATCCACAATTTGATGGGTATCACCCCATTCCCTTTCTCAAGGCCATGTTTCTGTGTAAGCTACTGGCAACCTTGAGACCCACCGCCAAGTGATCGGCTTCGGGGGATCAGCGTGTTGGACAAGTCAAGTGGCGAGCATCACGCAGCACAAATGTCTCAGCGGTGTGCTTCTTTCACCTACCTTATAGGCAGTTGAGCCAAATGACCTGTCAAGATTTTCAAGTGTGTGAGAAATCCGTCCAGTCATTCGTCCGAACTTTTCCGATCCAAAAAAGGGGTCCTGGTAAGTATCGTCTAGGAGCAACATGAAGTAGATCTTGACAGTATATGACACCGTTAGAGCATACACCGCATACACCGCTCAGGCCTACGGTACATTCCGAGGTACATAGCCCCAAGTGTCAAGTGTCATGGGGATGAATTGGGGGCGTTATGCTCCCCGCATCGGACCCTCGCTTTGTACTCCAATAAGCTGATGTGTGTGATCCGACCCGGGGAGAAGCGGCTTTCCGTAGAATGGCATCCCGACGCAGGGAGATAGAAGGGCGTGGGATAAAACCCAAAATTTCGCATAGATCAAATCAAATTGAATTGGATATGCATCCGAGACGGCTTGGAATGCGCGATGCAAATCCAACGTAAATTAAACAACGAATAGTGTAAATAGTGTGGAGTAAAGGGTAATCGATGCGCGGTGGGTCCGTTCTCACCTGACGCGTCCACATCATCTGCTGCCCGCACTTTTACACCTTCAAGTTGTTTATGACAGCCGTTTGAGACCCTGGAAGTATTGTGCAGGTCATGACTTCCGGTAAGTTCAATTTGTTTCTTCCTTCTAAATCTATTCCATGTCTAGTATGCTCTCTCATGCGGACCCCCTACCTCAGTTGCCGAATGTGCCGTACTCGGGTCTTTGAACCGCATCGCTAACTCCACTACGTTTGAAGGCTCCAGCACTACATACCGAAGCATAGACGCTTCAAAACACCATGCCACGCTCAGTTCCCCAAATAAACCCCCCTTCGAGGGGTGAGCCCGATGAAGCTCAAGGCGATACCCAAACCTCCCGCACAGCTCCCCCCTCACCAACCGCTCACCGCCGCCGAAGCTACCTCTCCGAAGAGCATACGGGCTACCAGTCGCTGGATTCTCATCTCGAGATCACCGAGGCTACCAGTCTCCTAGGATCGGTAGACAACCCACAACGCCGAATGCCGCGACGTTCATATACGAGTATCTCAGGGACATCGGGTCCGGATTCGCTACGATACCTATTGGGTGCGGGGAACTTGCGCCGTAGAGGCAACCACAGCCGGGCGAATTCCATGAGGAGACGATTCAGTCGCCGGAGCAGCTTTGTGGGCGAGGAGGAAGTTCAGGAAGAGGGCGAGGACCGCCAGGACCGCCCGGCCAGTTTACCGCCATCGACTAAGAACGGTCTAACGGCTTCATCGTTTCTGGACGAACGCACCTGGTACGATCAGTTCACTTCGACAGATTGGGTGCATGACAGCATTGCTGATGCAGCTCGTCTGCGTCAGTTGCGGCGCCGGAAGGATGTCCGCGGCCGGTTACTGTCGTGGTTCGATGGTGCGCAGGGCTGGATTCTCGTGGCCTTAACTGGCTGCATTACGGCGGCGATCGCCTATTTCGTGGATGTTTCGGAGGATAAAATGTTTGATGCGAAGTTTGGGTTCTGCACTACTCGTTGGTTTACCAGTCGAAGTAAATGCTGTGCGGGAGTGTCAGATTGTGACGCTTGGCACACATGGGCGCAGATCTTTAGGCCCTCGAAGACCGATGATCAGTGGGTGGATTTTGTCATGTTTGTTGGATGGGTGGTTGTTCTCGCGATGATCTCGTGCGGTCTCACTCTGCTCACAAAGACAGTCGTTCCATCTTCTGTTTCCCTGTCCACCCTCGACGAAAATCTTGGGGCCGAGGGCCATTTTAGCGCTGCTGGTTTTGGATCACCACAATCGGTGACAAGCCCCCATGGAACTTTTCCCAATGCTCCCCCACGCCCGGCAATGGTCTATTATTCGGCTGCTGGTAGTGGAGTGGCTGAGGTCAAGGTGATCAACAGTGGTTTCGTGCTTCACGGATACCTCGGTTTGAAAACTTTGGTCGTCAAAACTATTGCTCTGATCTTTAGTGTTTCGTCTGGACTAAGTCTAGGAAAAGAGGGACCTTACGTCCATATTGCCACTTGCGTAGGCAATATTGCTTGTCGATTGTTTGCCAAGTACAACCAGAATGACGGCAAAAGACGAGAAGTGCTAAGTGCTAGTGCAGCTAGCGGTGTGGCTGTTGCCTTTGGTGCGCCCATCGGCGGTGTTCTCTTTAGTTTGGAAGAAGTCAGCTACTACTTCCCACCGAAGACGCTTTTCCGAACCTTCTTCTGCTGTATCGCAGCGACTCTATCCCTGAAGTTCCTCAATCCTTATGGCACAGGGAAGGTCGTTCTATTTGAAGTGAGATATCTCTCAGATTGGGAGATGTTTGAGCTTTTTATCTTCATCTTCCTTGGTATACTCGGTGGTGCAGCCGGTGCACTATTTATCAAAGCGTCCAGTTATTGGGCCCGCTCTTTCCGTCGAATCCCCGCAATCAAGCGCTGGCCGATGTTAGAAGTCTTTCTAGTGGCAATTCTAACCGGTTTGGTCAGCTTTTGGAATCGGTATACCAAATTGCCCGTCACTGAACTTTTGTTGGAGCTCACCAGTCCATGTGAACGAGTCTCCAAAGATGGGACGGGATTATGTCCTCCTGAGGAGCATATACTGGAAACTATCCAGTATCTTCTCGTTGCATTCGTCATTAAGAGCTTTTTGACCGTTGTCACCTTTGGCATAAAGGTACCTGCTGGTATATACGTTCCTTCCATGGTGGTTGGTGGTCTCATGGGCCGAATTGTTGGTCATGTCGTCCAATACTGGGTTGCGAAAAACCCAACCTTTTTCATGTTCAACTCATGTCCAGCTATCCCTGGCATGGAATCGTGTGTGACTCCGGGCGTTTATGCATTGGTCGCTGCAGGTGCTACCATGTGCGGAGTAACTCGCCTTTCGGTGACATTGGCTGTGATTCTATTTGAACTGACCGGAAGTTTAAATCACGTACTTCCTTTCTCCCTCGCAGTACTTTGTGCTAAGTGGACAGCTGATGCGATCGAGCCACGCAGCATTTATGTAAGCTCTCACCCAACTCGCATTGTATCTGAATAAGAAATCTAACCTTTCACAGGACTTCCTTACCGACATGAACGCATATCCATTCCTCGACAGCAAACTGCAACCACTCACTGACGCTGAGCTGGGTGATATCGTCCGGCCTGCGCGCAAAGACCGCATCATCGATATCTCAAACTCGCCCTTCGTCGCCGCATCGGAGCTCCGTTTGAAACTCGAGCACCTTTTGATGGCCGGTGAGCTGGATAGCGGCCTGCCAATTTTGTGTCATGGTGTCTTGTCAGGGTTGATTCCGGCTCCGGACCTGGAGTTTGCACTTGACACCCTTGAAGACGAAGACAACACACGTTGTCTGATGGCAATGGACGCTTCTAGCGCTGTTTCTGACAGCGACGACGAAGATACCTTGCAGGAAGATTTCACGCGTTACATCGATCCCGTAAGTGAATGGCTGTATCATACTGCTATTACGCTGGTGCTAATTTTTGACTCGTTGTAGGCTCCAATTGCCTTGGATGTGCACTCTCCCATTGATTTGGTATACCAGTGCTTTGCCAAGCTAGGCTTGCGGTATCTATGTGTACTCCAGGATGGCCACTATGCCGGCCTTGTACACAAGAAGGCATTCGTGAAATTCATTAAAGAGAACGAGTAGGTGGAATCCACCTCGATTGGTCGTTTGCATATGATTTTGACTTGAGCCTGGCGTTTTTGGCCTGACGGTTTTTCTTTCTTTGCACATTTCTTTCCCGGGCATCTTGCATAGCATCCATTGCACATTCCCTCCTTATTTCAAGTTTGTATATGTCTTCATCTAGGCACTGTCTATAGAGCCCTCGTCGTGCATACCCAATTGGCATTTTGATTTGACCCTTCATATGTCTGCGGATTTCGCGGGCATATACGGACACTTAGTCCTTTTTCATAACACAATCATTTTTCATGGACAATGTCCCCGCATTAAGGACATACTGGCAGTAAATGCATTGCTAGTAGTGACGCCAATCTGCATGCAAATAGTCACAACGATAGAAACTCCATCAAATATCAACATCAGTCCAACTTTTCAAACCCAACCATCTGAACCTCAACCTCTCCCTCCCGCTTCCATTCCCCAGTAACTTCCTCCCCAACCCACTCCGTCAACTCCTCAGGACTAGCACTCCTCCACCCATTCCGCTGATCCATACTATCCAACGGCCAGAAAGTATCACACTCAAACGGCACCTCATCCTTCCCATCCGGCTTCCTCACAACATTAGTCATAACAACCCTAACAGGCCTCCGCAAAGCCCCAAACTGCATACGCAACGCAGCCCCATAAATCTCCGCACCTCCAATCACAAAAATCTTGCCCAACCGCCCCTCAGCCCCATAAACAGATTCCAGCTCGGAAAGAGCAGCGTCCAAGCTCGGCGTCACAATCGCATCTGTAATGGGCTCACCTTCGGCCGGCGGGACAGAAGTAGCAGTAGCAGTAGCAGTAGCAGAACCACCAGCGGCGGCCGCCGCCGCTACCTCCGCCGCCTTAGCAGCCATCTTCGCCTTGCGCGCCTCCAACTCTTGCAGAACGCCCTCACGGACGGAGCCGGTCGTATCGCGCGTAATTACCACGCTGATGCGCTTCGCGAGCGGGCGCAGACTCTTGGGCACCGAGTCGTATGTTTTGCGGCCCATGATGATCGCGTTCGTGGTGCCTGGTCTTGGGGCGCGAGACGTGACGCGCGCGAAGAAGCTCATGTCCGCTTTGATACGGGGCCACGGGAGGGTTCCCTTGAGGCCGATGCCGAGGCGCGTTGTGGGATCATGGTCGGGTGTTGAAGACGCGACGCGGATTGGGGTCGTCGCGACGATTAGGGTGAGGGGGAGGGAGGGGGAGATGGCATGGGGGGTTGTTGGTGGTGGCATTTTGATCATATGTTGCCCAATTTTTTTGATGTCCCACAGGCTTGGAAGTCTGCTTAGGTTGTCAATGGGGAAGTGTAGAGTTATAGTGTTTCGGGGTGTATGGGACTCAGGAGAAAAGTTGTTTATCGGATAGCTTATCGGGCCCCGCGTGGGGTTGAAAGGGAGATTTGCGCGAATCGCAAAATACGTCGCGCTAAACGATAATGTATAGAGCGGCGAGTAAGAAGTTTTGAGGTTTGCCTTTCCGTGGTTCTAGATTTCTGATTGAACGTGGTTTGGAGGCGTCAACCTTTCGCAAAGATGTTAGTCCCCTTTTTATGAATGGTACCACTGCATAGACTTCAACCAATGAAGTTTAGTGGAATTGGAAACCTCTAGATAATCGCTGAGTTCATGCTTTCCCCAAAGATGGTGATTTTCTTCAATTAAGCTCCAATGAGTGCTCGGTCTCATGGGTATAAGCTCCAAAATGGATGAAATACAGTTCAATGAGGAATTCCTCATCAATCGCGAACCAGCAGCAAAAAAATAGTCAAAATATTCAAATCTTGTATTTGTTCAATAGTAGTACCAAGTAAATGCAGTAATAATATAACGCCTTACAGCCCCATTTGCCCGAACGCCGCCAGGGTCATGGACCCGAATGCAATGACATGCTTAGGTAGCATCCGCCTTATTCCCCGGGAGACAACTTCGATAGTCCGCCCCCCTCCACAGCCTTCTGCACCGCAAGGACATCATTTTCAAGCTTTTCGCGGCGTTGCACATCCCGAGCATCCTCGCCGAGCGTGTCGAGCTTGCCAAACAACCATGTCTCCTTCATAGTTCGGGTCAGAGCGAGAATATCCTCAGCAGCGCGGATCTATAGGGACCCAATTGAGATTAGTACACTGTATGCGTGCAGAAGAGCAGAGAGAGCCGCCGATTGCAATGCGATCTTTTCAAATCGGGCACAACTGCAAGCTAAGCTTACCAGGGCTGTTGACTCCACATCGAGTTGATATGTTTCCACGGCGGTGGATGTATAGCTAGGATTGTCCACCTGAGTAATGCGATGAGTAAACGAGTTTCTGATGATTTTTTTTTGTTTCAGTCGGATCTTACCGTGGCTGTAGCCATGATATTCTCGAACCGCTGTAGCAACTGAGAGATATCTGTGTTGATACGATCTGTCGAAGGTGCGCGAGTCAGTGGGTTGTTCTCAGCATTCGATCCGCATGCTCTTTCCATTGAGCGAGAACATACTGTGCAAGGCTTTTGCCGTTGGTTGGGACTCCATCTTGAGGGGTTGAAACTTAATGTCTTTCGAAGACTTAAGCTTCGGTTTGCGAAGATGTGAAGTTCGTTGCTTGTCTACAGCCATATCGATAAGCCTGGGCGGTGAAGAAGATGTAAAGTGGGGCGATAAAAAAGCCCCCAGATTCGATAGGTCCTTTCTTCTGCGCTTACTGTAATGCAAAATATTTTTGGGAGGGATCATTGATTAAGCTATACAATGCTATTCATTTATTGGTGTATCACGGAAGTTTGTTTCACGGCTTAACAGATATTGCAAAACTGGGATCATTCCAGGCACAAGAAGCCGTTTTGATCGATACCCATCCCAAGCACTTCAATCTCTTTGTCTACCGTATCGGAGTGACTATAGATTATCGGCCAGCCCAGATATTGGCGTTAAGCGTGATGTGGCCGAAAGGGTTGAGAGTGGCTCCAGCAAAGCTTCAAGTTCAGATTGTAAATGTTTGCAGGTGAAAGGGTCGGAATTTATCGAACGTATTTAGACTGGAATCATAGTCAGCGAATGCGATTTGAGAGTTTCATGAAAAGCCAAGCACATACCATAAATCTTTTGTGGAAGTCGGAACGCAGCAGATCCTAGAAGCTTTATTAGTATGCAGCAATACATAGAAGGGTAGTTAGTAGTAAAAACTCACGTTGACAAACTCCTTGCCATCTTTGTTCTCCGTGCCTCGAGCTTGGTTCTTGAAAACCACATCATCATCCCATCGTCGCTTCATGTTGAAGTCCTGTGTGTTGAGAAGTGGATTCCCTCGAGCAATGTCAACTTCTCGTTGCTCCTCTTCTTCGGCTGCGCGTTCTTGTTCCTGAGCAATGGTTTAGCATACGCACATCAAAAGTTAATCTTGCAACGGGGCGCCACAAACCTCTTTCTCCTTCTGTGCCAATCTTTCCTTCTTGATCATTTCCAGCTCGCGCATCAACGCAGCCTCGTCGTCATCGTCATCGCTATCCTCCTCTTCACTGCTATCTTCTTCTGACCCGTCCGAGTCCGCATCGAGGTCGCGTGTCTCTTCTAAGATTCGGCGCCGTTTCGCCTCCGGGTCCTCAGTCTCACCTTCCCCGGCCTCAGAATCCGCGGGGGCGGACTCGAGCTGTCGTTTCGGGGTCGCGTCAGCAGCAGCTGTGTCGTCGACGGAACCGCCGTTCTTCTTGGCAAAGTGTGCGGCCTCGGCCTTCAGAAGCTCTGCGCGCAGGTCACGAACATCGGTATCGGCGTCACCACCTTGTCCGGGTTGTCTGGGTGAGGTTAGTAGGTGTAGGTGGGATCGGTGGGGCGTGGCATAGTTTTTGCGTACCGGACTTTCAGGTGTTTGTGTGCAGGAAGGAGGCGCTGGTGGTATGCTGGACCGAGGAGGGCCTCTTTGCCTTGCGCCTGTTTCTATTAGTATTTCATTGGAACGGAGAGTCGGGAGTTTAGTCGTACCGGGTCGAAGGTGGGTCTGTGGGCTTGAAAAAATGTGAGTTTCTCAGAGATAGAAGTGCCTATGCGAAGATTGACATACCAGTCGTCATATTGTGAGTGGTTTGGGATGAAGTCTTGAGAAGTGAACTCTGGGAGGTTGACCTTTCAAGGCTTGGCGGCGGAGATGGATTAAGGAATTGCTGATAACGCAGTCAACTGGAGCGTGCAGGTCGTATTATGTCATCCCGCAACAAGGTAAGTCCGATCCGAGGTACATATCATCACGCAGTCGTCATTGTTATTTAAAGCTAGAATGGGCAAAGGTGAAGTCGAAAGCAAATCAATTAAATATATTCCAAAAAAAAGAAAGATAACAGGTATGGCTTCCTCATAGAGAGATCGAAAGAGTAGTAAGCGAGGTGAGAACCTCAGAATGGCGCTATAAAGTATTAGAGACAGTGAAGTATATACCTCCAAGCAGTCGTAGTTTTGTAAGAGATAGAAAGAAAAAGGGGCCATAAACAATAACTGAAAGGGAAGGGAGATGGGAATAGCTTCATGGAATGACAAAAAAGGGAATAATCTTTTTTTTTTTCAAAAAAAAATAATTCTAGTTTGCTTACAATGATTGAAATGTGACCAAGGCCCCTCTCTGCGTAAACCATGGTGTCAGCCCCGAAATTGATCGGGGAAATGCTTTGGTTTCAAACATTGAAGTGATCACCTTTCATTGACCTAGTAGGATATGAGGTTAGTAGGATATAATCGACTGATCTTAGGGATCTACAATGATCAACTGGTGATGCTGAGGTCATTCCTATACTCTCTTCTTTGAAAGAGTTTCCTTGGTGTCCCAATCACAGATCTCAATGCTATACACGTGTATCTGATGGCCAAAAATTACTATGAGCAAGGGATGAATCCACCCATGGATCCCATGGATCGATGGCAAACTTTAATGCATCTGCTGTAGATGTAACAGATGTAACAGATGTAACGTCTTATTCAAGCGAAATAATTGAATGTGTCTTGATAATCTCTATGAGTAGCAAGGGAAAGTGGGATTGTCATTGAATTCACCGGGCAGAGCGCCGACTCTCAAAAGGGCCTTCCTTCTCACACTCTCCTATTTTTCCGTCCTTTCGCTTCCTCAACAAATTTCCCTTGCTATTCCTTGTGAGGCACTGAAAAGATCGGATCGCACCTTACTAAACAATTCATTCCGATTTTGACAGCTATGGCGGCAGAAGGCAAGAATGACATGATCTCTTTTGAGATTCCAATCAAAAAAGATGGACTTGGAGAAGAAGGCACGGAACGCAGTGTCATCCATGCAAAGGCTGGTGGGCTGTTTGATCCTAATCATGTCAACCTTCATCGCGGGCTCAAGGCACGGCACATTACGATGATTGGTACGAGAAGCTCACGAGAGTCACGGTATGGCAAAACATGTCGATTAACGAGTTGCAGCTATCGGGGGCGCCATTGGCACAGGACTTATTATTGGAACCGGTGAAGCTCTCGCAAAGTAAGTTTGTCGTTCTCATATCCTCATTAGATGAGAGAAGCATTTGCTGATTCTTCTTTCCATGCAGGGCTGGAGTATGCATACAAATTTTCCGAGTCGCCGCACAAGCTAACTTTTTTTTATAGCCCGCTGCCATTTTGATCGCCTACTCCTGGATGGGGTTCATCGTTTACCTTGTTATGTGTGCGCTTGGAGAGATGGCCGCTTGGCTTCCACTTCCTTCTGGCTTCACAGGCTATGCGGTGCGATTCTGTGACCCGGCGCTCGGATTCGCATTAGGTTGGACGTAAGCAACTATCAGTGAACAGACTCTGGAAGCACTTATTAACCTCGACAACAGGTACTGTTGCAAGTACATCATCTCCACGCCGAATCAACTCACTGCGTGTGCCCTTATCATCTCATACTGGATTCCTGCAACGAAAGTCAACCCGGGTGTTTGGATCGCTGTTTTCTTGATACTCATCGTCTGTATCAACTACTTTGGCGTCAAGTTCTTTGGGGAATTTGAGTTCTGGTTATCCTCCGTCAAGGTTATCGTCATCTTGGGAATCATCCTTCTTTCGTTCATTCTCATGCTAGGCGGAGGCCCAGACCATGACCGCAAGGGTTTCCGCTACTGGAAGGATCCAGGAGCGTTTAACACTTACATCAAAAAGGGAGATGCAGGAAGATTTTTGGCTCTCTGGTCAACAATGGTATCAGCTACTTTTGCTTATGGCGGAACGGAACTAGTTGGTATAACCGTCGGTGAAGCACAGAACCCACGGCGCACGATTCCCCGAGCGATCAAGTTGACCTTTTGGCGGATTATGATTTTCTACGTCCTTTCCGTCTTCCTCGTTGGGACTTTGGTACCGTTCAACTCTAAAAGGCTTGCTTTCGCCATAGGTGCCACTAGCTCGGCTGCTGCTTCGCCGTTCGTCGTGGCTATCGAGCTGTCCGGAATTCCGGTGCTCTCGCATATCATTAACGCATGCATTCTGATCTTTGCCTTTTCTGCCGCAAACTCGGATCTATACATTGTGACTCGCACAGTGTATGGATTGGCGCGTGAATACAAGGCCCCAAAAATATTTGCTCGCACCGACCGCCGAGGAGTACCTGTATTTGCCATGGGAGTTCCTACCTGCTTCTCGCTCCTTGCCTTCATGAATGTGTCGAACGATTCTAAGGTGATTTTCAAATACTTTGTCAATCTCGTCACAATCTTCGGTTTGCTCACCTGGATTTCGATCTTGGTGAGCCACATTTATTTTGTCCGCGCCCGAAAGGCACAAGAAATCCCACTGGAGAGCTTGGCATATGTTGCCCCGCTGGGCGTTCGTGGCTCCTATTTTGCTCTTGCTTTTTGCATCTTCATCGCCTTCACAAAGAACTATGATGTCTTCACGCACAATAAGAAGTGGGGGAACTTCGACTACAAGAGCTTCATCACGGCTTACCTTGGCATCCCACTATATTTGATTTTCATCGGTGGGTACAAGCTTGTGACAAGGTGCAAGGGAGTTGAACCTGAAACAGCGGACTTGTGGACGGGCAAAGATGAAATTGACTGTGAAGAGGCTGCCTATATTGCGAAGAAAGAGGCCGAGAGTCAGAAGCATGCTCAGTCGCACTGGATCTACCAGAAGTTCGTGTCATGGCTGTTTTAAGAGAACAGCATTTCCGTATGTATGATCGCTTCTCGGGGGTTTGCATCTGTCAACTGATAGCGTACCCAGGTGACTTTCTCAGCCGGAAGGTGATGGTTGCTTTCCCTTGCGAGGGAAGTCTTTTATCCAATACGTCTGCAATTTTAACCAGGACTTCAAATGTGATATTTCTAATTTGCGATCATTAAGTCGAATTCGAAGCAACAAAAGTTATTTCAATTAGCAAAATCAGAATTCCAACCAATTGCCATCCTATACCAAAAAGAACTTACATGTATCCCACATTAGTATAAGAGCTGTCAGAACTTAACCTCATATCCCCGCACTTAGGCGCCAACCCTGAACGGCCCCCAACCAACACTCGGGCACAAAGCCCACCAGAAGACCGCCACAATGAGCGACTATATGCACCATCTTCGTACTATTGATTTTCTAGACAGGGATCAGGGAAGGATTCGGTGCGGCTCTTACTATCTCGCACCGCCCAAAGGAAGTGCAGATCGAGATAGCCCCCAATCGACCTTCACCCGGGTGAAATTTTGACCAATGGATAGTCACCGCTGATTTGGGCTTGCATAAAAAGCCTTGATTGTGGAGTGCACTGCGACTAAGCCTTGGATATGCCTGGGCAATAATGCGTTTGGGGCTCGGGACTTGGTCCAGAAGGATTCGCCGTGCGACTGAAAGGGCTCGTGCTTGAGGGAAATACGTCGACGTGGATCTTATTGATCGCTTAGACCGCTTGTTAATGCGGCTTAAAGCATGATCTCGGAGGTCATGTTGACGTGTACAAACGCCGTTGGGATGGATTAGTTCTTTGTGGGTCTCTTGGCTGTGTGGTGGTAGATTATAGATCCAGAGAATCAAGGGAAACGGCCACACCTCGCAAGCCATTCATATTTCTTCTGAATTGAATCGTAATTGAAATTTCAAAAAGCCAAGTAAGGGAGAAAAAAAAGAAGAATACAAAGCTTTCTTTCAAGGCGGCTTCCTGCGCATAGATTCGGAATTGAGGAGACATCGGAGGGACATGCATCCCGAAAGAATTATGTCCACGGCCAATACTATGTACTACTTTCAAATGTTCGGCACCTGGCCAAGAATAGATGGTAACATTGAGATTGAACATTGGTTTCTTTTCAGAGCATTTATGTACCAAATGGATGAGGCTGTGCTCCTAGAGTGTAAATAACAAAAGAATAGTCAATCATTCATATGCTGTATCTCTACATTTGTAAATTCCAGCTATGTGACAATAAAATCCAACAAATATCCACACCGGAACTTACAAATACCGATCTTGGACTCATCATGCAGAGCACAGTTCGCGAGCCTCAATCTGACCGCACCTTTGACGCAAATGCCCGGAAGCAGCCATGGAGCCACGTATGGTTGCAAGCCGAAGGCCCACCAGAGCCTCCACTGAGCGGGCGTATTCATGCGAGCACGTCTTTACGTCCGTGCTCGATATCGTGTGTCAGTCATGTTTATACTTGACTGATACTTGTGCCTTTTTGTGATTGTCGGTGGTAACAAGACGGTATGTGTGAGTTTTCTTGCTCTTCCAGCCGCCACCGACTTCTGGTCTCGGGAGAAGATATGCTGCGGACATGAATTGGAGCATGTGGGAGTGGATGAGAAATTTTGCCGACCCAATTGAGTTTCGTCTCCGCGTCCGGGATCTCATATGACCCTATTCTAGATTCTTGGACCAACGGTTCACTCTTTGTCTGAGCAGCCAAAAACCAACCATGTGGCTTCAATGTTGAATTTGCCGAGTCCCGAACAGGATACTCCTACATCATAAACACACTATCTGTTCAAATTTCGGAGTAAAGGCCGTATGGCATATGTAGTAGGCCTAATGAGTAATGATGCGGCGACAAATTACAGAGCCTAGTAATCCGTGGCTTGATATAATACCTTTCACTGTCAGCCTTGGGATGAATTCTCAAATGCGGGAATGACCATATCTGGGTTAGCGCAGCACATGGAGGGTAGAAGAGCCTCTGGAAATTATATTGTGCAACATCGCAGGCGATAGTGGCGGCATGATGATTATTCTGCGAGGCTCGAGCTCCATGTACATAGTAGTATACGTACTAGTACCCTGGAAAAAAAAAAAAGAAAAAACAAGAAGAAGGAAGCGGGGCCAAGAAGTACAGGCAGTTCCCACTCTTCAAGCAGGATTAAGGATCCCTCAGTCAAGAGTCTGCAAAAAAAGAAGGGTTTTTGACCTATCATTAAGAGCTCGAGGCTCCAGTATCCTGGTTAGTGGAGATTAGCTTGATCAGGATCCGAAAAGCACAATGAATGATTGCGAGATAAACCAACAGAAGAGCCAACAATGGACTAACGGTGGGTTCTGCGTCCCTCGTGTTAGTGTGTGACGGCTTGCATAAGTTCGTTGTGAGTGGATCGAAGATAAGATTGTGGTTGGTGGACGAGCGCCTCAGCGGTTAGAGATATTGATATGCAATTCGTATCCCTGTTATCGTCTCTGTCTTCTGATTGGCCACATTTACTCCATAACCCATAATTAACGCAATATTATTGGTTGACGGCTGTTTCATAATTTACTAAGATTAGCAACCTTTTGACCTAAAAATGGACTTAATTAAGGAACTTTCTATCTTAAGAGCATCCATGGATGCGGGGAATTGTTTACTAGTACATAGTTCTATGGATTTCACTCCCTGCATTTTCCCAACTATATCAGGGGCCATCGCCTCTCTTCTCATCCACCAAAGAAAGGGAAGACCCTTTTTCATAACGAGTTCAATAACTCTCTCCTCTATTCTTATAACATTAAATCCTCCTCATATTACATTTATAAACGTTCATAATGGGCGTCATGCGTATGCCTCGCCCAACGGGCATCTACGTGCCTGCTTCTCCCATCCGCCTCACACCCGAAATGATCTCCCCACCTCTATCCCCCGATTTCAACTTCGACTCCGAGGCCGTCCTCCCTACAATTTTCCCCGCCCTTGAATACATCTCTACCAAGATCCAACAAAGAATGATGCACGTCACCCTCCTCGTCGGCCGTGGCAAACCATTCCCAACCGGCCAAGCATCCGATCTCCTCGTTATCCCCATCACAAAGCTCGACCATGCATCCACTCGCGTCCTCGAGCGCGCAATCGCCAAGGGTGCTCGCAAATTCTCCCTCGGCACCAGCTGGAGCGAAGCTTTAGACCGCAGTCAGCACGAGCGCCTCGCAAACGAATACCTCGTCCAACAATCCATTCTACAAAATGAGGTTCTCTTCAGCCAAGAGGGCCTGACCCTCCTAAACCTTGACCGCATCTACACATTCAAACGCCGTCTCTGCGTTCTCTCCACAAGGCCGAACCCTCGCCCAGAGGACAAGGCCATGACCTCCGCCGTGGCCCTCCTTCACCGTCTCATGGCCGATTTCCAAAGCCGGTCGTTTAGCAAGGCCTTCTTTCACCGTGTCTACGAGCAACTTGATGTCCGCGATGAGCTTTTAACTGCCATCGCGTCTGCGTACAAGAACACACATAAGACCGACGCGATTATCTTGCCGACGCGATTCACGGCGGAAAACTCGAAAAGTTCGCCCATTCGCTTGGTGCGCGTGCGTAAGAATCCGCCGCCGACGAAAACCAAGTCGAGTTTCTATACTAAGCGTGGACCGAAGACACCTTTGTCGGCTTCGGATGTCACGCCTATTACGAGGAATGAGTGGAATATGTTGGTTGGGCAGGATATTCATGAACTTCAGCCTACTGTGACTAAGTGGATCCCTTCTGCTACTGTCTATGTCGGGGCTTGAAGGGGGTTCTTCCCCTTTTCATTACCTAACTCTATAATTGGTGGCTCTTTACCTACCGTTCACGCAAAGCATTCGAGTCGGAGATGAAATTTCCTCTGCTCTTCTGTCGCAAACCCATCGTCGCTCCGGGCTTGCTGCCCATGAAGTCATTTCAAGTGACCGTCGGTCTGAAAAGACTGTTTCATCCTCTTGGCTGAGAACCGCCATGAGAAATTTGCTTCAAGCCTCTGGATGGAACGGAGCTACCCCTCAAATTCAGTGATGCCTCAGCTACTTGAAGTGCGCCGGACGATGACTTTATCCTGTATAATAATGTTACGATGAGATGATAATGACCAAAACAAACACATTTTGCATCGCAATATTTCAATTCATGCCTTTTTCGTAAATTGAAAAACTACTAGTACATTGATTCCTTCGTACACGATGTACGCTGGTAACAAAACCAAAGTCCAATGTTCATTTGAGTCCATAGTCCGAATGAAAGGCCCCATACTGGTAAAACATTCACAGAATAGCTGTCATCTTAACCACCCCAAAAATTGATGCCATGTCCACACCACACCCAGCCTCTCGCCCCCAAAAACCGTATTGAGTCAAAAATTTTGAAACACACTCGGTATGCTCCAAGCCTCTGATGAGCTCGGCCTCGAAGCGGCAAGCGACCAGCGCACCGAAACTCAGACATTTCATTCGTATCAACTAGACACTCTCGCAACGGTGCCATGATAAAGGGCAATGGTCAAGGGCAGATTCCTGCCCTGGGACCTTACCATGGTCGGAAGAGCGCTCAGAGTCCGCTTCGTATCCTTTTTCTTTATCAATCACCTTATCACTCCAGTTTCGATGCAGCAGCGCTTTCGGATTGCATCGGCATAGATCCGCCGCCTTCGCCAGTCTATCATTTTTCAGCTTTATTTTGTCTCGAAGCGTGCACCAACTTCCATTGAGCATCCAATATTTTTTGTTCAGATCCAAAGCCTTCTCTGTGAGTCTTTTTACACCTTCATTGTCGGCTTTTTTCATCGATTTCCAGGTGGCCTTTTCTTTTCGGGAAGTCCTGTGAAGCTTGAGTTGTGTGTGTAGTATTGAGCATACGGTTATTGGCACGGAGTCTTCTATTGCGGTTGCCCAGCGCAGCCAGCGGGGCTGCTGAAGGCTGTCCATGTTATCGGGTTTGTCAATATCGTAATATTTCTCGCTATAGTCGTCAAGTAGAGGCGTGTATTCTGTCTTTTCTTTCCAGAACATGGCTTTGATCGAATGATTCTGTTGGCTATCGCGGATTTCCTTCATGTTGGTTGGGTAGGTATTCAAATGTTGAATTTGATGGCAGTAGTTGTAGATGGTAAGATGGGACGCTTCGATATTTCTTTTGGTTAAGGTATAGCCGAATGAGATGGCCTACGACCGCATCCTAAAGCGGAACCGACGCCCAATTTCGCCGTAGTAAGGTTAGAAGATATCAGTTCTAGACCTGATTGATACCAGAACATAACCTTATCTGGGTGGGCTGTTAATTGCTAGACCTGGATAGGTAAAATTACATAGTATGCCAGGCCTAAAGCGATGGATGCATCATAATGATATCAAGGTGCCTGGAGCTTTCAAAGTTTGATTACATCAACTAGTCCTAGACATTCACTTTGGTAGGATTCAGCAAGGACCTGAGTATCAACGGGCGATTGAGGAAGTTCAGGGGAGGCAGAAGGCAGTAGTACTCTTGGCTTGGGCTTTGCACGCGAGTGGGGAATTTTAAGCTTCCTCGAATTCATCCTGTCCTCACTGGCATTATACCTGATTTCACTAGGGTCTTGAGCTTTAGGCTTGCTCGAAAAAATCCAGTCCTCACTGGCATTGCGCCTGACTTCAGTAGAGTTTTGAATTTTTGGCTTGCTCGAATTCATCGTTTGCTCACTGGCATTAGACCTGATTTCACTAGGATTTTGAATTTTTGGCTTGCTTGAATTCATCGTTTCCTGGCCGGCATTACGCTTGGTTTCAGTAGGATCTCGATCTGGTCCAGAACCATCACGATGATCTGCCAAAGGCCGGGAGGAAGCCGGAGAAGAACTTTTCGGGGCTGGTGGCTGAATGGGGGCCAGTTTGGTAGCTCCCCTTTGCCCAATCAACTCGGCGCAAACCTCTTCCAGAAATTGGCGCGGCAATCCTTCTTTTTCCTTTTGAAAATACTCCGGAGTGGCAGTTCGCACCCATATATCCACTACCAAGCGTCGAAGTGGAGATTCAGGCAAGGCGTGGGCATAGATGTAACTGACTGTCTCTTTGCCCACAAAGTTCGCTGGTGTTTCTTTAACTCTTTGATGACAGATGGCCATCATCCAATTCTCCAAGTCTGTCATTTGGAGTTTTTCGGCCAAAATCCATAGCCTAGCCAAAAAGTCCAGTTTCTTATTTTCAAGTACCTGGAGAGCACCGCTGCCACGGTACATCCACATGATGACTTGGGCAAAGACTTGCGGATCATCGTCGGGGAAATGAATGAATGACTCTGGGATGGCTTCCTCGAAACGTTTTTGAAACTGGCTTTCAAAGTACGGAGAACATGTACACAGGAGCTCCAAGTGAACGTCAAATGGAGTTTTGGATTCTCCCACATCGATCTGTATCACACCACCACACAGATCTCTTACAAACTTAATGAGCTTAAGAACATCAGAAAGTCAGGAAAGTATCACTTACGCTTCGACTAATTTACTACCCATCTGGATTGAGTTTTGTGAACTCGAAGTTTCTTGAGTTTGATTTTGGGTAAGTTGTGTTGAGGAGAAGCCCCGCCCGCCGCCCGCAGCTCCAGGAGGGGGGCGCCCGTTGTGGTGTGGTGCACAGACACATGACCTACCAATCAGAAGTCCTCCCCCACAGGCTACAGCCTACCGGCATGCTATGGGCAGGTGACCTGTAGCCTACAGGCGATTGAATACATGAGACTCGGAAAGAATTTGACATTCCAAAGTTAATCCATATCGATTTACTATGGAAAGATCTATCCCGACCTTGGCCAAATTCGCAATAGATACATAAATCTCATGAACTTGGAAAGGTTCTGTTTCAACCTCGCTGTCACCAGGTTGAGTAGGTTTTTACGTTTCTCCGTTCATCTGTGCTCATGCCTTTATCCCTAGGAATACTGGAAGTCGAGATATCAAGGCTCTGCGCAGCGTCTTCTCGGGATGAAAGAGCCACTTCTTGTTTTTCGACTTCGCGATGTTCTCCTGGGCGGGAATCTAAGCGGGGGTTGTTTCTGTGACTAATATCTTCATGAGGTTGTGGATTGGATGGAGATATTTCGTACGGCAGCTTTGTCCTTGGTGTTGTTGAAGTGCTTTGGGGCTGTGATGTCGCAGCATATGAACCGTGAGGTGGGTGAGGGCGGAAGTGAGATGGTGAATTGCGTCCACTTCCGTTCTTTTTTGACTTTTCGATGGATGAAGATCTACCTGATGTTTTCGACTCAGGTTTGCGATGATCTGTATAGTTTCTATCTTGTGTTTGCTCTTGACTCGTTCTTCGATCTGGCTTTGATGTGTCCCTGCCCGAAAAATATTCCAACACGGAAGGCAAACGAGTTGATTTCTCGGTACCAGTTGAATTGACCCTACTGACTTGGTTCTGCCTGTATCGCTCATTGGAAACAAGGACGGCTGGTTTGACCAGAACAAGCTCTTTCCCATGCATTGACTCATTCCGGCAAATCCCAGAAAAGAGAGGGTAGCGTAAAATCCCATCAAATGTCTCAACATCTCTCCATGAATCAATGTCTTTGAGTGTGAGCTGCTGAGAGTCCAAATCTCCTGGACTTTCTGACCACCACCAATCTTCAGATCTCGATGTTTGGTATTGAGTCAATGAACATGAAATGGCGTGCTGCAGTTCGACCGCGGGGCAAATCAAGGTGGTCTTCAAATCAACTAAATGTTTTTCAATAGATCCAAAATCACGGTCCCTGGGAAAGAATCTCTCAATGCGTCCTATCATTGTTTTGCTCAGTTTCTTAATGTGTAAATCTTTCTCCCTTTGACACATGTTGCTCGATAGAAGCATAAATATGGACTTTGATCTCCACTTGCGTGCTCGAGTAGTTGATTCTGCTTGCTGACTTAGCCCCTTCTCCTTTCAAGCGCGGAAGAGATGGAATGAAAAAATGGGGTTACGAACCTAAGCTAGAAGCTCCATCGGCATCGCCTTCAATGGCCATTGTTGTGTACTCAAGCGCAGTTCTTATCTCGTGATGCATTCCGAATGGGTATTCGAAGTTAAATATCGACATCTCCAAATTCCACCATATGAACCGGGATAGCACATAGTTGAAACAAATGTCAAGCTCCGCTAGCTCTTTGGCGAGCCCGAAACTCTTGGATCTTGATTTCTCTTTTCTCTTTCTACTGCCTTTACCCGCTTGCATGTGGGGTAGATGAAGCATCGAGACTAGGCTGTCGTCTGTCTCACTCTCTAAATTTCTTTGGAATTCCTTTCGAAACCCCGGGCTTTGTCGCATCAGGTCGAGCTCAACTTTTGCAACCCATTCCTGGATGGTAGAGCAAAGCCTTTCAAACTTCTGTTTGATTTCCGCATCTGTGATAATTTCGACGTCTTCTTGGAGCTGCATTATTTTTGCTCGACAATGGTCTAGCTTATCTTGTAGCTCTAAGTTCTGGGCTTTGAGTCTGGAGATTTCCATCGAGGCCTCATTGAAATCCGCAGGTTGAGCTGGCCCCGGACTTCCTATGCTTGGATCTGGAGACGACATTGTGACGATCTTGAGTTGCTGAAATAAACCAGCCCGAAAGGTATTGAAATGAGTTGTTTCCTTCCGAGGCTGAGGCAAGGTTTTCAGAGGAGACGATGAGACTAAGCGCACGTATGAAAGGCGGGGGCTGCGGGGCACCTGTAATTTTCGCTCAATTTAATTAGTACATACTTCACTTTCAGCGCATCTTCACCTGAAACTTTTGCCAGAATTTATCGTGTTTTGAGGTTGCGAGGTTGGTTGACCCATTTGGGATTTGATATTATTTTCTCCCCACATAAATAATAGATGCGTTGGGGTGACAGCCTCATATGATGGGTGTCCTAACGCGCGTAATCGGGCAGAATGTTAGCAAAGGCCGCACTTCGCCTCATTCCTCCACCTCCGAAAACCTTGGAATACCTCAAGCCCCAAGCTGGTGGGGCATACAGCCTCAGAGGCTATACCTATTCAGGAACCACCTGCATATGTGTCCGAGTCAAGCGGCTCCATTTCAACCAGCATCACTTGAGAGCACGAGAGGGCCCTGCGGTGGGTCTCTAATCTTCAAAGACTGTTTACCCCTAGACATTGATTGAGGTTCCATGCATGAAATATACTGCGTACAGCATGTAGCCACCATGTGGGCTAATAGACACATTACCCCGTGCGTAGAGTAAACTTCAAGAAATATATTCGAATGTTATGTAAATCTAGGCACGACTCAATTCCGTTGGTGGTAGCCTGTAGGTTTTGAATAATTGGTGAAGTGAAAACATTCGGCCAGCTGGCCCGACTATGTAGTCTTGCAGAAGAGCATTCAATTTTATTTTCGTAATTCAGGTAGCCAGCACTAGACAGTTCGTATACATAATGAATGAATTATAGTGTAGCATACTAGTATACGTAAGTTACATAGCAGACCATTCTTTTGTGGCTTAGTGAGGGGCAAGCAATGACACGTATCCCTGCAAGGTATTCAAATGTTCCGACTTCATTGGTCACCACATGTGCAGGGCTAATTGCAAGGAGAAGAAAATAACACTAATGCATGCTCCTCAGAGCACACGTCTGGAAGACTAACACAGCCCGTATATTTGAGGCTCAAACGGATCACATAGGTCCGTTTTTGCAAATAGCGCGCGGGGTAACTTTAGTCTTTATCAAGGCTCAAGTGTTTTGAAACTACGGGTATTTTTCAAGCTACTGGGACATATATATACAGTGTCTACTTTGAATGTACCCCTGTATCTTTTTTCATTCAAATCTAAGGTCGCCATCTGAGCGGAACTGAACTGAGAAAAAAAAGAGATACGCTGATTCACTATGAATGGACATCACGCTCATGGGAATGAGGGAAGTAGGATGAAGATTGTTGTAGCAGTTGACTTCGGTAAGTGCCTACACATCTGAATTTCTGGGGAGTGTGGACACTAAAGCTATAACACCGCTTAGGAACAACTTTCTCAGCGGTCGCATATGCCAATACGCATAATGTCAGTAATTTCACCTTCAATCGATGCCAATGCATGGAAGTATGAGTTTACCTGACATTTCATCGTTCAGCCCTCGGCGCAAAAGCTATTGACGAATTGGGGAACTGGTGGAAATATGACCCAGGATAAGGTTCCAACGTGAATAATTAATCCCCTGTGCTGTTATAACAAGCACTAGTGGCAACTCTAACAACGCGTCTTGGTCCCATTAGATGTCTTCGCTATGAGCACAGTGGAGCCACTGGAACCTTTTATTGGGGATTCAGGGCCCATCAATTCATTGATCGAGGGGAAAAGATTCATGAGTGGTTCAAGCTAGGGCTTTGCAATGATTTTGAGGAACGCCGAGCCCGAGAGTCGGAGCTAGCGAAGAATTACAAGAGTCAGACGGCCCTTCCACCAGTGAAGGGCAAAGAGTGCGAAGGTCTTGTTGTGGATTACTTGACTGGTATCAAAGGCGCCGTCGACGAATACTTTACTGCGACCTATGATGAAGAAGTGACTCGGTGTCACAGGGAGTACATCATCACCGTTCCTGCTCTTTGGGATCATGCCGAACAGGAGAAGACTAGAAGATGTGCTGAAAAGGCTGGCATGGGTAAGGGGCACAAGCTACAAATCATCTCAGAGCCCGAAGCCGCCTGTATATACGCCATTCAGTCAATGCTCACATTGAATGTTAATGAAACATTCGTAATTTGCGATGCGGGAGGAGGGTATGAACCCCAAATCCAGTGGATCTTCTCTCACGGGGGGAAAATTAGGAAAGACCTACTAAACAAGATGTTTCTACAGAACCGTTGATCTCGCCTCGTACACTATCAGCTCATTGAACTTGCAGCCATTTTCTTGCAAGCTGGAAGGGGCCGCGATTGGCACAGGCGGTCTCTGTGGAAGCAGCTTCTTGAACCGAATATTCGAGGAATATCTCATCAATAAATTAAAGACGTATAGTGGTTGGAATCGTTCTTTCATGATCGATGCCTTGAAAGCATTCGAAGAAAGAATCAAGCCCAATTTTACCGGAGAGAGTCATGTTGAACACATCATCAGGATACAGGGATTGGTCCGAAGCGATCGCCACGGAGTTTACCCGAATTTCCTGACACTGACAACCCCCGAGCTTCGCGAAAATGTGTTTGACAAAGTAATCAACATCGTCCAAGCTCATGTCAGCAACCAAATTGCCAACACCAAGAAACCGGTCAAAGCGGTTTTACTGGCTGGAGGGTTTGGCAAGAACCCGTATCTTAAAAAACGGCTTCAAGAAATCGACTCAGTCATGAGACATGGAATTAAAGTCATACAGATTGAGAATAGGTGTGTACTAAGTTTTGATATTTCCAACATGTACAAGGCTGACTATTTGATTGTAACAGTGACACTGCCATTGCTCGTGGGGCGTTGATAGCTGGCCTTGCAGGTCTAGGTCGAATTCAAGACAGACCAGACGATGGCGGGTTTAATGCGCTTCCAAGCAGGACCGAGGTCATTTCACGGATTGCTGGCAGATCTTACGGGACAGCAGCCTATTTCGACTTTGATAGAGCCGTTGACCCGGAGAGCAGAAGGTAAGTGGCCTAGAGATTGGAGCAAACATTCCGCGCGATCTTTTGCCCAACCTAACTAACATATGAAAGGGTGCCTCGCGATGATGGAGATAAGATTGAAAAAATCCGATGGTTTGCCAAAATGGTAAGTCCAATAGACATATCACACTCCACGAGAGAAAGGAACATTTAAATACTTACCAGTTGTGATGTTTCAATAGGGTGATAGTATTCCCGATGGCAAGCCGATGTCATTCTCCTTCTTCAAAATGACAAAAGTGAGGTCGCATATCCCTGCAGACAAGGCATGTATACCTGTTGTCAGCATATATAGTTGTGAAAAGAAAGTCGCTGCAGATTATATAGACGACCCAAGTAAGTGTTCCAAGTTACCTTGCGCGTAATACATTGCTAACACCTTTTTGAAGATGTTTCGAAGATTGTTGAGTTTAAGCTTGAACTCCACGGCCTCGACATTCCTATTACGAGAAAGAATGGCTGCAACTTCTATGAGGCTGAGTTTGTGATTGAGATGACTTTGCATGCAGCTAGTCTTTCTTTCTGTGGAGTATATGGCAAAGGTAGTTCTGCTAAGAGATTCCCAGCGAAGAAGGTCCAATTTAGATAAGGATTATGAGCGTTATGATTAAGCAGATCACACAGAACTGTGACTTCAAACTTCTCTTCCGCCATTATTTGGCCTTTTTAATATTGATCAATCATTGAAGTCGGTTTTTGGTTCTTCTTGTGTTGCGATATTTTATCTGGATACAAATTCAATCCCTTTAAAAGATTTTTAGTGATAAAAATTCTCTTCCAAAAGTAGAGCCAGGAAATCCGTTCGACGAACACAGTCAACCATGTATGAGATTGAAGGGTATTCATTTGCTCGGTGGATGAAATCATAGATTATAGCTCAGCACACATTTTGCATGCGACATGCCTTCGGACTTCTTCCAGTCAGATGGGTTCAATTTCTATGGCTTCCCTGCATTGAACCCCCCGTCAGTCTGACCGGTTGGGCCTTTCCCGGCATTGTATCTCCCATCAGGAGGAGGCGATTTTGGGTCTTGGAAACCAGCTCTTCCTTCCTCGGATTTGCTGGCTTTTGATGGACGACCTCTGCTGACTCGATGCTGAAACGAATAGATGCAAGCACCGAGTATAATCCCAAATGCAACAAGTATTGAGACCACGATGGCAATAGTAACGTTGCCTTTTGTCATATTGAATAGCCTGGAATGGAGAAGGCTTTCAAAAGGCGGGCTTTCCAAGGCATCCGCTTTTAATAGAATTCACGGGAGATTCAAGGCCAAAGTGAAAACAATTCAATGTCCAGTCGTTTCAAATGTTCAATGTTCGACCGTGCAGATGTCTAATTCAATGAAGGCAGCTTTGTTTTGTCTATGCCAAGATCATAATATCGGAATGAGTCTTGAGCTATATTTTGAGCGAGTAAAATCTCAAAAGAGGTGGGTGGAGGGACGAGAGGAAGAGCTTTGGAATGACCTGGAAGGCGCACAATACCAGGCCGTACATGACCCACATCTGCCGACTTTACTCCGTACATGTTATGTACTCCGTAGAAATGCACATCATTAGCCGGATGATTCATGCTAAAATGTGATGGCAATTGTGGGGCGCATATACGAGACACGTCACCACCCATTAGATCTGAATAGGTTAGCGGTAGTTAAACAGAACGAGAGATCAACGGTGCGTGCGGTGCTAAACAAAGACATCATAGGCATGGTAAAGTACGGATTAAGGTGCATCAATTGGCAAGAAAGCAAGGGAGGAAAAATATATTTTGTAATACAGATATCGTCTATTTTTCATATAAGGGCAAACCCTTGGAAGTACAAGATTGGAAATGAATTTAATGCGAGGTACTTTTGTCACAGAATGAAAACGAAATTAATTACATTCTAGGTAAGTGCCAAGCACAAGCGATGAGTACTAGAGTGTTCAAGGTTAGAGCCAAGTAGCTAATTATGCATGTCTTTCAAATGGGAGAATACACCGAAGTGTTATGATTGGGGTCTTTGATTGGCTCCTTCGTGGGCTGTACTTCAATCTATGTATTGACAGGACTCGAGATATGAGTCCTATTCTGCCAATACACAAATGTCAACAGATCAAGATCAAAAACAAAAAACATACAACAGTCAGGATTCGCATGTGGTCACCCACCATACTACTAACTGACCGGCGTGTGGCTTAAGTACGGCTGAGCGGACGGGAAGCCCTGTTCTCCACACCCTATGGTCGTATGTGCTTGAATGAAGGATTAGAAGAAGTATATAGACAGTGATCAAAGTCACTTTGGTTCAAGATCCTGAGTTATGGATGAACGATAAACACCACTCAGTCAATACTCCGTATAGAAGACTTTTTTTGACAAAATAATTGTATCGAAAACGATAGATCTGACCATGGATATGCACTCCAGGGCTGACACGGCTTTATGGGGCAAGCCAGTTTCCTACAAAAAAAGAGGTTATTTAATATAATAACCGAAATTCGAAGGGGAAGAAATAAGAACAAGACGAGAGAACAACAGATAACCTTGCGGGTCGCCCCGGGCCGACGGCGGCACCGATCCTCTCTGATCACCTCCGCGACGCGGGAATAACCGCAGTCCACAACTTAATTACATGCAGCAAAACACCAGATCAAGTACTGAAAGGGCGTTCAACGATCAATCAAATCACGCCCGCGTGTTGAATTTTGTGTGGAATCAACTTCCAAGGTCTTCTCTTCGAAAAACATTTTTCAATGCCTGGGCAGGTATTTGATTATCATTCATAATGCATAACCCAGCCCGCGAAGCCTCCTAACTCCAAATGTCCACTTGATTTGGCTTTAATATGGCTGATCTTGAAACTGTGAAATTTTTATACAAGAATAGCACGGATACTGATATTCAGAAAATCATCAATATACCATTGATTTGTGACTGAGAATCAGGCGACGGACCACTAAAAACCAGTGTTACCCTATATTCATGACAGTTTTTTTTTTCATTCAAGCACCCAGGCCTGGTGGGAACCATTGTTTGCTGGTTGCGTTGGAATGCACCCGGGAGCAAAGTACAGTAGACTGACAGGAGCAGATTTCACGATAAACGCCAAGGTATTGAAATAATGAGTCTTGAGTATTAACAGATTTCAATTACTTGGGATCGAGAGCCAAGAGCAGCGAGCGAGAGACAGTTCCGTACAGCCTTTCTGCATCGATCGATCTTTATCTTCAAAGAGTCAAATGCTGGAGCCAGGGAGTCACAGACTAAGATGTCAACTCTTCAGAACAGCCTCTCTTAGCTCATCGTCATTGTCCACCATTTCAATGCCATATTTTTTGCACACGATTTGCACATTCCCTCTTTTCCAGAAGCCCTCCGGGCAGAAGACTATAGCCTTTCCTGGTACCTGCGCGCAGAGACCAAACTCCAGCAGACTGACCGGCGCCTGTGTAGCTGGGTGAAAATAAATAACCACAATGTCCGCCTTCTCCTGTTTTTCGAGTTCTCACTCGACCTGCTCGCGGTAAGGAGCAAAATTGATGTCCTCGTGCCACGAGCTATCCCAATCCGCACGGTAAGGGTTGTAGATTGTGATAGGCACGTCAGAGAGGGCGGTGGATAGAAGCTCGCGCCAGTCGAAATCCCCGACTTTTTCGGTGGTGCCAGCAAGGAAAACGGACTTCACGCCGCGGGGAGCATCGTTTGAAGGTGCGAAGATGACTTGACTCCGTGCCTGGTTCATTCTTCAGAACGTAAAGGTTATATTGGCAGTCGCTTGAAGAAAACAAGAATGAGAGAGAGGGGCGGAGAACACGGCCTCGGAACATCAGAATCCTGTAGATATTGTCGGCCAAGGCAGAGTTGCTCCAAACTCGTCAATAAATTGAAGTGGGGACACTCGCCCCGCAACCTTGGAAGACGGGATTCGGGAATAACCGTAGTCCACATTGTGATATCCAACTCCCCAAAAGCTAGACAAGGTTTACGAAAGCCTCTTAAGACAAATTTGAGGGAGATAAGCGAGGGCAGAAATGTAATTGGATTTCAATATAACATATTGGAGACTTTATACTAAAGAAAAAAACCCGGACCACCAAATAGTAAAGGGGGTGATGTTTTCTTGCTTTTTTTTATCCAGACAAGAGTTTCCCCTCAATATGAGAATCACTCTGAAGCCATCACCAGTACATACGACCATAGGGTGTGGAGAACAGGGCTTCCCGTCCGCTCAGCCGTACTTAAGCCACACGCCGGTCAGTTAGTAGTATGGTGGGTGACCACATGCGAATCCTGACTGTTGTATGTTTTTGTTTTGCTTTTTGTTTCTCCTTTTTTTATATAACTGCCGACGCGAGCTCAAGTATCGATGAGCCGCACAATTTGTGGTGAAGTTCGAACCGCGCGGCGCGAACCGCCCAGCCCCGCACGGACCCTTTTGGCACAATACGAAGCATGATTGGATTAGATTGTTTACTTCACCATCCGCGCATCGCAACTGCCAACAACTATCTCTGGCCCGCGCATCCGTGCATTTTCTCAACCTTTGAGATCTCAAGCTGAAGTTCAAACCGCAGGTCGCGAACACTGAAACAGAGCAAGAGACGCTGTACTTCAATGATCGCCAATCGCGTTGAAAGGGGGTCAGTATGTGGCTGATCTCGGGATTGTTTTGTGATCTACGAGTCACGACGCGCCATCTTGACTGACCCCGGCGAATATGATGAGATGAAGGCGGATGGGGCGAGATTTCGCTGTGGGAACCACAGTGGGATAGTTCCCAGCGCAGTATTTGGCCATCCTTCATTGGCCGCCACATTTCGTATCCAGTATGTACCTGACCGAGGACAGTTGCTCGCGAGACGGTCCATGCACAAGTGATAGGAACCCCTGCTCCTGCTGTCTGGACCCCTTTCTGGATTGTGATTTGTGCACCTCCGTATTCTTGGTACTTGTCGCTGACCTATCATTAAGAGGGGTACATGCAGGGTCAAGCGGGGCTTCTACTAAGTTATGGTTGAGCACAACGCACATACGAGATAAAAAAAGTTGCCAGAGAGCCTCATCTCGGCCTAGCAGTACGCCCAAACCTTGATCATTTATTCTCCCCGGATACGAGTACGGACTACATGTGGACCGTGCCTTTTTTCTCCGCTCCGCTATTTTCAGGGTTCGATCGGCGTTGCAGGGTCGACGGGGGCCCAAAAAAAAGCAAAGAAGTTGCTCTGACCACCGCCAAGACGAGGCTTGGGGGTCAGCAACCTCATGCTGTAACGTCCTATTTTTTGCTCTAGGGGTCGCTATGCTGATTTCTCAGCTCTTCCTTGTCAAGCAGCCCTGTGGAATGTCCAGATGAAGGGTATCAAGTCTGGTATTGAAAATGAACCCGGCTACTGATGAGGGGATCGAGCTCTCTTCCACACGAACACCCTCAGCGAAGGTCAGGGATACCCCGACCTGGAAATCGTTGAAGAATTGGTGCTCTCGAACCGTTCTCCGATCGGGCGCGCAGTATAGTCTTTTAGAGCGTCCGTCGCCCTCTGACTCCAAACTCCTCCACGGGTGGAGATTGGGTGCTCTGCTATCAGGGATCTTTGTTGCAATTTGCCTATGTCTTAACATTGCGGCCACTGCTTTTATGCGCACCAAATATCCTCCCAATGAAGATGGGCTTGGTGTAATTCTGAACCACGACTGTGACAGAATCCGCAGCATGGACAGCAGATTTCACTATGCGATCAACGTTATTGCGACCGTGCTCGTCGGGGCAAGCAACTACAGCATGCAATGTCTCACTGCACCAACGCGCGAAGAAGTCGATAAAGCTCACGGGCGACGAAAATGGGTTGATGTCGGGATTCACTCAATGCGAAATCTGTCGCATATTACGCGACCCAAAGCCATGTTTTGGCTCGTGCTCGCGCTGAGCTCATTGCCTCTTCATCTTTTGTGGAACTCGGCAGTCTTTATGACCACCACATTCAACGACTACAGCGGCCTGGTAGTCACGCCGGAGTTCCTAGACAAAAACGCCTCGATTGGCATCGACTGCGGAGAGGACTCGATGGCGCAATACAAGGTTTCAGACGAGTCGAGCTACGTAACTTGCTGGCTGCGCGATATGGTCATACAATCCCCAGGCAACATGAGTCGGATGGACCCCCAACAATGCATTTCCACGTACGGCAATGGTCTTGAGGGAGCAAATTTTAACCTCCTTGCTGTAACCAAGAACGACAGCAATGCTATGCAGTCCGAGACGTTTCCACCGCCCTCCAATGCCACAATACCCGTTCTTTCCTATTTTCACCCCCTTGACTACCCGGACGATTTGTCGAATTGGTGCTCAAGTAAGTGTCATTCGTGGGCCAATAACAACACCAGTCCAAGATATTGTTTGGATGCCAATTGGAACGAATCATCCGTGCCTTTTTCGTGCATAGAATATCAAGTCAACGGCACAGGTTGGAAGCCAGATCCCATTCCGCAGGTCACATATTGGATGTGTGCAACAGACACAATTTTTTACCACCAATGCAGCACCTCGGTAGCCCAGAAGAACTCTAGTAACTGGGAAATTCTACCGGAATCTTATGAGATCGACTACTGTTTGACAACGGATGTGGAGCACGAATGTGAATTGAAGTATAGTCCGATGATCCTGTACATTGCTATTGCTTGTAACACGGTGAAGCTCGCGTCAATCCTAGGATGTCTTCTCATTTCCCGGGAGCCAATACTAGCAACAATTGGTGATGCGGTGGATTCTTTTCTTCGACGTCCAGACCAAGCGTCAAGTGGCCTGTGTCTAATGTCAAAGCTAGACGACTCGATATTCCCTGAGATGAACGAGAATGGCGATTATATTCCCTTGTCTTCTCATCCTCCGAAGGCTTGGGCCGAGGGTGAGATTTGGTTTGGAAGACATGGGACTATTCGACGTTGGGTCGGTTGCATATTTTTGTAGGTGCCCAGGTTGATCGACCGACTACACCATGGATGACGAAACTAGCTAATAAAAACATTCATAGGTGGCTAGCATGTGTTATCGTTGGAGTCGTCTTCATGGTGAAAGGAATCTCCCTTCTCGGCATCAAGAACGCTTTCACCTTAGGATGTGGGGCTCTTAGCCTTAACGCCATTGTTGCCACATCAAAGGACGAGGGTGGCAGCGCGAGATCAATTCTCACCACATCTCTGATTGCCAACCTTCCTCAAATGCTTCTCTCGAGCCTATATTTCATGTACAATGCGGTCCTCACAAGCATGGCCTCTACCCACGAATGGAGCATGTTTGCCCACAAACGGACCACTCTGCGCGTCACTGTGCCATCAGGCGCGCAAAGGGAGACGTATTGGCTCGGTCTTCCCTGGCGATACTCTTTACCCTTCCTCATTTGCAGTACTGTTTTCCACTGGCTGATCTCGCAGTCGATCTTTTTGATCAACATTACGATCTACCAGCCGAATTCTGAGGTTCTAATGGCACCAACTGCTTATTTCCCTGGAGTCAGCAATACTGGCATGACCACGGCGTGTGGATATAGTCCACTTGCCATCGCTTGTGCACTCGGAGTTGCAATGTTGTTGTTCATCGCTTTGACCGTCCTGGGCTCGCGAAAGGTGAAGCCAGGGATGCCTGTGGTTGGTAGTTGTAGTCTTGCCATAAGCGCTGCCTGTCATCCTCCTCAATCAGATGACTTAGCTGCTATCAAGCCTCTACTTTGGGGTGCTGTGACGCACGAGGAGAATGGGAAACCAGGACATTGTTGTTTGACCTCATTTGAGATGGAGAGGCCGAGGAAAGGAGCTTTATACGCTGGGTTCTAGAATTCAGTACCGAAATGAGACTCAAGTTGTTGGGATCGTGAAAAAATCCAGTACGCCACGTCGAAGCACAAACGAACTTTCGGATTGGCCTCAAGATGAGCGAGTCTGACGCCCTGTGGAGTAACATGAAAGAAAAGCCGACCGTAGCCAAGCGTAGTGCAGTGCACGGGTAAAAGATAATCGATTCGGCCCCGAACAGTTGATCATTTTAAGATTTTAAGATATTTATCCCACATTGATATATTCAATGTTTTCCAGCACACACAACCTTAGGGTGTGTCATTTGATGAGAGGATTGTTCAATTCGTTCAGTTGAATTCTCGAATTCAGTTCTATGGGCCTGGAGCATCAGGCCTCCATGCATAACCATCGGCACTCAAGATTGTTCCTTTTCCCCTTTTCCGGCTTGTCTGTATTTTTCTTTTAATTATACTTGACGTATCACATTAAAACACAAACTATTTCTTTTCACTTGTCCTCACTACTATATGTTTGCTGGCAGAAACTTCCACTGACCTGGTCCGACTGCCCAGGTACCTTCCGAACCAGAAACCATGAACTTCCGCTTCACCAACCACTATCACTTCCTATCGAGCACTTTCTGCACCGATATATTCCCTTCGAGATTTCATATACGTCGAATGCAATCACAATGTCATCCAGTCGAAAGGGACCTCTCCCCACGCCATCCACTGCTTCGTTGAATCCATCCAAACCAATCAATGGCAACTTTTTGTATCGGTGTTCGACACTACTAGCGATCCGAATCCTCAAGCGTATTCGACCTCGAAAAGGGCCCGTCCTCGTGTTGACGGGTGGACTATGTGTCAATTATGGGCGCCACGTTCATTTATCTGAAGCATCAACACTGCAGTTCATATCGCAACATACATCCATCCCGGTACCAAGAGTTGTATGCGCATTTACCCGTTCCGGGATTACGTACATTATGATGGAAAGGATCAAGGGTGACATGATCGGCAATGGATGGGTGAGACGGAGCGAGGATTCAAGGGCGAAACTTCTTTCGCCGTTAGCAAGAAAAGTTCGCGAGTTGTGGGACCTTCAGCCCCCGCAAGGCACTAGGGTTGCTTCCGTTGATGGTGGATCCCTTTTTGACTGTCGCGTTCCGGGCCGTTCCATGCGCTTTGGTCCCTTTGATACTTTCCAGGATTTCCATCGGCATTTACGTATGGGCATGGAATTTGATTCAAGGCTTGACCCTGAAGTTCAGGAACTCATCAAACAACACAGCAAGTCTTGGCCTCTGGTATTTACTCATGGCGACCTTAGCAGCCTCGATATTCTTGTACGCGGTGATGATATTGTTGGTATTATTGATTGGGAAACTGCTGGTTGGTATCCATCCTTATTGGGAATACACCACTGCCTACCAAGTCAACCCACAAAACTCTTTCTGGGTCAACGAGATTGACAAATTCCTGCAACAAATGCCCGAAGAGGAGCTGGCGATGGAACGGATCCGTCAAAAATACTTTGGAGATGTCTGAATCATCCTGACCTTTGACTCGGACGATGATTTCCTTCCGCTCTATCAAGCCATATGCTGGTCCCTTTTTCATTTCAAAGTTGCCCTGGCCATCAAACATTACGGTGCTGGTATTCTTTTTTGAACTCCATTATGCTCAGCGCTGCATTATACATTAAATCCTTGAACTCTATTATATATAAAGCTATATTATATTACTTCCCTTTCCCTAGGTAAAATATCACAACAACTGGCAAGAAAGAGAGGCCGAGATCCTACATGTACATAGTCATATAATACATTCTCAAGTCTATTCTCAAGTCTATTCTCTTTGAAGTCTAAATGTTCTAAAAGTGACCCGTATTTAGATCAAATCCCTTAGGATATTCCTATATATGATAAATGCAATACAGGCGGGAAACAGGGCGGTGAAGTTGGAAATTTGAAATTGGGATGTGACCTAGTAGGCTAGGGGTGGCCTCCTCTATCGGCTGCCATAGGCAGCATTCCAGATAACCAAACATAGCTGTAACAAGCACACTCCGGAAATGTGGATCAATTTGAACCCTTGACTGAAATCTAAGTCACGGATTTTCTCGCGGCTGGAAGCTCAAGCTCAACGAGCCATGGTGGTTGTGTCGAAAGATCCCTCGCCCCCTCGATCGACGCATTGACAAAGAGTGTTTGGGAGCCCGCTAGAATTGGATTTTGATCCTCGGCGCAATGACTTGTGGTTGAAAGGACTTTTTGGTCACTTAAAGTAGAGAGCTTGTCAATCAAAACTGATTTTCCATTATCGATGTCAGTCAGGTGAGAAGGCTTCTCACTAGGCTTCTGGCGCCAGGTCACAAGTTTTGCACCCCACCCTTCATGAATATGGCCAAAACAATGCATTAGAGGTCGTGCTCGAGCAATTGACTCAAAAAGGTATGGGCAGCCTGCTCGCTCCCCGGAGAAAGTGTAATCCATGATTCCTTTTGGCGGGCCATGTGTTATGGCGATATCGACATTATGAATAGTAAAATCATGGGCATGGTTTGGGTGGTACTGGAAGCCCCAGCTTCCAAGTTTCGGTGTGTATGGACTTGCATAAACATTGAGAGTTGCACTGTTCTGTAGATGAAATGAGTAGGTGCCTTCATCGAGAAATGTAATACCAGCAGCATCATCAAGCATCCGTCTAGCATCTCCGTGACAGCCATATGCCTTTTCAACCAACTTGGGGTCCAGGGGAGGCTGGGCCTCTTCCACCTTTTTCTGGAACGCGGGTGTATCCAGTGTGAAGTCGTGGTTCCCAGCTATCACGAGCTTGAGAGGGGCATTCACGGCCTGAAGGAGTCGAATAGAGGCTCTGTATTCGTCTAATTTTGACTCTGTGGTGAGATCACCACAGTGAATTGCGACGTCTGCATATTGACTTAATACCGATTCTGGCGCACTGTCGAGTCCGTGTGTGTCCGAAAATATCAGAAATCGAGTCTTGATCCTGGTTGAAGTAATGCTTTCCATGGTGCAAAGTTGACTGCCGTAAATATATGTGGAGTAACTGGCTTGATGAAATGCGGAAAAAGTGATAGATGGATGTTATGTATTTCGTGAGGTTCGATTTTCTAGGGAGCCGGAGTATGAGGAGGACTAGTCCCCATTCGGTCGGCCATAGAGTTTATGTTGTAGCACTTGAGTAATTCCCTCGTCATCGCGAAACTATATCAATAGCAGCTAACAGCAGCCAAGATGATCCAAGTATTTCGGGGCAGGTGCCAAATGAGTTTCAGGGTCGTGCCAAGAACCGAGAACCCTGAATCGTCTACTTTATCCAGCCTTCCCGCCGATGTTTTTCTTTCGGGTAGAGTTGAATTGGTTTTCTTTTTTGACTCTTCCTATTGAGACGATAAACCTTCGTTGCGGCTATTGCACTTCGATGTGCAAAGGCGGAACATGATAGCTGGATGCATCTTCAACGATACATTTTGGGATATGTATTTCCTATTGCTCATCAGACTGTCTTTCAACGCCTGCTCTAAGGATTCCAAGGAATCTCTGGGAATCCCCTCACCAGAGGAAACCTTGCGATCGCATTTGTCGGCAAAGTCGTACATTGCATTGGCTTTCTCTTCATCAATTAAGGAGACAATTTGCACGGACGCGTCGCCTAGCAGCCCAAAGAAACCAGTCTGTGCGGCTTCTCGGAAGCTTGCATGAATGATAACAACACGCATGATAACCCACAAGCAGGGTATCTGTTCAAAAAAATCGAAGGTCTCTTCTTCTTCGCTCCAAATCGAGGAAACCCAGTCGGCCATAATTGAGGGATGACCGACTACCAGGCGACTACACCACGCAATAGAGGCCAATGCACTACCAGAGCTGTTTTGATAAATTGCTTCGTAACGAGGTGTCCAATTAAGATGCGCAGAATCTCGCTTGGTGTCCACCCAAAATTCATCGGCAATATCGCCAGTTGTGGTAGAGACAAAAGTAGCCTCGCACGGTATATCCCTGTAGGTATCTGTTGTAGGGATACCGCCTGATTCTTCGGCGACGTATCGTGCCTCCTGGCAGACGCGGGTGATAACGGGTGGCAGGCCATTCAGTTTCGCTGTGGAGAAGACTTTGCAGGGATAGGACCCATCAGCATCAGGCTCATCGGAGTATATGCCTTCATCGGTCGGCAAATCCGTCTCCCATACGCGACATGGGAGGCATAGGCGCCATATCTCAAGTCGCAGCTCTGTCGGCAACCTGGGGAAGAGATAAAAGGACATCTCGACCATGGACAAACTCTGGAATTGCGTGCAAATTTTGGATCGACTCTGGGGTATCTTGAAAAGCCTGCCAGCAATAGTGGGGGGTTGACGGAAATAGGCACTGATGGCAGTGGTGGAATCCTTCCACTTTGCTGTGGGTTCAAATTGATGAGATGGTAAGTATTATCGTAGCGAGATGGACTGGGGAACCGGAATCCTTATATAAATCAGAAAAGTGGATTGTAGTTCGTGCACGGTTGTTAACTTGTTCCGACGATTCCTTGGAAGCCATCGGAATTCTTGGCATCCATGTCCCGCCGCCCCGCCGCCCCGCTTCCCTTGAAGCCCTTGGGCCTTGGCGCTTGCAGGTGGAGCCCGAGGTAACAGATTGTCGCGAAACATGTAAATTTGTCGGTGGGTATACAGCCCTGGAACAACCGTACCTCTGATACCGCCTATATCCATCTGGGTCTTGCGGAACTTGTATTGGTTATGCTGAAACTATACTAGATGTAATAGAGGGTAAGTTCTACTCTGGTGTTAATTCAAAATTCTAAAGATATAAATTGCTCAAGGTGAACACTACCCAATGCCAGTCTGAATGAATCGCTTCATTCATTTCTTCCTTCTGTAGCCTTTCAGCAAAGTTTAAGTTAAGAATCAAAACTTACTGTACGATCTCAGGAGGCCGGTATAGAGCTTAAGGAAAATCCCATAAGGAATTCGGTCGTCATGCGCATGTTTGATGTCTTTCAAGGTCTTATCGCGTCCTTCAGTTGAGTAGAATTCTAGGAACACCCCAAGTGCCGGGTAAAGGATGTCGTCATGAAGTCTTTCGAGACTTGTATTGTAAATATCAATTTGCTTCTGCGCTGCAACTCAATCTGCTGCGTGTGTTGCGTGTCGCGTGTGTTGTTTCGAAAATGGTCGTTTTTGGTGAGGAAGTGGCATCATGGTAGATAATATGTAGGTCAGCGAGCAGTGGCGCTTCCTAGCGGCGGAGACGAGAGGAGGGTGCCTCTGGCGATTCTGAACGTGCGCGTTTTCCATGCTGGGCAATCACCCGGCAGTGGGCTGCACGAGGATAACAACATTTGAAGCAATTGGAACAAGCCTCAAGTGCTGGTGCGGAGACACATCCACACGGGTGACAGGGATGAAATTCAACGCGACATGTCTGTACCACGTGGCCGTGGTGGGAAATGAACATTTGAAAGCGGGGAATTCTAAAAATACGCAGCGAATCACCGGCTTACCTTCCACGGACCTGCACGGACCATACCCTATTTAAATTATGCAGTTCTCGCGTTTTAGGAATAGTATAGATACGGTACTAGGCAGTACTTGTGCACCGCACATAGTGAGTACTTGAGTACCGGGTGATAGCTGAACGAAGTGAAGCTATCTATGGGATTCAGGCACATGACTTTGACCCTACTAGGGTCCAAAATGACAGTGCTGACTAAGGGTACATATTTGCACTTTTTACATGTGATCCCTGCACCCCCCCCCCTAGCTGCCGCATAACTACTATATCTGTAAAAAAAAGGGTCTCCCCCTAGCATACATTACAGCAAGTTCTTCCAGTTATACAAACACCTGATGTGTCTCCTGCTCTCTTCTTGGGGGGGTCTGGGGGGAACCCCCCCTGTATAGTAGATTACTGCAAGTTCTTCTAGATATGTAAACTCCAGATGTGTTTCCTGCTCTCTTGGGGGGGTCTGGGGGGTCCCCCCCTGTATGGAAGATTGTAATTCCTTCTATTTAAAGCCCCCAAACTGCATCATACGCTTAAATTATGCAATTCCTTCTATAATGAAGCCCCCGAACTGCATCATACGCTTAAATCATGCAATTCCTTCCAGATTGAAGCCTTCGAACTGCATCATATGCTTGATTTATGCAATTCCTTCTATATTGAAGTCCCCGAACTGCATCATACGCTTAAATTATGTAATTCCTTCTATATTGAAGCCCTCGAACTGCATCATATGCTTGATTTATGCAATTCCTTCTATATTGCAGCCCCCGAACTGCATCATACGCTTAAATTACATAGATTTGCGCCCCCAAGGGGGGTCTGGGGGGTCCCCCCCCTGTATGGAAGATTGTAATTCCTTCTATATTGAAGCCCTCGAATTGCATCATATGCTTGATTTATGCAATTCCTTCCATATTGAAGCCCTTGAACTGCATTATATGCTTAAATTACTTAGATTTGCGCCTCTAAGGGGGGTCTGGGGGGTCCCCCCCCCTGTATGGAAGATTGTAATTCCTTCTATTTGAAGCCCCCGAACTGCATCATACGCTTAAATTATGCAATTCCTTCCATATTGAAGCCCTTGAACTGCATCATATGCTTAAATTACTTAGATTTACGCCTCTAAGGGGGGTCTGGGCCCCCCCCCCCCCCCTGTATAGATGATTGTAATTCCTTCTATTTAAAGCCCTCGAACTGCATCATATACTTAAATCCTGCAATTCCTTCTATATGAGTAAGACTCCAGATATCTACCAGGTGTTCTTTGTGACCCAAAAAAGGGGGTCTGGGGGGAACCCCCAAGGAAGATTGTTTACCCCACTGAATTTACCTTCGTTCAGCACCCTTAATGGCAGCCTGGTGCCAGTACAAGGTATTTTAAGCACTTGAGGAGGTGGGGTAAATTGATCATCGCATAAATATATTCAGAAAGCCGCTGCTTAACATATCTACTAGTACTCAAAATTAGACGCTAAAAATAACTGACACTGCAACTTTGGAAAATTGCAAAGTTTAACACGTGGAGAAACAAATAGCAAATAAGAAAACCTTCAAAAGTAGCACTATCGCATGCCAGTGACCTTTGAACTTCTGGGCAACACTTTCTTCCAGCACAGATCACCTTCCTTCCCCTGTCCTCATTCTGTTTCATAACATTTGAACCCGCACGCGTCATAATCAAAGATCCTTTGTTTCTTGGGTCAAGAATCTCCTCCCAATCGATTCTGGTGTCTCGAAGCTTATAGCTCACACACCATAAGATTGCTGCTTCTGCCTCACTTCAACTTCGCCGTCTGGATTAGGCTTCACGAAGTCGGACGAAAGAACAGCCAAGACGCCAAAGACCATAGCGATGACCATGCAAACAATTTCTTCCAGAACAGACATACAGAGGTAGACAGTGACACTGGTTTCGTCATTGGCGACCAGTGATTTCGTTAAGAAATGCTCAGAAGTGGTGTAATCGCCCAGAGCTGAGTATATCAATCGAACCAACAGGAACGGAGCAGACAAGGCAATGGCAAGGAACAGCTTTTTCTGATAACTCAGCATTCCAACGGAATATGATTGGAATAGCCAAACAGTCAGGAGCATTGTGATAACAAATACCGCCAGGAAGAGGCCCATAGCGACTTTGGTGAGTGTTGATGGAGTTAATGACTTGGCCTTGCTGACTCCGACAATACCAAGGACTAGTCCGATGATGCCCATAAGGGTCACCACAGCGAGAGGACGAGGAGGAAAGTGCTTTTCCAAATCACTAGATAGACATATGTTAGACCACCTTCGTCGGCTTTCGGAGTTTTTTTTTATTGCCAATAACTCACATCAATCTCAGCATGCCGACATAGGCTAGTAAAAGAGGAGCAATACCAATCAACTCGCACACAAAAACGGCAATTTCGACGTTCTTGCCATTGTTATCAATCGAAATCAAACTAGCAATGCTCCCCGCGAGCCGAATGAGAGAAAGTGTGAAGGGATATCGCCAGATCTTTGCGCCGATTCTCCAGCCTGTCCGTTTCCAGATGAAAATGGAAGCGACAAGAATGAAAGGAAAAACGACCAGTTGGAGAATGGCGACTCCATCTTTATATGTGACCTTTCCCATGGCGTTGATGAAGAGTAGTAGAGTATGAACGAGACGTCCAGAGAGGGGATGGAAGAGTAAGGCTGGAAAGTCGTATGAAAAGAAATGATTGTGTGCTGTGTCCAGTGTTTAGACGGCCAATTGGACCCTTTTGTATTTCTTCACTTCGATATAGGTTGTTCATTTCGTCTGATGGCCCCCGTAGGTGGCGCCAATGAGTGATGTCAGTGTGCTGAAGACTAAATTTACCAGATGCATGTTATGCGTCTTCGTTGGCGTTGTTGACATCGTGAATTCTTCAAATTTGCGAGTTGATTGGACTAACATCTGGACTACCTGAAAAGGATTAGCGTGGTCAGGGTGGGGGCAGTGGGTTGTCATTGCTTGTCAAGGATTGACAGCCAATCATCTTACCAACACTTCAGCCTTAAGTGGCCCACTGTGGCCGTGGTCGAGGTGCATCCTGCATTCCGCTTTTGGTTCAGAAGCGCAGATCTTCATGTTTTAGTGCCTCGTCAATGGTCATTAGGCCACTTCACAGCCTCGTGAGTGGGGGCTGAAAGAAGCATTTCAGCCTTTCCCCCATTTTTTTTCCTCCCCCCCACAGAAACCCCCCGAGGCCGCCAAGAGCGGGAGACTTCGTTTACGTTCAAGAGAACATCCAATGAGGCTGTGTATAGTAGCGTTTTTTGCAAGTCAAATTCAGCTATCTTCACCTGTCTTCAGCTCTTTTTAGCTTGATCGGCTTTATTATTGCATACAAATAGCAGCCTCCTTTTCTTTTCATCATTCCATTCTTCAGTCTGACCGATTTGTCAACGCATACTTCAATATGTCAAAATTCAGTCCGCCTCGCGCACGAACTTCCAGAAGTTGCGGCAACTGCCGAGTCGTAAAGCGAAGAGTTAGTCGACCAATCTCATTGAAGCGATGATCACGATAGCATTAGGTTTTAACCCGGCGAAACAGTGCGACAAGCAGGTTCCCCATTGTGGTCAATGCATACGTACGCGCGAAGTTTGCCCGGGGTACCGTGACGAGTGGGACTTGGTTTTCCGTGACCAAACAAGCGATACGATCAAGCGGTCTAGGAAGTTTTCAGAGAAGAAGCGGTTTGAGATTGATGAATCCGCGACCGACGTCAACGCTTTGACCATACCGATCTCTGGCCCGAATCCCAATCTCGTCGATCTGGGCGTAAACTACTTCCTTCAAGACTTCGTTGTGGGTGGTCGATACCCTTCATGTGGATTCCTGAACTACATCCCTACGGCTTACTCGGCCGATGCCGAGCACCCGACTCTACTGGCCAGCATGGCGGCGGTGGGTCTTGTTGCGTTAGCAGCTCGTCGACCTGAGCTTGTTCGCCACGCACGTGCCAAATACTCCGAGGCGATCCAGTATGTCAATGACGCATTGTCATCCCCTGTCGACTCACTCAAAGATAGTACCTTGATGTCAGTGATCTCGCTTGGAGTTTTTGAGCATGTCTCAAACTTTGAGTCGTGGGTCCGCCATGTCAAAGGAGCTGCAACCCTGGTAGTTGCTCGTGGTAAATCTCAATTTGCCCGTAGGAATGCCATGTTGATGTTCAACCAGGTGCGCGCAGATATGTCGGCTGCCTGCATACATAGCGTTCGGCCCTTTCCAAATGATATGCGTGAGCTGCAGGAAGAGGCGGCCAAATATATCGATCCTTCCGATGCATTCTGGGCCCTCGGAGTACTTGCCACTCGATGCGCAACTATCTTTGCGCTGGCAGCACGGAAGAATAATGGTATCCGTTGCTCTGAGTCTTGGTATGACTTTTTAAAAATATCTATTTCAATTGAGGACGACTTCGAATTTGTTCTTGATGTCCTTGCTAAGCAGGAGCCGTACAAGATCATTCAAGAATCTTGTGAGAGAGCGAGGTTCATTTCATATAATGGTCAATACCACCTATACAGGACATCTTGGGCGATAAGGCTTTGGAATAACTCGAGAATGGTCGAGATTATAGTTTGCAGGATTATATGCTGGCTTATTTCCAAAGTCCTTGAAGATGAACCCCCTTATTCTGATGGAGCTCGACTGAATCTTGAATCTAAACGGCAGGAGGCGATTCAGATCATGTCACGACGAGGAAATGAGATATTGGCCACCGTTCCGCAAGGTTTAGGGCTCGTATCCCTACCCAGTGCAAATAAACCCGAAGAGCCGAGTGTTTCGGGCGGGTATATGCTAATATGGAACCTCTATACGGTCGGAAAGTCCCCTGCTATCAGTCATCAAAACCGCCGATGGGTCGTCAAACAACTCAAGGGTATCAGTGAAAGCGCAGGCATTACGATGGCTCTTCAGCTTGCCGAGGATATTGTTAGAATAGATCACGAAGTATACGTTGATTAGAAACCTCGCCTATACAGAGTTTGAAATAGGGAGACATCACTTGAGTACCATGCACGTGTGCAACGTTCGCTCAATTATACTGTACATATATTATTCCTATTCATCAATCTTGAGCACTTAAGTGCTTGAGCCAAGTTTCAAATGTTTAGACTTGAAACAAATGTTTGCATACGATATAACTTGGAATCTACTTCAAACTCCCAAATAATTTTCTAAACGAGAGGGCTCAAGTTTAGCCTTTAAAATATAATTTACTCACCACATTCATTCAAACACAGAGTGTGTACGGATGCTGAACAGCGAACTCGGGAAGACGCAGAAAAACCGGAGTAGGAAGATAAGAAAGGATTGGGATCTCACTGCATCAGGTGCAGGCATGCACACTACGTAGTAGTGTAGCGTGGAATCAGGTAGGTAGCACCGTGGCAGTTTGAAAGTAGAAGATGTATTTTTCGGCGGTCGCACCCAAAGGGATAGCAGTCCGTGGGCTCAGACCAACGTTCTTTCTATACGCCACTCTTAGGTCTATAAGCGATTTCGATATATCTACTTCTAACTCCAGCGAACCCAAGGCTAGGCCTTAGCCTTTTCCAGGCGACAAGTGGCCTACTAGATCTGGATAAGATTATCTTGCTGATCATTGATCGCCCCACCGGGGCTAAACCTAATACGGCAATCGAGTTGTAGCGCCGGGAAGCCTATGCAACTGTAATGCAAGTTGGCAACTCTTAGTCTACAATGCAAATGCGCACTGAGAGCCTAAAAGAGTCGAGTGGGGCTGTGGCGGGGGCCAAAAAAGGTACCATTCCCAACTGTTTGGATATCAATCTCAAACGAATCACTTTCTAATCTGTTTTTCACAGCCTCTGACGCAAATCCTAGTGCATGGTTCATTCCCCACATCGCTGGTTCCTTCTTCACATGTGCTCTCAGAGTCACAATCTTTCCAGTTATGACATCCACGGGTACATAGTGACAAGTGATTGGTATGTGGTGCTATATTTTTGACAACAGTTCGGGATCTAGTACTTGCTCGCTTGTACAGGTCATCGTCCTCTTCCAGACCATCGCATATTTGGCCCCAATAACGAATTCAAGTCAAGGCCCCCCACCCGGATTCTTTGCATGATGAAAGTACCATGACGTTGCCGGATTTGCTTAGTGATGAACATGTTCAATGACTGGTTGAATCGATTTTCAATGAACGCCGATCCATTACTACGCGGGCTTTATTAATGCAAAGGATATCCGACTGTCAATTATTAGGCTCAGGTTCCAAATCTTCAAAACTTTCTCTACAACTATTTCCCAGGTGCCCACGATGTCCGCCAACGACTATACAACCTTTCCACCAGGGACTCATTTGTTAGAAGACGGTATGTCCCTTATGAAGTCGCCCATTCCTGCAAAATCTGACTTTGATATAGATCACAGCAATGTGAACGAGAAGAAAGAACTTATTCTCAAACCTACGCCTTCAGCTGACCCCGAGGACCCATTGGTAGGGCAAAATCGTTCTCAACCGCGACCTATCATCAACTGAACAGAATTTTTAGAACTGGTCTACGCCGAGAAAAGCATTGAACTTCGGACTCACTTGTTCATACGTCGTATTCACTTTTGTTCTCATTGATGTCGGCAGCACCCTGGTCAAATACTACGAAAAGGACCTCCACCTGTACACGAAAGCACAGAATAAATCCAGTGGAGCCTCATACGCAGGCCTCGCGATAGGCGCTCTCATTTTCATTCCCTGTGTGCACAAGTTTGGTCGACGACCTATTTACATCATAAGTGCAATCCTTCAGTTTGTGGCGGCAATTTGGGATGCGAAATTCACTTCCGAGGGTGAGTATATAACTATTGGCCTGTTATCCGGTCTATCAGGCTCAACCTGCGAGGCTATCGTGATGATTACCATTGTCGATCTTTTTTTCCTGCATCAGCATGCTCGCATGAACGGTGTCTTCATCCTCATGCAGACCCTGGGTACGCTAGGCGGCCCCATTGCTGCCGGGTATGTTGCAGTATATGTCGGGTGGCGATGGGTGTGGTGGATAACCGCCATCCTGTTGGGTACCAATCTGCTGCTGGTTCTATTCTTTTTCGAGGAATCCAAATACGTTCCACGATCGGGGTCGGTTGGGAAGAAGATCTCAAAAGAAAACCATCGTGGGGATGCCGATGGCGCGTTATCATCATCTGACAGTGGAGAGATATCATCTGAGCCACATATGGAATCTCAGACCTACTACCCTCGCAAAACATATCTTCAACGCCTTGCACTTGTGACGAAGACCGACGGCCCGATGCTGCGGAACTTTTATCGGCCTCTGATTGCCCCTTTCTTCTTTCCCGCCGTTGCATTCACGGCGTTCCAATATGGCATAATCCAGTCATGGTTCTCTGCTACCGTAACAGCTGGAACCCAAAATTTGTTCTACGCCCCTTACAACTTTCAACCAAACCAAATTGGTCTATTCAATATCGGAGGTTTCATAGGTGTTGTCCTAGCTGGAATCACCATAGCTTTAGTGAGTGACCGGCTTGTTGTGGTCCAAGCTCGCCGAAACAAGGGTGTGTTCGAGCCAGAGATGCGTTTGTGGCTGCTCTTCCCTGCCATCATCTGTAACTCTATTGGCTCCTGGGTTTTTGGTATCGGACTTGCTCGGGTGAGTTCTCTCCTTCCTTTCGCTCAAACAATAAGCATGGTTAACATCTCATCATAGGGCTGGCACTGGATTATCCTTGCCGCTGGCAATGCAATTTTCGGTTTTGGATTCATGATCACCGCCGATGTTGCTCTAACATACCTTACTGATACCTATCCACTGGTAAGTTCATAGCAAGTCTTAAAATGAAATAATGACGATCTAACAAAATCAGATCATCAACGATGCCCTTATCTCCGTTGTCTTCATCCGCAACGGTCTGGGAATGATTATTAAGTTTGCATTGAACAGCTGGCTCACTGGGATGGGCCTCCAGAACGCATTCATTCTCATCGGATGCCTTTCTCTCGCAACTATGATCATGCCGGCTTTACTCATAGTCTACGGTAAGCGTGCTAGAAGACACTCTGCGCCCAAATACAGAGAGTTTGCTGCCGAGCAGCAGTCTCAAAGAGCAGGTGCTTAGCTTGAGTGGTGTCGATTCCAGATATCATAATCAGTGAAGGGTAGGACTATATGATCCACGTGGTCGATTGGAAGTGTGATGGTATATCAACATTTGAATGGATGTTACTATCATTTGGAAAGTTTTGAGACTTGAGGAAATGTTATGGCATCTAGTACGCCAGGGGGGATATAGATGCACACGGGCATGTGCCTCACAATTCGGATTTTGGGCAAATGTGACACTGTGACAGCGAGCCTCTATGTATTATGTATGCATATAAAGAATCAATGCGTTCACTGAATGACATTCCTCAGCAGTTTGTGTTTGAGTATAAAAGTGTAAATGTAAATTTTATTTGGGATCTTACTTTCATCATCCACCAGTTGACTTCCCCTCCCGGACCAATCGGCAGCAATAAAAAAGTGGTTCCTAACTTGGTCTAGCACGCGTATGGTGATTGGCAGGCATTTCGGTCAACTCTTTCTCCACTTCCCCCCTGTTACCCCTGCTAATTCTGAATCCTTGTTGTCAGCGCGGAAGGAATGCAACCGCTGCCCAGGGAAAGGAAAGAACGGAGAGAGAAAAGCACTGGATTGGCTATGGACAATCTCTCTCGGGGGGATGGAGAGAAGAGGGAAAAGGAAGGAAGGAAGGAAGCAAGCACTGGAATCTAGATATACCTAGAGGAGGTCACCTGACCCCTCTCTAACACTTGTCTAATCCTCCACCAATCATCGATCACCAACTATGGCTTCACTACGCCAAAACAATGGCAGGGGACAGTCAGCTGTCTCTGGGGCCCAAGTCGGCCGCCTTTACCTCAGCTCCACAGAACTTGCCCGCCAAAGTGACGCGATTGTTCTGCAACGGTCGCTCAGCTTGAAGTCTGTTATTTGCACGACTTCTTCCTTTAGCCAGAGTGCGCGCTCTAGCCCCGAATTACAGGAAGTCAACCAGATTGGCACTGGCCGACGGGGTACCGTTTTCGAGGTGGTTGGAAAGCCTTACGTTTTCAAAAAAGAGAACCCGGTGAAAGATGAACGGCCCTCACCTTTTGGCCGCGAGTATGATCTTGCCCACAAATATGACATTCGCCGCGAATATGAAACCCACTGCGACGTTTCGAAGGCATTCGAAGAGTACAGGAGTATCACTCACTGTTTACTCCGCGTTCCGACGCCCTACAAGTTTATTTCCCAAACGCAAGATGATGTATTCTGGGATGAAGTCTTTCCAAAGATCCCCCAGGATCATCGCACTCGCGGGGATCTCTTCACCATGGAACGGATTCTTCCTCTACCGAAGGTTGTACGAAAAGCGCTCATCACTCATCTGTACGCCCGGAACCTCGGCGCCTCTCAAGTCCAGTCCCTTCTCAACGACCCAGTCAATAAGCACTGTCTTGCGGGAGTGAACATAGCCTCTCCGTTTAATGGCCCCCCCAAATACAACAAATTGGCTCCACTTCAAGACTTTCCTCTGCATTTCTCGACCTTTCGAAATCTTGGCATCAATATTGCCACGCTCGCTCAAGAAATTGGCAAGGCATTTGCAACCCTGCACTGGGGCGCCGCCACGACTGGCATAGATGTGAAATTCGCGCTTGGCACATCAACCATCGAGGAGGAAAGAGCTCTCGCTGAGGGTGGTCTGGACTTTCAGTATCGCGAGGTTGGACTGTATCTTTTGGACTTCAGCCAATGCAAGCCGATTGACCTAGCAAAGGGCCGTCAACTCGTTTACAATGAGTTGCAAGATAGTCTGCTAGGCTCACGTTTTATTCCATTTTATCTGTATTGCCCGGAGTTCGTGGCTTTCAAGAATGCGTACATTGACGCTGGCAATGCTATTCTATCGGCTAAGAACCTCACTGACAAATTCAATGCGGAGGAATTCATAAAGCGATATGAGTACATGGCCGAGGGTTACCTAGAGATGGCTACGGAAGCTAGCATTGATCAAGAGTGGTAAATGCTCGCTACCTTGCGTCTATCTCCATTGGAGGATACATTGATATATGTGAACTTTCTGTTCAAATCTTCAGACTTAGCTCGTGATCATAGCAGCCTACTACTAGTAGTACATCTTTCTTATGTTCTGCAAAATTCAAATCTTATTCTTAACTACTATCCTTCTAATTATTAGTATTTTCGTTGCTATCTTCAAGTTTCTAGCCACCTTCTTCCGCATCACCTCATACGAAAAAGCGGTTTCTTTCGCGGGTACGGCTGCAATTCCATCAATCAATATTAAATGATTTACATACTAGGAAGTTGTTTCATGAGGTTTGCCTCGCTTGGTTACCGGGTCCAGGATGTCGGTTGGTGGAGCTGAAGTTCCGTCTGCCACAATCAGGTGGTCACGACTCACAATTTCTGTCATACATAATCATTGCGATAACGTGGTCGCTGAAAGAACAAACACACACAGACCAGAAACTCGGGATAAAACTCAGGTTCAATGGAAAACCGATAAGGGAAACGAAATGGTAACAGAACAATGATATTGGGGTTGGGGGGGGGGGAAGAGTGAAAGAAGTTCCCTCCCCGAACAGTCCTATGAGAATACATTGTTTACATAATATCCCCCCATCCGACCGCCCGAACTTGGGCGTCAACAGAAAATACACATATTCCAAATAATGATCCTTGTTCCCTTCTTCCATTCTCGTAATCATATCTGTTTCTTTCCGTCTCTTCAACTTCCCTCTTTCCTTGATCCATCCCGATTTCAGCTATTCACCCACCATCGCCACATCGCCTTCTGATGATTATCCAGATTCGTCACCATCCAAAGTGGTGGGCTTGGACCTAGTCTGAGTTCATAGGGGAACGGGGATCTGAGTGCACCGCCACAGAATCTCCATCAGATCCATCATCACTCTCCTGATTCTCAAAAGCCCCTTGGATTGTAGCGATACGCGAGATATGCCACTGGAGTTCCAACAACTCCATTGATGGTGGGGGTCGGGCCTGTGGGTCATCTGTTGTGACATTAAAAATATGACCCGACTTGACAATGGCCATGGTCTCAACATCCCACAAATGGTGGTTGTTCCTGTGACCAACATCAGTGTCCCTGGGAAATGTGGGGTATGGGTGGCTTATTGTTCGCAGACGACTCGGAAGCCTTGAATCAGCCGTAGATGGCTGGGATGGTAGCCAATGGAACCCAATTTTGAGTACCGCGCGCTCTTCGTTCACCTGAATAGGTCTTCATGCGAAGCCACAGTTCCCTCTAAGGAGGGTAGTCACAATCCGCGTTGAAGGCATGCACAGAATGACTTGGGTAAGACGCTCTGTTAGAGCCTTAAGCTGCTGGGCCTTAACACCATTAAGGCCGCAGGTTATATCTTCTTCCACAAGATCACTGAAGGTCTTGCAGTGAACCTTTTTCGGGTAGCTGAAAGCGTATCGTGACACCAATACGTGGATCTGCGCTTTCTAAAAATCCTTTTCGATAGGTGAAAGATCGTCTAACCGACGGATGGGCACTTTCCTGGCGCTGGACTTTCGGAGAGTGGCAAGTCGGTATGTGGGCGTTTGGAAAAGCACGAGCTGGTCACACCAAATTTGTACATGCTCGTGAGCCACCCGGGATGCGTGTTGTTGAGCGATAAAAAGCTTCAAGCCGGGGCGTGTTCAAGTTGGCCTCAAGGATGGTCCGAATTCGACTATCCATCTCCAATGCTGGTTGTGCACTGTACAGCTGATTGATGGCGATGATTTGAGCATCAATAGTACATGACAAATTGGGAGCCATGCAGATTGCGATTTCGAGAGTCTTCCATTGAAACCATTGAGAGCGGCCTGAAATTGATGAAGTCACCATAATGTGAGATTTTGGTGTCGATTATGAGCCCCGCATATTGAGGTTCTTTTTAATCAAGATATGCTCATCTTCAGGGCACAGAGTGAAGTTGAAATCCGCAAAATCCGCAATGACTGGAGCTGGATTTGCCGTGACTTTCAAGGAATTTTCGTCGGTCGTTGTCATCAATTGTGAAAGCTAAATAAGCCGGTGCCGTCAAGCGAAATCAATAGCTGTAACACGTACAGTAAGCAAAGGAACAAACAAATTTGTACTATGGTCCAGAAAACACGAGAAAAATACACACAGAGAGAAAAGAAAGAAAGAAAGAGAAACAATCTGAAGGAAAGAAACAGTCTTAAGTAGTTGCAGGTGGTGCCTCTCCTGGATGGGTGCTTGGGAGTTACTGCATGCAGCATGAGTGCCTGGCACAGTAGAGCCCCTCCTGTGTTGGTGCCTGGTGACTCATGGACGAGAACCTGAGGTATATGATAATTTGATAAATACAATACGGGCAGGGAACAGGGCGGTGAAGTTAGAAGTTGAAATTGGGATGTGTCGTTAGGGTGGCGGTTATCGGCCTCCGCAGCGAGTACGTACACCTGCCCTTCACGCCAGGGCGATCAATATTATTCAACATCAGTCGGAACGTTTCGCAATTCTTGGCAAGCAGCACCAACTGACAAGCATCATGGCGTAGAGGACCAGACAGATAGGATGTAAAACTACTGTGCCAAGATGCTGCGCGAGGAGACCGGTAATGAACGGAGCAAAGGCACCGCCACTACTTCCCATTGCGGTTATGAAGCTCAAACTCGCCGTTTGAATGTTGCGAGGGAGCAATTTGCTGAAAACCACGGCTCCACAGGGGTAAACAGGACCCAGAATCAATCCAATGATGGCGACTGCGACCGCCTGTCCAATAGTGTTCGGGATGAACCATGCAAGCAGCTGAAATATAATAGCACACAGCGTAAGCACGAAGACTGATAGTTTTTCTCCGACGCGATGGGCTGGGTGGGAGAGAGCAAAACGGCCGATAGTAATGCCCGCCCAGAAACCGGAGCTAACGTATCCAACATGAGCCGGGTCTCCGTCTCGATAACTTATCAGGTATGAGACAATCCAACCGGATATCGATACCTCGGCACCTTGGTATGCAAATATGAACAACGCCCCCAGAAGAGTCACTTTGCTTTTGACAGCCTTTCTCAGGACACTTTTTTGGGCGGGCTGCTGCGCCTCGTCCTGGACGAATGCTGTTCCACGAACACATGGGACAAGTTGGCCTGGCAGCTCTTTCTCAAATCCTTTAAGAGCCCAACCTGAGTATAAGAGATTGAAGACAGCCAGAGTCAGGCTAATGAAGTAGAAGTACGTCCACTGGATCCCATGCGATACCATTGCGGTAGCGATCAGTGGAGCAATTGTTCCGCCGATGCCATAAGATCCGTGAGCGACGCCCAAGACTTCAGTCCCATTTACCATATTGGCCAAGAAGACATTGTTCAGGGAAATGTTGATGGACGTACCGAGCCCGATAAGCAAGGAGCTCACGACGACGACCGGGAAGGGTACTTTGCAGACAATCAGGGTGAACGCTGTGAGTAGGAGTGCTTGACATATCATGGACGTTTTCGAGCGGCCAAGTCGACTGCTGACAGCATGAGTGAGCGGTGCAGCCAAGATGAATCCTACGGCGTTGGCGACAAAAATCAACGACACGGTCGAATATCCGATGTGATAATCCTCCTCCATGTATGGAATCAATGCACCAGGGGCACTATCCCCCAAACCGTTGGCCAGGAACATCATGCAGGCACTCAAAAAACGCCATTTATTCCTCGGAGGATTCGAAAGACTTGGTGCCACATCTGCCGTAACAAGACCGGCTGGATCCTGTGCTCTTTCGTGGTCACGAGGTAAACCGAGAGACGCTGAAAGGCTCTCAACGTCTGTCGAATTTAGTAGCGTTTTCACCGCTCTGGGTGATGATGATGGATATCCTCTCGTGGGAGAGGAACTGCCTGATTGGAACTCGTCTAATTCAGGATATGTCGGTCGAGAAGCTACACCTTGGTGATCTTTGCGAACCACCGCCACTAGATTCGCGATCTGGGGAGTAATTCCCCCCTCAATGATAGCACTAGGCCGGGCAGCCATGACAATGAAGGTGTTTTGTCAGGTGCTTTTGAATTGTAACGAGGAAGAGGTCTCTGTATTAGTTAGCTTCCACCCTGAGCTCCATGTCCGCAAAATAACTTATTGGACATGCTGCATGCACATACATGTCGTTGGCAGAACAGAGATGAAATTTTGGCAGTATGGGATCGGTATGGACTCAGCAGTTGAAACAATTAATGGAAAAAACCAGTCGACGCTAATATCAAGTACAACCATCGGCGTTCCCTTTTTATAACATGGTATATGTACTTTTGCCCGCATAGATTCGGACTTTCCTAATTGAGCTGGCGGAGTTTCCGTTTAAGATGTTCACCGCTCAAAGGCAGTGTAAATTAGTAATCCTTTGTTGCCACACGCCGCGGACTAACCTATTTATCATCAATCCCCACACAAATATTGATTGATGGAGCTCACTTTCATGGTTAGCAGTGATTGGAATAATATCAAGCGAAAACAGTCACGGCGAGCGTGTGCCTGCTGCCGCCAAAAAAAGGTACTGTTGTAGAAAACTGCTTTTATTACAGTCGAAGTGGCAAACTGACAAGATGGTAGAAACGATGTCATCATAACAACCCTGGATTACAAGCATCCGGGAAAGACCAACAAGTGAATTTATCTGATACGGCGAATGCCTCGAGAGCCAACTCTGAAGGTCTAGAGCAACACCTAGCGACCACAGACCCACCTACAGCACCAAAAGATGATCGACCAAGTGCTACTCTTTTTCGAGGAGATGAGGAGCAAATTTTAGGTATTCCCCGCATCTCTGATGCACCTGAAGTCGCAGCGGAAGAAGGGTCAACTACTCGTCGTTTCGCATGCGACTCAAACCCCATCGTGAATTTTTTAGAAGAGAAGGGATCAAGATTGCGAAAAGGCCGATCTCAAAGAGGGGATGTAGGAGGATGGTTTCGTAATGAGGACACTATTCCACAGCAAGAATGGCCCCGCGGTTCTTCTCTATCGACACCGAATGGGCTGCACCAGCTGAAAGCTGTCGGTCAATTGCCCTCAAAGCAAAGGCAAGAGGCATTGATAGACATCTACTTTCGTCGAATACATCCGGTACTACCTCTTATGGATGAGGCCGATATACGCGCTCAATTTCAAGAGGGTGTACTGTCTACCCAGCTTATCCAGTCAATCTGCCTTGTTGCATCGAAGGACCGGAGTGCATCATCTTTACTTTGTCTTGACCAAGATTCAACGGTTTTGACACTCGAAAAATTCAGCAATCTACTATATCAGGATATCATTCTGAATATGCCGAGAAACTCCGGAGGAAAAAAAAGTCACCGCTATACGGATTTTAGCGCTCTTGTCTCTTCACGAATGGGGACCTACTGGATTTGAAGATTGCTCTTTGCACTTGGTTCAAGCCATCCATCATGCTCAGACAATAGGTCTACACTTAGTAAGGCCTGATGACCAGCAGACTGCCCCGTCTCTAAAAGCTCTATTCTGGTGTTTGTGGAGCCTTGACAGATGGAATTCTGCCATTAATGGGAGGCCAGTAATGATGCACGACCAAGACATGGGCCAGAAAGTGGATGACGTTCTTCCGCATATGGCTCCGCCTTTTCGCATATGGCTCCGCCTCACCGACAGGTTGGATGAGGTAATTCGATTCTACCGACCAATTGTGGACAGAGATGATGAAAAGGAGCTTGATCTCCCAATCTTCGAGGAACTGGTTAATATTTCCAACGCGTGGGATATTCCTAGAGATTTGCTCGGTACTGGAATCCCTCAAATATTAATTGCGACCTTCAAATGTTCTGTGGCTGACAGTGAAAAGAGTCTCTAGATATGTTTTACCACGGAGTTGTAATTCTCTCAACACACTCAAAAGGATTGCAGGGCCGCTCACGACCGAGGGTATCGAGAATTCGTCAAAGCCATTCAATCTTCTCCATTGCGTCAATCCTTCGCAAGCAAGATATCCAAGACTTTCTCCCTTTGCCTATGACTGCTTATACCCTATCGCTTGCCTTCTCAGTTACATATAGGCAGCCGAGAGAAGAAAAGCTGCCCAGTGGTCGACAAACAGCAAAGGAGCACGTTGACTTGTTCTATCAATGTCTTAGGATACTAAGTTCAACGTGGTGGTCAGCTGCTATAATGACGTGTTTGGGAAATCGTGTTTTGAATGACAGCCTGCGTGGAAAGAACCCGGAACGATCCACTGGGTCAGAAATGGACCAAATACGATCAAACTCTCAGGACATGATAACCCCTTCGTTCGGCGGTACGCAGGCGTTGGAAGAAAGTGAAGGGACGTACATGAACGTGGCTACCATTGATCAGCGCCAAATAGGATCAGATCTTGCAACCAATTTTGACGATTTCGTTGACAATTCCGATATTATTAGTGGCAACATTGAGGATTTTGATTTATTCTTTGATAACTTCCTTGATATCAACTTTCCCAGGTCTTCCGGTGATCAATTCTTCCTGGATTTCGATATGCTTAACTCCTGAGCTAATGATAACCTACTAGTATTGGCCACCTATACTAAAGTCTAAAATGTATGGTATATCATCCAAAAAAGCTGAGCTAATAAATTCATGGATCTTTATTAATACTGTCTCTCCTTAGCCCAGCCAGGCTCACCCACTCTCGCCCTGCTTCTCACCCTACCTATTGCGCACTCACCCTTCTCACCCCGGGTCGCGCGACACAAAAGCGGCTCTCACCCATTTCTCACTCTGGCAGCACCCACCCGACTACTGGCCGCATTTAAGCCACACGCCGGTCAGTTAGTAGTATGGTGGGTGACCACATGCGAATCCTGACTGTTGTATGTTTTTTTTTCGATCTTGGTCTTTTTTAAAATTCATGTATTGACAGAATAGGAATCATATTTCCTGTCAATAATATGTTGATAATAAACCAGTTGCAGTATAGTATACTAGTATATCTAAGCTAGAAGACCAGTGGACCTTTCTTTTATGGCTCAATAAGGGGCAAGTAATAACACGTATCCCTGCAAGGTATTCCGACTTCATTGGTCACTAGGGCTAATTGTAAGGAGAAGAAAATAACACTAATGCATGCTCCTCAGAGCACATGTTTGGAAGGCTAACACAGCCCGCACGTATTTAAGGCTCAAACGGATCACATCAATACATATGTAGGTCCGCACGCTATATAAAGAAGAAAGACCTTAGAACTAACGCAACGCAAAACAACAGAATGGATGCTAAATAAAACTATATCCATTAATTCAGAAAGCAAAAGATTCCGAAAGGAAAGGCGAGAAAGTGGTACTTAACGACTTCCATGAATAGCAATGGCCAAAGCAAGCTTCGCAAATGCATCGAGGTCTTCAGACCGATTAATGAACCATGGACCGAACTTGTGCATTTTCATAAAATGTTCTTCAGTAATCCTATGGCGACGGCCTCTAGCAAAATCAACATATCTGCGGTCGAAGTCAGCAACAATAACATATAGCTCGACGCCATCTTGGCTAATCAAGAATATGGGGCTGCTAGCTGCTGGGCTGCGAGTTGCGATCATTGCGAAAACTTCAGCCGATTCTTGTCTTGATACATAAACCTCGTTGAAAATTCTGTTAGCTCTCTTTACCTCAATGAGTGCCTTCACATGCCCGGTCAATGGGTTCAATAACCACCCATCAACTTTAACAGAGAGGGTTGATTGTGTTGGAAATGAAACTCTGAAGTTCTTCCTCCTGCTCGACCAGTCGCAATGGACCTCTGGGTGGCGCATGGTTATCGCTTGCAGGAACGTCATTAAGCTAGACACAACTACCTCTTCATCAATGTCTTCCAAAACACGTGTTTTGAATGCCTGGATCACAATCTCTTGGTTTCTCTTGGGTAACTCCATGATCCCAAGTGCGGTTGCGTCTTTGGCAGACTGGCCAATTGCCCAAGACTTCGTACGGGTGTTGGATTCCACATTAGCTAGGTACTGCTGGAACGGTTGGAAGGCATTCAGCCAGGCCTCCGCACGGTCATGATAGGCAAGTAGCCCGAATTTGTGGAGAGTCGGCTCTCTAAGCCGATTTTGGGGTTCCTCTCCCGCCGGCCAGAGTATTCGCAGGGTTAGGAATTCAGCCCGTCTTATTTTTGATCCACCGGTCCATTGAATAGATGCTGGTTGCGGGACTCCCTGCGGGTGGTCTCTGTTGGCAGTTATTTGCCACTCCTCGAAAGAGGCTGGCAAGTCCACCGGGCTTGCCCTACCTGCAGCTGTGCTTGAAATTGCTGAAAAAAAGAACCAATGGCTTGCGAGTAGTGGTTTCGATGAAAGCTTTGATAATTTTCGTGGATGTCACTGCACCTAACTTGAGCCTTCCGTCAGATGTAAGTCCACTGCAAAGAGCCTGGGGATATCAGGCTTCCTTTGAAAATGCTGGTCAGAATGTTGGATGATTGCTACTGATTGAAGGAAGCTTTCGTGAATAGGGGGAGGGGTATAAAAGTGTTGGCGTAAGGCCAGGAGGTAGCAGAACTACACGGTAGGTCTGGCACATGTGCAGACGAATGGTAATGAGGTGGAGAACATTTGAAGGCTCTCAACGAGGATTATTCAGACGTGCTATGATGAGGAATTTCTTTAAATATATGTTCGAACCACAGTTTCGTCTACCCTTGACGACTATGGTTCGAGGAAAAGAAAGAAAAGGCACAGAGAAGACAATGATGGTATTCTCTCTATACGAAGCGGGATGGAGAGGAAAGGATGGAGAGAAGGAGAGGAGAGAGAAACTCTTACTCCTACCTCCAGACCTGACTTCCTGACTATCTATCTAAGCTACCTAATCTGGACTAGTCGCATACTGAAAACCTAGGATCCGTAGGGTAAAGTACCTTATACCTTAGGAACCTATATGCTCTAATAATATATGTATATTATTCTCCCTATATTACCCTCCTAAGAAAGTAATTTATATACTAATATTAAATGCTTATGGCTAGTTACTGTTATTTTGCCGGTACAACATGGGGAATTCCTTCCAAACACTAGTACTGAGTCCTAGGCCAAATTCCGTCATATGCCATCTTTTTTCCAGTTGGCCATTCATATAACATGTGATTCATATATAGCGCTCCGTAGGCTGGTGGACTGAAAAAGAGAGCACTCAAGAGGGAATATTATTTATAAGGACTAATAAGAAGTCCTTAGTACATTTAGGGGAATGTAGTCAACTATCTTTTAAGCCTCACAAGAGACTTTAAGTCTATGTATTATATACATATATAGAATATATCCTAGAAGTCTTTAGTAGGATATATTTGAAGCATAGTCCATTTAGCATATCCGGTAGCCAGTCTATTCAACCATCAACAATAAGAACCTTATATCAATCTCATTCTCCTTATCCGATTTTTTTCTATCTTATAGTATATATAGGTCTTCTCTATATCTTATTACTCTATTCTATATATTATATATAATCACAAGTAGCTATATATAGATTACATTTCTACTATGATAGTATAGCCTGTAGCCTGTGACTCGTGAGGTTGCGTTGGAATGTCGGACATATGACTGGAAGGTGCTGACTCTTGTATAATCAATTGATCGTGTTTATGGCTGCAAGGATAGCAAACAGTTTGTTAGTAGCGGTCGTAATAACTAGTAAACTACAGAGTTTACCTGCAGGCTATGAAGCCGCCTTCAACTCCGTGGACGCTGACATGCGTGGGAAGTCACGTGACACGTGGATATTCTTCTTACTTAGTAGTCAACTTTCCCTTTCTCTCTCCATAGCCAATCACACACGGTGACAACTCTACTCGCGTCTCTATTCCTCTTGGCTCTCTCTCATAGTAGTATAGGTACTACTCATAATTAATGGAGCACCGTAACCCTGGAAGCAGAGAACTGTAGTTACATTGGGTGACAGTGGACACTGGAGTTTAGACACTTCCATTTTTCCCCGTAAAAAATGGCAAAACTCACCAACTTTGATATTCAATATCTCCGTAAATCTCTATATGAACTTTTTTTTCTGATTATGGTCATGTTATAAAGAATTAGATAATAACTGCTTCTTCCAATAAGAAATTGTAGTATGCTTTTTCCTGACAGAGCTGCACGACCTTGAAGTTGAGGATGAAAAAAATCATCCAAATTTGTTAGTGAACGGGCCGCATCCCCATAGTAAAAATACGAACTTTTATTGAAAAATAGCGTATCTTATTTCCAAGCCAAACATTTCCACAATACAAGCATTTAAACCGAGATCCTAACTATAAAGATCAATTATCAATCATTCATTTAGAGTTAAAGCGATTTAAAAATTATCTTTTACGTCTAAAGTTGTTAAAATAATTGTAACCAAAGAGGGCGAGTTTTGCCATTTCTTGCGGGAAAAAACGGAAGTGTCTAACTCCAGTCACCCTATGTATCCTTTGCTATGATATAGTTGTACCTAACTATCGATCATAGGTACGTCATTATTACCCCTCTAGTATATGTTTGAAGGAAGAATTTTTATTCAAAAAACACCTCTACAACTACAGCCCAACCAACTGCAAGCGAAGTTTTCGGAATGCGGTTTATGTCGCTAACTCGTGCCACGGAGGAAGATCCACTTGCAACGGATGATGTGGAATTGGAGACGAGGCGCAGCCCTCAACTAAGCAACCTTTTTCAGTACTTCGTGGCTGCAGAACAGCAGTTTTTTTCATCTGCAGAGCTTGTCTCGTTTGGCATAGACGCAATCGCTCTTCCTAATATGATCTCCTTGTCATGTAAAGGGTGCCACTTCCAACCTCTCGATTCTCCCATCTTTACTTCTGTGGTCTGCTCTCTACTTGATATTATGGATAAGCATCCGAAACCCCTACTTTCGAGTCGTATGCAATGCCCGGGGCCTATTACCGCTCTCCTAGAAACTAGCAAGCGTGCTATGTGGAGTAAGCTTTCCCCAGAAAACCGAGAAGTCCTCCTAGAGAGTGGACATTGGGATCCTATCTCGTGCGTATTGCCCCATATATAATCATGCTCGCTTTCTAAGATGTACTAATAGGATTACTCATAGTCCGATGTGCACCCATAAATTCTTCGGGGTATGTTCTGGTATGGCATGGGGACCAAACTTGCATTTTAGTTTGACTTCTCTTTATGAGTGGGTTGGACCTAAAGAAAACAATCTTGGACAATCTCATTTAAAGATATACATGACCACTGCATGTGTCGGGGATGAGGAGAGACTTTCCCAGGCAGAGCTAAGTGTTATTATGAATGCCTTCTACAACCGGGTTTATGAAGTAGGTTATGAAGAGCATTCGATATTTCCAGTGAGTTTTTGTTGGAAGGGTCTAGTCAGAAGACACATGTGCATATGAATAACCAAAACATGACTATACAGATTCTTCTTATCTCGGAGTTCTATTGGTGTAGTATCCGCATTATTGAAGCGGTATTTAACGTGCAGAATGAGAAAGCAACCTTGAAGTTCACCCCACTTTGTGATTTCACCAGCAGAGATGAGTCTCCTTGGGATTTATTCTTGCGCCACGAAGGGAGTCAGCCATGTTTAGACTGCTGTCTGTCCAATGCTATCGTCTCTTTGACAATTTAGCTTCATTTTCCCTCTCTCTTATCGCTCCCGACTGCTGAGGTCTTACCCACACGATTCTATCAATATTGTTATGATAGGCCTTGTCTCGCTCCTATTTGAAGTCAATGTTCATGGTCATAAAGCATGCTTTTTAAGTTATTTATGTATGGGTTCAAGTCTTCCCACCTGAAAACAGCCCGTGCCCAGGTGTAAACATTTGAACATTCCATGTGCTTCTATAAATACAACCGTTATACAGCAAAGGGTGATTTCTCACCCCAACCTGTCTATTACGCACTCGCCCTTCTCAGAAATGACCGAGTGTTTTGCTATATATTTCACTCAAATGGTATATCCACTACATACGACCATAGGGTGTGGAGAACAGGGCTTCCCGTCCGCTCAGCCGTACTTAAGCCACACGCCGGTCAGTTAGTAGTATGGTGGGTGACCACATGCGAATCCTGACTGTTGTATGTTTTTTTTTTTCTCTCTCTCTCTTGTTGTTTGGTTGGAAAACGTATCCTTTCCAGGCGATAATCCGTGAGTAATTACTAGCTAAGGATGTGCCAATACCCCGAGTCCTATCCTTCATAATGGATGACATGAGTGAATAATGGTACGTACATGCTACCATTGTCATGTGTGACTGACGTTCCCTAGGAATGCGATTCATGGAACTGGATATCTCTGTAGATGTCCAGTTTATTTGACTCGAACTGCCAAGCAGGCAAGCAAAGTTTTGTGACCGCGAAGCCAACCGACCTCATCGTGTACAAAAAGGCATTCCATGCGATTTCACCAGGCGTGGAAATCGTAGAAGGGGTAAAGAACAATACTTTGAAGAGCCTCAGTGCGTGAGCATCGACGGGAAAGCTGTGGTGGGATCTGGGAGGGTTAGGTTGTTCTCGTATGTCGACTTCGGCGATAGAGGCAGCATTTTCTTGTTGCTTTACGCGTGTTTTGACTTTTGTCTTGACCTGCACCGTGTTGACTGTCTGCGCAGTAAAATCCGGATAGAGCTGGGAGAAAGGTTTGTAGAACGCGTGGACATCTGCACCGTCAGGTTTGTTTGCTGTAGGTGTGACAGACGAAGGGTCATTTGTCTCGGTCCATCCGGGGTGCACTGTAAAGTACGAGCCCGAGAAAGGAGAGTGTGGACAGCCGTACCGCTCAGGTTCCCGGTCCTACTGATAATGATTCGATCAATGGTTCCCAGAATATGTCAAAATGACTTTCCGCTTTGCGCAGAGCCTCGACATTTTCTTTCGTACGACGCTTTTCAAACAGGCAAGTGAGCTTGTGACTGGATGTCCACTTTGATATGGATATGCCTACACCAGCAACAGAAAGATGACTTACATTACAAGAGGAACGGGATTACTTTTGCGGGGAAATGAAATAGCAGCAAGGGATCAGGGGGTAAGAATCGAGATGTGACCTGTCAACTGTGGGACTTGGACGGTGGCCGATAGCCGCCATATGCCCACTGCCAAAAAACCAGACAAGGTAAACCCACTCTGGGAGAATCGCTTTCACTGTAACATTTGTTGGGTGTACTAGTTGTGTAATGAGTGAGTACTCCCAAAATGTCTAGAAGCAAATTCAATAAGTTGATACTGCTTTTGTTGATTTCACCTTCATAAGAATCATAACCGAGTGCGAGCGACGGTTTCTCGGCCGGAACGCAGATGAATACAACCCTGAAAATGCCGTTTCTTTTCGCGCTGTTCTCTTTCTATTTTCCCCAGAGAACCATATATTTTCTGTCTCCATTACATATGTATATACAGAATCTGCTCTGCGATAAATGCAATCATGTGTGCTCAACGGTGATTCTGTTGGATCAAGTACCATGTACTGCCTAAGCATGCACGGGCTACGTGGCTTTCCCTAGTTCGAGAGACCACATATACTTTTATGTACCTCGAGTCCTCTCATATCCACTAGTGTACTAAGGTATAGAGGCGTATAGCCAAGAATATGAAATGACACCAAACTCCCCCGTACCAAAAGAGGTGATATAGCGGGGTCTGTCTAGCGAATCGGTATCGCATGCATAGGTGAGAAAGTGAGCATTGAGCAGGTGATGCATTAGATCCCTGTACTTGGGCCCAAGACAAACAAAGGTTTGGAAGATCCAGTTGTGATCATAACACAGTTCCTTCCCAACCCTGGCTGTTGCCTACCTAGGCACCAGTGCTGCACCAGAACTGAAATTCTACAAAACCTTGGGAGATTTTACTCTGCTAGGCACTGTAGGTTGTGCTAGTGAAAGTCATATTTCTGATTTGAAGTGCCTGTTTTCATCGGCAGCATGTCTTTTTCATCGTGGGGTTCAGATTCAGAACCCACCGAGGCTGAAAAAGAGCCGCTTTCCCCCGCAACAACCGAAACCTTGGACAACACCACTTCCCCGCTAGCGATAGCAGACCACCTCCGAACCCATTGCAATCGGCTAAGAGTTCTGCTACAAAATACCATTCGATCGGAGCTGGAATATATGCTAAACTTCCGACAGTATCAGTCATGCAGCTTTTCCGTTTCACAGTTGAGTCAGTCCAACGAGGACATAAATGCGGACTATCACTACCGGTCACCTCTACCTCTACCTCTACCTCCGTTTCCACACCCGATGGCGCGACGGGCACGACGGGTACGAAGAGATAGCCTGAGTGACATTGAAAGCTGTCATAGCAGTTACAGCATAAGTGCAACCCCAAAAACGAGCCATACCACGGTACAACTCTGCTGGGAGAACACATTTAGTACCCACAAATGGAGGATGATTCCTAATCAGCCTCTATTTTGTCTACTATCCAATGGCCAAGTTTCTACCTTGGCCTCAATTGTCGAAGAAGAGCGAAACTATAACAGAAATGACTGCATTACCATTCGCAGCAATTCCTTCTCCAACATAAACTTCATCCTTCAAGCCATGACCGATCAGCTCCCATCCTTGGATTTCAAGTTTCTTCGGCTGGAGACCCCTGCGTGGGAGATGATCGGTCTCCTTGATGTTTTGGAGAGGCGGAAGACACTTCCGTTGTCGGAGGAATTGGTTTTCCTTCAGGGAAACATCGCTGCCCGTGATATCTCGGTTGAAATGAACACATTTATCGAGACACTCCAAGAAAAAAATGGTCAGAAGATCTTCAATTCATATTAAGGATGAGAACTAGAGGCTGATTGAGTCTTAACTGCTATAGAAGCCTGGATCCCCGCTTTCAACCGACGCGTATCACTTTTCATAGAGTCGATAGAAAAACAGACAACAGGTAATGGGCTACTACCTCGATCTCACTCAGAAAGCATTTGGCTAACGCTATTCCATTCCTCAGACCAGGATATGTCTCCTCTCTGTGAGGCTATCATTAAAGCCTTCCACAATTACACTACCCAGACAATATTGTACATTGGCTCCCCCGAGAAGTTACAAGGGGCTCGAAACCACCTCAAGAAGTTGAACATCTCAAAAAGGGACATTGCAATTCTATCACCACAGACCCGAAATGACCCGACCGCAATTTGGATGAGGAATCCTTGTGGCAACACAGACCCTTACTTGGTTGCCCGCCACGAGATTGACGGCCTTCGAGTCCTGTCCCAAAGATTGAAGGCAGAAATCTCACTTGAAATTGAAGTTTCAAAGAATCCGTTGCATCACAGCGTTCGAGTAATGCGATATTTGGAGGACTCCGTGGATAATGTTCGTTTCTTCCATGCATTTTCACAAATCAACACCGAGAAGGAGGACCAGCAAGGGCTGGACGGGCTGGCAAGCCCCGAAGAAATACATCCCATGTACAACAAATGGATCTCTGGAACACGACTTGAAGACTTGGGTATCAACGTAAACCCAGAGTACCTGGACATATGGGAGCAAGAGCCGGAAGTGCGCTATGAGAAGCTTGCAGCATGGGAGTCTGATATCAGGAGCATCCAGACCCAAAAGTTAGCTCCATTGATGAAAGATTACGATCTGTGCCAGCTAAACCTGGACCATCACAACACCAAGAATGGACTGGAAATCTCAAACATTTGGGCCAAAAGGCTTGTACTCTGTGACTCGAAGAATATCTCATCATGTTTGCCAGAACTGTCCTGCATCATGGCTGACACGGTATTGGTGCAAGGGGCAGATGAAATAGACGAGGCTTGCATACTAGCGCTTCTACCACCAACGGCAAAGAGGCTTGTGTTGATCAAAAATGAACATAGCTGGAAGAGTAACTTCGCAGAGGAAGGCAAGACTCTGGCGCTGGAGCTAAGCCCGAATTCCTTATGGAACAGGCTGGAGGCTGGAGGGTTTCCTGTCACTCATCTTCCCGCCGAAGAACAGAACCAAGGGACCCCGGGACTATTGCAAGGCACATTCAAAGCCCCCATTCCCCTTTTCAACCTGCAAGAGAGGTTAGAAAGAAGCGAGGCATGGAAATCATTACAGAAAATGGTAGGCCTGGACAATGTCAAGAGTAGAGTGCGCCTTTTGGTCCAAAGAGAAAAGTTCAACGCGCAGCGGAAAAGCGATGGTCAGTTGACTGTGGTCAACTCACTTAACGGGGTCCTCATGGGCCCCCCCGGGAGCGGCAGGACTACGGTGGCCAGGCTCTATGGCCAGATTATGGCAGACTTGAATCTACTCAGCCCAGGCAATTGTAAGTACCTACTGGTACGCGACTATTATTTTTTGCTTCAATCAGATTTTATACTAATATGTGCTCAAACTCCAGTGATAGAGACAAGCGGCACCAGTCTGATGGGTAAATCTATCGAGCAAACCGAAGACAACATTCGAAAAGCCATCGAATCGGCTGTAGGAAACGTTCTCATAATCGAAGACGCGTATTACTTATGGGGCGGAAAGAGGAATAGTGACAGATTTTACAAAGCGGCAATTGACACCTTGGTAGGCTGTGTGTCGGGATTCGGACCATCGAACCAGTGTGTACTGCTTGTCGGGTACGAGGATCAGCTCGAGGAGATGATTCGCCACGCCAATCAACGCTTGTCGCGTCAGTTTCCACTGGAATCTGCATTCCGGCTCGCAGAATATTCGGTCGTGGAGTTGGAACGGATTCTGGACCTCCAGCTGGAAGAGGGTCACATTTCTTGTTCAACCGAGGCAAAGTCTGTGGCAACGGACATGATTCGCCGTGCTATGTTATCTCCCCGCTTTGTGAATGCTCGATACATTCAACAACTTCTGAAGAACGCAATCTCATCTTGCAAAAGACGATGTTTGTCTGACCCACAATTGAATCCAACAATCCTGGTACCAGAAGACTTTCAAAGGGTTTGGAACCGGCCCCTTGATGCCGAAGCAGAATGTAGAAAGGTCTTTGAGGGATTTGTTGGTTGTGATTCAATTCTTACGCAGCTATTGAATGATGCAAGAGTCGCCAAAATGTCTAGTGCGCGGGGTCTTAGCATGGGAGATTTCGTTCCATTCAATTATATTTTCCGAGGGGCCCCAGGTAGGCAAATTTCTTGTCGCGTCAAGTGTTTTTTTCTTTTTCATCTAACAACGAACAGGAACTGGCAAGACGACGATCGCACGGCGAATGGGCGAAATACTGTTCCACATGGGTCTTTCGACTACTTCTGAAGTAATCGAGTGCTCGTTCTCCGATCTCATTGGACATGACATGGGCCATGACGGGTCCAAAGTCATTGAGGTCTTTGACCGTGCCTTAGGCAAAGTTCTTTTTATTGATGATGCATCTCAACATCAAGAGACTGGGTATTATTGGAGAGACCCAGTCATTGATATCGTAGAGGCCTTGCAGAGCCCACAATTTAAGGAGAAGATTTTCGTTATCTTGGCTGGATACGAGCGTAATATGGACCGATTACTCTCCACTCATTTCACCTTACGAAGCCAGTTCAACCGAATCATGACATTTGAGAGTTTGACCGGGGAGCAGTCTGCACAACTGCTAGCTCAGATTCTCAACAAGAACAGCACCCTGGATGCTTCCGAAATCGGGGTGCCTACTTATGAGACACACTGGGAACTGTGCGAACTCTTCACTTCCTTGTCTCAGAAAGCCGGATGGGCAAATGCCCGCGATGTCCATACACTGTGTGATGATATTGTTCGCATGGTTTCGCTGGGTTTGCAAAGCCCTGATCAGCCTCTGAAGGTCACTATTGAGGTGGTATATGAGGCTTTGCGAAAGATGAGGGAGCTCCGGGATGCATGTGATGATCTACCTGCAGGCATGCATTTCACGTCCCATGTTCGCTACTAGAGAAGCCACACTTTGCAGTTGTTTTTGTTTGCCTTGATCGAAAGCAGCGAGTTTATTAGCGTTTTTGAATTTTGAACTAAATTGTCAACCAAGCACTTGAGAGTCATTGTGATAAATCGACGGAATTTTAATGGAAGTCTTTCAACCATGCATGTATTCCATCGTTTTGAGTCTTGACATCAGCACTTAGACAGCAGGCTTCGTGCTTTCAGAGTAAATGACTACTAGCCACATGGCGAAGAATAGTTTCAGAAATCTCGAATAGCAACGACCAACTCAAAAAGCATTGAATATATTTCGATGTGCCTGCTTCCATGTTCTGTTGTGGACATCTGTATTGCACACATGTGCATGTGTGTGAATTCATTCGTGATTCGTGATCAGACGCGTCAAGCGCAGTAACCTGAGATCCGCGACTTGGCGTGGTCTGGAGCCGCCAAACAGAGAGATAAATAGGGTTATATTTGACTCCGCTCCGAACTACCTGCCACGAAAATGAGCACCCAGTGCCACTCACGACCCATTAACTCCAGGAATTACCTACTGCTACTAAAAAATACATTTTCCACGTGAAATTTGAACATATCAAAAATGAAATTTTTGATTGGCCCCGGACTCAATCATTCAAATGTTGAATAAGGGTGCGAGCCGTCTTGAGTTGTGGAATCATGGATATATCTTCACGATCACCTGGGCATCTTCTTTTGGTTGTCAGGGCACAATTATGTCAATTCTCTCAAATGTGTATGGCATTAACAAGCACTTGAGGATAAAAGCCTTAGTCCATTTTTTCAATCTCCTTTATCGATTCCATATCAGCAGGCAGCTCCTTGCATTGGAAAATGTCTGTCAATAAGTGCAACTCTCCCACAAGATCTTTCGTCCCCGATAATAACTGAGATAGGTCAGCTTCCAGGGCCATCATCGTGATTTCTATCGACGCAATAGCCGAAAACCCCGGCTGATTGAAGTTCTCTGCGTTGAGAAGGCCTGCGTTTGGAGCAATAGATGCAAGCTGCTCCGTAGGCATACGAACTTTTGGTGCCTTGAGATAAAGAGGCAGTGGGGACCCTGTTTTTATGGCACCCGACAAAGTAGTAAGAAGAAATGTGACTTCATGGGAATTCAAGTCAAAGGAACCGATGAGCCGTTTAAGGTCTTCAAGCCAAGGTTCAGAGGATATGGGGCCGTTGAGGTGGAATGAATCGCTGATTTCCACTAGAGTTGCTGAAAGTTGAAGTACGCTAGGGATACCGTATCTGAGTGTTTGCATCAGCTGAAAGATGTGAGGAGCTAACTTACTTTCGCGCATTTTCTGCTAATCTCCAGTAGGCTTCCTTGGGAAACTTCCCTCCAGTTGTGGGTTCCCATGCAAAGAACCAGGTGTGCTCGTCCATTGCCTGTAACAGAACGATTTCCTTGGCAAGTACGCGAGTCCGAGCTTTTTCAAGGACCCTCCCAAGGCTCTTTTTGTTGTTATGATCTCCAGCCAGACCTTTGACCAGTATGGAGTTTGTCGTGTACACGGAGCTGTAGTAATGTGCGAGAAGATACAGAAAGGATGAAATGTCTCGTCGGAAGCAAGTTTTGACGGTGGTCACGGAGGGTAAATATGTGAAAATAAAAGCAACCCCAATGCCAACAACAACAGTAGCCAATCGATAGGGTGATAGCACGTAAAGTGCGTGGTATGCTTGCTCGTTGGACTCAGAAAATACCAACCCCGCTTTTTTGACCTGAAGGGCATAGCCGACAATTAACATGACGGTGACCATTTCGACAATCGGTGGGACGGGGTGAGTTGGAAACCTGATTAGTGGGTAGTGGGACAAGAACATGGTGATTCCAACAAAGACAAGGACGCCTGCTGGCTGGTGATCGACTATATACCAGTCGATATACGACATGATCATTCCAATCGTTGTTCCCAGGAGCCGCATTGATTGCCCATACATAGCTGACCCAACCGTTGACGTCATGCTAATTGCAATCATGATTGAACCCCAGATGAGGCGTTGCTCAATGTAAAAATGCTGCGAGTTTCGGAGAAAGGCCACAAGTGAAACTACCATGGTGGCCACTGCGACTCGGGCGCCAAACACAGACTCTGGCGAGCCGAAAAAATGATAGCCCTTCCGGAGTCTATCGCCAAATTTCTGCCATCTGCTTTGTGGGAGAAGGTGCTCTGGATCTTTGCCTGAGTGCAGGACATCGTCCAAATATATCCTACCAGTTCCGGATCTTTTGCTATATTGGAAATAATCCAACTCGAGATCCTCTCGGGACAATGCGGCCCAGAACCATTTCTTCAACACCTTCCACGTTGGAAGCACCAATCTTCGTTTATTCATGGTACCATCGTCAGCTTTTGAATCCGCATATTTGACCAACTCTGTGATTCTTCTCGCAGTTGAAATGAGGGAAGATTCCAGCTGGAGTGAAGTTAGGCTCTGCAATTTCAATCCAGGGGCTAGAAGAAGCCTACATCGAGGAGAAAGTACAGCTGGAATCGATGTCCTTCGTGCTGATGGGAGTTTATCCATTTGGCTGATTCAGAGGATCGAATCATGCCTGTCCATGAGAGCCAACTTTCCAATGCTTCCTGCCGACCTCGAATGAAGTGTTCAATCGTGTCTTCCAAATGTGTACACATGTGATCCTTGTTGGATTCAATATCGGATTTGGATAACGGTGGCGCTTTGCCGAGACGAAGAACGCGAAGAGAATGATCAAGACATTCTTTCATGGCTTGGATAAGTTGTTCGGTGGGAACGTGCCTCTGCTCCAATAGCGAACGCCACTTCTGCTGTTCCTCTTCCTGAGAAATGCCTTCCACCTTCTTCACTTGATGAGCTAGTTGTGTGCTGACTTCTACAAGTGACTCCATCCACAATATTGAGGCCAACACCCTTTTCAACAAGTGGGTGATGTTTGCGAGATCCTTTGGGCCTAAATAACCCCATCCAATCTCACGCTTCGCGTAGCGTAATTCCGATGTGACCTTGCCAAGAGCTCTGGTAGCTTCAATGGTGGCGTTTTTGAATTTCCTTGCTTCCGGCCATGAATCCGTGGTGTCATGCTGAGAAATATCTGAATTGCCATCCGCGAAATGCCAGTCACGCATGGGCAATGATTGCGCGAATTCGCGCCGGGCATCTAGTGTTCGCTGGATCGCAGCGAAATTGTTTTCCATGTGCATAGTGACGATTTTTCGAGACGTGAGTGGAACAATCAACACGTTGACTGCTGCCGCAAGTCCAAATCCAGCAAAGAATGTTTCCACCAGGCGTTTGACTGAAAATAAATCTTACAGTTAGCGATTGTATAGTGCATCCGACCGCGATCGCAAAGTGGGTAATCCTACTCAGGGTCGCAGCTTCATCGAGTATTTCGAACTGAGTTCCATATGTCCCCGTCACCTGGATGAAAATAGAAAATATAATCGAAGGAATGAAGTATTGTGGTCGAAAAGCACGGAACCTACTCCGCCTGTCAATGTTGGGGCCTTCCAAAAAGGGTACTCGTCAACAAACATACGTATTGGCCAGCCACACTTCAAAAGCCATCCATATTGCCATGTTAACACTGGCAGCAGCGTTATAAGGGCTCACAGCAGCACCAGCTACCGGACCACCGGTCTTGCCTCCCTGCGGTATATGGGTTGTATTCGCGCGAGCTCGGACGGCACACCACATTGATAGGAAAGATAATGCGACTGCGAGTCCAATCGCAAGCTAGCAAATAGAACAGCAAGTCAGCTCGAATACATGAAGACGCGTGTCAATGCAATTCCTAGTCCATACATACCATGGTTACTGTCAGGTTCTGAAAGAACCGGGCTCGTGGCGCGACGGGGATCGTGAGAATTGACATTATAGGTATGAGATAGCCAATGGTAGAAAACTCCTTTTTCACAGCGTCACTCTGATATCTGCAGAATATCAGTACATTTTGCCAATCTTGCAGCTCTCTCTCAAGAGCAATTTAGTATGGATATACATTGCGAGTCCAATTGTTGGTGCAATCGCACCTCTGTATTGCATAACTGTCAGTAGAGACTCGGATCATAATATGGAAATGATAGGGGCCTCATCACCAGTAAGCTCTGGGGAAAGCATACTTGAACATGAGCAGCACTATTGGGATATTCAGTCCCAGCTTCCCTTTGATCTTCTTCCATGTGGATGGCATTGTGGGAAATGCTATATTGATTTGTTTCTTCACATAGCAACAACATGAGATAATGAAATAGTGCAATTATTTGGTAGTAGGTACTGCTAGCATAGTTCTTCGTTATCCAACACGTAATGATGATATAGTGTCGCGGATGTACCGGAGAGTGCCTCAGGCATAACTTGATCCCGCGAAAGGAGGCTTTAACATGATCACGTAATCATAGTTCCCTACCCAAACACGCGCGCGTTTCCTACGCGACTGACTTTGGCTAGCAATAGCAACAAGACATTTGAAAAAAAAAGAAGAAGAAGAAGAAGAAGAAGAATAAGTCTAATAGCGTCATACCCAAGCAGAGCCACAAGTGCTCATTTCAACTCAAGGTAGCCAACGAGTTCCATCGCAACCCCTCAAAAGCCTCGTAAGGCTGCAAGAAGGTTAGTACAGGACCAAAAAAGAAGATGAAAAAGAGTTATGTACTCCGTACCGTGTACGTGGGCCAGGATCCGAAACAGAATCGTCGATGTGGCCCCGAGGGGCGACCCAAAAGTAAGCCAATTAAATTTGAATATATCAGACTTGGTTCAATGAGTGGATAGTAACGTTATCAGGGCTAGGTGTTGGGAAAAAGGGGAGACAGCACAATCAGCATGGGATTGCGTATCGAAGAAGAGAAGATTAAAAGACTGGAAGACAGAAATGACGTTGAAAAGGTTCAAGTATGGTCGTTAAATGAGGCCATGGCAAATATCTACAGCATCAATGCCATCATCAAGCCGACAAACGCCGACATGATCTCGACCCTCAAAGTAACGGAGCCTCCTGTGTAGACAGCACCAGCGGCTTCAGTGCCTGTGGCTGTCCCAGTGCTAATTGGAGAGCTGGACTTGAACGTTGAGCTCATATAGCCACTGGCATAGACAGACTGGGCAGGTGACACGGCGACAGGAGTAACATTGTTAACACCGGTGCTCGACGAAGCCGCACCAACCAAGGGGCCGGACTGCAAAGGCTTGGTATCATAACCAGAGACAGAATCGGTGGATAACGCGATGGCCGGAACAACAGTGCTAACAGTGGTGCTCGAAGAAGCAGCACCAACTGGAATGGTAACTGTGCTCAAATAGGTTGTCGGTACGCCAGCGGCATCAGTCGCTGTCACGTTGTGAACCTGAACGGTTGATAGCGTAGATGAAGGGCTCTCATTTCCAGATCCGACCGATGTCTGGACAGCAGAAGCGCCAGTCTCGGTAGCAGTCACGGGGCAAACGGTGGTGTACGCTTCGACAGTCTCAGTCGTCACATATGTTGTCTTTTCGGAAGCAGGACAGTCGGTCACAGAGGCTGGGCAAGCAGTCACCGTACGAAGTTGCGTAGTGAAAACGGTTGAAGTTGTCATCGGCAGAGATGATGTTTCAGCTGTTGGAGCCGGCAAAGTCGCAGTTGTTTCGGTAGCTTCAGCTCCAGTCTCCGTGGCTGTAACTGGGCAGATGGTTGTGTATGCTTCCACGGTCTCCGTTGTGACATAGGTTGTCTTTTCGGAAGCAGGACAGTCGGTCACAGAGGCTGGGCAAGCAGTCACCGTACGAAGTTGCGTAGTGAAAACGGTTGAAGTTGTCATCGGCAGAGAAGAAGCTTCCGCTGGTGGGGTCGTCATTGTCGCAACATTTCCACCAGCTCCAGCTCCAGCTCCAGCTCCAGTTTCTGTGGCCGTCACGGGACAGATGGTGGTGCCTACAACGACAGTCTCGGTAGTCAAAAATGTAGATCGGTCTCTGGCCGGGCAATCGGTGACTGATGCTGCACATGAGGTGATTGTGCGCACTTGTGTTGTGAGAATGGTGGATGTGGTGAACTGTCCTGGAGCAGTCGTGGGCTCGAGCTGGGAAGCTGACCCAGTCGGTTGCGGCTGCGATGGCTGTATCGGCCCTGTGACTGAAGGAGAGGACACGGAAGAGCTTTCTTCAACTGGTGCAGATGTAGGCTTCACCAGTAGCACGGATGAGGGAATGGAGGAACTGGAAGCGACGGAAGATGATCTCAAGGGCGTAGCCGATGAGGCTCGGATGGAAGTCGCGCTCGCTGGATGAGATGCGCCTGATGAACAGGGCAATCTGGTGCGAATTGGGCGGCGGCGTCGGGATGATGAGGAGCTAGCGATTGCGACGGAACGACTTGAGACTGGTCTGACTGCAGATGAGAAAGTAGCAGGCATGGATGAGGCTGGAGTCGTGGCTGGTCTAACTGATGCAACTGCAGAAGAGGAAGCCAAAGGAATGATGGAAGAGGATGACGCTAGTTTCGCTAATGATGATGAGGAAGCAACCGAACTAGCCGATATGCTCGTAGAAACGACCTTCGATGATGTTGGTGTCGGTGTCGGTGTTGGTGTTGGCGTCGATGTTGGCGTCAGCGTCGCGGTAGTGCATACCTCCGCCGGTCCTGTGAGAATAATATTGGCAAAATTGACCTCGGAATCCTCTGAGAAACTACCAGAGGTGCAAGCAATCTGGATTTCAAGGTCACCGTCATCATCGATTGCGCTATATGTGGCAGTGAATTGCTTCCAAGCTGTTCCACTGGTTGAGGGGATGGTCTGCGAGCCCAAATTTATATCGTCAAATGTGGCGGACATGGTGCATGATCCAGTTCCCACGGCATATAACTGCCACCACATACTAAAAGTGTACGTGAAACCAGTGGAAAGACCGGACACTTCTTGCGAAAGGATATTGTCGTTAAGGTGATCCCCGTTAAGAGCCAGCACGTACGCAGAGTCACCGTCAGGGCCGCTGCTGGAATGATAGACGTCATATTCTCCCGAATATTCTACTGACCAACCAGTCAAGCCGTCCTCAAAGTACGGGTTTTCAATGTATTGGGTAGTGACATCCTGGCAGGTCACCGTGGTAGTAGCAGCCGAGGCCAAAGCTTGGATCGCCAAGAGAATGAGTGTGGTTATATTCATGTTTGATAAAGAATGACAGTAGTTGGGAACATGGATAAAAATTCAGTTGACCGACTTCCAGAATTGAAAAGGAGAAATGAAGCAGGTTTTGAGCATCGCCGCTAAAGATTGCCCACCACCATCATCACATCGGCAAAACTAACTACTAGTACTAACTACACCATCGGTGGCGTTTGCTTACTTCATCTCTTTGTGGGGACTTTTTTTGATGTTAAAAATAAGCCTGAATGTTCCTTAATAGGAAAATCCTGCTACAAGAAAAAACATAACAACTGAGTTACGATAAGTGAATTGTTTGGTAAAGCGAACCCTTCAATTCACGAGCTCTCAAGTGCTACTCGTCTCGTGTTTATCTGAATTAATTGACCGTCCCGAGATCGCTACATATTTATACGGCATAGAATTCCAGCCCTTAAAATTTCCACTCTCTCGTTACACCATCTTTGGAATCATACAAAACGCGTCCCACTTAGGCACCGGGGATCCCGAACTTGGGTAGTAGGATGGATTACTCGGTGCCCGGGGCGCATATTCCGACAAGCCCTGTCGTTCAACGAGTAGTCTCCACTTAGGGCGCTATCGTTTTTGTGTAATGTAAGTAAACAGAACGGTACATGGCTTTCAAATGTTTATTATGTATCTCTCATGATAAATATTTCTGACGGATAATGCAATACATTGCACTAAGCCCAACATGGTTAGCGGAGTGAGATCTAGTATCGTGCACGGGCCCTTGTATGCAGGTACGGGTGCATGTAGCCGAGCTACACAAATCTTAGAACCTTCAAATGTTGGAAATAAGCCAATAAAATTTCAAAATGAGAGGATAGTTACACGTTTTCCGCTTTAAAAATAGGGCTGACTTTTAAGGTATTGAAATCGTATGATATGATGAACGGAGACTCCAGAGTACATACTAGTACGGTTCCACCTAACACATGATTGTGCCTAATGAGGCTAAACGAATACGAGCCAGGGATATACTGTATGCAGGAAATAAGGTGTTCAAATGTTTAATGGCCATCAATTATTCAATGTTATATTCGGTAAAATTAAATTAGCACAGAATCCACCAGCTTATCCTTACAGAATGATTTGTAATTTGTAGGTGTATGGAGGCAGTTAAGCGATTTGGTGCGTCAAGAAACACTTCCAGCGGCAGATCCCTTTGCGAACCCTCTGTACTTCAGTGTTATTTATATCGTTATTGTTTTGAACACTAGTGGTCAATCAGAGGCCATGATTATACTCTGTTTTTTGACTGAAGAACCGTATTTCAAGACGATGGCAATCGTCTCCAGTATCATGGCCTCCACGACTTTCCAAATCGAGCTCATAGTCTAGCGATGATCGTTCAGGCGAATCGGGAGACGGGGGTGGAATTAAAGTGATTTTCGAGGAATCCTTCTCACCAGGAAGATCACTCGCTTCTTGACGTTTCTTCCACGCATCTATCAAGAGGTTAGTCCAGATATAAGTCTGTGGGTAACGAACAAAAGTCAATGGACGTACGAGCAAGTTCATTTTCCAGATACTCAAGTATAGAGGGAATCCAAGTAGCCACAGCCATGATTTGTCCGAAGGTCCACCCTGTCCAATCAATAACACCCATCTGCTGATACCTCCACACCATCAAAGCTTGGTAGACAAAACAGATTGTGAATATCGATGAAGCTATTGTTAGAGCCGTCATTTTCATATGAGAGAATGTCGACTGCAATTTCTTCAAGATGTTTTCGCGTTTTCTTTCACTCCGTGGTGGATGCCGTTTATGATTTCCAAAGGAAAGCTGACTGATAAGGCAAAGGACCAGACATAAGGTACTCCAGACCCAGAGAATATTGGTATTTCTCAGGCTTACAAGCCCCGGGGCATTGTTGTAGTAGCCGGAGAGATAGTCCAAAGGAGAAGATCCAAGTGTCTCAGAACAGACTGCCAAAGCCGAGGAGCCCCCACAAGTAGGGATATCATAAAGCTGACGAAGACTCGAGTCTTGCATCTTGGCCCCGGATTTGAAGTCGTTCAAATTTGATTCTAGTTCGAAGAAAACGACGGTTGCGAGAAGCCAAGACAAAAAGGCTAGCAGGCTCAAATACCGAGATTTGGCTCCATAGTAACGTAGTAACATGAGCGTGAAGACAGTTGGAAGAAATCCGGTCACTGCGACTGTCATTGTGGCGTATCCGTTCAAAGGGTTGACGCTCCTTGGTCTTGAGTATAGAGCGGCGGCTTGTAGAGATATTCCAAAGTAGCATTGGGCGGCTAGAAAGTTCTTGATGAATTTTCGGAAATTGGAATTGACATATCGGTCATCGTCTTTCTTTTTTGTTATCCAGGTGCGCCGGATAGCTAGAAAGATAATAAAAAGTGCCAGCATGATGCCCATGATTGCCTGCATGACATATGAGATCAGGATCTGTCATATCATGTCAGCTCAATACTTCAGATCGGAATTAATCAATCTTCAACTCACGCCAATTCCATACACATCTTGATCCGCATATGGAAGCCCGTATGTGTCTTTGCAAAGATCATCAATGCATAAACTCACAGCATTCATGTTGATCGTCGTATTTCCATAGTTAAGAACGGACAAAGAGCAGGAAGTATTGCAGTGCTGCGGATCACGAGATGCGTCGCATGAGTCAGCGAGGCAGCTTGATAAATCTGCGGCCACTTGATTCACCACATCTTGACTCTGGTCACCCAGTGGAAAATAGGAAGACACATTCTGCAAGACCGAGCTATTGGCTTGGTACATATCACCATAGATCGTCCCTAAATTGGTACAGATACCAAAAAGCGTGACATTCGATTCTTGTTTGATGTCGTATGTCGACTGAAACACCTGGGTGTAGTTTTGACACGTCTCGAGGCAGTTACCATCATCGCACAAGTCCCCGAACGGGGCGTTGGCTACCGTATCCCATCCCAGGGTGTCAAGCGTGACGTTGCCGGTCCAATTTGAGAGCCTTTCATACTTGTAATCGATAACGGTAGTGTGGGATGTCTGGGAAGCTTGAGAGGCGTAAGAGGTCGACGAAGGGAGAATGTGGTAAATTGTGGTCGTTGCCCCTGTTGTCGAAGGTTGGAAGCTAGTACTATCGGTAGTGCTGGTAATGTCGGAAGTGGTGGTACTTGATTGCGTATTGCTTGTTGCCGCATTTGTTTCCGTGCTGGCATCGCCATAGGTCTGGTAGCTGGACATATTGAATATACTAGATCGACTTCAAACGACATTTGATGGCATGAGGAAGCTTGGAAAGAGGCAAAAGGGTTGACTTAGATGGATATTTGTAGAGATAAATAAACAAGGCAGACATGGGGGCTGTCTCGGGCGCAAGAATTCTTGTTACTTGTGTCCTGGAGAAACATGGAAAACGGGGGCTGTATCTCACCTGAGAATTTCAGAGCCGCACCTGCAGCCGTGGCCCGGATAAATGTGCATTAATCTCGAGGTAGTTATTGGTTTGCTCGGCTTAGGCAGCCTAAGACCTAACTGAGCCACAGAGACCCATGTAAATTTCCTATTAGGAACAGCTATTTATACGAGCACTGCAGCTTCATGTAAACCCTCTGATAAAATAGCCAATCAAAGAATATACAGATAAACGAAAGGGTGGTCTGGGGAGAAGTGTATGCGGACGGCCAAATGTATTAGCCAATCAGGAATTTTCTTGGTAGCCGAGGAGGTGCATGTGCTGCTGACATGCAGATTTTTTGATATTCATAGCCAACAAGAGGAGAACTCGAGTCTGTGCGGCTGTACTTTATCCTATGTCGTATCCCCACTGGTTTGCTCCGCACGTCCACGGGTACTACGGCACCTTCTTGGAAGTACCTCTTTTCAACCCTCAAGTGCTCCTTGTATATTATGCTCTACTTGCGTTCGGTTTGTGCTTTTTGTGCCTTTTGTGCTTCATCGGGGCCATCAAAGATTCCCTTATCCGAGCGTGTGTCATACAATACCATCACGAAAACGAGGAAATTCCATAGGAACGGCAGGTTTTGCACCCTTCCAATGTACTAGTAGTCACTGGAGACTACCTGTAATCAGTATTCCTGTTAGAGGACGCCCCCATGTAAAATTATCCTGCTAGTACTTGAGATAAATTTAGGAACAATTCCAGGGCTGGAGTTGTTTCTCGGCCCGTACCGGCCGCACCCCAAACCACGAGGCTATTAGTAGACTTGCTGTGTCCCGTGGGGGCCGCAAGCCCACACGCATAAATGGCAACCCCACTTATTCGCTCCGGCTACGAGTAAGCCTAATGCGGTTGCAAGTTCGAGCAAAATCAATCCTCAATTCTCATTGGCTCCTACTCTGCAGGCTTACACTAGGAACTGGCTTTATCTCACTAGGCTTGTTTCAATCCATGTTTTCAAACTTCAATAAAGTTTAGTACTCGTTCTGACACATATGCTTTACTTCGATTTGTTAATCATTATGGCAACAAAATTACACATCTGAAAGAACCAACCTTGCAAGAATGGAACCCCTTTCTCCCCAGGATACAGCAGATTCAAATGTCTCCAGCAAGAGGCATCTTTTACCCTTGGGCTATTTTCTAGGGAAAGCCGTGGATACCAAACTGTACGAGGTGACTTCAATGTTGAAGAATGACTTACCCCTGAATCCCATATTGGCTAAGTATTTAGCCAATGCCAAGTCCTACTAAATGACGCCTCTTCGATTATAAACAGCGGAAGCACTGAGCTAACCAAAACTTTTCGGCTAGAGGCGGATGTTCAAGTCTCAGCATAATCCGATATCGGCTTTTCGACTGCGTTCATAATCTCTACGCTTTCTTGCTTCGGCCTATTTTATTTCAATTCGCCTATAACCCGCACAATGTCGCTATCAGTGGACGTCTCCGATTTGAATGCTTGCTCTTCCTCCCGCCGTGTCTTCATCATCGGAGGCGGTATAGTTGGCGCTTCCCTTGCCTACTTTCTCTCAAATGATAACAAAGACCTTCAGGTTGTTCTTGTCGATAAATCTCTTGATAAGCTTCTGGGATCTACGGGTCATGCTCCTGGCTTTGTGGGCCAACTCAACGAGTCACCCATATTGACCAGCCTTGCCAAAGATTCTGTCTCTGAGTACATTAAAGTGCCTGGTGGGTTCGACGTTGTGGGAGGCCTTGAGCTATCATCAACACCTGAAGGTGTCGAGACATTACATCGCCGACGTGACCTAGCGACATCTTCCGGTCTACTTGCCGAAGTTATTACACCGGAGAAGGCTGCGTCCTTGGCTCCCGACTTTATTGATGCCGAACGCGTGGAAGCTGGTTTGCTTTTCCCGTCGGATGGAACAGCAAATGCGCAGGACATCACCCTTTACTACATCAGAGAAGCTCGCAAAAGAGGAGTCAAGTTTCTTGAAGCCATAGTGACGGGCCTTGTCTCCACAGGAGATCAATTAACTGCCATACGCTCTACACAAGGGGATATTCAATTGAATGGCAACATTGTTGTGCTGGCCACCGGCATTTGGACTGCACCACTGATCAAGGATGTAGTCCAAATCCCGGTTCCTATTATCCCAGTTGCACACCCTTATACTTTCAGTGCTCCGCGAGCTCCCCGATCCGGTACACCATATCCATTCGTTCGCTGGCTGGACCACCATGTATATGCTAGAGACCATGGCGACCGTGACGGACTAGGCAGCTACGACCACCCGCCGCTACAGGTGAACCCAACCGAGATGGCGATCGGTGCTTGGCCTTCCGACTTTGAACGAGTTTTGTCCGAGGCCACAAGTCAATTGAAGAATGGCCAGCAGTTCCTGATTGACGGGCCTAGCACAGACCTGGAGGAGAAGCGTCCTTTCAATGGTATCTTCGCAGTGACCCCGGATAATCTCCCCCTGGCGGGAGTGGTTCCTGGTATATCTAATATGTGGCTTTGTGCTGCAATTTGGGTTACAACTGCTGCTGGTACAGCTCAACTCATTTCGAGACAAATATGCCGGGGAACTAAAGACATAAGCCCCCACGATGAAGCTCTTTTGAAGGCTTTAAGTCCAAGTCGATTTCAGGGGCTTGACGCAACTGCACTTGAAATCGAGGCTCTAAAGAAGTACAATGATATATATAATAGAGATTTGAAGTGAGAATCCAATCTTGGAAATCTTCCAAGATTCCCCTTGAGGATTCCTGAGGTCCTTGGAACCTTGGAAATTTTCAAGTGGGACCCATGAAAGCGGGTTGCAATTGAAGCTGGAGAAACGCCCGGGCGGGGGGAATATTCAGTTTTAACTGACGTTGAAAAAATTTGAAATTAAATCGACTAATGCTATATACTTTTGATCAAATTCGCTGGGTCCTGCACCAGGCTACTTGTCAAGAACAAAACGAAAGATAAAAAACAAGACTACAACAGTCAGGATCTGCATGTGGTCATACTGCTTTTGAACATTTGAACTGACCAGGGTCTGGCTTCAATTCAAACAGGCACTTGAGAGCCTATATTTAATGTTCAACTTGGGTGAATATTTAATTACAGAAGCTTTATCATCTCACATCTTCAAATGTTACCATGTCCGTAGACAGATATTATACCCTTGCTGAAAGTGAGTGAAGCAAAGAATAAAATAATTATGTACATGTTGTGGTGTTTGTGAGCCAGCCCTCAAGGCAATCGCACGTATCCGAATCAACCTCGTTAATCTGTGGAAAGCTAACATTGAAGGTGGGGGGGAAACAGGTGAGGAAAACGGGTGAGGAAAACGGGTGAGGAAAACGGGTGAGGAAAACGGGTGAGTTGAGAGTTAAGGTTAAGAGTACGCAAAGGTCGCAAGCCGCAACAGTAAAATAAAGTCAGTAGCAGTAGCTAGAGCCCAGGACTCATTGACGAGAGATGCATGGTCGGGTCGGGTCGGGTCGGGTCAGCTTATTTCATGGATCTTCTTTGGATTGATAACGTCTGCCTAGATGTTTGATCGAGGGATGGGGTTAAGGGTTTGGCTTTTTTATTGCAAAAAGAAATGGTGTGTTTGGGGGTTTGGCTATGAATCTTAGACATCTGGACCAAGACTTTGAGCGTCTTCTACCAAGTAGTTCTTGTTCTCAGACCCATGGATTGCGGGTGTCCACCTGGGCAGTAGGCATGCGGATCGGGGACCTATGCGGGCCGTGACTTGGTCGGCGTCTTACTATGCAGATAAATGAAATCACATCATGAATAGATCCAATCAGCTTTGGGGGTCGTTCTTTCCATCAGCACGCTGAAATGTATAAATTCAGCCATCCCCTGCGCAATAATCCCGTCATCAATTGATTTCAACCCTGTATTCTCAGACCTGTAAAGGACATGTCAACAATAATCCCCGTCTTAGTTCAGTAACCCATCAAGAGATCTTCCATGCGCCTATACATACTACAAACATCCCATTGTGATCATCCATTGACCGGGCCAAGCGGTAAAGATCCGACTTTCTCCATCACTTGACTCGCTACTGCCTGTGCCACACAAATCACAACATTTGGATCATCCTTCAAAACGTTTGGCTTAAAGTATCGAGTACTGCCTCTTTTCTTCAAGGCTTGATCATGGTTTCAAACAGCCAACATTCCTATCTCCAAAGATATCCTGATGCTGAAGGATATTTCGGTCAGTTTGGCGGCAACCACTATCCACCCGAGCTTGGGCCAGCGCTGGAAGAACTGGCCAGCAGCTATCAAGAACTTCATCAAACGCCAGAGTTCCAGCGTACACTCAATGAAGTACGAGTCGGACTTCAAGGGCGACCAACGCCGATACACCACCTCAAAAATATTTCGAATCAGGTCGGGGGCGCTCAGATCTTCATAAAGCGGGAGGATCTGAATCACACGGGCGCTCACAAAATCAACCACTGTGTTGGCTTCGCACTTCTTGCTAGCAAAATGGGTAAAAAGAAACTGATTGCCGAGACCGGCGCTGGACAACACGGTGTCGCGTTGGCAACTGCTGCTGCCTATTTTGGCCTTGAATGCGAGGTTCATATGGGGGAGGTTGATATCGCTAAACAAAGCTCGAATGTCGGTCGCATGCAGCTCCTTGGTGCGCGCGTGGTGTCGGCGAATACTGGTCAGTCTGCGTTGAAGGAGGCCAGTGATTCCGCCTTCAACGCATATGTAGAACAGCACGCGGACGCGCTCTATGCGATAGGATCAGCCATCGGACCACATCCGTTCCCAATGATTGTCCGAGATTTCCAAGCTGTAGTTGGTCAAGAAGCCCGCGAGCAATTTCTTTCCATCACGAATGGAAGCTTGCCTGACCATGTGGTTGCCTGTGTCGCCGGCGGCTCCAATGCGATGGGAATGTTTTCTGGCTTTATCGACGATGTGGAGGTTGTTCTGCATGCAGTGGAGCCCCTTGGTATATCTCATGAGCTAGGTAAACATGCAGCGACACTGGCGTATGGAAAATTGGGGACATTACATGGTGCTCGATCAGTTGTGCTGCAGAAAGATGACGGGACGCCGGCCGGGGTCTCTTCTGTGGCATCGGGACTTGCCTACCCTGGCGTTGGCCCAGAGATTGCGATGCTCCATAGAAACGGACGGCTTTCCCTCGGAGAAGTTTCAAATGATGAAGCCGTCAAGACGTTTTTCCGCATGGCAAAGTTTGAGGGAATCATCCCTGCATTGGAAAGTGCTCATGCTTTGGCGTTTGCAATTCGCTTAGCGTCAACGCGCCCTCCGTCGGAACGAATACTGGTCAATCTTTCGGGGCGAGGCGATAAAGATGTTGACTTCGTGATTGAAAACTATGGGACCGGAGATTCCTTGCCAGCTCCTTCGTGGTAGCTCTTGATTTTAGATATTCCGAAAATTCGAGACTGGATTTTATAGATTCAGAGGTCACATGCATCATGTGTATGCACTCTGCACTATTTTAAGTACTCGACATCAGTTTGTGAATCGAGTTTGTGAATGAGTCTTGTTCAAGTCACTTTAAGCTCCAACAGTCACATCAGTGGGAAATTTGGTGGATATTTCCCACGTCCTTTGGGATGTATTTCCCTGATGATTCACCTAGTGTGCGCAATACTACAACCCAGTCCATAAAGATTTACCCATTTCAAATTACTCCCAAATATATCATAGCAAAGCTCACTTTGATTAGAAATATCTCAAGAAAGACCTCTAAATAAGCGTTCGGGGATTGATCTGTATTATTAGGAATTTAATTCAAGTATTTGTGTTTGGAAATGGATGCCCTGGAATTTAGAGATGACATTTTGGAGACAAAAGTTCAGATCTTTACTATGGAGATGAAGCACGAGGTAGTAATTAAGTGGCTTAAGTGGCTTAAGTGAAGCTGTCTTGCATACTTACTAGTAGTGGGGTCACGGGTGAAATCAAAATTTGTCTCCTTTACACGTGATCCTTGACCAAACCTTCACCGCTATTGATCATCGCACGCTCATTGGCCAATTCAGCAAGCTCCAAGATGAGGACCGTCAAAGGAAAAGGGCCAGAAAATTGGCTCCCCCGCAACATTGAAGCGCAGACTCCTACAAGTGAAAGTCACGATATCAACATGTCGAAGGAGGTCTCCCTTTCAAATCCCGAGCGGGAGTTTATCCTCAAGGCTTTGGAAGAGGATCAGCGACTGGACGGCCGCGAGGCTAATGAATACCGACCTCTGAAAATTAGCTTCGGCGAGGAATACGGCAATGTGCACCTCTCGCTGGGCAAGACCAGGTAGGTCTGATGTTTTGACTCTTTTGGATTGTATCTTCTAACCAATCTCCTAGCATTGTCGTTCGAATTGCAGCCGAAGTCACCAAGCCTCGCGAAGATCGTCCTTTTGATGGACTGTTTAACATTTCTATGGAATTGACTAACATGGGATCTCCAGCTTGGGAAAATGGACGGTATGCCCCCGATAATGATGCATAAGCCCCTCGAGGAATAAGTCTTACTCACACTCGTTATTCCAAACATAGATCCAGCGACTACGAAGCCTCCGTCACCCACGTCCTCGACCGAGTCATCCGCCATTCCAATGCTCTCGATACCGAATCACTCTGTATCATCAAGGGTGTTAGCTGCTGGAGCATCACTGCCTACATTCATGTCATCAACTTCGACGGCAACCTCACTGATGCGGCCTGCATCGCCGTTATGGCTGGATTGCAGCATTTCCGCCGCAAGGATGCCGTAGTTCGCGATGGAAAGGTCATGATTTACGCAATGGAAGATCGAGTCCCCGTGGCCCTTAACATCACCCACAAGCCTCTTTCGGTTACTTTCTGTTCGTTCAACAATGGCAAGAAAATCATTCTCGACGCTACTCGCAAGGAAGAACAGGCCGCGGAGGGAGAGCTGGTGATCGGTGTCAACAACGGCGGAGAAGTGTGCTACATGTCCAAGATCTCGGGAGCACCTCTCGGACCAAGGGCGATTGTGAAGAGGGTCAATCTCGCGATGGAGAAGGTGAAGGAACTCAACGCCCAGGTGGACAAGGTGTTGCAGGTTGAACTCGCAAAACGGGCGAAACTCGGCATGGCCGATGAATCGCGGGCTGCGAATGACCGCTAATTTTCTCTCGAAATCTAACGACGCGACCTTTTCACGATCTTGGGCTGGAGTTTCAAATGGCTTTTTATTTTATGGAGGACCGATGGCGATATATCCATACATGGGTTGATCTGATTGAAATCACTTTGCATATGTCTTAGCATTCTTGAACACAATTGAAACAATCAAAAACGACATAAAAATTTTCAAAATATTGATTTCTAAATAAGGATCGTCGCTACTTATCCCAACCAGTTTTCCCACATAGTACCCTGTATTTGGCGCCTGGGTAATATATTTCCGACTGCGGCAACGCCAAGGACTCTTACATTCTTAGAGCGCATTGTTTCAAGTCGATCCGCAATCAGTGAACAAGCTAGGTAGAAACAGGCACTAGTAGTATAGACCAATTTCCATCGAATCCAATGCGTTCATGACCAACAACTCGATTCATATTTAGAGTTGGTGTTTTTTACCGCCCGAAAAAAAGCGGGACGATCATAACAGTTACTTGCTGCCTTCGCCCGCTAAGCCACCTCACTCTCACTCACTGCATGTGTACTATTTTTTTTCTCTTTCAACTCACCATCCTGTCATCTATTCGACTTTCCTGAGTACTCCTCTACTTCTTGATACTTTCTCTGCAAGGTCCTATTGCAGGATTATCATAGCTTTATTCCTCGTCCCGATCCATGCGTCAGGGGCATCATCACTGCTCTCAGTGAGGGTACCAGCTTCCCCCCCGCGCCAACATGGCCGGTAGGCCCCCCGGATCGCATCAAGCCGCTGGCCACGATGACGACCTCCTACTCGAATCCAGCTCCATCTATAACTCCGGTCAACCGCCGCCCGTGAATGACGAGCACCTACTTCAACAATACAATATCGACGACTCCGACCAGCCCCATGCGCAGCCGCGCCCTTCCGTATCCTACGACAACTTCGTCGGCAGCCGGGCGCAGCAAGCCGGAATCCAACACAATGCAGTTCCTGGCCCTGCGCATGTCGCCCACTCAGGCGTGTACGAGAGTGACCCTTACTCTGATGAGCCGGCCACTCGGACCTACTCGCAAAATTCCGGACTCGACAACTACCAGCGTTATTCCTTTGACGAACTAGAGGACTCACACTCCGGATACTATGACCTTGACCCCCATGAAGATCGGATACCGAGCGCCGCTCATGTCCGGAAGGCGAATGAGCGGAATAGCATTATGGGGTTAGGAGGTGGCATTATGGGAAAGGCGAAATACATGTTTGGAATGGGGCCGCAGTACTCCGAGATGGATCTGCCTTTAACAGAGGCCGGCGCGCGAAGAGCAACCGTTGACAGCAGCGATGCGACAGCCGTCCCGAAATCTAAAAAACAGTCTGGCGCATCTGGTTTCGCGTCCATATTTAACCGAAAGGTCGACCCAGCAAGCCTAGGTCCCCGTATCATCCAGGTCAATAACCCTCCTGCCAATGCCACGCATCGGTTCTCCAGCAACCATGTGTCGACCGCGAAGTACAACATCATCACCTTTATTCCCAAATTCATCTTTGAGCAATTCTCGAAATACGCCAACCTTTTCTTCTTGCTCACCGCCGTCCTCCAACAAATCCCGAATGTGTCGCCGACAAGCAAGTACACCACTATTGTGCCGCTGGCTATTGTGTTAGCGGTATCCGCTATCAAGGAATTGGTAGAAGATTACAAGCGACGAATGTCGGATCGGGGCTTGAACTACTCCAAGACGCAGGTTCTCCGCGGGTCTTCTTTCCACGAAACGAAATGGGTAGATGTGGTAGTTGGCGACATCGTTCGAGTTGAGTCCGAGCAGCCATTCCCGGCGGATTTAGTCCTCATGGCATCATCAGAGCCCGAGGGACTATGCTATATTGAGACAGCCAACTTGGATGGCGAGACCAACTTGAAAATCAAGCAGGCCATCCCCGAAACAGCTGATTTGGTTAGCCCCAGTGATTTGGGTCGGCTTAGTGGAAGAGTTCGCTCTGAACAACCCAACAGCAGCCTCTATACCTACGAAGCTACCTTGACTATGACCGCTGGCGGTGGCGAAAAAGAGTTGTCTCTCGCCCCGGACCAGTTACTCCTTCGTGGCGCAACTCTGCGCAACACACCTTGGATCCACGGTATTGTTGTTTTCACTGGACACGAAACTAAGTTGATGCGCAATGCAACAGCCACTCCCATTAAACGTACTGCTGTGGAGCGTATGGTCAACGTCCAGATTTTGATGCTTGTCTTCATTCTCGTTGCCCTCAGTGTTGTCAGCTCTGTTGGTGACTTGGTGATTCGTAAAACCAGAGGCAGCACACTTGCCTACCTGGATTATGGAGATACCAATACCGTCAAGCAATTCTTCTTGGATGTGTTTACCTACTGGGTGCTGTATTCCAACCTGGTCCCCATCTCTCTCTTTGTCACCATTGAAATCGTCAAATACTTCCAGGCCTACCTCATCAACTCCGATCTAGATATCTACCATGTCGAGACAGATACCCCTGCAACATGCCGTACATCCTCTTTGGTTGAAGAGCTTGGCCAGATTGAATACATCTTTTCTGACAAGACGGGAACTTTAACCTGCAATCAGATGGAATTCAAGCAGTGCACAATCGGCGGCCTCCAGTACGGAGATGATGTCCCAGAAGACCGACGGGCTTCCCCAGGAGAGGATTCCGAGTATGGGATCTATGATTTCAAGACCCTTCGACAGAACTTGCAGTCGCACCCCAGCCGTCAACTTATCGACCAGTTTCTCACCCTCTTGGCCACATGCCATACGGTCATTCCTGAACGCACTGGGAGCGATCCCAACGATATCAAATACCAGGCGGCCTCACCTGATGAGGGTGCTCTGGTAGATGGTGCTGCTACTTTGGGATACCGTTTCACAAACCGTAAGCCCCGATCAGTGCTTTTTGAAAACGGCAACGGAGAACTGGAGTACGAGCTTTTGGCCGTGTGCGAGTTCAACTCGACTCGTAAGAGAATGTCTACCATTTTCCGATGCCCAGATGGCAAGGTTCGGATCTACTGCAAAGGTGCCGACACGGTCATCCTGGAGCGGCTCCACGCGGATAATCCTTCCGTCGAGGCAACCCTCCAACACCTCGAGGAGTATGCTTCGGAGGGTTTGCGTACTCTTTGTCTTGCCATGCGAGAAATTCCGGAAGATGAATACCAGCAATGGTGGCAAATCTTCAACAAGGCCAACACGACTGTGAGCGGAAATCGCGCTGATGAACTTGATAAAGCGGCTGAACTAATTGAACGCGATTTTTTCCTCCTTGGTGCCACCGCCATTGAGGATCGACTGCAAGACGGAGTGCCTGACACTATTCACACACTCCAGACCGCAGGAATCAAGATCTGGGTTCTGACTGGTGATCGTCAGGAGACTGCCATCAACATCGGCATGTCCTGCAAGCTTATCTCGGAAGACATGACACTTCTCATCATCAACGAGGAGTCGGCAGCAGCTACACGTGCCAATTTGCAATCAAAGTTGGACGCAGTCAAGACTCAAGCCAGCTCCGGTGATATTGAGACCCTGGCTTTGGTGATTGACGGCAAGTCTTTGACATTTGCCTTGGAGAAAGACATGGAGAAGCTGTTCCTGGACCTTGCCGTCATGTGTAAAGCCGTGGTCTGCTGCCGTGTATCTCCTTTGCAGAAAGCCCTGGTCGTCAAGCTGGTCAAGAGACACTTGAAGTCCCTGCTCCTGGCTATTGGTGATGGTGCAAACGATGTTTCTATGATCCAGGCAGCTCACGTTGGTGTCGGTATCAGTGGTATGGAAGGTCTCCAAGCCGCTAGATCGGCCGATGTGGCAATTGCACAATTCCGTTTCCTCCGAAAACTTCTTCTGGTTCACGGAGCCTGGAGTTATTCTCGTATCAGTCGCGTCATCTTATACTCGTTCTATAAGAACATCACTTTGTACATGACACAATTCTGGGTAAGTCATGATGAACTGTCGTTAATAGTAGCCGAAAATTCTAACCGTTTTTACAGTATTCTTTCCAAAACGCCTTTTCTGGAGAAGTTATCTACGAGTCGTGGACACTATCTTATTACAACGTACTTTTTACCGTCTTGCCCCCCTTCGCCATGGGAATCTTTGACCAGTACATCTCCGCTCGAATGTTGGACCGATACCCTCAACTGTACCAGATGGGCCAGAAGGGTCTCTTCTTCAAGAAGCACAGCTTCTGGGCCTGGATTCTCAATGGTTTCTTCCATTCCCTCCTCCTCTACATTGCTTCTGAGTTGATCTTCCTCTGGGATCTTCCCATGTATGATGGCCACGTCGCTGGTCATTGGGTCTGGGGCGAGGCCTTGTACACCGCTGTTTTAGGAACAGTTCTTGGCAAGGCCGCTCTGATCTCAAACATCTGGACCAAATACCACTTTATCGCCATTCCTGGATCTCTGCTTCTGTGGCTTATATTCCTTCCAGCCTATGGTTACGCTGCCCCCGCCCTTGGATTTTCCGTTGAATACTACGGCACTATCCCCGTTCTCTTCAAACTTCCCGCATTCTACCTGATGGCTATTGCCGTTCCCTGTTTGTGTCTCATGCGTGACTATGCTTGGAAGTATGCCAAGCGCATGTACTACCCCCAACATTACCACCACGTCCAGGAGATTCAGAAGTACAATGTGCAGGATTACCGTCCTCGCATGGAGCAGTTCCAAAAAGCTATTCGAAAGGTCCGCCAGGTACAGCGTATGCGCAAGCAGCGCGGTTACGCCTTTTCACAAGCCGACGATGGTGGTCAAATGCGTGTGCTGAATGCATACGATACCACCCAAGGTCGTGGACGTTATGGTGAGATGGCGAGCTCCCGACCCACGGGCTTATGATCGAACTGGCATTGAATATTAATGCATTTGTTTGCCATGTGGTTTATGCATGATTGCCAATTGATTGGTATCTCTCTGTACTTTGTACTTTTTTTTATTCTCTTTCTTTTATTCTTCCTCTAGCTTGGTTCAATAGCCGGCTATTGGGTTGGAGGAGGCTTGTGACATACTATGTTGATGAGATGTTTTTTAGCTTTGATTTTCAATTGGACATGAAAGTAAATATGATGATGTGCTGAGATCAATGTAGGATCTTCTGCTTCCAAGGTTTTTACTCCAATCCATGGATCTTTTTTTTTTGCAGTGGAGAAGGAAGACCCCTATGGAGTAAATGGGGTAGGTGAACATCCATTGTGGACACGATCATTTTAGCTCACCCGAACCGGTGACCCTCTTAAGCGACCCAGTCAACCGAGCAATAGACGTTTCTCAGAGTCAGCCACTCGTTATGAATACGATCTAATGAGTGTTTTATGTTGAAATAACGCCCTCTCTGCCCCATATCCCACATGGACAGCGGCTAAGGAGATTTGCAACTACCGACATGGCCCAAATCGAGCGAGATCTACATTGGACAGAGAGGGGAAGATATTGGAAATGGAAAGGTCAATCCTCGCTAGTCACGAACAAAGCCGCACATATTCCCCACCAGTCTGGCCATTCGCGAATCAGAGATGTGAAAAGTCCCCGCATCGCCCCCACAATTGAAGTCACGCTCGGCCTGGGGAAGTTTACCCTGCACATGGGAGTTGCCAGCCCACAAATCATTCTTTGTCTTTGCCTTCCAGAAAAACTCTCATTCCATTCCGTAAGAATTACACATCAATACATTTATTATTGCCAATCGTTCCGATGTTTGCTCTATACTTGCTCCACATTAACCCGGTGGGACACCGGGGAGGAGCAGAATGCCTCCACGAGTCTATATTGTGGGGGGCAGTTTTTTCCCTCTACATAAAGGAGGTCTAGTTCTGGTTGTGTGTGTGCCCTAGCGCTCTTCAATTCCAAGGTTGAGAGACCCCCTTATCTTTCTCATACGAGATTTCCTCGTCCCACACTCTTTTTTTACCAGCTCCTTTCATGATGGACGTTGAGAAGCCTCAGCTGGTTCAGTCGGAGGATGCGAAGCATCCTGCCAGACTCGAGGACAATCTTGACTTGGAGGAGATTGGCGAGCGGGAGGGCTACGTTTTGAACGATGCTTCTCTTGTCAACGAGCGCGGTCTCAAGACAACCGCTGACGGTCAAATTATTCTCATCCCACAGCCGAGTGACTCACCCAATGACCCATTGAACTGGTCGTCGTTCCGCAAGCATGCCATTCTCATCATCATCTCGTGCACTGCGTTCCTGCCAGACTATGGTAGTGCAACTGGTGCGGTGACGCTGACGGCGCAGGGAGAGTAAGTCGCAAAGTGATATCGGGGTTTTTCTTTCCGTGACGATCCTAACTGTTCTTTTCTAGGGAATGGAACATGGACCCCAATGTCGTCAATCACTCCCAGGTTGGCAATGTCTTCATGCTCGGCGCAGCTGGTCCTATCATCGTGGTTCTCGCCGCGTACTTTGGCCGATACCCCGTTCTTTTCTGGTATACCCTGTTCGCATTGGCAACCGCAATCTGGTGTGCCGCAGCGCAAAGCTTTGAGTCATTCATGGTAAGCAGAATTGCCCCTACCTCCATGCATACTTATATGTCCAAGACTAACGATTATCCAGGCCGCCCGTATTCTCAACGGATTCTTCTCAACAGTCGCGCAAGGCGTACGTACCCCAGAACCTACCTACTCACATACCCACCACAAACACAGCACGTTCTCTAACAATCCACAGGGCGGCCTCATGTTCGTCAAAGACATGTTCTTCCTCCACGAGCACGCCCGCAAGATCAACATCTGGTCCGGCTTCATCATTCTCTCTCCCTATATGGGCCCCCTCCTCGGCGCCTTCATCGTCAACACCCAAATCTGGCAATGGACATTCGGCCTCTACGCCATTGAAACCGGCCTCTGTCTAATCGCCATCATCTTATTCGTCGACGAAACATACTACGACCGCAAGACGTCCCGGCCGGAACTCGTCCCTCATGGCCCGCGCTGGCAGCGCATGCTGGGCATCCAGCAGGTCCGCACAAAGTATATCGATAACACCTTCAAGGATGCCGTCATGCGCCCTATCACCATCCTCGGCAAGCCTGTTCTCGTCCTTTCTATGATCTTCTATATGCTCATGTTTGCATGGGTTGTCGGCATCAATACTACTTTGTCGATCTTCCTTGCGCCGAAGTATGGTTTCGGCGCTAAGGCTATAGGTAAACCACCATCCCCCATATATTCTCCCCTTCAAATCACAACTTGACTATGATACTAACGGTATACCTCACTTAAAAAGGCTACTTCTACTTCACCCCCATTGTAGCCGCTATCATCGGCGAAGTCGCCGGCCACTGGCTCCATGACTGGATCGCAAACACATACGCAAAGCGCAACAACAACCGGCTCGAGCCTGAAGCCCGTCTGTACGCTATCTGGGTCGCTATGCCTTTCTTGGTCTCTGGCCTGATTCTACTTGGTTTCGCGCTTGAGCGTCACTACCACTACATGATCGCCGCGCTGGCATGGGGTCTTTATGTGTTTGGTATCATGATTGTCACAGTCGGAGTCAACTCGTACGTGCTTGATGCGTATCCCGAGGCGAGTGGAGAGGTTGCGGCTTGGATCAACTTCGGACGGACGACCGGTGGATTCATTGTCAGCTACTTTATGGTTGAGTGGGCGGAGAAGGAGGGAACCATCAAGCAGTTTGGAACCATGTGTGGGTTTGTGGGTGTTTCGTTTGTGATTGTGCTTGTGTTGCAGTTCTGGGGCAAGAATTTGAGGGCTTGGAGTGGACCCGCCAATTTCAAGACAGCTTGATTTGGTGGCCTGGTATATAGGAGGCATTAATAGTGATTTATGGATCGAATTGTGAATAATATAGATTGAGGATATTGTAATAGGTATGCCATTCAGATCATATCTCGTCAATTTTGACGTTTCGTAGTACATAGAATAAAGTCTGTCGTGCCAGGAAACCAATATGTACACTTACTGCTTGTGGCCGGGGTGCTTTTACACCAAACTTGAAGATCAAACGCCATACGCCTCAGCAAACCATGCAGCATGTTATCAATGGTTGCCAATCTCAAGGAAAGCTGCTTCATGAAAAAATCGACTATTCTTTTCCGTTGCGTCAAACCAGTGGCTGTTGTTGATCGCTGGCCAGGGGATCAAACTCGGTGCTGGAAGAGACCTTGGTCTCGTCCCAGATAAATTTCCCAAATGCCAGCACTGCGTGGAAGATCTCTTCACCTGTGGGAACGATGTGTTCGGATGGAAGCAAGAACCCGTAGCTACCACGGTCTCGCAATTTAATCTGATAAGAGTACCTGGCATGAAGCTGGTGGTAGAACCAGTCCAGGGCACTGCCGCCCGATGTAATCACGGAAGTTAAGCCTGAACTGAAAATTCCCTCACAAGCGGACGTCACGTCATACGGTTCTCCGGACGTGTGTCGAATGGCCTTGGCCAGGCCCATAGCCAGTTCCTCGAGGCTTTCCAGGGTCGGAGGCACGGAGGAGCAGGTGTAGGAATAAGGATAGAGAATCTGTTGTGAGTAGGAGTGAAGATCCAAGAACCCTACGATATTCGCACGGCCACTGGAGGTCTCGTTCTTCGCCCACTCGGCGAGTCGGTGTGACTCGAGGGCTTCGAAAGGCTGTGAGCCGGCATAATTCTCGTTGCATGGGTTTGACCGGGTGGATTCTCCATCCCACTCAAAGTCCCACGCCCGGTCGAGGTCGACTCCAGGGCAAAATGGCAGACCGGTGGGTTGTCTGTTCTTGCGCCACAAACGGTCCGACTCCCATGAGTAGACGTAGCCATCTGGGTTGAGTGTCGGCACTAGCACCCAGTCGTACTCATCCAAAAGATGTGTGACGGCGCTTGACTCGCCGTACTGAGTGATCAGACTGTATGCGACGAATGTGACAGTCGACGTACTAATCCACTCGCGAGCATGCAGACCACCGACAATCACGATTGTCTTTCGCGGCCCCGTCGATTGGGAATTGGCACCTCCGGTGCCTAGTCGCAGAGCTGGGATTTCGCGGTCCTCATACGACAATCCGATACTGGTGAATTTGACATGAGATGAAAACATTGAAGCCATTAGTTTCATCCATTGGACAATAACTGATAGCGGCTGGTAATCGCGGAAGAAGACATCGTCGACCGTGAATACTCGACCGGGCGCAAATCCATGTTCGGACTTCCAGCTCTTGGGATGTTGTCTCGGGTATGTACTGTAGATCATATCTACTAGATCGTCCATGAGGGGGGTGTGGGCCGTGCGGAGCGAAGGAGGAAGCAAGTCGAGCAAGGAGGGGATCTGTCTCGTTTAGTTAGTACCAATTTCTGAAGCCTGCAATGAGACACAGGCAAGTTATAGGTGCCATGCAGATATGTACGCACCATGTCATCTGTCAAACGGATGTCCACATATGTGGCCGTGATGGCCCAGACATCTAGGACGAGGGCCTGTGATGCCGAGGCCAAGGCCTCTGCCTCTTCCGGATGACGCAAGTGAAAGCGGAGTACGACATCGGTCTCATAGCGTTCTCGTACATTGAGTGGAGGACCTATGTGCTTGTGAGAGGAACAGCGACCAGTTCCCCAGACGGATTCAATGACCCAATCTCGGAGTCGGGTCCAGGGGCGTGGTTCGGAAACATGAGTAAGGAGCTGGGCAGGTTGGGGTTGGGGCGACGGCACGATACTGGAGCCTGCGGGAATGGCGGCGATGGAGGGAATCAAGGCCCCATAGAGGAAAAGGGCTGACAAGAGACGCATCACTGAAAGGATGCAACTGGACAGCGAATACTTTCCGGGTTTAAAGGCAGAAAGCCAGCATTTGTGGAGAAGAGGGGAAGCGATAAGTTACAGTGGAGAGAGTTGATTATGTAGTTGATTACTAGATAAGACCCGGATTAGTACCATGTCACCTTTTTTAGCTTATGTTGCAATCTAACCAATGTTAGATGGTGTATAGTAAAACCATTGAATGGTACGGAATTGAATTCTCAGTACTATGTATATAACATTGAATTTAAATAAAATATATTTAAATTACGAAATCTCCTGTAATGATTTATTTGCGAGTCATTTCAATGTTTTCCTCTTTTCCAGTTCTCGGCTTTTCTATATATAACCGTTGGGGAATCATTTCCGGTACTTGAAAACAGAGTGGACACCTGGCACTACCCAGGTATAGCCAGGTATACCCAGGTATGCATGTGTATACGAACATGATATAGTATATTATCTACGGGAACTTTAAGATACGAACATACTAGGCAACCATTTCTAGTACTAACATTTGAAAGCTGTAGTCAAAACATTTGAATACTACAAATACTACAAACATTCGAATATATGATCTCATGTGCAAACTGGTATATCGGCAATATAGACCCTGTTTCATATGTTATGTTCAAAAGTTCTAGACTCATTGTGTGCTTCAAGGCGCTCAGGGCATCCGTTCTTAGCCTTACCCCTCCTCTAAACTATTTACTTGATAAAAAAAATATTCAAAAATTACCTTGGACTTTTTTTAAACATTTCTATACCATCTGTGTCTACTACTTAGTATATTTTTTTTTTTAAAAAAAAAAAACCAAGTCAAAAATATCCGTTAAACTAGTGGTGTGGCGCGCCGAAAAGCCCAGAACATCTGAATTCCCCCTTCCCGCGTTCTCCCCTTTTTTGCAAAGCTGACGACGGGCCTCTCCACCTCCGAAATCCCACCGCGTTCTGGAACACTCCACGTCGCCATGTCCTCCTAGCCTCAGGACTTTGCCCTTTTTTTTGTTTTCAAAATCACAGACATCTGCAAACTGCAAGGCACCGATCACGTATGGGTCTGATCGCTTTGGTTCTTCGTCATGCATTGGAAAGGCCTGCGGCTGGTCGCCGACAGCAGCTCTAAACGTCAAAGTACCATTGATCCTCAACCCCAGTCCCGCCGCAGCGAACATTTGCCACGTCCAAGCCCACCTTTATCTGAACCGAGATTTTCAGAGTCTACGGCTCGCGGTTTAGCCCCGTCCCCGATCGATGGAACCGATGATTCGAGACTCGGGGTGCCTATCGAGATTCCAGACCATGGCATGACCCAGTCTAACTCCGCAGGCCCCTCCTCTGGAGATACTCCCAGCTTGCGACGGAATCGTTTCAGCTTCATGAGGCTCCGGCATGCCTCTGACCCGCAGCTGTCCAAAAGCTACGCCAAGGCCGGTCAACAGGAAGCTCCACCGATACCCTCCTTGCCGCGTAAGTCGTTATTCCCGAATGAACAACATACCATGATGGAGTTGCAGGAACGCTTGGACGACTAACTATTTCTTGTCTCAACCCTTGCAGCCCCTACCATCATCACCACCGCCCCCACCAGCCACGAGCTCGACCAGCCCACCAAAGACCTACCTAGATTCAACAAGCTTCGGCCTTCATCCCGCAAGCACTCCATGGAAGAGCTATCCCGGAACTCAACAGATCAATCGAGGATGAAGCCGGCACGAAAGAATAAAGGATCAACAGACTCGCAAGTTGATTCCAGCCTCTCAACGTTTCAAGGCAGTGGGGAGGAACCGGGGCGTCTTTCAACAACGTCATTACACAGTGGAGGTCGAGATCAGATGAACTTGAACGATTCACAACGCTCGTCGGTGACAGACCCTCGCTTCTCAGAATCATCTCGCTCAGACCAGAGCTATGGTGACCAGGCCGCATACCGAAGTAACTCCCCTCGAGAAGGCTTCGGGTCAACATCCAGTGCCAAGCGAGGCTTCCGTATGCCACGACTGAAGCGCCATCGCAGCCCTCTTTTCCCCCTCCCCCCAAACCTCCACCGGGCCAGTCAATTCTTAATGGCCCTAGATTCCCACCGGCAGATACCCCACGATCAGATGGGTCTGGAGAACATGATCAAATCTCGCCTCTTCCCTCGCCGTCTCGATCTACCGTGGGACTCGGTACCATAAGTGGCCCACCAACTTTATTCCGCAATGATTCAACAAATTCCAACCGCTCTGTACGATCAACCCATTCTCACAAAGCTCGAGGCAGATCATCCACCATGGAATCGCTGGCCGAAAACCAAGACGATTTGTCTCCAGTCCCATACCTTGTTTCTTCAGGACGCACCTCCACTTCGACGACTGGCCGTAAGAGCTTCGGTGATCTTTTCAATATCTCTCAACGATTAAGGCAAAACTCGGAGCCCCCGATTCCCCGTCATGGGTCCCCTAGCCTCGGTGGCGCATCAACTCCGATTTCGAAGCCGGATTTACCACCCATTCCGAAGAAAGAAGAGGGCGATACACCCGCTAGTTATCTGGTCAAACTCGAACAAACTATACCTCGAAACTTGCTTGGAGGTGTGCTTTCCCAGTCGGGCGATGAGTTCTTCAAGGTTACTCTACGAAAGTACATGAGATCCTTCTCCTACTTTGGTGATCCGATTGACATGGCCATCCGAAAACTCTTGATGGAGGTGGAACTGCCAAAGGAAACACAGCAGATAGACCGATTTTTGCAAGCGTTCGCCGACCGATATCATGAGTGCAACCCGGGGATTTTTGCCACCACAGGTATGATCAATTAGGGTTAGACGTTCCAACTTCATCAAAAAACTAACAAATTCCGCAGACCAAGCTTACTTCATTGCTTTCTCGATATTGATTCTCCACACCGATGTATTCAACAAGAATAATAAGCGGAAGATGCAGAAACCCGACTATGTCAAAAATACTCGTGGTGAGGGCGTGTCTGATGACATCCTTGAATGTTTCTATGAAAATATCGCCTATACGCCGTTTATTCACGTGGAAGATGCCAATTTGCACGATCGTCATCTGACAAAACCCCGTCGCGCATTGTTCAAGAGCACAAGCACCGAAAATTTACCCCGAGTGGCACGGGATCCACTTGATCCATACACACTGATCATGGATGGAAAACTTGGGGCATTGCGCCCAAGTCTGGGAGATGTGATGGATCTTGAGGACTCGTACAGCCACTTTGGATCCGCTGGCCCGCCAGATATGGATGACTTGCACCAAGCTTTTACCAAGTCAGGAATTTTGCAAATCATTTCCGCGCGTTCTCGCCCTGATGCTTTCATGCAAACTAGTCTTAACAACCCTGGAGAGTCAAACCCGGGTCTGGTTGATATCAAGGTAGCGAAGGTTGGCTTACTTTGGCGAAAAGACCCGAAAAAGAAGCGGGCTCGGTCACCTTGGGCCGAATGGGGCGCGGTTCTTACCTTCTCGCAGCTTTATTTCTTCCGAAATGTCAACTGGGTCCGGTCATTGATGGCACAACACGACAGCTACGTGAAGAACGGACGGACGGGCACTTTGGTCTTCCGGCCCCCGCTTGCCGAATTCAAGCCAGATGCGATCATGTCTACGAATGATGCTGTTGCTTTATTGGACACAAGCTACAAGAAGCATAAGCATGCTTTCAGTTATGTCCGTCACAATGCACTGGAAGAGATATTCCTTGCGACATCCGAACCGGAGATGAACGATTGGCTTGCCAAGCTTAATTATGCCGCAGCATTCAGGACCACTGGAGTCCGCACAAAAGGCATGATCGCCACAAATTACGAGGGTCAGCGATATCGTACCAGCCAGCGGGCCGATAATGCCTCGCTCAACTCCCAAGAGTCAGCTGAGAAGGAGCCTCCATCACCAAGCATTGCCACCGATATTGTTGCAGAGTTTGTTGCTGCTCGCAGGGAACTAATGAGCCAGAAAATTCGCGAAACAAATGAAAAGCTTTTTGTCACACAAAAGCAGCTTGAAGAACTTCTGCGAAACGCACGCCATCTTCAAGTTTTGACCCCAGTCAATCCTCGCGCCCGTGAGAACGTCATCATGGCTGCAGGACGCATGGCAGCGAAGCTCAAGTGGGTTAGACAGGATCTTTGGCGCAACAAGTGTTATCGTGAGGTGCTTCTCCGGGATCTGGGTGAACATGAAAGCTTTGTTGATTTGCAAGCCAAGTCAGTTTCTGACCAGACGGCATCTGAAGATGCAGCACGGCTTGCCTCCATCTCGGGGCCTTCAGTGATATCCGAACCTGGTATTGCCCAAGCTCCTAGTATCATTCACACGGCTTCTATTCATGATACAAACGAACCCACTGGGGCACCAGTTGACCTGCCTGTTGATCTTGATTTTCTCCATCAACCATCGACAGATGAGATGCGTCGTCCAAGCCTCCCCGCCTCGACCACCTCATCTGATGCCCGTGTTGGCCGCCCACTTTCCATTGCCGCTCTGCCAGACAAGCTATCTGAAGGATCAGCAAATCAGCTAGAGCGTGAGTCTTCTGTTCTCAGTCGAAGTAGCAGATTTGACGGGGCTAGTCTTGGCTCTCGGGCTTCTAAGCTCACCTCTCCAGTGAGCTTCGATGAAGGCGAGGAACGGTTGCTCAGAGAAACAGGCTTATTGGACCTGACTGGCTCGCCCAAGCCTCGGAAACAATCCAGCAATGTTCCCGAATCAGAAGGCGAAGGCAAGCCAGATGAGTCTTCGGAAGTTTCTCAGAGTGACAACAAGCCCAGCCGAGTACGACGCAGTCTTCACCGTACACTCCGTGATTCGCACCATCATATCCCTCGCCACCACTCCCGTGGAAAGAAGAACCGGGGTTCAATATCCAGTATTCCAACCCTAGACGATGACGAAAGTGTGCAGGATGGTGAGGTACTGTCTCGTAAGACGCCTAGCTTCACCGTTCATGGCAAAAAAGCATCAGTTGTCACGTTTGGGTCTGAGTGGCAGAACATGCCTCCCGAGGAACGCCTGAAGCTCCGCAAGCCAACCCCCCACGAAGAGCCGAGAGCCTCGGAGCCTGCTATACTGAGCAGCGGTGAGTCGATGACTTCACACCACACCCCAGGTGGCCGTCCTCACTCTATCCGAAGTGCGAGCACGGCAACACGTCTCAGTCTCTGTAGTGATGACGATGAGCCCACCATCGACTACTTCAAGGACGCCTACGAAACCTTTGGAGACCCACTGCCAAAGCTCAACACGGATGCAGATATCTCGGTCCCACCCGAAGAGAAAGACCCCAACCAACGGTCAGAGAATGACAATACGCCCCGTCCAGCTTCAAGTTCTGGATCTGTGATATTCGGTCCCCGCCTCACTTCACCCTCCGAAGATAAAACCCCTCCCTCTACCAATTCTTTTGGTGAACGAGCCGTGGAAAAGCCTTCTTCTGAAAATCTACGGCAACAAGCTGTTGGCGCATGAACATAAGCATGGACATCATCTTTATCTCTCCCACCTACTACCGCTAGGCTCCTCTCTCAATCTATCCATCACTGTATAGCCCCACACCTTGTCATCTACTGTTTTACGACTATTATACCCCTTTCAACCATCGCGGTTTGTTTCGCCCTGGTGTTTTTTCTTCTTCTATTTTTCTTGCGTCGACATCTCTGTTTTCTTATGGGCTTTGGATTCAAATTATGTATTCTTATTGTTGCGGATAGCATGGAAAGCATTGATTGGTGTGTTGTCTTTTTTTCATGTTTGCAATCTACCTCTAGCGTCATTGTCCCTATCTGTGTTTCGTGCTGCATTTCATGTATCGTCTCGACTCCTGCATGGCCTTTGTCCCCTTTGAGCGCGAACGTCATACATTAGTTCGTGTTGATGGGGTTTTGGGTACATCCTATTAGACAAAAGCTCATCTATCATGGATCTTTTTGAATGATTTTATCAATTTGCATCTAAAGTAGCATATACTTGTTTCTTAATATCAGTATGTAGATTGCACTTGGACAAATAGTGTGGCAAATGCACGGAAGCAATATAGTAGATGAATCAAACTTGTCATCTTTTGAATATTCCCTGACCAGCATCAACAAGGATGCCATTCAAATATCCGGATTTGACGGTCTAGCACTCAGTTGGCTAGCAGAAATTTCGAACGTGCCTGAGAATATTGGAGTATGCAAAACCGATCCTGCACTTGTTTCCTGTCTAAACGGGAGCGATTTTGATAAAGTCAGTAACTAAAGCCAGATCAGAAGAAGAAAAGGAGATCTTGCCAAGGGACTCACTTTGATTGCGATAATGATGATTCAGCGAGGAAAAACTTCCAAAGCAAGCAGGTCACTGCGAGTTAGACTCGGAGAATGAATGATGTCGGTCATTTTTCTTTCTACTTCTTGGAAGACCCATGGAGTTTTAATTCCCATGTGCTCTTGTTGCATCGAAAAATGCTCTCTTTTCCAGCTCGCTGCTTTTTCTCATGCAAAAGCCCTCTTCGCCTTTCCAGAGGAATCATTTGAGTAGGCTTTCCCCACGCGACCTCCCCAGTTGATTTTGCAAGCTATGTAAAAAAAATTGGTCGGTGCTCAAGAATTCCAGAAGTCTTTGTAGGATATCCAAATTTTATAGGGAGTGGCATCTTTCATTATGCAGAATCTTGCTTTCGTCCAGTTGGCGTGTATGGTCCGTCTCGATTTGTGAGACTCAGCTGGAGATAGACCGAATAGAAACTTCAGAATCGTAATCTCTTTTATTCCTAGAGCAGGTGAGGCTTGGCTTGAGCACCAGCAGTTGCTAGTGTGCTCTCATCTAATGACTAGATCCTGTGTCAGAAACCACAATTTTAGGTCACGATGCCCGAGGTCATAAGCACTCACTGTATGGGTTTGAACCTGCAATACGCGTTGAAAGGAGCACACTTCTTCAAAACGTAATTTGCATGTTTTCAGTATCGCATGCAATATCTTGACTTCCAACAACGTCCCGATCATCGAGTACGGTAACATGGAAACACTTCAATGCAAAGTAGAAGCGAAACTCCTCCGTTGGATCTTGTAGCTCCATGGAATCTTCCGATGGTTTCGGATATGTTTGGCGCTCTTGCTCTTAAGCCCTGCGATAGGTTCTCCAGGGACTGCATGGATCGGAATTTTCCTGTTCGACCCCTGTTTCTTAATAGAGCAGGTTGATCATGTCTTTGAAAATCTCAACTGCAACAACCATAGTGTGATGAAGAAGGTTGATCCAAGATGAAAGAGGCTATTCAACAAGATACTAACTGATGCCGAAGAGAGAAGTAGAGAGAAGAGGAAGAATCCTTGGGAAGAAGAACAAGAGAAGAGAGCAACAAATGAAAGTAGAGCAAATACGCGCGCAAGCATGTGATACCCCAAGTAAGCCCCAAGCCTCAGGCCTTAGTCTCAGCTTTATGGCAAACACCATCTAATCTGACCGCTGGAGACAGGGAAAAATCGCCATTTGCATACTTCTTCCTAGTGTGTACTTGATACAGTACTAGACTCAGCTTTTCACGTGCGCACATCCAGGATAGCTGTAAGATAATGTACATCGGAGGATCATGATTCATGATTCACCAGAAGTAAGTAGAAAGTAGTAAGTAGTAAGTAGTAGTAAATGGGTTCTATAATTCTGCACCTGATCAGGAAGGCGGTCTTTAAAGCGGCTCTCAAATCAACCAATCAACACCACCAACCGGCCAAAATAAACCCGCTCAATTACGACATGCAAGCTATCCATCTCCAACTCTAAATCCAAAAGTCCCCAAGCACCTCACAAGCTACAATCTCAGTAACATGGCGCATTCAAAGCGCAACACCTCCCTGCCGCACTTTACTGCATACGAACGCAGCCTCCTCCGCGACAGCTGGGGCTCAAAACGCAGCGTAATCGGCCGCGATTCCTTCCTCCCCTTCGCATCCTGCAAACTATGTCTCCAACCCGCCCGAACCCCCGTCGTGGGCTGCGCAACCAACGGCGACCTCTTCTGTCGCGAATGTGCAATCAACGACCTGCTCGCCCAGCGCCAGGAAATCAAGCGCCTTGAGCGCGAGCGCGAAGATGCCAAGAAGCGCATCGCCGAGGACGACAAGCTAGCGCTGGAGGAGGCGAAGAAGAAAGAATTGGCGGATTTCGAACTTGTTTCCATGGGACTGGAGGCTGGGAAGAAGTCCGGGACGAAGCGCAAGGCGGAAGCTGAGATTGAGGCTGTTGCGGCGTTTAAGGCGCGGGAGGTGGTTGTTGATGGGAAGCGGAAGAAGGTTTTCGAGCTTGATGAGGAGGAAATGAAGAAGGTTTCTAGGGAGGAGCAGGAGAGGTTGAAGAATGAGCTTAAGAAGGAGAAGGTTTGTTTTTTTTTTTGTTTTCGGTTGGGGGTTGTGCGTTTGCGCTTGGTGCTTTGGAGCTGATTTGGAATCCCTATATACAGGTTGAGTCTAGCAAGTCGGCGCTGCCGTCTTTTTGGGTTCCGTCCTTGACACCGAATACGGATGCGGATGAGATTGCTGCGAACAAGACTGTGAAATTGGCGCCTATTTGTCCCGGTTCTTCCGATACCAATCGGCATACCTACTCGCTCAAGGGTCTGGTCGAAGTGAACTTTACAGAGGAAAAAGGATCGGATGGATCTACGGCAAGGATCTGCCCGAGTTGCAAGAAGAACCTTAGCAATGGACTCAAAGCTATGCGTATGTTTTGGGCTATCAATTGACTTGTTGGATTGGACTAACTTGCCTAGTTACTAAACCATGCGGCCATGTCATTTGTTCGCCTTGTGTTACGAAGTTTATGACCCCACAGGACACACCCGATCCTCATGCTTCGAAGGAAGAACAGGAATCTCACCGCCGAGTATTATGTTATGTTTGCGAAACAGATCTCTCGTCAGGGTCCAGTCTGGACAAAGCAGATGGAAAGAAAAAGTCCAAGAAGAAGGATAAGGAAGGCATTAGGCCCGGTCTAGTGGAGATCAGTTCCGAAGGAACAGGCTTCGCAGGCGGCGGCGGAAACGTGGCTACGAAGAAGGGGGTCGCATTCCAATGTTGAAAGCCGGACAAAAGAAGAAGAACAAAAGGCTGTACAAAAAAACGTGGTTGTCTTTCTATTGAAGGGCTCCAAAAATACCCATATAACTTGCCCGAGGGCTAAACTCCCGAAACCATGCAATAACCATGTCCTTGATATCTATACACAGAGCCATCTGGCTAAAAATCGATTCCCCCGCAAAGTCTAAGCGAGCTTCTTCTTGGTGTTGTTGAACTCGCGAACAGTGATATCACACTTGACCTCCTGACACAAACGGCGACGACGGCCCAAGTCGAGCTTAGCGGCAAACTCCAAGCCAGAGGCGCGCTCCAAAACCTCCACTGGGACCTCAAACTCCGACAGACTCTTCTGGTTGGGAATGCGGGCATTGGGCAAAACAAACGCACCCAGCGCAACCTTGCCATTTGGCGAACCAGAGCCATCCTCTCCGTAAATAACCTTGTAGAAATGCGTCGGCACAGCAACGTTGGGCGGGTTTCCAATCATCTCGTAGTTCACACGCCACTTTCCATCAGGGTCCCGGTGCGGCAGGTACAGGGGTCCGGTCACGACACGCACGGAGGGGTACTTCTGCGTCAGGTTACGGCAGAAATCCTCAAAGTGGGCCCAGTAGTCGCGGTTGAAGCCCTCGCCGACCTGCGGGCACATGTTGCTCAGTGAGAAGGTGCCATCCATGGCCTCCTGGGACCACTTGGCGTCTGCAGCAGGCACCTGGTGGCCGCGGTCATATCCCGAGCGGAAATAGTCGGACAGCTTGGCGCGGAACAGAACCGGGATGGAGGTATCCTCGAAGAAGGTGCTGTGTTTGCGGTCGGCGTTCTTGATCAACAGGGACTGCGGTGTGATGTGCTCGGCGACCCAGGCGGGATTGCGAGTGCGGCGGTCGTAAGCGCCGTGCAGGGGGAGAGAGGAGATCTCGTCGGCGACCGGGCCTGGGAATCCATACTGGAGGACACCGGCGGGGTCAACGGGACCGACTGCCTTGGCTGCGAGGGTTGGGGTTTGAGTGGTGGTGGGGACTTTGGCGCCCGCGCTTGGGGGTGGGAGTTGTTGATACTGCTCCTGCTGCTGTTGAGGGCGGGCGGGCTTGGAGGAGTATAGGAGTGCGGTGACACCGGCACCGGTGGCGGCACTCGCGGCCGCGATGATGGCCAGAGTTGCTTTGGACATTGTCACAAAGTCTGGTCTGGTGTTTGGTTGGAGTCGCGGAGAAATGAAGAAAAAAAATGGAGATATCGGCGCGGATAAGCTAATAACAGTATGGGGAAAAACAGAAGTCACGGGCCAATCGATGGGCCACATGCTTTATTTTGTGCCTGTGACCTTTGGGGAAAAATCATAACAAAATCATTTGATTTTCTGTTGATCTCACATCTCATTGGATCCCAGACCAGCTGTGGGTTTGTACAGCACAATCAGATGTCGAGTCACAGGGCAAGGCCCGTTCACGATGATCTGCAGTGTAACCAGGCGTTGCCTTAGTGAACGGTTGGAGGTTGAACAAGCATGACATCTTTACTACTCTATACATTGGCTCTCCTTGGAATACCAGATAAGTTTATTTTTCTGACTTTTTAAAATAAGACTTATACTCACAATTGCTAATAATGAGCACTGAGGGAGGAAACATTTTAACATAGTACTCTATACTGGATACTAGAGACTTCTCACTTCAGTATTTCGAAGAGAAAACACTATGAACATTCAAGGAAAGCAACTTTGAAATTGTCAATAGCTTGAAATGACCAACTTTTATTTGTTGTCTAGTACACACTCATACCAGTGGATATTCAATTAGTATGGACAATTGAGCCAGTGCTAGCTTAGTCTACCCCACATGGCTATACATTAGTACTAAAAGCTATAGATAACCAAATTGAAGGTCAAGGTCTTCATATCTGAAAGCAAGATAGATGTGATTAATCTCTAGATTCTCATAAGTAATGCAAATTCATAATTATATTCTTTTGACATTCCTAGTCCAATTTCAAGACTCTTTAATTGGTTGTTCATGCATTAGGGCTCTGAGGACCTTGGGAGGCAAATGGTCTGAGCTGCTCCTGCTATTCATGGGGGAAATAAAGATGTAGGAATCTGGGGGGCTTTGAGCTCTTCTCCTCTTTAACTCTTCATTTCTCATTTCTTTTTATTTTTCTATTTCTTGAACCCATAAATTTCAAGCTAAACTGTCCATTCTTAAGATCGAACCCATCTAGCAAAAAAAAAGAAAAAAGGCAAAGCAACAAGAGGCGAAAAAAGAGCTTGACCGCCAACAGATCAAGCCTCCGTTTCGAATGGGACTTGAGTACATCACTACTCCATAACCAAATTATGGCTGCCAGCAACGACCTCCGGGGCTGGGTGATGAGCGCTGTCTCGGGCGTGGGTGAGTTTAACCTAATCAACATACCAGCAAGGGCATAATTAACAGTCTTTGGGGTGTAGCCTGCGTTCTCGGGGCCACCGTCATCTGCGCCGATCTGGTAGTGCGGCGGGTCACCAACGATAAGACCTTCCAGATCGCCAACAGCAATAATTTCCTGTCAGCCTCACTATGTCTGAGTGCCGGTGTGATGGTGAGTGACATGGGTCAAGCTTGTCTACCTTGTGCTCCTTCCAGATCTCTAACCCAATCGCAGCTCTTCACCTCTCTGTATAGCATGCTCCCCACGTCCCAAGACTACCTCACACGCGCCGGCTTCTCTCCCTCCGCATCCGCATATATTTTGATCGGTCTCTTTCTGGCCGGTGTCATTGTCATTAGATTTGTATCCGGGTTTATTCACCGTTTCATCCCATCGCATGTGGTCGATTGCGCCCATACTCACACCCCGGAACAAGACCCCGAGCGCGGCGAAGGTCAACTCGCAGCACACAATGATCATCATAACCATTCCAACGGTCACACAGAGCGAACCCCTCTTCTGCGACCGACCCAACCTGAATCCTTCAAGTCCACTCCGGCGGTATCACAACGGATGGAGCCCGCGTCACGGACCGCCAAGCGCGAATCCTTGCGTGCCATCTTCACCCGCCGCTTCAGCTCACTGATGGGTGGCGTCAAGACAGTATGCGACGAAGACGGTCCGTGCTATGGGTTTTCGCAGACCTGTGGTCGTGAATGTATCAAGGTACTTCCAAAGGCCAATTTGCCCCAGCACCAGAGTATCGCCGTGCAACTAGACTCCGAGCAAGACCCGGCACTGGATGCGGCCATTGACTCTGTTCTGGCCTCATCTGACACGGGACCCTTTGACGCCATTTCTGCTCAGCATATTGTCAACCATGCGTCAGCTAGTGCAACAACTTCCTCTGCCTCATCCCAGGTGCATCTCCCTCACCATTTGGATGACCCTAGCCATCACCATTCCAACACTATAACCCACAATCATCATAACCATAACCATAACCATAACCACGGTTCCCATGATGAAGTTGATCATTCCTCCAAACCCGCAGGGGACAGCACCCATCACCACCACGTCCCACAAAACGCCTTTCTCTCTATTGGCCTTCAAACCTCCCTTGCCATCGCCTTGCATAAATTACCCGAAGGCTTCATTACTTATGCGACCAATCATGCCAGCCCTACTCTTGGCTTGACTGTGTTCCTCGCACTCTTCATTCATAACATTGTGGAAGGCTTTGCCATGGCCTTGCCACTATACCTCGCTCTCGGCTCTCGTTGGAAGGCCATGTTCTGGTCCAGTCTCCTTGGTGGGATCAGTCAGCCGGCCGGTGCCGGTCTTGCCGCTCTGTGGATTTGGACCTCGGGGCACACTGGCAATGATACAATGGGGCCGTCCTGGGGTGTATATGGAGGCATGTTCGCCGCCACGGCTGGCGTGATGACCTCTGTCGCGTTGTCGCTGTTCAGCGAAGGCTTGGCACTGACGCACCATCGAAGCATGGGCATCGGATTCGCAGTCGCGGGCATGGGGATGATGGGTGTGAGCTTTGCCTTGACGGCTTGAAATGTTTCTTTGGATCCAGACGGCTGTTTGTTTATCTTCTTCTTTTTTTTTGTGTGTGTTTCCGCCCCGGTGCTATATAAATAAACAGAAAAGATTGGCGGCCGGCGTTTTGTATTTGGCATTCACAGGGCCGGGAGAACTTGCATATTGCATGAGTATGTGGTACACTATTTGGTATATTTTTATGCCCTATCGCTTTACATATCATGATTGGCGACGATACTCGATATGGAGTGGTTGGTACAGTTATTTCATCCGACGAATTACGAACAACTGTTACTTTGAGTTTATTAGAAAAGCACATGTCTTCTAACTCAAGTTCTTCCAATCTTTGATGTCGAAAATCTCAGTTCTAACATTGAAGGGGCGGCTTCCCTGATTCGGTTATAGAGAACCTTGGAAGATGAGATTCTAGGGTTTCAAATGTTATCTCTCTCGAGGGCTTAACGTTGGAAGTAGTTGACTAACCCACAGACTATCTCGTCGGCAACATTGGATATTAAATCTTGATAGTATTTACAATCCGCAACTTCCTCATCCTGTCCCCAATGTTATGGTCCGCATAAAGTGGACTACTGTGCAGACAATTTGACAGCGCGAGATAGTCAACCCCTGCATCTCAGGGATCAAACAATTGAGCCACGGAGAGATTGCGGAAACGGAGTGTCCTCGCTCCAAGAGAAGCTAGGTGCGCCTCTTCAAGCCCCCACGCGAGTACCTGACCAGTAATGGATTGCTTGGTACGGGGAATGATGCCCAGTGCGTTCCAGAGCCAGTGGGGAATCGGGATATTGATTAAAGCTTCCGAAAAGTGGGGGCCAGAGCCACAACAAGGTGAGTTCCGCTGCACCGTTACATGAGGAGAGAGTCAGCCACTATAATGTGGGTCTGGCTTGCCTAAAGTACATAATTGTTACGAACACCTCGCAGGGAGCAAACCTAAACGCCCTCAGAAAAACAGCTATTTTCCTTTCAAGCCACTGTCTGCGCCAGCCACGAACACCAGGGAAGGCGTGTGATTGTCTTTTTCCAGTTCAATTCCTCACAATGAGGGTCTTCTCTCTTTTCGGCGCTCTATCGGCAATCCTGTCGTGCACGGTGGGCGTCTCCGCATCTGACCCTGACCCGATTGGCACGATCTACGATGGCCATGTCCCAGCCAATTTATACGGCTCTAACTATACCTATCCGTGGCCGGTGAAGATTTTCAAATTCTTCAACCAGCATCAGCATCTGGAGATGGCGTTCATGGACGTTCCGGCCGAGCGCGACACTGATAAGGAAAAGACAGCAGTCTTGCTGCATGGCGGTAACTTTTGCGGAGTTACTTGGTCCGACACGGCGCGTCAGCTATCTGCCGACGGCTACCGAGTGATCCTGCCCGACGACATCGGCTTCTGCAAGTCGAGCAAACCGCAAGGGTATTCCTATAACGTGCAGCAACAGGCGGAGAATATCAACAGCCTGCTGACTGCACTGGACATCGATGAAGTCACCGTCATTGGTCATTCCATGGGTGGTATGATTGCTGCCCGCTACGGCCTCATGTACCCGGACACCGTCCAGCAGCTTATACTTGTTGATCCACTGGGCTTGGAGGACTGGGTAGCCAAGGGTGTGCCTTACCTGGCCATTGACGCAACGTACGAGTCTCAGGTCGTGCAGAATTTCACCACTCTCAAGGCGTATGAGCAGGCCAGTTACTTTTATAATTCTACTTGGGAGCCTGCTTACGACACTTGGGTGGATATGCTTGCCAACATCTATGCAAGCGACTATGGCTCAGAATACGCTTATGTGATGAGTCTCGTCACTGATGCGCTACTAAGTCAGCCTATTATCTACCAGCTTCCTCTCCTGAAGACACGCACCTATCTAATGGTAGGCGAGAACGATGTGACCGCGCTTGGGAAAGCATGGTCATCTTCAGCCGTGGCTGCAACTCTGGGTCATTATTCTGTCCTTGGACCGGCTGCCGCGGCCCTGATCCCCAATTGCACATTCCATATGTTCCCTGGTCTAGGCCATGCCCCGTTCCTCCAAGATCCCCAGGGATTCTACAATGTGCTTTTCTCCTGGTTAGAATAACAGGCATCAGGTGGTGAGCATTCTATCCGGACATTGCCCTCCATTTTCTGGGAGGGTACTTATCAGATGGCAAAAAGTAGTTGACGGGCCTTGAAATTCTACTTTCATAAATTATGTTATAGATGCCTCCTACTGGGGTGACACAACTAATGTTTTTTGTCTCTGGAATTTCGAAACTGTATATTCCGATCCATCAATGTACATAGTCCATCTAGACTAAGGTAGTATAAATTCTATCCATGAACATTTGAATGTTTGTGAAGTGAAAATGCTTTCTTTTAGAGCTAGAGACTTACATGTTTTTCTATGTATGAGGACCGCGCGTTATTAAAACACCCTAAAACACCCTAAACCCCAAGATTCACGTGATGGTCGTACGTGATCATGCACATGGTTTTTATACGATTTTTGTCCTCATATGGATCAATTGGGAGTTGTGCACACGTGGTTTAGAATTTATTTGAAAAATTCAAGAATATATGGATATTTCTTAATTAAAACTGAACTCAACATTAAAATATTCAAAATAGTGACATAGTACACATAGATACACAATTTAGTCCTCCATAATCATCTTCAATCCTTTTTCAAAATCCCAGAACACCAACAATACAAAGAGAAGTCCAACTCATTCATCAATTTGTTTCTCCCCCATCACCTATATTATAGTGCCTGCACCGAGATTCTTCTCGCTCCAGAACCACTCATAATACCAGCTCCGCTCGATTCCCTTAGATGATTATGGTGCATCTGTCCCTGGTCATCCAAGTCCTCGATATCAATACTGAACCGTCTTGGTCTAGACCAAACACCAAATGAATCCCCGTGCGCCGCCCCAGCACCCGTCATCTTGCCAGACAAACCGAACTGCTCTGTGACCTGCTCAACTAGATCCGCATGCGCGGAGGATCTCGCAACATTTGAGCTACTACCAAGACGGCTCTGGGCCCGACGCATCAACTCGATATGCTGCGACGCCGCGTCCGCTGCCTCCGGATCCGACTTGGCGTCGGAGTCATTCAGTAGATCATGGAGCACACCTTCGTGCAGCGTAGCCGCAGATGCATGATCGCCCGATGCAGTGAAGAGGCCGGAGAGCAACTTCGTCATTTCCAACGTGACGTTGTCGTAACTTCCCCATACCTGGCGGAGATTGTAGCAGATATCGCGACATAGCTGGATCGAGGACTCGATTGCGCCGCGACAGAAACGTGTTTCGACGAGGCGGCGGCCAATCCAGACAACCACGTCTGGGGTCCATGTTCGTTGGACGATCCGGGAGGTCCAGAGTTGGGTCAGGATTGCTTCGAGGTCGTCGAACATCTCGTGTTCGCCCAGCAGAGTGATGATGTCGTTGAGCTCGTGGAAGGGGAGATCGACTATCTCGATGCCGAGGCTCTTGGAGGAAGCCAGGAGTTCCTGGAGAAGCAGCTTGGACTTCATGGACATCTCGTTGGAGATCTTCTCGTTTTGGCAGCGGGTGGCCTGGTGTCCGCTGAGATACAAGCATAGCTTCGTAGCAGTGATGATGCTATCGTAGTTGTTCAACCCGTCCGTGAGATGCAGGAACGAGTGCAGGACACCTGTCACGTCACTTGCATCGGTGAACTTGCTCCCGTTGCAAAGGTCGCGCACGAGACTGGTCGTCGTGTTCAGAATATTGGTGTTGTAGTTCTCGGTCCGCACCTCGCGCAAGCAGATACTGTAGAACTGCTGCACAATTTTGCGGTCGGCAACCTTAGTCGCAGACAGCGTAGTGCAGAAGTATTCGTAGGTCCTGGTGCGCGTCTCTTTCGAAACACGAGTGCGCTTCTGCTCCGTCTGTAGGGTCGCGAGTCGGTCACCAGAGATAAGCGTCGGGATGAAGTCATGACCTGACAGATTCTTCGTAAAGGACTGCTGTGTCTGCATCTCGCGAGCCATCTCGCTCATGATCTGGTCGTAGCTTGCGCGGCGACCGAAGGCTTCCTCAAAGGCAGCGACGAAGACAGCATCCCGCCGTTCTCCGAGCGTCATGACCGAGGTGTCGGAGCCGTAGATCACACGCTGGCGAAGCTCATCAAGCATGCTGTTACCACCTTCGATGAAGCCACACTCGAGGTAGATTGCAGCGATCTTGCGAGCCCATTCCTTTGTCATGCTCGATTCACCACCTGCGTGGAGGACGTCAGTGACGTAAGTGTGAAGGATAGCGCAGCCTTGCTGGACCGAAGTGTGCGTTCCCTGGCGGGAATGAGCGAGGGCAAGTTCGCGGAGCCACGAGAGAGTCGTGGTGGAGAAGGAGCCCTGTGTCTTCTTCGCCAGCTGGAATTCCTCTGTGTAGAGGGAGCGGGCTTCCATGGTGGAATCGCGCTTGCGGACGAAGAGCTGAGCGAGCTTGTGCTTGAGAGTGATGGGCAGTGGTGCGGTCATTTGATCCAGACCCTTCGACGACTGCGAAGTTGGAACCCACTCGGTAGTCTGGAACGGCTTCTTATAGAGCGAAATGGCCTGATCGATATACTGCTCGTTAGTCTCGCACAGCTCGGCCAAGAGAAGAGTCGCGCTCAGGGTCTTCTGGTGCGTGGGACCGTAGACATTGCTGCAGGTTGTCACGTATTCCGAGGCAACCTTGTATTGCTCCGAGAAGTTACTGGTCTTGATGCGGGTGGTCAGAATCGACATGTAGCCGATGTAAGTCTTTTCGAGCATCTTTTCGACCCTGAGGCGGTCGTAGGTGTTCATGCTATCTTCAATAACGACGGTAGGCCACATGTGGCGGTAAACGTCGAGGGCAGCATCCCACTGCAGCTCCTTCTCGTAAAGGGACACAAGTGCAATGGCAGCTTCAAATCCCTCGGGAGAAACCTTGCCGTCGGTTGTGGTGCAGCTGTAGATGCGCTGGTAAGTGCTCTTGGCCTCATGCGTCATCTCAAGACGGTTGGCGAGCGCAGCCTCGAGATAGAAGTTCTCGATCGTATGCTTGTGAGTCTCGCCTAGTCTGCCAGTCAAGAAATTGCTGACCGAATGCAGAAGAGTCAAAGCTCTTGTGAACTGGAAGGTGGTCTCGTAGAATTCAACAACGGCCTTGGCAACAGCGAGCACCGAAGGTACGGGAACCCTGTCAGATGCCACGAGCGATCCAAATGCATTCTCGTACACGATAGTAGCCTGTTCCAGATGCAGTCTGCGAATGTGGCAGTATGCAAGAATGAGAGCAAGATCTGCGATCGGAGGAGCAAGCTCCGTCGAGAACATCTTGTGGGAACCAGCTTGCTCAACCGTAGGCCAGACGTGTTGCAAAACAGCCTTGGAGCAGTCGCTGGCTTCGATCCAGTCCTCTTCGCGGACATAAATGCTAGCCAGATTGTGGCAAAGGATCAATGTTGACACGGAGAGGTTGCTCGACGACGAGGTGATGGAATCCAAAAGCTCAACCATCAGTCTGCGGTCTCTTCCAGAAAGAGAATTGCTGTCCTCAATAGAAACGGTGTTAGCCATACTCTCAGCAAGAGATAGAGCCAGAGCTGTGGCTTCGGCCGTGTATTCCATATTCATCTCCTTGTAGTAGCGCCACGTCAGGATGGACAAAGAGCGATCCAGGCTGTACATGTGCATTTCGCGAGTCTCGGCGCGAAGCAGCTGCACGCGCTGCATCATTTCCTGAGAGTGGATGCCAGTAACCTCGAGATCTGCGACAAGTTCGCGGATTATGACCTCGGCCTCGTCGCTTCTGCCCTGGCGGCGCAGGAATTGGTAATAAACGAGAGCAACGTTGGCCTTCTTGTCCATCATATCAACAGAGTCAATGTCCCGGGAGTTAAGACCAGCCCACAGACTAGACAGCATGCCCTGGGCTTGGGCCTTTTCACCCTGTTGCTCGTACAACTGGGCCATGTACAAGGTGTACTTGATGCGACGCTCATCAGTAATTTCCATTGTACGAACCACGTTATCGTATTTGGTTCGTGCAATGTCGCGGCTCATTTCATCACTTCCGGTCTCAGAGAACTCGCTGGTCAGGAAATCTGCAGTCTCCGAAGACTGACTCGAGTTGGTACCGTACTTCGTGAGAACCTGCTGGTAGAATTGCTTGGAGATAGTGTGGGCAGAAACTTGCTCGGATCGGTACTTGTACATTTCCACAATTATTCCAAGGTACTTGAGACGGTGACTGAATTCGACGCCGGTAATCTCTGAATCGGTCAAAATCAAATACTTCATGATGTCCTCTTGTTGGGAAGTCATGGTGCCTCGCTCAGTGAATGACTCTGTCATCATCTCGGCACATGTCAAGGTGATAGTGGCGGACTGGCCAAGCAGCTCTTGACTGAGCTTCCAAGCCTCGTAGCAGTGCTCATCAGCGTGACTAGCATGCGCGTACTTGGAGACACGAGCGCTGAGTAGCAAGCTTTGAAGCAGTGCCTTTGATTTTTCACCTAGGACCAATCGGCGAATGTCTGTCGCCAGTCGATACAGTTCAACCACACTGGATCGAGTGAACTGCGACTCGCGACAGGTCAATTCAAGACGAGCAAAAAGAACAGTCACAGGGACTAGCTTTCTGAAGTTCGCGTTGAATGAGAATTCGCCCTCATCGGTTACCAATTGGGAAGAGAGGAGGTGCGAAAGCCAGTATCGAGCAGTGTACTCCAAGATGACATATCTGTCGAAGAGGCGATTGCGCTCTTCCATGCTCAGCTTGTCCATGGAGACGTCAGTCTCCTCTCGAACACTGAGCTGCACCCATGCGAGACATCTCGTAAGGAGGTCGTAGTGGGCCTCCTTTAGGTTCAACGGTGCTTTGGCACTAGCCGACCTAGCTTGATTGAGGATGTGATCGCGAATGCAGGTGTGGGCGAAAGAAACGACACCGTCACGAGTCATAACGATAGGACTTAAAGATTTTCTCCATCCACTATCCTCGCGAGAGAAGCGTGATGCGAACGTTGTTGTCTTCGCGTCAACAGCCAAAAGCTGTTCAACTTCTTCAACCAGCAAGGGTCGCTCGGCGGCGGCAAGCCATGACATGACGCATTTCGCCTCATTTTGGCTGAGATCCAGATGCTTCATATGGAAGTCGAGCAGCTCTGGCATAGACTGAGGCAGTCCCTGCACAGATTGAATAGCCTGGCCTGGAGTTCTCTGCTGTCGAGCATACTCAACAGCCATCTCAGCCCAGCTAAAAGAGCCCTGAGATCTCTTGACGATAGTGGATACAGCGGTATCGAGCTGACCATTGCTCATTGCCGTGTCGGACTCAAATCCGGGTGCAAGCTTCTTGTGGACATAGGCTTCCAGATCAGTCATGGTCTGGGATGGCTGCATAGTGAAATGCTGGATGCTACGGGAGCTCATCGTCGATTTGAGGGGTCGAGTGAAGACGATCATCTTCGAGCCCTCGTTCTGCTGAGCCAAAACGTCGCTGAACTTGTCCATGAACTCAGTGGCATCCGGGTCACCGCCCTTGATCTGGTCAAGGCCGTCGACCACGAACATGTACTGAATATCAGACTCGAGTCCAGTGCGAATGCCCTTCCAAAGACTGTCCTCGACTTCCGCTTCCCCGGCACCATCGAGAGCGCTTTGAGCTGCCTTTGCCACATAGAAAAGAATGTCCTCTTGGATACTCTTTTCAATGACACAGTGATCCAGCATCTGGTGCAAGATACCTTTCAGAATCCGCAACGGCAGCGTTGCAACGGGGATGTCGGCGCCTGTACATGTTAGCGTGAAATTCCGAAAATGGGCCTTCTATGCTTACGGATGGTGTAAGGAATCACATTCCAGCCTTCATGCTCCGAGGATTCCTGCATTCGGTCGACAGTCCACTGTGCCATCGCACTCTTTCCAGAGCCAGATCCACCGGTGACCAACAAGACGGGTGGCTTGCCCACGGTGAAGTCATACAGGGTGTTGTTAAACCACTCGAAAGATCCCTCAGCCAAAGTATGACTACGAGAGTCGAGAATGAACTGCAGAGGACGATCCTGCACACCGAGGAACTGGCGAAGACTGCCAAGTTCTTCACTTGCATAAATCAACGTGCTCTGCATCACTGTATCGGAGGTTGCAGACTCGACGATGGCATTCCAGTGGGTCGAGAAGCGGGTAGCGTAGGTAACAAAAGCCGCATCAACATTGTGGCTGATGACGGTGTCGGTTTCCTTGGCTTTGAATCCTTCGACGCAACTGATTGTGGTACTACAGACCATCTCCAGGAGATCGGCAAAGACGGCAGCGGCTTCGGGCTGGAGCTGCGGAGATGGCTTGTAGACACTCTCGTACTGAAGCAGTAGACGAATGCCCACGGCAACACGACCGTATCTGCCAAACACACTCTCGAATATGTCCGTGTTGTCGATATCAGACTGGTAGTTAGGTTAGTCAATTTGAATACATACTTGCCCTTCAAAAACTTGGTTTGCTTACCTCCAGGAGCATGGTTTCGAAACCCCAAATAAGCTTCGCGGCTTCATTTGCTCCAGGAGCGAAAGCACCGATCGACTCCCGTAGATTGTCGACTGCGTATGCCAGCCGCGAGGCCCATCGAAGGCAGCAGTCAAGTCTACTTCCATCACGAGGCATCCAGCGGAGACGTTCTCTAGCCACCGAGTCGAAGAAAGAATCCACGGTCGGGCTGCGCAGACTGATCTCGCTGGCAGAGCCGCCCAGTTGAGTCTTGCATTTCTGCGAAACGGCTTGAACCTTCTCTTGGAGCACAGTCACCTTGTGGCTGGAGCCTAAGCTCATGATTGTGCGCGATCCTCCTGCAACCGTGCTGCTCTGTGCAGCCGACCTGGTCGTCGTGGTGGTAGTGGTCTTGCCACGGGTCACGGGGCCTTGGCCCATGCCACCCTGAGAGAGTCCTCGTTTGCGAGAAGCGCCTGGACCAATGTCTTGCAAAAGGCCTCCGCCAGCAATACCTATCATGCGAGCCTGAGTTGTCGACTTTCCTTTGTTTGACTGCCCGGCTGCACTTGCTTGTTGACTGATGCCACCTCTGCCCATGCCACTGGCGCCACCGATAGCAGCACCACCGAGGGCCGCACCACCAATTGCACCTTGACTGATTCCTCCTCCCTCTCGCATGGATTTGTGCTTCTCATGGTGTCGGCCTTCCGTGCTGAGTCTCCTCCTCTCGGCAAGCTTTTGTTCAATTCCCGGGGAAGTAAAGACATGGCCACCTGAAGAGGTGTTTTGTAGGCCGTTCTTATCGCCAAAAACGTCTGAACTAATATGTGCTTGGCTGTAGAGCTCCTGGTTCATCGAATTGTCGGTGAAAGTTCCGCCAGCCACACTGGGCTTTTCGATCAAGCCTTTGCGCAAGCCTGCATTGCTGGAACCAGCAGCCGTTGCTCCAGTATCAGACTTGGATTTGTACATGGGCGATCCAGTTGCGATAGTAGCTCCAAGCAGGCCAGCTCCGGTGCTTGCTCCTGCTGTTTTTGCGGCTCCTGCTGCTCCTGCTGTTCCTGCTCCATATCCAGAACCAGAACCAGAACCAGTAGCTTCTGTTGTTCCTGCTCCGGATCCAGATGCGGTGGCCCCGATAAGATCTTGTCCCGTATCTCTCTGGTCCGTTCCTTCAAATCCCTCCGTGATAGGACCCTTTTTGATATCGCGATTCGGGCCAAATCCTCGGCTGCCAAAGAGTCGATGGCCAACCTCGTCAAAACTCTTCTTGTCGATATTTTCTCTGTCCAAGCCAGTTTCTTCCATGGCTCCACTTGCGTCTTCCTTGATAGCGGTATTCTTAATGTTTTCTCCCTTTCCAGTCAAGTCTTTCAGACCGCCGGTATCCCCAGAGGTAAGATCGCTCTTGATCTCCTCTCCCTTGTCCCTAGCTTGCTGCTCAATACCACTTTGACCAGTAGTTTCTTTGGACGATGATTCTTTAGAGTGGCCCAAAGACATTTTTCTGCTAATTTTCTTGGTAAACCAGGAGCTGCTACCCTGGCTTACCTGCTCGGAATCGGGTTCGGTGTTCATAGGGTTGGACATGATGTTGGTGTGTATGTGTTATCGTATACGGTGAGATATAATTGAGTAGAATAATAAGGTATGTTTTGTGAGGCGGAAAGAAATTGTGACGTCGTCAAAAAAAGTAGATTGATGTTATCATAAGTCGTTGAGTTCAGTTTGTAAATATTCAGGAATGATGAAAAGAAAAGGGTAAAAAGTAAGTCAGGTTCGACGGGAATAAGTAGTAAGTAGCCAAGCTCAGAACCTCCTCTTATTATTGCATCATGAATCAGCTCGGGGTTGCCGAAATTAACCCCCAGCATCGAGGGGTCCATACCAAGTAAGAGACTTTGGATGCGGTTCGAACCGGCTGGGGACGAGCCATGCCATGATTTTGGTCTGTTCCAAGGACTGCAAGCGGATCAAATGAGTAACTGAGGGCGTTGAATACATCGGTACCAGTATGATAGTAAAGTCGATGATGCGCAAGGGCAGCTATCAACAGCCCAGGTGGATCTTTTCGAGCAGGTGATGTCTCCACAAACTTTCTGCGTCGTCACTGTTTATATTGATGGCCAGATCCAAAGCCATAGTAATTTTCAGATTGAGCTATCTTCTGTGTGATCTTGGTAGTCTGATATGTTTGTCTGCAATTGGCTTCAATTGCTAACGATGATTATCTAGCGCACGCATTGGAAGTTGGCGTCTTCAGAAGGCAAGCATACCCATGACGATGGTATAGAAACTGAGCTCATAAATGACTTCAAATGTATGAATGTGGGGTAAATGTGTACATTGTGGAAACAATGGAGCACAAGTGGACGGGTATCCCACACGAGGTTCTCTGAGTGACGTAAAGACTTTTTCTCCCTAAGAAGAGCAAGAGAGAAGAAAGCACACGAGGTGAGGTTGAGTGGCGCTTAGTCATCCGCACCACCCTAAATTTAACCTCAACGCGAGCCCCGCGATCCATGGGTAAATTGCATTGTGAGGTCATTTCCCTCCAATATCTCTCACTTCTAGACGCTCATCCCGAAGGTCCCGGCTACTCATGAGATCATGCCGCACATGTACTAATAGATACCGGGATTTGCTTTCTAGTCGGTAAGGTCATCGGCCAATTATGTCATTCTGCCTCATAACATCGATTGACGAGTAGAAGGTTAGGACGGTCTAAACGATGCATTTATTGGCATTCATTGGGAACAAACGCTGACCGGTGGCTTGTGATCAAATTGAGAAGTGGTTCAATGCGAATAATGGACTCCCAATTCGTAGCAGTCTGTACTAGACACCCTTGTCACTTGAATCGTGCTGCACGCAGGCATTCCTTGGACTTCCAAATTAAACTTCTTCGAGTTTCTTATACATATCATCAATTGCTTTATGAGGAATAACTCCATAAACGTCTAATTGTTTTGGCTTATCCTTCTGGAGGTTAGTATGTATAAATGCCCCGAAAACGGTGTGTTATTCGACAAGACAATATAATAAGTATCACTTCATGCCAATCACTTCTGTTTTCTAGAAACTTTAAAAAAGCCAAGTTCAGTTAGAATTGCCGATCTGGGGAGTGAACGGACCGCTGGTTTGAAAAGTAACGCCGGACTAGCATCGGGTTCAATTGCTTGACTTGAGTGAGCATGTAAGCCATGGAATGTGGTCCAACGAATTCAAATGTTATGGATGGAATGTTGTTGTGGTTGAGCCTGCAATAAGTGCCGAGTGGCCGCTTTGCGTGCGGTTCCACATGTAGTATATGCCAGTTGTTAGTGGCTTTGTGTTGGAAGCTTGATTATGGACGGATATCGCATCCGTACTCATTTACTGTTGATCGATCGTGATCTAGCCCACAGGGCGAGCAGCGTCAAGAATGCGAGATTACCCCTTGCGTCACTTGAAGCATAGCAGCTATAGCCTATAAACTATAGATACAAACCTCTACCGAGTCACTATTTACGTCCTCAAGATACACAAGTTCCTCCGTGCTCAAAAAGACCGTTGTTGACAACGATATTACCTCCATCAATCAATTCACTTCCTCCCTCACTCAACCTCGCAAGCCCAACGGAATTGTGCACTCGACAATCACAGTCCACAATGCAATATATTATCGTCTTCATCTTGTCTACCCTCACCTTTCTAAGCAGCAATGCTGCAGCCGCACCGACGGCTTTTTCTACCACCACATCAAACCAGGATGGCTTTGTCGAACACTCAGCGGTGGAACGCTCGCTAGTTCAAAGAGACGACCCCATTCGCGTTGACGATTTATTGACGGACGTGCCCGTGTTGGGCTCCTTGTTGGATGATGTGCTACATGGAACATCATGATTTGCGACATGGAGAGCTTGAGACCGACATTTGAAAAGGAGTTGGTTTCGGCTGGGGAAGAGAAACCTTGAGAAGAAGGATGTACTATCACAGACGCCAATTCGCTTGGGACCTCGGGATGTTGTTTAACAGGTTCTTGTACTATATGACCCGGCCAAATAAAGTTGTTCCTGCGCGTCGATCAATCGTGAATAGTAGATTATACCCGTCTACACGTAGTACTCGCAGTTACTATTTGCATGGCCAATCTGCCCTTATAAGGAACTTGAATGTTGTTTCCCAAAGTCAGACTGAGCTGATAAGTGGCTTCCTCTATCTCGATACTCAACTTCGACAAGGCAGTTTGTTTATCTTGCGATTGCGGGCGCAGTGCTGGACCCATTTCATAGACATCAATCAGGATGGCAGTACATAGGTTTCGTACGATCTACTTTGATACTCTGGTTTGATCAAGTGATTCCCTGAGAAAGCAGGACCACTCCAACCATAGCAGAATATAGCATCTCTAGATCCAGAACAGGCAAAAGTCCCGGTCATACGGAAACTACAGGGGTCATCTGGCCACCCGAGGACTGTAATCGCAGGAAACTCAAGAGCCCCATTCCGTCCAAGAGTGGCATAATGCCCACAAGAACGCAATCTCCGCAAGATCTAGGCACATACAGTTGTATAGCGAGATTCCACTCAAGGATCGGAAATGCAATGCATGGAATAGCCTATGTACGAGTTGAAATCGACCATCCCAAGCGCAGCCTACCCATTAAGCAGCTCGCTCCTAGCCAGAAAAGTTTCATCCTCAGGCCACCATGTGGTATTCATCCATTTCCATGTTCCACCCCTCAAAAAAGCGTTCGTTGCCGAAAATTCAAAATGAAACGCAGCATGATATCATCCGTACAAGTAGCCAGCCGAACCTGGTGAGCCTTCGTTTCGATGGGGCCGTAGCGGTGTCGAGTCTCGCGAATGTTTTTCAAAATCGTGGGATCCGACCTCCTTCCACGCCTCGGGGTTTTTGTTTATCAAGATGCATCGACTTAAGCGCCGGGGTTGGGGTTCATCTGGTTAGGGCAATTTGTCAGCCTTCTGTTCCTGGTCCTGTAATTCGTGTGGCGAATCCATATCCGTATCCATATTGATATATGGCGGGGTATTCTTGGGTTCGGGTCTTTTCGATGGTTGTTCTTGTTGGGTTGGGTGGTGTATGTTTGTGTGATTTGTGTGGATGTGTGTGTGGATGGGATCAGTCGGTATGTACCTTGCGCTTGCCACCGGTCATGACAACGTTCACGAAGCGGCGGGTGTAGAGGACACGCTTGTAGGCGCGGCCCTTGGGGTTCTTCTTCTTCTCCTGGGGCTCAACCTGGATTCAAATATATTGGTTAAAATGGCGATTCTGGCGGGCGTCCTGGCGGCGACGGAGATCGTGGTGGCGCAGGAGTTCGTTTTGAGGGTTCGATGATTCACTGACCTTAGGAGTGGCAGCCTTGACCTTACCGGCACGGGCGAGAGATCCGTGAACCTTACCCATATTGGATGATTTTTGGCGTTGAACGGACTGGGATGAACGATTTGTTGAAGGGGGTTGGAGACGATTCGCTCTTTGACGATGGAGTTGCAAAATTGGGAGTGCGACAGTGTGGGGCGGGCTTAGCGAGTGTGGACGGCCGGATTAAGTAGTTCTTCCGCCAGATTGTAGGGGTATGTCATGTGACTTTTGACTCATTGCTGATGTCAGCCGGGGTTAAGGGTAGGTTTGATCTAAACCTGTTTGGGACTCCGCGGCTCCTGGTTGTCGAGAATCTGATTGGCTGAACCTGCAGTATGTACTCTGACGCTTGGAAATTTTGTACATATAAAATTCACTTTACAAAACCAAGAAACGTCAAAGAGATGACTATTTACGATGAGTCATGAGTGATAAATAAAGATTATTCCCTGAATAACGTGACTTTCAGGTACTACTAGGTCAATCTGAATTTACTTTAGTTGGATATCACATGCATCCATCTGTGGATCGTTTTGGAGATTACGCATCCCATGCAAAGTTTTGCTTCATCTACAATATGTATGCATAGTAAGGTTATATATTTCAAGGTTACTAATTAGTAGTTTATCAAGTGTGGAGGAAATATTCGTAGGAATGAGGGCTGCTCATCTCTACCGTAGTTGACTTTGTAAATGGGTGGATGCCCTTACATGTATATATATCAATACATCATCTGGAGGCTACCACCAGTTGACCACTTTCAAATGTTACATACATATGTATGTGAGCAACATACATATGCAAGTAAATTACGCCCACATTGATGGAGGAGGAAGAAGGAGCATTTTCTTGAATAGTACTACATACCTAACAAATGTTGAACTCAAGGGCACTCAAGTGCTACCAGTTGACATAGGTCTAATTGATTTGTTGGAAGATTTGAAATTTATACTAGTACATTCAAACGTCATTTGAACATTGAATTTTTAGACATCATATACATATGTAATTGATTGATTGGAAGGCTCTTGAATTGATCATGTGGATGTATATGGATCAATCAATAGTATGAATCCCGATTTTCAAATGTTCAAAGTCAAAAATGCATACATAGTATATACAAGCCAGTCCGCAACGCCGTCAACTATTATAGGTACAACCCCATCAATTGATCCAAAAAATCCCTTCTAGACGCCCAGTATGCAGGTGGTGGACACCATATATTTCCCCAGAAATGGCGTGGTTCATTTGGCTTTCTTTGCGGCAGCAGCAGCCTCCTCTCGCTCTCTCTTTCGGGCCAAGAACCGCTCTTTGGCACTGGAAACCTCCCCTTCCGTCTTGCGACTGCGATTCTTTTCTGCCATCTCTTTTTGTTTCGCTGCTTCGGCTTCCTCCTCCTGCCGAGCACGATCCTCTAATTGCTGTGCGACCATCTCGGTCTGGCGAGCGCGCTGGGCACCACGACCTGCTTGGTAGCCAGCAGGAGGCCCAGTGCGTCCCACCGGTCCACGAGCAGTAGCCGACTTTGCAGCGTCGGTCTTCGGCTTCGGAGCCACGTTCAAGCCAGCAGATAGCAGTTGGCGCTTATCAACAACCTGGCCTTCGTCGTTGACCGTAATACGAGCACCATGTGCATTAAGCTCCGCCGCCTTCTGAGCCTCTGTTTTTTCTGCTGAAGCGTCGGCTGCGGTGTCAGCGGGAAGCTCTCCATCCTTGACTCGTCGAGCTGCCTCTTCTGCAGCTTTGACAATCTCGCTGTGCTTGGCTTCATCTCGCGACAAGACGTCACGATAGAAACCAACCATCCCAGATCCGCCATTCTTCTTCCGTCGCTCTTCTTCCTCCTTCTCCCGCTTTGCCTCTTCTTCTTCAACCTTGCGCATCTCGAGCTGCTGGGCCTTGTAGGCGCCCGTAACGAAGCTTTCCTTGTCTGCAAATTCGTCACCCTCGGCTTCACGTTCCTGTGCCAGTTGTCGGTCGCGCGCTCTGAGCTGGTCTCGTTTGCGGATTTCAGCGCTCCGTAGCAAGTTTTCCATGTACTTTGGTACTTCACTCTTGGCCTCGGATTTGGACTTGTCGGGCTTGGCGTGCAGACTATCGTAGATGGCATCGTAGGAGTAGATTGAAGGGTCCAGTTCTTCGGCCTCTTTCGCGTGCTTTCTACTGCTGTGTAGCGCAGAGAGGTTGGTGAAGTCTTTGGGAGGACCGCCGAAATTTTTAGCCTTGGATTGATTTAACCCGAATTGTACCCCACCCTGGCGTTCTTTATCCTTTTGCTCATCTTCCTCCTCGTCGTTGGCGAAAATCGAGTTCTTGTTTAGCGGCTTAGAGCTCGGTTTGCCAGCGCCTAGTTGCATCTTTCGTTTGAGTGGCGGTCCTGCTTTTGATTGTTTGGGGGCCGGAGCTGGATCGTCCAGGCCACCCAGGGTAGATAATTCGACTTCGCTGTTGTCATTAGGTTTGCTTTCATCGTCGGAGTCGTCATCGAAAATGTTCTTGCGCTTTTGTCCGAGCGGATTTCCTGGCTTCGGGGCTGGCTTTTTATTCGGCATGCTCAGCCCAGTAGAGAATTGTGGTGCCATGTTGATTTTTGACAGGACCTGGTGAGTATAGAGCCGTCACGGTACAATATCAATACCTCTTGACAAGGGAAATTGTCGCGGGCGCGCAGCTCAAAATGGGTGACGTGCACAACAACCGTGGAAGTGACGATAAGCGATAAGAGGGATTATGTAAGACCTGATGCCTTAGGCCACAGTTTCCCACATGACTCAGTATTTCGACAGTTGATCTTAATGGCTTACTCGAATTGTAAGGCAAGGATTAAGACAACCTGAAATGTTTCCAGGCCTTCGGATACTTCCGTTCGTATTTGTCTCGGATCAGGAACATCCAGTGAATATAAAACCCATGCTTTCAGATGCACGGGCAAACCTTGAACATCCATTGAATACATGCTAGTAGTAAACCTATGAACGTGACCCCACCGCGGGGTCATCTACGATTTTCAACTGCTTTTTCTGCTTTTGCTTGATGACCATGCTGAAATGTCAGCTTTTCTGGATTTCTCATCTTCGCCAAATTCCATGACATGGTTGCATTGCGTGGTGCTGCCATAAGCCCAGTGTCATTCTCAACCTTGGAAATGATAAGCCGGCGTACATAGTACATATTGACTAGTATGCACCACTTCTGGGGCACAGGCATACTACTATCAATATGTATGCACATACATATTTGAGGATGATTCGGAGAATACGAGTGGGAAGAAGGTTAATGTTTGTTTTACTTTCGGGCGTTAGATGCAGGCCCCGCGGATTAACCTGAAATCAATTCCAACCTTGGGATATGATGAATAAACTTGTAGAATTTTCACCGAACTGCAATGATATGGCAATTTGGAATCCATGAGAACCTTGGATTTTCTCTCTAGCGTTCAATATTGTCAACCTTGGAAATGTTTTTGTTTTCCTTTCTACCCGAGGTCTCCACCTATATTCAACCCAACGTTGATCAAAATAGAACAACGCTAGATAAGCTCAACTTGTGGCTTACCAAGTGCGCTTTTCTAGGAAACTGGAATTCGAAAATTTGAGATACAATTCCATTTGATTCTTTTGGAGGAAAGAATTGAAAGAATTGAGACATCGAAACCCTTTCCGCTAAGGGAAAAGTTCAATTGTTTAGCGTTGCTTATTCCTTGTTTTGGGGCCGTGCTCCTCACGTGGACGCATATCGGCTCTCGCCTGAGAAGGAATTTTTCTTTCACTTTCCCTTCTGTGGCATTCTGCAGCTCCCCCGGAGTCACCGTAGGGCCCCATACTCCACTGTGGCGTAGCTGTTCCCTCGGCATTCCTTACCCATCTCCTAAACCCGCGCTTCCCTTGCCACTTTTGCTATGTTTTCCTTCGATTTCATCTATTTTTGAACGAAAAAGGCGGATCCACTAGTCACGATTGTGGGGATTTTGCAGTATAGTGGTATCCCCCGGAAACTTTCCAACCTATTCACAAGTAAGCTAAGCGGGCAAGCCGACGATCTGCCCGAATTTCGATAGTGGTCAAAATGCACTAAGGCATGAATGTCTCATCCACTTGAACTTCACCAGGTGATCACAGTTCACGCTAGTATTTTCCAGGACCCTGCAGGGACATTGTAGCCGGGAATCCGGGTCTGTCCATGGACCTGTTGAAGTATAAATAAGGCTTCAACTTGCCATCTACATTATATTTTCCAGTCTTATATCCATCCATCTCTCTAGCAATTATCTGAACAGCTCATCCATTCTCGCCTCTCATCTACATTACAACTATAATCTACTATCTACCACCCAAACAACACCTACCAACACCAACACCAACACCAACACAACGACAAATCAAAATGAAGTCCATCGCCATTCTCTCTTCCCTCCTCTTCCTCGGAACTGCCACCGCGCAAACCGTTCAGTCCAACCCTTTCCACCTGGTTATCACCCAAGCAGCCAAGAAGTCTCTGAACGGCGAACAGCTTTCGGGATGCCATTCCGGAGCTGGTATCGAGTCACTCTGCTTGGCCGGCCAGCCCAGCGGCCACTTCTACTTCAACACCACCAAGGGAGAAGAAGCTCCTATCAAGGGTGACGGCCTTCCCGGTGTTCTCATCTTCAACTTGCCCTACAACGGTGGTACGTCCGAACACCCCTCTCTAAGCCACAAACTCAGTCTAACATATCGCAGACCTCATCGAGTCAGAGCCCATGAGCTTCTACAGCGATCCCTCCACAAATGTCGCCATGCCCATGTTTGAGCCCGGCTACAACGAGCAGGAGGTCTCCTTCAACGGAGACCAACTTATGGGAATCTACAGCTACCTTAACGATGCTGTCACCCCACCTACTGGTGAGACAGTCAGGTCGCTGAAGAACTGGTATGTCTGTGAGACATACTATGAGGGATACACCTACATGACTTTGAACTGGGTTTTGGGCAATGGCTCCCAGAAGCCTCAGAACCCCAGCTGTGTTAAGGTCGAGGTTCAGCGCAAGTTTTTGTAAAGAACTTGGAAAGTTTATAATGGTTATTGATGGATTTAATGGGTTGATGATTTGATATGGCGCCTATAGGCTTGTTTAATATGCACATGTTGATGGCAGTTATGTATATAGTTATGAATATCTTAATAATAATACGTGATTTATGATGAATAGCATTGCTTCGGATCTCTGCTGCATCGCTTTCAAGATTGAATTGTTCCATTTAAGTTGACACAAATTGGCCACCTTCAACCTTCACTGTTTCTAACCTTGCTTTAAAATCAATTTCCCAACCATGTCCTCATTTCTTAAGTGCTCCATATGTACCCCAGAATCAAGTTTTTCAAAGACCAAACTCAGTTCCAGCTATTTAAAAATTACCATCAAAATATAGCGTAAGGTCATCATATCTGCTGCCACTTAAACAGAAACGGGATCATCCGTCCGCTCCATCAAGCGAACAGGAATGTCCTTCTGTCGCACAAACCACGAGTTGATCACCTGCCACTTGTGATCCTGACTCGGCAGCTCCATCTACACAAAAACAGTTAGCAAAATATTCCACACCAATCCCAACGAAAGATAAAAAAAATCAACTCACATCGAAAGTGCTAAAGAGCGTCGCAATGAGCTTATAGTTCTCAAACTGCGACAAATACCTCCCATAACAAGCACGCGACCCAGCCCCAAACCCAAAGTCCGTCCCCTTCATCTTCGAGAACCGCGCCTGGAACACCTCATCCGTCTCACCAGCCCCCTGAAGCCAACGCTCAGGAACAAAATCATCCGTATTCTCACCAAACACCTCCTCATTCTTATTAATCACCCAAGGATTCATGCCTACGGCCGTACCCTCAGGCACAAACCGACCATCCGGCAAGCTGAGACCGCCCTGCGGGACGATCCGCTCAAGCATCAGACCCACGCCAGGGTGCATGCGCATCGCCTCGCGCATCACAGCCTCAAGATACGTCAGGCCCTGGATGTCTTTCCATTTAGCCGGAAGGGAGAGGTTAGCGACACGGAGCTCGGCGCGTAGTTTCTTGTAAACGTTTTCGTTCTTGAGGACGTAGTAGATCACGGCGCACATGGAGGCCCCGGTGGATTCGCTGCCGGCTAGGACGTTGGAGAGCAGGTAGAGGATTACGGTGTTGTCGTCGACTAGCTCGGGGCTTTTCTCTTTGATCTCGAGGAATTTGGAGAGGAAGTCGGTGTTATTGGCTGCTTGGGCGCCTTGGAGGTAGCGTTTTTGAAGCTGTTCGACGCTGAAGATGTTGGCCCAGACGAAAGTTGGGGGGCCGATGCGCATAATGGGGTTTTTGTCGAAGAGCATGTCTAGGAGGGGGATTTGGCAGATCTGGTCCGAGGAGAAAAGTGGTTAGTGTGCGTTTCTTGAGTCACTTTGATCTGGGATGGGGATTGAGATGTACCGATGCGAAGTAGTCGAGTGTCTTGTTTGATCTTCCGACAAATCCTTGGTGATCGCTTCCAGCTTCGAGAATCCCGAGGTCTTGAGAGAATGTGGCTTGGCTCATGACGTCCCAAGCAACTATGGTATTGAAGGTCAGCTGGCAGTTAGAGCTGATAGGGGGTCTTAGTACTCACAGAAGTTGATCCAATCAGTCATTTCACAGGGCTTTCCGGTGCGCACAAAGTGTGTTCGGAGCTTATCAAGCAACAAATTGATGGTAATATCCACGTTCTGTTCCACATCTTGAACTCTGCTCATAGAGTACAGGCTCTTTATCGGACGGATATAAGTCGAGTGCCACTTCTCATCCTGATTGGAGAACAGATTCTTCAAACGCATACCCCCGACAACGACATCGTTTACATTGTACATGTCACTCTGTATTCAAAATCAGCAAATACTCAGGGCCATGATTTTCAAAAACCACAAACTCACCTTAAGCCATGGACTTTTTGTGGTGAAGACTTGGTTGATCAAAGCCGGGTCGGAGAGACTGAGTGTATTCGGCCCCATACGCACGGCTGGTCCATATTTCCGGTGCAGCGCATTGTGTGTGATATCGCAACGCCCCTTGAATACGTCTTGCAATCGCCAGAGATTGGTGAAGCTGGCGCTAGCGGGGCCTGGGAAGGATTTCAACGGGGAGCGGAGATAATTCCAGAGAAAGCGAGAGAAGAAGAGAATCGCCACGGAGAGGGCTAAATTCGTTCCAATGTCTGCCAGCAAAACCATGATATTTTCTCGATGACAACTTTGACAATTGGCTGTAATCTGGATGCGAAGGGGACGTTTTGATTTTGAGACATTGCGAACTTCCCATTAGTCTTTCCCCCCTCATAATAAAGGGATTCCCCCTTCGCAGAGGGCTTCTTTCCCTTTCCTGGGCCCCACAGAGAAGAGGGGTTCTGAGCGCATGGTTTGCGGGAGGCACTCGCACGGACAAGCTAGTGGTAAGCTGTGACGAGAGTAAAGGATCAGTGGTCTGTCAGGGTCAGTACTTTGCGTAGTGTGCAAGAACGAGATCAACTCAGTTCCAAGATTTAGGAGGGCGAGAATAGAATCTCAGTGGTTGGGAGTCTTCAGACACTGGTTATCCACTACTGTTCGCAGACCTAGAACTCTCCGGACCGCGCTAGTGTGCTGCAAGGATCTCGTGTATAGCTTGATGGGCGTTGTGGACTGTAAATTGTCAAAGACCATTGGCTGACTGTTGTGAAATGGCTATCTTTTCAGATAATCATGAACAAGTTATTCGTAATCTGGGTTTTTTTAGCGCCTTCACTGGTACTTTTGCTTGAGATCATCATTGGCGAGAGTGACAAGGGACAGTTGTGGAGAAGGTACCTTTTGTATGACCCGACCATACAAAAGATACCTATTGTCTCTCTGCCAAAACCCGAGCCACAGAGACTAAGAGTGAATCGGGATGAGATCGATCATCTGCTCCGTACATCTGGCCTCTCTCTTCGCTTCCAGCTAATATTGGCAATGTGAATGAATATCCCACACCATGTCATACTGTCAGTGGGAAAGTTATCATTGGTTTTAATGGTTTTAAGCTTCTGAACTGTCAAAACGATAATCCGTCGGCGATGGCCACATTTGATAGATAAACTGCTGTGCGGGGTGACATTGGATTTTTTTGTGTTCGTTGCCTTGTGGATCACTTGTGCAGTCGAATCGACAGATCACATTTAATCGGACCTTTTCAGTATCCGCGGGTTTTTTATTTGAGTTCAGCCATGAGTGGAGAAGTTGAAGAGGGGGTCCATTGATCTCATTGTTCTTGACTCTTGAGTAGATGTATCAAGCAGACATTGAGAAATTAGGACCGCAACCTTGGAACGTTCTCTTCAGACTTCCCGTCTCCGGTGCCTCTGTACTTTATTTCAACTGCTCAGTGACGAAGTTCGCGGGAAGAAAACTTCTGTGGAGTCTCGGGAGGTTATGGGGCATTGGGGCCATTGGAGCCACTGAAAAGCCCCATACGTTATATCACGCAGGGGCCGCATAAGGGCGGCATCAGCCAAATTCGCACAAGGAAAAAATATTCAATTATGATCAAGATATCAAACTGTTCTCTCATAACTTTTTGTCATGAAAATTCTCAATAATATGCAAAGGCCTCGGGGATTTGAGAAAAAAAAAAATTTCCCCATGGGCAACACTAGCCTCATAAAGGACAATGCGTGTGCGGGAGCAAAAGCGCCGTACCAATAAACGGCTTTCAAGCATTTTTTAAAGCTCCGGATGAAACCCCCGATGCCCAATGTAAGGTCACCCTTTTCACCTACAGCCAACATTGAACTATTGTAATTGCTTTGTTCGAGCAGTTTTGCCACTGAGTACACCCTTTCTCCAGCAAAGGCTTCGTAGATCCCTACCCAGTACCATCTGTCTTGCAGTTCAAGATCTGCATGCAAGATCTGTCAAGTACCTTCATCCCTGTCCTACTGATCGTCCGATCGGAAACTTGGAACATGCATTTTGATTCGCCAAGCTAGCGTTTTCAATGCCATTGATAGGTCAAATATCTGGTAATTGGAATTGGCTTTCAAAAGTCTGTCAACCAACTTTGCGTGCTTGAGTCGTAACCGGCATGGTAACTATGATGTCCAGACGCAAGGTTGGACTTCCCTTTTTGGCAGTATGTGTAGACTAACATCTTCTTTGCGATTGACTTGTCATATCCAGGAGACCTCGCCTTCAAACTAACATCCACCATGCCAAATTCGAGTAACTCGAAACTATTGGGCCCCTGGCTATGCTCTTAGGTCTTGTTTAGTACTTATTGACTCACACCTCTGCTCATCATATTCGAGCGACATTCATTCCTTTATTCACTCTCGTTTTTATCTTCCCTTATCCCTTGATAAGTGGGCTGAATTCACCTTGAAGCATCATGGCTATGGATTCTGCTGCTTTTGCCCATCAGGACCAAGGTCCAACCATTCTAGCAGTATGCTGGCTCTTGGTCATCTTCCCCGGTCTGATCGTTGCTCTGCGGATTTGGTGTAAGACTGTGTTGAGTCGCAGAGGCTTTGGTGTGGATGATATGATCGTTCTTCTCGCATGGGTTAGTAGTTTGTATCTTGAAGATATGTCCTTGGGTAATTGGCTAACTTCTAAATCCAATTATTAGACACTACTTTTGATTTACACAGTTCTCATTACAAGGGCTGTGAAATTGGGAGTAATTGGCAAACATGTCAGTGCAATTGAAGAGACAGAGAACATTCCAGCCGCTCTTAAAATGATATACATCGGCTTTGTGATTGTTATCCTTGGTTGTGTGTTTAGTAAGACGTCGTTCGCCTTTACACTCTTGCGCATTGTGACCCGTACATGGATGAAGGTTCTTCTGTGGTTTATCATCATCACAATGAATGCTGTCATGTGGCTCTGTGCCGTATGCTATCTGGCTCAGTGCTCACCGACTGCTGCGCTATGGAACTCCAAGCTCCTAGCTACAGCCAAATGCTGGCCAACCGAGGTGTTTGAGAACATTGCTCTCGTGGCTGGAGCTTACTCCGGATGCATGGACTTTATCCTTGCCCTTCTTCCTTGGCTTATCATCTGGAATCTGGAGATGCAGAAGCGCGATAAGATCGGTATTGCTCTCGCCATGAGTATGGGTGTTGTTGCCGCCATCGCAGCATTCGTTAAGACCTCCAAACTGGTCAATGTTGCTCAAGTTCAGGACTTTACCTGTAAGACAAACCTTTCAATATTTGGAAACACGTGTGCGTTTTAACTGACAAATAAAAACCCCCTACCAGATTTCTGCTCCAGCATCGTCATCTGGGCCTCTGCCGAAACCGGTCTCACAATCTTTGCCGCTTCGATTCCTGCTCTTCGAATCCTCCTCGTCCGCATCCGCTCCAGCTACCGAGAATCTGAAGAAACAGACGGCACTTACCCTCTCAGTAACAAATCTGGTATCGAGACAACACAAGAAGTGAGACTTTCCCATGATCGTGGTGTGAGTGAGGAAAGAAGTATTGAGCGGGGTGAGAATGAGGCACGTTGATATCTTCCCAACTGAATTGGGCGCCTAGTAGTGGCCCTGAGTGTTTTTTTTTCTTTGGACTTTTTTTTCCCCCTTCAATTTTGGGCTTTTACTAAAGCAGCCTGCTCATTGTGCAGCTGTAATTTCTCCCCTCATATATGCTATCCGATGCTATTCAAACGGGATTCTGATTTGTTGAAACAATCTTTCGCAAAGAAAAATTTCACTTGGTAGCCAGGTACATAGGTGTAAAAAATGAATTTAATGTGTAATATGAAAAAAAAATTCCGTCTGTTTTAAAGTTGGAACACTCTGGGGTACGACAAGTACTATGTATTCCAATACGTGTAGTGGTAGTTAGTAGCTACTACATAGTAGTGTAGAACGCACCTTGAAATAATTTTGGACTAATGACCTCCACCTTTTTTCCTACCTGCTTTTTCGGTTTGCGTGAACATAAAGAGAAGCCAGTATTTCTATCTCGTCTGTCAACTTGTAGCATGAAAATATACGGTGATTCTGATTTCTGTCTATAGTACTAGATCCGCTGCGAATCACGTGCTATCCAAGCGGCGTGCATGTTTCCCCCGAACTCCCCTCATTTGGGCCCATTTCTTACCTCCGCACTCACCAATCCCGCCAAGATGTCATACTACTTCACCATCCTCTCACCAACCGATACCCCAATATTCAACATCGCCTTCGGGACCTCGAAAAGTGGCGGCGATGGCATTGCCCGTTTCCGGTTCCCGGATACCGCGCAGTACATGAATCAATTCATCATCCACTCGAGTTTGGACATTGTTGAAGAGTCCCAGTGGACAAATGGTGGAATGTAAGATTGCTTGCCCCTCCCCAAATCTTCGCACGTCATCGGATTTTTTGTCTTCAACCAATTCCTGCTCCCGCCAACCCCTCCGCGATCCAAAGCTAACTCAACTTGTAAACAAAAAGGTACCTCAAACATATCGATACCTACCCCCCAGCGGCTGCCTACATCTCCGCCTTCTTAACCCCCAGTGGAGCCCGCTTCCTCCTCCTACACCAACCCCCACAGCTTCCCTCGAGCACCTCAGGCAGCCTCGGCTCGTCCTCACTTCTGGGCGCGTCGGGATCCACCACCCGTGCGTCGTCGAGCTCTATCGCTGCGAACCCTACCTCGCCGCAGACGGAGGAGGCGGTGCGCCAGTTTATGAATGAGATTTACGAAAGCTATGTGAAGACTGCCATGAGTCCGTTCTATAAGCAAGGCATGGAGATTCGTAGTCCGGTCTTCCGGACAAAGGTTACAGCTGCGGGGAAGAAGTGGCTGTGAAAGATCTAACCTTTTCTTTATTCTTTGAAGCGTGGCGTTTGGAATTGCATTGTTGGTTGGGATTCTTCTGTTGTCCTTTTTTCCCACACCATGTATGTACCTGATGATTGTTTGGTGAGTTTAATCAGAGATGATATCTTGATTCCTTTGGGTCATAGATGAGCTGCAAGCAAGCTTCTACGAGCACAGATATTGTACGATAGCCCGAGTAGATCCTTATTTGAACACATAATAATTAACTATCAGCCTGTGCCGATACTATGAGAGCAGCGCTTATTCACTTAAATTTTGTTTGTTGGGATTGTTTATCTAGTAAAGGCTCATGCCTTCAGAAGCGATCCTCACAAGAAGCAGAAGAGAGAGAAAATTTTCAATATTGTTTGTTGCTGAACAAGAAACAAGAGAAGGGCATCAATACGGCTCCCCAGGGCCTCGTGGCTACAACAAGCTACTGATAAATACCATAAAAAGGCACCTCCATTAACTAACTAGCTAAAAAATAGATCAAATAGGGAATAAAGAGCACAAGGCGCTCGCCGGCGCAGCGTAAAATTCGCTAAAAGATACATACAAAATAAAAAATAAAAAATAAGAAATAGAAAAGAAGAAAGAAGAAAGAAGAAAGAAGAAAGAAGAAAGAAGAAAGAAGAAAGAAGAAAGAAGAAAGAAGAAAGAAGAAAGAAGAAAGAAGAAAGAAGAAAGAAGAAAAACCGGCCTCTGCCGAAACGCCATCCGAATCCCTCAAAAGCACGAGGGTTTTGACGAGCTCGCTAAAAGATACAAAGGGAAAGACGGAATAGGGAAAACCTTTAAGACGCCATCTGAGGCGGCGACATGTCAGGGGACATCTCCGGAGGAGACATCTGGGAACCTCCGGCGTGAGGAGTGGTCTTCTTCGGAGGCTTGTAGGTAGTGACAGCGTGGATCACGTCGTCAACCTTCGAGACGGCTCCGATTATCCCTCCCTCCATCTTTGCCGAGGCAATGGTGCTAGCGTGAAGTGCCGGGTCGGCAGCAGCAGTCGCGTCCTCGACGAGAAGACAGTCGAAGGTACGGGCACTCGCGTCGCGCATGGTGGACGACACACAGATATCGGTGGTGACACCGACAAGGACGAGGTTTCTGATTTTGCGGTTGCGCAGAATCAACTCGAACTCGGTGTGCACAAAGGCGCTACCACCAGGCTTGTCGATGACTGGTTCTTTGTTGGTGGGTGCCAGTTCGTCGACAATGTTCCAACCCCCCTCGCCGCGGATGAGCAGGCGGCCCATTGGTCCAGGGGCGCCAACGCCTCCACCGCGGGTGTTGTTACGAGCCCGGTGGCTCTCTCGGGGAGAAAGGGTAGACAAATCAGAACGGTGGCCTAGATTATAGATTAGTTAGTTGTTCCTGACTGTCAATGATATCGGGACATACCTTGCCGGGTGAAGTAGACGGGGAATTCCTTAGCGCGGAACGCCATCAGCAATCGCTGAATGTTGGGGATCAGGGCTCGGAAAGCGGAAACATTATGTCCCTCGGCTGCCATGTATCCGCCGGGGTAACAGACTGAGATAAATTAGTTCATAAATCATACGGATGTACGTTTTACAATGCCGGTATACATACAATCCTTCTGCATGTCAATGATGACTAGCGCAGTGCTGTAAGGGGTGAAAGTCGCATCGTGCGGCCAATCGTATGGGGCGGCATGAAGCTGACCGCGGCGGATCTTGGGGTGGGGGGTTTTCTTGGCCTTCTCAAGCGAAGGGCCATGATTGTGGTTGGGGTTCAAGACAGTCAGGCGCCAAAATCCAGGGTGTGCTGATGCAAGCAACTGGAAAGGGCAGTCCACAAGGCGCGAGGTGCGTCGGCGCTTGCGGTTTTCCTCCGTCAGACCATTTCGAGGGCGGTATTGTCCACCGCGATCACAACGAAGCCACACTTTGTTCTTGCGACCCGGCTTCTTGTCGGTAGAGCCGCTGGAAGACTTGATGACAACCTGATAGCCATGCTCACTGGCATGAAGATTGACAGCCTGGAACAAAGTGTCCCTGCAAAGAAGAAAACAACGAAGGTTAACATGCAATGATGACTATATGGAGTGGCACTTGAATTGGGGAATTTACCTATCCGGGTAATCACCCTCAGCGGGAGGGATGAGATGCATGGCATTCTCCGGAATGTCTTGCAGATCGCTAGGAGCGTCCACATTCATATCGTTTGGGCTCGCCATTGCGAAGAGAAGCCGACTCCAGATATCAATCTATACAGAACTTATTAGTACAGTATTCACATATAGCAGTGAAGCCGGCCAGGCCTCGCCGTTCAAGTTGGGGAAGTATATGTGTAAGATATGGAATGATAAGAGTGCGTGGAAGCAATCACGACGATCATCTCGTTGATGGAAGAAAGGCGTGCGTGGCCATAGCAACTCCAGGCACGATGCTTCCGGGGGAGGGGAGTTAAAGGAGTGGGTCAGATTGAAGTTGAATAGCCCATGGGCAGAAAATCATGCGCGCACGCGCGCACCCAAAAAATGATGATCTTACCTTGAAAGCTTTAGATTCGGTGATCACACGATTTACGCTCCAGCTTGACCGGATGGATCCGACGCAATCGAGATCAACGTCCTTGAAGCCTCAGGCGTCAACTGCTATATAGTGAGGCGGTGAGCATAATATGATCAATGTGTGGAACAAGAACGGAAGACAGTTTGGTAGAGTGCGTGCGAGTAAGGATTCAAGCTTACCGGACACTGAGAGACAAATCCGATCCGATGAGAGCAGAGCAGGAACAAATAAATCCGAGGCAGGTTGCGTCGCCCAAGCGACAGCAGAGGCGTCTGTGGAAAGTGGGGGGAGAGGGGGGAGGGGTGCGTGGAGCGAAGTAAAAAAGCGTAAAAAAAGTGGTTGGTAGGAAAGAGAGGGGGGGTGTGCGTGGAGCGAAGTAATAAGAAAGCACCTGAGTAAAAAAAGTGTAATAAAAAAAACAGTAGTACTGTTTTTTTTAACCACATAGGGGTGCGTGGAGCGAAGTAAAAAAGAAGTGACAGAAAGAAAGCGGAGGGGGGGGGAAGGGTGCGTGGAGCGAAGAGTATGAAAGAAAGAAGAAACGTTCGGGGCACGGAGCTGGTTTTATAATAATCACGTGGGGTCACATGACTTTGGAAACGCGCCACGAAACTTACAAATTTGAAATGTCCGATTTAGCGCCAAAAAGGCGATCTTGCATAAATACTGCACATATTTGAGTATCTAATACGATTGAAAACGAGTCCCTATTCAAATTACAGATAGCAGATCGTTATTGCAATACGCCTGGGACTGGTATTACAGCTAATAGCGTGAAGTGACATTGAGGAGATTTGTAAGTTTCGTGGCCAGACACTGTTTTGAACATTGAAAGTGATACATAACTAACTGGTTGACTACCTACTATAAACCACTTGACCTGGGTCACATTCATCAAAGGTATGTATATATAATATTTGAAGTAAAGGGCAAGATGGGCGTGTACGTACATAATGTATTTATGTAAATGTTTTCAATTGATATACACATGTATACTAGGTACCAGTACCTAGTATAGTACTACATCATTGATACTAAGTACAAATATATCCTGCCAATACCTGTCATTGACTGGTAGATACGGAGGGCTGATACCAGTTGACGTAGACAACACCCAGTAGGTATGTAGGTAGCCCTGGAGTATCTGTGTAGATACGTAGGAGCGAACATTGAAATACCATCAATTGATCGAAACGGACCATGAGAAGAATTGAAAACACCCCTGAGTTTTCAACTTCTTCGCCTGAATTGATGGCATATGATTGATTACATAACCCATTGTGGCACGTACTAGATATGGACTAGCGCATGGGGCCCCTGACGACAGGAAATCAACAATCTACTAATCAAGCCGCTTTGCTTTTGCATCACAACAACATTGTGCCTTCCACCGTGAGAGTTCCCTCCCATGAAAGGGGAGCAGTGAGGAAAGCTTATTTACTCGGCCCCCCTCTGCTTTGGAACTTGGAACTTTACTTCCTGGCGCATACACATTACGCTTTCTACGGTGGAGGGTGCTCGGCCATCATATTCCCGATCGATCGACTTCGTCACCGCCTCGACGAGGGGCTCTTATCGAGAACCCACGGGATCAAGTTTCGCGCACAACACCGGCGCATGAACTCGAAAGGAAAACCCTGCTTGAGTGTGACCAGCGCTGAGTTTTGGCTTAACCCTCTGGTTCTCAAGAAATTCGGTGATTCGAATCTTGAGGTGATCTCTGCGACCCGTCATCGGGTACCCAACGCGGGAAGATGCCAGCCGCCGATGAGTTGCCTTCTGAAAAGAAGCACACCAGCAGTTCATATCGAGATGAGCTCGCGCACTACAAAGCCCAATATGAGCAGCTAGAGTCGGAGCTTGCGGACTTCCAACTATCCAGCCGGGAGCTGGAGACCGAACTGGAGAAGGATATTGAAGCTTCTGAAAAGCGTGAGCGTCAGTTAAAAGAGAAAGTGGATACCCAACGGTATGAGGTAGAGGAGTGGAAGGTATGTGGCCTGAACCGGGATTGGAGTTCTGTCTGATGCGGCGACTCATGTGTTTTGCAGACCAAGTACAAACAGTCTAAATCCGAAGCCAACACTGCCCAAAACAATTTACAAAAAGAGATCACTGCTCTCCGCGATACAAGCCGTTCTCTCCAGCTGAAGCTACGTGATATTGAAGTTGCCAATGATGACTATGAGCGACAAGCGCGGAATACCACCTCGTCCCTGGAGGACTTGGAATCCAAGTATAACATGGCCATTGAGCGTGGAGTACTGCTTGAGGAAGAGATGAGGAATGGCGACCTGGAGCGCGAGAGTCTACGGATCGATAACCAGCGCCTACGAGATGAACTATCTGATCTCAAGGTTGAGGCCGAGATTGTTCAGGAGAGACTGCGACACGCCGAAGGACATGGGGGATTTCGACGTCGAAAGCCCACCCCCTTGTACCGCAGCCCCTCGACCCCGCAGACCTTCGAAATCTTCGACCGATCGCCTGGCACAGCCACCTCTTCGCCCGTCTTCGCAACACCACCAGCAAAGTCATCATTGTCATCCGCCACTGCAACTCCTCCATCGCCGCCTATCTCTGAGGCTTCGACCAACTTCCGCAAGTCCATCAGTGCTACTCCTACGTTTCCTCGAACAAGAGTCGCGGGTGCAGATGCCATCAACTCTCGAACCCTGCATCAAGCGCGGACACAACCCCGTCCAATTCATTCCAGAGCCTCATCACTCGCCTATAGCAATGCTGGTCGCTCCACAACCTCCACAACCTCTCGCACCAGCATGCCTCGAACGAACGCTCCACGTCCATCGGGCCTGCCCAAATCCGGGTCGTTGTACCAGATTCGGGGACTAATTGGCAAAATGCAGAAGCTGGAAGAGCGAGTGCAGTCTGCCAAGTCATTACTCCCCGCTCCTTCTGACACTTCATCCCGTGGCTCTCCTCGTTCTGGATCTGTTGTTAGCGACAGCCCAGTCCCGTCGACGGTCACTGTGCGAAGAAGTTCTCACAAGCGCTTGAGTGGGAGCAGTTATGGCTCCTCGGTGCGAGACAGCGAAGGTACTACTCCGTCGTACGTTCGCCCGAATAGTCGGACTAGCTTCTCGAGTCGAAGTTCGTTCAGTCAGAGCGTCCACTCTGGAGTACCTGTTCGCCCTGAAAGTCGACAAAGCCGCCCCGGTGCGAAAACCCCACTCGGGCATTATTCTACCAACCCTACTACCGAAAGCCGACGACCACGCTCTTCTCTGAGCAATCATAATGGACAAACTCCTTCGGTGGGAAGTATGTCTAATATCGATGAGGACCGAGACGTCTCCAGTCCGACGACCCCGACCTCCCGCATTCCGTTAGATTTTCGACGACCATCCGTCTCGGCTACCCCGGTATTAAAGAAGCGCACCACTAGTGGCGTTTCGGCCATCCCCACCCCCCGAAGCTTCAAGACCAGCATCGGCCCGGGAACGATGCCACCTCCGACCGACCGGAAGCAGATGAATGGGCTCGGTGAGACCTTTTAGAAGTAACGTCTTCCTTGTCCAACGTTGGATCCTAGGGACATGGATGTTTTTTTCTCTTTCTTCTCCTTGTCCAACTTGGATTTCGTTATTTCTTCCACTTTGACCGGCTATTTTCCGACGATTTGCGTGGTAGCAAGGGGCATTTATCAAGTTATTGTCTTGCATTTCTTGTATTCTGCGATCCACCTGGATGGTGGGCCTAGACTCTTCCCCTCCCCCTTCTGCGGCTTTTTCCTGTATAGAACCCTCCCCCCCTCCCCACCCTTTTTTTTTTTGACCATGAGCGCCGCATGGATATGTGTTTCTTACGGGGATACCAGTGATTGTGCTGTGTTTCCCTGATTTATTTTGGTGTAGCCTTGGATAGATTCCCCGGCGTCCCAAGCTGTGTCTCAGCACTTACTTCTCATACTTTCTTCCGTCGCGAGGCGTTTACAATACCCACGAACGATTTTTTCGAATGTTTCTCACATCCGTAGGCTATTCGTTTCAATGTACATGTGTCATTTAAATGTGCATAATTGATGGAGGGGAAAGAAATAGGGAACAATTTGAAAGAGAGGTACCTGTTGGGGGCCAAGCCTCTAGCTGTCATGTCCGCCATGTCATCCATGGATGTGGTTCCTAATGCGGAATTGAGTACCTAGTTCGACATGTTCCTGTCGACCCCACGTTTCATCCACCCTTTTTTCCCCTTTTCGGGTTGAGAGCCCCATGACGAATGTTTCCTGTTGAGATCTGACCTGAAATACATGTAGAATTGAGAAGCCGAGACTTTCAAAAATATGTCAAATCTTAAAAACTAAGTAAATCTAGGTTCACTCCCGAAATTCCTTCTCTTGGAAAGTTTTGGTTCTGTTGAACATTTGAACATGGAGGGTATCCGGGGTTGACGGTGTATACGGTGTATACCAGTTCCAACGACCAATCAAGCCCAACATGTAGTAAATCCAAGCCACCGATTTCGGTATCCGAACGATTGACGGAAACGATATCGAAGTGTAGGAGTTCCGTAGAGTCCGTAGAGTCCAGTCGAGTCCAATAGAACCCCGACCTGATTCCGATTGGTTGGAAGGGCCCCGGTGGATCCCGCCCAACACGACGTTGGTTGGGGGCATTTTGGTACCTGGGATCCCCATAGTGAACAACGCTAATGCCATGTACCTGGTTGGGACTGGACTCCACGGGCCAAAAAACACTGGGGCCAAAGTCTTTCTCAGCATTAGGAACTCACCAAAAAAAAAAAATTGATGAGGTACTTGTTCACCACGAACCCCCAGGAATTCGGCATTTCACTTCTGGTTTTTTCCTTAATTTTTTTTTTTCTAATTTATTTCTCCATCACAAATCCACCTCTCCAAGGGCCTTACACAAAAAAAAAATAGATTGGTGGCTACTTCAATCACTGGTGAGTGTTCAAGCACAATAAATAAGCTAGTAGCTACACCTCCCATACTATCCGTTTGCAGAAGAGTTCCCGCCGCTCTTTGCCCCCCTGCTGCTTTTTCTGCCTGCCTCTCCAATCTTCCCCCCCCCAATTCCTCCGAACTTTTGGGCTTATCGCTGATGATCACAAGCGACAGATTCTTTGCCCTTTTCCGTGACTAGTCATCGTCCGGAATTTCCTGTACATTACTTCTTCTTTAACAGCAGAGCTGTTTAATATCTCAACAAACTATCCCCCCCGCTGTATGGTCGTTGACTCGACCTACTTGATCTCGACACATCATGGGCGTCCCCAACGGCAACTCAGCAAACGGCAGCAGCCCATCTGCTAAAGATTCCCTTCCCTCACATTTCATCGGTGGCAACAACTTGGATGTTGCGCCTCCAAGCAACGTCAAGGACTTTGTGGCCAAAAATGGAGGTCACTCTGTCATCAGCTCGGTGAGTACTCAATTCAATGCGACAAAAGACAAACAGATCGAAGCTGGCATGAAGGAGGAGGAACAGAAACCTGCAAAATCAAGAGTAGAGAACAAAAAATCAGAAACTGACTAGTGGGGTGTTTTTTTTTTTTTTAGGTCCTCATCGCCAACAACGGTATCGCCGCCGTCAAGGAGATTCGGTCAGTGCGGAAATGGGCTTACGAGACTTTTGGCAATGAGCGCGCTATTCAATTTACCGTGATGGCTACGCCTGAGGATTTGCACGCCAACGCCGACTACATTCGCATGGCCGATCAATACGTCGAGGTGCCCGGTGGCACAAATAATAATAATTATGCCAACGTCGAGCTGATCGTCGATGTTGCAGAGCGCATGAATGTTCACGCCGTGTGGGCTGGTTGGGGTCACGCTTCCGAGAACCCTCGTTTACCCGAGTCCCTGGCGGCGTCGCCCAAGAAGATCATCTTCATTGGTCCCCCGGCCTCGGCCATGCGTTCCTTGGGAGACAAGATTTCCTCCACCATTGTTGCACAGCATGCGGGAGTTCCCTGTATCCCCTGGTCCGGAACTGGAGTCGATGATGTCGAGGTTGATGAGCACGGCATTGTGACTGTCAGAGATGAGATCTACGCCAAGGGTTGCACATCCAACCCACAGGAGGGTCTGGAGAAAGCCAAGCAGATTGGTTTCCCCGTTATGATCAAGGCCTCTGAGGGTGGTGGTGGTAAGGGTATCCGCAAGGTCGACAACGAGGAGGACTTCGAGTCCCTGTACAACGCCGCCGCAAACGAGATCCCCGGATCACCCATCTTTATTATGAAGCTGGCTGGAAATGCCCGTCACTTGGAGGTGCAATTGCTGGCTGATCAGTACGGTAACAACATTTCTCTCTTTGGTCGTGATTGTTCCGTTCAACGTCGTCACCAGAAGATCATTGAGGAGGCTCCCGTTACCATTGCCAAGCAACCTACTTTCCAGGCCATGGAGAAGGCAGCTGTCAGCCTCGGTCGTCTGGTGGGATACGTCTCCGCCGGTACCGTCGAGTACCTTTACTCGCACTCTGATGATAAGTTCTACTTCCTCGAGTTGAACCCCCGTCTTCAGGTCGAGCATCCCACCACTGAGATGGTCTCTGGTGTCAATCTGCCCGCTGCCCAGCTCCAGATCGCCATGGGTATTCCTCTCCACCAGATCCGCGACATTCGTTTGCTCTACGGTGTCGACCCCAACACCACCTCTGAGATTGACTTTGACTTCTCTAGCGAGGAGAGCTTCAAGACTCAGCGCAAGCCCCAGCCCAAGGGTCACACCACTGCTTGTCGTATTACCTCCGAGGATCCAGGCGAGGGTTTCAAGCCTTCCAGTGGTACCATGCACGAGCTGAACTTCCGTAGTTCTTCCAACGTCTGGGGTTACTTCTCCGTAGGTACCGCCGGTGGAATTCACAGCTTCTCCGACAGTCAGTTCGGTCACATCTTTGCCTACGGTGAGAACCGATCTGCCTCGCGAAAGCACATGGTTGTGGCGCTGAAGGAGCTGAGCATTCGTGGTGATTTCCGTACCACTGTTGAGTACCTGATCAAGTTGCTGGAGACTCCCGCCTTCGAGGACAACACCATCACCACGGGATGGTTGGATCAGCTTATTTCCAACAAGCTGACTGCTGAGCGCCCGGATCCTATTGTTGCCGTTGTTTGTGGTGCCGTCGCCAAGGCGCACCTGGCCAGCGAGGCTGGAATCGAGGAATACCGAAAGAGCCTCGAGAAGGGTCAGGTCTCCTCAAAGGATGTCCTGAAGACTGTTTTCCCCGTTGACTTCATCTACGAGGGTGCCCGCTACAAGTTCACTGCCACTCGTGCCGGCCTTGACAGCTACCACCTGTTCATCAATGGCTCCAAGTGCTCTGTTGGTGTGCGTGCCCTTGCTGACGGTGGTCTGCTGGTTCTGCTGGACGGCCGCAGTCACAACGTCTACTGGAAGGAGGAGCCTGCTGCCACTCGCATCAGTGTTGACGGTAAAACTTGCCTTCTGGAGCAGGAGAACGACCCCACTCAGCTCCGTACTCCCTCCCCCGGTAAGCTTGTCAAGTTCACTGTTGAGAACGGCGAGCACGTTCGTGCAGGCCAGCCCTACGCCGAAGTTGAGGTTATGAAGATGTACATGCCCCTCATTGCCCAGGAGGACGGCATGGTGCAGCTCATTAAGCAGCCCGGTGCTACCCTAGAGGCTGGAGACATTCTCGGAATCTTGGCTCTGGATGACCCCTCGCGCGTCAAGCACGCCACTCCCTTCGCTGGACAGCTGCCTGACCTTGGCTCCCCTACCGTGGTCGGCAACAAGGCCCCACAAAAGTTCACTCTGCTCTACACCATTCTGGAGAACATTCTCCGTGGTTTTGACAACCAGGTCATCATGGGTACCACCCTGAAGGAGCTTGTCGAGGTTCTCCGCAACCCTGATCTTCCCTACGGAGAGTGGACCGCTCAGTTCTCGGCCCTGCACTCTCGTATGCCCCAGAAGCTCGATGCTCAGCTCCAGGCCGTGGTCGACAAGGCTCGTGCCCGCCAGGCTGAGTTCCCTGCCAAGCAGCTCCAGAAGACTATCGTCCGCTTCATTGAGGACAATGTCAACCCTGGCGACGCTGACATCTTGCGCACCACTCTTCTGCCCCTGGTTCACGTCATCAACAAGTTCCTTGACGGTCTCAAGGTGAACGAGTACAATGTCTTCATTGGTCTGCTCGAGCAATACTACGAGGTCGAGAAGCTCTTCTCCACCGGCACCAAGCGCGACGAGGATGTTATTCTCAAGCTCCGTGAGGAGAACAAGGAGGACATCACCAAGGTTGTCCACACTGTCCTCTCCCACAGCCGTGTTGGATCCAAGAACAACCTGGTCTTGGCCATCCTGGATATGTACCGCCCCAACCAGCCCCTGGTTGGCAATGTCGCTCCCTACTTCAAGCCCATCCTGAAGAAGTTGACCGACCTTGAGGCCCGCGCTACTGCCAAGGTCACTCTCAAGGCTCGTGAGGTTCTCATCCAGTGTGCCATGCCTTCCCTCGAGGAGCGCCTGACCCAGATGGAGCACATCCTGCGCTCTTCAGTCGTCGAGTCTCGCTACGGTGAGACTGGCTGGGAGCATCGTGAGCCTGAGTTCACTGCCTTGAAGGAGGTTGTTGACTCGAAGTACACCGTTTTCGATGTGCTTCCTCGCTTCTTCGTCCACCAGGACCCTTGGGTTACCCTTGCTGCTCTGGAGGTTTACGTTCGCCGTGCCTACCGTGCCTACACTTTGAAGGGTATCGACTACAATGCCTCAGCTGAGTCCCCATTCCTGTCCTGGGACTTTACCCTGAGCAAGGTCGGCAACCAGGCCGAGTTTGGCTCTGTATCTTCCACTCAGCCCTCCGCCCCTGGCACACCCACTGCTGAGATCCCTAGCCCCTTCAAGCGCATCAACTCTATCAGTGAGATGTCCTACATGGCAAACGACCCATCTGGTGACCCTGTTCGCAAGGGTGTCATCGTCCCGGTTCAGTACCTGGAGGATGCTGAGGAGTCTCTGGCCAAGGCTTTGGAGGTATTCCCTCGTGCTCCCCTCAAGGCCGTTGGTGGTAACGGATTGATCGCCAACCTGGAAGGCAAGCGCCGTCCTACCGGAACCTTGAAGATCGACAATGACAGTGAGCTCACCGGTGTCTGCAACATCGCCATCCGCGACATTGAGAACCTTGACGACGCCGAGCTTGTTGCTCAGATGGAGACCTTGCTTGCCAGCTCCAAGGATGAGCTGCTTGCTCGCCGCATTCGCCGCATCACTTTCATCTGTGGCAGAGAGGGTGTGTACCCCGGTTACTTCACCTTCCGTGGCCCCAATTACGAGGAGGATGTCAGTATCCGTCACAACGAGCCTGCCCTTGCCTTCCAGCTTGAGCTGGGTCGTCTTTCCAAGTTCAAGATCACCCCTGTCTTCACTGAGAATCGTAACATCCACGTTTACGAGGCTATTGGCAAGGGTCCTGAGAGCGATAAGGCTGTTGACAAGCGCTATTTCGTCCGTGCTGTTGTGCGTCCTGGTCGTCTCCGCGATGACATTCCTACTGCCGAGTACCTGATATCGGAGGCCGATCGCCTGATGACCGACATTCTGGATGCCCTTGAGATCATCGGCAACAACAACTCTGATCTTAACCACATCTTCATCAACTTCTCTCCTGTCTTCAACCTCGAGCCTGCTGATGTTGAGCAGGCTTTGGCTGGTTTCCTCGACCGCTTCGGTCGCCGTCTTTGGCGCCTGCGTGTCACCGGTGCTGAGATCCGTATTCTCTGCACTGACCCGACCACTGGCATGGCCTACCCTCTGCGTGTCATCATCAGCAACACCTACGGATTCATCATCCAGGTTGAGCTTTACATTGAGCGCAAGTCCGAGAAGGGCGAGTGGATCTTCCAGAGCATCGGCGGTACCACCAAGCTTGGCTCCATGCACATGCGTCCTGTTTCCACTCCTTACCCTACCAAGGAGTGGTTGCAGCCCAAGCGCTACAAGGCTCACCTCATGGGAACCCAGTACGTCTACGATTTCCCCGAGCTGTTCCGCCAGGCCTTCCAGAACACCTGGACCAAGGCTCTGGAGACTATCCCATCCCTGTCTTCCCAGCGTCCTCCCGTTGGTGAGTGCATCGATTACAGCGAACTTGTGCTTGATGACACCGACAACCTCGTTGAGGTCTCCCGTGAACCCGGTACCAACACTCACGGTATGGTCGGATGGATTGTCACTGCCCGTACCCCTGAGTACCCCCGCGGCCGTCGCTTCATCATCATCGCCAACGATATCACTTTCCAGATTGGTTCGTTCGGTCCTCAGGAAGACAAGTTCTTCCACAAGTGCACTGAGCTGGCTCGCAAGCTTGGTATCCCCCGTATCTACCTGTCTGCCAACTCCGGTGCCCGTATCGGTATGGCTGATGAGCTGATTCCTTTCTTCTCTGTTGCCTGGAACGACGCTTCCAAGCCCGAGGCTGGTTTCAAGTACCTCTACCTGACTCCCGAGGTCAAGAAGCGCTTCGATGCTAGCAAGCAGAAGGAGGTTATCACCGAGCTCATCACCGAGGATGGTGAGGAACGCCACAAGATCACCACTGTCATTGGTGCTAAGGACGGTCTTGGTGTTGAGTGTCTGAAGGGCTCTGGTCTCATTGCCGGTGCCACTTCCAAGGCTTACGAGGACATCTTCACCATTACCCTGGTTACTTGCCGCTCTGTCGGTATCGGTGCCTACCTTGTCCGTCTTGGTCAGCGTGCCATTCAGGTTGAGGGTCAGCCCATCATCCTGACTGGTGCTCCTGCCATCAACAAGCTGCTCGGTCGTGAGGTCTACACTTCCAACCTGCAGCTTGGTGGTACCCAGATCATGTACAAGAACGGTGTTTCCCACATGACTGCCAACGACGACTTTGAGGGTGTGCAGAAGATTGTTGAGTGGATGTCTTTCGTCCCTGACAAGAAGGGTGCTCCCGTCCCCATCCGCCCTTGGTCCGACAACTGGGACCGTGATATCTCTTACTTCCCTCCTTCCAACAAGCAGGCCTATGATGTCCGTTGGCTCATTGCTGGTAAGCAGGAGGAGGAAGGCTTCCTCCCTGGTCTGTTCGACAAGGACTCCTTCGAGGAGGCCCTTGGTGGCTGGGCCAAGACTGTTGTTGTTGGTCGTGCTCGTCTTGGCGGTATCCCTATGGGTGTTATCGCTGTTGAGTCACGCTCGGTTGAGAACGTCACCCCTGCTGATCCCGCCAACCCAGACTCCATGGAGATGATCACCCAGGAGGCTGGTGGTGTCTGGTACCCCAACTCTGCTTACAAGACCGCCCAGGCTCTTCGTGACTTCAACCACGGTGAACAGCTGCCTGTCATGATCTTGGCTAACTGGAGAGGATTCTCCGGTGGTCAGCGTGATATGTACAACGAGGTCCTCAAGTACGGTTCGTACATTGTCGATGCTCTCGTCAAGTACGAGCAGCCTGTCTTTGTGTACATTCCTCCCTTCGGCGAGCTTCGTGGTGGATCTTGGGTCGTCGTTGATCCTACAATCAACCCTGAGCAGATGGAGATGTACGCTGATGAGGATGCTCGTGGTGGTGTTCTCGAACCCGAGGGTATCGTTGGTATCAAGTTCCGCCGCGACAAGCAGCTCGACACCATGGCTCGTCTCGACCCCACCTACGGCGACCTCCGCCGCTCCCTGGAGGACCAGTCCCTCAGCAAGGAGCAGCTCTCCGAGATCAAGGTCAAGATGGCCGCCCGCGAGGAGCAGCTTCTGCCCGTTTACACGCAGATCGCCCTCCAGTTCGCCGACTTGCACGATCGCGCCGGTCGCATGAAGGCCAAGAACACCATCCGCCAGGCTCTTAAGTGGCAGAACGCCCGTCGCTTCTTCTACTGGCGTCTGCGTCGCCGTCTCAGCGAGGAGCTTATCGTCAAGCGCATGGTTGTCGCTTCTCCCTCCCCCGCTCCCCGCACCGCTTCCGCCGGTGCTATCCCCTCTTCCGGCGTCACCCACACCGCCGTTGAGACCCCCCGCGCTATCCACCTCAAGAACCTCCGCGCCTGGACTGGTCTCTTGGATAACGAGATCGAGAATGACGACCAGAAGGTCGCTCTCTGGTACGAGGAGAACAAGAAGCTCGTCCAGTCTAAGGTCGAGGCTCTCCGTACTGAGGGTGTCGCTTCCGAGGTTGCTCAGCTTCTCATTGGAAACAAGGAGGGCGGTCTCCTTGGTGTCCAGCAGGTTCTCTCTATGCTTCCCGTTGAGGAGCGTGAGTCTGTCCTGAAGTACCTCAGCTCTGCATAGATGCGTCATAACAGACACGGATACGACGCAAAAAAAAAAAAAAAGAGAGTTGTCTACTTTGTTCATGACTTGATGTTGATGTGAATTTTTGATTTCCCTTACAGCTTACAGTGCATGGGTGTTTTGTGTTTGGTTTTTTTTATATTTTCAATGTTTTCAATGTTACCAATTTCATAATGTTTTTTTCTAGAATATTCTCAGGTTTCCAAGGTTAATTATATTAAATATCCTTTCACCTACTAGTAGGAGTATTCCTCTGAATATGCTTTCGACTAGATATGACCGTAGATTTGCCCCAGGTGTTTTAAGTACTATTGATGTAGGCCTGGAAAGGTAGAACCTTCCAGACAGAACTTGCACCTGGGCAGTGGCTTACTGCCAAGATGAAGTCAAATGGAGATAAGCTTAAAAGTCAACGTTCAAATGTTTGAAGAGTAAATTTCATCATATCGTTCTGAGTATTTTTTGGACAAGCGAGGGTAGTAATTGTCCACTAATGGCTCGTTCCATACCCTCAAGACTCTCAAAACATACTAGTAGGCTTCAGCCCTATAGAATAACCGAACCAGGTATACTTTGACGGGGCATAAAAGAACCAGAAATTGAGTTCCACAAGGTCCCCTGATTCGAGACAGAGTTGCATCTACCTCCCGTGTTAGTAACCAATTAGGGGAAATAATGCCCGTTGCTTCGAAGGGAAACCAGGCAACACAATTACTTGTTGATCCACTTCAATGCATGGGATCTACTCCGTACACGCAGAAAGAGACAATTGATGATCTCGAACCAAACAAAAACGTTTCTATTACTCCGAGTCCGTACAAAAAGAAAACAAAAAGGTGGACACCCCCCATCCATCATGACCCCTGCAAGCGTCCCAGACCAGACCAGCCAGCTGGCTGTCGGACACGAGCAATCGTGATTCGAATTAATTGAAATTCCACAGTGATGACTCTAGAGTCCCGTTCAGCAAATGAATCAATACCAAACCTCAGGATTGTTTCCCCATCAAATACCCACCTTGTATTTTATTACGCTCGGGCATAACCTAGTTCCACCTGGTCAGGTGTAGCCACGTAACTCGGTGCAGCAAGTGGATAAACCACCGGAGCAGGCTTTTGAAGCTCCTGGTTAAGAGCGAAGTCGTGTGTGTTTTCCGGGTAGACCCATTGGGTAATAGGCGGAGGATGGAACCCTCTCTGCTTAGCCTGTTTCTCTTCCTTCTTGCGATTGTGACGCATCTTCAGGAGGATTCCGATGACGAGGACGATCACAACGACAACCACCAGAGGGATGATGACAACTTTGAGGATGAGCTTGAGGAAGCCCATGGTGTCGAGTGGTGTGCCTGGGCCGCGGTTTGTGGGGAGGAAAGGAGGGAATGGTTCAGGATGTTAGAAGCACCGCTATGCTACATAGTTTCGGAACATGACGGTATCCTTATATCTCTACAGAACCTCATCACATCCTGAGGGAATGAAGTCGGATTTCCTAGGACAACTTCATGTAATGTGATTCCCTGGCGGTTATGCTCGCGAGTTGGTTGGAGGAGGCAGGGAGCTGACACATTGAAGCTTCGTGTAATGTCCGTGTTACCCTTCTTGGCCCATATTTAGATCACCAATGAGGGAGGGCAGAGAGATGGGACGTCAAGGAGAATTGCCAAGAGTGGTGTAGACCCTGTTTCGTACTAAGGTTCAGCCCTATAGGGCGTTTTGTGATTGTGATTGTTGCCGCAGGGTGGAGAAGTATGAGGGATTAATGGAAGATCCACTTTTCTTCGTCCGTAAGAACCGATGGCTTGTGTTTGTTATGTCACTGGATTATTTGGTCCAATTTGGTTCCTGGGATGATCCTTTCATGGTTGGTGAGTCAGTAAATATAGAGCGGCTGAATGAAGATACGCTCTGTCTGGCAAACAAGAGCCTTGGAATGAGAACGAGAAGACTCATGTTCTGCGAGATTGTAGCATGCTGAAGAGTTGGTATTGATTCTATGATGTAAATAAACCTTTTCCAGAATATACGGTGTTGGCAGGTAGATCCTGCGCAGGACAAGGTCTGAATGGTCAGGAAAAATCCCTCAAGTAGCTAAAATGCCCTCGAGCCAGCCAAAGACGGTGGCGTTCATGAAAGTACTAGCACCAACATGACAATGCAGGTGCGCGCCATCCTTCGTCGACATTCGCTGGAGAGTTCCAAGGTTGCCTAGCGCCTCCTTAACTCTCTCCGGCTGACCTGAGAAGAAAAGATCGTCGTCGGGCCATCCAATCCAAACCGGGCATTGAATCTGGTGTGCGATACCTTCAATAGTCATTTGCCTGGCTTTAGTAAGGAGTTCAAAAGCACTGCTGGTGTTGAAAGTAAACAAGCCATGCTCAATAAGCCACCGGGAGACAGTGGGCGTGTCCTTCGAATGGAGCGAACTTTGAATGACAGCATCGGTCTCCTTCCAATCACCCGCATCAAACGCTGCCCGTGCCTCGGGTGAAATCCCTTTGTAGAAGCAATCAAACACACTTGCCACGCCATCGACTGAGAGAACAGCAGCGATCCTGTGCTCAAAAGCAGCCGCCCTAAGAACCAAATACCCAGACATGGAATAACCCCACAGAAAGACGCGCGAAGGGTCCACTTCTGGGCGGGTCAGGATGTAGTCGACTACGGGGGATACCACTTTCTCCCACTCGGAGATAAACCCCACGCCCTGATCCCGGATGACGGAGCATTGGCCCGGTCCCTCGAACGTAAGAACGTTGTATCCCCGCTCAAGCGCCCCAATGCCACAGATATGAAGCATCTCCTCCTGCGACCCATCGAAGCCATTGCAGACTAGCAGTGTCGGTCGCAGGTCGGCCGCACTAGCGCCGGGTGCACGGTAAAATATTGCAGGTATGTTAAAGGAGCCATCGGCTGCAGGGAGGATCAGTCGTTCGCCAGGCGTGGGGAGAAGGATCATAGCCTTGTCAAAGGTGACGGTTTGTTTGCTCCACAGGTCCCAGATACGTGGATCTTGGCGGTTGCCGTGTAGATAGAAATCGGCACAACGGTAGTATGTGGAGGCACGGAAGTATGCATCGCGGGCGGAGACGGGGAACTTGCGTGCGTCGATGGTGTCGGCTTGGGCGTGGATGTGGGAGGCTAGGTCATTGAAGACTCGGTAGAAGCTCTCCACGTCGCCGGGAGTTATCGCGTCGCCGGCTTCTAGGACTTCGACTATGTCTGCGGCGCCGTAACGGACGGAGCCTAGAGTACGGGCGAGCTCGTAGTGGAAGGAACGATCTGCGTTGAGCTGAACCATGGTTGGGCTGGGGATTTAGGCTCTGGGTTGAAACTGAGACTCTGAGAGGTTGGAGAGATGCGATGGAAATATTTATAGCCTAAGAAAACACAGATAAAATGCTTCTCTCTTCTTCATTTCTACTTACATTCCTCATAACGGTTAGTACTTGTACAAGTTTTAGGGTAGAGACTTAGAGTGCATCTTGTAACTTGTAACTTGTCTAGACCCACTTCCCTCCAAATTGGTCCGAGCGCTTTCCTCCTTCAGAATCCACTAGTCTCAATCTGTTTCTAGCAATGTACTAGGAATCAAGTGACTCAAGTCTCACCTAGTAAACCAACCTCAATGAAATGACACGTATTATCATTTATTCCAACGAGTGATGCAAATGGCAATAACACGAGTGCAAAATCTGTGATACATCCGGCCATAGTATCGTGGAAGACAGCATCTCAATTGAGAAACGAACAAGCACTTAGAAGTTAGCACTGTTAGCAGACTATCTCAAAATGTGCCGCACATTTGATCCTCAGTCACTCGCCCAAGAAAACCCACGGAAGGAAAGAAAGCCACCGGGAAGAAAGCCCGGCGCTAGCACTTCGCTTATCGGTCCACGCCCCCGCCGTCATGGTCCTCGTGGCGCGTTCGTGAATTACACAGCCGCGACAACAGGACGCGATGGAAAACGCGTCACGCTATTAACTTGCAACTCTTTACTCCAATATGCTGACCAGGAGAAATATGTCGGTTTCTTCTGGGACGCGTATTTACCCGGAAGCAAATCTTTCACGCCAGAATCGGGACACTATACCGCGATCGAATGGACCAATATTGCCCAGTCGCCGACTGGGGATCTCTTGGCGGTGCGGCTCGCCATTGTCGCCAACAGCCTTTGCATGCTCGGGATACGACACCGAGAAGACAAAATGATTCTACAAGGTCACCGAGTATATGGCCTTGCTCTCAGCGAAATGCAACAGGCATTAAAACGGCCCAGTCGACTTGATATGGATGGCTCGCTGATTGCGGCCTGGTTGATTGGGCTCTTCACAGTGAGATTGAACAATTACGTTAAAATCCAATGAGACACTGATGAATTCTTCAGTTGTTATTTGGAAAAACGGATGATGTAATAGGCCAGCCTCGGGCTTGGGCTGGTCTGTCAGCCGGGGAAAAGTCTCTCTACATGTTATATTCGCCGGATAAATTTCGGGATGGAGCGGCGCATCGCTCATTCAAAGACGCGCGACTTCATTTGGTATGACACCTGGCAAAATTTGACGGTTCGAATACTGAGCATTGATTAAGATGAACCCAAGTCTTCTCTCTGGAACCACGTCTAGTCTAGGCAGTGCGGACTGGATGACGATTCCTTGGTCCATAACTTCCAAAACACCACTAGATAAGCTGGTAGACTTGGGAATCCAAGCTGCAGGGCTGTTGCACAGCCTAAAATGCTTCGATCCCCAGTCGCACATTCTAGAAGCACGAGGGTCACTAGTGACTCACTGCCGCGATTTCATGGCTGAATTGGTTTCTTGGCATGACGAGATCATATCCACGCTTGCAATCGAACTCCCGGTAGAAAAGGTAAGAGCCACCAGAGCTTCATCTGTTGATCTCGCCAAGACACACACACTTCTCCTATTCTGGTCAATCTCTCTTCTTGCCTGCCCGTTGATCTCGGCTATATTGTTCGAGGTTAACCTCCCCCCTGGATTCGACCTCCACAACCTTCGACATAACATTTTGTCGCATCTTCGATTATTGATGGCCCCAACGGCCGGTTGGTTTGGAATCAATATGTCCATGCTGCCAGTGAGCGTGGTGTTCAAAACCATCGAATTGGCACCTTTGTCTGCAAGGGAGGAAAGACTTATTGCGGCATTATACAAAAATCGTGAATTCGCAGCTATTGGGGATTTCTTTCCGAGTGTCACGCAATACTTTTCAAACCCCTATCTTACTCCTAAGAGAAATGGTGTCCACGAACCCTTACGTGAATGTTATATTTCATGATATGGTCGAGGTGGCCCAAATAGTTAACCTGAATATTGGATCGCGAGGGTTTTTTCTTGGCGAGAAAAAGACTATACAGGTCGACAAATCAAATTCGCAGCTGAGAGGCGTGGAAATATAATGAAGAGCCAATTAACAATACAAAAGTCATATGATTAGCTTTGTCCAAGCCATCGGTTCCCAAAAGTGCTGAAGGTTCATCGTCATCCTTCAGCCTCTTCCATTGGCTCAACCACCCCCTTACGGGCGTTCCCCCACCCAAATTCCTGCCTTGATTTGCGCGGCATCAGACCGACTGTGGGGTTAAGGTTTACCACCAACAAAACCCCGGATTTCATCTTCTCCTATTTTCATTTCCCTTTCTTTCCTGTCACTACTTGATAGTATCTGTCATGAGAAAATTCCAACACGGTCGCGATACCCAACACATACCCTGCCCGGGGTACGAGGATGCGACTGTGAGACTCCCTCGATAATGTGAATTTCCAAAAACACGAGTCTCCAATGGCTGTTGATCTTTCCTCCTTGGGCCAAGACCCCGAAGGTCTCGTCGGGGGGTATCAGGGCAACAGCACTGGGATAAAAATAACAATGGGAGTTCTCATCGCCATACTACTATACAATGCCGTCGAGCTTACTGCTCTGATCTTTCTAACCTTCCAACGATACCGTGGACTATACTTTTGGTCTTTGATGCTCTCCACAACTTGCGGACTGTATCCTAGTGGGATCGGAAATCTCCTTCATTTCTTCGACATCGGCCCTTTATGGCTAGCAATCGTGCTCTCCAACTTTGGCTTCTACTTCATGGTACCTGCCCAATCCCTCATACTTTACTCTCGACTCCACCTCGTCCTTTACAACCAACGACTCCTCCGGTTTATCCTTTACGCTATCATCGTCAATACGGTCGTGATTGGTGTGCCGGTAACAACCACAACAGTCGGATCGGCCTTTGTGCGTACTCCAGGCTGGAATGCGGCGTATACAATTATGGAACGACTGCAGGTGACTTGGTTCGGGCTACAAGAGTTTTTGATCTCGTCGCTCTACATTCGGGAGACTGTCAAGCTTCTTCAATGTAGTTCTGCGAATACCAGTCGCAGAAAGAACATCATGTACCAGCTGGTCGCGATCAATGTTCTTGCTATCTTGATGGATGTTGCGGTCATGACGATCGAATATATTGGTCTATACTATCTGCAGGTTCTGCTGAAGTGTACTACATACAGCATCAAGCTGAAGCTGGAATTCGCTGTTCTTGGCAAGCTTACCGCCATCGTCGACTCGTCACATCTTGAACTTACTCCGAGAGGTGATGCGGATCTTTCTGAAATAGTTGCTGGTCGACCCGTGTGCGACCCAATGCCTAGCACCTGGCATGTTGAAATGTCTTCCTGCAAAGGTCATCCCGAACAAAACTTTTGATCTCGACCATTTTTCTGTGAATGCGTGTGAGAAGGACAAGCGGATACGAATGACCAATGATGTTTGTATATAACCGGAATCTAAGATTTATTTACAATAACTTCAGTCGTTTTGATAATTCCGTCTTTGCCGCCATCAATCTGTTGCTGCTGAATTTCACCTGCCAAAGGCCATTCGTCATCAAAGCCAATCGTGGCACTATACTCCCCATTTAGGTCATGGTCATGTGCACGTTCTCCAGAATCCCGACTCCCCAATTCCTCAAGCGCATACTGATCGCCTCGGTGCATGGACCAAATTCGATTTCCACCGGTACCTCCCACCGTAGGCAGACTTCCTCCGGTATTCGTTGGGACGCGACGGGACCGGGAGCGAGAACGACTGCCGTAGACGTTGCGGCTTCGGGTTCGAGGGTAGGAATTTGAGTACTCGGATAGCTTCAGGACCCTGCTGACAAGGGGCTTAAGGGAGGGGATGCAGGCGGCGAGAATTCCGACGTTGAATTGGGCACTAGAATTTGATTAATTAGGATTTAACAAAGAGGCGAGAGAGGAGAGGGGATGCCATACGTTGCCCAGAACAGAATCCAGTCATCGCTGTTGACTAGGTCAGTACGCAAGTATTATCAATATATGTGTCTGAGAAGAAAGGCTGAACATACAGATACCCGTCCTTTTCCGAAGTAAATGCGATTTGGTAGATGGCATTCATGACGCCAAAGATGACGGCGCTGTATTCCTCAGCGAGATTAGTCGATTTATAATTTTTTTGACAAGGAAGATGAATACGAACATGTATCCCAGACTGAGAATCCCAATAAGATATAGACGGACTTTGCGCGTCATTTTGAGGGTCCAAATAATGGGAATAGGGATCGTCGCGAAAAACACATCAGTAAAGATGTTGAATGCTAGAGAATGGAGGTCATGATCAGCTAAGCTTCTTGCCAATTTCCAAATAACAAGCGAAAGATTTCTCTTACCAGTATTAATGAGGGCGAATGTCACGAATAGTTTCACAGGATAGCAATGCGAGCCTGGGGCTTCGGTCCAGTAAGCCGACATAGGCGAACAGTAAAGGAAGAATGCCATCGCACCCAAGAAACAGTAAGCAAAGACAATCACTATAACACAGGATTCTGTCAGTCGCGTGCATATTTTGCCAATCTGCATCTCAATCACCATCCCTATCCCGCAGATCATCACTTACCCATGCTTGTCCACAGAGAAACCACATACCACCTCGCCGGACTCAATCTCAGCAGATTCAAGGCGATGGATATTTTCAACATTGCAATCCCTAACGAAGAGCAAATGATGCATTGCCAGAATGTGCCCTGTGTGATTTTCATTCCGTTGCCGTTACCTGCCTCAAACCATTCATCGCGATGTCCCAGTCCATGAACCGCTTCAAATATATAAAGAATCCATCCGCCCAAGGCACACAGCTAACCGTTTTGTCAGCGCATATCCAGGTCCCATTTCGTGCGCAGCCCCGATACCATCATCTTGAATTCATGCCTCTGGGCCAAAGATAAAACTCACTGCAGCAACCGACATACACAAGTCATCGTATCCAGGATTCTTGATCAGTTTGATACGAACATAGAGACGCAAGGCGACGGCCGTGACAGCTGAAAATGTGAAGATGGTTTGCACGGACAGAATCTGGGCGATATGATTGTCATTGACAGATGAAGATGCGACATCTCTGCCCACTATTGAGATTGCAGCCATAACATCTACTCTTGGCGGATGAGACAAGTCAGTCACGCCCTGGATGAAGACATGGGAATCAAGGGTCAGAGGTCAGAGATTAGAGATCTCCCAGACCCTTCGGTGTGGGTAAATGCTAAAGGGCATATACTACATTAGGCACGATCGGTATAGAGTTCTCCGTGGCTTATTGCGAATTCCCAATGCTGATTAGCGGGGATTTTCGGTCGCTGAGTGAAATTAAACCCTAAAACCCGGATGCTTGCGCGTCGAAGGATTTTTTGCCTTCCATGTTCCATGCTTTCTCCTTCGAAGGATTCGGAGGAAGTTCGGAGGATGACGCCCGCAGGAAGTTAGATTTTGTTTCCCCCTGCAGTAGTTAGTATGTGTGGCTGTCGGCCAAAGCCAACTTTGTCACTAGACACAATTGTCATCAATCTTAATAGATTAAGAAGAAAAAAATAGAAAAAAATAGGCCGCCCCCTGTCACTGAGAAATGTACATAATCCCTACTGCCTGGTATTGAAACATTGACATGTTCTAGGTCGACGCCGGATGACAATCTGTGATAAACTAGTACTAGTACTTTTGTCAACATCGAAAATAAATGAGTCTAACCGAGGCAGTGAAATGAATGCAATGTCTCCATAAATGGAAAGTATCCCTGAGCATGTCGGATCCGTGGAAATAAATCAGCATCATATAGTACGGAATATGCACATTGCAGAGTACGAGAGCTAGTTCAAGATTGGACCCACATTAATTCAACGATCGTGAAGTCTTACTAGTCCACGTTCCGATTCACGCCCCGTTCTCTCCAGCCCCCCACGGGACGATATTAGGGTGGATCTTCCAGCGCCACAAAGGGTCTTTCAGCCCTTTTCACACTAGTTGCATGCACTTGAGGGCCTGGTCCTTGTTCGTCAGAAGTAGATTGGCTATTTTGTAAATTTGAATTTGTTGAGAGCGACGATTCCCGAACATGCTTACCTCGATGGTGCCTTCGTTGACCTTCTTTGTTGACCTTGTTTTCTTTCCTTTTTCCTTTTTTTTGAATTCATTTTCATCAAGATTCCCCAAGCTGCAAACATCATGTAATGCACGGGAATTCCGAAGTGATCGTGGGTGTTTCAGCTTGATTAGGACTGCGGAGGAGGGTAATTCCCCACTAACACAAGGCGAGAGAGGAACTAGGACCGTTTTCTCTTTTCAGATTCAGTTAAACGGCTCATAGAAAACCAATGGTCCACTTAATTTCAAAAATTGCATGATCCAAATGGAGAGTGGGGATATAATAGGGACTGCTTGAGCGATTTAAGGTGCGTACGCGAATGTTATGTGGAGCGCGAATCAACTAGAATCTCAATTTACCACCAATTAGACTGCAAAGACAATGATATTCTCATTTACTTTATCCGCTTCATTTAAATCCCCTGTTTACCGATATCTCACCAGCGAGCCTTGTGTGCGTCTCCACACTAAGCTCATAACCCAGCCATGACGGCCTGGATTCCGTCTACGCGACCTGCTAACTGTTTATGCTTAGCTTTATGCACTTGTTTCTTGCAAAATAAATTGTTCGCCCGATGTTGATCCTCGAATAGGAGAGATCATTGAGTACTTTAATCCTGGGAGCGGGATGCTTTTCGGGGGTTTTGTTTAGCCCACGCGAAAAGCTTTCTTACTTCCCCCCTGCCACCTTCACAGGCTCATTGGTCGGTTTTTTTTTGTTTTTGTTTTTGTTTCGTTTCAAGGAAATATTTTTGCATTTATAATATGTTTTCTTTCGCTTCTGTTCTCGTTGGACTTGGAGCTGCCTTGCCATTCGTGGCTGCTGGCAGCTCAAATGTCATCGAGCGAGATGTTGTGGTCATTGGCGGGGGTGCTTCGGGTGCCTACGCCGCCGTCCGCCTGCGCGATGATTTCGGCAAGAGCATTGCACTGATCGAGAAGCGAGATATTCTGGTAAGAGCAAGCAACTGAGACAACATGGTTCTCTTCACAATAATCCCACTCCAACAAATGGACAGACAGATACTTACGTGGGCTCAATTGGCAGGGTGGCATGGTCAATACCTATACCGATGAGAAGACTGACGCCATATATGATTACGGCGTGAACAGCTTCCTCAATGTCAGCAACTCAATGCAGTTTTTTTCCCGTTTCAACATTTCGGTCACTACAAACTCAACTTCCTCCACCGCAACCACCGAGTACATTGACTTCAACACTGGCAAACTGCTTAACTTCACTGCCCCTTCGCTTTTGAACCAGGTCGACGCCATCGCCAAGTTCCTTGAAGTTATCGACCCATGGGAGTCATTGCTGCGACCTGGCTACTGGAACTTCCCTGAGCCCAAGGATATTCCCGCAGACTTGCTGATTCCCTTCGGCGAGTTCTTGACCAAGTACGACGCGGAGGATGCCGCGCCCATCATTTACGCCTCAACCGGCCTGGGATTGGGCAATATGAGTGAAGCGACCACCATGTTCGCTCTTCAAGCCTTTGGTTGGGAAATGGCCCGCGCCATCCTCGGTGAAATGGCTCTCTACAAACCTGTTACTGGCGGAAACCAAGCCCTCTACAACGCCATCGAAAAGGACTTGGGCGACGACGTCTTGTACTCCAGCACTGTCGTTTCGAGCCGTCGCACTGACTCAGGTGTCCACTTGACCGTCCGCAACCACTTGACCGGTGAGCTCACCAACATCGCCGCCCGTCGTCTGCTTGTCGCTATCGAGCCCAGCGAGAGCAACATGGAGCCCTTGGACCTTAGCCCGTCTGAATGGAACACACTTTCCAAGTTCGACTTCTCCAACGAGTTCTGCGGACTAGTCGACAACGCCGTATTCAACACAAGCCTCATGTACTCCAACCTGCCCTCCAGTGCAGCCCCTGACAACGTCCTCGTGTTCCAGGACGTGCCTATGGTCCAAAGCTTTGAGTACAGTGGTCTCGATCACCTCTTCCGCGTCATGATTATCGGCAACAAGACCACAACTACTGCCGAGGCCAAGGTCCTGGCCCAGGACAATTTCAACCAACTGCTGGAGTCTGGACTTTTGCCTGGTTCTGAGCAAAGCCAAGAACTGAGCTGGGCAGCATTCGCTGCTCATGGTCCTATGCACGCGCGTGTGTCAGTTGAAGAAATCAAGAGTGGTTTCTATCAGGATTTGTACAAGTTGCAGGGTGCTCGTTCCACATGGTGGACCGGTGGTGCTTTCTCCGTCAACTTCCAAACCAACCTTTGGGAGTTCGATGAGGGTCTTATCCCTAAAATTCTGGAAGGAATTTAGAATAGAATTTCGTACTTTGTAAATCGAGCTCATTGATCGGAGCGTTGTTTAATATTGAACGAGAATGTACTATGAACAGGCTTCATCTCCGAATTTTGAATAGTAATGCCCATTGGATAACAATAGCAATTCAATCTGACCATCAATAGAGATAAATCAAGATTGATCAGACAAAAGAAATGACCCTGGGACTTTTCGTGGCTTCAATGCCGTGACGACAACCTATTTTATTTGCAAGCCTCGCATGAGTTTCATCGGCGACCAAGAACATTTGAATGCTTTTATACTTCCAGTGTTTGCTGCTTAACTACATTAGGCACCGACGAATTTACCAAAAGGAACCTGAAGAATTACCGAAGAAATACTTTGCTTCTTCATCTGCTCATAACGGTGACTGCTCTACTGAACTCCCAAAACATGGCCTTTTCTACCCATATTCCCTAAAATAAAATATTATTTGCTAACCACATGGCTTTTTAGAAGGCTCCGAATCTTGAAATCAAACAAAGCCGCCTTGTTCATCCTAAGATTTCAGAGAAATCATCCAGAAATTTGCCTGTATGAATATCGACATATATCTATCCGCCTGTCCAAGAACCCAGCCGAGCCTTAAAACTCGCCGAAATCGGCACCAGATTGGAGCAGGTCATCAAAGCGAACTATAAGAAGGGAGTGAGCTCTAAACAACAAGGCTATGTATGATTGACAGCTACAACAATTTGAAATATGCGCTCGAGTGAAAACTCCATCGTAATCCTGCACAGTGTTCTCTACACCTCCATACAACCTAACAACATTTGAACATATACTACATCAAAAGACCTGGATTTGATCTTAAGTGGGGGGCGCTGACCTAAATTCTCAGATATCATAGAAACTTATTATACAAAATACACACTGTTCTCCAAACACCATGTTCTGTCTCTGGTCCCTGCTATTCCCGATGGTTTCAATTGTTTACGTTTGTCGCTCGTCGTGTGGACCATCGGAGAAATATCGGAGGAATTTTGGGTTACGTCCACACTCTGAGAAGCACACAGCAACTTTTTCAAATAATAATCGCACGTATTCTTGTATGCTCTTCGGTCGCGCGTATCACTACAATAAAGCGTCTTGCAAGGCAAGAAAAATTGGGTGTCAGCATTGAAACAACTTTTCAAAGATTGCGATAATGGGAATTTAGGAGACAGGTTGCGTGCATTCAATGTTCCAAGACATGGAACATTCAATGTTGGAAAGCTTCGGGTACATATGCATTTCCGCACCGAGTAGCTATGCGATATTTTGATCGGGTATGGAGTACAGAGCGGATGAATCTCATGTGGGTACATTGATTTCTCTACACCATCATAGTACAAAGTGAAAAGCTCCAATGAATACATCTTGAATGGTACTAGATGTTGACTATCGATTTGTGTGCGTCTCACGTCTCCCCCACCACATAAAAAAATCACATCGCATCATGATAAGAGCGACAAAAGTGATCGGCATTTGCCAGTGCGTAGGCTATCCCCACGAGCGTCAAGATGGCGAATCTTGCACATCCCAAAGTGACCCTAAGTATAACTTGTCTCGCTGGAGATCCTTCGGAGTCTTTCCGGCGCCACTACAAACTAGTAGATCGCATCCGGACCAGTCATCGATGATCCACAAAGCCAAGATCAGCAACAGCGGAACGATGATTATGATCGCCATCTCAATGGTGGTAGCGTCTTTCTTGTGTGAATGGGACAAGACTATTGTTCGTGGTGTCTCAAATTTGATCCGGTGAACGCAAAGCTTTGTGCTTTAATTCACTGGGTTGGACATTTATAGTGGGTCGCGCGAATTTTCAGGGGCATGGCACCTATCATTTTCCTCGCACTATACTCATTTAGTCCAATGGTCAGGATCAGGTACGTAACAGGTAATCTGAAATTGAGAAATATTAGGTTTTGAAGCTTGTCTGGATTCATGTCAAGAGGTTTAATTTGGCCTCAAAGTTGAGCTCGAGCGCTTCCCGAACATAAACGACCAATAGCCCCATCGCGTGTGGATCCTGATTTACGCATACGGAACCTAAACTACACAGCCAAGGGAAATCTCTTGCAGATTCTGCACGAACCAAGCTCTGACATGGATCTTCAACCCCTTTTCTGGCGTTATTAAGCATATATACGTTAGGAAACATGTCCCCCAAAACTGCCGCGTTTGTTTTCCGTGGCTGGTGACACGATCAAATCACCGTTCATTGATATCGCCATCCTCATACGTTTAAGACACCGCAATGAGCGACACAAGCTCCAGCCAGTTTATCCTTGAGGGGTTTGTGTTGCTAGGCGTGTCGCTTTTTATCATTGCTTTGAGACTTGTGGCACGATGGCTCATGGTTGGATGGAGAAATTTCCAAGCTGATGATTATATGATGGTTCTCGTTGGTGTCAGTACTCCGTTCAATTAAATGTGAAATCTATTGCTGATAAGAAGATAATTCTAGGTTGTTTACTCCATGGAAACTGCCGCAGCATACGCGGTGGTCGATTGGTTTCATGGCCTGGCAAATAGTTCGATGACCGATGCTGAACGTGCAAGCTTGTCGCCTGGTTCTGACGAATATCGCTGGCGCGTCGGTGGCTCAAAGGTCCAGGTTCTCGGGTGGTCACTATATGTCACGACTTTATGGTTGCTAAAAGCTTGCATGTGTGTTTTATATTCACGATTGACGTACGTACCAACATCAGCAACATCTACACCGAGGAGTTTTTGAAAAAACATGGCTAATATATTATATGCCACAGGGACGGTCTTCCTTTAATGCGGAAACGAATTTCTATATCCTATGTCACGATCGCAGTGACCTATATCATTGTCCTTTCTGTTATTCTTGGAAGTTGTCACCCAATGCAGAAGAATTGGCAGATATACCCCAATCCCGGAAGTTCGTCATCCACAATTTTCTTTTCGCTCTCGGAACTGGAGTTATGGAATGATGCTTGCTAACTCTTCCTGCTTAGATGTATGTCAGCCGGCTGTGGCCAAGTTACACATCTACTTTACAGTGATCTTGAACGTGGTCACAGATGTTGAACTGATGAGCATTCCTATCCCAGTAAGTGTTTTCCCAAAATGGAATGTTGAGATTTGACTTGACAACTAACCCTGATTTGAATAGATGCTGGCGAAAGCGAAGATGCGCTGGCTAGAAAAGACAAGATTATTAATCATCTTCAGCGGAGGTATATTTGTCATGACTGCTGGAATTTTACGATGTGTTTTAATTTTGACAGTAAGCATATTCCACACCTAAGATGGGTACTTTCTTCAAAGTGTTTGCATCCAGATTACTGACTTTCAACCATAGGGAGGATCTAAAAGTGCTGCCGAAGGCGCTGCCTGGGCACGACGCGAGTCCTTTGTCGCAGTCGCAGTCGGAAACTTTCCCATGATCTACCCTCTGATGCGCCGTATCGCTCGCAAGGCTGGGCTAATCGTGAGCCAAGGCAGTTCCCGCGATTACCCCAAAAACACACAATCGCATAGCGCTCTGCAGTCCACGAATCGCAAGAGGTCCAGTATCCCACTTGTGTCTCGGAAGAATAACGAGTGGAACACGATTGACGACGAGCTTGCCAGCATCGATACTGGCCGGAAAGAACCTGCGACACGCGTGACTGCCAGTAGTAACTGGGATAAGTGCGATACAAATGGTCGGCCCACTGGAATTCAGGTTGTTTCAGAGACGATAATCGAGAGATCGGGCTAAGAAGCAGTTGTAGATACAAGGATGCATTTGAGAAATAATTACTAAAACACATTAATATAACTCTACGAGTGACATCAACTTACACGCGTGCACATTAAAACTGTCGCATTTTTCTCGTAACAAGGAGTTGTCCAATTTGCTTCAAATGGAAGGGCTCCTAAGATACACGATTCTTCACCCATTCCTAGTCTATGGCGTGACAATATTGAATGCAGGATTTGGCAAAGCGACCAGGGATACGATATCAGTCCAAGCCTCGACGTTTCCAGAGGTTACGAGCTGATCAAGAGTGGGGCTCTGACCGACAGATGCGCCTCCGACGAGAGTAACGAGCTCTTGGTGCGTGAGCCACACGGTCAAATCAACATTGGAATCTCGCGTCTTCGGAGCCGCCGTATATTGAACGACATGTCCCGTCAAGGCAGCATTGCTGAGTCTTAAGTGCCATCCGGAACCTTCATTTCCCACGTCATCGACCATGAAGTCGATTGTGATTTCCTTTTCGAGGTATTTGCTCGGCTGCTTGAAAGCCTCTGGTCCATTGATGCGGACGCCGATGCTGTCAAATAGCTGATCAAAGCCAAGAGCTAACAAGGACGCGGGTGATATAGCATTGACCGAAGGCTGGGCCCCATTTTGTAGCTCGAAAGCTCCGGTCAAGAAGAAATTGCGCCAAGTTCCATTTTCTGCGCCGTATCCCAGCTCAGTGTATACAGCCGCCAGCTCCTCTTTTGCCTTCTGAGCAACATCGCTGTCTTTCTCGTCGGCATTGCTTTGCGTTGCAAACACAAGTTTGTCCAAAAGCGTGGCTGCGAATCGTAAATTCTTATCGCTGTGATAAGCTTGAGCCTTTTCAAGTACAGATTGGCTGCCACCCATGCACTTGACAAGTTCAGTGGCTTCGTCAACGGGGGTGAGTGGCCATAGGTAAGCAGGGTTTGCATTGAACCATCCCATGTAGTGGTCATATACTGCTTTGACATTGTGACTGACAGAGCCATAATATCCACGAAGGTTTGTCCGCGCACTCAAAGTGGGAGGCATCTGAATTTCTTCAGCAATTTCGATCGGGGTCTTGCCATCATTTAACTGGCGAAGGGTTTCGTTGTGAAGATAGGCATAATAATCGCGTTGTTCGGATAAAAACTGGACCACTTTACTCTCGTCCTCGTTCCAGGTCGGCCAGTGGTGGCTAGAGAATACCACATCACTCTTGTCACCGAAAAGGGTGATCGACTCATCCAAGTATCGTGACCAGAGTCTTGCATCACGAACCGGGGCACCTCGCAGTGTTTGGATATTGTGCAACGTGTGAGTCGCATTCTCGGCCATGCACAGGGCTCTGTAGTCCGGGAAGTAAAAATTCACTTCTGCTGGAGCTTCGGTTCCCGGAGTCAATTGGCAGATGATCTGAAGACCGTCAACTGCGGGACTGAGAAGACCATCACTGGTGATGACCTGCGGGGGCGCTACAAGCGAGCTGGCTCCAGTCGATAAAGCTTGTCCGAGTCCGCAGCCAATTTGTCCGTCAGGAGATTTGGTCAAGGCCTCTCCATACATGTAAATAGAACGGCGAGCCATTGCCGGTCCAGCATACACATTCTCACTGACAGCATGTTCGAGGAAGCCGTCAGGACCGATGATTTGCAGAGGAGTCCCGGCCGTTGTTGCGATGTCGACAATGGCTTGAGCGCCGCCAAAATGGTCGACATGGCAATGTGTGTAGAAGAGGGCCTTGATTTCTGCGTCTTTGCCGAATTTGTCTCGATGTTCCTCTTGGTACAGCTCAATGGCCGCCCTTGCTGTCTCGACCGAGGTTAAACAGTCGATAATGATGATGCCATTTGTTTTTGGGATTTGGACAATGCTCATATTAGCAAGGTCAAAGCCACGGATCTGATAAATGCCTTCCATGACGTGGTAAAGGCCGGCGGTTGTACTGCATAGCTGCCCCTGCCTCCACAGAGAGACATTTGCGGTGCTAGGGACATCTGCCTCGAGGAAGTCATAGGCATTGGTATCCCAGATGACTTCGTGGGTACTACCGTCCGAGTATATCACAGGACTAGTGGCTTTTCGGACAAATCCCCGTTGCGCGAATGCAAACTTGAAGTCAACGTTGTCGCTATCTTCCATTTGAAGCTGTGGGATAGCCATGATGAGCAATTGGGGTGGGAGTTCCAGGTGCCTAACCTTCAATGTTCGAAATTATGTGTAAAGCTCAAATGTTGAAAGTTATGCGTACATGTAGTTCGTAGTATTGAAAGTTTTGGTTTTAAGTTTGGATATATGAGCCATCATCTTACCTTTATAGCACTTGAGTGAAAAAGCTCGTGTTCAAATGTTTTCTTCAAAGGACGGACTCCCGTGATCATTCCCAGCATTACACAATAAAATCACAAAACGTTTGAAACCTGCCTCAATAGATCAAATAGTTCTTTTGCGCCTAAAAATTGATATATAATCTACTAGTATGCAGAAGTCTGTATGTCGCAGAAAGCTATTAGTTCGCCAAACCATGCACAGCATGCTAGCAATGCAGCCGTGTTGGGGAGAACTCGAAATTCCAAATGCCGTGGTATGTTACATTTTGGTTAGTTTTTTGAGTTCATACGATATTTCCGAATATTTGAAGCCAACAAATGTTGGGATTACATAAAGAACTTGTCATTGATTGTCGTCGGCACTTACCTCATCAAATGAGGTTCCGACCAGAAATTGATGAAGTACACATGCATCGATTGATGAAAAATAAACCAATTCAAAATTGCGACCTCGGGAATGGTCGTGAAGCTGCCCGTATGTGCATTTATGAATTCGACCCTGTGACGCTCAATTTTGAAGTTCAATGTTACAAAGCCGTAAAGTGGCGTTAGTTAAATCGGTCGTAGCCGTTTGACTAAATCGCCCTTTCTGGGGAAATGACAAACAATCTCGTCGTTCGCATTTTAGAATTGCCTCGACTTTGAGGTTGGGCTTAACGGAATGATGCTCTGCATGATGCGCCTTTCTGTGCGCCATAGTATGTACTTTTGCTTTGACGCCAGACTTCGAGGCCCAGGTACCGATATGGTGATATTTGCAGGATCGTGATGAAGGTCAGAGAATAAAGAGCTCATATGCTCCTGGGAACCGCAGGATCGGCAACCTTGAAATGGAGGTTGATGGAAAACAAAACAACACACAACAAATCCTCTGATCCGGGTTTGTTGGCAAGGATGGGGAAGGAAATGAGGATGAAAACGTATATGGATTTGGTGTTGAAGAGGGGAAGAGGGAAAGAAGTTCCCTCCCCAGCAATGCTATAGAAGACAGGTAACATGACCACCCCCACCCTCCACTCAATCCCCAAGTTTGGAGGTAAGGACATCTGCCAACGTTTCAATTAGAAAATTTACATCCAACTGTAACTTCTGCTAGTAAAGGTGTATATTGTATTATCAAATCTTATCAATTTGAACATTTGAAGCACCTCATCTCACCTGGGTAACCAAAAAATACATAATCACCATATGGAAAAAGGTAAAGAGCTTCCGCCCGGGCGATTTTATCTATTTCATGATTTTCCTTGCAACCCTGGAATTGTGTGGTTAAGAATTCTTTCTGATTCTCACAAATGCATCCATGTCTTTTCTTCGGCATCTGGGGCGGATTCTTTATACGGATGATTTTCAATCCACTGTTTGACCTCAAGGAAGGTTGCAGATTGTCCGTAGAAATTGTCTAGTTCTTTGTTGAATTCTGAATCCACGATATTAGCCTATACGCTCAAGTTGTTCCAGCCAGATTACCTATGTTCTTGCATACCTTCTAATCGGAGAGGACTCTTAGGTTGAAGGGAAAAGCGAGTGGTTCCTTCACGCCAAAGCGTTAGAGAGGGCGGAATAATGGTACCTTGAATCTCGTTAGACCAGAGTATGCCTATCTATTACCAAATTTGAATAGCTTACCTCGATTGATACGCAGAATTAGGGGACAAATGACAGATTTCCCATCTTCCACATCTTCTTCATAGCGCTCAAAATCAAATCTGAGCATTTGCTGCATTGTGCGGGTGTTAGGCATGAACACTGGACCATTGGAGTCTGCTCATAGGTTAATTATGTTACTTACTATGCTGGAGTGGCTCTAATATATTGACGAGGACGCAAATTCACTTACAAGGACTCGATTTTGAAATTTGGGAATGAACCAGGCCATCCTTGGATACCCTCACGGCATCTTTTGACCAACCAGGTGGTTGTTGATTTTCGTCAAATTGCGCTGCATCGCGCCCGAACTGAAACCGGTACAAGGTGGTAGGAAGACTATCGTGTGTCGATAGCAACGAAAAGCTTCGCTTTCCGGCCTTTCCCGAGAGTGTTGGCACGGCGTGTAAACGATGGAAAAGCATATTTGGTGAAGAGCAACTCTGACTGGAGCAAAATCCTTCATGCATCAAGGAGAATCGGGGTAAAGCTAATAACCGTCACATGATCTGGCTGCTGACCAAAAGGGGAGTCATGTGACGGTTATAGTCCGAGCCTCCGAGACCGATACCGCCTGCCAGAAGGGGATATAAACTATTTCCGTTTTTTACTGTTCTGATTGAAAGATATAATCTACTATATCTGCATTGCCAGTACATACGACCATAGGGTGTGGAGAACAGGGCTTCCCGTCCGCTCAGCCGTACTTAAGCCACACGCCGGTCAGTTAGTAGTATGGTGGGTGACCACATGCGAATCCTGACTGTTGTATGTTTTTTGTTTTTTCTTGTCCTTTATTCATCTGGCAAACTCCTTGCCGCTCTACTGTTCAGTCGGTTCGGGCCATTCACCCTGAATGCTGTGGATACCACTATTCTGCAACCTGAATACATGAATTCCCCGCATATTCTTCAAGTGCTGACGTGACATTCCACTCCATCTGCTGATTTCTACCTCAGGTGTGTTGTTGCTGTTACATAGAAGAAGTCACATGGACCTCTTCCTCGGCATGAACATAGACAAACCGTGGAACCATGTCATGGTAACGGAAGCGGGCCGACACCAAGCTCGTCACTCCCCCCCCACCACAAAGCTCCAACGGGAGCAACAGCCAACCCCACGAGCTAACACCCCTTCAACTTGCACCCCCGCCCGCGATAAACAAGACCTTCTTCAGCACTATGGAAGACGACCATGTCATAGAGACAGGAGGGGAAGACTCGGACATGGAAAATGTAGAGAAATCCTGATGTGATTGGATGAAGAAGGCAATTCAAGTAAGTCTGTCTTCAAGGGTATTTTGGAGAGCGCGAAGCCAACATATGCACTTAGGCCTTCAGAGGGTTGGTTCTTTACGAAGCCTTGCTTGGCTCACCCGTCTGGATGGTCTGATCGACGCCATAGACAGCCCGGCTTATACAATCACGGACCGTATTAAGATTGTGCCTGGAGGGGCTAGTCTCCTACGGCCATTTGAATGGCACGTTTAAGAAGGGACGATCACCGAGGACATCGCGGATCGACTCCTCGCACTACAGCTCAGTTCACATACTTCCTCCCCAACCCAACTTACACCATACGTTGAGACCAATTTCAGAATCCCCGCATGAATGTCAGAAACACCGTCTGCGTTGCAATTAAGCAGCTTCACTGCTTTCAGCCGGTTGGGTGGCAGTTCACGTGAAGTACTAGGCATGCCGCATGGAGGCCAGAAGGGAAAAAGGGCGTGATCCAGCTCGCTTGACGGTGCTCAAAATCCGCAAGCAAGCTGGGGACCAGCTAGGATCACAAGAACTGTGATTTCGCGGGTTGAGTTTGTCTACTTTGGAGTTGACTCAGGTCCCAGGCAATGTTTTTTTGTCCCCATAGTATTAGTTAGCGAATACATCCCGTACATGACCTCACACATGAGTCATGACAGTAGTAGCATTTACCATTATTCACTCATGTTATCCATTATCAAGGCTAGGACTTGGGGATATTTGGACATCCTTAGCTAGTAATTACACACGGATAATCGCCTGGAAAGGATACGTTTCCCAACCAAACAACAAGAGAGACAGAAAATTAACAAAAACAAAAACATACAACAGTCAGGATTCGCATGTGGTCACCCACCATACTACTAACTGACCGGCGTGTGGCTTAAATGCGGCCAGTAGTTCGGTGGGTGCCGCTAGGGTGAGAAATGGGTGAGAGCCGCTTTAGCGTCGCGCGACCGGGGGTGAGAAGGGTGAGTGCGCAATAGACAGGGTGAGAAGCGGGGTGAGAGCGGGTGAGAAATCACCTTCTGGCATACACCGGTCGCATTGACCTTCCAGGATGATCAAAAGTAGAATATTATTGGGTTACCATATCCTATATTAAACAGCTAGCCTCTTAGTATATATATATAGCCCCTCTAGAATAACCCTAGTATACCTTGCTATTATTATTATTATTACCTAATTACTATATTTTATATATATACTTACTTCCTAATAACTACTACTTTATATAGCCTATATTATATACTCTCTAGGTACTTTTTAGGTAACTTCTAATTTTTACTATATTCTATAGATAATATATAAATAGATACCTTAACTTAGAGGGTATATAAGTACCTTGCTAAATAACTTTTAGGATAAAAGAAGGATATTATAGAGGTCTAGGATAAAGTATAATAAACCTATTTTAATAAAAGGTTAGGAAATTATATAATATTTAATTATTAATAGATAGGGGATAGTTATAGAATAGATTTTTTTATTATATATATATTATATTTTATACTAATTAAATTATTAATTTAGCTACTATATTCTTTAGCCTATATAGGCCTAATCTATATATAGATCCTAATATAGATTTTAAAAATAGAATTTGATCTACCTCCTAGGCCTACTCTTAGTTTATATATAGTACTTACTCCTATACTCTTATTCCCTACTTAATTATTATTACTCTTTATTTAATCTAATCTTATTATTTTATTAGTATAATAATATATAAAAATAAGGTTATCTTAGCTTTATAGCTTCTCTTTAATATACTAAGTAAAATTTTCAGAACCTACTATAAGCTAGTATTTATAGCTCTAAAAAAGATAGGGAAAGTACTAAAGGCCTAGGAGTTGGAAGATAGCCTAAACTCTTTATTTAGAGAAGTTATAAAAAGAAGTGAAATTTAAGGAGCCTAGTAAATCCCTTAATTAAATATCTAAAGTCTTTTCTTAGATAGTCCGCTAAACCTGTATAATACCTAAGAAGGCCTTCCTTAAGATATATATTAAGATCTCTAGATTAGTCTCTTGAACTATCTACTAAACCTATAGAATACCTAAGATCTTCCTTAAGATACTTAGCTAGATATCTAGACTAGTCTACTAAACTAATATAATACTTAAGAAGGCCTTCCTTAAGACATATATTAAGATCTCTAGACTAATCCCTTAAACTATCTGCTAAACCTATAGAATACCTAAGATCTTTCTTAAGATACTTAGCTAGATATCTAGACTAGTCTACTAAACTAATATAATACCTAAGAAGGCCTTCCTTAAGATATATATTAAGATCTCTAGACTAATCTGCTAAACTAATATAATACCTAAGGCCTTCCTTAAGATATATATTAAGATTTCTAGATTAGTCCCTTAAATAGTCTACTAAACCTATATAATACCTAAGATCTTCCTTAATATACCTAGTAGCATACCTTCCTAGAAAGAGGTCAGCAGAACTGCTTGTATAACTTAGTATAAGATAGAGTGATTGAACTAGAAAATCTGATTACTAAAGAGTATATTAAAGTGTTTAAATTAATAACTGAAAAATTATATAGTATATCGGAGTTTTGTAAAGCTAATACTTCTATTACCTAAATACTAGAAACTAAGTAAGGTATAAATAAGCTAATACTTAATAAAGAAGTTTTGTATATCTTAAGTAATACTAGCCTTTGGGTTAGTAAAGAGAAGTAGCTTTTATAATCCTTCCTTTAACTATCTCTAAGTTAAAATTTTATAGAGTGGGAGAAATCTGCTAGATTTCTCCTATAGATTAAAAAAGAGAAAAAGTTAAAATAGGGTGGTAAGATAGCTAGATTTATAAGAAGCCTTTATTACTACCTAGAGAAATACTATAAATCTTTGAGTAAGGTAATTAATTAAGGGGTTAATTAGCTTCTCTTTCTTAATTTTCTTGAATAGGTACTTGATAAGAAAAGAGATCTTATTATAGGGGTTTTTACTCTATTTATAATATTTGATTATGCTAAATTTGAAGTGATCCCTATTATAGAGCTAAGACTATTTGTAATTTCTCTATATATATTATATAAGCTTGTAAATGATTAATTTTATGATTCTATATTATATGAAATTTCTGGATGGTTTGCTGGTATATAAGCTGAATATAAACTCTTATCTATACCTTTTGAGAATGTAGGATTGGTATATGATTTTATAAACCCTGGCTTGTTTATGGAAGGAAATTACTAGGGATATACTAGGTACTCTGAGCTTATAGACTTCTCTACTTTGTCCTTTTATAACCTAGAGGTGCTAAGTAAGCTTATAGATTTCTCTATTTTATTCTCTAATATCTAAGAGGTAATAAACTATCTTAATATATAAGATCTTAGAGATTATTAAATATAATCTTTATCTATAGGTATAGAGTTATATGATCTGACTTAAATCCCTATAAATATAAATAGTTTCTCTTTTGTATATATAAGTATAAATACCTGATCCTCTTTAGTTAGCCTGAATACCTTTATATTTCCTTAAAGTCTGTTATTAAATATATAGACTATAGCCTTAGGATTTATATGCTAGAGTAAGATAAATAGTAAATATAATTTTGGTCTAATTTTCACTTTATATTCTTTTTTCATAAACTATCATTTCCCTTTAACTAACTATATCCTTGAAGCTTTTAGATTGCCTTCTAGTACTTAAATAGGAATAATAAGTATATTACCTATACTATAATAAAAGTATATATGTTATAGACCTATAATCTATACTAATAAATATCCCTAAAATTCTAAGATTTATTAGAAATGTCTAATTTGAGATGGAAGGAGTATTATATACTTTTCTAGGAAGATTAAGCTTATTTAAAAATGAAGTTACTCTATAGTTTAGCTCTTTGGATTTGTGTATATTAAAATCCTGGCCTTATTTTTTAAATAGAATTGAGGAGGCCTATTCTAAAAATATCTTCTATTTATTATTTTTAACCTCTAATAACTTATCCTTAAATAGATATAGCTTTATTAATAGCTTTTCTAATATGATAAAAGACTAAGCTAATTGTGTTAGTGAGAAAATCAGAAAATTTAAAGATTAAGGGTAGTAAGGGAGGAGGGATATTTAATAAAAATGATTATAAGTAAGTAGGTAGAGGATAGTAGGGTTAATATTAAGATAATAGTA